AGCGAGAATCTGCGCAACTAGTCATTGAAGCCTTCATGGTATCCTGCTTAGGTGGCTTGCAGCAAGAGCCAGAGGATGCGGCGTTGGGTAGCTCTTTGCTAGTTGTGGTCTCAGCTGTTCCAAAAAAAGACCCTGCACACCCACTAGTTAGAGGTTTAACAACGGGTCCGACCTTCGAACGGCATTGATCCACATAAATGCTGTTGGTGGCATCGCCTTTAACATGTTGGTCTCTAGCACAGCAACATCCGGGCCAGCTGTCATTAGGAGGGAGTTCTTCGACACGGGAAGTCTCCGAACAGCAAGAATCAAGACGTCCAGTTTGGGCAGCAGGCTGCTCCGCGGGCTTTTCGAGGGAGTAGCAAGACTTAGCACAGTTGTCCCCAACAAATGGAGCCGTAGCAGGCGTGTCCTCAGAGCAATACGGCTTCGGGCACTTGCTTTTGACAGGAGGCTCTTTGGCGGGCTTGTCCTTCGAACAAAACGAGACAACGCAGGCATCAGCAGACACTTTCCCGACAGTCCTGGTGCTTTCACGAGAGCCGCTTCGCAGGCGAGGACGGTTCTGCGCAGCCTGGTCCTTGGTGACCGAGCCGTTGCTGCAGGAGTCCAGTGACGTGCGGAGGGAGCGAGCATATGACTTCTTAGAGCACTGCTTCCCGTGCAGTGACCGTCGCTCGCGAATCTCACAGCAGGTTTCCTGGCCAAAAGCAATAAGAGCGCGACAGATACATCCCAGGGCTTGTAGAGTAGCGCCGTAGCGGTCGAGGGCAGAGAGACTATGTTGGCTGCATGCCTTGTGGTCGGTAGCTCCACCGCAGGCTGAAGGGAGTTAGCAATTTTTGAATGCCATTCTCAAAGGGCGGATACTCACTGTTTGGCTGAATAGTGGGACCGGAGGCAGCCGTAGCACTCATCTCGCACTCCCGCATAGCCAAGAGGTTAAGGCAAGACGTGTCGCAGCATGGGCGGACTTTACCACGGCAACATTCAGGCGCGTCGGTATGATTCTCGGTCTTGTTGTCCGCACATATGCCAGAAGAGCAGCAGTCGTCCGGTTTTTCCGGGGTGGGCGATTTCTGACCCGGGGCCAGGGTGTCGAGAGGCTCAGTGTCGTCGCTATCGCAGCAAGAATCCTGGCAACTGCTCGTCTTCTCACTTGGAGCCGCGAGTGGCATAACATCAGACTCAGAGGCCGGAACCGGTGGGCCGCAACAGTCGTCTCCCATCGTTGAAGTCAGCGTTTGCTTTCCGTCCAATTTTTGTGGATTCGAGGTGTTGAAGCTGAGCTTTTCGGAAATCGTGTCAGCCTGTCCGTTTCTGTCCGAATGCAACAGGATAGGTGGATCCCAGAGGGAGGAGATACTAGTAAACTTATTCCCCGCCCTAGATTAGTCATCAAATATTGAGTCACCCAAAATTGCCGATTAGAGGCCTTACTAGCAATTCAGACTTGTTATCAATCTCACTGGTACACCCGTATGATCCACTTCGCTCTGTTTCTGTCAGTTATAAGCCCGACTGTCACTTGGCGCTACGCTTGCACAGGTCGTCACAGGTTTGAACGCAGCAACGGTGAAGGGTATTCTAGAGAGCTAAGCCACAAAATGATGAATCCGCGCGAACCACAGAATGATTGGTCTATTATATCTACCCTTCCAAGCCGGAAATAAGTGATACGTATGGGATGTTCCAGGATCAACCACATACATATACACAGCACCCGACCACATTATTCGCTGTATCCTGAGACGGAAAGGACCATTGCAGTGCTCTTTGGATATGTCACGTGATAAATTGCGGAAAAGACAGCGCGCGATGTATTTCTTACGGCAGTCGGCTTCATCCGTCACTGCATCATTGCGTTGAAACTCAAGATGGTAGAGATATTGACGAGCGAGCTCCTCAAACATCAGCAGCGTTGTTGAAACGTCCGCGCTCAAAGACTCTGTGTGGAATACTGGAAAACTGAGAAAGCCGATTCATGTTGAAGGTGAGCGGGTGCTTGTGAACGGTCCAGTTACCTGACTCCTCCTGTCTGATAGCTCCAGTAAACGGGGATTCAGGCTTCGATAGCTCTAGTAGGACTTCAGGCATGCCAAAATAGGGTCTCCTCAAGACAGATAGAGAGAAACTCGAATACTACGTCATTTCTGATCAAATCGACTACCCGGGCTTCGTTTATGCTTCACAGAATCCCAGAGTCCTTTCCAGTAGGAGTCGTCGTCAAATTTGTAGCGCATATGGTCGGACACGGACAGATCTTTCCATCCAATAGGAAACCTACTGATCGAGCATCGCGCAATACCGATTCTTGGGTCAACATAGTCTTTTTGCGCAGTCCCGTTGTGCTGCAGATCCCAGCCGCAGCTTCCAATAATGATTAAAGGCGTTCAGTGTTCATTCGCTCTTATTCTATTTAAATCAGATGTCTAATGCAAGTTTGCTGCACAGAGGGGCGCCAGTCAGTCCTACAGTAGGCACATCTCTCAAACTGATTGGTGAAAGGAGGCGGCTAGCGGTGCAGGATAAACACGACTTGAGGGCTACCATTTTGTCATGGCCCTAACGCCGAAATATTCAACATAAGTGCTCACGCCATTGCAGTGCGGTGATGGTTGTGCCGAAACGGGTACTCTAGACCAAGTCGTATTGAACACAATCCCAGGAAGCCATGACGAACAGATCCCACTAAACGGCGTAGTGTACATGAAGTGGGAAGTGTCTGCATGACCTACTCAACTATGGTTATAGAGTTTGGAATGCAATTAAGGACAAGCCGTTCATCTTGTTCCTTGTAAGGTCATTGACTGACGTGTCAACTTAGATACTTTCGAATATCGCATGTTTGGACCAAGAATAGAACAGTCCAGTAGACTTCAAGCTATAAATATACGATCCGCTTTATAGAACTATGGTGAGCCCGTGTTCGACGGTCCTGTGCGCGCTTTTGCATTCCATTTCAGCTGTTGTAATTCGCAGACGGGGAACTCTGGAACGTAATCACTGTCATAACGACTTCGCTTTCTCACATTATCCTCCGGGTCTGCTTCCACCTCTAAGCTGACCCCATCAGGAGTTTGAGACCGACGACGGTTTCGTACTAAAGAAGAGAGGCGATTCACGGAACCACTCTGTTGTTCTTGTGAGATCTCCGTTGACTCTGCATCTGCTAGAAATGCACACAAGTCATCCAAAGAGGTCACAATTTCTTGCTGGAGATCCTGACAGTTCCGAGTGCCAGCTTTTACCGATTTAGGTGCCAACGCCTTGGCTGCAGCTTGCTTCTAGCAAGGGCATACTGGACTGTTTGGGCAATTGCTGTCCAAGGGGGTTCAGGGAGGACTCGCGCAGCCGACGTCGATCCTCTTGGCGAGTCTGTTTCCATGTTCAACCAGTCGCAACAAAAGATCCTAACGCGAAGTCCGGGGTCTGCATGACCACCTTTTGATAAAGGAGATTCCATTGGCCAGTTAATTTTCCTTGCCAACCGCAGCAAACGAACTGATGTTGGAGTGCTGGACTGGGCAATTGGTAGCAACGGATTCCTCGATGTGGGGATGCTTTTGCTTTGGCTCTCTCGAAATCGCCGAGAGAGACGGCAAGTATTCCAGATTCTTCAGTCTCTTCGCTTCCTTGTTCATGATATTGATAAGTCACATCGATTTGCCTCCGAGTTCTGCTTCGCCATTTAGTCTTGAATACTCAAAAATGACAAGCCAACAGGGTCTTGTTTTAGAACCTATATCGCTGCCATCCTTCTACTCCGTGCAGGGGGCCTTGCCCAGCCGTCGATTTCCTGTGAAACACTGCTCGCTGCAATGAAGGGCACAGACAAGATGGAAAATCCCCGTAACGGAGAACTGGATGGAGTCGCCAAGCAAAAGTTTTGAAGCATGCTTGAAAGTTTGACCTTGAAGAGATTTAAGAGATGCAGATACTATCAAGAGTGGAAACAAGTTATATTTGTGTGGACACGTTCAATTATGACAGGCTTGAAAACTTTTACAACAGCTCTACTTAAGAGACAGGATCAGCTAGATAAAATGTAATGGCCAGTAGTGTCTTTGTCCATCCCTTCGTGCATAAACTCATATTATTGGTCCACACGGCGGCCGCCACTCCGCCGAAACCTACCATACGTAATATACCCACCCCCTCTTTTGGCTGCCCCGTTGCGTCCTGGCCGAATTCTGATCCAAGTTTTGGCTCTTCCTAACTCCATCCGTCAACTGTGTTGCCAAGCGAGTGTTGCCCGTCACTTCCTTTCCCTATCCTCACTTGTTCTGCTGTATTTTGTTGTCTTTTCATACCATTTCAACAACTGGATAGTGTGCATGATCTGCTTCAACAGAAAAATGGTTTTAATTGACGGCGTCAAATGGGCTTGCGAAGCTTGCATCAAAGGTCACCGCATCAGCAGCTGTCGCCACAACGGTAGGCGAGGCATACTATAATACGTTTCCATTGTTCGGTCTTCAGATAGCTGACTATTAGTTTTGACCGACCCCTGATCCGTATTAAACAAAAAGGCCGGCCGGTTACTCAATGTGCTCACTGTCGCGGCCTGCGGAAGTCACGGTCGACCCACACCAAGTGCGAGTGCGGTAAGGATGATAGCGATGGATCTAGCCAGTATCCTTCCGGTGACTAAATCTTAAGGGCGAGGAGTCCAATACTAAGCCTGCAACACTGATCTGACATTCTCCATAGCAAGGTTTGGCGGACGATGTCGCTGCACTCACGGACAGCGTTGCATATGTGCGCTGAAGAAAGAGCACCCTCGAAGCCGTTCTCGAGAGACGGGGTTAGCTGCGTCTCAGCAGCTTGCCGTGTCCGAGCCGACGAATGCAAGAAGTTCGGTCACTGACTCACAGGATGACAGTAACAATCTGGGCCACGAACCCAACGACCTTCCTCTGGGTCGCCTGGTGCCGTATGAGACTCCATCTTCATACACTAATTCAGCGCCTAAGGGTTATCTTAATTTAACTCAGACCATGCCTTCCAATGGCGAAGATGGTCACAGCGTCTTTGGCGGTTCAACGATGGATGACGATTTGCCGTCAAATCTGAAAACTTTCCAGCCAAATGATCATCCCCTGCAACATTGGAGGGCGGCCTCATCACGCCCGTTTACTGGAACCTCCTCAACTCCCGTCGGGAACTCGAATGAAAATCTCGTGACTACCGTGGCAGCCCCATCAGGCCTCGACAGCATTCCTCTTGAGTGGACGATGACGAGTAGTTCGGACTCGTTATTCCCCAGTGTGGCTGTTGAAGAACTTGATGGATCAAACATGTTTCCGCTCCCTATTGACTTTTTCTTGGGCCCTGCTGGTCACATTGATCCGCCATCTTATTGGACCTCCTTCGCGCCGCATGTCTCCGCCACGGATGGCATTCAGGGTCCCTCCTACGCTACCGTCTGCCCTGATCATGCAGAAAACATGATGCCAATTCCATCATCGGATAATACTATGGGGTTGAATGACACAGTACATGCGCTTCACAGCGAGGACTTCCACCTTCCGTGACTGTACATAAGACTGCGTCGACCATGTATGCACCGCCATCGTAGCCCGCTACAAATCGCCAGCGTCAGTATGCAGTGCTCGGGCGAAGGCTGAGACAATTGCGCCCCTGCAGGTTGGGCCTCATTTGATGTTGCACTCGGCGATATACCAGTCCTTATGCGTTCTGACAAGATGTATTAGCAGATCAATCCAGAATTTTTTTAACCCAGTTTGGGTAGGTCTAGTTCCTGATAGGCCCGGCAAGTTGCACCGCCAGGCAGAGCCGCTCATTAGAAACGGTAGCTTTCCATCGCGCAACCCACTCAAGGCCAAACCTGCCATCACGTTCCTTCATCATACGGAAGAGTAGCCCTCCTGTCGACCTACATATTGGACAGTGAGGCGAGTAAGTGATGTGCATGACGGTTTCCCGGGAATTCTGGCAAATACGGTTCAGATCATTTGGTCGTCATTGCCTCCTGCTGCATAGGTCGTGCCACCGCACTGAAGGCACTTTCTGACTCACCAGCATTGGCTGTCATTTCCAAAACGGCCGATTTATGTCAAAACCTGTAAACCCCAACAGGACTGTGTCACTGTCATGAACATGGAGCATGGTACATGCTGAAGATGTACGCGGTACCAGATGTTCCCCAGCGTGATTTCATTTTAATTTCTTCGATAGAATCATCATTTGTCCAGCGTGGTAGATCTACTGAATTGGCTGCTCATTCATTCCACTTTTTTAGGACGGTTGTGCGATGGATACTCCAGCATTGCAATCCGTTACCCGGTGCTGAAAGAGTATTGGCCCCGAGCAACAGTTGAGCCAAACCGCGAACATGTTCACAGTCTGATAGTGCATTTTCTCATACCTAGCATAGCATCAAGCTATGCTAGGTATGAGTGTCGTTCGGACTTTGACCAGATAGTTGTCTGAGGCGGCTGTACTCTTATTCTTCATGAGCAGGATCTTGTCAGCAATGGAAACCAGGCTAATTCCAGACCCTTCCGCTTCGTAGCAGCTGTGTTCGGTACAGCAGTATTTTACTTTATGCCTCCTCGTTATTGTCGGCTGATCACCTAGCGCATAATTAAGAGACAAGGAAGCCTCGCCGGCCGATTTCTTCCCGGTAAAGTTCGCCATCTTCGCGTGACGTCCTCAGTCTTGCGCGTCCAGATTAAACAATTCAAACCATGCTGAATCAAAGAATAAAGGGCACATTTCGAGATCTCAGTAGCCCTTGTCGAGCGGAGTGTAAACTTGCGGCCAGGCAGATCGGGTGCTTAGACCCGCAGACTGGTCGCCTCCGCCACATCACGCACAAATCCCTCACATCACAAGTGTCATATCCCCGTACGCCGTGGTGCGAAATTCATTTTTACTTTTCACTTTTGTTTGCTTGCCCATGAAAGTTCAGCCTCCCGAGGCTGGGGGCTAAAACTCCACGTCAGCCGCTTGGATTGCTGGTATCTGCAGGAGAAGAAAAAGCCTACTTCATACCAAAGAACATGTGCTGCGCTTCACTTAATTCTGTCCTCCAGAATGGCGGACATACAAGAAGTGCTGCTCCGCCCTGAAAACGAGCGGGTCTTCTACGTGTCCACCACTTAGGTCAATGGCATCTTAGTATGCTGCTTTGAGCACAAGGACTTTTCATGTTATACACCTTCCTACTGTGACAGTTATGCTCATTTTTCAGCATGTATATGAATGTAACTGCCTAACTCGGAGTCTGATTTGAAAACCTGACTGAAAACTCCTCAATTGTGGAGACAATTTATCACATCGTTGAAGACCCAACAAGTACCAATAAAAACTATAACAAGATCTATAAAGCAACCGGACAACTGATCATTTTCCAGCGCTGGTGTCCTTAGTCCGGTTGGACCAAGACCCTGCTGCTCGTTCCGCCTTTGGCTCAGTGAGAGAATGATCTAAAAAGGTGCGTATATTAACCGGAGAACATGATACTAACAGCTACGGATGCTAACGCGGAAATATAGATGGACGAGGAGAGCATAGATGCAGCTTCGGAAGTTATGGAAGCGGCTATTGAAGCACTGGAGGCAACCATGGAGGACATGGAGGCGGCCGTAAAGGACGTGGAGATATTCCTTGATGACGCGGAACAACACGAGGATTCAAACTCTGAGATGATAGAAATGGCGATGGAGTGCATGGAGTTAGCCATGGAAGTGATCGAGGCCATAGAAGGGGAGGCTACGGGGGGCGCCCAAAAGTGCACCAGTCGGATATTTGAAATATCCGGATAAAGGCCTCTCAGGTGTTCGTTTATTAAGAATGCTCTGGTTCTATAGCGCAACAGAAATGTCAGTGCAGGAGTCAATTAGTGTCCCGTGAATTACGTGAAAAGAGCCCTCAGCAGTCATCCCCCTTCACATGCTGCATATGCTGCATAACGGGAGAAGGGATTACTCTACATAATGCAGACATGGATAGTAAACCTGATCCCTCCTAATCACGTCCTCCACTTTTTCGCCGTGCACCCGGTACCTGCAAACTTCATGCGGCACGTTACAGTATACCGTCCTCTGCAAAGCCGATCACTGACGTTGAATCATGCAGTTATGGCGCCAAAATTGACAGCTCTCTAAAACATCAGGCTATATCAAAAACATGAGGCTATCTCATAGGCCAGGACGATCATTTGCTGAACTATTTCTTGATGATTGGCCCCTCGTAATAGCTTCAGAAGAACCTCACCAGCGCCCGCAAAAAGTATACCTCATCTTAGCATGAGTTACAGGACGGCAGCGAACAATATCACTTTTCTGGCACGTGCTGTTGCTCGATTGCTTGGACATATCTCGTACATTTCCGGCTAGCCAACTTGGCTAACACTAACTGAAATGTCTCCTAGTACGCCGCTGCGGCGTATAGGTGACACCGTGATTGAGTAATTCTCCGAATCCATTTCTTTTACTTCAAACCGATTTTCAAGCCGGTTCCATGGCCCTTTCCAATACAGTGAGGCAATCCAACCATGAGTATCATGATAAAGGTCCAGAGTACCCTCAACACCCAATCCATATACCGCACTCCCACAGAAAGAGATTGTGTCCTCCTCTCCGGCCAAAATCTCTTTTCTATTCACATCTTCAGCAGATATGAGGCAGAGCTTATCAGTCTTTTCGAATGGTTGACCCCTTATTGCGTGTAAGTCAGAACCGCCGGCAGTTTGAGTGAAAATGCAATAGATACCTAGTAAGAGCCACGTTCACAAAGATGCTACCTTCTTTCAGGTTGTTCTGGACGTTGATGGAGATACGCTGTGTAACATCCTCCATGTCAAACATCGAACATGAGCATTTGGTGATGGAACTATCTGAGTAAGGTTCTGCCCAGTAATATTCTCATCATAGTACATCCATGTCGGATCTGTTGAAGTTGGCTCTTTTGAATGTTTTGGGAGTCGCCACACGCTTAGGTGGGTTAACGATAGGCTACGCTTGGAAGATCGGATACCCAAGGTAGCCCTGGAGCCAGAAACAGCTTATCTGAGCCTGTACATGGATTAATAGGGAAGGATACCACATAACCACTTGGCTATCGCGGATCGGTTGGTTGTCGATGCACTGCAAAGCCGCCCGTCACATCCACCTTGTGGTGTTGGTGCCGTAACAGGGTACAAAGTCGAGGCATTTTCGCGTTGTTTAGCGCGTCTTTTAGTTGCCAAGACGTGGGTGGCATTGTCATTTGACGTTTGCAGTCCACCGCGGAAATCCCTCACCCACCGAGTCTCTCCAGGCTGCACGATCTCACCGCAAAATTAGCCCCTACAGCAATTTCAGAATGCTCTGAGTATAGAATACGCTGGGATAATGATCCAATTTTTGGTCCCGATATGATATCACGTGATTTAAACGCTGACAATTTCACGGCCGGGATGAGAGCGAAGCGGGTACGCGACCATTGAATGCTAGCTGGGTATTAGGCAAATTTCTCTTCTACCGCGATGGAGGTAAGCGCGGCGGTACAGTCTCTCAGCTAACTAAAGCTAGTAAAATGCATGCTAGTAGGGGGACGCCAACGACCTCCCCAATGATCCTTACGTCTACTGGCTTGATGGGTTCCATTATAAGTCCACCTCATTAGCTACTACTCGCAATCGCGCCCAGCTGGTGCCAGTCTCCAGCGACTCTCCACAGACGCAGCGTTAAGCCACGTATAACCCCGGAAAGTCGTGTATTCCGAGTCAGCCGTCAACAACCAGCTTATACATGTTGTAAGGCCGTTCGTGAGCCCCTGTTTATCGGGCCAGATTAGAAAGCAACGCCAAAACTCTACTATTTCAAAGATGTACACATTTCCATAAAGCCTTAACTTACATTACCCTGAGGCTATCATATTTTCCGGGATCTTTGGAGAAGGACTCTAGGAAGACATTTATTGGCCATAGAATGTACGACGTATTTCGAGGCATACTTCTCGGTAGGTTTTCTCCCTGGAAGGAATATCCTTGGCTTGCCGGAATCTCTTGTCCCAGGCATGATGAGCCCCTTCCACTACCCTGTACTGCACCCTCTTCCAATGTCCCGCGCCAAACGTTCCGTGAACCGTTCAGCTTCGGCCCTTAAACCATCCCATTCGCAGGTGAGGATGAGGATATTATCTGGAAGAGATTGCAACATAGAGTCCGGTGCGACGCCGGGAGAAAGAAGCGGGTCAGGCATTGATATAGCCGAACGTGGGTGGATGTAACAAGCATCAAACAAGTCGACGAGAAACCGCGGTACTTCGTTTTCAGGATGGGGAGTCGATCTCCTTCAGCCTGTCCTTGTATGCGTCGCAAAGTCGACGCTTGGGTACCAACTTACGATCATGGCTGCTCTATGATCATCTTCTGAACAAATAGCTACATGGCTGCTGCCCCGGATACGCATCTCTAGTTCGGCACGGAATCGTAGCCAAACAGTAAAAGCCATGCTACCCCCGGATGAGAATCCGCTCAAGCCAACTCGGTCCGCGTCCAGGTTGAGTCGTTCTGCATTCTGAAACAGATAGAGGAGCGCATCCGCACCGTCTTCGATTGCGGTTGGAAAGGGGTACTCGGGAGCCAACCTATATTGAACACTAACGACAACTGTATCCGCAACTTCCAAAACTGCGGAAGCCCAACGACTATCGTCGGTTGCGCTGCCGATAGTGAAACCGCCTGCATGAAAGTTCAATTATACGGGGAAATTTCGACTCCGACGCGGATTATGACGCCATTCTCTAGGCGCATAGAAGAAGAGCTCAATCTCTCCGGGAAATTTAGAGATGGTTGCAGGAATCGGTTCGCGGTGCACTGGGGACAAGGGCTGAGGTGTGCGGAACTTATCAAGAAACATGCCAAATTCCATTAATTTCCGAAGCACATTTGCTTCCACAAGGAGAGGCCATCTTAGCGGCACCATTCTTATCATTATGCTCTTGGGCCATGCCTAACACTACACTAGAAGTGAGCACAGCCATTCCTGTTATACTATCTGGATATTCTTGGCTTGAGACTTTTTCGCGTATTTTAAGGTTGCCCGTCTAGTCCATTTCCTTGGCGGAGAGTGGAAAGTTGCCGCCTGCCTTCTAATTCTTCTGAGTTACTACTAAGCAGCTTGAAGCATGGCATCAATTACACGTCAAAAGAACCTTGAAGGGAACTATGGAGTACCGCATAGTCTATGTATACGTGGCGGGACATTGTTTGGGAAAGCAAGCTCCGAAATTTCCTTGGGCAGCCAGTAAACACGCAGAAATATCTCATAATGGGTGCAATGGTACCGACGATCAGCTGATCCTCTGGTTGACTCACTTCTTCTGTGCTTGTAACTTAACTAAGTTAACGTAATCCACAACCGAGCGAGCCACCCAACCGAGCGAGCCACCTCAGAACCCCTGAAACCTTGCATCCTTGAGATCATCATCAAACCCAAATTTCCATCCAATATGGCATCAAAACAATCAGATTCAATAGTCAAATCAGAAGATCGCATATCTCTTGCAGTCAAAGCATACCAAAATGGCCAGTTCAAAAGCATACGAGCAGCAGCAGCGGCATATGATGTTCCTCGATCTACTCTTACACATCGAATTAGTGGCCGCAAAGCACGGGTTAATGTACCAGCCAACTGCCAGAAGCTTAGCAGTCTAGAAGAGGGTTCTCTAAAGAAATGGATTCTGGATATGGATGAGCGCGGCCTACCACCAACTCAGGATACTGTACGCAAAATGGCAGATATCTTACTATCTCATCGAAATCCAGGCCTATCTACTGGAAAGAACTGGGTCAGCAACTTTATTAAACGGCATAATGATCTTATATCAAAATATACTCGCAAATATGATTACCAGCGTGCAAAATGTGAGGACCCAGAAGTCATTAACCAATGGTTCAATCTTGTTAAGAATACTATAATAAAATATGGTATTCTTGAACAGGATATCTACAACTTTGATGAGACTGGCTTCCAAATGGGTGTAGCCCATACGGCAAAGGTTATCACTGCATCCCGTCATCGAACAAGCCGCGTACGAGCTATACAGCCAGGGAATCGCGAATGGGTCACTGTTATTGAATGCATTAATGCCTCTGGATGGCCTCTTCCCCCTATGATTATCTTCTCTGGCAAGGTCCACCAGTCTCAGTGGTATCAAGATATCAACCCTGACTGGATAATCGGCCTGAGTGATAATGGGTGGACAACTAATGACCTTGGAGTATTATGGTTAGAAAAGGTCTTTCAAAAGCATACTCTGGCTCGTACAATTGGGAAATATCGTCTTTTGATTCTTGATAGCCATGCTAGTCATGAATCAGCAGAGTTTGATCTTTTCTGCAAGAATCATCAGATTATCCCTCTTTATATGCCTTCTCATTCATCTGATAAACTGCAACCTCTTGATGTTGGCTGCTTTGCACCCCTAAAGGAGGCATATGGGAGAGAGGTAATGAGAAGCATTCAAAATGGCATTTGTCATATTGATAAGGAAAACTTTCTTGATCTCTATAGAGAGTCAAGAAAGGTCTTATCATCTCAAAATATCCACAGTGGTTTTGCAGCTTCTGGTTTAGTTCCTTTGGACCCCCAAAGGGTACTAGATAAGCTTACTATCAAGACTATTACCCCCCCTACTACTGCTCATGGACCTGCGGATATGGAATGGACTGCAAAGACCCCTTATACTACTGCTGAGGTACAAAAGCAGATGGAGCTTATCAAGCAGCTTATTAAACGCAACTCCCAAAGTCCCCCAAATGAGGCTATCCGTCAGCTTGCAAAGGCAGCTGAATCCACTATGCATAAAGTTCTTCTCCTAGATCAGGAGATAAAGGGGCTACGCGCAGCAAATGAGAAGCAGAAGCGAAAGCGCGCAACCCCTAGATCTTTTATTGCTACTGGAGGTGTTCTAACAGGTGCTGAAGGCCAGCAACTTGCCCAAGAAGCTATACAGATGATGGAACCAGTTGCTAAGAAGCGTGCGCCACCACGATGTAGTAATTGCCATCAAATTGGTCATACTAGAACAAGCTGTCCTAGTAGACCTAGATAATTCAAATATTCAGACATTCTGCTTTGGTTTGGTTCCATAGTAGTAAAATATCTCATGGTTTTCGACCGCGGCCAGAATCATGTTCGGGTGGCTCGCTCGGTTGGGTGGCTCGCTCGGTTGTGGATTACGTTACTGAATATTGCTGATTAATAACGGTTCGGACACACCCAATATAACCAGTACATCCTTAGTTACAGAATGATCGAAGACTAATTCTGCCAGGCCATTTCTCATGAACGTGTAAGGAACTGTAGCAATAGACAATCCCACATGTATCTTTCTCTAAACCATACCTTTTTAAGGTTTCCGTTCATTCCAGTGGTCAACGTGAAGGTGCAAGTCTGATTTTGCAAGTTATACCAAGACTCTGACGCGTGACTTAGCGCCTGCATATGCTGCGTAAGTGTGGCAAATTTCGGAATTCTACTGCTGATACTTCTAGCTTGCTGCTGACATTTAAAGTAATTCACTTTTAAAAAAACAAATCCTCTATTGCATCATTGCAGACATCGACTTGTGCCTTTGGGGTGGGTCTGTTGCACAGCTTCTGCACTTAAACAGACGGCAACTGAATTAACGGAGTATGATTGACTTCAGCGAGCAGCACGTCTAATGTCGCTCGCATCTCCGGACTTCTCCTTCTCTTCGAGCATCGATCCCAGTACCGTTGTCTTCACCGGGAGTCCTTATACATGGCGTTGTTGACAGCGTTATCCTCTTTTACTGACAAAAAATTCCACTAGGTCTCGAACGCGCAGGCTGCAGTAGCTCAGTTAAAGAGCCACCGATTATGTCAGCATTCACACTTTCAAGGAGTACAATATCCAACAGCTATGAAAGAGAAACATCACCACAGCAATGCCTTTGTTCAACTCTCACTTCCAACTGGATTTTGATTTTGAGGATATCAGTTATTCTTCAAATTATACGGAACTTCTGGTCCTGCTTTGTGATGGCCCGCCCATACAGCTAAAGATAGTGCTAATGATGGGGTAGGTTGTCATGAACATCCTCCTGCTATGCGGCTGGCTCATTATTCTGGGATTTCACCGTCTCTTGTACGGCCCGTTTGATTCTTTAGAATGCGAAGAGCTATATCCGAAATTTGTTATAGCGACTTTGGATTCCGTTTTGACGACGAATCTGCTCAGCATAGACGTCGACATGGAATTCGTGCTGTTATTTATAGCGCTCCTAGCCGCAAGGATATGGGCCTGGATAGGAGAATGGAGACTTGAGACGCTTCTTCAACAGCGAAGCACACACATGCGTTCCTACGCCAGTGTGTTTGCCGGCCTCTTACTGTCCTTAGCATGCGGGGTTTTCATGTTCGGCTGTATATTCAAAGCATCACGACGGACGGACAGCGCGAAGCTGGTGATAATGTTCGGATTCGAGCATTTGACCTTGTGTGTATCGACCCTGTCAACAGGACTTTCTTTTACCTTGTCAGTCAAGGATGCTTACGCGAGACTCCACGAAGAGTCTATGCGTAGGGCACGATCTGCGGTCGGCAACGAAGTCACAAGGCCAGTGACTCCTGGCATATTGACTGTGGCTTACGAAGGTACTCTAGACATTGCAGCTGGAGGCTGGGAGCACTTTGTCCGCCCGATAACAGGTATGCAATTCGTGGATACCAAACCACTGTCCAGTTTGATTCGAAATATCGACATTATTGATACGTGCGTAGAATGCGCAGTGCTATTTATCAATCTGTCTTACTTCTCATTCTGCGTTGTCTCCTACAGGCGCCCTATCGTCACGAGCCATATCCTAGTCACTTCCCACTCGCTCTTAACCCGCTTGCGCGACTTTCTTCACCATCGTATTGCCCTTAAAGAAATCAATGCCCAATATTCTGACGCAACTACTGAACAGGTTGTTCAGGCGAAGGAGTGTGCAATTTGTTGGGAGATTATGTGGATTTGGCGACGAGATCACGCGGTGGGAGCTCCGACCGACGGGAGATATACGCGAGCGGCATGTCGCAAACAAGCGTCACGACCGAAAAGACTCCCTTGTGGACATGTCTTCCATTTTGGCTGCCTCCAAAGGTGGTTTGAAAGGCAGCCTGTCTGCCCGCTCTGCCGAAGTCCAGTCTGGCGGAAATCGTGAATTATCACCTTTCTGGGCGTGGAAGGCGATGCCATCATATTCTGGTGTATCTAGGATTGAATGCGGACCGTGCCACATTGAGCGTTGCTCGTTATCAACAGGCCATCCTAGTTCTTGCCCAGACAATATGCTGTGCCTTAGCTCAGGTTGGTGATCTATAGGTGCCTTGCGAAACTATGACTGGTCAGGAAATGGCACAAAACAGAGAAGACGGGGAACTGCCTCATACTATCGTGTTCTGCATCGCGATTTCTCATCCGCGTTCTGTGCGATAACTCGTCAACGTCTTATGTAAGTTTCATTGCGGCAGTCGAGTGCGGAGGCAGTCATCCAGAGCTAGAGTTTCAAGCAGAGGATCATCCACTAAGGGCGGTGTCACTACTTCGGCCCGATTTTTTCTGCCTTCTCTGGCAACTCCTTCAACTTCCTTTGGGAACTCAAATGAAAATTCTGTGACCACCGTATCAGTCCCAACAGGCTTCGACAACATCCCTCCTGGGTGGGAGATGATAAGTAGCTCGGGCTCGTTATTCCACCGCACGGCTGTTGAAGAATTATACGAAACGGATATGTTCTCGCTCCGTACTGACTTCCTGGTGGGCCCTGCTGGTCTCCCTGATCCGCCAACGGATTGGACATCCTTCGCGCCGGGTGTCCCTGCCCTCGCAGTTATCATACAAGCCCCCTCTTCGCTACTATCTGCCCTGATCGTGACGAAACCAGTATGCCAGTTTGTCGTTTGACGATACTTTGGGGTTGGATGACCGTGGGGTTGAATGGCGCCGTACATTCGCTCCAGAGCGTGGACTTCCACCTTCCGTGACAGTACATAAAAGGCTGCGTCTACCATGTATGCACCGCAATCGTAACCCAATGCAAAATTGCCAGCGTCAGTATGCACTGCTCGCAGAAGGCTGAGAAATTGCGCCCGTGCAGGTTGGCCCTCATTTGAAGTTGTGCTCAACGATACACCAGCGACTATGTGTTCGACAAGATGTACTAGCAGATCAATCCAGACAGGACCAGGAGGAGGAAGGCACCTTGGATCCAGGAAACTCTATTTTATCGGTCGGCAAAATACATAACATGCTTTACTTTGGATTCCGAGTCAGGACGTCAACGTAACATAGGACGCAAAAGCAAAGGATCCAATATTGGAGCCATCGATATTTAACAGGACGTCATAACTCCACATATTCTCAAGCAAATAATGTTGCAAGCCTGAGCAATGGAGGACCATTTCACACAGCGTCTTCCAAGGCGGTGTTATCGCAGTCAGAAACACTTTAGTGACGTGGTATTTGAATAATCCTCCTGTCTTGGGAACTGAAGTTTTATTGACCTTCATGATAGTGGCGAACCATACAACGAAGGCCAGAACCCTACCTTAATGACAATGACGCCCGAAGATGTGAATACGTTTGGTGATATGTCATGGAGAGGAAGGGCCAGCATCATGCTTTAGAAGTGCAGTCTACCATTCGAGAGTCAAGGGCAGCTTGGACTTTACCGTCTAGACGCTCGAATAGCATCGCTGCACTGGAAAGGTCCCTGGACCCGGACTGGAAACCAGTTTGAGGCGACAAATGTTAACAGTGCAAAGTGTCTCTAGTCGATATCTCTAATATCCCTTACCACGAGATTCTAGGAGACGTCTCCGTCATTGTAACGGATATTGCTTGTTAGATTCGTGATACTGCCAGGATCGAGACACTTCAATAATAAAGAATGCCAGCACCTAATATCTCTCAATAACTGGCTGCAACTGGAACTTGTTGCCTTTGAACGGATGGACTGCCTTTCAGCAAAAGTTGCTCTCCGAGCTGTACAATATTTCTGTTATTTGCTTCTACATAGACGTGCCTAGTCCTGCAGGCAGACTGTGATGCTTCTGGATTGACACTACTCGGATAGTTCGTGTACTGATATTTTCATCAAGCTCGCTGTAGGCTAGTTCTAGGGTAAAAGGTGACAGTACATCAAATTGTACAGTGCACAGGCCAAGGCCAAGTTCATTAGCACGAGACCGTCGCTCAAATCTTTGACAGGGTGGCCAGTCTTTCCAAGGACACACAAGTATCATAAACGTAAAATGAACCCCTGGGGTGACCTAAGGTTCTCTATTCATTTGGCCTGAAACCGACCAACGGTAGTCGAGTCCTCATCAACAGACTACTGCAAACGACGCTGACACTACTCAAAGCCATCGCCAAACTAGCCCAAACAGGGTCCAATCGAATGTGATTGCCATTGCTCACAATGGGATAGAAGACACCAGCGGCCACAGGGATAGCGATGCAATTGTATACCAGAGCCCAACCGAAGTTGTACTTGACTCTGTTGAACACAATGCGACTGAGATCAATGAGAGCCAGGAGCGATTTCAGGCCAGAGGATATAAGGACGAATTCCGCCGATGAGATTGCGATCTCTGAGCCAGACCCAATAGCAATACCGACGTCGGCCATTGTCAGCGCGGGGGAGTCATTAATTCCATCGCCAACCATAGCAACAATTGATCGGGTGTGCCTTGGTTCTTTCCCCCCGTTGAACCATCTCCTCTTGGAGCGTCTCGGCACTGTCTTCTGGAGATATCGTATCTTTTCTGCCTTTTGCTCAGGCAAAACTCCGGCAATGATATTCTCGGGGGAGATTCCGACCATTTTACCAACAGCATGAGCTGTCGTTGGGTTGTCTCCCGAAATCATCCACACGGAAATTCCTCTGTTACGAAGAGCCTGCAGGACCTCTTTGGCCTCTGGTCGTACAGGATCAGCCACAGCCAGCATCACAGAAAGCACCCAATGCACCTTTTCGATATCTCCGGGTCCTTCTCGGACTCTAGTTCCGACCAAAACGACGGACTTGGCTTCGCGCTTCCAAGCTGTGAGTATTGCGGCATTCGCAGACGAGATGGCGATCTCGTGGTCAAGCATTAATGCCTCGTTGCCCACAATAACGTCAAGAAAAGACGATGGCCGGTTACTTAGAGGGAAGGCTCCCTTCATACCCTTCCCTGGAATCTCGTCAATAACGGAGGCTGTGAGGGCCGGCGGCCTCTTGGAATCGGCAAAGGACACCATCGCCTGAGCAACTGGGTGAGTGCTTTTCTGCTCGAGCGTCAACACCGCGCCCCAGACCTCATCAATGATTTCTTCGTGGAACGTTTTGTAGTCCGTGACGGACGGCTGGGCCCCTTCGGTAATAGTGCCTGTCTTGTCAAAGACAATACAATCCAGCTGACTAGCCTCTTGAAACGCTTCGCCGCCTCCTTTAACTAGAATTCCATGCTGGGCAGCGAGTCCGCCGCCGACAAAGAGCGCGGTCGGTGCCGCGAGTCCAATCCCACATGGACAAGCAACAACGAAGACAGAAATAGCGAACTGCAACGACCAGAACTCCCATCCACCAGCCCCGCCCTCCTGCCAGGACGTCGGCAAGCGGCCAGAGACACCCAATGATAACCAAATAATCCAGTCCATGACAGCTATGAGGGTGATTATGGGGACAAAGTAGCCCGTGATCAAGTCTGCCGTTCGCTCGATCGGTGCTCTCCGAACCTGTCCTTCGCGAACAGCGTTGATGATCTGGTCCAGCATCGAGTCACCGGAGAGATGGGTGATACGGACAAGAACGGGGTTTGCTCGGTTAATTGTCCCAGAGAAGACTTCGTCCCCGATGGACTTGGGGACCGGCTTTGATTCGCCTGTCAAACTCGACTCGTCAAACTGTGAAGTTCCTTCAACAACAATACCATCGTACGGCGGAGAGGCTCCATTGGCCACACTGACCACATCATTGAGCTCCAGCTGATCAATCGGGACCGCGTGCGGTGTAGCAGATGGGGAAGAGGGGCTCTGTCCCGCTCGACGAAACCAAGACCGCCGCCGTCGGACGCAACTTGCCTAGTAAGCTCACAGCATCTCCGGCCTTAGCCTTGCTATAAGCCTCAAGCAACCGACCAATCATGAGGAACATTGTTAGGAAAACGACGGAATCGAAGAATGACTCAACATGCGTGACTCTGTGGCCGTCGGCGGGCTGAGTGGCATTGATACCCAAAATAGCGACAGAGGAAAAGTACGCAACGGTAGTACCCAGCGACATCAGCATATCCATGCTGCCAAAGCGGTAGAACCGGCGGAGGATTGGGGTCTTGCTCCCTGGCCGCCACAGTGCCACAAGCTCACTGAGCATCCGACGGTGAAACAGATCCGCAGCGAAGAAGTACACCGGGGTCGCCATAATAAACAGCGCCCACTCCATGCGTGAGACCTGACCCGCCCAGATGGGCTGCTCGAGGTACATGGCCCCCGAATTGTCTCCAGGTACCAAAGACATATAGACGATCCCGATAATAAACGTTGGGATAGCAGTCAACACCGCCAACAGCAGGCGGCGGGCGATGTGCCGCATGTGTCGACGTTGCATCATCTGGGAGCGCTCCTCAAGACTGGGGGGATGGTAAATAGATACTGTGAAAGCCTTATCCACCTGGACAATCGCATGTAAGATATGCCGAATGGTGAAATTCGGGCTGTCCGGGGTATATGCTATAGTGAGCCGCGGATGTTCCTTTCGAAGAGGGTCCGTCACCTGGAGACAATTGGAAAACACACTCAGAGCATTTAGAATCCGCTCGGGGCAGTGTAGGCAATGCATCCCGTCCACCTGGATAGTGACCGTCCGGTTCAAGGCTCGTTGCTCAGATGGGGCGCTACTCTCGACCCCGCCGAGTGTAGCGACGTAACCCAATTGGCTGATAACGGCGACGACCTCTTCCAGATGCTCCTTCCCTTGCAGTTCTACCATCGCACTCCCTGACACAAGATTCACGTCCACTTTTCTGACCCATTCGTAACTGTTGAGAGTGTCTGTGACTGCCCCGCTGCAGGAGCTGCAGGTCATGCCTCCGATAGCATAGGAAGCTCGCCATGTGTCTGGCGACGCCGACGGTTTCGATTGCCTCTTGGGCAGGAGCTCTTCACAATCAATCAGCTGGGCGGAATAGCCCGAGCCTGTAATTGTCTCTAGCGCTTCGTTCACACGCGACGGGTCCAGGAGAACGACAACCGCGCTACTAGTCAGTAGATTAACGTCGGCCGATTGCACCCATGGTTGGTCGTTCAACGCATTGGTAATCTTCCCGATGCATGAACTGCAAGACATTCCACTGATTGACAGTGCGATGCGAGTGCGGGTGCCCGTCAGATGGTCGTCGACGACAGATACGAGGTCATCATCTCTGGGGCTGCCCGACTCGACGAGCTGGGGGGTGAGGTCCTTTTCAGTATCTAGCAGATGGCCACCAGTGCTGGATGATTGCGTCGCGAGCTGTGAAGAACATGCATCGCATTGCCGGATATGCTGTTCTGACTCATTATGAGGATCTGGGTCAGAGGCGCCCCTGACGCCTGATGGACGGGTTGAGCGCCACGTTCGGAGACTCTCGCTCTCAGGAACACCATTTGTGGAATCACCAGATTCAACAACGCTGTCAATATCGAAGGCGGCATTCTCTAGGGCATGCACAATTTGTGACGGACTCAGATCAATGGGATGCGCAACCCTGATCTCGTGCAGAACTATGGATACCGACACGGAGAGAGGGGGTGGATTGAGAGAAAATAGGGTATCGTTCACTGTAGAAACACATGAGGGACAATGGAGGTTGTTCACCAAGATGGTAGTAGACCTCGATTCGGGTGGCAAACGCGGCTCAGTAGAAGCCATGATTGTAGTAGAGGCAAGAATGATGAATGAATATTTGAAGGCAGCACGCTGTACAAGGCCAGCTTTTATATATCCGTTGTCCAGGCTGATTTCAAATCTACAAGTTAGTATGTCAATAGAAGATACAGGAAACGCGATAATGCCGCAAGAATTGATTACTTGGCACAACCAGACGTTGCGTCCAAATGACCACCGCTGAGGAGTGGATGCGCCATCTGCGCGCCAAACTTCAAATATTCCAGCAGAGCACCTTCAACAAAATTTACGATCCTTAGACCTGGCAGCATGAGAAGGCCCACGCAAGACTTGCCGTTCTCTCCCGCTGTTTTCGACATACTTTGCTACGGTCTCTTGTCGGTGATAATTACCTGCTTTATCCTCAGAACTCAGACTCCCAGAAAGCAATAGGGGGAAGAATTACGTCCAAACCAGTTGCAATGACCTAAATAAGACCAGTATCCAAGGTACCAGGTATGGATCTCGGGAAAACTATAAGATACCTAAGCTAGAACCACCTCCTGGAAGCCTTTTGCTGATAAAATGAGATTATTCCCTTCCCATACTAGAACATTCATTCAGACATCCCGGGCAAGCTAGCTGGCTTTGAACAGGAAGACAGCAGAAGTCAGTGATGACCCTGAACCCGCTGACTATACTGCGCCCAGACCAGCAGACCAGCATAAATAATGGCGCGCCGAAACGGCGTGGCTGATTTTTGCAAATCGATATGCGATCAGATCAACTCCTTTCAGGCCCCAACACTTTATCCTCTCAAAATCGGAGCTTGCACATACTCCAAACATGTGGAGCTCCCTGTTATCTCGTCTCTGTGGAAAGAGAACGGAGCCGATCATCGTGAAACAGCGACGAATGGGTGTTGGTCTAATCTGAGTGATTTTCGCGTTCTTTTGAGTTCCCTGGTGGCGCTATTGACGTCTAGTCGGCGAAGACCATTGGAAGGTTGGTCTCCAGATTTCAAACTTCGCCAAGAGGAACTAAAATCCGCGAAAACACCGCATGGAATGTCTTTGGCCATTATGGGAATATAATCGTCTGCCTTTCGCTTCCTACGATTGCAAGGATTTGATAACCCTCAGAGACATTGAACTCTTCATACTTATCTTCTTCCATCAAATGCCAGGCTTTGCATTCCAACTCCGTGCAATATGCAGTCTTCTTGCCGTGCAAACTGCTCTGGGTTCCTTACGAACGTTCAACTTCACCGTTCATACCGCCCAACGCAGCCCAGGTTTGTGGATTGAATCATTGCCTTCGTCACCAAGACAGCTAACCCAGTTACCGATAGATGGGTACTCCCGCGAAGTGTACTTGATAAATGGACAGCAGCCCGGTCCAATGATTGAAGTTGACGAAGGGGATGATGTGGAGGTGTTCGTTCGCAATGAGTTGCCAGTTAGCACTACTATTCATTGGCATGGTATGTTATCGGCAAAGTGTATGTGGCGGCTCAACTAAGCGCGTGGATTTAGGGATACTACAGCGTGGAACACCGGACATGGATGGGGTCCCAGGAGTAACACAGGTGCCTGTGCCGCCCTTCAAGCGCTAAAAAGAGTGGTTGCTAACTTGGCTCTATAGTACCAAATACCCCCTGGAGGGAATTTTACATACCGATTTTCCGTGAAAGACGAGTACGGGTTTTACTGGTATCATTCACATTTCCGTGCATACTACAACGATGCTATACGGGGACCCATCATGATCCGGCCAGCACCATCTCGTCGTCGGCCGTTTGAAGACATGGCTGCAAGCACGGTTGAGCGTGAACAGCTGCTACAGGCTGAGAGAGATGCTTTATCTATCCTCCTGAACGACTGGACACACGATCTGTCGGACACAATCTTTAGCCGGTACCTTGAAACAGGTGCCTTCCCCAACTGCGTTGACAGTATTCTAGCAAATGGTCAGGGTAGGGTAGAATGCCTGCCAAGGTATATGCTCGATGCAGGACCGGGGTTAGGCCTGACGGACGAAGTCAATGCCACGCACCACGACCCTAGTGCAACGATGACCACTTCAGCAATGCAAATGCCATCGACGGCAAGAAGGATGGAAGACTCCGCCGATGATAACCCCCACGACCAGATGTCCATGCCTCCGATGAGCAGAAACAACCCGTCAGAGTCAACCATGTCCGCAACGGGTGGGATGATTATGCCCAGCTCAGAGGCCATGGGCGAGTCAATGAAGTTGGGCCCTCGAGGCTGCATGCCACCTATGATGTTCAGGCCGGGATACGATATCAACTCTCTGCCAGCAGAGACGTGTGTGAACACGACATCACAACAGTTAGTAGTCAACGCAAATGCATCTCATGGATGGCTCGCCCTCAATCTTGTGAACTCTGGAGCTGTTAGCAACCTTAAGGTTTCGCTTGACAGTCATTCAATGCATGTCTATGCCGCAGACGGGCTCTATGTGACCCCGCAGGAGGTTAAGGTAAGATCTCTTTCCATGGTTAGCAAACCACCTTCCTCTAACTTGGACAGGTTCTTGAAATCGCCCTCGGCCAACGATACTCTGTGATGATAAAGCTTGACCAGCCTCCCGGCAACTACTATCTTCGATTCGCTACTTATCCAAACGGTGACATGCAGCAGGTCTTGGAAGGCCAGGCAATAGTGGCCTATAATGTCAGTGGATTCAAAGCTTCTACTTCCACGTCGCTGCTATTAACGCGCTGAATAGACCGCCGGAAGCGATAAACAGGACATCTCGGTTGATCCGATGTCTGTTTGGATGCTGACTAACGGATCCGCTATTCAGGGCGCCAATGAACTAGTAGAATCACGCCTGGCACCGTTTGAGGGTAATAGACCTCCCAGTACAGCTGCCGATGTCACCCGGTTCTTCAATATCAATCAGACCGGTATTGTCACCTGGGTTGTGAACCAGTATCCGTATGCCGAACCAACGATTCCAATCATCTACGGTAACATGTCAGATGGATGGAATGCGAACACCACCCTCCATTTACCGTCGAATTCGACAGTCGATATCGTAATGAATGTGGCAAATGGCTCGCTGGATACGGTGTGCCACCCTACGCTACTTTTTGTCGCGCACATACAGTCGCTGACATGTATTAGATGGGCCATCCAATGCACCTTCATGGCCATAAATTCTGGGTTCTAGGTTCCGGCAATGGCTCATTCCCTTACCGGTCGGTTGCAGAGGCGCCGTCGTCCCTCATTAACCTCGACGACCCTCCGTACAGGGATACCGCGAATTTGCCAGCATCGGGATGGCTAGCAATTCGGTGGGTTTTAACTCAGTCTGCAACAAAAATCCTTCAGCCTAGTGGCTAACCATGGAATAGCTATATCACAGATAACCCGGGCGCATGGATTCTTCATTGCCATATCCAGTGGCATATTGTGGTCTGTCAACTTCCCTTCTTTACTCTCGCCATTGGCGGACATACGCTTACGGTTGGTTATAAGTCTGGAATGGCTGTGGTCCTAGTCGAGGGCGAAGATCAGCTCGATGCCCTGATTCGGCAAGGTAATAGCTCGGATCCTACTACACCATCCACATCCGGTACCGCACCGTCGTATAGTTTCAACTTTTTTGGAAGTTTGACCGCTCTCGGGACTATGCTAAATGCGCTGGTCATGTTTTCATAGCGACCAGCTGGTTGCACCTCTCCGGCTATTTTCCTTGGCTAGATCTGCTTCTATCTACATGATAGAAGCTAAGTACTCTCTACAGCGCATATTTACAGGTACATAATATGATAGTCGATGTGTTATAGAAATATACCCACTGCAGCAGCTTCAGCAACAAACCGGAGTAGTCTCCTGATATCTGAAAATTCTGTAAAGGGTGGAAATCGACTCTTTTCGAAGGCAATTTGGCGCAGGAGCATGTTCGGTGGTTCGCTTCATCGGTGCTAAACCCTTCCGGCAGAATGACTTCTACATTCCGGCCCTGAAGTTGTCGATCGCAAGGCGGCTAATTCTACAGACGCTGGATAACCATATTACAGTATTGAGCGAGGCTAAAAAGATTTTCAAGGGCATCAAGAAGCGAACACGCTATGTACAGCTTTTTTACTTCTACTGGGTGGGCAAGAGAGAGAACCATGATCTACAGTAGGGCGGATGGATGACTTCATTTACCCTGACCCCTCGCAAATAAAGCGATATGCGGGCGGTCAGATCTATCTATACCCTTGTATCTCTTACCTATACATGATCCCCATTACTTACGGACGAACTTTAAGCCTCGCCTAGGGGCCTGTGCTGGCCATTTTGTCTTTGGTTATGTTCGTGCAGGCCCTTGTCCGCGCCTATGAAACCATTTAGATGCTTCTGCAAAGTCCTGTCCAGCCTCGACGTTGCTTACTGCCCCCCCTTTCCTTGCCCTTTTCCCTCTCAATCATTCCGACCGATACTCCTTGCAATGCACTTGACAACATACGCCAGGGAAATCTACACCGGCACCTCGATCAAAGGTCCAATCGTAGAAGCCAATGCCTAGTCACTCTTTGTCCCGAAAGTGGCCACAGAAACGGCAATAGCCAACTCAAAGTTGTTGCTCGCGGCCCTAAAACTCTGGGGCCCCAGCGAGCTTGTAGGCCAAACCTCCAGGCCCACCAAATGCAAGTTGAACGCTCTTCAAACCTAACGCTACCTGATCATTTGATCAACCCAACACCCTTCCAGCACATTCAATTCACGAGTACAGTGCCCGTACTCTCTATAACCAGGTCTTTCGGATGGTGGTGATAAGTGACGAATACATTGTTCTGTCGTTAACGTAGAAAGTAAGTCATGTGCAGCATTGGTCTTTTTTCTGTCGACAAGCTAAAATTGTCTCGGCCCAGATATTGCCGTAGCATTAAAATGAAACGCGGAAGCAAGCAGGAACGGGATGCGTTCATTGAAATCGCCAGCCCTCGACAAAACAGAGCAGTGGGCATTTGCCGAAGAAGCCCAGTGTATGTCTCCCACTGGGTCGGCATGGACAGGAAGTCAAGACATAGATAGCACGAGTTGGACCTTGTAGTCATGCAATCGCGTGGAGGCACCGATGTGGTATCGAGAACCAGGCGATGCAGCGTTTTGCAACGCTGGATGCGGCTAGACATACCAAGGTAGATTCCCCCGATAGTGATAGAGGCTTTTCAATATGCACAATGCCATTTACTAGAGTGCTCTGGCTCAAAAGAGATTATTAGAGGCTTCAAGATCAGGCGCCAGCAGCAAAACACAGGCGATGGTAGGCTTAGTCAAGCATTTTCCAAAAAGAGGAAAGATTGTGGCTATGCGCTGATGGCGGAACACTCAGTGTTTCATATTTTATTCATTCCTCCAACCAAAGCAGCTGATTCCGTCCCAGGTGGGTCGTGCCTGCCAGTGGAATGCTCAGTGCTCCAGACTGGTGATGTATTTTCCAGGCTGGCGAATGTATTTTCCAGACCGGTGATGTATTTTCCAGACATCACCACCCCTCTAAACTGCACTCACGCTAATCACCACCTCTTCCAAGCGGCATCACCCCCATCACCCAGCAAGGGCACCCACCTGGGTATTGACCACGTTCAAGCCACACGCCGGCCGGTTAGTAGTTGGGTGGGTGACCACCAGCGAATCCCGGCTGTTGCATGTTTTTTTTTGTTATTTCAGTCCTTAATTTTTGGCTTTTGTTATTTAGCAAATACTAAATAACAATCTCGTTTGATTTCTTTTCCTGAAGCTAGACCGACAGTTTAGTGCAAAGATGCTCCAGTCTGGTGCGTCTCTGCGCAGAGAGCTTGTCTCAGGGGGTCATAGAAAACAATTGAACTCGGTGAGCAGATGGAATTGCGCAGAAAAGGTAAAGGCCAGCTGGCCCACCCTCAGTCAGTAAATTAGGGCAGATATGCTACAGTGCCTGTTCTGTCCTGTTTGATGTAAATATGAGAGAGCAGTGTGTATCGGGCGGCTATCCTGAAACAGGCAAAACTAACCACAAGTGGGAGTTCACAGGTCCTGACTTTATCATCTAAATTTCGACATGCATGCCCTCAAGCAGCGGTGGAACGTGCTGGGGATAGGAGCGTTGGCATGGGCGGACAAAGTATGTAGTGAATCCTACACTTGGTCAGGGGAATTGACACAGAATAGAGAGAACTAAGTAGTTAACTTGACTGAGCGAGTGAACTCATTGACTTAGTTGGGGGACAAAACAATGATAGATACATGTGACTTATAACTAGGCAAGCCCCTGAGTAATGGAATATCATTATTCCATACCGAGCATCCTAACCATATTCATATCAAAGTAAAACCGGGCACGAACGAGGCAAATGTGCGAATGAGCAGAGAAGGATTAACACCCACTAATTTGCCAACGAAGTGGACCAATGTAATGAAGTCAATTGTTTTGGTGTTTCTATACACATATTCTGCAGGATCTGTGCACTGGCCTCAAGAGTCATTCGCCTTGAGTTGATTGTCGTGATGACATTTTATCCGAGCCCTACACGAAGATTGCGGCACAGTTAGCCTCACCAGAACCACCCGGAAGGTGGAGATACTAAGCCTGCCCAATCTTCTTTAAATATAGCATGACGTCGGCCAATCCAAACAAGGATAAGCCTAAGCCTGATACACTTCGAACATTTTAAGGACAGCATGAATGGATTGAGGCGATATTCATTTGGCGCTAAAGTCCACTGCGGAACTGTCGTTCTGCAGTCACTATGCCCAATTAGATTCAGGCCGTGTATAATGGAAGGCCTATGCTATCAAGCTAGGTCAGGCTCAAATGGATGTGCGCTGTTGTTTCAGGGGCTAATTGAAATGGATTGGCCTAACTCTGTTCTTCTTGCCGCCAGCTGATATGAGGCACTAAACCAAGCACATTGTTACGACTGGCGGACTGCGCCTCCGGAGACGGGTTGACTACTAGTAATGTTCCTAGGAAATATCTCAGTTTCCGAAATTTAGACACTTCATAGGCCAGTTTGCTTCAGAAACTACTGGCTGTTCCTGACTATGAGCTGGCAATTCACCCAGGAAGGTACGACGCTTCGCCTGTGTTTAGCAGCAAGCCAGTCACAAACCAAGAGATCTCCAACGTCCTTTCTTCCCCAATAAAACCCATTATCTTCGTTTTGAGGGCTGGTATTGGCTGCAGGCGCATCGCATAGAGAATGAAGCGCAAGTTGTATATCCACAAAATAGAAACACCATGGAAAGTTCCTAGCTTCCTATCCTCCCCTTCGGTAAGGAGAAGCGTCACAATGGCAGCTAGAATATGGCGGCAGCCCTGCACTGGATTGCGGACAATGTAAAATTCAGCATGCACCCAGAGAATGGTGCGGGTATCTTCGTTGCCAGAAAGGTATCCATCATCTGTGATGCTGGAACAGTCTGATCCATACTAGCGTCATTGTTGGTTTCCATAATGAGCTTGTCACATGGCATATCTGCTGCGTTGGCTTTCAGCTCACTGGGGTTGCTATCTCTGCCAGTTTCATAGCCAGAATCATCCAGTGCTTGACTGCCTGATGCAAGTGGTAAGCGTTTAATGCCAGTCTGTTTTGCTTCGGATGAAATAGCCCCCTCCATCTGGTGGTTGATTAGGTATCTGGTATCAAACAGCGATACTGCCCAACAGACAGATATGCTTGACAAATTGAGGCCGGACAGGACGTAGGGCCGCTGCTTCTCATCTGCAAGTACTGAGTTACAGTGGACCAGATGGGTGATGAGGAACTGCAAGAGATCATCTGATATTGCTGTTGGTTTAGGTAGAGCCTACGCAGGCCCATTCTCCAGCTGACCACATTCATATACTGTTCCCCATTATTAGGTAAAGTGCTTCGGCTGGAAATTGAATCACTCACATTGATACAGTCTTTCTGCATGCTCATTTCCATCTCCTTCTTGCTATCCTGAAAATAAAGTATTTTGAGAATCCTCCAGTAATTTGCAAGTGTAGCGTGGGCTCTGAGAGAGGCCCTGGAAATTCTCATCAATCCAGTCAAACCAGGACTTGACATCTGCCGCGACCAGGGATTGAAGGAGAGCCTTTGGCTTCAGGAAAGCCTCTGAGCAGTCCTGGCTTTAGAATGTACTTTGAGACTCAGGCATACCGGTTCCATTTCCCCTGCACTGAAGCCACTGATAGCTCTGTATTATCTGAATATTCGGGCAGTGTGGTTCCGTTTGCAAGGTGCAGCTTCCGACACTCAGCGTTGTAGAGAGCTGACTTCTGGCTTTGTTTTCTCACTGATTGTTGGAATCTCCGACGTGGCAGTCCTGAGTATGTATTGGAGTAGGAGAGGCCAGTTGAAGTTCAGATGAATAAATGAATGGGGGACCAAAATGAAGAAAAAAGAAGAACAAAGATAAACATTGAAGGGGTACAGCGGCAATAACACAGTGTTATTTATGATGGTCGAGAGTCACCCTGAGAATAACACTGACCACATCCTTATTTTCCCAGTGTATCCTGCTGCGCCGCACTGAAACCCGAAGTCGTACTGAATCTGGTTTTGCGCGTTGGAGATATCTGTTGATGGGGGCCGAAACTCGCTGAGTTGATTGTTCTAGTTAATTAGTTATTTACGCTATGCTAACTACCTTCATAGAAGTGGTGGCATCCAGAAGGAAAAGTCTGATGATAGAATAAAAAGTCTGTATAGTACATATGTAATAAAATAACCGCGAAAACGGAAAAGCTTTGTCAAGTTCAAGTTCATGAAGCTGAATCGTAGCGCCAATATCCCAATTTCCCAATAACCCAACATAGAATACAATTTAGCGCCCATCCGTAACCCTTAATATGTACAAAAAATCACTTGTTATATGTGCATGAAGCATATCCGGCAATATACTATACATCGAGCAATGCCATTGGAATCGTACTATGCCAGCATAGCCACGCAAGGCATTCAAGTGGGCCAATGAGTAACATTGTGTGTGCTCTTCTCCGGTCTGATTATCGTGGTATCGACGAGGGAAGGGAAGGATTCTGCAAATGCGGGCCCGAGAGACCAATTGGAAAGGTTACGCACATGCTTCTCAAAGACGGGATTGATGACTAGTTCATCTGAGTCCGCGGTCCAGAGTAGACAGTCTGCAGCCTCATAGGGCCAGTTCAGTGAAAGAGTACGGCTATATGGTAAGAGCCAATTGTCAAACGGGTAGTCTAGGTAAGACACCACCAGACGATCACGCATGCGTGGCCAGGCTAGATAGTCGATCCAAATGGGATGAGGTGTGAGTAGTTGGGAGTTGCAAGGGGCAAGCCACCCCGGTAGACGGTCGTAGTTTTGTTGGGTCGGATAGAGTTGCCATCGTATGAGAAGGAATATGACGTAAAGTACCGCTACCTGTTCTGGGAGCGATGAGAGTCCCGGAAAGGCACGAAGAACATCGATGAGGACCTTCGACAGTGAGGGTGAGTAGACAGTTACCTCAGGGTTAAGTAGAGACGAGACACTTGTGCGCAATGGCCCAGGCACTTTCTGTACCGACATCCTCTGAGCTGCTTCCCGCTGGCGTTTCTGCAGGAAATCCAGAAGGATGGCGTCGAGTGTACATGTCGGGGCAATGTTTCGGATCGGAGTCGAATGGGAAGTTACTAGTCGTGGCGTATTACCGGACTGAGAGTATATGTATTTTATTCCTTCGGCTTCATAGACATGTCGAGAGTGGTCCAGCAGAAAATTGAACCCCAGTTTCTCTTCCGAAGAAAAGTCCAGGCCATGGGTGAGCTTGCGACGTTGATAGTCAAGTATGGCGTGCACAGGTGCGGGATGTTTATCAGGATTGTAATTGACACCAATAAGCGCTGTTTCAGTCGTAGACGTAGTATGGGTGGAAAGACGCGCTCCAATATTAGGCGGTTGAGCATGCGACGGGCCAGCTGCTGCTAATCTCTGGGTAGTGGAAGATACGGCCGAAGACGCATGAACAGAATCAATAGGTTGGAAAAGAGGAGGACGCGGCACTGAATATATATCGACGTGTCAGTTCACTCACCGGTCGAATCTCGCGACTAATTCCAGAAAGCAACAGAGAGCAGATAGCAATGAGCAATAGAACACACCTGATGTCTTCCGCGAGAGCAACGACTGGAGATTCTCCATTATATCCTCCATCCCCTTCCTGAGTCCTTGGTTTTCTGCCTGGAGCACATCTACCCGCGCCTGAAGATCCAGCAACGGTTTCTGTGACGATAGCTCTTTCACCTGCTGCTCCAACGACTCGATCCGCGATTTGGTCCGCTCCCTGATTGCACGCTGGGCATTACGGTCATTTGCGCGCTTCTTCGCTAGTTTCTCCGGTGTAAGGTTAGAAATCCCGCGAGAGCCGGTGCCACTGACGGATTTGCTTCTCCGTCCACCTGCTGTACTATTCGTAGCAGAACTTCCCGCGTTATCTTCCGGCCCTGTGATCGCTGCATCTGCGTCTGCATCTGCATCTGATAGTTGTCGATGCTGTAATGAAGTGGGGGAGATTTTATGTTTCAGAGAGCCCTGCGTATAGTCCTGAGGCGCCCTGGCGGATCGATGAGGGAAGGATTCGATCGTAGGATCATCGACTGGTCCGCGGTTGCTCATTGCCTTACACGCGCGATACCCATTTGATTTACACGATCCATGTAAATAACGGCGTCAGCATAATATCAGAGAACATCCTAGGTCACTTTATGCATCCATAGCCGGATTTCTGAAGGGAAGAGAGATTGCTGGAAAGAAGAGAAGTCATCATGGATGTCAGGAAGCCGATGTCTCCAAAATTCATCACCGTTATCAGAATAACGGTCACGTGATCTTTGCGGTAACGTGAGGGAATCAAAATGAATAACATCACCATACCCCCGTACAGCATATATATATTCTTGTCTAACAGCCACTGGCATGGAATGTATATGAAAGAAAAGTGATCCGGAGGAAGTGCAAAAATACAACGGCATTCAAGCACTAAAACCTTGTTATATGTAGAGCCGTACTCTCCAAGGGAGTCTACACGGACATATGAAAGTAATTATAAAGGCTTTTCAAGCATTGGTCGCCACCATAAACCAAAAACAAAAGGAGTCCCACCGTAAATGCCAAAAAAGCGTATCAAGAAAAAGGAAATACACCGGAGAAAGGTAGATAAATGCACCGAGTGAAAGTTATTGAATCATATGGCCCATCTTTGAGATCTGTTTAAGCCAAACGTCAGTAAAGAGGACTTCCCGTACGATACTTGCTCCTGAGGGTCATGGATGAATTGACAGACCTTTGTTTTCAAGTAGTTTTCTACTTCTGAGGATTTTATCCCCTTCTTTCCTCCCGTCCTCCATGCCAGTGGAATCATGGGCACTCGCTCTTGTACGACAACCTCTCGATTTGGCCCTTCAACTGCCCGCACTTTGTCAGGGTTATTTGTCAAGAGTCTAATTCCGTCTGGATTAGAGTCAGCACCTAAACCAAGATCAACTAGCATTGCCGTCGCAAGGCCGTAGCTCCTGGCATCGGCCGGGTGTCGAAGAAGGAGGTTGGCCTCGACCGTATCAGAACCTAAATCCTGAAGATTATAGGCCTTCAGTTTCTCTCCTAGGCCAATCCCACGACCTTCTTGTCGAAGGTAAATGATGACGCCCCCAGGGGAATTGGCATCAAATGCCGCCGCATCCTCGGCAGAGATAGTCTCAGACAACGTCTCATGCGGCGAAGACATCAATCGCGCCGCCTCATCAAGCTGTTCACCACAATCACAACGTGCTGACCAGGCAGTCTCGCCAGTATAGCATTCTGAATGGATTCTCACAAGAGGACTTTGAGCCAGCTTTTTGTTCTTCGTTTCCCCGGAAGACCCCGTATCATGCCCCGCATCATCTCCCTGCTTCCCCCTCTCTGAAGCTTCGGCGTGATCTTCATCATACCAGCTGCTCACTCTCCCCGGGCGCAACTTGCCGACATAGGCGCCACGAATCATGCGATCCATTTCCCCTTCTCCCGGCCGAACGCGATCCAAACTGCGACTTCTGATACTGTTCCCAAACACGATGGCTAGGTGTTCTTTGTTGTCAATGTCATTATGGTAGAGATGTAGAAACATTTCCGCACCATTGGTGGTGGGGATTCGAGCGCGGACAATGCATTCCACATTCGGCAGTTGAGACAGTAGCTTCGTAGGCGCAGTCGTATGTTGGACTCCGGACAATTGGCTCTGTTGGAGTAGTCCCGTAGGATTCAATGAGCCGCCTGGTGTCATCGGGGGTGTGAAAACAGGGGAAAGGAATGAGTCTAGCAGTCCAGGGCTTGCCACTCCCTTGTTATTCGCAGGGTCGCTGTCCTGGTTTGCGCCGCCCTGGGCTGTCTCTGCTTCTGTCTGTGGCAGTGGAATTGCTGTAGGATTAGAGCTAGCCGGGATGTCGCTGGCAGCTCGGCCTGGGGGGGATGCATGCGACGGGGAAGCGTGAGAGGTTAGGTCCGGCATCGCGATTTGGAGAAGCAGTGCTGCAGATGGAAATCAAAGCCAAACCAACACCCGGTAAGGACAGGCAGCGCAAAAGGGTCGATGGATTAAGACGCTCTCATGGAAAAAGGCGAAAGCACAGAAAAAAAGCGTAAATAGCCTTCGAGAGTTCCTGGCACTGGGGGAGTTATTATTTCCCAGTCATCGAGAGGGGCGACCTCGGTCGGACCGATGAATAAGCCAAATGCTAAGATTACTCCGGAATTGGTCATGCCCAGAAGATTCCACTATGATGATGATGGTGTACAGCGTCTATAGTCTACGCAACTTACGAAGTTTTTCGAACCATATTTAAACCCACGCATGGTATTTGAGATAAAGCGATACGACTAAATAGGTGCCAACCTGTAATAACTCCCTACTCCCATGAGTGTAAACCAGCCTCCGTAGGGTATCACTTCTGGGATGCCCCCATATTGTTCTTTCCCTTCATCCTTATTTTCTTCTTTCCCCGATCAACTGTATAGTTAAGTCATGCATTCATTTTCCTGGAACGTCCAGAACGAAGCGTTTATCAACCTCCATCTCCTTGTCATCTTCTTCGCCTTCAAATTTCAAACGATAAACATCCTTCTTTGAGCCCATAACCTCGGCACGGTAGAAGGTGGTGGTATCAGGATATCTCGCAAGAACCTGCTTTCCAACAGGGAATGAGGGCAGCGCAGAGCCAGCTCGTGGAATGGGTATGAGAGAAGCAGCCGTAGTCTTGAAAACAGCCCCTTGTTCGCCATTTTCGTTTGGTTCCGGATCCTGGACGTCGTACCTGGGAGCATAAACCAGTCAAATTTATGTGGAAATTCCTCTGATGAAATTGACATTACCGTTTCTTGAACCCTTCTCCTGAAATGCCCTTGATTATACACTGGATCCCCTCGCCTTCGATTCCCTGCTTGTTCTTATTGTGCCTGAAAACGACCTCTGCACCGACGACTAGCTGTCCACCGCGCTCAGAGGCTGTACTCTTTGGGCTTTCAGCTCCTTCTTCAATCTTGACGGCGATGCCATCACGACCTTCGCGGCCTTGGCTGGGCACACTAACACTGCGCTGAACGCTGCCTTTAACACGACTAAGTTTCTCTGATACAGGTAATCCCGGCTGGATAGTGGAATCTGTGGCTGAGCCATCCAGTTCATTTCTCTTCTTTCGTGATTTCTGTAATGCGGCAATGCGATTCAGCGGTGCCTCCGCTTCGGATGCTTGACGGAGGGCCGTTAGAAGACCTAGATTCTTGATCACATCACTTGGTTCATCTTGAAGGATGGCTCTTTCTTCCTCGCAAAGTTTCGCCATCTGCCGGTATATGGAGTCAAATTGGTTATACTCAGTGAGAGTTGGTTCTGCCATCAGGTGTTAGCAGATGATGTAAGCTGGACTACGTAGATATGCATAATAGCCACCTGATAACAGAAGAAACTCGAGAAATAGTACTTACTATTACCCTCGCGGGCTATTTTCTCATTGAGAATAGTGATTTGTTCAGCGAGCTCCTTCTGCTTGTCATTTTTCTCCTTGGCCTTCCGGAGATCCTGGACAATCTTATTCCACATATCGGTCTCCTCGTTAGCTGCCAGCCCATTGTCTCTGGGAACTGGAGGGCCTCTGGGACGACTCCGTGACATATCGTATAGTTCAGTACTACTGCTATTGTTGGTAGTAGATCTGACCAGGTTCGTGGTGTCTTTCCTGCCTTTACTATTGCGGTCGGCAAGAGGGGAGCCCGCTGTTTGCCTGGACCTTTCAATCTCCAATGCCTCCCACTTAAAAGCAGTGACTATGTCCTGACGGCGTGCGCTGCGTGTTCCGCGAGCTGCGCCCTGCCGGAGACTATGTGGAACGCTTCCTGGTGTACTCTCCTCAATGTCACGGGACTGGCGGGCCAAAGGGGTTTTCGGAAGATCGCCCTGGCCCTGCAAAGACCTGCTAGGAGAAGACTGTGGTGCTGAAGAATTGGCTTTGCCTAGATCATCGCCGCCAGCATTGGATGAGAGTCTCTTGGCAGTTGCACCGCGTTTAGGCGGCAAGCGCTTAGGCTTTCCGCGCGCGGCCTTTTTATTGGCCATCTCCTGCAGAGTGTACAACCGTACAAGGACAGTGAGGTCTTGCTGGGACTGTTTCTGATTTGGGCTGGCAGTGGAGAGCGTAAGAAGAGGCCATGTTACACTTTAAAAGCTCCAGCGTGAATGCTCTTTCTCACTTCTACTGCATTCACCATGTTGGAGTGAATGACTACTGTGGGAACTACTCCGTCCTCTGCACTCCATCCAGTACTAGCCTGGCATATTTGGATTAACGAGACTTGGATTGCCTGGGGCTCCTTTCCAACAGGAACTAGAACGCCCGACTGGACATCTGGCATACTGCAAGTGAATGGAAGACATCTCTCTGCAGCCCCCTTATGCCGTGACCCCAAACAAGTGGGGTCATGTGACACACCGGGTGACACTAAATGGGCTCATACATCATCGCTCTCCCCTCTCCAATTCTCACAGACGGAGCTTCCCCTGACAAAATGCAGGTCCCATTAATTCGTCTTCAATGTGGTGAGTTTCCCAGGTCTTGTATATATCCTCTTACTCAAGCTAAGAATTTTCGAATCTCAAAAGGTGTCAACAGCTACGACTGGGGTAGGACGCAGTACAGCTTCTATTTTTGGTTTCCCCGCACTGAACACCGTCCCTAGGCAAGGTCGGCCAACAGTCTCTGGCTGCGAAATACGCTGCCACTACGGCTGGTCCAGATTTTTCGATAGAGGCTGAAAGGCCATATGCAGAGGTTAGCAGACTCAGTGTTTGATTTGGGAAAGACCAGCGGCTAAGCCATGAACTACCTAGCTATGGATGGGCACACACCCTTCCCTCCCTTCCAGGGATGTCGCAACTGACAGAACACTTCTTGACCTCGTCCAAGATAACCGGGCTTTAATGTCCATTGAGATTTCCGAGAAATATGGCGGAAAGCTGCCTTTCCTTTTCAAGGTTCTATCTATCCGGAAAGCCCTCAGCATTCAGGCCCATCCGAACAAAAAGCTTGCGGAGGAGCTTCACGCGAGAGATCCCAGGAACTATCCTGGTGAGTTCGTGCAAGGCTAGCTCGAGCTTTATTGAATATGTTTAGTTGATGGACCTAGATGACAACCATAAACCCGAGATGGCGATTGCTCTTACACCGTTCGAGGGATTGTGCGGCTTCCGTCCCTTGTCCGAGATCGTCCACTTCCTCAATGCTGTGGCCCCCCTTCGCAGTCTGGTAGGATGTCAAGCTGCAGAGGAGTTTGAGACGATCGTGACAGGTTCTGAATACTCCGAAGATCCCGCAGTTCTCGGCAGGAACAAAGATGCTTTGCGAGCCATCTTCACCTCTTTGATGCAGTCCTCCCATGAGGCGGTCGAGGAAGCTGCAAAAGACCTTGTGGCTGCCGCTGAAAGTTCTCCCGAGACATTTGCAGTATCTGCCACCTCGCTTTCTACAAACCCGAGCACTCCGGAGCAGCTTGCCGCGGTTATTACCCGTCTTAACGGCCAGTTTCCGGGAGACGTTGGGTTATTTGTGTTTTTCTTCCTCAATTACGTTCAACTTGAGCCTGGTGAGGCCATGTTTTTGAAAGCAGACGATGTCCACGCGTACATTTCCGGCGACATCATCGAATGCATGGCATCATCGGACAACGTGGTGCGAGCTGGCTTTACGCCAAAGTACAAGGATGTCGATACACTTACGCGTATGCTGACATACTCCTACGCGCCCATCGAGGAGCAGAAACTGCAACCGACTGACTACCCATATGCCATTCTGAACGTTCCTGCGTACTCTAGCGGATCGGAATCCGTTCTCTACGACCCACCGATCGATGAATTTAGTGTTGTGAAGACGGACCTGAAGCGGGGGGGTGCTAAGGCGACATTCGACGGCATACCGGGACCCAGCATCTTCATATGTACTCACGGAGAGGGAAAGATCAGAGTTGGAAATAAGACCGAGGAGGTTAAAGAGGGATATGTCTTTTTCGTGGGGGCGAATGCTGAGTGCATTATTGAGAGTACTGCAAGTGGAGAAGACGTCTTCACCACTTACAAGGCCTTCTGCGAGCTGGGTGCAGGGGAGGTTTTGGTTAACGGACATCTGTGAAGGAACACCAGTTAGACAAGTCGAGATTCTAATATTAATATAATATTTCCCCGATCATCGAGAGTGGTCTCTTAAGCGCCTTTTTAACGCATATAAGCCCATCTGCGACCCCTGACTCGCACCGAGGCTGAATTACTCATTCTCCTTCCTGACCCATTTCAGGTTCGTTGGAAAATACACTTCGCCAAGGAGGATCTAACAATCAGACTCTTGGCGACTTGCATCTCCTGTGCTGAACAGCAATCATGAGCCGGAACAGCTAGGCGAAGCCTTGTGGGGAGCCGAGTGGAGAGGCGCACGCAGCGTCTATTAGCCAGAACCCTGTGACTTGACGTCAAAAGTGATCTTCCCGTTAGCTGCCATTGCTTTTTCTCTCCCTCGCAAACTCTCTTCCCCCCCTTCTCTCTCCGTGCGCTTTGATCCTAATGAGGGATGTCAAGACCATGGCCGACGAAACCAGCAGCATCGCTACCGACCTGATCATCCGGCTCTCTCTGCGCGAGAAGTTGGATCTGGTCCCTGCTATATTTTCCGTGGTTGCTTCTGCTTTCTACCATGTCATTGCCGGGTTATTCCGTGGGAAGACGGGAGCCAAGGGGTACCGAGTCCATGTCTGGCATGCTATTTCCAGGAAAGTGACTTCGCGACTATCGTTGCGACAGACATCGTACGTATACTGATCTGTCTTTGGACCTGGGAGGATATGAAGTGCCCTACTAACTGAAACCTTTCTTTCATTTTATGCTAGATACTTGGATTTCCCTACAAAGATTGCATATAGAATAAGTATGAAAAGTCGAGGTGTGAAACCAGTGTCGCTGTCACTCCCGCATGGTGCCGCGGGTCATTGGATTGGGAACAAAGACGCGAAGAACGTGGTCATCTATTACCATGGTACAGTGCATACACAATTCCATGCTGAACTTCCCCGACGGTATCACTGATTATGGGTTCCTGTTCGCTCGAGTTTTATCTTCTTAAGGTGGCGGATTCAATTTCCCTGCGAGTACTATGCACTTCAGTTTTTTTTACTCCGAAATAGTCAAGCCGCTGAACAAAGAAGGCCATGATGTGGCCTTTTTCTTCCTCGAGTATACGCTAACTCCGTGCGCATCCTACCCAACTCAGCTGCGACAAGCCGTTGAGGGACTCCGATATATCCTCGACGAAACAAAACGGCTTCCTTCGTCCGTGATACTCGGCGGAGACTCCGCGGGAGCGAACCTCGTCATGGCTGTCCTGCTGCATCTCTCGCATCCGCATCCAGAAATCGAACCCCTGGATCTCGAACCTGGCCAGAAACTGGCAGGGGCGTTTGCCTGCGCACCCTGGGTAAGTTTCAGCATGGATTGGCCATCTATACAGAATAACAAACACAAGGACATCATACATATCGAATGTCTAAGGACGTGGGCAGCGGCGTACCTCAATGGGAAACAGCCGGATAACTGGAGTGAACCTATGCTCGCGCCGACAGAGTGGTGGAAGGATGTCATGGCCGATCACGTCCTGTTCGTTGCTGGTACGGACGAGGTATTGATTTCCGGCATTGAAATGTTTGTGAAGAAATTCAAGGTTAGCATCACCGAGCGTACACCGTTTCAAGCTATCTCTCTGCCGACACTCTGTGGGTTTGATCTGCTGACATTGATCGTTCCAGTCGGTGAACCCGGAGGCAGCCTTCTTCCTTGCGCCCGGAGAGACGCACATAGCGCATGTATATAGCGCCGCGTTGAGTCACAAGAAACCCCAACAGGGTGAGGCTGTGAAATCATGGCTGGAAGAACGTGTTTGATTTTGGATTAGCAAGTTTCATATATATACGGGTTATTTGGATGCGCACTGCATGATTTCTTGTAATTGATTGTTTGGTTCAAGGATATGCTGTTGGAGATGTTGGAGTTCTTCCAGGCGGCGGCGTTGGACTGTTGGTTGTACATATTGCACAAGAGGCGAGGGAGAGAATAACCTGATCGTGAACCACGGTTGCTGTGGTCACCTCTCACGAGGCAAGCCAGGAAAGCGCATCGGGTCGCTGTTCCACCGCATTCGGGCAAAGCCCGGGGAACTCTGAAGTCATAATAGAGTCATTATTCTTTTCTCGTTTCTTATTTCTGTCTTAAAACTTAAAAAGGGAGAGGGGTATGCCTCTGACGTTGTCCACATGCCTCCCCATTGCAGGTACATACCTATACCCAGTGAAACCGCTGTCTGCTTTTCATATACTGAGCCGCTACGGGGAAGCGGGAAAGAAGTACCTACATGGCTGATAGCAGTGATACCCAGACAGATGCCGATCTAGGCAAGGGCCAGCAGCCTGACGGGGCAACAAGCAGGCTCTCTCGGTTGGCAAGGTATGCAAATGGATAGAACTCACGAGGAATGGGTGGTATACGAGCTAATCACCGTCTGTCTCACCAGGATCAAAGTGCGGTTGCAACAACTCATCGGTGGTGAAGGTCGCAAAGACCTGAAGGAAAGAACTGATATCGAAATCCATTCTTGGGATGGCCCTAAAGACCCAGACAATCCGTATGTCTGCCACGGGTCTCTAGTTCTTTGTTGATACCAAAGAGCTGTTTTCTGATTGCATCTATTTCATCTGAACAGGTTCAATTGGAGCAAGACCTACAAATGGGTTCTGACGCTCACGGTCTGCATAATCTCCGTCTTGACTGGACTCCCTGCTGGATCCTATGGAGCTGGAAATAACTACATGGCAGAACGGTTTCATGTTAAGAACGAACCCTTCCCAAACCTGTTTTGGGCGACCACGTCGTGGAACATGGGTGCGGCCTTTTGGCCCTTGATATTCGTCCCTCTGACGGAGACTTCGGGGCGCATGCCGGGCTATTTTGTTGCGTATATCATACTGATTATCTCGTTGTTTCCATCAGCCTTTGCGCAGAACTTTGCGACATTGGTCGTTACGCGGTCCTTTGGCGGCGGTGCGTCGTCGGTCTCCATCAACATTGTCGGGGGGAGTATCAGCGATGTCTGGTATGGGAATCGTGATAGGAGCCTCCCCATGTCTATTTTTGGGTTTACAAGCGTCATTGGTATTGCCCTCGGGCCATTTGTCGGGTCTATGATCCAGGCAATACATAAGAAGAGCCCCTGGAGATGGTATGTTTCCTAACCCTAAGATCACCTGGCCATTCTATCGTAAATTGGACTGGCCTTGGAATCAACTAACGTGAATATGCATATTTTGAATTTAATAGGATTTTCTATATTCAAATCATTTTCAATACTGGCCTCGTTCCCATATTCTGGCTGATCCTGCGCGAAACACGCGGGGACGTGATTCTGCGGAAACGGGCACAAAAAATCCGCAAGAAGACAGGCAAACCAGTTTATGCACAGAGCGAGATTGACCGTCCCAACTTGCTGCAGGAGATGTGGTTATCATTTGCGCGACCAACTCGCATGCTTCTGACGGAACCGGTGGTTACCTTTTTCACACTCTGGATTGCCTTTGCGTGGGGAATCATGTTCTTGTTTTTCTCCAGTATCCCGCAAACTTACAAGACTAACTTTAACTGGAGTGTCGTTGCCACAGGCCTAGTTCAGCTGGCTATCTCGGTCGGAGCTGTGATTGGAACGGTGATCAACCCGCTGCAGGATTGGCTGTATCTTCGTTCCGCGAGACGAAACAAGGAGACTCCGGGGACGCCGATTCCCGAGGCGAGGCTGTATACGTCGATTATCGGCAGTTTGATTTTCGCCGGGGGATTGTTTTGGTATGGCTGGGGAAGCGTGGGCCATGGCAGTATCCATTGGATAGTCCCTACGTGCGGCATTGTGGCCACGGGGTTGGGTATCTATTCTATCTACATGGCAGTGGTCAACTACCTGACGGATGCGTACGAAAAGTATGCAGCATCGGCGCTGTCTGCCGCGTCTCTCGGGCGGAACTCATTCGGAGCCTTTCTCCCGCTGGCGTCAACTCCCATGTTTACCAACCTTGGATTCGGATGGGCAGGATCGTTGCTGGGATTCATTGGTGTGGCGCTGTCCGTCGTCCCGGTGGTTTTGGTCTGGAAAGGCCAGGCGATTCGGCGTCGCAGTCCATTCATACGCGAGGCGACGCTGGCACGCAAGGAGTCGGCTTCAGAATCTTCAGAATCAGACACGGAGGGGAAGGAGGGAGCGTGATTGTCCATGTATTTGGAGGTGAATCGGATTTGACAAGGTGAATATGCATTGCGAGGCACTGTATTAATATAGGATGAACTCGCGCCGCTCGCTGTAGATATTTTGATAAGCTTTCTTGGGCATTGCATTGTTAGAGCGAATAGACAATACGAGAATACGATAGCTGAGAGGAACAGCATGTTACAGTGGCTATTCATTTATCCTTGTCTATAGCTGGGAGGGATCGGATCGAAATCAAATCTCAGATCTCCACCGTACAGCCACAGTCCCATACTCTTCTGAATGCAGCAAGATCTGCACTGAAAAGAGAAAATTAACTGGGCCGGAAGACAGGGGCTTTCCCTTCAGCCACCACCAGAGATATAGTCTCCATGTATCCTGACGTCAAAGAGAGAAAATCGCCATTCTGGTTGGACGGGCGAGATGCTTAGCGATGCTACCTCCGTTGAGAGAAATAATCATCTTGGAGGGGCATTTTTATCAATAGCGTACGGATCCTGGACAGGTAATAGTGAGTGGATAGATATAAATACCCCTTTGCTGTTCCCACCTCCTGTTGTTTTCTCTTTCATCTTCAGGCAGCAGTCATCCTAGTCGATCCTTCCTATCCTATCCTATCCTCCAACGAGACAAAAACAAAATGGATCAACTCGCCGGCTTCGCTTCCAAGTTCGTTCAGAACCAGGGTGGAAACCAGGACAGCTATAGCAATAACAATAACAACGACAACAACAACAACAACAATAACAACTTTGACGGTGGAAACAACGGTGGCAATAACAACAACTTCAACAACAACAACAACAGCAACAGCAACAGCGGTAACAGCGAAGATTACCTTGACAAGGGTACGCCAATTGAACCCTCCTCAATTGGGAGAAAGCAACAGGAAAAGAAGTTAACAATAATAAAAATATAGCCCTCGACAACGTCGAATCTAAATACGGCATGGACCCCACCAAGATGCGCGGCATCAACGAGAAAATCACCGATACGGCGCGGAATGAGTTTGAGAGTGCTACTGGGTATTTTTCTCCCTCGTTTTCTGTTTCCTTAATGATTGGGCTGGCTCTAGTTGTGATTTGGACTGTGCTAATCAATTCTGTTGCCTTCGTAGCTATGATATTCCCAATAAGTTCTCTAATTAATCTGTTGAACCGAATTGAATGGAATGGATACATACATGGGTTGGAGTTGGGATTGAGTATATAGAATTGGAATGACCAACTGCTGCAGTCTGCATGCCATGACTTGAAGTATTCATCTATCATCAATCTACATTGAAACCAACGAAGGCAAATCAAACAATGTATATTGTATACGGCGTGAGATGCAAAGCTGCCCTTGGCAAGCCTGAATCCAAACCCAAACAAAGACCGACTAACCAGACATGAATATTCTGCCTGACTCCTCGTGTACACTTCATATAACCCGTATGCTTGTGCCCACAATGAGTCGAACACCGTTGATGCTAATCCAGGATGCGAATGTGAAATGCGAATGTGACCCCGTCCCACCCGGTCCAGAACAAATGCAAAAGCCATCATGGTGTAGATATATGCTGTAAACAAAGTAATTAAAAGAATGTAGAATGGAAAAGAACAAATGAAATGCAGGCAGAGGGTATCGCTGGTGCAGTATAGTATAATGGTACAACAATATCCAGTCCAGTTGCAATAAATGAGCATAAAAAATACAAAGGAAAGATGAGATTGGCCAGGGAGCTCCCAACCTCACGCCCACAATTTGTACAAAGAAATTGGATGCAAAGTCCCCGTAAATGAGAAAAGAAAAAGACACATCAAACACAAGACTCCGACAAAAAAGCCCATCGCTCGTTGGGGCTTCCGAGTGTACAACACAGACAATCAAAGGGGACAGGTCAAAAGAGAAACCAGCAGAATGTATGAAAGACGAATGATTAACGCCGCTCCCTCTATGTCCACCTATTTCAATTCAAATGCAGGATGATAATCGAACAGAAATAGATAAAAGAGTTTCAAGAAATGAAATAATCACGACGGATTGACCTAATTTTGAGTCGAGAAAAAAGAAATATTCAAATCTGCAACGATGATGCAGATGTCGCAGAAACTGTCGGCGTCAATGAAGGACAACTGTCCCTTTCCTCGGTGCTCACGGGCATTTCGACGCCCTTGTCATGCGGTCGATCTTTATCTCGCTCCGAAGATGAACCGCGTTTGAACACCGTCTGTCCAATTTGGCGAAGGATACCCATTCGCTCCGCCCGGAGCTCCTCCAGACCTAGCCGTTGAACAGGCACTGGATCCTCCTTGGTGATTTTGCAGAACAGAGTCGAGAACAGATACTGGTCCCCGCTGCCATCGTAAAGAGGTAGGTAGCGGTACCCCTGAGACAGACTGCTGAGCTTCGCAGTGAAAGTTGCAAGTTGCACGCTGTTATTATTCCCTGCACTGCGTCCGTCCAAGGAACTCCATACAACCCATCGCACAAACACCAAGTCGGGATACTTCGTCTCCAACGATAACTTGAAGCGATCATTAAAGATTGGGCTGTACCCGTTACTCTGTTCGATTTTCGTCCGTCGACGATGTGGGAAACCAAGCCCTGACATGCCATTTCGTGCAGAGGCATTCATACCACCTTCGCCGAAAGCCAGGCTTTGCCCTCGATCGTCCGCACTGAACATCTCAATTTCCACATAGGGGTTGATGTTGTCGTCAGGGCCGAGACTGCGCGGTCGGGGAAGTTGTTGAGCGGAAATCACATCGACAGAAAACCGCACAACTTTCCGTTCCATCTTCCGCTTCTTAGGATCACCATCCACACCCGGTGCACGTAGACTATCGGGTTTGAGAACGTAGCCGGTACGATCGCTTCCAGCAGCAAACATGGCTTGGTTCAACTGCATGCCGATATCGTACGTCTGCCAGTTGAGTGCCACCATCTGTACACCACGCCTCCAGAATTTGTTAGGGTCGAAATTGGAGGATCGTAATCGGAAGCCCGATGGATATACTCGCGTGAGATACGTACGGTTGTGTATCTCCAACTGCGCCTTGTTATCCGAGTCGCGGCATATGCCCTCGAACGATCGTTCCGCAAATGAGTACACATGGTTGAACCGCTTGCTCTCCGGGGACGAGAAACCGCGCCATTTATACCCTCGTGTATAAACACCCAAGTCAGAAAGCGGTTTCGTTATCTTACTCTTCTGGCGTCTCTTCCTTTCTAACTTGACAGAAGACATCAATGCACCATCGCTATCGTCTGTCGCGCTGCTTAAGCTAGCAGATGTCGGTGATCGTTTCTGGCGGGCGAGAAGAGGGCCGATTGCATCCTGTGTACCAAATGACGGTGGACTGGACAATGAGGGAAGAGAGGCAGGGACATGCGTCTCTGATTGAGTCGGGCGCATAAAAGGTGAGCTTGAACTCCGTTTACGACCCGCGATAATTTCAGGGCTAGTAGCTCGACGTTGAAGGTCTTCACCCTCGTCGCACGTTTTGACCTTGACTAGAATACGGCCCTTGAGCTCTTCCGGAGACGGAAGGATATTGCTTGCCAACAGAGGCTCAAGTACAAGCTGATCCTTAAACGTATCCTTCATGATCTTCACCATTGCGAATTGTTGTTCTGGATTGCAGTGTACCTCAAGAGACAGGATAAGGGGAAAGTCTGACGAGGTGAACGCACATCTGTTGATCACCGAGATACAGTCTGCGAATAGAACGCTGCTAGTCATGGTTCTTCCATGTGATACAATGGGACGGCCATCTGCACCATCCCAGCAGTCAATTTCCACGCAGCGACACCCTTGCTGCAATGCAGTGACGTATGCTTCCGTGCTCGAGGCACCAGCGACCTGTCGCCCCAGAAGATACGTGTTGTGAGAGCTCGATATGAAGTATTCGTTAAGTGGACGGTCGAACCTCGACCTGGGAGGATGGGACGAGTAAACTCCATTGTAGGCAGATGCCAAAAACGAAGAGAAAGCGTCTAGTCTCATTTGCGTATCTTGGAGGTTTGGCGAACCGGGAAGGCTTTGGGCCCTCGATTTAGACTTTCGAACGAATTTTCCAAAGATCGATTCCCAGTAGGCTCGATCCGAATCGACATCTTCCTTCTGCACGTCGCGAAGAAACGCCAAGAATTCAGTCAGGGACAGGCCCTGACTTGCATCCGAAGCACTTTCGTTATAAATGGACTTCACATCTTTCCGCTCCTTCAGCCGCGCAACAAAGTCCCTGAACTCGGAGAATGTAAGCTTGCCCGTATTTCCACAGTCGGCTTTCGAGAACTGTGCACGAAGCATATTCTTTGAGCAGTTAATATGCAGACTCCGACACACCCTCTGGATGGTTTCAAAATCAAGACTTTCTACCTCGCCTTGCTTGGGTCCCTGTGGGAATAATTTTGCCATCTCGCGTTGCCAATGAGCTTTCAGAACAGCCTCACTCTGGCCAGATCCAGCCAGGCCAGCCATAAGGCCAATCCTATAACGCGAGATATGTTCAAGAGTAGTAGTCCAATGCTCCAGGGTGATTTGATCAGGCGCAATGAGATGTAGAGTTTTGTATGGTCGCTCCTTGGATCGCTCGGATTCTGAAATGATGATGGTGAACCAGCGGCTTTCAGCATCCTGTGGTACCCCATGCTCCTCGCGGTAGTTGCGAGCATCGGCACCAGTACGGATTTCTTTGATGTCGTCGATATAAAAGCGTTTTGTTTGGTTCGAGAAGTCCCAAAAGACCTTGGCCGTATCCAAGTCCAGGAAGAACCGCACTTGCTTCTTCCGCTTCTTCGTTACCTTCGTCAGAACAGTGCCGCACTGGATAGACGAGTCGACCTTTGGCGCAATCGCACCGCCATCGCGAACGGGTAGCATGCAATTCTCACTCGCCGGATTGGAAACCAAAGCACCCAGAGGCTCATTATCGACATCATCGTCATCTATGTCAAGTGCGGTCTCGCGAATATTCCGATTCCCCGGTCTACTGTCGCTTCGTCTGCGCATGATCACAGGGCCCGAGCTATGGTCGCGCCTGTTCTGGCGAGAAACGGACTGCCTCCTGGTAAACTTGCTAGCTGCACCCCGAGAGATCCTCCGCATCAAACCAGGGGCTTTGTTGCTCGAACCGGAGGAGTCAGCTGAGTTCACGGAGTTTGCAACGCTTGGAATAATCCCAATTGCAGATTCTCCCAGATCCAGCGGTGTAGGGCAAGGAAGCGGAGCAGTTTCCACTCTCCCTCGGAGTACATCCGGCGTATGCTGAAAAGATGCGCTCATGGGGCTTGGAGGGTCATAGGTGTTTTGAGGAGTATGTAATGGGCTGGAAGTGCGAGAAGAAGAATATGAAGTTGTGGAAGAGGAGTGAACTCCCAATGGGAGAGAGGCGATAGCATGATGTAGCTGGCTAAATTTCGGGAGTGAGGTTACAAGTTTCAGATTCGGATGAAGATCGCCATTGAAGGCAGAGGGGGCGGAGGTGGCATACGCCATCTTCCGCTGTCCACCCAAACGGAGAAAGCACCGGTATAAAGGAACAGAATCAAGCTCTCCCTGCCGGACGATCGCAGGGTCACCAGGACCGGCTGACGAAACGAATGGGCGGAAAAAGTAGCAAGGTTCGCCTGGGGGTTCTAAATAGAAGAGCTGCAATCCGTTATAAGAATGCGAGTGCCACGTTCTTAGTGGGTGGGTCCCGTTTTTGATATTTGCATCTTGGGCCTGCCTTCAGTGCAATGCGGAGAGCCCTGCCAGAGAGCGCTCGCGAGGAGAACGGAAAGCAAATCAACTCGAATGGACGATAGCTCCGTGGAAGGGTGTCGTTGTCCCCTTGACGGGGACTTGCGACAGGAAAAAAAAAAAAAAAAAAAAGGTAAATAAATAAATAAATAAATAAATAAATAAAAAATAAAGGCGAGAAAGACAGGATATCGCTCGTGCGACGGCCGTATGCAAAGATGGGAAAACCCCGGCGGATTCACAGTACTTTTCTAAATCACTCAAGTTGCTCAGAAGTACCCTGTTCTTCACGAATACCTAGTTCCTTTTATCGCAGCCTTTCTTTAGCTGTCCCTTTCAATTGTCGATCTTCCGAGGAGTGGGGAAACACTGTCTTCAGTGCACGAGAAACTGAACCGGGATTGTAAAACGGCGGCCAATTGACAAACTCGAACAGAGAGGGGTGAACGCCTTGGTCGTCTAAAGTCAATGCGCGACAGCACGTAGCATGTGCTGATCCCGGGCTAGGGGATCGCAGACAGACGAATCTCAGGCGACGAGTTATGCGCCTCGCTTCGAGACGCCAGCGGCGGGAAAGACGGGTAGTGAAAAAAAAAGAAGGCCAGGAGATGGATGAAAAGGGATAGGCGCAATGCAGGATGAACGGGGCCCAATCCAGTGGTGTGTTATGCAGACAAACTGAAACGGAAGGTTCAGGGAATGCGACTGGATTAATGGTGCGTCAGTGTTGCAGTTCTACTGTCGGTCTCCAGAAATACCTCATGCAGGCTTACGTGGGATGTGGTTCAAGGACCTGCCAGGAAAGGGAATCGAAAGCAAGGCGAGAAAAAAGGACGACGGAATCGAGGGGGCAAATGCGACGGAGGAAGAGGACCAGCGTATCCTTCGTCGAGCACACGAAACAGACGGCTAATCGAACACGGCTCTAGCGATGAGAGAACGACTGAACGGCGTTAAAAAGGGGAGTCAATGGAATGGAATCGAATCGAGGGGAAAAAAAAAAAAAAGGTATTTAGATGCGGTTCTGCGAAAGGGGAAGAAAGTGGTTTATTACCTGATCGAAAGAATCAGCCCGTCTGGTACGGTACTGTACGGTACTAGGAAGCACAATACGGTACCAAGACACAACCATCGTCCGGCGGCGGTACAGGCGGTGAAGAGCGACGTTCACAGGCCTGGGGTTTCCCTTTCGAGTAAATGTGGAGCGCCAGTGGGCCAACTGGCGTGGTCAAGTTCAACCTCAGGGAGAAGATAACCGACGGACAGGACAGAACCAAGGGAGATGATATGTAATAATGATATAAGAGCCTCGCGGGCAGAGTGCAAAGGTCTGCGGTAATGCTCTGTCTGGGTTCTTCCGTGCTCTTCTGGAAGGACGGCTTTTATATTGCTATGCTCCTGGTAGTCGACGTGTTTCCACTATTAATACCCATTAATGAGGCGCCTATCTGATCACATCCAGCGTAATCATCTCTCCCGTGTTGTCCTTTGATAATGCCAATCAACGATCAACAACCACCCTGGCCAGCTTCCGAGTCAAACAAGCCAGCCTAATTCCACCATCCAATGGGTGTTCTTCCGTCTGAGCATTTGAACTGCAATCCTCCGTGATTTCCCCTCCTCCTGTTGCTGTCTTCCTACAGGATATGCCAATCAACGATCAACAACCACCCTGGCCAGCTTCCGAGTCAAACAAGCCAGCCTAATTCCACCATCCAATGGGTGTTCTTCCGTCTGAGCATTTGAACTGCAATCCTCCGTGATTTCCCCTCCTCCTGTTGCTGTCTTCCTACAGGATATGGCCGAAGGGGCTTCTGATCCCCTAGTGGATGCAGTTGGCTGATCATTCTGGGGGAATGGTTGCTAACATGATATACTATCAAGTATCAACCTGGTCTGGCTGTAGCACAACCAATCTCTCTAGGATTACCAGGTCCGGGACAAGGATTGGTTGCAGGAGGCTGTGCGATTATAAACAAGAAGCAGTGCCGTAGATATAGAGATCTATCGATTTCTTGTATTCACACCACCTGTCCACAAGACGCATTCGCCCGACGCCGACACAGCGGTCCCGGGTAAAGAATTTGGACGTGCCTAGCTTATTCCAGGATGCTGAAGAAAAAAGTTCATTGTGAACAACGGAAGTATCTCTTGGCCTGCAGTCCATGTCGAGCAATAGAGCTCATCGGTGGGATTGTTATTGTGGAGCCGATGATGTTCTATGCATGATTCTGTCAGAGCACGTCGTCCAGGTGACCCCATGAGGCACTGAATTTTCCCGCCTGAAATCGGCAGCAAAGAGAAGCTCGGATGCAGGGATAGGATGAAACAATGCTGGGAAATAATAGTATCTTAACTCCGGGTGAGGCGAAGCGGAAACGGAAGCACCGGGTGTGGATGATGGATATCGCTGTCGTTGCCCACTCAACACGATGAGAACGGCGAGAATGATGAAACGGTGACCCTATCACAAAACCAGTCAAAGTTCCGAGATCTGCTCATTTCTCTGATGGATCGAGCTGTCGAATGTGGCGGTCAAAGAGATGGAATTATTATTATTAGCCGTGCGGTTGCAGCAGTTGCACGTCCGCGGTCACGGGACGGGACTCGTACAACTGTCCAGCATCCAGTGTCATCCAGTGTCACTGCCCATGCCCCGTTGCTCTCACGCTCACAGCCTTGCAGAACTTGCACAAACCGGCTCTCTTCTCATCTTCCTATCTGGGTTGTCTGGGTATTCGGTCGTAACCCCGCACCAAACAATTTGCTCAGCTTTCTGAGTTGGCTCTTCTGGAGGTGAATTATCCACACACGGGTGATGCCCATTGCCATCTCATTCCTACTCTGTCGCCTTAGCCAGGTCCATTCTAGTTTGTTTCTAGGCAAGCACAGTCCTTTGAGTCCCATTGTAAGCGCATTAGCGACAGTCATTTTTGGCATGTCCCTTCAACACTCAAATCAGTGGACAGCAACTTTCCAGTGTTTTTATTTTTTTTTCTTATTGACCGGGATCACGCGTCACAGATCATATCTACTAATTAATCGCTAATCTAATCAAATCCGCGGATTGCCGCAAGTGACAGTACAGATGGACTGTAATCGCTGATATTTCTGCGGCAGTGGCGGATCAAGAAGCGATTCTACTCGCTGACGGCGAGAATAGAGTGAATGATAAAAGTCCTTCGAGAATAATCAGCATTGCAGTCACAAGATATCTAATCAGTTATTCTCCTGCAAGCCGGTTATCTGCGCCTTGATTTCAGATACTTGCGCCATACGCTGTACACGTTGGCGGTCATGGAACCAGGAGAAAATGGGAAAATCCTGTTATAATAATACTCCGTAATCAAGGACAAAGAGAACCGCTAATTATTAAGCATCCGGGACCAGATCAGGGGATTTAATAACAGCATGGATCAGTATCCATGTTCTCCATGCGGCCCGGCTGTTATTGGCAGTTGCATAACCCGGGCTATCCTGGTGTGTGTTTGGAGAGGCCTGTGACTCATCAAGTGGATGAGTCTGCTTGTCTCTCCGCAATCGCATATAACAATCCAGGGAATGGAGGACCATACGAGAACATGTCGAATAACGCAATGTGGAATGACGGAATCATTTGCATTCGAGCGAGGCAAAAGATGATGCAAATTTGGTCAGAAGTCAGAACAGCCGTCTGCCTCAAGAATAAAGTCTGACCTCCGGAGAACGTATCCATGTTGCCGTAATTATTATTTTATTTTTATTTTCTTAAAACCAGTTCATAGTGTTATATTATGCCCTGTCTGAAACCCCACTCTCCCTGTCTCTAGACTTCCCCACAATTAATCAATCCTTCATCTCATGCGAGTGCGTCCCGTTAACTAGGTATAGATGACTATTCTGGGTATTACCATGGAACAGAGACACAGCCCTAGTGTCATAGTATTACTTCTTGGAATAATATTATCGATATTATAGATTATAATATGACTGAACCCCTCTTGCGTGCTTTGCGGACGCGGTGTCAATTGGAACTCGCCAACCCCACCTTGCGAGCCCTGCAACAAATGACATCATAAATACTCCGTTGCAAAAATTAATATGCGGTCCGTACATAAACTTATGTCAGATGCAAAAAGGTGTAAACTGTGACTGCATTTTGTACTTTACTTTGCCGCCTTCCCGCCGTTGTGGTTACCGCCTTTCGATGATGCATTAGCTCAGGGAAAAAAAAAAAGAATCCTTGTAATACAAAATTCTGTCACGGTATTACAAGTACAATACCACAGTGGCAGAAAAAAATATGGATTACATATAATGAAGTAGCTCGTTAACTAATACTAAATAGTTAGGTAACTATTATTGGGGACTGTTTTTATTAAAATCCCTTGCCCAGTGAAACCTGAAAGCAGAAGACCCAAGAAAATTAATTAAAGAAAAGTCATGTCATGCTGTCTCCTCCCCCTTGATCCCTTGATAATGATATTCCACCTAGCATACCTAATGTTGCATACAACTTGCGGCTGTACGCTGTACAGCGTAATAAATAGGGCAGAACAGAACAATAATTACTTCCCAGCTGGATGGAACGTTGCGCCGCTTTGTCAGGGGGACAAGAAGCTCTGATTGCTGCCTTGTCTATGGTCTCCTCTGTATGCGTTCAGGTATCCTTTCCTCCGTAATACGGAGGTTACCTGTTAATATTATTGCCCAGAGAACAGAACAGACAGCTCTGCTGTAACCCAAGAATTCCATTCTACCGTCACTACAATTGTCAACTAAGAAGAAAACGAACCCCATGCAGGAGGTCGGCGTCAGCCTAGAGATATCCCTTCTCCTTTTTACTCGATTGACAGCAGACGGCAGACAAGACAGCCAGCCTTGTGACTTTGACTAACTCCTGCATGTCCCCACGCTCTATTTATCCCGTTTCTTTGTCCTTCTCGTCATACTCGAGTCCACCCATCCCCCCATCTCCGAGGAGAAAACCGGGAAAGATACTCCATACGGGCTGCTGCGCATGTAGACAGCAGTTATTTATTATTTTCATCTTTGTTCACTGTTATTGTTATTATTACTATCCCATGCATCATGCATCCGGTCATGCATATTACCTTACCAACCTTCAGCCAGCCAGCCTCCATCGCGGCTCTTTCTTCCCTTTTCTTTCCTTAATTGACTCTTCTTTGTGCAGCTTTGCTTTTGTACTTTGCAGCGCATCATGAGACATGCTATGCTATGTTATGCAGTGCAGTGTACAACTGTCTTGAGTAAAACTCAGTCGTCTGAGAAAATTAATAGTAAGCAAGCTACGGAATACTTGAGAAATTATAGACGATATCGCTGGAATGGAATCTTTGCGGAGAATCAGAGGTAGTACCTAGTCTGTTCATGACTCATGTCGCTGCTTAAGACTGGATATTTTATGGATGCAGATACTAGAAAGTGTCGGTTTAGGCAAATGAATCCGGGAACAGCCGGCTGTCCAAAGAAGTATAGATGAATGCAAATGATTATGTCTAATTGACATGCTGTGGTTGAGAACAGTAAGAGGTGACTCAAGGTGGGCAGGCAGTGTTTACAGAAGAGGTACTCTGTAACGAACAAAAGCGAGTTTGCCTGGTTTGCCTCAGATTATTGTTATAAAAGTTCACTTACACTGCCACCGCTACTCCAATCTGACAGACTGCATGCCATTCCATTCTCCATTGCAAGGGATATCATTATTTTCTCATGGACATTATAGAAGGCATGAAACACTGACAAACAAAGTCTATCCATGACAACAACCTACTCGACAACCATGGATCTCTCACAACCTGTTGACGAGGCCTTCACAAAAGCTCTGCCGAAAATCGAAGTCAGTGTAGACCTTTACCTTATTATTCATCACATATTTGTCTTATTTGCTAATATAGCGTAGTTACACGCTCATCTAAGCGGTAGCATTAGTCGCCAATGTCTCCATGAATTATGGGAGAAGAAAAAGTCCCAAGACCCCAACTTCCCCATTGAGGATCCGTGGGTTCTCATGCCGCCAGGGAAAGTAGATTATACGCTTGAGACGTGAGTTTATTGTGAATATATACATATATATATTATAGCTTCCACTATATCTGGATTCTGAACAAGTGTGGACAAAAGCTTTTTTCAAACCTTCTCCAAATCAATCTATCACCTCTGCAACGATCTGGAGAGCTTGTCATATGCCACAAACTCAGTCCTTAGTAACTTCTACGAGGATGGTGTCCGTTATTTAGAACTCCGTTCCATCCCCCGCGCATTTTCAGGCTCGGACGTCTCGAAAGAAGGATATGTCACGGCTGTGCTTGATAGCATTGATTCCTTCAAAGCGAGAACAAACAACGATATGCCCGTTTACTTAATCCTAGCTATTGATAGGAAAGATACCGCTGCTCAGGCTTTAGACACTGTCAACCTAGCCATCAAGTATCGGCCGCGCGGGGTCGTGGGCATTGACATCTGCGGGAATCCAAACAAAGGAGACGTCTCAATCTACCGTGGCGCTTTCACCAAGGCCAAGGCGAATGGTCTCCGTATCACGGTACATTTTGCAGAGACTCCGTTCTCCGGGTCGCCTGCTGAACTGGAGACGCTTCTTTCCTACCAGCCTGATAGGCTGGGCCATGTTATTCATGTGCCGGATGATATTAAGCAAGAGATTGCCCGGCGTCAATTGGGGTTGGAGCTGTGCCTTTCTTGCAATGTTCATGCTAAGATGATAAATGGTGGATTCCTAGATCATCATTTTGGGTACTGGAGACACGTCGATTGTCCGGTGATCCTATGTGTAAGTGCTCGCTGTATTCCAGAAGGTTTAAATGCTAATTAAACGTTTCCCTCCAGACTGATGATATGGGCTTTTTCTGCAGCCCAGTCTCAAACGAATATCTTCTAGCCGCACATCACTTCAACCTCAGCCGTGCTGACGTTCTCGCTCTTTGCAGGAAGTCTTTTCGTGCTATTTTCGGGGGACCTGAGGAGAAAGACCGACTTTACACGCTATTGGATAATTTTGAAGCCGGCTCACAATGAGCAGTAGGATGTTTTGCTAGTTGTTCATTTTTGCAGATTCGCAGATAGAATACCCAATGCAGCCCTTGAGTATTGCGACTCTCTTCAATAGATATGTTGACTGACATATTCATCAGAAACGTTGAGAAGGGAGTCCCTTGTGCTAAGCCACTGGTGGCTCTTCAATCCACCTTACTACCTTACTACCTGATCTTCCGACATCTCGACGGGAGATTATCATAGCTTGCAGCAAACCAGACCACCAAGCGACGTAGTCGAATAACTGTGGATTCCCCCTCAGAATACCAGCAGATCTCTTTCTGGGAGTCCTTTGTCTAGTATGATTGCTGTAAACCGGGTCCGTCAATATGGTCTCTTCAAAACGAGATGAAGACCTCCATGGACACGAGAACTTGCCGGACGTTTGGAAGTATCCCGTAGTGTATTCCAAGAAGGCTTCTTTGCTATATGTACCCCAGAGATAAAAGAGAAAATGCCTCGTCTGGTTCCAGGTCCCGATGTGTTTGAGGAAAGCAACTCTTTGAAGATTGATATACCTTCTAACCCATCGATCCATAACGCAGTCACCAGGTGGTAATCTGCTATCCAGAGATTAAGGGTTCAAAGCGAACCCAGCATTCATCATACTGCGTCTCTATAGAGTGCTTCCCGTTCAATTGTCCCAGACTTGTTATATTCCACTGTTCAAGGATTGCGATCACAGCCCTGGAAAGCACAAGCATCGCAAGCTCCTTTCCAATACAACCTCGAGATCCTTTACTGAAAGCTACGAACATGTTTTCGAGGTCTTTTCGATTACATTGAAATTCATGATCGTCATCGTCCCCCTTCTTAACGAGCCACCGATCAGGGCGCCAGATCTCTGCATCTTCACCCCAAAGGTCATTGGACCGGCCAAGGACGTATGTATTTGCCGATACTGTTGTTCCCGCCGGTAGTGGTGCGGAGATGGTAGTGTAGAACGCGTTCTCAGCACCTGGCATGATGGTACGAGGGAACGCAGTTGAGAAGGGTGGATAGAGGCGGAGCGTTTCCTTTATGACTGCTTCCAGGGATGAAGGAATTTTCGATGAAGATGATGTGGAAGTGGTCGTTGCGGTGCCGTCGTCTCGTTTAGAATCGGTGGATACTTCTCTTCGAACTCTCCTCTGCCACGTCTGACCCTCCTCCGAACCAAGCATGAATAAGATTGCTGTCAATGCCGCGCTGGTGCTCCCGGGCCCGGCAATCACAAGATTGAAACCTTCAGCCCACATCTCTAAAGGGGGCATTCGGTTTACATCTCCTGCAGGGACATCAAGCCAACGGCCCACGATGCTTGGCTGGGAAGATATGGGAGTTGACTTTTCTGCATGAGAGAATACCAATTTCTGGCTTGCAGCGAAAAGGGAGGGCAGCGCTATTTTCGTCTGCTCATTTTCTTCCTTCTTGTCTTTCCCAATACACGTTAAAGTCGATATCAATCCGCGCAAGGTGTCACCGACTTGGCTATTCATCGCCCGCCCATACCATGGAAGAAGGGAATAACCCCATGAGGTGCTAGTCCTGTAGCGGAGGTCGGCACAGATAGCAGCAAAAGCAGTATCGTCAATGTCATCAACTTCCCCTGAAGAGGGAGGAGTCCGAGCTGAAACCGACGAAACGAATTCAGAACCCCAGATAATTTCCAATAAAGTCACCAGGATAAACCGATGGACCAATGGAGCAATGTTAATAGTAGCAGCAGCATCGGTACCGGCAGTAATATCAGTGCCAGTGCCATCTCGTGTCTCTCTCTCCTCTCTCTCCTCTTCCAACCTCCGCAGGAAGCCACGGATTCGTTTCCGAATAGCGCCCTCGTAGCCTATCAACTTCCCCCCGGAGAATGCAGGACCCTGCACTTTTCTCCTCTTCACCCGATGCGCAGCTTCTGACTTCACGGAAAACAGACTCTCTGGCCGTGTCCGATTGCGCTGTGCACGACCTACATTGTAGAACTGGCCCTTCTCAATGCTCTTGTGAAAGCCATAGATAGTCTCAAAATCCTCCAAACTGGAGAAGGAGAGCCAGTTGGGCGCCACACGGACCACGGGACCGTGGATTCTGTGGAGATCCTGCTCGACTTTCTGATGGGAGCCCCTGACGAACGAAATGAATATCCTAATGCATTGTGAGATATAACATCCAAACGACCAAAATCATCAGATAATGCAGCCCCGTCGATATTTGTGGGGCACAGAGTTTCATAGTTCAACCGATACAGCCAGATGGAGGAGTGTACGAAAAGGATAAGGACAAACTGACGAACCACAAATTCGTAAACCGAGCCAGAAAAGGACCGGGATAGCGCGCAAGAGGATGAAAATAGCAGAGGTAGACAATGCGAGCTAGGATGACCAGAAGACTGAGTTGGGCGGCTATGGCGAGCAGGGCATAGAGGGATTGATGGAGCATCCTCTTTTCGTATTCGAATGTCAACGGAAGGAGAGACTGGAATTGTTAGTAAAAAGGAGTAGAAGGAATAAAAGAAAATGAAAGAAAGAGATAGTTAAATAGTAATTCAGTGGTCGATTGCGGAGAGAGCTGGACATGGTGATTGCCCCGCTGTTATTGACGTTCCCTATGGAGTCCGACCAGAAGATGCTGCATCAGTCACGAGACTGGCTGTACCTGCATGTTAACCGAGTGAAGTTTCAAGAATTAAAAGTCTTATCCATAGGTCTGGATCAAATAAATGTGGGTCGTCTATTTATCTCTATTTCCAAAATACCAGGCTAGAAGGGGGAAGACAGGCAGTAGGGGGAATCATAAAAAAACATTATATACATATATATATAGTGTCGTTCACACAACACGCAGAACAAACCAAATTCATCACGGAATAGCTTTGACAATAGAAGAGGCCTTGCCAACACCCGGTTCGATCTCCGGGATATCCTCTTCGGGATCCTGGCCATCTGCAATATGGAAATGCTCATCGAGCAGACCGACTTCGTTCCACGTACTGCTCGTCGCCGGGACGGGGAAGACAATACATATGGCGTAATATGTAGTGAACGAGACAATGACGCCCACGAAGTAGTTGATGTTGTAGATATACTGAGCCCCAATCGGGACGGTCACTTTGCCGTTCACCTCTTGGATGGCGCCGACGAAGCCGACAATGTTGATCAGGATCCCTGAGATATAGGCGAAATAGGCACGCCAGGAGACGCCGTATGTGTAGTAGTAAGGTGAGTGTTTCTCGCCGCTGTACAGGTCCTTCACACTCAGGTAGCCCTTGCGGACGACGAAGTAGTCGCAGAGTATGACGCCGGCGATCGAGGAGAGAAAGACGGAATACGCGGAGAGGTAGGTGGTGAATTGGTTAGAGGAGGATTCAAGTTTCCACTGTTCCTCGTTAGTAATTTTTTTGTTGTCACATCGGAAAGGGGCACGAAACATACAGGACACATGGCCAAACCAATGGCCGCGCAGATGTATCCACCACGTCTGATGGTGATGTATCGAGGGAGTAATGCCGTCATGTCCGTACCAGCGGATACCGAGTTTGCGGCAATGTTGGATCCCAATTGAGCCAGAGCAAATCCCGTTGCGATGACGAAAATACCAAAGCGCTGCCCCGAGCTGGCGCCCTGAAGGAATTCCTCCAGGACCTCGAGGGGATCCCAGACGCTCTTGTTAAAGATGACCGTGGATGAGGATGTCACAATGATGCCGATGAATGAGGTGATACCAAAACCGATAGGAATTGTGAAGAGCTGGGCCCAAATAGCGTCCTTGGGCTTTCGTGCGAACCGCGAAAAGTCGGGGTCGTTCACAATCAGAGTCGCAAAGTTTCCCATGCAACTCATGATCCCCTTCACAAACGCCCAGCGAAAGGCACTACCGTGAGCAGTGTTGGGCTGACGCACAATGGGTCCGATGCCGTGGGCACGGGCGATGGCCCAGGCAAAGAAGGAAATGGCGGCGATGGGGGCATAGATCGCCTTGACTGTAAAGAGATGCCGGATCTTATGAATGGGGAACCAGATTGCCGGTAATGACAGAAGCCAGAAAATGAAGAAACTGACAAAGTCTCGTGTGGTGACTCCGGAGCTGGGAGACAAGGAGTTGTGAAGATGGGCATAGCTGGGCCAGATGGATTCGATCATCACAGTAACGCATCGACCTGGATCAGCAAGATTAGCCAAATGATATGACGAGAAATACCATCTAATGCCACTCACCCCCGATGTATCCTTGCACACCATACCAGATAATAGCCATCCCGACTCGGTTGATGACGGGCCAGAGCGACCCCCATACTCCAAATGAGGCTCGACAAGCAACGGGAAACGAAATATGGTACATAGCACCAATCCGACCCGTCAGACAGACTAAAGCAGACGCAACGAAGTATCCGATCCAGACACATATCCAAGACTGCCACCAGGACAAACCACCCTGCACCATAGAGGAGGATATCATCCATGTATTCTAGAACCAATCAAGTTTAGCACGATTTCCCGAACAAAAAACGAAAAAAAAAAGAGAGAGAGAGAAGAGAAGGAAAGAAGGAAAAAAAAAGCAAAAGAATGCATGATGGAGATGGGGAAGAGCCATACAATGTTCAGGGAATCCGCTATCCAGAATGCAACGAAGTTCTTCCAGGTCCATTGCCGCCGTTCAGGCTCGACTGGTAGTAGATCATGGTTGATCAACATCAGCTGAGCATTGGACAGTCCCGGCACCGTCTCTACAGCCAGCTTGTCGAGTAGTGTCTGCATCTTGCTTCGCATTTTGGCAGAGGAAGGCCAACGCATCTTCGGTACCATCTTGGAAAGATAGACGAACAGTCAGGCCTGACATGAGATTAGACAGAAGACAGACAGAAAATCCCAGAAAAAAGGAAACAGAGACAAGAGGGTCTTCCCTGGTATAAATATGGACATGTTGATCTGATCAGTGATCATAGCGTCGTATGAACGAGGCATAACACCCACTCCAACCTATGACAGAAAATCATCGCCAGACAGTCGATCAATGAAGGCATTTGCAGAACAGTTATCGTTTCTATTGCTCGATCGAGTCAGGTAAGCACCGGGATTGATAAGCTCTGTGCGCTGGGATAGGGATGTGTTGCTCCTATTCGCGTCCCCACAACACTGATAAGGTCGGATGATAAAACAGATAACAAAAGACTTACGCATTTGTGACTCGATGAGATCGAGTAAGCATATTGATATTTAATATCTGATTGTGGTTTCGGTCAGTCCATTGCTGTTATTGTTAATCTATATTCTGGATATTTGCATCCGATGTCATTCTATGTCCCTATCACGTGCAGCTAGCCCTATACTGCCAACAGAGTTAACTACAACTCCGTCTTGCAAGTTGCTCCGTACTTTACGGAGGAAAAATAATAAGAATGATAAATTGACTCCATTTCATTTATTTAGTCACCTTGGACATCTACTTGTCATCAAGCTGCTTCTTCCATTCCTGAGCTAGGCGTCAAATGGGTCATTAAAGTTTCCGATTTTTTTGTTCCATTTATTTCCGAGTCGCCGTTGTAAGTAAAAAGAGAAAACAATAAAAAAGCGCGTTACAGGAAATAGTTCAGCTTCAGAAATTATGAAACTTCAATATGCAACCCAAATTCCGCCTTGGTATTTCGTTCCGGGTTCCTGAACTTGAATATCCCCATTTTTTCTTACTATCGTTCTTTACTTTACATGACAACGCCGGAGTTGGAAGCAATACGCTGCAGTTCCGTCAGTCAGTATTCGTAGCTCACACTGAGCAAAGAACAAAGGGATCGCTTACAGGCCAGAGCTCAGCAGCCTCCTTTCCGACAGGGCCAGTGATGGCGGATCCCTTCATTTCACCCTTGTTGTTGACAATCTGCAATAGTAAGCCGCATCAGTCAGGGAGCCCTAGATGAGAGGTAACGTGACAGCCTTAATTCCTGTGCACGGAGCTGGAGCCTGGCTTGATCCAAGAAGCATCGGATATGCTTCTCTTGATAATCCGCCAAGCTCGAAGCACCCACCACATTCCAAGCCATGCAAGGACAAAAATCACAAATGTCAAGGGCCATCATCCACTCACCACACCAGCGTTGTCCTCAAAGTAGAGGTAGATACCGTCGGGCCGTCTCCAGGGCTTGCTCTGACGGACAACAACAGCGGGCATGACCTTCTTACGAAGCTCAGGCTTTCCCTTCTTGACGGTGGCCATGACCATGTCACCAACACCCGCAGCGGGGAGACGGTTGAGACGGGCACCAAAACCCGCGACCGAGATGATGTACAGGTTGCGAGCTCCGGAGTTGTCGCAGCAGTTCAGCACGGCGCCGCTGTTAAACACATAAGAAAACCGTTAGCTCAAAATAATCCCTATCTCCACGTGAATTCGATGTATCCGTCTCTTGCGTAAGGATATAACGCGTATCTCAAATGCATTCACGGGTTAAAGCGAAGGACACAGGGAAAGGCCATATGGTATATCGAAGAATGGGAATATCGAGAGTCGAGTCCTTTCGTTTTCGAAGCCGTCCATTTGGTTCCTTTCCCGCAAAACACGCAAATAACAACGAAATGAATCCGAAAACCAAACATACCAAGGCAAACCGAGAGTCATCTTGAGCTTGTTGCCAGCGGCACCACCACGACTAAAAACAGAAAACTCAAACGTCAGTAACCAGTCTTGTTCTCGTTCATATGCCCATCAACTTGTATCCCATATTTTAATGAAAATATTCCCGTCTCAACAACACCATCTCCTCCTCCTGAGGTTACAAATATGCCCAGTTTCCATACAATCAAGAATTGCGCGCTTGTTCCATAGAAAAAGCCGCTTCTCAGAACCCAATCGCAGCGGTCTCTTGACAGACAGGGTTTCTCTGGTTGTCACAGCACTCACCCTCTTTTAGACATTTTGGCTGTATATCACGTAAACCGGTCTGGGATACTGGTGAAGGGAAGGGCGAAACGGGGGTCGACGAAAGCGGTCGTGGAGGGATGGGATCTGTCGACGTCGAAGTTTGGAATTGCTTTCTCGCTTAGCGTGCGTGGGTTTGTGGTGTGCAAAATCTTGGCGGTTGCTTGTCATTGGTCCGCCAGTCCCGCCTTGGTCGGGCGATTCTACCCTAACGCTAATCCGCTTTGGGATGCAAGGAGAGCCGACTCCTTATTGATTCCATCCATGATAATACAAAGCATGCTATGCTAGGATTTGGCAGTGCTACTAGTGAGACAAGATACAGCTCGATAAAAAGAAACCACCGCAAGGACTGGATATCTCCTATGAAACCTTCCAATCAAAGAAAAAGAAAACAAACAAACAAAGAGCAGACAAACGTTGTTGGAGAACTGTCCCGTGGTCTCCATCTGGAAGAACAATTAAAGAGAAGCTCGCTTATAGGACCAGAAACACCATACCAGCCCGTTTCCCATTACGCCAGGAACTAAGGAGAGGAATCAGATATCTCTCCGGAAGTAACGACGGAAATTTCATTCCTCATTTTGTTGTATAGGTTCCTCATGCTGCTCTGACGCAGATTCCTTCGCAGGCTGCCCTTCAGCATTGGCCGGAGACGGTTCTTCCTTTGACGGCTCAGGGGCTTTCTCATCTATGTCGGTCGGTTTTGGCACTTCCTCAATGGCGGATGGTGCTTCAGTAGTCACGGCCGTAGGCCCTGTTACCATTTGAGTCTCAGGGACTGCATTCTCGAGCTTCTTCTCCGGTACCTCCGAGCTCTCTGGCTGCGGCTTTTCCAGCGCAGGTTCAGGCTTGGCTGGCTGGGGAGCGGATCCTGACTCTGGTTGTGGCACAGAAGCCTCTGCATCTTCCATCGTAATGTCCTGATCCTGTACGAAAGGAGAGGGATGATGTGAGACGGAAGTAGAAACGATCTTCTCATGTTGATCAGCAACTGCTTCAGTGGATTCGGGAGCTGGCTTTTCCTCAACAATGGGCGTCGATTCAGCTGCTGGTTCAGAAGTAGGCTTAGAAGAGATATGACTTTCGACAGCAGTAGAATCTGGAGCATCCTCCATTTTAGCATCGGCCATGGTTGTGTCCATGTCATCACCAGCGACCGACGAGGCTTCTCTAGGTGTTGCAAGCCCGCTATCCACTCCAGAATCAGTGACATCAAGGTTTCTATAATTGACCTGATTTTGGCGTCTGAAAGCTCCTGGTTGGCGGCGTATTCCGTTGGCGGCGTTCTCTTCCTCATCCTCACTATCGCTTAATTCACCTGGCTTCTCGACATACTGATCAAAACGCCGCTTAGTCACACGCTTATCCTTATTCTCGTCCTCATCCAAGTCGTCCAGAATCGCATCGGCCTCATCGTCCATAGCGCCCACGAGAGGATCGCGAGGCACATCCGTCATTTGGACAGACGGCGCAAAGGCAGTCCGCTTGAGATTCTCTGCAACTTGTCTGCGAATCTTGTCTAGATACTCCTTCGTATTTGCGTTGTCCATGTTGGACGGGCGCACGTCCAATTCGTAATCCGGTGCGAAATACTGTTTCAGTCAATGGAAAGTCCCCTTTTATGAAGAACATTAAGGTACGTACCTCGTAATAATCATTGTACGGGAGTTCAGACCCTAAAGGCTGTCCAACAAGTATCCCTGTCTCGAAAGACCACGTCCTTGCGACATTGCGCATTGTGTAGCCGCCACCACCCACCACGAGCGTTGGCAGGTTGAAACTCTTTACGAAGTTGACGCAGTTAGCATGACCCCTCATGCTGAGATTAAAGCATCCGAGGCGATCACCCGAGAGACTATCACCACCGCACTGGATAACGACGGCCTCGGGACGGTACCATTCCATGACATTACGGATGGTTGGCTCAAATATGCTCTTGTACGAGATATCATCGATGCCATCTCGAAGCGGGAAGTTCACCGCATAATACTTGCCCTGTCCAACACCGATGTCACGAAGCTCACCAGTTCCGGGAAAGTATTCTCCGTATTTATGGAAGGAGACGGTCATAACACGATCGGTCGTGTAGAAGGCCTCTTCGACACCATCACCATGGTGGACATCAATATCAACGTACAACACTCGTTGCCTGAAACGTAACAATTCCAGGATACCAAGAACGATGTCTGGGGCAATTTGGGTTAGTGGACAACTGTCAGGCTCCGCGCGAGTGAGAGACTAGCTCTTACCGTTCACGTAGCAGAAACCACTTGCTTCGCTTTTCTTGGCATGGTGGAGGCCTCCAGCCCAGTTGATAGCGATATCGCATTTGTTACGGTTTAGTCGCGCAGCACCCTCCATGCTGCCTCCAGCGCTAATGCCACAGAACTCAAAAAGACCGTCGAAAACGGGACAGTCATCACCGACATTATACTTTCCCTGCTCCTTCGCAAACTGGTCCATATTGTCCGGTGTAACTTTGGAAAGGAAATCGATATATTCGTCGGTATGGAACTGGGTCATTTCGAATTTGGACGCGGGTTTCGCACGCTGCGGGAAGATTTCGCACATTAGCAGCCCATCCATTTTTCCGTTGGCATAACTCGGTCCGTGTAAAAGCTGAGAGAAAAGATATAGATAGTATTACTCACGTAGATTTCCATTTTTTTGTAAAGGCCATAATTCATCACCAAGCTGTGCGTCATCCTAATACGATGAGGCTTCATGGGGTGTCCTGAGACGTAGGCATAATTCCCGACGTCCGAGTCGTAGAAGTAGGCAATTTTCTTGCCGCGATCGGGTGTACCGTTCAAGTTGATGGCATCAAGAGGAGGTAGAGAGCCCATCCTGATAGGCGATAACACAGCAGTGCTAGGGAAAACTCACTGGGTTGGAGATGGTGACAAGGAGCAGAAGAGCATCTGCGAAGAAAAAGAGGTTGAGGGGACGGAGGTTGTGAGGAATGAGATTCACTGCCGTGCTAGCACACCGTCCATAACAGAAATGGCCCAGACTTGGTGAAATTGAGAAACCTTACCAAGTCAAATTGAAGGTTCAGAGCATCACTTCTCTCCGAGAACCAGGAGGAAGAGTCTGGGATGAATAGCAGCAATCGCCAATCGAGGAAAGGCAAAAGAGATCCGTCGCTCATTGGCCCCGTGACTCACCGCCTTCGTATCAGGCGGACGCAACTTCAACCGCGATGCAGCATCATTCTACGCTGGATACTGCTGCTGCTCCCGATCATCTGCTTTTCCACCCTCACGTCCCGTACTTCCATCGAATTTTCTTTCTCCGTCTTATCCCAACCTTGGAAGTTAGCTATTCCACTTCCGTCTGCGAAGCTCTTTTGTCCCCGACGGCCCTTACCTTTCGGAAGACCAGGCGAGCTTCTTGTGGAGCTTCCGTCCAGGAAGCTATTTGTCCTTCTATTCTCCGCCTGTCATTTACCTGTCGTTCTACCAGATCTTGCGACTGAGTCTTCATTATGGAACGACTTTCACGGATGCTACAGGCTGCCCAGGGCATGGGCATCTCTGGCGCAGGTCCTGGTGGTGTAAGTTAGCCCTTTGCGTCAGCTTCCACTTGGGGACCTCTCTTAGAGATACCCAGGTGCTATTTGCTTCTTGTCTTTTACCACATATTCTATTTGTTGAAAGCCTTCCAATTGTATCTGACTGGACGTCTCTGAAGGATACACCGAATCTCATCGATAACTCCGAAACCGTACACATTTCTTCTCTCGCTTTGCTTAAGATGCTAAGACATGGTCGCGCTGGCGTTCCTATGGAGGTTATGGGTCTTATGTTGGGCGAATTCGTCGATGAATACACGGTCCGTGTGGTCGATGTTTTTGCTATGCCTCAGAGTGGTACTGGTGTTAGCGTTGAGGCTGTTGACCCCGTCTTTCAGACGAAAATGATGGACATGCTCCGGCAAACAGGACGGTACGGAAGATGGAGAATTAAGTCTTTTATTTCATGAGACACTGATTCATTTCTTTTCTTATATAGACCGGAGACCGTCGTCGGCTGGTACCACTCACATCCTGGTTTCGGTTGCTGGCTTTCCTCTGTTGACATCAACACACAACAGTCATTTGAGCAGCTCACGCCGCGTGCCGTTGCTGTGGTTGTTGATCCTATACAATCTGTTAAGGGCAAGGTCGTCATTGATGCGTTCCGTCTGATCCAACCCCAGACCGTTGTCATGGGCCAGGAGCCCCGGCAAACAACATCTAACTTGGGCCACCTGAATAAGCCATCTATCCAGGCGCTTATTCATGGTCTCAACAGACACTATTACAGCATTGCGATCAACTATCGCAAGACAGGTCTCGAGGAAAACATGCTTATGAACCTCCATAAACACGTATGGACCGAGGCGCTCCAGATGAACGACTTCCGGGAGGAGGGTCGAGACAATGTCAACCGGATGGGACAACTCGTGAAACTGGCGGAAGGCTACGAGAAGCGGGTCACAGAGGAAACAGAATTGACCAAGGAGCAGCTGAAAACGAGATACGTTGGGAAGGTTGATCCGAAGAAGCGTACGTTTCTTGTTCTCACCTACTAGTGTGATTCCAGTTGACTGACTATGACATACAGACATCGAAGACGTGAGCCGGGAGCTCATTGAGGATAATATTGTCGCTGTCTCTAAGCAGATGATTGACAAGGAGGCTTCGGTGGCCCGACTTGCGGACGGTAAGGAGACGCAGAATGGTGCTGATATGGAGGTGGATGAAGAACTATAGTCCTGTTCTTCAAATAGCCAACAGATCATATCTGGTCACATATCTTACGCAGAAAGGGGTTAATTGAATTGGTGCCATGCGTTGCAGCATCAAATTATCGAACAAATTTAATAGACATAGCATGCGATGCGCTGTGAAGCCAGTAAGTCTATGTAGCTATATCGTACATCGGGATGATATGGACGTTCATTGCGGCCGACTATCCTATTCCATAAACAGACATTAGGCCACGGGCTCAACTCCCGTGATTCACCTCGTAGTTTGTCCAGCCTCTTTCCGGCCCCCAAAGGATCTTTTTATTTGCCAGTTTAGCCTCCATCAGCAAACGATTCATTAGATCTCCATCCTTCTGTACAGATGGGTATCCATCAAACTCTACTTGGAGCAAGTTCGGAAGGCCCTTTAAGACCTTTCGAAGAAGATCCCCAGCAAATACGGTATAGTAATCCTTGGAGAGGCGAAAGCCCCGAAACACAGGATGAGATGGGTCGCATTCAATAAAGACCTTCAAGGTTCGCAGATGCACCATATCTTTGAGTCCCAGCCCATTATTGATGGTCCATGACCGAGGAGGTTTCGTCCAACTCGAACCTAAAATCAACTCTATTGTCTTCAAGCAAGCACGGTATCGTGGCGCCAGTGCTCTGACAGTGGGCAGTCGCGAGTAATCCTGGATAGGGAAAAGACGGAATGTCTGCGTAGAATAGAAGTAATGAGTAGCCTCATCGTGGAGACGGCGCGAGGCGAGGAAGAGTGAGATGCGATGCGAGGCAGGGGCAGGAGGCATGTTCTTCGCTGAGGCACCGACGGTGCCCATGGGACGTGGTGCCTGGTTGCGACGGGGGGTGAAGAGCACAAACATGTAAATTCGCAGTCGGATTTCAGTAGGGAGGTCAAAGAAGCGAAAGGGCGAGATTTCTTTCTCTTCTTTTTCTTCCTCTTTGTCCTCTTGTCCGTCGAGCTCCTTTCCCACTGTCGGTTCCTCCAATTCTCGTTTGTTCGGCCTCCGCTGTTCATCACCCAGGCTCAGCATTGCCATGGCCCCTGTAAGAGAGGCCATGGTCGAAGCAGTTATGTGTCTATACGAAGAGAGAAAGATGGAAAATATACGGACTTATAGACATTTAAAGATAAAAACGAAGTGTATGTGCGATTTTCATTCCATCTTCCCGTCTTCTGAATGGGACCTCAGTCGAGCAACCATCTCTCCGGCGGACAAGAAAGGATACGTATATGTTGACTAGGAAAATTGTGTCCCACGAACGGGGCCGCAGGTTCAGAGGAAAAGCTCACTGCAGCTCTTGGGAGTGGGACAGAAGAAGAGGCTTCATTAGTCTCCCCAGCTAATACAACCCGGCACCCATGAGAAAGAAGGGCTGTTGGGTCAAATTTACCGTCTGGGTGATTCAACTTTCATAACTGGAGAAAGAAGGAAAGAGAAAAGGCGGGAAAAGTCGAACTTAAGCGGAAGAAGTTGCGTAGCTGGCATTTGTAGCCCGCTGGATTCGGAGAGCTCTGCCGTCCGAACTGCGAACTTTTTCCAGACGGAAGACGTCAACCATCTCCTGCACGACGCAGCCCATCGTTCGGCACTTCAGTTCCCTTGTTCTCTCCGTTTTCTGCAGATGCTCTCGTGCAAAGCATGAGGGAATAATAACCGTGCCTTATTACGTTCTCCTTTCTTGAATTCTCCAATTACATTATGCTTAGCCGTTCCATACTGCCTCTTACGAGGCGCCGAGTCCTCACCTCCACTCTCCGCGTATCCTCTTCCCTCTCCGTCCAGCATACACGATGGTATGCGAAGAACAACAGACAGAACCCGCCGTATAAGCTCCCTGATTTCTTAAAAGATCCCAAGTCTGAGAAATCGGGTAAAGCTGCTACACCAGACCAGAAGCCAGAAGTGGATTCAACAGAACAAGCGGAGTCCGACACGACCGCCCAGCCTAAGAAAGAAGCACAGGAACAGACTGAACCGGCGCCCCCGAAAAATCCTCTCCCTGATCTTACCCAGGGTATTCCCTCGACACTGGAGGCGGAGCTTGAGGCTTCCCGTCCAAAGAAACGTCCATTGAACCTTACCGAGGATCCGTCTCAGGCCGATGAGTACCAAGACGCTGGCAATGGTGGCGGGGACATTCCCAAGGACGCCTACGTCTCTTCACTTGATCGCAAGCGGGCCCGTATGGCAAACATCACGTATGCGCTCTTTTTACTAGCAGGTGTAGGAACGACGGTTTACTTTGGTCGCAACTGGGATACTGAGGAGGAAGCCCACGCGCACCCGGATGCCCCATCCGGTTGGGGATTGAAGCTATTTTACAATCGTATCAAGGCCCGCCTTAACGACTTCACCAGCTACTACAAAGACCCCGCCTTCCCGAAGCTCCTTCCCGATGAAGATCCACAATTTCGCCAACCTTACACCTTGGTTCTCAGTCTGGAGGATTTGCTTGTGCACAGTGAGTGGACTCGTGAACATGGATGGCGTCTCGCCAAGCGACCCGGTGTCGACTACTTCCTTCGCTATCTCAACCAGTACTATGAGCTTGTGCTCTTCACCAGTGTTCCCAGTATGATGGCCGACCAGGTTCTACGAAAGCTTGACCCTTACCGTATTATCCGCTGGCCGCTATTCAGGGAAGCAACCAAGTATAAGGACGGCGAATACATCAAAGTATGATACTTACATTCACATAGCTGTCGTACGATTAAGTGCTGACGCGCTGTTACTAGGATCTGTCTTACCTGAACCGCGATCTTTCGAAGGTCATTCTCATTGATACTAAGGAAGAACATGCTCGTTTGCAACCAGAAAACGCCATTGTCCTCGATAAATGGGACGGCAACCCCAGAGATAAGACCCTGGTCGCGTTGATACCTTTCCTCGAATATGTCGCCGGTATGGGCGTGGAAGATGTCCGCCCTGTCCTGAAGTCCTTCGAGGGCACCTCTATCCCCATTGAATTCGCCAAGCGCGAGAAGATTATGCGTGAACGATTTGAGAAGGAGCTCGCAGAGGAACAGAAAAAGCGACCTCGCAGCGGACTGGGCACTTTCGCTTCTGCCTTGGGACTGAAGCCGCGGGCTCTCGACGGCGAGCAATCTCCCTCTGAGGGATTGGCCCAAGGAAAGATGCTTTGGGATCAGATCCGGGAACGCGGTCAGAAGAATTATGAGATGATTGAAAGGGAAATCCGCGAAAATGGAGAGAAGTGGTTGGCTGAGATGGCCGCTGAGGAGGAGAAGGCGAGACAAGAACAAATGCAGAGCATGAAGGGATCCTTTGCCAGCATGTTCGGAGGCGGTGAGAAGCAGTAAAGATTCGACATCCGGATCTGCTTCAGGAGTCTCCCTTCCCTTCTTCTCCCATTTGGTTTTACGCCCTTCTTAAGAAAGGGAATTATTGTTATTTCTCCCTGGTATAAGCTCTGATCTTTATTATTTGTCATGGATGGGGACTGTAAATTAGGGGGTTTGGTCTTTGATTTCCCCTTTCTCTGCTTTCCTCCTTTCTCACTGCCCTTTTTTTACTTTTTTGGCTTCTGTACATTTCCTTAAGGATATTTGTAATGACATTCATTCGAGGAGGGAGTGAAAGACGATGGATGTCTTGGTGACGATTACGGAATATATATCGATAGAAAGCAGTGGCCAAGAGAAATCGACAGTAGTAATAGATGATCAGAACTCGTGTCACCAGAGAGCTTAAGAGTCTAAGAGTGATATAGTCTATGAGATTCTAGTTTGAACGACTCAATGAATGAGCTCTACCGTACTGATCCTTCAACGAGGGGAGGGTAAACACCAACACGTGACCCAGCTAGTCGTCAGCCCTAAGTGCCTTCTCCGGGCCAAATTGCTTAGCACCTCTTACGATGGTTACCATCAGCTGGTGATAGACGCGATCACTGCATTGTGATGGCGAAAGGAAACCTTCCTTCCTTGCCCTAAGTAACATGCAAGGGACTAATATGGCAACTTTTAAACACATTGAGATTCATACGTATAAAGGAATGCTTGGTGAAAAACTTGTTTTTCATCTGTCCGTGTAATCATCCTAATACCACTACTCTATTACTACTGCGATTATGTTTCCTTGTCCAAGGTATTGATATACTATACCAATGGTATAAAGTTCCAACCTTGTGGAATGTATAGGCGAGCATTACCTGTTGGAGCCAACTCGCCCCAAAGCCGCCATATGGCTTGTTTGCTGAGAGGTTGTCTGGCACGGCTTTCACCGCGTCCGGAATGAGAATGTACAGTCATGGATCTGCTGCATTCCTGCTGCATTCTTCTTGAAGGTCTCGACTGGGCCCGGGGCCGGTGATCCAGCCACGTACTGCCAACTTATTTCAAGAGGCCTTCTTAAAATTGAATTGAAATCCAACATCAGCTACCCTTTCTTGTCCCCCCTCCAAAAGGTTAGATGTGATTCCCACGGAGTAGTCAGGACAGTATACTGTGTACCATTCGTATCCGTCACCTCCGATCCCACTTTCTGGAGACGTACATATTCCAATTAGCCTTGGAAGCATCCTCGACGTGTCTGCAGCAGTACTTTGTCGTCATCAGAACCAGTTCCGCCTTTCCGAGACAGCGCCAGATGCTGCTTGCGCAGTTCCCCAATGGAGGTTAGTGTGTTAACCGCAGCTTTTCGGTGTCCCATAGCCAAAACGCGGGGAAAGTGGTATGGAAGTTAAAGGAGCTGTGGCCTGTATTGCCTCAGCCTTGAGGAGTGGCAGCAATCCGGACTGTCTGTACCCTTCCGCGCTCTTTCCACAATACTGCTCGAACAATCACCCAGTGGTCAAAAAGAACATGGCAGTAGACATTGGGATAATCGTATTTGTGAGTGAAGCGTAATTATTGTAAATAAGCAGATCAATCGTTAAAAGCCTTGATGCTGGGAAATGGCCCAGTTCTCGGTTGGTCTAAAAACATAATCTAACAGATGCTGCCGACTTGTTGAACCTGGATACAGCTAAGCCACTGGCTTTCGGCCGTCCCCATAAACTGGCCAGAGGGGTCTTGAAAGTCTTCATGATCCCAAATAGTTGGCCAGAAATGGGCCATTTATACACAGTGCTAAAACAATCCCAGTACTCTTTCAGAGTTGGCCCTGCAACAAATGTATATTCTGATTGCATAGAAGTGTGACGGTATGACTATGTAGTAACAAAAGATGCACCCACGGAATAATAAGATGCCGAAATGCTTAGTCACTTGATATGTACCTCTACACCGCCTTCCAGGTTCCGGATAGCTTGACCTAAATATACCGTTGCCTCGTCCTACTACGTAGTTCCACGCCAGCTGCAACCACCGTTCTTTTTTTTTTTCTTTCTTTCTTTCTTTTTTTTTTTGGATTTCATCTTGTCTCTTCTGTTATAGACTATATCAGCAGCAAGTACCGAATTAACTTCCTCTGTTTATGATTTTATACGAACATACCATCGTACCTCGGGAGAAACTCATCCCCGACCGTATTTGGTCAGCGTTCAGGAACGGGGCAGTGTGAGCATAGCCACAAGCACTGTTGCTCCTCCTCTCCCCGCATGCTGTGTGTGCAACATCTGGATGCCACTGCGCGACCAGTTCTGAGGGCTATTGGACATGCGTGACTGAGCCGAAAAGCATCGACATGATTTTTCTTAGTGGTTGTGGCCAAGTCAGGTGTTGAATATGGAGGATGCCAGTTCGCCGCCTAGCTGTGAAGTATCTGGCGTTCAGCGGTCCCCGGGTGCCGATGATGATAACAATGATCAAAATGCCCCCGATCATTTCCCACGAGCCAATTCATTTGGAGCATACGAGAATGACTGGGAGGAAACTCCTGCAAAGGGTCTATCGCCTTTCGACCGCTTACCACCCGAAGTAATCGAACGGTATGCTTATCCCTTTATTTGGTTCTTGGTTATTCTGATATACATCACACGATGTCTGCATTCAAGTGGCACTGGCCTTGCACATTCTCCCCTTATTTACTAGTGTCAATTCAGCTGAGCTACCCGTACAGCATCCTCTCTATCGTGGACGCCAACGTATTCGCATCGTTGACCCTTCTAAATCGAGAATGGAGACGGATTTCAGAGTCGCCATCACTATATGCGCACCACTTATCCCGGTGCTCGTCACCTTCTATAGCTAGGAATGCCAATTCAAGTTCTGTTGGAGTCAATAATCTCGCAACTCTCAAACGCGAGTTTTTCGGTCAAATGCGACGCAATACGTTTGAAGTGTTTCTTAGGCCTCGCAGGACCCTCATTAAGCTGATATCATCATCCATAAGTTCTTCAACCGCTTTTCCCCACGGGGAGGCTCTTCGATTTGCTTTTTCACCGAACAGTCAGGTGCTCCTATGCCTAAGCTCTTCGAGGATTTTCGTCCTTGACGTAGTTTCTGAACCTGCTGTTGTGACACACGAACTGAAAACCTTGAGAAGACCATTAGGCGCTACAGTTTTAGATGATGGATCGCTTCTGGCAGTTATTTCGTCGAGGCACCAGGCCAACATTTACAGCCTTTCGAAGCAAGAAGCAAAACATATTCAAGTTCTCATGTTGGATGATACTCCACGGACGTTAACGTTATCACCAACAGGAGGTGTGCTTGCTATAGCCTATGATGATAAAATCGAAGTCTACGCTTTGGGGAAGGATGCTCCTGCACCCCAAAGAAGATCCGTGCGCTGCGCTGGAGTCGACTCAATCTGCTTTTCCTCGGATGAGACTATGCTTCTGGGTTCGTCCGCCGATTCCGAACAAAATTGCATAGTCACCATCACGGCTCCTTTCTATGCCGAGTTGGGAACAGATATGTCGCCTCAGGATGTCCAAATTCGGATGTGGACGACACAGGTTTTATTCCCTAATGCCATTTCAGGCTACAGCAATGCTTGTTTGGTGCCTTCATGCATTGAGGGGGCGGACAGTTGGATAATGGCATACGACAGGCAAATAGGGTCTTTTAGGACAATCAGGGTCATTGACTCAAAGGACGGCGTTGCCCGTTTTGAGTGTCCGCTACCGAGCGATGGGTCACCGGAAAGTTGCTCGCCGGCAACAATACCTACTACCGACTCTAAGGGTGAATTAGCAGCGGTGGGATTCCAAGACAGCGTCTGGTTATATGGGGTACCGGAACGTTTTGACTCTTCTCCGGCAAGCCTGACACTTGGGTCATCTGAAGCGTTAACTGATAACCAGAATAATAACCTATCTCTCTCCGGTTACTCACCGGATGAAGAAGCGCCTGTTACGGCAGATCATAGCTCTGAGCCGGCGCAGGTAATTATCGGCCGACAGAAGACGCTGATTAGAGGACACAAGATAGCCGATATTCCAGGAATTACGGAAGCTCGCTGGATACGGCCAACGCATTCGATGCCAAGCGGCGAATTCAGTCTTCATAGACTCGTTGCCGTGGCCCCTGGAGGCCTTAGCCCTCCCACTTTGGGAGATGAAGATGTACCTGTTGATACTGGAAGAGTGCTTATTTTGGACTTCGGACGTTCCGCCCGAGATGGTGAGATGCTGGAGGTTAACATTGAACTTGGAGAGTCGGAGCCCCTGATGCTTAGAGAACAGAGCCCCAGCATGGAGGTAGAGATCGAACTTGAGAGAACTAGGTCACGTTTACATCGAAGTGGCCTTAGTTCACGTACCAACCCCAGCCAACATCCTTCAAGATCTGCTGTTCGAAATTCTTACCCTGCCACGCATGGTGAAAATCAGAAATTGCAAAATCTCGGGGATAACTCCTACATGCAAGGAACTGCAGATGATGCGGGCCCAGATTATGCTCCCTCTCTTGTCGATATGCCTTATAGTAATACCCAGCCTCGGTCTCACGATACCCTTCGTCGTGCTGCTACAGCAGCAGCGACTACTTACGGGCGATACAATAACCGATACCGTGACCAGTCTGGGCTGGAGGTACCCGAGGAAAATCAAGAGGATAATTGGGTGCCGCCTCCGCCTCCCTACACTCGCGAGCCCGTTACTCCGTTCCCAGACGGTGTCAGAAGTGGTTTTCTTCCAAGTGATACATATCCTGCTTGGAGTAATGGCAATATGCTGCCGAGAGCCGGTGCGGCTGGCAGTGATCGATTGAACAACGCAATGCAAAACCTTCCATATTTGCAAACCAGTCAGAGATCAAACACTATAACGGGCTCCAGAATGGCTACTGCGGAAAGAAGTGACCTAGTCGAGCCTGCGATCAGTGCGGAGAGTTCAAGGCGAGGCCTTCTCCAGGATCATGCACAGCCGCTTCTTGTTGATAGACCTGGGTCTCATGGGTCCGAGTCACAAGTGCAGCACCAGCACTTTGCCTCAGGAGAGACCCTAGCCGAAATCCTGTCACCCGTACGCATCTCAGGTTCGACGTTCCAAGCAGCGCCTCATAATCCGACTCTCTCTCTCCCTCGACTAGAACCCCACGATGTGGTGCACCAACGATCTTCCCATATCTATACTGCTCATCACACCTATTCTTTGTCGTCTCCCGATCTTCCCCTCCCGACTACAGATGATTTTCCCCAGGATATGGTTCCACAACAGACCGCCGGGTTCGCAGCTACGTTCCAAGGCTGGGCAGAACCATATTCACAGTATCAAGAGAACGAACTTCTTCATCCTCGAATAGGATCTCTACGCCGTCGAGTGTCTACGGACCCGACTCCCTCATCGCTTCAGCAGGATCCTAACGAGGAGTGGCGACGACGCATTGAGGAATGGAATGAACGAACGATCCGTGAGAGAAGCAGGAGAAACAGGACAAGATGTGTTGTGATGTGATGTTAATGTTGGTGTACTCGGTCTATATGGTTCCTTCCTTCTGTAAATGACTGGTTTTTGGGAATATACGGCGTTTATAAGTTGGGTTCCTTGGATAACAGACTTCTTTGCAACTACGGAGCACCGTAGATATATATAGGTTGAAGTGAAGAATGATTGTTGATGCTTCAGTCCAGAACAGTTTATAGTTACTTGACGGTTGTGAATAAGCCGCCCGATGCGGAATTGGTAGCCGCCAGAGCTCGTCTAGAGACAGGAGGAAATGAAATGGCTGCGACTACTCAAGTACAATGACGGCAGAGAAGAGACATGGCTACTTTTTATTGTGGACTTAATCGAACATAATCAATCCCCAGCTTGATTGTTCCATTTGAAAGCAATTCGATAAAGTGGTCTATCCAAATCAATTCCGGTATCGTCAAGACTAGTGAAAGAGATACAGTCCGAGGATCCTGTACAAGGTGAATTTTGGCATAAGTTGCAACAGCCACCGCCTGCTGCCTTTAAGTCCTCCATAGAGCAGGTAATAAGAGTAAAAGGACTTTGACTAACCGCCTCCTCCACAACCGCCACCACCTCCTCCGCAACCACCGCCTCCGCATCCACCTCCTCCACACCCACTGGCATTTCCACAACCTCCGGCTGCCACAGATCTGCAAGCTGCCGCTCCCATAGAAGCACAGGCACCAGCTCCTACAGTACCTGAGCAGGCTCCCGCGATACAATTACCAATGGCCCCGGTGCCAGAATTCATGCAAACTGGGTCTGCAGCATAGGCATCATAGTTAACGCCAGGGTCGCACATGTACGGGGCGTAATATGGCATATACATCGGGTAGCCCCATACCATTGGGACAGCATATATATCGGCAGTAGCTGTGTTCGAGCGCTCTTTTTGACTGGACGTTGCCTCGCCATTTTTGCTTTTCCATTTCTCGGCTCGCCGGCGTGACTTTTCGAGGTTTTGGAGCAGGTGCGCGGCTTTCATCTCTCGTAAAGTCACATACGGGGCAAAGGGCGATTTGTCTCGGACAGCATTGTGCGCTGAGATATGCGGGTTCTTATTCGGATCCGAGAAGATGCCGGGCTGGTCATGCAAATTGGCAGCGACGTTACGGGCTGTCTTGACGGCGGAGGAGCGCAAAACACTGACACCGCCGTACAGATCAGCAGCTCTGACAGCTTCGCAGTACCAGCAGGTGCATTCGCTATATATCCCACCATTTGTTTCCCTTGTGTATTGAATGCTCGTCCATTCGAAACCGTCTGCGAGTTTCACTTCCTCCACTTTATCGTCGTGGTTCACGAAGATCTCTCGACGGCTGTGCCTCCGAGTAACCTCGGTGCTGTAACTGAAGTATCGCGAAGGCGAGAGCTGATGCGTATGCCAGGCCAGATCGACATCTAGCGTCGGAACAGCCATACGCTTGGGGTGCTTCGCCATGATCAAGAAAAAGACATGGTATTTATCGATGAGGCGCTGCATGGTCTTCATTAGCGCCGGCGAGTGGAGCCAGTCAATATTGTCCATCTTTTGAACAAAAGTGCCTTGCCGGATAACAGCACCGACCAAGTCCAATGCAAAAGGCGAGTGATTGTCCCAATAACGGGACATCATCCGGCGTATTGCCACTTGCTCTCTGGGAAACAGGCGGTCGCCTCCCACAATGGTGCCTCTGGCTTGCTGAACTATACGTTTATCCCTGATTTTCCCTTGAAACTCCTTGCGTAAGTCGTGTATATGTCTGCATCTGCCTAGCCTCGCATCGGTAAATAAACGCAATTCATTGCACAAAACATTAACCAAATTATTTGGGAAACAAGCCGTCCCACCGTTAAGCGAATTGGATACCCACTCCGGGATTCCATTCAAGTTGTAGAATGTTCCGGGCATAGGGTAGTCCAGCGTCACAAATGCTTCGACATCTGATGCGAACTTTGCTACTTTGAGCCTCTCGTGATCAATCATAAATTGGCACTTGGGGCATGTTGCACGGAAGCTCTTGTCGGCAAATCCGTAGAAATCTTCAAACGGTTTGTCAAGAGATCCATTAACCTCACCTGCCGTCCAAGGGACGCACACTGGATCTCTACATTTCGGGCAGTTCACGAAGGTATCTGGAGGATCACCAAGATTGTCCCAGAAATGGCCGGTCTTTTCCTCAAAGTTGCGCTCCGCAGCCTTCCCCGGAACATAATCAAGTGATCTGTTGTCGATGCAATCATTAACGACTTGCCAAGGGAAGCCGGATTTCCAGAGACTCATCTGTCCATATCGAATGCAGTCTTCAAGGAACGCCCGTGGATTCAGCATATAAGAATGCAACACCATCATAACGTCTAAGGGACTGTTAGTGACTTTCAATTTAAATGGCAACCTAGGAGGCGGGCTGCGGATTGCTAGATTTCACTTACCCAGGGGAGGCAATGCGTCTCTAGGCCAGGAAAGTTGAGTATTACAGTTTATCACCATAGGATAGGTTGAGGTCTTGAGGTCAGTGTGTCGAGGTCGGAAGCCAGAAGTGGGTATACACTTGTCCCACCATATCGAAAAGCGTTTGACAACTCTGGCCGTATACACTGCCCATCTTTTCTCCCTTATTCGAGCACGTGCTTGGCCCACATCTGAAATGAATTTGTCTGCTTCCGAGTCGTATATACCGAAAAGGCCGTCATCAGTGCTCACAGTGTCGCGCAGGTCCGCAAGCGCAGCCAAAAACTTGAGATGTGCAACACACTCGTCCGGAGTCACTGATGTACTCTTGGATGGTCCGGCATTGGAATCAAGTGATAGAGTCGGTAGTTCCGGGACCGGAGGTAGTGGACGCTCTATCTGTTCGTATGCAGGAGGGCTTTCCAAGACGCCGTCATTGACAACAGAACGTTTACTGTTGCGCTTGTTCTTCTTGCTTTCGACATCCATCTTACGAGATGGGACTATACATAGGCACGTTTCAACTCGCTGTGGGAAATGAAAGCTCGACAGTCCTTGGTGAACTTACCGGAGACTTTGGAGGGTGAGAAAAGAAGAAAATAGATAATAGTGGATTGACCTACAAAGGGTCGTTATAAGGATTATTGCAGGCGCACTCACTTCCGTTTGAGCTAGGATGTTTCGCATTGAAGCCCACGACGGAGAGAGGTAGGCGCAGTAGGCTGACAATAATACGAAGCGAGTCGTACAGCGTAGAAGCCTGGCCCAATGATGGAATGTCAACGGAGCAAGCATTACCAAGTTACAGACTAAAAAAAGACTAATCTCAACCAAGTCGGCAGTCAGTAAGTAGCACGCGGGCAGTGCACTGCCGGGCGCGCTGTTCGTAGATGGGCATACAGGGTATTGAGAGACAATCATGGCGATATGATAAGACATTGTGCATTCCGCACAGACAAAGAGATCCCGCCCATGAGGCACCATTTGAAGTTATGATTGGAAGCGTCATGATGGCACTGTTCTATAAGTTCAAGGCAGGCCAATGAAGCCGGATGTTTCCCGTGAGATAAACTGTCCCTGGAGTGAGAAGAGTTCTCGGAATTATTTGATATGTGGTAGCGGGAACGATAATATCCGATCATAAGATACTCGCAGGACCAACGGGGAAGGGATGAAGGGAGCGAGGATAGCTATTATTAGCGACGATTGCCTGATGGACGAACAGAGTCGAGTTGGTGTTGTTGCTTTTTCGTTTTCGATGCAGGCGTATCATCACGTGATAACACAATACCACGTGATATAAGAATCACGTGCCGAAGCGAGATCGGAAAGCAGTCGCCGCGAGAAAAGCGCCAGTTGCGCTCAGCGTCGACGAGCTTCGTCTTTTCGACCAGAGAAACAGACGACAGACCCGGCACCCGTTCGCGTTCGCTTTGCTGATATCATACGCAGTGCTGCTCCCTCGATCACAGCCCGATTCGACCTTGTCTGTTCGCTGCTGGTCTTCACCCCACTGCCCCCCTTTTTTTGTCTTCCTCCCGAGGTTTATCTATCCGTTCGCCTGTATCGGATTCACAATAATTATAGCAACCAGCCTGGCGTCTCTCCGACGATCGTCGAGCGGAATCGGAGGCGGAGAAGAGAAGGCCAATTTGCAGCCAAGCAAAGTGGATAATAATAATGCTTCTGTCGTCACCAGCCCGGTGATGGGTAGTGTCAGACATTCTTCTGGCGCGGCCAGGGACGATGGCCTGGGTTACGCCAGAAAGCGCAGCGCCGTGGCTGCAGGACTCGATAGTTCTCCTGGAAGTATCGAGGACACAGAAGAGGCAGAGGCCCGCGAAGAGAAAAAGAGACAACCGGTGAAGCGGGCCTGCAATGAGTGTCGACAGCAGAAGGTGAGTGAGTTTTGTTCCGTCTGCTTTTTCTTTGGTGCATGCATTAGCTGACTTGAAGCGGTTTGATGCAGCTTCGATGCGACGTGATTCAAGATCCCTATACCAATTGTTCCCGTTGCCGTCGTCTAAAACTCGAGTGTAAAATCGAATCCAACTTCAAACGGATTGGAAAACGCAGTCGCAATGCCGAGATGGAACGGGAGATCATTGAACTGCGGAAGCAGATTGCCAATGCTCAAGCGAATGCTGCCACATCTTCAAGTCATCAGCAACAGCCTCTCCCGCCCGTGCAATTGACCCCGAAACAAGACTCGCACCAAGTGAGCCCCGTGGGTGTCTATCATACGCCTTCTGCCATGTCTGCAGATCATTGCATGGTTTCCTCTCATGAAGCTGTCGCGTCGCTACTTGATCTGCGCTCTGGTTTCGACGGATCCAGCTATTTGAGAAATGGTCCTCAACTCAAGCGACTTGAAGACGTTATTGTTCCGACGGATAGGGTAACGGAGTTGTTCGATCTGTAAGTCACTCCGATTTCCAATTCCTTTTACTCGGTGTCGCTGATCTCGTTAGCTTTTTCGTTTTCTACCATCCATTTCTCCCTTTCCTTGATCGTGACAAGCCCCCGGAGGACTACTATAATCTCTCGCCTCTACTCTTTTGGACCATAATCAGTGTAGGTGCGCGACGATATCAGCCCGACACCCACCTCTTAAACTCCCTGGCTGGCCCAGTGATGCGATTGGTTTGGAGTACTTTGGCAGATGTCCCACAAAGTTATCATGTGTTGAAGGCACTCTGCCTACTTTGCACATGGCCGTTTCCCACAAGCAGCACGTCCACAGACCCTACATTCATGCTGTGTGGGATGATGATGCAAGTTTCCATGCAGCTTGGCCTTCATCGGCCTTCTCATGTTCAGGATTTTAGTAAATTCCGGATGGAGCTCATGGAGGGAGAACTGAGAGACAAGGTCCGGACTTGGGCTGTCTGTAACATTGTCGCCCAACGGTATGTTTGCTGCGTGGCGTATATGTCCTGCTATGTATAATTCCTTTTGACTGTCTCTGACTATCTCATAGTGTTGCTACCGGGAATGGACAACCACCGTCCACGCTATACGATTGGACACTGTGCTCAGCGGGGCTGGCGGACACGAATTTTAAGCTCCCCGAGGTCACCAAGGCTAGACTCGAGATCGAAAAATTCTGCAATAATGTAAACAAGGCGCTCTACTCGAATGGGCGGGACCCGGTTGGGTTATGCAGCGATAAAGAAAGGTCAACGATGATATCGTTTCTTTCGAAAGATTTTAATGAGCTCGAGGATACCGTGAAACCGCAGCATGATCGTATGCCTCCCTTTTTTGCTGACGCCCTCTTCATATATGGCGCAAATCTCTGACATGATATCAGGTATCACTGACCTCTATCTTCGCGCTGCCCATGTCCACCTACACCTTTCAGCCTTCTTCGACGACCCAACTGCCAAAGATTATCGTGAGCGTCTTCTGTCCTTGTATGTCGCGACTACATCATTTCTTGAAGCTGCCATGAATCTGGAAACAGAGGTTGGCCCGGGATTGCCCTACACTCCGTATTACATATACCAGATGATGGTTGCAGGAGGTTGCACCCTGTTGAAACTGTGCAAGAGCTTTTTCGCGGCCCATATCAACATGGATTATGCTAAGGATCTGTTCAACCGAACTATATGGGCTATCCGGAGGGTTTCCGTATCCAGCAATGACCTGCCTGAACGATTGGCGGAAGTACTGGCCCAAATGTGGAGACTAGGAGGCACGCCGCCTCAGCGTCCCGCTGGAGGCCAGAATTCGGACGTTGATGACTCTCTACGGTTGAAAGTTAGATGCCGTATGAGCATGTCTCTTCTCTTCGATTCGGTGTGGCGGTGGCGAGAGGATGCGCGGACTAAGGGCAGAAACATTGAAGGTGAATTGCAAATCGGCATCCCCGGAATGCGTTTCTGTAGTAACTAACCAGATTATGAAGCCTACCTTAGAAATCCGACCAACCCAGACTATGATTCTTCGTCGGCTTCTTCTGTTGCCGCTGCCGCGCGCACAGGAAATTCTACTCCCGGGGTTGTAGGGCGAGACCCAAGTCTGGCACCTACGCCGGTGCTACCGCAGGCCAGCCTTACAATACAAGCGTCGACGGAAGGAGTTGGTGCTCCTATATCGAACAGCTTCATAGAACCCAATTATGAAGTTTTCGACCCATTAAATTGGCTACTGGATGGACTGGTTGATTTCCCGCTTTCGTACCCGACAGTTGGAATGGAGGCGCAAGGAATGGTATAGATATCTAATGCTCAGCTTCTTTCTAGTTGCGTTAATAAGCTTTTACGGCCTCGTCATGAGCGGAATTCTTCTTCTTTGCAGCATATATGGAGGTTTTCCTGATTTCACTGTTACTTATGGGCTGGGATTGACAACCGTGATGCCTTCTGGGATTTGATTTGGCAGGCGTCACGGATATTCCCTTGATGAATCAATCTCTTGTTTCTAATGAATAATGTGGCTTGAGCGTGTCCTATCTGTCCTTGTTTTGTAACGAGTCTGAATCTATAGCATCTGTCGCTAATAACTAGACAATGAATAGCATTATAATGATGGCTATATAAATCCCACCACACACTCTCATACTTCAAGAGAACTCTCAACTGTCTACCAGATAGCTTCCAGAGATCCAATAGAAGATGTCTGCGGTCTGTACGTGCCGGGTGAGGCAGGTCAACGCGAGATCCCACATCTTATCTCTTTCCCCCATCCGCTCCATTTCATTAAGCCTTCGGAGATCGAAAGGCAGCGCAGGTAATCTCCCGACTGTGCAAGCGAGGAAGAATGCCAATGTATCGGATTCTTACCCGATTACATTCAAGAGCATTTCCCTCCACGAGCCCTCCAAGGCTATTTTGCTGCCTTATCTGGATGCTGAAAGTGAAGGAGTCCCCGTTACGCAGAGACCGTTTGTGCCGCGTCTTGCGACCGTGATATACTCGCTTGAGAACGACAGGGAACTGTTTGAAAGCGCGGTCAGTTTGGATACTGGGATTGAGGTTGCGCTTACACAGGCGGCTAAGGGGCAGCATAGTCCATTCGACAGGTGAGAATTGAGTGTAGTATGAGATAGGATGCCGTTTGCCGTTACTGACTCAGTGCTATGCAGGGACTCTCAAAAAGAAGCACCAGAGCTCATCCTCTCCCATCCCGAGGTGCAGGACAAAATCAAATCCCTCCATTTACCCACCGATGCTGTCGTCCAGGTCGATACTTGGCCATGCGGTTCAGATAAGTTCTCCAACGAGGAAACCCCAAACTACATCCAGGGCCTGCTGTATGCACGCACGCCGAACAACCACCCGGACAGCAACCAGTATGCCTTCCCGCTCCCGTTCTCGCCAGTTCTGGTTCGATTCCAGAAGAAGATCGTGAGAATAGATCCCCTTGCAACCGGGGGAGAGGAAGACAGGCTGAAATACGGCACTGCTCCTGAAGATGCGCCCATGGCACACTGTGTGGAGAATGAGTACCATCCAGATTTGATCAAGGTGCCCATAAGAAAGGACCTCAAGCCCTTGCAGGTCGTGCAGCCATTAGGACCCAGTTTCCGCGTGTCTGATGAGAATCTTGTCGAGTGGCAGAAATGGAGATTTCGATTTGTTTCAATAACCGCGAAGGCATGACGATTCACGATGTTAGGTACGATGGGAGGAAGGTGTCCTATCGAGTTAGTCTGAGTGAGATGACTGTTCCATACGGAGGTACGTACATCCTGCAGGAGATGTCTGAGAAAGAGAAGAAGAAAAATATTAACGTGTGCATTCTAGACCCCCGCGCGCCATATCATCGTAAGCAAGCATTTGATCTCGGAGATGCTGGAGCAGGAACTACAGCGAACAACCTCAAACTCGGCTGCGACTGCTTGGGCGTCATCAAATAGATCAGTGGCTGGCTATGCGACTCCCAAGGAAAGCCATCGGAGGCACCTAACGTGATCTGCGTACATGAACAGGACGCAGGGGTGGGCTGGAAACATACCAACCATCGTACGGGCGTTGCAGTCATCACTCGCGCACGAACCCTAGTCATTCAGAACATCATCACAGTCGGCAACTACGAATACATCTTTGCCTGGCATTTTTAGCAAAGCAGAACCATCGATTTCGAGACAAGGGCTACCGGAATCCTTTCCACAGCGCTGATCGACAAGGACAAGAAGAGTCCATGGGGCAACGTCGTCTCCCCCGGTGTCCTGGCACAGAACCATCAACATCTCTTCTGCCTCCGCATCGACCCCATGATCGATGGAACCCAGAACACGCTGATTCAGGAAGACTCGATCCCCTTCCCAGAGACAGACGAAGAGAACCCACACGGAAATGCATGGAAGCTCGTCCGAAAAGCCTTCGAGAAATCCACTTTCGCCGACGCCGCACCGCACAAAAACCGCATCTTCAAGATTGTCAACGAATCCAAACCAAACCGCATCTCTGGTAACCCGGTCGGCTTCAAATTCGCCCCCTTACCCTCCCAGTTAATCCTAGCAGGTAAGAACTCGGTGGTCTGCAGACGTGCCCGCTACGCCGAACACCACGTCTGGGTCACCCGCTACCGCGACGGAGACCTCTGGGCCGGTGGGAAATGGACAAATCAGTTTCTGTCCAAGATGGATGGGGTGTCAGAATACGCACGCCGCAATGAAGATGTCCGCAATCAGGATATCGTCGTCTGGAACGTGTTTGGTATCACACATAACCCCCGCGTGGAGGAGTTCCCAGTCATGCCGGTGGAGGTTATGACGGTGTCGCTTAAGCCGGCGGATTTCTTTGAATTGAATCCGGCTTTGGATGTTCCGCAGAGTACGCAGGAGTTTAATCGAAGTGTTCTTTTTGAGGATGGTGCAAATTGCTGTGCGGTGCAGGAGAAGTCTAAACTTTGACCAGAATCTTGGTATCCGTTGATAGATAGTCAGTTGGGCATAAATGAGAGCTAAATAGTATGCTCTTTTTACTCAATTGGAACCAATGGAATACCATTATTAAGTAGAGATACCTACTAAACGCACCTAAACAGTCCTACCGAGCAAGCAACCCTAAACTACAGCAGAAAGAACAGGCTTCAACCCCAGCTCCCCTTTCTCCATAGCCCTCCTATACGCATCCCTCTGGCCAACCTTCTTCTCCAGATGAGCGACAACTACGCGGACACCCCTCCAAACTAAATGACATAAAAAGCCGCATAGTCGTTAACGAGAAAAAGATCATAATATCCGCCGCCGTCAGATCATCCCCCGCCAAATAGTCAAACCGGGTCAACTGCTACTCGAGCCCGTTCAGATCACGTTAAACTGCGCATTCATCGCTTTGAACAGCGCATTATCCTCGGATAGGCGGGCAAATTTGGCTATCATCAGCGTCATGGAGGCGGATTGGAGCCAGGTGTTTGTGTGGTGGAACCGGAAGCGGTAATCCGGGTATCGCTCTGAGGTGGATTCGGGAACAAGCTTGTTCTTGCTTTTGCTCTTGCTCTGACCGCCATATTTGGTGAGTATGTATTCTATTATCGCGCCAGATTCAGCGAGGGAGAGGTCGCCGTCTTGGATGACGCAGTACTCTGGGGGTGCCATTTTGTCGGTTTCCTGGAGGTAGTGTTGCGGGAAAAAGGAACGGGCGAATCTTTATTGCTGCCAGCTCCATCAACCTCGACAGAAACAAGTAAATCATTAAGACAACAACGATAAACAAGAAATGAACTCACCCACATCTTCCAATTCCTACAAGCCACAGAAAAAACCCACCCTCCTCATACCCATCAAGAGACCGTTACTCCCGCCGCACAACGTCATCACCACGACGGTCTTCCCCACGTCAACATCAGTATCAACATCCACAGCTTCAGCATCATCTGAAGAAACCAAACGAATCAAAGTACACAAATCTTTAAACCCCAGTTCTGTCTCCGCAGACATCCAGGTCCGAAGACCTGCGTTTTCGGGTCAGGGTCAGGGTCAGAGGGAGATCGACCAGGACGATGAAGTGGTAGTGGAGGTGGACTTTTCTAGTGCCCCGCAGCCGTTTTTGGATGTCGAGGTTCGCGAACGATGGAAGAATAGGGCGAAGGAGAGGGGGGAGAGGGAATTTAGATCGGTCGAACAGAGTAGTCACAGTGCCGCTACTTCTCGAGGCCAGTCGGATGGTGACTTGGACTCGGATGAAAGAAGTGGTCGTGGATGGGCAGAGTCTGAGTATGGCAGCATGGTTGTTCAGAGGAGGAAGACTGTTCGCTCACATCGGGGGACGATGAGATGATCTTGGCTATTCCTTTGCATAGAATATTCCTTAATCCCCGAGCAGGTGATATTCAAACAATTATGAAAACAAAGACTTGCAGTCGTATTATTAATTCAGGACCTCACCAGGCCATATAGCATATACACAGAGGGCATAAACATATCACATAAGTCGCATCAACGTCGTAACTCATCAACGTAACTGCATTGGCGTCTTCCAGAACACAAGGCACAAAACCCCAAACAACACCTCATGAGTAATCATCAATCATAACAATCATACAAGTCTGAATCATCACTCATCATTAGACAAAAGAATTAGTAGTGCCATCCGCATGAACCCCGTCTCCATTCAGAAGCACAATGCTCTTCTTCACCCTTTCCCTCCTTCTCTCCTGCTTCATCTCTGTCCGTTTCTGCTGCATACGTCTCACTCGCTTCTTTAGATTTCGCGCCGGTGCCATATAAACCCGCGGCGCACGCCGAAAGGCGGGTTTCAAGCGGTGCGGGTCCAAGACAGATTGCAACCGGCGCATTTCCTGCTTGAGCATCCTCCTGGTGATAACATTTGTTCTCGGAGACTGTCGAGACATTCCGTCCACGATTCGCTTCAATTCCGGGCTGCGGCGAGCAAGCGACGAGGGCCCATCAAAGATCAGTCGCTCCTGCGGCATTCCTAAAGAATTGCTGATAAAGATGTCCGGATTATGGGTTATGCCAGCGTCATCGCACTCAGGCGAGGAAGGATCGGAATTCGTCGCCAGATCATCCCAAAAACCGCGGGGTCGCCAGAATGGATGTGACTTGCTATCAATCTCCTTTCCGGCTTTTCGATTCTTAACTGACCTCAATGAGAAGGACCGCGAAAATGAAGAGAATGATTCGGGCCGGGACCGTGCATTCCAGGCACGCCGGACGCTTCTGAAGCGGCAACGATCTAGACCGCCATCATTTGGAACTTCATGTTGGTCGTCCACGTTATTCGTAGGGCTGGAAATAGGGCCATTGGGAACTGGCGGTTTTGGCGGAGGGCGAGGGTTGGTCAGGGGGGAATCGACGTTCACTTGATTATCCCGAGAAGATATCTCTGGCGTCCTCGCATTTTCATAGTTGTACTTATTCTCTATCTGCAGTGCCCGAGCAGCGTGAGATTGATATACTTCCTGATCGACAACCAGTAGCGATGTGTTCTTGTGAGGGAAGAGGTTCACAGCGGTAGCTTCACTGATCTCTACTGGGCCGGGGGAAGATGACTGGAGCGAGCCTTGCGTGAAAGGCAAGGATGGAGGGCGGAGATGGGACATGTCATCAAGTCCCACAAGAGAAGGGCGGAAATAATGATGAATGCCGTGAGGTTCTAAGGTGGCATGAGAATTCGGACCAGGGGTTTTGTCCGACGTCTCAACCGCCGGCTGTTTCGATTGGCTTTTGGAATGTTCCAGGTCCATCGCCAGTGTATGCTGCCGTAGGCTTTCTGACGTCAGAGAGGTAGCACGGGAATTATTCCTGCTCGTGGGTGCTGACAACGACGAGCTGCGTGCAGGAATGGAAGGGGGACCGGAGCTAAGAACCCTAACATCCGAACGCTGAGAGGACATGGCTACAGCGTCTGACTTGGCTCGCTTCCTCCCACGTTGACGGTCAGAGACGGTCCCGCTTCGAATTCGAGTATCTGCTTGTCGATTCGATGGCCCAGAGACCATCCCAGTTTGCGCTTGACTAGGGGCCGTAGAAAAGTTGAGAGATGAACGCCTCTGCGGGATTACAACCACAGGTATCACATCAACCTTCTGTTGTGGCACGGTAGACGTGGAGCTAGGAGAAACCGAAGTGTCAGAAGCGAGGCTACCGCGGTCTGTTATGCGGGCTGATTTGCGCACTAGGCGATGCTGCGATTGGATCGATTCAGCTCGCCATGGCGGCGTTGTGCCTTGAGACCGCGGGGTAGGTGAACTGGCAGAGCGCAAAGACAACCTCTTCTCGGTGTGCCGCAAGGACCGCGGTGGAGTGTGCTGCGAAGAGTCGATAACCACGACTTCAACAGTAGAAGTTGTGGACAATGTGGAGAGCCTACGAGGACTGGGATTCTCGGGTACACGGGAAGGCACGTTTTGAACCTCGATTTTCTCGCGGGATCCCTCAATGGACGGGCTGTCACATTCTCCATCGATATGCTTCATACTGCCGTGGCCAGGACTCCTAGCTTTGGGGGGAGTTTGCGGGCTGTGCACATCGCCGTCGCCAATTGTAGGAGATGGTAGCAAAGAATTCATGCTGCGACCTTGGCTACGGTTCAAACGGTCTGGCGACCGCCTCTTCTCAACAGAAATCCCGGTAGAGTCCTCTTCGATGTGCTGCATTCGTCCCAAAGATATCGTGCTAAGTGAAGCAGTCAGATTTACACTGCTACCGCCATTGGCTACTGGTGTGGCGCCTTTCGTGTTGGCACCATCACGCTTCGAGGGAGATTCATCGCCCCGGAATGATCTTTGAGACCTCTGCAGCAGTAGGCTCTGTCGGGTAAAGGAATGTGTCGAATGCCAAGGTCCCTCTACTTCTCCGTCGGATGAAATGTTCTCGAAGGCAGTCTGGAACGACTCGGCCCGGGACGACGAAGGCGGCTCCATACGGATCGACGCGGCTCTCCTGCTCGGGGTGACGGAAGGGGGGGTGATGTCGGGAGTAAGAGGATTCTGCGGATTTGGCGTGACTGCTCTGAGAGTTGTATGGCCAGATAGAGAAGACGAAACCTCTTGCAGTTCCAGTCCGTCGGCGCTTCGCTTCTCCTCGTCGGGAGTCGGGGGGGTTAAAGGAAGGCCTGGGGGGTTCGAGACGCTGAGAGCTCTCTCAGATGGAGGCACCTGTACAACTGGCATGGTTGCTTGGTTCGCAACATGGTCTCTCCCGTGTGGAAGAGCGTGGAGGGGGGTTGAACGAGGCCGCTTCTCGGATGGCAAGGGCGATGAAGCGTCAACGCCTACGTCCGGCATTTCGACGAGCGAGCCGAAATTCCAGCCGCGCGCGTTGTATTCTCTCTCGGGACAATTGTAGATCAGAACACAACCTGTAGAAACCAGCCAGGGAATATTACATGGCGGGAAATGAGCTGAAGGGGTGATCCAGCCAATACATGTGATTCATCAAATAGAACGAGGTTGTTTGGGCAAACAACCTTACCTTTAAATAAACGCCGGCGTGGTCGACGCCCGTTGGTGTGCACGGGTCGCAGGAGGGCAATGATACCACGGCAGCGGTAGGACAGCAGACTCCAGTGATTTCAGGGCGACACAGGGGAGAGTCGAAGAACAGGATGAAGAGAAAGGACGTTGCGTTTGTGGGAAGACGGAATCTGTTCGATTCGAGATCGCGATGGCTGTATTGTATCTGTATTTGTATTACGTACAGATACAATTACAGACACGGACACACTAATGCCCACGCACTGATGTCATTTTGTTAATCCTCACCACGAGATCTGCTTGACTTTGAATATTAATATCAATATAATACGGAAATGAATATCATTATAATAAACAGGGTGGAGGGAACCGACTCTTGTCAGAATTTCAGAATTCGGCTGGTCAAGCATCGTAGAGCAGTCAATGAGAAGCAGCAACGTCCACGAACAGCGTATTCACAGCACCTCTCAAAAACAAACACAGGTTACAGTCGATTCTAAACTAGATATACTCCATAGTCTTTGGTGACGGCGAATTACTAGAAGCAGTATAGCGTTCCTATTCGGGGAAAGCGCGCAGCTGAGCCTTGGCATCTCGGTGCGTCTCTATATAAAGCTTCTCGCCCACTCGAGATCATGGCCAATTTTTGTTGCTATTTTTCCCACCCTTTCGCGGTCCTCTGACTCAAACGCGTGAGGCATTTTTGCCATTGGACTGAACTTCCCGTGTTCCGCACTTCGTTACCTTTTGCGCCTGTGAGCTGTCGCTCGTCCCCGGAACCACAACAACGTCGTCAGCAGAGGAGATAAGACGATGAAAGTAGTATTCAGAAAGGCCGAGGCCGTGCGATGGATCATTTCAAAGATTCAGCCAGAATAATGAGCACGCATGGCTTTGCAGACACGAATAAGATTAAGGGGGAACTGTCTTACACAAACGCATCCGAGGATTGGATCGCACTTCTCAGCACCTTCGCCGCCGCTGGGTCGTCAAAGTGATGGAAACAAAGATTGAACAGGCGGCATTCCTTCTTGCCAGGCTCTGCCAGCCGGCGGGCCTGGGTCGCGTCCACAGGCTGCGCGATGTAGGAGATATTCGAGCTCTGGCGGGCCATGGCGGCCCGCTTGCTCAAGGACGGGTACAGGTCAGTCAGGATAAATCGCACTGGCTGCTCATGGCGGGCTGCAAGCCAAGCGTTGGGAGTGTCCTCGAAAATGGTGATGGGGCCCCCGCCGCCCGCACAAGAGTCAATCATGGTGTAGGAGCCAATATCCGGCAGATGGCGCAGCAGGATATCGCAGGCCTGCAACGCGGGCGAGCCCTTTGTGCCGGGGATTCGCGTTTTCCATATTTTAATGCGCGCTAGGTGCGAGTATTCGCGTAACCATTCTGGACACCAAGTCTGATCACCCAGTTCGAGCAAATGGAAACGGGGGGTTACAATCATTTCTGTCGTTTACGGGAGAGGACGGCTGGAAAGAATGAATCAGGACAAAAAACCCGTTTGAAGGGGACAACCCATAATGGGAGGTCTTCTGTACCTCCATGGCTGGGACATAAATCTTATGAACTTCCACTGTCGGCGTTGAAATTGCTGGTGGCGGGCCTCGGATCCCGAATCAGGTCACTAAAATGGTCAGTTCTTGACATACACCGTGTCTCTTTGCCCGGGAGCATCAAGTCTGACGGACATTTTACTCCCCCACGTCGGAGCTCACAATCTTAAATCCTAACTCCGACGGGCATTGGGTCTTAAAAGGGAGCATTGGTCGAGATCGGCCTCCAACCCAACGTATGAGTACAAACACTCATCACGATACGTCTTTCCATCTAACGATATCGGCTCACGCTAAATCATGGCAATCATTCTAACTGGGGGCACGGGCAAAACATCGATCCGAGTAGCGCGCTTCCTCCAAAATGAAAATATCCCCTTCGTACTGGCTTCCCGTCGCGGCCAGTCCGCTGCTCCTCCGGACATGCCGGCGGTCAAGTTCGACTGGCTAGATAAGGATACCTCGCATTCCATTCGACTACAAGTTTGTCAATGAACAGGTAATCTCCGCTATCTATCTGATGGAACCGCAGGCGCCGGAGCCATGGAAACCCTTAAATTAGTTCATCGACTACGCGCTGGAGAAGCACGGCGCCCGTCGCTTCGTCCTCGTGGCTGGTAGCTCTGCCGAATGTGGGAAGCCGGGTATGGGCATGGTTTGGCAACATTTTCTGGACAGGCAGGTGGACTATTGTGTGCTTCGGCTGAGTTGGCTTATGGGTTAGTAGCCGAAGACTCTTGTCGGAAATTCTTTCTCGTGGAAGGCATAGTGCTGATGTTTGCTCGCTGGTCAGAGAATCTAACCGAGGATGGTCCGCGCCAACTCATCCGTGACCAAGGCAAGATCTATACTGCCTGCGGACAGGGCAAAATCCCGTTCGTCAGCGCTACGGATATCGCGGCCGTCGCCTATTGCGCTCTGACCGATCCTGACTCACATAACTGTAACCACCAGCTAGGATGAAGGTCAGAAGAGTTCTAAGAACGTGCATGTTGGTCCAGGTGGGGATTGTCTTGTTTGAGATATAGCACTTCAAATAGGAAAGAGCCAGGGGAGGTCAAGGCTTATTGTCAGTGAGCAGTATTAGAGCAAACATAGTTGGCTGAGGAAGGTCCCGTACTTATACATTGCTATAGATGCCACGCACCTTACTAGGTAAAACGGGCCCCTATTTCAAGGCATTATAAGTGGGTGCAAATAGTGTGTCATCCGCTCATAGACTTAACTACATCGTTCAACCTTGAACCCCATTCGTGGGACCGTTTTGCTCAACCCGGGATACCGCTTCCCAATCCCATTTGCCTTCTTGCTCTATTCAGAGCTCTGGTCTTTCGTCGGGATCCTCCGCAACTATTTCCCAACTGCAGCCTCAGTCCTCTCGTACAGAGGTCCTGCACCGTGCTGTATACCTTGTATATTGGCGCTCTTAAAGGTCAGCAACCTAGCGATGGTCTTGTAGCTGACTCCCCACATGTTCAGTACCACAGCAATAGCCGCCTCTTCTATAGTCCAACTTACTGCCGCCATCTTCTCCAGCGCGGGATATAGTCACTCCAACTGTAGCTGAGATGCATTGCTTTATATGATTATATATACAGCTCTACAAGTTCGAAGTTGCGGCGCGGCACCAAGGTAAAGGAGCTTTCAGCTCACCTATCTTTTACGCCGCAGATCAATCGGTCACGCCGCTCGATTAGAGTTCGACTTACTCTAAACGGCACCGGCAAGAGCTGGGGACCCACAAGTACCCTACTTTTCCTTTTTCGTCTAGGTCTACATTGCAAGAGCCTTTCTTTCCGATCTGACTTTGTTCTTAGCCCTTTGGAACACCCTGTATAGATCCGTGCCGCGACCGTTGCGCAACTGGTGGTAAAGTGCAATGAACTCAGTCCGAAGCATGTCGCGCTTGCGCTTCAGACTAATGAGCGCTGGGTCCTTCTCAAGCTCTTGCTTTCGCTGATCACTGAGATCTTGCGGCGCGGACGCATCACGAGTCAAACTTGAATTAGTAGCCAGCTTAATTAAAGCATCTCGTGCGGGAGTCTCTATAAAGGCTGATTAAGTGTCATCCTGGACTTGGACATAGTAGGCGAAGGTACCACTTCTCTTATGACCCATGATAATGTTCCGGGAGTGTTCATCGAGATGTCCTGCAAGCTTGTCAACTCGTAGAATCAATAACAGGTAAGGGGCATTCGTACATTCGTTACTCAAATTAGCCCAGCTCCTTTCTAATATTTGTAAAGAGAGCCGGGAGTTTTAAACCCTGCCAACCTGCTGGTGGCAATATTATATTCCTGCGCTCGATCGTACTGGTAAGCTAGCGTGGGATGAGTGTCTATTGTCCGTCGGAATCCTTCGCAGCACGGCGAAATATCGGGATTTCCTTCATGCTCTCTTTGAAATGGATGGGAGTGCTGAGTCGATGGTCGGGGACATTGGCATAGAGCCAGATATCTCGAGGCTTCCTGATACGCTCACTAGCAAAGCATTGTCAAGAAAAGCATATTCCAGTATTTCCTGAATAACACAAAGGCTAAGGTTATCATTCCGCTTGGTGTATGTGAAGACAGGTCTTTGAAAAGTTAGCGGGTTTCAAGCGGGGTAGGAACAGAGACCTACGGGACACCCCGATTTCTCTTGCCCTTATTTAACCTATACCTGACTCGCATGAGAAGTATCTGACAATTTGGATCTTCCGGGTGCTTTACTATATAGAGTTCGATATCTTTCCATTTTAGCGCGTCGTTGCTTCTCATGTATCCGGAAGACTCGATGAGCGTTCCAGGACGGGCAGATGTCGAAGTTATCATCTTTCGCAGTGTACTAAGCTGCTGTCAACATCGTACTGTGGCAAATTGCACTTTGCAGACAGCCATGAGATGATAAGTACTGAACAGGAGATCAATCAATGTTTACTGGTGGTTGAGTCTTTGCTCCCAAATCAAGCTCGTACTTATCGGTGAGCGTAGTGCATACAAGCTACGTATATCAGCTTGATCCTTGTCTTTTGAATGTTTACTTACCATGGTCATCTTACGCCTCAACATGTAAGGAAAGAGACTATCCATTTCTTGACACTAAAAGACTCTCCAATATCTCGCAAAAACCAAGAATCCTGACTGATACTCAACATTGTGATTGTCGAGATACTAGCGAAGAAATCCTGCAATTGCTTTCAAGGTGACATTCTTCAGCTAATAAAGATAGTCTGGCGGTTGAAGTTTTGATGTAAATCTAGGAATCTAAGTTAGTCAAGAGCTGTATCTTCATTCGGCAGGACATACTTCTGGAAATTATACTTTACAAGATAGATATGGTTCTTAGTAGTCTCCGCGAGATTATCCTTAACCTTTGGCTCGGATTGCTGAACGAAGCTGTTCCAGTCAATATCGGCCTTCTTTGTTTTGCTTCGAGCTATTGGAACTGGATAAGACTGCAGGGAGTCTGATCAAGATATAGCAACACGATATTAGAGTCCGCGAATATGTTGAGGAGCGACATCTCAAGAAGATGAAAGCCTCTTATATTTTTCTCTTCGTCCTTAATGCTCTGCTTCTGCTTCTTGTAATCATGGTGTATGCGCCGGGCTGGCCTCACAAGAACTATGTGAACTGCGCTAGGACGAACTGAGTAAGGTCGACCAGTTCTCATAAAGCGGCGATTCACAGCGTGGAAAGGCCACAGTTTCTGCCACAAAAGCCACGTACAAACATGGCCTTTCCGTCGTCATCCAGACTTCCTCCGTAACGTATTTCACCTACGAGTGGGCCACCGCTTGCCAATTCCTGCCCACGGGCTTAATTCAAGGGCCTGAATCAACGAAAAAATCGCATTTCTACATAAAAATCAATTACTAAGTGGTTTAGGACATCTGACTCTAGTATGTCCCTGAATATGGCAATTAGAGCACTGTGGTAGAGCTGTGCCGGGGGCACTGTGAAACCCCGGATCTCCCATATTTCCTATCTTGGAACACCGTAGAACCGCGGACTCCGACATACTAATGTATGGTGGAGCCCGCGGCCGGCAAGTACTTAATGGAGGGTTCCCTCCCAGATAGTTACGAGAAAGAGAGCATTCTTTTGGTTTCTAAGTTGCTTCACTAGTATCGTTGTCGTCGTATAGAGAGGAGCGAGGCTCCTTCGTCGTTGTGTTTATCGTTATATCGTTTTGCTAGATTGTTCAGTGTCCATTCCTGAGATCCCTCGATCACAACCCGGTTCCTGTCGCAGGGAACAACGCACGTACGTCCCCCTTTACAGCAGAAGCACCTATTCAGTAGAGTTGATATATTCAATAAAAGTAACCCATTCCTGATTGCCTGGCTGTACAAGAACTGCTTTCCTATAATAATCAACTCTAATAACTACTTAAGCAGTAGCTACTAGGCCCATAGCAAAGCTAGTTTCATCAAAATTGTAGATATCCTCCTGTGTGATCCCATGCTGTATTATAGTGATTTGGACACAATCAAACCACTTTTAATAGCTTTAGGGTCTTCATATTTAACATATCAGTAATCATATTATTGAGGAAAATAGGATTTCACTTCAGGACAGTATTTTATAAACTTAGTAGCCCAGTTTGCTCCAACTAATTGAATAGGTGTAATACTGCACCCAGCAAGAATATTGGCCATTCCTTATATATCAGAGGGTTGGGGAGGAGCTCCACATTGAATTAGTGATAGAATCCATTGTACAAGTGATTCCTCTTTATTTTGAGTTAATTTATGGTTGTTAGAGCGTGTTTCTAAGTGTGAAGTGACTCTATTACATCATTGCTGGAGAGTTATGTGAAGAACATTATAGACGCGTGCAGCTTCGCGAATATTGCAAATTTCCTGGTTTTTCAAAGCTGAAATAGCAAGGAGGAGTCTTCCCTCCTGTTCAGTGGATTTTTGAAGATTTTGACGTGTTTTTGGAGGCATAGTTGGTAGTTGAATTGTGTGAGGCAATAAAACGCGTGAAATTTTGATGAGGTGGCCCGCTTGTAGGTGAAATACGTTAATATATTCCCTGAAAATACTCCATCAAGGAGGTTTCGTGGCAGATAGATCGCAGGGGTTGCAGTCAACCACCACGGAGGATCTCCCGCACTCGTGAAGCAAAGGAAACATGCTCTCTCGCGGACAGCCGGAGAACAGAGACAAGAGACTCGATCCTAATTCATAATCATCATCATCCTCAAAAGAAGCTTGAATGTCATCGACGCGTGCCAAGCGATTGCAAGCCACATCTGACCTCATTGCCTCCCTCCCCTGTCGCCTCATCTCCCGCGCGCTGTCTGTCCTTCTCTCTCCATCTTTCGCCCTCCGCTCTGCTCGTCCCTTGTTTCTCCCAGTAACGAGAGCCTTCGTCGCCGTGGATCGCTTCATCCCCGTCTGCCAGACATCTCTGGTTGTCCAGTCGCTGTTTCGAGTCGCCTTTGCCATCTTGCCTCCCCCGCTGGTGTCCCGCCTTCGCACACTGACGTCAGCCAAGATCGGCCTCAAACTTAACCACTTAAACTTAACCAAACTTCCTCGTCCCTAATCTTGATCTTTTCTGCTTCCCATTATCCATTCCTCTTTCCCCGTTGTTTGGTTTCATCATCTCGGCATATCAACTCTTCCCAGCGTCGCTTTTCAAGTCTTCTCAAACCAGCTTCCTGTCGCGCACCGCCGCGCAGGCCTTTCAAGACCCTCCTTCCCCCCTAGATGACAATTTCTATATTTGAGTTTTAAAAAAACATTCCCGCTATACAGGCATCATGAGTACGATACAGAGTCTCAAGAATTTCATACGTCATGGGAAACAGGCACGCCTGGTGACTCACCATGCCGAACCCACCACCGACGTCTCCGCCGTCCATGCTGAACATCAACGGCAGCATCAGCGCCAGTCTCCCGCCGCGGGGAATCTCGACGCAATCGAGAGCAAACATGCGAATGGCCACGCGCAGTCCCAGAAAGCCCCCGAGGCGCAGACGAAGCGATCCCGGGAAGCGGAGATCCAGCAGATCGTAGCCGAAGAGCGACAGAGCCGGTCGAAGATGCCTAAATACCCCGGTTTGGATCGCTGGGCTCTAGTGGACAAGATGGGTGACGGAGCTTTCAGCAATGTATACCGTGCAAAAGATAGCACCGGAGAGTATGATGAAGTGGCCATCAAGGTCGTCCGCAAATTTGAAATGAATAGCAGTCAGGTAAGCCACTTACCTCCCACCACATCCTCGCCTCAACCTCCCGAGACCTGATGCTAATATCCTCTCTGAACAGCGTGCCAGTATACTCAAGGAGGTCCAAATCATGCGCCAAATCGATCATCCTAATATCGTCAAATTAATCCATTTCACCGAATCCCCCCAGTACTACTATATCATCCTAGAACTGTGCCCCGGAGGCGAATTGTTCCACCAGATCGTACGGTTGACATACTTTAGCGAAGATCTTGCTCGCCATGTGATCATCCAGGTTGCAAAGGCGATTGAATACCTACATGAAACTTCAGGGGTCGTGCATCGGTATGTTCTCTCTCTGTTTTTCCTGTCTGGCAGAGATAATCGGTATTGATGAAATCCCACAGCGACATCAAACCGGAGAATCTCCTCTTCTATCCTATACCTTTCGTTCCGAGTAAACATCCCAAGCCTCGCCAACCAGGCGACGAGGACAAAGTAGACGAAGGCGAATTCATCCCCGGCGCTGGAGCTGGGGGTATTGGCCAGATCAAGATTGCGGACTTTGGTTTGTCCAAGGTGATCTGGGACAATCAGACCATGACCCCTTGTGGGACCGTAGGTTATACCGCACCGGAAATTGTAAAGGATGAACGCTATTCCAAGAGCGTTGACATGTGGGCCCTTGGCTGCGTGCTATACACAGTGCTCTGTGGCTTCCCGCCCTTTTATGACGAAAGTATTCAGGCCTTGACGGAAAAGGTGGCTCGCGGCGAATACACTTTCTTGTCGCCGTGGTGGGATGACATCTCCCCCAGTGCCAAGGACCTTGTCTCTCACCTTCTCACCGTCGATCCAGAAAGGCGATACACTATCAAGGAGTTCCTTGCCCATCCGTGGATTCAGCAGGCTGACGAGGCTACTCATCGCATGGTCCAGCAAGGAATGAATCAGGTGCCGAAAACTACCGCCGGCCAAACTCCCTATTATGCTGTTCCTTCACATGTCCTTGACCTGCCTAGTGCCGGAACCGCGCGTCGGATGGACTTCCGATCGCCAGGCGCTATCAACTTGCGAGAGATCTTCGATGTCGGATACGCTGTCCACCGACAGGAAGAAGAAGGCAAGAGACGTAAGAATTTCAGACAAGGTTACCGGGGGACAGCCCTCCACCCTCTCAACGAAGACTATGATGATGACGACGAAGTCTCACACGGTTATGGGATGGATGCTAGCAATCTGCCCTCCAAGATTCCGAAGTCTTCACAGCAGGCAGGCGACGTCGCCGGTATGGAGGCGAAGCTACGCTCCACGAATTTGGGAACGCAGAATGGAAGTACGAGACAACCGCGAAGCCAGCAGCGGGGCTATGGACAACATAGCGCAGCTGTTGCATCGACTGCCAGGGAGAGCATCGCGCGGCATTCTAGACAACCTTTCGAACTCAGTCTCGACCATGCAACTCTGCTGGAACGGCGAGGGAGGCGCCAGCAACAAGGGCAACAACAAGTTGCTTGAGACAATTCTCAGTTTGACTCGTCATTATTTTCATCTGTCTAGATGAGCGTTGTTTCTGATTTGTTTCCTTGAAAGATCTCTGGGTGTCATTTTCTTGTTAGAACTGTTCTTTGCATTCTTTTCCCCCCTTTCTTCTTGGATTGCTTAAGCCTCCTTGCATTTTTGTTAATGAGCAGATTGGACATGGTTGGTTTTGTTCTGTAATGCCTGTTCACTGGATTGTTGGCTACCATGGCGACGTCTGTTTTGCTTCTGTTCTAAACGTGTGTTGGGCTATCTATATGGTTATGGCTACGATCTAACGGAAATTATATCCCATACGTTTATGGATTAGAGCTGTAGGAACTTTGCTATAAAATTTATGGATGCATACGAGCGAGGAATGGATGTTCATTCAGACATCTAGGGCTTGTTATTCAAGAACCATAACCTAATCCAGTTTCATACTAGAAGAATTTCACTTGATTGGGTTCACTGTACCATTGCTGACTTGCTTGTGCTGGTTCATTAGGAAACTGAGCGTGAGGGTAGCTCTCAATCTGTATGTGGAGAGAGGGATCCAAGGAATCTAGCCATCTTTCTCAATTGGAGAGCAAGGGCATTGAGTATGGAGGTAGAAAAGAAATGAATATAAATCAATGGAACATGCTGTGGACTCAAGGATAGGAATCTTCCGAATCAAATGGCAATAACCTGTGAATTTGTGTGGGGAGGGAACTGCCATCCCCCTCTGGCTAGCTCTATACTCCTAATTAGTATGCATGCTGTCTGATATTTTTGAGCATACAGTGTAGACTCTAATCAGTATACTCAGTAGGCTAAGGAATAGCTTGGATCAGTACACTCACTCCTCTCAGACTATAGAACATCCTAACAAATATTCCCAGTTACCTATCCCAGACATGTATGTACATATCAAGCAAGGGTATAAGAAGCAACAAAGAGAGTAACCAAAGCAAGCTATATTTCTTTTTTGTTATTATCAAAAGCGTCAATACATGACATGACATGACATGGCAAGGCCATGAAGGCATTTGTATAAACAAAACACCAAAAGGGTATAGTATAGATATAACCAAGAAAGGTACATCCCTAATCCTCCTGGATATCCAAAGGACACCCACATACATACGAGGTGCATACATGCATGCGTCCAGTCTACATGCAATTTACATACTCTGCCTTCCCCTCGTCTCAATAGGCAACAACAACATTGTCACAAAAGCAGCAAGCATCAACCCACCCGACGCGTAAATAGGAGCCTTGGGATCAGAATCACCCCCGTAAATCGCGACAAGGGGCGCACAAAGTCCGCAGAGACGGTTGAAGAAACTAGACACACCCGTCCCCGTGCCACGGACAGGCGCGGGGAAGACTTCGGGTGTGTAGGCGTAGAGCACGCCATACATGATATTCTGGAAGAAGGCCTCGAGAGAACTGCAGACGAGTTGGACGTTGGGATCGGTGTTGACCGTGAAGCAGAAGAGAAGAACACCCGTGATGACGGTGGCAATGGCCATGGTGCCCTTTCGGCCGACGTATTTGATTTCGACGGTCCAGCAGGCGAGGATGGAGCCCGGGACCCCGACTGCAGAGGTGATAGCGTAGTTGCGGTAGGTGATGTTAGTGGAGGCCGATTCGGAGATGTACTGAGGGAGGAAAGCGTTGAAGAGGGGATAACCCATTCCGATCGTGGACCAGCAGATCCAGAGGAGGATTGCTTTATCCAGTTGTTAGAAAGGCAATTTGAATGTTATTAATAGAGGAACTCACTTGTAATCGCAAGTCTCTTTGTCTCGAAGAGCGGTGCAATTCTCTGGAACGAGAATTTTGACAAATTCCTCTCAATAATTTCCTTGATACTCAGTGACTGACTGGTCCCTTCCTCAGGATAGCCGCCGATCTCGTCAAGGACTTCGACGGTCAACCAAGTCTGGGTCTTGTTCGTGTACGCAATACCCTGGACCGTAGCAACGGCCTCCTCCTGTCTGCCCCTTGCTAGCAGGAACTTGGGAGACTCGTAGAGATGGAAGATGAAGAACCGGCACATCCACATTAAAAATGTCAGAGCGCCCAGGGTATATGTGAAATACCGCCAACCCATGTTGTCCTCCTTCCTGCAGCAGGCAACCCCGTCGGCTACTTTGTGGCAGGACGGAAGGTCAGCGGAGCAAGAAAAGTTGGGAATGTAGGCCCAGGCCAGGAGACTAGCAGTTCATGAAACACAATCATCAGCTTAAGACTGGTATAATGGATTACGCAGATCTACAAACCTGGAAATAAGTTGCCCGACAGGCCACCACACACTGAGCATTGTCAACATATTCGCAGATGCGAAGGGCAGATACTCGAGGAAAAGAGCGCCATCAACGGGCAGATTTCCGCCAACACCAAGACCAAGACAGGCAAACAGACCGGAAACACTGATAGCAACAAGATTAGCGGTTGACTTTTCCAAAATTGATGATGGACAACGCACCCAACCCATGTCGGGCCGGCTCCAGCTGCGATTCCAAATACACCGGCCAGGAACAGAGTGGTGTTGAACGCCAGACGACGTCCGACAACATCTGAGACTATTCCCCAGAATGAAGCACCGAGACAGAGACCCAGGAAAAGAGCACATGTCGTGAATCGGACACGGGTCTGGGAGACGCCGAATTCGATGGCGACTTGAGTCAGAGTTAGGGCAACACCCTGCACGTGATGTTAGTTATGCGAGCAGCGCGCTTGGAATACGTCCATTTAAACAGCATAATGACTGACCTGGAGCCAGAGACTGAATAATTGCAAGAGACGTGTCAGTTGTTATTGTTCTGTTGAGGAGCATGGAGTTAGGAGTCCACTAACTTGTCCGCTAACCACCCAAAGCCACATAGTACAAACAGCTCCCACTGATATCGGCCCATACCGATGTCTTGAATTGCTCTGTTGATTACTTTTGATTTGACTGGAATATTCCGGTTAGACAGCGTTCCATTAAGCGTATAACAGGGGCATGACTTAACGGGCGCGTACTGTCATAGGGGGTGTTTTTACTGTCGGCATCCAACTCTGACAATATCTGGGCCCTGAGAGACTCCAGAGTCATAGGACCTGAGTCAGGCAGGGGAACAGCGCGGATGCCCTTTTCAGAGTCAGTAGATGCCTTATCGATACTTTTGTCCTCGGGATGGCCATTCTTCTCGTTAGTAGGATCGGGCTGGGGTTGCGCAGGGCTAGTCGAAAGGGATACGACGACTCCAGGGAATTCCGTGCGATCTCGCTCCCAGAACTTGTTGAAAGGCAAATGCATGACAGCAATGGCTTTCTATTATTTCTCGTGTTGGCGCAAAAGGGATATAGTTGGGGGGTGGGGAGGGAAGGGCTGAGTGGGTATTGCGTTCCAGCTACCGATTCTGGTGTTTAAACGGGTTTTCTCTTCTTGCGCAGGCCTGCGGCAGGGGCTAGGTTTACTTTTTTTCTCTGCGTGCACTTTTTCTCTGCTGCAATTGGGATGGAAGGAGTGGTAGCGGGCCAGTTGGTGCGGTCGTTGATTCTTATTGCGCTACGGCAATCGAAGTCACAATGGCTGAAGAATCGATCCAAGACGGTGCACCGGCTTTGCTTCCCGGATAAGCTGCCGCAAGGGACTGGCTGGACTGAACCGGCGCAAAAGAACCGTTGTGAGTAGTGCCGCAAGGGGAAAGTTGAGGGCGAATGCTGGGCGGGATTCCGAAGTTGCTACTGGACGTAGATCTTTGCCAGAAGCTGGAAAGAAGCCACCTAGATATAAAGCTGAACTGTGAAGATGGAGAAAAGAAAAAGGTTTTTGGGGGATCCTAAAAACCAAGAATGAGATGGGAATAATGGGGATAAGATGGGGGAGTTCTGAAGCCGTCCAAAGACAACCAAAGATCCGAGATTATACAGTCAATGATAAAAACAGGCGCATATGAATAGACAAGGAATACGTATATGTGACCGAGAGGCTAATAAATGTAGCGAACTCGAAGCACAATAGAGGAAGACGGCGATGAATTCGAGAGGAAGGAGGAAATATAGAAGGAAAGAAAGGATGAAACCGGTGAAATAGGTAATTTCAGACAGCGAACAATCCACCCAGACATTGTCACCTTATATACCATCAGCCCAGAGGTGTGAGAGAGAAAAAAATTTTAATTTCTTTGTCCATCTATTATTCATTTGGAACAGTTGATTCGACTTTACAGGTTGGGATGCTTGGCCAGAATAGCCACCTGCGACATTGTGGAGGTGTACCGGACCATAATAATCAACGGCCTCCGGGCCCGCTGCCTACGGAAACAGGCATTAAACTCAGCAGATCCGTTTAGCTGCCCCATGAAATATGCAAAGACGTCCTTATCTGCTGAGTATTTTGGGCGAAACGGCGTTGGTGTAGAGATACGCTTGCCCGCATATATTTTTTTCTGGAAAAGTTGTAGTAACTGATAAACTTGTGCGATGCATGTGCTGCTTATATAATTATACATTGCCCCGCGCCTCCCGTCTACGCGCTTAATCTGCGTTTTATGATTGGTTAATATGTTCACGACGGGACGGGGTGCGCTAAACTGGCCTAACTGGGAAGGTAGCCCCACCTAATGCGGTAAGGACGTCTGTAATACCGTCGATATGCGTAGGCAATATTACGAACAGAACGCAGCAATCAGCTGAGTTCCAATCATCAATAATAATAACAATGCACAAAAGACAGCGGACATCATCTGATTGGGGCCTTTTTTTTTCTCGGGTTGATCTTGGCATTACCCTACAGAATGAATCCAAGCCAGCAGCATGACGGTATCGACGCCCAAAACGGAACGAAGTCGATTGCGCCAGAGGCTGCAGTGGGACCTCGGCTGTCGTCTTTCCGATACACCGCCTGCCGGTCCTGTCATTCTGCCATGCTGTCTCAGCATGCCCTCGCTGAAATAATTACTTGTCCTGCAAGCCTAGGAATAATATAACCTGATCGTATGCTGCCATCAGTCTCGTCCAGCTGCAACTGGATACTAGGTGTTGGGGGATTTGGGGGGGTAACGTAGTGCTCTGTATGGCTGGTATTATTTGCGCTTATCTGGAGATGCACATGCTCCACGAACTTGCAGTTATAACATATTACTATTGGCAATACATAATTCCATAGGATGTGTTGTCCGGCACATTTTGAGGCTGAGTGTCATGCATAATTATTACGAGATCTCCATTTCCATTTCCATTTCCGGATTCGGTTCAGTTCAGTCTCGACAGTTTCCCCGGAGAGGAACGTAAATCCTACTAGCTAGATAGATAGATAATGGGGCAAATCTCCAATGGCTGTATCTGTGCTGTCTGCGGCTCGTTATCGCTTTCTCAGGTTTCTTTCCTAGAGTCTGTATCGATTTTCCGTGCTAGAAATTAGCATGGCTGGCACATTTTTGCTCAGTGAGTAGATCCGAGTACACCTTGAGGTGAATAACCTGTAGCCTCGATAAAATGCACCCAGCTCCGGGGTTTTGACTCATCATTATTTCACTTCCCTCTCTGAAAGAAAACAGCAGGGAGGATGCAACCTGAGATGAACCAATAGACCAGATCCCCTCCCACGCAACCGATAAGCCCCGGCTTGGAAAAGAGAAGTGTTGATGCTGACGAGTTTCAGCGCCCCGGCTGTGCTGACAGCTCAAGGCGCAAGGCTGCGTTAAGTCTTCAGTATCTCGGCATCCAGATGGATATAAATGGGCTGTTCTCTTTTACTCCCAAAGCTGTCAGCTTTATTTATGTTGTCGAATGTTTGAAATCTGAAAGAACATGGACTCCCAGAATAGTGTGCCTCCACGGTCACCACAGGGTGACGTTTCTACATCGAAGCTATGTATGTTACTTGTCTTTGCTCTTAGCTACTGCGTATCTAGATAGATGCTGAATATGCGTGTATACTGTGTAGCTCCATCAGCATACATAAGCGCGATGAAGTTCCACGCTTCCCAAACTCTACGAACATCTACTCACCCAGGGAGCCATTTGAAAGGCGTTGCAAATTATCTGGGCAAAGAAGAGCCACAGAAATCAGCGTGTCCGACCGGAACATTATACACCATTCGATTGCCAGCTGATTCGTCTACGACCGAAAAATATCTAAAACACTTCAATGACCCGTCGGAGCTAGAGCAGCTCTTGTCTATCGAAGAGGACGGACGTGAAAAGCCGGCGAAACAGTCTCATATCTTGTTTCTGGCTGGCTATCCCTCCCCTAAATTGTTAGCGACCATTGGTTCAATGATTCAGGTCGATCCTGAGCATTATCGTCGCCATCTCGACTTCCTGTCGCTGTCGGAACTTTTCCCATATCCCACGCTCCCTTCTGCTTCCGACAACATTATAACTCTCCCCTTTGTTACGATAGGACACTCTAGCACCAATACCCGATTGCAAGGTTGCATTGATAAGCTGCGGCAAGACAGTGACCGAAAAATGAAAGATTATCTACACGACCTGTGTCTCGCAAGGACTGTCAGAACTGGAGATTCAATTGTCAGGCGGTATCTAGTCCACAATGCCGAGTACTTCTCTATCGAGCAAAGGATGTCAATTTCCCTTAATTCCTACGAAAACAGACGAGTCGGTTAGTCTGCTCAATCGTCTTGTCCTAGGCCTGTGCCGGCATTTATATATGTATTTCCGGCTAATACAATCAGCAGTGCTTGTCCTATCTGATGGTGGAGATACCCTTATTTCTGGCCCCAAAGGACCGTGGACGGATTCACTTCGACGTCTTGCGCCCATGTCCCATCCTGTCCGCCACCGGCCAAAATTAGCACTACATTCGTACAGTTATGCCTTGCCCGAAGATGAAGAAAAAGATGCCAACTCGCACGGTATAGACGTATATTGTATGGCATCAGTGCTCCAAAAAAACTATGGCCGAAACCTAAACGCAGATACCATGATGATCGATCCATTCTACTCGCTACATGAGATTCTGGATTGCTCGGCTGCATGTGAAGCCCAGTTCCTCGAATTCCTCGAGCGTATAATTGTGGAGGAAACACAGCTGACGGTCCGGGAAGCAAGTAACGAAATATCTTTTACAAACCTGCTTTACACCATCGAGATCCTAGATTCTCATATGTTTCTCCTCTCAGAAAATACCAAGAAGATCAGGGTCCGGGGTAGCCAAAAGTGGCCGCGGGCTCTCGAAAACACCGACCAGGGAATAAGGGCAAAGGCTGCCGCTGACCATCTTCTCCACGACTATGAATTCCTCCTCGAAAAAGCCGAGAAGCTGCGGGAAAGATGTGAACGTACAATGAAGATTATCATGAATAACACTAATCTTGCTGAATCGAAGAGGGCCATCGTGCAGGCTGAGCGTGTGGGTAAACTCACTATGCTCGCTTTCTTTTTTGTGCCCCTGTCCTTTACCTCGTCCTTTTTTGGTATGAATGTCAAGGAGATCAATGCTAGTGGCTCTCCCAGTTACGGCGTTTGGATTTGGTTTGTGGTTTCGATCCCGATAACATTGCTGTCGATAGTGCTGTATTACTTTGATGTTGGGCAGATATTGCGCGATATTTGGTCGATGTGCGGACAGCTGCGGAGATCCTTGACAAGACTTCTATCCAAGGGCGGTTAAGGACCTTTCTAGGCGCATTTTGGTGCGTACTTTTCTTCTACTTTTGAACCAACTCTCCTTCACCTTGAATATTCCAACAACCGGTTCTCAGGATGCCTTTACACACTGAACAAATGAGTCAGGAGGCATTGTCATGCTGTACCCAAAATCCCAATTCGCAAACACAGGCGGTTGCGAAGAAATTCAACATTCCCTGTACATCGTTCCACAGACACGTCCAGGGAGCACATGCGCGAAATGACAACAATATTGTAAATAAGCGGCTTGAGAAACACCAGGAATGGGTTCTCTGATGCCTGATTGACCAGAGAATTGAGATGTGCCAGCTCCCACTGATCAAGATGATTAAAAATACAGCAGAGATGATTCTCCACCATAATCATGCAGGCTGTGGAACTTCTGCTCCCAAAGCCGGTGAATCCTGGACATACCATTTCGCGAGGATAATTCATTGGAATCTATCCGTTTCCACCACATACGACTCACCTAATCCAGCCATTAAAAGGGGGCCCCTTTCCGCAGTACAAGCACTACCATGGCCTTGCTGTTAATATGGCTGCTCGCTCAGGGGGGAATAACTTTCAACATATGCTAGTTTCTTTGCCAAATTCCTCGAATACGCCCGACAGTCAGACATTCAAAGGTTCAACTGTTCCCGGTGGCTTTTCGCGACGGGGAATATGGCCGGTGGATGGGCATCTGATAATTCGAACTGCAAAGAAACGACTTCCTCCGAAATGCAGGCAACAGAGGGCGGTCTTGCAGAGCATCACGAAGCAGCTGAATCTCTTTAATGGATTTTCTTAGTAAAGGACAGTGTTGCCAGCATTCTGTCTAACCCGCCATCATCTTAGCAATTCTCACCAAAAGCCTCGACTCGATTTTGCGAATACATTGACGGCGCACATGCTCTTTTGAATCAAGTACAGTCACAAATCGAGCAAATATCGCCGCATTGCCACAGCGCCTTCACACCTCGCTCGTCCTATGCTGGATTGAAATGCTTTGATGCGGGGTGCAAACAGGGCAACAGAGTCGCGCAAAGCTGAAGGATTGCAAAAGTGTCAAGTAGTTAGCAAACCATGCTGGAACAGTGAGGAGTGTTACAAATGCCCCTTTAGAACAGGTTCCTCTCCCCACTGTAGGTGCTATAGGTGAGGTGGGTGAGCAGATAAGTAATGAGACCAAGTGTAAGAATGTCTGCTGGGCTGTGCCAGACCATGAGAGATTGGGATTCGCGGTGAAATCCACCAACCCTACACTCGGATGTAATCTCTTGCAGCCTGGGGTGCGGGTAGCAGAGAAGCAGATGCTGCCACCACCTTCTGCCGCCAATCCTGAGTTGTTCCGGTCGTCCGTGTTGCAGTCACTTTTCTCGCGCAGCTACCGGCATGATTCAGCTCGGCTCATGGTTACATGCTGCAGATCTCTGCAAAAGGGACTATGCGGTGTTATCAGCAAGGAGGGTATGCGAATACGAGGAACAATGGTAAAATAAGCAATGTTGGTGGTAAAATACAGAAGATGGTAACAGCCTTGAAGCGGCGAGAGAACGAGGTTTATAACCAATACTAACGGAACACCAACCCCCCTTGCACAGCTTCGCTGTTGCCAAGCAATTATCATGAAGCCGAAAGTTACCTGGATTGGCAGGTGGGGTTGTTGGGGTTGTTTCGTTGTCTTCTTGAGGTCTCTCAGCTCTATATAGCCTGATCCATTCTCTCAACGGAGCTTTGTTTTCTATTCTGAGTCCCCCCACCCTCATCCACGAGGAGAGAGGCGTACCTAGGTAACCGCCCCGTTATCTAAGCTTTACTGGCTAGTGACGTGCCTTCCTCGAGACTGAGAAGAGTGATAGTATGGCTACGTCCACCTTTTTGAATTCCTCTTTTGATCCCATACTCATGCGTTGGGTCTAGAATTGTGATCGATGCTCTCAACTAAGCCCAATAGCCAACATGTCATCTTCAATATCATCTGACCCTCATCCTTGGTTGCGGGAGATTTATCGAGGTGTTTCCGTGAAAGCCATGTATGATGAATGCCCATTTTCATTTTTCCTACAATGCAAGGATGCAGTAAGGGGCACCTAATAAGAAAAAAGGAGAAGAGTTGAATGCACCAAGCTGATTACTTGCTCTTTGAAGTGTCGTCCTTGTTCCCGGTATTGGAATTCCGTTGGATAGATGGCAAAATGGTGATGGAGGGATGTGGCTTAAGAGCATGCCGCCCACTTCTTCACCTGAAATTGCCGTCTACTCTTTTGAGCACAATATAAAGCCTGACGATAGCTTCTCTTGGAACAGTGTCTTTGAAAGCGGAGATAGGCTGTTTCGCGAGTTGACCGAGCTTACGGGCAAAGATGTATGTTTTGCGCTTGATCGATCTGTGGCTGTTACGATATTTTGCTTTTGTGAAAAATTACTGACATAGCAAATCTGTTTATTTGCAAAGACCCAAAGTTGCCCTATTATTATCATCTCCCACAGTCTTGGTGGGATAATTGCGAAGGAGGTATGTCCCACCGACATGCCTGACCGGCTCGCATTTATAAGTACCGACACCACATGCAGGCAATAAATCGACTCTCGCAGTTCTCCGAGCTTTGGAAGAATATGGCCGGTGCCATTTTTCTAGGAACACCCCATTCAACATCTCCTGACGTGCATACATGGGAAAAGGCTGGAGCTATCTTACGACTGTATGCCCGAACGAAGAATGCTCCCATACGTCCCAATCCCAAGGAGTCTGAGAAACTTGCCCAGATCTGTTCATTGTTCGAACAAGTGTTTAACCAGATTCCAGTTCTCTCAGCTTATGAAACTTCTCCCACGAGGATCGGGTCTTTTCTTTCAAGTAAAGTTCTGGTAGGTTGGCGTCCCATCTACCCGTTGTCCCATGAAATTAACTGAACCCTTTTTTAAAGCTGGTCAGTCGTGAGCTTGCAGCAATAAATATCAGTTCCGAGTCCTTGGTTCAGGTCGAAGCAAGTCATGATAAGTTGTGTTGTCTGCAAGTTGGAAGCTATCCTCTTGACCAAATCAGCTCGTTTCTGGAGTCAACTTTTGAAAAAGTCCGGCAAAATATGCAACAATGTATGTTGTGAGAAGTAGTTTCACTTCTCGGTGATAGACTTTTAATACTATTTGTAGATGTACCTCCACTACCTATGTACGAAGAAGCTGGAGGTACCAGCGTTGGAGGCTCGGTTCTTAACATGCAAGGTATGTAATGCTGGGCCTGGGTAATATACTGGTGATTATTTTTATACTAATCGACGCAACTATATGCAGAAAAGGAACAGGAGCTAATGAGAGAGGTTTCTAACCTCGCCACTCAAGGCTCATCTTCATTCGGATTTGAAGTGATACCACTTATCTCAGGTTTCGATGTTGATAGAAAGGATCCACGTTTGCCATGTTACATTATGCCATCCCTTCCACGTAACCACACTTTCTTTGGGCGGTCCGAGATATTGGAAGAGATGAAGAAAATCCTACTTGTTACAGCCCAAAAGGAAACGCAGGATCTACCTGAGGAGTCCAGATTACCTATCGTTGCACTATATGGCCCAGGGGGTATGGGGAAAACGCAAATTGCAGCAGAATTTGTCTATTCATTGCAATCCTCTTTCGATGCAATTTTCTGGTTACAAGCTGATGAAGAAGTGAAACTGTCTCAAGGATATACTGAAATTGCTACAAAACTCGGGTTGGTTCTCGAAGACTCGGCAGATGCGCGAGACCCAGTCATCGTTAGAGATCTAGTCAAAGCATGGCTGCAAAGTCCCCTCAAAACTTACCAACGACAGGAGAACTCGACTTTTGCAACCTGGCTCCTTGTTTATGACAACTTGGATAATATAAGTCTCATAGAAGACTACATGCCATCGAGCTATGCCTGCGAAGGAGCGGGAGCACTCCTTATCACGAGTAGAGATCCTCTCGTGAAGCAATACGTGGCCTCAGATGACAGCGCAGCTATTGCATTGCCCCCTTTTACGACGGAGGAAGCTGTGGAGTTCTTGCTTAAGCTCACTTGCCGACAAAATGAAGACTCAGAACGAGAGAGTGGCAATACTGTGGCTGAACGTCTTGGAGGATACCCTCTTGCTCTAACACAAATGGCCGGTATCATCTCTCGCCAGCAGCTTTCTTTCGCTGAATTTCTCCGGGTATTTGAAGAAGAGGAGGTTCGTTCTAGATTTTTCAAGATGCAGGGAAACCCAAGGAAACGGGGTTCCTATCAGCATACCCTTGACACAGTGTGGGCGCTGGGAAAATTGAGCAGAGCCGCCACCATGCTTTTAGGCGTCTTGTCATTCCTAGATCCCGATAGCATCCCGGAATATATTCTCCGAGATGTCGGCTCTAAAGTTGATGTTGAGGACTATCCGAAAACAGAAGCTGAATATAATGAGGCGCGTACCGAACTTTTGCAATCATCACTGATCGCTAGAGACTGGAAAACGCAAAGGATTACAATCCATCGACTTGTGCAGGATGGGGCAAGGTCAAAAATGAGTCAAGAGAGATACAATTTGATATTTTACTTAACAGTCAGACTTTTATTTTTAGCCTGGGCGTTTGAAGAATTTTCTTACGACTACACAGTTTCAACCTGGGCAACAAATTCGGTGCTCTTCCCGCATCTATCACAATTGCATCGTCATTCCTCAAAGGCGGAAATTCCTCACACTGTTACTCTGGGAAGTTTGGAGCTCTCGAGACTCTTGAGTGCTGGTGCAAGGTGACTTGTTTACCCTAGAAAGTCGTACCTTGAGATACTCTTATACTGATCTGACCTCTAGGTTCCATCATCGGCGGGGAATGTCTTCAGAGTCAACACCATATCTGAATACAGCGATGAGTCGATGCAAAACACTCCAAAAGAACTTGGAGGGCCATCACGATTCCGAATCCAAAGCTCTCTCCAAAGTCATTAAAGTTCTGATAGCCGAAATACACCACGACCTAGCTTCAGCTGCCATAGTCACCAATCAAATGGCAGTTGCTCGTGCTCACTTCTCGGCAGCTTATGAGATAAGACTGGAATTTGCCGCAGAGAATCCTGGAAAGGCTGATAGAAATTTGATCATCGCAACTAACGAGATGGGGAATACACATATGATCTACAAAGAGTGGACACAAGCTTGCGAAGTCTACCGCCGGACCGTAGATATGATCAAGCAGCTAGATGTGGACACAATCGAAAGAGTGGACCTTTTATCCGTGCCTATGGCGAATCTTGCTTGCGTCAACTGGATCCTCGGCAGGCTTGAAGAAGGCGTTAAGATCGCGACTGAAGCTTTAGCTGCACGTAAGGCCCTCTACGGATCTGATGACACCAAATCAATGATGTGAGGTTAGACTGTTTCATGATACCGGTATTCTTCTGCTGGAGCTGATACTGACCAAGAATCCGGGATGGATAGAGTTGGGAGGATACTTCACCAGTACGCCAATTTGCGAACCGCCCAAGGGCGCCTGGACGAGGCATTCGAGCTTGATGTTAGGGCATTAAAGCATAATTCAACTGTGCTAGGAAACAAGCATCAGCATACTACGGACTTTCGCGTTGCAGTTGCAACTCATTGTGCTAGACAAGGGAAGAACGATGTAGCGATGTAGGTTTGCTTTTGCTTTTATAATAGCAACCATCAACGAGCAGCATCATGGATTGACTCATTACAGGACCCTATTCGAACAATGCTTGGCGATCTTCACCTCGCGAGAACATTTTGAGCCCGAAACCGCGCGGGTTCTATACCGGAAAGGGCAGCTCCACGTCAAGATGGGCCATATTGACGAGGGAAGAAAAGATCTCAGCAAGGCGTGGGACCTGTACTGCCAGCTGAAAAAGGAAAGACATGAAGATATGAAACATAGGATAGAGGACTTGACTGATGAGGATTTCACCGACTTGATTACTTTCTGGTCAAGATGAACTTCTGTTCATTGGTGACAGGTATTTGTCAATGATCAATAGTATGCAGCATGATCTAGATGTCCATCCACGACTTGCAGTCCCGGCGTTCATTTATGGTATTGTTCAAGGTCTTATGGAGCAGGTACCGGTTCTAGTTGGCACGTCGGAGAAACCATCTTTCTAACGTAGTCCTGTCGGGGTTAATTTGCTCGTCGGCACAGAAGTCGAAACAGCACTCTTAATGCTTCTTCTTCGACTACTAGCCCTTTTACCGGTGTCAATTGCTCTCACTTTGACAGAAGCAAGCCTTCTACCCAAGTCCCAGGAAACCATTATTCCATCTTTGCAAAAACGGCGAGGAGCAACGATAATGGAGTTATTTTCCGGTATCGAGATCCCTTTGCACTTCACAGCAGTCTTCGGTAGTAGCAGGCTTTTTACAATCCGTCATATCTTGTGGCTTGTTTGAGCTCCATGTGAAAAAGTGCTTGAATCTGATGCTTGGGGAGCTGCTCGCCGGGTCGTCGATCCGCCTCGTGACCTAAACAAGCGAGAAAGCACAATATGGCTGATATCCTTCACCATGCAAGCTGAATGAAAGTTATAATCATAAGGACTCATGAGAGCGCGTTTCGAGTGCTTAATCCATTACATGTTGGTGGTCCCCATGGTTCAGCTCCTTCCTAGTTAGGATTAGCCCACGTTAGTCAGCATAGGTGTAGATAGTTTGCCCGACTCCGGGGAGCATATATGAGGCACCAACAAAAACAAGTGGGGCATCGACATTCGGACCGTGAAATTAGATAATCCGAATGCGGCGGACCCACTGTTTTTTGCGGCATTTACTAAATTTTTCCCGCACAAAGAAAAGGGGTGAGCAGCTCACAGGCAACTTGAGTGCTCCGGTAAGTGTTCACCTGTGATGAAAATACTCAGTAGCACTCCTCTGAGTGCCCTCATGAAAGCACGGGCATCCAGAAGGGGAAAGCCAATGTGGTTCTAGAAATCCCATTTTATATAGTGGCATATATCGAATTACTACAGTACACTCCATATGTCCTCCGTATGAAACCTACGCTCATAGATCCTCGATCCGTCCCAACAACCACTCGAGATGGCGGTAAGACACTCTGGGCTGGTACTGAGGCTGCATATGGCCGCTCTGGTACGTCTCAACGAACATCAGACCACGCTCGTAATGCTGAATACCCATCACGCCCTGGCCGCCAAGCGGGGCTTGCCCGTTCTCCTCGTACACCTGCGCGTACATCAGGTCGGGAGCGTCGATGACAATGGGCTTGCTAGGCTGCTCCTGGAATCCCAGCTGTCCGTTCCAGGTCATGTTCTGGATCGCCAGCAGCGTGCCGTCCGTGAGGATGATCATGTCGTAGTCGCCGTTTCCGATGAGCACACGGTTCGTTGCCTCGATCACCTGCGGGAGTACTTTGTCTGTCGGGTTTGCCGAAAAGTCACCCTCCTGCTCGGGGCCGCCATCGCCCCCGATGAACACTGGGTTGTTCGAGCATTCCGCCCAGGTCACGTTGAGCGGCGCGTGCAGGGCACGCTTGACGTCTGGCCGGTCAAAGTATACCGATGCGCCTTCTGGCTGGTAGACGAGTGCCGTCGGGAATGCAAGCACGTCCCATGCAATCGGGCACATCAGGTTGATCTCGTAAACGTCGAAGCAGGGGTTGATGCTGGTCACTTCGTTGTTGATCAGATCGAAAACGTCGCATTCGGCCTCCTCGGTGTAGTTAAACATCCGCGGTGGTTGCACTCCCGACGCAGGGAACGTCAAGTATTGATCTAGATATTCTTGGTACCCGCAGGCTTCATGAAGGCGGTTCAGTTCCTGCATAAAGGTCTCGTTGAAATTGAAGAGGTTAGCGTTCTTGTTGACGAACGGCACGGCCGGCACTTCCTCTTGTACGTAGTCGAACTGCCCGATGCATGGATCGTAGACAAGAGCGCCTGGTTGTTATTGTCAGGATATCTTGCACTCGGTGACCTATGAAGAAGGGATATCTCACCTTGGAGGTCATAATATTCCGGGTCTTTCTCATCCAGGAAAGCAGCGGAGATGTAAGGCACATAGCGCCCCGCGTAGCTCTCTCCAGTCACGTAGATCTTGAAGTTCTTGATCCCGAAGATGTTCTGGAAGTTCTTGAAGAACTTAACAAAGTCCGCTGCGGTTTCTTCCTGGGTGGTAGCGGTGGGGGTACCGAGGGAGAAACCAGTCCCGACAGGTTGATCGACCCTTTTGTTTGATCAGTGTGTGCCAGCATATGTTAAGAGCAGTGGAACAATCATACCATAGGATATTGGTCAAGTTCACCCAGGAGTACGGGTTCTCCACAGGGGCAAAGGTACCGGGTTGCCAAACGAATCGCCCGTTCTCCTGGAAGAAGGCCTCGAGGGAGCTGCAGCCCGGGCCTCCATTGAGCCAGATGGTGACCTCATCAACGGGATCACCGAGCTTGGGTTGGAACACGAAGAACAGACTGCGAGAATCATCACCGAGGTCAATGGGAACCGATCCGGAGTACATCTCGCCAAGATCGAAGGGAACATCGGGCAATCTCTCGACCAGGTACGCTGTTGGATGAAGGCATCGGTCAGCTCAACTTTCAATTCTCAGGGTAGATCAAACAGTGACACACGGGCAAGCACGTACGCTTTGTCTCGTGAGTCAGGAAGCGGAAGTCCTTCTGCGGCTGTGCATTATGCCCCTGAGTGAGCTCGGGGGCACGCTTCGTCAGATCGCGAACATCGCGGGCATGCTGGGCGAATCGCCCAAACTTGCCCTTGGCGGCAACATTGCCTACCAGCAATGAACAGCCCAGAAGCGTCGATGCGAGGAACGATTGGAACCTCATGTTGGCTCGCTAGGGAGGGTTCACAATGGTAAAAAAGGGTGCAAGGAAGCACTGATGCAGATCCTTGGGATGTTCAGGGACCATCCTGAATGCGGATGGCACCAGCCTTATATGCTTCTGCGCAGATGTCACCCATCCTGCTTCTGGAAGGCTTTCGGGAATCAGGGGATCTGCGGATGCTGATCGATGCAGCCCCTGAGCGGGCGAGGTGGACGAAGCGAGAGTCGAGATAGACGGAGCCGCGACGGGGTGATATGATCCCTGGCTGACATTCGATGCTTCTATTCGCCCAGCGCCACGCGCAATCAACACAGGGTTACAGCGAGACATGACCTGCCAAAATCGGCTGGTTGGAGTGGGAACTTGGAAGATGCAGAGATAAGGAATACGGACGTAATAAGATTACGACGTAAAACGGACGGTAAGGATGAGGCATTAAGTGACGGCGACGCGACGCGCATGCGACGTGGATTGCGGAATAAGGACCAGGATGCTGATAGTAATAATAACCCGTATGCATGAGACTGACCAGAAAAGCCTCCTGCAGCTAAGCTTTTGCCCAGAGATCACAGACAAGAAGATCTGGGGAAGAACACGAGCTCCCCAAAGAGGAAAACGTGATGCCATCACCACTTGCTTTCCCCCCTCTCTTCCTGCAGACGACAGCTGATGGATTTATTAACTGATGGATACGACAGTGTATTCCATCAAGTTCTGTCCATCACACGCCATCTTTCTCCCCCAATAATAATGTGACGCCTGCTTGACCGGCCGAGGAAGCGTTCTCCGCTAGCGACTTGGCAGAGATAATTCCTTCGCCTCGTCTCCTCCCCGGCCTGCTTCATCTCCAGAGTCCACAATTCGCATCGCCTGTCGCTGCTACTGTCGCTCTGTCCTCTTCCGCCACAGTCCAGACGACGATATTATCGTCCTTCGCTGCAGTGACACCCTCTTCCCATCGGCAAGTTTCAAGACCATGTCTGTACCCGACGGGCCTCATGGATCCTCTAACACACATGAAGTTCGTGAATCGAAGCATGATGCTTCCAAGATTCCATACGCGTCTCAGCCGGAGAAATACCCGGCCGATGAAGCCGAAACAGATGGCTCAGGAACGGTAGCTCCGAGTGAGAAAAACTCTGGGCCTTCAGTGCAATCGGCTTTTCCCCCACCATCTGCTCATCACGGACTTGATGGCGAGGATTGCCTTCACAGGTTGTCATCTGCGAGTACCGACTCAGATCGTTCCGTACACATCAATCCACCGAGTCGAATGTCGACCGACGCCAATGGCAACACCTATCCAGAGGGCGGACTGGAAGCGTGGCTGGTGGTATTTGGCAGTTTCATGGGCCTGTTTGCCTCCCTCGGTATGATCAATTCTATCGGCACATTCCAATCATATCTCGACACCCACCAGCTCAAGGATTACAGTTCTGGCAGCGTCGCCTGGATTTTCGGCGTGTTTGCTTTCTTGACCTTTTTCTGCGGCGTCCAGATCGGTCCTGTCTTCGACTCGAGGGGCCCGCATCTGCTCGTCCTTGCAGGATCGGTCCTGGTCATGGTAATGACAGTCGCCATGGGTTTCTGCACACAATACTGGCATTTTATGTTGGTCATAGGCGTTGCTGGAGGCGTAGGAACGTCCCTAATATTCACACCCGCTATATCAGCTGTGAGCCACTTTTTCTTCAGGAGAAGAGGCTTGGCCACCGGCTTAGCTTCTACTGGCGGTTCAGTGGGCGGAATTGTCTTCCCTCTGACTCTGGAGAGTCTCTTCCCGAAAGTCGGATTTGCATGGGCCACTCGAGTCGTCGCCCTGCTCTGTCTGATCACCCTGATCTTCGCCTGCCTCCTGGTCAGGTCTCGACTCCCAAAAACGCCCTTCTCCAAGGAGAACATCCTCCCCGATTTTCGTATCTTTAGAGACCCCAAGTTTGCACTTACGACAGCAGGCGTGTTCTTCATCGAGTGGGGTCTGTTCATCCCGATCAGCTATATCTCTTCATATGCGCTGGCCCATCACGTCTCTGACCGTTTTTCCTATCAGATACTCGCTATTCTCAATGCGGGTTCTGTCTTTGGAAGAGCCCTTCCTGGTATTTTTGCCGATTTTCTCGGTCGCTTCAATGCTCTTATCGTCACGGTCACTCTGTGTCTTCTTTGCAACGTGTGCCTGTGGCTCCCTGCCGGTGACAGCGTGCCTCTGCTGGTCGTCTACTGTGTTATATTTGGCTTTGCGAGCGGCAGTAACATCAGCCTCACTCCCGTCTGCGTTGGCCAGCTCTGTAAAACGGAGAATTACGGGAGATATTACGCTACAGCGTACACTATAGTCAGCTTTGGGTGGGTTTACTTACCCTTTGGGCACTTGACTTTCGATTCATCCCGTGGCTAACGTTTCAATTCTTGCGCCAGCACTCTTACAGGAAATCCAATCGCAGGAGAGATTCTTTCTCGTTGCAGTGGAAAGTACTGGGGTCTCATTACGTTCACGACGTGCTGCTACGCAGCTGGTCTAGCGTGTGTCACAGCGGTGAAACTGATCCATGTCGGTTGCCGTCGACCTTGGGCCATCTATTAAGATGAACAGGTCTCTATATGGAATTACCTTGTATTTCCAGTCTATTGGACTTATATCAAGTCTTGAATTTTAAAAAAGTTTCTAATCTAGATGCCATTGGAAAAGAGAACCAAGAAGAAAAACTTTTCAGCGGCATCACACAACACAAAAAAAAGGGAAAGAATGTATCACATTTCATTAGCACAAAAATATCGTGACGATTTAATGACCCAAGAAAATAATAATGATGCTCGAATGCAGCCCAAGGTGAATATTCTGTCAGTTCTGTTCCTTGCGGATTCGTCCGTATCCACCATTCCGCACCACCGCATGAAACGACGAGTTTACGCACTCCCTACACTACACGAGAGAAACAGAAAGAAAAACATACTTAATAATGCGATAATACGAACAGCACAACGGAAATATCACAGACTGCTTGCTGGATGACGAAATTGTCGAGATGTATTTTCGGAAAATCGTTCCGAACAAACCTCGACCCGGTCCCATGGGAACGATGCTATACAAGACACTTACGCAGACGACATCGAAGAGCACTGCGATGGTAATCGGATGGGTCTATCAACATGAAGTATGCGCGGAGAATTCGTTGCAGCGTTAATTGCACTTGGGAATGGTAAGATCCTGGCCGTCGCGCAGCCCCCATACTGAGCTTCTTGGATTTATTTCATGCTATAGACAAGCCTAGCTTGCATATTGAAGGATTATCCCGGTCACTTTGCACCTTCAAGTTTTACGTGTATACTATATAATTTTTTTGTTTGTTTTGTTTTGAAAGAAAACAAGAAGTTGATGTTTCGTCTTTCTTGATATTTATTCCTGCCGTTGACTACGCTGCCAAAGTCTTCTCTTCACCTCTATGCTTCCATCAGTACAGTCGACATATACGTCGAGTCCAAACTAAAAACTATATATCAGCCGTCACAATGATTGATGGACCGCATATTTTCCCATGCTGCACAGATATCCCATGGTTCGACTATCTCTGGTTGGATCCTATACAGGCTCTTGACTGGCCTAACCGTTCTGTATTGAATGATTTCCTGGTCTTCAAGCAGTACCTACCCCCGATGACATACAGAGTTCATCACTATATTGAACAGGCTGAACACATATATATCGCCGCCTACTTTTAGGGGGTCCTTTTTCCATTTCTTTCTGTTGTCTTTTCTCTTCCCTCCGTGAGATTGCTCAGGCCACTTGCTACCTACTTTTCCTTGGAAGCCCTACCCTACCTCTATCTACTTACGCACCTATCTTACCCATCTGCCTTGTCAACCCTTTACCACCAAGGGCTAAAAAGAAAGAAAGATGCGCACTTTGAATAAGCTCCTGGCATTGGCCAGTGCTTACGGGACCATATATCCCGGTGTGGTAGCATCGCCGGCACATATCTCGTCCCTGTCTGCTAGTTTGTCAGCAGAGGCCTTCTCAAGCGGTTTGGTGGCTGCTTCTAACGGTCTTATTCCTCATGCCGGAGGCCCCACCCCTACTGGTCCCGCTGGTGCTGGCGGCCCTAGCCCAGGTGCTCCTGGGGCCGGAGGTACAAGTCCCGGTGCACCTGGTGCTGGTGGTCCTAGCCCAGGGGCTCCTGGAGGCACTGAAATTAGCCCAGCTCGTCCCACGATTACCAGCAGCGTTCCCGTTGGCGGCCCAGGCGGTGCTGGAGGTCCCAGCCCTACATCTCACCCTGAAACCAGTGCTCCCGGTATCGGTGCAGGTGCGGGCACAACGCCTGCATCACCTCATCCCGTTCCAACACCCAGCGGTCTTAATGGTCTTAGCGGCCATCCAGCAGGTCCTACAGGCGTCTCTCCAGGCGCTGCAGGTGGTGCCGGGTTCGGCGGCGGTATTGCCATCAGCGCCAGCGGTTCTGCATGGGTATCTTCTGTATTCGTCGCCGGTGCAACCTCAATTGAATTCTCAATCGTCTCCATGGTCGCCACGAGCACATTCACGTTCACCGAGACCGTTACTGTCCAAGGCGGCGCCGGTGCCACAGGTGCACCCTCTCCTCCAGGCGGTGCGGGAGCACCAGGTGGTGCCTGTCCCGCTTCATGTATATCTACAGTCACCGTGACCGCGGGCGGGGGTGCAGGTCCCGCAGGTCCAGGCCCAGCTACAAGTGCACTCCCAGCTGTGCCAACCTTACCTATTGGCACTGGTGCAGGTACAAGCGCAATCCCATCGGCATCAGTATCAGCTCTCCCTGGCTCATCCGTCAGCATTGGCGTGGGACCAGGAAGAGGAGCAGGGGCAGGAGCAGGAGCAGCGACGAGTTTCCCCCGCCCAGTAACCTCCCCCGCGACCCCGTTCGTACGAGTCAGCAGCTTCCCGATCGGAGGCGGCGTGGGAGCTGGCGCTGGCGGCGCTGCAGGGGTAGGTGTTGGCGTCGCCTCAACCAGCTCTGTCATCCCGAGCGGTCCATCTATCTCTGTGCGTCCGTCGGTGCCCGTCGTCGTTCGGTCTGTGCGTGAGTCCGTTCCTACGGCTGCTCCGGCGATAACTTTCCATCGTGTTCGTGCAGCAGCTTGATTTTTGTGATTCTGGCTGAACGTGGCTGAAGAAGGAAAAAATGGGACGGATGAGCCCTAGACTCTAGTTCAGAGCAGCAAAGTTACCATGTATCCCATCCCCTGAAAAGAAAGAAAATTTGTTTATGGACATCTTTCTATTCGTGTTTATTTGTACAAGAAAAGGCATTGATGGATAGAATGAACTAACTGACGGACATTGATGGAACAGTAAGTAGACAGACAGCACAAAAGGTGAGGGATGGAAAAAACGAACATTTGGATTTATTTCTTTGTTACGGTAATTGTAACTGTTTCTGCCTTCTCTTTTTATTTTTCCGAGTATAAAATAAAGTCTCAATTAGCCATCACTCTACTCATAACTATAGGATTGTTGCTACACTTGAGTATATATCATGATGGTAACTATATACAGTGGTACCTAATAAGTTTTTGGCCCTGTATTTAATACCGCCTACCCTTATTCTGTATGCTACACCCTTTTTACTACTATCCTCATGCCCAACACCATGCCTCAAAGAAAAGGAAAGGACTTGGATCCAACATACTGTGCTCATATTTGTGAGCTTCATACTACCTGCTGATGGGGTGCTAAATGGATTCATAATGTGCATCCAGAGATTCCACTATCAACAATCAAATACACTTAAAATGGAGCACCAACGCCTTAATAATTCCTCTCTACCTTGTTCTGGTCGGCCACGCAAGCTTACTGAAGATGATTGAGATCATTTGTATGATGTTATTTCTACAAACCCACATGTAAAATACTGAGATCTATGGATGAGGTTGATAATGATCAAAAAAGAATCAATACGCAACCTCTTGAATGAAATGGGTTTCCACAAATGGCGCCAGCTTTCCTGACCAGCTTTATGCCATATCCATGCCACCAAACGACTTCAATGGGCAAGGAAAAATGAGTATTTTACACCTGAAGATTAGGCCAGAGTTTGTTGGTCAGACGAGTGCTCAGTTGAGTGTGGAGTTGGAGCTAGAGCTACTTGGACCTTTATTCAACCATCAGAACAATTAAAGGTTCATGATATCCATGCAAAGCCTCATAGCAAAGGTGTGAAAAAGATGTTTTGGGCTGGCTTTGGAGAGGATAGGAGAACTGGTTTAATTCCACTAGATAATAATCCTGAAGCTCCTCATAGAGGTGTTGGCTGGTTTATTATTGGGGCTTTATATCATGCTTGTTCTTCCTGAATTTATCCGCCCAGGAGATATCTTTATGCAAGATAATTCACCATTACACCAAGCTCATCTTATTCAAGATCTTTTGGGGGAATTGCATATTGAGGTAATAGACTGGCCACCATATTCTCCAGATCTCAATCCCATTGAGAATCTATGGGCATTAATGAAGGCAAAAATTTATGAACTTCGTCCTGAGCTTGAAAGCGCCTCTTAACACAGCTGAAATCCTTGAGCAGCTAATAAAGGCAGCTAAGGAGGCCTGGCAGGCTTTAGATAGGGTGATATTGGTAAAGCTATCAGATACAATGCCAAACCGGGTAAAAGCTGCCATTGAGGCTGATGGGTGGTATACAAAATATTGATTTTGTTGATTTTCGGAGGGTTTTGACCGGCAGAATAATTAGTAAGCATGAAAGGGGGCCAAAAACTTATATTAGGTGCCACTGTACTCCAGTTGTACGGCGTAACTCAACTTTGCCATGGATCGAAACCACTAAGTAGCCACGAAGACAAAAATCAAATCCAAAACCTTATAAAATCATACAAAACAGTAAAAACTCCGTCTTGCAGCCGGTAATAGCCGAGTTCTCCTAACTCTATCCTGACATACGCCAGTACGCGCTCCATACAACTAGAATTATGGACGCTGAACCTCAAAAAGAAACAGGAGCTTTCATCGACGAGTAGACGAACTAAATACAAACAAACACGGTAAGACATACAAGGCATAACGAAACCAACATGTAATTCAGAATGCATCATATGCAGATGTGGTGTCGATGGGCAACAAGGACAGCAAGGACCACACTGCAGTGTGAAGACAAAACAAAAAAAAAAAAAAAAAAAAAAAGGAACAAAAACGCTGAAGATTTTCAGGTTTAGAAAATGAAGGCAAAAAGGGAAAAGCAAGGACTAAAAATAAAAAGTAACAGAATTCACATGGGAGACCCCTTCTGTAATGTATTTATTTGCATTCCACTGCAAGGCGAAAGTCCGTACCACTTTCCTTCCAACACGCCAGGAACTCCATAACACCAGAGCTTCGGCTGATAAAACATCAACCAAAGAGACATCGAAGGAAACAACAGAAGGGGATACAGTTATAACATGATAGACACCATATAAAGATGGTGTCTGAAATATAATGCGTGAAACTCCGGTTAAGGAGGAAGATAGTGCCCTAAAGAGGGTTGTCAAGTCGACATATATCAAAAAAGGGCACGAGAGTAAAACAAAAGAAAGAAAGGGATATAATGTCCCCCATCCACAAGAGGACGAACAAAAACTATCATATAAGAAAAGAAAAGAAAAAAAATATCATGTAAATGGACAGACAGGGTATAAAAAAGGCTTGTCTAAACCATTCGGTAACAGAAAAAGCCAACTCGGGTGTTCGACGATTTGCACATTAGGCTTCAGGAGCTATTCGCTCGAAGCAGCGCTTGCTGTTATTCTCTATGATTAGACCCGGTTCAACCATTGACTTCTTCGCTCTCACTCACCCTTTCTGCGGCAAGTCTCAAATCGTTGTTGGCGTCGCTTGGGGTCTTGATGGAACCAGATGTTATGGCCCTGCCTTCCATACCTGGGCGGTGGTGACATTTTCCATCGGGTGATGTATGAACAGAGTGCATCTCGCCGCTGCTTCCCATGCGCGACTCCTTGCTCTTCTCCAGAAGTGGGCCACCAAGGGTTGCACACTTCAAGATCGTCTGGATCATTTGATTTTGCTTCAGAGGTTTCGAGAGATACTCGTCCATCTGGGCTTGGAGACATTTCTCACGATCACCCAACATTGCGTGTGCGGTAAGCGCAACAATCGGTGTACGTGGGAGACCCTTTTCTCTTTCGTACTCTCGAATCTTGCCAGTCGCCTCGAAACCACCCATCACCGGCATTTGGACGTCCATCAGAATAACATCGTAGCGCCGCTTCTTGAGAGCTTCCAAAGCTTCCAACCCGTTATTGACGACAGAGACATTATGGTTATGTTTCTCCAAGATTTTGACGGCCACTCTCTGGTTGACATCATTATCTTCCGCCAGGAGGATGTCAAAAGAACGAGAAACATCAGTGGTAATGGGCGTAGAACGATTCTCCAGCGCAGGCAGCATACCATTGCCCAAGTCAATGGGTTGGCAAGGTGTGGTCATGTAAGAGCTAATACCAAGATCCAGTGCCGACTTCAAACTGACCTTGACGACCGGGCAGAGTAAGACAATAGGTATATACTTGAATTCGTCAAACGTCCGCAAGATCCGGGCCGAATCTACACTGTCCACGATGATGACGTCGTAGGCATGGCCCGAGTCCTTGCCAGAAGGATCTTGGATCTCAGGGGGCGGAACTTGGTCTTCGGAGTTGACAACGAGCGGCTCGAGTTCGAGTTGCTTGAGCATATTGGTAATGTTCTCCGTTTCATTACCGTTCTGACCCTTATCAATGAATAGCACACGGTGCTGCCTATACGGCAAAAGCTGCGAACTAAGGACACTCAAGGATGGATCCGCAAGCTTCACAACACATGTGAAGTGGAAGGTGCTGCCATGGCCATACTCGGATGTGACCCAAACATCACCGCCCATCAGATTCACGAGGCGCTTCGAAATGGATAGACCGAGGCCGGTTCCACCAAACCGGCGAGTTGTAGATCCGTCCGCCTGCTGGAAGGTATCGAAGATCACGTCAAGTTTTTCCTCGGGTATTCCGATTCCAGTATCGGAAACAGAGAACTCAAATGCGTACTCATCCGCGGCACATTGCTCCCTTGTGGAGTTTTTGATGGTGAGCTTCACTTCTCCATGCTCAGTGAACTTGATCGCATTGCCAACTAAGTTCAGTATGATCTGACGAAGACGGAATGGATCTCCGATGACATAGTCGGGCACAGAGTTGTCGACCTGGTATGTCAAGCTTAGGAACTTTTCGTTAGCCTTGACAGCCAGTGTCTTGAGCGCGTTGAAGACGGTTCCCCTGGCAGTGAACGGGATACTTTCGATGATCATGCGATTAGCTTCGATCTTCGAGATATCAAGGATGTCATCAATAATCGTTAATAGACTGTTGGCCAAATTGTGCACCACATTCAGCATCTCGCGAGTGTACGGCTTAAGATCGTCCGAGTCCAGTGTTAGCTGCGTCATGCCAATGATACCGTTCATTGGAGTTCGGATTTCGTGGCTCATATTTGCGAGGAATTCGGATTTGGTGCGGTTAGCCAACTCAGCAGCCTCCCTGGCAGCGGTGTTTCGTTGAATACTATCCCGGAGGTTGGACACCATGCGGTTGATCTTTCGCTTCAACTCATCCATCTCGCCAGACGCGTTGACGGTAATAACCTTGGTGAAATCGCCGTCCATAGCAGCGTCCGTTATTTCTCCGAATGCTCGAACCTGGGATGTGAGATTATCTGCCATGGTATTCACATCCTCTGTGATCTCTTTCCATGTGCCGGCTATCCCTTCCACGTTCGCCTGGCCGCCCATCTTACCATCCACCCCGACATCACGAGCGACCTTCTTGAGTTCAGTTGCAAATTTAGCGAGTCGGTCCACCATGTGGTTGATGGTGACTTTCAGTGTGAGGATCTCTCCCTGGGCATGCACCGAGATCTTCCGACTGAGCTCACCCTTTGCAATAGCCTGCGTGACGTCCGATATACTTCGGACCTGGGATGTAAGATTCTGAGCCATGGTGTTGACATTGTCGGTGAGATCCTTCCATTTTCCCTCTACGTTGTCAACCTTTGCTTGTCCTCCGAGGGTACCGTCAGTACCGACTTCTCGAGCGACCTTGCTGACTTCAAAGGCGAAAGTGTTCAGTCGATCCACCATTCCATTGATGGTATTCTTAAGGTCGAGGATTTCCCCCTGGACGTTCGCAGTAACCTTTTTCGTAAGGTCACCTTTCGCGACGGCGGTCGTGACGTCCGCAATTTCTCGCACTTGGGTAGTAAGATTGTTGGCCATTCGGTTGACATTTTCCGTCAAGTCCTTCCATATACCTTCGACATCGTTAACAGTCGCTTGAGCACCGAGAACACCATCCGTTCCGACCTCCTTGGCTATCCTTGTCACCTCTTGGGCAAATTGCTGCAGTTGGTCCACCATGGAGTTGATGATGTTCTTCAATTCCAGAATTTCACCCTTGCAGTCGGCCTTGACTTTCTGAGTAAGATCACCTTGGGCTACAGCTTTCGTAACAGTCGCAATATCGCGCACTTGAGTCGTCAAATTATTCGCCATGGCGTTCACATTGACCGTAAGCTCGTTCCACATGCCCTGCACTCCTTCGATCTGAGCCTGTCCGCCAAGCACACCTTCTGTGCCGACATCACGGGCCACACGGATAACCTCGGTAGCGAAAGTGCGAAGTTGGTCCACCATGGTGTTGATCGTCTGCTGCAATTCGAGGATTTCACCTTGCCCTCCTCGCTCGATCTTCTGGCTGAGGTCGCCGTGGGCCACGGCAGTGGTAACCGTTGCTATCTCTCTGACCTGATCTCTGAGGTTCTTGGCCATTATGTTCACGTTTTCCGTAAGTTCCTTCCAGATACCATGCACTCCGGTGATTTGAGCCTGACCGCCAAGTTTACCTTCGGTGCCGACCTCTCGAGCGACTCGGGAAACCTCGCTACCAAAGACCTGCAACTGGTCCATCATAGTGTTGATGGTACGCTTGAACGTCGTGATTTCGGGGTCCATTTCAAGCGGATGGATCTGCACCTTCATCGAAAGGTCACCGTTGGCTACCTGGGTAATAATCCCGCCGATTTCCCGTAGGGCTTTCTGGAAAGCTTCGTTTGCCTGCTGGTGCTTGCGTAGCTCCCGCTCCAAACGAACAACATCTTCGTATTCCACCTTGGTCAAGGCTCGCTGCGTCTGTTCCTCTTGTCTTTGTAATTCGTCGCGCACCTGGGCGATGACTTCTTTCTGGAAACTGATCTCTTCCGCCTGCTTCTGTACATAGTTGCGTAGGTAACTGATATCCGCCTCGCGGACGAGCTGCGTCCTGGCGTCGGGGTCTTCATCGCTTTCATCGTCGATATCATCACCGGAGTCTTGGTCGTCAGATCCGGACGATCGTCTCTTCGAGCTGGACTGGGAATTGTTTTGCTGCTGGACGCGAGAAAAAGGAAAAGAAAAAATATCAGTAAGGAAGGCATGGAGAGGGTGTGGCTTTTAGAGACTAACAGCCTGGAATTCTAAATAATGGACACGACGTGCCAAAGCCTCCAGTTCCTTCTCAAAGACCGTCTTTGCAGCACTCGGGGCACCCGGTAAGTGGATGGTTTTGCTTTCGCAGCCATTGGAAACGGAAGGGGGGAATTTGAAATCGAAAGGAGGAGCGGAGGGAGCGACGCCAGGAACACCCTTGGCAAGTCCTTGGATGATGGCAGTGGCAGCTGCCAGCGTCTCGTCCGCGCTGGTCATGGTGCCTGTACAGGTTGAGAGACAGGGTTAGAACAGTTGGAACAAGAAACGCGGTCAGAGTATGTAACGGAGGGATGAGGCAATCCCGACACCGCCACGCCTCGGCAGTGACAAATAGAGGGAAAGGAAGAAAAAACCAGTTGCTAATGAAGGAATAATAAGAGCATTGTGGGATTCAAGACGGGAAGCTTACCAGACGGAGGAAGCTGAGTGTCCCTAACAGAAGATAGAGGCGCGGTGTTGAAATGTGCTAGGACCACATGAGGCGTTTCCGGGTATTAGGATCGATAGGATTATAACCGGGAGATGAGATGCAGAGGTTGAACGAAGCGGGATGGGAACTGAAAATAGAACAAAAAGGGGTTGGGGCAAAAAAAAAAAAAAAAAAAAAAAAAAAAAAGCGGACTGGGTTTTCCGAATGGAAAGATGGAGCAGGATACACACACACAGAAAGAGAGGATAGTTTGGGGGAGGTTCGTCGGGATTTCAGTCAGAAGGGAGGGGGGCAAAGGCGAAGCCTGGGGGAAACGGTCGGGGGAGAGAAGAGAAGAGGATGACAAACTGCCACACACTCTGATAGCGATAGGAGCAGTCTTACAGTTTAGGATAATAATGTACAGTCAGTACACTACAGTTACTCGATCCAGAGACAAAGTTTTCTGTCATTATTATTAACCGACCCCTACGGTAACCTTCGGGGTCGCGCGTATTGTTATGATTATTACCACAATAACAACTTGGACTGATATAAAAAGACAAAACAATGGTTCGCACGGCGGGACGAGCACCTGTGGAATTGCTGGGAAAAATGGGGAAGGCAGATAATAATACCGCCGTAATAGAAACAACCAGAGGCGACCCATGGTCTTGTATGGGCCATAATTATCCATACCCAGTGTACCCAGTGTAATCAAATATCGCTAATAAAACAGTTCTCTACTGAAAACAGAACAGTGGCAAATCTGAACCTCCCTGCTGAAACAGCGTCATAAATACTAAGTTATTACCGTGATTACAGTGATATACGAGCAACCTACGACGCCTCGCAGCGACGATCTCCAATTGATGCAAAGTACTGAGTAGTCAGTAGTAGTGTGTATCCAGCAAATGATCATCAACACAGACCCCTTGGCGAATGCAGATATCACACTTCCTTCGCCCCAGATTCAACCGACGCTGTTAGCTGCAGATTTTAGGTTTCCCTCTGTCTCGAGGCCGACGCGGTGTGCTGCACCATTCTTTGCATCAACGCATCCGTGTTCGCTTCGATATTTGCACCTCTTCGTCATTCCCCATCGACCGTCTACGGTACACTTCATCTCACGCATACATAAGGTCGTCATTTCTTTTTATGAAAAAAAAAAAAAAAAAAAAAAAAAAAAAAAAAAAAGACAAATTAAAAATAAAATAATCCTGAAACAGAAAGAGAACGGGATTGGCATTTCAGCCTGTCCTTTGCTTCTTCCTTGTCATACCCTCATGTCCTAAAACACAAGATCTTTAAATCCCAGCGAGCTTTTCTTTTGTATCAAGTACCAAGTCTATAAGAACTTATCATGAGAAATAGCTAGGGACATAATGAACGGGTGAAAACCGTTCCCATCCTTCCCTTCTCTAACATGTAGCGGTCTAATCCTTCTCCAATCTAACCGCAGGGTTGGTCTCGATGAAGTTGAGGTCGACTTTATGTCCAAGGAGTTCTCGGATATTGCTCACTCCATATCTATGCTGACGTTAGTGACTTTTGTTCTCTCCATAGACAAACGGGAAACAGGAACGCACTTAATCATAGTAGGTCTCTCAAGACTCAGACCAAATCCATATACCCTTATATCCTTGGGCAGTCCCATCGGCTCCAACATCTCAGGTCTGAACATTCCGCTGTTGCCGATTTCCACCCACTTACCTAGTCCCCCGTGGTACCCGAAAATCTCCATGCTAGGTTCCGTGTAGGGATTGTACGCGGGCTTGAAACGCAATTTGTGAATGCCCATCTTGCCAAAGAAGACCTCCATGAATCCAATCAGCCCGCCCAGAGTGAGCCCGAAGTCGGCAATCACACCTTCGATCTGGTGGAACTCGGCCAGATGGGTTGCGTCCACGGCCTCGTTACGGAAGACTCGGTCGATACTGAAGTACCGTGCTGGTCGTGGATTTGCCGCAAGTTTGTGCAGCACGTAGGTCGACACGGACGTAGTGTGTGTACGAAGAACCAAGCGAAGTGATTCATCCGGGCTCCAGGGATAACGGTACCCGATGGACCCGTACTTTCCTGACTCGTGGACTTGGCGGACATTTTCCCAGTATTCCTTGTAGTCGAGCGACTTCTCAGTCGTCGCCTGGGACTTGGGCTGCGATGACTTCGGTCTGTGGGGGTCCTCTAGAGGATCCTCACGAGGAGGATCGGCCTTGGGGGGGTCGGCGACATAGAAGGTATCTTGGAGATCACGGGCGGGGTGTTGTTGTGGTACGAACAGGGCGTCGAAATTCCAGAAACCCGTCTCTACATACCGGTTGGTGGGCATTTCCTCGAATCCCATTTCAAAGAAGATGTTGCGGAACTCCTGCCGCACCTTGTTCAGAGGATGTAGCGCACCAGTCGAGACGGGGGCGCCCTTGGCCTTGAAGTTGTATGGCTTTAGCTTCGCCGTCTTCCAAGACCCATTCATGAGCATCTCAGCAGTCAGATCTGTCTGCTCCTTCACAAATTCCCTAGCAAATTTGGGACCCTTCGAGATCTTGAAGTTGATCACCTTCTGCAAGGTAATCAACTTCCTTTTCTTCAGATCTGCAACAACCTTGGCATCTCCCAGGGTCTGAGTCCGTTGGATCGTCTGCAACTGCTCCCTCGTCTCGTCAACAATGGAATCGGCATTCGCCCGCAATAGATCCTTATCCTTCTTAATCCATCCTCTCTTAAAAGCATTTCCTTGCCCGATCTTAGCATTATCCTTGCCGACAATCCCCGGCAGCTCGCTAATCTTCAACCCGTCAATCGCAGCAACCACGGCCTCGTAAACTTTAGCTTCATGGCTACCGTTGGCAACAATTTCCTCTCCCTCCTTCGTAAGAGTAATAACTTCCCGATCAATCGTTTCATACTCGACCATATGTCGTGAAGCTAGGCGGTCAACCGCACTTTTCACGTTCAAGGAGGGGCTGGAGGGGAAGGCTTCGCTAGAAAGAATAGGTCCATCAGACGCGGACAGTGCGTCCAAAACCGAATTCGTCAAATCGGACGCCATGGCTGCTGCCGTAATCCACAGGAAACGGAGAACGTTAAAACGGGCAGCCGGGGGGGAGCGGTCGTAAATGGAATTTGAAGATACCTAAGGTCGATCCGACCTGAATTATTATGACTCTTTTCGGGCACTTGCAATACGGTTGACGATAAGGACCAGCATTACACCACGTGACCTACCAGGCTCTGTTCAGTTCTTTCATGGAGCAAAGCAAAACCAAGGGAAAGGTATTGATATTACTAGACATTCAACCATCAGGCCGGGTTCTTGCTTATAGTCATACTGTGTAGTACGAAAATTCTAGATGGGACTCTAGGCACAAGTCAAGAGGCTCTGAAACAACCAAACTGGCATCATTCATTATCCTACTAGTAAGATACTACTGTGTATTTGCCTCTCTGAGTACTAGCAGACAAGAGATCAGAGATAGAATGGAGAATGTCCCACCCGTATCTGTGCCCCAGCACATTTCACTTTGTTACTGTGGCTCTTCAGTAGGCGAGAATTTTGTTTCTATTCGGCAGGATAGTCTCTACCTCCCCGCTCATGGGAACAGTGAAAAATCGGACTGCATGTCTCTAGAGACTTCGGTCCAGATCTCTCGGAGATGAGGAGGCCTTGATGTGCCGGGTTCTAGCATTGCAAATTCCAATACTGCAGAAAATTGTTTGTATAACCGGAGAGCCTCATGCATTGCTTTACCAGGCCTTCAAATTCATAAGCATGTTTGGTAGGTAAAGAATATGAGAGTGACTCTTTGTTTTCATCTGAAATTTTTGTATTCTTTGTTGTAGTCGTAGAACTTTCAGATTACTCTCGGGGGCCAGTGAACTTATCCCTTCCCATAGTCGCCACCACCCCGAAACCATCCTGGGTCGGGGGCAAAGAATGCGCAGAAGAATTAAGGAAATAGAAGAGGATCATTTGGAACCATCAGAAGAGGGAACTCAATACCGTCGTCGAATTTCATTCACAATTTTTGATAGTAGGAAAAGACAAGGTAGTATAGAAATTGATTCTCGAAACTCCTGTATTTTTTCAAGTCCCCGCGACTGTAATCCGTCAAGGCCTCGACCTTTCCTATTTGGAATATCAGCTTCCTGTCTTATTTTTTCCTCTCCGCATTCGCCCTACCATCATAATTCTGCCATCAATACATAGCCCTGCGCAATCCTTCAATTACCACATTTATCGCTGGCGGCTGGCGCTCCAGACATTCTTGAGGTAACCGTCACGCTGGGTAAGGCGGTTGAAGGAGTCATCGCTCTCGCCACGGGAACGGATAAAGCCGCAGAGAGCGTAGGTCTCGTTCTCACCAGTGTAGCGGCCGTTTTCGTCGACCTTTCCGATGGAAATCTGGACAGAGGCGTGGTCGTTGGCCTTGATGATGCGGTTGGTAGCACTGCACTTGCGGGGGACGTAGCTGCATTTCAAAAGAAGAGACAAAATCAGTCAATGGGAACGCATTTTTCTTCATCGCATAAAACGGGGGGGGGAAAGCAAAAGTGCTGTCCAATTCAGATATTTCCAAACACCCCCATTCAGGAAATCTTGCGACTCAGGTAGCACGGCTGCCCGTCTTTTCCAGCATATTTCACTGGAAGCGAGCGACACATGCCGCCCTCTCATTGATCAAGCCAGGAAAATGAATATTTCAACGAAGAAAATCACGTACAGATCAACGATCTCTCCCTTTTCGTTCTCCATTTTGACGGATTTGTAGAGTTTTCGAGATCGACGACGGAGGTTTTTGTTGGGCCGGTTTCTTTCTCTCTGACGGGGTCGTGTGGAATTGCAGGCACTTTGCACTTGTTGCGGAAGTCGACCGGTTGTGGGTCATGTGATATTTTGTGTAGGGTTTGGGGCGTGGCCGAAATGGATACCGGTGAGTGGTAATAGTACTATTATGATGTAAAGTGCGTGGAATTAATTTGAAACTACTGACCAAGGCAAGAATGAATCTGTTATACTATGGATGCGTTTCGTTCTTATTAGAGTAGTAGAGTGGTCTTAAGTTGCATAGAAGGCCTTCCAGATAACCATATCTACAGATTACTCTTCTCTGCCGTGTCTTCTGAAAAAACATCCTTCTTCCACCAGACATCAATGTCCTTGACAGCCCCCTTGCTAAATCTCACAATTACAGCCCTTTCTGTATCCCCCTTCTTATCAGTTCCCTTCAGCTCGGGGCCTGGATGGTCCAACCCTAGTGCCACCCTTCCATCGTTTAAAAGGGTGAGCATTTTCGGAGATATGCACTTCTTTGTCCATGGAGGACTCCCGGAATGCACAAACTGGAGTAGTTCCGATCGCCGCTTCTCCAGTTCTCCAATGGAGTCTGTTTCTCGGGGCTGCTTATCCAGGAACTGTGCAACCAAGTGAAGAAGGAGGAATTGCGGTGGGAACAGAATTATCTCCCCTTTCCGTGCCTTCTGGAGCCATTCGGACGCTGGTAAGAACATTGCCTCTGTGACCTCGATTCCTCCATCACTTGTCGGGGCGTGTATTTGTTCGCATTTTCCTTCTGTAGGTAGCTCGTCCAAGATTTTTTTATCTGACTCTTGGGGTAATGGCAGAAAGTATAAGTACATTTGTGTCGTGTATCTTCTTGGAACATTAGTAGGGGTGATCCAGCGCGAGAATGGGATTAATTGATCTGACAAGCGATTAGAAGCGATAGAAGTTATGAGTCCTCTTGCAAAGACTAACCCATGTCTAGTTCTGCTGCTGAGTTCTGCTTCTTTATCCATTCCATGAATGTGATCTCGTTCATATGGATCGACTTTCTGCCTTTCTCTTTCTCGTCCTCTCCGATAGCAAGCAGTCTCCCCGAAGAAGAGTCCTTTGCTAATAGAATACCACTCTCTTCGAACAGTTCCCTGATAGCTGCACGTCGGTAACAGAGAGAATCCTCATGTCTCTTTACATCGTTTTCAGGGGGGCAATCTCCATCCTGAGCTGACAAGTTGCCGCCGGGAAAAACGTGTGCAGACGGGAAAGATGAGGAAGTCTGAACACGGTGAAGCAAAAGTATCTCGTTCCTCGGCGACACGATTATAACACTAAGTTTTCAGATCAGCTTACATTGTTTGCTGGTTTTAACATATGGAGTCGGATAGAAAGGATAATAATTCCTCGGGACCTGAAGCCGGGCAAATGGTATATTGATTGTACGGACTGACCTTGAACTTGGCCGGGGCGGCGATGACCCTTCTTTCTTGACATTATTGCCTTTCTTAGACGACATCTTCCGGGATAGGTACACCTGATAGGGCCTTGAAGCAGTTGAATATGCTTCCCTTGGTTTGAAAGTCTGTCGCGCTAATTCACATGGCAGGGTGTCTACTACTGGCACAATCCATGCAAGAGTAGTGGAAGTAACAAGGCGGCCCTGGAAGGAATTCAGCAAAGGCTGCCTTGCTGAAATTACAGAAGCATAAAGGGCCGTGGCCATGGCTTTCCCTCTCCTTATAGCGTTTAAGTCTATTGCCAGATACGATGGACAGAAGACCACATTCAAGTAAGCAGCGTGTAACCTCGGCACCAGCTTGACGTGAGGGGGGGGGCTGTTTCTTGTGGAGTGCCAAGAGATGGATATCTACAGACAATTACAGCAGTCTACATGTAAAGACAGTTGAACTCGATAAAGCATTACCTCACTTGGACAGCGTGTTTTAACAATACATGAGATAAATTTTTCATAAGAAATTTACATATTAGCCCTGCACCAACTCCTATCCAACAAGACATCACTTTTGTTTTCAAATCATCAATAACCGGCCATGTCAAAACGCGTGTATATCAGAATGAGACTGCTAAATCTATGCCTGAGCGTAGAGCTTCTTGTCGTAGCTGTGCAGACCATGGACGTTACCCTCGGCCTGACCGCTAGCGCTTCTCATCTCGAAGCGAATAGTGCCGTTGTTAACACCCTCATGCAGTTCATCCAGACTGCGGGCACCAATGTCCTGCAAAGAGTGCTGAACACCAGCGACGAGATAAGGAATGAATTTGGTGACAGAGCCACGGTCAAGAACAGAGCCTGCAACGCCCTGCGCAACCAGGACGCGATCCTTTTCAGAGAAGTACCGGGCAGTTCCAGCGTTGCTGGCCTTGCTGTCCTTTCCGCCAGTGCCGGCCTTCTTATCCTCCATAGCAGCAATGCTACCCATTCCTCTGTAGGCCTTGACAAGTTGGCCTTCGTTGCTAACGAAGTATTCTCCAGGAGACTCGGTTGTGCCAGCAAGCAGACCGCCCATCATGACAGTTGTAGCTCCCATGGCAAGTCCTTTGACTATGTGGCCGACATTCTGGATACCACCATCGGCAATGCAAGGAACACCAAAGCGAGCAGCAAAAGATGAAACACTCCGCACGGCGGCGGCCTGAGGCCGTCCGACAGCCATGACTTCCTGGGTAATGCAAGCGCTGCCACTGCCCATGCCAATTCTCAGGCCATCGGCACCAGCAGCGATCAAGGCAGCAGCCTGTTCCCGAGTCACGACGTTACCGGCAATAACGTCAATTTGAGGGAAAGTCTTCTTGATGTATTTAATCATTTCGAGTTGGAAGATGCTGTTACCCTGGCTGCTGTCCAGGATAACGATGTCAAGACCTGCTTCAACAAGCAGCTTAAGTCTATCCTTGTCCTGTTCACGAGTACCGATAGCAGCAGCGCAGATTAGCTGCTTGGAGTGGGGAAGTTTAGACGCCAAGGGGTAGTGAAGATTCTTCATCAAATCTGTCCGGGACAGCAGTGATACCAAGTTGCCCTCCTTGTCAACAATTGGAAGCTTGCCCTTCTTGGATTTCCGGAGAACCTCATTTGCCTCGGACAGAGTTGTACCAGCTGGTGCAGTCACAAGGTCGGTGGACATGATAGCAGTTACCGGCTCGTCCATAGCTTGGTGGAACTGGATATCTCTGGTAGTAACCATTCCAATAAGCTTGGAACGAAGCGTTCCGTTCTCTGTAAGACTTAATAGTCAGAAATTTCATCTTCCAATCGACGGTCTGCTCATAAAAAATGGAAAGCTTCTCAGATAAAATCTGTTTCTCTACAACGCAACTCTCGTTGCTACAGTGGAACGAAAGTTATTTGAAAAAAAAAGATTGAGATCATCACGGAAGCCCAGGGCAAAAGAAAATTATGGTAAGACTCACCAGTTACGGGAAAGCCACCAAATCCCCACTTGGTCTTCAAATCCTTGGCCTCGCGAACAGTGGACTTTGGCGAAAGGCAAACAGGATCGAGGATGAAACCGTTCTCGTATCTCTTTACCTTTCTGACCATTTCGGCCTGATCTTCCGGAGAGCAGTTATGGTGAATGACACCAAGACCGCCGAGCAGAGCCATATGGATAGCCATGTTATGCTCGGTGACAGTATCCATGGGAGACGACAGGAGAGGGGCCTTCAGGGTAATACGCTTGGTAACGGGTGTGTCGAGAGTGACCTCAGACGCAGCGAAACCTACAATAGAACATATCAACTACCAGTGCTCCTCAGCAAGGGGGGAACGTTGCCGTACCGATGTACCCAGGCAGAATAAGAAAGTCGTTGTAAGTCAGCGCACCATGCTTGTCGGAGTCAAGGAGAGTATCGACATCCAGGCCATCTCTGGTAGGATAGTCTTTTTCCAGGACTTCGAGAGCCTTGGTGTAGTCGGCAATCTCAGCCTTCATGCTGCAGCCTAGGGCGTCTCCGTTGGAAATAGGCATTATGAACGAAGGGAAATGAAGGATCACTTGTATAGTAGTGATTTAGATAAGATATGGACAAGAAATAATCAACAGAATGGAAACGTCCTGCTGATGAGGAAAGGCAGCCTTTCCCAAGGAAGGGAAAGAAAGAAGAGAAGAAGAGCGAGAAAAATTTCCTGCCTTTTTTACTTTGGGCCGATAGCCCCTTTTCCTATACGGGACTAGGGTGGGCCATTTCCCGTGCTGATTGGACTGTAGACGAGGCAATGATGCTAAGTCAGCCGATAAGGCCCTTCTAACTATCGCTGCTGATTATCGCTTCTTGGCTTTTCCAGAATTGCCACTATTGCTGCCTTCGCGTCCATCAGGTGTATCTAATAGGAAACTTTTCTTTGTAATTTCTTTATAAGAGTTTTCTAGAGTGTGGTTTTGGGTCTTCTTCTCAATGTGGGTTCTGTGCTGCTCTGGTCATTTAGGAGAGACTCAAGTGGGATCAGGGAGTCCACTGGATAAATATATTCTAATCCTCCTCGACCTTGGGCTCAACATTCAGTATCCCCTGTGAGATCGTACCCCCATAGACGAATCTATCATGGCAATTATTGGGAAAATACTCCCATCAGATTACTTCAGTAATGCTCTGTACTCATGTGTAGCAGATGGCCATGGTTATTAATCATTGCGCTACAATGACATCAGGGTGACACTGTTGTACTCTACCATCTTTAAGAAATACATTTATGGCTTAAATTCTATCTTATTCTTAAGAAAAGCATAAACTTTTGATACATAGCTAAGGAAACAGCAGACTCATCATACATATACAGCACCAGTGACTGAAAATCAAAGGATAGAATTGTAACAATGACATCTCAGATGGGACAGCAAGGAAGGTTCGGGGTTTCCCATGCAGCCCAAAGTCAACAGAAACCAGGGTACGTCGCATTGCTGGATGCAGCGCTTCTGTAACGAAGAAGCGCGGGACTGACCCAAGCTCACCCCAGGTTGGAAAAGAAAATGGCTCCTCCGAGCGAACCCACCAAGTTGGAATCGTGTAGAGGTTTTGTTGATTATGTCGGTTCTGGAAAACTGAAAGACAAGAAAGTCATCGTTACCGGTGGAGAGTATGTGCCTCATTGAAAACCCATCATCACCATCATCCTGTATGTTGTTCATCGCTGACGCTGACGGGACATAGTTCGGGAATCGGTAGAGCGGTTGCTGTACTCATGGCAAGGGAGGGCGCCGATATTACTATTGCATATCTGCCTGAAGAGCAGGTGGATGCAGATGACACCAGAAAACTGGTTGAAGTTGAAGGAAGAAAATGTAATCTCTTCGCTGGTGATCTAAGGCAACACAGTACATGCCAGAATTTGGTCGAAGACCATGTTAAGGAGTAAGTCCATGGTTGCTGTTGTGGCTCTTCGTCTGAAGAGCAAGTTCCCATGGCTAACACTGCGAATGATGTATGTTAGATTTGGCGCAATCAACGTCCTCGTCAACAATGCTTCAAAACAATACATGAACAAGGATTTCGCTCAGACTGACCTGGACAATCTCGAAGACATTTTTCGCAGCAACATCATCCAGATGATGGCTATTACGAAGTTTGCACTTCCTCATATGTCGAAAGGCGATTCGTAAGTTTTCTTCTCCAGGAATAACTACTCCATGTGACCGTGGGCTGACCACTGGCGTAGCATTATCAACTCCAGTTCCGTGGTGACGTTCCGCGGTTCATCGAGTATGGTTGACTATGCAGCAACGAAAGGTGCTATCATAGGATTCACCAGGTCTCTGGCTATGCAATTGACTCCTAAGGGGATTCGTGTCAATGCCGTTGCGTAAGTTCCATGACTGACTGCTTCGACTATTCTCTGTAACATATCCAAACGAGACTGACAATTCTTATTTATAGTCCCGGAGCTGTATATACACCCATTCAAGCTGATACCAGATCCGCCGAGCAGATGCAGGGTTGGGGCTCACAGTACTCTCTTGGTCGTCCTGGCGAGCCGAGTGAAGTTGCTCCGACCTACGTCTTCCTGGCTAGTCGTGAGGCCTCATTGTATTGTATGTGGATTTGGAATTTCCCTAGAAGTGACGCCGCGGTTGCTAACTATGTGAAATTCGGCAGATGGACAAGTCATACACCCCCATCCCCTGGGAGATTAAATGACTTCAATTGCTGCGTACGCGAACAGATGAAAACACTGTATCCTATCATTGGATTCGTCCGTTCGATTGACATTTACTTACATTCACCCATTGAGATTTGGTAATAAAAAAGTACATGTTTCATAAAATTTCCGCCATGAATATGACATACAGTTATCATGTCTTCATGGTATCTTTTAATGTAGCAAGGTCAGTGACCGGTCGTTTTAACAGGGCCGGTCAATACGTAAGACATACCCGCCAATTCGTAGCAAAAGCACAGAAGATTACTACCCGCTCTTTTCAACGCAACAGAATGCGTTAGAATAAAAGCCATGGCTTTGCCCGTCGTAGCATCTCGTCCCATCCACTGTCGTTTGTCCAAACCCCCAAACTCTCCACCTCATCTCTGCCCAACTTGAATTCATTGTAGAGATGCTAAGACCCCCGTATCAAACTCCATCAGAATGACCAAAGAGAGATAAAGAGGGTGATGGCAAATAGTTACTTACCGGGAATAGTCCTTCCCCATATCTTGATCCGAAAGATTTGGTATCGGGATCTTCCCAGCGGATATCGCTCCTGACGGCATCATAGCTGATACGCAGCACGTAGACAAGCGGCTCACCCTCAAAAAAAGACTTTAGGGTAACAGGTACTTGTTTGGCGGTGGAAAGGTGGATGAATCCGGAGTTTTTATCGATTTCGCTCACAGGGAGTCTCTCAGGCAGCGGTTCTCGAACGGGTGAGGTGGACGAGACGATTTTGTACAGGTAGCGGGGTTCGGCATGCTCCATTCTCTCTTATTTTTTGTTTCCTTTTTCTGGTAGGAGATCTAAAAAATAAAATAAAAATAAAAAATAGACTAGGTAAAATAACGGCGCGTACACTGTATACAGAGACGACTAGATGGAGAACTCCATGTAGGATTTAGTAAAGGCTCGGATTTCCAGGGTTTGCCCAAGAGCCCACCTAGGCGTTTTTCAGCTGGAACTCGAGATAAATCATGCTAACCGACCCCTACGGTAACCTTCGGGGTCGCGCGTATTGCGCGACCCTGACAACCACCCGAGCACCCCAGCCACCCGAGCACCGATTTTAGAACTTCGTAGAATTCCAACCCATCAACTTTATCATATAATTCAACCACCACCACCATGCCCAAATTCAATAAAAATTATGAAGATCGAATGCTCAAAGCTATTGACGCGTTAAGCACACAAAATCCCCCAAATATCGCCAAAACTGCACGTGAATATGGAGTTAAACGGCAAACCCTCTCCGCAAGGTGGAAGGGACGGTCCAATCTATGTGAACGACCACCAACCAACACCAGATTATCAGAAGAGCAAGAAAAGGCTCTGTGTCACTATGTTGATACTCTAGAGCAATTAAATATAAAGCCACTTGCACAAATGATCCAATCAAGTGCCAATTCTATTCTGAGATCAACCCATACCAGCCTAGACACCCCTCCACCTACTGTCAGCGAGAAATGGTTAAACCGATGGCTAGGAAGGCATCCTGAATATAAAAGACGTCGCTCTAGAGCTATAGAGCTTGACCGCAAGCGTGCAGAGGATCGTGAGGTTATTCAGGAGTGGTTTCAGAAGCTCCATCAGACCATCCAGAACCATGGGATATTAAAGGAGGATATCTACAATTTTGATGAGACTGGCTTCAATATCAGTGTTGGTTGTGATCAATGGATTATTACCAGGGACTTCAATATTAATAAGCCTCATATTGGGATGAATTCAAACTGTGAATATGTTACTGTGGTTGAAGCAGTCAATGCAGATGGCTGGACCTGCCCACCACTTATTCTCATGAGTGGTAGCTGTATACTTACAAATTGGTTTGAAGCTGCTGATATTCAACAAGACTATTCAATTGGAGTATCAGAAAATGGCTATATGACTGATACAATTGCCTTCCAATGGATTCAGTCATTCTATCGGCATACTAAAAGATATAGGAAGGGTCAATATACCCTTCTTATATGTGATGGATACGGCTCCCATCTAACACATGAATTTGTTGAATTCTGTGAGAAGACCAATATCATCACCTTCTTCTTACCTCCACATACAAGTCATTTCTTGCAGCCATTGGATGTTGGTGTTTTTCATGCATATAAGCACTGGCATTCAGAAGCAGTTGCAGATGCAACCTACTCAGGATGCAGTAAATTTACTAAGGTTGAATTCCTTCATGCCTTAGGAGCAATTCGCAAGAAGACATTCAAAAAGCGTACTATTCGGCATGGATTCCAAAAGACTGGCATCATACCATTCAATCCATCAATTGTACTCAATCAAATGCCTCAACCACATCGTCCATCCTCTTCATCCACCAATACCAATGATGTTGATTCCTGGGGCAGTACGCCAAAAAAAAGCTGAACGATTTAGGGAGATTGGTGATAGGATATGGGAGATTCATGATATCAACAAGGATCAATTTAATGAGGGCCTAGAGCTGCTTATTTGTGGTGGTAGTATGCTAGCATCATATTCAGCTGCTATCGAAGCTGAGCTTGACCGGTATATTAAAGCTGCTAGGGACCGCGCAGCTCGATCACAGGCCTCTAGGCGCAGGATTCGCAAGGGAGGCATAGTATCAAGCTCAGAGCTTGAAGCTATAAATCGAAATACTGCGAATATTAATGAGCAGGCTGAAATAAAGAGGTGGAGGACTAAGTATAAGCGTTGCCTACCAGAGCTGCTGGATGTGTGCATTCGACGAGGAATTATTATACGAAGGCAACGACATGCTAGGGCCCAAGCTGAAGAGTAGAGCTTTAGTTTAAATATATTTTGAAGTTAAATACTATAGAATTCGTTGAGATATTGAAGCTAGAAGGGGGGGGTCTAAAATTGGTGCTCGGGTGGCTGGGGTGCTCGGGTGGTTGTCAGGGTCGCGCAATACGCGCGACCCCGAAGGTTACCGTAGGGGTCGGTTACCAACAATTATAGCCGTTGCGGATCTAGCGGGACGCACGGAAACCGGCGCTTTGATGACACATTAATAGGATTTTTAATTGGAGGGGCCGTATCTCTTGATATGATATTCCCTTGCCAGTCCCATTGTATCATCTTGAGCCTGAGCTCTTCGGGCTTCGACGTTATTACTGCCAAGCTCGTGCCCATGCAGGTAAGTTGGACGGTTTTAAGAATGTGCGCTGCATCTCCCGTGACGTCTAGACCTATACTTAGCGCAAACGGAGCAGAGTTGTCCTCCTAAGAGCTCTCGCGATGGTACACTCCGTCAAGTCTTCAGATCCTTTATGTTTCTCATCCTGTCCTCTATTCTCATGTTAGCAAGACAGTTGAGACAAACAGATGCGAATGAAAGATGCGCACAGTGCAAAATACCAAGGGTGACGTGTTGGAGGCCCAGGCGATTGGAACCTTCCAACCTTGTACTGCATGCCCGGTATGCCCAAAACGGAAACTGACATGGTAATGGATAGGCGCATGTATGGTCGTATTACTAGGTAGGCCTGCCTGTGCCGTGAGATAGGTAGCGAGGGCGGTCTAGGACGGCAGAACCTCACGTGTACTAACACCCCCCACGCACGAGCAGCCTACAAACTATGGAATCAATCTAAATACAGAAATCGGCCTCTATTCGGGCCTTCAAATGAGTGAATATATGCAAAAATAAACAGAGGAATGAAGGTTCTGCTTTAGCCAATCGAATGCCGTATATCAAAATAGAAAATATATCCAAAATGGGGGAGATATACGCGGCTTAGCTTATGCCAGTGAGTTGTAGGAAATGATCAAATTGTTCAGTTCGGAGAGGTTTGGTCAGGCCGTCTGCTGCTTGTTCTTTGGTAGGGCAGGCCTGGAGTTTAACAATACCGTCTTGGATCTTCTCCCGAACGTAATGGTAACGTATATCGATGTGTTTGGATCTCTTGGTGGTGAGCTCAGCTTCAGCCATGGCGTGTGCACCTTGATTATCGATATAGAGAGTAATTGGCGGGCATTCAGTAGGGAGCACGTTGAGCTCGTTGATGAGGTTCCGGAGCCAAAGGGCATCTCGGCTGGCTTCACTTAGAGCCATATACTCAGCTTCGTTGGAGCTAAGTGCAACGGACGTTTGCTTGCGGCTTTTCCAGGCAATTGGGGCCCCGGCAAGCAGAAATATATATCCAGATACTGACCGGCGATTGCCTGTCAGTTGACCACCCCAATCAGAATCAGTATAACATCTGGGCATGAGGAGGTCAGATGTAATGGGTTCCGTGGCCTTATGGTAGGTAATTTGTCGGTTAATGGAGCCTTTAAGGTAGCGTATAGCGTGTATAAGGGCACGCCATGCCTTTTGGGTAGGTTTGGCGTGATATTGGGATAGTACGCCAACTGTCCGGCTAAGATCAGGTCGGGTTTTGGTGGCTAGCCAAGTAAGGCAGCCTACACCACGTTGATATTCTTTGATGTTCACTGTAGGGTCTGGGTCATCATCAATTATTAAACTAGGATCCATGGGGATCCCAACAGGGTGTGCTTGTGCTTGGCCAAAAGAGGCAACCACGTCTTCAGCATAATTGGCCTGGGAGAGAGTATATGTGGTCTTGGATTGAGAGGTGGCCATGCCAAGGTATTTGGTAGAGTTTCCAACTTCTTTTATGTCAAATTTAGCAGAAAGAGACTCCATAAACCAAGTGGCATCGTTCTCATGCTTAGCATAGACTTTGAAGTCATCCACATGGGTAGTCACATAGAGTTGGGTCCGGGTGGTATGGATCCAGAGACCAGAGTCGTATTCGGAGCTTTTGAAGCCAATTTGTCGTAAGAAAGCATTTAGTGTATCATACCAGATACGGGCAGATGGGATTAGTCCATAGAGGGACTGGCGGAGTTCACAAACCAGGTCTCCAGAGCCTTCTTTGAATCCCTGAACTTGGGTCATAAAGACACGTTTATCTGTGGGCATTTTTCCATTTAGGAAAGCAAGGATGGCATCTGCCTTTCAAGTATGCCAGCCAAGTAGAGTGGCCAGTGCTGTAAGGGTTCTAGTGGTATTTTCATCTACCACTGGGGCGTATGATTCCATGAAGTCCTTGTCAAGTAGATTTCCACGGATCACCCAGCGAGCTTTAGCTTGGTAGTCCCTTGTAATAGGGGTACCAGGGATTTCTTTCTTTTTGTATACCCACCGGCCAGGGATGACCTTGGTCCCTGGTGGTAGGTCAGAGCGGCGGATAAGTTGCCAGCAGCCTTTTTCTTTGAGTTGGTTGACTTCTTTTTGCATGGCTGCTTGCCACTTGGTGGCATCAGGATGAGATATAGCCTGCTTATAGGAAGTAGGCGTGTCATCTTCAGATGAAGGAGTGGTTGAAGCGGTGAGATAGGCTAGGGACATGCCTTTGGCGGGTCGAAGCCATATTTCCTGGTCTTCATCTTCAACAGGTTGGTTTGTATCTTCTTTATTAGGAGTACTTGGATCTTCAGGAACAGTAGCTTGTGGAGGTGTAGTTGTGGGATCCTCATATTCTTCATCAAATATAGTGTCATTGGTTGAAAAAAATGGCGTCTGTTTTAGGGTCCCACACTCTATATTGTTGGCTACTGATTTGGCCGATCATGAAGCAGCATTTAGAATGGGAATCGAACTTGTTTATAGGCTTATCTGAGCCATGTCGATGAACCCAGACAGGGCAGCCCCAACGTCGGTATTTGTTGATACTAGTTGGTGAGTTGGTCCAGGCAGCCAGAGGCGATTTATATGGGCTTGGGCTGATTTTGGTGTTGGTATTGACCCCCCCAGGGATAGGTGAATTGAATAGGACTGTGGATGTTGGGAGGCGGTTTGTTATATCTGATGCATATTTTAAAGCATCAACCCAAAATCGCTGTGGTATATGGGGAGCGTCAAGCATTAATGTCCGGGCACGGTCAAAGAGTATGCGTATGCTGCGCTCACTGACACCGTTTTGCCAAGGGGAATATGGAGAACTTGGTTGCCATTCAATGCCTTCCTGACGGTAGGTTTTCTGCCATTCAGCTGAACAGAATTCATTGTCAGAGACAATATAGGCTGGGGCAGGGAAATGGTGATTCTTCATTTGTTGTAGCCAACCCCGAAATGCATCAATTGCAGCAGATCTTTCAGTTAGGTAGTGGATCCAACGGTAACGTGTAGCGTCATCAGTAATAAGCATCACATATTTGGCTCCTGTACGTGAAGGTAGAGGCGTATCTAGCTTCTCTATATCTAGTGTTCGGCCGCCACCAGCAAGGTCTATGTGGACTCGGGCTAGTGGTGCAGTCATATGGGATCTTGGTGTTTTGCTGTATTGGCGAGTTTGCTTGCCCTGGATGCAGGCTTCACAAAGTGGTAGTTCTTTGGAACCTTTGATTTCAATGTCTGATGTAGGATCTGCGGCAAGGCGTAAAAGATCCTGCTGGTTTAAATGGCATAGACGGCGATGCCATGTCATAATTGGTAGAGCTGTTTTGGAGCTCTTAGTCTTTGGGGATGTTGTAGGTTTCTTTCTGGGAGGGTCCCCTGGTCGGTTGGCCTCTTTGCCAGACCGGGTGGTGACAAAGGCATAGGAGCTCTCGTCGGGAGAAATGCAATCTGATAGGATGAATACATTGTTGGTATTCAAAATGGCTTCAAATTCTGCACCAGAAGAGGTTGTGATTTGTGCTACTTGAGAGCTGGAAGGGAATTCGATACGAAAACCTTGTTTGAGAAGCATTCCCATGGAGATTAAGTTGGAATTGAAGGATGGAACATGTCGTACATCCCTAAGGATCAAGGATCCGGTTCCAATATCAATGACGACGGTGCCAATACCATGAGGTTTGGAAATCTTCCCTTGAGCATCTTCAATATAATCCGCTGGAGTAAGGTCCTCCTTTCTCAATGTTTTATAGGACGTGAAGAAAGCTTGATGGGGTGTAACATGGAATGAAGCACAGCTATCAAGATACCATGAAGCTTGGAGAGATTGGGCTGATTTAGCAATGGCTGTTTTTGCAGCTGAAGAAGTCCATGGTACCAGTTCATTGGTTTCTGCTTCAGAGAATGAAGCAGTGGAAGATTCTTTAGCAGTGTGTAAAGCACGAATAGCTTCAATAGTATTTTTATTGGCTCGGTGCCAATGCTCAGAGGCTTTCTCAGGGTTCTTGTAGAGGCAAGGCATTGGGTGGAAATGACCACACCAATCACAACGGGTCTTTGGTTTGCGTGAGTCCTGGTCCTGAGGTTTATATTTAGTGTTGGAACTTGAGGCGGAAGAGCTAGCAATGGGGTTAGATGCTTGTTTGGAATAGCTTCGTCCGGATAGATTCTCTCGTCGTCCTCCGTGTTGGGAGCGGGATTCACGGGCTTGGGTGCCCATACGGATAGAGAGTTGAGCTTGAATGGTAGGTAGGTCCAGATTGATGACAGGGCCTTGTCCAGTTGAGTATACTTCATCAAGTTTACTCTTAATGAATGCTTTGTTCCATTCGCGGAGGCCTATAAAAAATAGGTCGTGAATAAGGTTGTCAAATGATGCTTCTTTTATAGCATGAAGGCGGTCTACTATCCTAGTAAACGCAGATTGGTAGGATAGGTAGTCATTGTCTTTTATATAGAGCTCCTTGAGCTCTTTTATGAGAAGCATTCGTTCTTCACCAGTAGAACGTCCGAAAAAGGTAGCAGTTCGGTCCCATAAACCATGGGCTGATAGGTCATATGTGTTGCCCAATTTGTCAATGGCTTGGGCAGTCATAGCATGAAGCATTCGGGCTCTCATGACAGTGGCTTTGCAATGCCATACTTCAGCATCATAAGCTGAGTATCCTGCTGGAGGTATATCCTGATGCAAGACTGTACTAGCGTTCAGGACATTGGCTTCTCTTTGAATGGCTGAACTCCAGAGGTCGTAATTATCATGAGACAGTGTGATTCGGCATCGGTCTGGTAGGAGCGCTTTAACTTGAGCTTGTACATGATCAAAAGGGTCTTTTTGTACTGGATTTGAGGCTGGAATAGCCGTATTATTTTGAATATGATTGTAGGGAGTAGCGTTATGCCGGACTGTAGGAGTGGAGGATTGGGATTGATGGTGTTCAAGGGCATTAAAACGAGTCATGAACTGGTCCATCTGCTTCTGCATTTGTTCCTGCATTTGTTCCTGCATCTGCTGGAACAGAGCTGTGATGTCTGGTGTGGATGCCATGGTGTTGGCTGTAGTAGAGCTTTGAGCTCTAGGGGCAGTTGGGGTGTCCATTTCTTCAGAGATTACTGAGGAGGCGGAGGAGCCTATATCTGATGAAGGATCTGTGGATTCTGGCTGACGACGGTGACGTCTAGCGGTGGTAGGGGGCGTTCGAGGCACCACCATTTTGGATGGGATCGATCGAAGGATCCTGGGGTTCAGGGGCCGATTGTTGGCGGTCCTGGTGTTCAGAGTCGCTTAGAAGCGCTCGATTTCTGGTTTGACCAATGAGAGGTCACAATTTAGCCTATCTGAAAGGCTTTTTTAAGCTCAATATCGTAGAGCTAAAACGGGCTCATAACCTAATGGATAGGCGCATGTATGGTCGTATTACTAGGTAGGCCTGCCTGTGCCGTGAGATAGGTAGCGAGGGCGGTCTAGGACGGCAGAACCTCACGTGTACTAACACATGGCAGGCACCCATCACGTGATATGATGCCATATCACGTGTGTGGCAGGCAGTCGCCCAGGAAACCATACCACTTTGGGAGATTTGTTTTCGCTTCAAGGGTTCCGCCCGGTTTTGGATACATGCCCACGTCTCCCCGCGCTTCGATATCTAGTCCCTGCAAGACGCGCTCCTCTTTGGCAGCGGATCCATGTCTCTTGGGGTTTCCTTCATCTGTTGATCCATTCTGACCAGCTCATCCCTGGTTTGCAATGACGGCATTCATCGCCTGATGCACCGTTCCAGCTACCAGAGCGGTTCCTTCCAGTGATGCCAAACCAGTTCGCTACCCTAAGACAAACGCAGCTAGACCCTTCTGCGACCAAAACGGCGCCGAGCCCTCTTCGCCATGGCTCGACGGCGTCGACGTCCTCTTCCGCATACTCCTCGTTAGGGTCGAATCCTCCGAGCCGTACAAGCACCGTGTCCTCGGACGTGTCTCTCAGGTCGTTACCGAGAAACCTGAGCCACAAGAGGGTGAAGAGTGACCTTGTCAACATGTTCGCGGAATTGTCAACAGAGGAACCAGATGCTGCGGCGACATACGAAAGCATCCGTCGTTCGCTGCGGCCGCTTCCGCAATTGCCGAATACACCTCTTCCCGCGACAAAGAATACTACTTCTCGACATGCAAGGAGCCGGACTGTCGATGAAACCAAGTATTGGAAGGATAGCCAGACTCAATCACCGGGGTCTCGTGCCGTTAATCACCAGGAAAATGAGCCCCCAGATCAAGCGCGCGGCGAGTCGTATGCCCCGCGGACACCTGAACGCCACAGTCGATCTTTCCAGGGGTCTCCTCACACGGTTTCACCACATCCCCAGTCGCCGCAGATAAAACCGCTGCATTCTCCCTATGGATCTCCAAGTTCGCATCCTCCACCGCTTACTGCTACTCTATCGGCTCCCGACCTGGAGACTTTTCAAAAATCGTCCACGCGCCATCTTCGTACCCTTTCCAAGCTTGCACAGTCTGGTGAGAGTGACGATTTTACAATCAGCAATGTGGTACCTTCCGTCGTTGGTCTACAGGGAAGACGACACCTCAAGCGTGCCGATTTGATTGCCGGGGAAACCGCTAAAAGGACTGCTCGAAGACAAAATGCCTCTGCCTGGACAGTAGGGAGCTGGATGGATAAGCAACGGCAGTTCCTCCAGGCGTATGAATATCTATGCCATATAGGAGAAGCGAAGGAGTGGATTGAGGAAGTTGTCCAAAAGCCAATACCCCCAGTTGTGCAGCTCGAAGAAGCTCTCCGGGATGGAGTTACTCTTGCAGAAGTTGTACAAGCCGTTTATCCGAATCGTATCCTGCGAATATTCAGGCATCCCAGACTACAATATCGGCATTCTGACAACATTGCTTTGTTCTTCCGGTTCCTAGATGAGGTTGAACTGCCAGATATTTTTAGATTTGAGCTTATCGACTTGTACGAAAAGAAAAATATCCCTAAGGTGATACATTGCATTCATGCGCTATCCTGGTTGCTGCTTAAAAAGGGCATCGTCGACATCCGAATGGGCAACCTCGTCGGCCAGCTAGAATTCGAACACGAGGAACTGGAAAAGACCCAAAAGGGCCTGGATAAGTCTGGTGTCAGCATGCCGAGTTTTGCTGGGATGGCCGCAAGTTTTGGTGCTGAGCCTGAGCCTGTGGAATCAGAGGAAGACAGAATCCAGCGCGAGTTATATGAGAATGAGGCAATGATCATCGACTTTCAGGCTCAAATCAAGGGTGCGATGCTAAGGCTGAAGTTGGGTAATTTGATGAACATGTTGTGGGATTTTGAACCCCTGTTGGCCGACCTCCAGTCACGACTACGTGGAGATTGGGCTCGCCAGATTTTCGAGTATAGACTCAATATGAGGAATTTTACAGTCAACCTGCAGGCCCATTGTCGAGGGGTTCTTGTGCGAATACGCCGGCGAAATGATGAAAAGTGGAGAAAAGCCCAGGAGTGTAATGTTCTACAGCTGCAAAGCCTGATAAGAGGAGCCAAGTCGAGAACTCAAGCGAATACCCTTCGAGACCAAATCCGAAAGGAGGCATCGGGGATCAAGCACCTTCAGGCTGTGATACGGGGTGCCTTGAAGCGGGCCGCTGTCTATGATCAGTATGCTGAAACAAGAGAAGTAGAGGAACAAGTCATACTGTTGCAAGCAGCTATAAGGGGCGCCCTGCAACGGAAGCAGGTTCTTGACCACCAGGAATGCGCTAAAAGTGCTGAATATGACATTGAGCTCCTTCAAGCGGCAATCAGAGGCGCTCTGCTTCGGAAGCAGATTTCGGCTGAATACGAAGAGCTGGGACGGGCCGAGAAAGGCGTCAGTTCTTTTCAAGCAGCAATCAGAGGAGGTTTGTTACGGAAGCAAGTTTCAGGTCAATATGAAGAGCTGAGACGAGTTGAGAACGAGATCAGTCTTCTTCAAGCGGCAATCAAGGGCGCTCTGCTTCGGAAGCAGATTTCGGCTGAATACGAAGAGCTGGGACGGGCCGAGAAAGGCGTCAGTTCTTTTCAAGCAGCAATCAGAGGAGGTTTGTTACGGAAGCAAGTTTCAGGTCAATATGAAGAGCTGAGACGAGTTGAGAACGAGATCAGTCTTCTCCAAGCGGCTGTTCGCGGTGCTTTGCAACGGGAAGTCATGGTAGCCCATCAAGATGCCATGAACCATGCTATGCATTCCGTGGAATTATTGCAGGCTGCTGCGCGTGGGATGCTAACACGCGGATCAATTGCCCAATTGAAACATATACTCGACCAAGAAGTGCCGGCAATTACTTCAATTCAAGCAGGTGCAAGAGCCATGGAGGTCAGAGCACGCCAGTCACTGTTGATGGAAGCGCTTACAGCGTCAGAAAAGGCATGCATCCTTCTACAGGCGGCAGTTAGAGGCTCTGCTTTGAGGAAGACGCTTCTAGCTCTTCGTGACGAGCTAGCTCAACAAACGCCTCAATTCATCACCATACAAAGTATGCTTAGGGCAAACCGTGTACGGCAATTCTTGGATTCTCAACGAAGTCTTCTTACGGAAGCCGAACCATCGATCTCGGACTTACAATCGATGATTCGAGGTTTCATTTCAAGAAATCATGTGAAGACCGACCTGGATAGTCTTCAAGAAGAGGAAGAGCTGATTGTGGAATTGCAGTCTCTTGTCCGAGCAGCAATCTCAAGGATTGAGGTTGGCGATGTACTGTCTCAGCTTGAAGACTGCGAAGATGAGGTTGTTGAACTGCAAGCGCTGGCAAGAGCAATGCTTCTTCGGGTGGATATAGACCAAAAACTGAGTATTCTCGAAGCTGATGAGGATGTCATCGTCGATCTGCAAGCATGCATAAGGGGGGGCATTGTTCGGTCTCGTTTTGAAGAAAGGCGGCGCTATTACCAAGAAAACATGGAAAAGGTTGTCAAGGCCCAGAGTTTTGTGAGAGGCAGGATCCAGGGCCAAGCGTATAAGAGCCTTACAAGTGGGAAGAACCCTCCTGTTGGGACTGTGAAAGGCTTCGTACACCTTCTTAATGACAGCGACTTTGACTTTGACGAGGAAATTGAATTCGAGCGGTTGAGAAAAGTGGTTGTCCAACAAGTTCGACAAAACGAGCTGGCAGAACAATATATCAGCCAACTTGATATCAAAATTGCTCTGCTTGTGAAGAACAAGATCACGCTGGATGAAGTTGTTAAACACCAGAAGCACTTTGGCGGTCACATTGGCAGTCTGCTGGCAAATACAGAGATATCCTCAAGCGATCCATTTGACCTGAAAGCATTAAACAAGACGTCGAGGAGAAAGCTTGAACAATATCAGGTGCTGTTCTTCCTTCTTCAAACGCAATCTCAGTATCTGGCACGACTTTTCCGGAGGCTGAGGGAGCTCAATACTTCGGAGAAAGAATACGAGAGAATCCGACATTTGATGATGGGCCTCTTTGGTTATTCGCAAAAGAGACGGGAGGAATACTACCTCATAAAATTGCTTGCCAGGTCCTCAAAAGAGGAGATCGAAAGCTTTGACACTCTTAACGAATACCTGCGTTGTAATTCTTTTTGGAATAAGCTTTTTGCTTCATATACGAAGTCACCTCGCGACCGCAAATTTATGCGCAGCGCTCTTGGATCACTTGTCAGGGAGTCTGTCATTGAGAATCCGGAGTTGGACTTGGAAAGCGACCCGATCCAGATCTATCGCTCTTCCATTAACAACGAGGAACTCCGCACAGGTAAACGGAGTCGCCGTCAACCTGACATTCCAAGGGAGGAGGCGATCAGAGACCCCGAGACGAGAGCGACGTTCATCCAACACCTGCAAGATCTTCGAGATATTGCAGACAGCTTTTTCTCCGCTCTTGAGGAGACCCTTCCCCGAATGCCCTTTGGAATCCGATATATTTCTCAGCAGATGTATCAATGCCTACTCTCCCGGTTCTCCGATGAGAATCCGGGTCTCATTTTGCAGGTCGTGGGCCATTGGGTGTGGAGGAACTACTTCCAGCCTGCCATTATTGAGCCGGAAAAATATGGGGTTGTTGACCGTGGTCTAACCCAAGAGCAGAAGAAGAACCTAGCGGAGGTTGCGAAGGTTGTCGCACAAGCAGCCTCTGGTAGACTTTTCGGAACAGACAATGTGTATCTTCAGCCGCTAAACAGCTATGTTGGCGAGTCGATTCAACGCCTTGGCCAAATCTGGGGTGACCGTAAGTAGTCTCTCTTTCAATAACCCCCACCCCAACTCTCTGTTTTGAAACCAACAGTTACTGATATTGGTTGCAGTGATTTCGGTACAAGACGCAGAATCTTACTTTGATATTGATGAATTCAACGACCTCTACGCGAAAACGAAGCCTACGCTGTACATTAAGATGGCGGATATCTTTTCTATCCATCGACTCGTCGCTTCGGAAATTAACTATATCTGCCCGAATGGCGATGATATCTTGAAAGAGATTATCAGAGAACTAGGAAATGTGAAGACCAATGAGAACGAATTGATGAGTGTCAACACTTCAGAAATCAATTTGACATTGAATCCCAAGCTTGCTCAAGTCGAAGGTAAGGGAAGTTAGCCCTCTCCAGTACGCATCGTATGCAGCTGATCCACATTGATAGACCCGGAAGCGGATGTGAAGGCCTTATTTTTGGAAACCAAGAGATGCATTCTCTATATCATTAGAGTGCAGTCAGGCGCTAACCTGATGGAAATAATGGTCAAACCGCCCACGGAAGAAGATGGGATGAGATGGGAGTCACTGGTTCGGGATGAATTAACTACGAATAATCCTCGACGTGGCGCCTACTCGGAAGCGAATCTGCTTGACATTGGATCCATGAGCTACTCCGAACTTAAGCGAACAGCACTCGAGAATATTCTCGAGCTTGAAAGGTCTGGAAAAATCAGTCGTCAGAGCAATTATCAAGAGCTCCTGAACGCTATCGCGATCGATATCCGGACCAAACACAGACGGAGGATTCAGCGGCAGCGGGAATTAGAGGGTGCCCGCTTAACCCTGGCGCGTCTCCATGATCAGGCAGTGTACCTTGAGCAGCAGCTCAAGTCGTATAATGACTACATTGAACAGGCCATGGTCACGTTGCAGAACAAGAAAGGAAAGAAGCGATTCCTGATGCCGTTCACCAAGCAGTGGGATCATCAACGTGAGCTGCAAAAGTCAGGGAAGGTTTTTAAGTTTGGATCCTACAAGTACTCAGCGCGTAACCTTGCGGACAAGGGCGTGCTGGTCTACTGGAAAGGATACACTGAAAGGCAATGGGAAAGGGCCGACCTAACTATTTCAAGCAACGAGGTCGGTGTATTCACCATTGACGGAAGCAGTGGAAACATGATGATCCCCGGAGCGAATGCCCAGGTACCGTTGGATGACCTGTTGCAGGCGCAGTTTAATAATGCGCAGTTCCTGGACTTATTCGAAGGCCATCTACGAGTTAACGTCAACCTTTTTCTACATTTGATCATGAGGAAATTCTATAACGAATAAGCGGTTTGTCTGTTTCGGTTTCTATGGTGGTGGGAGAATGGGATATCCGGTCGGATGTTTTTGATGGGCTTTTTCTTCTTTCTCTTCTTTTGTCTCTCTGCCAGTGTTACCCCCGTGCATGTTTTTTCTTTGCGTATCTTTTATCCCCCTTCTGTCTCTTTTTTCTGAAGTATGAGCCTATACACTGCGTATGTGCACTTGCTTTCCTTTGCTGAGTTGATGAATACTGCATACATTTCATATACTCACTGCACCCTCCTGTTAGCCTTGTAATTGCCCCTCTTATTGATCAATACGCTTCTCCATATTTCCCCATACAACGTGTCATGATATGAAGTATGCTTTATGTGCTCTCTGACTTCTTGGTGGCAAGTATAGATCGTATATTGTAGCAGGCTTTATAGTGCCAACAGTATGTTCCATGTTACATGCAGTATAAGAACACTGCCATTATTTTTTAGAGAACTAGACTCAGCTTGAACAGTGAAAATAGATGTTGTAGACTACTACTAGTAGGTAGACAGGTACTCAGGGGGCTGGCACCACGTGACCTGACGCGTTGGGCGGCATTCCTCGACGAGAAGCCAGCTGGATTCCATGATCCCCGGCCGTCTTCCTCTGATCGCTCCCCTTCTCTAGGGAAACCTGCCAGTGCAATCCCATTAAGAAAAAGAAGAACTCCATTTGTATTCACTCTCTAGTGTACTGGGTGCCATGGATTTCGCAAGTCTCAAGGAGCAGGTTAGCAACCTGACCTTATATGATATCAAGGCTGGTGTTCGCAAAGTGCAGAATGGTGAGTTACGTTCCATGTTCCATCTGAGGTCTCTTTGAATACGCATGTTTTCCCTTCTTTAGGTGACCTGGTATGTAAACTAATACCTTCACTTTCTTCCACTTAGCCGTCATGAATTATACCGACATGGAGGTCAAGGTTCGTGCTGAGTCGCTGCCCTTCGTGTTCTCCGTTCCTCGTCCCCCTCCTAGACAGAGCACTCCTCGTTTCTCTTCCGGGGCTTTCATGACATAATCTTTTTTTTGCCTTTGAATGCTTATGATGGATATACTCTGGTGCTGACGGGATTGTACTCTACTGATAAGGTCCGGGAAGCTACAAACAATGAACCATGGGGTGCGTCGTCGACGTTGATGCAGGAGATTGCGAATGGGACACATAGCTAGTGAGTTGCACCTAGGTCTTGGGATATATATATGATCGCGGCTGGTCCATGGAGAAGGACGTGACTGATGATTGTCTATAGCCAATTGCTCAATGAGATCATGCCTATGATTTACAAGCGTTTCACGGATAAGAGTGCAGAAGAATGGAGGCAAATCTACAAGGTTCACCTCTCTTCATTTTCAGACGGGGAATAATGGACAGAAACTAACTGGAACTACTTTTTAGGCGCTTCAACTTCTGGAATTTCTCATCAGGAACGGTTCGGAACGAGTCATTGACGATGCCCGTTCTCACCTATCCCTGATAAGAATGCTCCGACAGTTCCATTATATTGACCAGAATGGTAAAGACCAAGGTATCAATGTGCGAAACAGGGCGTCCGAACTGGTGAAGCTGCTTAGCGATGTGGATATGATTCGCGCTGAAAGGAAAAAGGCCCGGGCCAACCGGCACAAGTTTGGTGGTATCGAAGGAGGCATCGGTAGTTTCTCTGGTTCAAGAATGCAAGGTTTTGGCAGCGATAATATGACGTTTGGGGGAGGCTACAGCGGAGGCGTGTTTGGGGATGGTGGCGGCTTCGGAGGCAATACTAGCGACTTCCACGATACCGCGCCCAGAAGCAATCGATTCGAAGAATATGATGAGGATGATGCGGAGCCGATCAGCTCGCGTTTGCCACGGCGCGGAACGAGCCCGCCTGCAACGGTTGCGAAGCGCGAGGCGAAGAAGCCTGAGCCTAAGGAAGAGCCTGTGGATCTGGTCGACTTCGGTGACGATGACAACGTTGCGACGACGTCTACAGCTGCCGGTAAACAGCCTGCCACCGGATTGGATATACTCGAATCAAAGCCGGTCGACGATGATGAATTCGATGACTTCCAATCTGCAACCCCTGTTACGCAAACTGCGCCTCCAGTGAGCCAGTTGGCAATGCCTCCTCCATCTTCTACCGTTACTACCAGCTCAACCATAATAGCACCTCAGCCTGTTTCTGGATCTCAAGGACAGAATATCAATGGCATAGTCGGCTTTACGTCCGTGACACCGACACCTAATTCAAGCACGATCTCGAGTCCAGTATCCACACCAGTGTTCACTCAAGCGCCCAAACAACAGCTGCTGCAACAAGCCGCTCCACTGAAGCCAACAGGCTTTCAGGCAGCCACGCCTAATTACTTTACTTCCGTTTCAGCCCACGCAAACCAGCCTGCAACAACCGGGAGACCCAGCTTGTCATCCACGCCCTCATTTACGTCCGCCATTGCATCCACCTCGTCAGCAAGAACAACCAAGCCGTCAACTTCCAAATCAGGGGGTGACGCCTTCGGATCCCTCTGGAGTGCCGCCAGCGCCAGTGCAGGGATACAAAAGTCCTCTTCCCCCGCATCCAAAGGCCCCAACCTGGCCAGCATGGCCAAGGAAAAGGCCAGCGCAGGTATCTGGGGTACTCCCTCGCCCTCTTTATCGACTAGCTCTGCACCTCAGACTGCTTCGGTGCCGCAGAAACAGACCGGTAGCTCGGCATTTGATGATTTGCTGGGATAGTTTGGTTTTCTCCCTCTTTTTTTTTTCTTTTCTTTTATTTTTCGTTCTTTCTAAGAGGGTCCGGTGCTCTCTGTATTTACTGGATCTGGGTTTGATTCGTGGAGTTAACGTTAACTGATTACTAGCTTCCCTTTGCATTCTGTTCGATTATAGTAAAACCCGATATAAGCAACTAATTTAGCAAGACCCTTCAGCTGCTTATATCGGGTAATTGCTTATATTAAGATTCACATGTAAAAATATATATGTATATTGATGTACTCCATGTAATTGCCCTAAATCAGCCAAAATAAATCCGTATATCAGTCTAATGCTGCTTCTCAACCCGGTTTTCCAATAGAGCTCGCTCATGGCGTAGCAGATGGCATATAGGAGATTGACCTCCATCAGCCTGCTGCTCTTCGTGACGATATAGTTTGTATAAGCTCTCTAGAGCCTGGTAGATATTATTTGACCAGATCACCAGGATCACCAACAGATGACCCAAATTGGCTCAAAATAATATCATCAATATCAATCAGATTATCTGTAACCTGCTCCTCCTGATGATTTCGACTGATTAATAGCATAACAAGCACAGCTCGTTCCTTTGTATCTCGCCCATCAAGAGTCTTGCAGACATCTGTTTTGCCTCCTGCCCAGAAACGCGCCTCTTTGACACCGGCATGAGCGACACACGGAACATAATACCACGTTTCGAGATAGCTCTTCAGAAGATAATATTAAGGGCCATATGCTGAACCTACGTTGTCTTTCTATTTCATCAAGACCTTACAAGCACTCCACACCGTCCCCAAGAGCGCCCTTGGGGCTATGTGCATTGCCAGCTATTTCAGCAGCGCGCTTTTTGAATGTCTAGCCAGGTTCTTGTTAATCAAAATCCCCCCACAAATACCTACAAAATTGGAGAACACTCAGAATATCAACCATCTCTTCTTGCTCAAAGAGTTCCAGAACTTGTTCACTCAGACAGTAAAAGTGTGCCAGCGAGCGCAGGTCAACGGCTCGTGAGTCTATTCCCAGAGCATTCATCACTCGCTCCAAAAGTGCCAACCGGATATCAAGTGTGACTAATCGAGACGTTCCCAGTCGTGTTCTGGATTGATTTGAAGCAGACCCGGTACCTAAATCCTGACAAGACAACTTCCAAGTTACGGGGGTGCTGGGAGTTACAGGTGGAAATGATGCCGTACGGCCTCAGTAGCTGTCACTTTCGGCATTCTTTTCACAGGTCCTCACATTCCATATGTAATTTGATGGTACACTGTACATTCAATCTACTGTGCGAGTAGGTTTAAAAGATCTGTTATTATCACTATTATTACCTTGATTCTTCTTTTGATCTACTATCAATCATGGAGGGCTTCCTTTGTCTATCCTTGTTTCCTTTCCACCTCTATCTTACCTTGCTGCTTGCTCTCATACAGTCGGCACCGTGTACATCTATCTATACTATGACTGTGACTGTAATTGTATGGCCAGGTCCAATGGATCCATCGATCTACTTCCAATTCCTCAAAGACAAAACGTCATTTGTAACTGGTGACCTCGAAATTGCTCTAAAAAAGAAGCCAAAAGAAAATAACGCAAAGCAAACAGCCAACCTTAAACGATGTTTATAAATAACGTAACGCCGGCGCTTTGAATTGGATATACAATATAACAATGGGATGGATGTCTGGTGTAACTTAAAAAATTCAAGATTGAAAGGAAAAGAAAGAGGAGGGTATAAGGTAAGGGGGGTTTTCTCGTGCAAGCAGCAGGAAATCTGGGTTGGTTTGAGAGAACAAGAAAGTAAATAAAAGACAAAGAACCAAAGATGAAAAAAGAAATAATAGTGATAAACATTGGGGTTTCCATTCCATTAGGGACAAACAGGATACCCATCATGCCATTGCTTATGATAGGTGAGTCTACCATGGGTAAGTTGGAAGGATTGGGAATAGATAGGTAGAGAGAAGAGAAAGGGAAGCGGAAAAAAGGGAGGAGAAAAAGAAGAGGAATCTCACACTTTCATAACAAGGTCTTCTATATCATACCAAACCCACACAGAGATGCTGGCGCTGAGAATCACCAATTGACAGGTCAGGGGAGAAAAGGATGATCTTCCACCGACTTGAGCTGAAGAGAACAAAAAAGGGGGAATAAAAAAAAAAAGAAAGAAAGAAAACATGTCATAATCAAAGACACAAGGCACCTGTCGAAGACGCACTTGAATAAAATAAAATATCACGTCACTCATGAGTCTTTGCTCATTGTAACTAACCAATAATCCCTTACACCCCATTTGTCTTCTTTCAGTTTCGTCGCGACTTACTCTTCGAGTTGGTGTTGACTGGGTTCTCAATCTGGAGATCGTTGGGTAGAGAGACTTCCACAACATGATTACCATTCATTTCTCCATTGCTGGTATGAATAGTACAAGGGAGACGAGAAGACAAATCTGGATTGGATTCATAATTCAACGGAGCATGCTTCTCCGTTGGCATTATGGCTTGGCCTGAGCCTGTCGACTCTGGGCTGAGACACGTGTTGTCCGCTTCGGTTTCCGACTCAGTGTCAGGACTCGACCCTTCGCAGTTCAACGACGATAACCCTCCTTCAATATCTCGAAGAAGGCGGACGAACTCCTCCGGTACCAGCCCGCTCTCACCAGTCTTGGGGTCCTCAGCCACGAGCCAGCCTTGGCTTTGTCTATACGAGACGTAAATGACCTGGCCCTCGGTAAGGGGCAGCTCGTTCTCATGTTCGCGCGTAAAATCGAAAAGGGCTACGGCTCTTCCATGCATCTCCTCGTCTGGACAGCCTACAGCGAAGTAGTAGTCGCGCGAGTATCTGTCTGCACCATAGTCGTCGTCATCGGAGTCGAAGTCTGTTTCCGGATCGTAGCCCCGCCCATCGTCATGCACCATACGGGAGTACCTGCCTTCGTCCGCTGGGTATGTGACGAATTCCCCACCGGGACCGTCCTCGGCCCTATCTCCATCGTCTACGTAGTAAGTCTCGCTACCATCCGCGTTCATGCTGACAAGTATACCACGATCGTCTTCCTGCGAATAAGCGCCGGATGCCGGATCGGCACGGCCTTGGTTTCTGCCTCTTCGTCCGTTCAAGTCTGTCCCTGTAGATTTATACCTTCGATGGCGGGTCGTCACAACTGGACTGTGTAGATCTTCATCCTCGCTATATGGGGGTCCGTCGCCAAATGACATTGCAGGTAGTTGTTGATGACCAGAGTAGCTATTGTCAGTGCCCCACGATCCAGTTGACCACTGGACACGCGAACCATCGAACGAGGCTGGAGGATCAGAAAGACGTCGCTGCTCGCTGGCCGGAGTAGATACAATGGGTGTAGGAGGGGGCCCGTAGTGCAAAGGGTGAACTGATGGATACGCAAAGTCCCGGACAAGGGCGTATGACAGGCTGGAATGGAATATAGGGAAGGCGTGAGACCCTGGACGCGAACGATTCTGGGAGGCGTATGAAGTATTCGAATATGTGGACATGCGCTCCTTTGAATATGATGACCGTTGCGGTAACCTTAGACTTGTATCCGTAACCATAGGGGATATATTCGTCGAGTCTGCGGAAGATGGAGATGGGGGAGACATGATTGCTGCCATTTGTTCAAGAGGGAAGGAAATGGTCGACAGCAGCGAGCAGGGGAACGCGACGTCGAATATGAATGACAAGGTGTGGAAGGTCGGAAACGATAGCAATTATCTTAAATTGGCATTGCGCCCTTGATTCTAGGGCAAAATCACAACGCAATTGCAAAGCAAGAATGTAACCGCCCTCGAGAACACGACCCAGCCCTTTGTTGTTTGTAATCGTCGGCAGTAACTGCGCCGCGCGGCAAATGGAACAGCAGAAAGTCGAGAAGCAATGAACTTGGACGTAAGCGCGGACAAATCCCGAAGAAAACTGGAGGCGTTTTTCGGGGGAAGTTTTGGCAATGACTGATGAACGGCTAGGCTGATAGCCCGTTGCAAAAAATAGATCTGTCTGAAACACGATCTGACGGCTCCTCCACGCGGGGTCGAGAAGAGAAGGATTAAAGAAATTATAAGAACAAAAAGAAAGGGAATAGTAAATGGCCCCGTAGGATCTAAGGATTCGCAGTGCTCAGCCGGAATGGGTTTTGTTTTAGTTAGATGTTGAGAGAGAGAGGGGTGAAATGGAACGAAATAGCGAACGTTCGCGGGTTCGAGAAAAACGGGGGAAGACTGGAGTTCTAAATATAGAAAACAGCGTCAGTCGACAGAAGTATAAACGGGAGCATCAGCAGCAGCAGAAGACTCGGTATATGAACCGGATTGACACAGAAGGAAATGTGAACGCGGGAAAAAAGGATTCAGGAGAAACGGTGCAACCAGACAGACGATGGAGGCTCTAAGGGATCATTATCGCTCACCTGAGGCTAAGCAGTAGCGTCAAATTAATTGATCAGCGCGAACGTGCGTCGGGGGTTTTTGTAGCAGATCGAGTTTCAGAACGGGCCTGATCTGTTCTAGTCGGGGCTCTAATCGGGGTATTAACACGGTCCGGATAATGATTGAACAGTGGGATGGGAAAAGGGGCACTGATGGATAAAGAAGAATAATGAATTGTAAACGGACGAAAAAGTTCTTCTATCCAAGACAATCCAGCCTTACGCATTGATTGCATCTCGACTTGACGTTGTCGTCTCCTCCGAGTCTCGCGCCTGGGAAATCCACGTGACTGCCCCTGTGTTTCTGTTAGCACTAGTGGGTTCTGCCAGTTTAGACCGCCCTCGTTTAGTTTCCGGCTCAATCATGTGATTGTTCTATTCTGGGAACGAGACGGAGTAATAAGTATACCCAGGTACGTACATTTAAACTAGTCTGTAGGAGATGCTTTTATCTGATGCATTGCTGCCTAATTTTCACGGAGATGGCATAATAATCTACCGTTCAAATACATTGTCATGGCAAGGAAAAAAGGCCAATAGCCAACGCCACCAGACAACACCGTATGGGTGAGACCTGCTCGAACCACGAAGACCCTCCGAAACTATCCACAGCGATGTTGCCCGTATCTCATATTCTGTCCTCAATGTTGGACTGGGTAATGTCTCCTAATCCCGACTCTCAGAGGCAGTCGCTGGGGTCGACGGTGCCGTCTAGAAAGGCCCAGATCCGGATCCCGTGGAGGTCCATAAGTATGTTGAGGTGCTAGAGAGCACGAGCTCGGAGTCACATATGCCGTCTCTGTTACAGTTATTGTCAGAAATCCTGACGGCTGAGTCGATTGGAGGAAACTAGTGGTCGTTGTCGGCGTGGGACTTGTTACTGTCGGAGATACTGTTGAGCTTGCTGCAGGGCCTTTAGAACCACCAGAGTTATACAGCCCCGCGAACTGGGACGGAATGGCGGCATTGTTTAGAGACTGGTCATTGACATAGCCGGTTGATAGAGTGTCGCTGGTGTTCTTATTGTCGATCACGTCCACGTCGATACACGTTGTATAGATCTCCGGTTTCCCGTTTGGCAGGGTTGGGTCGATATGTGGCAATGTGGGCCAATCCCAAACCCAGTATAGGGTATAAGGCTTCCCAACAGATATATTTGAAGGCAATGCAATGTCTTGTTGACACCAGAGATCAGCTCCCATCAATTTATCGGCGACGTGCGGGAATTCAGACTGGCGGGCTTCTGAGATGTTGCCATTATTGATCTGGTAGCAGCGGCCATCGTCAAAGTTCTGTACCGACAGCAGAACACCCCGTTTGTCGCCTCCTGTACCATCTCGGTTCCAGACCTTGTGCACTGCAAGGAGCGTTTCGTTGTCCGTTGGTTCTGTTGTCCCGTAGACATATACCGTTCCACGATTCTTAGGTTTTCCTGGCTGATTCCAGGGGAGTGTCACATGGCCATTTTCTTGAAAACGGAGTGCAATGGCGGCACCTGGGCTTGCTTGCAACCTCGGACTCCCTTGTGTCTGGTTCCGCGTCTGTTGCGTTGGCTTGCAGAGTCTGTCTGTCGGGAGGATCACGCTGCCAATTTCTCGACCGTTTGGGGGAATCAGGTAGGTCATTGTAGGGTCACCAAACCCAGGGGAAGTACGCAGGACGTTGCCTCGTGGATACCCTGGTGCGCCAACAAATGTTCCATTGGGACCGATTACCATGAGCTGTTCCACCCAAGAGTGGGCGTACGCGGTCGGGATAAGCAAGGTGATCAACACCTGAAGCCAAGTCGACCCGCGTATCTTCGGTAGCATGTTGCAGTTCTCGGTGGAAGTCCCGAATTAAAGATCTTGCGGTTTCTGATTTGACTGGTGACGAATCGCAGATAATGGCCAGCAGAATCGCGAAAAGTTACCTTAGTGGGGATTAGCTATGGAGAAAAAAAGGAAAGAGAAGGAGGATAGAGGAGGAGAAAGGGGAGAGAGAGATGGAAGGAAAGGGAGAAAAGGGAAGAGACCAGCGTGGGACCTGTTTGCCAGGACGACCAGATATAAATTCACTGACCGACGGCTGTGAAAGCACGAATCACTTACAATGTTCATTGTCCTTGTCCTCTTTCTGGGTTTCCACTCCGATTCTTAAACAGAAGCAAGCACAAAGACGAAATGATTAAAAATTCTGGAAATCCTGCCCAAGGTGAATGAATGAACAAGTAATGGGATACCTGGCCGTGAAACAAGATATCCCCAGGTGGCCCTAAGGAGAATATGTGTCAAGGTGAAGGTCAGACAAAGACGTTTCCATCCTTCATAGGCCAAGCTGGATACCAGAATTTGAGAAAGGGGGACCAAAGAGCAAGATATAGACAGCTGAGCTGATAGCTTCATCCTTTATGAAGAACTAAAGGGCCTCTAAAGACTGCCGTTCCATATAATGCAAGGGACATCGAGACAGATAGAGGCGCCTGAGAAATGTGAAGAATTCACCAGATCCAATCAAGGGATCCTGGATCTGCTTCACCACAAGTGTCAAGGTAGTAGAGATCCAGTATGTCTCGTGCTACTACTGTTCCTGTGGACCCTAACCATCTGCAATAGGCTCTCCTGCTCTGTGATCTGATCAGATCGACGATGTAACCGCCGTTCTATTCCGTTTCTGTCTGACTCTTCAGGCGTCGCCAGCGCTTAGCCAAAGCAAGGGGGATCTAATGTCCCGGTCTGGCGCTTGTGCAAAATTCCCGGCCAACGGTCGAGGCGCCTGAATATGCAAGGCATCAATCACTATGCTAAACAGCGTGTGACAGTCAAGCTTTTTGCTGGTCGACCTTCTGCATGGTGGAAGTCTTTTCTTGGCCGTATCCCCGAGTGTCACTTCACCGGTAAGACACCATGTCACTGTGAGATACAGTCGGTTTGGCAGAACACGTTAGCCCATCATCGCATGTAGGTAGAATGTGTTGGATCACGTGGGATTCTGCCGCATAGGTCCGCCCTCGCTGACCCTTTTCACCACGTAGGCCTATCTAGCTAGTAACCAACCAACGATACACCTCCATTAGGTTATGAGCCCGTTTCTTGCTCGGAAATATGAGCTATTTTAGGCCCGTATAAGTGGTCAATTTAAGCCCTCTGATTGGCTGAACCAAAATTCCATACCCCAGATTCCAAAAATTCCAGGATCCCAGATACGGTCCGAACCTGAGCATGTCAGGAGAACCTACTACGCCTCCCGCTACTGCTATACGACGATCACGTCGCCGAAATCTCCAAAACAGGTCCTCGAATATAGACGAGACCTCCTCATCAGTTGTCTCTGAAGAGATAGAGACCCCAACGCCTTCCGGAGCCAATCTGAGCTCTACCAATACCGCCAACATGGCTTCCACAAACGAACTTACCCCTGATCTTGCTGATATGATGCGACAAATGCTTGCTCGCCAGAATCAGATGGAACAAGATATGCGAGACCGTGAAGCTAGAATGGAGCTAAAACTGGCATCTATCATCCAGTCTAATACTCCACAAGCTTCCTTGCCTTCAAATACAACCCAAGATACTACACCAATGGATATCCAACCGCCTCTGCGTGATGCCTCAGACACAAATATCAGCAATGCTATTGCCCTTGTCCAAGCCGATGTCGATACGCTACTGCCTGACCGATGCCGTGTCATCTTGACACTGGATAATTACGATGCATGGAGCTCTGCCATACAAAAAGAAGCTGGTATTCTCAATGCTATTACAACTCTTCACCAGGACTCTCCTCCTGCTGGATCATCTCCACTTGATGCTGCAGTTTGGCACAGAAAAGCCATTGTCATGAGAGCCCGTATGCTCAATGCCATGACAACCCCTGCTTCCGATAAACTAGGCACCGTATATGACCTCTCTGCCCATGGTCTTTGGGACCGAGCTGCCACACTTTTTGGCAAATCCACCGGTGAAGAGCGAATGGCCCTTACCATGGAGCTCAAAGAGCTCTATATAAAGGATAACGATTATCTCACCTACCAGTCATCCTTTAATCGAATCTTTGACCGCCTACACGCTATTGGAGAAGAATCTCTTGAAAATCTCAAACATGACCTCTTCTTTATAGGTCTCCGGGACTGGAACCGCGCCTTTATCAAGAGTAAACTAGATGATGTCTACTCTACTGGCCGTGCTCCGGTTACCAACCTGGATCTTAAGGTTATCCAGACCCAATTATCTACTCGAACCGGCACTAAATTCCGTGATACTCATTCTCAAGACCGGTCAAACCAACAGAAAGAGAACTCCCAGAACCGCAGTTATTCAAAACAAGCATCTGGAACCAAATACACAATTCCTCAACGTTCCAATAACCAAGATAGATCTCGTCATACACTTATAGACTGTGATCACTGCGGAAATCGCCATGGACTTATATGCTATTTTAAACATCCTGAGAAAGCACCAGAGTATAGACGCAAGTTCTATACTACTATGGCTAATGCTCTCCGTGTTCAGCAACAATCTGAAGCAAACCCACAATCAAACCAGGATCACCCTGCTTCACAGGAACTTGTCTTGCATAAGAAACTCTCCAATGCCAAATCTGCCATTGTGAAGTCTGCAAAGACTCTCTCATTTTCCAATCAATGGTTTGTTGACAGCTGTGCCTCTTTCCATTCTACACCTGACCGTTCACTTTTTGCAACCTATAAGGCCTTGCAGAAGCATGATCTGGTGGAGACAGATTATATGGAAGGTGCTCAAGGCCATATCTCTATGCCTCAAGGCATTGGCACCGTGATTATAGATATTGGTTACGGATCTCTGATCCTAAGAGACGTCCGCCATGTTCCTTCCTTTACTTCCAACCTCATTTCAGAAGGCATGCTTGTACGACAAGGCTTTAGGCTTCAATATACACTAGATTGTGAAGTCAAGCTGATTACCACACCATCTGGAGCTGAATTCCAAGCCTGATTGTTCAAAAACAATGTTTACCTCCTTGAAGACTGTCTATCTCCTGGAGAAGAAGAAAATTCCTATGCCTTTGTCACCACCCGGTCTGGCAAAGAAGTTAACCGCCCAGAAGAGCCACCTGCAAAGGCTCCCACAATTAAGACACCAGCTGAGGCTCCTACTCCAAAAGAGACCCCGGTTCTAGGGAAGCCGCGAACTACTAAGATATCCCTACCTATCATGGCCTGGCACCGACGCCTATGCCATCTCAATCAAGCCGATCTCCTCCGCCTCACCCGAGATCCTGAGTCTTGCATCGAAATCAAAGGCTCTAAAGAACTCCCATTTTGTGAAGTCTGTATACAGGCTAGACAGACACGCTATTATAGCAAGGTCCCTAGGTCCAGAGTTACCAAACCCCTTGCCCGAGTCCATCTAGATATCGCCGGCGGTGGACAAACTCTTGATTTTGACAACCCTAATGATGTTGTCACTGGCCGAATTGGGGCAAAATATGTCTTACTTATTACCGACGATGCCACACATTATCGATGGATCCTCTTCCTTGAGACAAAAAGTGCAGCCATTACCGCCTTCAAGAACTGGCTTCAAAATATGAAGAACCATGGCTTCACTGCTCCTGCCTACCTAGTCTCTGATAATGAATTCCGCTCCACTGAATGGATGGAAACCTACCGTCAGGAAGGCATAGAATGGCAACTAAGCTCGCCATATTCACCATGGCAAAATGCCGTTAGTGAACGTGGCATCCGGATCCTTTTGAACGGGCCCGAGCTATGATGCTTGATGCCCCATATATACCAGAACGCTTTTGGGTAGATGCTCTCCAATATGCCACAGATCTTACAAATCGGCTCCCTACATCTACCATCTTATACAATTCCCAAATTCCTGGGGGGGTGAATATCAACAAGGACATACACCCCAGCCCTTATCGCGCTCCGTTGGCAGCGTGGACTAATTCATCCATTTCTTCACTCCCCGGATATCGCCGTTGGGGGTGTCCAGCCTGGGTCCATCGGCATGGACCAGATAAACCTGGAAATAAGCTTGATTCACGTTCTCACTGCTGTTTCCTCATTGGCCAAATTAGTAGCCATCAATATCGTGTTTGGGACCCTAAAACTGACACCGTCTTTGTCACCAATGATGTTATATTTGATGAGGATTACAAAGATCCTACAACTACCACTCCCAAAGGTCCCAGCACCCCTACCGAAGAAAACCCAACTCAATTAGTTGAAGATGAACCTCTCAATGACCAAGATATATGGCTCCGACCTGCCAAAGGCATGTCCCTAGCTTACTTTGCCACTTCAACCATTCCTTCATCAGAAGACAACACGCCTACTTCTTATAAGCAGGCCATATCCCATCCTGATGCTGCTAAATGGCAAGCTGCCATGCAAAAGGAAGTCAACCAACTCAAAGAGAAAGGCTGCTGGCAACTCATTCGCCGTTCTGACCTACCACCAGGGGCCAAAGTCATCCCTGGCCGGTGGGTATACAAAAAGAAAGAAATCCCCGGCATACCTATCTCAGAGGATTATCAGGCTAAAGCCCGCTGGGTCATTCGTGGCAATCTACTTGATAAAGACTTCATGGAATCCTACGCACCAGTGGTAAATGAAAATACTACCAGAACCCTCACGGCACTGGCCACCCTGCTTGGCTGGCATACCCGAAAAGCTGATGCCACCCTTGCTTTCCTAAATGGGAAAATGCCCACGGACAAACGTGTCTTTATGACCCAAGTTCAGGGATTCAAAGAAGGTTCTGGAGATCTTGTCTGTGAACTCCTTCAATCCCTCTATGGATTGGTCCCATCTGCCCGCATCTGGTATGATACTCTGGGTGCTTTTCTACGCCAAATCAGCTTCAAATGCTCTGAATATGACTCTGGTCTATGGATCCACACTACCCGGACCCAACTCTATGTGACCACCCATGTGGATGACTTCAAAGTCTATGCTAAACATGAAAATGATGCCATCTGGTTTATGGAGACTCTCTCCGCCAAATTTGACATAAAAGAAGTTGGAAACTCTACCAAATACCTTGGCATGACCATCTCCCAGTCTGAGACTTCATCTTCTTTATCTCAAGCCGACTACACTGAAGATGTTGTTGCCTCTTTTGGTCAAGCCCAAGCACATCCTGTTAGGATTCCAATGGATCCTAGCCTAATAATTGATGATGAACCAGACCCTACAGTCAACACCAAAGAATATCAACGTGGTGTAGGCTGCCTTACCTGGCTAGCCACCAAAACCCGGCCAGATCTTAGCCAGACGGTTGGCATACTATCCCAATATAACGCCAAACCCACCCAAAAAGCATGGCGTGCCCTTATACACGCCATACGCTATCTTAAAGGCTCCATCAATCGGCAAATTACCTATCATAAACCCACGGAGTCCATTACATCTGACCTCCTCATGCCAAAATGTTATACCGACTCTGATTGGGGTGGCCAACTGACAGGCAACCGCCGGTCAGTTTCTGGATACATCTTTCTGCTTGCCGGAGCCCCAATTGCCTGGAAAAGCCGCAAGCAAACATCCGTTGCCCTTAGCTCCAACGAAGCTGAGTATATGGCTCTAAGCGAAGCCAGCCGTGATGCCCTCTGGCTCCGGAATCTCATCAACGAGCTTAATGTGCTCCCAACTGAATGCCCACCAATATCTCTTCATATCGATAATCAAGGTGCCCACGCCATGGCTGAAGCCGAGCTCACCACCAAGAGATCCAAACACATTGACATACGCTACCATTACGTTCGGGAGAAGGTCCGAGACGGCATTGTTAAACTTCAGACCTGCCCTACCAAAGAACAGGCAGCAGATGGCCTGACAAAACCTCTCCAAACTGAACGATTCAATCATTTCCTGGAACTCACCGGCATACATTAAGCGGCGCTTGTTCCCCCATTTTGGTTATACTTTCTATTCTGATTTACGGCTTCTGATTGGCCAAAGCGGAACCTCTCACTTCTCTGCTTAATTTTGCTTTTACTCTCTCATTTGGAGGCCTGAATAGAGGCCGATTTTTGTATTTAAATTCTTTAGATTAGTCTTTAGGCCAGCTCGTGCGTGGGGGGGTGTTGGATCACGTGGGATTCTGCCGCATAGGTCCGCCCTCGCTGACCCTTTTCACCACGTAGGCCTATCTAGCTAGTAACCAACCAACGATACACCTCCATTAGAATGCAATTCAGATAAAGAAAAGTACGGTGTGCAATGAACGATTTGTTGTGGTAGCTGTTATTGAAGCGTCAACTCGGAAGTTTGTTATGGGCACGCACTGTAACACTGTAGGCTTCTGGACAAGACTATTATTTTAATATTGTGCCCAGAGGAGCAAGATCTGGCTATTATTACAATATCTTCTGTCTATATTGTCTGATCAGTGTCCTAATGCCAATGAGGGGCAGATGGCAGATGCAGTTTTTATTCAAGCTGCTCTTCTCTATTATCTGTCAGCAGTGACGATGCACTGCAACCGGCCATGTCACTATTATCATTGCCCAGTATATATTCTTCTTAAAATGCACCAATAGCACAAGGGTTCTCCCATGCTGCTGATAATAATAACGCATACCGACAGGGAACAGTGCAGAAGGCTGCCAGCGCGGGTTTGCCGTGCAGGAGCAAATGCAGGAGCACGGAGTATGGAGCATGGCTCGCAGTTTACAGAGGGACAATGACAAGGGATCCTATCAATTGAGAGAAGCATCAAGCAGACAGTAGTGTTGAGGGACTGATCATTGATCCTCAGTTCCCTATGTCTATTCAAACATCAAAGACAGGAGGCAAAACGAAGCTGCCTGAATGCGAAGATAACCTTAATCTGCCTTAGCGTCTTCCTGATGCCAATATCTCACCTTCTCTGCTCTTTAATCCTATTTACGCCTCCTTCTTGCCCTTCCTTCCGCCCCCAATTTGTCCGCTGTTCACCGCTATTTAAATATCTTCGAGGCATTCCCACTTCGAGTTCAACCTCGTCGTGCGTCCTGCGTTCGTCCTTCAACTGGTGTGCCTGAAGCGTCCGCGCCCCGTCGGTCCGAGTTTTCTCGGCTTTATTTATTTCCATTGTTGTGCGCCACGGACGTTCCTCAGGGGGCGGCATCGGGAAAGGCAAAAAGAAAAAAAAAAACACTGACAGCTTGGAACTCCTTCCCCAGTCGGAGCTTGTTCTCCATTATCCGAGCTCCTGCCACCTTCAAGCTCGCCGTTCCATCCAGGTAGTGTCCCTTTTCATCAATCATAGCTAGGATCTGTCGAGGAATTCGAAGACGTTGCTAACGAACCTCCGCTTATCGCTGCTTCTAGGCTGTTGATTTCCCGCTATCGGCCCCTCTCCCTGACAACATCTTCCCTCCCCACATGCCGCTGCTCACCTAGACGGGCCAGAGTCGCAGAATTGCATCAATTGTTTTGCGGTCAGTCCAGTAGGGCATACAGAGGGTTTCTCCGTGGGCCGTCGGAACTAGTCAACGTGTCTCGCTGCAGCGTTAGACGTTGCATTCCATCATGGTCTCCTCGGTGATTGCGAGGAAGTTGCGCCTCGCAGACGAGGATGGGGACAATGAACCGGGATGGTTGAAGCGACAGGTTACTACTGGCTTGCAATTCATATCTCGCCGTGCCTGTCTTCACCCCATTCACACTATCGTCGTGATTGCGCTGCTTGCCAGCACAACTTACGTCGGCCTCCTGGAAGGGAGTCTCTTCGACGCTGTCCGGGCACCCAGAAATGCTACTGGTCAAGTGGACGTGGATTCACTTCTCCAGGGAAGCAGAAACCTTCGATTGGGCGCGCACACGTCCTGGAAGTGGCAGGTTGTCGACAGTGCTCCCAGAGTGGAGGATAAGGAGGTAGCGTTCCCGGCGGCTGTCTTTTGCTACCCAGCGTGCATGTGCTAATTATGATTTGGGAAATAGGTCGCTCAGCACCTCGCTCTAGCTACCTTGATTTTCCCAAACTCTGCATCGAAATCAGCTTCCACTGCTCCTCTTCCAGATGAGATACCCATTCCCGCAAATGTCTCGGCTCGATCTGTTCCTCATACTCCGAACTTCTTTGCTCCTTTCTCTCGTGACACGTCTTTGGCATTCACATTACCCCTCGATCAGGTGCCAGAGTTCCTTAAGGCTGCACAGGAAATCCCTGATGCCTCAGCTGACGAGGATGAGGTGGAGCAGAAGAGATGGATCATGAGGGCTGCACGTGGTCCGGCATATGGGTCCCGCAGGGCACTGAAGCTCTGGTTTACAGATGCGTGGAGCTCGTTCGTAGATCTGATCAAGGTACTTTGACACTGTTGCCTTTACCCGCCCTTTGACTGATTTCCTGCTGACTCATGTAGCATGCGGAAACCATTGACATTGTCATCATGGCCCTTGGATATCTTTCGATGCACCTGAGTTTCGTCTCCCTATTTGTCTCCATGAGACGCCTCGGCTCCAAATTCTGGCTTGCGGCAACCGTCCTTTTCTCGGGAGCCTTTGCCTTCCTCTTCGGGCTTCTGGTGACTACGAAATTAGGCGTTGCAATCAACATGCTTTTGCTGTCCGAAGGCCTTCCATTCCTCGTGGTGACCATCGGATTCGAAAAACCAATCCTTTTGACCAGGGCAGTTCTCAATGCTTCAGCGGACAAAGACTCTCGAAATGCCCGCAAGTCGGGCCAACCTAGTGGCCTTCAAGCTCCCGCTGCTGTCCCACGTTCCATTCAAGAATCGATCGAACACGCAATCAAAGAAAAGGGTTTCGAAATCGTCCGAGACTATTGTATCGAAATTGCCATCCTCGTGGCCGGAGCTGCCTCGGGAGTGCAGGGAGGCCTGCGACAATTTTGCTTTCTTGCAGCCTGGATTCTGTTTTTCGACTGTCTCTTGCTCTTCACATTCTACACCACCATTCTATGTATCAAACTGGAAATCACACGGATCCGGCGCCATGTCGCGCTTCGCAAGGCCTTGGAAGAGGAGGGAATTACCCACCGTGTGGCGGAAAATGTGGCCGCTAACAACGACTGGCCTGGAGCAGGCTCGGATCGTAGTGACGCTACCGATGCCAGTATCTTTGGGAAAAGAATAAAATCCAGCAGTGTGCGAAGATTTAAGATCCTGATGGTCGGCGGGTTCATCCTGGTCAATATCGTGAACCTGTCGGCTATTCCTTTCCGGAACTCCAGTGCCCCTATCGTCTCGCGAATCTCCAATATTCTTGCACCGACTCCCATCGATCCGTACAAGGTTGCCGAGAACGGCCTAGATTCCATCTATGTCTCCGCCAAAAGCCAGATGCAGGAGACCATGGTCACCGTTATCCCTCCAATCAAGTACAAATTGGAATATCCTTCCGTCCATTACGCTACGCTCGAAGAAGGCACATCCTTTAACATTGAGTATACAGACCAGGTTCTAGAAGCCGTAGGGGGCAAGGTGCTTGAAAGCTTGCTGAAAAGCGTTGAGGACCCTATTATAAGCAAGTGGATTATTGCTGCTCTAACCCTGAGCGTCGTTTTAAATGGCTACCTTTTTAATGCGGCGCGTTGGAGTTTAAAGGAACCGGCAGCTCCTGTTGTCGAAAAGCAAGTTGTCAGCGAGCCCCCCAAGGCTCCCCGGAGGGTTGAGCTGACTCAGGGGGAGTCCGGCAGAACCTGCGAAGAATGTGATGCCATACTGAAAGAGAAACGCGCTGCCATACTGACTGACGAAGAATTGATCGACTGTTCGCTACGTGGTAAAATCCCTGGATATGCTCTCGAGAAGTCTTTGGAAGATGAGGAGGTCATGAGCCGCGTGGAGGCCTTTACCAGGGCGGTCAAGGTTCGTAGGGCTGTTGTGTCGAGAACACCTTCCACTGCGGCGACTACGAGTTCTTTGGAAACATCAAAACTTCCCTACAAGGACTATAACTATACCCTTGTTCACGGTGCCTGTTGTGAAAATGTTATCGGATACTTGCCGTTGCCCTTGGGGGTTGCAGGGCCTTTGAATATCGACGGCCAGAGCTACTTCATCCCTATGGCAACCACGGAGGGTGTTCTGGTCGCTAGTACAAGCCGAGGCGCCAAAGCTATCAATGCAGGTGGAGGAGCTGTTACAGTTCTTACCGGCGATGGCATGACTCGCGGGCCTTGCGTTGGTTTCCCTACGCTCGCGCGAGCTGCGGCCGCAAAGGTCTGGCTCGACTCTGAAGAAGGCCGGAGCATTATGACGGCAGCTTTCAACTCTACCAGCCGCTTTGCCCGTCTGCAGTCAATGAAGACAGCCCTTGCTGGCACATATCTCTATATTCGTTTCAAGACTACTACCGGAGACGCCATGGGTATGAATATGATCTCGAAGGGCGTTGAAAAGGCACTGCACGTCATGGCCACGGAGTGTGGATTTGATGATATGGCGACGATTTCCGTATCTGGGAACTTCTGCATCGACAAGAAGCCTGCTGCCATCAACTGGATTGACGGACGAGGTAAATCCGTCGTGGCCGAGGCCATAATTCCCGGTGATGTCGTGAAGAGTGTACTGAAGAGCGATGTGAACGCGCTTGTCGAGCTTAACACCAGCAAGAATTTGATTGGTAGCGCCATGGCGGGCAGTCTTGGTGGCTTCAATGCGCATGCATCGAATATTGTCACCGCCATTTTCCTGGCAACGGGACAAGATCCAGCGCAGAATGTTGAAAGCAGCAACTGCATTACTACAATGCGGAAGTAAGTCATGAAACGCTGTTATTTGCTGTTTTTCTAGTGAGTAAAATATGCTGACTGATGTTCCAGCATCAATGGTAACCTGCAGATCGCCGTCTCGATGCCGTCCATTGAGGTGGGAACCATTGGTGGTGGCACCATTCTGGAGGGACAGTCGGCAATGCTTGATCTGCTTGGGGTACGGGGCTCCCACCCTACAGACCCCGGTGAAAACGCGCGACGGCTCGCCCGTATCGTGGCTGCTGCTGTTCTCGCTGGAGAACTCAGCCTGTGTTCCGCACTTGCTGCTGGACATCTAGTCCGAGCACATATGGCCCACAACCGCGGCCCTGCTGCACCCACACGATCAGCGACGCCGGTATCAGCCGCTGTCGGAGCAGCCAAGAATCTGACGACCAAATGAGCAAGGATTGAGCAGCACCAGCATTGGGCCCTGTATATACGCCTTCTCTGCCCATGGTACATAGACATGCAGATGGTGATTCGCTTTCTTCCCATGTCTTCACCGGCCTTTTCAAAACGAACTACTGCCGCCGTCCTGATGGCATGCTCTTTCTGCATAGTGGTCTACGATATTCATTATTATTGCATACGTATGTGTGAGACTTGCTGGGGTTTGTTAGTACTTTTTGTATAGTGTTTTATTCTCTTATTTACTCTTCCTAATAACACATAAGGGGTGAAGTGGCTACATTTTACTGGAAACAGGCAAAAAAGACCAAAGACTTGGGAGGGATATGGAGAGGATAAAATATCTATCTTGTTTACGTTCATACATTGAAAGGACATTATTATTATGGACAGGGGGGAGTAGAAAGAATGGTTGGAAAAATAGAAATAAAATAAAAAATAAACAGTATATGCAAGCAGATCTAATGTGTCTCTGTACTAGGTGAGAGCCGCTACAACAGGTAGTAGGGCGTGAGATGTATCATACCCACTGAAAATCATCTACACCGACGCCTCGCCAATGGAGGGCCGCGAGACCACTATACCTAGTTAATTTTGCGTTACAGCAGGGGCAACAGACGGCATGGGATAGAGCACATTACTCTGTCATCCTATCTGCTAGTTGCATGCGGATAATCGTGGCCCCCAGTCTTTTATTTCTAAACAGCCCCAATGAATTTGTCAAGATCTGGGACACTAATAACAACATCTATGCGGATCCAAAGGGTTGATTATTTCTAATGTATCTAATGAAATGGTGATTATTGTGAACTCGTATTCCATCGGGAGAGCGGACAGTGGCGGTGTACTTTATTTACGGAGTATGCATTAGCCTACTAGCGGTAAGAACTAAAAGCGCCACCGTGGCTTGGGCCGTTCCCGTCATGTGACTTTCACGGTTTCGAGGATTACATTCATTAATGCAGATTCCCCTGAGCGCTTCACGGCGATCGACTCCTTGCATGGGCTTTGTTCCCGACAGATCGCAATAGTAGACTCGGCTGGCTATTGGCCGTATGAGGGATCATTAGGTGCATCTTACGGAGTAACTTGGCTGGGCTAAGAAATTAGAAAGAGCATTAGATTTGGAGAACCTCCACCGCGGGAAGGGCCAGAAGGAGATCTTCCATCCGGAATTCATCCCAGGAAATGAGAGAGAAAGGGGCCAAGTTTTGCTGTCTGTTCTGTACGGTGTCTTTTTCCTTATTCAAATCAACTCAATTCAATTCAATCCAGATCAACCCGGTCCACGTCGGATCTAATCTCTTTGTTTCTTTCAGATAGTTAGATCTTCCTTTTCTCTTCCATTTCTTCTGTCGCTGTTCTCCCTCTGTCCAAGTCCCTCACTCTCTCGGGCTTGAATCTCCAGGAATCTCGATTGTCCGTTCGCTTTCGATGGCGCGCTCGCACTACCAGTGGCTCTGACTAGTACATACGCCCATTGTCATACACCTCTCCAGCTACTGTCGGTCGCGTTTCTTTTTAATTTCGAATCCATCTTTGCGATGACTCGATGAGTTAATGTGCTTCGATCCAGTCTTCCCGGTCTATTTTTATTCTTCCTCCTACAGTCCCTCGGCGCTGAGGTGGATCCCAATCAGAATCCAGACCTTCCTTCGACTGTCATCCTTCCTCCGACCAAACCAAAAATCTCTCGTGCGGCGACAATTCTAGTGGTTCTTTTTGTTTTTTCCGTCTTCGCCAGACTACGTGAATGCATGATTGAAACGATCTCCACGATTATTACCTCGATTCGAAAGCCGTCGCTGCCCGTTCATGACATTTCGTCCCCACGACTCCGCGAATAATACGAGGGAATGAATGGGCGTTCAGGTACAATGTCTCCTGCTTCCCTGTCCGGGAGTGATTGGTCTGGAATAAATCAATATCAGAAGACTGAGCCCGCTCCGGCTCCGTCTCCGGTTCCCTTGTCGGCACCTTCGCAGCAAGGAAACCAGCCCTGTCCGCTCAGGTCCCATCCACCTGGGCCCCCGAACGGACCCCCAAATGGGCAGAATGGGCCTCCAGTATCCCCCCCAGCCTCCGTCACAGGGCGATCTAGTAGTGGGACGCTGTCCGATCAACAACGTGGCAGGCGAAACAGGATGGTGGAGGACAGCTTAGCAATGCATCACGCTGCGTTTCGAAGGTTCCTGCATGTGGCCCAGCAGGATCTACGAGCATCTCCCAAATCCAATCGGGCGAAGGACAAGCTGATTCGGCTTTCCCCGACGCAGTTCCACGAGCTTAGCACAGATGTGTACGATGAGCTGCTCCGTCGGCAGCAGGCTGCTCCTCCCCCAGGACGGCCCGGACCTCCCAGGCCTGACATCCCTCCATTTCTCCCACCACGAAAGGAGTTCCACGAAAAACGCAACCAAGCCCGTCAAAAGCTCGCCACGCTCCAACATCAAAGATTTAGAGATTTGGCCATGGATGTCTTCCGCGAGCTAGAGAGGAGGTTCCCCCATTTTGTTGGCGCACGAGGCCCACCGCCAAATGGCATGCCTCCCCCCGGGTATGGACCCCCGGGACGAGGCCCGGGCCCTAATGGATATCCTTTCCCTCCACGATCGCAATCACGGAATGGCTTCTCTGACCGCATGAGTGGCGGTCCCCCGCCTCCTGGGGGGCCCCTGCCTGGAGGGCCCCCAGGTAGTCCCATGGGGCGCTTCCCACCACGTCAGGGGTCGTTGAGCGTGCTGCCTCCGCAGGGCGTCAATGGCAGTGGCGGTCCCCTTCCCAAGTCCTTCCAGAGCAATACGATGGTTCCCAACAAGAGTACATTGGTTGAAGATGACGATGAAGCAGCTGGACTCGATAGTGATGCTGATGCGCGAAGCGATGCATTTGCATTAGATTCGGTCTTGCAAAGCAGAAGAGGGACCACGACAACCCTTAGTGAGGGGGAAAGGAAACTACTGCAGGAGACTCAGGCGCAGGTGTCCTCTTTGCAGGAAAAGGTTCAACAACTGGAAGAACTAATCAAGGAGAAAGACGAGCAGGTCTTGAAACTGCAGGAGGAACGTGACAAGTCCCAGGTGCGTCGGAATATTGCCCCTTATATGTCAGTCATACGATTTGTAATAAGACCATTGTTTCCATTGACCACCAGCACAGGTTAGCGAAGACGAGAGGAAGCAGTGGGATGGTCTTAAAGAAGAGCTGCAAAGCAAGATTTCCAAAGCTGAGGGTTTGAATATCTCGCTTCAAGGCGAGTTGGATAAGGTCCGGAGCGAACATGAAGACATGGAACGGCAACTTCAAACCCGAATCCAAGAAGCGTCAGAACGAAGTTCCGCGGACGTGGAGTTGCAGGCGAAATTCAATAACCTCGAGGACAGATACCAGAAATTACAGATTGAGCTACGCCAACAGGAACAGGTCACGGAGGAAGTGAGACGACAGGCGTCGGATTTCTTGCTCGAAATGAGAGCCTTGTCAGAAGAGAGTCAATCCAACTGGGAACGTGAAGAACGGCTATCTAGTGAGGTGCGTAGACTGGAGACTGAAGTCAAAGAGTGGCAGAATCGGTATGCCAAGGCAAAGACTCAATTACGACACCTTCGAACGTCGACGGTCGGCATAGCCGACTCACGTCCTGACGTCGGCGCTTTTGCAAAGGAAAATGAGCTCCTGCAGCACGACGGACTAGTGAAAGATATGCACGTTACGAATTTCCAGATCTCTATTGATGAGCTGCTACACGTCGCCCGATCCGAAGATCCTTCCCGCGTTTTACAGCAGATGAAGGTCACCATAATGGCCGTCCGTCGGATTATACAGGATGTTGAAACATCCGAAAATCACGAGCATCCAGTATCACCTGTGCTCATCAAGATCAAGAGTCGGGTCCCGGCCACTGCAAATAACATGATTACTGCTTCCAGGAATTTCGCCAACGCAAACGGTCTCTCTCCTGTTTCTCTTCTCGATGCTGCCGCATCTCACCTATCCACCGCTGTCATTGAGCTCATTCGTCTCGTCAAGATCCGGCCTACGCCAGGGGACGAGCTGGAGGAAGACGATGATATACCCGAAGTGAAGTCTCCAGGTTATTTCTATGTACCTCCAAGCCAGGAGAAGATCGCCAGCAGCGAATCTCTCTATAGTCCTATCAGCACTCCTGACCTAGAAAGCCATCTAACGTCTCACTTCCCACTACCCCCAAAGGGTATACCGAATGGATTGGCGGTGGATGGAAAATCGATTAACTCTGCTCAGCCTGAAGAACATGACCTGCAGGAATTAAAGGTGGGTAAATAAACCGGGTATCTTTGCATAACTTCTGCATATCTATGTCAAGCGTGTCCGGCTGATTTGGTTTGTTCGCTTTCAGATATACCTTGACGATCAGACAGATGGTCTAGTCCGATCGATAGACGCCCTTGTTGCCAGCATCCGCGCCGAAGACGGCTTAACCGATGTCAGAATACACATATCTTCTATATCTAGCGTTGTGGATAATATCCTCTCGTCTACCGAATCCGTGATGCATCAACCGACGGACGCGATGCTTCAGGAACGCGTGGGCTCCATCCTTCAGACACTCGACGACTGTCGAAACCGCCTCATAGACACTGCTATTGAAGGTGAAGATAATACGGAACATGCCCATGATATCACTGGCAAACTGCCGCCGATTGCATTTGAAATTGCCCGGCAGACTAAAGAACTCGTTTACCGCTTGGACCATGGACAATCTGATGGTGAAGAGGATGAAGACTTTCGATAGTCGATAGTCGAATTTTTTTTTTTTTTTTTTTTTTTTTTTTTTTTTTTTTTTGAACCTTTTCCTTCTTGAGTGTATCTATCATTCGTCTTCTCTACTTTTCTTTTACTTCCCCGTTCATCTTGAATCTTTTTCACCTTTATTCTCTTATCGATCTTATCGAAATCTTGCTGTTCTTTTGCGACGTCTTTAGCGTTATTCCGGCTGTTCATACCGTGTTGGAGTTTTGGGATGTGTTTATACTTTGATTATTCTAGCCTACTGTACATTGGAGACGGCAGAAAGAAAGCCTGTAAGTATTGAGTATTTACTATTGTCCTCGGAGTGATTTTCTGTAAGATGCAGCTGAGCTGAATAATAATAATTGACGCATCATAAGCAGGCTCGCGGCATTGAAGCAAGCCGCCGGCCAATAGCATTTAGTGGGAGTCAGCTAGCTGCCTAGCTCGCTCCTTTTATAGGGGCGTCTTTCTTTCTCCAGATCTCTGCTCCGTTTTCTCCGCTGCATCCCGAACTGGACAACCAGGTGAAATTCCCTGTGAGTATGACCATGATGATGACTGGGGGAAATAAAAAGAAAGGAAATAAATGCACAAGCTATACAAAGTCACCCAGAGAACCTCCTTCAATGGATGCAGTTCGCTGCACAATGGGGCGGATTTGAAGCTGCTGGCGAAATTCTCCCAAACACACCGGACAGCGGTTTTGGCCTGCATTGGCTGACGTACTGTCTTATGTCAGCAGGTAGTTTCCTCACCAACGTGCCTTACCGCTTTCGGACGCTGCCCCTCCGGCAAAAATGTTTTCCCGGGCTGTTCTGAGATCAGCTGCAATAACCCCGCCTTGCCTCCCCTCCTCTTCTCCTGCTTTCCGTCCTCTCTCTTCCTTCGTCTTCAATTGCTCTCGTTCCAAGCCATCTCTTCCTCAATTCTCCCTCCGGTCCTTCCACCAATCCTCAGCAACCATGTCCAACACCAAGGCCTTCTTCGACGTCGAGTACGCCCCTCAGGGCACTGGTGCCCGTGAGTTTTCTTTTCTTTTTTTTTTACCCATTTCCCTTAGCCTCTTTTTTCGTCCTGGTGGGGGGTGGAAAATTTATCCATCCATCTCCCTCACGGGTGTTCCGTTTCTCTTTTGTTTACTTGTCGACATTCACCTACGACCTCAGGATCATTACTGTGCTAACCATGGCTATTGTGTACTTTAGCCAAGACTGGCCGTATCGTCTTCAACCTCTTCGAGAAGGACGTCCCCAAGACCGCTAGGAACTTCCGTGAGCTCTGCAAGCTCCCTGAGGGTCAGGGCTACAAGGGCTCCACTTTCCACCGTATCATCCCTCAGTTCATGCTTCAGGGTGGTGACTTCACCCGCCACAACGTGAGTCCTTTTTATAAATTAAAAAAAAATTCGGGATCTACCGGCTGCCCCGCCATGCCCCTCTTGTCACCCCCGCCACCCTCGGCACGTTTAGTTGACCTGTTGACTGACTTGAATGTGTTTCAAACTTGCAGGGCACTGGTGGCAGGTCTATCTATGGTGAGAAGTTCAAAGATGAGAACTTCATGTACAGGCACACCAAGCCTGGTATCCTCTCCATGGCCAACGCTGGCCCCAACACGTGAGTTGACCACCTCTTTTCAAATCATGTTCACCCTTGACTGACTATGATTCTTTGTAACAGCAACGGATCCCAGTTCTTCATCACCACTGTCCCTACCTCTTGGCTCGATGGAAAGCACGTCGTCTTCGGTGAGGTCGCTGACGAGGCTTCCCTCGAGGTCGTTAAGGAGATTGAAAAGCTCGGCAGCAGCTCTGGTGCTGTCCGTTCCAATGTTAAGCCCCGGATTGTCAACTGCGGTGAACTGTAGAGAGAAAAAGTCGAGGCAGCGATAGACTTCTTTTCGCACTTGATGAGCCATGCCTGGTGAATCTCTTCGCCAGCCTTCAGGTTGAAGGATGTCTCCGTTTCTTAATTTGCATGGTGTAATTTAGATTGCACGCCCACTATTACTTAAAAAGGAGCTGCTCTTCTGGCATAGTTGCTCAGTAAATGTAGTTGGCGTGTGGATGGAGTGCTTATGATGACGTCAAACCTTTTGTCAACTGTACAGAATCCTTCGTAAACATCATAAAAAAGCAGATCTTTCTGAGAATCCGGTAGAGTCTAAACGAATGGCACAATTCGAGCATATGCAATCGTGAGAATCTATACTCCGTAGATGGATTCTCGTTCCCCGCAACCCGAATCGCAGCCAAGTCAACCTTTGCCTCTGTTGGTTGGATCTACTGTACTCCAATGACATATATCTGCCCTCCACCGGGGTATTTTGTGTTGCCATTGTGGATGGCTGGTTGATAGCGGATGGATTGATTGTGTTGGCTCCTATTAATTAATATTCCTCTACTGAACTGACCATACCTAGTGCACACCATACATACACTGCATCGACTAATATGTGAGGATTTTATTTACCAGCTGCACAGGGTATCTAAACCATAACTACCTGAGTTAGACAGATTACTTTCGGAGAACTAAATTAATAAAAAGACTATTGGCCATTCAATCATTCGTATTAGTTAATGTTAGCTAGGTAATCTCATAATAGGTACACGAATAGTAAGTTGAAAAAAAAAAAAAAAAAAAAAAAAAAAAAACTTCTGGTCAATCCAGTCGCAGAAGACAAACTCAAGGGGTTATCATTAAAAATTTCAATGCAGGGTTAAGTGGAGATAAGCTCTGCTCTGGGAGGAGATAGGTCAGATCAGATCAAATTGGGGCTAGGGACAGGGGAAAGGAACATTAGAAGCCAGCTTCAGATCTTGCTGAAGAAAGTGTATCCTATCCCCTGTTCCCTGTTCCATCCCAATCGATCATCCACAGCATTTGGTTACTTGCGTAACATCAATCCTGTCGAGTCAAATTAAATCAGTTTATTTCCTCGAGTAAATAATAGGTTTGTTTGTTTGCTTTGCTGTTCCCCATTGCATGTGAAAAAAGGGAAGAAAAAAAGACTTACTCCTTCCCAGGCCCCAGAGGCTCCCATGAAAAGATAAAAGCCCCCAACCAAGCCCCAATGAAGATACAGATAATGATGTATCCGTTGAAATACATAGCGAGCAACATGACGAAGTACGCAACGGCAAACTGGACCATATGCAACGTGGCGCGGATAAACTGTTCGACAATAGTAGGTCGTACAGGGTCCATGGATGCGTTCTGCGCAGGATCATAGCCAGCGGCTGCAGAGCGTGCATCAGTCTTGGGGGCAGCGTGAGCTTCGTGATTCGAACAATGGCTGGCATTCTCTATTTCGGCTCCAGGGACGCCAGAAGTGCCAAAGGGGGTGGCGGAGGAAGTCAGAGGAGAGGATAGGGAAGGCATAGAGGACAGATACTGTCTCCTCAGCCTGGCGCGACGGACGATGAAGGCATCATATTCACGACCAACACGGCGGAGGAATTCAAGAGAGATGACGAGACAGATGACGCCGATGCAGGAGCCACCGAACATGCCGTGAGAGGTGATATGCCATGATTTAGAGATGAAGCCTATTTTCAACGGTATTAGTTCTACATGCTAGACGGAAGAACAAGGGAGTTTAGAGAAGGTTTGTCTCTCACAGGAGTCAACGGTATTCCAGTTCCACAACATCTGTTGAAGATATGGTTGATTAGCATGCATGTCACCGGGTCATTTTCATTTTCACCCCATGTATAATGAAGGATGCTTTGGAGAACAGGTCATCTTACAGAGATCTTGCACGAATGGCCCATGTCCATTCCACTCATGCTGCCGCCGCTGCTGCTCGAGGCAGCGGTAGAAGTCGGGGACATCGACATGGTCATAGAGCCCATGGCCATTGACGCAGCAGTCGTCGCGACAGACGCAGTGGTCGTGGCCATGGTGCCCATAGACATACCAGACATGGAGTCCATGACTGATTAGAGTTGGTCTTTTCTGTTGTTTTTCTTGGTACGGCTGGAGACAAGAGGGATTTGCGTCGAGGCAGTCCCACAACAGAGTTCGAGGACTGAAGAGTATGGGGACGAGACGGGACTGGGTATTTGAATGAAGCCAATCTCGATCTCGGAGGATTTCAGCGCCTGTCAGACTCTGAAGAAGTATGACATGCAGCGGAAAAGGCTACCGAGCAAGGGACGTTTTACAACCTAGTTGGGCAAGTAGGGAAACAGGGTGTTATAAGAGAAAGAGAAAGAGACCCGGGGAATTTTCAGAGTGAATAAGAGCACGTATGGGTCATGATATGTGCCAATGATTACAGGGTCTTTTGTCTTTCCCATCTCTTTGTTGCATTCTGATTCTCCTATATTAAAGCACCATTTTAGCGTGCGCGGGATTGCAGCAGTTTTGAGCAGATTTTCGTGCGCGGGATTGCAGCAGTTTTGAGCAGATTTTCGGCTGGAACGATTCGGTTAGACTTGCAAAGTTTGGCCTAGCCCGAGCTTATTCTGCCTGCCGTGGATGCCTGAGGAACTTCACTGCCGAACGCCTTGTCTCCGTATGAAAATAAAATAAGGAACCACAATCAAAATCATGCTTCTGCAGACACTTTAGATAGCACCACACGGTCTGAGCCCTTGATGACGCCTTCTAGTATCTCTCGGATCTGTGTGCACCCGTCAATTCCAACCGCCAGCAGCGTCTCGATATAGGAAGCGTGCACTTTGGAGTCCATGTGAAGCACTGAGATCTTCATGTCACTGTCATCCTCGTCCATCGCATTCTCTCCCACAGGGACTGCTGTTGTCGTCCCGACCGTCAGCGCCGGAAGCTCTTGCTCCTCCGGTAGTGAAACATCTAGAAGCGGATCGAGTTCGTCGTTGTTGGGGTCACGCGGTGTCGATGCGCTGCCGCTCATGGCCGACGTACACCCGCAGAGGAGGCCCGGCATGGGAATCCCCGCGTCGACAAGCGCCAGAGTGCAGGCATTGATGGCTGCTGCGAGAAGAGATCCGTCCGATGATAGGACCGACACATGAATGTGGATGGTACTGTGAGGATACAAATAGGTATGGAGATGTGATTGGAAAGCTGCGCGGAGAATCGTTGCGATTCGAGTCGATTGCCTGGTTGTAGCAAAGCAGAGTCAGAAAAGAATGTACCAACACAGCACCGTAGGCCAACATTAGACCCAAAAGAGCAAATCCGGCCTACCGATCGCTCCCACCAGCCCTTCTTCTTCGATCAACAAGAGCAAAGCCCGCAACGTTCACATCCACTTCCACTGTAGCGCCCGCTGGGCTTCCTGCACCTCCTCCCTCTCCTCTGCGTCCCTCAGCTGGACCATGTACCGAGCACATTATCGCTGTATTACCCATCGACAAATATGACGAGCCTGAGCTAGCAGGGTTTGTGGAGATCTGAGCTTGAAGAAGACGGAGCTCGTTCCAGCGACGACCGTCGAGTCGCAGCTTGGTGAGAGGGTATGTTGTAGAGGTATCGAGAGGCATTCTGTGTATCCCTTGGTTGAATGAGAGAAGATAGAAACGAAGAGGAGGAGCGAAAAGAGGGAAGCTCCAGTTATGTCCTGGACACAATCCCTGTTCTTTATCTGTCGGTCGCAGCGGGTGGGAAAAAATATGTGAAATCGCGATAACGGGAGGACCGAGGAAACCACCAGATTGGCAGTAACAAGGAAGGTCGGTATGAATTCTAAATTTACTGATTCGAAGATAATTGGCAAGGTGAAAGGCAAAACGTTACAATTAGTCTGGGTGCGTGGACGCGTTGGATCAGTCAAGTTCGAAATAATTAAGCTTTCTGCCCTGTTGGGAAATCTTCGAATATCTCCCGTTCCTGACGTCTCTCCGCGCGTCCTTGCATCGGCTTGCTCACGATTTCCAAAACTATGCGGTCACACTGGGAATTACGAGATTCGGACAATCCCACATTTGACTCAGATGATGATGACGATGATGACTTGGAGCTCAGGAGCGTGTTGGATCGACCTCGCTCTACTCTCTCCGGTATGAAACTTTGATGTTCTTATCTAGATGGGTGAGGATACAAAATAACGTTTGGATTAAATACAGGTAGAGGTCCAGTCAGAGATGTGGCCCATAGATCCCCAAGGCCACCAGTCAAGCCCGAGACAGCATCCACGCCTTTAAGACCTAATACACCCGTGATGATCTCGTCCGATGAAAGCGACAGCGATGATGAGGATTTCGGCGATGCAGAGGCTGCCTATAACGAATTCAAGAACAGAAATCTCGAGCGAAAAAGAAAGCGAAATACTGCTAGCGCTCGCAAGCCAAGGGTGTCACAGGTGGACTCATTCGTCGGTCTCTGCCACAAGGAAGACGTGTTGTCACGGAAGAGACAGCGGTTGAGAGGCTATGGAGAAGACGTATCTTCCGATGATGACGGAATGGAGTACACACTACCTGATTACTTGCAGAGACGTCGGGTCCAGTTTGACAGGAGAGCGGAGCTTCTGAAGGAGTCCGGATTGAACCTACCACCCAACTACGACGATGTGGAATTCTCCGACGATGAACGCCTGGAGTTCTTAGCAGAAAAACCCATATTCAGTAATATCAATCCCTGTCAGGAATACAAGGATATTACCCTTCCTTACTCTCTTGGTCTCATCCCAGCGCCCATTGCTCAGTGGTTGCGCCAATATCAGGTTGACGGAGCCGCTTTCTTGCACGAACTTTTCGTTTATCAAAAGGGCGGGATTCTAGGCGATGACATGGGTCTAGGGAAGACGGTACAGGTGATCGCATTTCTAACCGCTGCGTATGGGAAGACGGGCGATGAACGAGATGCTAAAAGGATGCGCAAGATGCGAAGGTCTAACCAAAACAAGTGGTACCCTAGGACGCTGATTGTCTGTCCTGGGACATTGATTCGGAACTGGCAGTCAGAACTCGCGCGTTGGGGCTGGTGGCAAGTCGAAGTCTACCACGGACCGAACAAAGACCAAGCATTGCTCGCAGCGAAGTCTGGGAGGGTTGAGATTCTCATTACAACCTACACCACATACCGCAATCATAGGAGTTCTGTCAACATGGTAGAATGGGACTGCGTCATCGCAGATGAGTGCCATGTTATTAAAGAACGAAAATCTGAAACCACCAAGGCAATGAATGAAGTCAATGCTCTCTGCAGGATTGGACTGACGGGTACCGCGATCCAGAATAAGTACGAAGAGCTATGGACGCTTTTGAACTGGACAAATCCCGGAAAACTGGGCCCGGTGACGACGTGGAAGAGAATGATATCCCAACCACTGAAGATAGGCCAGTCGCACGATGCTACGCTTCACCAACTCAGCAAAGCTCGCAAGACGGCTAAGATGCTAGTTGAGAATCTCCTGCCTCGATTTTTCCTCCGACGGATGAAGTCATTGATAGCAGATCAGCTTCCCAAGAAGAGTGATCGGGTAATTTTCTGTCCACTGACCGAGACTCAGGCGGACGCCTATGAGAATTTTCTGGACAGTGAGATGGTCGATTACATCAGACACTCTTCCGATGTTTGTAGCTGCAATTCAGGGAAGAAAGCGGGCTGGTGCTGCCGACAATACTTGCCGTCAGGGGGCAGATGGCAAAGCTATGTATTTCCTGCAATAGCAAACCTCCAGAAGCTCAGCAACCACCTTGCAATTTTGATCCCACAGGGATCAGATCCAAAGGAGAAACAGGACAAGGACCTTGAGATGTTGGAGATTGCGGTGCCAGCCCAATGGCAGCAACTCTATCGTACCCGAGACTCAATCGTCAACTATGCGAACCCCGAGTTCTGTGGGAAGTGGAAGGTACTCAGGAAGCTGCTCAAATGGTGGCACGCGAATGGAGACAAAGTCTTGGTCTTCTCACACAGCGTGCGTCTTTTGAAAATGCTACAGATGTTGTTTCATCACACAAGCTACAACGTTAGTTATCTGGACGGTTCGATGAACTACGACGAACGAGCAAAGGTTGTAGATGATTACAACTCCGACCCTCAACAGTTTGTCTTTCTCATATCCACGAGAGCTGGTGGCATCGGCTTGAATATCACGTCGGCAAACAAAGTCGTCGTGGTAGATCCCAACTGGAATCCGTCGCATGATCTGCAGGCCCAGGATCGAGCCTATCGCATTGGCCAATGCAGGGATGTTGAGGTATTCCGGCTCATCTCTGCAGGTACGATCGAGGAGATCGTGTATGCACGGCAAATCTACAAGCAGCAGCAAGCTAACATTGGATACAACGCGAGTTCGGAACGGAGATATTTCAAGGGCGTGCAGGAGAAAAAGGATCAAAAGGGGGAGATTTTCGGCTTGACGAACCTCTTTGAATATCAAAACAACAACGTCGTCTTGCGAGATATTGTCAACAAGACCAATGTCGCCGAGAGCAAGGCCGGAGTCCAGGTCATGGACATAGATGTGGAAGCCAGTCAAGAAGACGACGATACTGTAACCCTGGCTCGAAGCGGATCCGTCAGTAGCAATGGTGAAGGTAATGAAGATGCCATGAGCCAGCTAGCGGCCGCGATCTGTGGGGATGCCGACAATAAAGACTCACTCCAAAACCTAACCGCGGAAGTGACACCCAAAAGACACGATCCTATCCAGGCCATCCTAGCCGGTGCTGGAGTCGAATACACTCATCTGAACAATGAAGTGATTGGCTCATCAAAGGTCGAAGAAAGACTGAGCCGGCGGGCTGAACTGGCCGATTCACAGATTGATGACGTCCAGGTCTTCCTCGACTCCCAAGACCAAGCGGGGCTATCTCCGGGAATCACAAATAGTAGTGGTGGGTCCAAGTTCAAGAAAAACGGTAAGCCCATTTACTTCAAATATCATCCGCCGGCGGATGTGATGAAACGGCAATTCTGTAGCATGGCCAGACGCTACGGGTTTCCGAATGCCACCGAATTCGCGCTTGTTGTCGAGGGCATGACACAGGCTCAGAGACGAGCCTGTCTTGAGCGCTGGTATAAAGAGAGACGAGAGCTTCTTCTGAAATGAGGATCCATGTTAACATTATATACGATCAGGGTTGGTTTAGTGATGGAGCGGTCGCAGATTTAGGATGTTTTGGCAGGTTTGGATAACAGGTTTTACTACGCGATACCAATGGGGCGGAGTACGGAGTACGGGAAACGGACGAATTGGGCGTGCTACTTCATTATATCAATAAGAACTGGAGTATAATCTACATCCTGGTTTACTTGAAATTGCTGTAAAAGCGCCCCATCGTCGTAGTGCATATGTATATCACGTGACTCAAACATCACCTCCAGGCATCATCGCCTTTGACGCTCGCCGTGGCAACAGAAACAACTCATCCACATCCATTTGTCCTCCCCGGCAGTAGTCGACCATTTCAGTGCATCATGGCTATTAAATGATAATAAACTAAATCCAGTACTTAACACGTATAACATATTACTACCACAACATGGGTGTGACTGGACTCTGGACAGTCGTCCAGCCCTGCGCACGACCCATCAAGCTTGAAACCCTCAACAAAAAAAGGCTGGCAGTCGACGCATCGATCTGGATTTACCAGTTTCTGAAAGCCGTGCGAGACAAGGAAGGCAATGCACTCCGTAATTCACATGTGGTTGGTTTTTTCCGACGGATATGCAAGTTGCTCTACTTTGGCATCAAGCCCGTGTTTGTGTTTGACGGGGGTGCACCGGTGTTGAAGAGGGAGACAATTGCGAAGCGAAGGAGAAGGAGGGAAGGGAGGAGAGAAGATGCTGTTAGGACGGCAGGGAAGTTGCTTGCGGTACAGATGAAGCGGATAGCAGAGGAGGAAAAGGCCACTGCTAGACAGAGGAATCGGAGGGAAAATAAACGAGAAAGACAAGAGGAAGTGGAAGTGGTTCCGGATCAGCCGGTCTATGTTGAGGAGACTTTCATGACGGAGAAAGAAAAACGACAGGCTCGGCAGTTCAAGAAGAAGGATGCATATCATCTGCCTTCGTTGGAGGTTTCGCTGGAGGAGATGGGGGCACCAAATGATCCTCGCATCATGTCGAGGGAGGAACTAGAAGAATATGCGCGGCAGTTTCAGCAAGGGGAGGATGTGAATCTTTACGATTTCTCCAAGATCGACTTCGACAGTCCCTTTTTCATCAGCTTACCGGCTACTGATCGGTACAATATCTTGAATGCGGCGAGGCTGAGAAGTCGACTACGCATGGGCTATTCGAAGGAGCAGTTGGAAACCATGTTTCCTGATAGGATGGCTTTCTCCAAATTTCAGATCGAACGTGTCAAGGAGAGGAACGACCTTACGCAACGGCTAATGAATATCAACGGCATGAATGGTGATTATGCAATGTATGATATCACTGCAGGGCAGAGGATTGCCGGAGAGCGGAATAGAGAGTATGTGCTGGTCAAAGATAGTGCGGTTGAAGGTGGATGGGCACTAGGAGTTGTGAGCAATTCCAACGAAGGACAGGTTGATAAGCCCATCGACGTCGAACGATACGGGCAGCTTGAAGTGTTTCCGGAAGAGGAACAAGCATCGGACGATGAGGGTTTTGAAGATGTGCCTATTGAAGGTCTGAATCGCCTTCCTAAACTCCCTTTTCTTCAAAAAGGAGTCTTTGATGAATCGATGGAGCGGCAAGTTCAGGAAATGTCTGAGAGGAAGGGTGCTGAAATGGAAGATGACTTGCTTTTTGTGCAAGGAAATACTGGGGATGAGAGTCTTCAGAATATTGATGGGTTATTCGATAGCAAAGGGGACTCTGGGGACGAAGATCTTCAGCGTGCAATTCAAATGTCGCTGGAATCCCCCATAGATACATCTTTTGAGGATCTTGCCGTGAATGCTCTCAGAACTTCGGCACAACCGAAGGTTGCCGCACCGGAATCGTTTCCTGAAAGTGATGATGATGAAGACTTTGCAACTGCCTTGGCGCGATCCAAGAGGACAAAAGAAAGACAACCCCCTCCAAAGACGCACCCATTTGACGGTCCATTACCTTTCGAGTCGATTAAGATTGGCAAGCCCTCTACAACAAAGGAATCAGCAAAGGGCCATAGTATTGATGCAGATGCTGGTGGATTCGAAAGGGAGCCTACCCAGTCAAAAAAGGAATTACCTTTACCGCCATGGTTCTCTGGAAACCATTTAAACCAAGATTTTGCTAACGATAGATCTGAGGACGGTTCTATCGAAAAATATCGAGAAGAGACCATGACGCCGAATTATCAGTTTTTGCGGGACCATAGATCGCCTGATGTCATTAATCCCAAGGGTGACCACGAGGTGGTTGATTTGGAAGCTGATTCTGAGAAAGAACCGTCGGTCGAAGTTACTTCAGATATGGAGAAGGCCAATGATACTGCTGTGCATTTAATTGAAGATCGGCCTGCGCCTATGATCCCAACCTCGAAAGTCCAGGAGACTAGAGGAGCTTTGGAAACACCGATGAAAGACATGTCAGGGGTCGAAGAAGTCTATGAATGGGACGCCACAGGTGACGAGAAATCGAATATTGGCCCTGAAAGGAGAGTCTCACGTACAGAACAGTCACTGTCACCTGAGTTTGAGGATGCTCCAATGGAAAAGAAGAAAAATATCCCAGATATAATTGAACCTGTCTCTCATGCAGATACTGGTTTGCAGGCGGCCATAGACACTGACCAACAGGAGACATTTGTGGAGGAAGATGGAGACGTTACTGACCCTGAAGATGAAGATTTAATGAGACAGCTTGCAGCAGAAGCCGAAGAGCACGCTAGGTTTGCAGCGTCACTGAACTCCACGGCCCATGCGCAGAGTGCTTTCGACTATGAACAAGAGCTAAAACAGCTACGCTCTCAGCAGCAAAAAGACCGCAGAGACGCTGACGAAATCACTCAGGTCATGATCACAGAGTGTCAGCAATTGTTGGGGCTCTTTGGACTACCTTACATCACAGCCCCGATGGAAGCAGAGGCGCAGTGCGCGGAGCTGGTGTCGTTGGGACTCGTGGACGGGATTGTGACCGATGACAGCGATGTTTTCTTATTTGGCGGCACGCGAATCTACAAAAACATGTTCAACCAGAGCAAGTTTGTAGAGTGCTATCTGGCATCAGACCTGGAGAAGGAATATGCTCTCCATCGCAAGAAACTGATTAGTTTTGCCCACCTGCTAGGCAGTGACTACACAGAGGGCATACCAGGAATTGGCCCCGTTACCGCTCTTGAGATCCTCACAGAGTTCCAGAGTCTAGAAGAGTTCCGCGACTGGTGGACGGAAGTTCAAACTGGTATGCCCAACGGCCAGGAAGCGCACCCTGCATTCTACAAGAAGTTCCGAAAAACTGCATCGAAGATCTTTCTCCCACCTTCGTTCCCTGATTCGCGCGTTGCCGAGGCCTACCTAAACCCCGAAATTGATTCGGACCCATCCCCGTTTCAGTGGGGAGTGCCGGACCTGAATGGGCTGCGGAATTTCCTCATGGCTACGGTGGGGTGGAGCCAGGAACGCACAGACGAGATTCTGCTCCCCGTCATTCGCGACATGAATCGAAGAGACCAGGAAGGTACGCAGTCGAATATCACTAGGTTTTTCGCTGGGAATCAAGGGGCCGGTGCGTTTGCGCCCCGGGTCCGTGATGGAGGAAAGAGTCGTATGGAAAAGGCGTTCAGTCGACTTCGCCGGGAAGCTGCATCGAGAAGCGGAAATCCAGAAGACGGAGAACGTGAGAGCGACAGTATTCACGAGACCCGCGACAATAGCGCGAACAGTGTCGGACGGGGAGGAATGAGTACAAAACGGGGAACACGGGCTAACGCTGAGCAACCAGATGGCAATAATGATGCCATGGATGGGAGATCGACGAGCAAGAAACGCAAAACACAGCGACGCAGTAAAGCCACGTGACTGGGGTATTGTTTCGGGGATGTTGTGTTATGGTGTACGCTGGCGTGCCTATAGATACGTATGAGACTTGGGGGGCAGCCTAAGCCCTACGCTGTACTGTATTGAATATTGAATATACAATATACAATATAGCGAAACCAGTGGGGGTAATGCATATCGCAGACAAGGTTAGCTGAAACTTGGATCGTGTGGCGCATCGCATTGCCTGTTATGAGCGGCAATATGATCTGTGGAGGACCGGAGGCCTGCCGATCACAGCGAGTACGATGATATCATGATTCATTCTACAGGCCCCTCGGTCGATGCAGCGCGCGCAGGGGGTTGAAGCTGAAGAGTTCCTTGTAAGTTGAAGCAAGGAACAGCCCCTGGAGGCCATGGGAGCATCGATGCCCGATTCGGCTAGACTGAGGCATGACGACGTCACCAGTTCATCGCAAGGCATGAACTCTGTCTTCCGACTTCTTCCTCATCTTCTTCCTCTCTTCCTCTTCATCTGCCGTCCATCTGTCCTCTTTTAATCCCTTCCTCTGCATCGTCTTCTTCCATCGTCCGCTTTACCGTTGGGCCCATCCTTCCATTGACTACTGTGTGGACTCTCATCAACAAGCAACCACCCGAGCTGAACTGGTCTGGCCCGCCGACCAGCCTCCCTCCACCCCTCTTTTAAACTCTCTCTCTCTCACGTCACTTCTGCGCAAAGGAACTTCGAAATTTTCTGCTCATTGCGCTCAATCCCTGTTACCGTCAGGTTTTTTACTTCCTTCATTGACCCCTTTCGCTTTCCCGTAACCTTTTCCCTTCCCTTTTTCCCTTTTTCCCTCTTTTTAATATACCCTTTCTCGGGTGCCGCGTGCCAACAACAACAATAACAATACCACCACCACTAGCAGCAGTGGGAAAAGGTCGCCCAAGATGATGCACCGTACTTATTCCATGCGCTCAACGCGCATACCGACCGCTTCGCAGGCCGAGAATCCCGCCCCACCCCCGTCCACGACCAAGACAAACAGGTGGCTGGGCAAGGGGAGCATCGGTTAGTTACTGTTTCTTCCTTCGCAGTTTATCTACTTTCTTTTTTTACACTGCTCTTGTATCGGTTCTGGTATTGTCTTTGTGGTCCTTTTCTAAATGGCCACTTCTTTGAATGACCGAATCGTACCAGACCTCTTATGTTGAAGTTGGTTGCTAACAAACATTGAGATAATCAAGCCCATACATTCCGCAAAAATGCCACTGTTTTCGGCCCCGATCTTTCGAGGAAGCTGTCACAGCTGGTCAAAATGGAAAAGAATGTGATGCGCAGCATGGAATTGGTAGCAAAAGAGCGAATGGAAGTTGCTGTACGTAGGATGCTGAACAGAAGCTCCTGGCCCTATTTCAATGCTCAAAAAGTGCTGACACCATTGTCCTTATTTCCAGCAACAACTTTCCATCTGGGGTGAGAACTGCGATGATGATGTATCGGATGTTACGGATAAACTTGGTGTCCTGATTTACGAAATTGGAGAATTGGAGGATCTGTATGTTGATCGTTACGATCAATATCGTGTTACCATCAAGAGCATTCGGAACATCGAGGCTTCCGTACAGCCCAGCAGAGAACGTAAGGCCCACCTATCCCCATGACGTCACCCTGCTCAAATGCTCAATGTTCCTCGATGTTTAGGTAAGCAGAAGATCACAGACGAGATCGCCAAACTCAAGTACAAGGACCCGTCTTCTCCTCGTATCGTCGTGCTCGAGCAGGAGCTTGTTCGCGCAGAGGCCGAGTCTCTAGTTGCGGAGGCCCAATTGTCCAATATCACCCGGGAGAAGCTGAAGTCGGCCTTCGAGTACCAGTTCAATGCGCTTCGGGAGCATTCTGAGAAAGTAGCTATCATCGCCAGCTACGGGAAGCATCTTTTGGATCTTATCGATGGTTCTCCTGTCACCCCTGGCGAGACTCGCCAAGCATATGACGGATACGAAGCGAGCAAGGCCATTATTCAGGACTGCGAGGAGGCTTTGACGAATTGGGTGTCTGCGAAAGCCTCTGTGAAGCCCAGTTTGTCGACACGGTCCCGCACCCTCTCTCAACGTCACCGCGAAAATCTTGCCAAGCATCGTGGCGAAGGTATTGACTTGTCTTCTCAAGACCAACCCATGAGGGGAGATCGGGATTCATGGGTTCCAGCCGACCAGCACCCAGGATATCAAGATGGGAGCATTGAAGACGGAAGCATCGATGGTGAACCGAGCCGAGGCCGAGAGGAAGAGAGAGTGGAAGAATCAGTGGAGGAGAGAACAGTATCGACGACCGCTTAAGAACAAGCGTTTGGAAACACCCCTTTCCAGTCGTCCACGAGTTTGCTACATTACTGGGAACTGATTGATTACGAATTGGGCCTTTATAATAATGTGTCTTTTTCCCCTTATTTTTTTGTGTTCTCTTCTTTTATGCTGCAAAAAAGGCACCGCTAATTTGAATAATATCAATATCCTCTACCCCTTCCCGTTTGTTTTTGCTGTCCAGCTGTATACTCGGGATCGGGAGTGCTTTTAGCGTCTTTCATGGCCATTATTATATAATTACACTGAATCTTATCTTATGATGTTTTCGTTTTGTGGCTGACTGGCTTTCACGTCCCACTTACTCCGCTTCATATAAATGTCATTGCTACACCTACAATCGTATCATGTGATGTGATTATATCTGACGTCATTATCTGTTTTCCAACAGAGTTCTCTCTAGAGAATGACGTTTCTGATATATGGACTCATGGAGAGTGCTAACTTGGACTTGAAGGAATAATATTTAATATAATAATTAGTTAACTATACACTACATTATATTATATTACAAATGGTCTAATGGTGTGGAGTGGATGGATGCTTTTATCTACGTCTACACTGTGAGGAATATGGTACCGTCTTCCGAGGCCCACCAATCAATTAATAACATTACTAGAAAAGGAAATTACGCCAGAATTGCAAAGCGGTCTATCTAGCTATGAACAAAGTTCAAACAACATGCATACACTACCTATGCCAAGTATCTTCGAAGACAGGATAAACTCAATGAGTCATTAATTATTCTGTTTGCTGAGTGTATTTAGTACTAGGTAAGGATAGGACAGGACAAGATGAGATCCGTAGAATTGGTTCAAGTTTTAGGCAATAAAATGTTTAAACATATATACATGTTGTAGTACTACCATATCATCACGCGCATGTATTTTTTATACGAGCGAAGTCAACAACTTGATTAAGCAGAACTATCCACCTTATATACCCTCCGTAGTTGCTTAATTAGGCAGTCCTTACTGCCCTAATGTTGAGCTTTATCCGGCCTAGTAGCCATGGCCAGTGACCGTATGATCGTTCCATCGATAGTACGGTTTGCCGTAGTAGGGAACTCCATACGAATATGGCGAACAATTCATATGTATAGCAAAGTCTTTTGAGAAAACATCACTCATGTCTCATTCAATAATGAAATTTAGGTTGTTATACTGTATACCCGATAAGATAAGATAATTATATTTTGCTTCGAAGATGCCTAGAACTTAATATGAATCCATAAACCCGTCTGTCCAGACCACGTTGCCGCCCTCAAAGGGGTCCTGAGGCGGTACCGACACAGATGCCAGTCCTGCGTTGCCGTAGACGTTATTGTTGATATTGCTGTTGCTGTGAGTGTAAAGCCAGCTATCCGGGGAGTACGCTGATTGTTCTGGTACATGCAGGGATGGCTCGGTGGTTGCCATTGTTGATAATGGATATTGGTGTGCTTGAGGAGGGGGAGGCTGTGGTTGCGGTTGTGGGTGTGCATGTGTCTGTATATACATATCCCCGAAGGACTGGTCTGGAAATCCAAACTCCCAGTCAGCTGTGAGTGGAACGTGCCAGAATTCCGGGATGACCGAGGCAGCAGTGGATGGTGAGCCGGAGTTGTCCGCAAAAGTGAATGAACTGTGGTCCAATGCGGCGTTGAAATTTGGGATTTCGTTTGCCGAAGTTACTGGCATGCCCTGGGCGACTTGGAAATAGTCGTTCGCATGCATGGCGACGTTCAGCGTAGCGGGACTACCGGGGATAGCGTAGCCGGCAGAGTTTACAGAAAGGTCGTTTGGACTGTGAGCCTCAAAGGTAGGTCCCGGGCGACGATCAAGCCTCCGACTTTGAGCTGTTCGTTCAGATGGCGGGGTGTTACGAGGGCGTCTCTCGCGCATAGTTGGACTGGCATTAGGGTTGACATTGTTATTGCTTCCCTTGAGACTTCTGTTTTCCTTTTCGTTCCTCTCAACAACCATCCTGGCCATTCGCTCGAAGTACACGGCCATTTTGCTCATGAAAATGGAGTATCTGAACGCTCCATCCACCGGTGTCAGTGTGGTAAAGAACGTCGCAGCCATATTCAGCGAGTGGAGATCTTCTCGGGCTTCTAACGGTCTCTGATTCGCAAGCACATTCACGAATATTATCATTACAGCATGAAAGACGTAATATAACGTCGGCCTATGTTTGGTTAGGACTTATGCCAACAAAGCCCAGGGCTAGCACTCACCATAACCATGATACATCTCCCCATGGCATGTGATTCACGAGTTTTAGGGAGTCTCGGGCGGCCTGGAGACAGATGGCGCTCGACGATGAGGCCTGGTTATCGAGGGACGCCATATCAATGTGTAACTTTGATCGCCACATCGAGTTACGTCCAACCATAACGTTAAGAAGGGGGAGCATTCGATGGATCATTATTAAGGAGTTGTAATAGACCAGCCGCAAACCAATCGAAGCAAGGCCGAAGAGAAAATCAGGAGCCCCCGGTTTTAGTTTGAACTGATTCTGGAACGGGCATTCATTCCACCATTCCTCCAGATTCGCACTTAACTCGTGGACCGCTTCGCAAATGTCTGCTGGTCTCTGCTCGAAAGAATTCGCACCATAGAGTCGCACGTAGATTCGACCTCTGATAACAGACAATAAACAGAATTGGCGAAAAAACCCCAAATAGACTGAGCTGTCTTCTGAAAGCGACTCCTCATCGCTTTCAGCCTGCGGGTAGTCCACATCAAAGTCGTCAAGATTCTGAGCAGGTGCGCTTCCCAACCGTATGCTGTTGCTGATGTTTCCAGAGAAAGAATCATCAATATCCAGACGAGAAAAAAGAAAAGAATAATACTCACCTCTGGTCAAGAATGTAAGCTATCCAGAATACTCTTTTTCTCTGTTCTTGCTCGGCTGGAGAGAGACCCGGCCGCAGGATGTTCCGATGGAGACCCATCCGGTGGCAGGATGCTAGCGCAGCTGTTAGAACAGGAGATGCTGTTTGCGAGTCCGTGTTGCCTCTAAGAAACATTGCCTTTTCAGAGTTAGAATGATAGAATCATCTCCTCAAAAGCAAAACAGTGAATGATAGAACATGAAACATACCATGCCTAGGAGGGCTTGTACACTCAGGAGATCGGTGCGTCGGAAGGTTAACTCTGTAAAGACAGACATGGCATTTTTGAAATAAAGTAGCGCCTTTTCTCTATCTTTCTCCGGTTTCTGAGAGTTGGAAAATCGAAATTCGTATGCTAAGGCGATGATGATATTGAGGCTGGCCCAACGGGCGGCGTCATCGCATGTCTGTTGTGTATACTGCCATTCAATCAAGCGCATAAACGTGGGCTTGTGGTATAGCGGGAACAAACGATTAACGGTACAAAAATAATCCTGCAACAGGGCAAACACCTCTGCTCTAGGTGGCAATGGTTTGTACACTTGTGAAGCGAACAGATCATGAAACACATCTGGTCTCCAGCAATCCATGGAATCATCACGCAGAGAATCCGAATATATCACGTTTAGGAAACTAGTGTCGCCTGTCCTCTTCTTGATCCACTCAACTCCTTCCCGCGAGAGTATCGAGAGTGACGAGGATCTCCCTACAAACTTGTTAACCTGGCGCCCTGAATGGTAGAGTGAGAGGGGGCTTGCAACATATACCATAGTACCGCAAGTCCTCCCTACTGTCCGCTCTGATCAGCGGAACATACTGTAAATCACACGTCGAGCATCTTCCATGCGCTAACTGGGGGTTTGAAGAAGATGAACAGTTCGGCTTGTGATTTGACTGCGCTGTAACCGAATCCGTCGGTGTGGAAATTCCAGATTTATTACCGTGATTGGCATTCCTCCTGGACCCGTTGGGCTGAGTAGAATTCGCGTTTCGCTGCTGCACCCCTTCGATAAAGTCATGGTCCTCTTCTGACTGTTCATCTTCATCTTCGTAGAGAAGCTCGTCTTGATTGACTGCCTCCTCGTTCAAAATCCCAGCAGCTTTCAACAAAGCCTGGATCCTCTCCACGCGCTCTTCCAAGGAGCGTATATACTGTTTCCTGTAACCCCAGTTAGCCGACCTCAAAGCGGAAAGAATATGCAGGTACCTGTTTTAAATGCAGACAGATAGCAGGGAAGGGGCACAAAATTTGTCCGGAGATCCGGCTATTACTCTGATACCGGGGGCAGCATATACCTTTTGAGAGAGTCTCTCTTGGTGTTCTTCCTATCAAAAACGCATTTCGTGTTACGACGCCTGCATTGGGCACAGACAGGATTAGAACCTTCAAATTCGCATTTGATTTTCCTCCGGTAGCACATCTCGCATGCCTGTGGAAAAGGTTGTTACAAAGCAGGTCGAAGTATGGGAGCCAGGCGGTTTGCTCTTACCATAGGGTTACGTCGCCGGGAGGTCACCGAATAACCATGAGCACCAGTCATCGCATTATCCCGTAAGATAGATGAGTTATGCTCTGCAGACTCCCCAGCCGGCTGGGTGTGTGCCGGGTTTAAATTCTGCATGGCCTTCTCAACCAAGCAGCTGCTAGTCACTGCAGTCAAAGATAAATTCAGAGGTCGAATATATCCATGCTAGGGAATGTGAAGCCGGAACAGGACTGAATACTCTTGAACAATGGTCGCGTGGATTTTTTTTTCAAGATAGTCTTTGTAGGTTCGCCAAAGCAATAAGAACCTGGATGAGAGTGGCGTTTCGGGGTCGGTAAATGCCAGTGGCGGATAACTTAATGTCCGCCGTTGGGACCTTTTCTGGTCTGTTTTTTGGTTGAAGTGGCTTACACCTCTCCGACTGGACGAATCAAACGATAGGAGGACCAGGATGAACTGTTGTCGTGTCTGTGGTGAGTCCAGGACTGGTCAAAATCGGTCCTGCTTTCAGGTTGATAGTTTCTTTTCAGCTGAGAGAATGAGGCCCGTCGCCGGACAGAAGGACACAGGAGTCATCATTGCTTGGAGACAGAGAGGACGTGCTGGGAGGAGCCGGAGTGTCGGCATCGATGCTATCCGACGATCAGAGCTACGTAATTGGGCAGGCGGTTGCACGGATATAACGGAGAATGGCAAACCCTGCTGACAAAGCGGCTAGAACTGAACTGTGCCGATCCTGATGTCAGTACGCTGTACAAGATATGATAAGTTAATTGTTAATTAAGATACCCGCATCTGCTGAGAGGAAACAAGAGATGTGGGAGGTACAAAGGAAGGTTGTTGGTTGGATTCTAGTCTCTGCGTGAACCGAACGTCAGTGTCTGTAGAGCTACTCAGGCCGCATAGTTGCAGGGCATTGAAACTGTCTGAGGCACGTGAAGTGACGAGCAGATCAAGCAGAAGATTTCTCAGCAGCTTTTGATGATAGACAGCCCCAGTCACCAGCGTAGAGCAGAAGAGCATCCTTTGCCAAGCAGAGCCGCAAGAGTTCTTGGACCGGCATCATATGACTCACCGCCATTGGGAATATAAAAGGGTGTGTCTGCTGCGTAGGTTAGGTAGATACCTACACTGCGTGACTCGTATGATGACCGTTGAGCCGTTGGACCGTTATGGAAGATGCATAATGTATCAGATACCGGCTAAAATCAGGATCTATAGGTACTGGCTGGGTAGCTTCTATTCCGCAACTCCCTCGAATTCCCGTCAACCTAAAATCACGCCTGGGGGAGCATTATCCTGGCGGATCTGACAGGAATGAGATCCATGGGCGCTGCTATAGATGACAGCGTTGGGTTCAAGAGGACTAGGGGATGCGACTGAAAGCCGTGGATACCTTGGTGTGGATACCATGGATGGTGGAAGCAGCAGGCGGAGATGTGGAGGGAACGGGCCGGATCGAGCGGATGAGCTTGGAGAGCCACTAAATGTATGGGAGGGGGTGCCTTAGGTATGTATGTATATTGCAATTTGCAACAGGTCATGCTCCGTGGGATGATACCTATGATCTAGGTATATGCCATATGGTAAAAGACTAAGCCGGCGGGATGGATGCCAAGAAGGCAACACCAGCATTCTCCGCGGCGGAATTGGCGTCAAGCGCGCTGGGAGAGTCAGGGCGGGAAGTGAGGTGGTAATACTACTAGGTGGTAGATATACCTATGTCCCTGCAAGTAAGACTAACCGATACGCAGTACGGAGAATAATACGCATCTACTCCAGGCGGCCCCGCCAATCAGCAGCGCCAATCACGACATTTCTCCATTATATCAGATCATCCAGCAGCAGCCTATGAGCCGAGTTCGATCTTCGAAGCTGCCACTTCCGGCTGCGTTAAAAGCTTCTTTGGGCCCCTTCTCTTACCTAACTCTTTCCCCTCGATTCGACGGAGCTGATACTACCTCCTTATTTTAGCACAGTTACAGTACACTACACATCGTACACTACACTGTATACGGTGCAGTGTGTTAGGATAGTACACTGTACTAGGCTAGCAGCGTATCCCAGAATCTCTATTTCTACACCTCCTCCTGCTTCTCTTCTGCCGTTGCTACTGCTGCTACAACTGCCACTGCCACTGCTCTCCTGCGAGGATGTCGCTGGGTCAGCGTCGCTCATCTCGTCTGCTGCAGCACTCCCTCAGCAACAGCAACAGCACCAACATCCACAAGATTGCCAATACTGCTCCCTCCCATCACAACGACAGCTACTCCGCCCTGTCTCATCCGCGACCTTACGCCCTGGACACGGATGTGCATCCATCTCCTTTTGCCAACATGAACGTCGACTATGATCCGACGGAGGGCGCTGGCGGACTGTCCGTTAGCTCCTACGACAGCATCGACGATGACCGTAGCCCTGTTGATGTCAGAGGATATCCATACCGTGGTGAGTTCTTTTTTTGTTTTCTCTCTGTGTCTCTCTCTTCTCCTTGCGTATGGAGCACTGCAAGGGTTTCTATCAATTGTATTGGGTTTTCCCCTCTGTCCTCATCGCCCAGCGGAATCGTGTGATTATCCACCCTGCCCATGTTTCATTCCCATTTCGGCAGCTGCGAGCTATCTGCCGCGTCTTGGCCTTGATGCCACCTAGCCGGCCATTCATCACGCTGCATCTGCGCTATTCTGGGGGCTTTCCCATCTTCCATGCATCTCAGCGCTGCGGCTATCTCCATCTATCCTGAGCACGCCATCCCGAGCCCCAATGACAAACCATCCGACTGCGACTCTTGAGACCACTGCTATCCATCGCCTCCCCTTGCTCCTTTTGTCTGGGGAATCTTCTGGGGAAGTACATAGCTGCCGGCCTCTTTCCCCCCTCCCTTCTCTGCCCTTGCTCCCTATTCTTCTCTTTCCTTTCTCATTATGTCCCTCTGTCCTGTCTTCCTCTCCATCGCGCAGTTTGGTCCAAAGTCTCCAGATGAGCAGATTCTCCGCTACAGACAACAACGCTTTCCCGAATCATGCTGCTAAACAACCCCTGACAGATCAAATGCTCCCATATTCCACTCACTCTCTGTATCCTCCTATTCCGTATACCACCGATGAAATCGGCCATGCGTCGGGAGCTCTCACTCCGTCTGACGTGTCCTCTTCCATCTCCCCCCCGAATGGCCAGGTCGGAAACACCAAGTATAGTACCGCCGTCTCCGGGGATCGCATCGCCTCCGCCTTGAGTCAAGAGGAGCAAGCACGCCGCGCAGCAGAAGAAGACCGTCGGCGTCGAAATACGGCGGCCAGCGCACGCTTCCGCATGAAGAAGAAACAGCGCGAACAGACACTGGAACGAACCGTCAGAGAAACCACTGAGAGAAACGCTGCGCTGGAAGCCCGCGTCGCCCAGCTGGAAATGGAGAATCGGTGGCTGAAGAACCTCGTAACCGAGAAACACGAAGCCTCTGCCGCCCGCATGGCCCTACCTCCCGAGGACAACCGCGAAATGAATCGGAGAATCAACAGCATTCCGGGTAGCGGACAAAAGCATATCCAACCAAAAAAGAAGGGTGTCGGAACGAACCCTTAAGTATCAAAAATAACATAGGAGGGAGGGGGGGCCAGAAGAGCGGTTGTTAGTTTCGTTTCTTTTCACTTGGAATTGAGAATTTGTCCCTAGCCTGATTTCTTCTCCATCTGCTGGTTCAGTTTACTTGAGTTTATCCTATGTGATCTACCGTGTTTTTTTTTTTTTTTTTTCGCCCCCATTCCTTGATCTACACTCTGATCTAGGAATGACTCTGTTTCACGGACTACCGATGTCGTCTATCCTTTCAGGACCTTGCTATGTGCAATGTTGCCACCTTAATCTCTGCTTTCTCTTGTTCTGCTTTCCATATCTGATGAACTTATTCTGCTCAGGTCTGGCTTGGGGCGTAATGGTAATGGTGATGTTGAATTGTGGCTTTTTCCCTATGCGAAACACAATCCATCTAGGGGATGCGATTAGTTGGTTTAGATTGCTTGAGCGAAATCAATCATTTTGCTTCTACTATGAGTAGATGATGTATGGGATTTTGCAGCAGGTTGGTGCGAGATCATATCATCAAGCGGGGTACCTGCTAGGTAGTAGGTAGGTAGCTTGGAACTACGATGCGCTGGGCTGGAGCGACCACTAGCCAATCAGAGGTGTTCCACCAATGTAGCTCGCATTGTCTTGCTTCCTAACATATTCCCTTTCCTATCCCTCTTATTTCCTACACACGCTCGATCACCTATGTTATTTGATGTATCCATGATGAACCATGATGAAATAGTGGCTAGTATCTCGCTGCTTCATGCCAGATTTCACATGACTGGACAGCATTCGACCATTAACAGTACTGGACAAAGACAAACCATGTTAATAAATCTCAAAGCCAACTGTTTCTATACTTGATAATAGTTGCTATCTAACTATGCAGAGCCACTTGATGACACATCTATTTCAGTTCTCTCTCTCTCTCTCTGTGTGTGTGTGTGTCTATGTGTACTCAGTGCAGCCACTATCATCTCAATGCTTATTCTCTCACCTCTGAATATGCTGATTGAATCACTCACATCCAAATGTTCATATTAGATTAGCAAAGAGAACGTTTAAACTAGTCCAGGAAAAAAGAAAGGAAAGCCACGCCATGAACGAAGACCCGAAGAGAACTCATATCAAACGAGTGAGACCAGATAACAGCAAAGAAATAACATCCAAGCATTAGGGGAAAAAAAAGAGCAAAAGCATGCAACCAAAGAAAGAAACAACTCCAACCAGACCTATAAACAAATTTCGACCCTAGACCCAAACCCATACAGGACCAAGATAAGCAAAGATTCATTCAGAAAACAGCCCTGAGAAGCGCTTGCACGGCCTTCTGCCAGGCTCCGTCCCCAAGCTGCGGCGCCAGCGACTCCTTTCCCTTCCCGACGTTCGTTCCAAGTTCCTTGCGAAGGATCTCACGCATCTCCTTTTCTGAAATTCCCACTTCACCATTCTCAGCCCCAAAGCCATAAACCTTGCTGGCTGTGACATCCGTTTCGAAATACATGGATCCAGTTGCCTTCGAATCATCAGCCCCATTTCTGACACTGCTAGGAACGACATGGCTTTTGACAATAAAGTCGACGTCGATTCGCTTCTGTATCGCAGCTGTGGTGGAAGAAACGGTTCCCTTCTTCGCCGGGGTCGCTTCATCTTTGGACGTCCTTCGAGAGAGAAGCGTGCACCTGGCTCTGAGAGTCGAATTATTGACATTCCCTCCCGACTCAGCAATCTTAATCTTGGTGACGCCGCACAATTCGAGCATGCGAGCTTCTTCTTCCAGGACGAGAACGCGGTCCCAGGTCTCCGAAATGAAACGGAGAAATTGTCTAGGAGTGATGGTAGATTGCTGGATAGTAGTTGTGTAGCAGTCGAGTGATTTCGAAACAAAAGAACATATGGGCGAGAGTTGCGCCGTTGAAAGATATGTCGATTTCTTGCTGGTTCCTGGCGCATAGGCCAGTTCAACAGGCATATTCTTCCTTTCCTCGCTCGTGTGAGATGGATCTCCAGTGCTAAAGGCTCCCGGGTAGAAAGACAATCGCAGTTGGTCGCGGTAACACATCGTCATCAGTGGTCCCGCGGACCCAGACGAGGATGAGGCAGAGACGATAGACCAGCCAGTCTGACGTTCAATGTCGAGGACAGACGCTATAGGAGGTGTCAGCGCATGCATTTCAACTTTTAATGAACGGGACTCTCACCTTTAAGTTCATTGATTTCCCTCGCACTCCATCCTCGACATTCCTCTTTGACGCGTTCCGCTTGCTCAATCTGAGCCGTATATTCTGCTTTAAGCTCTGTTGCGGTGTCAATGGTGTCTGTCTTGTCTTGTAATTCCTCCCGGAGCTCCTTTAGCTGCTGCTTCTTCGATTCAATCTCAGCTTCTACGCTGGAGAGCTTTTCCCTCGCTCTTCGAAGTTCATCCTGATCACAGTTCTCCATCTCATCAACCAACTGTTGCAGTGATGTGGCTTCCTGTTCAAGTGATGAGTGTTTCTCAACAAGTTCAGGCACGATACGGTTGAGGAGCGACTCCTTTTTGGCTAGGAATTCATCGTCGCCTTTCATTTCCTCAACATGGCGATGAAGACCCTCCTTCAAGCCATCAAGAAGCTTCATCCGCCAATCATACCACGTTGCCTTGCTGAGCAATCTCGCATGAGTCTTGACATTTCGGAATTGATTGTCCATTAGCAGACGAATGTCGGGAGGAGCCGTCATGTATTCACGGAACAGTGGCGGGTTGTCCGCGTAAGTTTCCGCTTCGATAGATCTGATCACTTGCCTTCCTTCTGATATGTACGACTTCAACTCCCGGCAGGACTGAAGGGGGTCAGCAACAGACATGAACTCTGAAAGAAAGCCAAACTTACATGCTGATACAGCTCGAGCATCGGCAGCGTGCAGAATCCAGCAGCTACACAGTCCTCGAAACTGGCCGCCCCAGATTTGGGTTCATTTCCAGCGGAAAGCCGGCTTTCTCGCCTGGCACTATTTGGGGCAGTCGTATGGCGTCTCTTCGTCGTCGTAAGCTCCATGAAATGTATGTTGGTCATGTTGAGGAAGTCTTGTAACTGTATCGGTTCAAATTTCGACTCGGATTCTTGGATGTCAATACTCTCTTCCTCTGGTCGAGATGGTGACGATGCTAAAGGCGTCGTAAGATGCAAGGACTCAATTCCATGTTTCAGTGGGCTCGTCAAGTCCCCTGGTCCGCTTTTTGGCTCCTGCACAGGTGTAGTGCTGAGTTTAACTGGGGATAACCTCAATGATTTCCGTGAAGGTGAACGTATGGATTGAGAAACTGCCTCGTCGTTTGCTGATGGTGTAGGGAGCCTGATATTTTTCACTGGGCTGGCACCCGGGCCTCTGAGACGTTTAGGAGTATCCTCTACTTCGTCGTCGTCCATATCCAACTCTATGGGCCGCTTCCCGAGTAAGCCTTTGGCGGCTCCTACGTGCAAGCTTTTTCGACCACGGAGTTTGCTCTTCTTCGGTGTGAGACTAGAGATCATCTCCTTTAAGCTCAACGTAGCATCCTTTTCGGGAAGTATGTGACCATCTTCTCGTCTTTCCTCCTCTTCGCGCTCACGATCAACTTCCGCATGAAGTTTAAGAGGATCTTCAAAACGGACGCCCTGTACTTGAGGAACAAACTGAGAAGCCTCATGACCAATAGATCTCCGTTTGTCCAGCATGGCTGCCACACTAGGAGATCCAAGCCCTTCCTTATCAATCCCCAGGCCGGACGAGCGCCTTTCCCTGGGTTTGAGTGAAAAGAGCGGAGTCGAGTCACCCTTAACTTCACTATGTTGAAAGTCATTTTTGCGGTCGACAGATGCACGCTTACTTGCAGAACCTTGAGGCTTCGTTTGCTGGGAGTCCCCAAGGGATGCACTCTGAGATGGAGTCGTTTCGGAATGTGTCGACCGGCGTGTTGTTCTAGGTGTGACTTGCTGTGGTGCAGGCAGTTTTTGGGCTGGCGATGCATGCTGTGAGGTAGAGTTTGGAGTACTCGACCCCCGGGAGCTTCGTCTCGTCCGTCGAGACCTCACACTTGTCAAACTGGGGCTACCGTTCTCGGAGGCGACTGCGGCCACATGGAATGAGATTGGGGAGTTTGTTTGTGGTTGCTGGACGTCTTCCTGGGGCGTTGAGGAAGCGAGTTGGCCGGTGCTAGAGTCAAGTTTGGTCGACTCGTCCGTGCTCTTTATTCTAGGATCAACTGGCATTATGCCGCCAATTGCCGTTGTAATATCCATTCCCACAGTCTGGTCGTCCTCTTCATTGTCGACTTGTTTCTGGGCTGGGGTAAGGATACCGCCGACAGGTCGCGTAAATTCCATATCTATGCCTTCCATGTCATCTTGCTGATCGCCAGACTCGAGAGGCATCCGATCCTTGCGTTTCTCATTATTCTCATCATCTGGACCTTGGGGAAGAGTTGGATATTTCGGTTCACCAGGAGGAGTAGTACTTTTCCCAAGAACACCACCGACCACGGATGTGAACTCCATTGTCATCCCTTCGTCCTCATCTATATTGCTGCCGGTATAAGTGGACTTCGTAGGCGATACTGGGTGTTCAATCCCTCCAACGACATTCGTAAATTCCATGGTTTGCTCCTCATAATTCGTTTCCGCACCAGACGATTTACGACGAACACCGCTCTGAGGGAAACTAGAGTTGTTAGAGAGAATGCGACCAATAGCGTTGGTCTGATCCATACTGAGATCCTCATCGTCATTACCGCTGTTTGGCTGGGGAAGACCCCCCCCAATGGATCGTTTGGATGGATCAACATTCTCTTGATCATGTAGAGCACTGATATCATCCCATTCGAAACTTTGCCTTTGACCTTTTTTAATCCAGGGTTGAAAGGCGCCGGTAATCTCCTGGTCGGCAATCTCCATTGACGTGTCGCCGTCTTCATCGTTTTCATAATACTCAATACCTCTTGTCCCAGCTTCCTTAGCCGCTTGACGCAACGCTTCATTAAGCCGAGCAGTAGAGGTGGTACTGCCATCATCTGACCGTGTCGTGACAGCTGAGCGAACTGTCATATCGTCTATGCTCATGGCAGTACTCTCGGCATCGAATCCAGCATCTGAATCTGAAGAACCGTTGTCGTCGTCGTCATCATCATCATCGTCATCTTCTTCTCGGGCTACGCTCTGCACGCCTGTATCCTCACTTCCTTCCGCTGAGCTTCCGCTTAGGGGACTAGAAGATAATTCTTGAGAACTCGCCGCATTGTCGTAAGCTGCAGATGCAGAGCCTTCTCTGAGTCGCTGTAGGTCTTGTTGGCGAACGGGAGAGAAAGCAGCATCCGAATCGATATCATTTCCAGGTGAAGACAGAGGCTCCTGATCATGTTCCTGGTCATCATTCCTGGAATTTTGCAATGATGATGAACGTCTAGTGGAATTGGAAGCGGAAGACGATGTTGAGTCCTCCGCAATTTCCACCACATTCCACGTGTGCAATGTCGCCTCAGGGGCAAAAGATACACGGCGGTTGGCTAACACAAGGTACTGATCAGTCCTGGATGTTTCCTCTCGGGGTAAAAGAAACATAGGTACGAACCCATCGACTTCCGACGCGCTTCTCTCTGTTGAAGGATCAACTGTCGATCGTGCTCCCTCTTCTCTCTTTCCTCGCGCTCTCTTGCTGCGGCCTTTCCATCACGAATCGCGGATGAGGCATTGAAGGAATCGAAGGGATTCGCAAGGTTGTCTGCACCAACCACGGAGGGTAGCGTCGGAGTTTCAAAATCAATTAACAGCCCTTCTCTACTCTGATCATTTGCGCCATCGTTCGCTGAAACTCGATTCTGCGGCGCATCGCGGGGTGTCCGTCTGCGTGTTTCCTCAAAAGACGGGATATTGCGGACGGGGGAGACGGGGATTGTAGGTTTTAGGATTGACTTGAGAGGAAACGGAGCCGTAGACTAGATAGATAACTTAGGTTACTCCTCTATGCCCACTTGACTGGTATTATTGTTGGGGAATATAATCGCTGTACCTGGCGCCGGTTGCCATTGGAGGCTTGCAGCGCATCTAGACCTCCAGGTCCGAGACTTTTGCTGCGAGACTTCTTGTTCTTTCCCGCCGCCGGCTTCGCACTGCCTTGGAGAGTTTTAAAGGCGCCAAAATCTGTCGTAGCATTCTCTTTCTCAGATCCGGAGAGGGCCTTGGATCGCGGTACATGAGCAATGGAGCGACGAGATCGCGGACGTACGGACCCCGCGGAGTCAGTTTTCGACGCCATGGGTAAGGATAGGAGTCATGGATAGAGAAGAGAAGACAAGGTTCTGAAGAAACACCACAAAACGGATTGGTGTCCCGTGTCGAATATCAACCTGTGACTACCGCAAGCGACAACATACGGATTGATAGAACTGCAAGTCGAGTGCCAGCTTCCAGTGTTGCATGTGCATGAAGTAAATGTAAATACAAAGCCAGTATTATGATCCGTCCGCATCAGGCTTGGCGCCCGGGCGATGTAAACAAACCAACAAAAGCCCTAGCCGAACTATACTATACCTAAATGGGACTAGCTCACTAACCGCACACTCCCACATTCTGAATATCCGAACGAACGAAAGACCTCGAAATCTTCCTCAACATCGACGTCGACCTCCGCAGGCCTCCCGACACTCCTACCGCCCGCGACGGATTTCTTCACCCAGCTCGACATCGTTCCCTTAGTGTCGGACTGAATTCTCGCAACCATGGCCACCGAGTTGACCGTCCAGTCGGAACGTGCGTTCCAGAAGCAGCCTCACATCTTCCAGAACTCGAAGGTTAAGGCCAAGAGCAAGAAGGCTGGAAAGGGCCGGAGATGGTACAAGGACGTTGGTCTGGGATTCCGTACTCCCAAGACTGCCATTGAGGGCACCTACATCGGTATGCACGACCTACGTTGAGTTTTGCGATGGAAAGCAGCGGGAAGAAACTTGCCCGATACGGGAAAAATGGCAGCGGCTTTGTCCATTGGAAGACTGCGAATGGTGAAATCAACAGAGTTCATAGCCCAGAAAAAAAAAAGAATTCTGGCCATATTTGGCCATGCGCGACACGGTCACCTATGGAGATATATAGGTTTTCTTAAGGATATCTATGACTCCTGCTATTGAGTTCTTTCGCCTCCAGTCCTCCAAAGACAAGACCACCCCATTCCCCTGTGAAATAGCGAGACAAGAGAAAAAAATTTTGATGAATGTGGATGTGGACATCCGCTAACTGCTGAGCAGACAAGAAGTGCCCCTTCACCGGTCAAGTCTCTATCCGTGGCCGTATCCTCACTGGCCGTGTTGTCTCTACCAAGATGCACCGTACCATCATCATCCGCCGTGAATACCTCCACTACGTCCCCAAGTACAACCGTTACGAGAAGAGGCACAAGAACGTCGCCGCTCACGTTTCCCCTGCTTTCCGTGTTGAGGAAGGTGACTGGGTCACCGTCGGCCAGTGCCGCCCTCTGAGCAAGACTGTATGTGGACATCCTATCCTGGTCTGAGTTGTTGAAGATGGTTGAAAGAAGAGGAGGAAATAAAATCGTTCAAAAGAAAAAACCACAATCTCCGGATTTGCCGCTGACAATTCTTGCGTTATTTTAGGTCCGATTCAACGTCCTCCGTGTCTTGCCCCGTACCGGCAAGGCCGTCAAGGCATTCAGCAAGTTCTAAATGTCGATGATGAAAAAGGAAGACGGGTGCAATGGGCCTTTGAGGGAGAAAAAATCAGGCTAACTGCGGCAGCGGGCAATGACTGGATGGTATAAGGCAAAATTTCTTTGACGGGGTTGGGATTGTTTTTTTAACGATTTTTTTATATCCCAGGTGTTACCCCTTTAAAGAAAGATATCCCAAATTTAAAGGAACAAAAAAAATTGATATTCAAGCCCTGTGATAATAGAAAGCCTCGTACAACAGAATCTGGAATTTACGTATGGAACGGTCTGGAAATGACTGTTGGTTTTGTTCTTTTTCTTTTCATGGATGTCTCCTACCTCCACATATTGCCTTCCCCCTGCTTGATCTTTATCCAATACACTGGCCTTGTGCTACACTGGATTGGCCGCTGGCCAAACAGTCCCTGCTCTCTCCATTGACCGACAGATCTGATATGGGTTCTGAAAACAGCCTGCCGGCTTATGCCAACCTAACACCAGTAACAAACGACACTTTGAAGTCGCGTATGCCACAGCACTTTCAACCTCTCCACCTCAGACTTGTAACCCCTTACCATTTACCCCACTTCAACAGACAATAATAGTCAAGGGTGAGCCGAAGAACTGGCAGTCCTACCGAAATATAACACGTTGTGTATCACCCGAAATTTTTAATGCACAGAGGGGCATGAGATACAAGTGAAATTGTCAAATCATCATCCCAATGGACGCTTCTGAGTTCTGTGCCAGAATCTGCCTCACGCGGGCCCTCTCAGCGCCGAATTGATCCTCCGGGAATGTGTCTGCAACAGTATTTGGGCGGCCGATTGCAACATCATCCTCCCCCTCTTCGTCTGGTTCATTTCCGTCATCTTCCTCTAGGTCACTTTCACCGTCACTAACAAGGCCAACGAAATCATGCTGGGGGAAATTGTCCGCGGAAAGTCTGGTATTAGTCTTGGAGACAACTGACCACGCCCTTGTGTTAGGATTGATAAGTTTCACATATCTCGGAATTTCAGATCGGCTTGATAATGGTCCAGATTCGGGTGATGTTGGCTGCATGTGTTGAACAGAGCGAGATGGGCAAGGTGAATCAACAGCCGAGGACCTTTCTCCTTCCTCATTATCATTAATCTCTATAAAGTTTGAGACAATGTTCTTTGGATGCTGAGACACAGAAGGTGAAAACTGCAAATAGCCGTGGTGGACACCCCCCATGAAGTCATCCCTGGAACCCTGCTGAAACATCCAAGACCGCGCAATGCTGCTTGCCACATTTCCAATGTGTTGTTCTGGCACGCCCACGATACCAAGCAACTTCCCGATTGAGAAGCCACACTTCTGGTCTAGTTTCCCAGGACCCTTTTTGAGGGCTCTTTTTAAGGGTTTCCCGCACATTCGGTAACTTTTAAGCACATCAAGTTGCAAGATATCTCCTACATCCAGATGTTCATCTGCTATTTTTTGAAGATCTTGAATCTCGACCGTACAGATTATTGCTGCCGGTGGTACCTTCCCCCAAATGAGATATTCATTTAGGCCGCGGTATCTTGGCCACTGGAAGTTGGTTTCTCGCACCAGCTGTTCAGCAGAGAATACTTCGGTCTCGAGTCTTAAAGTCTCAATTATGCTCATTGTTGCCCCCCGCTCGTTGTGTATCCCCCTGTGTATTGGTGCAAGTGGTGTTCCAAACGCGGAAATAAACGGACTTGGGACATGTGCTTTGCCAACATGGCCTTTAAACATCGAGTCAAATTTTTCTTGTGAGAAATGTGTTGGGTGTAAGAGCTCAGCTCCATTCATCGAGAAGAGGCCAGAGATCAGCATTGGTTTGCTGTTAACTCCTTGAGAATTAACGTTCCACCATCGAAAAAGAAGTGGCGCTTGCTGCAAAACAGTTTCCGCTGGTTTCTTTACTCCAGGAAGAGCTAGTCGTTCCGCTACCTATGCCTATAGTTAGTCTAATCTGGTAATATCAACAAGTTACTCTTGGTGACTTACTTTCGTTCGTACCTGTGCAAGTACTAGCTCAGGGCCTTCTTGGTGACACCATAAACATTTCTTCCCACCCGCAGTACAAATAGATTCAACTGCTGCCGAAATGAAATTCTCTCTTGAGCATGTAAGCGGCTTCGATAAACTCGGCTGCCGTAAATTCAGCTGTGTTGGAGCTTCTGACAGACTGGTTGGAGCTGTGTCCGAACTAGGTGAAGTGATATCGGCGGGTGATTCTGCTTGTCCATTGGCAGTAGTCGCACCGGTGGAGCTGTCAACGACTTGGAGAGGCACTTTTCGATCACTTAGAGCAACGAACCCTGGGACGTCAAGATCCGCTTCTCTCTCATTGAGTACAGCCCCTGAGTGCTGCACAGTCTGTCTTATTCTTTTGATGACTGAAGCCCATCTTCCTTCTTTTGAGAAGGGGCTCTGGACATGTACTTCGAGCCAAATTGAGTGCTTCTTTCGTCTCATGTCGAACCATTGGGCGTTCATCTTACTGAATTGCATGCCTGTCGTGAGACCACAGTTGTTAAGATCTCTCTCAAACATAACACTGAACACCTTAGCGATTTCCCTAGGCCGGCCACTGAAGAATCGGTACAGACAGCAGAGAGTTTGCCTTTGCTCCTCTGTCCATTTGTTCTGGCATGATTTGGCTCTGAAATCGAGCATACAGCCGGGATCTGGAGTCTCCATTCTGATAACAAAGTCATTAGAATAATTGCAAATATGGAAGATGAATGGATGCGAGGCTTAAAGGAGAAATTTGGTTTTGGGGGGTACGAGTACTGAAAATGACGGGGTAAGTGAGAGTATATAGGTGCAATGCGAAACAAGAAGGCAAAGTTAGAGGTCTAGCGCTCGGGATGGCATTTTCAGATCACTGTAAAGATTCCTGATGATCTTGGAGACCTAGATGTCCTAGATCTGAGATCCAGGAGATGGGAGGGCATTTCAAAGTGAATCCTCTCCACGTACGGGAGAACGCTGAGACTTGTGTTAGCAGGAGAGAAGCCAACTAGTGAATTACAGATAGTGAATGATCCATGTTAAGAGGCATGCTAGACAGTGTACACAGCGTAGAGTAACGGATAGTTAAGTATGCCGACGGTGGTAGTCCATCGGGAATAATAGCGCGGCGTCTAAGCTCCACCAAAGAAGAAGCGATTAACGGCAACAAGGCTGGACTCCATCCCCCAAAGACCCTTCATACGCCTCCTCTGACAGGGGTTCGCTCCGTTTGACTTCTTGTTCTCATCACTTAGTGCCTTCCTCAGGACAGCAAAGGGACCTCTGGTCCAACTCTCGTCACTCAATCCGCCCGTTCCGGTTGTCTTCGCGAACTTCCGCTGTTCGCCCTCTGTCTTACCACCTAACCCCCTAGCAGCCTTGCGCAAACGACCAGTTCCACCAACATGGCTCTATGAGCCATCATGAGTCCTCTTAATGATGCTACAGACATGTGCTAGCCTCATAGTCGTTATCGATTCCTAAAGCAATAATCTATCTTGCGCCTGTCTGATCAATCTTCATCGATTCTCTCATCCGTCACCTTGCCCAGGTTGTTCGGGGCTCAACCAGTAGCACAATGACACACAGCTTCGAGAAGTCCGTGAAAGGGGCCACCAAGCCCAAGGTTCGTTGGAACTTGGGTTTAAATCCTATCTTCTGTACGGTGTGTGTGCTAACCGTATTCTCTTGTCATGCATAGCTTGCGGCCCCCAAGTCCAAATACATCGAACACATTCTGTTAGCGACGCAGACGGGTGAGGCTGGAGTAGGGGAGGTATTTCGCACACTGCAGTACCGGCTTATGGATTCCACATGGACGATAGTGTTCAAGGCACTCATTGTCATCCATCTCATGATACGCGAGGGGGTACTGGATGCTACGCTACAGTACCTCGCGGATAACCCGAGAAGGATTGCCATTAATGGATTATCTGATTGTGAGCCAAAGACATTAGTGCACGGGGGATGTTTCATTCCATGGGCTGACTCGTCCACGCAGTGCAGATGCAGGGACATAACATTCGACGATATTCTGATTACCTCACTTCGCGTGCCAAAGCCTTCGCGGACACCAAAACGGACTACGTTCGAAGTGGACCAGGCCGGTTAAAAAGGCTTTCAGTAGAAAAAGGTCTCTTGAGGGAAACAGAGGTTGTGCAAAAACAGATCAGGGCGTTGCTACGATGTGACGTAGGTTGAGCCTTTCAACTTGTATGCAGGGACGTTATGTTCTGACACAACGATGTTCTACCAGCTCTTGACGGACGAGATTGAAAATGAGGTAACCTTGACAGCATTCCGTCTGCTTACGCTGGACCTCTTGACGCTTTACTCTGTGATGAACGAGGGCACGATCAACGTCTTGGGTAGGTACCTTTCCTGTTCGGCGCATAATGCTACCTGTTCTTACCTGGCTCTTCAATAGAGCATTACTTCGAGATGTCACGACCGGATAGTGAACGAGCCCTACGAATATATAAGACCTTCACAGCGCAGACGGAGGAAGTGGTGAAGTTTCTCGGAGTCGCTAGGCATTTCGAGGCGGCAACTCGCCTCGAGATCCCGAATCTCAAGCATGCCTCGACGGACCTGGCGCGCCTCCTTGAGGATGACCTGAACGACCCCGATTTCGAGCTACGTCGAAGAGAATACCTCGCTGAAAAGGAAGCGAAGAAGAAAGGAGGTCGAGCACCTTCGTCTAGTAATAGCACTGCAAACAAACTCGCCCTTGCGACCAAGCCTATGCCGAGTCTACCGAAGACAGAGACCAAGACGGAAAGCAAGGCGCCTCCGGACTTAATTGATTTTTTCGATTCCATTGAACCACAACAGCCAGCGGCTCAGCAGCAGCAGTCTGTCATGCAATTCCAACAAGCCAGCATTCAACAACAGCCAGCGTTCTATGCCCCGCAGGTTGGCTTTCAGCAACAGCCCCAACAAACCGGGTTCGGCCAGCCAACGCCGATGGGGACACCGTTCGCACCGCAGGGTAACAATCCCTTTGGGCAACCGCAAGCTGTGCAGCCACTTCAGCAAACACCTACAGGGGCAGGATTTGGGGGCTATTCCCCACAGCCTCAGACGTATGGGTTCCAATCGAGTCTTGCTCCAATTCCGCAGAATGACGTTGCCGTATTTCCCCAACAGCAGCAACAGCAACAGCAACCGATACAACCTCAATCGACAAACCCGTTCAGGCAGTCAATGCTGGTACAAAGCCCAGCCGGGGCGGTCAATCGTCACGATACAAACCCGTTCGCGCGGCATTCGCAGCAATTGAATACTGGCTCTCCTTCTGCTTTCTCGCCAGGTTCCATGCAACAGAGCCAGGCATTCCAACCACAACAACCTCAGCCTCTCCAGATTCAACGGACAGGAACAAACCCGTTTTCGCGGAGCGCATCTGTTCCTCCTCAACAGACACAGGGGCTGCAACCTCTCCAGCCCAACCCAACGGGGAGCACAAATCCGTTCCGGAAAAGCACCTTTATAAATCAGCAGACCGGTCAGGGGTGGCAAGTCGGCGGTCAACAGGGATCCATGGGTGGCTTGGAGCAGCTGGAGACGGTGCCGGTGTTTCCACGGCCGGGCATGGCTTAGAAACAGGGTGTATTATTTCTTTAATCTAATTTTGGGTGGCTAGCGGCCTTCGGTGATTTTCCCGAGCGCTTGGCAACCATGCTGGCCGGATATCCCAACCTCGTCGGGGATTCTTCAGGAGGTGCATGCATGGAAGACTGGTTCGGGGGGGCGGGTAGCCGAAATCCTATTCCGCGTGGCCTGCTAGGCCTTGTGTACCTGTCATATTATTTATTATTATCTATTGCGCATAGTTGTTCTTAATTTCGCGTCTGTTGTGATCATATTTGCCACGCATACACGGTGGTCCGAGGATTCCGTTCTGGCGTTTTCTGGTGCTGGGCAGAGGAAACCTTGGACGCGTACAGAAATAACATCTGCAGCGAGCAGGAAGAAGGCCTCTGCAATGCATGCAGGCTTAGTGCTCCGTAAATCTGCAGGAGTAGAGAGCAATAATATGTAGGAAATAATAACAATAATGCATGCCTCATGCAGATCCCGTGCGGGGTTTTCCCCTTTGGTGTCTCTTGGAATTTTCACTGCGCCTCCATGCAGGACGCGCGCTGCAAATAATAATACGCCGGCTTCGAGATGAGAAATCATATTCGATAGTCTATCTAATGCAGAGCCATTCGTCGTCTCTCCAGTGCAGCACCAAAGCTTAGCTGCTCCCAGATAAGACCTAAGGCGGCCATTAGCCGTCCACCACGTCCTTCCATTCCCCTGCTCGAAACCGCCTCACCATCCCCGTCTGTCCTCGCGGAAGATGACCAGTTAGTTCCTTCTACCGTCTTGCTGGGAGATGCCATGCGATCCATCAATGGAGGCCAATGCTAACCGTCGACTTTCCTACGCCGCTCATCCCGACTACGTCCATAATGCTCCCGTTAGCTACAGGCAGGAGATGGTGCTGCCTCTCCTCACCGGGCCTGCTGGCCGGGCTGCGTCCGCAAGCATCACCGCTACGGACTTCCCAGGAATCATCCAGCAGCAGAGATCAGCGTCGTATTCTGCGGCGAGTACTGCCAGCTACCAGGGCGTGGGTCGGGAAGCGGGCACGCGAGCAAATGCCCATGCCCATGCCCCTGACACAACAACAACAACATCATCATCATCATCAATAACAGCAACAAAACCGCGCAAACCACGAAATAAACCCAGTCATACTAACCGCGATGCGTCGGCCAAAAGACAATCTCTCTTCTGGGTTCACAGTGACCCTCAGTCGGTGGCGGAGGGCGCGAAGGAAGACACCCTCAAGCGCATCCGCTCTCATGTCATGGCCGAGCACAATCGCATGAAGCGACTGGAAAACACCAGGCGCCACAAGAGCCAGACTTGGGATCGCATGGGCTTCCAGTCGACAGAAGCCATGGCTGTCGATGATGCCGATTCTCCTCCGCAAAGACCACCACGTTTAGATTCAATAAGCGCTCTAGACTTACCACCTTCTTGCTCTTCCACTTCTTCTTCGCCGCCTATTTTGGATGTTGACACCGCCGCCAATGGTGCTGTGGCGACACAGAACGAGCTCGTCAAGAGCTCTCCTTCTAGCAGCTTTGGAATTAGCACGTCTTCGCCTGACCGACGGTCCTCAACTGCTGTGACTTCTCCATGGTCATACGTCGGTCACGGGTCTGTTGATCCCTTTAATTCATTGCACACGCAGCTGTCTGAGCGCATGCTGCGGCATCTTCAATGCTGTATGTTTTAGGTTTCTTTTCTTTTCTTTTTTTTTAGTCTGCAGCATGTATTAGGTCTAACTCTGTATAGTCTTATTCGAATTGACTGTAATGGCATGCCCATTGAGCCCTCATCGCGCGAACATATTGCGGGCTCACTGGGCGTCGCTCGTGCAGCGTGGTCCAGCACCACTGCATGCTATTATATGCGTCGCTTCATCTCACGCGGCACTACTATCGGGAGAGCTTCAGTCGGCCGACCCAAACCAGCAATGGGCAAGTCCGCTTGTTGTAGATACGTATCATCACCGGGGTGAAACGATCAGACTGGTGAACGAGGGCTTATCAGATCCGGACAAAGCTGCGAGTGATGAATTGATTGCAGCTGTTTCCACGTTGTTAACAATTGAGGTATTTTCCCAGTGGTGATATACGTATTATCGATTTGTTGCTGACCGAAACAGATATCTTCTGGAAATACTGATTATTTGAAAATACATCTTGCTGGATTGAGACAGATGATCACCATTAGAAATAACTTTGCAGACCTCCCACCGATGGTACGCGAACAGATATCATGGTATGTCTTCTTCTTCTCCTTCTCCTCTCTCCGTATGCATATTAATAAATCTCAGGAACGACGTCCGAGTAGCATGTATGGCGCTCACGAAACCCATATTCCCTTTTGTCCGGCTTGCACGCCCAGCGTCTGCCAACGCGGTGATACCACCTACCAAAGAGCTTTCGATCCTCGCGACGCGCTTAATATCGCTCACGGAGATACCGGGCTTCTTCAGCGAACAGCTAATGCGGACGATCCACGACCTCGCCGAACTCGTCTTCTACGCAGAATCCGTCCGTGACGAAAACACAGCATACCACGAATTCAATGAACAGCTAGACGAATACTTCAACAACGAAGTGCTCTACGTCGAATACTCGCTAAATGCAGATCGGTACACAGCGGCAGGCGAAGCAAAAGGCGACAACACAGTTGAAGGCTGCGTGCGACTCGCCAGCCTCCTCTTCCACAACAGTTGTATCTGGCAATTCTACCCGGTCATGGCGGCGATTTTCTCCCGACCCGTCGTGGCGCTGCGAGTCGCCGTGCAATCCACCATGGCTGCGGGCTGCTACAATCTCTGCAAGGACCTGTTGATCTGGATATTGTTCCTTGGCGCGCACGCCTGCGGTTCCTCCCTGCCCGTTGAACGGGATTTCTTCGTCACGCAGCTCGCAGCCGTCATGAAAGCACAGCGTATCCACTCCTGGCAGGACCTAAGGGCGTTGCTGATGGGGTTCTTTTACGTTGATCGATATTATCTCGTTCCTTCACGGGGGTTGTGGGATGAGATTCGGACGGTTCCGGTGCATTAGTGGGGTTGTTCTTATATATATATATTATACTATATATGGCATTTTATGACAGGTGAAGGGTAGGGTATGAAGGCATCGGGGGATTTCTGGTTTGTTTATACTAACTATATAGTAGCATGTGACATTCTGTCTATGAATGCATTGGCTTTGGCTGGATCTGGATTGGGTTTGTTTGGAATGTATTAGATTGAATCAATCTATAAGACTGTCACTATAGGTAAATCAATCATTGGGATATATCATGGAAAGTCGGGTATATCATATCTCTACTATACTGCTATACTGTACACTTACAGCATCCATGTAAATATCGGTCTGGGCACCTGGCTGGCACCCAGGCGCTGTTATTCACCTTCCCCATTAGGAGAACCGGTCAACCCCAGATAATCCGATCAGATATTACCTCGAAGTTCGTATCCCGTGAATAAGGTTAATAAACACTAAATACCCCATATTAGATCCATCCAGCTCTCTGTTTCGTTGTTAACTTGTTAGTTAAGTGAAGACAAGACTCGTCAACTAGTTAACTAGTGCTGACGCTGATTCAGCGCTGACAGGGGTAACTATATCCCGATTCTATTCTGCATATCCGAGGATATTGTTGTTGAGGATTCCGATAAATACGGGGGACCTACCACCTTATTTCTGTTTCTGTTTCTTCTGTTTCTTCTGTTTCTTCTGTTTCTTCTGTTTTGCCCTGGGTGTTGTCTATGGGGAGTGTTGTTCATTAAGATCCTGTCTCCAGTAATCTCTTGACCAGTATCCACTTATACATATATATACATCGGATAAATGTGTCAGTCATATGAATTAACTATATATAAGGTGAGTCTGAACCCGATTAAATCCAGTATGCATCCACTGATTCTTCCAGACAATCCCAACACCAAACTATTATATCCAAATACCCAAAAAGTATACGACATGCAGCACCCGGTCAGGCGACTTCGCGGTCCGTCTTGCCCCTGCGTGCACGACCCTTGGGGGACCAGGGGAAGTGAGCGACAGGGATGATGAAGAAGCTGTTGCTGGAGTCGGCAATACCGGCCAGGGCGTTGTACCAGGCAACGAAGGCCGTGAGGAGGCCGAAGAAACCGCCCGCCTTGATAAGGTGGGTGTGTGGATGGCCCTGGGGGTCGTGGAAGAGATATCCGACACCGAGCATGAGGAAGGTGATCTCGAGGAAGAAGAACAACAGGAAGAAGGCCACTGTGGACCGGAAAGTGCAGAAGAGGATGATGGTGTTGAAGATGAACCAGCCCTAATAGGGTTAACGTGGATCCACAGAAACAAAAGAAAGAAGAGGCTCACCATCAGGTAAAGGCCCATGGAGGCGGGGAACATGCCCGGGTCAGCACCGTTCAGCTGCTGCTGGATCTGGAAGCCACCCGGGGTCAAGATGACCGCGAAGGATAACCAGAATCCGCCGTATGAGGACAGCGCGGTGGCACCAAATGTGTTCCCGACAGCCATTTCCCTGTGGAGAGAAGATATGTTAGCAATTCTGCCGGGGCTACATGGATACGATGAGATGAGACGGGTGGGTGAGACATACCACATGCCAGCCAGCAATTGAACGAGACCACCATATGCGAACGCGAGACCAACGACGATGTTGGGCTCTGTGATATCGCGAGCACCCATGTTGATGGCACTCAGGACGAAAGTGGTGAGGGCGAAAGCGCAGAGACCCAGGGGAGCAGGGTTTGCAAATTTGCGACGTTCGACGGGCTTGTACAGACCGGGTTGGAACTCACCACCGAAGGGCGGCAGACGCGCTTCGGTGGGATTGACCTTGGCCAGGGGACCATAGCCAAAGCGGGCAGCGGCCGTGGCGACCTCATGCTCCTCGCGGGTCATGGAGGGATGAGGGGGAGTATCAGAGGAGTTTGAGGGCGAGTCCTTGTCGTCGAAGGTAGAGTTCCGGTCTGTTTGCGTGGCCATGTTGACGTTGTGTGAAGAAAGGGAGGGGTGAGAGAGAGGTGAGCTGTGGTATATGGAGGTGGTGGTGGCGGCGTTGGGAGGAGAAAAATCTGCGAGGCAGGCAGGAAGGGCAAATATTTAAGTTACACCGGAAAGATTGCGGGGATGCTGTGGTGGAGAGCGCGAGACATGGGGAAGATTAATATTTGGGCTATGATTATCCATGGTTGCTACTGTTGGTCCATGGCTGGATGGCACTGGATGCATCGCTCCTTCCCGATTCTGCGTGCCGACTCGGGGGCGGGCCTCGGATATACCCAAATCCGGCAACGCGCCCCATGCCCCAACCGCTGTTGAACACTATGACTGGCTTCTGCAGTCCCCACCTGGGACCCACCTGGAACTTGATCCGTAACGCGATTCTCACATTCCGCCAATCGCAACCCCGGCTTGCTCACGATCCCTGGGAAGCTTCAGACGGCGCAGTCTAGCCTAGGTTGACCTGCTAACTACGTCCTGGGCTACGGTGAGGCCATGACTCTGACCTGACAGCTGCTTTTCCCAAACGCAGCAAATCACTCGCCCAGACGCACGCCTGCCGAGAATATCTTTCGTGTTCTATCCGTATTCTCGGCTCGGTGGAGCGGAAGCTCGACGGCTTCTCTCGGTTTGTCGGCTGCTTGGAGGTAGAGACATGGCTGCTCCCTTGTCGAGGTTGCCGAGGCGTTCTCAAGCCCTTTTCTGGCTAATTCCGGGTAATTTGCCTGGGGATATACCCAGAAATTCCAGATGGGGGCTTCTCCGGATCCTTCGGATTTCCCCTCTCCGCGTTTGGGCCACTCTCAGAATGCTCTCCAGACTACGACAGGGTTGTTTTTTGCGGGGTTGCCCGTCGTCCAAAATTATGAACCCGTCGCCAAGAATTATACTCCTGAGTCTAGGACGGCATGACAGCTACAACTGCAGTAGTTCCACGGGGGTATCTCCCCTGCATGCACGTGTCTGATTTTCGGATCTGTTTGCCTCTCTGGGCAACCACTGCAAATCCTTCCGGAACACTGTTCCATCACTCCTGTTAAATCTTAGGCCAGTGACATTGTGACATGCTGCTACGTTGTTAGAGGCTAGTGTCTATTAGTATCCACTATCAATGCTGAATCCTGCTGCATGGATCCTCTGTAGAGAAAGCTGTCAGGAGTTGACACGTGGGAAGACAATCCTCTACCTCCTGGGTATATTGTGTAGATAGCTCATATTCACCATGGCTTCCGTATATTGCCTGCAGCACTGTCTTATTCCTCTACAGTACAGAATACGCTATCTACCACTTATCAGGCACATAACCACCTTCCATTCCCGGATACTCGGCTGGCTATCCATCTTTATCAGTCGCGCTTCTGCTTTCCTCTCAACCTGACAATAAGCAGTAAGATGGACCATTCTGCATCCATATCAGAATCAGAGATAATGCTTCTCCGTACACCTGCCATGTTGGGACCAGCATCGCAGATAGCAGCTTGCACACTGATAATCATATCATGCATCTATATATCTCTGTCGATATGGCCTGCTGTGGGATAGCCTCATCTATCTTCCACATTGGAGACGACGAGTAGCAACATGTCCCAGGAGAAACCCACCCTAACTCTCACCAGCGACGCGCTCGACGCCGAGTCCAAGAATGTCCCCGTGGTTTCGCGCAATGTAGACGCTGCCCTGGAGTTCCTACACACCAGAGACACCGGCCTCGTATCCAATATCGATGAAAAGAAGCTGGTCCGCAAGATAGACCGGATGATTGTGCCGTTGATGTGGGCTTGCTATAATCTGCAGTACCTGGACAAGGTCCTCATCAACTATGCGTCGGTGATGGGTCTGCTGAAAGACGCTCATATGCAGACCAACCGGTTCTCCAACCTGACTCTGGCCTTCTATGTCACCTATCTCGCTTTTGAGCTCCCGACAGGGTACCTGATGCAACGCCTGCCGACTGCCAAATACCTGGGAGTCAATGGTGACGTCCGTCCCCTTCATTTCCCCGTAAATACTGACATCTCAACAGTGACAATATGGGGCCTCATGACCACCTTGAATTGCGCAGCAAAGAATTTTGCCGGGCTGCTTGTCCTTCGTGTCCTTCTCGGATGCTTTGAGAGTGCCATCGCACCAGCGTGAGCTTCGTCTTCTCTTACTCTCAGTGATGCTTAATAGGAGCGTTCTAATCCGTTCCTTCCAGACTGATCTTGATAACCTCCATGTGGTACAAGAGAAATGGTACGCAGTTTATATTTAGACATAGCCAAGAGGGTATACTAAATCTGAAAATAGAACAACCGAAACGAATGGGAATCTGGTACCTGGGAACGGGCACGGCATCCATCATGGGCGCCCTAGTCGCATACGGACTCCTATTCTACACAGGAGACCAATTTCGATCATGGCAAATCATGTTCCTAATCTTCGGACTCATTACCATCGCCGTCGGAATCTGCGTCATCATCTTCCTCCCCGACAGCCCGATGACCTCGCGCCTGAGCCATGAAGAAAAGATCCTAGCCATCGAGCGCGTCCGCGAGAACCAAACGGGGATTGAAAACAAGCGATTCAAAATAAAACAGGTCAAGGAAGTGTTTCAAGACCCGCAAACCTATCTAATCATAATCATTGTCACAGCCATGAACATCTCCAACGCCGCAATCAGCAGCTTCTCCTCCCTCATCATCAAGAGCTTCGGCTTCACAACCAAACAGACCGAGCTCCTCAACATCCCCGGCGGTGCTGTCAGCGTCGTCTCCATCCTAACAGGCAGCTACCTAGCAAGCAGATTCGACCAACGCTGTCTCAGCGCCATCTTCATTCTCTGCTGCGGCCTCCTAGGCGGGTGCCTCATGGCCTTCTCCCACAAGGACATGAAAGCCGCTCAACTCGCCGGCAATTACCTGACCAACTGCGTCGGCGCTACTTTGCCCCTCATGTACTCCATGGCCGGCGCCAACGTAGCCGGTCACACCAAAAAGGTGACCATGAACGCCATCGTACTGATGGCGTTCTGTCTAGGCAATATCCTCGGCCCGCTTACCTTTCGCACGAAGGACGAACCAAATTACATCCCTGCTAAGATCGCCATTGTTGCTACCGTCTCCGTGGCGATTGTATTCACCGTTCTATTGAAGGGGTATTATATCTTTGAGAATCGGAGGCGGGATCTCAGGGGGGATGTCGAGGCCGAGCATCTTCGGGATTCGGAGTTTTTGGATCTTACGGATCGAGAGAATCGGGAATTTAGGGTATGCTTTTTTTTCTTTCGTTTTACATGGTTAATTTTAAACTAACTTGCCTCCAGTACAAACATTAGTACAGTGGGATCCCCTGTGCTTAACATTTCAATGAGACCCACAATCTATTTGCGATAGAAGGATACTGATGTGGATCAGGGGGGCGGCGTTCGGATATCAATTACTAAAAGGATACCATAGGATTCGTAGGATTCGTGGTGGACCCTCTATATCATTATTCTGCCGTCTCTAGTATATCGTGAAGCTCTTAATTGATATGCTTAACGCTTAATCACTCGAGCTCTCTCTCCTATATATGCGGGATTCGGGGAACCCGGGTCACTTTTCCCCCGGAACATATATACTCCGGATCCCGGGGCTGGATTATTAAATAATCCACCTATATCCTCATCAGATGCCATGATATGACACCGTTAATAGTCTGTAGCATGTACTCAAGTCAACATAACCTCCTACACTATATCCATACCTGTACTGAACAACCCCAAACAGTGTAAAGACTTGCCCTCAGCTGATAGTGCGTTCGATTAATGCAATGCAGAGATCGTGCGCAAAGTCCGGGCACTGCTTTAGGAATTCATTCCTGAGAACATCAAAACCAGATTTCAAGCGTAAATCCCTCAAATAATCCACTGTCATTTTAACCACCAAGTCTCTCAGTCCTCGATTCTTCTCTGGAGTGGAAGTATGCACTTCCTGAACTGTTGCCTCGAAGGATGATCATTGGGGAAGCCAGAAACATGGATAGAAATGGTACATTGCCTTTGTTTTGAGGACGTCAATCCCGAAGTAGTCCGCGTAGGCATACATCAAAGCATGAATATGAGCAGCATGGAGCGTCTAGGCAGTGCTATTGCTCAATGACGAAGCTAGCTCATATCCACTGACTTTTTCGTGTCCCTCCTCGATTTGAGTTCGACTAGATGGAAATCAAAGGAATAGTCTTCTGTATAGATACACTGGAGCATCTTCCGAATCAGCTCTGGATGCCGGTCGTAAAGATTGACCGTACCTGAGGAGGATTCCTTTGGTGCATGTCAGCTCATACATTATATACATTCAGAAGTAAAAAGCGATTGATCGATTTCTACCTTGAAACGTCCATCACACATGACACTGAAGTATGTTGACGAAGGGCAAACGATAGATTAATAAACCGGGAAACTCTCATTGCCACAGACAATGGTCAGATCGCTATATTTCGGGTTCAAGAATAACCTGGTCGATTCGATTTCCTCCTGAGTTAGCATACAAAGTACATGTGAGAAGAGGAGTAGATACCCGGCGAAACGAGTTGGCATTTCTTCCTTCACCTCCTCAAGGCGGGGGTCGACACTCCAGAATCTTTTTCCCGTTACCATTATGGCTTTGTCCTCAAGACAGAATCGGGCACGAATCTTTTGAGAACTAGAAAGCCTGAGTGGTATGATGGTTACAAGATTTATTTAGAGAGGAGTCGTTTTCCATCGCAATCTATTGCAATCACATTACAGCCATCCCCAATGACTTTGTCTGCGTAACGGAACATTCCAGGACTCACCGGTGGGCTTGGGACAAGACATAGATGTATTGGGCAGTCTCATGGGGTTCTCCGATGAATATAGATACCAGATGTCATGTAGACATATCCAATGCGCTGACAACCTGATGCAGCAGCATTGATTACAGTTATTTGTAATTAACGTGAGGTCAAGAAAGGCACGGATTCCGGAAGACTTGAGCTTCATCCATGGCCAAGTATATACAGCGTACGAAGTATGATACGCACCATCAGCCATGAAGTCTGAACAAGCAATGTCCGTAAGATCACTATTCCCCTAGCTAAATCCCATGGAATGTTACTAATTTCAGCAACAGTCCAAGCCTCCAAGAAGGTGGTATACTACCCTGAAGGAGTGGCCTAAGGTTAGTCTGGCCAGCCAGGGAGAGGTGAGACGGATGCGAGTTCTCATGTACAAGATGAATGGAATAAATAAATACTACTGCTAATAATAATCATAATAGACCAGACTTGGAAGAAGTACGGCTGTGAAAGAGCCAGCTCACTTCTATGCCGAATGGTAGCTGAGACTGATATTTATTATGATACCTTGGGAATGGCTTTTCCAACTTCGTAGTGAACACTCCGCAGCATAATGGCTTTGAGAAAGCTTAGTTCTTGGCGCTTTGCTTGTATGTCATTGAAGATAGATGCCTTGTCCTATTCAAATTGAACTTCATCATATCATGATCATCATCTCATCTGTATAATAAGGTAGACCTAGACTAGTCAATCCACCTGGCTGCATTACATGCCTGTTCTTCAATAGACCAAAATAATAAAATGACAAAACACAATGCAGTTGTGTACAAAAAAATATAACATTGGGGTATTAAGAACAAGAACGAACAATACAACCAGCCAGAGAAAAGAAATATGCCACTTAAGAAAAAGAGGGCCATGCGCATCACTCTTCCAGCCTCCGCGCTGTCGCTTCAAGCTGTGCATTGAACGCCTTGATCTGGTTCAAAAGACCGCCTCGAGACCCCGGGGCGATGGAACTGACGTCTTCCGCGAGGCTGCGGAGGAGGAATTCGAGACCCGCCGCTGTATGGGAACTGGAAGTTGAAGCTGGGTTGCTGCTGTCTGCTGCGGTACGGTCGAGTACAAGTTCGAGACTATGGAGGGTGTTGTTGATAGTGGTGCGGGACTATTAGATGTGTTTCCGTGTCAGCGAGGCATAAGAATCGAACATTCTTGATTTCCCGGATTCTGAAAAATACAACAGGACAAGGAAATCCTACCGTTCTTGCATCCTTCTCGTCTGCATGCTTCTTCCGCACTGCATCCATCTGTAATGCCATCCTTTCTCTTTCCTTGCGCACCTGGTGCAGTCGGCTTCGCAGGTCTGCCATTTCTCGTTTGGATTTCCTCAACTGCGTGCTTAGGATAAAGTTACTGTCAAGCATCTCGCTTAATTCGAATAATCGTCCCTCCAACTCAGAGCCATACGCTTCCACCGCCTTCATTTTCAATGTCCATTCGGAACGTCTCGCCGTGTTGGACTCGTTGGCAATGCCATCCTTGAGCGTCGTCAGGGTCTTCTCCAGCGTCTCACGACAGACCTGGCTCAGGACGTCTGCCGGATTGACGCCACCTCGGTTAGCGAACTTTGTCTTCTGTCGAGTGGAGAGCTCGTCTGCAGACTCCTCATCGCTGAGCGCTGAGTCCGCGGAATCGGCAGCAGAATCAAGGGCAACAACATTCGCAAGACGATGCACAGTAACCGGAACTGTGTCACCACGGGGCTGCCTTGATTTCTTTCCTTTATCTCGCCTCTCTGGCCCTTCGTCGGTTTGCTGCGCCGGTTGCTCTGGCTGGGGTACTGGCTCTGGATTGGAAATTTTGCCCAACAGTGATGGTCGACCACGAGGGCGCTTCGGTGCGGCGGACGCTTCAGGTTCTCTTACTTCCTGTTCGTCAGTGGGAATTGGCTTATTTGAATCTGCAGATAATTTCCGGCGCTTTTGTCTCTCCGGCGGTGAAGGGTGCGGCGTGCTATCTTCTCTGTCGCGCAGGGTAGAATCCGCTTTTTGATCAGGTTGGCCGCCATTGATTTCGATATCGTTCGATCTTGACTCTGTGGTGACATTCCGTGTCCGAGGTTTACGACCTCTCAATGGCCGATTTGGAAGCCTCTGGGATGACAGTGGGCCCTTTCTGACCTCCTCCGCGGTCTGTTTCTGATGTTCTCCATGATCTTTGCCCTCATCGCGTGCCATTCGCGCTGCAGCGGGAGGCCGGCCTCTTTTTCTCTTCTCCCGAGGAGGATCTTCTCCTTCAATACCATTCTGGCCTTGTGGATCTTCCAGCGATTGGTTTAGCTCTTTCGTCGTGCCTTCCACGGTCTCTACTCCCACGACACCATCAGGTGTATGCCTATCAGCTTGTAATTTCAGCCTTCCATGCTTGTCTTCCGGGCGTTCCTCGGGCGGTAGATTGTGCTCTTTTGGCCATGTTGCTTCTTTGTGGCCTACAGGAATCTCCTGTTCTTTATTTGTAACCTCTAATTCCTGAACCACCGGCGAATCTCGTTCAGTTCGCTGTGTTTGACCCTGCCCCTGGACCTCACTGGGAAGAGGAAGGGTAATGTCCTCTGGTTGAGGTGGTTCTGATGGCACCTTAGGCATTTCTTGCTCTTGCCTGTCGGATTCCTGCGTAGGCTCTTGCTCCTGGGTATCTCGAGCTGCAGGGGCCTCAGGGCCAGTTTCCGATTGAGATCCTTGCTCCTGAGCCTTGAGACCATCCTTCCGAATGCCATTGACGCCAGCTTCTTGTGTTGTTTGAGACTCCCTCTCCGTGTCCTGCGTATGTTGTTGTTCCTGGGCGTCTTGCTCGGTTGGTGTTACGATGTTAGGAGCTCTCTTTGGCGTTTTACTCTCGTGTTCAGTAGTAATCTTCGCGATTTCTGTCGATGCATCGGTCTCTTGAAGCATTGGAATGTCTGCATTCTGATTGTGTGTGGGTCTCGAACCGCTTCTCTCTCTCCGCGCGCCGTTCAACCCGTTAGGGGACGTTTTCAGTGCCTCGTTAGGACGCTCTTCTCGTATCATTAGTAGCTGAAATAAAATCACATCGTATCAATTAATGTGCACGAACCGATTTTTCTTCTCTTCCTGCTACGTTCGGAAAGCGGTGGATCGTCCTGGGGGATGTCGAACAATGACGGTCTTTCCGGCAGGTCATTACGCGAACTACCTGGCGATCGATAGACGATGCCTTGGCTTTGAGATGTCTTGAGCCCCTTCTGAGGCGTCAAGGACTGTGATTGTGTATTTTCAGGCTCCGAGTTCTTGTGGGAGGGCGCAGGAGGCTGGAGGGATGGCTGTGATGCGGGTTGGACTGTTTCATTGATCGGAGGGGCCAACCCAAAGGAAAATCCAAAATCAACTTCTTTTATCTTGCGTGTCCTATATAATATACCAAATACAATATCAGCAACGGTTTTCCGTAATTGATACGCATGGAGTAGGGTAAAGCGCGTACGCAGCGCCGCGTTGACGCATTTGCAGCCGCTCCTCTCGAGCTGTAGACAGTCAACGTTAGCTGGGAGTCATTTGTAAATAGGGTTAAAAGAAGTGCATACTGGAAGCCATGGCTGATACGTCGTCTCCGCCGGGACCAACATCAAAATGCGAGATGTTGGGATGCAATTTTGTAGACGGCCTGTTGCGAAATGCTTCGATGCTCGGAGCGCGAATCAAAGCGGTTTGGAGCCAAGGAAGATCGATAGCGGGCCGACCTCCTTCTCTCCGCACTCCAGGCGTTTTTTTGCCTGAATATCCAGTACCAGCTTCCTCTTCTCCTTTTAAATAGTTCACTTTGACATCGAACTGTCTGCTTTGTCGTCTACTCACGTGCTTACAACTTCCAATGGGCTGGCTCTGGGGCGATTCAAACAAGGACGACCCCGTCAAGAAGCTCAGTCCAGAGCTGAAGGAGTTCCTTGAGAAGGAAACACCGGCCAAGTATGTCCCTACAGAACCGGCTCAACCGACTCAAAAGCCCTCCGAGAAGACAGTAGATTCATATGATCAAGCCGCGCCGTCCGATTCCTCGAAACCTCTCGTCCCTTCTGCCTCGCTATTCCCCGATGGCCGCTATGCCCACCTGTGGAAGACCTACAAGCCTCTTGAGGAAGTTGAAGGGAATCCAATCACGGGGGCTCAGAGAGTGGTTGAAAAATTCAAAGAGCGCAAGGATGCAGTACACCAGGCGGCTATGGAGAATTGCGCTTTGGAACACGAAGCTTTGACAAACTGTTTCCAGACCGGCGACTTACAGCAACGAGTGTGGTCTCGTATAACTATGTGCTCTGAGGCCAATTCGAAGTTTTCTCGCTGCTTTACCACCCAGGCTGTGAGTAGTCTCTTCCATTTCCTATTTCCCATTTCCCATTTGCCGCTGTACGCTGACATGGAGGCGTTAGAAATTTCTACAAGCTCTGGGCTACGCTGCCTCGTTTCATCACGATGAAGAACGGGAAGAACGGATCCAAATGCATGCCGACAAGCTCTATCACCAGATGCTTGGCTACGAGAAACAAGTAGAGGAAGCTAAGGCGGCTGGACGGGAACCGCCTCCCCTTACGTCTCTCTTCAACCCAGGCGCGAAGCCGCAAGTTCAGAAATTGAACAATGGAGCAGAGCTGGAAATACCTAGTGGAGAGAAGATTCCACAAGGCTTCAAGCCATCTAAGCCTCTGGATCAACTCACTCCACATGAACGGGAGTTGGAGATTCGTGCACACAATGCTCAACTAGAACAGCAGAAACAGTACCTCCAGGAGGCATCACCCTTCCTCAAATCTCAGGAAGATTCCCGACAGAAGAGGAGGGAAAAGGCAGTGAAATGGTTTGGAGAGACTGTTGGAACGTGGATTACGTAGACGACCAGCATACTATTTTGTAAAATACCGGGTTGGGACACAGCGACAACAGGCGTTAGCAATGGGTTTTCTTCTTCTAAAAAAGACGTATAATGTACAGAAGCGACGCCGAGCACTTATAAATCGTCAATTGGCATTGCCATGTAGCAAATAAGCTGGATTGTGCGCTGAGAGCCAGCCGTCACGCTTCTTCCCGCTGTCGCGTCTGTTTCTGCGACACACAGAGTCGACGTCTCTCAGCTCAACCATTCGCGATTTCCCCCTTCACTACTTCTGCAGCTGGTAATGCACTGCATCTCACTGTCTGATTGGAATTGATTGATTGTCTACGGAGTATTGCATCGACGGATACTCCGATCTCGCTGACCCATTCAAACTTCCGTGTCGATCAACTGTCTTCTCTCTTCACTCGTCCTGCCTTCACCATCCTCCCCCGAATATAATCCAGCCCACCAGCCAATCCTTGTACTCTGCTAGACAACCTGCTTATCTTGAACTGATCTCTCCGTTGAAAGTGGTGTTTCTGGTTTTAGACTCAGCAGTTTCTCGGGGTCGTAACTGCTGTGATCACCATGAAGGCGACCCCGTTGCTCATTTCATGGCACAACGACAATGCCCCAATCTACTCTGTTCACTTTGATCCCAATGGCAAGGGTCGTTTAGCTACTGCTGGAAAGTACGCATATGATTACCCTCGGCCTATTTTCTGGCGCTATACTGACTCTGATTCCCCCAGTGATAACAATGTCAGAGTATGGCCTCCCCGTCCGCTCCCTCCCCCGCTCGATCACAAACCGTCTTCGGCCCCTTCTTTCTGACGTATCTATAGCTTTGGAGAGTGGAAGCTACTGGAGAGGAGCGAAAAGTGTCATATCTAAGCACACTTGTGAAACATACCCAAGCCGTGAACGTGGTCCGGTTCAGTCCAAAAGGTATATCATACGCTTTTTCATTGCTAGCTATTGAGAAGTTTCACTGACCTGTGCAGGCGAGATGCTGGCATCTGCTGGGGACGATGGCAATGTCCTACTCTGGGTACCCTCGGAACTGCAAACACAGTCTGGTTTGGGAGAAGATCGGTCAGATGACAAGGAAACCTGGCGAGTCAAGCATATGTGCCGGTCATCCGGTGCAGAGATATACGATCTTGCCTGGTCTCCAGACGGCGTCTTTTTCATAACCGGAAGCATGGATAATATTGCTCGGATTTACAATGCCCAAACTGGTTAGTTAGCACAATTCCTGGAGATGTGACGTCGATCCAGAAGCGAGGTTACTGACCCGTTCAATATCCCAGGCCAAATGGTGCGGCAGATTGCAGAGCACTCTCACTATGTTCAAGGTGTAGCCTGGGACCCTCTCAATGAGTTTGTCGCTACTCAATCTTCAGATCGATCTGTCCACATCTATAGCTTGAAGACGAAGGACGGCCAGTTCACGCTTACCTCTCATGGGAAGTTCCTGAGAATGGACCTGCCGGCGAGACGCATCCCTTCGACAAGTCCTGCTCCCCCTGATCTCAGCGGTCGAGCTCAGCCGGCGACCAGCAATCCAATTGCTATCTCTCCAGTCCCTTCAACTCCTGGGACGCCGTTGGCGTCGAATCTGCCCATGGATCCTCCTCCAGTGTCCCATAGCCGTCGCTCGTCGTTTGGCTCTTCGCCATCTATCCGTCGTTCGGCTTCACCGGTACCTTCTCTGCCATTGCCTGCGGTCAAACCGATTGAAATGCCGTCTCCAAGCGTTCTTGCCGGACTAGGTGTTAAGAATTCCAACATATATGCCAATGAGACTTTAACATCATTTTTCAGGAGACTGACCTTTACTCCTGATGGAAGCCTATTATTTACACCCGCAGGTCAGTATAAAACCTCTCACGTATCTGCAGCCGATCCAGCGAAGACTACCGATGAGATAACAAATACGGTCTATATCTACACCCGTGCTGGCTTTAATAAGCCGCCAATCTCCCATCTGCCTGGCCACAAGAAACCATCAGTTGCTGTGAAGTGCTCCCCAGTTTTTTACACCTTAAAGCAAGGGGTAAAGCCTGCCAATCATATCGTTTTGGATACCTCTTCTGGTGAAGATGCGTTCCCATCCCTCCCAGATTCCGTAGTTTCGTCGAGTACAAACCCCTCTATGGAACCTCCATCGTCGATGTCTGCCACGAATGACGCGTCAAAGCCTCCACCATCCAAGAGTGCCACCAACGAAGGAACGACTTCTGGCCAGGGTTCTCCTACATTTGCACTGCCGTATCGGATTGTGTATGCCGTTGCTACCCAGGATGCCGTCTATGTTTATGATACCCAGCAACAGACTCCACTATGTGTCGTGAGCAATTTACATTTTGCTACCTTCACTGATTTGACTTGGTACGTCTTCCTACTTCCTCCCTTCCTTGGCTTTCATGCTAATTCCCGGTAGGTCGAACGACGGATTGACCTTGATAATGAGCTCATCTGATGGCTTTTGTTCCACCCTTTCATTTTCACCTGGCGAGTTGGGGCAACCGTATACAGGACCCACGTCGACACCTCATACCCATGCTGTGTCTTCTGCATCGTCTACAAACAATAACCCCCTTCCGACGCCGACACATCAATCCCCAATCAAGTCAACCTCGACATTGGCGAGTCCAGTCCCCAGCCAACCCAGTTCTGTAGCTCCGGCGAGACCAGCAACCCCAGCACGGACGAACTCGGCAGCGTCGGTTGCCACTTCAGCTTCCGCCCATCCTTCAGCTACTGTGGTTAACAATCCCACTCCTATTCTCGGTTCTGTGCCACTGGTGACTGCTATCAATTCTTCTCAACCTCCGGCTCTTCCAATTACTTCGCCGCCGCAGACGCCCATGTCAGCCGTTTCCCAAAGCAAGACAAGTTCTGTTAGTGGCAGTGTTTTGGGTAAGCGAGATATGCAGACGGCCAGTGAGTCGGAGAAAGAGGAAACCAAGAATAATCAGGGTACGACTGTGACACTGCAACAGCCGAAAAAGAGGCGGATAGCGCCAACGCTTATTTCGACAAATGATACTTCGAAGGCCTCTGACAGACCCGATGGCGGTGGCTAGATTTGTTGTCGCTCCCTTCTATCAAAGTAAAAAAGCTACTTTTTTCTGTTGTTTCACATCTGTTTTCTGATTTTCGCAGTTTGATGTAAGACCCACCGCAGGGCGATCTGGGTACTTAGATATGTTGATGGTCTCTAATTCTCCATCATCCTTTTTTTTCGCCCCCTACCTCGCCTCTTTTTCTCTTCTTCGTGCGTTAGTGGGAGGTTCGACAATTACTGGGAAGGGTTGGTATAACTCTTTAGTCTACTGTCTCTCTCTCCCTTGATGCAAAATCCTCGATATTAATGACTTGTGACTTGTTTCTTTTTTCTACATTCCCATGTTTGGGTGGCAACTTGATCCAGGTCTTCTCTTTCTGTATTTACAAACATCTGCTATAGTCTTGTCTTGTTCTAAGCGTTTGGAAGTTGGATTGGGAAGTGAAGTTTATAATGATTGATTGATTGATTGATCAATTGGTCGATTGCAATGTCAATGTTGATTAGGTACGGTATAAGATCCGCTGATAAATTTTCTTTTTCATTGTATTACGTCTGTTCTATGTTCATGCTAATGTTGGCGAGTCAGCCAAAGAGGAAATACCATGACATTTCCTCCAGCTTGCACCACACCTATGGACCGTCAACAATTAACAATTTTTCTCTAGGAAAATAAAAGGTAGAATCATCCTGATCCTATGAGCTCTTAATGCCTTTCTTTTTCCTTGTTGGTTTAACGCTCTATGTTTCTTTTAATTAATATATGAAGAAATAAGCCATGGACTAGATATGACAAATGGCTATAACCACTCTTCTATCTTGTAGATTAGTTAAAGTGACAATTAATTCTTAAATCATTATGAAATAAGTCTTGAGATCAGGGCATGTAGCATCTAATATGCTCCTAGTATTATATTATGGCCATGCATTCATTCATCAATCCATGAAAACTAAAGGGAAAGTAGAAGAATAGAAGAGTAAAGGTATATTTCAACAAGCAACCAACGCATGAATCTCTTTCTTATTACGCTGAAATGGAAGTAGTCGTTGTTGATGTGTTGTCAGGACACAAAACATTAACAACGCTTGCGAAGGTCATATCTTCTGTCAGCGTTGACTTCGCCCTAGTAGTATGAGTCCCCATAGAGAGCGTAGTAACATGGGGAAGCGAAATGGGCGAGTCTGCCTTTCCCAACCCATTTGCCCATTGGAACAAAGCCTCATCGCTACGTCCACTGCTGGCAACGAGCAGGAACTCAGGGCGTTGTGGCAGTAACCGTTGAAGAACAAGGTCGGCGGCAGTAGCTTTTGAGACATTGGAAGGTTCAACAATTACTGCGCCATCGTTGAGGGCGACTCGGATTGCTTCGCTGCCGCGAGCACCATTAATCTGGTCTGCAAGTTCGGAGGCCTGTCGGCTTGCGGTTTCATTATCAGTGGTGTTGTTGTACAGGAAGACCAACGAGCAGCAGCGTTCTTCTATCTCGCTTCCATCGGTCCGCTCCTGGAAGTATCTCATCACTCTCTTCACGCCTTCCCTCCAGTCCTTCGTTTTGTCGATGTCAATAAGCGCCTCCCATTCCGAGGCACCGATCTCACGTAAGAAACAACCATTCTCTGCGATGATACCGACTCCACTTGGAAGTTCCCTGACAAGTGGCTCGAGCTGCTCTGGGCTCTTGCTACTGGTCAAGTAGACTAAGTTCTTCGGGTTCTCGACCAACCTGCTGAGAAGGGCGGCCCTCTGCTGGCCAGATATCGAACCAGTAGAATAAGTCATCCAGCCGTCTTCAAGCAGAAACAGTCGCGAGCTAGAATCATCATATGATTTTTTCAGGACGTCGGGTGAAAGGGTCGAAAGTTGGGTAGGTTCGTGAGACCACAGCGAGTCGTGGGTCGCAGAAAGCTTCTTGCTGAACGACTCACACCAAGAAATTGCAGTGTGTGGGGCCATGCGGTCGTACAGATACTGCCAGTTTCGCTGCTTGTGTTCTGGTGTCATCTCCAGAGCAGTATTGATGGCGTCCGCGCACTGCCTGTAATCCCACGGATTCACCAACAGCTCATGCCCGCTAAATATAGAGGCACTCCCGGCAAACTCGCTGAGGATCAGAGATCCATGGCGATGCGGGCCTATCTTGCCGTCTTGACATTGAATATAGTCATGGCTTGTAAGGTTCATGCCTTCTCTTAAACAGGTAACCATAAAGATCTCCGCTACATGTAAGAGGGCTAGAAATTGGGAATAGTTTATGTCCAGCCTAAGTAGCACCAGCGGTTGGTGCGTCAAAGTGGAGTATACCGAGTTTATTCTCATCGCGATCTTGGAAATTTGAACTTCTAGTTCAGGTATCTCTGCTGTGGACGTCGCGATTTGTATCAGGACGACCTGAGCTGGTAAGTATGCATGCATTCTCCACAGGAAAGGCGGGATCAGGGCAATGACCGCTTTACTTACATTTTCTCTCCATTTGGGGTATCTTTTCAAAAACAATTCGTAGGCCAGAAGCTTTTGCTTAATGCCCGCAGGCCCATCAAGCCTATCCCTCGCAACGATCAAGTATTTATCCTTATACCTGGCGGAGATCTCGTCTATCCAGCCCTTCACTTCTGCGGAATGTCGTGCGCGGTCAAGACCTTCGGGATCTATGCCAAATGAGAATGTCTCAACGGGGACAAAGCGATCCCGAAGCTGGACGCCGTCGGCGGACACTTCCAGGCCCAGGAGGCGGCCACACGTGTGGAGGAAGTGGCAACAGTATTCATCCGTTTGGAATCCAATGAGATCAGACCCCAAAACACCTTTCAGCAATTCATCGCGTAGATTAAGACACCGAAATACTTCGGATGAAGGAAATGCAGCATGCAAAAAGAAGCCAATTTCCGCACCAGGCAGCCTCTCGCGGAGTAGCTGAGGAAGCAGCAAAAGATGGTAGTCGTGTATCCAGATGCTATCCCCTGAACGCCAATGGGCAGCAATAGTGTTCGCAAAGGCTTCGTTCACCTTAACGTATTGCTTCCAGGAGTAGTCATCGTACTTAGTGTGTCGCGGAGTCTCCTGCATCTGGTAGTGGAACGCCGGCCACAGGACCGTGCGGCAGAAATGTGAATAATGCCCCTCGAACTCACTGTCGCTTACGAACACTGTCAATGACTCGAATTGGTCTTCGAGTATTTCTGCAATGTTAACACGGGTCTCATCGTCCAGTGCGTCGGTCGGCATTCCGAGCGTGCCCACCCACACCTTGTCCGTCAAGATACCAGCTTCTTCGGCCGCGCTGATAGCATTTCGTAATGCACCATTCCCCTGTTCCGCAGCTTTGACAACCCAATCCTTGGAAAGTAGAGAGCGTGGGCTCGGCTGTCCTTCTTGCGAATCCGGTCCATGTATGGACCCTTCCACGCGAAATTGGGTCTCCGTATCCAACGAGAGTTCTGACCGACTTACAATCGAGGGCTGCCGAGGAAACTCAGCCTTGGAAGGCGGCTGATGAAATTTCCGGCTTCGACCCCAGGAGACGAGGCCAGGCTCGCTGGGAACTGGACCATTGGGATCATCTACGGACGGTAACTCGGCAGCGGACTTGAATGCATAAGACCTGAAGATCTTCTCATGATCTGTAGTTGCTCCAGGTGTCAAGCCAAGGCTGAGAGATCTGCGTTCCCAGCGAGATGCTCTGTTGATAGACGCAGTTGAACTCTCGGATGACTGGAAACGAGCATGTCTTCGTTCGGAAGGCTTGAAATCGATGGTATAGGGTAGGTAGCTGTCATGGATCCTGTCAGCGTATGCTTCAGTTGAAGGGCGGGCAGCAGGAGGGGTGACGCACAGGGAGGCTACTAGGACCGTCATTGAACCGGGTTATTCTGTATGGGAGCTTCGAAGACAGGAGTCCAAGAAATTCCCCAAAGTGATAGTGAACGATTGAGATGTCTCGATCGGAGGGTCTGAGAGTCACAGAATGAATAATCGACGCAGCAGCGAAACACGGGACACTAAAAGGCAGATACACGACGACGCAGCATGTCGGGAAGACATAGAGGGAGAGATGAGGATACGCAGACGGAGGGAACGAGCTCTAGAAGCGTCTGTCGATAAGAACAGGAAGTGCGCGACGGGAATTGGCAGAAGATTCTGGGGATTTCGAGGCAAGGACAGGCGTCGAGGAAAGCGAATCCGCGTGCGGAAGAAGCAGAAGAGCGCATCGCATCACTTCAAAGTTCACCCGGCAGCGCCCAATGACGGCATGGGCCACGGAAGCTGATCGCGTCTAGAACTGCTGGAGGAAACAAGGTCGCGATGGATGACGGCAGCAGCTCCACTTGTGCATGCGCAGAGGACGCCGGGATGGCTTCTCTAGCGGCGGAAGCAGATGGAAGAAGAGGAAGAAAAGCAGAAGCAATACGAGCGTTATCGCGGAGGGGCAGCAGGGACGATGGCTACTAAAGCATCGAAACATCTAGCACCGCGAATGCTGCCTTTCCGCTCCACCGGCCATCGAACCGGTCGAGCAGACTCACTTCTTCCGTCCAGCTTAACTTAGACTTGCTACAGTGCATGATTCTTGGATCAAACTACGCCGGATTTGCCACACTCGCTTGTCTATTTACACCGGAGACGAACAGAGTATTTCTCTCATCACTCTTTCATTCCTCTTCATTGACCATCGCAATTGCAAAGAATCTGAACGAACACCGCTATGCTCCCCCCCGAGTCCAATCCTGACAAAAAGTCGGGAGAATCCCGGCTTCTTCTGGTTTCAAACCGTCTGCCGATTACCATTCGACGGTCTGAGGGCGGCAGGTATGACTTCTCCATGTCTTCTGGCGGGCTGGTGACTGGTCTCAGCGGACTCGCCAAGTCGACAACCTTCCAGTGGTTTGGCTGGCCAGGAATGCAAGTGCCCGAAGATGAAGTCAAAATCGTACAGCGGAGGCTGAAGGAGGAATTCAACGCTACTCCAGTGTTTCTGGACGACGAAGTGGCAGATCGCCACTACAATGGCTTTTCAAGTATGTCCATTGTCCACCTTGTTGACTGAATGTCGCATGATCCGCTGGTCGAAAGACGGGTCCCACAGTGGTTTTTGCAGCACCCGAACTAATCGCCATTGTGTACGGCAGACTCTATTCTATGGCCGTTGCTGCACTACCACCCCGGTGAAATCGTCTTTGACGAGGCCGCGTGGGATGCATACCGAGAAGCCAATTACCAGTTTGCCCTGGCCATTGCTGGCGAAGCAAATGATGGTGACATGGTCTGGGTCCACGACTATCATCTCATGCTGCTGCCCCAAATGCTCCGAGAGCAATTCCGTGCTTTGGGCAAGAAGGATATCCGGATTGGATTCTTTCTGCACACTCCTTTCCCCAGTAGCGAAATCTACAGGATTCTGCCCGTGAGAAGTGAACTGCTACGAGGCGTATTGCACTGCAATCTCATCGGATTCCACACCTATGACTATGCACGCCATTTCCTGAGCAGCTGCTCCCATCTTTTGTAAGCGGTTTATTTCTTCTTGCGATCCTTTAATCCTAAGTGGCTGCTAACGATTTTCCACAGAGAATTGGCCACGACCCCCAGCAGTGTCAAGTTCGAGGGTAAATCTGTCACAGTCGGAGCATTCCCGATTGGGATCGATCCAGACAAGTTCACAGAGGGTCTGAAAAGCCCCAGGGTTCAGAATCGCGTGGCGAGCCTCGAGAACAAATTCAGAGGAATGACACTGATGGTTAGCGTGGATCGACTTGACTATATCAAGGGTATTCCCCAGAAACTGCATGCATTGGAAGTCTTCTTGTCCGACCATCCGGAATGGGTTGGAAAGGTTGTCCTGGTCCAAGTGGCCGTTCCGAGCAGACAGGATGTTGAAGAATATCAGAACCTAAGAGCTTTGGTCAATGAGCTAGTGGGACGGATTAATGGAAGATTTGGTATGACAGTCCTTGTTCCTATGCATCTGGGGATCTGACATTTATTGAATCTGTAGGCACGGTGGACTACACCCCCATTCACTTCATGCACAAATCTGTGAACTTTGACGAGCTGATTTCCCTATACGCCATCTCCGATGTCTGCGTGGTCTCATCAACCCGCGACGGCATGAACCTGGTTTCCTTTGAATACATTGCAACCCAGCAGAAACGCAAGGGAGTCCTCATCTTATCCGAGTTTGCCGGCGCCGCCCAGAGCCTCAACGGCAGTATCATCATTAATCCATGGAATACCGAAGAGCTCTCTGCAGCGTATAACGAAGCAGTTTCTATGAGCGAGGCACAGAAGTCAGCCAAATTCGAGAAACTATACAAATACATCACTAAATACACCAGGTTAGTCAATCGTCTCCATTCTCTTCCTTCTTGACGGTCATATCATCTGCAATTTGGCTGTGCTGACTACCAGAAGCGCTTTTTGGGGCAAGTCATTCGTGGCAGAATTATCGCGATGCTCGGCATGGTCGTAAATAGGCGACATCAGCAAGGATAGACTACGGCGTTATTATTAGATTGCATGCAAGTGAGCGACTTTGGTTTTCTTATCTACTACAGATTCGTCTGCCTATACTGTATACAGGGTATTTTTGTTTTGTTTTCCTCTCGAGAGGCTGGTGATATGATTTTATCTCATGATGAAAATAATAATGCCTAATGAGTTTCTCTCACTGGTTTTTTTGTTTTAGGGTGTATGGCTGGAAAAAACAAAATGAATCATCGATGAGATGTTCTCAAGGTGGATTCTAAAAGCATACCACCAGTCTGTGGCATCTCTCATGGACCAGACCCACCAGAAAAGAATCCATGACAATATTTACTTTTAGTAAATAGTCTCTTCGGTTGGCGTCGGTGCCTTTGCATACGCCATATGGATCCCTGCCCAATATCCATCAAATGAAGAACATTTACATAAGTAAAAATCCAGAAGACCCAAGGATGCGTAAGCTTCTGGAACTTCTAGCCTCGAGCCGGAATATACTTTTAGCCTTTATATGGTCTTATTTTTCCATACTGTAGAATTCTAGCTGCAGCAACTCTGTAGACGGCAAAAAGAACTAATGCAAGCAGATGTCCACTCCACGTACGTGCCAGACATCGACTGGATAATGAGAAACGCTTTCTCCGGTCTCCGGTAGAGGAAGGATCTCGAATTATTCGAAATCCGGTGGAAAATAGCGGAACCAGGGTTGGGAATTACGCATGCGTTTTGCCTATACCGTCTACGTAGACGTGAGTTAATCGCTCGCCACTTTGCCTTGCGTAAAACTTCCTGACGTAGTCGAGACTTTGTTATCTCAGGGATTGATTCGTAGGTGCAGACGAAGGAAGGCAAAGAATATAAGAAAAGGCAGCGGGGACTCTGACTTATCTATGGCTTTATATGGGTACTCCCGTGTGATCTGGACGCTTTTCTCTTGCGAATCAGGAGGAGGATGACGATGATGATGCAGGACCCTTCGACGCCAAGATGTGAACGGTGGTTTGAGTCTCGAGGGAGCTATTTTTACGGAGACACGCGAGTTGTCGTGGCCTCCGAATGCCAAGACGGATGCTTGCGTGGCTCCGTCCAGCAACGATTTCAACCGTAGGACAGCGCTGTATGCTGTCCTCCGTACAGCCGTCAATGTTGATATCAACGTCCACAGACAGACAGGGGAACTGGCAGCCTGTCTGGGTGCTCTGTAAAATTGTCTATTTCTTCGATATGAGACAGAAATGCAGGTACGCATGGGACAGCAGCATGTTGGAACAGGCTGTCCAGCCACCGTCTTCAGTTCCAAGTCCAGACGACGTGATGTATCGGTCCTTTATAGCTTCACAGACCAACAAGAGATCCGAATAACAAAGAGCCTAAAAAAGCCTCTCATCGAGACCCCATGACTGAAGCTCAGATCAACGAGGAGATTGGTCCCCGCAGTGAAGTTGGCAATTTTCCAAGCACTTTTAGACTTTAGGCGTAACACGTCCGTGATTCGTCATCTCTAGGACGAGATGTCTTGGGTCGGATCGCGTAAAATTTGTGCTGTCTGACTGCCTGCTCGCGGTGGGACGCTTCTCAGCTTATGCCTCATGTCTACCAAGGATGCTGCAGAAGGTCCCAATCGCACTATTGACCGGGACCTTGAAGTGCCAGGACAAAAAGGTTGCAACGCAACGCGCTACGTATGTCCTCCAGTCAGATGATGATGATGATGGGAGAGAGTACGTATGCCCAAGCGGATACAGCGTACGCTGGATATGTACGATCCCGCGTAGACAGACCTGTTCTTAATAATGCAAAGAACGGTTCGCCTGTTTATCCAGTGGACGATCAGCAATGCCGGTGGGCTCTAGATACTCGGCAGTCCCCAGGACACGCACATCCTGCGTAGAGAGACTCTTCCACGCGGCCGGAGACGGGAAAGCGTCGCAATGGGCTCACGTCGTTCTGCCTAGCAGTCGCAGACCAGAGCCGGGGTGACGACGAAGACGTGTAGGGAAAGAAATCAAGCTCGAATAGGCGTTTAATAGGATTGCCATGCCAAGCCGCCAGGGCCAGCGACGGTTATTTCTGTACACGCGGCTCGAGGGGGCGTGATTGGGGCGAACTGCCATGCTGACGACGCCTTTCGGACGGGGTCGAGAGCAATAATACTCGCTGCCTGCACTTCCTTCTCCTTTCTGCGGATCGCCCTCGACGGTTCTGCTGTTGCTGTTGCTTCTGCTGCTGTTGCTTCTGCTGCTGTTGCTGTTGACTGTTGCTGTTGCTGCAGCGGGTTGCGTGCTTTGCGTATTAATAGCATTCGCATTAGCTGAAGGCTGTGTCTGCTGCGTCTTCCTGTCCCGTGCCAGGAGGCTCCGACGCATCTCTCCTCCCCCGTGGCAGTTCCGTCTCTCAGCACTGTCTCCTCTCTCCTCTCCGTCCCGTCTTCAATCTGGAGCCTCTCTGCTCTCGCCTTCTGCCGCCAGTGTCTACTTTGTAGCCATGGCGGACGACAGACATCACCATCGCTCGCACCACCGCGCCCGGCGGCCTGCGCCTGCTGCTCCGACCGACGCCTACGACACCGCTGAACTCACCAAGCAGTTCGAGCAGCTAATGCGCTCCAAACGCTTTAATCGCCTTCAGGATCGTTCGAATCTTCGTTCTCGTTCGCAATCGCCTGCCTCTTCGCTCCTTCGATCTCCTGCTGCCTATCCTCCCCATCCCTCGAGGGCGCCGCCGCCGCCGCCTAGCAATGCTGCGGCCCGTCAGCCGTCCTCTCGACGACCTTCTCCTCCTCCCACCCCGAGGACGTTGCCGTCCTATTTCACGTCTTCTCCATCGCCTCCACCAGATCTACCTCTCTTCCCTTCTCCCCCGAAGGATACTGCATCGCTCAAATTCCGCAACCTCCTCCATGTCCTCTCCGTGACTCCGACCAAATACGAGAACCCTGGTCTTCTCGACGAAGCGCTTGCTCTTATCCCACTGGACAGGTTGTACTCCGAGGCAGAGGATGAAAGCCAGATCTCTCAGGCCCAGGCAGCTAGCGTAGGAGGTAAACCTGAATGGGGCTATCAGGATTATGTGATAATGGCTTTGCTACGGTTCGTTGCTAACTAACCCTCTTGATTGAATTGTAAAGAAAAAAAAGAAAAAGACTAATTTCATTACAGATGGTTCAGGCGGTCATTCTTTCAATTCGTTAACAACCCCCCTTGCTCTCAATGCTCCACGCCTACCATCGCCCAAGGAATGACACCTCCAAGTCCCGATGAAACTGCCCGTGGTGCCGCTAGAGTCGAGCTTTATCGCTGCTCCGATCCATCTTGTGGTTTCTATGAGAGATTCCCTCGCTATTCCGACGTCTGGCAACTACTGCAGAGCAGACGAGGTCGCGTGGGTGAATGGGCAAACTGCTTTAGCATGCTCTGTAGGGCGGTTGGAGCCCGCGTCCGATGGGTCTGGAATTCAGAGGACTATGTCTGGACTGAAGTATACTCTGAACATCAGAGACGGTGGGTACACGTGGATGCATGTGAGGAGGCGTGGGATCAGCCTCGTCTTTACACGGAAGGTTAGTAACGCCAATGGCAACGCCGTTTTATTTCCCGTCAATTCGTGCTAACTTTACTCAGGATGGGGTCGAAAACTGTCCTACTGCATTGCCTTTTCGATTGACGGCGCTACTGACGTTACCCGGCGTTACGTTCGGAACCCGGTAAAGCATGGAAACCATAGAACACGTGCACCGGAGGAAGTTCTTTTGTGGGTGATCGACGAAATTCGAAGAATGCGCCGGGAGAACCTGCCGAAGGTTGATCAAAGACGACTGAAGAAAGAAGACGAGCGGGAAGAGCGGGAACTACGCAGCTACACGGTGTCCGCTCTTGTCGCAGAAATGAATAAATTGCTACCCTCTAGGCAGTCCAGTGGGAGGCCAGATGAGAAGACACCAACTTCGCGCGACGAAGCGGCGGCGAACTTGCTCAGTGCCAGGCAGAGAGAAACCAGCCATTCCAATCCCGACCCTTCGCGTGATGGGTCATAACACCGCCTGACGAACGAGTCCTCAATCGTCCACTTCTACGCTGTCTGTGCGGTTCCGTCTTTTAGTGTCAATCTACAGGATTTCCTTGTCTGACGCCCGCTAACGGATGGCCATATCTCCCAGCTCCCTCGTACAATACTTACTAGGAGGCATGATCGGCTGGGCCACCAACCGACGTGAAACCGGATCATCGCATGAATTATGATCGGCTACGATCTTTCCGAGTTCGTGCTATCGTTCATCCACGATTCATGATGTGAAACTGGGGAAAGTGCTAATACTTGGCCTGTCCAAAGCTAAAGCATTTTCCTCGCCTTTACCCTTCCCTTGGACACAAGGTTTGGACGGCTCTTCCAATTCGTTTCGGAAGTTTTGGGATGGAACCATAGCCTCCCATTCGCATTGAAACTTCGCAACGAGTTTTCAATGCTGCAAAATTCGACCACCATGTGATATCATTTCTCATCCTACCAATTTGGTTTATCGGTCTCTCAGCAAATTTTCTTTCCTCTGCTACTAGTTCCGTCATTTGACAATTTCTCATCAACTATCGACATGGCAGCTTTAAGGTTGAAGCCTTTAATTAGTACTATGATGGGTTGCATCTAGCAAAGATCCAATTCGACAGACATGCCACTTAACGGGCAATTTGTTTTCACGGTTCCTTCCTTTAATATTAGTTGACACCCTTTGATGAATTTTAATCCGAAAACTCGCGATCTTTCGGGGAATGATTTTTGCTAGCCTGGGATGCCGACGCATATGGAAGAATCTCTCACATTATACCGTCGGTATGAATTCCTGCATATATTTATTCCATACCGATGAAGGAGAAAGCGGCATCGTCTTTTTTTTTTTTTTTTTTTTTCCCTCTTATTCCACTTTCCAATCTCTTTGGTGGTTTTTCTTTTCCTTTATGTCCTATCTATCATTAAAGCCAGATATATTACTTTTCTTTGTAATTATCTAATTGACACTCTGGAAGTATCAAACTTGGTCCCATTCCATGGAAGTTGACATTTAAGCTGTCGTATCGGCCACCACCTATAATCATCCTTCATTTCCCGAACCGTCAAGCATAAGCGCCGGGTCAAGTGTAATCCTTGGCAGGACTATTTATAGATATGCCTCTCTCTGACTGTAACGAGGGGTCCACCGTCACCGGCTTTAAACTGGACTACAGGTTCCCAGTGCCGAGTTGTATACTTACCTGTTCCGGTTAGGAGGCGCGAGGGAAATTAAAGTGATGCTTATCATAATCGAGTAAGTCATTTCATATTGCTAGATAATACATATACTGAGATACTCAGTAGTAAGTGATATTAAGTTGACCTGCAATGAAGGTCGACTTTATATAAATATCATTTTGAGTTACTGTATACACACTCCGTACCAGTATCAATATCAGCGCCAATATTCATCCTAACCAAACCAAATAACACAATTCACCCCCCTCCCCGAAGCCACTCCTTGATCCTTCCTACTTCCTCGATGTAATAAGGCTGACCCGGGAGAACAAGTGACCAGACCCCGCCCCCTCTCAAACGGAGATTGCGCAACGGGTCCAGAAACACGGGGATCTTCTCCACGGGCTCGCAGAACCAGTTCCCGGCAAGAGATAAGGTGAAGGAGCGTAGGGAATCCATCTGCTTCAGAGCGGCGCAGGTTTCGATCCACTGCTGCCGGCCCGCGGAGAAATAGACGGCCTTGACGGGGTCTTTGCTGGGGAGCCAGTGGCCTGGGAAGGCCCAGCGGAGTTCGACGGAGCGGATTCGCGTCCAGTGCGAGTTTGGGATTGTAGGGAGCAGATACGGGAGGGTCCAGGTGTTGCTGAATTCGAAGGTGTTGTGGGTGTAAAGGAGGTGGATGGATTCCGTATATCTGTTTTTGTCAGGGTTCTAGCAGGGTCCTATTTTTGTGGCTGATAGTACAGGAACTCACATTTGTCTGCACGTCATCGGCAGAGCCAATAATTTCGAACCGTTCCCTTTACCTCCATTGCGATTTCTGTCTTTGTTATTTATGTTCTTATCCGTCCACATCAAAGTCAACGACACGCCTCGACCTCCGTCTTTTACCGGCTGCGGCAATCCGTCCTGGCAGATTTCACACGACGGCGCACCGGGGCAGACAATGTGGCCCAACCGTCTACCAGGCCGCTGTATGATATGGAGACGCGACCAGGCCAGAACCATTTCCCAGATCATCAAACGGAGTTCGGGGGAGAGCTTGGAGAGGAGGTGCGATTTTTGCGACTGGGGTTCACATTCCGTAGGTGTGCTTGCGTCTATAAGTGCATCTGTATCTGAATCTGAATCTGAATCTACATGTGGATGTGCATCTGTATCTGCTTGCTTCTGCTGAGCTCGTATAACCTTCATGGCCAATGGTGCCGGCTTGTTATCTTGTATGTTTGACACAGGTTAGTGTCGATTGCGCGAAGTATAGAAATACACACTCACTCTGATAACGCTGAGCAAGCACATCCTCCCAAGAAAACACGCCTTGTTTAATCCTCGCCATAGTGGAAACCGATGCGATAAATGATGAAATGATGCCAGTCGAGTAACACGGTCTATATAGACAAGGACAAAAACCAAACCACCAAATCAAAAATCAAAAGCCAAAACCCGACAAACTAGAACAATCAACACAAGGCATGATTCAGAGTAGAAATAGGTATATAGAGAGAGAAGAGAGAGAGAGAGAGTCTGGGTGAGTAATGCTGTTCCTAATCGTTCATTGTAGTAGGTTAGGTACCTAACAACACGCCACAGGTCGAATCAAATGACAGAGGCGCAGTTGATGTGATTCCCAGTCGTGATGCACCATGACGGCAGAGGGAAAAAAGCTGAGGAGGAAATAGAGAGGGGCAGCAGAAATAAGAGGGAAACGAGGGAAGTCGAGACGGTGAGGCCGGTCAATAATAATTGACGACAAGAACAGATGATCGTCGATCGAGGTCTTCCGAGCATCGGATGCGTTGGGCTACGACACCGCCGATATTAGCCGGCAGTCCCAAAGCTGCTGAATATAGCATCTTGCGCCAGATCAACATTTGCTCTTTTTCTTCTTCCTTTCTTTCCGGCCACGGTGCAGAAAAAGGCGCATTCTCGCAAGAAAACCCTATATTTAGGACCACGCGACTCAGTGCTTTCAATTTCCAGCATACACCGTGCAATGCCTCCAACAGACTCTTTCTCTGCATCTGACCTCGCCCGGAAAACAGGTGATCATCTCCTTCACCAGGATCCCTTGCTCCACTGCTAACGGCCAGGTAACTACGTCACTGCTTCCCTAGGATACCTAAAGTATCCAAGTTGCGGTGTAGTGCGGCCTGGACCTTATCAGAGCAAATTTTTCTCTGTATATGCTGAGAACAGCTCGAATCCAGGACGGGAATCTAAGTGCGCTTATCTATCCATGATAAGTGCAGCTGAAAAAGCATAGGGCGATAAAGTAGTGCAGGCACTAAAGGAATGTAGATCATGGATAGCAAGCATCTCTACGGATTCCGGAGCAAAACCCCTATAATAGCGACGATCATACGTATCGGAAATATTCTGGTTGAGCAGCACAAGAGCTTAGATTGTTCTAAAGATAATATAATTGCCATCATGAAAATATGAATGGTTGCTTCGTGGCAGTTGAATTGTAATTGAACCATCAATGACGCCATAATGTCCGATATAAACCGAGAGAAGAGTTTGAGAACAATGCAACAGGAATAGAAGTGCTCATGTCGGCTCACAGATGCACTACAACACCGCAAATGCAGAGACATAGCTTACAGAGCTGTCGGTCACATCGAACACGTCTGAGCTGCGCTCATACCTGATAAAATGGAACCTACCCTTGTTCCCTTCCTTGTTTTGAATGTGTTCCAACCCCGCCATAATAACTCCGATAGGGTGACGTCCACAGACCGTATTCCCCGTTCTCTGGATGGTTTCAAGAAAGGTCTCAGTGCTGCCGGTGGTTATAGCTGCCATGCTCGCAATATCAAATGAAGAGATGCTTTCGTGAATGGCTGGCTGATCTCTAGAAATACGGTCGCGCCGCTGCAAGGATCGACCGGCAGACACCAGCTCAATGTGTTGCTCTACCTCATCCAAGTTGTCTCCAGGCTGTGGGAGAGCGTCGTTAGAAATAGGCAGCGTGGGTCCAGGTTTGGGCGCCTGGGGTACATAGTACGTATAGTGAAATCGTAGACCCCAATGGCAAAAGTCAGAACTTATAACGAAGGCATTTGATGGATCAGCAAGGTAAGGAGCAAGTAGGGCCCCAAACGCGCTTTCGGTAGTTACAGATGTACTTCCAACCATAATAGGGACCAGAGGCGGATACTGCGATGTCGGCGTGTTCGGGTGTTGGAGCTGCAAGAGGCGGTGTATGTAAGGCAGGTGCATCTCAATACTGTGTTCATCTTCGTCAATGGCGCGAGTCATCGTTGCAAATCCAATGGAAGAGCCATTAGGTCTGACAGCCTTCGAAGAGGAGAGTTTGGAAATCAGTTCTAGGTCAAGCGGGAGTGGGTCATCGGAGAGCGGTGTATAATAAGAGGTAAGGGAAGGCAAGGCGAGGGTTGAGAGAGGATAATGATGCGAAGGTCCAAGGATAAAGATTCGTTTACTAGGCATGTATTAGACAGAATAGACGGTAGGAGTAAAGCAGGTATCACTTACGCCTTAGATAAGTCTAAAGCCTTGTAGGCATAGGCCGCACATGGCCCTGAGTACGCATAACCCGCATGTCTACGAAGTTAGTCCAGAAGCTGTGAGAATTGTTATAATTTTTTCTTCCTTTTTCACACATACGGAGCAATTATAATTCGTGCACCAGGAAAAGGAAGGGGCCCTATGCCCTCTAAGTCGTTAGGGACCTGAGCAAGCCATTGGTCGAGTTGGCGAGTGAGGGCCTGTCGACCGTCGGAATACCACGACCCAGCGTGGGAAGCTTCCCTGGAAGGCATTATTAACGATTTCTTAGGCGTGGTGATGTGTCTCTTTATGAAAGAGGGAATCTTGGGCATTGAGAAGTTGGAGGGAGAACTGGACGAGTTGAAGGGAGAGGGGATAAGTCGTCATAGTGGAGTACCCCGCGTCCAACACGGCATGCCGAAAGCACGGACCATACCGCGGCATACCGACATGTGGAATCAATATCAATGCTATGAGAACTGAACTGCTGGTTTTGTAGTGATCAGAGTTATCAAATAAATACAAAAGCGTGTTTACGTTGAATCTCGGCATAAATGTGCAGCCATAGAAAGTGCTCTGCTCTGCTGTGTTGTCCGTTAGTTAGCCACTGACCCGTTTCCTGATTAGTCCAGATCTGTATTAGCGCGGTTTCCTGTTACGCGCGACGCGGTTCATCGTGTAAATTATCGAATGTTGCCGTTGCGCCTCTCCACTTTGCTTTCTTCGTTATAGCCATTCTCAGGTATATGGTCATTACAACTACCTCGATAGAAATCTTCTGGTTCAAGTGTCCCTGTCCTCCCTTACAGTATCCTCTATATCCCTGTAATTCTTAACCGGACCATGACCCTCAAGCGCAAAGCTTCATTTTCACTTATTGCGTCTCCCAATGCGGCTGGCACTGTTCCCGGAGAGTTCACTTCCATTGATGAAACGCCCAAGTATCTCAATAGTCGAACACGAAAACGCTTCAGGGATAACCGTCCGGATGATGAGATTGTTTACCGTAAGTGTCTGGCTCAGTCACCACAATTGTGTTTTCCTTACCCTCGAACCGATCCCCAGCTGACAGGTGTAGAAAATACTCTCCGCTGGCTCTTTTCTGCGCAACAGCAACCGCATCCAGACCCTCCCGCGGACGAAGATACCAGCACAGAACCGCTCCCGTTACCTGAGACCATCGATCCGCGCCAACAGACTCTACACAGATTCTTTCAGCCTGCTCAACCATCCTCATTTCGGTCGAGGGCTATAGAAACATCGGCAATGAAAAATAGTGACCGAATTTCTGTTGAAAACTCTATTCTATCTCGTCATGTCTTAGACATGGACTCGGCGGGTAGTTCTGTCACAAGCGACACAAATAGTTCAAATGTCCGGGTGCGGGATGGCGATATCGACTCGGAGATGGGTGTTGCAAACGGTTGATCGGATTCTGTGCCATGGACTCTACAAGTCCGAATGCCCAGCCGTTGTGCCCCAATCTGCATGGCTGGACTTCATCTCTTATAGTTCATGGAGAACATGCATATGGAACTTTCTGGTTTTGAAAATACTGATTTTATACCTGTTATCTGTTATATAAGTGGAATGGTTTTGACCGCTTGGTCCTTTGGTTGGCGTTGTTTGGATATGACATCCCTGATGATTGGATGGGCTCTCTGTCAGCTTTACGATTTTTCGTTCATTTTTATATGTAGTATCCTATCTGTATAGAATTTAGATTGGTAGTGCTCACTGTATCTGGTTGAACTGGTTGTGTTGGGTGTTTGATGGCCTGAGGTGTCCACGCCAGGTCCAAATTTGTCTGGACTTCCCCTTCCGTCACGAACGGAGTAGTCTTGGTCTTGTCAACCGCACGAGCTAGTCCATTAATACCTTCAATATTTACCTTTTCTATCCATTTAGTCATATTAGAGGAGAGAGAACTGGCATACTGTTTGCATCCTGCCTCAGGGGGAATCGCAATCTACCATTGACTGAGGCCACAGGAAATCAAGATGGATGAAAGTCGAGCTGTCCGGTTCCTGGAATCACTACTGGGAAAGTCACTTCGTGTGCATACAACAGATACCCGCATGTTCTCCGGTATCTTCAGGTGTACAGATGCGGTACGTAATATCTCTTCATCCACGCATCCATGGAGACAATAGTGATGATGCTTTTCCCGCTCTTCTCTTCCCTCCTGAAATACATGTAAATGGGCGTTTTAAAGTAGCTGATTGATTTGAACCCTTTATTCAGGATCAAAATATTATCCTCTCCAGCACCTTCGAATACCGGTTTCCTCCCCCAGAAGCTGTCCAAAAGGCGGCACAAAACGCAGATAAAACTGCGGCAACCGAAAACCCGGAAACCGTTAAATTAAACATGACCAGTCGACTTATAGGTCTTGTTGTTATTCCCGGACAACATATCACGCGGATCGAACTGGAAGAAATACCTGAGCAGGCGCGTGCCTGCGAACTGTTTATGAGATAATGAGGATTGGGACACGTTCATTGCAATACTGAAGAATTCAGTCCAGTTTGCCCGACCACGATCGGCCGCTTACCGGCTTACCTCTTTGTCGAACGGAAGTCTTTTTTTTTTGCACCAATGTTCGACATGTTTCTGGAATGGATGGTCGATTAACAGAAGGGAAGGATGGATTCCTCGGTGTTCTCTTTCTTCCTAGCAGATGATGAGATTTACCTCGCTAGGAACTTACAGAGGGTCTAATACAAGGTTCTACGGGAGATAGTAACTATCGCATGATCACAGAATATGATGGTCTGGGGCCTATTATGGATATGGAATTGGCTGAACAAGGATCCAAGAAAGAAGCCCATTCCGTCGACTCTTAATTGAAATATTGGAAAGGCGAAAGTCACATGGTATATGATACCTAACTCCAGCCTAGCGACTTCGTTTGTCTAAAACCATTATCAGAAGTCGGACAGGTTTGATATGTGTGGGGGGAAGAAAGAGAAGATCCTCTGTTCAAAGATATCTCTGACTAGCGGAGGGAAATGAATTGTTATGTTATTTCAAAGAGGCCCAGGACAAAGCATGAATCATGGAATATGGAGTGATCTGTGGATTATAGGCTAATATTGTTCTACAGCCTGAATCTGATAATTCTACCAAGAGTATCTTCACTAAAGTGTAAAGTAATCAGAAAACGTATACCCTTTTGTTATTGTGCATAGCAACATTATATAGCCCCTTGAAGTAGAGTGATTCATACATTTCATCCTCAAATTCAATATATCCCTATGCATTGCAACATTGGCATATAGTTTCCATGTATCATTCCTTCCCTCCACAGGGTAATTTTTCTTGCAGAACACTGAACCGACACCCATTGTCGTTCTTACAGTATGAGTCATTTAATAACCTTTCCTTCTCCTATCCATGTTACTAGATACCTCTCATGCCCATGAGTAACATTCAATGGCCATCATGATGAGTATGATCATGATGGTGATGGTGGCGGAGGTGGTGATGATGCTCTTTGACGCCAGCTGCCACTTGTCTCGTCATCTGGCTCTTGGTTGAGACAAGGAATAAAGAGAGCCCCAAGCTGACAACGGTAAAAGAAATCAATGAATATCAGACATAGCGGAAGGCATATGAATAGCCATGCTCCATCCTGACATAGCCTGTCTCAGAATCTGAGGTGTAAGATTAGGAATCTGCTACAGGGCTGCCTGATTACCCTCAAGGAGAGCTTCTATCAGCACCGGAAGTGATTCCGGGGCAGCGCCAGCCGCAAGGGCTCTTTTGGCAATCTCCTTGGGAACAAAATTCTTAACCTTAAGAGGAGAAAACCTGGGAGAAAATAACAGTGCCGATACTTCCGCCCAGGGCGCGTGTAGAACTCACCACACTAACTGCATGGGCGATTAGATAGTTCGGGGTGCACACGCTGACTACGACGATTAGCAGTGCGGTCTGGATGCCGATTGTCATCCCCAGTATGCCGGAGAGGAAGAACCATGCTGCGTAGTTGATAGTGGGCTCATCACGATCATCAGGCAGTTTCCAATGATAAGCAGGCGTATGAAAATACCACGATCCCTTTCGCCTCCTTGGTTATTGCCATCCAGATTCCCCCGATGATTGCACCTTTCTGATGGTGAGTCCGTTGAAAGGGAGTTTGTAAACCCCGCTCATGATGGCGTCGGACGTAAAGAGGAGGATTCCGAGCCAGTCAATGCGAACAAAACGAGCCCATAATGACAAGCCATCCGGAGTTGGTCGTGCAGCAGGATGATAAAAGACAAGGAGGGCCAAAAAGCTGATGAAGTAAAATCCTGCCCCCAGGTAGTAGTTCGCTCGCCAACCGTCATTCACTCTGCCCACGTTGTGTTTGATGAAAGCTCCAGAAACAACTGGGCCGACCATGTAAGCGATGCCGGCAGTGATATCCATAGCGGACTGGACAGCAGGGCGTTGGTACTTGGGAACAATTTCCGCCGATGGAGAATCGCTAAATATCCCAAGATGAGGCCGATGCTATTGAGGACCTGACCACCGATCACCATGCCCATACTCAAGGCCCGTCCAGCAATGAGCGATCCAGCTAGCCCTATAGGCATGCCGGTGGGCAACGGCAACTTGAGGCTGAATTGATCAGATAGATCCCGGGTGAACCCCTGCAACACACAGTTGCCAACTGTCACTGACGCCGCAATCCAGATTGAGATGTTCGCATCTTCAGGAAACGATGTGGTGATATGCCTGATGACACTGCTAGGCGTTCCAAGAATCCACGTGGAAGTGAAGGAGCAACACATCAAGGCTCCCAAATTGCTCGTGAGAGCAAAATTCCAACTAAAATGAGATCCATCGCCGGCAGCTTCAAGCTCACCGGATGTGGCATAAAACTCTTCTTTTCCATTTTCAGGTTTTTCAATGTGTGCCATGTCACCATATTCTTCCTGTTTTTCTGTGTTTGTGGATGCATTTGGTATAGTAGATGGAGGTGTCGATATCACAATGTCTGTTCGTCTTCACGTCAACCGAAGGGAGCAGCAGAGTCTCTGCTGTGAGTTGGAAAAAGGAAATATAAAACAATAAACATCCGCAATAAGTGAATCATTCCGAGAGAAAGAAACTGTACACCTATAAATATGTAGGAGGGGCTCATTGCCGACCGGCTCAGCTTGCTTGTCCTAGGTATGTCTGAACTTAAATCCAGCAAGTCCAAGGACAATCCTCTTTTTGGATAGACCCCGCATCTTCACGCACTGTTATGGCAAAAGCATAATAAATAATTCAGCTGTCTAGATGTCCCCGATCACATTGGACGATTCAGGGCATCATAGAACAGTCTAGTTCATTCCGGCCGAAAGGATCTAGCATTCTTGAGTGGAGCTGCAATCAGCCAAGGCCAGAGGGTTCTTCAGAAGAAAATTAATACGAGGATGCTAGATGCTGCATAGAAGTCGAGTTCTTGGTAGGTGGATCATTCAGGACAGAGTTTCAGAGGACGACTCGTTGTCACCATGTAGTTTGAAGGTCCGGACCAATGACAGAGATAAGTTCTCCCTCGCCCCAGCCGGGGAAATAGTGTGATGCACAATGAGTTTTCGGCTGATTTCCGCTAGAGGCGGAGCTCAGCAGGGAAGAAGATCAACGGGTCTTCAAGCCAATAAACTAGGGCTCTTCGGCACACAAAAACGTGGGAATTCTCCATGGGGTTTGTTCGGGCCAACCGCCGGAAGTAGCTTGCTAAGAAGAAATTCTCCGGAACTAATGAGACAGGTGTTGCTTTGACTTTGCATGTTTCTTCTTTGCTGCACGATGCACATCCCTCCTGTGATGAGCCCAACAAAAGCGTCCGCGTGGCTTTGGGACTGAATCAGCGCATGCTCGACTTTCTTCATAACGAGCTTCTGAAGTCAAGGAGGTCCATACGCTTTCACCATCCTGGTATGTCCGGAAGTATATAAGCCCTTGCCAGTACTTTCGTTGGCGGCAGCCACAACTCCGTAGTAGCCAAAACTCCGCGAAGAGGGAGTTCTCTGAAGGGGGAGGAAAAGACAGAGAAGGAGACGTCGTTCCTCTGGAGAGGCTTCAGCAGGATCTTTTTCTTCTGTCATGTGTCCTCAATTCATAGGTCATGCACTGAGGGGAGCAGTATTTCCTATATCAACTTCCTCGGTTTGTTTGTTTCTCTTGCTTCTCTGCTGCTAGCAGACAATGCCCATGAACCTCACTGCCAGTTGGACAGTGAAATCGCTGCATGAGTCTGCAAGTTATCATTTAGCCATTGTTCCGGAATTTGTGATAAGGCACCATAAATCCGGATTCCTGTAGGCCGGGCCATTGGAGCTAGGAGCGGTTCGGGGTCATCTTGTTAGATAGTGCGTTAGTAAATGACATAAGAACAAATGCCACCGCCCCTCCGGCAAGACGCCAGTTCTGCATTAAGACGGGAGATCCTCGACATATGTCTCGACACACTCCTCATGTTGAGCTGGTGATTGTAGCCAGGGTTGATTCTTGTGTTCAGACCTCAACCTCGGCTATAGGGCTGACATGAGCTAGTCCCGATCCGGCAATGTGCGTGGATTAGGTCACATGATATTACGGAACAACGAATATCCTATGATCGGGGATATCACGTGACTGTGCGGAATTGCGGTTCGAGACCGCCCGGGGAGTTCGCAGCGGCAAATGCTGGTTGTGGATGGCCCAAACCTCTCCGACAATTCGCGCATCCTTCGAGCTCGTTTCCTGTCTTCCTCTCGTCCTCACGGATCGCCGTCCTGTCTGTCGTGTAATTCTCCAGCTCGTCTTGCCCCATTCTCTGGCACTGTGGCTGTGTTGTCTGCGTAGGTTAGTTCACTCCCAGCTCCGATCATTATCATTGATCCTTCCCCGTTGATGACGCATTCCTTTTAGGTTCGTCTCTCTATTCACTCATCTTCCCTCCATAGCTCCGCCTGCTCCGCCTGTCGTTATCCTTACCAGCAACACTGACCTCCATTGCAGGCCCTTCTGCTGTGCTTCGCACCTGTCTCCTCTCTACTCGAGAATCGTATGTGTGCCCGTTTGCTAAGCTTCCGTTTGCCCTTCATAGCCTTCGCTTTCCCCGCTCCATTCGTTGGCCTGTATCCGGTGGCTCTAACTGCTCCCTCTTATCCCGGCCAGTGTTTCTGCAGACGAAGCCTCTGCTTTTCCCATCGTTTTGACCGCTATTGGCCCCTGACACCAAGAGTCCACGTCCGTTTGGTGTCTCCTTTGGGTACTTCGACCCCGTCTAAATTCGAACTTCCCTCCCTCCTCGGACCTTATCGACGAACCTCATTTCGCGGGGTGATCGGAACAGTACTTTACGTAAAGAACACGAATTTTTTGCTCTCAATTACCATCGTTGCTCCATCTAGATTCTGACTCTGGCATCGTAGCGATGGGTCAGTCACATTCAAAGGGGGGGGACTCCTTGCAGTCGTATCCTTCGTTCTCCCGCTCGGACACCAAGGAGTCCACCAAGTCTATCCGAGGTTCGATTCGATCCAAAATCAGGAGCAGTGATAGCCCCAGGTCATCCAATGCAGGACTTAGTCATGTTGAGAGTCAAACCGACAAGTCTGACGCGGCGTCAGTCAAGTCAAGTGCTAGCCGTGCTAGTTTTGCTCATGATGCTCAGTCCACTCGCCCTGAAGATGCCCAATCCCAGTCTCAGTCTCCCGATCCGCCTCCGTCCCCATCTCTATCAAGCAGTCTTAAAAAAGGCCATCAAGATGTCGATGCGAAGAAACAGAGTGGTGAAGTCGATCATGTTTCAGATAAGCCTCCTGAAGGCACAGTGCCTTCGCAAACACCTCAGAAACCTGGAGAGTCCATTCTTTTAAAGCGGGAAAATGAGATGAACCCCATTCTGGACTTCATCCTTAACACGCCTATGGAGACATCAGGGTCTCCTGGAATGGGCATGGGGGCGCTCAAGTCCATTGATCTGGATGACATGATCTCACGCCTGCTGGATGCTGGTTATTCGACTAAAGTCACAAAGACTGTGTGCTTGAAGAACGCTGAGATAACGGCAATTTGCTCTGCTGCGCGAGAGCTTTTTCTTTCCCAGCCTGCCTTGCTGGAGTTGTCGGCTCCAGTCAAGATTGTTGGAGATGTGCACGGACAGTACACAGACCTGATCAGATTGTTCGAGATGTGCGGTTTCCCGCCAGCATCTAATTATCTCTTCCTTGGCGACTATGTTGATCGTGGGAAGCAAAGTTTGGAGACAATTCTCTTGCTCCTTTGCTATAAGCTCAAGTATCCCGAGAACTTCTTTCTTTTGCGTGGCAACCATGAATGTGCCAACGTCACTCGAGTTTACGGCTTCTACGACGAGTGTAAGAGGCGTTGTAACATCAAGGTTTGGAAGACCTTCGTCGATACCTTCAACTGTCTTCCCATCGCTGCAACTGTTGCAGGAAAGATTTTCTGCGTGCATGGCGGACTTTCGCCTAGTTTAGCACATATGGATGATATTCGAGGCATCGCCCGTCCCACAGATGTGCCCGACTATGGCTTGCTTAATGATCTTCTCTGGAGTGATCCTGCAGACATGGAGGAAGACTGGGAGCCTAACGAACGTGGTGTGAGTTATTGCTTTGGTAAGAAGGTGATTATGGATTTCTTGCAGCGTCATGACTTCGACTTGGTTTGTCGAGCGCACATGGTCGTTGAGGACGGCTATGAGTTCTATCAGGACCGTATTCTAGTCACGGTCTTCTCTGCTCCGAACGTAAGCCTTTACCCTGCCTATCTTTCTTGATTTATTACTGGCTATCTTGCGGTGTCACTAACTGACCTTTTCTTCCAGTATTGTGGAGAGTTTGACAATTGGGGCGCCATCATGTCTGTTTCGGGAGAGTTACTTTGTAGCTTTGAGTTGTTGAAGCCTTTGGATTCAACCGCTCTGAAGAATCACATCAAAAAGGGCCGGAACAAGCGGAACAGTATGCTCAGCAGTCCTGTAAGTTTCCCTCACTTATCCTCGTTTCCGTATAAGTGAAACAAAGCCACTCTGTACTACTTGTATCGTGGACAATGGCGATATTTCTTCCATTCGCATGCTAACTTATAACAAACAGCCTGCAGCAGTATCAGCGCAAAGTTATTAGACACCCTCGTCCATTGCTCGCCAAAAAGTCAACGTTTAGATCTTATCATTATCCATATTGTCCGGGACTTTATTTTCCTGTCGGCATTTGGTTCCTTTGTTCATCTAATCGACAGTTCAGATTGCCGGGAACCCTTGCGGATAAGCTAGGGGACCTTCTGCGGCAAGCGACTTGGTCCTGCTTCGGCGCCGGATTCTCTACCTTACCATATGCGTCGATTGGACATTGACACTCCTTCTTTTACCTGTTTAACGACGCCCAAATCTCATCGTCAGACTGACCATATCATCGAGCGCCCCAGTTGAATTCTGCGGGAACGGAACGAGACCGTCTGGCTTGGACCGGGACCCTGCTCGGGCACGATGCCCGTGTTACAGGAATGCTTGGCTCACGCTCAAGGAGCGCATCTATGACTCCAAAGAGAGCGTCATGACAAATCTGAGCTAGATTGCATTCCGCTGGATAGGTTGCTCTCCCACAAGGATTCGACCTGGGCGGCACAGTATTGGTCAGGCTGCGGGCAAAGTACCCTTATGTCACACGAGAAAGACGGCCGTGAATAGATGACACCAGTCGCACAATAGAGTGTTCTTTCGGAGTACGGTGCAGACCTTTGAGGCGTCATAATATGCGAACGCGGGGCTTTGATTATTGTCAAAACGGATAATGGATTTCTTCTTTCCCTATTTCTTTCTCTTATTGCTCCTTTCCCAGTATTTTCGGTTTCATTTTCTGCATTTCATTCCTTGGTCTTTGTCCTTGTTGAGCTGTGTTTCATGGAACTGGTGGTTCTCTACAAGTGTCTAGATTTCTTCATCTTTTATTAAATCCTGTGACAGGTGGCTGGTGCTTAGAGTTTAGGGGTTGAGGTGGCCTCACTGATATAGATGAGTGATTGTCTTCGATGAACAACGATGTCGATTTAGGTACACTATGTATTCCTCCCGGTCTATAAAAGCTAATATCATGCGTTCAGAAAAAAAAAAAAAAAGAAAAAGAAAAAGAAAAAAAAAAAGAAACCCCGTAGATATTAGTAGAACCCTAAAGGACGTCTACCTCCCGCACCGCCGCCAACCGAGCACGAATCTCATCTTCTATTCCCTTGTGCTGTGACACGTTATCCTTGCTCAAATCCTCCGAAATGGGTCCTATGCTAATCATACCAAATTTAGGGTCCTGTTTTGTTTGTTTGTTTTTTATTTAATTCAGTTTCCGTAGGTCGACCGTCAAGAGAGATATTGAGCAGAAGCCAGAACGGTCTAATCTTGTACAACTTACATGCATAAAGTATATCCCTGTTAGAGTGGATCCAGGCTCGATCACGGTCTTCTTGGACTTCCGGCGTACGTAGGGGCCCGCAGGGAGTTGGAGGATGGGGATTGCGCTGGGTTGGAAGGTACAAGAGCGGCCGTGATTTGTTGTTACCTATATAAAAGGGTTCATTACTTTAGTTTTGCAGAAGTACAGGAGAAAGACTGTTATATCCAGGGAGAAGGCAGCGGGGCCAGGGAAGTATACAAACCTTCAAAGAAGTAATTGCCCCGTATTTCTGTCCACCGTGATGATGGGAAGCACCCAAAAAAATATCACCATCCCCCTGTAGCCCCGTAAGGATCTCACCTCCGGGCCCATCGACGGAGAAGGGGATCTTCACCGAGTCATCCGCGGAGGCAGTGGATCTGCAGGCCTGCAGGAATGGAAAGGGAGCATTGTCGTCGTAGAAGAAGTCGATCCCGACGATGGCTGCCATGGAGACCGTGACGGAGATACGGGTTAGATGTTTCAGTAAGGACCCATGACGGCCACCGAACATGACGTGGACCAGGGGTCGGTATTCGTATAGGGAGACGTCGCGGCCGGGGAAGGTGGAGGGGTATAGGTTCTGCGTCAGAGAGGGGATGGATGGGTACCAGAGGCCTGTCGTGCGGAGGGGGAGGTGAGGCGCGTCTCTTGTTGCTTCTGCTTCGAGCTGTGAGTCCGCTGGGAAGAGAGGGGAGATGGTTGCTTGGACTGATAGGCAGACTAGTTTGAAACCCTGGTAGGTGGTTTTTTGAAATTATCAATATTGTCCTCGGGACTCTGGTGTACGTCTGGGGAACTTATTTCCTTTCTGTAATATCAAAGAATGGTAAATATCACTGCTTACATCAACGGATACTTTCAAGGTATGAATGGGACTCTTCATGCATAGTCGAACGGTCTGAGGGAAATCATCCGGGGATCCGGCCCAGTCTGTTATGTGTCCTGCCCTAGTCACTGCACGGAGAGCCTTGATGCCTCTTGGGCCGGTTGCTATGATGAACCCGGTGAGTACGCCGTGCACATCGAGATAGACCTCCTTGGAAGGCTGGACGTATCCTGCTAGAAGGTCTTCGTCTTCTGCTTCGAACACGAATCGGAGGCCGCATATATACTGTTCACCGTTGAAGTTACAAAAGGAAACGCCCAAGAACTTTATAGGGTGCGATATGAAAATGATCCGGTCATATATAACCCTGCACGGTATCCCCGAGAGAGGCAGGGCTGGATTCCTCATAGCAGAGTCACCGCAAACCGGCCTCCAGGCGGTCTTCGCCTCAAGGAATTCCTCTTCCTGGGAAGTTGATGCTAGTAGATTTCTCATGAGCCCTGGACTAGTCAATGGTTTCTCGAGTAGGAGCTCTACGAGACCCCTTAGACAATGCCAGATGCGTTTCCTGTTTCTCAATTCATCTGACGATATTTCCTTTGATTTTGTTCTCTCGTAGAGCATTTTCCAATCCCTACCGCGCCGTTCAGAGACAGGACTCTTAAGTGGATGTATGGCTTCAAAGCAATACCCCCGGTCCTGGTGAAAGTTAAATCTCGATGCCCAGAACGACTGGCCTAGTTTGAGTGACGCAAATGATCTGGAGGCCAGTCTGACGCTGGTCACACTGCGAGACGGTAATAGCATCTGTATATATTCCAGAATCTCCCAGGGTAATTTTCGAAAACAGTCCGGCTCTGCTCCCGGAAAATCAGGGGAGATGTAGCGCTCATCGCTAACACTTGTCTCGAAGCTCTGCCTTCCCTTCACATCTGCAAGGGCCTGCTCTATCTCCGGAATATCCAACGGATGGGATCTGGAGAAGACCAAGGGAGAATTCTCCTCGCCCAAATGCCTTTTCACAAAAGCAACTATGTTAACGTCCTCCCATGGATATCCCGCAGAAGGAAATCTCTCCATCAAGCCGTCGTAATCATGGCCCCAGTCGAGCCACCCCTTGTGGCTCGCGGGAAAGGAAAGACAGATATCGTAGAATCTCTCAATGGGGACCGGATGAGGATATAGCATCCCCTGCAATAATTGCCAGCATACTTCATGGAACAAGAATCCAGGCTGGCAGAACTCTCTGCACCCTATCAACGCGGGGAATCTATCGTTATCCGACAGCACGACGCCCTCGCCATCCCAGCGCGCGTCTGGGTCGGACGGGGCGGCACAGTCTTGCAGAGTGGGTGGCACAAAGCCACCGATCCCCGTTAGGAATGGCTTACCATCTATTGTAGAGTTTTGGTCACACCTGACTAGCTGAGGGTCAGAGAGGGTACCTAGAAACAAGGGGCAGAACAAGACTGACTTGCACGGAAATCTCGCCGCCACGAATCGTCGCGCGAGCGGAAGGCAACTTTGGTACCGCAGATGCTGCAGTACACGCTTGACAGTCCCATGGTCGGCGAGTTAGCTCAAGGCTGTTTGTTCTAAGGGAGTATCTGGTGCAAATGGCAGAGAACCAGCACGCTGTAAATCGTAGCTATCCGGAATCATGGAAGTCGGATCTATTAAGCTCCGCCAAGGGAGGGAGGGTTCAGAACCATCCGTGGCAGATTCATCCAAGATTAAATAACAGCAGTATCGCGGTAAATAAGCTGATGCCTAGCAGCGAACACGAAGATCGACGCGCGTCTGGCGATCGATACGTGGCGGGTGAAGTCACCTGGCTTGCCTATATCGTATATACATCCAGGAAGCAAAGAAAACTTTTCTCGTCCATGCAATAATACTATCTTTAAATAATCCAAAATAAATATAGATGAGAAGGAAAGCATCCGTGCAAAACGCCTATGCGTATGAAACAATGCTCCATTGTCTTGAAATGTACAGGCAACAATCGCAAAAGCAAGGTCGTCGCCTCCACTCCTTCACTCATAGTCTCGCACATATCGACCCGGTAACTCAACATCCCACATAGGCCTCTCGACGACAGCAACCTCAAGCTGGCTGTCATTGGCAGCACTTGCTGCATCCATGTCTGCCGCAGCGTCGCCATCCACTGAGACCGTGCTCAAAGGCACAATTCCCAGGATATCACGGTATTTGTACGTGTGCCACCATCGGCGTGCAGGCTGAGAAGAAGATACAGAAGCTGCAAGGTCGGCAAGCTGTTGTTGTTGCTGTTGGGAGGGTGTGTCAGCGTGAAAGAGACTGGCGTCAGGGAGGGCTTTTCGGGGTGTAGCATTGCTCTCCTCGATCCCATTGGCATTATAGTCACGTCTGAATCGTGCCAGTGCCTTCTCGTTGGTAGTCGCAAACACTTCGTCATATTCGTATACCTCTTCATCTTCGTCCGCATCTCCTTTTCGATTCTCCTTCTCAAGTGAGATCCATTCGCCCTGAGAGTCGTCATTGCCGACCACTTTGCGGATCTTAGACCCAAGAGAGACATCAGTTTGCGACAAGGGGATCTTATCACCGGCACCGCTATTTGGCTTCTTTCTTTCGTACTCTTCTTCCTCCAAGACATCGTCACGTTTCCTCTTTTGCGACGATGCCTTGATGAGTTGTCCTCGTCGCTCCTGGTTACTGGCAGAGGCCTCAACTTCTTCAGGTGAGGGGAAATCCTGATTCAAGTCGAACATCCACATCCACGAGGTGCCATAGAGCCAGAGACGTTTGCGGCCTCCGGAAAGGTCCCATACGCAGCCCATTGCTCGATCTTTAACGCCCCGGAATTCTGCAGGGAGACAGGCCTTTGGATTCCTCCTCGACCAGTCTGATAGCTTTCCGCTATGCGCCTCAAATTCGACCAGCTGATGTTCACTTGTAAGCACCATAAGATGATCCTCTCCTGTTGGAAGACCATTAGTGGTACCATCGGTGCCATTCGCCAAAAGTTTCGTGTCGGATTTACTCTGAGGACGGAAGGACAACAACACTACCCCCGACTTCAGACGTGGTATGGGCGTATCAGGGCCGGCGAGACACCAACGCTCACCCTCAATTACAGAATTTTCGTCTTCATCATCATCGTCCGACAATTCATCATCGGTGACACCGTTAGTCTTGGCAGGTGCCTCCACGCCTGCCACTTTCTCCAACACCCAAGTATCCACACAACCAGACAGATCACCAGATGCGAGTACTCTACTGTCTTTGGAAAACACAGCACACCGTATTGTCCTCTCGTAGTTGCCTAAGGTCCCATGCGAAGGCTTTTCATGCCGACTATGTCTTTGAGCCCTGTTGGCCTTAGTCAGTTGAGCCAGAAGGTGAGGCCTTTCCTGTGGACTGGAAGCTCCCTCGATTCTAGCCAGGTAGATATCGCTATTAGGACGAACGACGCAGAGCCACCGGCTATCGGGAGAGATGGTGACGATTCGGGCGCCATCTTCGGAGAGTGCGGAAGGAACATCCAATTTCTGTATGCGCAAGGTCCCTTTTTCATCGCCCTTTCGTCGTCGGACAGAGAAAACTTTGATGCTGGATATCGTTGCAACAGCTAAGATTTTCCCGTCTTGTGAGAGCATAGCCGATGTGATATTTTCTTCACCCTGTTCCAAAGGAAGCATGTCAGGAATCCGACCTTTGTCTATACGTTAAGAGACCGTGTTATGCTTACCTGGATCAAGACCTTTCCTACAAGTCGATGTCTTCGACCTTCAGTATTCTCGTACAGAGACGTAGGACCACGGAGCACGCGCCAGATGCTGATTTCTCTATCCCAGAAACTCATCACCAACCGAGACGAAGGTGAGGAGGCGAGTTGTGGTATTTGCGGCAGACTCGACAGCTTTCTGTGATGTTCCTTTCCGAATTCGCGTAATGGCAGGACAACGGGTGTGGCATCAGGACCTGGAGTCAAATCGAAGTTAGGCTTGCTTAATTTTGCGCGTGGATAGGATCAACTGGCAAAATACTACGAACGTACCTCCAGAGACGGCAATGCTAATCTCTCTTGTCTCGTACACAGCAAAAGTCTTGACATCGTGAGTATGGTACCGCCTATGCATCACTTCTGTCCATCTTGCTTTCTTGTCTCCCGCCTCGCCTGGCTTCTTTCTGTAGACGACAGTCCTTTGATCTGCACCACCGCTTATCACGGTTTCCCCATTGGCACTCACGGCGACATCAAGCACATCTGCCAAATGACCCTGCACCCGTTGAATAAGCGAATAGTTCTTCGCGTCCCAGAATCGAATTTCACCAGCAGAGTCGCCAGAGACAATAGTACCGTCGGGAAGACACTTGACGGACCACGCCAGAATTTCCTGCGGACCACCCGATGGCCCCTTTCCAAGAGACACTGTTCTCAAAAGCTGACCGCTCCGAATATCGAACAACCGAATCGAGCTATCCGCATATCCAGCGACAATGGTATGACGATTCTGAAAGGCAACACTAAGCACTCTGGCTCTCTTCGTCGATGGCCGCATCAAACGTAGAAACTTCAAATCCTCATCTGCCGTAGAAAGAACCACAATCGATCCATCCGCACACCCAGCAACCAGGTGCTGTCCGGTAAACTCCCCTTCCGCAGGACCAAGCAGTTTCCCATCCTTACCCCGTTGTGTCGGCTGCCACCTGGGCTGCGCTGCTAAGCACCAAATCTCGCCGTAGTTCCCACTTGAGTGTCGCAGAGGACGGCCCTGTTCGAGATCCCATTCCGTCACCGCTGTCGAGTATCCAATGCTGAACAGACGTAGTCGACCAGGTAACTTCCCGCCGTCAGGCCCATCTTCGGGGGGATCAAGAGTCCATGCCAGCCCCTCAATACTTCGATCTTTTCCGCCGCGAAGCACTGTCTCTTGGAACCACGCGCCGCGCATAGGGTTCCATATCTCGATGTCCCCATTCGCACGACCAACCGCGAGTCGAAGTGTAGGGACGCCGCGTCCAGCTAGGTCCGCAGATGGAGGATGGGAAAATGCGAGCGCATTTATCGCTTGCGGATTGTACGGTATAAAACGACAACGATGAATGTCCATGATGGGTGTGGTTTGAATTGCAAATCGCGTCGTCGTGCGATGAGGATCAGGAAACCTGCAAGACTTGAAATTAATCTGAGATATACTGTTTTGACAACGACTTATTCCGGCTCACAGAATTTGGAGCCAATCGTTACCAAATCATTCCGCAAAGAAAATAAACAGTAAGAAAGTAGACTTGGGTTGTTGTTGTCGCTGGTGTGGTATGGAGCTTTTCTCTACTTTTTTTTCTTCTGATAAATTTTAGTGCTCCGATTATCTTTCGTCACGTGATATAGAATCCGCGCATCCACTCTTTCCCATTAGAGAGCACATTCTAGAGTATGAACTGTGAAGGGACTATATTTTAAATGTGCTAAATGTACAGTCTGCTTGCATCACATATTGACTCTAAAGGGGTAGAGACCAAAATGGCAGAGTGTTTCCACGATATAAGAACAAAAAGAAACCAAACTGTCTTCCGCTACATCTTCCCATACAGACTATGGATATCAATTTTTATCAAATATCTTTCGGTGTTGATGATTATTGATTGAGAAAATAGGGTCGTAGAAGTTTGTATGAAGGGCATCTTCTATCCACGTCAGCATATAATGAAACACCTGGAAAAACATGTAAAAGACAGGTCCAGCAAGCCACAGCACCCGGCGTAGACATCGTGCTCTACAATTAATACTTCCTGGATCCAAAATAACAATTCAAGACCCCACTACTCCGTACTGCTGCAGCATATCACATCCAAATCTCCTAAGTGCCGCATTGAGAATAGCATCAACCGGATACCCACATGCATATATTGGTCATGAGATGATCTCAGTTGCGTTGCCAGACAGCAGCGTAGCATCTGCTTCTCAAGCAGGAAGGCATATCCCTCATCATGTAAGTGATCATGTCCCGGGAATTGCCAGATTATCCAAACCGGTGAAGATGATCGAGAGCAGTCGCAGCCGTACCCAGGTGGCGAAACAACAATCTTCATGATTTGATCCAATATGCATCTCACCAGCGCACAGCCCCTTTCGCTGAATAACCCGCACTGTGCATACCGCGCATCCATGAAAGTCCAGCATATTAGAATTTCATATCGAAGAGGAAGGTTGCTGCGTGCTGGTCTTATAAGCGTTATTGTCCAATCGATATCGGGGATCCAAAGCAGACCGTCTAGCGGAGGTGGTCCGGAATATGAAGAGCATGTAGCGTCCTATGAATGCAGCATCGGGCGTCGCGGAATCTGCATCACAATTCTTGGACTCTAAGCCTTCCGCGTATCTGAGTGCTGCCACGTCAGATCGACCCTGGTTTGGTGCGATTGGCCTAAATGACTCGCAGTTTTTAGTGTACGTCTTTGACGTCGTGATTCAAGGAGACTGATAGGACATGGTTGTTTTGGAGTCCTTGTGGAGGAAAGGTCGAGCTGAAATGGGAACTTCCATTGACCCCATTGAGAGGAAGGAGGGGAAATAAGTGTCACTCTAGTCTAGCATTATTGTTAGTGATATATTATTAATTAACGCAAAGGGCTGCTCGTAATAGACTGAGTCTGTGCTGCTCAGTCGGGCATGAAGAAGTCTCCTTCTCCGAGCGGGATGTCCATTGGAGACGGCGTTATCGGAGCCAGCGCTCTGACGCTGGGCAGATAGCGATTCGCATATTGAGATGCATAACCGAATGATAGGTGCTCTGCACTGGATACTGGACATAAAAATAGTAATCATCTTCAGTAATTTCCCGAGGTCATCCCATGTATTTTCAAAAAGGCAAAATGGAAACATGGCTGGAACAATTCGCGTGTGGAGTTGTGAGCGCCTAGCCAAATGCTAAAAATGATATCTTGAAGAGCGCCACAACTCACCAATGGCAATATCCACGAGGTTTCAATCGCAAGTAATACTTGAAGTTGAGCTACTGGTAGGGACAGCACAGTTATATATGTGCAACACCTATCGATGTGAAACTCCGGATGTTCGGGCATCCGAGGGACGGTGCCTATGAGCATGTATCCGACTGGCACAGCAGCGTATTACGGCCGGAGTAATGTCTGCAAAAGGGCAGCCTGCCTTGAAAAGATGTTTATACTTTCGTCATTGTTTTTATTGCTCCCCGCAGAAGCCTCATGTTGATAGATAGATCAGCAAATAAAGTGGCTGAGTCTGTATAACTTCGCCAATGGGTCAAGCCTTCCGCCCCAGTGGCGTCTATATCATCATTATCGAGATCTACACTCCAGTGCTGAGGAGAATGAATGGATCTGGGTTTCTGATCCGTATAGCACATTTTAAGGGGGCAGTGCCATTTACAGGTCCAGAGCCCAGGTGTGAAGAAGCCCTCAACGACGTATCCTTTAGCACAGCACATGGTAAGCCACGGAAAGTGCCAGGCTACTGTTAGCGTGTGTGTTGATATGATGATACCTTGGAAACCTCAACTTCCGTTGCAGTTGTATTAGCTCATTAGAGAGCAGTCTGCGCTTAGGGGAACTTGCTCAAGTCTCCAGAGGCTGTATCAAATTCAATGTGCGAACTCCGCATAAGTGAATGAATAAATGGCAACTTTCCGGGCGTGACATTGTCGTCGACATCATAGTACGCGACAGATCGGCAAAAAGTAATAAGCGCGATATAGCTAGTTCACGCGATGCTCGAATCACTGCGCGTCGAGGATCCTTCGCCAAGCACTGAATGGGCGCCTATATTAGCCCCTTGCCCCTTTTGGAACGCTGCTAACAATGGAAGTGTGAATGGTCATCGAAAGCGCATCAATAGCATCATATGCAGTGTCAATCACGCGGAGGAACGAGGGAGGATAATTAAAGAAAGACGGATGAATGGGGATGGCCTCAAAAGAGAGGCCCGAGGATCTGCGACCTCTGCCAGAAGTAATTAATAGTAATTACTGAGCAAGAAAGAGCAATGCTACCTGAGGATCAGTGCACAGCGTAAGCATGGGACGCGACACCCCGTACCTGTACTCGACAGCGAGATTCAAACATAGGTACTCCGTTCTAGGAACATGGTTTTTGACAGCTGTATCTAACCATAGTTAGCACTCCGTGTTCTCCTTAGTTAGAAGGGAGGTACCAAGTACTGCGCTGTGAGACAAAACAACCTCTTTGTTCCTTTGTAAATTAGGTACCTAGTCTTCTGGCGGTAATTCTGTAAGTATGGTGTATTGGAAAGGTTGGGGGTTGAGCCCTCAAGATTATGCAGCATGCTTTGAGGAAGCCTTGCCTTACATCCTGCTTAAACTGAGTCCACAAGCCAGTACTAAGTATAACCTGTTTATACAGTGGATAGCTCAGATATTTTCGATGCTGGATATGAATACGTTCTGGGGCTGGTTTCTGTAATTGTATGTTAAGTATGTATGTACGTATTAAAAACACGGAGTAGAATGATTCAGTAACAATACTCCTGAAAGGAAGGAACCGTGGTCCAAAATATCCCAATGCCCTGAAAGGGATACTTTTCCTAAACGGGCCATGCTATTCTTTCGCACTGTATTAGCTGCATTCTTTCCACTGGCCAACTAACTGCCTTACCCAATATTCGGTGTACATACACCTACTCTGAACTTTGAAGGATTTACGGAGCACAAGCAATTGTAATTTGCCGGAACCCCTTTCCTACTACTCTCGGCTTGACTTATCCTCAATTTCAGTATTTCCCTTCTCCCAAATGATGATAGCGTACAGGCTGTAACTTCTTCCTGCTGTAGTACTCGGTACTGAAAAGTACTCCGTCTTCTGTTCGGTATCTTCGAGGAAAAATGCGGCTTCTCGAACGTTCAACGGCCCGAACTAAGTGGCGCCCTTGTGGCTCTGGAGAGGATACTATGACAACATTGTTTCTGGTGAATTCGGTACGGGAGAGACAGAAAATTTCTGCAGTCGCGGGCCATCTAGTATCTACGAATCATTTGCAATATGTTTACTGTCGAAGCCATGCTGGCATTTGTCCACTACCTCGAAGTCATGTGCCGTCTTAAAGAAGAGAGAGGAAAAAAAAAGTGGAACCATCCTTGATGAGGATATGTACACCGCTCCGTAACGACAATGTGGATATGTGGTTAGACAGGCCGAGATGAAGTCACAGGGAAAGAAAACAGGTCAGAAAGGATCTAGTAGAATCTAAAGTAAGCTATTCGTCTGACTTGTCATTTGATGGCATGCATAGTAGATACATAGACTTTATATATCTAAATCATCATGTATGCCTCTATTGATTCTTTAGACCAACCAGAGCAGTCCATTTGAAATATACACATCTCATCTAATAATAACGAATGGCCTTCCAATCTCTGCAGAGAGCCTCGAGTCGAAATGAATGATTTGACGCGTATGTCACGTTCAGATGGTCTATTTATTACCTATTATTGGATCCTTCCAGAAGACCTATGGAAAACAAGGACTCCGTACAATACCCGCTGCTTCCGCTACCTGTACTTCGCATGAGACGATCGACTGCCTCCACGGCGTCTGTCCGTCATTTCTTTCAGGCTGGAAGATCGAGTAAGATTGAGTAATGGTAATCGACGACTAAGCAAATTAGCTTGCGGGGCGGAAGGAGTAAGAGGCAAAAAAATTTTTGAATAACGGGCGCACGGAGTATCATTGTTGCTGTATCGGTCCTTGCATGCCTATTGAATTGCCCATTGCCTCTCAACAGCAAATGCACTTCAAATGGTACTCATCTCTGCATGTGAAGTCTCAGGCAAGGCGATAAGAGTGGTCAATTACTAAGATACCCCGAGAGGAGTAGAATGGAAGGAAAAGAGAGAGAAAGTCGGCGGAGCCACGCCGCCTGGCAAAGAAGGCCCTCCTTTTGTGCTCCGCAGTGGGTTGATGATGGATCATGACACCGGAGAACGCGCGGATCTGTACATACAAAGTACGGTGAGGTACCTATACGGCGGTAATTGTACCTACTTCGTACGTACGAAACTGTATAGATGAATGGCTTCTTCTGATGCAGGTGTATCCATGGATGTTGTGTATATATTCGAAGCAAAGGGTTTACTATCTCTACAAGCGTAACAATTCGAATTTGATTCTGTCTATAAGAGGTATTTCCCAAGTATAAATTCATTGTACTCCGTACTCTCGATACGTTCAATTCGCATATACATGCTTATTACATCTAACCAGCAAACTCAGGCCAGGACTGTCGCATATGTACGGAGTACTCGGCGCCCTCAACTCATGCAGTTCCTTTCAGAAGTTCCATATAAACCCTTGATAGAGAACGGGAACCTCGAAATTGAATGAAACAAACAACTGCAGAGTACATCCCCGTATCACGCACATTAGAACTGGTATCAATAAGAAAAATTGCCACAATTTAACCCCTCCGGGGAGCCATGAAGCCGTTGACCCAGGAACAGGGGGCAATCCGCATCTTTGGAACGAAACCAACATGGAACTATAGGCTGATTCTTTGTGGGACGAAGGCAAGAATAGTGAGCATACTACTTACTTCTCGCGTGATAAAATCCATGTCCCAGGAGTTTCGTGTATACCTCCGTATTTTGTCTCAGCCCCTACATGAAGTACCACGCTATTCTGGGAAGGTGGAAAATTTCTTATAGAAGAAAGCTCGTCGCTTACCAGGACCCTATAACGAGAGTCGGCTTATTGTCGCCGACCTGTAACCTAGAGCCTCGAACCAAGCATTGGGGACCGTTTCGGTATCAAATCTCCGCAATAATAACCACTTAGATTCAACGACAGTCCCACGATTCCCAGATCTCTCTTTCATCGTCTTCAATTCACAAGCCTGCCTAGCCTATTATTGGCTGGGATAGTAGGCTTTATTTCTGCGGAGCGGGAAGCAAGTCCGATCCAGATATCCGGGCTGTGTTTCTAAAAATAAAACACCTGCAACGGATCCAGGTGTATTGTCGTTTGAACAACTACTAGATACCATCAGCATCGTCTGGGAGATACTGGCTACATTTCCTGGACTAGACTTGACCGGCCAAGAGGAAGTTTAACATGCCAGCTAAATCCCAATTTCAGTTGGGAGCCTGGCACTGGGATCCTCCGGTACTCGTGGCTGGTGATCTTTCTGCGGATCCTCGCAGATCATCTACGGCGGTTGGGAAGATTTGAAATAGATGATGACATAGCGGAAACGACTTTTTTTGTTTCTTCTCGACTCGATACTATGGTGTGGCCGGTTTAGGATCCCTTGCGTGGCTGCAGCAAAGTCGTCTTTGAAGCAGTGGACTCCAGGGTGTTTTTTTTTTCTTGAATATTGCTGCACACGATGCGTGCTCCATTTTTGCGTTATATCGATTTTCCCGGGTATATTTGACTTCGCTCAAGGATGAGGACAGGTTAACTCAAACTGTAATAATCAGGGGAAACTCAAAGTTTCCCGGACGGATGGATAGAGGGGAAAACGAAAATGCCGCTCGAAGGAGAGCATGTAAAACACGGTCTCTATTACAATTGATGCCGTTTCAAATTTTGCCGTCTTCTGCATACCTCATGCCGTGCTACTAAGTATATCAAATTGGTTGTAGCAGAATCCGGTTTGGAGGGCTGTTACACAGGATGCGTTAAGCGCTTATGGTTCAGCAAACGCCAGGGGGTGCTTCCCGCATGTTGCCGTTTTCTATGTCTCTGACCTGTCCTCTGCGGTCGACTCCATATTGAAGTGAGGAGGAGGAGAAAAGAAGACGATGCAAAGAAGATGCAAGGAGCCGAATGGGAACAGCCAGATCTCAAGTGGCGGGTACCGACGCCAAAAATGTCCTTATCGATAGGATCGCGCTGATGCTATTAAGCTCTTTATTGCGATATAATTATACACGGGGATGTTTCAAGGTCGCATCTCACTGGAACCGAATTTAGACAGCAAAGTCCATACTCGATTCGCGTGTCAGCGACGGTCATGTCGACGCGTCCTGACAAGAAACATTATTTACGTAGGTGTGCCATTGTACCATGGCTCAGAAGCCTTGTGGACATTAGACTATACATTTTGGGTTTGCGATGACCTGCTTTTCCCAGCTGTCTGTCACCAACACCATTCCGCTAGCGATCCCTGTCAAACAGCTGAGGGAGGGTTGGGAAACAGGAATCAGTTAAGTGGTTGGGGGAGGGCGTAGTATGCAACTGAAGGCTTCCCAATGGCTGCAGCAAGGTCGACCGATTTCAGGCCTGCCATACTACGCTGCATAGTCCTGGATACGAGCCACCCAGAGGCTATGCTAATAACAAGAGACTCTGCAACCATATCTATTTGGTGCTGCGGCTAAGGAATGTCCGATTTGTTGGATTTGAAAAGCCCGAGAACGAAGAGGGCACAGCTGGAAAGATCTTGGCCATGCCCCGGCCATGGAGTGATTGACCAGCCATCAGTGGCTCTTTTGCCGGCATATTATTATTCAAATAACAGTGTTCATAATGATAGAAATAAGCTTGGAGAAGAGAAGGATACGATTAGATTCATGGGTCGCGCGACAGCGCGTGTACGCATAATTGATACACTGCGTAAAGGAATACATACAGATATGCATGAACCTACATAGAATACGCTAGCATACACCCTACAGGAAGTCGTGTGCCGGGAAGAATGGTGGGTTCTCTAGCCTCGATATTCGATAAAGATAGGTGGTATCTACGGATAGTCGTAAGGTCGGGTTTGGGATTCAGGAGAAGAAATTAGAAGAAATACTAATAATGACAGGTAAGACTGAATGGTATTTGTTTCAACTTTCGACAATAGTAATTACCGTCCAGCAGAGATCACCCCACGAGCAGAGGTAATACCCGCTGCTTACTTTAGGGATACTCACCCTGAGTTAGTTACTGCTGCGTAGGTCCGTAGCCAGGTAATGCTGCTATCGTACCATGTGTCGCATGCTGCTTTAAGGAGTCCTGTTTGAAGATCGATCGAAATGCTGTATCCCTACAGCGTAGGATGATCGGGTGTTCGTTTCCTTTCCGTTTCCTTCTCATTTGATCCTTCCTGCCCCTCTGCCGCCTATTGGATGATATGGATTCGGAGGCTGCCTAGATACCTGAGTACTTAACGCAGGCCATAGGCAGACAGGCCTGCTTCGTACATGTGCAAAGGATAGGAGTGCAGTAGCTAAATTAATAGTAGTTACCTATTTGTCTGTCGTTATTATACATTTCCGTATCCATTATTATTTCAGGGCCCAGGTTGTCTTAAGCAAGGTAAGAGATGATGCCTCTCTGTATCATTCTATCAACTCTGTTCTTGCAGTCAACCACCTACAGCCATGCAGTCATGTCCAGTAGGAGGCTGAAGTGTTTACCAGCCTCGTACACAGGACATGCATATCGTGGAGTTGCTGCTGGGGATTGTAGCTGGCTGCGTAGGGATAAACCGCTGTGGCGTGTACACAATCCCCAGAATGTGGCAGCTGTGATAACCAATGACGGGTTCTAGGGAGGTGATGAGAGTGCTGCGTCCAGACAGGCCAAGGCAGACGGGCAACTAAAGGCTGTATGCTGTACGCAGTACGCAAGGAGACCGACCGCCTGCACCCTCGGTATTCCGTTCAGCGTATGGTATCCGTCACGTTTTACCATACATACTGTATCATGTCAACGATACACATACTTACCGAACATACGTACACTGTACTTACGGACGATGTGGGCAGCAGCTCAGCTCCTCTCGAGACCTCTATCTCCGGTTCGTTTCGCCCTATTAATTTCTTCCTCTTCCTCTCTTTTTCTCTACCACACCCGCCTGGAGAGTGAGAGCAATTCTTCTTCTTTTCTACTCTCCTCCCCTTCTTCTCTACCTCTTCTCCTGCCCTCCTTCCTCCCCTCCCTACCTACCTCTCCCTCCGCCATCCTATTCTAGGAGAGATCCGAGAACTGGTCTACAGGCTGAGATTCGATTAGTCGACTGCACCACGCTGTCGACTCGGTCCCCTCACACCAGCCCTCCAGTCGAGCCGTGTCCGTCAGCTTTTGCTTCGACGTTCTCTTTCGACGTTTGTTAAGTCAAACGTTGAACCCCTTCTCTTACCTATCCGCCGGTGCCCTCCTGATCCGAGTCGTCGACGGTTATACCCCCCTTTCCTGGGTTCAGCTCCTCCCGGTTAGAAGAGCATCAGGGCAGGGACTCTTTTCAACGGATTTCTTGCTGTAAAGCCCATTGGCCGTTCTCTGGTCACAGTTTGGTTTGGTTGTGATCCCCTGGAAGGTGAGAGAGACTTTTCATATTCAAACTATCGAATACTCCATAATGTCACACCTTATATCCCGATTCTCTTATATCTACTACCCATTGGCGCCGATTGGCTATCATGGCGAATTCCAATGAATGCCGTTCGAATTTGCTAGTTCTATGAACGAGCGTGCAATTCAGAAGTGCCAGGGACTTGAAGTACAGCCAGGGTGTTTTATTTCTTTTGTCTTTAAGTTTGTCTTACAGGTCAAGATACTGTGACCATTTTATATTTGGGGGATGGAAGGAAGTTGCTGTTCATTGTCTCGATGGTAGGGGAATGACTCAAATGGAAAGAGGGCAGAAGATATATCCCCTCTTCCTCCTGTACTTCCCCAAATCCATCAATGACCCGGTCTCTAGCCGTATTCATTCTCCCCTGAAGGCCAGGGTAGTCAATGTGCCTGATGGCTTGGTGGGATTGTTATCGATGCTAGCCCTCGACTTCACAATCCCAAATTCAATTGTTGCTCCGCTCGCTTTATCACTCTTTCCACTGGTATGCTCCAGAAGAATCGACTCGCTAATACATTATCTGCTTTCAGGGAGAATTCCTTCGGCCTTGCCATACTTTCACTCCTTTAATGTGGATATCCTTGGCTGTTGACGATCGCTCTTCCCTCGCAACCATTGATCCTGTGCCGGATAACAAGATATCCTCTATACATCAACTGTACGTTCAGCTTGTTCTGCGTGCTTAATTCCTCCCTGACAATACAATTCCCTGAGATAGGGTCCGTGTCTGTTCTTTTGCACTTGTTTTCTACAAAGCAGCATAGGCCCAGAGGCTCAAGATCCCAGTTCATAGAGGTGAAGGCGTTGATTCGTACTTCATCTCTGGGACTGTCTTCATACATCCACAGTCTCGCGGATTGTTCCTACATTTCCCGCCAGTCTAGATGCCAGACAGCCATCACGGTAAGGGTTGCATTGTGCCCTCTGCCTGAAGGCATTTATCTGGGTTAGTACTATTTCTTTTCGAGGAGCATACAGTGATATGAATACCTCGCTTCATGCAGCCAGCATATTTCCTTCTCTCGTACTCTTTTCGAATGCCGCTCCTGGGGTCTCATTGCTAACGAGATCTATATTTTCCAGCTCTGGCCAAACGCGCTTCGAACCAGGTTGCCTGGTCCCTTTTTTTTTTCCCCGTGCATTTATTTTTTTATTCTTGCGACTGCCATTCCCTGCCTTAATATTTCCAACTAATTTCGCTCATTCCAACTTAATTTGACGACTGTCACTCTCTTAATTCCGTCGTTGCCTGATACGCACAGTTTCGTACCAGGTCCGCTCTTTTCAAGGCACAACGCGAACTTAATCTCGAATTGATATTTATTTCCAATTTCACTATGGCTCACAACCGGCGCCCCACCTCCAGCTACCAACCTTGCGACAGTTTCTTCGTGGAATCATATGATGATCTTACTGCTCCTCGTTTGAACGCAAAGGAGCATGCCAAATTGATTGCTCGTGAACGCCAATATGCCATCGCTGAGGAGTTGTCGAAAATTGCGAGTGACGAACTTCGCGATGACATATTGTCTCACCTACTGGAGATGGATGTTGGTCAACTCTACAATCACAACATCTTTTCATAAATCTCTTAGCTAACCCATCTTGCGCTTCATTTTTTAGGTTGCTACTCTGCCCGATGTTGAGTCGATCGATATCCAAACTGAGATTCAATGGTTCATGCGTCCGTACCTGCTTGACTTCTTAATTGAGGCGCATACCGCGTTCCAGCTCCTGCCCACCACGCTATTCTTGACAGTCAACCTTTTGGATAGATACTGTTCCAAACGTGTCGTCTATAAGAGGCATTACCAACTGGTGGGGTGTGCCGCGCTCCTCATTGCTGCCAAGTATGGTGACAAGAAAGATCGAGTGCCCACAATCAAGGAACTGAAGTCCATGTGCTGTTCGCTATATGATGAAGACATGTTTGTCCAGATGGAATGGCATGTGCTTCAAACATTGGGTTGGACAATTGGACACCCAACCGTGGACAGTTTTCTCCAAATCGCTGTGATGGATACTCCTTACGATGCAGAGGTTGAACATTTGGCGCTTTACATACTGGAGATTTCACTCTTCCACAGGGAGTTTGTTTCCAAGCAATCATCCGACCTTGCCAGAGCAGCTTTGGCCTTGTCGCGATGTGTTCTCGGCCGTCCGCAGCCTCGACACACGAAGTGGGCTTCGCAGTATGACTCGATGACTCTTGTCAGTCTTTCACAACAGCTTCACCATCCGTCCCCGGTGCTGTCTAGGAAGTATTCCTCTGCTCACTATTCACGGGTGTCGAAGCTATTGGAGCAATTCCTCGCCCGCCAGGCTTCAATTGCCTACACTCCTCCTAGCCCGCCATCGGAGGTTCCAGCTTCGTCTTCCAAGCCTTACGATGGGCATGTTGGATTAGCGACACCGCAGAAGTCTCATTGCCCGCCCAACGGTTACCTCACCCCGCCCATCACTCCAGATAATGGAAATTTCCCCCCTAACGCAAATACATCTAACCGACCCCTACGGTAACCTTCGGGGTCGCGCGTATTGCGCGACCCTGACAACCACCCGAGCACCAATTTTAGACCCCCCTTCTAGCTTCAATATCTCAACGAATTCTATAGTATTTAACTTCAAAATATATTTAAACTAAAGCTCTACTCTTCAGCTTGGGCCCTAGCATGTCGTTGCCTTCGTATAATAATTCCTCGTCGAATGCATACATCCAGCAGCTCTGGTAGGCAACGCTTATACTTAGTCCTCCACCTCTTTATTTCAGCCTGCTCATTAATATTCGCAGTATTTCGATTTATAGCTTCAAGCTCTGAGCTTGATACTATGCCTCCCTTGCGAATCCTGCGCCTAGAGGCCTGTGATCAAGCTGCGCGGTCCCTAGCAGCTTTAATATACCGGTCAAGCTCAGCTTCGATAGCAGCTGAATATGATGCTAGCATACTACCACCACGAATAAGCAGCTCTAGGCCCTCATTAAATTGATCCTTGTTGATATCATGAATCTCCCATATCCTATCACCAATCTCCCTAAATCATTCAGCTTTTTTTTGGCGTACTGCCCCAGGAATCAACATCATTGGTATTGGTGGATGAAGAGGATGGACGATGTGGTTGAGGCATTTGATTGAGTACAATTGATGGATTGAATGGTATGATGCCAGTCTTTTGGAATCCATGCTGAATAGTACGCTTTTTGAATGTCTTCTTGCGAATTGCCCCTAAGGCATGAAGGAATTCAACCTTAGTAAATTTACTGCATCCTGAGTAGGTTGCATCTGCAACTGCTTCTGAATGCCAGTGCTTATATGCATGAAAAACACCAACATCCAATGGCTGCAAGAAATGACTTGTATGTGGAGGTAAGAAGAAGGTGATGATATTGGTCTTCTCACAGAATTCAACAAATTCATGTGTTAGATGGGAGCCGTATCCATCACATATAAGAAGGGTATATTGACCCTTCCTATATCTTTTAGTATGCCGATAGAATGACTGAATCCATTGGAAGGCAATTGTATCAGTCATATAACCATTTTCTGATACTCCAATTGAATAGTCTTGTTGAATATCAGCAGCTTCAAACCAATTTGTAAGTATACAGCTACCACTCATGAGAATAAGTGGTGGGCAGGTCCAGCCATCTGCATTGACTGCTTCAACCACAGTAACATATTCACGGTTTGAATTCATCCCAATATGAGGCTTATTAATATTGAAGTCCCTGGTAATAATCCATTGATCACGACCAACACCGATATTGAAGCCAGTCTCATCAAAATTGTAGATATCCTCCTTTAATATCCCATGGTTCTGGATGGTCTGATGGAGCTTCTGAAACCACTCCTGAATAACCTCACGATCCTCTGCACGCTTGCGGTCAAGCTCTATAGCTCTAGAGCGACGTCTTTTATATTCAGGATGCCTTCCTAGCCATCGGTTTAACCATTTCTCGCTGACAGTAGGTGGAGGGGTGTCTAGGCTGGTATGGGTTGATCTCAGAATAGAATTGGCACTTGATTGGATCATTTGTGCAAGTGGCTTTATATTTAATTGCTCTAGAGTATCAACATAGTGACACAGAGCCTTTTCTTGCTCTTCTGATAATCTGGTGTTGGTTGGTGGTCGTTCACATAGATTGGACCGTCCCTTCCACCTTGCGGAGAGGGTTTGCCGTTTAACTCCATATTCACGTGCAGTTTTGGCGATATTTGGGGGATTTTGTGTGCTTAACGCGTCAATAGCTTTGAGCATTCGATCTTCATAATTTTTATTGAATTTGGGCATGGTGGTGGTGGTTGAATTATATGATAAAGTTGATGGGTTGGAATTCTACGAAGTTCTAAAATCGGTGCTCGGGTGGCTGGGGTGCTCGGGTGGTTGTCAGGGTCGCGCAATACGCGCGACCCCGAAGGTTACCGTAGGGGTCGGTTAATCATATTTACCCCGGCCCAACCCCTTGATGTTTGATTACAATGGAAGAAGCCCTCTGCGGTAGAGATCCGGCATATGTTCGAAGAGGGGAAAGGGCCAAGAAAAGGAGAAAAAAAAAAAATAAAAATGAAGGAAAAAACCCAACTTAAAAAAAGTCAGGGGTGAGAAATTGAACAGTGATATTGAAGGAGATTGAAATTGGAACGGACTGCTGAAACCATGGACATAGAACCATTCATTCATTTATGAGCCTTGTGACAGTGAAATGATATCCCGAGTTGCAAGCAGGCATTCTTTTCATATCGTAGAACAGAGGTATGCGTATTATTGCGTTACTCCGTACGGAATAATGTACAGGAATGCAAGGAGGGATCGGTGAAGCGCGGCAGTTGTGCTTGACAGAACTCGGCGGTGACGGAGTTCTGCTGACACCGCCGAGTTCTGCTGACTCGGAACAGCAGTGGCAATTGGGCGTTTTCTGCAGAAAAGGGCCCGACGGATCGGTTTAACGCTTGTAGATAGTTCGCATCCCTGCATTTTTCTCGCTTCAGCTGAAGAACTCATCCAGACAGTGAGATCCTCAATGTCTGCTCTCCATACTATCCTCTGATTCCACAGAGCCTGCCAGAACCGTCTACACTCGCCATCGCAGAAGCCCACACAGCCTTAAGAGGCTTGACGCGAACCATTTCATGTGACTTTCTTAATCGATCTCTCCTGCGGCTTGCTTTTCCGGTTGTCCTCGAGGAGGCAAATCGGCGGGAGACCGCGTCTTTTATACCCTTTTCTTTTGTCTTATTCTCTTGTCTACATCAATATAGTATAGTTATATTCATAATTTCCCTATGCCGACCGACTCGGATACAGAAGACAACTCCTCAACTTTCACGAGGACCACCGCGCCCACCGAATGGATGACCGATTCTCAAGAAGAGGACAACTTTTGGGCCGACGACGATGACAATTTTTCGATTGGATCGTTGTACGTCCGTCTTGATACTCCGTTGGCTTTGCGTCTTCCAATGACTTGGCTGGTTTCTGATATATCCGCACAGTGGAGAAGGATCAACCCAGTCCATAACATCAAGTATCTTGAGCTATCACTTCGAGGTACGTTTACGATCGGCCAGGCTTCCAACGGAAAGGGATTCGCCTCTTCCCTGTCTCATGCTACTCCAATCCACTAACAATGGTCGGACTCGTTAGAATGGCAGAAGATACCATGCCTATCACGAGGGCAAATACATAATGGTAACGTCTCTTCTCCTGGCCGTGATGGTGTTCCCCTGCTATTTGCGGGAAATGGAATCATGCCACCGCCAACGCATAACCTTGGCCAAAGTTAACTATTGCCGTGCCACAGCCAAACGATGAACAAGAGCAAGAGAAATTACTATTGGTAGGCTTGGGATTTCCTGGCTATCCCATATGCCGGTTTTGTTTGATTGTGCTATTAACTGGTTGTATGGTCTGAAGGTACACCTTGCATACATGCTTGCATTTGATGGAAGACTTCACCTTGCGCCAATTGCAACCAACCCCCAGCATGTTTTGGACGTTGGGACCGGTCGAGGGGAGTGGGCTATCGACTTTGCTGAGTGAGTCCGCATATTTCTTGTTATGATATTCGTCTGATATCAAAGCTTGATTGGTTGCTAACACAGTTATCTGGCACTGCACAGAAAGTATCCCTCGGCAAGGGTCATTGGTACGGACCTAAGTCCAATCCAACCACCATGGTACTATACTAGCCCTCCGATACCATCGTTGGTACCCAGACTTACAAAGGCGTGATGCTTAGGGTTCCTCCGAATCTTTGTTTCGAGATTGACGATGCCGAAGACGAATGGCTCTACACCCAGAAGTTCGATTATATCCATACCCGGACATTTTGCGGCGCCATTAGCGACTGGCCTCGATTCCACGGCCAAGCGTTTCGCCACCTTCGGCCCGGCGGTTGGCTCGAAATGCAGGAAAACGATGCGTGGTTTCAACGTGAGGACGGCACCTGCCCGCCGTGGACCAAAATATTCCTGGAGAATCTTGACGAGGCCAGTATACGGAGTGGAAGGAGGCTTAATGTGGCAGCGGAACAGAAACAACACATGATTGATGCCGGATTTGTGGATGTACAAGACCAAGTGTTCAAGGTACCGTTCGCCATCTTATCTTCTATCCACCCCTTTCAGCGTGCACGTTAGTGTACGAAGTGACTGACATCATATATCTTCACCAGCTTCCCCTCAGCCCTTGGCCTGATAACCCGAAAATGAAAGAAATTGGGCGCGTCCGTGGTCTAGCTATGAGCATGGGTGTCGAGGGCTACAGCCTGGCCCTCTACACGCGCTTCCTTGGCTGGTCCTCCGAGGAGCTTCAAGTCCTTCTTGCCAAAGTACGCAACGAGTTTAACGACCAGAAAAATCGCATGTACATTGCAGTGTAAGTTCCACAATATCTGTGCCGAGAAAAAAGATGTCTTAACCTAACTAATGGGGCTTGCTTATAGGCACGTTGTGTTTGGACGTAAACCGTTTGAACATGAGCATTCCTCAACTGGGCAAAGGGTATAGATATTCCAGCAAGGTGATTGAATCAGGACATATATGCCAAAGCGTACACCATCTATACATACAGCTCCTTTTTTTTTTTTTTTTTTTTTTTTACTGCTTTCAGGGTATGATTGTAGGAGTTGAGTTGGGTCCTCTTTTGAGAATTGGATATTAGCGAATTAGCATCTTATATGCCACCACATAGGATTTTGATACTTGTCGGAGACTTAGCATGCCATCCATGCTACTAAGCCGCTGCGCTAAAAAGGCAAAAAGGCAACAAAGTAGTAACCGCTAGGCTATTATGAGGCTGGCACCACCTATATAGACTACCATGTTAGTTAGGCCTCACACTTCTGGGTTCCAGCTGGCTAGGGATGGATGCTTGACTTCTCTGGGCTAAGTGGTTAATGACTTCAAGGCGGTTTACTGTGCGAGAGCAGAAGCTAGAAAATTCTTGAAAAGTACCATCTTTATTAATCTCAGCCATAGTTAGCTTTTGAAGCTCAGTAATGATTTGATGGTAGAGTTTATCCCTCTATTCCTCTTCAGCAACTCCAGCCTCAGCAGCCAGGTAGAGTGTAAGGATTTAAATATAGGATTCATTTTCGTACCATATACACGAAGGATTCCTTCGGAGGAAGAAGAAGAAGAGAGACAACGGCATGCTAGCAACAAACAGAACAAATGACGCAAAAGAGACAGACAGAAAAAATGGTACAAATAGGGCAAGCAGGGTACTCAGGCGTTGGACCTGAGTTGCCATATGCCTGGGCTACGCCCAGGCAATGCCCACCAGATGTTAAATAACAAATCAATCAATAGGCGGTTAGATCTGTACCAAGGCTACACGCACATTACCTTTTCCTACCGCTCCTTTATGCGCACCTTAGAGGTCCTCGTAGCCAGTATCCGCGCTACTCGGCACCCGTGATGCCTGACCTGCACCTTTCGGACCGTAGGCCTCACACCAAGTTGACAGTTATATGAAACGTCCCCATCGGAACACAGAGAGAACTCGGAGATAGAGACATCAGTCTATTTGATCAATAACTTGATGGCTTCAACGCCCATAACCACCTCTCCCACCCGGTCGAGGAGAGCGCGACACAATGAAATAGCCGATGTGCTGGACAGGCCCGCGTCAACATCACCAGGTCCGCAGCCATTAGTTGTGGAGGAGGAGGAGGAAGCAGACGGCGGTGTTGCCTCGGAAGAAGTCCGTGACTGAAAGAGGCATATCTCATCGACCAAAGCACGGATGCCTGCTTCAAGTTCTGTGGCACACTGAACCATCAAGGACAGGTGCAAAGTGAGGGTGGTAGAGGTGGAGGTGTGAAGGATCCCAGGTTCACTTTTGGGACGCGAATGAGGCTAGTGGCAGTGCTGTTTGGTGAGTTTTTCTGGCTGACGCGCGCACAGTTGCGGATGGCCGCAAAAGTGTGACTCCAGATATCTAGTAGGCGATGGTAACAGGAAAGTAGGAGATAGAGTGATGAGACGTTAAGGCCCAAGAGTGATGATGATGGTGATGACGACGGAGGAACAGTTGTAGAAGGTTGTCGATGCTGTCGGAGGACGTCAGTAAATTGTTTTCTCATTTACGGATTGCCGCCTCTGTCAGGCTAAAGGTGTCTTCTATATTAAAAATCTATGCCCTCTGGGGAGCCACAGGCAGTTCCAGCGCCAGTATCATCATGCATTGGTTTTCTGTGATTTAGCGAAATGGAAAATGGTATGATCTTCAAGGAGTGTTCGCACAGGCGTTGGGATAGTTGAGCAAAACTCCTCTCCAAGGCCAGACAAATCTCGTGTGTACCGTCTTGGGGAGGAGGCCGTTGTTGAAGTCGTCTGGAAGTCAGCATTGATGTTTGCCATATTGCTGCCAACAACATCATCAAACACGTTCATGCCGGAAACAAGAATGTCATGATTGCCCACAGCAGGTTCATGTAGGCTGACATCATCAGTGTTAGGAAACAATTGGGGGTATCCTGTATCCTCTGGTGTCAGGAAGGCAATAGGGAGAGGTGAGTTCGAGAGGAACGCAGTCGAATCCATAACCTCAGTGGAGCTACCATGGTTATTATTTAAGGACTGACTTGTCCTGTTTTGCGGGGTTTTCGCTTTCTAGGGCCACATGCCGCGCATTGAGGGATTGAACTTGCACTGAGCGCCCATGGCGAAACAGCGGTTGTATGAGGACCTGGTATCACTTTTGATGCACCGAAGTTTCTGAGTATGGCAGCGATCGCAAGCAAGTCTGGTTGGCATGTTTCCAGAATGAATTGATGTATTCAGTTGGCATGTTTCCAGAATGAATTGATGTATTCAGTTGGCACTCTTCCACAGGCAAGTAAGTCAAAGGAGTTGTGATTGTTACTAGTATAGTTACTGCTTGTCAGAGTATGGAGTTGTTGTTGGCCGTTGTTGGCCGTTGTTGGTCGTTCCCAGGATACAGTTGACCTGGCCTCGCTAAGGAACATATTTGATCCGGCTTTGTATTAGTCAGCTGCCAAGACTTGGTTTAAGCTCACCTGACCTGACCTTGCTATGTTGGGATTAGAGCAGGCGCTGGAAGACTTTGTAAGGTCAGCCGACCAGGAGATGACTTCAAGCTCTTTACCTTCATGTCATTCTGCAAGAATCCTTTCTTGGTCTCTTTCAGCTGCCTGGTAGGACCACTCTGCTTCCTCTTGGGTCGATAATCCCTTTGGCGGTAATGGCCGCAGATTTCCACCACTATAACCCCAATAGGATGATCGACGCTAAGATAACCTAAGCCGCAATCGAGCATTATAGTTCCTCGGTATGCAGAGGAATTTATTCTGTACTCACTCAATTCGAGTTGTCTATCTTTCTTGCCTGGCTACCGTGATTCTAATGTATGCAGTGATTGTGATCAAAGCCATTCATGGTAGATGCTCAATTATCTGCATGACTGCTTGGCAGAGCGGCCGCCAGCTGCAGGCGGAGATAGTGTAGGACTTCCTACACGGTGGATAGCCATCCCTTCCACTCTGATAAGGAATCAAGGCCTCGAATAGACCGACGGGCGAATGAAGGAGGATACAGCGTATGGCATAGGTTGCACGTCGCAGAATCGTGGGGTGGCTCCCAATCCACGGGCACACCATTGCCCAAAGCGCCGGAAAGATTCACAGTAAAAACGAGGCGCCAGCAAATGGGTGCTCCATAACAAGATGAGAGGATCTATCAAATCCGTTTTGGCGACAGCAGGATGCCGTGATGATAATCACTTGTTTTGCCCTCGCAGGAAATCAACGTATCGGGTCTTGATCCGTGACAAGTGTAAATCAGACTCGGACCAATCCACATTCTGCATTGTTGATGCTGACTTTGACACCCTCATTACAGCGACATACAGATCACAGGAAGAATTTCCCACATATTGATAGTGCTCAAAGATATCATGAAGCATAGGTAGAGATTGACTCCCAACTGCCTTGGCCTGGCTTCGATTATCTGAGTCATATTTGGGAAAAGATTGTCAGGCGTGTCTCCTCCAATAATTTTCCTAAAAACTGTTTCACGAACTCATTCGTCGCATTGTTGGGAGTTAAAGTGCCATGACCATCCTTGACACTCCAGCACGTCCCAGGCAATGAGATATTTTTCTCCAACAGTAGATGTAAATCCCGACGAGCTTCTGAACAAGAAGAGCGTCTTTTCGTAGGATAAACTTGCACGATTGGCACAATTGTACAAACCCATTATCTGTGAGGCCTTTTCCGCGCCGCGTCGTCCACGGCGCAACGGTTTGTTTTTGACATCGGAAGCATTCGATAAAAAGATTCACCGAATCACGAAGATTGTCCCATGTCAACTTTGTCATATTTTCGAAGTGCAGCCTGCAGGACTTGGGACATGAATATGTGAGGCTATCCTGATCAATACATCGTGAGGCCAGCTGAAGGGGGAATCCTTCGTTCCATATTGCCATCTTTTGATGTCAAAAACAATCCTCCCCGAAGGCTTTATTATGTAGTGTAAATGTATGGAGGACCATCAGAACATCTGTCCCAACCAAGTCAGTCAGTTCTTTCGGTGCCAAGTTGCAAAATGCCTACCTAATGGAGGCATCTGATCCCTTGTCCATGCCCATCCGCCATGCTGCCCATATGGCTTTTCTGATAGTTGACTTGATTCAAGCCCTGGCGTGCCCAAGGCTGGTAAATGAGTCCACCTAACGAAAAATCGATGGATAGCCCGTGAGACATAGATTGACCATCGACGTTCCTCCACTGTGGACTGTCGGGCTATCGGGTCTAATTCAGTTCTAATTTCGTGGACATGCTCAATCTTGAATAGACTTTCATTTTTGAGACTGTCTGCTTCAGGTTCAAGACACATCGGAGCAGTTGCTTATGTTGCCAGCATTCCTGCGCAGACACAATGGGTGCCGCCTGTTGCAGCAATGGTGTGGCCTCAGAGGATTCTTCAGCCACAAGTTTCTCTCTGTCAATGTCCTCCTGGCAAATCTCGATACCCCTAAGTTAGATGGGAGACTTTACCACTTTCATTCTCAACGATATTGGTGAGTCTCTTATATCCAAAGACTTGCTGAGGAACCGGTCTCCTTATACATATCTGTTGACTTACGATTCCCCTGTACGGAGATTCTCAAGTCATTGAAAGTAAGAGTTGCGGCTGGCTGTGATGCAGCATACTGCATTTTTCTTACAATCTTTTAACTCTCTAACTCTGAAGCTTTTAAGACGTCTGTTGGATAAGAAGAATAATTCATCGGATGTGGCTATGCAATATCTTCAAAGATCATTGCATTCGGTGTTGTCCATGACAAATTACCCAAGGTGATCTCCAAAGCTGAGTTCCTGCATACTGTCTACATATGTCTGCAGATATCCAGTAATGTTCATACGCATTCTAGAATCTACGAGCAATTCAAACTGCAGTGCTGGAGAATTCGGTGATTCGGTGAAGTCATCCAACGCCGATATTGACAAAATGGGCAGATTCATAAAGCAGCACTCAGTTTGATGTATATGCCAGGTTAGCCCTTTTCTTGAAATCTCACGCCTTGTGGCACAATATCAGATTCTGTTTAATGCTCTCTCTCTCTTCTTATCTCTGTACACAAAACTCCGTCCTGTTATCATCATCATGTCTCCGACAATGTTGAATGAGTCCTCAACCAAAACTGATAACGCAGATGAGCCTGCCTCCACCAAACCACGGGGCTACGATTCTGGCTCATCATGCTGGCACTGGCAGTTTCAGGACTCCTTGCCGCACTGGAGTCTACAGTCGTCGGGACAGCGCTGCCATCCACCACTAGCGACCTTGGTGGTGGGGAGAGATACGTCTGGGTCACGATTGGATATTTTTTGACAATGTAACTATGAATCACCAACATGTGTTGTTGCTCAGGAACTAATCTGGTGTAATTCGTCAATCAGGACTGCGTTTCAGCCACTGTTTGATCAGCTTGCCGACATCTTTGGTCACCAGTGGCTCGTCATATTTGCCGTTGCCCTTTTCGCACTGGGAAGCGACATTTGTGGTGGCGCAAACACCATAGATATGCTGATTGCCGGGCGGGCTATCCAGGGGTTTGGTGCCGGAATAAACGTGTTGGTGGAAACCATAGTATGCGATATTGTGCCCCTGAGGGAACGCGGTTCATACCTGGCTATCATATTTGGGGGCATAACGATTGGTACATCGATTGGGCCTGTAATTGCGGGCGTTATTGTTCAGCAGACGACCTGGAGGTGGGTGTTCTACCTCAATCTCCCCATTGCCGAGCTGGGGCTCGTCCTGCTTGTTGCCTTTTTGCGCGTGAAGGGAACATCAGGACCCCTGGGGGAGAACCTGAAGAAGCTTGACTACTTTGGGAACACGCTGTTCATTGCGGCATGTATCTCAGCTTTGATTGGGATTTGCTAGGCTGGCACCATCCATCCATGGGGTTTGGCCAAAGTCTAGTGCCTCTCGTTCTCGGAATCCTCGGCCTCACGGCCTTTCTTTTCTTTGAAGGGCTCTTCGAAGGCAAACGCTTCTGTCGTGAGCCAGCGATGCCTCTTCACCTGTTTAAGAACCGGACATCGACGGTGGCATTTATCTTAACCTTTCTTCATGGCATAATGACTGTCTGGGTTCTGTATTTCTTACCAGTCTACTTCCAAGGTGTTCGTCTGTCGAGTCCAATCCGTTCCGGAGTTGAACTGCCACCAACAGCCCTGTTCATGACCCCATTTGCAGCCGTGGGAGGTGGCCTGGCGGAGAAACTGGGAAAATACAAGCCCATTCACGTTATCGGATTTGTTCTCATGACAGTCGGCCTCGGAATCTTCAGTTTGCTTCACCAGCATTCATCAACTGCAGAATGGGTCATCTTCCAGGCCATCGAGGCGGCTGGCTTGGGCCTGATCATCAGCACTGTACTGCCTGCTGTCCAGGCGAAACTCTGTGATGCAGACACTGCCAAAGCAACAGCAACATGGCAATTAGTCCGCAGCTTCGGTCTTGTTTTCGGAAGCACCATTCCGGCCTCAGTGTTTAACACCCATTCGGGCCAGCTCTCCTCCATTATCCGTGAGCCAGCGATCAGGAATCAGATTTCCGGCGGGCACGCGTACGAACATGCCATGCGGGCATTTGCGCTGTCCGTGCCCACCACAGATGGATTGCGCCAGCAGGTTATTGCTGTCTTTACATGCGTTGAAACTGACATGGCAGGTTGGTATTGCCTTTGGGATTGGTGTCCTCCTTGTCTTTCTAGATGAACAGGTTGAACTTCGCAAGGACCTGAAAGACGACTTTGGAATTGAAGAGAAGATCAAAGGAAGTGAGGATGTCTTCTCCAACCACGGAGCCAGATCGATATAGCAGTCAAGATGGGAAACTATCCCTGACAGACTACGGCGGAACATTCAACGTCCGGCTTGGCAAATGGACCTCATCGGGATGGGTTAACCTCTGTTAGTCGGAGCGTGGCCCGTGGAGCAAGAGTCGAAAGCAGCAGATGAGTTTGTGGCGTGGACATAGACCAATTCTTGTTCGACTCTAGGACGGGGTTCAACTCTCCCGTCTTTCTGTGGTATCATGGATTGGAAGCTCATGCCTTCACAGTAAGTCATACCGCAGTATAACGGCAGCATAAGACTTAACGGTGTAAATGGTATATATATATATATTTTTTTTTATTAAGCGTGCATCTCCCAGCTCAAAGAACTAGGTTATACCTGTTCAGGATAAGTGTATCTGCCAAGCCTCTGTTAAGGTTGAACTGGGTGAGCGGGGTGATCCGTTGGCGATCAACGGGTGGGCTTCCCGGCGCGTTGCGGGTTTCCGTGTGGGGATATGCGGGGGATCTGCAGGATTCGCAATTATACATAAGCAGGGGCTGATCAATAAATAATCGATAATCGCCTACGGAGGATGGACCCTGAGAGAATGAGGGAATGATCAACAACCTACCGGGACTATATTCTGGTTTATATAGCTCTCTCGAGGGTGCCAGGAGTTCCGCTAGCCTCTGGCCTGACTCAAGTGCACCTACACACCCACGCCTTGTGGTTCATTTCACTCTCCTACTAGCTCTGCAGTAGCTGAAGCTCTAGAATGTCAGACTAAATGTTACAATACTAGTCCTGTTTTCATGCAATGTAGACAACCAGCCTAGAAAGTGGGTATACCGGATGTAGACCGGAACGTCTGACGGTGGACTCAATATCCTAAAGTGGGAAATATGCATCAATCACACGGATCCCATAACACTTGCCAACGCTCACAGTATTGGATGCCCCCGGGTGGCGTTGCAGGGCGCAATCGGCAACAATGATGCCCCTGTTGACTACAAGTCCTGCGAGGCAATTTTCTTCGGCAACTCATTCGGTCAACCATGCATCGGCAGACATCTTTCTGATCACGCATAACACTTTTTTGGCCGGCATAACCCATTTTGCTTTGGAAAGGATTGCGGCCAGGAAAGATCTATTCCAGAATGTCTCCCCTTACCGGGCCCTCGAACAGCACGATATCTCGGTGATTCAGCTCTGATTGATCCAATGATTGATTGGTTCATTGTATTATGCTGAACGGTCCATAAGTGCAGTGCAGGCCGGAGCTTATGTCATGGCATTTCCTTTTGGCCGACTTGCCATTGGGATCAAACATGAAGCTAAATAGTGAGCGGTGGCCATGCTAGGGCGGTAAATACCGGCAGAATTCATAGGGTTCCAACAATGACTAATATACATGACCTTATGTTAGTTAACTAGCAGTGACAGCATGGCAAGGCAGGCCAAGCTATTAGACACTAACTGGTCATGCCACACTTCTAGCTACACATGGTGTTAACATCCTTACCAGAGGCAGTGGTAGCAACAGCAAGATGCCCGTGCCAGGTGCCTCCGTGGCTGAGATCGATGCACGCATAGTTATACTTCTTGTTATGCACATCGTCCCAAGCATCATCAATTGCCAAAGATATAGTTTTGAGCTGTGCAGTGGAATCACAGTTTTTCCCAGTAGTAGTCACGTAGTAGTAGAAGTTGATCTCCTGGGACCCATCATCTGACCCTTGACTTCCCCAAAGGGGCTCACACGAGTTTGCACGGTTATCTCGCTGGTAGTAGCTCAACACTGTGAAAATTGCCGAGGTGCAAGTTGCTGCGGTAAGGAGTGGCTTGTTGACTTTGCTGAGGCCTCCTTTGACGAGCTTCCAGTCGATCTTGCGCAGAGACACATCGGTGGCATCAGTGGCGGTGGTGTCGCGTTTTACCTTCAGCATGTCTAGGTCCGGTATAGCACTAGCGTGAAAAATGATAGCACCGCTGCAGATAAGTGCAAGTACAGATCCAATGGAAGGTATGCGCATTGTGCCAATAAGACGATGATCCAGTTGATGAGGAGGACTGTTGAGACAAGTAGGTCCATAATATAAGAACACTGGGAACTGTCCTACCGTTAGCTGAGCTGGTATTGGGACTTCTTCACTAGGGACAGCATACCCTAGGGCGAGTGGGAGGGGACAAACCTCTGATGTGCTCACCACTGAGAAACAAAGAACGGGAAACAGGCTGCTGGTTGTACAGAGGATTGAGAGAAGAAGTGGACTGTGAGAGAAATCTGAACAGGCTGCGTTGCTTGGGGGACTTCAGATTAGTAGCTCTCTTGTGGCCTTATATAGCCAGGAGATTGGGAGCGCTCGACCTCTGTTGTCCGATCACGGACGACTGATCAAGGCACTGGGGTAGGGCCCACCAAGTATCCATTGCCTATCCAACAACAACACTGATTTGGCTGGGGCCCACTGCCCCAGGCCCCGCAGCCCGGCGCGCGGGACCGTTATTCGTTTAATGTCAATCATTAGATGGATGGAGTTGGTGCGGTGGGGCCAGGCGCAGGATGGAGCCTTGAAGTGGAATGAGTTGAGCGGCACAAGCATCATTAGGACAATTGTCAAGGGCTGGAGACCGTTTACCCGTCTCTGTTGTCTTCGGCGACGGAGCCCGTCCGGCAGGATTTATGAGGAGGGACCAACGTGTCATTCTCACCATCATATGATTATGTTGCGCGGGTGTTAGTGCCGAATTTTCAAACTTTGCACAAACACGGCTGGTTGGGTTCTAATGTCCTCGGGGACGTCATGGTGTTAATTTATCCGCGGGGATCGTCGTCAACCAAGGATAGAGACTGTGGGGCGCTTTGAATGAAGGAGGCATCGGATTTCACTTCCCATTTATTGACCTGACACGCTATGGACGGGACAAAGTCACGGTGATAGACATTACTGTCCTGGCATCAGATGAACCTATGCAATCTGGGGCCCCAGGTGAGGGCTGGAATCAGCAATCCAGCACCAAGGAACCCCTGTCAATCTGTTAATTCACAGAACAAGAGATCCAGAAAGTGCTGCGCCGCAGAATTAAAAGTCATCCACTGTCCTCTGAGACACTCATGCTGATCAATATCCATATCTCAAAAGCACAGAACACTGGCTCACACATTCTGTCCCTGCGCAGACCCCATGGACATAGAATGAAGTCAAGAGTGAGGGAGCTCATGGAGTGATGCATTGGCTCATTTAGGAGCTCTTCAACAAGAAACGCAAAGGCAGCTCTGGGGGAATGGGAGAATGGAAATAGAAGCCATGTGTGGGCGTTTTCATGCGCGACCAGACGGTGGTGTTTGAGGCGCTAGGAAGGATGTCCAGGGAAGTAACACCGGTTTATGCCTATTGCGAGGATGAGGTGTACTGGAGTCTTCATATGCAGACAGCAAAGTGGGTATGCGGACAAATGCTGTTGAGGGAGTAACAGAGAAAGTGATGGTGATAATGCAACGCGGATAATAGTTGATTTAGCACTGAGCAGTTATACAGGCATCAATGATTTCAGTGCCGCAGGATGACGCGGGTGGAGGAACCAGGAGACGCCGGCGACCCAATGGAGTCAAGGTGCATTTCATGCAGACAGCTTAGCAATAGCATATATGCTCATGCGGCGTGATGGATGCGGCATGCAGATAATACAGCGTGGATGCAGGAGAGGCAGAGCAGTCTGCAAGAGACAGCCAGGCGTTGGACACGTACCTGTGGAGTCTTCCAGTATCTTAGAACTAGCTAGTAATTAGTTTTGTTGGTGATTCCCATGGTTCAGCTCCTCCCTAGTTAGCATATCATAGACAACTAGTTAACTCTAGCTAGATGAACCAACTCAGCGAGTTTGACCCCCGCCAACAGTTTATAGAAAATGTTATGCTTACCTGTGGTCCATCTCAATGCTATTATAAATGGGGCTGTCATCTTCATCTGTAGTATAATATTCATCATTTTGAGCATAGTCATATAAGAATTGGAGATTTTCAAGATTTAAATCTGCCATGATCAAAGGTAAACTAGTTCTTAAGGTGTGGAAGTTAGAAAAAGGCTGTGTGGAGAGAAAATATGGTATTGAATACTGAAATGCTCTAATCCCGAAATGGTAGCAAGGTCACGTCAGCTGAGCTCAAACTGTTGGATCACGTGGGATTCTGCCGCTTAGGTCCGCCCTCGCTGACCTTTTCCACCACGTAGGCCTATCTAACTGACCCTGAAGGCTACCGTAGGGGTCAGTTAACTATACCTCCATTGCAAACTAAGTAAAGTCTTGGCAGCTGACTAATAACAAGGCCGATGCGGTTGGGTTTAGCCCCCCGCACTATACCGTGCGCGGAATTGCCGCCAGTCCGCCTTCACGTCGTCCCCGAACTATGTAAGGCCGCGGAGGCTAAACCTGCACGGGCGGCGGCCGGACGGGATCACCAGAAGCGGCCATTCCTACATCTGCAGGCCTCCGGACCTGGTTCGCAGGCGTGTGCTGTAATAGCCGCGTGCCTCCACCATTCATTTCGAGTCCTTTGTTTAAAACGGGGTTGTTCACTCACTCGACAAACAGCAAAAAGGGAAGAATTACTAACCCATAGCACCAGAGGTCACAGCAAAGACCACCTGCGCAATGATAGTCGGCAAGATATGCACACCACTCATGACCGCCGAGTCATCCTTGACTGCCTGGAAGTAAATAGGCAGGTAGTAGTTGGCTGTGAAGGGCACGCCCATGAAGAAGAACATGGTCGCCGACGCCGACCAGACAATGCGCATCTTGAGCATGTTAAAGAGGACCATGGCGTCGTCACCGCGCCGGCGTTCCCATAGGAGAAAGACGATGAAAGTCCCTCCCGCACCGACAAAAAGGCCAATGACCACAGAGCTATCCCACGGGTGCTGGTTGCCTCCCCATTGCAGTGCTAGGAAGAACATGATCGCTGCGGGAGCGATCAAGACGAAGCCTAGGAGATCGAGGGAATGAACCGCTGTGCGGAAGACCTCGCGGACGGGGGGCTTGTATTGGGACTCGGGGATGGTCACGAACAGGAGAAGGCCAGCGACTACTGCTCCCAGGGGGGGATTGATATAGAAGCCTGCCGGCAACTCTGGGTTAGCGGATAATGCATCTCCTTTGTGTGGACAGAGGATAGACCTACACCAACGCCACGACACGTAATGGGTGAAGGCGCCGCCGATGAGCGGGCCACACGCGATGCCAATCTGTCCCAAGCCAACGTTCACGCCCATGACGATCGGCTGCCGACGGGGTGGGAGGATGGCCGCAAGTATCGTCAGAGCTCCGTTCATCAGGCCGGATGATCCCAGACCGGCGATGGCGCGACCGACGATGAGCATGTTGGATGACTGGGCGGCACCGGAGAGCGCTGAGCCTAGTTCGAAGACGACGAAGAAGGCGAGGAAGGACCATTGGCCGCGCGGTTAGCTCCTTTGAACACGATGGAAAGCTTTCTAACGGGAGAAGAGAATACTACCTTTGTACTGAAGTACGTGTAGATTTTGCCGCTGAGAGGCTGGAAGGCCGAGCTGGCTAGCTGATACGCTCCGCCATACCTGAGGTAAGGTGGTCAGACACAGCTCACGATAATGACCGTAGATCGGGGATTAGGGCTTACCAGCCAGTATCGAGCAGCGAGTCGAACTGGGAGGTGATGGTGGGAATCGCCATGGAGATGATCGAACCGTCGAGCATGAGGAGGAAGTAGACCAGTGTGGTGGGAACGATGATGATCAATGCAGTGATGCCATTGACGTATTCGTGGACGAACTCGCGAGCAGGCTCCTTGTCGGAACCGACCCTTCTCCTTGCTGTCCTCGTTGGTCTCCAGGGGGGATTCGTTCGCAGGACCATCAGGCGTGCCCTTCACGAGCTAACATCTTGTCGGTTGGACAGGGGGTGGTGCCATCAATATTGCGCAGGTATGCTCCATGCGGGGTCCATCGCATCGCGTCCATATCGCCGAAATAGGAAGAGACTCTGTAGGATATCAGAATGCAGCACCCAGCTATCTGTGCCAGAACACGCACGTACATCGAGCTCAGGAGAAAACAACAAAGCACCGCCCGTGCCCGCTCCAGCAGCAGTTGACGAGTCTCCGCATTCGTCGTGTGAGGCATGGCGATCTCGTGCACTTCGCCTGGCATCGAATGGGCCTCGCGAGGCAGCGATTTGTGCAGGTGGAGAGCGCCTACGAGTGAGATGGTCAATTGAGTGAGGCGCGAAGAACTGGCGACCTTGTTGAAGAACTGATCGTACCCCCAGGCTACATAGGTTAAGACACAAAGCAGCAGGTCCATGTGAGCTTGGGTTTCCACAAACGCTGCCTGTGCGATGAGCTTTTTCAGCTCGCCGCCACGAAGGAGCCTCTGCTGGGTCGATGACACGGTGACGGTCAGGATGGCCCGGAAGAGGAGGTGCTGCTCCTGCTGGAGATGTTGGGCGCTGAGCTCAGGAGGGAGATGTAGAAAGGCGAAGAACCGCAGCATCTTGTCGCGGAAGACAGCGAGGTGGGCCTCAGCCTCTTCGGAAATGACATCCCAGAGCGATCCGGAGGTAGGGGTAGGGGTAGCAGAGTTCTGCCTAGTAATACTTCTCTTTACCCAATGACTAGTTAGTTAACAGTTAGTTAACTAAGGAAGGTTACTCACCCTCCACTCGCCCCTCAGGGTGTGCACAGTTCTGCTCAGTGAGCAGGGGGGCGAGCACCAATACAGAAAGGGAAGGCCTTCAATATTGATAGAATAAAAAGCGCATATGCATTTCTTCTCATGATAATTTGTCCAATGCTGGATTTGATGGTTATCTCTGCCATTCTTCTTAATCAAGCCAATGCAGAGACCAGGTTCTCCCGGAGAATTCCCGTGCAGAAACCGTGCTGTGGAGTATAATAGAATTAGACTAGAAACATCCCACCTGCGTCGTCTCTCAAAAACCAAACCCCCCTATTCTTCTATCATCAACTGATTCGATTCGAATTCAAGACAGATAAGCTAGCACACTCGCAATTAAGGTATGTTTAAATATACTGCTCCATCAACCCTGCCTTACCAATATGCCAGCAGGGATTACTTTAACGCCGAAGAAACAATACCATTATACTACTGCTCTACTCTCTACTTTTACCCCGCGAATCAACGCATACTACATCGAGCATAGAAGCAGCGGTTACGGAGTACAAACAGCGAGCGCAGCCATGTCCACCGCTTCTCCACCCAAGTCTCTTACCGCACAGTGCGAGGAAATCCTCGCTGATATCAAACGCTTCGAACAATCGGCTTCGGGCAGGGAGCTGTCGCAGACGGATCGCGCGGAACGGTTGCGGCTCGTGCAATCGCTTGACAAGCTTGCGCTGAGGTTGAAGGATCCTAGGGAGGCTATTTTTGATCAATTTACGAATGTAGGTATTTTGTTTTCTTTTCTTTCTTTGGCTTTAAGTTGCCTTTCGGGCCTTGCCGTCTGGTGGTGTTGTGGTTCCTTGGGTTCGGTGAAGGTTGCTCCATGGTTCGAATTGTGAGATATATATTGAAGCTCACCTGTTCTTTTTGTTTTGTTTTGTATTTTATATTTTGTGCCTTTTACGGTGCTTTCTAATGGGCTAATTATTCCTACTCTAGTTCGTTGAGACGTGCAACCTGCGCGGGTTGCTTGAACTCAAGGTCCCTGAAACCATTCCTCGAAATGGAAGGATAACGGCTAAAGAGTTGGCGGGCAAGGTTGGCGCTGATGAGAGTTTGATTGGTATGTACCCTGTGATGCACTGTTTATTGCTACCTATTTTTGATTGAGATGTTTTCTCTTACCTAGTTCGCTTGATGCGGATTCTCACCGTGAAGGGGATATTCGATATGGTTGGTCCTGATGAATACGCACATACGCCGTTTTCACTGGCATATCTGGACGGACATGAAGTGGACTTTTTCAAGCTGATGTAAAACACGCCCTTTCCCCCGTTGTGCAATGTCTGGCATTGACTTTAGCCGGCCTCAAGGTGCGATGAAATCCTCGTCAACACATCCAGACTCCCTGAATACTTCCGAGAAGTCGGCGGGAAAGATGCGACAAGTATCACCAGCAACCCTTACTCATGGGGGAATGGAAAGGATGGGCAGACATTCTTCCAAATCATCTCGCAGGACGAGCGACGACTCAAGCAATTCGACATTGCCATGTCGACGCAGGACTTCGTGCTCCCTGTGCTGGGCATGTACCCGTTTGGTGAAGAGTTAGCTGGACTCCCCGACACAGATACCAGGGCATTGCTCGTGGACATTGGAGGTGGCCGAGGACAATCCTTGATCCAAATTCGGCAGGAATGGCCGAATCTCGAGGGGAAATTTATCCTCCAGGATCGCCCCATGGTCCTGGACTCGTTCCCCGAGATCCCAGGCGTCGAGAAGATGGCACACGACTTCTTCACATTGCAGCCTGTTAAACGTGAGTCTGAAAAAAAAAAAAAAGAGCAAGGCGGCAAGGATCATCGTCCCAGACTAACGACGATCAATTCACTAGATGCACACGCGTACTACATCCGACGATGCTTCCACAACTGGACCGACGCGCACTGCACCAAAATTCTCCAGCAGATCGTGCCGGCCATGGCGCCTGACTCCCGAGTGCTGATCGGCGAGATGGTGGTCCCCGAATATGGCAGTGAACGGCCCGGGAATGTCGAGGACATGGCATGCTATTGGATGGACCATGCCATGTTTACATTCGGGGGGCGCGAACGCACCGAATCGGATTGGAAGAAGCTGTTTGAGAGCGCTGGGCTGCGACTGGTGAAGGTCTGGCGGAGTAAGGCTGGGAGCCAGACGGTGCTGGAGGCTAAATTGCCTGCAGAGCAGTGACGTGCACGATGCCATGTATACAAAGTACGTGCATGGGACAGGTATGACGTATATGCTGTGAGTAGCCAACTGGACGACTCTGTAGATAGATGAGACACTGGTGAAGACGGAATGGCACAAGTGAGGCGGGTAAGGATGTCAGGTGTGTTTGAGGATCATCAGGCAGACAACCAGAAACAAGGTCTAGAATTTGAAGCTGCAAGAGAACGAGAATAGAACGAAGCAAAGCCAACTGCAGAAAATTAGAGTTAGACCGCCATTTGTCCGTCGCAGATTATTATTATTATTATTCTGTACAACCAATCCGTGTGCCTACTATGTACGCACCGATAGATATGCACCATCGTTTGTCTTCAGCGTCTCAAATCCAGACAAAGCTCCATATTATCCCCCGTCTAGAAGAATAACTACGGACAGCATGCTCCATCTTCCCCGGAAAACAGAGCCCAGAAGAGGCCAGCGCGGTCATCGTGCATGAGATCGACAGCGTACAGATGGAGAACGGGGCTAATAATAAGGCGAACAACGCACCATTCCTAGAATCGCAAAGAAAGAGAGTAAATAACAAGAAATAAAAAATAAATATTATAACTAGCAAACCGGCCGACAGCTAAACTCTAGAAGGATCCAAGCCGATCTTTCAGGTCCCGGCAGCTGCTCATTTGCTGCATGATTTCTGGATACATCAGGGACATTATGATGATGATGATGATTTCTTTTATTATTATAATAATAGTATTACTACTGTTACAGAGAAATATTGAGACAAACCATGCCGTTCTGGGCATCATCACGCTGTGGAGGACGTGTCACTGCGCATACCGTGACTGTCTCCTCCAAGGCTGTTTTCATCGGCTTTGTTTGTCTGCCAACCATGACTTCATTCCAGCTGCTCAAAGAAGCCTGGCTTCATTATTTATTGCTGCACTGCTTTCTCCTTTTCCCTTCTCCATCTCCATCTCCCTGGTTAACATATCCCCAGTGAACAACTGAACTGCTGTCCTCTGTACTGTATCTACTCCATACCACAGTTCCTTACACTCTACACATTGTATACCATCTCCTGCTGCTATTTACATAGAGCAATCCACGCTCTCCTTATTAGCAGAACAAACCACTGTCAGGAAGACACGCCTACCTATCTATCTCCTATTTTGCTCAAGCCTCACCATGCAACCCCATGCTACCAAACTCCACCGCTCCAACTCCACGTTCACCAGTGAAGAGAGCAACGCAAGTACTAACAGCGACAGGGTCGCTGTATCTGACATACGAGGTGAGTGCTATTGTGCTCAGTCCTGTTGCATTGCATCGCGTTGCGTTATACGGAGCCATAGCCATCTGCCTGTCTTGAAAGTATAATTTCTAACCAAACCCATTCTCCATAGGCCCCGATCCCAAAACAGTATCGCGGCGAACCCTCCACCGACCGCCGGTCATTATCCATAACACGGGTGGGCAGATATTCGACAAGACGAGACCTTCCGATTGGGATAAGCAGCGGTGGAAATAAACACAGGGGGCGCTCTGGTACGCGGTACACTGGACAGATACAGATCCAGATGCTGCCGCTGTTGCAGCTGCACCTGTATCTGTGCCCGTACCCGTACCTGGCTTCCTTGCTAGTGATGGTAGTAGTCTTGCTGATGATATCGCTACTACTGGCTATTACTGGGACTAGCTATGCTAGCTGTGCTGCTATGCCAGTTCCCAGCAGCTATGCTATGCACGGATGCTTTGCTTTTTCCCCAACAGGACGTCGACGCAGACGCATACCGACTCCTCCCGGGAAGGCCAATACGAGGGCACTTCCCAAAAAAGAGGAAAGCAAAAAAAAAGTGAGGCGGAGATCGTCGCCATTCCAACAACAATCGTTCGCTTATTACGAAGTTCGAACTCCCGTACAGCTCATTACGCTGCAACGGTTATACGGCTATCCCCGAAACGGCTTAGTAGATCACTCTAGTCACGAGGATCTATATGCGACTCAGGAGTGACCCCTTTGCTTTTCCCTTTTTTTTGCTTTTGTTGGCATGACTTGTCTGTTAAGTTTGTTGCCGTGCTTTTTTTTTTTTTCTCTCTCTTTGAAAGGGACGTGATTGAGACTGAGATTGTTACTACTACTAATCATTTCGCAGCTGACTTTTATCTTTGGAAAGATTGATCTGATGGAGACTCTGGAGTTTCCGTTCTGTTCCAAGACCAGACTGTATGTATTATATTGTCTGTTTATTTGTTTTGTTATTTCTTTTGTTTGCTTTGGTTTTGGAATACGAGAACATTGCGCGCTCCTTGACGGCTGTTTGTCTTGATCTCCTGTTCGTTCCTAGATGGGACGGAGAGAATGCGCCACAGCATGGGATACGATCCTGAGTTTACCTTTTGCCGTGTTCATGTTCATGCTACATTACATGTATTATTGTGTCAACAATATTTATGTATTATTACGATTGAGAATGATCATTTCATCAATTCCGCATGAAATATTATTTACTCAACACTATAACCATATGTTATGGTCAATTACTCTTTCCCGTATAGCCGTATAGCCAATCACTCAATTAATTCCTGCTCATCCTCTCCCTATTCATCCGTTCCTCCCAGCTACCGTTCATGCTCCGTCGAATACCCAGCGTCTTCCTCCCAGTACTCGACGTTGCATGTGCTGACTGGCCCAGCGTCGACATGGTAGTCGTGTAGAACGTAGCCGTCCGTTTCCCCGATTCGTACTCATCCTGGACTTGGTGATACTTTCTGACTTCATCACCTGTAACTCGCATGGTCTCACAAGGGGATTCACCACCCCATGTCACTTTGCTCGGTTGATCGGATGTCGATGTCGTTGGGTCTGTCTCCATAGCAAGGTTTGAGGAGGGCGATGTAAGCCACGTGTATCGATTGGGGTCGGATGGTTCCAGGGCCGGACGGGTAGGAACTGACATCTGAGGTCGGAGACGGTGGTTCGAGAGATGAGGGGGGAACATATGAACAGCGCGTACAGATGCTGGGTTCGATATCTGTCGTGTCTGTGTCTCTGTCTTCTTACTCTGTGACCCTTGAGATCGCGATTTTGACTGCTTGGTGGCTTCTCGTCCTGATTGGCCATAGTTGCTGAAAAACTGAGATATCGAACCCTGTGATAGTCCCGGCGTTTTGCGGCCGGTCTCATTTACACCCTTTTGTTTGCTGTTGGGCTTTTCCTTGCGCGGGGGTTCAGGCTTGGAGATTGGATTGCTGGCGATGTACTCTCTAGCCGTTGAGAAGCCGGAAGGCAACGTGGTGGACACGGAAAAGTTCGAAGGGTTGCTCAAAGTGTACGTCGACGAAGAGATATATGTCGTCTTTGTTGTTGTTGTTGCTGTTGTTATCGTCGACGCCGAAGTCTGGTCCTGTTCATACCGTCGTCGTTTAGGATATGGTGCATCTTCTCCATCGACCATACTAAAGGCGGCATCCGGATGTTCCTCGCCATTTTCTGTCCACTTATCATCACGCGCACGAGGTGTGGTATCCAGTCCCTTGAGCATATCTTCCACAGAAGGCCGCTTCCGGCGCAAGATATCTGCAATTTCATACACCGTGTTTTCATGGAAACTAGGTCCTGTCGGACGAAAGCGCGCCTCGATGACTTTCGCGGGCAGTAAAGATGTCGGGGTGGTCTCTTCATTATTACTATTCCTCGACTGCTGCCGGCGAGGATAACTGAGGTACAATATCGCTTGTGCCCTCGTCATGGCAACATATAGCAGTCGTCTCTCCTCGTCGCAGTCTTCGGCCCTTGAGTGTGGGATAATCCCTTCATATACAGACGGTACAAAAACGACTGGCCATTCTAAGCCCTTCGCGGCATGGATGGTGGAAATTGTAACTTTTGCTGGTGCCGCCTGTTCATCATCATCCCCTTGGGCTGCATCGTGTGAGGTAAGATCTGTAGCCAATGCAACATTGGCAAGAAATCGAGATAACGCTTCTTCGCCTGAGTGAGCTCGCTGCTGGTCAAGTCCTTGGATTTCAGGAAGTGTTTCCTCTTCTCCCGAGCTCCCAGAAACTGCTGCATCCTCAGCCTGGCACAGCAGCTCCTCGACATTAGCCCACCTATTATCCTCGTCCAACGGGTATGCCACCGTCAAGTATTCTCTGAAGGAAAGTTTCTTAATGACGAATTCTAGGAGTCTTCTTGGAGAGGAGCAGTCCTCGCACTCGAGGAGCTTCTGTCTGCAAGACTCAATGAGGCCGACAAAAGTCCGTAAGCCCTGATCAGTCGATTTCGGAAGGCTCTTCTCGGTAGATCTGTTGCCTTGGGCCACGCCCTTGACAAAATTCCACAGAGGCACATTCGCCTTTTCTGCACCACTGGATAGTTGCTTCACCGTCACATCGCCGATATTTCTAGGTGGTGCGTTGATGATGCGAAGCAGGGCATCGCTATTCCCTGTATGGCTGATCACTCTGAGATAGTCCAGAAGAAGTTTGATTTCCACTCGATCAAAGAACCTGGAGCCTCCAACCATTCGATATGGCACGCCCCCTTTGCCCATCTCGGACTCAATCTGTCGCGACAGTGAAGCGGACCTGAGCAACACGGCGAAATCAGAATAATTAAGAAGGTTTCCCGTCATAGCGATACATCTCTTAATCTCAAGAACCAGCCACTCAGCCTCAGCCGCTGCCGTGGGAAGCTTCCGCAGCACGGGGAGTGTGCCTACACAGTGAGTTGGCTGTAGCTTCTTTGCCGGCCTCGACACATCCTGCTCAATCACATCCTGGGCAGAGTTCAAGATCGCACCAGAGGAACGATAATTATCTTCCAAGAGCGCCACAGACGTATCTTTGTACAGCTTCTGCATGCGTGTCAAGTTTTTTATCTCGGCCGAGCGAAACCCATATATACTCTGATCCGGGTCGCCGACGACGGTGATCCGCTTGTGTTTGGATGCAAAGAGATTCATCAGTTCGTACTGGATATGATTCGTGTCCTGGAACTCGTCCACAAGAACAGCCTGGACATTAGACACACACTGAGGATGGCGTTTGAGGAGGTCCGCACATCGGAGAAGCAAGTCATCGTAATCCAGCAGATTAGAAGCTGACAGCGTCATCTCATATTCACAGTAAACCTTGACGAATTCCTGCTGCTCGAGAATTTTTGCATTGTTGACTCTCGCCACGAGTTCCGCCGGACTAATCCCATGGGCTTTCTGATGCGAAATTCTAGCCCGGGCAGTATTTGGCTGGATATTCAGCTTGAGCCGCTTGATAATTCTCTGAAAATTCAATCCATGAGAAAAAGATAATCAAAACAAAGTTATATCATAGATATTCGTATATACTCAGCCCTACTTTAATAATCGCAATACTATCCCCCGAATCGGCAATCCCAAATCCCTTTGGTAACCCGATCAGATACCCGTAAGTGACGAGATATCTGCGACATATCGAATGGAAAGTGCCCAAGACCAGTTTCGACTCCACGTCATTACCTATGAGCCGTGCAATGCGTTCGCGCATTTCACGGCTCGCTTTGATGGTGAATGTACAGCAGATGACATCTTGCGGTCGATAGCCATAATGCGATAGGAGATACGCGACGCGTGCTGTCAATGTCTTCGTCTTTCCAGAGCCTGGCGGAGCGAGCACTTGTAGGATTGAAGCAGGAGATGCTACCGCCGCTCGTTGAGCAGAATTTAAGTCATGTAAGATGGGATCCATGCGATTTTCTGCGATGCAGATGAATTTGGCGATATTAAGTCTGGAGGAAGACTTGTGTATTGGTATTCGGATGCACATACGTAGGAGATTAGAACGCGCCAACTCGCGTTATCACGTGATATATTATCAGGGTCCAAATAGTCACTTCAAACATTTCATATACTCTTCATTTCTATAGATGTGAGTGGTTCCAAGTAATATACTTGGTACGTTAGTAGCGCTGGATTAAATGCGCCTCCCAAACAGTTTCTCGGAACTCGCAAACCCAAAGTAAAACACAGCTCGTAGGATAACACCAACAGCATCAAAAGAGAACCCTGTATAGCGGTCGAGGAACCAATCCCAGCCTGAAGACCGTATGAATTATCATAAATTTCAGTACGAGAAAAGGGCGTGGCAGACATAAAATGTAGGGTTATTCTAACCGAATATTCCCAAGGGAAAACTCATTGCGACTTCGTAGTTGGGCATATTCACTGCCTCCACAATTTCAAGGTTCCCTGCTACACTGGCTAGGATATAGGCCTCACTGCGGCTGAAACCTTTGGTAGAAACCAGCCACTGAATAATACTTCGAACTGCTTTCTTCGCTGCCTGAACGAGGTCCGAATCGACGCCCATGGCGGCGTAGCAACCGCGATCTGAAATCGAACTGCGCAACAGAGAGCTCGGCGGAGTCTGATATGCTGGGGCTCTAACCCACGGCTGATCTTTACAGATTTCAAAACGAAGCGTGGCTCTCAAAGGCGTTTCGATGGCAGTCCCACAGACCTCCCCTTGGCCTTGAGCAGCATGACCATCCCCACAGCTGAAGAGAGCACCGGCGGTCTGGATGGGTAGGTAAACAGTAGACCCTACACTGAGCATCGAGCAATCCATATTGCCCCCGGCATCGGTAGGTGGTATCGTAGAAAGGTCATCATCTGTCGCAGGAGCCACTCCCATGCAGCCCAGAAAGGGCCGCAATGGTATCCGAGTATTGTCCTTAAAAAGCGCATAGTTGTGTTCTCTATCCAGTTTCCAGATATAGAGTGACGGTTCTGGAAATTCGTCCGCTAGTAGTCCGAAGCCCGGAATGACTGCTGACCAGCCCCAATCTGCCACCTCCAGGTCTAGGACATCGACTTTCAGCACGTCACCCGGGTGAACGTCTTGGATGTAAACAGGACCGAAAACAGGGTTTGCGATGCTAAGGTCTATGGAGCTGATGGCAGAAACGTCTGATGTTGCAGATATCTGTCCATTGCTGCTATCCACGGCGTCAAAGGTCACTGTATCGCCTGACGAAACGAGGAGAGCGGGTTCGATGTTTTTAGACCATTTTAAATGGCTATGAGCGCGGCCGACATGGACAGTCTTGCACTGTGAAGCCAGCCCCATCCTGCAGAGAAAGTATCTCTGATGGTAGTGCGTAGGGACAGCAATAACAAGTAGCAGGCGGAGAATATGATTAAAAATTAAATTTTCTTTTTCTTTCGGAAAGATTGCAAACAGACGATTGATTACCATGCAACCTCGCCAACAGACAGGAACCGCAGATATCTTATATCGAGTCTGGCTGTTTGAATTCCGCCGTAGGACATAACGTGGTCCTTTGATATTCTCCACCTGTCTTCATCTAAATATCCGGTTTCCCAGACCCGCTGGGCTGACGAAAATGAGCACTGCCGCGGACACGATACGAGTCCGGGATGACCGTCTTATCGACGCAGGATTGAGGGGCAGGACGTGGTATTGGAAGGGTAACTGTTAATAATCAATATCCGGCATGACCAGCAAGGTCAGAGATATCCCAGGACGTCCAAGATCATCGCAATAAATAGCGCACGCGTGGCCATTCACAGCAATGCGCCAATGTACAGCGTTGCGTCTCAAGTAGTTGTGCGAGCAGGAGACGCAGTCGTCGGCCGATTCCATATCACCTGCCTGTTTGGGCATGGCGTGTTTATAACGATAGGAGCACTCACGTTGGACGTGGTATTTACTTCTTATTACTCTACACTAGACCGGTGTATATGCTCTACTACCTTCCTATATATGCATTCGATGAAAAAAAAAAAAGACAATGGTCCGGTACTAGGGCAAGTGGTTGAAGCAGTCTGACAAGACCAAAGGAAAGCAGTGACGTAGTGGCACATTGCATGTTAGGTTGCCAAGGTAGTAATATATACTATAATTCAACGGCATGCTGGACGGGGGATCAACAATTTTCGTAGCAGCCATAGAAGATGGGATAAGTGACATAGTTGTATGCAGCCTCTTGAAGGACTCGGAATATATGCCTGACGAATGTTCTTACCAAGGCGCCCAAGAACATCGGGAGTAACATACCAGACCATCATAGTCCGATTGAGAAAAGAACAGGGAGGTTGAGGAGAAGAGAAAAAGATATTAATTCTTTGTCACATGGCCCAGGCACCAAGACATGACTGTCTAAGACAGTTGATGATGGCATACTCTCATGTTCTTCGTTCCTCAAGACAGTTCTATGTATACGGTTATAATAGGTACAAGGCCCGGACAGCAGGCAGTATTTTTTTTTTTCATGAATTCTGTCCATCCAGCAAGACCACAATACACGATGAATTGTCACTGTGTGAGTGTGCTGCTGCACTATTAGTGATCTCCTGTGCGATATCTCCCGCCCGAGTTCCACGCATGGACAGCCTCATCACCAACTGGATCAGGGCAGTATCATTGGATATATCACTGATGCCATCTGACACAAGGACCAGCATGTAGCGACGATCTGTCTGGAGTTTCATTCGTACCAAGTGAGGTTCATTTGAGAGAAAGTTGCCGCGTGCATCAGGCGCCACAGCGGACGCCCTTCGTGTCTTGGGGAGCGCTTGATCATTGTCCAGTTTGTTGATTGGATTCTTGTATTGTAAGTCGCCCAATGCCCGTGACATATTCAGGCCACCTGTTTATAGATATGGTATTAGAATCGGTGATGGGACAAAACAGAAGAGAGAATATCCTTGGGTCTTCTTGATAGATCATACGTACCTACACGGGCAGATCCAGTGCTTTTATTGACAAGGCCTCCAGCACCTTCAATCCGGGATTTTTCATCGGGGGCATCGGGCTTGTGGGATTTCGAGAGTCGTTGCTGATACGAAGGGTAAGAGAACTCCAACATCGCTGAAAGGCTCGTCGAGTAAGGGTCAACTTACAGTACGGTACGGTTGCCCGGATTCAGGGTGACGCTCAGCCAAAATGATATGCGAATCTCCTAGATTCGCGACTACCAAATCGCCCTTTGTCAAATTGAGCAGACATATAGCTACCGTAGAGCCAGCTTCCGTGGCCTCGAAGCTCTCCTTCAGGCTGTCGAGCAGAATCGCATCCTCATTTCCCAAAGCGCCTTTAATTGCGCCCTCGTAATCACCCGCGGCAAACTCCGGGCGTTTGGCGATGATTATATGTAGATTTCGGCTGGCGTGGTCCGAAACAAGGTCTGTTCCACTAACACAATAGGTAAGCAACGATTCTGTATCCTGGAAGGCTGGTATTTCCAGACATAGGATCTCTTACTGTCCATCGTAGATTGCAAAAAAGGCAATCTTGTCTTCAGTCTTCGCAGGGAACTGATCTGGCAGGACGAACGTGCAGCGATCCTCCTGGGACGGTCTACTTCCTTGTGTCTAGAAACCCGAACAACGATCATAAAAACCGATGATTAGAAATTTGCTTCTCACGGCGAGAGAAGGTCCAAGAAGCCAAAATGGGGAGCCAAACTCACTTGACCCTTGCCCGCATCAAAGAGCAATACTGTATCCGACGTAGACAGAAGAGTGTTCCGAAACATCTGGCCTCACAGATCTTCCCACAACTGAGGTAATAAATGGACAGAAGCAACGAATACCAGCGGAAACACCCTTGAAGATAACCCGCATGTCGAAGCGACTTTTCATCCTTTTTTGCCTGTCGGGCTGATGATGGTGCCCTGACATCATGAACACTTCCGACTGGCAAGCCATGGTAACCGGAATCTTCTTCCACTGTTATGAAGGACCTAGTCTTCTATATGGGTGGCATTCGAAGACAGATCGAGCCAATGAATAGCGTTATCGAACTGCAGCAACTCCTGTGGAGGCGTACTCCTAGCACTGACGTACCAGCAGGTACCACGAAATGGCTCTTGCACTTATCGTCCATGTCTGTCCCAGAGCCCACTCTCCTGATGATGAGGACACGCAAAACAGTCGGAGAGAAAAGAGGTTGACTCTGGCGCTGTCTGTTCTAGTAATGGACAAGGATGGGCTGCATACCTTGATGTAGACCTGGTTAGTAATCGAGGTACTGCCGCCCAGTAAAATTAGCCTGGAGTCATTTTAACTATCTCCGCTTGCTCCAAGAAAACGAAAGACATCTACAAAACCACGAACAACCTTCTTTTGCACTGACAGCCCGATATGGGCTGGGTGGAAGTGGTAGTCTTCATTGCAGCTGCTTGCTATTTTTTCCGCCGATACCCCCGCGACGTGGCTGAGTTTAAACCGTCTGCTTCGACGCCGTCGCGTGCTCCGACGGAAGATGTGAAGAACAGGGATATTGAACCGGAATCTACTCAGAGAGTAGAGTCCCCATCGATAAAAGAGAATAATAACACTTCACAGGAAGAGGAAGGAAAAAGAACTCCCAAAGCATCCCTACCTAGTGCACTGATGGCTGAAGTGCCGACACTGCGTTTGGATGGCGATGAAGCCGACAGCAATGCAGGCTCCCCTACAGAACAATCTGGACAGCAACAGCCTGTGCCTGTATCAGTCTTGATTGAAAAAGAGAATGAACGTCCCCGCACTGCCGACAGCGTCTTGATGCCTCCTCCACCGCTACCAGCATCTCGACTCCAGTCGGCAACGCAGCAGCAACGGCAGCTTGGATCAAATAACAGTCTCAACCGTCCACCAACCGGGACAAGGCTGTATCCTCCGCGCCCGATGTCAAGTCCTAGTTCTACGCTCCAACCCCCGCCATCAGCGGCATCTTCCCTTCGCGCCCCACCGAACAATCGCCTCACAAGTAACAGCACACTCTCACCCGCTCAACTTGTCGCGAAGCCTTCGAAACCGTCCCGAAAAGTGATCCTCGAACCGGGATACTCCCCTCTCGATTGGGCAGCGCTGACTTCAAACCCAAACAATAATCTACGGGGAGCTAACCTGCCTCCGAATCTAATCCGAGTGACACCGTCGATGCTGAAGGTACAAAATGGGCGGAAAGGCCGTGATGCATGGACATCATATCAGGGGAAGGTATACAATATCACGCCCTATCTCCCGTTCCATCCTGGGGGGAAGGGAGAGTTGATGCGAGGCGCGGGTAAGGATTCTGGGAAGTTGTTCACTGAGGTTCATCCGTGGGTGAACTGGGATGCAATGCTGGGCGAGTGTCTGGTTGGTATACTGGTTACCGAGCATGAAGGGCGAGAACAGGGTCAAGGCAATGAACTCGATGCGATGGATTGACTTGCATTGTTTTGTCGGATAGACGGGTATACCCTGCTTAGCGTTATATGCATATCTAAGATACCCTTGAAATTTCATAGAATGAAAGAAAGAAGCTGCAGTGCATTTAACTGGTGTTGCGTTGTCTTCCAATCCTCCACAGTAGTACCATGATGATGCCACCATATCTAAGAACAGTCACATCCCAAAACATAGGACATGGGAGATTACAACTCATCCTTCGAAACCCCCTCAATACCCACCAACTCCGTTTCAAAAATCAGCGTTGCACCACCCGGAATCGGCCCTACTCCGCGCTGCCCATACCCGTATTCAGGGGGGATGGTGAGAGTTCGTTTCTCGCCAACACACATATCAAGGAGGCCTTGGTCCCATCTAGAGCGACGAAAAGCGTAAGCTAACCAGTTTCATTTCAAGAAAAAGAGAAAAGTAACAGATAAATGAAAGTAACCCCAAAAGGAAACTTCTGAGAGAAGAAAAGAGGGGGAAAGAAAAGAAAGAAAACAAACCCCTTAATAACCCTCCCACTCCCCACCTTAAACGACAATGGCGCATGCCGCTTATAACTAGAATCAAACTCCGATCCGTCAGCCGCCAGCGTACCCCTGTAGTGCACCTGTATCGTGTCGCCGCTGGTCGTCTTGCGGGTGCATTCGAACGTGTGGGTTTTCTCGATGCCGAGTTCTGCGGCTGATGCGAGGGTGGCCAGGATGGAGATGAAGGAGAGAAGGGAGGAGATTGGGAGGTGCATTTTTCCCGTTCTTCCTCTTTTGTTTATTTGGGTCGGTTGTTGGTTTGCTTTGAAATGGGCTGCGTTGGAGTAAGGAGGTACGCAGGGAAGATGACACGGAACGGAGACAGATCTGGTTCCTGGTGGTAGATAAAGTTTGGTCGGAGATATTGAGGCTAATTGATAAGATCTTCGACTGCTTCTATCCTTGTACTTGCTTATCCAATTGCCCACGCTTTTCCGAATTCATTCCAAGCAGGCTGGATCTAGTCAAGATGTTCACATCATTCTATATCCTAGTTCTGCTCTACAGGAGTATCCTACCATCTACGAGCATTGACCAGAACAGGCTATTTAGCAGAATCACACAATTGAGAACTTTTTATCTAGCTAGGTCGTATATTTCATGTACATAGTCATCGAGAAGACAAAATACCATCAATACATGGAAATAATTCGTTCCCGCCAATATACTCCAGAAAACGCCCCACAAAATAATCAAGAGGCAAATGGTGCGCCATATATACATGCAAATATGCCGATATAGAGTACCGAAATTTCCAGATTCGGAGAGACATAGATGAGACGTAAGAAAATAAGATATAGATGCGGTGATCGGTGGAGTCGGGTTGGAAAGATGTCAGTATTCATGAAAGCAGTCAAAAGGTGAAAGCAACCCCACATGACAAGAGGGGGTAAAAATATTTATGCCCATTTACCTAGCAACGCCATAAGTGCGGCACCCAGACAAAGCATAATGAATGCTGCGAGAACGACTCGGAGAGGCGCGTTACGCATGGACGAGCTAAACATGAATTCGTGCGCCATCAGTTCGACGAGAGCGGTGTATATAAGAATTCCTGCGGATATCGAATCAAAAACACCGTTGACGATCAAGGTTGTCCGGCCCTCAGGTGGGTAGCTCTTGCGCACGCCAAGGCCAATGGCGATGGCGATCGGGGTGGTAATCCCAAAAGCTAAGCCTAGCAGGAAGGGCGTGTATTTCTTAGACTCGGGCCATGGTGCAGTAGCCAAACGGGAGCCTAGACCGAGTCCTTCGAAGGTCTGATGGAAGACGAGGACAATGTATAGTGTCGTGAATTCGCTTCCGGACACAGCAAGGGTCAAACCGATAAACACGGAATGGAAGATGATCCCGAATTCCAAGATGAAAATGGACGTCAGCTGTGCTGCGTATTCTTCAACGCTCATTGTGACGCTCTTTTCGGCTATTTCCACTCCAGCATGATCGCGCGAGTGGCCTAGATGATCATCGCCGGGGATGTGATTCTTAGCCTCACCCAGGCCTTCACCATGCGTTGTGCCAACCACATCCAGATGTGAATGCACTTGATTCTCGACATCGTCGTCGTCATCATCATGGTGATGGCCCCAAAAGTGAGAAAATCGCATGACCATGAGTTCCACAAAGAACAAAACAATAATCGTCATGAGGATGATGCCCTCAGGCCAGCTGTACTCAGTGATAGGGCCTGTCAGGCAGGGATTTGTCAAAGCCTCTTCGGCCGGAGCAAGAAGGTGGATGAATGCCGTGGCAATGATGACCCCAGACCCAAAGTATTTCGCTATGAAAAAGGCCCAGGACAGATACCCCGTGTTTGCTCCCATGCGACTTGCCACGATGGGGAAGAGGGCACCAAATGTGGAGCCCACCATGATAACGAAGATTGAAGAAATACGCAGCCCCATGCGGCCGTCGTACCCGTTGCCCGTGTCGCAGGATGGTCGAGGGCCATTGTCGTCGTCCCGTATGAAGAGGGTGTGAAGAAGTTCGGGGTCCATCTTCGGCGCTGGACCAAATGACGTAGAACACCTAACACAGGGGGGAAATGTTCGGATACTGGATAGGCGAGGGAAACACGCTAGAAGTGCAGTTTATATTTGGATATGGCTTTCGATAGAAGAAAGAAACAAAGAAGTGTGGATATGACAGCAGCACCCCTGGCGAGTAGAGGATCCTCTGAACGGATGATCGATGCAGTGACCAAGGGGACAGAGTGCGTGAAAGGCCAAAAGCACGAAGATGACTGGGCTATGAAAGAGAAATACTCCGTAGCTGCAGGATAGGATTCACAAAGGACCCTGAGGACAGGGGTTAATGACGACGACGGAAGGAGGATGAGAGAACGGAACGGCTCTCCCATGGCGAGAGTGGGAGAGACGAATGGCGAGGAAAGAGGTTCCATCGGCGGTCGAGGACCTTGGAGGACGGTATCCACGGCGTTGACCACTGCAAGACGTCAAAGACCGCAGAGAATGCAACCTGGCTGAGGACCTTGGGAGCCGCGATGACTCCGCCGCCGCTTATTGGCGGGACTAGTCAGCCGCCGGTCACGTGTGTGGCCGAGCCCTCGGGAGCGGCTGCATGTCAACGCCCATCCTAGCCCTAGCCCGCCCTAGTCCAGTAACAGCTAGCCTGGAACAGCGCCTCCGGGGCTGTAGCCTAAGAAGGCGACACGCTGAGATGCCGGGGAGTTACCTGCCTAGGTGTTCTCGCAGTTGCACAGCTGCATCCTCTTCAGACCTGGATGCGCCAAGCTCTGAATCAAATGATCATCAGGAGATACCGTTTACTTAATGGTGGTTAAACTTTGACCACGATGCAGATGTCCAATCATGAGCTGGACTCATCTACATGTGAACTCTGCTGGTAAACTCGGCAAAGAAATCACTAGAGGGGTAAATGTGTTATGGTTTTCAAAGTTCGGCTGTACACATGAAGAAAGACAAACAAAAGATAGCTGTGAGTCTCACACATACAAGGTCCTTGTATCTCATGTCGGTTCCTGTTTGCCAACATGCAACTTGGTCTTATAGATGTCCCCGGGCCTAGCGTCGTGTCCCCTAGATCTTGGCGCTTTCGATATTTGGTCCATGTCTCTGTATCTGACAGGTCAATAATTGAATATAGACCTAGATAAGGTGTAGATAGAGTTCATGGACGCCTAGGGGTATACTGAAGACGAGGGGAAAGAAGGCACCAGCTCCAAGTCGAATTCCGTATTCGCATCCGCATATCTGGAATTAACTCAGCCCAATCATTGAATAACTTGAATAACCTAGGGAATAAGGAAGCTTGTGAGCATCACGACAGCAGATGGTGTTATCACTTATGTACGCTGCGTAGTACGTACAGCAAGAGCTTGGCGACAGCGGTGAGGTCATCCCGAGAACTTAGCCTCACGCCCCGCGAAGTCCATACCTAACGCGACCTGGTGGCTTTTCACTTAACTTTTCACCATACTTTTCTCCCGCTTGACAGATAGGCAAATTGCCGGTAAACTCTAACTCATCCCATCTCTTACGTGTCCGTACGGTTGTTACTGCCAAACCCTCGCATCATACCCCGTACCATGGCTCCGATTCGGAGATATCTCAGGATCAGCAAGTACTCCGTACTTGAATGTCGCATTTACCTAGAGAATCCTTCAGACGTGCGATGGCTCTTGGACCGTCGAGATCCCGTTATTGTACGAGTATTCTCCGCTATTCGACCTCTGGTGCTGCCGAAGCTACGCGAGGAGAACGCGAGAGCAATGGCGAAGAAAAAGGATAAACCCGTCAAAGACGTTATAGTCGAAGGTAGGTCCCCAGCTACTACCATTTGCTATCAGATAGCACCTGAAACTGATGAATCCGGGACGGGCAGATGAATTTGAGGTCGCTATATTCCTCCGTGAATCTCGCACGCGTCACTCTCTCCTTACAAAACAGAAAGCATTCGAAGGGGCAGGCGATACGAGTCAAAAGAAAACCGCGCAGACTGGTTCAAATGCTTCAGCGAATGCTCCAGCCAGGATCTTGGTGGAGAGTGACAGCGGGTCAGAATTTGATTTGTATAATGTCCCCGAAGCCTCTAGGGATATTGGCAGTGATATTCCATCCAAACGTCGGCGAGAACCTGAGCAACTGGGTGCCTCACAGGAGGATACCCATACATCGAAGAGAAAGAAGAATCTTGATACCGCAGCTGATGAAGATAAGAAGCTGGATTTTCATACGAATTACGAGAGCTTCAATATCTGCGGATGGGTATTGTGCCTCCTTGTCACGCGTCGAGGCGAGAAGGTTGTCGCCAAAACTGCTGCATCGGAACCACCGAGGCAAGCTCTGATGGAAGAATGGATTTCTACCCAAGCGGAAGCGAATCCTGACGAAGTTTGAGACGTAACACTTGGAAAACCTGAAGTGGTACGAGACGGTAGTGTGCACACTGCACACTGTACAACCTCAAAGGGTCGACCTGTCAACAGGTTTGCTGCCTACGTAAAGGAGGTGCGAAATCCAAACACCCCTGTTATTCGCCCGAGAACAGGCTCGGTTTGAGGCATTTCCTCGCTTCTCTACGAGGTTACTCCGCGGAGTGCAAAGGTACACCGTGGCCAGAACAAAGAAGAGACGAGAGAGATGGTCACGCGGTCGTTGAGCGTTTTCCCTTGGTCGAATCACAAAAGGGGTGACAGTACCGGCGGCAACTAATGCAGCTGAGTTCGGACACATTGTGGATTCCGTTACTACCGTTGGCATTGGCTAATTTTTTGGGCTAAAGCCCCTCTCGAGCATCAAATTATCAATAGTCCTCAAAATCTGGAAACCTCATGGAATCCCATAAAATCAGAACCAGAACCACAATAATAGCAATTCTTCAAGAACTTCCCCACACCTCCCTCGGTATCTACCTAGGTACTACGGATACATATTAATGCGTCAGGAACATTCCATCCCTGTGGCCAAGGAATGGAACAATCCAAAACATTCGCCTGTATATAATTATTGATGGATACGTATTACAATCCGGACAAGCCGACCCCAACCCCACAACGGACGGAAAGGGCTGCCACGAGGGAGAAAAAAAAAAGGGTTGGAAGTTAAAAAGAATATTCCATTCGATGGATACAAGGATCCGAGGATTTGGGACGAAGGGATTTATAAAGAATGATTGCTCCGTGCTGGACCGATTCTCGAGGTTTCAGCCATGTATCTTGGCTTCGGTTTTGGGAATTATTCCTATTCTTGTTAGTATCATTATTATCACCGCAGTGTGTTGCAGTGTACAATGTATAATGCACATACAGTACAGATGCATATCATGGTACTGATTATTGCATGCATATTATTATTGTTGATGGTCAGGCATATGCTGCAGCCTGCCAGGGGTTGGGTTGTATCACATTACATTGTACTCAGGAGATTGTATCCATAGATACCTACTACCTTGCTGCGGATCAAATCAATGTTAGAATACAGGATGAAGATCGGGATTTTCTTTTCTTTTCTTTCTTTTTTATTTGTTTATTTTTCCCGCATTTGTCTGCGGGGCTGGCTCAGATGACGGTGGCATGGCCTCTGATGCCGTCTCCTAAATTTGAAACTTTTTTTTCTTTTTCTTTACCTTTCCCATGCATCATCTTGCATTGCATATGCAAGTCATTATATGAAATGCGGAGAAGGGGGTTGAAAAAGAGTCCTCAATGCGCGAGATCTTCGACTCCTTACATGGAGGGTAATTAAAGTACATTTTACTGGTCACATTCAGATTCGGCAATAGGCTGTGATTTTGCCTTTTTGGGTTTCTGTCTACCGCCCCTGCGGAGTCGTGCACTTACTCCGGAAAGCAGGTGGTTCCGAGTCTTCCACGGTACCTGCATTTGTGCCTGCAGTGGCACTTTAGCACTCGATATCTATACGGTATAGACTGGAAAATCCTGAAAGTAGGTGGGGATCGTGGAAACCACGGAAGAGCTAGAAATATAGAGATATAATTTACGTATATACCTGTTATAATTATTGATAGTGGCAGAGAATAACGTCATGCCAGTGCTCTCTAGAGTTCAACCGTGAGAGCAGAAGTAAATTGCGGTCCGAAAGTAGACACAAAGTAAACCAATAGCATTTCCCTCTTTTTCCGCCTGACTTCGATAATTCTCTGTGGGAGCGCTAGTCTCATTTCCAGACTCCCGGCGTCATCCTCGATCTGAAATTCTGAATCCGAACCGCCCGGGAAGGATGTGGTATTAATCTGTGTGGGGTCGCAATTTAATAGGGGCGAGTGTTGTGTGGCTGGGAGACGCTTTCCGTGGCAGACACAGCCACGGTGACAGACACTGAACGGTTCCTTGATGGTTAATGTCAATTATTTATTATCGTTAGTTATTAATACAGTAATCGTGCCTGTTCTATCCATATCCGCAACCGCTGGTCCGGTGGCCAATTTAGCATTCGCATTTCAGAAGGTAGAACACACAGCCAACGCACGTGCGTCCCTGGAAGGATGCCTCTCGATCGCGCCAGGATCAGACAGCTGTCAGAGTCTCAGCTTACACCGGGGACAGCTTGGACTCAGGCTGATACGAGCAGGAAGTCGTCAAGTGACACAGTGAGGAGTCATGCCCAGTCCTGCATCCCTGCATGATGTTCCAGTGACGTATGACCATGACAACGGCGTTTGTCGTGATATAGCTGATGCATATCATCCATCTCCATCCTGCTGGAGACTGGAGTATACGACGGAATTATTCGTCGCCACAGGGTTCATGATACGACCCAATCAATGTGCTAATGGCAGGGCGGATCGGATGGGCAAATCCAAGATTACTCCCAGTTCCAACCTTTCTCTTTCTTGTTGACCTCGGTATCGGAAGATGGGAAAACCCGTCGAGAGATCATGATTGAATCTCCCAGTCGGAGGATTCACGGAGTGCTGATGATTATTATTTGCGGACGCACAGCCGTGGACTGTGGAAATCGTCATAATGGAGTTACGATCCATACACTGCCGCCTGCATCCGCAGTACTGCAGCAGCAGTAACATCCTGACTCGCGACTTGTCGGGACTTGGTGGGCTGGCCGAGCTATGATGACATCGTCCGGCTTCCAGGATGCACGGCGCAGCCATTGCGGAAGGAAAGCGTTATCTCGATGTTCACGCGAGACTTCCTAATTCGCCTGCGCGCGCGGACTATCATCGACAAGAACCAAGACTCAGAGAGAGTCAGAGCCATTGCTTATGATTTATGATGGGATTATAATGATACCCCGGAACGATCTGCAGCCAACGCACGTGTTGCGCCTGTTCAGCCTTTCGGGCTGGCTCCAGCCTAGTGTCAGTAGCAGAATAATACGAGTATATGGATGCTATTATTATGCGGTTATTATTATTGCCATCATTTCGTCACCGCTTATCTCGTCGTTATTGCCGCCTAATTTTAATTATTTATCCATTCTTGCAGCGTAATAACGCACCGTACGCCCGCATATCGACCGAGAATGCAGGCATCATCGATAGTGAGCAAGCCGTGGTTCACGGTGGAACTTGCGGGAGGGTTTCTAGATGCTTTTGCGCTTTTTGGAAGGGCGAATCTTGGTTCCATGATTCCGCTGACAGGGTCGATGTCAAATAGAGTGTGAGAAGCCGGCTTGGGATCTTTCTGACGGGACGGAAAGGGGGTGATTAATCTAATTGCCATAATTTCTGTTACCATTATTGAATATTCTCCCAGGCCCCTGTTCGGCCGCCCTGCGAATGCCCCTGTGGAGCCGCGTGGGTTCTTTTCAGATTACGATTAATTTCAGCGGTCAATTATTGTGCTACATCCGCACGCTCTCGTCGCCAGGTTGGATATTTAAGGATGCCACTCTGCAGACACGTCGTTTCGTGCGTTTTTCTTTCTTCCAAACTTCGTCGTCCCAGGACTTGCCAGCTGCTGGTTTATATCCTCCTATATCCTCTATATATAAGCCAAGCCAAGCCAAGCCGCTTTTCCACAGACCTTCTCATACCTCAACACCATCACCATCACCATCACAACTACCAACATGCCTTCAGCCGGCAGCCCCTCGTCCAAATTCCCTCCGTGCCCTGGCCCGCCTCCCTCGGGCCCGCTTCCCCCGCTGCCCAAGTAAAGGGCCTCCTGCTCTACGAATTGCATGATCCAAGCGTATCTGATTGGCTCACCTGCATTGGAACTGGATGCGGATGACGGGGCCAACAGGCTGGCCTAGTACGCTTACGATATGGGAATCGCGTCCTCCGCGCATGGCTATAACGAAGTACAGAATGGGCACACCACTTATGGACCTACGGACCGATATACAACAAACAATATACAAATAACATCGACCTCTTAATCCTAATATCAACCTTGGACCCGTTCGTGTCATCGCCTTCGGTTGTCTATCCTACCGCTTGACCGATCCTCATTGTCTTCGCCATGTCTGAGCATTACTCGAAAAAGCAGGACTATGGAATGCAGCCCGGGCTCACTAGCGCTGACAATGACAAATGTCACTCAGAAAACGGCGTGCCAAGATCTTCTCCCTTTCGACCCCGGGTATTGTGCCGGCACAACCACCTGTGCAGGGTTTCTCTTTCTTCCCTCTACTCCAATGCTTGGTGATTTCATCCGATGCAACAACTCGGTGTTGATCATTGGCCAACCAGACGATCAGCACACGCTGCGGACGTATGGCAGACGCCGTGCAGGGATCACCCATGACGCGGTCGTTTGCATTGGCTCTTCGATCTCAACATCCTGTACCGCGTCAACCATGGCTCGTTGCAGCTCCTTCTGCGAGCCATCTGATATTTCCTTTTTGGCGTTCGGCCTATGGCTTGTGATTTTGGCATTCGGAGCCGCGTTTGGGGTTTTCTTTGTTCTCTTTGTCTTTTCCTTCATTCACCGCCACCTGCTGGTCAGTCTGTCTATGGAGATTCATGTCGGTTGATCCTTTTTGAACCCGTGTTTACAGTTTTGTAATATTTCTTGATTGTTTCCCCCTCATGTAATATAATATAACACTATCATGCGGAATTATAGAACCAACACCGCATCCTATGAACATGGAAATACAGAGCACATGGTCGCATTGACTTGGATCGACTGGCAATAATAATTAAACCTGCAGCAAGTAGTAACTTTTACCTTCGTACTCTGAAGTCATTATCCGTAGGTAAATCGCCCAAATACCCTAAGTCTTGACGTATACTTTAGCTAGGGGCGTCCGTCTAACATACATGCCTGCCAGTGGGATCACGCGCACCGCCGCAGTGACAGGAAAGTGGACACTTACCCCTGTCCCTTCCAGGTGCTGCAGAGCAATAGTCAAGAGCCCAAGCCACCCGCGCTATGGGATACGTGCATGGTTAGCCTAACATTATAGTGTTTCGACATGTTGATCCCGTCCTAGACCGGTAGATGGATGGGTAGATAGCTATCTTCTTCATTTCCGTTCATGCGATGCTAATGAAGGAATCATATTGCATTACCTAGTTCCACTACATATACATATACGCATGCATGCATACATACAATGGCTGCATTGCATTGCATTGCGCAATAAATCCATCTAGGGTAGAGCGGAAGGTAATAATATATGATATGATCTGATTCCGATGTGACAGGTCATATTAATTAATTTAAATCTAAATCTCGGATGTACAACATGAATAAACATTGATTAATGCATTGAGTTTGCGGTATTGATGGGATTAGTTCTATAAACAGCGCCTACTACCTGGGTAGCTTTCGTTTCGACGGTTTTGACCTTTGACTCTCAGGGGCTTGGATGGGGAATGCTTCTTTCGGCTTGGGACTGTTGATAATGAGAGATCAAATATGGCGTGAGGGGTTTATTGGCGTGTTGTCTTGTATGCTCTGTTTATGAAGTTTTATACATGGGAGGCTGTGCGCTATACGCCGTACTCTGTCATTTGCAGACTTGAACCAGAGCTTTCAATGAAGAGTTCACTTGCGTATTTGACATGATCGAGTACTCTCTCCGTATTGCTGACAGATCTGCGTTGTACGCAAGATAAGACAACCGATCTAGGCGATATCAGGGGGGCATCATGCTTTCACAAGGGAGCAGATACCAATCTCCCTGATAACTACGCAGGCCGCTGACGGAAGCTTGGGGTTTTACCGTTTTGCTTACTCCTGCTGCTATGCCGGGAAAGCCATTGCTGCCATCAGCACCTTCTGGTGGCTTGTGGAGGTTATAGTCCTTAGGGAATGATGCCAGAAATGGCATCATTAACGGCCATTTACGGCGTCATTTCCACCATGTTTACCTTTGTGGGTTTGCCGCTTTTTATTGGCAGTCCTGTACTGCCAGCTCCTTCATGGTTAACACAATAGTAAGCGAGCCGGCCTCATTCTCATGCTGTAGAAGCTGCTGGGTCTTAATAGATAAACACTCTGTAGCAGCCATCTGCCGATAAGACTGCTCTCATGTGCAGCCCGTAGATCATGAGCTTCTTTCTCAAGAAGAATGGTCTCATTCAATGCTATTTCAGATTCTTTAATAATCTTCTCCAACCGTGTCCCATCGAGAGATGGAGGACTTTGTGTATGACCCCAAAGAAGCCCCCTAACCTGAGATGCCTGCTTCTGTAAGTGATGAAGGTTATGAGGTGTTTTTGGTGCTGAATTGGTTGATCGGCTGCTTGGTGGTGCGTGTGATGCCCGTCCCAAGGGAGTACCGAATACCTGGGGTACGGGAATAGCGAGCTCTTTTCCCGGGCATGGTACCTGTATTCAACCTGACCTTGACGGTCCATGATGAGGATATACTATTTCGGACAGGTGGATTATCTAATAATCCGATCTCGGGGATCCGGACTATATATGTTCCGGGAGGAAGGATGACCATACCCGAGTATCCGGGATCCTGTATATAGAAGAAAGCAAGCAAGCAAGCGATTAAGTGCATCAATTAGAGCTTCACGATGTACTAGAGACGGCAGTATATCGGTATAGAGCGTTCGCCGATCCCTACGAATCCTACGGTATCCTTTTAGTATTTGATATCCAGACGCCGCACCCCTGATCCACATCAATCTCCATGCGTGGGGAACAGCGGGCCGGGGCTACATAGAACCAAAATACCGGGCCTTCCTAGCTAGAACAACTAACTCAGCAAGTTTGACCCCATCAACATGCAACAAAGAGGTTTATCGCTCATGACTCATAATCTTTTTTGAAGTTCTTAAGTTTCGGCCTGGAAGCGTAGCGGGACCCTATCTGTTTGATCCCATTTCCCTTCCATCCTGAATTGATTCTCTGACGACCGAAATGTCCCAAGATCCGAAACCAGATATATTCACTTACGCCAACTTTGGCCTTCAAGCTCTATGTCATCGAGCGAGCACCTTACGGCAGAATATTCCATGTATTTGTGATCCAGAACAACGCCCTGCCTCTGGTAGCTTCAACTGGGTTATCTTCATTTCTTTTGAAGATAGAATACGATGAGTCTTTAGATCCCACACCCCAGGACATTCATGCCAATGGAACTAGGTATGAAGCTACTGGCCAGTGAAGCTGCCATACTCCGATACCTCAAGGCTCATAGTGATATTCCAGTCCCAGAAGTATATGACTATTGGTAATGGACTCTCTCAGACCACATTCTACCAGTCCTAACCTCCTGCAGTGCCTCGTCTGACAATGACATCGGAGTTCCCTTTATTTTCATGAGTGAAGCGCCTGGTTGGCTATTGGAAGAAGTTTGGAGACCAGTCGGTTCTTCCCAAAGAGACCTGGACAGTCCCTGCTAGGCAGTATTACCTGGAAGCTTTTACAGTTGCGGTTCAAAAAGATTGGCTCACTCTTTGAAGAAAATGGGTCCGTCAAAATCAGGGAATGCCTCTCGCGTGGTCACATATTACATGAACGCTATGCTTTAGATATCCCACGTGGGCCTTTCACTTCTGAGGCAGAGTTCTATGACAGTCTTGTTTCTGTCAGGGCCCTTGCCATGTAGACCAGGACGAGCACGTGAATTTCCTTATTTGGATTAGCGTGGTGCGTGAATAGGAATACGTCGTCCAGCTTCACGTAGATCTCTTCCTTTCTCCCTCCTCTCCATGCTTGAAGTTCTCGTCGATAGCTGCCTAGATAGTCGAATAGCATCCTATTCATAGTCTAGTTGAGTTCCGTGACAGTTTCCGCATTCTTGGAGCATGCAGAGATTTTGCAGCCATCACATCACTGCTTTGTTACTCCTGTTCCTTTGCAGGAAGACTATCAATCCAATATACAATATAGGAACGCTGTTAACCTATGGAATGACTTGGTGACTGTTGATGCAAAACTGACTCATCAGACAACAGACTGGATTACATTATTGCTGGTGATGCTCTCCATGACATCATACACAAACTTGAACTCCCAGCCATCAATACAGACTTTTCCATTGTGCCATGCTGATCTGGGCATAACAACATATATGCCGATGATAATTACAATATTACATGTATCATTGACTGGGCATTCACTTCATCTATCCCTGAGTCTATGCTGTTAGCCACCCCAGGATTGCCACAATATTGTGACAGATTCAATTCAGAGTTACATTGCCCTTCGTAGATGGCTTTATTGCTTCTACGCCCATCTATCAAAGAGAGGTTATGTTACGACCTAGCTCCTAGGGTGCATTCTAAGGACTAAACTGCTGCACTACCGGCAAAAGACCAGGATATCAGGTCGTAAGACCTGATACTGCACTCACTTATATAGTACTTGTTTTCCACGCCGTCACAGGTTAGCCCACAGATACCGCGAATCACTTGAGCGGGGCCAGGTTTCCTGGAGTTTGAGTCGGCTCCTCAACCTTAACTCTATCGATGACTACGACCTCTTCACTACTATATGGTACTTCATATGTGGCCTGGAGAGGACTTGGGAGAATACTTCCTACGGCAGCGGTGCTCCTCTCACTACATCCAGCCTTATAACAAAATTCAAGAGGAGGATCAGCCACTGTCAAAAACTGAAAAGGATGAAAATAACTATTTCCAGAACAAGAATCTCAGAAACACGATAGCTAAGAAGCTGACGCTCATGTCTGAATGGAAAACACAGTACACTGTCAAAAATCTACCGAGACTGCGGAAAGATATGTTTGTCACTTCTCCCAAACTATGGAAATGGGTCCAACGATTTATGCAGGACTGGGAAGATGGGATCTTAATGCGTCTACCCAAAATCAAGATCTTCAAGCGAATGCGCTCAACTGGGACCTCCCACAGGTCATAGGTGTCATCGTCTCTCACCTTCTCAAATGTAGAAAACCAATCAAACATTGTTGAAGGGGAAATGCCGTTTGCATTATGGTGCTCGATGTACTTGAATCAATGGTGCCTTCGCGCCATTCAGTTCCCGTGGTAACTTAGATAATGCCCAAGTTTAAACTAAAGATATTAATGTAACTTAATGCCCTCGCGACAGTATCAAACCTTATCACCTGCAACGTAGCCTAGAGGAGGCTGCCAACCAGCTGCCAGACAAGATCAAGTGTACTTAGCATAAGGGCTGAACCTTCGGAAGCATTGTATGAAGTCAACGATTAGTTCGATCACAAAGTGACCCTTATCGTACTGAGCAATATCCGTATATTGATTGCCTCTTCATGCCGTCACCGCTATCCACTTCTTACATTATAAGGCCGTTTCCAGTGATGCGCAAACACCTACATTAGGTAAGCCCTCGAGGGGAAACTTCCAAAAAAAAAAAAGACAGCTCTTTGGTAGACCCAGGTGGTGCTGAAAAAAAAGAAAAGGAAAATATGTTTTGCTCTCCGATAGGGGGAATCGAACCCCCGGCTGCCGTGTGAGAGACGGCGATGTTAGCCACTACACCATATCGGATTACTTGAAATAATTTTTATATCCATGATTAATGAGGCAGAGATCTTTTTTTCCCCTTACCAAACTTAGAAATCACATGACCATCGTCTACCTCTTCTCGAACCCATAGTTTTCTATTTGCATGGATTACGACTCTACGCTGTACGTGGTTTAGAATTATATATCTTTCGCGCCTATCTCAAAAATTTATTTCAGAATAACCACTATCTAAAATTGGTTTCTCCTGTCTGGGAGAGCTCGTTGAAATTCGTCGCATAACTGGGGCTTCATAGGCCCGCCAGTCTCATAGACTCAACGGGGCTCAATACTGTAAATATTCAGGACCTGGAATTGAAGAAATTGCTGCTATGGAGATCTAGTGGATAAAGTATCAGAAAACATGAGCATCTGATGGGGCCACACAAAATCTCAGACTGAAACTGAATGGGATACCACCATGCACAATCCCTTTGACATGTAGTTCATGCACCGCCAGCATGACCTGCATGCTCATCACCCTGGTTAGGGACAGATCATGAAGTGCATTACCCACTGACTGTTTTGTGGTGTGGATGTTACACCCCAGCTCCAGTACCAAGCACAAGTGTCTCTCATTCCGACCTTCATGGTGAAATGATCCAGCAGTGTCTGAATATATGGCTGAGCTGCCAGGCTGGAGAAGAAATGCACTTCACGCGCAGATGGGCAGATTACATCACCGTCTTGTGTTGCAACAGATGGGAACTAAGGCTGTGGACTTGCTTACGGGGCAGAGGCTTTTGGCTGCTGATGCGTGGTCTATATTCTCAGCCACGTTAGACTGATCGAAAGAAAGAAATCAAGAACCTTGGGACAGTTGTTATTAGAATTAGTGGAGAGTACGAGGCACCTGCCAACCGAGCTAAGCAGCACATCATGGGATCATTTCGTCCAGGATATCCCTCAAGTGATGAACGGGTTTACATGATGATGGTGGAGGAAGTTTTTAGCTCGGTTCCTGACCTCCACGCTTTTACTCATGTCTTCACCTGTGCAGGGGCTGGCAGCATTGCCGCTGCCATCTTCATGGGGTTCATGTCTCGATACAATGTCAATATCAATGCCAATCCTCGATCTATTGGTATCGAGCTAACTGAAGCAGACTGTATCTACCAAAGCTCTGTGAAGGGATCTCTCACACCGTCCATCGGAACTCTGAGAACGGTGATGGCCGGACTTTCCTACCGAGAACCATCACCAACAGCATTTGAGATTCTTGAATGGCTTGCTAGTGATTTTTTAGTTGCACTAGACAGCATTGCCGTCAAGGGTATGAAGGCATTAGCAGAAGGCCATGGAGGTGTTCCCATCGTCGGAGAGTCGTCTGATGCGAATATGGGTCTTTTAATCGAGGCTGCTGAGGATCATAATCTTTGATACTGCCCTTGGATTGACTGAAAAGAGTCAGACTGTGATATTTGGCTGCGAAGGAGATATGGACCCGTTGGCTTATGAGGAAATGGTGAGAGAAAACTCTGAGTGTGTTTTTAAACGTCAGGCGCAATACTTGCGACAACCCTGATGCTAATTTATACTGTGTTATTTTCCATATTTAGCGCATTTCTGTCATATCCGTAAATTAATTCTTGACTTGATTTGAGATGATCAATTTGGGGTGATGTACATTGGATCTCCTATGTATCACAGCCAGCCTACGCAGTGGATTTGCAATTCCCAGCACAAGAAGCAATAATCAAACCAACTAAAGATAATACATAGCAATGGATATGGTGAGCAGTTTGCGCAATAACAAAAACTCCATGTGAGATACCACGTAAATGAATGTTCTTGTTCAGCCGATCAAGTCCAAGAGCAACTCCCTATTTACCTCCTGATCAGAGGGGCGCCAGATGTCGGGAATCTTGATGTCCCTACTATCAAGAAGCTTTTCAATTGATGTTATCAACTCGGATCTATATCCATAATCTGGATCAAAACCGCGGAATCGGCCTAAGCTCGGAAATCGTGCGCTCAGTGATCGTGTCAGGATCATTATTCTTTGAACTGAAGAGGATGACATGCCAGCTCCTTAGAGGCTATGATGCTATACCTTCGAAGTATAAACCATAGAATCCTGTATTTTGTTTAGCCAAAGATACATAATGAAGCATAGAATTAAAAAGGAAACCATGGTGTTTGGGAGGTTAGGTTGTAGAGACGCTGTAAAAGGATTTCATATTGGAAAAGATGAACCAGTCTGGCGGTGAATGAGCTTGCAGTGAATCTAAAATATTTTCCAGCTCTCCAATAAGCATGCTTGACCCCATGTTCTTATGGTATAAAAGCTTCAGGATGTGTTAGTAGAACAAGCACGAAAGATGATGCCCGCAAACTGATAAACACGTGACAGCAATTATCAATTCCATCTCCATCTCCAACAACCACAAACCATGCGCAACAATGGTCCTAGAACTTCATGTCTGGGGACCGGCCTTTTCCCTGCCCTCAATTGATGCCCAATGTCTTGCAGCAATTGCCTACTTTTCCCTTGTGGTCCCCAAGGACCGATGGGTGCTGATCGCGAGTAGTGATCCTTCCGTCTCGCCGAGCAGTGAGTTTGAGCTGATTTCCGTTTTACCCTAAGCTCTCTAAGCTATCCTTATGGAATCACCGATCTCATGGGACCAAGGCTGATCTGTTGCTGTCTTTGAAACCAGATGAACTGCCCGCGTTGCGGAATGGGAATACCTGGGTGAGTCGGTTCTCGAATATCGTGGATTACCTCCGTCAGTACTCGGATGGGGAGTGGCAGCTTGATGGGGAACTGAGCGGATTGAAACGGGCGGATAGTATTGCGTATGTTGTTTGTTGCAAATGGTCTTTGCAATTTTGGTTGAAAAAATTTGAATGCTAATAATGACCGGTACCTAAATAAAGCTTCTCTTCCTTCATCGAAGCCCGCGGACAACCACTCCTCGACCTCTCCCTCTACGTCTCTAGCCGGAATTACTTCGCGAATACATCGCCCGCATACGCAGCTATTCTCCAGTGGCCAAACCAATGGATCATCCCTCCTAAAGTGCGCTCGGCCGCGAAAGCCCGAACAGAACACCTGGGTCTCTCGTCTCTGGATCTGGTCGCCGTCGAGGAACAGAAAGAACGGGAACGCTCCGCTGCTGTCACCACAGGACAGATACCCAAGAACCTCATCCAGAGACCGCGCGACACTGTTTCAAGCCTGCTAGGACGAACGTCGCAGCAGCATCAGTTCAAATTAGACGCCTTGACGACGGACGTGTTTGAGCTTCTCGAGACCCTCCTCGCGGACAAGCCGTATCTACTCACCGAGGACCGCGCGACAGGCCTGGATTGTCTGGTTCTGGGATATCTCTCTTTGGCTCTTTTTCCAGAACTTCCGCATCCCTGGCTTCGGGATGCGATCCGGTCCAAAGCTCCCAAGTTAGCGCGCTACACTGAGCGTATGCGCCGAACGTGTTTCGGGTCCAGCGTCACCGTTTCAGACGCCTTCAAGGATGGCAACAATAATATCGCTGACGCCGTTTCCTTGCCGTGGAAAGCTCCCGAGCGTGTCTCCTTTACTGCTATTGGGTCCACCCTCCTCAACACGCTCGCAGATGCTACACCGATCTTGAAAGACCTGCGCGTGAGCAAGCGGCTACGCGAGGCCGCCGAGTCGCCAGACTCTGGATTTTCGCGCGAGGAGAGTAAGGCCGTCACCGAATACGCGCGGGCGAAGAAGACGGATCTTCTTGTCTCCATTGCGTCAGTGGCGGCTGGCATTGCAGCCTTGGTGGGGTATGCTTTCCACGTAGGGCTTTTGACTGTGGGCAATCCTGATGAGGAAGAGGAGGAAGCATATGAAGGATATGAAGGGGATGGCACGGTGGAGGGGCTTAGCGGGATGCAGGCGGGAGATTTTCTAAGTGTTCTGTAGTTGTGATTTTCAGGTGTCGTGTACGGTTTATTCGATATCATTTAGTGTCTTTCTTGTATTTGATCTTTGGCTGGCGTTTTCTTTGTTACTTTACCAAAACTCGCCTTGATGCTTTCAAGGTATTGCTAAATGTATTGTAGTGATAGGATAGATCTAACGTCAGAGTATAGTCCAAGACTATGGAACGCGTGGCTATGAAAGATGCGTCTAGCTCATCAAGAAAGGAATTATAAAAAGAAGCGTATCAAGAGGTATATATAGGTATATGTACATTAGAGAAGATGACATCCACTCAAGACCCAACACGAAAACCCACATGTGCACTGAGAAGGTCAAGAAGGGTACTTAAGAATAGCTGCCACTGACAGGGCTAGGCCAGGTACCATTTATCTATAAAAGCCAAGAATGAACACCGGGCTTTGAAAATTTAATCCCGAAACCAAAAGAAAATGAAAAGGTGCCGCAGGCAGGTATCCAAAAATCCATTAACCAGACGAAAGGAAAAGAAATTACTCAAAGTCAATTTCGACAGTGAGGCGAACGGGGCCAGACTGCTTGTTGCCACCTATGCTATCAACGGCAGCCAGGGATTTGACGTAGGCGTTGATGATGCTGGCAGCGTTGCGCGCAATGCTGGAGCAACCCTGGCCGAGGTGGTCACAGATCTTCATGCCCTGGACCTCCATGTTGGCAGCCTGGGCCTGGATAGCGGAAACATCCCAGCCGGACCAGCCGTTGTTGATAGTGGAGGCAAAGTCGAACTCACCCCAGGTAGCAGCCCAGCCACCGAAGGCATCCTTAGGGACCTCGCTACCCTTAGCGGCAGCCCAGCCGCCCTGAGAGTCATCATCAAAGGCAACATACTTGACCTCACCAGCGCCAAGATTGAGAGTCAGAGCCGAGTTGCCGTACCAGCCATTAAGACCACCATCGGGGCCGATCTTGTTCCAAAAAACGATAGTCCAGGGTTCGGAGTTGGAGCCCTTGAATTGGGCGACGTGCTTGTATTGCGAAGCCTCCTCAGCGGCGACTTCGATGATGTTGGAACCCCAGGGGTTGCCAACGTTGCCCTTGAAGAAAATTCCGCTACCGCCAGATGCGGTCTGGCCGCCAAAGCCTTTGCGAGAGAATTGGCCATCGGCGGGAGTGGAGGTCCAGTCAGCGCTAACGGAGCCGGATGAGGATAAGGCGGTGGCAGTGGCCTCAACGGAAGAAGCAACGGAGGTAGTGGCTTCAACAGCAACCGGGGTGGGGAGATCAACAGACACGGAGGTGGTGGTGGCTGCTTCACCGGACCATTCGTTGACCCATGATTCCACGACACCGTTGATGGTGGCGTAGACAACGTCGCCGACATCACGCTTCTCCTGGTGGTGAGCGTGACGGCGCTCATGACCGTGAAGGCGGGCAACAGCGGAACCAGCCGTCAAGGCCGTGAGCAGGAGCAAGGAATTCTTGACCTGCATCTTGATCCCTTGATTTCGAAAGGATCGATTCGATAAAAAGGCGTTTATTTCTGGTCAACGGGTTGCTGCAGGGTCACACAGTGTGTAATTGTCCCGGGTAAAGCAGAACAAACGCAAAAGGAGTGTTTCAGGACCTAGAGACCCGACAAAGAGCGACCGGAGAGAGGGTAACTGGAAAAAATATCCCAGGAATTGAAGGAGCGGCAGGATTGATGAAAAGAGCGGCTTGCGAACCTAAGAACGCAGGGAGAGTGGATGGACAAGAGAAGGAGAAGAGGGTAGAAAACTAGAGGAAGAAGAAGCGGGCTTTAAGGGGCCGTTGGGCGGTGGGCCAGGGGCACGACGTTGGGGCCAATAGAAAGGGTACTTTAAATTAAGGCCAGACATTCATGCATTCCATTGGTTGGTTCCTGAAGGGCGACGCGGCTTCTTCCAGAAGCGGACTAGTGCATCGCCCAACTGGCAAATTGCGGGCCGGGAATCCGGCGAATCAGGGGCTCTAGCGTGCGTGTGTTTATTTGGGGCTGTGGTCCAGACTTGGGTGGAAATTGAATCTTCCTGCAAAAACTGCCTGTTTTCTCGATGGATCCACAATGATCACCGCATTCGGGCTAATGCCACGTCGTCTTATTTACCGTTAATTACATTAATTACCTTCACTGCCCTGAACCCTAGCCCCTGCGCATCTTCATTTTAGCCCTCGATCAACATTCGAGCCTGATCGACGAAGACGCGCAGAGTCGCACACCGTCGGAGGCCGGCATCATCCCTGACTCATGAACATAGGGCTGACTGCTTCCCCTTGCATGCGGAAATATTGCCACTGCTGCTTTGTGCCTGCTACACCGGCTTTCTGGTCTCCATCATGCGCTGTGAGATCATACCTGCAATAGCTGACATCTCGCTCCTGGCCGCTGACATGTCCATCCACATCAACCACTCATCTCTTGCCAGCTCGATTTCATATCCATATCTCATCCCAGGTGGAGACATGCCGGGTTCGGTCCGGTTTATGATCTGGCGATCTCTGCTGGCCTTTCTGGTCCATTCTACTCGGGTTGTGGCGTCTCACTGCTGCCGTCGTTGCCAGGACGAGGGTAGATGTGTTGGCAGCAGAAAGAGATGATATTGTGGAGAGACAGATAATCGTTGTGACCTCATTGCTTATAGAATCCCACCAAGCAAAGCTTTCCTGCGGTATGTGCAGTATGATATGAGTCCTGTCGTAGTGGGTATAGAAACCGATCAGGACGCCTCGCATAGTTGCGATTAGTAAGCACAATATGCCTCACACGTGACATGTTCCATTGATCGCCTTCTTCTGTGGAGCTTCACTTTGCAGACTCCACGATCCTTCTGCGTTCTCCGACAATGCCTGTGACATAGCCTTCATCAACTTAGCGCCTCATCAAGTCGATCCATACAGTTTTACAAATCCTCTCCTCGACATGGCGCGCTCTTCCGCCATCGTCCAAGAATATGCCCCCCCGCCACCGTCAACACAGACTTTGACAGTTGACCGCAAAGTGTTGTTCGAACGCCAGCAAAATGCCATCCCTCGACCCAGCGGCTATCGCGTTTCCTGGCACGCCAACCCTGATGTCGAACCGCATCATTTTGGCTCCTCTCACCCCATGAAGCCATGGCGATTGACCTTGACCAAGCAGCTAGTCATGGCCTACGGCATGCACCACGCTATGGATCTGTACCTGGCCCGCGCTGCCACTTACGAAGAACTGGCTGAATTCCACCATACGGATTACCTGGATTTTCTGCAGCAGGTGATGCCAGGTGATATGGAGAAGCCAGAAAAGAGTGAGAGCATCGTCAAGTACAACTTTGGTGACGACTGCCCCATCTTCAACGGGCTGTATGAATACTGCTCCCTCTACGCCGGGGGGAGTCTGGATGCAGCGCGCAAACTCTGTAACAATCAGTCTGAAATTGCGATCAACTGGTCTGGTGGTTTACACCATGCGAAGAAGGGCGAAGCCAGCGGGTTCTGTTATGTCAACGACATCGTCCTAGGCATCCTGCAGCTGCTCCGCCACCACCCGCGGGTGATGTATGTCGACATCGACGTACACCATGGCGACGGTGTTGAGCAGGCTTTTTGGTCCACAGACCGTGTGCTCACTGTCTCGTTTCACAAATATGATAAGGATAATTTCTTCCCCGGCACCGGGGCACGAGATAGCACGGGCCCTTCACATCCGCTCAACCCAGGAGCCCACCATGCTCTCAATGTACCCCTGCATGACGGCATCGACGACAAATCCTACATCCAGCTCTTCAAGGATATTGTCGGTCCCTGCATAGAGACGTACAAACCCGGTGCCATAGCCTTGCAATGTGGCGCCGACAGCCTCGGTTGCGACCGACTTGGCTGCTTCAACCTCAATGTCGGCGCACACGGCGCTTGCGTTGCCTACGTGAAAACCTTCAATCTTCCACTCCTTGTCGTTGGAGGTGGTGGATACACCCCGCGAAATGTCTCGCGCGCCTGGGCCCACGAAACATCCATCCTCCTCGACGCTGCAGACCTCATCGATCCCAACATCCCCGAGACTGTCACCTTCCGTAACCACTTTGGTCCTGATTACTCTCTCTTCCCGCCACTATCCGAGATGCGAAAGCTTGACAACAAGAATTCCCGCGCATATCTGAACGGCCTTGTTCAATCTGTCAGAGAGCAGCTGCGCTACATCCGTGGCGCGCCCAGCGTCCAAATGAGCTTCATCCCCCCTGATATTCTCGGTCTCCGGGAAGACGTCGAGAAGGAGATCGAAGAGGAAACCGCTCTGCTGGAAGAAGAAAAAGAGGAAAGGGAGGCTGCCGGTGCGAGTGCCCCTGCTGCTGCGTCCGCTGTCGCCGCCGCGGCACGATCCGGTGTACGCGGTCATCGACGGCGAGATTTAGAAAGAGGAGCTGGTCATAAGGGGGAGCTATATTCATGATTCCCCTTGCTCCTCTTTTAACTTTGATTTGTTTGCTTGTTCCTATCTCAAAAATCCGGTACATAAAACTGATTTCACCTTGGTTGGTCTGATACTGGGAGTGTATGGCGCTATGAGGAAGGGGGGAAAGCAGGTAGGCGTCTCGAAGATGTTTTCTTGGGTTTGATTTTGATCTTTCGGTCATAGATGGAACATATACCCTTTATTGATACATGGAGTACTATATCAGAGTTCATCAATGCAAATACTTCTAGGATGAAAGGGTTCTCATAATTTATTTAGATGCAATTGGTATCTGGTTTCGTAAGAGATTAAGTGTACAGCGTAACGAACAGGTTTTGAAAGAATGATCAATTGAATTCTTCAGGCAAATCCGTAAGGACAGGACATATAAGATAGGACTCCTATTAACCACCATTACTACAGTGTCAGTAGATTGGTTCAATTTCCCATCCATGCATCGGGATATATATATATATATATAATCTATATACCAACCCCTACGAGCATGAGGAAGTAGTATCCTGACTTGCGTCAGGACGACTTTGACTCGCCAGGAGAAATGTAGAGGAAATGAAAGCCCTTTGTAAGATGAGATGGGATAAGCATCTCATCGTAATGATGGATCATGGATTATGCATGGCCTGTATTCCATTCATAGGGTCTTCGACAACCCCAGTCGCAGATAGAAAAGTTAAGATCACCAAGTACGGGGATGAAAAAACTTCGTCTCGTCTCGGGATATACATAGGCCGAGTAGCTAGCTGGATATCCCTGTCTGGTCTTATGGTGGCTTATTCTGGTGCAGTGCAGGGCTGGTTGGGAAAATTGGCAAAGTAAAGACAAAGACAGAAGCTGGATATATGGATAGCATACCTAGTCATTCTTAGTACATATAAAGATAGCATCACCCAAATAAATAAATAAACTAAAAGAAAGGAGAAAGAAAAGGAAACCCCCCTTTAATTCGAATTCTCTATTCAATTCAATTCACAATATAAATAAATTAAAATGCTTACAACATTTCTCACCACCTCTGTTTACCAGCTCCATTCACGCCGCCTCTTCGAATCGGGTATTTAGCACCAAGGTAGAAAAGTCCGTGTTAAACAAGATATGAAGGAAAAGGATTGTTAGAAAGCTGTGTTGAACACGCTTATTTCGTTTTGGCAAATCGTTCTCTCATTGGAACCGCGCAGGCCAATCTACGAGCTGCCGTCGAGATGTAACAACACATCATAATATTGACTGGGTCGTGACTGGTTGCTTCCCTACACTGTTGGCTGGGGAGGGGATTAACAGCTGGAACATAATGGAAGGTTCCAAAGCGCATGTCTTGCTGATTGCCCTGCGTGGTATGAGAAATGGGAAATTTCACACCCCATATTTTTTGTTTTATATATATCACAGATCGATAAGGTTGCCCTCAGCAGGGGTTTTTTGGTTTTCTTTCTGTTCTTTATCATTTTTCAGTTCACCGGCAGACGAAGTTTTCGACTCCGAGGAGCGAGAGTGAGGCGGAATTTCGAACTGGGAAGACTCCTTCTGACCTTTCACGATTGGCGTAATGGCCAAGATCTGCTTTGCGGCAAGTTCGGGGTTGTGCATGTCGCTATTCGGCGATTGATTCATGTCACTTTCTGGACGACAAAAAAGAGAGCTCCGGACTTTTGCATGAGACTTACATCTGTGCGTTTATAATCCAATCGAGATCCTCTTCCCCTTCATCGGGACCCTTCGGGCCCCCTTGGACACGACGGAATAATCTGGGATGCCACTCCACCCCCTCATCGGCCCGTTTCGCGGCTTCCTCTCGTTGGCGATCTTCAATCTTGCTCTTTTCTTCTGTTGCCACTTCGTGGTTCCTGGCGATGATTGCTCGGACCGTCGACTGCCATAGTCTCTGCGACTCACGCTCGGACTGTTCTTCGATGGGTCGAGCTTTAGGAGGGGTTTGCTTCGCGTTCGTCGCCTTGAATAATAGATCTTTGTGATTGCTCTGGATCAAGTCAGACAAAGCCTTGTTCCCGAAAGTAGGAACCGAGGAAGGGGGCACATACGTGAGGACTCTTGATGTACATCTCCCCATTCCACAAACCAGAAAGCTCGTAATATACTTCTCCGGTCTTCTCGTTCTTGATTGTCCCACCGATGGCATTGTAAGTACCAGAGAAATATCCCTTCGTCTTGAATTCTATATCCGCCACTAAATCATTCTCGGGGCATTTCACGTAGCTATGATCTCCGAGCTCGTACTTCATTTTCCCAAAGAGAATGCCACGGGCGTACATATTGGGTTGGGTTAAAATGCTGCCGTTCTGTTAGCCTCGGTTGGAAACAGAGGGGGGAAAAGACCGGTTCGACCGTACTATCTCTCGCCCTTTTCCTTATTTTTACCATGATTCAACAATCGTAAAATGGCGATTCCCTCCATGATACTTGCTGCCGAGTTTCCGAGGAATCGACTGCGCGGTTTCAACGTGCCATCTATCCGGATGTTATGCTCGGGAGCCATGAAGAAATAGCTCGACTTGGGCGGGTGATGGGAGGTCTGTTCGGAGATGTAATAACCACGGGTGCCATCTTCGTAGTCCCAGTAACAGGTGAACGTCTCTCCGAGGATCGGATTCAACGGCTTTTTTACACCACTGGGAATCCGGATTAGGACCGGATGTTGGCCATACAGGGGGAAAAAAGGGTAACTATCAACATACGGAGGTTTTATATGCCAGCCACTGAGGTAGAACCTGATTACCGAGACGAAGCGTTCGAGAGGATCATCGATCGTGGGCATCGGCAGAAGAGTCTCTGGGTGTGCCATGAAGCTAAAACGCGAAGCGGGAGCGACGGAAAGATACGTTAGCGATCGCCTTTATTGATTTTGCATAGAGGCTGTATTCACGCACTTGGTAATCCGTTCCAACATGGATCTTGGCTCCAAAATGAAGGTCGGCAGCACTACTCGACTCAAATCCGCCCCCGGTCGCAACTGAGATATGATGTGCGACAGCACTGCACCGGGAGAATAACATCAGCGCTCATAATCTTAGAAGTATCTTTTCGCAGTCTTGTTTGTCTTTAGACGGAAGATAAAAAATAAAATGGCAGAAAGGCGAAACAATGTATCTGAACGAACCATTGCCTTGATCGGGCTCCACGACCTCGTCTTCGGTGTCATTCCTCGGTTCTTCGCCGGACTGCCGACTAGCTGTGGAGGTGAAGAAAAACGAAGACCAGTCAGCAGACATGATACGAATTGTAAATTGCTAAATGACAAGCTGCATGCAAGAGCTTCTGAGAAGGACGAGGAGAGGGTGGGCAGGATGACGTTTGGCCGTAGCCTAGAGGACGCTATGACGGCGGGAATTATTTTTCCTAGAGAGGGGAAGGGAGGGGGCTTGGAACTCAACTGCTTCTGGATCGGCTGCGGATGTGCATATTCGGCAAGTTCTCGTCTCACCCAGAGTGGCTATCTGGTTTCTGCCAGGGTATAATACGCCTGTAGGTACAACGCACGAGGTACCCAGTGTCGGAGACAGTAAAAAGGGTATACGGCCAGTACACCGTAGAGGGGAGAAGGGGATGTGATATATACAGCAGAGGCTGGGACGTTCGACGAGGGGGGGGTTCAACAGGAAGAAGTAGAGGAAAAAGAAAAGACGCCTCCTCGGGGACCAGCTCTGTTTTTATGAAGAGCTTTGTGTCGTCCCGCACAAAGGAGGAAACTATTTGGTGCCATTATTGGCGTCGGCGAAATCGAGGCAGATTAACATTAGCGCCGCGTCTCTACACGCAGTGACGTTAGCCTCGCCGCCATCCTCTGCGTGGTCACCGCACGGTCCCTGTATCCATGTTCCTCACAGCTCGCTGCCGTACTTATTGGCTTCAGTCTATCTCTTCCCAGGTTCTCCTTTCGCTTTCCACAGGTTGGTAGCCCGTCGGGCCCGTGATTGGCCTTGTTGGCGTGGAGAAAGGGATTCTCTCTGCAGTCCGACTTGTGGTGTCGTTGGTCGTCGACAATCCTTCTATTCGGCCTGGATGCGCTCGGAAGGATCTCTGGCGGAGTCACAGATCCAGATTCCAGGGTCTAGCTACTACGGTGCTTGGTGTCCGTTCGTGCATACGGAGTGGCCATTCCGAGCCTTGCATTTATTCCCAATGCTACCATTCCCCGCAATGCTACGACGGATCGCAGAGTAAGCTCCATCAATATAGGCATGCATTATGCGTGTCTATTCCATATATATATATCTATCCCGACCGATATGGTGTTTCATGCAGTGTATGCTCCCGTGGCGGTCACGACCGATCCACCGCAGAAGCTTCGGGCAATGGTAGCACAAACCATTGCCTTTGATTTATCTTAAAAGAACTTTGGCCAATATGAACCGTGCAGGGAGAAAATATGACAAGTCCATGAATTTCGGCATAAACATGCCAGGTTCCCGGGGCGATGTCATACTTGCTTGATCAGCGGCACGTCGCCCTGGGTGATTTCTTCCACAAACCCCATATCAGGATGGTTGAGCATTACATGGAAGTGCTCAACTGCATGCACTGACTTGAGCGACTTCCAGTTTTTGAACCAGATAACCTGCAAGCACAGATATACATGTCAATCAATACCCGACCCATCGGCAATGGAGCAAGAACACAACATACGTTTTCAGCTGGCATCCGCGAACAGAATGTGCTTCTCACATAGTCATCGATCTCCTTGCGCGCCCTTGGCGTCAAGTCATCGGTAGCAGGATCGTCTTCCAGTTCGAACTTTACCCATACAACTAAGTGGATGATATCCTTGTCCACTCCATACGGCCAGTCGTTGTACAGGATCTTCATGTCCTCTGTGAAGAGTAGCCACAGTCAGTCCAACAACTAGACATGCCGCCGTCCAGATAGCGCAAAGTATGCCATTCCGCTGAGTTACGCACCGTTGTACTCGAATGGTTTCCCCTTCGGCTTCAGATCCTCCGGATTTCCATCGCCCCAATGTAGCCTCTCTTTGACAACAAATTTCATCACTGACCCATACTTGGCTTTTATGTTCTCTGTGTATTCGAGGTATTTTCGCAGATCGCTAGGAACACGGCGGAAACGATCGATTCTGTTTGTCCCTATACTTGACAAATCCAAGGGTCTCTTGTTAGCGCTCCGGGTCCCATCTCCAGCATCTACGTCACAGAGAACAGTGTTGTTCACTCAACTTATTATATCCTTCACGATTTCCCAGCTTTGCCTCTCATAAAGCTCGTCCGGGGTCGACAAGGTCTCTATCGATTTGAGCGGCAGGTCTCGTAGGAAACTGGGACATTCCGCAGGCCATTGAGAACGAGGAACGTTGACAAGCCAGTATGGGAGGGATTCGACATGTGAGTCATCCTTCTGTAGAGACTTATCATATGCAGTATCCACGTCTGACTCGGCCAATTTTTGGTCGAGACCTATTGTAGAAGCGCCCGTGGAACGAGGCATTCTAGTATCTAATTAGTTATCAGATCCGTCAATTGCGTAAGCAGGAGCCCGGCGCAGGCTTTTGAGAATCGATCGCGGAGAAGAAAGGAATAATTCAACGTAGAAAATATCCCGAAACTGAAATGATTCTACATGAACAGGACATCTACTGGAATTGAACTAGGAAGGTTCTTGATCTGGCCCGATGGGACGGGCTGCATAGAATGGCCCCGCCTTATTCTTCCGGTGGGAAATCCTGCCATTCAGGCAAACCAGGCACTTCCCAATATTGAGTCTATCGGAATGTATGAACAGTTTATTTTTGGCTCATTTATTATTCAATATTCACTATTTAATGCTCCGTCTTCCATTGTTTAGCTGTTACTAAAGCCAATGCGCAATCTTAGTCCGAGTCTACGATGGACAAAATATCCTACTAGAAACCCGGCCTGCCGCGCTATAAATTCGACGAGGTTTCAGTTGAGCATCTCCAGGGACTAGGGCCGTCAGTCCGGGCGCCACAGCCGGAGAATTGCTGGAATGGTTTCAGGACGAGAATTGGCCAATTTCTAAGGCAATCTAGAAACTCTTCGCCACTGCATCTCTTCTTTGGTGGGGGCAAGACCGCCGGCCCTGGTGCAAGAGCTGAGAATTGACCTGGAATCATATCTGGAACGAGTGAACCTGGCCACTGAGGACTATGACTTTCATGAGACTGTGCAGGCGGTTTGAGGCGTGCCTGCGGACATTAAATGTTCATGGCGTTGAAACGGCTTGTTCGGGTGCAGTACAAACACAACTGTACTGACTTGGAAGAGGGAAGGAAGGAAAAGAGAGAAGCTAATAATGCTCAGGCTCGAGGCACTCTGTCCTTGACATGACTTCGTTAAATCGACATTTCATAATTGGAAGTCCCAAACCAGTGGGCTCCATGTATACGCATCATCACGGTCAAGGTTGTGACTTAAGCTTCGCCAATTCTACACTGTCCTTCCCAATGACAGAAACCCCCGCCGTTTTCAATTCTTCCTTGGTCTTCTCCCATCCCGATCCCGGCGTGACGCACTTCGTCCCATCCTCAATAACCCAGCTCCTGAACCCGGACTTCGCAGCGTCAATGGCAGTATGCTTCACACAGTAATCGCCAGCGAGCCCGACGACAAACACATCAGTCACTCCCTTCTGATGGAGATATGACGCAATATCAACGTCCACGGAGTTGGCTCGAACATTAGAATCCAAATTGCCAAACGCGTCTGCAAAAGCTGAGTACATCTCGACCCGGGGATCCATGCCCTTTCGGACGTACACATCGATCTTCTCCGTGTTAATCTCGGGGATGATCGAGGCGCCTTTGGTTTCTGCTACGCAGTGTACGGGCCATAGCTGCTGCTTTTTACTCTGTATCTTCTGTCCTGGTGCGGGATTGGTCATGTTGATGAAGGACTCAAAGGGCCGGTTGTTGGGCGCTGGGTGATTACTGGCAAAGGAGATGTGGTCATGCGGGTGAAAGTCTTGTGTTGCGACGCGCACCGCGAAGCCGGGAAGTTCTAGGAGGGAATTGATGAATGGGGCTATCGAGCGGCCATCCTGGACTGCAAGAGAACCATTCTATACAATGGAAAATGTCAGCTGAGGCTGTTGGGGATCATAGTGTGAAGCTGGTGGGAAGTTACTGGTGGGCAGAAGTCTTCTTGCATATCAACCACGATAAGCGAGGGTATGAAAGCCGCGCTCTTTTCTGGCATTGTCGCGTAAAACCTCGTACAGTAGATAAAAGCTGCGGCGATTTCTGGGGTGTAAAAGAGTTAAATTCTACCCCGAATAATAGCTATGTCATTCATTAGTTAACTATGCAGTGCAGTGTGCTGACTGCTAACTACTTGGACTTGTGTATGCCAAGTTCCGGCTATGCTGATCCTAAGCGCGCATGACTAAGCAACCCAGCCAGAATCTGTTGGATCAACTTGCTTGTATTGTATCGATCTAGGTTGGTCTAGCTATTTTAGTGTGTCAGGCCAAGCGAGGGCGGTCTACTATGGCATAATGCACGTGACCTATAACAGAATCCCACGAAGCTGACGAAGAAAGCTTCCAAGTTCTTCACCTCCCCATCAGGGCTGCGGCCCTCCTTTGTTTCTCAACTGCACCAACCCCAGACACTCTCTCGCGTATGATGAAACGAATCCTAAAGGTACGTCTTTTCTAATTTCTGTCGTAGAAGCCCTTCGACATCATGATGAGTCTTTATTATTGGAGCTGTCCTAGCCAACAATGCGGACAAACCTATTGAATACGCGAAAATTTTCTGAACCTGTCATCGTCTACCTTACTTGATTATCTTCGCATTGCTTTTTTAAAATAGTGTGCTGATCATTAACTAGCTATTGGAAGAAGCCAGTGACCACCTTTTCCAACCTCCCTGAGCTTAATACTGTTCTTGGGGCATAGCCTGTATCGAAACACGCGAGTTTCTTCATTGTCTGTTTCCTTTCCCATCGAACAGGAATCATGGCGCAAGATCCCCGACTTGCTCAACTGGAGACTATAACTCCCCCTCCCCCTCCCCCTCCTCCACCAGAGTCTGGTAATACTTCTTCAGACGGAACTGCAGGTCCAGAGGAACCGTCTGCTGAAGGTATCACAACCATGTCTAGCACCTCACCGGACTCGTATAAGCTCAAATTCTGCACCGTATGTGCGTCAAACCAAAATCGCTCTATGGAGGCCCATCTTCGCCTGGCCACTGCGCCGGTACCCTTTCCGGTTATGTCTTTCGGTACAGGCTCACTAGTCCGGCTTCCCGGTCCCACGATCACTCAACCTAATGTCTACAACTTCAACACAACATCATACACTCATATGTATGATGAACTTTATTCAAAAGATGAGAGATTATACCGTAATAATGGTCTCCTCAACATGCTAGAGCGGAACAGGAACCTGAAATGGGGTCCTGAGCGTTTCCAGGACTGGGTCCCCGGCATGCCGCGTGTTGACCATGTCGCAAAAGGTGACAAGGGAGCTCTAGGAACCGAGGGAGGTGTCGTTGATGTCATCATAACCTGTGAAGAGCGGTGTTGGGATGCTGTTCTTGATGACCTTATGAACAAGGGCTCTCCGCTTAACCGGCCGGTCCATGTATTCAATGTCGACATTAAAGACAATCACGAGGAGGCTTTGATAGGGGGGAAGGCCATTCTTGAACTAGCTAATAGGCTTAACGAAGCGGCCAAGCAGGAACGCATTGTAAACGGTTCCGAGGGCTGGAGCAATGGTACCGGCGAAGCTCGACGGTCTTTTGATGAGAGGGTACCAGAAATTCTTGGTGCGTGGCAGGAGAAGTGGCCTAACCTACCGGCATTATGGACTCTGGCCTGGCTATAAACGCGCAGCCGCGCAGACAATGTATCCTTTTGTCTCATTACGGAGCTTGAAGCTTTACCAGGAGCATTGATATTGAAGGCGTTCTATCTCTTACCTACGGAATTCCATGACGATGAACAACTGTTTTACAGTCTATTAGCAATCTGATGAATCCTGATACCCTAGTTGAACATTTGATAACCTTTTCACTGATCCAAATTGTAATGAATTCTTGCGCAAATACGGAGGAGCCCCTGCGCAATGCTATTGTCACGTGTATAGTAGTTGGACCTGATTAGATAAGCGCATCGCCGAGATTGGGTATTGAATGGAAGAAATTCTCCAAGCAACGAAGGAAAGCCAGCTTCTCTTAATTCTGAGGTATAAAACTGATAAAACTAGGCCGGTATTTACAATATATACCTGCATATGTGCGTCGTCAATGTCTCTTTCACTTGAGGTTTGTGTGCTTCCCCCAGTTTTTCCTTCCCAGCATAGACTATCACTGCTCATCCAAGATCGCTCGCACTGACTCAAAAACGACCAAGCAGCATATAGATGCTTGTCTTCCCATAACGGGACTAAAAGCACTTATTCTGAGTAATAACGGCGACAGACTCGTGTTGCAAGGCCAAGGGCCTTATTCCCGCTTGATTGATGAACAGAGCGGGAGGCTCCTTGCGGAACTGAGAACTTTTAAAAGAAACAATGTTCATGGGTTTCTGGTTCTTCGACAATGTCTGCTGGAAGCTGATGAGAAGAAGGAACATGTTCATCTTTTATGCTGGGGAGGGCAGTCTCTCCGGGTTATCGATTTAGTTGTTTCCATCCAAGAGAGAACGGCGGAAGCTTCTTTGATTCCTGCTACTGCGGAGTATTTGGCTCCCGATTGGATTTTGAGTGGATGTGTTCCTTCTTCTTCTATTGATGATGATGGGAAGAGGAGTATGGCAGCAGTAGCTAGGGCTTGTCTTGTTACTGCTCACAATGCACTGCTCGATCTACAAGTGGAAGATATGGAATCTTCCAGGTACGGGAAGGGCATTCGTCTCCAACAACTTGAGACGGGGGTCAAGTCGATTCTATATTCTGCTGATTCAGTTTCGCTTTCTCCGACTCATATTTTAGTCGCTGCTGGAACTGTATTCGGTGAGATCATCGTGTGGTCGTGCTTCCTGGATGATCTCAAGAACACAGATGGCGGTAATGCTATTTTGTCCAGTTCCATTCATCACTTCTTCACTGGACATGAGGGGTCAATCTTCGGCGTTGAGATCTCTCCGAACATCCCTGCTTTGCATGGAAGCCAGTCCGGCCGGCTTCTGGCTAGTTGTAGCGACGACAGAACCGTTAGGATATGGGATATATCCGATTGCGAGCGTACGAGTCGAGAAGAGCCATCTGCTTATGCCACGGATGGGTTCGAACTGCGAAGCACAGGATTCGGAAGCGTGCCTGCTACTGATTCACTTGGGTCAGAGTCCTGCATCGCAAAAGCATTTGGACACGAGGCTAGGATATGGGGCGCCCATTTCCTACCTCTCACGATGAATAATCGGGGTTGCAGCCTGATATCGCGCGGCGAAGATGTCGCTTGCATACTGTGGGACTTGAACTGGGAAGAGTCTCCCTCAGGTGCGGAGAATTTCCGGCTACAACAAAGATCATCGTTTCACCAGCACTCCGGGAAGCATATATGGAGCCTTGACAAGTGCAGTATTGGTGTAGATGCTATTGTTTATACCGGGGGTGCAGATGGCGCTCTGAAGACTTCGTGGATGAGTGGGAATAAGACCGGCGAGGTTAAAGATGAAGGTCGCAAAGGAAAGTATTCGGTGATCCCGGCCAACGATCAGGCCGAAACTGACAGCCGGCTGAGGACATTTTCGTTCATAGCTAGTGACTGTTTCCTTGCGATTTCGCTTAGCGGCGAGGTCAAACTGGGCTGGATCAAATCCGGGATGATCAAGTCCGAGAGTGGAATGAAGCCAGATATCATCTGGGAAACTATCTGTGTCGAGAAAGATCTTTGCTCGTTTTCTATCATTTCGGCCCTGCCTGAGAAGGGGATGGCATTGTTGAGCAATATCCAAGGCCTTATCCGTCTATACGATCACCGGTCGAAATCTCTTTTCACAGTTGCGCAGGCTGAACGACCACAGGAAATACACTTCCTTCTTCCAAAATCCGATTCCTCGTCTGCAGATGTGCCTGATACGCTGTACTTTGTCACATACAATCCAGTAGCAGACCAGACGAAGTTCTTCAAGGTCGGCAAATGGCAAACAGAGACACCACATGTAGAACAATTCACACTGGCCTTACTTCCTCCATTCTGGGCAAGTTGTGCCTCTTTCATATGTGGCAAGCAGTATATTGCTCTTGGGTCTAGAGGGGGTGCATTTGTTATCTACCGATTTCCAGACCCTAGCCAGTCTAAACAGCCCTTACAGCCTCTAATCTCTCTCCGCCGCGTGCATGGAAAAGCCAGCATCAACCTCATTATGTCCATAGCATCATTTCCCGACGACCACGGCATGTTGCGAGAATATATCTTGACTTGTGGCCGCGATGGTGCCTACTGTCTCCATGAAATACAAACGACCAACGACCCGACGAAGCCAGTGTTGCTTACAACCATACATCGCTCTTCATCTCCAATAACAGATATCGAACGCGTATACTTCGACAAGACATCACGGGACCTCATACTGTATGGCTTTCGAGGAAGGGAATTTGTTCTATGGAACGAATCGACACAATCCGAAATAGCTTCCATTGAGTGCGGTGGAATCCGTCGAAGTTGGGCATTTCACCCCAGTGCTGCTGATACTGCTAGCCGTGGGTTGTTCTTGTGGAATAAGACCTCGGATTTCAATGCGCAGTTCATCCAGTCTAGTTCGCACCGTGTTCTCCGTGCAGGCGGGCATGGGCGAGAGATCAAGTGCATGGCAGTCTGTAACCATGCGAAGAGTGATGGAGGCGCCCTGTTTGCGACGGGTGCGGAAGACACTGCAGTGCGTATCTGGGCACTGACTGACTCATGCGTCGAAGGCCCATGGGGGATCTTTAAATGCTTGCGCGTAACGAATAAGCATACTTCTGGACTGCAGCAAGTAAGCTGGTCCAAGGACGGGAAGTATCTATTTACCAGCGGCGGATGGGAGGAATTTTTCGTATGGAGAATCCGCTCTATTCCTGTATTCGGTGCGACGGCGGAGCTGCTGGCGTCGAGTCCGAAGGATGATGAGAAGTCGGACCTTCGGGTAACGAGCTTTGATATGTTGGATGTGGAAGAACAAGAGACTGATCAGAGCAGCTTTCTGTTCTGCCTCACTTATTCCAATTCCACGATAAAGGTGTGTGCTGATCTGCTAGATGCTCCGGCAAGCTAATTACTGACCCTATTTATGTGCGAAGATTTTCCACTTCTCTCCGTTCGCTGATCAGGGTCACTTCACGCTTCTAGCGAAGGGCACATATATGAGTAATTGCCTCACGCAGGTGCGGTTTTTACGAAGTTCTTCCTCGCTGAATATGATAACTGCCGCGACAGATGGATACGCCACGCTATGGAACTTGACGCCTGTCCTTGAACCCTTTTACTCTATATCTCCCCAGAAATCTGTTTTGTCCACGAAGCAACCGTTCCGGGGCCTTGAGGTAACACCAGCAACTATATCCTGCGAGAATCGTTATCAGATGCATTCCAACAGCATCAAATCCCTAGAACTCGCTCGTGTGTCGGATACGGCATCCGTCATCATTGCCGGGGGCGACGACAATGGCCTGACAATATCCCTTCTCCGTAACGATGGTGCATCCGCTGAAACGGAGACAAAGACGGAATCGGAGAATTATGCACATGTGACGACTGTTTCGGTCCCTGATGCTCATGCAGCGTCCATCACCACAACTAAACTGCTAAGGCAGAAACTGATTGAGACGGAAACTGGAAACAAGCGGACGGACATCCTGTTTGCATCTTCTGGAAATGATCATCGCGTCAAGATCTGGTCTGTCCATGTAGATCATGAGAAGGATGGACCGGAAGGGATAGAGATCAGGATGGATCTGGATCGGTATAGTCCTGTGGCTGACGTCGCTTCGATGGATGTCGTGGATGAGGATGCTAGCGGTTCGAGGCTGTTGGTCTGCGGTGTTGGTATGGAGGCGATGAGCATGACATTACCATAGATGAATATAGATGAATGGCAGCGCCATGATGGAATAATTAGCTAAGGCTTCTCAAGTATAAGGTCTGTACTTATAGTTAATTAATTAATGGACGGTGCCTTGGTATGCAACGCGTTCCTGAACCTAAGAATAGAGAGTCCTTGAGAGCAACGCCGTGCCCTGTTCATTGATTGCTTTGATCCTTAAGGGAATAATGATATTAAATACTGTTGATCTCCTGTTCCTGTTGCTAATATCCTGATTCCACATCCTGTCAGCCTGAAGTTCATGCAGCATTGCCATGGAGACCAGCCACACACTTACGTCTCACATAAGACAGCGTTACGCGGAAACACGCCGATTCCCACCTTATTCGGCAAGCCATAACTCTATCCTGATCCAGGAATAGAAACTGTCGTGGCTGGATGTTTTTGGCTGGTGCTGATTGGGGAGGGGAGTGGGCTGTCGGGATGCGTATGCTTGCGAGGCTGAGTACAGTCGATTTGGTTGTTCTGAGAATAATAAATATTTCACCTTGTCGGCTTTCCATCTCTCCTTCTCTGCTTCATCCCTCTTTCGCTCCAGCATCGCTTGTGTCCGTCGTTTGGCCTTACTGTCTATCCATAAATCGCTCCCGATTCTTCATTCGCCTTCTCTGCTATCGACACTGCCATCGACACTGCCATCGACACTCCATCTCCCGCACATTCCACCATGGGCAAGGCTGGCCGCTTTGTCTGTATCATCTTCCCATATGCATTCACCGTCGCCACTTTAATATGCATTATAGTGCTGGGACTGGGTTGTACAGATTCCCATAACTCAACTCTCTCAGACATATATATGTTCCGAGTGAGTATACCCTGCTTCTTCCCACTGCTTCGTGCTGAACGCGCGTCGCTGACCCATCGCTCCTCGTCCCCACTCAGCTCGACCTACAGAATTTCACAAGCTCGTCAAAAACTACCGATGAATTTTCCAATCTCCTCAAGGGAATCGGCGCAGATGACAAAAACCAGAACCTCACCCAGGTGTTGGAAGAAGCCAAGGACCAGCTGAATATCAAGGACTTCTACTCGATCGGATTGTTGGGCTACTGTGATGGCAATATCACCGGGAAGCACAGCGAAAACTTTGACACGACGTTCTGTTCTAAGCCCAAGGCCGATTTCTGGTTCAACCCCATCGAAGTCTGGCAGTTGTCCAACATTACTGGCGCCGATGAATCTGAGCTCGAGGATCTCCTCCCCAGTGACCTGCACAAGGACATGAATGCCTATCGTGCTGCGTCGAAATATGTCTTCATCGCCTTCTGCATTGCCTTTGCTGCCACTATCCTCGAGCTTTTCGCTGGTATTTTCGCCGTTTGCAGCCGCTGGGGCAGCTGTGTGACCTACATTCTTGGAGGGGTAAGTGCATAACACCCTTACGGCTTCAGTGGAAGAAGTCTGCAAAGTATGCCCAACAATACTGATAATACTGTTGCAGATCGCCGGTCTCTTCCTCATTTCTGCAGTTATCGTCGCGACAGTCCTGACCTCTATCGTCACCCATGCCATCCAAGAAAATGTCCAGGACTACGGTATCACCGCCACATTCGGTACCCACTTCCAGGTCGTCGCCTGGCTCGCTGTTGCCTTCCACCTTCTTGCCGATACATTCTGGATGTTCAGCATCTGTTGTTGCGGCGGAAACGCTCGTCCCCACCGTGTTACCGCCGAAAAGGCTCCGTATACCTACGAGTCATTGGGTCCGTACGACCATTCCCGTGGACATGGAAACAATTATCCGATGCAGGATATGAGAACCAGTGCCTACGAACCGTACCGACACGTTTAGAGAAGGGTTCGAACCTTTTATTTTCCGCCCACTATCCTTTTTCCCGAATACCCGAACCGTTCCTCTTTAAAATGAGCGAAAAAAAATATCACTCATCGGATCCCCTTGTTTCCGCATTTCCTCTTTCCAACCTGGGAATTTGCAATTTGTTTTCCCTATTTACCGTTTCCATGGCGCATGTAGAATGGGTTTCATTTCTCGGTGGTTTTTATATGGTTTTTCCTTTTTCCCTTGTTGTTTTACTATTGCGCTGTTCCAAGGGGCTTTTTTATTTGTTTTATGATGACTCGCATTGGATTTACGTTACGGCCTATTTATTAAATGGGGGAGGGGGGTTTTATCGATGCTTTACGCAATATGATTTATGTGTGATTTCGATTAGCTAGATATCATATATTTACTCCGTATATCTGGAATATATCGGTTATTACTTGAGGTACATCTTCCGCTGGTTTTATCTTGATACGTAGTACTTGAACGATTGAGGATATTCGAATGGACACTATATCCTTCATGGTATTTTTGATAAAAAATTATCGGAAAAAGTGCTATCAGATAAACCAGCCCCGTCCATATAAACGAATCATTTGAAAATACGTTGCATGCATCTTGCTGTTCTCTTGTCCTAGCAACGATAGATAAAACTCCTAGGCCTAGACCGAACCGAACCAAATGCAAGACCGGATATCACAAAAGATAAAGTGGGGAAGAGAAAGAAACAGAGGAAGGGAAAAAAAAAGAGATCAGCATTGCGCCGCTTATGCTAGTCTCATATCAAGTGAAATAAGTAGGTATGATCACCCCCTTCTCATCAACGGGGACGGGTAGCCCACGACGATGCTTTCGTTCAACAATAACATTTTGATCGGCTCGAGCCCAGGCCTTGAAAGGCGTCGAGGGTGAATCAGACCATACAGGGCCCGTTGGATGAAGATGGGCCATTGATGCGAACCAATCGTCCTCAGGCTCCTTGCCCTTGTTGGGCTGTGGTTCATGCTCAGATTTGGGATCGAATTCAACGGCCGAAATGTAAGCGTCGGAACTGGTACGCGACGAGGGACGTGGCTCATCGCCTAGCTCAATGCTGGCTGTCTCATGAGCTTCGACTTCTATTTCTTCGTCATCTTCATCATCATTGCCATCTGCAGCGGTTCCTTCACGGCTGGGCCCGGCGATGACTTCAGGAAGAAGGAACGACGGCTCAGGTTGAGGTGTCATATCCACTTCCGGTTCCGATGACTTTATAGTCTCGACAAATAGATCTCGTTGACGGGGAGTTGCATCGCGGTCCGGCTCTTTAGGAGCAGCCCGAGCGGGAGGTGACACAAAAACAGATGCGCTGCTGGCGTCGGTTCTAATGCCAGGACTGTTACTCGGAGCGTCCCTCACAGATGAGAACGTGTGGAAATTCGTAAGCCGGTCCACAAGACTAGCTGTGGTCGAGACATTGACTTCACTGAGAGGTATTGATCTTCGGGAGAGAGATGGACTGGCAGGTACACTTGATCTGCTTGCAGAGCGGTATTGCGCTGCAGCAATCTCGATTGCGGCCACCGTCAAGCTTCTCTTTTTGTGTACCGGCTTGAAGAATTTAGATATAAAGAAGTCCTCATATTTCAGCGCCTCTGTGCCAGTTGAGTGACATTGTTCGACATATTGCGGGTATTCTTGCAAATGCATTATGACAAAATCATCCCATAGAAAGGACCGTCGTAGCTCTCCTTTCCCACGTAGAGCTTGTAATCGTGCGCATAGTTCAACGAAATGGCTGAAATCACCCCAGTACCCGGCGTAGTCACTTCGAAACTTTTCGTATAATCTGCGCGCTGTTTCTTCTTTGGAAGAACTTCCCATGTAGCTCTCTCGGCGAGACACGATGTTAGAGGCTGGACCTTTAAATTCACCCACGAATTTATCATCGCTTTCATCCCGATAAAATCGGTACCGCTTTGAAGGTGGCTCTTCATTGGTCTCAATGCCAGATGAAGACCGAGAGCGCTTTAAATTAATAATTGGGGAGTTGTCCCGCACACTCTTGACGGGAGAAAATTGCCCTGGAGTACGATGGCCCTCTCCATCGAACTGGGACTGGGCTAGTCCACCAGACGAGGAGAACATCCCGGACCCTTCGTTTCCTTGAATCTCAACAGTCCCTACGCGCGTGGTTTGCTGATGGTCGTCTGGTCCTGATGAATCCTGGACGGGAGGCTGCGAGCGAGACGTTGTGCCTTGGCTATCTGTCTGGGTTCCCATGACGTCAACCCGGTACAACTCGTGTTCTGCAGAGGAATGCACCATCTTCTGGGACGGTTCGTCTTGTTCGTGGTCCTCATGGCTGCGATAGGTGTTCAAAATCCGCGACTGCGACGAGGATTTTGCCGCCTGGGACGATGGCTGTTGCGCAACATATACTTCCCAATCAGGCTTGTCTTTTTCAAATCTTGCAGGGCGTAGGCGCTTAAGGTCTGTAGGGGTTACCGAAACTTGGATCTGCTCATCTGTATTTAATCCAGGAAGGGATGGGCCTGAACTGGTTATTTCCTGTTCAATCTGGCTGGCTTCTGATAACAATTGAGAACTGGCTCGAAGGGGACAGGGAACAGAGATATCCATAACTGAATCATTATCTGACTCGAGTTCACCGTCCCAACCAGTACTGGCAGCTGGTTTCGAAGAAGCATGTTCTCTGGCTAATTCTTCATTTCCCACACCATCCAGAACTGAACCGTTATCTGATTCCGTCCCGACTGCAATGAATAGTTCTGAATGTATATTCTGTTCCGTTGGCTGACTCTCTCCGCCATTGTCCTCTGTATCGTTAGGAAATGAATCTCTGGGGCTATGCTCCCCCGTTTCCGCAGCCGCAGCAGTTGGTGGCTCCGATAGAAGAATATCTTGTCTCTCTGGCCCTTGATCTTCGTGATCTTCTTTGGTGTCCACCATTAGGCCCCCGCTGAACCTTTCGTTACTTGCATCGACGCTAGTAACTAACTTCGGAACGTTAATTTGTTTATCTGATTCTTGATAATTATGATTATGACCTTTGTCTCTAGAGTCACTGTCCAAGGCAACCCTATGGACCGAACTCTGCGGTGACTCTGATACGCGGCATCTTGCGCCTTCCCTAGTAACAACCTGGCTAGCGACTTCTGAGAACTGGCCATCTAGACAATTTTCTGCCTGTTCACGAGGTGAGTCTGCTTTACGCACGTTGGGAAATTCTCGGATAGGACTACTGTCCTTCGGAAGCCGCGTTGAGGGATCACAAACTGGAGAAGGACTCCCCCAGGGGAAATGTTCCTCGGACCCTTCAGATTCTTCATCACTCAATTCTGTGTCTGCTTGCGGCGCGGAGCTAGCAATATCATGTATCGACATTTCGCGATGTTCGGGAGCATTTAACATCAAGTCGTCCTTCCTGGCCCTTTTAATGCGCTCCCTTCGTAACGAAATCGAATTCCATTGCTCTAACAATGAAGGTGGAACATGGCCCCGAGGCATATTCTTTCCAAGCTCGGGAGGTATCCAGCACTGAGAATTGGTATGCTCCAGCAGATGCCGTTGATCTTTTGGTATCCTAATATCCCTCCTGGGAATTTTTGTCATGCCTTCCCAAGGATCTAAACGATCGCCACTACTAGAATAATACTTTCCCATGGCTTGTGTACCAGCATTTATATCTGGCTGCAAACCTCCAGACTGCATGTTTGTCTCTTGCTGAGAAGATTCCACAGAGACATTGTAGGCTTCAGATGGCCGTAAATGAGCCACAGTGTGAGAATTGTGATCACCTGAATGGTCTCCGCCCTGTTGCTGATCCGCCAGCGGCCCTTCAGCTTCATCATGATCGCCAGTTGCATTATTTGAAGTTAGCTGTTCCACTGAACTAGGCTGCCCATGTCTCTCACTATCAATGGGATGAAATTCGCTGTCACAGGCATCTGCAGCTAAGAACGCAGCTGTATTAGGGACATTGGTGACAACGTCAGTGGCCGCGGAACCCAGAGTTTGGTGCGAAGAGGTCGACTCATTTCCCTGATTGCCACCTGTAGTTTCGTTCTTGTTAACATAGCTGCCGGCACGGCCATCAGATGCCTGTCTCTCACGCAGAACTGACGGAGATTTCTCGGAAATTACCGCACGGGTCGACAAATTGTCATGGCAATGCAGATATCCCAGAAGTTGAGTGCTGCATAACGAATGGCGACCACGGCTGCCGTTGGATATGCTAGAGATCGTAGTGTGACTGATAGGAGCCAATTGTGACATTAACATCTCTTGGGATATCACAGGGGCAGATTTCTCGTTCTGGGAGTGGACAGAATCGTCGGAGCAGTCACCATCAGAAATAACAGCGGTATCTTCCGCCGGCTGCGATTCATTAATCACATGGAACAGCTTCTCCATAAGCTTGTAAATGTGTCCATTCTTCCTTATCAGCTTTATACCCTGAAGTGACTTGGACTTCTCCCGTTTTTTATCAATCTTGAAACTCTTAACGTAAAGGTGGACATCTGGTCGGCCTCCAGAGTATTCGAAGACAACCTCAAAATCCAATAACTGTATACATCTCCATCTGGTCGTATCTCCGGACAGCTTATGATGGGACTCTTCCGCTTGGTATTTTTCCAAAGACATTCTGGTAAGGACCGCTTTGATTTGGGTGTGTGAGTCCATCAAAGTTGCGGATCTTTCTCCGATGTCCTTCCACTGAGGCAGAAATCAGAAAGTGCACCTCACCGAAAGACAGGGTATCTTACATCCACAACCAGTGCGTGCTTGTGAGAATCATTGGGGAAGCGGAGATTGCTCCCATCATCCTCCATTTCTAACCCCTCTACCTTGTTGTTAAGGTACGAGGAGATCAAGCTCTCAACCAGAGGGGCTATCCAATTGACCATGGAACCCATCTTGTAATCCCAAAGTCGGACAAGCAGTATTCAGGTGTATCAGAAGTCGGCTCATAGTCATGACGAGGCTGGAAAGTCTCTTGGAAGGTAGGATGACGGTTCTGCCTTCAGTATGGAATGGCAGGTGAGCAGCTCCATTCATAATACATGGGCCATAACATCCACACGGTTAATAGTAGCGATCGCTTGTGGTAAAGGATGAGAAGAAAGAGATTGACCTAATCGTAGCTTTAATCAACCTGGATAGATTCATGCACAGCGTATGCCAAAGTTTCAGTCCTTGGAGTTTGAGGGTTGAACTGCCCGGTCTTAATTGCGGACGCGAATAGAACAATCTTCCACGCGCCTCACCGCCTTCACCTCCGGCAAGCACAAGACGCGGTCACATGACAAAACACTAGCCACGCATTTAGCCACATCCCCGCCACACGTGACACAATCACATGAGCAGCTACATCCACGTCATTGGGCAGGAGGTGAGATCTGTCAGAAGAAGCTTAGCAACCTTGGAAACAATCCTTTTCATGCCGTGAGCCTTCGAAGGTTCGCTTTTCCGAATAGAAAACAGCGGGATTAGCCCTTTATCTTGCAGAATTATTTTGTCGGCACCCAGGAAGGAAGTACATGGAAACTTCTGGTTCGGTGGCTCCATGGATACTACTGGTTTCCTATATGCTTCGCGCCTTGCTGACCTCCCAAGCTTTTCCAGAGCCCCTCCGGATGCCTCCCACGTTCCTCGTCTGGTAGCCCTGGGGCGAACTTACCTGATAGCTTTTCTCGTGGGATAAAAGGCCCACGTCAGTTGTGGGGTTTGGATGGCTTCCCAGAAGTCACAGGGGACTGCTAGTCCATCCGCTTCGTCCATATTCCTTCCGCTTGGACGGCGAAGTTCAAGGGCATCTATGTCAACGGAAGCGGAACGCGAGAGTTTGAATGCGGCCTTAGATCAGATTCATACCGCAGCGTATCAGTCGGACGCCCTCACGGTTTTTAATGAGTTCACTGCTCCGCCAACTCCAACATCGGCGGTGGATGAGAAGGCTTTGCCTGGGGATATACAAGGGGGACTGAGCGGTCTGTACAGTCGATTTAAAGTCTCAGTCGGAGGGGTTAGGGATATCGTGAGCGGCACAGGGAAACCGTCGGATAAGGCCCTAGCTGAGAGTCCTGGGGTTAAGGGCGCTTCGGTTGAATCGAGCGCGAAGTCATCTGCCGATCAGTCTACCAACCTGGCAGATTCACAAAATTCGCTTGCAAGTTCATCTCAGGAATCAAGAGTCTATTCTCCAACTGCTGGTAACTTTCAGCATAGCCGGGATGGGCCAGTCCAATTTGGAACCGGGAAGGGTTCCACGCTTCCCTCGAAAGCTGCGAGTGTGTCTTCCAAGACATCCATTTTATCGTCGCCTCAGATAACCCCCCTGAATGTGACCTCGTCGAGCATCGATAGTAACATGCCGTACGATGACGGCCCGAGTACACTGGATGCCAAGCGGTCGTCGACAACGGAGAACCAATCGCCCGATAGGTCGAGAAAGGCAGATCGACCGGTGATGCCTGAAATAGATATGTCTTTAGCTGGAAAGTCGCGGAAATCTAGTCAGGCCGATAGTATACTCAATGGGAAGTCTGTTCCTGAAGAAAGAGCTACTCCTAATTCGTTGACCGGATCAGTCTCTGCGGCGGACAACCCTTCCGCAGTCTCGAACGATAGTAACCCGGCCAATGAAAGTCATATACCGTCTAATGCTACGGCCTCCGCTTCTATGACCGATGCAAATGCGATTCCTGGGAAGCCGCCGAAACTAGTTGTCAAAACACGATCGAGAGAGAAACCGCCTCCCCGTGTCAGTGAAAGTCGTTTACCCGGCTATATTTTGTCTCGAACTTCTTCCACTGAGACGGAACCTTCCTTACCTTCCTTGGATACCACAGTCGACCGGCCAGGTTCCCGTGCTTCGCGGGACAGGCGCCTTCAACCCGGAGGTGATGGAGTTACGTCGCAGCTCAGGAGTAGGTTGCTTAGCAAAGATTTCTGGATGCGCGACGAAAACGCTAAAGATTGTTTTCACTGTGGTGATACCTTCTCTACCTTTCGACGGAAGCATCACTGCCGCACTTGCGGTCAGATATTTGATTCTAAATGTACTGTTCTAATTCCTGGGGATCGTTTTGGACAACCGGGCTCTATCCGTGTTTGCAAACCCTGCGAAGCCAAGATAAACGCACATGAAGACGATTCATCAGAATTATCGGATAGCGAACAAAGTCCCGTCGTGGTCAATCCGCGTGTCTCTGACCCAAGCTTCAGCAACAATGCACCTGGATCCAACGATGATGATGACACTTCTTCTATCGTCTCCCAGCCAGTTGAGCATGTTCTAAAAACCCCAACAATGGCAATTCCAGCCACTAGAAGGGCCGGTGAAGGCCATAATCGCCGGTCAGCTGTCCTTGAATTCAATCCTGATCACCCGCTTACTAGACCGACATCTTCGAGGTCTCTCAAATCATCCATGAGTGGCAGAGCCCACTCTATTGGCCACAAGCGTCATCATGCTCGCCAGCAGTATATTCGCAACTTTAAACCTTTTCACGATGACCGTGCTCCTTTCCAGCGCCGACACCCAGAAGATAACGGCCCAGAGGCACGACTTTCCGCTTTCCATAAAGATAACATTATCGACCCGGATTTAGCGCAATATCTTTCTGATGATGCATCCAGTGGTGATGAGCAGCCGAGCCTGTTAGGTGTTGCCTCAGAAGGCTCACTGCCAAAAGGAGGTGCTGATAACGAGAGGGCAACTTTTGGTGGGCTTCTCGCTGCTATGAAGAAAGGTAGATCTGCGTTCAGTGACAGGAATGCCGCAGGTATCAACAGTTCTGCCCGCGACGGCGATGATGCTAGCGTTAGCAGCTCAAGAGCCGTGAATTTGCCACGGTCTTCTCGCCGACGGAACCTGAGTGTGGCCAGCAGTGTCCACCAAAAACAATCTCCAAGAGGTTCAAGAGACAATGTATTTAGTTCGTATGATACTTCAACGCAGGGTACCGCTCTTTACACAGGCGGGCCCTCGGCAGGGTTTAAGATGACAAGGAGTTCATCTATGAAAGGGGATGGTGCGCCACCGGTCGAATTGAACATAGCTAGTTTGCAGCACGTCCGTAAACTTCTGCGACAGCTGCTAAAAGATTCAGCAGTTCCGAACGCCCAGAGTTGGGAATCTGCCCTCATGCCAATTCTTATGAAGGCAACGGACGAGGTTGTCCCAGATGTGCAGCGAGGGGACGATATGGATATCCGCCACTACGTGAAGCTCAAAAAGATCCCCGGGGGTCGACCAGGCGATACATCCTATGTGTCTGGTTTGGTCTTCACTAAAAATCTTGCTCTGAAAAGCATGCCTCGGAGTATTCCATATCCCAACATACTAATAATAACATTTCCCCTTGAATATGCGCGACACCAGCGACATTTTATGAGTCTAGAGCCGGTCATTCGACAAGAGCGGGAGTTCCTCGAAAACCTCGTTAGCCGAATTGCTGCCCTTTGTCCCACTTTGCTTTTAGTCGAGAAGAATGTATCCGGTCTGGCACTGGGGCTTCTAGATAAGGCTAAAATTGCAACGGCATACAATGTCAAACCTTCGGTGCTGGAAGCCGTGTCCAGGTGTACTCAAACTAGAATCATCACGTCTATGGACCAACTCGTGACCACTCCAATGCGCAGTAAATGCGCCAGTTTCGACATCAAGACATATGTTCACAACAGACGCAAAAAGACATACATGTATATTTCTGGCTGCCCCAAGGGCCTCGGGTGTACGATCGTTCTGCGCGGGGGCAACAGTGATGTGCTAGTGAATGTGAAGAGGATTACGGAGTTCTTAGTTTATGTTGTCTACAATCTCAAGCTGGAAACCTGCTTGCTGAGAGATGAGTTTGCCCAGATACCTACATCATCTGATGGTGCGACTGGGGAACGGTCAGACGAGGAGAAGAAGTCAAACGTTGCATCGCTGACGGCAGGCGATGCAACTGAGGGAGTACCTATCTCTCGCCAGAACTCTCAGGAAGCCGGTGATCGCTCATCCATCGATTCAGCTATCAGGACCATGAATGGGGATTCAGACGTACCCGATGATGTTCCTATGCCGACATATTATGAAGATATGGTGGAAAAGCATAAAACCAAAATTCTGTCTGCTTCACCCTTTGTGAAATTCGAACCTCCTTATCTCCTCATGCGCGCTAGGGAAATGGAACGCAGGCTGGCTTATCTCCAGCGTCTACGCGACCAAGATCTAAAATCAGATCAGCCAGCAGATGAAAAGGCTAAATCGCAGAAATTCACGCTCATCACTCCAGAGATGGTCCATCGTTCACCCCGTGGTGCTCCCTCCAAGGTTAAAGAGATACTTCATGCGGCCCACGATGCTGAGTATGAAAGAGCACTCCACGACTACCAGACTCAAAAGCGGCAGTGGGAAGCATACATATTCGGTAACGGCAATCTTTTCGATCCTTATGCGCATCAAAACATTGTTGTCCTCTTTAGCCTCGTTTGCACCACTACATCGATTCCCTGTTCTGGACCAGACGTTTTTCCTTTGGAATTTTACAATGAACATGAAGGGGACAACATCTTCGAACCTGATTGTACCATTGGCCAATTTGTGGAAGGCCTATGTTACAATGCCAATGCCATCTGCACTGCTAATGGTTGCGAAAAGAAAATGGTCGAACATCATCGTCAGTATGTCCACGGAGAGGCCCAGTTAAGCGTCTTCATTCAGCCTTATCCTTGCAAGCTTCGGGGATTGCAAGACGTGATTTTAATGTGGAGTTGCTGCAAAATTTGTGGCAACGAAACACAGGTAATGCCCATGTCAGAAGATACCTGGAAATACTCCTTCGCAAAATATCTGGAGCTTTCCTTTTGGTGCAAAAATTTACATGCTCGGGCTGGTGTCTGTCCGCATGACTTGCACCGAGATCATCTCCGATACTTTGGTTTCAAAGATGTTGCGCTACGGATTCACTATGATAAAATAAACCTGCTTGAGATCATCGTTCCTCGGACCAGAGTCACTTGGAAAGTGGACAATGACCTGAGGCTAAAGAACGGAATCTATCTCAGGATGGAACAGCGCCTGAGTAAATTCATGGCTTCTGTCAAAGCCAGACTGAAGATCATTAATGTCGAGAACGTCGTGCCCGAATTACTCGAAGAATGTAAAAGGGAAATCGACACACTGACCAGAAAGGCGAACGATGATCATGCCGCTCTAATAAAGCAGCTGCAAGAGAAATATACGAATTCTCATTATTGGGAAGTGATACCTTTGAATGAAGTTCTCCGCTCTGTTCAGGAGAAGGTGGTTGAGTGGGATACGGCATTTGCGGAGTTTGAAAAGAACTTTTTCCCCTCAGAGAAAGATATCAAGCGACTGGCGACGTTGCAATTGAGAAGGATATTCTTGGACAAAGATACTTCAGTCACGTCTCTTACGTCATCTGAGGAGCGACCTACGACCCCAACGGAGGCCGACCAAGCCGAGGCAGAGGATGCAGCAGAGCACGCGCGGCTAACTCGTCGCATGACTCTGTCTCCCGAAAAGGCTCAAGATGTGCTCGTCTCTGTGGTAGAGGAGCATTCTGGGAAGAAAAACAGAGAAAAGTCACAACCTGTGGTTGAATCTCCCCCCGGCCCTCCACCGGAGACGGTGGAAGCTGCTACGCCAAACCAAATTTCTAATCTTGAAGAAAAGGAGGTGCCTTCCGCCATCCCTGAGGCCGTTACGCAGGAACAACCACATGGTCATGACGTGGCTGTTGCCTCTAGTCCATCAGAGCGCTCTTTGCCCTCCAATCCTCCCCCGGAAAGCGCCACAGCCTCTCCATTACCTACTACTGCCGCAGAAGACGCAGAGAAGAAGACGACCGGGTTGCCCGCTTCTGAAACTTTGGAAATGGGCGAGAAGAGTCCAAATCTTTCTAGAGCGGATAGTTTGGAGAATAACTTGCCGACTACGCCTCCCCCTCTTCCTCCTTCAGCAATCCCCCGTCTGGCAGAAAATGCTTTCCGACGTTCTGGGAAACCGAGGTCGCCGCCATTATTCCGTTCTCAATCGCAGACAGGCTACTTTCAGAAAGAAAGGCCCCTTCATAGTCCACCGTTGGGAGGGTTGAGGGCTGGGTTCAGTAATGTGAACGGTTCAGATGGTGCCTACGATCCGCAGGTGAAATTTGATAAGAAGCTCTCTGATCATTTTGGTTTAAGCGCTCTCAAGCCCGCAAGACTCGTCTCGGGCCAATCTTTCATTCCCCGTTCGGTCTCGAGCAAGCGGAATCGCACACGCGTGTCCAGTTTGGCCAAACATTTTGAACAATTAAGCAGAGAGTTTGAGAAAGAACGTCAGCGTGAAAGACGACAACGAGCTGCCAAAGGAACCCACTCTCGTGCCTATCCCATGGCCTCCTCGAAACCTATAGTGGAAGTCTATAGGAATGTTACGGAAGCAGTGGAAGAACGGGAACCTTCTGGCGAAGGGGAAGCACCATTGATTATACCAGAGAAACAAACGAAGAGAGGCGAAGAACTTCCTAAAGAGACCACAGACGAGGAGCCTAAGAGGGAGCCTAGTCCAGAGACGACAACAGTCGAACCCGAGGAAGTGGAGGGTACCATCACCGGCGACAACAATGTACTCTCCGAAGGCGAAGCAGAAGACGTACATAGCGATGATGATCGAGCGTCGGCTGAAGAGCTTCATATAACAGACTCACATGAAGAGGTTGGAAAGATGTCACCGGATGAAGAGGCAATGGATCTCAAAGACTTGCCGAAGCACGAGAGGAACACGCTTCTGAAAATGTTGACAAACTTCTGGTCAGAACGCTCCGCCAGTGGATGGGCGCCTCTCGACTATCCCTTAAACATGGCTGATCATGTCTTTGCGGATTGTGACATCATTGTCCGTGAAGATGAACCGAGCTCGTTAATAGCATTTGCTTTAGATTCAAGTGACTATAAAGAGAAACTGGCAGGTATTGAGAGGCATTTTAATGAAACCGACGGATTAAACACAAGTCAAGACGAGGACTCGGAAGCTGCAAACGAAGCACGTGTTGAGCATGCGCTTTTGAGGGCGACTGGAACCCATCTCAAGTATCAGTTCCAAGAAGGACAGGCCAAGATGCTTTGCAAGGTGTTCTATGCGGAGCAATTTGACGCCCTTAGGAAGAAGTGCGGGGTGGCTGATCGAATCGTCGAGTCACTATCCCGCTGTGCAAAATGGGATTCGAAAGGTGGGAAGACAAAGTCTTTGTTCTTGAAGACCTTAGACGATCGCTTCATTTTGAAGTCTCTGTCCCCCATTGAAACACAGGCGTTTCTGAAGTTTGCGCCAGCATACTTTCAGATAATGTCGGAAGCGCTTTTCCACGAGCTGCCGTCGGCCATCGCCAAGATGTTTGGATTTTACCAAGTGATCATCAAGAACCCTGCTACTGGTGTGGAGTTCAACTATTTCTTACTGCTGATGGAGAATCTATTCTACGATCGTGTCCCAACACGAATCTTCGACCTCAAGGGTTCGATGCGGAACCGCAAGGTGCAAAGTACGGGCGAGCGCAATGAAGTGCTTCTCGACGAAAACATGGTCGATTTTATCTACGAGACCCCGTTGTTCTCCAGGGAGCACTCAAAGAGACTCCTTAGCCAGAGCGTGTGGAACGACACGCTTTTCCTGGGTCGGCAAGATGTCATGGATTATTCCCTTATGATTGCCATTGACGAGAGCAGGAAGGAGCTTGTCGTCGGTATCATCGACTGCATCCGAACATACACGTGGGATAAGAAACTGGAGTCTTGGATCAAGGATCGTGGACTCGCAGGCGGCAGTAAGAACCGGCCAACGGTTACCAGCCCCAAGGAGTACAAGAGCCGGTTCAGGGAGGCAATGGCAAGATACGTTCTCCAAGCGCCAAGGTGAGTCTACTATCCACATATGAGAACTGCTTTTCTCTTCTCCAAACTGACGAGAGGGGAAAATCCCTGCAGCTGCTGGCATCAGTTTCAACCGACACATACATATCGATACCCACGCATTGAAATGAACAATAGTAACGTCCCGGATCCCGAAAATGCTCCCAGCAACGCAGGCTGAATCCATCTATTAAGGTGATATTCGAAGGTGTCACCATCACCAGGAACTTACCTGTAATATTTTTCATGGAAACAATGATGCTACGAAGAATTTTCATTTGCATGGATCGGAGTCATCGTCGAAATTCGCAGGGAGTTTGTATGCTATGGCATGGCATGTATGTTATATAGAAAAGGATACCATTCATTTGGCTCTGGGCATGACAGATATACAATCAATCATTCTTTTGTACCTACGCAGTCCTTCATACCAGTTCAACCCTTTGCAAAAATAAAAGGAAAATGAGAGACTTTGCATAACACATAACCTGAGGAGGCATACGACACCAAACAGAATACCGAGAAAACCCCGACGACTCATCGGCAAATCCCGGGATGGGCAAATGAACATCCTCACATCTGCCAAACAGCTCGCGAGCTGATCGGACGCATTCTCCGCCCGTGACACTGCAATCGGCTTGCTGGGCCTATCAAGACGTTTTCGTCCGGTTGCTGGGGGGTAAAATATTATTGCTGCGGGCTTGACTTTTTCTTCCGAGGTTCCTGGGTGATCCGCATCGTGGAGCGTATTTAGGTCTCTTTCCTCCCTCTCCCCGCATTTCTTGGAAGTCTTTTTTTTTCCCGTTCTTGATTATGGTCGTCTATAAAAGGGATTTTACATCCGTTTTTATTATTTACCTTCCTATGTGATTCGAGCAGTTTGTTCGTGTTCGAGGGATATACGGCGCTGCCAAGATGTAGGTAGCTACTTAGCTATCCTCGGCAAAACGAGACTGTAAGTCCTCTACGTTAAGTGGTGTACTTCAATGCCTTCTTTTCATCTAATCTGAAACCGGGCGTTCAATTCATCTCAATCAACATATATGAATCTATAGCTTGGTCGCGACAATCAAAAAAAGGCTAATTATTATTTTTGCCGGAAAACAGGAGAGAAGGTATCATGAATCCGTAACGCAAGAACTTCGTCGTCCGTCTCGAAGAAGGCCCCTTGGGCTCAAGTCGACGTAGCTGAAATGCAACGTTCGTCTTGTCAGTCTTGCAGCACGGAGGGTCAGAAGGGCGCAACGTTTTCGGTTGTAGTACCGCAATCGACGAATATTCTACTTCAATAAAGAAGAATATTGACACTAGTTTATCCAATGCCCGTCGGTGTCCTAGTGAAGAACATTGTGGCATACTAGCCGTCCGATATTATCAAGTTTACTCCTCAGACAGGCCAAGGTTTTCTTCTGCCGGCACCACACGAACGGTATTAGTGTGGCCCTGGCCGCCACGCCAGCCTTGAACACAGACGATGTTATCGCCCTGGCTGATGATACCAAGCTTGATACCGTTCGAGATGGCCCACTTGAGACGGCGGTCGACATCCTCCTGCCAGCTCTGGAGGTAGAAGTTGGGCTTCTTCTCGGGGAACAGGAAAGGCCATACGCCGCGATACAGATGGGAATACTATTTTTCCTTCTGATCAGTGGGGGTGATCAACTCAGAGATCGGGATGAACTTACCCGCGAAGCAGCAGCGTTACGGGTGACCATGATGATCGGGCAAACAGGGCGATACTTGGAAAGGAGACGTGCAGTATTACCGCTGTTCGTCCACGGTTAGCCGGAGTGTCAATAAATCGGGAGAACTGTTGTCATACCTGGTGGTCAAAACTACGATAGCGCCAGCGTTCAGTTCAAGACTTGCGCTTACGGCAGCCATGGCAATGGAATCGGCAGTCGGAGCCGGGCGAGGGACGAGGTTCCTCAACTCATCGAAGATGCTAAAGTGAGGGAATGCAACCTCAGCGAGAAGACATGTCTCGTGCATCATGGTGACAGCTTCGCATGGGTAGCTACCCTTAGCAGTCTCACCAGACAACATGACACAGTCTGCGCCGTCGAGAACGGCGTTGGCAACGTCCGACACCTCAGCTCGAGTTGGGCGAGGGTTATATGTCATAGATTCCAGCATCTGAGTTGCGCAGATGACAGGCTTGCCCTTGATGTTACACTTGGCAATCATCATCTTCTGGGCAAGGAAAACCTTGGGTGCGGGAATTTCGATACCCAAGTCACCACGAGCAACCATAACACCGTCAGTCTCCTCCAGGATTTCATCGAAGTTGTTAACACCCTGCTGGTTCTCAATCTTGGCGATAATCTGGATCTCTTTGCCCTCTTCACCCAGGACTTCACGGATGTGACGGATATCGCTTCCACGACGAATAAACGAGGCGAAAACCATGTCTACCTTGTTCTTTACACCGAACTTGAGATCGGAAATATCCTTTTCGGAAAGAGCAGGAAGGTCGACGTCGGTGCCTGGCAGGTTGACACCCTTCTTGGAAGAGATGTTGCCGTTGTTCAAGCACTCGCAACGAAGGTTCTGCTCATCTACGACTTCAAGCACCTTAAAGGAGAGGATACCGTCGTCGACATAGATGAGCTTGCCGGGCTCGATCATCCTGGTGATATTCTTATAGTCGAGATACCTGTGTGGGTGAAGAACCGTTAGCCCAGCGGCAATTTGCTCGAATTTGAAACAGGCCTACTGACATGTTGACATTGTCGGAGCTGGTGGCATATTTCTCATCAGTTGTGATGTTGATCACATCGCCTTGCTTGATGGGGTAATCCTTGTTGTCGACGGTGTTTCCAGTACGAATCTCAGGACCCTTGGTATCCAGGGCAATTGCGAGAGGGCGACCAGCCTGGGCCTTCTCGGCTTCGCGGGCATTATCAATGACCGATTGGTGATACTGGGCAAGTTTAGAAGTGTGCGGACAAGCTTTGGAAATATGAGACAACCAACCTCATAGCTACCGTGGGAGAAGTTCATCCGGACAACGTTAAGACCACCTATTGTGAATGTTGTCAGCGCATTTACGATTTCCTGCTACGTTCATTGTCCATTCGATCGTACATTTGCGGAGCTTGTTGATCATCTCGGGAGAGTTCGTCTTGGGTCCTGCGCGCAGATTTGATGTCAGAGACAAGGCACTCGTGATACTATAGTGAGGGAATCAGGACATACCAATGGTACAGATGATGGAGGTGCGACGGAAGTTCTTTGCGGGGACCATCTCAGTGGTGAGCTGAGAATGCCACTGCAACTTCATCTTGTTGTCGAGGTGGTCGATGGATGATGAGGCGGCCATCTTGATGGAATTGGGATAGGATAACTGGGAGTAAACAGGAAGGGACGTATCAGAGAGGACGAGGGATAGGATGTGAGTCTGTCTGCGAGATGGCAGGAGAGGGACGATGGAGAGTAGTGGGATGGGAAAGAGGGAGGGGGAAAGAGAATTTGAAGGCGGACGGAGATTAGCTGTTTTAATACTAGCGAGCCTGGCCTCCCGGAAATCATGTGCTGGCCCGTTGGGGTTTAGCCCATACGGGCCGTACGGTACTCGTATCATTTATCATGTTAGAGCTTACAGCATCTGCTTCATCACCGCTTTCTCAGACATCCACGCGTCGCCAGAGATAGATGGCATCCAGTGTATCCACTGACATCATCCGATCTGCCGGTAGCTCGAACTTTTGCTAAATCAGATCCGCTTCGTCGACATTTCTGTGTTGGAATGCCTGAGCTTGGCCTGTCACCTGCAAATGCCCAGAACTGGTTTTCCCAGAACCACCGCCAAGTCACCCAGTGTACAGCGTAGATACAGCACCCAGCGCTTCCCAACAGACCCCTAATTATTATTGTCTACTGCAGGGGAATGCAGGAGGAATGTCGGATTCGGTGGATTTCACGGACACCGAAGACTGCCTCCCTACAGTGCTCATGGACTTCAGTGCTCCGTCTGGATCGTGTTGTATGACCGTGCCGGCTTGCCGCCCCCCTATTGACCGGTGGAATTGAAGCTTGCCTAGGTAGACTCGCTGCTGCAGACCGAACCATCAAAATCGTAATATGACATGACAGTACTGCCATTTTATTCTTAGAATCGTATGGAGCCGACTTGCCTCTGTCGGGAGTTGCATGACGAGTTCTTTCTCCTGGCCATGGAAATATAGCTTCAGCTTCATCCTCAGCCCAGCCTGTGTCATGTGAAAACGCCGTCACGTGGCCGGGAGCTTCAACGGTCATCACCGCCATCCCTCGCGCTGCCCTGCAATTCCTCCGTGCTACGCTTCGTCAACTCTATCCATCAGTGCGCTCTCTGCTGCCCAAAGTTGCTTGGTTCTATTTCATTATCTGGATATCCTGCGTCTGTCCACCCACAACATCACCATGGTAAGCATGGCACCCACTTGCATCTGGCGTGGTTGGAATGAACATGCCACTGACCCGTCAACCTATTACTCCCCACCCACAGATCGGTCGCCTCACTCACTATGCTTTTGATGCTGTCCTCAGTAAGATTTTTTTTTTTTCTTATTTTTTTTATTTGGCTTGCGTTCCTTTTTCCTTCCACGGCCCCCCGGTGATCCTGGTAGGGTAATGGGATGATCTTATATCATTCATTCCATTTGCTTCGTGTTATCCCATAACTAGTGCATTTATTATTTACTTTTTTATGTTTTATATAATTTCTTTTTATTTTCACACTTTTCTCTTCCTCCTTCTAATTGGATCTAGTATCTGCATTCCTCGCAGGCGTGAAACGATCAACCGGACTCACGTAAGTCTCCCCTTATCTATGCTACGTCGGCAGTCGAGACTATGCATACTGTACCGCATACCGCCGTCTCAACCAACGGGACCTCGAGAAACATGCCAAAATCGTCTATACACTTGTTTTTTGAATTTTGCTTCCCCCCATTTTTCGACCATTCTCTCTCCTTTTCCCTCTTCGAGCCTTACTAACCAGGTTGATCCCCCGCTCCCACCAACTGGGGAGGATAGCGTGGGATTATTTCACAGCCCCAGCCTCAATTCCGACAAGATCACTGAGAACAAGGATGTCAAGAAATGGATCGATAACTACCTCGGTGTTGGCGAGTGGGTGATGGACCAATCTGTTGCGGTCTTCGGTTCCACAACCTTCTTCGAGCGCAAGCGATGATCCTTATCCTCTCTTGAACCGAACATCTACTCCTATGCATGGTCAGGAAGGAGGGATTTATCTCGGGGATGGGTATTGCATCTGTCTGCTGCTATTGCCATTGTTATTCACAAGCCTTTACACATGCACAGAGTCTTTTCTCCAGTCGGTTGAAAGGACAGAAGGAGTATTTTGGTTCGACTTGTTTTGGGGCATTTTTATATTCCATGTGGAAGGAGAAATAGGTAGCCTTCCTAACGACGTGATGTTTCTTGTTCTCATTTTGCAGGGGAGGTATGACTTCATTTCATTTCTTCTCTTGTTCACCCGAATGAGTCTGGTTAAGGAGACTGTTTCAATAAAAGATAAGTATATAACTGCAAGTGTCGCCCTGGTTTCCAGTTGAATTCCCAGTTCTCTATCGGAGTTATTCATTGCCTGGATCTTCTAGCTGCAGTGTCACAAGCAATGGCCAAACCAGAATCAGAGTAATTGCTAAGATGTACGTATGAAGGTATGTTTGTGTACATTAACAGTCAGATCCGCAGTATATTCCACAGTCCACCTGCAGCGGAAAAAGCATATAATAGAAAAAGCACAGTTCCCAGCGGTTCGTAGGTCACTTCAAATCGTATCATATCATATCATTAAGATAGGAGAGATTCAAACAAGTACAGTGCCATGTCCATCAAATTAGTTGTACAACAATTCAGTCAGCCGCCTTGTTGGAATGACTTTCCTCGCTGGTGTAAAGCAATACCTCTATAAACCCAGAATGTGGGGACAAGGTAAGAAGATCATGTACATCACGGTGGAAACGCGCATATATTTACCGGGGGGCACTAGCGTGCTGCGGAGACGTGGAGAGACGCTGAAATCGGCTATTACGATCAGACTCTGCCGGGAGTAATAAACTTCGTCTAGGTCCGTAGCAGAGCATCGATATCTACACGGCGGCAATATGAGACATGGCCCATGGATTCCCAGTAATGAGCCACACAGTCCGAGGAGATGAGAATTAGCTGGGACGATATGAAGGTATCTAATGAGATAATACGGTCAGAAATATGGCCTTCGGTTAATAGTGCCGATTGGCGGATGTGGATTGTCTAACTTACCGTCCCTAAAGCCAAGGCCTGCGATATGTCCTCTGCTGCGCACAATTCTCGCGCCTCTGAAGGGCGTCTCGTCTGCTATGCGAACCAGACCTCTTGCTCCGATATCTTCTGCAATGAACGATATCTCCCCACGAGGCACATTGGGATCGCCTGTGAGCTTTATTGCCTCTAGGCTGCCCTGTTGGACAATATCTTCACTGGATGCTTCACTATCGTTTGACTCCGCCCCAGCAAGTTTCGGGTTGGCAGCACCAAAGGGAGTTGCGCCATCAGAGCCAGATTCCTTGCTACGTTGAAGAAATAGCAAGAATTCGCATCCATGTGCAGAATAGTCTCCTACCCATATGCCTTGATAGGGCTTTTCCTTGGTCGGCGTGTACAAAATTGGATCAAGGGTTGCGTAAGTTGTTAAAGTCTCACTGCTACCTGCAGTGAGAATCGGTAAGCCCAGCCGGAAGTGTGCCCATCTCCTGACTCTAAAACATGTTTCGGATATATCTGAGAAATGCTTTGGCGGATTCTCCCAATTTGACCAGTGGGTCTCCACATCGCGGTACACCCGGTTTTCGCTGGGGATAGTTAACGGCGGCCAGAGTCTGTCTTGGCGGACCTCCACATGTGATGGGATATCCTTGGAGCACAGAGAGAAGGCATTGAATACATTCTGTGATTCAACAGCCATGGGCATCCGGATTTCGCCATGGAGGTAGTGCGCTCGACTTGGGAAACCCGACGGGCTAGGGGTCTTCAGTAGAACCACAGGGTCATCAAGCCAAAGATTGATCTTGGGCTCAAAAGTGAAGATGACAACGTCTGGATCCCAGTCCCAGACTTGGTGCTGGTGGTTATGGCTTTCGGCAAGGATACGGTAACCCTCAATAACCCCCCGTCGGTTATCGTAGCGCGCCAGGATCAGATTCCCCGTATGTTCATTGTCCGAAAACCATATTTTACTCCGCGGAATAAACCAGGAGGGATAATGAGCAGCATATAGTTTGCGAAAGGAGTCAAACGGTCCAGGATCCTGAATTTTCAATGGCAAATTCTCGTTGACCAGGCCAGCCCATAATACATCACTGGAGCTATGGTTGGCGAGAGTACGACATGTCAAAGAGACGCTGATCAAGTCTCGTAGGGGCAGATAAGAAAGGATCTGATATAGCAGCTCAGACGGCAGTTGAACAAGTTGTGATATCGACTCTGGAGAACTGTCGTGTTTCATATCGCCAAGCGTGAAGGGCGGGGAATTGGGAGTGACTGCCGGGTTGCCGTCAAGCTGCGGCGGGTCTCGGTCGCCCTGCATCTGGAAGACTGATAAGGATCTCGACGACAGGGTGCTGGTAAGTTAACGCAAATCCATGGATGTGATGACAGCTTGTTCCGTCATCACAGGCCTGAGGAATTGAATGGAAGTTCCACGGGAATGCGCTTAATGCTGTAAGGAGTGTTTGAGAGATACTCCCGCTAAGCAGGAAACGACATGACATCACGTACAAGACCGCACATTGGCAGCTAGCAAAGTAAGATTAATGGAGCGGTCGATATAGGAGAGCAGTAAAAGAAATAAGCTGCTGTCTCAAAAAAGACAGGGCACCTTTCTGCGCCTTTCTGCCGGTCTCGATATCGAATTGGCTGAGCTGCTGCTTTCATTCTCGAAATGGAGATTCGAGAGAATTCCTCAGGCTGCGATACAGTTGCTGCCTGGAGTATCACGTGTATAGCCACATGACTGTCCCTCGAGATTTATTTACGCTTATCCAAATCGGGTAACATGTGTGGAGTCAACCCTTAAAACGGTCTGTTTATTTACTCGTAATGAGGTCTGCATTCATACATAAGACCACAGCAGACAATTTATCTTTTTTTTTTCTGGTGCTGATTTAACTACAGAAAATGCACTTATGAATCTCTCTGTTTCTTGTTGATCAGAATTCTATAATTCTATAGTTACATCGCATAGCAGATTCTTTGCCTTCCACCATAATCTATATATTCGACGATGCCAACAACACGTCAAGGAACCATCATCGATGTGGCCATGAAAGATGCTCCACGAAAGAGAAGGAACAGCTCCGCGTCACGCGCAGTCCATTGTTCTCCTAGCCAAATAAAGAATAAGTCGATGCAGAGGTCACGGCAGACCCATGCAGAGCAGCCCTTCTCTCCTGTTACACCTCGGAGATCCAGGAAGAAGGTTCGCTTTTCAGACCCAGGACCTCTATTGCAACACGACAATGATAAATCGACCGGTTTAACTCCAGTTCTTTTGCGCACGTCATTGGACGGAATCAATACTATGACTCGGACGCCGACTCATCGGGCCCGGAGACAGTCAACCCCAACTCTGCGGCTCTCCCGGTCCTATGACTATTTATCTTCGTTTGATACGGCTTCTCCGGAACATATCATTCAGTTTACGCCGTTTCGAGAGATCCTGGATCTTCGGACTCAACGACGGATCCGACGAGCCGGTTTGAGTGATGAGATGAACAAATATGAGCGGGAAAGGCGTGAAAAGGCAAAACATAAGGATGCCTTACGGAAGAATGATGCAGAGCTCGCGGCATTGAGAAAGGAACTGAACGACTTGAAAAAACACAGGTTTGATGATGACGCAAATACTGAAGCTGCGCAGACAGCCTCCCGGGCTCAAGTAGAACACTTAGAAGCGCAAATCCGTCGACTCAAGGATAGGCTTTATTTATCTGCACACAATATTGACCTCGAAGGCGTCTCAAAGGATGGTGAAGACGCTGTTATGATTAATGCCGGTGAATTGGACGACGATGGCCATGCCATGGTATCGAACTCGCCGGCATCTAGTTTTATAGACAATCTCTCTTCACCAGCTTCAGAGACTCCTCTAGTGCTTGCCAGAAAGCACGTGGATGCCGATACCTCCACACAAGTGGATATTCTGGACAATAAGCAAGAATCCGAGATCCTTGCTCTCTCTCGTGATTTGGAAGCAGCGAAAGAGGAGAAGAGAGCGCTTTTCAATGCATGCCGCGCTCTCCCTCATCTAAATGGATCTCTAGGTGGCAGCACATTCCGCTTGCCCTCTCCTCCTCCAGACTTCTTGGGCCAAATTGTGCCCATCTTATCATCGGCTCTCAGCCGCGCTTCAGATGCTGCGAATGCGCTTGGTTCTGCCAAGCAGAGGCTCCTTGGTTTGGGTTTTCAGGGAGATAGCGTGGATGAAATAATTTCTGAGATGCGTTCCCACTTTCGTTCAGCGCGTCTCGATTTGGAACGTGCGGCCCCTGGGGAAACAGCCAACGTCGGCCTGGAGGATGGTTGTGCCACCCTCGGTGCCTTGGTTAAGCGTATCAAATTACTTATCGAGAGTATGGGGAAAGAACGTGGACTTTATTATGGTTCGTTAGGCCGGGAGAAAGCTTTGAGGGGCCAGTTTGATGCCTTGCTAGTTCGGTATGACGAGGCATTGGAGAAGATCAGGGATCTTGAACAGGAAACTTTGATTTCATCGAACAACATGCTTCATACGACAGTGAAAATGGAAGAACTCGAACGCTCCAGAGATGAACAAACCATCGAAATTAACAGGCTGAATGAGGCATTGAGCAGGTACCACGATGAAGCTAAGAGGCTTGAAGCTCTCGTGACAGGTCTAGAGGCAGAAAGCGCAGCCTGCAAAGAGAAGCACAGCAAGGAAATATCAGACCTAAACAGCAAGATTGCCAGCGAAGTGAACATACGCCATGTTGCTGAGTCAATCGTTGCTGAACGCGAGACACGTATCCATGAATTGGAGGAAATTGTCCAAGATAACCGGATTAAGATCTGCGATATGACCGCACACATTGAGGCCATTGAAATTGAGTACCAGCTGGCTTTAGAGAGTCAACAGCGCAAGGCAGCTGAACGACAAGACTATCACGACCAGGAGATGGGATTCATGAATGTCCGTATCTCGGAGCTTACAACATCCCTGGAAGCTGCAAAATCAGAAGTAGGCAAACTTTGCCGGCAAAACAGTGGCCTGGAACAGCAACTCCAACTTGAGATAAAAGCAAAAAATGACTTGATGCATGAATGGATTGCAACTCAAACACGCGCGTTTGTCTCAACAAGGAAAGCAATTCATGCCGAGCAGCACAGTGCTAAGATCCGTGAAGAGAATAATAAAGAACTTCTGTCAGATAACTTTCAATCTGATATCAGAAGTGAGCCTATTACTCCTGTGAGTATGACAAGATATGTGGATGTTGAGATTGGCAGGGGAAAGGATAGACAACAGGTGAATAGTGGGATTGAGTTTCTGATGGAGGGAGACCTCATTGATGATGATGATGATGATTATGTTAATCGACAGATCCAGAATTCTCTGAATTCTGATATTGAACTACCAAGTTCAGATCCTGTCAATCTTTGAGAACTTAACCTTTCATTATTATTATTTCCTATCCTAGTTAGTTTTACTATTTTCAGCATGGTCGCCCGATACTCGAGTATATAAGAACCTACCCTTGCTGTTCTCACCTTGTCCTCCTCCAACTTCTTCTTCCTCCTCCCCAGTTCTCCCTCCTATATGCTGCACTCACTCAGTCCCGGTCGTCGTTTCACCAGTCCTCATTGCCTTCCCCCGCTGGTATGTGCTTCAGGAGTGCTTCAGGATAATACGGACAAGGCGTACGAGTCACTGCGCATACACGGCTGGAGCAAGACTGAAAATCCATCTTTCGATCTCAGCACCTATGTACGCCTGTTCAAAGAGCCGTTCACTGTGCCACCGATACGACGAGCACCTTTTGCATCTGCCACAGCCTTTATTTTTTCTAGTATGCGGTATGATAACAGTCTCAACCAAATGGCTCTTCCCGGGAATAGCGATCGCCTCCAACGCGCAGAAGAAGAATACAATTACGGTCACAACCAAGTAAATACACGATCTTCACCATTGAATACTGCATGTACATGGAGTTCAGCTGTACAGCCCACAAACACCCCATTTAAGCCTGGAGTCCAGCAACGAGCTTGTCACCAAGAGCCTTGATGCTATCCTCGAACTCCTGGGGAGTGGAGGCCTTCCAGTTGGCGCTCCAGCTGGGATAAGCCTCGTCGGTGGTGAAGCCGATGTACATGACGTCCTCGACATCGGGAGCGGTGTTTCCATCGATGTACTGGTCGGGGTAGCAAAGCTTGGCCAGAGCAATGGACGCTTCGCCGGTGGACTTGCCGCCATTGGTGTCACCCCAGATACCGTAGAACTAGTTCACATTAGCCCAACTGTGCTTGGAGGAATGGACCGCAGACGGGAGAAGCTACATACCACCTGGTTGTTGCAGACGACAGCCATAACACTCAGAGGCTTCATACCATGCTGATCAGGGTAGAAAGTTTCGCCCTCGTCGTTGCCAAAGACCACGTACGGGTGGATGTTGGCGTTCAGATCGTTAATGCCGTACCTAGTAACCCTGTCCTGGAAGGCAGTGATGTCTTGGCCGGAGGGATCGTTGGGGCAGGGCTCGCTGCCATCGCAGTCGATGTCCATGTTATCGTATTGGCCGCCATTGCGCTGCGAGTGCAGGAAGATGGCGCCGGGGATGTCACCGCAGTACGCGAACGAGTTGCCGTTAGCACTGCCGCCGTCAGTGAAGCCGCCGGCGAGCTTGTTGGCGCACTTTCCGGGCTGTTTGGAAGAAGACAGTCAGCATATGGGAGAGGGAAGGAAAAAAAAAAAAAAAAGAAAAAGAAAGAGGGAAAGGCCGCACCTTGTGCTGGTCGTAGAGCTTCCTGAGGTTGTCCGGGATGTCATAGGCACTGGCACCCGCAGCGGCGGCGACCATGAGGGCTGGGAGGAAACGCATTTTGATGCTGGGATAGGATGATCCGGGAAGGACAATCTGTTGCAGGCTGGTCCTGGGAGTTTGAACTTGATCTTTCGTCGTCGTCTTCTCTTCTTCTGCCGGTGTACAGAGGTCTCGGAGTTCTTTTAAATGTCTCTACGCACAACTCCCTGGCGCAACACCATCCAGCACATCTCATCGTACCGATCAGACCACAAGGTACTATTGAAAATTATCTCTTGCCTTTACTTGATGGAAACCGACAGAAAAAAGGCTATTCGGGGCCCAGGGAGGCCGGATGGAGCCGTGCTCTGCGAAGTTAGCCCTATTAGGCAGTCGACTGCGATGCCTCGACGGGGCGTCTTGAGCGATGCGAGGGCGCGGTGGCATCCCCGCTCCGTGGAGCGCTGCAGGAATCCCTCGTTTCATCAGTCTGGAGGGGGATCGGCAGCTGTCTCATCTGCAGACAACATGAACAATTACTGAACATATGGTGCCAATGCAACCCTGGGCGACGGCAGTCAGTAAACAGCTGTGCGGATCATGTCCGAAACCCCTGATGCCGCGGCTCCGTCGGCCGGGCTGATGCATCTATTCACGACGTCCAGGGCTGCTCGAGATCGGTCCAGTCCGGTACGTTCTTCTGCCTCGATAGTACAGACCTTGCCATGGCTAATATCGCACTTCTTTCCCGTCTGGGGCCATTCAGGGGCCACTGCACGTCGGCCCCTCCACTGCCAAGCTGCGAGGTGTATGATTCCTTTGGGCCATGCTGCCGGTATACACAGGCAATGTGAATGATGATGTGCAGAGTGCGAGATGACGATGGACGCTTCAAATAACGCTGCCGTGTTATTTAATGCAGAGACACCCGGCCTGTCCTATGCAGGAGCTCCATCTCGACAGAACCATCGTCCTCCACGGTCAAGATGCGTTTTGCTGCCTTTGTCCTTGCTGCCCTTGGGGCGAACACTGCTGCCGCATACTGGCTGCAGGACATCACCCACAATGGCAAATCCCCCTACAACTCCGACTCCAACTACGTCGTCTGGCGCGATGTCAAACAGTACGGCGCCAAGGGTGACGGAACTACCGACGACACCGCCGCCATCCAGCACGCCTTGACCGGTAGGTGCATGCGCTCCCCCCCTGTCCTTTCGCGTGTCCGTCGGCTGCTAAAGTCATACCTGTAGATGGCGATGGGTGCGCCGAGGCGAGCTGCGGAGGCAGCACGGCGTACCCCAAAGTCGTCTACTTCCCTCCCGGCACGTACAGCGTGACGAGCAGGCTCAAAGTTTCCATGTACACCCAGATGGTCGGCGACCCTACGAACCGCCCGACCATCTCCGTGCCGCATACGTATGGCGACCAGTATGTCATCGATGGATACCCCAGTGACGGCGGCTACTGGAACAGAGCCGCGGCCACGCTGAACTTCCAGAAGAGCATCGAGAACATCATCATCGACACCACGGCCGTCGGCGGCGGGTTCGCCTTCAGCCAGATCAACTGGGCCGTCGCGCAGGGCACCGCGTTGCGCAACATCGACTTCAACATGGCTGCCGGCTCCAAGCAGACCGGTATTTCCATGGAGGGAGGCAGCGGCGGCGGCGGTTCCGGCACCTTCATGGGCGACCTGACCTTCAACGGCGGCCAGACGGGCATCAACCTCAGCAACCAGCAGTTCCACATCAAGAACGTCGTCTTCAACGGCGTCACCACCGGCATCTACGTTGACCACTGCTTCATCGCCGTCCTGCAGGGCATGCAGTTCAACAACTGCACCACAGGCGTCGACGCTGGCAACGCCAACTCCATCTCCCTGATCGACTCCTCGTCCTCGGGCACCGACACCGTCGTCAGCGCCACGAAGCAGTCGCCCAGCAACACCCGCTCCATCGTCATTGAGAACCTCGATGCCACGGACGCCCAGACCATCGTCAAGCGCAGCGACAACGGCCAGGTCCTCCTTGACGGTGGCCAGGGCCAGCAGACCGTCGCTAGCTTTGTGCGCGGCGCCACCTTTGACTTGTCCTTCAACAAGAACTTCACCGGCGGCAGCCTTGACGTGAACCCCCCGCAGAGGCCCAGCTCAATGCTGCAGAATGGCAAGTACACGACCAAGCAAAAGCCCACCTTCCCCGACACGCAGGCGGCCGATGTGGTCAACGTCCGCGACGAGGGCGCCAAGGGTGATGGTAGCACCGACGACCTCCAGGCCCTGCAGACTGCGATCAACAACAACGTCGGAAAGATAATCTACTTCCCGTACGGGGTCTACCGCATCACTGATACCCTCAACGTCCCTGCCGGCTCCATCCTTAAGGGTGAGGCCTGGCCCACCATCCGTGCCGCCGGTCCCTCTGCCTGGAAGGACCAGAGCAACCCCAAGGCCGTGGTCCAGCTCGGTTCCCAAAACGGCGGCAACGTGTCCAGTTCATGGACTTTGTGGTCGAGGTCGGTCACGTCTACGAGGGTGCCAAGCTCATCGAGGTCATCAGCGAGGCCGATGTGTTCGATGTCGTTGCCCGTATCGGCGGCTCGCAAGCCAGCACCGCTCTCTCTTCTCAGTGCAACGACGAGTCAAACCCCTGCCGAGCTGCCTTTATGGCCCTCCACATCACCCCGACCGGATCCGGTTACTTCGAAAACGTCTGGGGCTGGAGCGCCGACCACGCCATTGATGGCGGCGGCGTCCAAGCTGTCGGCAGCGGCCGTGGTGCCCTGATCGAGAGTACGGCTCCCGTCTTCTTCGTCGGCGTCGCCATGGAACACCATGTCTTCTACGCCTTCAAGACCCACAACGCCCAGAATGTCTTCCTGGGCATGCTCCAGACCGAGGGCCCATACTGGCAGACAAAGTCCCCGGCCCCGTCCACCTGGAATGTGAACTCGGCCTACCATGACCCCAACTTCAGCAATTGTGGATCCGGCGAAACCGGCTGCACGCTGCAGTTCGACCTCCATGTCGACGGTGGTAGCAACATCTTCTCGTACGGCAACGCTTTCTGGGCCATCGACGTCGTCACACAGACGAACTCGGTCTGGATCAAGAACACCCCCAAGACCAGCATCTTCTATAACTCCAACGTGGGAGGAGCCAACATCCAAGGCGGCGGTGATGCTTTCACCAACATCATTTCCGTCCCTGGCAAGGGCTCAATCCCGACTGATCAGACGTACTCATCGCCGATGTGGGGGAATGGTGCCGTGGAGTCTGCTTTCACTGGCTTCACTGGTGCTTAGATTCTCGTCTTTCTCTTAAGACTCTCTTTCTCTTTCTTTCCTTGTCTCTCTTTGTTTTTTCTTTATTTGCTTTCTTGTATGTATTAGGTATACCTTCTTTCTTTCCCGTTCCTGTACAAAACATCAAAAACCACTCTACGGCATGTAGAGCACAATTCCATATGTTCTCATCATCAGTGTTACTGCATAAGGCTAAAAATACGTACTTGTCGAATGGAGCATCTCGCTGCATCATCGAACATCCAGTAACTCAGTTGACCAGTCAACGAATGCAAATTTCTTCTTTCAGTCGAAGGTCGAGAACGAAGCAGCGACAATTAACTAGTTAATTAACGTAGTTAGTTAAACTAATATGCGCTTAGGTCAGCCATGCAATGCACCATGACGTCGCCCGGCGTCAACATGGAGGGAACCGTCTTCCGCACGTCACGGACGTTCAATTGTTCCAAGCAGAACCTGCATTTAAGATGAGCATGCATTATGCCTAGGGCGAAATACCGATTGCCAGTTGAAAAGCGACAAGAACGACCGTGAAATGGGAATTGAAGACATGGGGTATCGGCTCAAGGTCACCGCAGGCCCGGATTATGATCCGCAAACTCATCAGATCGTGCAAGTCAACGCTGATAAGACGCTGAGGATTGAGAATGAGCATTCGATTGTGAGTGCTTGTGTGCGAGTGCAGGACTATGACGGTATGCCTCTGTGTCTATATGATATGGGTATATCATTGCCAAGGGCGTATACAACTAACAAGAATATATAGGCTACCCCGACAGCTCTCTACCAACATCCCCCTACTTCTCCCACCCCCTGCACCAGTCGGACCAATACAGCATCAGCTTCAGCATCATCTTCAAGAAACCCGCCAACGGCGACGATGTTGTGTTCGGCAACGACTTCGACTTTCCCATCCGCGATAACCTCCCGCCAGGCTTCAGCTATGCGCTCCATGTAGTCCGATGGATGCTGGACCCCACTATGGACGGGGATGTATATTCGGACAAACCGCACCTGTACTCGCCGGCACTGGCGACATGGAATCAGTTCCGGGTCGGCGAGAAGATCCAGCGGGATGATACCGTGCCGTCGGTTCATGATCGGGTTGTCGAGGAGGGGGCTGATGGGGATGGAGATGACATCCGATCTGCGCACGGTATCCCCAGTGATGTGAAGGGGAGGAGGAAACATTTTCAGTATGAGGAAAATCGGAAGGCGTTTGAATGGGAGGCTGGGAGGTTGTATTGGGCGGATTTTGGGAATCCATACTTGGATTTTCGGAGTGAGTTTGCTTTCATTCTATCTCTCTCCTATTTTCCTGGCCATGCTAACTCCATTAGATTTTTCACTCCGACTTCCCGGGTTCAGTCTTCCTATTCTTGATTATCTGGACGAGAAACATCGTGAATTGCGCTACGTTCTGAAGAATAGGCAAACTGGGGATGTGTACCTTGTGGTCCTCTTCACGCTGGTTCCGCTGGACACGGAAGACGAGCCTGCTGAGAAAGAGAATGCTGAGAAGATGAGCAAGGAGGCCAACGAGAAGAAGCTCCAGGATGGGGATAACCTGGGGAAGTACGGATGGGAGCCAGAGAACGAGGCGCATTAGCTCTGCACGTTTGTACCGTTCCATAAGCCTCAGCACGAGATTCATGATAGCCTGCCTCCCCCAATTTAGCAGCTAAACACCCCGTCAACCCTTCCAACGCAGCAACTCCACCAGACTCCCGGGGGATCTCCATCTGATAAACAAGACAGCGGTGATCCGTTCCAGATAACCTTCCAAGAATTCCTTCCTGGCCTGTTTTCCAACTCCCGGTCCGGGTGCAGACCAGGGTTAAAAGCTTCATCCGGTAGATCGGGCGGGAAGGATAGGTAAAGAGTGGCCTACAAGAGAGATCAGCCTACATTGTAGGTCAGTCGGACATAATCATAAGAAAACTACCTTGATGCAACTCGTCAAAATCTACACAGTCCTATGCGCAAGTTGACGGCGCGCCATCTTCCTGTAAATGCCAGTGGTGGAGATCCTCGCCTTCTTCCCCCATATGAGCAGTGGTATTGGGAGCAACAAGACAGCGACGCAAATGACTGAGATCATGATATGAAGATTTCGCATGCCCATACCGGCGACCCATGGAGTGAGCGTAAAGAGAACGACAACAGACAGGATGTTCCGCACGAAAATGACCCCGACTAACGCGTCGCCGATTATCTGGAAAGCCGTGTTAGCTCTGCATTCCTAGCAGGAGGTGGCTCTCACATCTTGATAGCAGTCTGTAAGGTACGAGAGTGAGATCTCGCCGACCATGGCAAATCCGAAGCCGAAGAATCCAAAACCAACGGCAAGGAGAGCCCAGTGCACGGCCTACAGAGCAAGTTAGCGCTTGTTGTCAACCTGAAGCGTAGCCAACGTACATAGGCAAGACCTAAACCGAACATCAAAATCCCCGCAGGGATGATTATCGCTTGCGGAAGAGCCAGCCAAAGACGCATCTCAGGCTCGTATATGCCGCCGTTTCGTCTTGAAAGCCATATGATGGACTTGTCATTCAGGTACCCGCCGAAGAAGCCCAGAAACCCGCCGATGAAAGGTGGAAGATTCATGAGGCCAATGCCGATGGCGCTGAAGTTGTACGGGGGCTCGATCATGTATGTTGCCTGGACGGAGGTGAGGATGGCGAAACAGCTGAGGACGTAGCCCCAGGTGATTGCCGCATAAGCGACAGCTGGGAACCGGAACAAGATCAGCAGTGGCTGGTAGAAGTGCTGCAGGATGGATTCGTCGGTTCTGGTGATCAGGGCTAGACGTTGGCGATAGGGCTTGAGCCTATATCCAAGATTCGCGTCTGGCTGAGTTGTCTCGACCTCATGCTCACTCTGGATGCCGGGAAAGGCTTTATTCTGGGCGTCCGGCTCCGCGTGAAGCGTGGATGGCGAAGCCACCGCAGGAACATCTCGCGCGTTCAGCGTGGGGATGTATTTCGATTCTTCGAAGAAAAAGGCCACGAGAGCCAGATTCACGCCCAGGAATATCACGCACCACCACCACATCCATCTCCATCCCTGCGACTCGGTGATGTACCCCGAAGCAACAGGGCCAAGAAACGTACCGATATTCTGAGCGAACACATACCACGCATTCATGGTGGCATGCTGATGCACGAAGAACAAGTCGGCAATGGTAATCTGCACGATCGTCTCACTGATCGCACCCCCTAGGCCGGAGATCAAATTGCTGCCGATCATATCGCCGGGTGTGACGGTCTTTGCCAGCCATATACAGGCGGCAAACTGGAGCGCAGAGCTGAAGAGGTACACGGGACGGCGTCCATATTTGTGCACAAGAGGAATGAAGAGCACGCATCCCACCGCTAGCGCGGCATAGTTCACTGCCGACGCAGCGTTCAGGAGGTCCACGGAGAAGCCGAGTTCGGTTTCCAGAGGGCCCCAGGCCGTGAAGCCGATGTCGAGCTGGACGAAGGTCCACAGGACGAAGAAGCAGACGAGGCTGAAATTGAGCGTTTTGCGGCATCGAGACCAGTTCAGGGGATCGTTGGGATCCGCAGATGGGACTGGATATAGAGCCAACTGATCGTCTGCTTGATTTCCTTCCCAGCATCGTAAGTCATTCTGCTATTGGGGCTTCGAGGGCTGTCCAGATGCCCTTACTGGTCTCCAATGCCACTGTTCCAGGCGCCCAGACGGCCTCACCCTGCAGCGTACCGGGCTCGCTTGTACGCTCCATTATACCACCTCGCTGGCTTTCGGAAACGCTGTGGGTATGGAAAGAGGGGATCTCTGGATCTCTCAGAAGGATAATAACCACCGGTCTTTGATTTCTGCGGAGAGAACGACCGCGGGAACTGAGAAATAAGTAATGCGAAGTGACTCGCCCACATCGGCTAGACTTGCTCGATTGCTGTTAAATTAAGACGGGTCAACCTCCCGTATTCCTCCATCTTGAAGCGATCAGACGGGAGTTGATTATCCTAGTACAGTAGCCATAGCCGAGCGCGATGCAAGTGCCAACAATATAGATAACCGCCAGAGAGACCAGCATATTCTCGTCGTCCGTAGGGCTTCTTGGCCTGCGTCACCATAAGTAAGGGCTGGCTGTGGATTCATGCTGCGTCTCCTTGATTGCCTGCCTGATGTATATCTTCCTGAGTAGGTATTCGTCGTACTTCTAAAAGCGTCGCATTGGATCGAATGCCCTACTTTCCCGGGGGTGGATAAGCTCAATAATCGTCTTCGTCCCCATCTAGCCCTGCCGTGCGATCCTGCGGAGCCTTGATGATTCCCATAATAGCTTCCGCGACTGCCCTCTCTCCACAATACTCCTCATGTAAACCTAGCCGAGGGATTGTTGACGATGAGTCTGATGTAGATACAAGAAGTGATACCTCCTGCTCTTCCGTGGCTAACCCTAAGTGATCACATGACATTATAGACCCTAGACCCTAAACACCGTACCCTATCTTCCCCTATGTCTACTGAAGCACAAGAGGAAGATACGGGAGATCAAGGTTCTTCCGAGGAGATGTATGAGCCCGTCATTAAACGAATGAATGGAGATCCTTGTTTGGAAGAATGGTGGAGTGACCTCAACATTTTGGTCCCCTTGAGGCTGTTCAAGAACCATGGAATCATCGGTTACGTTCGTTCCGGGACACTCGATGGGATAATGCAAATCGTCTACTCAGACAACACAAATCACTAAAACGCAGGAACAGGAAGTCGTTCGAAAGTGCGTTACACTAGGCAATGAGTTGGCGGGAAAGAAACCTCTTGGATGGAGAGATGCACTAATATCAGCTTAGGAGCATACGGGCAAGATTCTAGAGGAGTTCCCAGTTCGGGTTCCCGTACGGTATGTTCATGTTTTTTCATTTCAGCTTGATGTATTCAGCCTTCATCTCTCCACTGACAGTGGTGAAGATTCTTTCCTCACGCGCAGGATATAGGAACGCTGGCGTTGGGGGTGCCATTGGCTTGGAGCGAGGTAGGAGATATGCAGCTTATGAGAGGGACCACGAACGCGGATAATTTATTTCTTGGTGAATTCATTCCTGCGTACGTTTCCAGGATGGAAAATACAGAAATAATCAATTCTTGATATACAACCATTTCAGCATTGAATGCCTCGTCCTGTAGAGCTCATGCTCGATCTAAGAACCTAGATTTCATCATGTTTAAGAGGCTTCTGGCTGGAAACGGAATCATCCGTCCCCACAACCTTCTCGGATGACAAGAACCAGTTCTTACGAGGAGGAACCCTTTCAATATATTCCCCTCGGTCCTGCAGCCCTCGCTTCACCATACTTGTCACCATCTCGAAGACCAACTGGGCAGCGGCCAATGCAGTCGATTCACCAGTCATGTCGTAAGCGGGCGCCACCTCGACGATATCCGCTCCCACAAGATTCAGACCATCGATTCCGCGCAGGATCTGGATCATCTCCCGTGAGGTCCAACCGCCTACTTCGGGGGTTCCAGTACCAGGTGCGAGGCCAGGGTCAATGACATCGATATCAACGCTCAGATACACCGGATTTTCCGTCCCCATTCGCTCCATGATGGCTCGAACGACACCCTCGACGCCTAGGATTTCAATGTCATCGGCTTCAATGCGGAGAAATCCCTGCTGGTCATCGTCTTCGTAATCGGAGTAGTCCTCTCCGGAGAGACGGGTGCGCAAACCCGCGTGGACAGAGGTAGAATTGGCGATCAGGCCTTCCTGTCTAGCGAGCCAGAACATGCTACCATGGGTAAAGTCTGCCTGGGTTGGCGAGTTGGCCCATGTGCTGGGATATTTGCCTGGATGCCAGGTGTCGAGATGGGCGTCGAAGTGGATCACGGAGACGGGTTTGCCATAGACCTGGTTCAGTGCGCGGAGAGCGGGAAGTGCGATGCTATGATCGCCACCCAGCGTAATCAACTTGGGATGTTTGTGAGACGGAGGGTTCTCGTAGTTGTATGCTTTCCGTGAGACGAGCTCAAGATAACCAGATGTCATTTGGTGCAGGGCGAGGGCATTATCAAATGGGGTCACTGGGATATCGCCACAGTCCAAAATAACGGGCCACGAGGCGTATGGATTGAGCCCCGCACGGTGATTGAAGCCACGGAAGCTGGTCTGTCGAGCGGAGGCAGCACGGATGGCTCGTGGGCCGAAACGAGCACCTATTTCGGGTTTCAAGTCAATTGTCTCTAGTCTTGTTTGGAGAAACAGAAAAGGATGGCCTTTCTTCCGTACTACCAGCTAGTAGGGTTCTGTAGCCTTACCTGGTCGGTATGTCACAGCCGTATCAAATGGGATCCCAATGATCCCAATATCAAACAGTTCATCCGGCGACACCAGACATTTGGTATGCTTCAGATGCGCAAAGGTTGTAATGCCCGAAAATCCCCACTAGATAATGTAGATATATATGAGCAACCGTCTCTCAGCATCGGAATCAAAAGCGAGGGATCTAACATCAGTGCCCCATCTCGCCTCCAACTCCTCTGTAGATGCCCCTTCAGTCGATGGAATCAGAGGTTCCGGATTATTATAGAAACCCGTGCGCTGGTCGGCCAGTGCGAGTGCCCCGCCAAGTAGACCGAGCAATGTGTTGGCCTTCATGGAGAAATAATCAAGGGGAGACACCGCACTAGAAGTGAAACAGAGAGCAACCGGAAGGGAAGGAACAGATGCAAGGAGAATCGGCTATTATATACGCCCAACGGATCCATCCATGCAGATAGATAGACGGTTATCTCAGAACGTTGGAGCCGCCTGCAGCAGAAGACCAATTGGAACAGACACAATGAGTAATCGGCGGTGGAGATCGGTAACTCTTTCCTATCTTGGTATTATATCTGGTCGTCATTATAAAACCGCGATAGTAAAAATTGAGAATATGTCGCTATGAAGTACGGAGTACTAACGTAGTTGAATGGGGGCTGGGACTTGTTCGCAGGATCCAGTGCGTTGGCGGCGGCCGACCCCTCGGAGACACGCTCTAGACAGGATAGGTAGATATCTCAACTCAAACACACATAAACCCTCAACCTACGAAGGCCCGTTGGCGTTAGCTCTGATATTTGGATTGGAGATAAGATAACGCTCACCTGGTGATGGTTTATATGTAGAAAGCCGGGGTATGTGAAATCGACATGTATCCTTTGCAGGGGCTCTCCATCTTGCAATGGTCAGAAATCCGAGGGGGATTTCCTCGGGAACTGTGTCTGACACTACCTCCACGTTCCAGGCTGCGAGTCGCAGCAGAGCAATAGTCAGTTTGTTAAATAGGGCAGAAGAAGTTTCCCAGGCCGGGTATCATCGCAGTAGAACCTCCGTAGAAAGACAAAATCGGTAAACACCTGGAATTGAAGCTCATTTAGAGACGTTAGTGTTCCAACGCGAACGAGTTCCTCAAATGGTGGGTGTCTAGTGTGGTCAAGGCCCTGGTGTGACGCGATGTGTCCTGGCTGTGCAATATAAAGTAGATTCTCAATCGTTCTAGCTGAGGAGCTAGCAATATCTGACAGATCTGCCCTTCGTATAACTATAATGCGCTGGCTTGCCGTCAGTGTGGGCAAACTCAGTCAGCGTCAATACCGCGGCATCTTTGTCGACGTTGTAGACGTAGTTTAGTTCAACATGAACCCGGGTGGGAAATGGAATCGGTTCCCGTTTAGACAAGTTCTCCAAAGTAAGAATCCTTTTGATTCCACCTAGAGTATCGGGCCTCCCTGGGAAGAAGTATAGAGAGGTTTGGGGAGAACAGAATGAGCTATACCATTGTCCCAAGTCAGTGTCAGTAGCAAATTATTTGCACATTTTGATATATAATTACCATTGACACGCAAATCCCAGAGGCCCCAGGTAACTATCCTGACCAATATCCCCTGCCGTTTCCTCGAGATGATGATGGCTGTTGGCAGGTTGTTTGTGTTATTCTCCAGACGTGTCTGGGTGGTGCTTGGGCCACTAACCCGAAACAGTCGTTTGAACCTACTCTCGATGGTGAAACCTCATTTAACAAAAAGAATCGCACCATTCTCTAGAAAGTACGAATTTTGACAGTGCTCCGGTGATCACCATACCGGACGGATATTTTTCATTCAAGGAAACAAAGGTCTTCTCTGATACTATACATCTCTGCCCACGACATTTTTTCTTACAGCCTTTTCAGCACATCGTTCAGGACCTCTTCAGTTGACGCCTTTCCACCAAGATCAGGAGACAGGAGCTTGCCCTCGTCCAGGTTGGCATCCACGGCCGTATAGATCTTTGCAGCGGCAGCCTCTTCGCCCAAGAACTCCAGCATCAACGCTACACTGCGCAGGGTGGCGATGGGGTTCGCAATACCCTTGCCCTCGATATCAGGGGCACTTCCATGGCAAGGCTCGCCGATAGCAAAGCCATCAGTGACGTTGGCACTGGGGACGAGACCCAAGCTTCCGACAAGGGCAGCAGCACCGTCGGACAGGATATCGCCGTACAGATTGGGAGCCACGATGACATCGTAGTACTCAGGCTGGCGGAAGATCTTGTAGACCATAGAGTCGACAATCTGCTCCTCTTTCACAACCGAAGCAAAGCGCTCGGCTGCAAGAGCCTTGCGAGCCGTCTCCCGGAACAATCCATCGGTCTGGGACAGGACGTTGGACTTGTGGGTGATGGTGACCATAGGCTTGGACCGGGTGGAGACAGGTGCGGCATCACGGATCTTCTGGCGGCGAAGAGCAATTTCGCCTGCCATTGTGGCAATCCGGGACGAAGCGCGTTCGGAAATGCGCTTGATGGCCTCAGCGACCTTGCCCTCGGGAGTGTCATGGGTACGTTCCTCCTTCACGTAGAGATCCTCGGTGTTCTCACGGACGATGACAAGATCAATGGGCTCCCCCGAACTGCCTGCCGTCGTCTTAACCGGTCGGACATTGGCATAGAGATCCAGCTTCTTGCGAAGGGCGACGATCGGTGAGGAGTAGCCCGCAACTTTGGTGGTAGGGGAGCTGCACGGCACGGTGGCATATGAGAATTGCGAACCGTAGAACTAGCGAGTGTATATCGGAGGGATGTCCGCACTAACCTAACAGCCCCAAAGAGAGCGCCGTCACACTCCTTCTTCAAAACCTCGACGGTCTTGTCCGGGAGGGCGGTTCCAGTCCGCTTGAACGTGTCGAAGCCAGCGTCCAGGTCGACGAAGCTGAACTTCAGGTTCAGGGACGATGGGAGAGACTCAAGAAGTCGTCTACCGGCCTAGTGATCAAGCAATTATCTTCCCAGTCAGCTTCACAGCGGATAGCAAGTCAGGCAAGAATGTGAAGAGTCATACCGGGATGACTTCCCGTCCGATGCCATCTCCGGGGATGAGGCCTGTATAAAAATACACGATGAGTGCACTGCGTGTAGAAGCGAAGCAGAATGCTAACTTAGCGTACCTATGCGAAGGGTCCTGGCAGCAGCAGCCATGGTGAGCGCGAGTATTCCCTGGGGATGGAAGAGTTGCAGTTCCTTGTAAGTCCGCGATCGGAGTCATTTTTCTGTTGCGCAACCGAGGAACAACGTTGACCCGCACACACGGATATAATGCAATAATATTAATATTGGGTTTAAGCAGCAAGATTACAGGGTTAGCCACAAGGAAGCTTTCTAGAAGGCGTTGAACCGCGGAAAGTGACAGGTTTATTGCGAGGTGGAGCAGCGTAGCAGTCGCAGTGCTTTTGGAACAGCCTCTGGAACACCTCTGGAACTGCTCTGGAACAGCCCTGCTCCAGGAGTCCTACTGCATAGTTGCTACTTAATGCAGCGCAGCGTAAGCATCTCTGCATAGCAACGCTCTGGTTGCAGCTGTCCAATAGCCACAGCTTTGCTGGAGCATTCCAACCCTTGGGAAACTGCAGGCGTGGATCCCATTAGGTGAAGCTATTCGCAGCCCCTGAGCCCGGCCGCAAATAGCTTCCGCGTGCCTGAGGCTGCCGCTCCCCTCTTCCTCATCTTCTGGACTTCTTTTCCTCTCCAACTGCTGCCTGCTGCTCTCTCTTCCCTCCAGTGACCTCTCTCGTCGTCTGTCCATCCTCCCCTGAACCACTAATTCGATAATATCCAATTCACCTGGCCCTGCCCCGCCCCCCCCCAGTCTACTCAGCGTCGTTTTCGGTCGTCCCTGTTTGTTTATATCGCGTTACCGCAGCACGTTCCCCGGGCATCTGTTCCCAACAAGAATCACCAGCTGGCACTTTCGTGGACCTCCGCATCCGCATTCGAGCCTACAAAGTCCGTCAGAATAAGCCTGTTGTTGACTTGAGCTCTCCGTCCTGCGACTCCTTACCTCCCCTCTGCTGTCGTTGCGACTGTCCGTCCTCATTCCGGGCTCATGTCACAGGCCCCCCTGATACCCCTCCCTCTCGCCGTATCCCTTATCTCTTGAAACAGTCGCATCCATCATGCATGAGATCAGCAGCGGTTCCAATGTCCGAAGCCTCCTGGCCAAATTTGAAAGCAACCAGAATAATGCCACCTCGCCTCCGTCACGCGGACGATCCCCGGTGAATTCGGATAATTCGGGCTCTGGCCGGCCGTTGTCAAAGGTTCGAGCAAGCTTCATTGCGGTCGAGAAAGCTGCCCATTCCCCCACTGCGACTACCTTTGCCGCAGCCGAGCGACCTCTGCAAAGGACAACTAGTTGGGGCGTCCAGAGCGTTGGCTCATCAGAAGACGCCAAAGCGGGTAGAAGTTTGGGATCTTCCCCACAGGGCGATCGTCCCGAAATCTCGCCCAAGGTCGTGGAACAAGTCGCAAATATCGTCACTTCCTCCAAGGAAGCCGCAGAACGGATAATAGGACAGAAAGACTCGGCTAAGGAGAACTCACTGCGAAAAGTCGCAAATGACGTACCGGGAAAACCGTCGTCGCCCTCGGATGATTCGAAACCGAAGTCGGCGCCTGCTTCAAAGACGGCCACAAAGCGTCCACCGAATATAAACACCACTAAGAAACCTGTTTCGAAGCCAATGCCCAGCACAGGGGCGAAATCGACAGCTGGCCATCGCTCACCGACAGCGGCTAATTCCAACTCATCCAGTACGTCGAAAACCGTACGCCCAAGCAACAAATCTGTTGCGGGAAATCTTTCGGGCAAGGAATCAGTCAAGTCTCCGGGTCATAGGCCCGGTCGCCCAGCGTTGAGCTCTATCCAATCTACAGCACGCACAACTCGTGCTCGTTCTTCAACACCCGTTCGTGCCACCACCAAATCTACAACATCCAAGAGCCATCCTGCCTCCCCAGATGCCAGCGAGAATCAGACCAAGTCCCCCAGTCGCCAAAATCGTCGACCGGTATCGATGACAGCTCCTAGTTTGTCTACATCGAGAACCGCAAGTGCGTCCCGGTCGCCAACTAGGACAGCGCACACGACTTCTGGCTTGTCACGAAAGCCGTCATCGACATTGAAATCCACGAACGGCGCAGTGCATCCACGGATAACTGCTGCTACTAACGCGAGCGTCCGTAAACAATCCTCGCGTCTCTCTCTCGCAAACAACGCGAGCAATGATCGGCCAGGATCTCGTGCTAGTACGGTCGGCACCAAGCCAGTTGCCGACGGGTTTCTCGCGCGGTTGACAAGACCCACTGCGAGTTCTGCCGGCAAAGCTCATGAGAAGATAGAAGTGAAAAGTCCCCCGAGACCTGCGAAGTCTGCTAAAGCTCCTCCGAAGAAAACTGTCGAAAAGGAACCCCACCGCACGCACGCAATAAAGGGGAAGGGAGGATCCGAAAAGAACAGCCAGAAGGAAAATTCTACCGAGAATCATGAAAAGCTCAACAGAGATTCCAATTCTCATCTTTCGGAACCTTTGAAAGAGTACCAGACTCATCTAGAGACCCTGAACGTGCCCTATGAGCAGCCTGTTGAAGAGCCGATCCCTGACCTTACTTGGGAACCCGTTAGAGAGCGACCTGGGTATCCCCGGGCACCTAAGCCTAGGTTCACAGAAGTTGAGGATAAGCATGTTCCGGCGACAGTAAATGAGCCTGCGGAAAAACCATCAGAGAAACCAGTGGAGGCGACAACAGAGAAGGAAGTTAGCCCAGCAACAACGGAGCCTCCAGTGCAATCATCTGCAGATCCGTCGACCGAACAGAAACCAGCTGAACCACCTACCGGGGATGCGATGGAAAATACCTCGGAGCGGCCAGTTGATCAGGGGAAGCACGAGGTGGAATTACCAGTGGAATGTGCAGTCGAAAAACAATCCACGGAGACACAGGCTCAGTCCGCCGAAGAGAAGATCGAGTTGTCAATCGAGAATACAGTGGAATCCTCGACGGAAAAGCCGGTTGGGCCAAATGTGCAGAAAACGGAATCGACTGCCGACGAGCCCCTTGAGGCCTCTCTAACACAACCTGAGGAGAAGGCTGAGCTTTCTGCGGATAAACCACTTGAGAGTGCTATAGCAGTATCCGCTGAGAAGCCTGAACAGCCCATTGATATTCCTCTCGTTTCTACAGAAGAATCCAATGATGCGGTTTCATCGGCTCCTGAACATCCTTCCCCAGCCGAGGATGCGCCACCAGTAAACGAAGGAACCGATTACTCTACCGAACCCCCGAAAGAGATCGCACCGGAATCTGTGGAAGAGGCCGATGGGATTGAAACGCCAGCGGAGAAAGCAGTCGACACCGCAGTAACCGCCGCAACAACGGACATAGCCCCTGCTACGAATGATGTCGACATTGCCAAATAGGCAGACATTCGACTGATAGTGGAAAGAGTGTGTCTTTTTCATAGGACCGGACATGATTTGGCCTTGTTTACCTTAAGGTTCATTTCTCTTCTCCCGATGTTACCTTTCATTCAGTTGGAAAGGCTACGCTTCCTCTTTTGAATCCCCCTTTTCACATACCCCTAATGTGATCAGTGATCAGTTTATCCATTCTTGTCTCCCCTCCAGGTACTAATAGTCCTTGTCCGATTTTGCAGAGTTCTTTTACATCCTTTTATTTCTTTTTTTTTTTTTTTTTTTTTTTTTGGCCATGTCAACCACAGAATTCTAGGGGCCTTTGCACTGGGTGGGATTACAGTACTCAACATATCCTATTATTCTTTCGGCATTTTTAGAGTACCTACCTACTCGTTAAGCAAGGAGAATGCATTCCTCAAACCCATTTGTTTTAGTTCTTATTTTGTTTTTTTAATCGTTTTCTGCTGTTTCGGAAGCATCTAGAGCTATCAATCTGCTATGTGAGTAGGTTAGCTCATTCCATTCTATTGCATTAATCGTGCATTTTTCTTTCCCCCTATTTTCTTTTATTTCTTTCTCTCTGGACAAATTGTGAGAGAACCATGCCAAGGCTGGTGAAACTAGCTGTGGTCTAGTTGATCTTCTGACATTCTCATCTTTAGTTATTACTCATTACTTATCATTACTTCTATAGTAAATAGTTATCAAATCAAATATGGGGAGGACACCTGGATAAAAGTTGTGTGTTTTGAGTTGTTTTTCATGTGTTACTTGTTCCAGGTCTCTGGGGTTGTTAAGATCAATGAATTGCATTGAACATATTGACTAGCGATTCAAGGGCTAATAATGATTATTGTCCATGCATGCAGATGAATCACAATGGTTTTTGCATAGGTGGTTCTTAAAGAACCCACTACTACAAGACGAGAAAATAAAATCAGATAACATCGAAGAAAGAGTACATCTACAATAGACTGACCTCAACATAATTCTACCCAGTAAGCATCACATTCTTCGCAATAGCCGCCAACTCAGGGCCCAAGAACGCATCTGCCTCAGCACTTCCAATAGATGGCGCAGGAATAGGCGACCCGCACTTCACTTTCTGAAGCCTATCCTCCAAAGCATCCCCCAGAAACTGCAACGAAGCCACCAATCCCCCCAGCTCGGCAGAGAAATGGCTCGTCCCGTTGAACGCGACGAAGCGGATATCCGCACCCTTGTTGCACTGTTGCTCAACGTACTGGTCCACGGCGGAGAACGGGACGACCTCATCTAGTTTCCCCTGAAACTGGAAGCGGGGGAACTTGGGGACGGGGATATCGTGGCCCGTTACATTGGTAAGGAGGCTTTCTTGGCGGAGAACGTTTGCGATGGCGGGAACGTTGAGCGGGTTACATGTGAAGAGGGGGTCGATACTGCCGTAGTAGATGATTTGGTAGGAAGTGGACGATGGGCAAAGGTCGGAGAGTTGGGCTGTTATGTTCTTACCCAGTGGGGTTAGAATGCTTGGGAGGACGGTTTGGATGCTCTTGTATCCCTTTGCGAGACCGAGCACGCCTAGGACAGCGAGTTGGGATTCCACGGTGCCATTTACGGATTCCAGTGTCGCGGTGAGATCGACGGGGGTGCCGCCGTATGCGGCGCCGACGATGTTGAGATCCGGTGCGTACGAGGCAGCTAGACTGGAGGCCCAGACGGTGGTGTGGGCGCCACCGCTGTATCCGAACATGGCTATTGGTGTGCGCTGGGGAAGATGTAGGAGGTCAATAGCAGCGCGTACTCCGTCGAGCATGGAGTGGCCTTCGATCTTGCCGACGAGCCAGGCGCCGTTTGGGCCCTCTGCGTCCGTATTGACGAGGTAATATCCCTGAGACAATGCCCATTCAAGATACAATTCATTGCTGGCTGTGTCTCTCGTTGGGGTTCCCTGGACCCAGACCCAGCTGGGGCCACAGTCGACGTTCACAGCGTCCTCGGGGCTGTTGAAGACGAGGATCTTTGGAGGAGAGCTGGGGTTTTTAGGAACAAAGACAGTGCCGACTGTTCCGATGGGTTTGTTCAAATTGTCATTTGTCCGGTAGTAGTATTGATAGCTCTCCGAGACGTTGCCTGTGTACCGTGAGATGAAGGACCGGGAGCGGAAGACGTGTCCTGGCTGATGGTATGCAAGGTCCCAGGGTGCGTGGTAGAAGGAATCCTTGGTTGGGACCGAGAAGGTGTCTCGTTCTGCCGGCCGGGCAACGGCGGCACAGGCCAAGGACAATAGGGATATCAAGTACCTCATTATGGATGACTCGTGGTGGCTTTTTGAGGAGAGAAGCAAGAGGTGGTGGATGCCTTTATATGCGTTGGCCCCTCGCTATGCCGCTCAATCCATGACTATGCAAGCCATACCTGGGTCCCTCGGACATGCTTCCTGGTTCGGTAGCCAATATATTAAATATCCATCACGATGTATACGAAGATCCGCTATTCCAAGGGAAGAATGGACGGTGTGGAGACTTGTTCTAAGTTCTAACCCTAATCCATGCGCACAGTGCAGTTGGGACATGCTATTGTCGTGGGCGTCCTAGTATAAGCTGAGGTTTCTGCAGAATGACCCGAGCTAAATAAAGAGAAATAGGTGATAGACTCGTGCTTTATGAGGAAACACAGAGGAAGCGAATGCTGAAGCTATTGTTGTTGCTGTCGTTCAGAGTGCACAAAGCCGGTCTCGGATGCTAACCTGCGGATCATCGGAGATTGATAAGATCATCTGATAACTCGTGCCCTCAACGTCTTGGCCATTGCGTGTAATATGATCAACCATGGTTCTGTTAGAAGACTTCGAGATCATCCGACTCGGAAGATATACTAGTAGCTCAATCATTTATTTCATTCCTCATTAGAGAATTAGCCTGAAGTCCAAGACCAAAACAAATATATGTTGCCTAAACTGAAATGCTCGCCAACTACCAGGGACAAGCAGGTAGACACAGCAGAGCTGCTCAAGTCCGACTCAAGCAATCCTTCGTTCGAGTCTCTTCAAGAATTTATTGACGCTATTTTCCACCCGTGCCGCACTTTCTTCCAGCTTCCGTGCACGTTGACCGGAATTCTTCATCGCGTTGTCGGCATATTTTTGGTAATGCGATTGTGCCTCTACCTCGGTAGGACGATAGACCTGGCTGTGAATGTCATATTCATTACCAGATCCAGAGGGGTTATGGTGGTGTGTCAGATGTTGCTGGTAAGAGGAGCTGGAATATCCATCCAGCAGGGGCGCAGTTTGCTGGCGCAGTAACCTAGTTTCCGGCGCCTGAGAGACATATGCATACTGCTGCTGGCTGTGAAGGTGTGCATTCGGATCCTGTAGAGGTGGTGCAAAAGCCATCTGTGATGACAGCATGGGTGTGCCCGCTGTAGTCAACGGGTAGGCACCAGGTGAGGTCACCACAGAAGATCCCGACGAATATGCAGTCCTGGGTGGTCCTGTGCTTGTGCTAGACGATACTGATCTGGAATGGGTCAGATCGACACTTGCAGGCGACGGTGCAAAGCTGCTAGGCATAGTTGCAGGAGGAGAATAGAAAGATGTCTGGCTCGATAGGGGAGCATGACCCTCTCCCAATGACTGGGGTTGAGTATATGGAACCCCATAGTCTGCTGCCACTGCAGCGGCAAGTCCAGTCCCTGTCTCAGCATCTGGGGGAGGCGGTGTCTTCTCGCGATGTTTTATCAGTTCCGGTGCTGCCGGGGCGGCTGGGTTGTACGGCAGAGGAGCCACGTTCGCAGATTCTTTATGTTCTTCTGACGGAGTACCGGTAGTGGTCGGGGTCGACTGAGACGAAATTGGCGGTCCACCAGGGGGCGGGGGTGGGAAACTGACAGTGTCTGCGAGATTTGGAGGATTCCGAACAAGACTCGAAGCTGACTCAGGTTTTGAGTCTAGAGTCTGTCCATTCTGATAGCCTGGGTCCGTGATGGCCACTGTCTCCAGTTGCTGAACGACGGGGTCTAAGACCTGGTCAGACTCCGTGGGAACAGATCGAACCAAACCGATCTGCTCAGGACGTAATATTGTCACGACCAAGTCCATAAACTGATTGGCATCGTCTAAACTCCAGAAGTATATGTCCAGAGCATGAAGACGAAGGAGACCATTTGCCTCTTTGCTAGCCAGTCTCCATTCATATGGATCAGCGCCTGGCGGGGAGGATTCCACCTGGCCGGTGTTCAATCCATCGACTGTTACCGTACACCGGGTTGGGAACGCAGCGGAGTTTTGCAAGTGGACATGATCCAAAGCTGATTGAGAAATCAAGATGAGCGCCGAAGAACCCCTTGGGCCAAACCGGCTAATTATGGACTAACCTCCATAAAAGGAATCCTGATCTGGTGTGCCTACGTTATTTGCGACTTCAATCCTTGACTTATGTCGCGATGCATCGTAATAGACGTAGAAATATGACTCCTTATCAAATCGGTGCAGGAGGGGCTTCGACGTGGGACCTGTAAAATAATAGTGGATATCTGCGAAGCTAGATACCAATTGACCAGGTCAGATAGTTCCAGCGTACAACCATCTCCTCATGGCCTGGATTGACGCATCCTGCCCGGTGAAAACTCACATTGTCAGTGGACACTCTTCGTCTGGTAAAGGAGGCATGATGGTAACAGTAACAGGAGCGCAGGATAAGGGGTTGATGCGGAAGGAGAGTGGCAGACGGCAAGCGAACCGGGGAGTATGACATTATTTATACATACCAGGTGCATTCGATGACTGGTCCATAAAGCTGCAGCTTGAAGAAGCCCGGCGGCTACGAGGCCTGTAAGAAGGAGAGCTGGACGTGCTGGGCGTCTCTGCATCCCCGCTAGTCAGAACGGCCTCGGCGGTGCAGTTTCTCCGAAATTTTTCCTCGTCCGAGAGCATTATTGTTGTTGTATTAGGCTACTGACTGTCACAATAGCAATAACAGCTCCACTTGCTTCTGCTTCGCAATCGCCCTCTCATACTGTCAGCCCATTCCGGTTTGCGTCCTTTTCTCTTGGCATTGACTTTTTGTTGTGACCCCGGCTTACCCGCGCTCAGTATCTCCAGAATTCGATTCGCAAACTTCCACGAAGGCCTCCCGTAGGCCAATCCGTCTCTGTCTACAATCAAAATGTCGCTTGTCAATCTTGCCCACGTCTGCTCCCATCTGAACAATGTGAGCAAGGCCCGTCTCGGCTTCACGTCCATCCCTCACAGCAATCTACACTTTAAACTCTGCCTCGCGTTCCAGAACTCCGGTCTAATTTCCAATGTCGTGCTCGGAGGACCAACGCCTCCCCGTCCTCACAAAATCACCGGTCTACCCTCCATCAATGACGAAAGCGTGGAGCCAGTAACGCAGAGCAACATTGCGTCTAGACGACTCTGGCTTGGATTGAAATACTGGCAAAGCGAACCGGTTCTCGGAAAGATATCCCTGATCAGCAAACCAAAAAGAAGGGTGTACCTTGATGTTCCCTCACTTCAAGAGATTGTTCGGGGTCGCAGGGCTCGCAATGTGGATGGATTGCGCTCCCCGGGCGAGAGTCTGTACTTGTCTACGGATCAAGGGATTATGGAGGCCAGAGACTGTGTCGAGAAGAAAGTTGGAGGGTTGGCTCTATGCAGAGTACAATAAACCCGAGAGGAAGAGCCTAGGGTGCGTTTTTCATTGCATATTCTTTTTTTATTCGGAGTTTGGTCAGTCGCAGCGCCTTGTGCTTTGCGACGTTTGGGATATATCATATATGACGTCGCCTGTACTATAACATGGGTTATTTTTCTACACAATTTTATGCCAGGTCTTTTGCTGTACGTCCAAAGGGGGCTTTCTTCCGGTGTTGTGATTGTAGTGTCTTCCAGTGGTTTTCACGTCTTGAACGTCCCTTGTGGCCTTGGTGCCTCAGGAGGAAAGATATTCTGCCTGCATACACCGCTCTCCCAAAGATGAAAACACTCCACGCGGTAGGTCGATCCTCATGAATGCTTCAAGAACTCACCTACAATGGCTGTAGACGCTCCTGTTCTGGCAAATATCCTTGTATCAGGCGGCACTGGCTTCGTCGGATTGACAATTTCTAGTGCCATAGCAGAGAAGCATCTGAAATGCAATATCACCGTGTTAGACGTGAAACCGCCTGACTCCACACACTTTCTGTCAGCTGGTATTTCCTTCATTCAGGCAGACATCACCTGTTCTGGTGATATAAATAACGCTGTTCGGCGTGTTAAACCAGAAGCTTTCATCCATAAGGTAGGGATAGTCCCGGTTTTAGGTGAGCGGTATGGTCTGTGAACTTCGAGGGGATCAGAAATGCATTGGATGACATGGATGTGCAATACCCAAATATTGATGGGTGATGGCGAACGTCCCCTTCGGCCCTCATATATGGGGAGTCTAAGGTTGGGCATATATCGCAGCCTTTCTTGCTAAAGGGATGCCACTAATGTTCAATGGGTTGATAGGCTGCTGCGGAAGCCATGGATGGTTCTTGAGGCATCCAGCAGCTCAACGGTGACCTGCGCTCTCCGACCTTCGGTGCTCTGTGGGCCTGGAGATAATCATTTGGTCCCTCCTATTCACGCTTGCATCGCAGAGGGGGAAACTCCCTTTATGATAGGTGATGGCTTGAATTTGTGGGATGTTACATACGTCACGAACGTTGCAGACGCCCATGTTCTGGCCGCGGAGAACTTGGTGTCGACTAAAACTGCAGCAGGTGAAGCCTTCTTTATCCAGAACAATGAGCCCGTCACCTTCAGAACCTTCTGCTTGGCGGTCTGGGCCCATTTCGGCCATATACCACCTTTCCAGGTCCACATACCTGAACCGCTGCCGTACATGGCTGGTTTGGTGTCCAAGGCTCTGACGTGGGCGATGGAGACCGCAACGACATTGAGCCGTGGAAGTATCAAAGACGCATGCTCCGTCCGGTATGCTAGTGGAGAAAAAGCAAAACGCATCTTAGGGTTGGAGGCCCGTATTGGAATTGAGGATGCCATTCGACTGAGCTGTGAGGTGAGTTCCTGCTGGCATTCCTCTCGCCATTGCGAATTCTGTTTATCAGAAAATCCAGGATTATGCCCGCCGCTTGGGGGCTAAGAGTCTACCGCGAACGAAAAATGCATAGAAAGTAATCTCTCAACCAAGTTGCATGTTGAACGAAAATGAAAACAATGTCTAGCCCTATGAAAAGCCTAGCGAGTTCTTCCCACTCCCTCGTTCAGGGCCGCGCCCATGTCCGTTCACTGTCGACCGGCCATGGCGGTTCATCAATCTTCACACGTCTGGGGGTTATATTAAGTTTTAGAGGCTTGCAGACTCCTGCCATAACTGGCTTGGACTGCGTTTGACGTACCTTGCGGTGGGTGTAACTTTCTCGCGCCTGCCTCTGCGTCTTCTCGATCAGACCTGGCAGCCCACAAGCTGCAGGACTCTTTGTGGTCTACATAGAGGACGGTGTAGATCCCAATCACAGCCCGACTCCAGCTACCAGGGGCTGTGTAGACGACTGTAACTCCATGGCGTGGATATCACCGCACTGTAACTGGAATAATAGAGCCCGTTAGCCCTAGGAAGGCGGTTCATAGGTCCAGATCGGCAGATGACATCGTCACGGAGAACAGCGCTGCTGTACAACATGGCATAGAAGTACGTACTGGCCAATGCGCTCGCTCAACGATTTGGGCTTCAAGGCTTGCAGACTCATGAGTGCCCAACTCGGCCAAAACTGGAAGAAGAGCGTAACGGCGATGCATGCAGCCCTTATTCCCTCAACCACCGAGAAAGGAATCGGATGTACTGGCACTGCCTTCGACGCGCGCAGGCATCATGAGCGATGATACCGAATCCACTGTTGGGGTCTAATAAAAGACCCCAGAACGACTATGTTAGTAACATGATTGACACTGTTTAACAGCCGTAGGGCGCACAGAACTGAGATTTCTTCCGAGAGATGTCGGGCACATTTAATCAATATTCTTGCCTCTCACTGGACGCATACGCCCAATTTCGATTTAGCTCTGCTCCGTATTGCTGCCCAAGATACTGTTGGGCCATCCTTCCGTTGTTCCTGGTCTCTGAATCGTCCAGATGGCAGGATTATCGTCTCACGGTGGCGTTGTCGATCTCTGGAGGCTTTCGTCCTGATGTTTACCTCCCGGCGCTGATATCTATCGCTTCCGGTAGGGATCGGATTCCTGCTGCCCCCATGGCAAGTTTACGGTGAGGCAGTCAGATTCTAGCCCACGCTGCCTCTTTGTTCTCGGTAATTTCAGGCTATCTACCGGTCAATCTATCACACCTGCCAGTGAGGCGCTTGTGGGGAAAGTTGGCAGATCGATCGGTCGACGACTCGTGGGCAATAGTATTCTAAGTGCTGTGCCCACAGAACCCTCACTTCTCTCGGGCACGCGAACGATCTGTCCAGAGATCCCCATTGCCACGCTTCTTTAGGGTTTCTCATGTTCTTCAATCTGCTTATTTATAATGGTCGTACGACCGGGGCAAGCTTGGTGTCAGTGCCTCTCCCCCCAGGATCAGCCCTCGCACTGGGACCCTGCATTATAGCATAATCATAATACCTGTCTTTCAGCCATTTACTCAACACTCGTAGGGGGCAAATGCCATTATTTATCCCCTTACTCTTTCCACTCTTTGTCCTTCTTTTCTCGCGCTCTGTCTCTGTCTTTCTGGCTGTTTTTCTGGAACCCGACTCCCATGCCTCCTGTCCTTTCACCACCGTTGATGGCGCTTCCGGCCAACTTGCATTCATTCCCTGAGGTTATTCCAAGTTATAGCTCACGGGCTCGATCGGCCAGTAGCAGTGAATCGGATACTTGGTCTCGTCACAGGTAGGTTCTAGGAGATAGATCCCCCCCCCGGGCGCTGGCGTGGTAGGAGAGGCTCACGCTTTGCAGTGCTGTAATGACCCATCAGCCACGGATTTATGGCCAGTCTACTGAGCCCCCCCTTGTTTATCAGCAAAGGTATATTTGTTGCAGTTTTGCTTCCCACTGGCAAGGCCATGCTAAAGTCTTTCTGTCTACGTTGCCTAGCCCCAAACGGGCGTTTCCGCCAGCCAGAGAACTCACTCCCAGAGATTCTCTTGTTGCCACTGGGCCCCAGAAACAAGGACCGGATCTTGACTTTCATCCCTTGAATACTGATAATGCCGTCTCCGTGGATAATTATGGACATTTTTCTTATTCTTCCGGGCTTACGGCCTTCTCCCCCGTTGGACCATCTCCTTTTGCGGCTTCCTATTACCCTGGACATGGATATTCTGCTCGCATGACTTCGGAATCCCTTGGGCGTGATTATGACATGATGAAACCAGTGGAAACAACTGAATGCCTAGTTGAGTCAAGCAGCCGGCGCGCTGCCGATAAATTCAGAAGTGGTTCCCGGTACCGCTCTCAGAGGCGTCCGTCTAATAGAGACGAGTTTGATGGACCTCATCAGCTCCTGGATATGCCCTCACCACGGACAATAGCAGCCCAGGAAAAGGATTTGCCTCATCTGCCCACTAATCTTGATGTCTCAGAGCAAGACCAGATTCTGAACGCGGTAAACGACCGTTTGTCGCAGTGTGCATTCGATTTTGTTGCCAAGTACCAATTCCCAATCCCCTTGGAACCGGACAAGAGACAAGTGAGAATACCCTCGGACCGTGAATGGACAGAGTGGGTGCATCTCCTGAAAAGGCTGGCCACCAAACGTCGTATTCCGGCCAGGGTTCTCTACAATGGCCAGATCAAACAGCTTGTTACCATCCTGGAGAACTCCCTGGAAATGAGACATGCTGCCAAGCATCAATCCAGACCCATCAAGGATGACCGGAACGTGCTTCAGCTTATCTCCGCAGGCACGCAGGTCGCTAAGATCCTCAAAGATGCCAGTGCAATGGAATTCCTAGACCGTGTTTATGTCCAAACGGAGAAGCGTATCCAGGAACGACGGAACCGTCGTGTAAAATTCGCGCTTCCCTGAATTCGTTTTGATGAATCATGATGTGCTGCCATTCTTCCAAGACTTATATTGGTTTATTATGATGCCAGTTCGGACCAGGATGCGGAAGTCTAAACCGGACTTCTGCCTATACTTTATTTTCTTATTTTTGACCGTCCTCATCTCTTTTCAGAATGATGAGGAGGTCTTTGTTGGAAAGCCCTTCCTTGCCTCCTGGTTATATTGGAACAGCGGACCGCTCATCCCCACCCATGAAGGGACGAGAATGAATGAATGAATAAAGAAAAGGCAGAGATGAGCTATCAATAATTTCCTGGGGATCTTAACATTATCTCAATATTTGCCGAACAAGGACACGCCAATCGCAGGATGCAATAACGCTGCTGAAATAAGCCCAGTTTTCATTTTGGTACATCGTCCCTCCAACCCTCCCCGGCCACAACATCTGAGGGTACTTCCTTTGGGATGGTTTTTCTTTCTTACGTTTTGTTTTGGTTATGTCTGTATGCTGGTCTTTCTGTTTCCTTGGTTTTTCTTTGGTGCCTTTTTTTTTTTTTTTTTTTTTTTTTTTTTTTTTTTTTTTTTTTTTTTTTGTGTGTGTGTGTGTGTGTCGTTCTTCTCCCTAGACTGGTATATTTCTGACATTGTCCCATGATTCCTTTCATCCCCAAGAACCGATCCAAGTCTGGATGAAGATAACTGATTAATGATAGGTGTGGTGTCTAGCCTTTTTTGCTTTTCTGTTCCGTTTTGGTTTTTATTCTTTCCTGTTGGAACCGCCAGGAGGATGTCTACTTTGATATTGCTGCTTTACCCTATCTTTGGAGGCTTATAATGTTGCATGTCTATCCCCTTGAAATGTCAAGGGACTAGGTACCTACCTACCGCTTTGTAGTACTTGCAGCGAAAATGTCTCGTGTATGCTATGTTATGACTTTGTTTTGGGTATTTCTTTTCGTGCTACTCTTAATGCTGCCTTTCTTTTTTCTTTTCTTTCTTATCTGTGCGGGGTCGTAGTTATGTTCACCGTCATTTGGGGTTTCTGAGCTGGAGCAGAGTAGCCCTAATCCCTAATCTCATTGGGTTGAGTTGGGCAGCGCTCTTCCTCGCCTGTGGGTGCTGGGGGGACTTTGCATCCATCCTCTAGAGTATTTTATGGTTGCGTTTGACGTTGGGGTATGGTATTTGTCTTAGTCCTTCACAATATATATTGCTTCTCGAAGACTAAACATTACTCTGTAAAAATTGTCCATACTTTACAGCCTTCATCAGATTCCAGAAAGTAGCTTGTTCATAAAAGACGTGATATTCTTTTTTTTTGTTCACCGCTTTTCTCTATTTCTCTCCCTTTTATATAGCATGCACGTACAATCTCCACCATCAATGTACAAGCAGTCATATCCTTTCATTTGTATGCAATATTCCCAAAAATATTGAACCAAATCACCGGCAACCGTCGCATAGCGGTGCGTAGCACAGGCAAAGGCCAAAAACCACTAGGATCTCTCCACACAATAACCGCCAAGGTTGCGAGAGTCGAAACCGCCACGGAGCCAAGGGAGATACCCAATACCAAGCCCTGTCTCCGGACAGCTCGGATAATCTCAGAGTACCTCTGGTTACTGAAGCTGACGCGGGAGTACTGGGTATGCCAGCCCAGTGCGGGAAAGTAGTAGTCTAAGGACTCTTCGATGGATTTGCGAAGTTTGTACAAGGGGGACTTGACGCCGCTGCGCATCTCGATGTAGTTTTGCTTCGAGAGGTCGTTGATGGCGTATGTATCAGCTGCTCGTTGAGTTGTATATGCCTGTAAGGCCGTGCCTCGGCATACGTCCCGTGATTCGGGGTTGGATTCCAAGTTGTACACGCCGTGTTTGTCTAGTTCTTCGAAGAGGATCCTAATGTCCTCGAAACCAGCGTTGAGGCCCTGACCGTAGAACGGGAGAACAGCATGAGCGGCGTCACCGATGATAACAACGCTGGAATCGAAGTGGTGAGGCCTGCACTTCAGGCTGATCAGTGGGAGGTGTGGGTTTGAGGAAAACTGCTCCCTCAGTTGCTCGGGAGTAATAAGCTCCGGACAGACGCCTGGGAAATGAAGGTCAAAGAATCCCAAAAGGTTCTGTGGGGAGCTCTCCAGAGTTGCATAATGCTGGGACGGTGCGAATAGTGTACATGTAAAGGATTTGTCGGATGACGGTAGGGCAATGAACATGAACTCCCGGCCTGGCCAGATATGTAAATGGTTCGGGGAGATACGAAAGTCATTGTTCTCAGACGGGGGAATGCGAAATTCGCACCATAAAGTGTCAATGTACTCTTGCTGATAGTCGACCCTGGCGAACTTCATCAGATGGAACCTGGTGGCGGAATGGGCGCCATCCGCCCCGATTAAAAAGTCGAAAGACACCTCGATTTCCGGTGCACGTTTCAGTCCACCCTCTTGGGTACCGCTATGCGCTTCCTCCGGAGATTTGAGCTCAAACCATGCCTTCTTGGTACGGAAATCGGCCCCCGTGAGTTTGTGGTTGAAAAACAGCTTGACATTCGGCGTCTTCTCCAACTCGTCCAGGAGAGCATTGTTTAAGACTGCTCTATCTACTGCATTGATTGCCTGCAAAGCTGTCAAATAATGGCACTGACATAAGTGAAAAAGTGCTACTAACCCTGCCATGGGCATCATACGCTTGAGCAACTTCCCAGAGTTTCCCTCGATCTTTGCCATGGATCATGCGGCCATACATAGGAATAGTCTGGCTCAGTACTCGATCAATGATATCTGTCTGGTTTGAGTGTCTCATTGCCGTAATTCCGCGCTCTGAAATGGCCAGATTGATGGACTTGGTGAAATTCAGAGGCACAGTAGCCGGGTTGCGGAGGTCTACATATATGTACTGGCGAGGTTATTGACGACCCAAGGACATTGCAGGGAATCCTTTAGCTGAAGCAAACAGAGAAATAAGCACAACCAGGGAAAATTTAATAGCAACATAAAGAAGACTAATGCCATCTTCAGGAATGCCATTATTGACAGGGATCATAGAAATGGCCGACGTCGGAATGAGGAGTCATCCAGTTTGAACACCAGCAGATGTAGAAAGATGCAGTAAGAACTATAAGAAGAATGAAGACTATAAAAAGATGAAACAATGCGACAAAGAACAGCAAATCCAGCAGCATCATGCTTTAGGGAAGATTGACATACCTCCCCTCAATTCATAAACCTCGACGTCATCCCCTCTCGACGCAGCATAGAGAGCTGCAAGAGCACCGACAGGGCCGGCGCCCACAATGACCACCTTCTGCTTCCTCATAGACTCGACCATCATAGCGTCTGTAGCGTCCTGAGGCAAAAGAAGGCAGACAGAGCCCTTGGGGAGCAGAGACTGAGGGGGGAAAAGTCCAGCCGTCACGTGCCAGGATGACTCGTACGACTACTTGCCAACTACGGCAATGCCCAGCCTGTCTTTCCGGTGAATGCGATAAGGAGTAATTTCTGTAAAGTTTCATAAAATTAGGAATCACACCAATCCGATCGAAATATACAGATGCGAGGGAAATATCTCGATGGCGTTGCTTGCCTGGTCACAGCCTGAGGTGTCGAACATTGTGATTGGCGCCTGTCACGCCACGCCTTGACGCGCGCTAATTCTTACTTTTCCCAAAAATCTCTGCCGCATCTTCTTTGTTCCCTTTCCAAGGCCTATTTTTTCTTCATCTATTCCTACGCTCTTACCTTTATTCTATCTCTCAAACACTCTCTATTTGGGTTGAAAATCCCCTCCTATCCACCATGGCAACGACTGTCGCTCCCCGCAAGTGCTTTGGGGTAAGCTGCGAGAACAATGCGGGCTCTTTGCAGTGCCCGACATGTTTGAAGATGGGTGTCGACAGTTTCTTCTGCTCTCAGGACTGTTTCAAGCGGAGCTGGGTAGGCGTTCTTGTGCGACCATAAGTGGCACGTGTCGCACCTTTTCCCAATGCCAAACCCATACTGATACTCCCGTACAGAGCGAACACAAGGCCATCCACAAAGCGAAGAGTAATTTCCTCACCAGTCTATTCCCTCCAAAGGTAGTTTCTGAACCAGATCCAGCTACGGGGCATTACAACCCTTTCCCCAACTTCCAGTTCGCCGGCTCTCTAAGACCCGTTTATCCCTTGTCTCCTCGACGGACCGTTCCCGCTTCGATTCCTCACCCCGACTATGCCATTGATGGCTATCCTCGGTCAGAAAGGAAATTTATGGGGCGGCAAATTACCATCCTAAATAAGAAGGAACAGGAGGGCATGAGGAAGGTGTGCCGTCTTGCTCGAGAGGTTTTGGATATTGCCGCGCGGGAGTTGAAACCAGGCATTACGACCGACTACATAGACGAAGTGGTTCATAAGGCTTGTTTGGAGCGTAATGTGAGTCGTCCAGTGAAGAGCATGGTCGTTTGGATGACAGCCACATACTGACTATTTCCAGTCGTATCCATCACCTTTGAACTATGTGCACTTCCCCAAATCGGTTTGCACATCCATCAATGAGGCTATCTGCCATGGTATTCCCGACCAACGTCCGCTGGAGGATGGCGATATCATCAACATTGATGTGACCCTATACCATGGCGGATTCCATGGTGATCTCAACGAGACCTACTATGTTGGGGAGAAGGCTCGATCGAATGCGGATGCAGTGCGTGTCGTGGAAACGGCTCGTGAGTGTATAGATAAATCGATAGAGCTGGTGAAGCCGGGAATGCCGTTTAGGGATCCCGGTAACATTATCGAGAAACTCGCAAAGAGCCGGAACTGCAGTGTCGTGAAGAGTTACTGTGGTCATGGTATCAACCAGCTATTCCACTGCGCTCCTAATATCCCTCACTATGGGAAGAACAAGGCATCTGGAATTGCGAAACCTGGGATGTGCTTTACAATTGAGCCTATGATCAATCTGGGTACTTACCGGGATCGGACATGGCCTGATGACTGGACTAGCACCACTGCAGATGGCTCCTTATCAGCGCAGTTTGAACATACTCTCCTGGTCACAGAAGATGGTGTCGAGGTTCTCACAGCGAGATTACCCGACTCCCCCGGCGGTCCTATTCCCATGCCCTCTACGAATGGGGAAAAGGAAAGTGAGAACTGATTGTCCCATCCGCTACTGATAGCAAGCACAGGAAATGAGAATACAATGCGAAGAGAACGGGCTCAGTCTAGATAAGGAAACCACAAATGATAAGAGGGATGCTAGCACCCCTTATATATACATCACTGCTCTACTCATGGCCGCCTGACCATTGGTGTGAACACTGCGGCCACTAAGGGGGAGAAGTGCTAAACGTGATGCTTCGTGAGCCTAGGAAAGCCAATACTGACCCGGGACAGGCCCGTCACGTCACAGTAGAAGTACATTTTCAATGACTGAGACATCCTAATGGACATGACGCCCTGTAGGAATACAAGAGTATAACTCGTAAAACTCAAAAATGTAGCTCTCGGCAATAGTGGCCTATCACATGACCCGGCGTCGGCGGCCGTAGCCGGAGATAAGGCGTCTTGAATCAGTTGGGGCCTGTGATTGGCGGGAAACAAAAGGTATGCTGGGCTTATCTCCACGTGATGCATGGTGTGCCCGAGGCCGCGCATTGAATCATCGCAGGCAAAAAGACCTCACTCTGTCAATCCCCAAGCACCGTTGGAAATTCGGTCTCAGAGCAAGTGGTGAAGAAAGATGTTACCAGACAGCCACCCCACGGAGACGTCCCCACTGCTGGGATCACAGGAAAATGGCAAAGTACCCCAGTCGTCCACCATAGGCATCCCGAACAGCGGCCTGAATGGCCCACCATACGACGAAGCAGCACAGCATGCGGGCCATACGCACGCCACAGAAGAAGAACAGGCAAAAGGGGTGATTGATGCTAGATCGCAGCTTAAGTATATTCTTCCTGCTGTTTCAGTCGGGGTATGACGAGTTTCTTTTTCACGTGTTTTGTCAATACCAATGGAATTGACCGTACTTCATAGATCTTCTTATCGGCAGGAGACCAGACAATCATCATGGCCAGCTATGGACAGATCGGTAGTGATCTTCAAGCTCTGAATCTGACCAGTTGGATTGCGACTTCATACTTTCTCACATTGACATCGTTTCAGCCTTTGTATGGGAAGTTGAGCGATATCTTTGGCCGAAAAGCATGCCTGTTATTTGCATATGCGATCTTCGGCACCGGTTGCTTGTTCTGCGGTCTCGCCCGGAATATCAATGATCTTATTGCTGCTCGTGTAAGTCAAGCAGAGAAGATGAAGATCAGATACGGCTTGTTTTGTCTCCTTGCCATTATGCTGAACAATTCCTATATAGGTTTTCCAAGGTATAGGAGGCGGCGGCATGACTACTGTTGTTAGTATCCTGATGAGTGATCTTGTTCCCCTTCGGGATAGAGGCCTCTGGCAAGGTATCATCAATATCATCTATGCCACTGGTTCAGGAACTGGTGCACCTTTAGGTAATGGATGATCCATTCCGGACATAATTATCATTGCTAAGTCGTTATTGATTAGGTGGTCTCTTGGCTGACTATATTGGTTGGCGTTGGTATGCCCTGCTACTCTCGCTGTCCCGCGTCCACTTCTGACTCTTTTATAGGGCCTTTCTCGCACAAGTTCCTCTTTGTATTCTAGCTTTTGCTGCTGTGGCTATTGTGTTGCAGCTTCCAACCCAGGAAGACAGTCATTGGAAAGACAAGTTGCGCCGTATTGACTTTTTAGGAGCCATCGTGCTTATTGGTGCAGTGTTTGGGCTGCTGCTTGGCCTTGATCGAGGGAGCAATGTGTCATGGACCATGCCTTTGACTATTGTTTCCTTAAGCGTCTCAGCGATACTGTTTGTTTCATTTGTCTTCGTTGAGATCTATCTTGCTTCTGAGCCTTTCGCACCAGGCCATCTCATCTTTGACAGGACATTGTTTGCTTGCTACAGCTGCAACTTTTTCAGTTTTGGCGGTTGGCTCGCCTGCCTTTTTTATATCCCCCTCTACTTTCAGGCCGTCGATGGTGTGTCCGCCACCGTTTCTGGCCTACGACTTCTGCCGTCTATTTTGGCAGGCGTTAGCGGTTCCTTGTTTAGTGGGCTCGTAATGAGATGGACAGGACACTACTACTGGCTTACCGTTGCTGCATACGCATCCTTGACGCTTGGAGTAACTACAATTTCCCTCTTCTCTGGGCTGTTCACTGAAAGCACCACCGTCATAGTCTTGGGTACGGTAGCATCGGCTTTCGGAAACGGTATCGGCGTCACCACCACATTGATTGGTCTAAGTAAGTTGTCCAAGGGAGTCGTGGATGTCCTTCAGTCTCTAACCAGCCTGGCCAGTCTCGAATGCTTCACCTGAAGATCAGGCCGTGGTCACCGCTTGCTCGTACCTGTTCCGGTCTCTGGGATCAGTGATCGGCCTCTCATTCTCATCGACAGTGGTTCAGCAACTGCTTCGCAGTCGCCTGAGATTTGCGTTGCGCGACAGCGGGGATATTAACCGCATCGTGAAGGGAGTCCGACAGAGCCTGGACTTTATCAAGACACTTGATCCGGCCGTCGCCAAGCTCGTGCGAGGTTGCTATGGATGGGCAATGAACAAGGGTTTCGCCTTTATGATTAGCATCGTTTTCTGTGCCTTTTTTAGCAGCCTTTTCATCCGCGAGAAAAAGCTCAACCGCTGAGTATCACATTTACCTCAATGCATAAAGATCTATTGACATTTTGAAAGCTTACAGAGAGTTGGCAGAGATCTATATCGTATAAAAAAATTGAATAACGATTCAGGATTCTATATAGAATAGACTGTGGTGTCACATACTGGGAAAGGTGGAAATGTTTGGGACAGATATTGGCCTTGTCGACATCTGCAGTGGACTTAGGGTCCTTCAAGTTGTATTCATTTAGATTTTTTTTATCTCGAACGATGACTTTTTCAGCCAATTTTCTCCTTTCCTCTGGCAAATGCAGTGTGCAGTAAAGTAAAATCTTACGGATGATCTTCGGAGCTTGCAAACTTCCCCGGATAAAAAGAGCCAGAGCTCGCATCTCGCCATCACTCAACAGGCTACCTGCTGCCACGCCATCAACTTCCAGGCTCATAGACATATCATTTTGTTTCGAACAACGGCTTAAAGCCACTTTTCTTGACAATGAAAATAGTTCCCTAACGATAGCAGCTTCTCAGTGCTTTCTCTATCCGCGATGTCGTCAAGGCGTTTGGGACCCATCTCTCTGACACGATATCGCCCATTCCTCTACCTATTCGCGGGCGTCGCAGCTGCCTATGCACTTCTCTACATACATAATAATATCGTCCAACCTCGACGACGCCAGCCGTCTCTCCGCCGTCGCAACGCAATCCGTCGCCATAGGCGCAACGAATCCGATGAAGTCGACCTCGTGAATACCCCTTCGTTCCGCGCGATCAACCATCTCGAGCAGTTGGAGCGCCAGAATGGAGTCTACGGGACATTTCGAATAGAAACCGAAGATGGACGACGGGTGGAAAGTGGACTTCTTCCATCTCTGCTCGCGACGCGCGATCAGCTGATGGAGGAAGTCGGCGTGCCTCAAGCCCACGCGGAGTTGATACGCCAAATGATGGAAGACACGTTCCTCGAATCCTTCCTTGCTTTAGATTTTCCTCCATCGCACACTATTCCGGAAGGGACTGTAGAAAGGAGCTATCTGAGTGAACAACTACAGAGACGGGGAATCTCGCGGGCCGGAATCGAAAGGGCGCTTTCGCGATTCAACGATGACAGCAACTACGGTGAAGAACTGCGTCGTCGGAGACAGAATGGTGAACGGGTGACTTTGTCCACTTCAACTTTTCCCGACATGACGGTGCCCCTGCAGACCCTTGATGGTGGCGAGACGGTGGTTGATGATCAGAGCGTGTTCTCCTGGCGAGATGGGAATAATGATACTTCGCCTACGAGGGAGGGCCAGAATCTGCTCAACCTGCTGTACCATATTGCGGAGGATCAAGCAAGAAGGGATGGATATATCCACCGAGGCGTGACCTGTAATAGCTGCGGAGCAATGCCTATTCAAGGGATCCGGTATCGATGCGCCAACTGCATTGACTACGACCTATGTGAAACCTGTGAAGCGATGCAGGTCCATATAAAGACCCATCTCTTCTACAAAGTCCGTATACCTGCGCCCTTCCTGGGTAACCCCCGGCAATCCCAGCCTGTCTGGTATCCTGGAAAGCCTACGATGTTGCCTCGCAGCCTACCGCGACCCTTGGCGAAGCGCCTGATGAAGGAAACCGGATTTGAAAATACAGAGCTGGATGCTCTTTGGGACCAATTTCGCTGTCTTGCAAATCATGAATGGGTCGACGATCCAAACAAGCTGTATATGGCCATTGACCGCAAGACTTTCGACCGGTGCTTTGTCCCCAACACATCCACTCGACCTCCTCCTCCAAGCCTTATCTACGACCGGATGTTTTCCTTTTATGATACCAATGGTGATAATCTCATTGGATTTGAAGAGTTCCTAAAGGGACTTGCTAGCTTTAATAATAAAAGCGCTGACGAACGCATGCGGCGCATATTCCGCGGCTACGATCTTGACAGTGATGGGTACGTTGAAAGAAAGGATTTCCTGCGGATGTTCCGGGCATACTACGCTCTCAGTCGAGAATTGACCAGGGACATGGTAGCTGGCATGGAAGATGATTTTCTAGAAGGCGGTGCTCGGGATGTTGTTCTTGGAAGCCAGCCGATTAGCTCGGCTTTCCCTGGTAATATACCATCAGGAGAGGCTTCAAGGACAGGAGAAGGGAAGCGTTTCAACACGGAAGGCGACCTGGAGATCGTGGATCATGAAGGCGTATTGCGGCAGGATGGCACTGACACTGGCGATCAACACGCTGTTGTTGGGGATGCAGCAGTTCGAGCGCAATTCGGTCGTGAACGGCCTATGTTTCCATCAGCCATGCGTATGTCTACGGGATATCACGCTGGCGGTGTGAATGGCCATCCTGAAAGGCTTCAGGATGAAGATGCCGCCAGCGAATCTGACGCCAGCGCGTCTAGTTCGTCGGTCTCCAGTGATCATTGGTCGCCAGCGGAACATATCCTCGAAGAAGACATCGTCAATGCTCTTGGAGCTTACGTTCCGCTTCAGGAAGTCACAGATCCCGTGGATAGGGCTCGAATTGGGACGGTTGTATATCATCGACTACATGATGATGACCAAAGAAGAATAGAGGAGGCCCGAAGACAAGGAATCGACGAGCGGTGGAGACGGAGGGCGTTTTATATTGACGAGGAGGATGGCGTATTGGCCCCTCAAGGTTATCAGAGGGATTCCGACGTCGATAACTCTAGCGATGAAGATGATTCAATTGACGAGTCCCATCCCCCGTCTCCTCGCTCTCGATCTTCCTCGAAAGTACGCTTCCAGGATGACCTTGCTGACGACTACGATGTAAGGTCAAACCCATCGACATCTTCCCGTAGCATCCCTGTTGGTGAGCGCTGGGGCGGGTTTGAGATTCCGGAGGTGGAGCGTGATGTGGGAAAGGAAATTTTATATCAAGTCACGCAACAGGGATTTAACGAGCTCCTCGACATGCTATTCAAGCCCAAAGAAGACCTCCTGATGGAGGTATATAGAACGCGAGCCGAACGAAAGACGTGGGCTCGGGAAATCGAACTTTTCGAACAGGCGGACCATGAACGGAAGATGCGAATTGGCGAAGATATAGCGGATGAAGCTACACAGCGACATAACGGCCCCTTCAGGGAAGAGGACCGATCGTTGGAGGAGCTGCTTCAACGCTCGGGATATTCACTGAGAAGCCCAAGTCCACCCCAGAATATCGCGAGAATTCCCTCACCGGCGACCTCGTCATCAGACGATGACGTGCGACCAAGGCATCTAGCTTCACCCACGGAGGACAGCTCGGCGGACGATGGTCTCCCCCATGGTGAACAACACACAGCTGATAATGTCGAGTCTACTGCTGATCTCCCTGCGTCTCCTGGATTACATGCGACTGAGGACGTTCCATCTCAAGTGACTACACCGGATAACTTCGACCCAACACTGCCGCAATTCCGTCCAAATGAAGGGGAAGAGCCACAACACCATGCTCATTTTGCACTCCAAGAAAACCAGCCGGTAATACGAAGCATTGAACCTCCATATTCCCCATCTTCATACACCAGTGATGGCTCCCAGCGGCATCATCACCATCAACCCTTGCCTCTCGACCTCCGTCTCCCACCTAACGACACTTCATCCCCAGCTCTAGCGGACGCAGAAGAAACAGTAGCAAAACCTTCGTCCCCGTCACCCATGCCCCCACTACCCTCAGGACAACCGTCATCGTCATCCCCGGCACCCTCCGCCCAGCAATCTCCGCCGTGTCAACCATCTCCAAAAACACTCTCACGATGGGCATTCTTGAACCATGTCGAGCGCGAGGCCCGCGAGCGCGGCGGTCCCGGTGCGAAACTCAATTTCGAGGAATTCGCTAGCCGTATGAATGCCGATCGAGGACGGAGACTTGCTTTTGTGGGGAGCTGGATTGAGATGGCTAGTTTCTAGTTTATGGCTATCATAGCTAGGCGTTTAATTTGTATTTCGTGTACAAGATTCTAGAGATGGATATCGGGGACTGGAAAAGATCCTTAGGAGAAATGGAAAGGTAGAAAGGCTTTTAATTCGGATTTGGCAGGTTTTCGGTAGTACTGGGTTGAGCTGGGTTAGAGGGTTAATGGTCGATATCCATGCATGCATACGACATACTATCGTATATTTTGCATTTGCCATGTAGTGTATTCGTGGTCTTCTGTATTTACTATTGCTATTTCTCACCCATGTCAGAATACTCTTGAAAACTTTATATCTCAAAAGCTCCTGCATATATTGCAGAAATTTGTCTGTATTGGGATTTTCCAACGTTAGATATAGCCGGTAAACCTACTTTAAGGTGGAATACACAATAATACCTATAGTAAGATAAACTACAGAGTAATTTATTGAAAAACCATATAGGTAAACTGTCTATAAAGGCTACTAATAGAAAGTCCTAGTCATATATTACTAGATATTAGCCTCAAAAAGCTACAATTTTGCAGCTGTGGTGAGCTATCAGGGTTGGACTGTGTCTATCCACATGTTTACAAGGTCACGCAGGCCGCTTATTGGATTCTTTAGTGTAAGGTGCTTGAAACTTCCATGAAACTGTAGGCAAGTGGGCAAAACACAAAAATAATGGCCAGGCTCACTGAGGGAAATGTGACACGCAGTCAGGGCTTAGCAGAGATTGCATGTAAAGAGCCAGGTCGTAGAAGTCAAAGGGAGAATATTTATGCAGTAACCTATAAGATCATAACTCCATCAAATAAAACCAATTAATCCCAATATTTAATAACACCCTCCAAACCACCCGTAGCCACCTTGCTGGTTTCCTGCGGATGCCAGTCCAAACAGGTAACGGCACCGCCTTCTTTCCCCCCAGCCATAATCTTATGGTACATCTTCCCGGTCTTCCAGTCCCAGAAGCAGATGTAGCCGCCACTATCACCGGAGGAGACGAACTGACCATCGGGGGAGACCTTGACATCAATCGCGTATCCGGCGTTATTGTGGCCGCGGAAGCTCTTTTTCCTGTTCTGTCGGAATTTGTCCGTGGCGCCGTATACGACGATTTGATTGTCGCCGGACTGGAAGGCGACGTATTTGCCGTTCGGGTGGAGGTCGGCACGCGTGAGAGCGAACATGTACGGCTCCGCGATAAATTTAATGGGGACTGGGATGTCGTATTCCCATGCGCGGAGAGACTTGTCGTCGGACGTGGAGATGAAGCGGCGGTTCTCGTCGACGAAGGTGATGGTGTTGATTGCTGCCAGATGGTGGTCGTATTCTTGGACGAGCTCGCCAGACCGGGTATCAAACTGGACAATCTTCTTGTCGGACATACCGGCCAGGAACTCGTGAGAGCGTTCGGGGGAGGGGTTGAAGCGGATGACGTGTGGAGTCTTGCCGGTCGAAAAGCGGCCGAGACATTTGCCGTACTCGGTATCCCACAGTTTAATTTGACGATCATATGAAGCAGTAAGGAAGGTCTTCCCAGTTGGATGGAAGTCAGTGTCCGTAATGGCCTTGGAATGCCCGGAAAATGTCCGCAGAAGGTCCCGGTTATGGTACACGTCCCAGATCTTGGCCTTTCCGTCAGCTGCAGAGGAGAGCAACAGATGCCCTGAATTGGGGAAGAATCGCAGTGATGTAATAGGTTTTGTGTGCGACTTCCAGGTATGAATAAGTTTCCTTGGCACGTAGTTCTTGATACTCCCCACCTCCTTCTTCAGATCGATATCCAGATCCAGAGGAACGTGCATATATGTTCTGCCCAAATAATCGTATAGCTCGGATCCATGGAACTCTGTCGATTCCACTTGTGACGCATCGTCCTGGTAATCTGTGGCCTCCTTGCTCATGGGTGGCATCTGCGCCGGTACGATATCCTCCTCCACGTACTCCTCACCACTGGCAAGTTCATAGTCTTCCCCAGCTTCCTGCTCCTCATATAACCGGTCATCATCTTCATATTTGGCCCATGGGCCAACATACGCCCCCTCACCCTCAACGATGCTGGGATCACCCTTTTTTTGCCGCTTCGCCCGCAAAGCCGCAGATACCTCCTTGGAAGGCTTCATTTGCACAACGTCCCGTCCCCCATATTGAGAAACCTTTTGTAGATCCCCAATATACTGCTTCGGCATCGTCGGATTGCGCGTGTAACCCAAGCTCTGGAACGTGCGATGCTGGGCGGCAAAAGTTGCCTCACTGATGGCTGTCTCTTGAGCGTACCCGGTCGGAACATTCTTACGCTTAAGGCCATTTCCAACGCCTGTGGGTTTAAAAGGGTTTACCGGGCCCTGGGATGGACGCATCAACTCATCGTATGTTGCGTTGTAGGTGAGAGCATTCGTGGTGTTTGAGAGCATCATCTGCATATGCGCCTGGTTCTGTAGCAGCTGTTAGATATCAATTGTCCGCTTATCTGACTTGAAGAAATATATCCATTGTTTATAAGAATAAAAATCCAAGAAACGAGTGGGACCAAACCTCTGTATTCACCTCTGGCGCTGCAACGATCTTGGTCGCTGTCGGCGCCGAAGTGTTCTTGGAGGCAGTTGCTGCGGCGTCATCATCGCTGGAGTCGTACGCAGCTCCAAGCAGGGAAGACATGGTGCAAAGATGGAACGCGATCGGATCTGAAGAGAATCAAACCACGTCAAGGGGAAGAAGGGGAGATGGAAGTTCCAAGTGTCTTGGAGAAGATTGAACGCTGAGCCTCGAAGGTTGGAATTTTATACGGGAAGCGAAAAAGGCCACCCGCGCAGTTCGGGCAAAATGATATCAACTGCAGCAAAGGCATAGGAACTGCGCGCTGTCAATTCCCAGATCATGACTTATGAGGTATATACAACTCGTTCAAAAAATAGAAACTAAAAGGGGGAAAATAAATAAATAAAAACAACAAAAAAAGGAGAAGCCAGAGCAAGAATCCCCCGTCATCACGTTTTCCACGTCTCCTCGTTCAACCCAATCTGACATCAAGCCTACACCGGTTATTGGTATCTGTCATCTCATATTGGCTGTCCACATGAAGCAAAACGTCCTCCACACGTAGTTTCACTAGTATACAACCCCCTCCGCGTCCGGGAACTTGGCATTCCCGGGAGAAACCAAGACTGGAGAATGAAATCCGTGTAAGGTTGTTTTCCTCTCCAGAGTTTCCGTAAGACACCTCCCGCATGTTCATGAAATACTCCTAATCCTAAGAGGCTCGCCTGTTGTCCCCATTTCCGGGTTCTGGCACGCTGCGTCACTAGTGAACCAAGAATGGCCGTTGCGCATTATGAGCCCGATCATTCCACAAGATCACTGAGTTTCGTCGCGGATCAGAGCAACGATCATGCTGTATAGGTAGTAGAAAAACATCAAGAGATGGAACCCGAGCTTGATGAAGGATTCCTAGAGTGGCGCGTCAGCAATGAGCCTTGTGTCAGGTGCGAAATGAACCCACCTTCTTGTGCACGTTCAGCTTGCGGAAGATCTCAGTTGCATCCAACAGGTGCTGATTTTCGTAGATTCTAGACGACAGAAGACAGCCTGATCAGCTTTATTCCAACAACAGATGAAGACATCCCACGCGTCATTTGCGACGGAATTCAATTCGGGGGCATACTTCTTCGCATTGAACGCCAACAGAGGCAAGTTCAATATGATAGCAAGCCAGTAGCCATTGATGACGAACAGGAAGGTCAAGAAGGCATGGACGGCGGCTTCAGGGACGATATAGGCATTCAGACGGTTGCAGAGATCAATGGGATTGATATAGTCACTGTGCAGAGCGACGAGGTGTCAGTAAGCCTGAGCAACAACAGATGCAGTTTTTTCTCCTCGGTCTTTGTGCGAGGCAATGCCACGATCCTTTCAGACCCCTAGCAAGGCAGAAAACGGCAAAAGCATATAGAGAATAGATAACAAGCAAGAAGGACTCACCATTCTAAATCGCTGTACATAATGGTAAAGAACACCTGAAGAAAGAGGTTGACGGCATTGACCAGCACCGCCAGCAGATAAAGCCACGCTTCGCCAGACATGATGACTGTAGACCCAACTCGGTTCTTCTTGACTCCTTTCCCTTGATCTCCCTTGTAAAAACGAACAGAGTGGCCGGGGATTAGCTAAAGCGAGCGGCACGAAGGTGGGATAGCGATCGTTGGAGAGCGACGGTGGGAGTGCTTGCTTAGTAGTATTCAGTAGACTTCGAGGAGCGCTCGGCAGTTCCAGCGAATGTGGGGGGGACAGCTGCGAGTATGGCAGGATGCTCAGACAACAACAACAACAACAACAAAATAACAACAATACCACCACCACGCAGTCGGCAGGAAAAGCTTCTGGGGATGGTATATTCGAGAACCTTGAGAAAATTGAAGTGGAATTGCTGATGATGACAGATTGGAAATAAAATAAGGAGCTGAGTGCGCCGAGAACAGCTGCGGCGGTGAACTTCACGGAGATAACGATGATAATAAAACAACTCACAGTTCAGCTATTAATATTATTACAGAGAAATATGACACCGAGGAGCAAACGAGACGTGGTAAACTGCATGGACTAGCTCGAAGTTGAAGTGACCGTCCAGGCTGCCATTGACTGCCTAACCATCATACCAACCACCACGCAACCAATGGATTCTACACCCTCCTGGCTGAACTGGGCACTTTCGACAAAAGCATGCTGAGGCGCGACCCCTCGACAGGTCGACACGCAGATGACGCCCTCAACGCAGCTGCTGCGCGATCAGCCGGGTTCCCCTCAACAGCCGTCGATCTGATGTACCCGATGTGCCTAGCCGTGAGACGTTCTTCGCTATTCTTCCCAACAGCTACCCGGTTAACTACCTGGGCGACGATGAAGGCAACTTCGAGGCCTGGCGGGAGGTGTTTCTGTTGCGGAACCAGCCGCTGCTGCCATCGATGGTCGCGCTGGTCTGTAACGCTGACTCGGGTGTTATGTTACTGTATGATGTGGAAGCAAGTCCGTTCTCCGGTTTACAAGATCGTGGGGACTGTATAGCTTGTACTTCCAATCAGAAATGACGAGAGCCTGGCGTCCGGACGGCAAGGAGGAAGACCCCCTACTGCTCTCTGCACGTCTACCCTCGGACATCCCGGGGCCATACATTGAGAAATACAAGACGATTTTCTACCTCATCACACCCTCAGGATTAGATGACAATCCCGAGATCTATGCCAAACAATCTGGATAGCCGCCTGCAGATTGGCGCCCATCGGAACAGATGGTGTGGCGAGTGTCCTATGCAATGTGGAGGGCAGTCCGGTGGTTGAAGGAGGTTGTGGGACCATTGGAGGAGCTCGAGCCGAAGATACAGGATTGGAGGATGTTGGGGTTGCTAGGGGAGTAGCTAATCTTCTCCTTATCCTTCTTCGAAGGAAGGGATACTTTAATATCCTCACATCGTGCCAATCCCGTACTTAGCATCCTGCGTAAGAAATCATCTGGGCAATAATAACAGCCCACACCATGGTTTTGCACGTAAGGAGAACAACCATTAGCCTCCATATCCAACGACGAGGGATAGATGACTTACCCTCTAAGACAGTGAGAGCTGGCATAGCTTATCTTAACACCAAAAGACTCCCGGTCATCGTAGCTGACCTACTGGTCACCCTCGAGGGTTACAATTTGCACTGCTGACTGCTCGTCGGAGACCTTTGTAGCACCTCGACTTTCGTCTTTCAAGATTGCTGGCATCCGAGATGAAAGTCACGTCGTCCTTGTTCGGCGCATGAGCCACATAAATGCACTCACGGGTGAAGATGTGTTAGAGCCTTGGAAGGATAGAAGAAAAGAGAATAGGAGGTTGAGCAGGGTGAGGTCGGGTCCTTTTAATTATATGGCGGCGTATTGAGGCGCCAAACCATCAGGCCATGTTCAACTGCCAGAACAGCACACAGCATAGATGCCTAAAACTGAACTCTGAACCTATGTACATACATATACACAAGATACAACGTCAATTTCCAAAAAAAAAAAAAGAAGAAGAAGAAGAACGCCTGGAGGAGTGCCGGAGACGGTAAGCAAGAAAAGGAAATCGACGCAAGCAGTCCCCCGATGCACCACTAAACTCAATCACCGCTTCTCCACAAGTAGTATATGCATCGCCGCGTAGGCAATAATTATAAAAGCGCCCGAGAATACCCCTAAGCCGATCACATCCTTCCAAAAGGCCAGCGTGTCAAAGCCAAATGCGCTCAGGATGGAAGCCCCAGGCACTGTAATATCCAATCCGTACTTCTTGTCAATTAGGGTCAGATATGTCACCTCATTAACGATGAGCGCCTCAAAACCGTAATGGAAGATGGACAGCTATAGACAGGTCAGTCTCCACTCCATATTAATAATACACAGAGCATGAACAAGGGAAAGGAAAAGGCGACATACAGATTGTAACCATAGAGCCGACGCGGGTATTGCATCGTGGTTCAGCAGGAGACCCGCAAATAACAGACTGAACAACATCACCAGGCTCCCAATCAAATTGGCAACACCTCCGTCCTGGAACATGATGCCAATGAAGAGACAGATGTTCGCTGCGGCCAGGTTGAACAGGATGAGTACAAGGATGAACCGGAAAAACTCTGGCCATGCGGGAATCAACCCAGTCATAGGATAGACAATAACACCCATTATAATTGGTGGGATCAGTCTCAGCGGCACGATGTCAAAAACGATCTTGGATGCAAAGTATGTGCTGGGATGGTAATAGCCATTTGCTCTCTCACGGACAAACAGCCGCCGCTCCGTTGAAAAGACCGTAAGACTGGTAAGCGTACTGAAACCAAATAAGGCCAGGATAAAGAAAAAGAGACCAAGACGATTTTGGAACCCTTTAATGTCATCAGTCAAGCCATAGAAGAGATAACCGCATAGAACGGATAGAAGGATCGAGATAGCATAGTGGGTGAGCATAAGTATCGGATTCCGATAGAGATTGCGTGCAGTCCGCTGGGAAAGAATGATAAACTGTCGTAGAAGGCTGACTCTGGCATAGCTTTTTGGATGGGCAACAACAGGATCCGATGACGGTGTGCCATTGGTCTGACCATTCGCTGTTCGTGCATCACTAACAGCGGTAACAATCTCATCGTGAACCGAACGAGCAACGTCGGAAGCAGCAAAATTAGCCACCAGAATATCAAGGTCCGTGTGAGCGCCTGGAGCATCAGGCAGCGGTTCGTCGGGGTGATCCGTGTCTTCTAAAGTTGACAAAGGAACATCATGGCGATTCTGATTAAGTACTGATAGGTTTCCATCTTCATGATTGGAGTCAACATCTTTTCTCCGGGAATAGAGCTGTCTATCCTGTTTCTGCTTCAGGGACAGCCGCCGCTGATTCTTTGGTCGCACACTGGGTGGTGAGGTTGCAATGAGATTGCCCTCCAGGCTTGTATTCGAGATGCTTGCAATGGATTTCACGGCCATCAGGCTACTCGAAGCCGTCTTGGGGGGTATGTCCGACACATAGTTGATTTCATCATCCAAATACGATCTGGAGGCGCTGGCGTGCATTGTGAGATCTACCAAGAAGTCCGCAATGTTGAATCCAGGAGGACAAGGGTACCCAGCATTGTCAAAGTATTGCTGACATGTTAAGGCGGGGCCAGAATACACCATTTTTCCTTTCGCCAGGAGAATCAGTCGATCAAAAAGAGCGACAATATTTGAACGCGGCTGATGGATCGTGAATATGACAGTACGATTGTAGGTCTTGGCCAACGTAACCAAGCACTCAACGACGTTAAAGGCATTGAAGGCATCCTGAGATCGCCGTTAGCATATCCATCAACATCATGAGTAGCAACAACACCAAATTTCCTTACCAATCCGCTAGTGGGCTCATCTAGGAAGAGTATACTTGGACTAGTCACAAGCTCACAGGCAATTCCAACGCGGCGCTTTTCTCCGCCAGATATACCACGGCCTTTGCCTTCTTCAGAACCAATCAGCTGGTCTTTAATATGATAAATTCCAAGCTGTTTCTCGACGTCAAAAACTCTCTGCTCTTTTGCTGCTCGACTCATGTCCCTAGGTAATCTTAACAATGCGCTTGTCAGAATTGTCTCGTGGACAGTCAAAGTCGGGAGCATTGCATCCTCCTGATCAACGAAGCCGACCATGTTTTTAAAGTCGTGGTCGCTAACTTTTTCCCCATTAACATAGAAATCTCCTTGAACTAGACCTCGCTTGTTCTTGCGAGCAAGGATATCCAGGAATGTTGTCTTTCCCGCGCCTGACGCTCCCATAATAGCCGTTATTTGGCCAGGATGGGCCGCGCCCTGAATTCCGGAAAGGATCTGTTTTTCATTTATATAGTACGATAGGTTTTCAAAGTACAAAGCTGCCGGCTTGTGGTCTGCCATTAGCTTTGCAGATTCGTCGTCAGGCTCTTCTGACAAAGGAAGACTGATATAACCGCGGTAGGCTGCCCGACGGGATAGATACCACACGATAAGTATAACGGCAACCACAAACAGAGCAGAACCAGCGATTGCACTGGCGATCAGAGGCGTGTTGATCTTTTTGACAGGGCGTTCATAACCCGGGAGTTGTGTCCTATGCAGGCATTCCCCGGAGTTACAGTTTAGTGTGATGCTTTCATCTCCGAAGACACTTTTGATTAGATCGTTCATTGCTGGTTCTTGAAACCTGGTGCTATCCCCTTTTCCATCCTCGGTAGTTATCGAGGTGAAGGTAGCGGGACCTTTAATCAGCTGGTCGAGAAATTCACCGATATCAACGGAGCCGGCTTCACCACAGAGCATTCGTCCAGGTATGCAACTGCACCTCACGTTTTGACATTCATATTTGGTCTCATTGCGGTAATAGTCGGTTTTCATATTCCAATCACAAGTGTCCAAAGAACAGTAAAACGATTCCTGTTGACCCACCCAGACTAATTGATGCGATTCATTAGCAATGGGTTAAAAGAGGCGGTTGGGAAAGCAGAGGGCGCATACATTGAAAGTTGCAAGTTTGATCTTCTGCCTTGCAGGTAAATGTCACTTGCGGGATACGCTCCTTGAGCTGATCCAAAATCTTCCGATTGGTCACATCGCAAATCTGAAAGTTTTCCTTGACAGTAATGCCCTGTTTGTAACAGACACCACCTTCTCCTTCTGGCATCAAAGCGTTGCATACATCATCCGTCTTGCAGACATTACAATTTATGCCTTCCCATCCATCAGTGCAGGTACATTGGTCACCATGTCGAAGTGGTCTATTGGACCCCTCCGCGAGCGATCCACACTCGGGTTGAGAGCAATCATAGCCACCGAATCCAGGGGGGCAGACGCATTTCCCGGTATACTTGTTACAAGGCGCATATTGTGTACACTTGAACGCATCGAGCTGACAGTTGAAACATGGTGGGCACTCTGGGGGACGGTCATCAAGTACTGAAAAAAGCGGCGATATAACTTGCTGGGTTGAATAGTTGCCCAGCGCCGTAGTTGACGCAGATAGAGAGAGGAGGGAGAGTAAGATTTGCACCGAATATTCAGGACGCATCTTCTCAAGATGTCGAGGAGAGAATGGAAGTGCTAGAACAACAGCACCAACTACGAAAAATGCAGTTGCTAGTGCCAGTTCGTGGGCTTTTTAGGCAGACAAGCAGATCAGGCAAACGCCGACGACCTTAAATAGGAAGGGTTCGAAAGACGACAAATAGTACTTCCAACATTCGCTTGGCGCACTTGCGAGGAGAAGAGCAATGTCCTGTTTAAATATATGCTCCAGGGGATGGAGACCGGAGTTGAAGGATGCAACGAGGGAGGTTGGATGTTACAGCGGAGTGCGGTTGATAGCTCGACAATGACGAGGTAGGATGCGGGAGACTTGGCTGCCACCTGACATCATCAGCACAGTTAACCACAACATGCGCGACCATCGAACGCGCGACATGCCCACTTACCACTAAGACGATAACTGCACCCCATAGAGATCCATCAGCCGGACTGCCAGGTCGACTTGACTTCATAAGTTACCCCTGGAGAGGTCCGACCGTGGTTTTGCGGGGAGAAGGCGGTGCGGGCCGACTACACACGTGACGTGATCGCCCAATACGGAATAGCAGGATACCTGCACAGTACTTTATTTCCCCTCTCTGTCATATATATATATAAAAGGCGAGCTTTGGAGGTATAAGCCAGTATATACAGGTTTCTTATTACTTAATGCAGTGCATGCTTGAGCTGCAGTCATGGTGAAAATCGAACAATTTGCTGTTGAACATGTGAGGTATCCTCTGTTGCAGTCTTCCCCGCATCCATGTTCTAACACCTGCATGGCCCTGACAGTGGATGGACGAGTATGAAACCACGGTGGCGTACAACATTGCAGAAACCTGCTGTGCATCAATATCGATTGAGGATCTCAAGCAACTGTCTGAGGACAAGTCCTTCGACCCTCTTTCGCTTTCTACCAAGCTCACTTATGGTCCCATTCGCGGTTCGGAACAGCTACGAAGCACCTTAGCCCATCTTTACTCTGTGAAAACCCCGTCGCCTCTCCCACAGGATAATGTTCTGATAAGCCCGGGAGCAATACAAGCGAATTTCCTCCTTTTGTATACGTTGATTGCACCAGGAGACCATGTTATCTGCCACTATCCTACGTACCAACAGCTCTACTCGGTTCCCGCATCCCTGGGGGCCGAAGTGAGTCTGTGGAAGTCAAAGGAGGCCGATGGATGGAAGCTGGATATTGCTGAATTGGAGTCTCTTATCAAGCCCAATACCAAGCTCATCATCTTGAAGTAAAAGGCCCTCGGCATTTTTTGGAGTCTTTCTTTTGCTAATACTACCTTTCTAGCAATCCTCAGAATCCAACAGGCGCTATAATCCCTCGCAGGACACTCGAGGAGATTGTTGAGATTGCTCGGAAATCATCTATCCTTGTTTTCGCAGATGAGGTTTACCGGCCTCTTTTCCACTCCATCAGTCCCATGGACGAAGATTTCCCGCCTTCCCTATTATCTCTCGGGTATGAACGTACCGTGGTTACCGGATCAATGTCAAAAGCCTACAGCTTGGCAGGGATCCGCGTTGGGTGGATTGCTTCGCGTGATAGGGAGGTCATTGAAGCGTGCGCTGCTGTTCGCCACTATGCGACTATTTCAGTCGGCCAGATTGACGATGCTATCGCCAGCTACGCACTGGCCCCAACGTGTATCCATGCTCTCCTGAAGCGGAATATTGAGTTGTCCAGGAAGAACCTAGCTATTTTGGAGAAGTTCATCGACTCCCATCGGTGGGCATGCGAATGGGTCCGACCACGCGCAGGAACGACTGCCTTTGTTCGCTTTACTAAGATGGGAAAGCCCGTGGACGATGTCGCATTTTGTCGGACTCTGATAGAGCGGACGGGCGTCATGTTCGTACCGGGAAGCTCCTGTTTTGGAAGCGGAGGAGATTTCAAGGGCTATGTCCGGATTGGATTTGCCTGCGAGACGGAAGTCTTGGAGAAGGGGCTGGAGGCATTGAAGGCATTCATGGAGGACGGGTATGAAGAGGTGCCAATCGTCAAGAAGAAATAATCCCTGTCTATTAACAGAAAAACTTCGTGCGGGCACCAAGCGAGACCTCGATGGTGGGATAAAGCCTGGCCCAATTGCAACTGCTCGTTCATAATGCCATGGACAAAAAGAAAAAGATAGGCAAGCATCCGGGCTACAGTAGGAACGATCTCAAACTAGAAATTCTTCAATCTAAACGTCCAGGTGCCCTTCATGACTCTAAACGGTCAGGAATGTACTCTGTCTCGTCTTCAGGGCCCAACTCTGCTAGAATACCGAAATCGCAGGAATGAGATTCTTTCAGACCGTCAGCGAAGAGAGACGGATTACTATTTTTGTAGACCTCGTCCCGCTCTTGATTCCAGGCTCCTTCTGGGAGGATACATCCGCGGCGAGGCGTCGTGCAATAAATCCGGGTGGGTTTGTCGGAGCAGGATGTTCTTGGTGATTTGCACGTCAGTGCCTTTGAAGGCATCGTATGTTTTAAAAATAGTGACGGCCCTGCGGAGTTGGAGAGCGTATTCTGGTGGACAGCCAAGCCAGATAGCCATTGAAGTAATCGAGAGAAACCTCCCAAGATCCTTCAGTTATAACGGAGAGTGTCCACCATGTCCCTCCGCCCTGCATCTTCACGGGTCTCCTGCTTCATCCTTCCCAGACGAATCCCGAACGGCTTGCGCAGCCTCTCTATCCAAGCTCAACAGCCAGCCTCTGCAGTCGCATCCTCATTTCTCTCCCGATGCCAATCCCGCGGTCCAACAACGCGCACCCAGGTGCTGGATAGCAACCAACTTCAACTCCTCTCTCTAACTCTTAACCGTCCATCTCTATTTCCTGGGTCACCTCCGCTGTCCCAGTCGAGCAGTACCGGTTCCACATCTCCGCCTCCAGGAACACCCCTGCCCCCCGGGTACCATCTCGTGTACTTCACCCCGGCATTTCTAGAGGGTGAGCTCGGGGCCGACGGAACAGATGTCTCATATAACCCGGATGCACCGTTCACGCGACGGATGTGGGCCGGGGGGGAACTGAGTTGGTCTCGGGGTGCTGACGGGAAACCAAATCTGCTACGGGTGGGACAGGAGGTTCGGGAGACGACGAGGGTTCTCAGTGCTGAGCCCAAGGTGGTCAAGCGGACGGGGGAGGAGATGCTCGTCGTTGGTGTGGAGAAGGAATTTGCTAACGACGATGGTGTCGCCCTTGTTGATCGTAGGCAAGGTTTGCTCCATCATTTAAATTGGCATCATAGGCTGACTGTGTTGAAGAAATTGGGTATTCCGCAAAGCTCTACCTACATCTCCTTCAGCAGCAAGGCCAATGGCATCATTGAGACCCCCTACTCCCCCAAAACCGTCTACTCCCAACCTTGCCGGGCCGGTCAAGTCTCACAAGCGGACCCTTCAACAGTCTGCTGTGACTCTATTCCGTTTCTCGGCTCTCACATTCAACCCCCACAAGATACATTATTCCGTGCCTTGGGCTCGTGATGTGGAAGGACATAGGGATGTTGTCGTTCATGGTCCTCTGAACCTCATCTCCATTCTTGATTTCTGGAGGGACACTCGGGACAGACAGGGCGAACCCGGTTTGCTGCTCCCGCGAAGTATCTCTTACCGAGCTACCAGCCCGTTATACGTAGATGAAAAGTACGAGATTGCCCTGGATGAGGATAGGGAAGGCTTAGCAGAAGTTCAGATCATCCGGCCTGACGGGGTTGTTGCTATGAAAGCGACAGTCAGAGATCATTAAAACTGACGGCATATGGTGATATTCATATTAGATCCACATACAGAGTACAACAATAAGTTTTAACTCTCAGCAGCAATCTCAGCCGTTCATTGTGCACACGCAGAATGGCCCATATCTACCCCTTCCCTTGGCTTCCTCGAAGGTTGCATGGAGCGGCAGCTTAATAACCTTGATATCTTTCCAATTACCATAATCCAGCCTCAGACATTTCAATGCTCTCCCATCATCCAATTCTTCGGTCTCGATGGATATCTCTTCTCCATGTTTTCCGGACTCTCCTCTTAGCCTCTTTAATAGCATGTTCGAACTAGGGGAATATCGTTGTAAGTTGCAAAAGTTCGGGAGTGACCTGGTTCAATGGTGAATCTACTTGGTACCATTCATTTCTGGTCTCATGAAGAAACAATCAATTATACGCCATTCAATAGCCACTGTGGCATACCATCCTCAGCACTACCTCGACACGCAGCATCAACACATCTGGCAAGACTCCCGAAGTAGAAACTCTTCCCAGTAAGACCTGGTCCGTAGTGTGCGAACTTCCCAGAGTTAGTGATGATGGCACCCGTAGAGCGCGGGATAATCGGCTCAGTGATCATACACCAGCATGTATCCGTGATAAACTGGACGCCGAATTTCTCCAGTTCTTCAACCAGCCCGGCCTGACAGGCTAGGCCGTAGGTAGACCGCCCGCAGGTCACGATAACAGCTACGTTTTCCTTTTTCGTGCGGCCACGACATAATGCAGCAAGCTTTCTGATCTCTGATAGGGAGAAGTGTGGGTTACCCAGAGATACCAGGTCAACGGGTTGATGGGATGCGGCGCTGTTCAGGTCATCCCAGCACTCGATCAGATCCTTTATCTGTACATCGACGGAACGGACGTGAGGTGCCTTGCTGATGACAGCTTCGAGCGTGCTTGCTTCTGGAGTGACACCGATGATATGAAACATTGGTGCGCTTGACACGGTGGCGAACGCTGCCCCGAAGGCTTTCAGGTCGTCTTTGCTCGGGGCTAGGGATTCGACCCCTACCAGCACGGGGATTTCGCTTGGGGCCAAGGTCCCTACGTGATAGCCCAGAAGGGGAAAGAAGGAGTCATCGATATCTTTGGCGTTTTGCATGCAAGAAACTCTCACAACAAGCGACGCAAGCCGGTTGATTTCAATATGCGGTCCTCCCTTCGGAGCGCGACCTGTCAGGGCGATGGTGATATCAAGGAAGTCGGGATACTTCATCGTCCTGGCACCGAGGACGCTATTCGCGTAGACGACGGCATTAGATTCTGCCCAGGCTACCTGTTCACCGAATTTCGGTGCGCTTTCGAGCTGGTACGGGCTGCAGGTGAAGGTTGGGCTTGCGCCCATATCGGTGTAAGCATCTGCTAGCTTTGAGGCGGCTTCGCCGAACGCTGAATCGATTCCTTGCGCTCGCCATCGTTTCTGGTCGATGGATATGGAGTTGAGGGAAGTTGGGACACAGACTTTTCCTCCCCAGTCCCGGAGTCTTTCTGCGAAGATGAGTGATCCTGATCCGACGTAGATGCAGCCATCTACGTGGACCTGGGTAACATCCATTAATTCTCGAGCACCTAGTAAATCTGCCATGCGTAGTATGATTCGCATCGACACCCGAGCTGATTCACCATGGATACCTTCAAGAAAGGCTCTGTCGACTTCCGAGAGCTTTATGTTATTCACAGAAGCTGTATCCATATCCCCTACTGCGGATTCAACCAAGGAGCCAGGTAATTCATGATCAGACACATGACCATCAACGACATGAATCAAACGGCCATCAAGTTTCAACACCTCCCGGAAGTCCTGAGAATCCAGCACTACCACTGGTATAGCCTTACCAAACATCTCTTCGGCGATCACCACACCAAGCGTGATGATGTCTTCCCGCCGCTCAAACAAGATGGCTTTTGGTCCTTTGTCGTTGAGGAGGAGCTCCAGCACCACTCCGCTACCAGTGCATGAACCACGACCACCCGGGATAGCGAGGACAGAGCCATGAATATGCTGCCCGCTCAGCGGGTGGTGACGGTCAATGACCTCGCTTGTCTGGGGATCAACACCGCCCCAGAAGCTTAACTCTGTGTTACTTGCAATGAGTCTGCCGGAGGCCGTACCCTTGACATATGCCGTTCCTCGGAATAAGGACTCGTCGTATGAGTCTGCGGCTGGCATGGTGAAGTACTCGGGTTGACCTGATCTTGGCTCTGGTTTACTGAGAATTAGCTGTCTTGAGAGACGGTTTGAGGAAGGAAATACGAACCGGTGTCGATACCGAATGCGTGTTTGTCACCTCAAGAGCAATTCCAAGAACCAACTGGGGTTCATCATGAAATAATAATCTGGGTGGTGCTCACACTAAAAACATCGGGAACGCAGCCGATATCTCGATCCTGTCCACCGGCCCTGTTGCCGTGCTGTGCTTATCACATCGCTGTCATCCCCGTCAATTAGCCCCCGAGGATCCTACTCAATACAAAATACGTGTCCTTAAGTTGGTACCAATATATAAGGCACGATACGGACAGGAGAACCGCCAAAGGAACAATGTTTATCTCTGCTATGCTGGATATCTAGATCGACAAAAACTGCTGCGGGCTGGCATGGATGCAGGCAATGGTCGATACCTGCCTCTCGCATCCAAAGTATCCCGCTGTATCGTCGGTACAGACATCACTCGGCAAAGACGCCAGCACACCGTTGATCGCAGTAGTGGAACTGCCACCGCCATCCACGTTGATGGCATACTGGAATCCAAGCTTGATCATCATATCCGCGAGCGTGAAGAGGTCGATCCCATCTACCCCTGTTCGGCCGTCTATCTGAACCATACCAAGACGTCCGTCCTGCATCACTCCGAGCGCAGTGCGGCCGGAAGCTTCCGTCGCGAAGACATCGTTACCCGTTCCCTTGGATTGGTTGACATAGTTCTGCCCCTCGTTGACAAGCTGGACGACACCCGATGCGAGAGATCGGAAGTACCAGGGGGAATCTACATCGTCTGCGCAGGGACCGGTAGAGTCGCATCTATCAGCGACGCTCTTCAGGGTGTGTTTCGCCAGGAATTTGTTATCCACGTAGCCGATAAACCAGTTTCCGTCACTGGTTAAGCCGAAATGCACGTTTCCAGTGGTGTCGTGCTCAATCAGGACATTGTCACTAACAACACCCCCAAGGCAATGCGGGTGCGTCTTGTTGGAGATGTCAAAAAAGCCAAGGTTCATGGCAACGCTGCATCCTCTATATCTTGCCTCGGCTGAAGTTGTCGTGACGCCGTATCCGCAGCCCTGGATTGGTGGGTAAATGCTGAACATGGTGCTGTCGACAGCGGTAACGAAATAACCCTTCACAGGCCGTTGGACGCCGTCCACGTCATCCAGGAGCTTGTTGATGACCCTTGCGGTCGGTAGCAGTTCTGATCCCACGAGGTTGGCAGTGTTGTAGACGGGTATGCGGACGAAGCCAGACATCCCTTGGATAGTGGATGCAATGGCTAGGTCACACATGCAGAATAGAACTGCAAGCAGGGTCGTTGGGAAGCACATTGTTCTGGTCGTTGGTTCTTGGGACGGAAGGTAAATAGGGTACTCCGGGAGGAACTGTCCTTCTTCCTAGACAAAACTCCATGGGACGACCATCCCCCCTTTATAATCCAAGGCATACAGCTCGCCTCGGACGATTATAGTGATCTGCAGGCACAGATCCCACATTCAGTATTCATATAGAGTGTTCTATAGGTTCCATATCCGCATCTATGGAGCTTGACCGCAATATGACCGCGGTGATGATTGGAGCTCGTATCATGTCTCATCGAAAGATATTCCGGAGTAGAGAGTTGATACCTATCTATCACGATGCGTCAGGTTGGAGCCAGTCAGAGCGGGATTCAATTCCGAATAATAACATAGGGTTCGGCACGTGGTGCCTGCTTCCTGCCGATAGGTTGGCCTTCGTAAGCACTTCATTTTACGGAGTCATCTAGAAGTCTTTGGTTATTAGTTAGGTGGTTATTAGTTACTAAAAGGAAACCCACCGAGTATCTTCCTTTTATATCGAAGGTCTTCCCTGTCTACTGCTGTAATCATATGCTGGTCCTCTGTCTGCCATGGGTTCTAACAACGCTGGAGGCTGAGATTCAATGATAATGCCAATGAGGTCGATACGCAAATGCACGAGATGGTGGACTATTGCAATTCTCCTCTCGCTACTCAACTTGCATTCCGGAAAATCTTTGGGTGTCACATATGCTAGATCCTCCCCGGTGGTCCCCTCAAGCCAGTCACCAGTGTCGGCTCTCACGCTGGCATGACACAGCCCAAACTCTTTCTCGTAGTCTGGATGCTGGGTCAAATACATATGACGTGCGCGTAGACCTTCTGACAATGGCACTGATAGAAGCTTCCTCGGTCAGGACTCTGGTCAATGGCTCTTCAACCTTGAAGGCTGGATCATGAATGTCGCTTCCATCAGAGGCAGTGAAAACCTGGCCCTGGAGCAGTAACGAGCCACACTTCTTCTCGATAGCTTTGATGTTCGACTCGTTTCTGGCGCGTCATTTCCACGGTCCATTTCACACTTCTATAGCGTCCATGTCATCATGAACGAGTATGCCCAGTCACAACATCGACACTCCGCGAAAGGGTGATTGATTACAGCAAATCCATCAGATTTGTGAGCCTCTTGGACAGCTGCTGCTAAGCTGGCATCCTTGTCCTCCGTGTCATAGATGGTAGCATCAACAAACTGTTGTGGCAACAGGCCAGTTGCATTTCAGTGCCCTGCAACTGTAGTGACCTCAAAGACTTCAAGTATGTTTCTGATGCCGACTTCCAGGAACACTAGGTGTCAGCCATGATTCGATGTAAATGAACTGAACAGAATATTAGACTGGAATTTGCCAGCACAACGTATAGTCTGTACATGCTACTGAGATTAACAAACAAGTCAGTATCTAAATAGAGAGAAGGGGGGGGAGAGAGAGAGAGAACGCAAGAGATTGTTAGTACACGTGAGGTTCTGCCGTCCTAGACCGCCCTCGCTACCTATCTCACGGCACAGGCAGGCCTACCTAGTAATATGACCATACATGCGCCTATCCATTAGAGATCATGGCAGACCCACGTGATAAAAGGACGAATACGATTTAGCGCCGGAGATAAGCTGGCAGACTACCGGAGACCGGTCATCAGAAAGATTTTAGAATTCCAACTTCTACGTCACACTCTCAAGATGGCTTTTATAGATTCTATTCAGTCGTCAATAGCATGGTACTGTGATAGAGGCATTGCCTTGATTCAACTCAAACAGAAACTTGACGTTTTTACAGCGTTTTGCGAGTACTACCATGGAACAACGCTACTCGGCAGGGAAAGCACCGTTGAAAGAGAGAAAGAGAACCAGAGTTCAATTCTCGTGTACTGCCTGTAGACACAGAAAGTGGGTATATTATTCTCCCGGTCATACAATAAATCCTGAATGCTGCTATGGAGAAATTGACATTTCGTCATCTGCCAGGCTAAAATGTCAACGGACGCATCCATGCGAGAACTGCAAGAATCGAGGGGAGGCTGCTTCCTGCACTTATGTTGGACGGGGTCCCATCGCACGAGCTCCGGGCAACCGTTCCAATATGTCCCATGTGCAGGATCGTCTACAGCATTTGGAAAATCTGGTCTTGTCTTTTGCTCAGCAGAAGAGGCTCGAGGACCAGCAAGGGGTTTCTCCCGGAAGTGCATCATTTTCACACAGCAACTCGGAACATGGGCCTCCTAATGTTGGTACTCTGGCTGAAAAAGAAACTACGCCGCTCCCGCATCCCGGGAGATTAGTCGTGAAAGATGACGGGATCAGCTACATTGATGGTGCCCACTGGCGGGCTATTCTTGATGAAGTAAGTTACCGTGGGGAGCTGGAATATCGACGAGCCTTTTGGGTGCTAACTGATTTGCTACGGTAAGATCAACGAAATGAAAGCGTCCATGGAGGACACAGAGGAGGATACCGAAACTATCGAATATGGGTCTTCCGAGTCATCGTATCCTCAGCTCCTGTTTGGAATACATGAAATTCCAAGTAAAGATGAGTTACTGGCGGATCTTCCGCCGCGATCTGTAGCCGATTACCTTATTTCCCGTGTTCTCGAGATCGATGAGCCATCGATTGGTATGTGACTCTTCAGCTTTTGAGGCAATTGACAGCTAATAACTCTTCATTAAGCCCTTATTCACATACCGACATTCTTGAAGCAGGTAACATCGCAATTCGGCCTAACAGGCTATTCATATTCTAACCAGCTATAGTATTACGCGTTTTGGCTGAAGCTGGATGATGTTTCTATTCCTTGGCTGGGATTCTTCTTCTCGGTTCTAGGAATAGCAGCGTCGTCCTATATGCGCTACCAGCGGCCATTACCGGATCATTTCGGTAACCTGAAGGACGCTCGAGACCTATACCTAAAGCGGACTGCCCAGTGTATTGTTCTGTCGAACTACACGGTGCCTGGACGATATAAAGTAGAGACACTCATGCTATATACATGGGGCGAACTCTTTCGAAACGCAGATGCGCAGGTTGGGCTATCATTCCTTATTGGGATTACCGTAAGGCTGGCGATGCGCATGGGGTATCATCGAGATTCAAAACATTACCCCAGTATTCCAGCCTTGGAAGGCGAAATGAGGCGACGGTCCTGGTGTCTCCTTTGCCAAATGGACACCATGATTCCGTTCCAAGTAGGCCTCCCCAGAACGATACAGCCCTGGCAATATGACACGGAACTCCCGCACAATCTCTTAAATGAAGACCTTCATGAGAATGCCATGCATCTTCCGCCATCACGGCCCGAAACTGAAAGAACTCCAGCATCTTACATAAGGGCAAAGGGTAGGATTATGTACGTTTTTGGCCAAATCAGCGATCTTGCGTACTCACATCACGAGCCTGTGCCATATGGAAAGGTCCTCGAGCTTGATAAAAAGCTCGATGAAGCTCATGATCTAATGCCGCCTTTCTTTCAGATACGGCCGTTAGAGATGTCAATCGGTGACCGCGTGGAAACTATAACGCGGCGATTCTCGTTGGATATTCTCTACCAAAAGGCCCGCTGGGTTCTGCACCGGAGATACTTGGCTGATGTTGGCTCCGATCCACGATACGATTACTCCCGTTACGTGTGTATCAATGCGGCGAAGCAGGTCCTGCGACATCAAGTAGTGCTGTACCATGAAAGTCAGCCGGGAGGTCGATTGTACGGCGATATTCATGTCACTAGCTCTCTCCAAACCAATGACTACTTGGCCGCAGCGATGATCATCTGCGTGGAGGTATCACAGAACCGTGAACAACATGGCTATCCGGGCGACAAGGTTAGCCGCGAGGAGCTCCTCTCTATCCTAGAAAAGTCGCACAATATCTTCAAAGACCAGCGAGACCAGTCAACAGATGCGCAAAGAGGGTGCGACGCTTTGGCAATTATGCTTAGCAGAGTCAAAGCAGGCCGACATGGCGCTTCCAATTGTCAAACTGCGACTCTTTCAAACGGTCGGACAAGTCTAGATCCGTCATACAGTCATAGTCAGGACAGTCCCACTGACATTAGGCTTCTAGCAGAGACCCCTATACACGATGGTCCACAGTCATCTGGGACAAACCAGCTGGATTCAGTGACGCTGGCATCCAGTGCAACAGAGGTGACATTGCCCCAAACGCGGTCAATATCATCTGCCGGGCTGGGGGTTATCGAAGACATGCTGAACACTCCAAGCAACATCGACTGGGTAAGAGCTCCTTTAGTTCCACTTTCGTTGTTTGATTCTATTTATCATTGCCCATTTATCTGGACTAACTGTATGTTTTAGCAACTCTGGGAGCTTCGAATGCAAGGATTCGACACAGTCACTCCGAACAACCTCACATACTCGGATATGATGTCTTGGACTGGAATTAACGAATTCGATTCTTAAGGTCAACTCCAGGGCTTATTTTGAATCTTAGTGTTAAGTTTACAATTGATGTACTCCTGTCATAGTTAACGATGGGATGCACGGAGTATTATCTCCTTGCAAGAAATCTACTTCAAAAAGAACTCGGTAAACATGAGATCTGTAGATGAAGCATTCTTCGGGTTCGGCACGTTCCGTTTCCCCTGCATTCCGGGGATCCGTCTTAATAATAATGCCGAGAATGGGCCTTAATAAAATAAATAAGCATGCTCTAGCTTTTGTTTTGAGGACTACATATTTGAGAATAGAAAAGCCATTGACACTTATATTTTTCTACGCATTCAGGCCTCTTGGTTAGGTCATGTTGGTTATTTGAAGCCGAAGACAAGCTCCAGTAACCTGCTATTGGGAAACAAAACCAAAGAACCTGACGGAGAATTTCCCATCGGATACCTCGAAGAGAACAAGACAGCATCCTCTCAAGAAAACATGAAACCGTCATTATACACACCATGTCTCCTCAATTTCCAAAGAGCTGGCGCCCGACAACCGCCACAATTGTCTGCAATCCGCGCCATCCCAATTCACAACAACCACCATGGACAACAGCGACAGCGACAACTATCAACATCCCCAACCCCGTCAACCCCCAGGCCAAGAACAATACCGAAACAAAAGCCAACAACCCTCATAACAGCCCGCCCCTTCTTCACGTTATTAAAGTCTGACACCCCCCGCACACTAACCGCAACAAGAACCCTCCCCCACCCTCCCGAGCCGCTATTCAAAGTCATATCCTCCGTGGAATCCTACTCCGAGTTCCTCCCCTTCCTGTCCGCATCGACCGTGACCGCGCGCGATGAGAAGACGGGGTACCCGACCCGCGCGTTTCTGACCGTTGGGTACGGGCCGTTCAGCGAGACGTTCACGTCGAAGGTGGACTGTGATAAGAGTAAATGGGTCGTGGAGGCTCGGAGTGGTGCGGGATTCGCTGGATCTGGGGAAGAGCCAGGAAAGGCGTCTCAGTTTCCGGGGGCTAATGAGGGGATTTTCGAGTATCTTTGTACAAAGTGGCAGTTGGTTCCGGCGTCGACTTCTCCCGTGCGGACCAGGGTGGATTTGGAGATTAAGTTCAAGTTTAAGAGCGCGGCACATGGAGCTATGATGAGTGCCGTCGAGGGGCAGATGGCTTCGGTTATGATTGCGGCGTTTGAAAAGAGGATTAGGGATATTGAAGGATCTCGATGATGTTCATTCTGCCCTTTTTTGTGTCACTGTTAAAGAGTGGGCATGGATGGGTGTTAGGTAGAGGATCCCTTTCTGTGTAGATTGCTGTACATTGAGAACTAGTTCACATAGAGGAAGTCCGGAAGAGTCAAAAGAACATGTTGTATATAGTACAATTAAAAAGAAGAGCAAATTTGCAGCCTTGGAAAGCATAATCAGAAACAACACCCCAATGCAGCCCGTTTTCTTTAGTTTCCCAATTTATTCATAGCATATTCAGGCCCCGATGCCGATGGGTGCGCATTGAACCAACAGCATTGTAATTGTCATATACCACTTCCCAGTTTATCTTATCCCACCATTTCTCTAGATATTCGGCCTTGCCGCTAATTCCGTAATCCATCATCCATACGTGCTCCCACGTGTTGACGCAAAGGATGGGCTGTACGCTCAGAGCACCGGGGGCCAGATTCTTTTGGTTGGCGGAATGTGCACCCATAGAACCAGCATACTGGTTACCGAGTGCGGTTTCACGTGTATGCGTGGCCATATCGACCGGCTGTCGTCGAGCATATGCAGCTGGGTAAGGCGAGCCAGCGTTGTAGGTGCAGAAGATGTGCAACAGGCCCTCCCTCTCCAAGTTCTTTGCCAGCCACACAAAACCAGGTCCGAACATGGCATTGGCTGTTGCCAAAAAGTCGAGCTTCAAGGATTCCACCGAGGAGCAGGTGTCTCTAATGTTCATGGCGAAAGCATCTGGGATGTTGACCGGAGTGGGTGACTGATGAGAGAACGATGTATGAGATGGGGAACATTCCGGACCAATTTTGTCTCTTTCCGGGGCGGCAACTTACCAAGCAGTTGAAGAAGAAATGGTTGTTGTGAGCCATGGACGCATAGTTGAAAACCGACGCCATCTCCGGTCGTCGGGAGTATTTAGTTAGCAATTCACCGGGTGTGGCATTTTCGTCAACAGTGTCTATAAGACTCGGCGTCAGTATCAATAGCATCAATTGGGAAATATCACCAGAGCAGAGAAGACAATGATCGATCCATATCCCGGAGTTTAACAACTCACCCTGTGTTAAGAGGTTGAGCTTCTCGATAATGAAGCCCTGGTACTGGGTCCATGAAAAGTCAAAGGCCTCGGGGGATAGCAATTCTGGAACGCCATTGTTCTTGAAGTAATCATCATGCGTCAACTGAGGAACACGGTGGAGTGCGCGCGTCTGAAAGCGTGGGAGGGCGGCAGCGGGTTTCTGGGGACGAGGTCAATCATCAGTTCCAGCTGGATTAGTTCGCAGGAGACTAACCTGGGAGAGCGAGGACACTGCATTGAGAGTGCTCTGAGGCCGGAGCAGCCGTCGAAATTGGAACATGATGAAAATGAAGTAGCGGACGACAATTGGAAGCTCAACCGTTCACCCCCGGCAACGCAGAGAAGCGATTGCAGCTTCAAAATCTCGAGAATTTCCCGTTCGGCGCGGCCGCTTCCTATTTTGGAATAGTGAAATTTGTCTTGGCACGTGACCGGCATGCTTCGTCTCTTCACGTCCAGCCGTCCGCTACTCTGTGTTTCTCTACGCGCCCAGGACAGGGCTGTCCATGCACAACTCTCTTCGGGCCTGATCTTCTACTTATAATCGCTAATGAAATTCGCTAATAGCAATGATGCAGGTTTTCTTGTTGCCGACGATTCGCGTTGTGGCTACCACGGCGCTTGCAATGCCGCTTTACACCGCGGATTGCTGGGGAATGACACAGACTGATGCGTGATATTTTTGGATATGAAGTGGTTAAAGATGCCCTTTAATCCTCTTGTTGAGTTCCCTTTTTGGCTTCCATGAGTACTCTTTGTTCATGGCTCTTTGGACGTCCCATTATTTGTCTTGGAGCATTGTTCGGCCTTTATCTTTTCCCCTGCTGTTCTACAGTCATTTACATATTATATATCTTAATTACATGACCGTTTCCCCTTTACATTGCTCATCTCGCCGACGTCATGGACTACTGCCCATCTCTGCTGCTCCTCATGAGCATCATAGCATCAACAATTACGCCCAGCTATGCTACAGATCGAGGATCGACAGATATATATACGTGCCCGGATTTGCATTTGCACTGCGAGAGTTCTAATCTGCCTTCGAATTTCTGCTGTTCTTCTTCATCGTCATGTATCGGTTTGGACGATGGTAGCTCCGCCATCTGTTGTCCCAACGGCGAGTCCTGTGAAGCCATCGAACCCATCTCCTGTAATATTCGGCTACAAAATGCGACTGCATGGCCATTAAGCTCTTTGATGACGACCAAGCTGGATGGACAACTGCCCAAATGTGGACAATCCTGCTGTCCATTTGGGTACACCTGTCTGAACGACTCCATTTGCAGCTTGGATAAAGCTTCCAGTTTTAATGCAACCTTAACTTTGGGGCTGGATTCTCCTTCTACGACTTCAACTTTGACGGCTTCGAGTCTTGTAATACCCGGTTCTATGTCCTCGTCCTCTTCTTCAGTGCCTGCCTCGTCCTTGGATGATATAAAATCTATATGCCCTTCCTTTCCGGCCAAGGCCGTCGCAGCTGGCTTCTTTCCCGGCGCTATTGCGGGAGCCGCAGGAGCGTTCATTGCATTCTACTGTCTGAGGAAGCGGCCGAAGAAGCAGTCTTTACCCACTCACAATGCTTCACGCTCCACTAAGCGATCAGTCGACGGAGTCGCTGTTAACATCTCTGGGCCCATTCCATCGGGAGATGCTTCCTGCCGCACAGATTTCCTACGTGTCCAACGAAAATGCGAACCGCGGCAATCCAGACTAAGTCGTACAACATCTCGGGTGAAAAGCGTACTTGGTCCCAGTCGAAAACCACCGCCACCTTCGAATACGATGAAGAACTTACCCCCTTTCCCAGTCACACCTCCGCAAAGCGTCATGTTACGGAGACAATCAAGCACGGGGAATATAAGGGTATATACCCCACCGGGCATGGTACGCTCCGGTCCGGGCTCTATACATTTTGTAAAACCTCAAGATCGAGTAAAGATGCCTGAGGTGAATTTCACGGACATGATAGAAAAGGTGGGATTTCAGAACAGTGCAGGGGAACCGTCTTTTCGGGTTACTCCAGCTTCTCCGCCTGGAGTTGGGGGTACGAAAGTTCCGAGGCATGAAGCATGAGGTTTGGAGAAGATATAAGTATGCATTTCAGGTGTTTTTTTTTTTTTTTTTTCTTGTGCAACGCTTGTATTTGGATATATATGTCAGGGATATATCTTGGAATTTCTAGAACCACATTGACTTTGCAATCACAAAAATTGCCTTCAAACTATATCTCATGATGGCTGTTGACTTGCAGCTTCTATAGCTTCTTTCTGCTTATTCCAGGAGTGCCAAAAGACTTATGGTCAAGTTAATGCCATTTACGCAGATCTGTGCCAGGCGTATATACTATACATCATTTCAACGAGGCTCTCGCTGTATCTTCTCCCAGAATTTCCTCGTCTCCTCCATATACCCCGTACTCTCCAGACGCGGCTCCCACTTTTCTCGATGTGCCTGGGCGATCGCAAGATAGGGCCCAAGTGTCTCCTCCAGCTTATCACGGGGTGTTCCTGGAAAATGAACAAGGAGATCACCAGGATGTACCTGAAGATCCGCAGGAGAGTCAGGGTTTAGATCTTCTCCGTTTGGATGTCTCATGTAGGCATTAAACCAGCGCAATGGGCAAAACACAACAGAATCAGCGAAATATTTGCTTTCTTCTAAGATATTGCTCATGGCCGACTGCTCATGCCAGAAGAGATCAACGTCCGGATTCATGGTTGGATAGGAGAGAACGGCTGAAAGTAGTTCAACGGACCATGGATGGACTCTGATCGGAAAGACGCCGTTGTTCACTCCGTTCCAGTCTTTTGTAAGAAGCAAGTGGACATTGGACAGATGAGATGGGGGTAGAAAGGTCTCCAGCGGCATGTTAGGGTTCATGAGCACTGTGTCACTGTCAAACCAGCTGATTTGCCTTGTTAGTGCTTGTAGACGGATCCGAATGGTGTAAAACACCTTGCTTACATAGAGACCTAGGTGGAGGTATAGGTATACTCACAACAACCACTCCAGTCTCTGACCTTCCGGCTTCTCCAACTCCTGCAGGAGCATGGACAGAAGGATTGCACACTTGTTCCACACACCATCCAGGATAGGCTTCCGTAGGACAGTAAGCGGGTAACCTAGTCGACGGCCATGCTCTCTGTGCGTATCCAGTGCTCTTTCATAAACCGTGTGGTTGCCGTATATCATTGTCACTTTGCCTATGACGGGTTGGGGCCGATGTCCCCTGTGCATATTGGCTTCTGCCAAGATCCCAGTGAGTTCCCTATTCTGTAAGAGCATTCGTGGACGACCGACCTGACGTACGGTAGGCGAAAAGTAGTTTGATCAAGCATAGAACCACCACGGCCAGGGTTAAATGCAGGATAGCCCTGGACTTACTGTGCCTGCTTCGGATCGCACGGAAACTCTTCATGGTGGAGGTGAGAATGGTTTTCAGTTCAGCCATTGTGGACTTCTTTCTTAAGAAGAATGGCCTCATTTAGTGCCATTTCAAATCCTTTATAAATCTTCTTCAACCGTGTCTCAGTAAGAGATAAAGGACATGATATATCATCTTAAAGAAGCCCTTTAACCTTAGATGCCTATTTTTGTAATTGATGAAGGTTATAAGGTGTATTTGGTGCTGAATTGGTTGATCAGCTGCCTAGTGATGTAGGTATTTTGAGTTGTATATTAAACTGTGAAAGAACCTTTGTTAGATGAAATAGGATTAGGCCAGTTGCCATAAAACCATTGTGAATGGTTTCTGGCTTAAATATATCTGTACAGGCATAGGGATATGCGTCTAGGAAATCAAATTTGTCAATATGGTTGAAGTCAAGCTGTATTTTATTCATACATATTTGTCCCTGCCTCGCTAAACAGGATACTCATATCCTGTCATGATGCTGCAAAGATGGCGAATAAGCTGCATGTTCTTCATGCTACGGACCTTGCATGGGTGGTTACACGACAGCCTATTTTGATAATCACATAGCCTTGTTGTCTGTATGATCTAGTCATGGGCTACTTATCGGTCGCATACAAAGGAGGGGTTGGCTGGATACCAGGTAATTGTCTGAGGATATAAAGTGTGCTCTTGTATATAATAAGGAAAAATCTCACGACGACATGCCCCCCTTCGCCTTTCGGCTCCTTGCTATCCTCTTCAACTCCTTCAAGAGCCCCACAACGAGCGGAACCCCAACAGGCCCCAGCAAGGGCAGATAAACAGCCACCTTATGCTCATCTGGGAAATAGACCTGGCCAACCATACTTTTCTCAAAGAAGCTCCGCTCTGCCTCAGTCTCTGCGACGCGGGCACTAGCCAGTGCGGCCGCGAAACGGCCTTGATGGAGCAGACTACATGCGGAAGACAGATGAGACAAGGTAGCAGAGACGGACGTAGCCACTGAGGCCGGAATAGGGATTGAAGGGAGCGACTCAGTGAGACGGGCTAGGGAGCCCATTGTCGATGATGCGGAAAGGAGAAGGGTCGCGGCGCGAATGCGGGTCAGGGTCTGAAGACGTAGTGGGAGGGAAGCAGGGGTTGCTGGGGCGCCTAGCAGGGTGAGAAGTTGGTGGGAGAAAGTCATGAATGCCGGACGGAGAGACTCCTGAGGAAGATGGCTTGGGTTCGAGGGGTTTTCGTTGTCGGTAGACAGAGGTGGGCTGAGGAGGACCACGCCGCCCCATTGCGGGATAATCCAGCTGGTTGCTCTGTTCTCCTTGACGACTAGAGGTGCCTGGGATGGAGCTGGGACATAGAGAATGAAGTTGATAGTGGGACCGGCACCGATACTAGGACTTAAGGGCCATTCCGCCGCGTTGATGAACGCGCTGAGGTCTTCCGTTTTGAGGGTCCACACTCCTTGCGAGTCGTCGTATTCGGGAAGCGGTGCGGTGGGAGAGAAAGTAGCATAAACCTGTACTTGGGTATCGATGGTGAAATTGCTGATCGGTGTGAATGCCTGTAGGAGCGGAGCCAAGTACTCTTCGACGGCCGCCTCGACATCCCAGGACGAAGGCTGCGACCCGGGTGTGAACAGGGAAAAGGACAAGTGATATGTTTCCGCGTATCTCATCGACCTCCGTAGCCGTCTGATAATAGTCTCCACGAGTTGCGGCGAATCGATGTTGCGAATTGCACTTCCCACCGGATTATTCGATGATATGGGGGCATTGATATTCGGGCCAGCTGCGGAACTACTGGAGAGAATGTGGGCGATCGTGGCCTTTTCCTCACTGAACAGCGCCTGCAGTTCCTCGGCCACAAACGTTGACAAGGGAGAGTTTGATGACGAAGGGACTGGAATCTGGTGCGGAGGGTAGAAGACATCTAGTTGGGTTGTGTCTGCGTGCAGCACCGACTTGGGCGCGCTCAGGCCCTCCTGAGGTAGAAGTTTGACCGATAATGCCACCTCATCGCCGTTTACCGTAGAATTGTCGCCATCCCATTGGGAGTCTACCAATTTGAGGCGCAAGGAGTGAGCGGAGAATTCATTGAGGTCATCGAGGGTGTGCTGTGTCGAGCGGATGAGGTGTTGCGCATCCGACACTGGCATCGATGACGCTGTAAAGTATATCTCGAGAGGGAAAACAGGTCGACACGTCTGCAATCCATAGAAAGAACAAGTGATTAGCCTTGGAACAACCCTCTGGATATTCGAATAGCCAAAACGTACCTTTCCATTCGCCCAGTCAACCATTGCCTCAATCGGCAGCCGGGCTCTGTAAACCGAAGTCGTCTTCCACCATATGGGAAAGCCAAAGAAGATTATCATACACCAGAATGCGGCAATAACCAAGGACCTTGTCCTCACTGTTTCCGGCTTCTCTGGCGCAGGGATGCGGGCGGCGCTGTTCTTGGAGCTCATCGTGGTGTTGGCGCGTGGTGAGGAAGAGTCTGAAGACGCCAGGTCTTCACTTTTGTCTGTCATGGTCGGGTCATTCTTTCTGGGGGCATCTAAGAGTCGTAGAATATTGTATTAATATTCTGTTTGTTATGGGAACCCCTCAGGCAAAGCAGTGCTATTCTGAAGAATGAACAGGAAGTGGAAGCTGGACAGGAATTAAGTTCGGGCGTCTCTTAGCTCCGTCTCTTCCCCGGAGCGCTCTCTACGCATCTGACGACGGTTTACGCCAGATACAACAGGAACTATCTTACTTGTCGTGGCTCATGGAGAGTATATTGGGAAACGATTGTCCATAATGTATTGTAGTCTGTATAATCACACAAACTCGTCTATTGTACGCAAACGCCAGAATTTTGGGTATCTCGACCTATGACGCCCGACAGAAAAGAACCCCTCCAAATGATCGGATAAGATGCATAAAACACTATGAAAATACCCCAGTTTCCCGATATACAACGACCCGTAGCCTAGTATTCCTTTTCGAACGTCTTCTGGATCGGCTTTGCGGCCTGTTCAGACAGAATCATGTTAGCAAGTGCCCGCTGGATAGCGATGCGACACAGTCAGGCGACACCTACATCAATAAATCTCTCCAAATCCTGATCAAGATTGGCCAAATCCTCCTTTCTCTTGTTGTTCTCCGCGATCAGAGCTTGTTTGCGTTTGAGGAGCTCCTGTCGAGCCTGCTCCAGTTTCTCCCGTTCCGCGTGCTCATGGTTGATGCGAGCGATCATGAGTTCATGCTCGCTGGACTCCCGGTGCTGCGGAAATAGTTCGAAGAACTCCTCCACAGGGATCAAAGGCAAGGCAAGATACTTGTGACTGAGGCATATCCTTCCATTAGCGTCCACACGATGACCACCACACGCTATTACCCATCCAAGACACAACTTACTCATATGACTCGCAAGCCGTGATCTCGCCCATCAAATGCTTCTGTTCGTAGTACAAGTTCTGCAGCTGTAGATGTAACCGGTCTATTTCCTGGCGCGCTTCAGCCGTCGCCTGTTTGGTCTCCCGAACCCGAAGGATGGCATCCCGATTCTGACCGCGGAGCTGGGCGAGGAGGGCAAACAAAAGTTTCTGCTGTTTGGAGACGGCAAGCCGGGCCCGCTCGGACTCAGCTGGCGACGAAGGGGCAGATGCCGGATCCAGCATGGACAAGAGCTTCTGGCATTGGGCCTGAGTCTCGGCGCTGGTCCGCAGCACAGGAAGAAGCGAGGGATCGCTGACGACGTCGCAGATAGCCATGATGTGCAGGAGAGAAGGTCGGCAGCGATAGATCGAGTATCTCCAGTGTAGTGTGCCTTCTAGGCCGCGGGGTGGAGAGGTGCACTGTGCTTGCGCTGGAGGGAGGAAGAAAGCGGAGGTTTTCGAGAGACGGAACAAGGAACGGCGGGTTCCCTTTTTCATCCATTTCTCCCTCAATGCACTACTAGCCAAGGTTGTTTTAATCAGATTCAATATTTGACAAAGCCTTTAATTACAAGCTAAGTACACTGAATGGAATACATCGCTTTAAAAAAGGTATGTTCTGTTATTGGGATACACCTCCATGCCGCAATCTAATCCTCGTTAGGTGGCCGCCGTATATAACCTGGAACTTGCCTGTTTCCCAGCGGCCTGCATCGCCCGTTTTCATCCCTGCTCCCGTCTAGATATCAGTATCTGTGGAATGTATGTGTGCAGGAGAAACATGTCAACTTGTTCAACTTACACACGGTAGTAATATATCAGTCTTGTACCCGGCCGCCGGCTATTAGCTTGCGCCCTGGTGTACCTTGGAGCATCTTGCAAAGCGCCTGTTCTACTGTGGTTATGGGAGAACACTGTTGGAAGTCCCCCTGCACGACGACCTGAGGATGAAGTCCCCTGCAGGGTTGATGCGTGCTCAGGAATGGCATTGTCCAACGGCCCATTTGCATTGTCGATGGCTGCTTGTTTCTCGCGAAGGGCTCGTTCTAGCTGGACTACCCTGTGGGAAAGTGCATCCTTTCTATTCTGCAGACCCTCAAGAACCTGTTGATGCTCAGCCTGAGACCGCTGTGCCTCTTCCTGCAGATTGTCCCTCTCAGCGACAAGTTCACCGTTTGCATTCTCCAGTCTGGCTTTCTTGGTAATTAGACTCTCGTAGGACTTCGAGAGTTCTTCGAAGGCACCTTGATGGTGTCGGAGCTCGGCTCGAGTCTGTTGCAATTCTTCTTCCTTGGAGTCCACCTTGGTGTTGAGCTCATGCATGGCTTCGCGGAAACCTTGTAGGCCATCTCTCTCTTTGGTCAGCTCAGCATTCCGTGACTCGGATAGCTGCAACTGGCACCGTATATTATCTCTCTCGTCCTCAAGAGCAAGTACCTCATGGCTGAGTTGGTCTTTAGTTCGTTGCAGTCTCTTGCTTTCCTCATTGAAGGTATCCCTTTCCTTCGTGAGCTTGGTATTCTGTGCCTTGTATTGCTGCAATTGTTCCTCCAGTGAATTCAACTTGCGCCCATAGTATTCTACTTCGTCCTCGTCAGGTTCATTTTCAATATCTGTGATACAGTCGATTTTGTTGCAAATACGGTATTTTGCGTGCGACACGCATTTCAATCGCTCTTCGGCACCTCTTAAGTCGATTTCCAATCTTTTATTTCTGTCGCTTGCATGGCTTAGTTCCCCTGCCAGGGCTTCCACCTGATCTCGCAGTTGTTCTTCGCTCTCCGTTTTCTTTTCCAGCCGGGCTTTCAAATCCTCCACTTGCATTTCCTGCGTTCTTATTATTTCTTTCTTCTCCTCGATCCCTGTTAATAATTCCTCCAGTGAGTTCACCTGTCTAGCTGACGGATTCTCTGCCAGTGTTGAGAGGTCATATAGGCTTTGCCTTGCTGCATCGTGGCCTCTTTTGATGTTCACGTTGGAGGCTTCATGGCCAGCTGTGATTCTTTGGTGGGCCTCGTTCGCGGCATGGTCGGCCGGAGGTCTGGCCTTTGCATTCCCAAGACGTCTAGGGATTTGACTTCTCGAGTTTCGAATAACCGCGAGCTTCTTTATGGCATCATCGCTTGGATGTCTGCCTGCTGCAGTCCCCTGACATATCAGCATTGGACTAGAAATCTACCTAGGTCTCATCTGACAGGGACTACCCATACTGATGGAAGTGCCTTTTGCGTTGTCTGTATATTTGCTTGCAGTACCACGTCGCCTAGACTTACAACTCTGCACAGCACTGGGGCGTTCATGTATATCAAATGTGTACGAATGGTCATTTCGAAACGTGATGGAGAATCCGACGCCCAGGCCTACGAGAGTGACGAGAGTGTCGCGGCCTGCATCCGTGAGCGAAGTAGCCGGCGTGTATTCGATGATACTTGAGGGAGGCTCTGGTGAAGTGGGAGGAGATGAATCTTCCCCAGCATCAAAGTGATTCAATCCAGAAGACGAATCACTTGAGGACGAATCCTGCCAGTTTGAGGGCTCTGGGGAACCGTCCAGATAATCCGCCATTGGTTATCTGTTCGAGTTTCGTTCGAATTGAGATATACACGATTAAAGGCAATGCGCCAGTGACGTCTCAGAGATGAAGATATCTACAATGGGAAAAAAGGGTGGACAGGGACCTGTATTTATGTTGGGTACAGGACCAGAACACCCAGAAAACGACCTCATCAATGGTGACAGCGCGGGGAAGGGCAACAACACATCATCGCCCATTGCAGTCAAGTAGACAGGGGTGCTCCTTGATGTACGCGATCTCAGTATTATCTTCTTCCCCGTATTGGCGTCTTGCATACCATTTCCATGCAGCTTTCATGCATGAGGGGTGAGTCAGTGAAGCAGTGCATTTGGGCTGTCTTCAATTGGGTAGACGGTGACCAACAAGTACTGGGAGAGATATGACTTGCAAGTGAAGAAAACCAAAGACACTGTTAGCATTTTAGCAACTGGGCTCGGTGATGGCCAGCAATGATGGGCCATGGTTTGACAGCCTTGTCAATGCCCTCTTGCTCTGCATTCGTTGGCATTTGAACCCTTCCAGCGCCGACTGGGGAGATAACACCAAAGTGAGGCTATTGCAAACGCATACCAGTAAAAACAGGTAATAACATACATGCAGCAAGAAAATGAATAGGAAATCCCTTCGGAATCCTTTCGACGCCAGATTCCGGTTTTGATCATGCAGTTCATTGGCGATTACCGTTCGCCCGAGGGCCGGGCCGGCATCATAAATCATGGCCTCCAAACTTTATTCACAAAAGGAGGAGGTTCATCTGACTTTACATCAGTCCGCGGGGTGAACTTCAGCAAAGTATCCTTGTAGATTCATCATGTTCCGCTGCGGCTGCCGACTTATGCGTGTTGTGGGAGGTGTACGTACTGTTGTTCATTCCAGGAAGCTCTCGTTTCTCACTCTTCCTAGGGTTGTACAGCGGTGAAGCAGCACGTGCGACGGCTGACCCTCCTGGAATACCATTCATTCCCACAAGCTTCTCCAGCAGGTGAGGTGGCCATCGTCGATTCAAGATGTGTATTCTACGCTCACAATGGCTAGTATGATGTGCCGGTACCTCATGGATTTGTAGTTGCAAATGCACAGGATGCCAAGTCTGTGGTAGCAGCCATCGGTGAGCCTTTGCCTTACGAACGAATCTGGCGATTTTCAGCCTGCATCTAAACATACATAAACAGGTGCCCCGTCGGTCCTAAAATCGCAGATCCTGGCCGGGGGACGTGGTAAAGGAAAGTTCGACAGCGATGGCAAGGGTGGTGTCCGAATTGTGACGACGTGAGTCTACAGCATGGAAGAAATCAACAGTTACTCTGTCCAGTGTCTGATAAATAAATGGCCACTACCAGTCCGAAGGAGGCCTTTGTGAATGCCTCTGAAATGCTTGGCCATTACCTGACAGCCAAGCAGACGCCGCCCAACGGGCTTCTCGTGAAGAAACTCTACATCTACAAGTAGACGTTGCTCACGAGTTCTATTTTTCACTTACATTCGACCGCGAACGATACAGTCCGGTCATCCTCATGTCCGATGAGGGCAGCGTCAACATTGAATCTAATATAGACAAACTACACAAATTCTGGTTCTCCCTCTCCGAGGGCGTCACGGCTGATACCATAGCTGAAATTAAGGACAAGTTGCATTTCTCCGATGCGCAGATGAAGATGATAGAACGCATAGTCCGGCAGGTGGCAAAACTGTTCGAGGAGAGGGATGCCATCCTTTGATGCGAAGTTGAATTTCGACGATTCCGCTCGATTCCGCCAGCCGGAGGTCTTTAGCCTGGAAGAACATACCCCGGACTCAGAAGATGAGCACAAAGCGTCCCAGCGTGGCCTCTCTTATATCCGGTTGGATGTTAATATCGGGAACATCGTCAACGGCGCTGGCTTGGCCATGGCGACTAACGATCTAGTTACTCTCCATGGTGGAAAATGCGCTAACTTCCTCGGCATTGGAGGTAATGCTACGACTGAAACATTACTGACGGCGTTTGATATCTTAAACAAGGATTCCCGTGTGAAGGGCATTCTCATCAACATCTTCGGCGGTATATCTTGCTACAGAGCACAAAGTGATGAAAACAAGAGAAACATCTCTAATTCAGCACCAGGCATTGTGCGCTGTGATATGATTGCCAAATCCATCATCGAGGCGGCATCTAGATTGCGAGGGTTCAGGGTCCCGGTAGTCGTCCGGTTTCAGGGTACGAATAGCGAGGAGGCTCTAAAATTGGTACGCCACCATTACTTGGGCTTTTTGAGAGGATAGCTCTAACCCCTGGTTCATCACAGCTTGATGCGTCGGGTCTGAATGTGTATACCGAGACGGATTTCGAGGTGGCGGTGCAAAGAGTCATCGAGCTCACCCGCAGTCACCATTAATATGGTGATCAGTTTCAGTGAGCAGGGAGCATTGGGTGCTCGCCAGGGCTAATACAGAAAATAGGAAGGTCTTATCCCCGGAAGACTCTTCATGACGTCCGCTCTGGCTCTGGAATAGCCATCATTTTCAATTTTATGTTCTCTGGTGTTTTGACTTCACCCTTCTCCCTCACATAAGATTCAGACAGAAATCGATACTCGGATATGTGCATATTCATCCATTTCTAACCGTATGCCGCTTGGCTCCATGAGCTAGCTACTGATCAGCCTACAGAATCACACCTGCAAACTTCTTTGGAGACGGCTGGCTAGGAACTACGGGTCGCCGGCTCCGAACAATGACAAATCCTTGGAGAGAAAGGGGCCAGAGCGTGGGATTGCAGGTTTTGAAAGAAAAGAAAAAAAAAGGTTTTTTGGGTTCAGGGCAACAGGGACTTTGCCTGCTTGGATACTCCAACGACAGCAGGTCAACTCAAATCCTATCCTGTCTCTCCGAGTTTGGGGGGGCATTGACTGAGACTTTATCGACCTGGAGCAGAGGCAGGCGTCACTTCACATGGCAACCCGCGATGCTCCAGGTTCCGTCTGCTATACCGAGTACGCCAGGAATTGACTTTTGAAGGTCGAGTAGATGGCAATGGGACCGTCCGACAATATAAAGACTACGATACTTGCTATTGCTCGTATTCCGGAAGATAGTCCTATACCTGAACTCTGGTCGTCTGCGTCTGACGATGAACTATAACGCGTGGGTAATAGAGGAAAAATCCAGTAAGATATACGATGTCATGATGCTTGTAAACGTCAAAAACGTGGGTGGCGAGCACTGCCAGTGGTGTAGACCTTTCCAGCTTAATCTATTGGAAGGATAGTCATTCCGTTTGCAGAAGAGACTTGGAGAAGGTGAGTTGGGACGTTGGGATCAAGGAATGCATAAAGGTAAATGGTAAGGTTTGACCAAAGACTGTACATCCATCCCGTGCTGAGCACCACCTGTGCAGCGGCAGACTTGGAGAAGATGCATGATACATCACGAATATAATGCTTTAACAATGTCATTCTACTGTTTTTCTATGTTCGGAGATGTTTTCTATGCTTACTATGAGTTATTCAAGATGGCATTGCAGTAACAGCACATTGGTGGAGACCTGCTGATACCAGAAACCCTAATAAAGGCCAGGGGATTCCCACTCGACAGCGGCCTCGACAGCGGCAGACATGATAGACAAAATCAAGCTGGGGCCCTTCACATGAATTTAGCAAGTCACTATAAGCTCTGCTGCATAATGCAGGACGTCCACTGGGAATCCAGTGAGTGTACGTTGTGCTAGGGGCCTCAACGCCTCGACTTGCTCTAGGAGAAGGGGCCATGAGGTCATCCAGATAACGCCCTACGGGGGATACTGCTGGTAGATGTCCTCAATTGCTTCCTCTCTGACTGAATATAGCCAACGGATAGATGGTCTTTCCAGATGCGGTTTTATCTTCTTGCATTGTGCGTAATCAATACCCCGACAGACAAAAATACGTCCGGACGCGTTCTAACACCATCCAGCATATTCACCTTCTTCGCCGTCCTACTCGAATCCGTCTCCCTCTGGGCCTACCGCCGCGGACAAGGCAACAACAGATCCTCAGCAACTGCTCCCCTGCGTGGAAACGGGAGACGTGCTGCATCGCCCGTAAGAGAGAATGGGGGACCAACCTACCCTTCTTCACGCCCACTCCACCACCATCATGACGTGGAGAAAATGCAAGAAAGCGAAGGCCAGCCGAGCCGGCCAACACACTTCACTGAGCATACATCTGCTGGTACTACCGGGGGGGCGTCTACGGCTCCCTCGCAGCCTGTATATGCTGCTCCTATGCAGCCTGGGTAGGGTGCGGAGAACTACTAGTACTCAATCGGTTCGAAAAGCGTCGTCCCTAGCCACCCTACAGTCCTAAGGTTGACTATTTTCTGGGGGGTCTACGTCTAATGTCTATTCGAAAAGTCCGGTAATCAGGAGGGAGTAACACGTGCGGAAATATCCCTTTTTTTGGTGCTTTCTGTGGATTTTGTTCTCTCGTCCTTCTTTCCTGCAAGAAAATCTACCTGTACTAATCGTTAATATTCCTGGCCATACTGACAAGTACTGGAGGAGTAATGGTAATCGGTCCCTAGTCATAATGCAAGCTTAGCTTAGCTTTTCGATATCATTAATTCATCCACTTAAAACAGCACGGCAATCCTGATTCACCTATCCTGCAAACTTCACAGTAATCGGGATTTTGTGTGGTAGACTCTAGACAGGAACTCTCGGCCGGAACAGCGTTACTTTTAGTTCTCATCATCATGCGAAGGCCGGCCCTAACAAAATTGACAGAAATGTATCCGGTGTATTCAATATGGAGAATTGGTAATAATCTCGAACTGTCTAGTCTATCTATAGCGTAACATGGTCATCCGACACCCAGGAAGCCCTAAATCTATAGAATGGTCGTTATCCATGGAAGTATTTATTGGCAGTGACGCACGCAACCCCAGGTTTCGCTTTCAAGATCGAAGTGTAAGTTTCCCCTTCGACCAAGAGGTTGGAAGGGAGAAACAGGCATGGCGCAGGTGTCTTTCAGATCAAGGAAATAGGCTGCCAGGCACCTCATCGAAGAGAATGTTATGCCATGAAGATTTCTCTGTGAGGGATTGTTGTTACCCAATGGGCATTTGCAAGGCAGACGGAGCCTCGCCTCCGTTGCCGCAGTCTGCCACAAAGTAGCCAATCTATTGGCAAATTGACGGCCATAGTCTGATTGATTCGTTCGAAATCTTTGTCATTTCAGTCGTGGAAACGTTGATTCTTGTAGCCTCGCCTGTTCACGGATGCGGATCTTCAGGCAATTCTCATCTCAGGATAGCATCACGACTCGCTCTTCTCATCCTTAACAGTTGCGGATCTGTCATCCCGTTTTCTCATATGCCCTTGCATCCAGCAGCGGTACATTTTCAGCTTCATCTGTCGATTAACCACCAAGCGGCGATCGATGCCCAGATTAAGGATCTCAAAGACACCATCGGTGTCTTTTTCGGCGGCTGTAAGCTTAGCAGATTCCTCGCCATTGTTTGCTCCCGTCTCTTTGCTTTCAAACTGCAAACCCTTCTCCGGCGTCCACTTGCTCCACATGTGAACGAGTTCATCCCTATCAAAAAAGTACACCCGCGTCCCGTCGCCTCGAACGTAGAAGTTTTCATCCAAGTATCTGCCCTTCTTGAATCGCACCTGAGCAAGGTCTCCCCTGCCATAATCACGGAACAGAACCCGGCCCCCCGGTTTCAAGACGCGGTAGACGTTGTGCAAAGCTTGGTTCCATTGACTAGGCGCGAGGGCGGAGAAGATAAAAATAAGGATGACGACGTCCACCGAGCCCTCAGTGAGACCTGGTGGAAGAGAGCCATCACCCTCAGCAGTGACATCCCATACGTCCGCCACAATGTGCTCGGGGTTGTAGTGCTCGCTTTCGCGCATAACATTAACAGCAACCTTGGAAAAGTCACACGCGTGAATCATCAGTTGGTCGTTCTCATTATTCACCAGCAACGGAAAGGCCGTATTGCCCGCTCCGGCGCCCACTTCGAGAACAACCTTCTTCCCCGCATCCTTCTGAGTTACCTCTTCCAAAATGGGGAACTCCTGGCGCAGCCACTTGCGGTCCTTGAAGAAATTAGCCGTGTTGTTCTTGTAGAATAAGTTCCACCATTTGGCCGGGTCGGAGTTGAAGCGGTGTTTGTCGAAATCCGAGACGGGTGCTTCGCGCTGCTTTGCGTACTGGAGTTCGGCGTAGTTCTTGTATTCCTCATCGGGTTCTACATGGTCCCAGGCATTAAACTCAAAGACGTCGTCGCCTTGCTCGAGGTAACGGGAGCCGAATTGGAAAGGGTCGCTGCGTTTGAGGTTGTTGGAAGGATCGTGCGAGCGGTGCGGGGGGATCTGGGGTGGTTCAACTAGCTGTGCGACAGCAGCAATGTCGGCGGTGGAAGTGAGTGGAACCGGCGACATGATGTACGGACTAGGCGAAGGAGGGCGAGGAGCGAAAAAAGGAAAGACAGAATCTGGGATGCTGAGGAGAGGAAGATGCTGGCAATTATTGAAGAACGAGAAAATTATGCGCCGGAAAATTGTGTATGCCTCAGGCTGTGATAATTTACGCCTGAGGCATCAATACCGGTAAGCAAATTACGTCAGCCCTTATCTTAGTGGTATGATGGCCAGCCAATGAGACACTGGTGCGGCAATTGCGGATGCCTGAAAGGGATCCTTGGAGGCTGAGTCGGCTCTATCACTTATCACTTTCGCATCTCATCCTCGCTCTTCTCCCCATCTCCCTCCTCCTCTTTCTCTCTTTCCCCTCCTCGCTCTCATTTCTCCATCCTGCGGCCTCAGTCTGCTCCCCGTGAACATTTTAGACCCCAGACAATGACCCTGTGAGACCATCTGGAGCTGACAAGTCATTCTTGTCTCTCGGGAGCCAGCACCCGCCAAACTGGTGTCAATTCCTGTATAAAGCTTCGTCTGTATCGTCTACTACTCAATTTACTATTTCTTTCCGACATATCTCTTGTTCCATATCTCTCGTGTACATGCATACTCAAAAAGCTACCAATCATGCTGTCCATAATATCCTGCATCTGTCTCCGCAGCCATTGCTCTCCTAGCGAGAGTTCATCCCGCAATAGCTCTCAAGCGCAATATATCCCAGGCAATCCGAGTCACAATCGATCGTCTCATCCAGAGGATAGCACTCATGACGACGGTTATGGATCTGAGGAGGGCTACACCAGCATCGTCCCGCTTCCCCGCTACACCCCGCGTCCCGTAAGCGTGAACGAAAAGACTCTGGAAGCTCATATGCGCGACCCTCCTATATCGTCTGAGACATATGCGAGAGATGAGAAGAATCTAGATCTGGCTTCAGACGAAGTGACTTCCGATGTCTCATCGGCCATTTCATTCCCCAGCAGCTACGGCAACACTTCAACGGCCACTCGAGAGACTCCTCCACCACCATATTCACCCGGTCCATCACCGCCAGTTTCACGGCGGATGTCGCTTTCGGAGTCCCCAATGATTGCTCCGCCACCATCTGCTCATATTTCCCATCCTCCGCCTACTTTCTATCCATTTGACTTGTCTTCTCATGACCCTATTCCAAGGAGATTCAGCTCCGGCCACGGTGCACGGCGCTTCTCTTGGGAAAGCCAGTAAATAGGGCTCTCTTCCATCCTATATTTCTCAGTAATCTCCTTGATGGTCATCTCCAAGTCCCTACATAGGACTATTTAGGCATGATGTTACGCATTTATCTTCATGGTTCCCTTCTTTGGTTATGGAGGCTGTGGTTGGCTTTATTCCAGTATCTTCTTTAATATGGCAGGTTTTACCGCCTCTGTTTTTCTTTCAGAAGGATCTAGCATTTTACCCACCTCATCTGAATAATAATGCATTCTATACACTGTTATTTAGCACGGGCATACTTCACTGGTCTGTAGGTGTTCTGGGTAGTGCTCAGTACTTGAAGTATGAGTCGGCTCCTGGATAATCGACATGCATTGCAGTAGTATTATACATCAGGGTACAGCAAGGTCGACTCATTCCATCCTCGTAACGTTCTCTCTTCATGATCCTCTTTGGAGAGAGACATCAACCGATCTTCGCATTGGAAAAGTCCATTTCTGTGGGAAGTCAGTCATCACCCAACAGCCAGCGTGCGTGAACACGGGAGATAAAAATTACCAGGATGATCCGCCTGAAACTTTTTAAGAATATCCATCTTCTTCTGCTCATCACTTGTCAACCCACCCATCTCCTTCTGTCGCTGATCATACATCATCTTCTCGACCATCGCCCTCGTCTCACCGTCCAAATCGCTCAAATTAGACGACTCCGGCGTGATCTTGGATACGTCGATCTTTGGCGCTGTCGTCACAACGTGTGCCCACCATTCCATCTTGTTAACCTTGTCGAGATGTAGGGAGATTTCCTTGCCGGGGGGTTTGGTTGTTGTTTCGAGGGTCCAGCTGGATTCGTCGAGGAGGATGGGGTGGGGGAACTCGCCCTTCATTCAATTATTTGTTTAGCTTGTGCTCTTTATTTCTCTTTCTCTCTCTCTGTATGTGTGTGTGTGTGTGTGTCTGTGGGTGTGGGTGTATACCTCAATAATAGCTTCCTGCCCTTTAATAGCCACCCGTACACTCCCCTTCTTCAACGACACATCCAGGTCCCTCCCCCGGATATTCGCAGGGACAGGGATCGTAACGTCCACGTCGCGGATCGTCTGGGTCCATTTATAGGGGAGCTGGGCTTGTTCTGCGTCTTCCTTGGCTTTGCGCTGTTTCTCTTCGAGGTCACGGTCTGCGAGGTCTTTGGGGGTGGGGTCTTGTTCGGACATTTTCGATGCTGCTATGGATAGAGTTGCGCTCGAGAGTTACAGAGGGATTCGAGTACGCGTGAAGTGAGGATATGGAGAAGGAGACTGGTTTTGAATTGTGGGAAGAACAAAGAGCAGTTCGAGACTGTTCGAGGGGCAAAATGATGCTCTCGTAGCTTCTGCGGGGCCGCGGTCTTATTTTCAACTGCCGACTATGACTAGTTATCTTGTTTATATAGAATATAGAATGAACAGTGTATCCAAAACGAAGGAACTTTTATCTTTAGAATATTTCATTTCATCATCCCAAGTCATTGTATGTGAAAACAGATCTCTCTACCCAGAAAAGTTCAGGCGTTTCATTTTTCTGCTCCTTCGGTGTTTTCCCTGGACTCCGGCTCTGGTGGTCATCTCTGCAGACGTTAAATAAAGTGCTAGGCCCGCGTAGTTAGATCGTTTTCTCAACAAGAATGTTTGGTGTTAAGTTATTCGCTCAAGGTCTTCGCATCTGCAGTGGCATTGCCTTAAGTATTGGCTAAGCTACGGTCTCATGTTGCTTTTATCTTTCTGTCTTTCTCATTCTCTTCTCTTCTCCCTGCAGCTTCTCAAAAAGTACATATGTACGGCCGAGCACAGATTCATATGAAATATCAATTAAAAACCAATTAATTCAATTTGTCGCAGTACACTAGCTGAGATCTGGCAAGCAGAAACCCGCTAATTAGATACATCCATACATTGATCTCAACGCCAGCGCATGCTAGATCAGAAAAGTATTATCCCCTCCTGTTAGAACACCCTATTCTTTTTTTGTAATACCGACATGGTACGTCAAACAATGATGAAAATGTCCGCATTAAACGCCGCTATTTCTCCGGGAATGGATTAAGGCATATAGATAGGCATACGAAGCACGAGCTCCAGCCCTGTAATTAGTAAGGGGGACCCGTTATATTCCATGAGTTTCTTCGTCCGAACCATCAAAGGTCGGAGAGTCGTCCTCGACACCAGGTCGATTGGCGAACGGCTCGTCATCCGCGCCAGTTGCTTCGACATCTTCAATCTCCTCGGCAACTCCAGTGCCGATAGAATCGAAGAAGTTGGCGGAGAATTCCTCGTCCAGATCCATCATCTCCGCATTCTGATCTTCATATTGCTGCTGTCCAAACGTCTCTTCCGAATACCGACCATAGAGACAGGTGAAGAACTGCTGAGCGAACCCTGCCATTTCATCTGCCATCCTCCGCTCGATGATCCCCTGCAGAGCGTCTCTGTCCTTTTTCCATTGTATCCTGCGTCTTTCTCTCTCTTCTTCTTCGAGTTTCCGGCACATACCGTCGTTCTCGCGAACTTTCCGGCAGTTTGGGCAACGGTAATTGGTCTCGCAGAATGAGCACCGGCAGGGGGGATTCGCATTGACGCAATCCTGGCAGACGTAGACAGAGCATGTTGTGCACTCGCGGAGGACACTGTTGCACCGCTGTCGCTGGTCGCCAACTGCACGATATTGGGGACAGAAGAAGGACTGGCACCCTTGCCATTTAGCTTCTTCCAAAGACGATTCAAATTCTATAGATGAAGGTGATGATGAACGTGAATGAATGGACTTAGTCGCCGAGAAACTCCGCGAAGCACGACTAGTACGAGGAAGAGCAGGTTCTAGTGGATCTTGCAAGACTGCGCTGTCGAAGTTGATTAAGCCGTCTACGGGATTTCCATCGCTGAGGCTGCTGCCAGTAGAATCAGGCACCCTCGGCGGGCGGAACGGTGGCCAAACCCTGGAAGCTGGGTTCAGAGTCCCTAGAGAATTATTAGAGCCCTGTGAACTAGCTCCAGCGCGGCTCTGGATCGCTAGCCTTTCCAGGGCAAGGTCCCGGTATCCGCATATCCGTAGCCGGAGACCACGGAGATCATGTTCGATACACAAAGGCTTGGAACAGCATTTACAGTGAACCTTCCATTGCGGGGAATCATAGCACTCCTGACATAAATTCCGCGGACAGGCAGAAACTTGCCGGCTAGGCGATCCTAATAGCCACTTCATCATGGTAAGGTGCCCTGTCTCCAGGGAGTAATCTGGGTTGTTCGGGTTGCCGTAAGCATCTTTAGGAAACGTTCTGCTCCACTCATTGACCGAATATTCTGTGTCCTCCCAGCCTTGTCCCTTGGGTAAAGGAACAGCCCTCACCACGTCCACATCTCGACCTGGAGATCCGATGCTGATTCCACCTCCCCCCGAAAATATGGGTTCGGTACAACACCAGTGGAATTTGATAGCAGGGTAGGTGTTGAATGGGGCATTGTTGACATTATTTTCCGTATGATCAAGGGCTAGGGGGTCGTGCATGAGACACGGGGAAATAGTAGCTCCCGGTGCCCACCACAGACTCTGCTCCGGTGCTGCTGAGGATGAAGATGATAATAATAATGAGGATTCAGAACGAAGTCGAAGTCGTGGGTAGGGTCTTTCATAAGCGCAGCTTGCACAGAGAGTCTTCCGACACCCAACGCAATGCATCAAAATACTGCATTGTTCACACCTCTCTGCAATTGTCTCGCAGCAGTTGTCACAGCGGATATTCTCAACAAATTGCCTATGGCTCTGACGCAGGTGAGCAGGCTTCATCTTGCCCTCACCAAAGTCTCCCCCATGCCCTGTCCCTAGCGGCTCCCCATAGCACCCAGTCTCCTCGTGTTCCCACAGTTTCCCATCTCTCCTCGGAGGCCGACCCGTCTGCTCTACCGGGCCGATCCAATTCTTTGACCGCCACAGTCTATCAAAGACAACCCAGACCTCCGGAGATCCTTGTGGAACCCTCATAGAAACATATCCCCTTCTTCTCAAACATCTACCTGCCGGAGTCGTACACCAAGCCGTATCCGTCCAGATCCCCAGTTTATGACACAGGTTCACCAGCTCATGCGTCGGTTCCGAGTCTGAATCCTTTCGCGTCAGGGATGAAGAGAGATAAGGTCGCCGTCTATGATGACGGCACCGATACGTATAGAGACTCTTCAATGCCAGTCGTTTCGTAGCCGGCGAGCTGCCGATGTTTCTCGCCATATCCACATCGTACTGCAAACCAAACATTGTGAGATAGGGAACAATGTGATATTTCAACGAAACATTCTTGCACCCGCGCACAGAGAGATGCTCCAAAGTCTCCCTTCGTGAATGCAACACGATTGAAATGAGAATCTGCCCGGATACCGCCGTGTTATCCAATTCCAACATCGTCAAACAAGGACTAAACGGCACCAGCACGTTCATCAGCAACTGGTCAAGGGCATACGGTTGGGAACGACGCGGATTCGCAGGATCAGCTGTCAACGAGCCTGGGATGACGACGTGAGCTCCTCCTGGAGGCTGGGTTCCGGAGGGATAGAACAAGCGGAAGGAAAGATACTTCCATGCTGTCGGGTACGAACTGAGAAAGTTCCGGAGGTAGGACGAGGTCTGATAGAGCTTAAGAATAGTATCTGTAGGAATGAGGAGTAGGAGTGACTCTAGAACCGGCGCGTGCGTGGTAAAGACTCGTTCGAAGGTCGACAGCGGCCGCACGGCCGGAATCACCGATTTCTGTAACGAAGGCTCAACCGTTGGTTTTTCTTGCAGGTACTGTTGCACCAGTGACTCTGATCGGACCGCCAGATTCCCATCTATTCCCGATGATAGAGCCATGATTTATGCTCGGCATGAGGGCGCTCTCAAAGTGAGGGACGAGGTATTAATGCGATGTCGAATGCGGAACGCATGCTAAGAGGGACGGCGGAAGGAGGTGTGAAATTAAATATTCCTTTTCGGTTCAAGAACAACATGCCATCGAAAAAGAGAAAGAAAGAAGACAGATAAGGATACGAATTGGCCCAAGCAGACTGCTGGCGTTGCCAACTCACGGTCTGGTTCTTAGGCGACAAACTGAACTGAGCAGAGTCAAGGCGTCATGTGATAGGTTGCCCTGCTCAACTCTTTCGATTACGCGATGTTGATCAAACACTTTTTCTCGCTGAACTCTTAGTATACTGTACAGATTACAGCTCGATCACATTCAAGCATGGCATACAAACCATCGTGGATGCATCGTTCTATTCTAGTCGATAGTACACTTTACTCAATGCCTCTCTGCTGAATCCCCAACCGTATACCCTCTCGCAATACCTTTGCGCCCTTCGACAACCAGAGTGCTATTCCTCTCGTCCTCTTCTTCATCGTTCTGGTGGTCAAAGTCGCTCCCTAAACCCTTCCACGTTCGCTGTGACCGCAGGAATTCTGCGCCTGGAGAAAACGCACCCCCGACAACAGCCAGATCGCCCTTAGCCCGCTTCGTCAAAGCTTTGGTGGCAGAGAACGACGGTGCGTCCACCTGACGTGCACTGCCGGGTGCAGTATCCCACATGGGACGGGAATAGGACACGTATCTGCCGGTACGCAGGTCAAATTCGGGAGGCGCAGATTCAGGTTCTGACATGTCCTCTTCCTCGTCACGCACCGTGGCACCGTTCGATGGGGCCCCTTCTTTCGTATCACTATTCTCTGCCGCGGATTCTTGGGCATTGTTATTACGATCGAGAACCGCCTGGAAGTCGCTTTGCCAAACGCCCGTCCAGACACGCTCCGCATCACCCTTTAAGGCAAGCTCCAGCTCAAATGGGGTAATCACGGGCTTCCAGAAATCTTTGCTATCGACTAGAGAGCTTTCCCAGCAACCGATGACCACCCAACCGCCGATTTCGCTAAAATTTGCGACTTTTGCGGCATTCAGCTTCCCCACAACAAACATATAGCTCTTCTTCCCTGCCGCAGCGATCTGTTCCTTCACATGGTCCACGATGTGCAGGTAATTTTTCACGCTAAGAGTATTGATCAAGATACCAAAGATAGGAACGGTGCTGAGGGAAGTCAATATGGCATATCGTCGGCGCAGGGCAGCCGCGGTGGTTGCAGGCAGCGGCTTCGCACTGCTGCTGGTATTTCCATCCGTCGGGTAGATATGAATAGCAGCCACGCGGGAAGCAAGAGTGAGGAGCAGTGCAGTAGGAGGATCGGAGATATGAAAGAGTTGCCACTCTGACAGTGAGTCCCGGTCATCTTGCACCGGCTTAGGCACTGTTCTGTTCGGAATGGGAGAGGACGGGTCATGAACGAGATCCGCTGCAAAGAGATTCGTGTAACCCTCCTCCGCCAGACGTGAGTATACACCGGACAGATGGTCGCAGTAAGTCACATCAGCCGTGATGACCACCTTCGTGGAGAGGTCTGGGTAGGTAGCCTTAAAGGCATCAATTACAGGCTCTAAAGGCAAGGTCTTATGCGTAAAGACATAGATGACCGGTAGCCTCGCTGTCGGGGACAGACATGACCGTCCATAATGGACCACCACGTCTGCGTTGACGTGCTCCGCGGCCACTTCGTCCACGCAACAAGTCCCATACGAAGTATCCCCCAATATATACAGCTTCGGTGCCTGCTCCTCAGAACAATCTTCAATGCTCAGCTGGTCCACTGATTGTGATAGGCCGTCCGCTCGGGTATCGTTGGTAGAATCGCTTTTCCTGCCGTTTGTAGCAATCTCGGTCTTGTCAAGACCCCGACTAAGTAATTGGAACACACGGGGTGCATCAGGGAGCATGTCATCAGGAAACTGGAGAGCAATACGCTTGTACCGTGCCTGGCGAATCTCCTTTAATGTGCGCTCGATGTCGTAGGTGATGGAGAGCTCCTCGTCGGAAACGGCATTGCTGGTACGCTTTGGTGCGACTGGATCGGTAGCTTCGAGAATGCGAGCATCCGGCGTTGACAATACCGGTGCTGCCTGCATTTCTGTAGCCATGGCTGATGCTGGTAGAAGAGAGTGCTGCTCGCGACTGGTAAGGTGGGATGCAGTTGTCGACTTTTCGGTGGATTTTTCGGCGTTGAAGAAAATATTCTCCCCGCCCCCGCCATGGATTACAGAGCCAATTGCATTACTGGTGATTAACCACTACATAAAGTACATATCCCTTCACAGAAGATACACTCCCTTCCTAGGGTTCATCGTATTTTCTTATATCGCGTAAAAGTGAAATTACCTACAAATCTGCCCTTGCAAGTTCCCCGGCCCAGACCCTCCGAATTAACTCCCGGATAGGTGCCCTCTCAATCGGTCTCGGGTTCCAGTAGGGGTTGCTAACGGCAATATCGGCGGCCTTGTCAATGTCTTCCTCCTTCATACCAAAATCCTTCAACCCCCGCTTGACCTTAAGCTTCGTCAACAGGACATTCAAACCATGTATGCCGTCTCCGTTGCTCTCAGGGAGAACATCTGCTAGCTTTTTCATGGCCTCCGGGATTTTAGGTACATTGTAGGAAATGGCGTGGGGAAGAACAGCAGTGTGCGTTTCCGCATGAGGTAGATTGAAGCTGCCACCAAGAGTATGACAGAGTTTGTGGTGGATGGACATGCCCACGCTACCCAGACAGGTTCCGCACAACCAGGCTCCGTAGAGAGCATTGGAACGTGCAGATTTGGAAGCAGGATTCTCGACAATCTCTGGCAGTGAAGATGCCAAAGTGCGGATGCCTTCTACAGCCATCATATTGATTATGGGGTTTGTATTGCGCGCATAAAGTGCTTCCACTGTTATGTATTAGCTCGCAGTGTCTCGTTTATCTGTAGTCTATTGGACCGGTAGATGATAACTAACCAGCATGAGCAATCGCGTTCACACCACTTGTCGCACTCATCCCCGCAGGTAAAGTCATCGTCAGATCCACATCGTAGATAACTGTGCCTGGAAGGATCTTGGGATCAGAACGCGTCTTTTTCAAGCCATCAGCCGTCTCCCCAAGAATGGGTGTCATCTCGCTCCCTGCGTATGTCGTTGGGATGCAGATATGGGGCAGTCCAGTACGAATGCTGATGGCCTTTCCCAGACCGATCGTGCTGCCTCCCCCGATAGAAATGACGGAGTCCGCTTTCTGGGCTTCCGCATAGGCAAGAGCCTTCTCCGTGACATGTGTAGGCGTATGCATAGTAGCCTCGGTGAAGAGGCCTGCAACCTTGCCCTCAAGCACGGCCTTGACTTTCTCTGCTTGTTCAACTTGCTGTAGCGTCGAGAGAACCAATGGAGATTCCAAGCCGAGTCTGGAAATCTCATCAGGCAGTTTCCGAAGGGTACCACTGCCGAAGACAACTCGTCCCGGGTTGGCGTTGTATTCGAATGCATCCATGGCGTAGACTGTTTTGCTGGGAAGTATTAACTCGCGCTACTATCAGGAAGCTTTTGAGGATGACATGTTGAAAAACGAAGATGGCTTCTGGAGGATTCGAGACATGGTTATAAATCATGGCAGGCCAAGGGATGCCGAATGGGCTCGGGGAATGCGTCCAGAATCCCCGCAACCTATGGGGGGATTTCCGTTCGTAGTAGGGGGGCAAGACCTTCGGCATTTTACCTGCTCTTGCCAACCATCACGATTGTCGGTTCCCTGGCCATGAGAGTATCCGAGGCACAGTGAGCGATCCCTTGTCGTGCCGTCGAGCTGTTAAAGCAGGGATATGCAGATGAAGAGCACCATAACCATGGCCGGGGAAACCAAAGTCATGTGATTATAAGCGCCCAGGACTTAGGGCAAACGAGTAGGGCATGGTGATCGTCGATCCAGTTATTGAGGCAATGATGAGAAACAAGACAAGGCATCAACACTAAAAGTACAAGAGAAATATCCTGTTAGATATTTTGGATGTTTAGAGTCTTCCGTAACTGGACAAAGAGTCCCTCAAGTGGAGGAGACCTGGACTTTTGGTTCTTAGTCCTGCCGATCAGCGTCCTGACAATGCCGGTTTCCTGCAACTCCAAACCATGGCATGACTTTTTAGATACAGATGACGATAATCGAATAGCACGCTTTGCTTCTTCCTGTTCCATCAATCTAAATCATGAAAAGCCATGACATGCTGCCCCCCACTCCGATCTTTGCCCTTAGCCCTCTTCCGCTTCTTTCGCTTCTGCGCATTTTGCTTGTCTTCACGGTCACTGTCATCGGAATCGTTGTCATCGCTATCATCGTCGCTATCGCTGCCAAGATCGCGCTTCCCATTGGCAGCAGACTCCTCACCATCCCTCTCGGCCTCACGCCAGACCTTAACGACCTGGCCTCCACCACTAACCATGCGTCCCTCGACGTCGAATCCCAAGCCCACAACGCCCTCCGTCTCATCATGACTGACACTTGAAACGACCTTGTTCGGGCCGATCTTGACAAATTTCACTCCACCATTCCCGAGGCCCACAGCAACCATCTTCCCCATACCCAGCTCGTCCGGAACGACTGTGAGAGTCTCTAGGGACTCCCCGCCACCGGATTCGCGGTGAACATAAACTCGCTCATCTTGGTCATCCCATGCACCTTTTTCCCATAGTGTCAGAACGCCAGAAGCTCCACCAATGACCACCTTCTCGCCCCGGCTTGTACCGCTAGATGGCAGGCCACCGATGTAGACGGAACTGAGCAATTCCTCCTCTTGGTCTTCACTCTGTACGAGAACTCCTCTTCGTAAATCTGTCACGGCCAACGTGGTTCCACCTGTTGTAACCCATTGCTTGCTGAACCCCGACGTGCTACTGTCAGAAGGCGGCAAAGGTGTCAGAGAGGAAATATAATCATCGTGAGGGTGGTACGTCTGTTGTGGTCGGGCCGAAACACTTGAGAACGGGATGCGAAGATCATAGAGGTGCAATGCACTTGAATCGGTAGCTAGGAGAAGAGTCTGAGGAGAGAGAGCATGAACAACAGTAGGTGCATCGATGGAGCTGAAGATACCAAAACGACGGTCAGTCAGTCACTGATTGGTAAACCACGAATGCAAGACGGAAACTTTTCTACAAGTATACCATCAATGATTACTCTCCATGCAAGACTCACCCATCCTTGGCTGGTGGAATGGCAATTTTATTTTCAACAACGCCCGTCTCTGCCCTGGCCGCCTTGACCAATCCATCCGTGCCAGCTGAATACAGCATCTGCCCGTCCATCCCAAACCCCAAGCACCGGCAGCTACCCTTATGCCGCTTTGTCCTCCACATGGTATCAATCAGACCTGTGCCATTGCGCGACGAGGAAGTAGAGACTTCGTCATCGTCACTGCTAGCTCCCTCGGAGGGAAGCCGAAAGGTCTGGACGTGGCCAGTCGAGAGTCCAACAGAGACAATCGGCTCATTGGGGTGAATCGCCTGTGTGAACAGGTCGGCGGAGAGGGGGAACGTGCAGACGGTGTCAAACATGATGCAGAAAACTATCGATTGAAGCTCTCAGCTTCATTTTCGTCCTTCGCACCGCTGCTTTTTCTGAGTCTCGACTTTTTTGGCCAAGGGAAGATACACGGGCCGACGGATCTTCCGGTCTTTTGTTGGATCACGTGGGATTCTGCCGCATAGGTCCGCCCTCGCTGACCCTTTTCACCACGTAGGCCTATCTAGCTAGTAACCAACCAACGAGACACCTCCATTATCTTTTGAGGGAGATCACGTGGTATTTGTTTTCGGTTAGCGCCATGTTTTCCGAGGTTCAGAGCAATTCTTAATATTGAATACAGACAGCATTGCATTCTTATTATTATGTCCTGGCTCTCTTTGCACAGGACAGTTCAATCATCATAACTATCATGGACATGAAATTATGAAAGTCGTGCCAGGACATTGACCTGCAATCTCAACACCAGCATTAACCTATCCACCCGAGACCGAGGTATCGCTGATGGAATAACCTTACCCCGCCAGCTCCGCTCATAGTTATCGCTCCCAACATCGTCGGAGCAGCCTCCATCTCCATATTATCTACTCAATTGATAAAATAGAACATCCATAGAACCATAGAAGGGGGGGAACGATAGAACCAGTCGGTTGACAAAATTGACCATGGCTTGGTTTAACCGGACGATAGACTTTCTCTCGGATACCTTTAAGAGCCAGCAAAACCACCTTCCGCTCCTTGCGGCGGCTGGGGCTTCGTTCACTCTAGGCTTCGTTCTACATTCAACAATCAGCAAAGGACCTCTCGAACCAGATGTCTTACGTGCCCCACGGAAAGCAACTGTGTCAGACAAGCAGGGCCATGGACATCCGCTGCCCAGTGACGTACTTCCCGGTGCCAGAGACGTGGCTACGCCCTACGGTTCCATCAGAGTGTACGAATGGGGCCCAGAGGACGGGCCGAAAATTCTCTTCGTCCATGGGATCACCACTCCCTGTATTTCGCTTGGTGGATTGGCCCATGCGTTAGTCGATCGAGGATTTCGTGTGATGTTGTTTGATCTGTATGTGGTCGAATTTCCCCAAGGGCATGCCATTTAGACACACGCACCTAACATTTGCTTAATATCAGCTTTGGGAGAGGCTATTCTGATGCTCCATCCGATCTCCCTCAAGATGATCGGCTTTTTGCTACCCAGATTCTCCTTGCCCTGGCCTCATCTCCCATTTCATGGACCGGGGCTGGTTCCGGTAAATTCAGTCTTGCGGGTTACTCTTTAGGGGGTGGCATTGTAGCAGCATTCGCTTCCTACTTTCCGCAACTTATCACGTCGCTGTTTCTCCTTGGACCATCGGGTATGATTCGGGATAGCCACATCAGTTTTCAGTCGCGATTCCTTTACTCTCACGGTCTTGTCCCTGAGAGCATCCTGACGGTGCTCGTTCGTCGCCGTCTCTCAGCTGGGCCGTTAGTTACACCCAAGGACAAGTCAGACCAAAAGTTCAGTGCTGAAGACGCTGTCACTGAGGAATTTACCGCGCAGGAGAGTACCCAGGTATTATCTCGGGCCTATCCTCGTATTTCACTCGCAGACGCGGTAAACTGGCAAGTGGGAACGCACGTTGGCTTCGTCCATTCCTTCATGTCCAGTATGCGGTTCGGGCCTATTTTGCAGCAGAGACAGTTCGAGACGTGGAATCGCCTTGGAAAATTCCTTGCAAGCCAACATGGCGTTTGGACAGGTGAGAGAGAAAAAGGCCTTACCGGTGATAAAGTATTCATTATCACTGGAGTCAGCGACCCCATCATTGTCAAGGATGAGCTTATCGAGGATGCCACTGCTGCTCTTGAGGGAAATGTCCAGTTCAAGTTCCTCGATGCAGGACATGAGTTTCCGAGTACAAAATATGATGAGGTCGCGCAGTTCATTGAGGAGAAGGTTTGTCAGTAATGACCTAAAGTTATCACATATGTACTTGATTTTCTAGATGCATTGAAGGCCTTCCCTTTCCATTTTAGCGATCACCCCTTGCTGCCGATCTGCTCACTGAGCATAGGGTGAGTAGAATGTGAGTAACCTGAGTCAACATACCTTAATAGAATACACTATACCAGGGTTTCACCTGCACCTATTTTGTCCAACAACTTGCTCATTCCATATCTGCGCATACTGAGCTGGGATAGGCACCCTATACCTGATGATTACTATGGGGGAGTACCAACGTTGCAGGCTAGAAGATACCATTGCATCTCCAGCTGCCAACCCAAATGGAGCTGTTGTATTTCTGTCCAAGAAAAAATATGGATATGCCACAGACAGAATTGAATCATAACTGCCATGAACACCCAATTTGGTGAAGGCAAGGAACTCTTCGCCTCTGCAGATGGCGAGGGAAAATGGAATCCTAGTCCCTCTACCATGTCATACATTTCTGACGGATCACTGCTCATTCAAGTAGATGAAAGGGGCCAGCGAGGGTCATGAAGTGCGGAAGCCAAAGAATGCTTTTGTTGTGGCATCGCACTGCCTTCCCGTTTTCTGCAGGGAAATCAAGGACGTAACCCTACAAAGCGCCGCCGGACGACAAACAAGACCAGGACTTCTACGGAGCAGAGCACCCCGACAGAGGTTCCAAAAGCACAGCACCTTGGACGTATTTCTAATCTGAAAAGTGAATATTTCAGTGATATCATCGTGTTGACGTCACCCAAGATGGGCCCCGCATCCCATTCTCGCTGTCTTTCTTCAGCCCTGGCTCCAAGGACGGGAGTACCATAGTTCTGTCAAAACCACCACTCTGTATCTCTCCAGCATCTCCATCTCTTGCTAGAGTTAAATCACGGTTTGTGATTCTACTCGCATTGTTTCTCACGGGGATCAAACAAAGCACAGTCAGGGCAAATATGACAGCAGGATATCGATTCCCCGTCGACTTGAAGCAGTTCAAGAAGCTCACGCTCGACCCCAAAAACCCGAAACTGTCGCCTCAGCAGAAGCAGGATCTTCTGCACAATATCAATATTTTCAGAGACGCCATCATTGCATTCACGGCGACTGGTTCCGCTCGCGGATTGGCAGGCCACACAGGTGGTCCTTTCGACACGGCCCCCGAGGTCTGTATCTTGCTTGGGCTCATAAATGGGAATCCGGGGGGGTACGTAGACGCCTTGTTCGATGAGGCTGGGCACAGAGTTGCTACGCAATATCTACTCGCCGCTTTGGATGGGAAGATTGATCCCGATCACCTCTTGAACTATCGCAATGCGGATTCGAAACTCCCCGGCCACCCCGAGCTTGGGCTGACTCCTGGAGTAAAATTCAGCTCCGGTCGCCTTGGACACATGTGGGCGATGGCCAATGGAATTTCCATGGCGAACAAGGAGAAGAACGTTCTCCTGTTGGGCTCGGATGGATCCCAGCAGGAAGGGAATGATGCCGAGGCCGCCCGTATTGCGGTTGCGAACAATTTGAAGGTCAAGCTGTTCGTCGATAATAATGATGTTACCATTGCTGGCCATCCTTCTCAGTATCTTAAGGGCTATGACCTGGAACGCACGCTTGGTGGTCATGGCCTTAAGGTCATTCGTGCCGTGGGAGAGGATCTGGATTCGTTGTATCCTGCTATTTGCGAGGTTATAAAGCATAACGGCCCTGCTGCCGTTATAGCAGACCGGAAGATGGCTGTTGGCATTGAAGAAATCGAGGGCCAGATCAAAGCCCACGACGTTATTCCGGTCGATGTTGCTCGTAAGTACCTCACCAAGCGTGGATACAGCAAGGAACAGCTGGCCTTCTACGACGAGCTCAAGACTAGCTCGAACTCGCATCAGTACGTAGGTTCGACTAAATACAAGGGCTCGAACCGTGTCATTTTCGGCGAAGCCGTGAATTCTGTGCTTGACAGTCTTAGCAAGGAGGAAGCTGCCCATCGGGTCATGGTCATTGATTCTGACCTCGAGGGCTCGACCGGTCTAAAGGAGATTCACTCCAAGCATCCAGAGGTATTTGTTCCCTCCGGCGTGATGGAGAGAGGCAACTTCTCCGCCGCGGCAGGCTTCGGATTCGGCAGCAATGGCGAGCGCCAGGGGGTCTTCTCTACCTTCTCAGCTTTCCTGGAAATGTGTATCTCTGAGATCACAATGGCCCGGTTAAACCGATGCACGGTGCTCTCCCACTTCTCCCACAGCGGCGTGGACGAGATCGCGGACAACACATGCCACTTCGGGTTGAATCACTTCTTCGCAGACAACGGCCTGATGGATGCCGAAAGCACGTCTCTGTACTTCCCCGCAGACGGAGAGCAGATGAAGGCCGTTGTTCGAAAGGTCTTCTTCGATGAAGGCATGCGCTTTATCTTCTCCACTCGCTCCAAGACCCCATATATCCTGAAGCAGGACAGCGACCAAAAGCTCTACGGTGAAGGCTACAAGTTCGTCCCTGGCCGGGAAGAATTCATACGTCGAGGCACAGCAGGCTACGTCGTCTCATACGGCGACATGCTCTACCGCTCACTTGATGCCGTTGAGCGACTCCGAAAGCAAGGCCTCGATGTCGGTCTCATTAACAAGCCGACGCTCAATGTTGTCGACGAGGACGCCATCCAGATTTACGGATCGAGTCCATTTGTCCTTGTGGTCGAATCCATTGCTCAGAAGACCGGTCTCGGTTCTCGTCTGGGGAGTCACCTTCTTGCGCGCAAGCTTACACCCAAATTCAAGACCATGGGCACTGTCAAGGAGGGCTGTGGTGGATTGTACCAGCAAATTAACGCACAGGGCCTTGGACCTGATGACATTATTTCTGCTATCAAGAATGCTGCTGGAAAATGAATCTCCCGGGTTTGCTGAGAGAGTCATTTATCCGTTAAATGTCTGCTTACTGCTTTCCGTGATTTATGATGCAAGCTCTGTAAAAAGAAACACTGTTATAATGAATGTAATGCAATTTCAGATTATTCTGCAAAATAAACATTAGCAGCAGCCGCTTCTCTCCCATGAATGAAACTTCATCCGTACCATGTATCGACAAGGCTCCAATTGAGCCGCAGGCTTCGAATTCGTAGGCCCGGCGAACATATTCCTTATAGAGGCTCCGCCTTGGAGCCATCACGAACTACCCTGGTATTGTTCAAGAACCGAATCCATAGGGCAGTGTTCACAACGGGCTGTGGATGGGTAAGGATGCAACGAGGTAGCCAATTTCCCCTCGTGCAACCACCAGGATTCATGCGGTGTAAAACGAACACAGTTTCGAGGGTAGTCGAGGGCGATTGTTTCGAGACATAGGTGAACTGATACTCGACTCCGGTACTGGCTCAATGCTCCCCATTCTTTCAAGTCGAGTCTGCTTGACCCCTCGTTCTTCCTGCGTCATCTCTTTGCCGGTTGAGGATGTGTCATCTCTTTTCGAAGTTTGCTTCCTTTCCGTTTTGAGCCGGATAGATTCGCAGTGCTGGGATCTATTTTTATTCTTCTTCCTTGCACGCGAACACGGTCGCCGTGGCTTGCTCCTCATCTTGCCCGGAATTAAGGGAAGGCTTATGGGAACACGGATGAGCAGATCCCCGTGACCACTTTACCGAAAAACATGAGGATGGTATAGACTACGCCTCGCCAAACGATTCCCTTGCGGAACATCTGGGTGATAGGAATGGAGAATCCAATCGGAGCCTACATGGTAGTCACTTGTATGGTTCAGTAAGACATAAAGCAATGAGATTGGCTTACAAAAAAATAGCGGTTTCAATATACGGTCAAGAGGCTGCTTGCAATGCAGATGAAAGACCTCCTCTCCCATTGGAGCAAGATCTGAACGCTTGTCTATTCCGTCTCGAGAAGGCAGCGTGGCTTAGTTAGTTTCTCTCCCTTCCGGTTGCTGATTATTTTCATTCTCCTGTGCAGGAGTATTACAGCTCTCATAATGGGCCTCTGCCTCGTCGATCTCACCCAGAAATTCTCCAAACCACATGCAAGCTCCGGACAGATACGCTGCGAAAAGAGAAGTATCTTCATAGGCCGTTCCGGTGATAATTCGGAATATAATGAACATGTGAGCTAGAAACGTAAATTGCACTGGCTTGATAAAAGCAGGCATGTAAGTCATGCTTGTTCTAAGCCTTCGTGCTGCCACAACAGACAGGCAAAAGAGCAAAAGGCCCACCGCGAACCCAATGGCCACAAATATGGGTTTAATTACTGTCAGTGCTTTGAGTAATCCTCCAGAGCCTCCCAGGTTAGAGATAACTTGGACCATCACCAAGCCTGCGACATCGTCCATCATCGCTGGGCCACTTAGAACAACTCCAAGCCGTGCTTTGACCAATCCAGTGGTCAAAAAGATCGTAAATGTCGTTGCAATACTGGTCGAGCAAAGGGATGCACCTGCAGCAAATGCCTGTAGGAGAGTTGCAGACGCGATCCTCGTCGGTGTAAACGACAGTCCCATGGGAACCCCAACCCCTGTCAAGGCGACAACAGCTGAGAGCAGGATCTTGGCCTTCAATTGGGAGAATGATGTCGATAGACCACCTTGAAAAGGATGTTAGTCATTTTACAATTAAATCCTTCATATATTCTTTCTCCCGCGGGCAAAAACTTACCTTCGTAGACAAGGAGAATCAGTCCCAGGTATCCAAGTTGCTGGATCGTTTTCTGGACACCAGTACCCAGCCAGTTTGCTCCGTGTTTTCTCCAGGGCTTTCCAATAAAAATCTACCCGATCAGTCTGCAATAGATCAGCTTGTCCAATACAGAGTTGGCCATATTGAGAATGAGGAGAATCCGTCTTCGATCAGCACTGTTGTTATTCCAGGCTCCTCGTAAGTCAATGCTCCTTGAGTGCTTGACATAATCTCTTATCCAGGGTGTCATTGACCCCTTCACCCACCCATTATATATAGAGAGTATGGAGTGGATGCAAAGAACAACGATGGTTGTCTGTGACGATGATGGGCAAAAACGATCAGCCCGATAAGATAGGTATCACGTGCCTCACATGTCTTCCTGTCTGCCTCTTCTCTTCCTCTCTTCTTCTTCTGCATCCTCCGAGCAGCTCTGTTGGAAAGCCTTCAGTCATTCTTCAACATCTAGGTTATGGCAATGGTGCGATATAACTGAAAGGCCCCTCGTTCTGTATTCCAACAAGCGTCTATCAACTTAATCTGCATCTTCTACCATGGTCTTCGTTCTACCGCGGGGCAACGGTATGACATGACATAATTGCGTTGGCTATTTCTCGGTCGTATAAGCTCCTGTACTATCATTAAAAGTGTAGGTTATCCGTGTCAAGAGACATGCTTGGCGGTCCTTGTCAGCCGAGCTTTGAAACTCCCGTATAGAACTTGAATACCCATCTCCGCTAACACTGTACAGGGAACTAGATAATCGAGGGCACTGTTCAAAAGGCATACCGTCAACATGGAGAATAACGTACCATCGATGAACAGTATTCAAAAGAGCGTGTGGGAAGGCAAGCTACCTCTGGAGATAGTCCTGGCTCCATCGGAGAGCCGGGTTTATGACCAGACGGATCCCTACCTTGTACGAATCTCACCGGTTTTCCCTGTTTTGCTTCCTCTTTGCCTGCTTCAAGTTGTCATTTTTAAGAAATAACAAACGCTTATATGTTCTAGGTCTGTTTCCCACGTGTCTCTTATCTTTTCTCGTTACTCCCTAAACTCAGTGACTTTTTCTCTTCTTTCCTTATCGAGCCAACGTCTCGTCCACATGACGGATGGTTCTCCTTTGAAGGTGTGCCGTTAAAATGGCATTATCCCATTGGTCTCTTATATGACCTATATGCGGGCGCGGATCCGGCCTCTAAAACAAGCCCAGGGAGGGAGAGGGATTTCTCTCTTCTCTTACCCAAGAAACAAAAGCGAAGCGCAAATACAGACTCCGACTCTGGAAGTGAGGGGGGGGACTCTTCTTTACCCTGGCGACTGACGGTACATTTCAGCGATTGGCCGGAACAGGACCTTGTCCGTCTTGATGACCATGGCATAGTTATACATGATGCCTTTATCAACAGTGTCAAGGAAGCGGACTTTTTGCGCAATGGGACTGCAAAGGGGATTATGAGCCTTTCAAAAGAAGATTCATCCGGGCTGTGGAAGGCTGTTGAACAAGGTGAGCATGAGTATCTCAATTGTACTTCGTGTTTCCTTTTTCATTCTCGGAGATTTCCTAATGGTCAAAAATGGATGTTCAAGCAAACTAATGGGGACAGCTGATCTCTTCTCCTTCCAACGCATCTCCAAGATTCTTCTACCTCCTCCCTCTCAGCCATTCCGTAATATCCCTATTAGAGTCTTCCTTCCACTCCCACCAGACTCTAGCTCACCATCTTTCAAAGTGGTCCAGTCTCCACTTCCGCCTTTCACCTCAACTTCAGGTCAACTTGCCTCGTCTGCAACCGGCTCTTCTACGACCAGTACGCAACTACAGACAGTTGGTACGGCACTTCATGCCCTTCTCCCACATCTCTTCCCGAGTCGCAGGATTCCAGTTCTTGCAAAGCCTGTGTTACATGGAGCGGTTTTGCCCATGTCCGCCCCAATTGAAGAGGTGGCTAGATCCTCGGCATATGGAGATGGGTGGGTATATATTGTAGTTCGGATGATGGGATAAAACAGTTGTCAATCAAAAATCTTTGCCAAATCTATCACTAATGCTTGATGTAAACGATGGCGCAGGTGAGGCACCACTTGAAGAGCAGTCCAGTCTCCCCAGTTCAATATGTTTGATGTTAATTGCTGTTCTTTCATACGTTCCAGGAAGGTGTAGAATAACTGTATCCGATGCATGGACAAAAAATGAGATGCTTGTTCTTCGAGGAGATAGGAAGTTGAAACCGAGGGCTATATAGCTGGTCGTACAGAGGAAACAGGTATGGTTGATTCAGTGGAATACGCAATTATTCCTCTTAGATTTGAATCCAGGGCCAACTCACATCCTTGCAGAAAAAAGTTTCTGTGGTCCGATGTGCGGCACGACAGTCATGAATCCTATACCATTGTGAAACCGGTCCAGATTCCAACACAGTTTCTGCAAACAAATGCGCGCCTGCTTCCTTCTCTTTATGGAAAACTATATTGTGGTGGGGGGAATAATGCCGTCCTTGATGAGAGCGTCAAGATGGGCTTAGGATACCTGCATTTACCAGGTTTCGTTTCACTCTCCTTGTTTATTTTCTACAGGACAAGAGGTCAGCTCTGATAACCTTGACGATATATAGGGCAACAACTTATAATCTAACTGATGTGCGTCTGTTCAGGGTCCATGATTCCGAGTCTGGTTCATGTTGATAAGGGAGAGAGTCTGGAAGAGGATCGAAATCAGGTTATACACGGGACGACAATCGATAGCGTGTTTGAACGATGAAGCAGGCCGAGAAACCATCGTCAAGTCCAACAAGACCTTTCATTTTCTGATGTTCCAATCTGATGGGAATACAGAAGCCGACACAGTACAACAGAAGAGTGGAAGGCGCCTATGAGGAGAAGGCCGGGACTCGACTAATCTCAACACCATCTACAACTCAACAGTCCTAAAATTCCATGGTGTCGAATACTATTAGACGGTTCCTAAAGGCTTTCCCGTGATCGCGACTCTTGTCATTCCATGCAGCTCTGTTCCGTCCATCCGCTCCTCCCTCGCTCACCGGCCTGAGCTCGGGGAGTTTGTGGCAACAATCTACTGGGAGGGAAGCTGCCGATGCTTCAACGGGAAGGCATAGACAGTAACCCTTTCGTACTTCCTTACCGCGGACACTGTTTGTTGTTCCTCTAACCTGGTCTCTGTCTATCTCCCTATTTATTCCTGCATGGGTTTGGCCTGCATCCCCTATCTAGGCGAAGAGATACTTCATATCTTACGCCATTCTTCCGCCATATTCCCTAAGAAGCTGATACTATTATTCTTTCCTAAAGCAACGCTGTCTCGGAGCGAGAGTATCTTAGCAGAGTACACCTTGGACAGGCCAAGTCGTCACACGGAACCCACACTTGCATCATGAGCGTCCCGAAAATAACAATAACCAGAACTCAAACCCCAGCATTATCGAGTGACGCTTACTCTAATCTCCCACCTCGCCAAGAGAATAACAGATTGAAAGTCACGCCAGAACCGTCAATTTATTCTGCGCCGGACGATAGCGAAGAACAAAAGCCAGAAGATGACTTTGACCCGTCAATTGGAGCAAAACCCTACTCCCCATTCTACCGGCACCATACGGCGCAAACAACAAAGGTTCGGTCACTCGAAGTCAGATCTCGCCGTGATACCACAAATGAGAGTCAACACATTAATGATATCGAACTGGGTCAAGAATCCAACACAAACCCCCACAATGAAAATACCAAAAAGTTTCCATTCTCCCTCTTGGAACTGGTATCCAGACGCAAAACCATTCGACGCTCGAATCTTTGGGCCCAAGACAATCGCGATGGCTCTTGTCTGCGTGGCTTAAGTGAAAAGCAGCGCCTGGCTGTTAAACTTATTATTGCTCTCATCACGCTGGGAGGCATGATTGGCATTGCTCTGGGCATCACTGTTGCTGTTGGTGGAGGAGTTTGGGCGGGCAGGCGTCGGGTTAGCCCTATCGGTGGAGGGTCTTAACCCGACTGATAACACCAAGGCATAGCCGAACACTACGGGACTATCTAGAGAGGATAAGTCTTTTTGGTCATGATAGGATGTGTGTCTACGATTTTGTCCTTGTTTGGCGTTTTGGATTGCATTTTCACTGGTGTTCTCTGAAGAAAAAAAAGACATGTGTTAAGATGCAATGGCGCTGGGTGGACTATTCGCCGAATACGCATTTCTGAGCTGCAGCCGTTCCTGGGGTTATATTAGAAACAGCGGATGCGCTGGTGCACTCGGAAAGTGATACTCTAGAGATCATTAGTTAGAATACCAATCTTAGATGATAAGTCCTCCATCCTTGACCGTCGAGGTCAATGTCACCCTCTAAACGCGACCAGCGTTCCTGGCCCTGCCCAACGATTTCGGCTTCATGGCGTATGCCAGCGCTGTTTTATGGGTTGGTACCGTGTAAATACTTCATACTATGCCTATTTCTGGCTATTGGGCACTTATGGGATATTCAGGGATATAGCATGAACAGAGGAGTATACATCTCACCCCTATTCAAGAAGAAGAGAAATTACCAAAGGTCACATAGAATATATTTAGATATATTTAGAACCTCTAAAACCACCCATCTGCAACAAGTGTATATACTCAACCGTGGTCCTCCGCAATTCATCGCGACGGTTCGTCGAATAAATAACCCCCCACACTCAAAGATCTGGGAAGATACGATTTGGAAGTGTCTTCTCGGATGCACTTTGCAGTTGGACGAGGAAACCATCTTGGTGGGGCTGGTGCTATAGCAGCGGGACAATGAAGGCTGCCATTAAAGTCTAGGTATCCCAGGGGTATGCCAACAGTTGGATATCTTATACGGCGTCGGGTTAGTTGCTTATTTGATATATATATATATATATATGCGGTGTTATCTGAGACAGACATACCTGCAGCTGTAGAAAATGCAGTCAAACCAGACTAGAGTAGCCCCATGATGATATCCAGATCCTAATCCAGCATGTCAGCGCGCCGGAAAAGGGGATCATCCAGCACAATGTTGATGACAGCCCGTAAATAATTATCATGACGCTTTATCTGGGATAGGTAGATTGCAAGACATTGATCGTTGTTGTCAGAAGATCCAGATCCACACTCATTTTGGGGTTGTTTGAAAGAATGAAGAGGCAAGCAGCCCACTAATATCTCTGCCAGGTATAACAAAAAAAGAGGGCAGTACAGAAAACAATGCTTGTAAGAGGAGTGACGGAAACAAAAAGATGTCGTACGCTGCACAGCTGTCAGCGTTACTTCTACTTATAGCTTTTGAAGGGTGAAAATTACAACAACGGGGCTGTGGCGCAATGGCAACGCGTGTGACTCCAGTTATCTGGATTAATCTCAAGATTGCAGGTTCGACTCCTGTCAGCCTCATTGTGATTTCTTTTTTATTGATTATTTTTTTTTCTTCAATTCCTATGAAGTATCTGTTAGTTCATTCGATTATTTGAACTCTGTTATTATAAACCTGAATCTATAGCTAAATTGGCCAATTCTGTGCAGCTGAACCTTCTGATGCTCTCAGAGACTCCAACCGATAGATTCGGTGAATCCAATGAGGTTTGCATTGTTTGCATTGTTACTGTCTTTCGACTGTTTGCACATTCCACGTGACGCACGGCTACAAAAGGCGAAAATTTTCATATCTCCTCTTTTCCTTTTTTCTTTTTTCCTCATCATCAAAAAGCCAACAGAATCTGCCACGACCGTCGCCCAATTCTTCAACCCCACGGCGATGAGTTGCCTTCGATCTTTATAGATCGACCGGTTCTGGAGAATATATTTCCTCGATAGGAAGTTTGCCTCTCGTTGGGTCCTCTTAAGTGAGGGCGATGAGGGGTGAATGTCGATGACGGGATACATTTATTTGAGATCGGTTTTTGATAGCTTATATCTTCATGGTTAATCTAATACCTTGCCTCGCAATGCAAGCTTGTCTATGATTCAAGTCCAATAAAATGTAGACCTGCTCGTTAATCTCATTCGTTAAAGCTTTGTCTTTGTCCCGTATATATTTCGTATGCCGTTGCGGTGGTTTCGACAGCCATAGCAGTCCGTAAAGGCAATCAATAACCACGCTGCCCTCTGATGCTTCTCAACTACGGCATTATCACTTCCCGGGCAGGTCTATGAGCATGATTAGCGGCCAATCGCTGGGATGATGTTCACTCCTTGCATCATAAGTGTGGTTTGCGTAATGCTAATCTCAGTCCATTTCGACCAGTTAATCTCTACGGTAAGGAATGTCAAGAATTCATGGCACACTACAATGCCTGAAAATTCGTTTATGCATGGGATAATGAATATTATTAATCTATATCTAGCAAACCAGGACTTCCCATCAAGTCGCCAGTCCCGTAGCTGCGATGTCATGATGGGATCATATTGAGCCCTTGGTGGGAGGCTGTGACATCAGCAGAACCAGATGGTAGAATCTCCAAAACTGGATGGGGTTTATAGATGGATAGAAATGTGAATATCTTTTTCTCTTCTGCTGTTAATCATCATCTCCTTACTGTTCCAGGAAAACCCGGTGGAAAAGGAAACTGCTCCTTTAATATATATCTAGCCCTACTTTGACTATCCTTACCTCATCCTTCGAACCCTCCAGCAAACCACCAAGATGTCAAACAGACAAAATCAAGACTCCCACACTGGCGGCTCTCTCTACGACTGGGCTAAAGACGGAACCACAGTCCCAAACGATGCAGGGCTGCAGAACACCGTACCCTCGTACCCGCGTCCCTCCCAAACCTCCGAGTCGACGCAATTCGACAACCAAGGTCTCGAGGAGCCGTCCCTTGCCTTTGCAGCTGATAATCCCAAGGACGTGCCCCGCAGCACCAAGGATGTCGGTGAGACCGGCGAGGTCATCACGGGCACAGGTGACGCCCTGCCTTCGGAGATCGAGACCAAAAGGTTGAGCTGGGCTGATCTGGACCCTGGAGCCAAGGGAAGTACAAGGAATGAGAAGCATGATATTTTTAATCGGAGCGCTTTCGATAGAAAGGCGACGGATAATCCGAATGCAAATTGGCAGTCTGGGGAGCACCAGGGAAGGAATCAAGTGTAGGGCTTGTGTAGCTTTCCTGTTACTGTATATTGTGCATGATGATGTATTACTTTCTGGATAAAAAAATACTCTATGACTGCCGTTTTTATGCCTTTTCAGCTATAGTGATAGTAAGCAGTGTGCATCAATAGTCTGGGTGTTCGTTGTCTCTGCAATAGCAACGACATGTGTTGCTTCGTCCCCGGCCAAATTAGCAGTAAAAGAGAAAAAGGATTCCTCTTTATTCAAGGTGTCTTGAGTTACAATACTATTATTACATTCCCAATCCCTTTGGATGGGGCCATGAACTGCCTGTTGTCATTGACCTATGACCGAGCATCCTTGGTCTAGCAGATGGATTTTCTCAGGAGGGCAGTGGAATTGGTGCACGAATAGCGTCTCATCCAAACTTAAATCGGTCCTGGAAGGTTAGTCTATAGCCAGAATTTCGAAGACAACCTATACCAATTGCTCAAAAGGCGAAGTATCCTTCTGCAGTCGGATATGATGGCCACCTGCCACCGTGATCTCGCAGATTGTAGCGCGTCAATTTTCCTATCTCCTTTCCCCAAACCCCGGAGTGTCAAGGGTGCTAATAGCGGCCAGAATGAGTGACTATTCTGAATTGGCTGATAGAGGTGATGGTCTTTCACGCGGACCGTGGACGCAATCCTGGCTGCTCTTGACAACGGACCAAATATTCCTCATACGTTTGATTTCTTGGTCTGGATAATGCTATCCGCAATTTTGCACCTCCCAAGTTGCTCATAGGTTCCTTCAAACCGTCCATTTACTTCTAGAAAGACCGTATTGCCTTCTCTCCCTGATTATGGATTGTTGTATGGCAGAAGCTAGTGGTTGACGAAGGAGTCCAAAATGATCCTTTAGGAAGGCCGCTAAGCCCGGTTCGGCTTGCTTACTAACCATAAAATTAGTCATCATTTGGTTTTCCCTTTTGGGATCCCGATATGGTCTTGCGGGGTAATGTGACCGACTCTTACCCTAGCACCCGATTCAAATACATCCTCTTGAGATATATTCTTTGTATAAGCCCAGTCCATAAACGGCATCGGTCCTTAGTATAGTAGCTCCGTATTGCTCCAGAGGTTCATCGAATCACTGCCACCTTGAAGCCACATTCGAAGATGGTAGCAGACAACCCAGAAAAAGACGATATCCGTGACCTGATCGCCCAGCAGCTTTCTCAAACATCCTTTAATTGCTCCTCCCTTGTTCGACTCTCCGGTGGTACCGCCAACTTTGTATATCGCGGGACTCCCTCCTCCTCGCCGGCCGATTCGATTATTATCAAGCACGGCGAGGACTATCTAGCTTCGAATCCTGCCTTCAAGCTGGACACGGAGCGATGCGTAAGTTCACAAAGAAGTTCATCTAAAACCATCTATTTATATTTCCAAAAAATTGTAACATGCTAGTACCAGGACTTTGAAGAAGCCATCCTTCAAGCCTTGAATGACTGCCCACCTTACTCCGGGAACAACATCACCGTCAAAGCACCACGCCTCTTCTACTTCAATCAGGAGAACAAAATACAGGTTCTGGAGGATCTGCCGAACTCAGTTGATTTGAAATCTTTCCTTCTTTCTGAGGTCTCTCATGGCGTGTCTCAGAACTCAGCGCGGTCGCTCGGTCGCGCGCTGGGATCTTGGCTGCGATCGTTCCATGTTTGGGGGGAGAAGCCGGCGCAAACAAAGCTCCGACAAAAGCTCGGCAAGCATAACTACATGAAGGGACTAAAGTACCACGTTAACTACGTGGGGCTGGTGGAAAGTATTGACAGATTTCCGGCTATTCTACAAGGGAGTCGTGATGTTTTTGAGAAAGTCCGCGATTTTGCAGCAACGGAGCTGGAAGAGCGGGAAGTTAATGAGGAATATAATATCGTTCATGGGGATCTTTGGACTGGAAAGTAGGTCTTGCAGGATATTTATGTGTATCCTCGTCAGTGCTGACGAGGGTGATTGCCAGTGTTCTCATTCCAAATACTTCGCTGACTGATGGGTCGCAAACCACGTTATTGGTTGTTGACTGGGAATGTGCACAAGTCGGAGTGCGAGCCTTAGATCTGGCCCAGATGATAGCTGAACTCTACGAAACGAAGCTCTTCAGAGCCAAAGATGCGGGAGTCTGGATCATTGAAGCGTTCTTGGAGGGATACGGCCCCCTGAGCGACGAGATGGCATTTCGGACTGCGATCCACGTCGGTGTACATCTTATTTCCTTCGGAAGCACCGTGCCTGGATGGGGTAGCGAACAACAAGTGGAGGAGGTTGTGAAGGTGGGCAGAGACCTGATTGTTCGAGGGTGGAAGAAAGACAAGGCGTGGTTCGAAGGGGAGACACTGGGTTGCTTATTCAGAAAATAATGAAGCATTTGTATAGCTGCTTAGTAATTTTAGTAATGCAGAAAGTTTCGCTCTCCGAACCATGCGCTGCATACATAGTCTCTTGGAGTTTTCATGCAAAGGAACACAATGTTCCATGGGAAATCCCTTGCACTGATTCAAAATTCATTTCTCCGTCCTCCTGGAACTGAGACAGACGGAGAAAATGATCAAGCGCAGTTGATACTACGGCAGAAACGACTTGCAAATGTCTATGACGCCGTAGCCGGTACATCTTCACCCTTGTCAGACACCAACGGAATGATCATTCACTAATACATCGGTCTACGACAGGTCGTGTCAGTGTTAACCGCTTCCAGTCTTCTATTCCATCCTCAAAGAACCGCGATGCTGCTACTTATTCCAACGCAGTTGCTCTTCGTCCCGAAGAAGTTCTCTTCCGTCGACTGAATGCCCCGACGCGCTACGAGGAGAATGACTTTTACTTTGCGCACGAATTGCTTCCTCCTGATTGTCCTCTTCCGAGCTCCGACCTGCTAGAGGCTATCCATGCCTACTCGGCTGATTTCTATGACCTGGTAACTGATGATCACGGGGAAACTGATTGCCGGAGCATGGATGAGACGGCGTTGATTGCTATGGGAATCTTGTTGGAGGAGATGGCGAAAGAATCCTTGGGTGAAACTGGGGATTTGGTTCTAGTTGAAGGGGAGAGGCTGTCTGATGATGAGGGTCGATTTGCTTCCAGGACTGGACGAAGGGCTGGTCGGAAGAGAGCAAATAGCGTTATGGGCGGTGCCCTGGCAAGTTCGGGTGACGATCGGGAGAGCGCGACCAAGGGGAGGAAGTCTTCAAAGAGACGTAAGTTGTCTCGCAAGGCGTCTGCTACCGATGGGGAGACAGGAGATGAGAAGACGTGATGAGGGAATAGGCTATGGTGGTGGCCATATCTGGTGAGATCTACGATGGGGGACTGTTTCACCCAGCAGAGTGAAACAAGACCCCGATCTAAGCATTGGCATAGAGGGCAGGGGATGTCTTGCTGTGGATACGGCTCTTGATGAAATAGGATGCGAGGAGATTCAACCTTTCCGTCCCATACAGTCTCCAACGAAACGCCCTCTCAATCCCATGGACAGATCCGTTGTGAACGATTCATATTGGTTCCTCGTGGGTGCAGTGCGATATACAGTTCGAGCTTCTCGTCTTACGCAAGCTGCCTACGAGTCTATATATCCGGAGTCCGATTCTGAAACGTTCAACTTCCAAGGGCCGCGTCATTTCAAATATGACGCATCACGATAACAGACCTTAACCTGATTATTTACTGTCGCCTTTCTCAAATAGACAGGAGTGGGTTTAATGAAAGAGAGCCTTGTCAAGGCCTTTAGGCAAGTATAAGAACAGGTATACCCTGTAGTCTACGTTTTACTTGATTAGGCTCATTTGAGAGAGAGCAGAGGTTAATATATAGGACTTTCTTGTGCTTGAATTCATCAAAATGCGTAGGTTAAATGTCCTGATGGTGCGGTTACCTGAATGTAGGTAGACTTCCTGAAGGGGATATTAGATTCTCTCTAGCTACATCGAAGGACACCGACTTCCAACAACTCCTCATCTTCAACATACTCCCCTGGAGCCTTGTACGCTATTCTCGAAGCTATTCATACTTGATCTTACTGTTTCCAAGTACTGATATCTAATTTCTCCCTTCCCATAATAGCTGCAGAACCTCGCGTCATACGGTTGGGGACGTCACCAGGCATCAAGTAGCTTTGGTTCATCGCGTCTCGATCTCTATTCACGCCATGGTGTGTTCTTCAACTATCCTAGACAAGAGAGAACACCATTGTTAACCAAAAATAGGCACCAAAGCTCTCCAAGTCCGAGAAACAAGATCTCATCCTTTCCTATTTACGATCTAGTCGAACATGTCACACGCTCAAAGATCTTGAAAAGGTTCTCCCATCCGTGGCCTCGATAAATGGTATCCAAGTGAAGGAGTACATCCAGGCTCTCACAGACGAAGGCCATCTCCGCGTCGAGAAGATCGGCAGCGGGAACTGGTACTGGTGTTTTGGCAGCGAAGAAAAGAAAGAACGCGAGACTAAGCTCTCTCAACTGCAAGAAGAAGTTGACAAAGCTCGTAAGAGCTGCGAAGAGGCCGAGTTGGTTCTAGCTACGGAGAGACGCAAACGAGACAAGGAACAAGAGCAAGATGAGGCGGAGGGGAAAGAGAGGGAGGCGTTGTGCGCACGGAAGATGGAATTGGAAATGCAACTTCGCCAGCTGCGGGCAGAAAAGGCTGAGTGGGTAGACTCGTCATCTTCTGGACCTGGTGGGGTCGCGAAGAAGAAAGAGGAGGTGGATATTTGGAAGCGGGAGGCGCTGATGTGGACGGACAACATTTATATCCTGGAAGAGTACCTGAGGAAGCTCGCGGGAGGAGATCGAGAGCTCGTCGAGTGCATGAAGAGGGAGTGCTACGGGGATGAGTATGTGGAAGGAGAGGGACTCAGGGAGCTGGAGGCAGATGCTTAACGGCCGTCCGTCTTTTGTGGGACATCATATGATAACACACCAGAGATGAGAAATGAGAAATCATCATCGCTACTATGTGATGGGATAATAATAACAATAGAAAATGGAGCATGTTAGCTCAACAAGCACTGTGTACGCGCGTCCACGTCCCCGTGCGACACTGTAGCGAACCGGGCATGGCTGGACAAATGGATGGGCACATGCTGAAGATTCATCCGGATTCTTGTCCAGCGCAACCGGCCGATCCTAGAGGAGATTGCAGCCATTCTCGTGAAAGAAACGCTGGGGTGGATCTACTAAGAAAATCCAAGCGCATCCAAGCTTTGACGGAAAGCTTGACTGATAATTTACCGTCTCAGCCCCCCAGCATTATTATCTCTCTTCGAGACACCCAGGCCAGTTCGCCATCCACACGGTCGTCATCTCACTGGTTATATTCTCCATCCTCATCTCTCAGACCTGCTCTTGTCTCTCCCTCCCTCCCCTTCTCTCTTTCTCACCCTTTTCCATTTCCGTTGCCTCCCGCGTCCACCCAACTCCCACCCGTCTGCAGCGCAAACTTTGCCCGTGGTGCCCGTACCTTGGCTAGACTTCACATCCCCGGAGGTTCCAACCCGCCCCTTGCTCCACTTCTCCTAATCACAATCACTCGGGTCTGACTCTCGTGTTGCTTCGATCAGGTCGCTCTGGCTCCTTTCGTCCTCCCACCTGCATTCGACTCCGCTTATTTCGAGTCCCTCCCTCGCCGGTCACGGGCCCCTTTGCCTCCCTCCACCGTACGACTTGACGACAATAACGCTTGATTTCCATCGCGAACGCACCGCCGGCTTGAGGGGTGGCTTTTCGACCCTCCTCCTTTTCTCCGCAGACCATCGGGACAACGATGCAGCCTGGTTTCTTCGAATGCGACCGTTCTTTCCCACCGAAGAGTGACTTGTCCGACTTCTCCTGTCGTCCGACACTGCCCTTGCGAGATAACTAAAATAATACGATCGGGATCCTGCTGTTTATCCGGGTAGCCGTGCAGTCGTTTGTTGAAGGAGACCCTATCTGTCTACGCAACTAGCCCTCGATGATTCGATGATATATATTACATACGCTGTTGATTGGATTGTCGCGACGCTTCTGTGACTCCTTGTCCTGTTGAGCGTTGGTGAGAAGAATTCCCCGGAGTTCGGCCTCAATTGCCACCTCTCTGGATTTCGCTCCTCACCCACCTTTCTCTTCCTTCTCCCCCCCCTTTTTCCCGCCTACCTTCCTGCAACCTGCTCCCTACGGGCGTGCGAGATTTGCGATCCCGCCTCCTCCGTCTTGTGCGGGTGTAAGGAGGAGGTCGCTATATGTCATGTCACTCAACTCTTCCCCCACAAAACCCACCAGTCCGTCGCACGGGAGGAGTCGCAACTTCTTTCTATCTAAATTCCGATCACAACTGGGCCATCGAAATCGCAGCATCACCGATTTCTACGTCGAACCTGACGACCCGTGGCGGACATATTCCCCAGGCGATTCTATCAAAGGCACCGTCGTTTTGACGGTTGTCCGTCCCGTTCGCGTCACGCATCTTGTTATCTGTCTACATGGCTTCGTCAAGGTATTCAAGAATACGGTGGCCTCAGCAGAGGCGGCTCCGGACATAGGATTTCTTGGCCCGGGCAGAGGACGGCGGGGCTCCGAATATCTGGGTAATGGCCTGGCTACTCTGTTCGAGGACGAAGTCGTCCTTTGTGGTGAGGGCCGTCTGAAGGAGGGGATCTACAAGTTTCGTTTCGACATGCTCTTCCCACCTTATGCTCTACCCAGCAGTATTACTGTATGTTCTTCCCTCTTTCATGCTTAACAAGTCATGTCTGATTGAGGTGTTTTCAGTTCGAACGAGGAATGATCAGCTACATGCTTACGTCCACCCTGACAAAGCCGACCACTATAAACCCAACCCTTTCGTGTCGAAGACGGGTTAATTTTCTCGAAAATATCGACATTGCACCATTTCCTGCACCCAAACCCCGTGTTGTTACTTTGGAACCCGTTTCCCGACGCTCCAAGTCCAAAGCCAAATCGAAATCGACAGGTACCGATCGCGCATCAGACAACATTTCATTGGCAACGTCCGCCAACGGCACTGTGACGTCCGGAGATCACTGTGCCCCGCTTAGTCCGGCCCCCAGTGAAATAAGCTCCTCAAGTCGGCGCAGTGACAGTACGCAAAGCCTTCGCGTTGCGACCGACCCAGGCTCTTCCACCAGTGGCCATGTGCGAAGCTCTGAAGCGTATAGCACGACGCCCTCCCTAGCCGAGAAGAGCAAATCGATCGTTGCCACTGCGGAGGTACTTCGTTCCGGCGTACTGCCTGGTGATATTCTACCGGTCAAGGTTTCAATCAATCATTGCAAGCAGGTTCGCAGCCCACACGGTATCATCGTTACGCTCTATCGGCAAGGGCGTATTGACCTCCACCCAACCCTTCCAATCGGCTCTACAGCGGATGGCAAGAAGCCTGTTTATGAGGACTGCTACCCGCGATCACGCACGGGTCTCGGAGGTCTCACACTGGGCTCCACACGCATGAGTAGTGTCTTCCGCAAGGACTTGTCACAGACCTTTGCCCCACTGATCGTGGACCCGACAACCATGACAGCGGTCATCAAGACTTCGATTCGCGTACCCGAAGACTCGTTTCCTACCATTACCCGTGTGCCTGGAGGCCTCATCAGCTTCAGATACTACATCGAAGTTGTCGCCGATTTGCGAGGGAAACTCGCAGCGCCAGACTTCCTCCGTCCCCGGTTCAACATGGTGTCAAATGGAAAGACATTTTCACCCAGCGGCCAGCTTCTGAACTCTTTTGATTCTGCTGGTAACTCGATCACCGCAAATTGGGGGGATAATATTCTCGATACAGATCAGATCCGGCGTGAGAAGGGTGTGATTGCTCTGGTCTTCGAAGTTGTGATCGGAACTCGCGACTCGGCCCGCCGGATGCGGCGAGGGAGCAGCGCATCCACCGGCGAAGAAGCCGCGGCGTCGCAGGCAACAAATTCCGAACAGCCGTTCTCTGTAGCAGAAGATGATAATGGGCTTGTTGATGAGAATGGCGCTTATGTGGATTACTCGGGCCAGGATGATTACGACTACACCCATGAGCAGGGTTGGACCTATCCTCCAGACGTGGAAGAAGAATCATACATTCCTAACGACCAGATTCTTGCACCACCGCAGACTGAGGAGCCGGTCGATGAAAAGACACGACTACGACGAGCAGAGGAGATGCTGCTCCCTAGCCAACCGCCGGATGAACGAGATGCCGGCCCATCGACTATGGAGAATAATATACACATGCCGACCGCTCCCGTATTACCGGAAGATGACCATATATATGATTATCAACATCTTCCGGGACCCCCTATCGCCGCTGCCGCTCCTGATGGCGGTTCTATCAGGGCCAGAGACTTTGTGGCCTCATCCGCCAGCGACGACAAGCTGGAGCTGGAGCGAGAACGCCTTATGCGGGAGGCGAGCGCCCCAGTCGTAGAAGGTGTGGAGGGCCATTCGACCGTCCCTGGCCCCAGCGCCCCCGTGTTTGACGAGGATGATATCGTCGAGGCCGGTGCGCATGGGGACGAGTCTCTTCCTCGCTACCTACGATAGTGATGATGGTATATGATTTTGGCTTTCACTTGGCCTATATTGTACAGCGCTATACACCGATTTTGCATTTACATGCTGGGTTTCATTTGGAGATACCACTCGAGTTATTGATTGTATATTTGGACTTAGCGATTGTTGGGAACACGGTTGATCTGTGCGTCCAGTTGGAGTGATGAGGCATGTGGCGTAGCCGTGTACAAATCCTATTTTGCATAATAATTCATATTATTTATAATTAATGATTACGATCTACTTGACCGGAGTCCGTACGGGGCTCTTGACGATATTATTGATAGTCGTGGTGGCTGTTGTGGAGGAGGATATGGTGGTCGGCCTTGGCAACCCCTAACCGTTTGGCGCCTCGCTGGCTTCTTCATCTCTGCACGCTCCTTCTGGCGGAGCAGAATTCCAGACTCGAGGCTGTCGTGCAACCCCCCGGACATCATGGCGCCCAAAACCCCGTCCTTTGCGACTTTTCTCATCGTCTGCCGTATGTGTCCTCCTTGGTCTTAGTCTTTGCGGTTTCGAGCATAGTGGAGAAAGCTCGCCGAAAGCATCCCCACGCGCAACTAACACATCTCCAACATGTACAGCAACCTGTTTCTTCCTGGGCATCGTCTTCTCTTCCTTCCCTTATGACTATCCCATCCTGTGGTCCACGGAGCCCACGACGCCCGCCAACTACGATGATATCGAGTCGCACCTGAAACTCCTCTACCTCTCCCCTCCCCTGATCCAGCGCATCCTGCACATCGTCATCTTCCTCGGTCTTGCCGGTATTATCTCCAAACTGTACAAACCCTCCGAATCCAACATGCTCTTCGATGGCGCCTCACTGGTCCTCTACATGTGCGGAATCACCGTGTACATCACCAACATCGTCAAGGGACTCCGACTCGCCGCCCACGGTAAATACGGGAACGACCTTGCCGTAACGCCGGAGGATACGGATAACATCCTGGGCCGGGAGGATTCCCTGAAAGTTCTCGCGGCCAGTAACACGATTCTGGGTCTGGTGCTGGTCGGCATCTTGGTCCTGCAGGCTGGGCAGTGGTATGCGGAGCGGAAGAACGCGCAGGAGGAGGAGAGTTTCCGGAAGAGCCAGCGGGAGGGTGCCGCGGCTGGCTCGACGGGTGCGAACGAGGAAGGGAAGAAAGGAGAGAGTGTGCCAGCCAAGGCCGTTGAGGGTGGTGAAGCGGCTGATGTTGCTGGTGCTGGGGTCAGTACGGCGGTTTCAACCGCTCCGACGCCCAGGGTGACTAGGTCTTCATCCAGGAAGAATGCTCGGTAGTTGCTTTCTCCTTGGTCTTGGGGTCTGTGTGATGTGGTAGGAGGGAGTCCTATACGATGGACGGTCTATCATGCATGGTTTCGCATGGGAGTCAGTAGGAGTAGGGGTATATGTTATGAAGCTGCCATGATAAATGGGTTGATATATGCTAACTGGCAAGGGTTGAATTGTCAATTAGGATGTTTCCACAATGTAAAATGAAGTACCTGTTGAAGCATGTATACAGGTGCATACCTACGTACATGGAGTGCCAATTAAGATTCTTTGCTCAAGGCACGTAATGCCATTCCATTGCTACCGTGAAGTGCACTGAATGGGAGGAGCTAGATACTGCTATAGAATTATTCTCACACAACTACCAGCAGAAGAGAAATAAATATCAGGCATGATAGAGCACTGGCTGAAAGGCGGATAGATGTAACAGACAGCATCATTTTCATTTCCTCTAAACTCTCTCTCTCTCTCTCTCTCTCTCTCTATCCCACTGGCAATAAGGACCAAGGCCAAAAAGTGAAACAGGACAAGACAGAAATAGAAGCAACCATACACGATGGACAGGTCATGCTCATAAGCAATAGTGAAAAACGGCTTCATTCACGACCCCAGGCACCGTCATTATGCCGTGCGGATGAGCTCATTTTTACACGGTACATTCCTGTCAGGTTGGATTGATGCAGAGTGTCCGTGTAAATATCTCGAATATTCCTTTACCATGATTATTGATCAAGTATATCAAGTATTGCCTAATTAGGTCAACTGTTGACATCCTAATCGTAGGTTTGAGGGCCCTCAGCTGAAGGTCGTCAGCATCCTCGCGAGGCTGGAGTCGATTCTGATATTTAGACTTCTTTCAGGTATAACGTTAGGGCTATCTTACCATCTGTACGATACGGTAAGGTATTATACGATACATACAATACCAAACACCAGACCAGGACAACCCTACTTCATCCTCGCGTCTGATCCACCACGATGGCGCTCCTACAAATATCCTCTAGACGGACAGAACTCGCGCCATGCTGATTCGAGAACAGAAAACCAGACCGCAAATCAAACTTCATACCATGCATAAAGAAAGCGAAAAAGCCCGCCTGCATGAACGGACCACTCACAACCCCGCATTGCATGGTCATCGTGTTGGTTCCAATAACCTAGATCGACGCAGACGCGAAAACAAAAAGCCTCGAGGCCCGAACCTCGCGCTTCTCCGGTGTCTATTCGTTTACAGGCCCTGTCGAGTATGAAGCCTGGGCGGCTGATCCCGTCAATCAAGCTTGGTCTCTATTGAGCCTCGTTAGATACATCCGCTGACGTTGACATCGGGGATGATGCTGCGCTTATGCCGCTATCTGCGCGGTTACGGTTTCCGTGTTCCGTATCCTCGTGTGGCTAAAGCCTAGAATACTAGAATAATATCTGTTGTCGGGAGCAGGGACATACGGGCTTTTTGTCGGTGGCGGAGTCGTATCTTTGTTGGTGGGTGGGCTATTTGCATAAAGCAGTAGGGACAAGGGCCAATGGTAGTTCCTGCACAGGATGCGGCTTGTCATGTAGGGCATAATAATTATGATTTATGATAGTAAAGTTAATTTGACCGGTTTCTTTGTTGTAAAATGTAAAAGCTGCCTAGTATCTATCCCATACGCGTTCACGTCTGGTTGCACGATACCTGCAGTCGATGCGGGGCTGCTTTCTCCATTGGGAAGAAAGAGATGACAGACGAAAGCTAGGTCTTCTCACTGACGAGAAAGGGAAAGGAACGAAAAAGCACGAAAACGTAGGAGAGTAAATGATAATCGTAGTTGCCAATGCTCCCACCCCGTCTAACTCCCAACACCAGAACCAGCCGCTAATAACCAAGCAAGCAACACAACAAGCAACACAACAAACAACCAGATGCTTTCAACAGGCCTTCACTTCCCGATATCTGCCCCGCCTTCCCTTGGGTGGGGCCTGAAGCTGTGTGTGCTTAAAGGTTACCGTGCGAGTAATGACTTGTGTCACGCTGACTGGCCTGGGCTGATCAGAACGCCGCAATTTCCAAGCAGACAGAGACAAGGGGGACCGAAGACTCGTCGCACTCCGGGGCGGGCGGCAACTTGCCGAGAGCGGAGGGAGCTTGAGCGAATGCGGGACGCGTGGATGTCTCGCACTGCATGCGCCATGGTCACTATTATCGGTGCTCTTAATATCCGGGGGAAGGAGAGCGGTGCACGGAGGCAGTGGAGGGAGAGAAGATGATGACAATGGGGCCGATCTCAGGGGATCCCCGCACGAGGACAATGATCCGCTAACTTCACTGCCCGGCTGTGACGTGGACCAGGTGCTCGCGGAAAGGGGACCAGAAAAAGGAGTCGGTGGAGGGAGAGAAGACGTCGTGCTGGATGGAGTGTTCAACGTCCATGATCTGCCGGCTGCACTGCTCGGTTCGAACTTCAGGCTGGCGACGCTGGCCCCGGCACTTGGGGGACTGGAAAAGACCGGAGTGAGGGCCCTGAGGAACTCCGTGTAGGCCGCCGGGGGAGTGATAGGAGCCGACTTGTTCCCTGGCCGCCTCGAGTTGTCCCTGTTGCCACCGTGGATTTCCAACGGGAACGTCGTGTGCTTCGGGGTCTCCAGAGGCGGCAGGACTGGTCTTTCAGGTGCCATGGTGGCTGGCTGGCGATGAGCAACAGACAAAGAACCGAGTCCAAAGGTGACCGATGATGAGGCCGTTGAGCAGAAGATGACAGCTCAGAAAAGAATCGAGGAAGTGAGCGACAGTCGGACACTGCGCCTTATATCAAGGCCGGTGGATGTGACGGCAGATGTGATGGGCCAAGAATAGAAGAGCCGTCGATGACGCCTGGCGCATATAGGAGCAGCAGCCTATGACATGCAGACTGAGACCGACGTCTGTTGGCGAAGAGCAAAAAGTGGATTGTTTAATTGGAATTTCTTATGATTCTTCGCGATGGCACTGCGTGTATCCGTATTTCGAGTATCCGTATTTCGAGTATGCGTATTTCGGTATTTTTTGCCGCGTGTCGACGCCGCAACGCGCAAGGGATTTGGAATCAGCCCAACTCTTGCCCAACAAGCTTCAGCTCCCTTCTTTGGCCTTGCGCAAATCCTGTCCTTGTCCTGCAAGGCGCGATGCTGACAAGGCTGGGGAAATGTGCTGCTCCGAGGTGCACCGCAGGCAGAAGCTTAGTTGGTGGTGTGAAGATTCCAATCTCCCGACGGTTGAAGCAGAAACAGAAATTGTCGTCAAGTATTCTCGTTCACGCGCGGAAAACATGCTTCATTTATGTCCCTCAATCCGCATGTTTTTCTCATCGAGATGCACGGAGTTGTTTGTTCTATTGAGAGAGAAAGAGACGACAAGGCCAGCATTCCCGCGCGGCAACACGCCTCAACCCCAGACGCCCATCTCTCACGAATCACCACGCGAAACATCCCCTTCTTCCAAACGCTCCCCGGAGGAAACTCAACCCCTCGGAGAAGCGCGCGCCTTCAGATCTCCCGGTCCGACATGTACCATGCCGTGTCCCAGCGAACCGGCAGCTTGTAGCTGGTATGTTCTCCGGAGGCTGCAGAACGCATGGAAGGCTGCAAGACGCATCCAGCCGCCCTTATCCTACGTCGTAATTCGTGGATGGATATAGTTAAACGCTGAAGAAATCCTTTGACCTTTTGTGTTTCTAGCTATGTCTTAACCTTGAATCCCTGCAGTTTGTATTCAATGGCTGGGACGTAACCGCAGTGTTTCAAATTCTCCGTTTCGCCTGTCTGAAACATGATTCAGTGAATTCTATCTGGCATCCGTAATGCTTGTCTATCCCCGTAAGCGCTGGATCTGGGCTACGGAATTAGATCAAGCATGTTTGTTGTGCTGGCATTGTCGGAGTCGATATGTGTTTGGATGTACTCATTGGCAGATGTGACTTGTTCCTTTGTCTCTCTCGAAGACGCTGCATCATGTCTTATTGACGTTTGACCTCAGGCATTCTGTAACCTGATGCGCTGGCTCTCGCGGCGTGGTCGCATTTGATGATCTATCTAGATCTATGCATTGAGCACTCTGCAACACTGGCGACTCGAGGATGCTGCAGCTACAGAAAGGAGACTGGCACTCGCGAGGAGCATACAGTCAGGGTCCGGAAGCGCTCAGCATAGGAAAACCGCATTTTCCAGGGTTCACCCTATCGTTTTTGGAGGGTCTATTGACGGTGAAGCGGAAGGGGTAGGGATTGTTATGGAAGACGTCAAGGTTGCCCGGACTTCTTCCTTTCTGGGTCAAACCTCGTGGTATACCACGGTCAAACAGAGTGAAGGAAAAAGACAAACAAGCTAGGATCAGGCAACAAGATGAATACGAAAGACAATGCTACCCCAGGAGAGCTTTATATCACCGGCAACGCGAAGGGTATCCTTGAAGATGAAGGCAAAGGAAGTCAGAAGTTACGACCGGACAGGTGGATCTTAGAGGATGGCACTGCTAGGCCTCAACCGACCTGAACAAACAAAAGCCCTGCTTTCCCAGTTTTCCCGGGGCCATATCTTTCCTTTTTTTTTTTTTTTTTTCCTTCTCATATCAACCTCGTAGCTCCCAGTACATATAGGCCGGGCCCGGGAGGAATAGCAGCTGAGAGATCACCATGGCGACGAGCACGGAGAACTTTCAAGCAAAGAGCCTCCTAATATCAATCCACTGGAATATCGGTGTATATCACATAGTCAAGATGACAGGGCACCGAGGATATAAGCAATCAAAGCACGGAGAAATGGGCCGGAATGTGTACACAGCTTCACGGCCAGAATCCATGCCACCTCCGCCATCACCAGCACATCAGCACCTGCACAGACCCCATTCTACCGTGCAGACATTACTTCTCGCCGGAGACAAAATGACAGAAAGGGTCGTGCGAATAGACTGCGGGCTAGCCGTATATTATTTGAGGCTATAGCACTCGAACATGTCCTGAACATGTCCTGGACAAGCGTTCATCCCGTGTTTGCCACGAGCCATGGCATCGTCCTACAAGGACCGAGCGAACGAGTCTCGTTCCATGCAGACTTCTGCAGTGAAGCCAGAGCGGTTCCTGCCGGGGAGGGCCGGGTGCCAGGTAGCAGCGCAGCGTGATCTCTGCGAGTCAATTGACTGTGACGAAAAACCGGCACAGTGCAGCTACCAGCGACAATTGGCCTGCGTGGAAATACGCCGGCACTCGGTCTGTGTCTCTGTGTCTCTGGGCAACCCGCCAAGCTTTGCGTTGAGCATCGTCAGTGGCTGTCCGGTACTATCTGCACAGCGTAAGCCGGCACAAGTGTGGAGCAATCGTGGCAGCCAAGGTGTGATGAGATGCTGCAGTTTGCCTTGATTGGTAACCGCTAGCCGCTGGAAATAACGGGGAGGACGGTTGATTTCCACCTTACTACTCTGTATTACAGGCCTGGTTGAGCGTGTTCTCTGGTTAGGGCAAGCTCCCAGGGCCAATTCGACACTCCCATCTACCGTCAATTACGTTCCATTCCTCTTTTATCGTGCGAATGCACCATATATATGCCCAGAGAGCCATGACCTTCGCCGGCTTCAAGTTTTAGATGCCCGAAAAGATCAATTGCCCCACGGAGGACCCTGTTGGGCCTCGCTGCTTCGGACCAGAGATCTGCGCCTACATTGGCACGAAGCAGTCGGATACGCCCCTGCAGTTGCTTTAATTTAGACGTTGTCGTCAATATGATATCCTTTGTGCACGCCCCATTGCGCCGTGCTAGGAGACACCGCAACAAGATACCGCGACGAATTGGGATACACCCGAACCCGGGAAATACATATCGACTGCTTCTCTTTGTATGCTGCTGAGGACGGTTGTGCGCCGTAGGCAGTTGGGTATCACTTTACCCTAGAAGCGCTTGCGAACGGCAGCAGAGCCATTAGAGACGGCGATGTCCGGACTCGGAGACAGCGTATATCCTCGACTGGACCTGGTTACACAGGTCCCTACGGCAATCACGCACAGAAATCTTTCCATAATCATGTGGGAGGGCATTGCAGAACCCGAGTCGAATCTCCGTGTCGCCAGTTCTTGGGTATCCAGAGGGGAACGCGAACGTCATATGAGTGAGGATTGGACGTGAAGAATCGGCAAGATGAATCCCAGGCGCTTGGAAGGCCTCTTTTTTCTTTCAGAGCTATTCCGATCTGCTACAGAGCGTTGGCAACGTGGTTGTTGCTAGATCTTCTCGTAGCCGTATAGTTTGTATGGCCATGGTTAGGGCTCAAGGGCGGCAATTGGCATGTTCTGTTTCGCCCACAGCATCAGCCAAGAGTACATTTTGCAGAATGTCAGACAGCCTCTCTGCCAGTTACATCGAGCCGTTGCCTTTTCTTTGTCCCGTCCGGCTCCCGTTGGTGACTGCAGATGCATCGCATTATCGTGTCCAGTCGGCGCTAATGCAGCCTGCATCACCCATCACCACTCAACGTCGCGCTCCAAGCGCCCTCAATGCGACGGCGACAATGGCCTTTGGTGTGTTCGCTGCAGTCCTGCTTAGAGCATATATTATCGCTATAGTGCCCGCGCAGATTCTGCTGCGTCTGCGCTCTCGAAGCTCCGAATTGATGGCCTTTTCTGTTCTAGGACCAGTATTGGACACGGCATTATTGCCACGACAACTGAGAGCATCAGGCTGATTGCAGTCTACTCATACGTATCTTTGGATTAAGAGATCCCCGCCATGGACCTCGAATTCGAGGATATGCCCATAGGGGTTGTGGTGAGTATTATCCAGCAACCACTTTCACCCTGTGTTCCAGTGATCCTAACCGAATGCCTGTTAGCAACCTCTTCGATGTCAAAGAAAGTTGGTGCCTCCAGCACTCGTTATGAAGGATACAAAGCGGTTCTACCCGCGTAATACGACGGCAGGGAGGCCAGACTTGACCAACAGCACTGACTTTTATGACACGGAGTTTGAAATGGACGACCCGGAGACCCAGTCTCCCCCGAGAGGCAGCTTTGAATCGGTAAGGCAGGAGTCCCTTTGATTCCCTGGCATGAGCAATGGAAATGAATCTGATAGTTCCTCCGTCATCCAGTTCGGTCGAGACAGCGATTCCACCTTGTCAACCACCGAACTACCAACCCCGGAAAGCCATGGAAATGATTCCTTCGATTTTCAACCCCGCAAGGAGACAATCCAAGGCCCCAAGGGCCCCCATCTCTTCAGAGACTCCATTTCCTCATCGATTTATGCCCTGTCATCCGCTGAAATTGATCTCTACTACCTGAAGTCGCCCGCGTTCCTACCGAAGATGGGCGGAACCGCGGGTTACTCGACGCCAAATACGCCCGACTCGGCGAGGTTTATGCAGCAGGATGTTCTTTCTAAGACCGCTGGAGACATCCAATACTGGGGACCGAGCCAGATTGCGCACTGGCTATTCGTTTCGGGCTTTGATGAGTCTGTCATCGAAACATTCATCGCCAACGACATAACCGGATCCGTGCTGCTCAGCCTTCAAGGTGAGGATCTGAAAGAAATCGGCATCACTTCTTTCGGCAAACGCCACGAGCTCTTGAACCGCATCCAGAATCTGCGCCGGGCCACGCAGTCAGAGAAGAGTTCGCCGCGCAAGTACGATGGATGCAGTGCTTCCCCTAAACCACCCAGGTCACCCAAGAGGAGACCATACAGATATAACGTCTCGGCTGGACAGGCTACAAACCAGGAACCCGTTTCGATTGTCGGTATCGAGGAGGTCGTTCCAAAACCCCATTATTGCCCCAAGGGCGCGGATTGCCCTAAGTACCAGAGCGTAAAGCGACAGATGGAGCTGTTGGCTGCTGAACATCCAGGAGTGATCCTCAAGCCAGGTACTTCGATTATAGTTTCCAACCAAGGATATCCGGACATCCCAGGGACCTCTTTGCAACCAGACCGACTGTCATCAAACGCCCGGCCGTCGGTGGTGGCTTCGTCAGATGTCTTGGGCCCGTACACGGCGCCCGAGACGTTGTCTGAGGAGACTCTGAACAAGGTCGAGCATGTAGACCCTCAAGAAAGCGTGCGCCAATTCCTGAACTACCAACATGTCGAGCTTCGTCCAACCATACCACCAGAGGAACCTCCTAGCAGCCACCAACCTACTTCGGACATGGACAGCAATCTGCGCAGTCTTAGAGCAGGTGAAGGCGAGAGTTCAGCGGCTCAGCGCACCATCACTCTGACTGCCGTCCAGGAACATGGCCCATTCAGCAACGCGAAAACCCCTACCGGTTGCTACCGTCTGGGGACTCCATTTTCGGACTTCGACGTTCCTATCACCAATATCCCTGCCGGCCCTGTTCCTCGCGAGACCAGTCAGTCCGTTCCCCCAAGCATGCAGTATGGGAACATCTACCGGTCGTACCAGAGCCCAACGATGCGTTCCATGTCCACTGGTTCCGAACCGCTCGTCCCCCTACGTCCACTTCACAGCGCTGGCTTCCCCGCCGGCCAACGTCTTCGACCTGTAGAGGCCCCCGAGAATCTGCACCGTGGCTATCGTGCCCAGCAACAGAGATCCAACTCCTCGACATCCGACCCGGAAATAACCAAATCGGGGTGGATGAAAAAGCGCAAGAACGCGGGTTTCCTGCGCCACGAATGGTACGATGCCCATTTCACTCTAAAGGGCACGAATCTCGCCATGCACAAGGACGAGATCGACGCCCTCGTCAGCTCCAGAGCGCTCGAGAATATCGATATTGACGACTACGCTGTTGCTTGTTCGTCGCTGGCATCGAGCTCCAAGCTAACGGCCGCGTTGAAACGAGCTGTCCTTCGCAGTGGAAATAACTTGGGCCACGGCTCGGACGGCACTGCTTTTGCCTTTTCCCTTGTACCATCCGGCAAGGAGAATGAGAGAAAGGCACTGTTCGGCAAGGATAATATGAAGAGTCATCATTTTGCTGTGAAGTCTCGCGATGAGCGGATTGACTGGATGCGCGAACTCATGCTGGCCAAGGCTCTGAAGAAGGGCAAGGATAATGGTGACAAGATGTTTGTCAACGGCAATGCCATTTGATTTGTATCTTCATTTAAATTTGGTATTTTCTTTTTCCCTTCTCTCTCTTTTGGGTTTTCTTTCTTTCCTTTTTTTTTTTTTTTTTTTTTTTTTTTGATTATTTTATCGGGATTTTGTCACTCAACCCTGCCGACCTCGTCGCCGGACGATCGAGGTCTCTTCTCTGATACCCCAACGCCCTGAGGTGCATGATTCCCTTGATTTGTTTGAATCCTTGCTTCATTATTTATTTTGACAAAATTATATTATGATGGCTCCCATGTCTCTGTTTTGGGAAATGTTTGTTTAAAATGCGTGTCCTGTTATGACTGTTTAAAATGCGTGTCCTGTGATGACTATTTAAAATAACCATGACGATTACTGATTAATTCCAATATCATCGACGCTTTCACATCTTCTCGTTGCCAGTAGAACACTTAGCTGGAAATCTTGCGTGCATTGCGAGTCTCACTATGGGATTGACCACGGTCTTCTTCTGCGAAGATTGCACTGCACCAAGGAGGTCAACGAAGCCCCCTTATTGCCAATAGACCATATTATTACCCGATACTCCAAGTCTACTATCCTGCTCACACGTCAGCCAAGCCTGAGTATTGACACCTAGACCGTACTTCGAGGACTTGATCATGATATTAGACGTATTTGCGACTGGGCTGGAATATTCGACTGCCATCGCTTTCCGCGGCAGCCGAGCACTCCATCAGAATCGATCACTTGCAGGGATGTACGGCGTAGATACGCCAGCAGAATCCAGGCATCGACAAGCCAATAGCCAAGTAACAATGTTGAATGGAATGCCCGGGATGTCCAGGATGCGCATGTTTGAGCTCTGGCACGCACCATTGGTCGCCTCGAATCCAAAACAAGGCGTCCCTCGGCCTCCCCGCAGCAAACCGAACAGTGATGGATGGCAGAGGACGCCGTCTGGATCGGAATATCCCACGCAGCACGTAGTGTTCGAAACCTGCCGTATGTTATCATGCAGTAGCGGGCGATGGACGGCGGGCACATGACCCGCCTAGCCCCAAGGGAAGGATGTACCTACCCGTCCTGTGCAAAGCCGTGTGATGTTTTGGCAAGATCAGGAAGGTTGATGAGCTTCGGCATCCAGCGATGGGAGATAGATAGAAGGATCCGCGTGGGGTTGCCCGGATCGGCTAGGGAATATGCAGTGTTGGCAGCATCACAGGTCCTCGTGATGGGATGATCGGGATGGGATGCTGGATGTGAAGTGCGATGATAAGATGGGAAACAAACTGTTCATTATATATAGAAACAGGCTAGGCTATATAGACCGGCCGTTTCCCCTCCTCCCTCTGCCGATATTCTGTAAAGCGTCGTCAGGATTCCCTTCGAATATCAACATCCGCGTCTGCTCAAGCCTCCTTCCCTCGGTGGTCTAACGTTGGCAAGTGATCCTCGTCAGGTTCAACTGTCTATACGTAGATGGCTGTTTTCATTTTCACGCTCGACCCCATCCGGCTCCATTCGCATGTGTATACTATTTCGCTCTCCCAGCCGGTCATCAGCGAAAGTAGTAGTTCCAATCGAAGTACAGGTCCAAGTACAACAAGTACCACGGTTTCTCTCGTGAGCCATTATTCTACGTGAACGACTGGTAGTGTTGTTGCAAGAGTCAATCCAATTGCTATTTTACTGTCCAAAAATGGCCATTGAAATTGCCCCCTTGGATCAAGCCGATATTCCCGGCGCCGTAGACTGCATCCAGAGAGCCTTCGCGGATGATCCGGCGTTCAACTGGCTATTCGACGATCCTGACAAGGTATGTATTATCGATCAATCGATTGATTAATTGGGGTGAAAAGGAAATGGAATGGGGAACATCTAGGGTTAGGGTAGCTACCCTTGAATGGAACGATACCTCCCTCTGATTATTCTACTTCTCTTCCTCCATGCTCTCCTCCTGAACTCCTTGCATTAACACTCAAAAGTACAATGCCAAAAGGAACGCTGCCTCCCTCGCGGCAGACCTTTGGTATGGATTAAACTGCGGAGCCCCAATCCACGTCGCGAAGACCACCGCCCCTCCCACTCCAGCAAGCACACGCACCAGTGCCAGTCCCATCCCCGATGAAAAGCCCCGGGTCTCACCAATCGAGCATACCGACATGACCGCCCCCCGCGCCAGTCCGGAACGGACCCGGAGCCCCAACCGAATCGTAGGAGTTGCCGTCTGGCTCCCCCCCAAGCCCGCAGAGGAACCCGAAAGCTGGACCGTCTGGACACAGGAATGGATCCTCTCCCTCCGCCAGGTGCTGAATAACATCCGGTTCCTGGGCCGCGGGGGCCTGAACCTGCGACGCTACCGGATCTGGAAGGCCAGCCAGAAGGAGGCCCATGAGGACATCCTGTGGGATCCGCGGGGGTACTATTTCTGCACGTTCCTTGCTGTCAGCGCCGAGGCGAGGGGCCAGGGTGTTGGCAGGAGGCTGGTGGATATGGTCACTAGCGTTGCGGATTTCGAGGGCGTTCCGTGCTACCTGGAGAGCTCCAAGGCCGTGCCGAATGTGGCGATTTACCGGAAGATGGGGTTTGAGTTTGTTCGGGAGGTGAAGTCTGTTGATGGGGACGATGTCTGCACGGTATGTCGTTTCCTCGTTTCTCGTGTTTATTCCTGCGTATGATGCTAACCGGCTTCAGCTTTATGCCATGGTGAGGAGGCCCAGAAGGAAGGCCTGAGGAGATGAACGTAGCATCGAGGGTTATATCTGGACTGTCTTTACAGAACATCCGTAGCGGTTGTACACTCGTTTAGGTAGTCAAACGCTTCAACGACTTTCAGAATCATATCACCACGGTTTCGACTGGAAACCTGGCGCCTAAACAACTGCCTGGGCTGCCGGCCATGTCTTCCTTGATCCGCCGGTGGTTTCCCTGCCCCTCGCATTTCAGGGATAGCCGTAGCTGACTGGTCATTATGTCTATTTCACGGCCACTGTGCCTGAATGCACCCATTCCGTACCTGCCACCTTGACCCTGGGTTCCTTATCCTCGTTGAAAACCGCTGATTGTCGATGATGGACGGACCACGGGGACTAGCGTTGCCCAATACGGAAATCCTGTCTTCTTCAGCTTCAGCCTTCCGGTCCCACTTTGTTATCATCGGGCTGGCATTTTTCCTTGGCAGCTTAGAAGACTGCTAGTCTACGCGTCTGAGACGTCATCTTCACCGTCAGCACCCCTGCATCCATCCCTATTCGGTCACTGCACCGAGCCTGAAGCGGCACCATCCCGGGGCCCATCGTTGCATTATAATTGTCGATCTACTTTGCTCCCGGAAAACGGAGATCGCTTGGCTTTTCCCTATGTTCCAGCTAAGCCACGTGGAAGAAACCGGATCGTCGTGAGGGCCCGCGGTCCGCAAAAAAGGGCCAAGGGGAATAGCCGGGTGAGCATACGTTGTACTTGCTGTCCGGATGGGAGTATATCAACTGCTGGTGTTATCGATGCCCGAAACATTTTTAATTTTCATGCAAAGAGGTGGGATCACGATTCTCTTTGCTGGAGGCGAAGAAGGGCCTAGGCTTACTGGCCCGGGGCCTTGCCGAGACTGAGTCGATGTGCCCTTGAGGAACCCTAAGCAATCTCCCTCAGCAATCTGGGTGTCCGATGATACACTCCTGGCCTGCTCCTGGCCTGCTCTTGACTTGTTACTCCCATGTGAACGTGAAGCGCATCGCCGGAGGCCGGGAGCGCCATGATTTGCAGACGGAAATCGGAAAGCCGTTGATACTCTATATATAGCCTATGGAGCCAGGCAGCACTGACTATCCAGTGTAATATTGCGTCTGGTGATTCTCGAACTGTCCGTCTCTGCCGGACGACCTGTCCAAAATGCACGGCCCAACCAGCCGATTTATGATCAACAATCGGTTTGAACTCTGGATATCCACTTCCGGAGGCATATTATACTTGTACGATACACTGCCTCGACAACCATGGCTGAGTTCCTCGGATCCGTGGCCCAAAAGGTGAAACATCCCCAACCACCGGAACCCTGCGTCAGTTCAGCCAGGGCTAGTCATAATATAATCTGGACTGGGCGCTGGCTCGGCTGTCGGAGCCGTCCAGCGCAGGAGAAACTCGTCCATTGGCGCATGGCAACCAGGGACCGTACCATCTAGATATTGGCTGTAGGATATAATGGATATAATGAACAGCTGCTGTATCATAATATTTCTTGGCGCATGCTTCTCGTGTGGCCTCCGATCTGCAGGGTGATTCGTGTCTCCGACTTTCTCTTTCCCCCCCTCTCCCCGCTGTCTTCGGAGGTAGCACTCTGTCCATGGATATTCTTCACCATACCACCATACTTTCTTCCTGCCTAGGTACATATCTCTTATCTCCGCCATGGGTCTCAGCACAGCCGCGATCATCGTCATCGTCATCGTCTGCTGTCTAGCCTTCGTCTCCATGGGAGCAGCGCTCACCCGCAACTGGAACCCTCCCAGCGGTGACTCGCGCTACCAGCCTCGTCCGGAACAAGACCATTACATGCGCACGGTGCGGATGAGGAACTATAACCACTTGCGGCAGGCGTCGATGTCTGCGAAGGAGAAGGATCTGGAATCGCAGTGTACTTTCTTTCCTTTCTGCGTGGTTTCGACCGGGTTCGCATGCTGATGGCTGATCGTTCTCGCTAGACACGGGAGATTGACAATCGTCGCACCTATAGTGGAACTCTGCGTGCTTTGAGAATGCTATATACCGACGGACGATATATGACGGGATACGATACGATTCGACGCAATCCGGTAAGATGAATGTTCAACGCAAACAGCATGGTTATGGTTTTGTGTTTTCGACAGGCTCTGGCGTTTGTTGCATTTCCGGGGTTATGATGGATGGACGGACGGGATATGGTGACGGGGTCCATTTCCTTGATTGAACGAATATTGTTTCCGAAAACGTCCCTGCTATGGCCAGTATGTGCTACACCATAGTGGAACACAGGGGCCCTCCGGCCCAGGAAGACTAGGATCCGTCGTCTGGCGGGATGACTCTCATTTCTCAAGGGACCAGCCGTGCGCATCCTCCCGATATGCTTCTTCCTCTGGATAAGAAGACATTTCTCGTCCAGGAGATGTCTCCGAAGGTGTCAATTGATGGTTGTACGAGTCCGCTAGCGAAGACACAGCCAGTCCTAGTCTCCAGCCCTAATCTGCACCCGTCGGATCGAGGACTACGCTGCGATGGATACATTTCTAGTGCTCAACCCACCGCAATAGATTATCTGGAGGCTTTCTTATACCTTTCGGGAAATGCGTTCAGCAAAGGAACGTCTGGCATGGTTTGAAAGCTTGTATGTGTTTCGTTTAGTTGCAACCGTGAAGCTTGCTATTAAGGGGGAATCAATCTGCTTTTATATCTCCGCAAGACTGATTAATTTGGTCTATTTCACCGCGCCTGGCTGTACGTGTCCGTTCCCAAGCAGCCTAGCCCTGTCGCTCGGTCTCCGTCAGAGCCAAACTGCCCACGGCAGTAGTGTGCATCCCTTTAAGACACTGCCCCGCTGGGCACACTCTAAAGCCAGCTGCCCTTCTCCCTTGCTTTGGCAGAAAGCCGCTTGGCAATCGAGTAAAGCATAATCCATAGGCACATCTTGCAAGGCATCAAACATCAATCGAACGGCCTGTACTTCCTCATCCGCCATTACCAGCACCCTCGCCAGTAGCGACGAAACCTCGACATCTCGTGTACGGAGCTTTTCGAAAAGATTGATTCCCGACGTATACCGACCGGTAGTGTGGATATACTTCAACAAACCCGACGTTAGATGGTTGCTGACGGTGTTGGGAACTTGCGTGACTGGATCGGAACTGAGCTGCCTGCCTGTAACCTCGTCAGCAACACAGGGACCATCGGAGCTTGGACTAAGAAAACCGTACCCATAAAGAAAAGCCTTTCAGCTGCATCCAGGAATTTGTGTTCCATCTCCGTATTTGTGATGGGATTGAATCGACGGACCCCAACGATCTTCCTGATGGCATCACCACTCCCATCATCCGCATACCAGTAGGCTCTCAGAATCGCACATAGGAATGTCTCCAGCCACAGCGCATCAGTAGCAACGCGCTTATCCCCACGCTCATCCATGCAGGAGCTCTCTAAACTACCGGGAATCTTGACTTCAACGCGCATATCGAGGTGGGAAGAGGCATTGTAGCAACTGAACCATTGGTCAGCAATTAACTCAAAACGCATATATCGCCTTTGCGGATGATCTAACCAGTAAATCCCAGAAACCACTTTATGTGTTTTGTCCAGAGGAGAGTACGTAAGGGTATTCACATAAGCAGCCAAACTGGCAGAAGAGGAGGCGTCGATTCCGGTGACATGGTGGTAAACGCCGGTCTAGGACATGAAGTTGATCAGTATAACCAGCACCACCTCCTCAATTCGCCTTGAAAGGCAAGGAAAGCAAAAAGATGGCGATTCCTAAGCGTACCTGACGATCTGGATGAGTCTTGTGCTGCTTCACTAAGTACGCCAAATCTGGGGGTCCATCCATGTATGACACATAGCATGGCGGAGTCTGTCCCGTGTAGTCCTTGAAATTGCCTGGGCAGGACATCATGCCTGGCTGTGAACATGCACACAAGCTTTATTTCCCCGCTTTAGACGGCGTAGAACAGAGCCACAGCGTCCAGGCTTTGTTGCCTTGAAAATGCGTGAAGTGTACCGACACATAGCCACTTGCCGCTGCATTCTCTCCCCAAGTTCCCCATCGTAAGATCTGTATCTCTCAGTATTGTTGCGACGGTTCGATTCCCATCTTTGAAGAACTGGGTGAACAAGGGAGCAGAGCAAGCCCTAATCCCTCATAGCAGATCCCAGACCTTCACCACCCCCTCCTGCGGTCGAGTCAATGCCACCTCCATTTTGCCATAAAGTAATGGCATGTTGATACCAATATTTGCAGCGGGCGTGCGGCTTGTGCTTGGTGCTCAATCCAACATATCGGTCAGACCAAGCGCCACGGACCACGTATCGGGACTCCAGTTTCGAATATTAGGGCTAGCGCGTGAAGAGTACAGGGGAACAGAAGCAAAGAAGGGAATTATTCCACCTTAAATAGCCTCAAAGTAGACATATCCAGACCGGTTTAATCGGCTTCATTAAGCGCGCGCATAGAGTGTTGAGTCAGTAGTCAATCTAGAAAGGTCAGATTTAATCCCATTGCGGGTCTTATTCGGACAACAGATCGTTCAATACCCATGATACTCCTGGTTCCATGTGGTTTATGCATTCCATAGAACCCTTACATACTGCATGTTCCATGGAGTCTAGGGATCTATTCCACTCAACCCGGGGATGTTCCCCCATGAGGGAGAATGCATATCCAAGCACCTCGGGCTGGATTCCTTGAGAATAGACAGCTATGATGATGCAAGAGGAAGAACCTGAACCAGGCCATCTAGGCGACGATGGTTCTTTGTGGAACCGTCACTGTCCTTGTCTTTCCGGAGCTGGTCAGCATGAACCTGGAGACGTGCAATCCAACGAACCTGCCATCCGGCCAGGGCCATTATCGTCTATTATTTTGCACGAGCTGTACATCGATACCGGATACATCGGGATGCCCTGCGAATCAGGGCAGTGGTAGGTTACATGGATAGTGAGTCACAGAGCTGAGGCTCTTCGAAATGAAACGCCAATAACAGCGCCAGATAGAAGCAATAGCCCAATGGCACATGCATATACGAGCAACGGCGCGTAGCTAGGCTGCAGTGGACGGTGGATGGAATGCGGGTGCTGTCCGAACGTGCTCCCCGGCTCCATTTTGGATTTCATGGTCAATACCTGTCTGGTATTTGAGAGCAGCTATTTGTTGCCCAATTTGAAGCTGCAGCCGCCGTATCCACAGTCTGTTGCCGGTTGGGACGTACAGATTGAAAAACAAGGACTATTCATGCCCCCCATACCAGGCCGTAGCGAGTGCTACCTTTCTTTATGCCCCTTGGACTAGTACAGCAGCCCGTAAGCATATAAGTCAGACGCCCCTGGTTGTTCTTTAGTATTTTCGTTTGTTCGTCCACGCAATTGAACCGGGTTTCTCACAGCTGTTGGAACCGTATATACCTCAAAATGCAATTCAAATCCATCGCTATATCCCTCTTCCTAGCCGTCGCCAGCGTAACGGCATCCGACAACTCGGCGTATGCTTCCTAGCTTTGATGAAATGACTAATATCCGGTGACTAAATAACTAATAAATCTGAAGCATCTCCTACCTCTCCGAAATAGGCATCACGGGCGTCACCAACGGACCCACGGCGACCAAACTTGCCCACGCCCTCCAGTCCGTGTACTCATCCTGGGAGGACGATAAGAGCGTCAAGAGCGCCTACAGCGTCATGCAGACCGCCGTTCCGGACAAAGTATGGCATTCCATCGCGTCCAGCGGTATCAGGGACTTCACGACCACGAACCCACCGAGCTGGTTCACGGGTCTGCCGAAGGACGTGAAGAAGGAGGTGTCTAGAGAGTTGAGTATACTTGAATCAGTTGAAACGAGTGTGTTGAAGATCAAGACGAATGCGGCACCGGAGCCTACGCCGGCGATAGCCTTGGGAGGGGCTGCTGTTGCGGGTGTTTTGGGGGTTGTTGCCGTGCTATAGTGGAGGTTGCCTGCGGTGTTGGCATTCACTCATGGATGATGACGATGGGTATATTTAATTCATGTTGATCAGTTGACCAGTTGCCTTATTGGAAATGCAAGTCTTATTCACTGTACGGTTATCAGACTTTTATATCTTTACTCCCAGTCGAGTATCTCACGACAGACACGATGTAGCATGCACATACCAGCAGCAATATGGCACAAACAAGAATCACCCACGGACAAGCAGGTACAGCCCCATCAGATGTCGAACTTGTATGACCGATGAACTGACAGATTGTGTTCAGAACGCGTAGACGCAGCTGCATCCCTCTTCAGCCACACCTTCCAGGATGACCCAGCCATCGCATACCTGTTTCTCAACGTATCCCATGAAGAGCGCGTATCGTTCCTTGAGTCCTATTTTAAACGGGGCATCAAAGCGGCCGTCCTGAACGACTCCCTCATCACCGAGATCGATGACTGGAAAGCGGCCGCTGTAATAGTGCCGCCCGGAGCGTCCTTGGAAGGCTTCTCGACGATGCTAGCTTCAGGGATGCTCAGTGTAATGTGGCGGATGGGCATTTCGGGATGCTGGGTGTGTTTGAGTATTTCATGCTTCTACGCTCATTGATCTGTAGACTGAACCAAGCTAATGGATTGAATCAGCGATTATTGACGGACGTCGCGCCGCAGGTAGATGCCGCGATCAAGAAAGCATTTAAAGACCAGCAACCGCGGTACTACTATCTCTATGCTATCGGGACAGAGCATCAGCATCAACGCAAAGGTAAGGAAGCCCTCCTTTACCCAGGACCGGGAGCGATATCGCCGGAATCGGAAGACCAACAGACAGAATTCAACAGGCCTCGCCAAGGCAATCATCAAGCAATACCAGGAAATGGCGCAGAAAGACGACACGCCCATCTGGCTGGAGGCATCCAATAGACAATCTAGGGAGGTCTATCTAAAATTGGGCTTCCAAGATGTTGAAATACTTACGTTCGGGAAGGGGAAAGTGTCCCCTGAAGGCATGCGCCAGCCGGGAGGCCCAGGGGTTCCGGTTTGGGCGATGATTTGGTGGCCGAAACGGCATGAGGAGACCTGAATATGGACATATCCAGTATCCTATAATTTCTGTTAAAGATGGGCGGGATATCATCGACGGACATTGCTTGTATGATGCCACTCCAAGCCAGCGCAGATCGTCATGCCGATGGAAAGCCTGCCCTCCGGGGTAATCCCCGCAATCTTGGGGTAAAACTACCCGAAAGCACCGAAGAGGATTCCTTATTTTGCGGAAGAGGGCGACAGGCGCAAATAAGGTAACCTGTGTTGCTGCTAACTTGGCTTAATGTAAGGCGATGCGAGGGATGGAGATCAAGTACGGAGTCTTATATCCTTGTATAACCAGCCCCTTTCAACCATCAGGGGAGACAGAGCATAGCATATATTCTATCAAACAAGATGCATTTCTGGAAACATAATTTTCGCGGGATGACATTGCTCCTCGCCATCATGATGGCCTCATGCCAGGCTTTCCTTCTTCTGGGGTTCGATCAGGGTATATCTTTTGCCACTAATAATGCAAATAGTCATTATTGCTTGACGCTGGCTGTTTTTTGAAGGGGCTGTTATCATTGCATATTGGCATGGTCATCTCAATATATGAAATGATACAGCAATGCTAAGAAATCCCTTCACAGGCTGTGTTACGGGACCACTTTCACCTCGTCCTCGTTCGAATGGCGCTTGCCCCTTGCGTTCCAGTCGGTATTTGCCATCTGTTTCGTCCTACAGATCATTGGACTCCCCGAAACGCCGCGTTGACTGGTCCGACGGACGCTGCTGATGATCTGCTCTGCGGGACTCTGTCTGTGCTTTGCCGCGGTTTCCATTCTCTTGTCCCTGCAAACCAAAATACCGCGTCCGGCGCGACGGTGTTCGTGTTCGTTCTTCAGATCTTCTACGGTGTCGGGTGGTTGCCTGTTGCGTCTGAGATTAACACGACGCGGCCCCGGGCCCGGGCCTGGATGCAGGCTATTGCTTTGGGATGGAATTGGATGGCTGTTTTTGCTGTTGTGAAAGATTACGCCTATTGCATTTAGTGGGTTTCTTTTTCTCTATCTTTTTTTTTCTTTCTTTTTTCTTCGCCCTTGCTGCCGGAAAGAAATTGACTTGATATGATAATAGACAACATCGGTTGGCGAACATTCATCGTCTTCGCTGTCCTCAACGCCGCTTTCCTGCCAATGGTATACATCTTCTACCGCGAAACAAAAGGGTTAGAATTTGAAGATATCCCGCTGCTTTTTGCAAGAGGAGGGTCCACGGGTGGTGTCTTCAGCTCCAAGGGAGCAGGACGGTGGCTCCTCGTCAGCATGGAGGTGATTCAGCAGCAATGGAATGCGGCGCCAAGGGACGGATGACAACAATTTCGCAGCCATGCCAACTAGTGGAATCGACCAGAGCACATTAAACGATCGAAATACATGAAGAAGCAAAAACAAGGTTGCCAAGCGCAGCAGCTCAAAGCAAAAGCCGCAACACCTGCCAATTAGGGCAAGGGGTGTTTTATTATGTCTGCCATTCCTGCGTCTAATATACAAATTAGCACGCCATGCTGACTCCGAGGCAGTGCTTGATGGGGACACGACTAGTTCTTACATTCTGCCAGTTAGGGCTGGACCCGGCAGGAGCAACCAGGTATCTTGAGAAAAAGAAGGTACGCATCTTTATTAGTGGTTTCTGTTTAGAACCTCGATATCAGTATTAGAATATAGGCACACTCCTCCAGCTTCTGACGTAACTGGAGCTCCTTACCATTGAAGTATATGGTCCATCAGCAAGGCCCAGAAACCAGTAAGAAGGCCGGGATAGTGCTTCTCCTCCAGTATCGGCGATTCTCCGAGACTTGGCTGGAACAGTCTTTTCCGCATGGAGCGGATCCGCAAGTCGAAGAGACTCTCAGAGACTCGCAGTCCTGTTTACTCCGCCGTGTTGAGAATGCGGGGATGAAGAAGCGTCCTGTGACTTTACCCCACAAGCGATAAATGCGGGGTTTGTGAATTATCCGGGGTAGATGGCTCAGGTATAAATTAAGATGGCACTCTTCAATCCTCCGCCAACGTCTACCTCGTTCGACCAACTTACATGTACTGCAATAGTACAATAAAAATGGCAGCTGTAGCTCCCCCCGTCCTCTCTCGCAACCGGATTGAGCCCGGTTCCTTCAACGTCCCCGTGGGCAAACTGCCCCAGTCAGCAACAACAACCTCCCTCGACGCAGACAAGGTCGCAACAGAGCTCATCTCGCAGCTAAACTCTTCCCTATCGAAGAGGGACTATGACGCCATCTCCGATCTCTTCCTCGAAAACGGGTACTGGCGTGACCATCTCTGTCTCTCGTGGGACCTCCACACATCCAAAGGGAGAGGACAGATCTCTGACTTCCTCCGCAAGAACCGCCTACCTATCCAGATCGAGATTGATCGGTCCTCCTCCTTTCGAGCTCCCCAGATCGCGCCTATTGATGGCTTTGGGGATGTGAAGGGGATTCAATTCTTCGGGACGGTCGTCACGGATGTCGGATTAGGGCAGGCTGTTGTGCGCCTGGCGGAGGAGAAGGATGGGAAGTGGAATATTTTTACTTTGTTTACCTCCTTGCGTAAAATAAAGGGTCACGAGGAGTTGGTTAATCAGCGACGACCGAAGGGTGCTCAGCATGGAGCTCGTTCGAAGAGGGAGAACTGGCAGGATCGGCGGGATGCTGAGGTGAATTTTGAAGGAAAAGATCCTGCTGTTCTTATAGTTGGTGTGTATTCTCCCATTCATCCGAATAGATACTTGATGGGCTGTCTTGACACATCCCAGGTGCCGGGCAAGGCGGCCTCACAGCCGGTGCGCGTCTTAAAATGCTCGACGTCGACACACTCATCATCGACGCTGAAGATCGCATCGGCGACAATTGGCGTCGAAGATACCACCAGCTCGTCCTCCATGACCCCGTCTGGTTCGACCACCTGCCCTACCTCGAGTTCCCGCCAAGCTGGCCCATCTTCACGCCAAAGGACAAGCTGGCTGATTTCTTCGAGGCCTATGCCAAACTCCTCGAGCTGAACGTCTGGGTCAAGACAGGCATCAAATCCGCAACCTGGCACGACGACAGGAAACAGTGGACGGTCGTCTTGGAGCGACGCAAGGAAGACGGCTCCACCGAACTCCGCACCTTTCACCCACGCCATATTATCCAAGCCACCGGCCACTCGGGGAAGAAGAATCTGCCCAGTTTCCGTGGGGTAGAGACGTTCAAGGGCGACCGTATCTGCCACAGTTCTGAATTTCCGGGAGCCAAGCCGAATTCCAAGGGGAAGAAGGCCATCGTTGTGGGATCGTGCAATTCCGGTCACGACATCGCACAGGATTACTATGAGAATGGATACGATGTGACCATGGTACAGCGGAGTTCGACCTGCGTCGTGTCTTCCCAGTCCATCACAGATATCGGTCTCCGGGGGCTCTACGACGAGAACGGCCCACCAGCCGACGACGCTGATCTGATCCTCTGGTCCTTCCCGACGGAGGTATTCAAGGCGCAACAGGCCAAGATCACGGCACTTCAAAACAAGAACGATGCCAAGACTCTCGAGGGCTTGAAAAAGGCCGGGTTCCAGGTGGACAATGGCCCGGATAACGGCGGGTTGCTTGTGAAGTACCTCCAGCGGGGAGGCGGGTACTATATCGATGTCGGTGCCAGTCAGCTCATCGTCGACGGGAAGGTCAAAGTGAAGCAGGGACAGGAGATTGCCGAGATTCTGCCGAACGGGATCAAGTTCGCGGATGGCTCTGAGTTGGAGGCCGATGAGATTGTCTTTGCAACGGGGTATCAGAATATGCGGACGCAGGCACGGATTATCTTTGGGGATGAGGTTGCGGACCGGATTGGGAATGTCTGGGGCTTCGATGCTAACGGGGAGATGAGGACTATCTGGCGCCGTAGTGGTCTTCCGGGATTTTGGTTCATGGGGGGCAATCTGGCCCTGGCGAGGTATTATTCTCGGATTCTGGCGTTGCAGATCAAGGCATTAGAGATTGGTGCTGCTGTTTAGATTGGAGTTCGGGATATATGAAGGCAGACGTATGAAGATCACAGTTGATAGGAGAATGCCAGAGATCCAGTTCAATTTGTCCAGCCTCTCTGCAGCGCTATCCAGGTCCCAAAAGTGACGACTAGAGTATACATCATCCCCTCCCAGTCTTTATCCACATATGCCTGGCCGTCCAGGTCGAACCCAAACACCCCAGGCGCCGACAGACATGCCTTGAACTCCTCGTACGCACCACTCAGCCCCTGGTCCAGCGAGAGACTGATACTCCGTCGATCAACAGACCCAATAGACACACTTGCCTTGGTCTCCAGATTAACTATCTTCATGTCGAACGTAGCATTAGCATCCTCCCTCTCCTCCTCGGTGGTGGTCGAAGACATCGATAACCGCGGCGTAGCAGCAGTCGACGCAGACCCGTGCGAACTCCGTCTACTCTTCCGGCGTCGTCGTCTCTCCACCTTTTCACATTGCACGATGATATGCAATCCCCTGTCATCCGCAACCGTAAACCGGTAGACATCGTCCGAGGCCGTTGTGGCCTTCCACATCCGGCCGTGACGGAGGTATATCCGGCCCTGGCCCCCGTCTGCGGACTTGGTGGGTGTCCGAATCACAGCTACTATGTGGTTCTGCCAGTGTATCTGATCCGGTTGTTCTTGGTCCTGCTTCTGTTTCTGCTTCCGCTTCGTCTTGTTGTTTTGTGAATCCCCGTCCCCGCTCAAGGCAACGGACGCCTTAGTTCTCGCCTTCTTGTCCCCTTGCCGTTGACTCGCGGCTCGTGAGGAAAACGCCATGTACTCTCCTGTCTGCGTGATGTAGTAGTCCCGCCGAGTGAGGCGTGTGCGGTCCGGGAACTCGCCTGTTCGGAGCACCTTGGTGGGTGCGAAGAGGGAGGGCTTCCATACCTCCAGGACGGGGGCGGGGCGGCCCGTTCGCGGGGAGAGCTGCTGGATCTGCAGGCGTCTGAGCGGGGAGATGCGGAGGGTTTGTTGGACGTGGTATTTGGGGGGTGGACTGGCCAGGGGGAATATGGCCAGGGGGCTTTGGATGATGGAGTTTTTGCGGCCGTTGTTATTGTCCATGTTCATTGCCAATATAAAGCGTAGCAGACGGGCAGGAGACCAGAAGGATATAACTAGGCATAATAATATAACATAAGAATATACAGTGCCGTAGGGTAAATAAACCAATTGACCCTGTACTACCTGGAGCAGGTATATATATACACCCCCTGCGTCATCTTAGATTATTGTGTAGCCTGGATGCCATTGGATCTGTCTACACTGGGATTATGATTTTTCATTATTATTATTATTATTATCATCCATCGATTAAACTTCCTCTAAACGAGTGCGAGGAGAATACCGCATCGGGAAAACAGGATGCTGCGAATTAACACCGGCCTGTCCAACTCCAATCCGATGGACCCAAAGACCGAACCCAGACAAAAATCAGCCATACTCCTCTGCCTGGAATAGGGCTGAAGGGGCTGTTCCTGGCCTGTTTTTGTTTTGCTGAGTCCCGACGCATTGCAGCCAGGCACCAGGATTGATCTCCTGATGGATCTCGGATACTCCAGAGTCCTACACCACAGAACGTGGCTCGCTGTATTCTGCTGCCTGCCTGCATTCCTTTCTGTCGTATCTTCGTCTCGCATAAGTATCCCTGGTTCTTCGCATGCTCCGCGTACAGCCCCGCGTATAGCTCCGCGGTCCTAACGGGCCCGTTGATCTCCGTCGCCGTGCTCCGTGCTCCGGCAACGTCAACGACAACGGGCACACCATGTCAGCATAGTCGTGCTGTCCGTCAACGTGGTGACTTTATCGCTCAGTGATTACCACGCTGACTGACAGGAAGCTTATATCCGGTTCATGTGCTCCGATGCTGCGGCTGGAACACCCTGATTCACCCGGACGAGAGACGGGGAATATGCGGCGCTGCAGCTGCACCGCCTCATCAAGCTGTTCTTCGGCTCTTCTACCGTCGAGATTTTGCGACAGACAAGCCCACAGGCCGCAGAAGAGCTACCGGATATGCCCGGTTCAGAACCGGATTGCTTACGGAGATTTTAGCGTGCCGAACGGTCCCAAAATCATGGCAGTGCGTTGTTCCGTGAAGTCTCGTCTTCGTGTCAGCACGTCTTCGCGTCAGCACGTCTGGCACAGCTGTCTCGAACGGTGAAAGAGGCGATGAAGGCGAATGGGAGAATGTCAGACATCCCCGAGTTTATGCCTCTTGACCATCGCCATGCCCCTCCTCCAAGCCGTGGCGTGCGTCATGCATGCCGCCAGCCACCATTCCATCGCATGCGCAATCCAGTCCCCACGGGCTAAAGGAAGCAATCTACAGACTCTACGCGGACGTGAGGCAGTGCCATACCTGGATCTGACAGAGAAGGTTCATTGCTGAAGAGGTTCGCACCGACAAGGCCATCCGCAGCGCCTGCATCCCGTGCAGCACTGTACGCCTACAGCCTCTCTCGCGTCGCGCACCACCATATAAACCTCGTATTCTCATCCCCCCCAGCCTGTGTCTGGCTCATCTCCAGCGCGTCCTCCTGTTCGAAAAGCCCCGCCTCGACGGTCCATCTCGTCCCCGACCTCTCCCCGACATCGCACCAGAATCCCTTGATCGTCTCGATATTATGTCGGTAATGTGCGCGCGTTGCGTCCACCACGTACCTCCCCCCCAGCAAACTCCCCAATTGCGACCCGGCAATCATAACCCCTCCCTTCTCGCGACAGAGATCGACCAGCCGCGTCGCCACAAGAACCTGGTCCTCATAGTCCCATAGATGGAACAATGAACCGGCCCAGATAATGTCGATCTTCCCGTCCAGCGTCTTCGCAAGGGGGCATTGGTGGTAGACATCCGACGGGGCGAGCAGATCGCCCGTGACGAAATTCCCAGCAAGCGCATCCCTATCCCGGAATAGTTGGAAGCCAATGTCGATGAAGGACCGCTCGAGATCGCTTCCGTGGAGCTGTCGTGTGGGAATGCCTTGGCTGGCTAGATATCGGACTTCTTGGCCGACGCAGCAGCCCACGTCGAGGAAGTGTGTGCTGGGTTTGAAGCGGAGGAGGTCGAGGATGCGATCGTAGACGGGCACGCGGGGGAGCTTGAAGGACAGGAAGCGCATGGATCCGAGACATGGGTAGGGGTAGACGTTGAATGCTTTGTCGCGCTGTTTTATTCAGTGTCCGCGCGCTGTAGAAGAGCAATAGGGATGGTAATGACCGACCACCGCAAGCACATGAGGAAGAACCTCGTCCGGCTGGATCTTGGAGTAGCTCTCCAGCAACCACTGCGCTTCTGGGCTGATCTCCGTCACATCCTGCTTGTACCATGATGGTTTAGTATTCGCTGGGTTGCCGTGGCCGTGGCCGTGGCCGTTGACGTTGACGTGTTCGGTCGACATGTCGAAGGAATCCAGCAATAACAATGTCGATTCCTATTCGCCCTGAAAACCAAGCGTATCGTACTTCATTAGTTTTGTCTATTCCCGGACATCCTGGGTTTATATCCGTTCGACCTCGGTTCTTGCGTCACCACCAGAATGGGCGATAATCATGCCACCCCCGCAGTTCGAGAACGACTGCCGCTCGGAATCGCTGGAGGAAAACGGGCTGTGGGAAAGTTTATTTCGGTATTCTGTGGGGGTTTGTTATCTGCTTCTTAATATGATGGTTGCATGGCTGGCGGTTTCGCACGGGTTATGAATGAACTGGACATTGTCCCATGCATATGAGAGTTGAGGGGTTGACTATAATAAAACCGTTGGCTCAACAGCCCTAATCTCACTGATTGCCATGCCCTAATGAGGACTATTGCTCGCGCTTACGGCCAGACATCATGGAGCATACATGTGTCAGTGGTCGGCAGCGAAAGAGGGTCTCATACTGGTAACATCCTCTGTTTGTGCCATCCGGGCCAGTCTTAGGGCTTAGGGCTTTGGCTCATCATATGGAGGTCGCCCGGTGACAGCGTTATAGATCATACAGCCGCCATTGCAAGGCAACACTTATTGTTTATTTATGTTATTTATGAAACAGGAGATAGTGACGGAGGCAGACGTTCAAGACATGGGATATCAGCGCACTGGAAGACTGCTAGGAAAGAATCAAGGAGTCCTGTTCGGTAGTTCTTGGGCTTATTGGAACATTGCACTGATCCATGCTACATCGTACATCAGAAGCCCTAACCCGCAAAGCAAAATGATTTCTTCAACTACCATTTCTTCGTTCATTTGCTGAAAGAAGAAGACTGGTCCGGACTATTGAAGATCGCCAAAATGGCGTTTCGTAGCGTTGAAGATGTGGGACCATTTTCGGAGGCTGGCCGAGAGGAATGGACCGAATCCAACCCTGGTAAAGGACGGCCGGTTCTCTTGAAAGTTCTGGAAGGTGGAAATTGAATTGCTAATGAATATTACATTAGGATTACATCTGCAGAAACTCGCCGAGGATCTGCAATCAATCAGTCTTCAGCCGTGTGTAGATCCGAAGCTTTTTCCTAAATCGGAAACCCAAAAACAAAGACGGGCTCCGCTGCAGCTAGCTAGCAGCATGAACATGTCGTATCCCGGCGCTTATGCTTAAATGAGTTCGCAGCTCACGGAACTATTCAACAGATATGTTAGCACCTAATGCGTTAACAGACGTGGGCCCTACGGCACAGCTATGCCAACAACGTATTACAGATCATATCCCACCGCAGGACGGTGGAGGTTAAGCAACGTGTAATATGCAGCTACGCGGGCGCCTGGTTCATCCTGTACTTACTTAGTACAGCAGGGCCTCAGGGGGAATAGTCAAATGCAACCTGTGTGTGGATCCGCGATGGGTGCTATCGGGAGTCGGCCACATGGGATAGATATTCTTGAAGCGTAGCGGAACGAGTGGATTGCATAGTCCAGAGATATTAGCAACAAGCGGCAGCCCGTGGAATCGGATCTCTTGACAAAATTGCCAAAAAAGCAGCCCGGAGAAGCCGGCTGACTAGGCGTACAATGTGAACATGGACAGGCGTGCATCAATGAGAACTGGCTGAAAGGTCATGCCCAGGATGCGAGGCAGACACCAAATATCATTCATCTTAACCAAATCTGTCTACAAAGACTATGATAGCACACAGTAACCGAGAAGGGAGGACGATCTGCCACATCATGCAGCACTCTAGAATTGAAGACCCGATCCTGCATGCCGTACCATCAGCATATAATCATCAGCAGAGCCAACATGAGCCCGGACACCAGTAGCCCCATACTTCCTCCTTTAGAAAACCGAATGTCTGCTCCAGACTCCGCGGACGGCCCGGAGGAATTGGTCGAGGAATTCGCGGATAGGCGCTCATACCCACAGATCCCAGAGTTGTTGAGACTCTTGCTAGGATAGAACACCCGCGGTCCACCATCACTCAGACTGACGCGGAGATCCCCCGACGAGGAATCTGTAAGAACAGATTCACACGAGAGGATCTCCGTAACGTTCTGTCCAGGATGGAATCCCGTTCCGTTGGTTGAGAGGACGAGCGAGGTCTCGGATGAATCACTGCTGGGATTAGAACCCAGGTTCGATAAGACCGCGACCACCTGGTTCCCGGCGTAGCCTTTGCGGAGAGCCACGACGTGCGATGTGTTATAGATTGGATACGAGACGAACGTGGCGTATTCCCTGCTGCCGGATGCATCTTCCGTGTACTGCTGTCCATCCTGGATGGCGTAGGACCGGATTCGGTTTAAGGACTGGACGAGCGCGGGAAGAGGCGTTGATGTATTGTCGTAGCCGGTTGACCACAGAGGTTCACGGTTGACCGGGTTGTAGGCTCCGTCGAAATGCTGCTCCTCGCCGTAGTATACTGTCCTGGCTATTAGCACGAGCAAAGGGGGGACCATACGAGGCGGGAAGCAAAACAGCCAGACGTACAGACTGGGATGCCATCACCGAGGATATTGTAGGTAATGATGTTCTTCGCAAGCTATATATGAAAATCAGCATCGATACCACTGCGAGTGCTGGACACCCTGACCGAAATGTCCTTTGTATAAGACGCAAATCGAGGAACGTCCTGATTCTCAGTGAACGTGCCTAAAGAAAAGACGTCCTTGCATTGGCTCTTGATCCTGCTCATTTCCTCCAGCAAGCCGGCCATGTCGGTCTCCGTGTTGTTGAAGGTCGCCGTGAGCCGGTGGTAGAGAGGGTAATTCAAGAGCCCGTCTATGCTCCATTGCAGCGGGCATAACGAAGAGGCGTCCTGCGTGCTTCCCTCGCCCAGACAGAATACACCGGCGGAGCTGTTGAATCCGTGCCAGAACTGTTGGTCCACGTTGAATATGCTATCCAGACGTAAACCGTCCACTGCGCAGCACGGCAATCAGAAGCGCGTTTCCATCATTCGCCCGGGTTCGGGTCAACGTACTGGAATAGTTCGACACCAGCTCCGACACCCATGAATACAGCATCGACGCAACGACATGGTCTTCGGTTTTGAGGTCTGGCAGGGATACCGTTTCGTCTCCGAGCCAGCACTAACAAGGGCCCCTTAGAGACAGACCGTGTGTGCCGTGACAATGGGCAGCCACTTACCTCTGTCACACAGGTGCTGTTGTTGAAGTCATCCGATAGAAGTCGAAAGGGATGGAAATACTCCGGGCTGTTGAACGGGTTGAATTGGCTGTAGTCGATGCTCGTATAATTTCCGGCCCAGGCGAGATCGTTAACGACCACGTCGACCATCAAATACTGCGCGCATGTCACTTTAATCATAGCCGAAGATTTCCAAAATTAACCAACGAGGAACCCACCATTCCACGGGCGTGCAACTCGGCGGAGAGCGCCTTGAGATCGTCTGGAGTGCCGAACGACGGATTGATTCGGTACAAATCCTCCTGCCAGTAACCGTGATACGCTGGACGCAATTAGAAGAGTCGACCGAGACATGCGTAGCCACTCACCGGAAAGATCGCTGGTAACTTTTTGAATCTGGTACGTGACGGGCGAGATCCAAACCTGCGGCGAGCCCCGTTAGATATAAATGGAAACACGGGACGCAGGCACCGGGGGGGACTGGGACTCACGGCGGAGAATCCCAAATCCTGAATGTAATCCAGCCTGTCGATGATGCCTCTGAAGCTGCCGCCGCAGTAGTTACCGGCAGCAGCGTTGCAGGGCGCCGTCGTGGCATCGTCAGACCGGGCAAACCGGTCAGTCACGATCTGATAGACGGACCGGTGTCGCCATTGTTCTTTGGTCGCTGCGCTTGCCGTGGTGAACGCGAGGGCACAGGACACGATGAACAGACATACGGTCCACCGGGTCTTCCGGGCTGTCATGCAGGGCATGCTGCTGTCTCGGACACGGGCAACGAGGGGGTACGGGGAATCGGTTACTCAAGGGGAGAAACTGGCAAAGCAAGGCATAGTCGTCTTCTCCGTTATAAAGTGAAGATAGTCCATGTGGCTATTCCACCGTATTTGCCGTGGAGCCTCAGGGCCGCTCTGAACAGACTGATCTCGGCCATGGAGGGATGTCTCTGATTGTTTGCTCGCGGGATCAGCCTGCTGAATTGTCACGTAAGACCTATTCTGGAAAGACTGCATCTTGTTCAGCCTCAACGCAAAGGATCTCGCATGCATGAACACCACTTGGCCTTCGAAATCTGCGGTGATACAGCCAGCCGCTCGCAGCTCCGAGTGACCGCAGGCAGGCTAAAAATACCCGCATACAGCGATATCTGTCCACCCGATGGCATTTTAGTAGGGCAGCTCCTACGGGTCTGACGGGATAGGGGGGATGCCTCTTATCTGGCCATGCCGGCAACCCAATCAAGGGATTGTGTATTGCAATGTCGGCTTCTCGGCATGCCTGCGACGGCCAGGAGATCTTTGCTATTTTTGCGGCCGGCATGCTTTAAAGTTTTGCTGCCTGTCTCGTGGCCGGGAAATAGCCCTATCTTCACACGATCCCCCATCCGCGATGCCCACTGCTGGAGCCGCAGCCATCGCAGCATACTCCTCCCAAGGAATGGCTTCATGCACGGCAAACGAGCAATCATATTGCTCCACATTTCCAGCCCGGCGTGCCCTGGGAAAGCAAAGCATTCCCATTCCGACGCACGCTGTTGTGTGACTGGCTGTCATTGCTGAGTGGGTATCAGACGCCAGTCCGGACCCTATAGTTAGAAATCATATTGCACCGTGCTTTTCTTTTTTTGCGGCTCCCCTTAGTGCCCTGAACTAGTAGGTCAGGGTCATCGTGGCGGTCCACGCATGTCCGGCTTACGCTGCTTGTACATTTTTCTTATCTGGCGGGCGCACGTATATCTAGCAAGTGTGCGGTGACCATGGGGAATGTCTGCCTTTGCTGTTCGTATTTTTCTCTGCTGAGCCCGTTGTCCCTTGTATGCTGCCGCACCGGGTAATCCTAGATTGTTCTGACCCCTTACTCCTCGTTGTCGAGTCGGACCCTTGTTGCTTTGCGCCCTTCCCAGCTGCAGCTACGACCGGTTAGGGTTGTGGAGATCAACCCCCTTACACACCTGCTAGCAGGCAGATAGGAGGATAGCGGGCTGCGATGAAACCCTCGTTGTTTCTGGTCAACTTAGCATGTTTGTTCGTTAACGGCGTGCTCGCCCTTCGCTATGACCCGGAGCAGGTCCTGTTCAACTTGAACCAAAACAAAACCGCCCAGAGCCCGCTGGACTACTGGGGGGAGTGGGAAGACCATGCCTACTTCCCCTCCCCCGACAATTGGCGCATTCCCACGTACACCATCTTCCTGGACCGGTTCGTCAATGGCGACCCGACGAACGATGATGCGAATGGGACGCAGTGGGAGCACGACCTGATGTCGAATCAATTTCGGCATGGGGGGGACGTCTTGGGACTGGTTGACAGTTTTGATTACCTTCAGGGCATGGGGATCAAGGTAAGACGAATTTCACGGACAAACCCGTTTTTTCTTTTCTTTTCTATCGAGTCTGCGTCGTCAATTAACGCGCATCCGCAAGGCAATCTACATCGCCGGCATGCCGCATATCAACATGCCCTGGGGTTCCGACGGCTATTCTCCCCTCGACCTGACCCTTCTCGACCATCATTTCGGCAATATCGACGACTGGCGCACGATGATCTCCAAAGCGCATCGGCGAGGGATATACATTATTCTGGAAAACACCATGGCTACGTAAGTCGTCGTCCCTTGCTGACCTGTCACATGTCAGACTCGTAACCCTAACTGGACTCCTCACACCTCCTGCAGAATGGGCGACCTCATCGGATTCCAAGGATACCTGAATACCTCCACTCCCTTTAGCCCCTACGAGCATAGCTTCGTCTGGAAATCCGACCGCCGGTACCATGACTTCCAGCCCGGAAATGACTGGCTGGATAAGTGCGACTATCCTCGATTCTGGGACGATCTCGGCACCGGCCTTGCCAAGACTACCCTCGTCGAAGGATGCCGCGACAGCGAGTTTGACCAGTACGGCGAGGTGGCATCGTTTGGAAACTATACGGAATGGGAACGGCAGATTACCAAGTTTGCTTTCGTGCAGGATCGGCTCCGGGAGTGGCGACCGGACGTGAGGAGGAAGATTGAGCATTTCTCGTGCATCACCATCGCCATGCTGGATATCGATGGGTTCCGGATTGACAAGGCTTTACAAGTTACCTTGGATGCGCAGGGGGAATGGTCTGACTTCATCCGTCGATGTGCACGTCGATTCGGGAAAGAGAACTTCTTCATCCCCGGCGAGATCGTGTCGGGGAACTCGTTTGGAGCTCTGTACATCGGCCGTGGCCGACAGACCAACCAGACGGTGAATAATATGACTGAAGCTGTCACCATGACCAATGTCTCTGCGCCAGATATGCATCTCCGGCCGCCGGAGAAGGTTGCTCTAGATGCTGCGGCATTCCACTACACCCTCTACCGCGCGCTCACCAGATTCCTCGGGTACGTTATGTTCTGCTTCACTTTTCACGCGGGCTAACAAGTAAACACCAGAATGGATGGCACCTTCGAGGCCGAAGGAGACCCGCCAGTGAACTTCGTCGAGACGTGGAACTCTCTCATCGCCACCAACGACATGGTCAATACCAACACGGGCAAATTCGACCCCAGGCATCTGTACGGGACATCGAACCAGGACGTCTTCCGCTGGCCATCAATCAAGAATGGAACGGAGAAGCAGGTCCTCGCCCTGTACGTCATTGCGTTTATCATGCCCGGCGCGCCGATTCTGACCTGGGGCGAGGAGCAGGCGTTCTACGTCCTGGAAAACACCAATGCCAACTACGTCTTCGGTCGCCAGCCCATGTCGTCTGCTATTGCATGGCAGTTGCACGGCTGTTACCGAGTGGGCTCTGTGAAGTACCACGATTTCCCCACGGACAGCGCCCTCTGGGGCTGCATGGATGATACCGTCAGTCTTGATCACCGTGACCCTTCACATCCCGTCCGGGGCCTGATCAAGACCATGTTCGAGATGCGACGGAACTACCCCGTTCTCAATGACGGGTATTATCTGCAGCAGCTTTCGAACAAGACGTACGATATCTACCTGCCCGGTAGCAACCATACCCCCACTGAAACAGGCATGTGGAGTGTTCTGCGTGATAGATATGACGGCGTCCAGGACTTCACAGGCCAGGGACAAGAGAATCAGAGTGTTTGGCTGGTATATCAGAATGACAATAGAACGGTCGACTACCGCTTCAATTGCTCTGATCCCAAGGACGCTCTTATTTCTCCATTCGATGAAGGGACAACCGTGAAGAACCTGCTGCCTCCTTTCGAGGAATATACGCTGGAGACAAGCACAACGAAATTAGGGTTTGTCTTACCCTTTTCTCTTGGTTTAAACAAAACGAACAGCTAACGGCATGCTAGACTGGAAGGGTCCAGGAAATGGAACGGATGTCTCTCGACCCTGCAGCTGCCAGCATGGAGTTTCAAGGCCTTCGTTCCCAAGGACAGATTCGTTGCTCCATCCCCGTTCATCACCAAGTTCAGCCCGGGTCATGATATGCGTCTGGTGTCGACTGTGACAACGGGCGAAAGGGTCCGACTCAGCTTTGAGTTCTCCGATGAGATGAACTGCGATAGCATCACGGATGCCCTTTCTGTCTCCTCGACCGCGCGATACAACCAGACCGCTCAGTTCGACAAGGGCACCATTGCCTGTGGACCGTGTACCCAGACGCCGGTAGCGATTTGGCCTGGTGCCGCTCCGAGTGTCTACAACTACTCGATTGACTTGGTCAATGTCCACCACGGCGTTCACGAGGTGGTCGTCGACAATGCGACGAGCTCGGACGGGAAGCGCTATACGAACGTGAGCCTGATCCCAGTGACCATTCGTATCCTTGATGTATTCTAACCGGTTAATCCTAGGCCGTTGATCACTTCTTCCTCCGCATAGGCTCCATGGACAACCCAATCGTTTGGCCCAAGGAAGCCAACTACAGCAGAACGTTTCTTTCCAGGGACAATTCCACGGACGATGGAACCCTCGTGGTCTCTCATCATGCCCCCGGCGCCGACAAATGGCGCTACACGCTGGACTTCGGGGCAACGTACAGTGACTGGATGCCATATACCGGGGAAAACGCCACCATCCCGCCCAAGAACTGGACCGGAACCAAGGCCCAGGCCTGGAAGGGGGAGCATATCATGGTCCAATACTGGAATAAGATCACAGGTAGCAGTGACCACTACCAACACAGCGACCTGGACTGGAACGACAAGCCAGCCCGACGATTCCCCAACCTATGGGTCGAAGGAGCTTTCAATCAGTTCGGCTATGACGCAGGCTACGAAAACCAGATGAGGCTCAGCAACCGCAGCGGACTGTGGGAATACGAGATCCTGGCCGAATGGCCGGCCCACATCCAGCTGAACGCCTGGGGAATCAACTCGGACGGCATGCCGGACAAGACCCAGGTGTATGGGGATATTGACGGCGATGGCATCCTCGACCGCATCCCACCGGTGTCTCTTCTGTCGAATTTCTTCAACATCACCCAGTCGCCTCCGTGGCCGTTCCTGTCGTGGAAGATCGCCGTGCGCGATGGCAATCTGCAGATCACCCAGATTCCAGTCGGATCGCAGAAAACGCAGATAGCGCTCTTTGTCCTGCTTGCTGTTATCCCCCTCCTGACAGCCTTTTGCGCAGTGCAAGCATACCTGAGGGCCTTCTACCAGGTGAAGTTTAATGAGATTGGAATCTCCCAGACGCGGTCGTTCCTGAAGTATCTTCCCATCGCCGGGCGCTTTCGTCGCTTGAGGGATTCGAATTCCTTGTCGGATGAAGAAACCGGGGCTGCAGAGGTCGCTGCTAAGCGGAGAACCGTCCTTATTGCGACCATGGAATATGACATCGAGGACTGGGGAATCAAGATCAAAATCGGTGGTCTCGGAGTCATGGCACAGCTGATGGGCAAGGCCTTGACTCACCAGAATCTGATCTGGGTTGTTCCCTGCGTCGGAGGCGTCCATTACCCCGTTGACCAGAAAGCAGAGCCCATGGACATTGTCATCCTGGGCCAGACATTCCGGGTTGAAGTCCAGTACCACGTCCTGCGCAATATCACCTACGTTCTTCTCGATGCGCCGGTGTTTCGGGCTCAGTCCAAAGCAGAGCCATACCCAGCGAGGATGCGATGATCTTGATTCCGCCATCTACTACTCTGCCTGGAACAGCTGTATTGCTGAAGCCCTGAGACGCTTTGATGTGGACCTCTACCACATCAACGATTACCACGGCGCTCTTGCTCCTCTCTACCTCCTTCCAAAGACCATCCCTTGCTGTCTTTCGCTCCACAACGCTGAATTCCAGGGGCTCTGGCCGATGCGGTCCCTCAGAGAACGGAATGAAGTCTGCGAAGTGTTCAACCTCGACTGGGCCGTTGTAAAGAAATACGTCCAGTTCGGCGATGTCTTCAACCTCCTCCATGCCGGGGCCAGCTACCTGCACATCCACCAGAACGGATTCGGCGCTGTCGGAGTCTCCAAGAAGTACGGCAAGCGGTCATGGGCCCGGTATCCGATCTTCTGGGGTTTGAAGGAAATCGGCTCCCTCCCCAACCCGGACCCCACGGATACAGCAGACTGGAGACGTGGGGAGCAGATGGAAGACGCACAGGTAGACTCCGAATTCGAAGCCGCAAGAGTAGAGTGGAAACAACAAGCCCAGGCATGGGCTGGCTTGGACCAGAACCCTAATGCGGAGCTCTTCGTCTTCGTCGGCCGCTGGTCCATGCAAAAGGGCGTGGACTTGATTGCCGACGTGTTCCCATCAGTCCTTGAAGCCAACGAGAACGTGCAGCTGATTTGCGTCGGGCCTGTGATCGATCTCTACGGGAAGTTCGCGGCAATCAAACTGAACAAGCTGATGGAGGTCTTTCCCGGACGCGTCTTTTCACGACCGGAATTTACGGCTTTGCCTCCGTTTATCTTCAGCGGCGCTGAGTTTGCGTTGATTCCCTCTCGTGACGAACCGTTTGGGCTTGTAGCAGTGGAGTTTGGGAGGAAGGGAGCCCTTGGAGTTGGATCCCGGTAAGAAGGAACCTGCATATAGCCCAGAGGTATCTATTTCGTTGCTGACTTGTTGTCAAAGCGTGGGTGGACTGGGCCAGATGCCAGGCTGGTGGTTTACCATGTAAGCAGAAGACATTCGATTTTGGATGATTGATCGGTCTAGTACTTACCATTGCATTGCAGTGAATCCATGACGACCAAGCATCTTATCCATCAGTTCAAGCTTGCTATCCATGAAGCCCTTGCCTCCAAGCCCTCTGTGCGCGCCATCATGCGTGCTCGTTCTGGAAAACAGCGGTTCCCGGTTGCACAGTGGCTTGAAGAACTCGAGAAACTGCAGTCGATTGCTATCGAGAAACATCACAAGTATGCTGCCCACGGCCATCGGTTTTCTCGCCGGTCTCTTCTTTCTTCCCAGCCACGATCTTCAGTCGACCGCTCAGGTCAACAGACAGGCCTGAGAGTACACCGTGCTCTAGGAAGTTGGCAAGGACCAGGATATGCCGACGCAAGATTCGACTCATCCTCGCCGGAGCATTCATCCTTGGAGTATGAGTCAGAGGAAGTCTTCCACGACACGGCCGCTGAACCTGCGGCCGCTGGAACACAGGCTGATGCCGAGGGGAGTGGCGGCAATGCCACCGACAACAACCATCCCGATCAGCAGCCTGAAGAACAGCCTGGCCCTGACCGATCACTTGAAGTACGGCTGTCTCTTCCTCGAACCTACGACAGCTACTTCTCCCGACCCCAGTCTCTATGTACATCCGGCGAGTGCACCCCGGTGTATCTGCCATCAGGGCTAAACACGCCGGTTTTCCTACACTCTGGGACCAGCACGCCGATTTTCCAGCCTTCGGGGGCGAACACGCCCATGGAGAACGGCCTGGTTCCCCCGCCTCGTGCCCTGGTCTCATCAGCCGTGAGTCTTTTGAGCGTTGAAAGCGTCGTCGGTGAAAAGCGAGACTTCAACCTTCAAAACGTCAGCCCCTTTTTCACCGACTCCAACGGCGAATATGCCAGCCATTTTGAACGGAAACTCGCCAATCTCGATGGAGAGAACTCGGAAAACCAGCTTTGCATTGAAGAGTTTCTGTCTCGCAGCGAGAAGGACTGGTTCAATCGCTACCGTGATGCGAAGCTGGGTCGAGTGTCGGTGGGAACGCCGTCATCATCCATCTTCCGGTACAAGGTGCACAGTAGGGATAACAGCGGTGTTCAGACCCCGATGCCCATTTCTCATCTTTCAGCGATGGAACAGCCTGCCGGTGGGATCAGCGAGAATAGAGACAGTGCCGGGGGGAACAGTGAAATCAACAATGGTAATAACAGCAACAACAACAACAGCGGTAATAACCGGGCAAGCGAGTTTCTTCTACCAACAGATTACTCTCCTCCGTCGGGCTTGAGATGGCTTCTTCTCTACCGGATCGGTGACTGGCCTGTGTACTCCATTATTTTATCCCTTGGTCAGATCATTGCGGCAAATTCATACCAGATAACCCTGTTGAACGGCGAGGTCGGCCAGCCAGCAAGGAAGCTGTATATCGTGGCCACTATCTACCTCGTGTCGTCGATTATATGGTGGATGGTATTTCGGAGACTCAAGTCTGTATACGTCCTGTCAATTCCGTTTCTAGTATGTCCTCCCTTTTTGCAATTCTTAGATGCCGTGTACTGACAGAAGCAGCTCTACGGCTCTGCATTCCTCTTCATCGGCTGCTCTCCCTTCGCACACACCTCCCTCGCAAGAACCTGGGTGCAAAACATTGCCACGGGTCTGTATGCGTTCGCCTCGTCAAGCGGATCGATATACTTCGCGCTGAATTTCGGCGACGAGGGCAGCGCCCCGATCACGTCCTGGGTATACCGGGCCTGTGTCGTGCAGGGATCCCAGCAGATCTACGTTGCCTTTCTCTGGTACTGGGGCAGCTCGATGGCTGCGTCGGAAATGAAAGCGAAACCCACGAGTCTGGCCGCGTCGAATCCGCATCTTCTCATTGGAATCGGGATGGGCATCGCGGCCTTGTTCTATGCAATTGCTGTGATGACATTCTTCGGTCTGCCAGAGTACTATCGACAGGCTCCCGGGAAGGTTCCTGCTTTTTACCGGGCGTTGCCTCGTCGGAAGATCATTATCGTATGTTTAACCCCTTTCAGGGTTGATTTTTGCCCGGATTGTGTGCACTAACTAACTGGCTCGCAGTGGTTTTTCTACGCTGTCTTCATTCAGAATTACTGGCTTTCTGCACCCTATGGCCGGAACTGGCTCTATCTCTGGTCCAGCAACCAGACGCCAGCATGGTCGATTGTGATCATGGTCATCATCTTCTTCATCGGCATCTGGGCACTTGTCCTGTGGATCTTTGGCTATATGTCCGCGCGGCACGCATGGTTTATCCCCATCTTCGCCATTGGTCTGGGCTGTCCGAGATGGTGCCAGATGCTCTGGGGAACATCGAACATTGGTGCCTACGTTCCTTGGGCCGGAGGAGGTGCTGCCAGTGCACTCGTTGGGAGAGGACTTTGGCTATGGCTGGGAGTTCTTGATGCCATTCAAGGAGTTGGTAAGCGTCCCCTCGATCTTTTAAAAACATGACATTATGGACTCCGAGTCAAAGAAACGTTCCTGATAATGGCGACAGGCTTCGGAATGATCCTCCTCAACACCCTAACCCGCTTCCACATCGCCTTCACCCTTCTTGCTGCGCAGGTAATCGGATCCATAGGAACGATCCTCGCCCGAGCCACGGCGCCCGACAAGATCGGACCCGGTAATGTCTTCCCAAGATTCTACTCTGGGCATATTGCAGAGAAGTTGGCGAATGCCGACTTCTGGCTTTGTCTTCTCTTCATGTTGTCTATTAATGTCTTGTGCTTTATGTTCTTCCGAAAGGAACAGCTGCAAAAGCCGTGAATGAACGAATGAGACCAAGATGGCTTATGTTGATAATGATGGTATGAATCCTATATAATATTGGATATAAAAAAGGGCTATGAGTATAAAGTGTGTCGGGGATTGTCTACGGAACTGATGATTAGCTGTTCATAATATGTATCATGTTTTAATGAGATAGACAATGGAGTTGTCAAGGAGATTATTCTTGTTCTTCGCATAGTGCTGGATGCTAGTCATCATAATTTCCCGAGAAATCCTCATTCATCCTTAAAAGGCCATGCTTTTTCCTACAAGGCCCTCTCCCCCGGAATTGACGATTCCCGGTCCAAAAACGTAGTCTCTGGACAACTTCCTCGTAACCACCAGGGGACACGGTTCCATTTCAGCATGCATCTCGCTCCCATTTGGCGCACACCCCGTTTTGCTTCTCCAGGTCGCGCTCTGCGTAGTTCAAGAGACAGGGCACGCTTGGATCCTGATACTTGAATGAACCAAGCAAGTCCGCAGCTTGTTTACAGACACAAGTCTCCTAGTAAAGCCAGAGTACCTGTGAAAGGTTTTTTGCCTTGAGCGTTAAGTGAAAGTCCTGTAGAACAGAGAGCTTCGCCACAGTCTCGAGGGAATTCTGAAAATTTGTCCGGACAAGCTCATTCCTGCTGGACCGATGCATTCATCAGATCATGGCTGGAGCTTCATGGATTCAACTGCCGAGCTGCTAGCAAACAATCAATGACCAAGGTATTTGACATCATGGAAGCTTTAGAATAGCATGGGGAATTCGCCGCGGAAACCTTGTACACGATGATCATCCTTATTCGGCTGAAAAGTTACCATGACGCCACGATCAGCCCTCGAAATTCTTTGCGGAGTATTTAGCACGAGGCGATAGATGGCTGCAGTCATAGTAAGTGCTAACAATGATGATGAGACTCCCTAGAGGCGTTTCATACCACTTCCCATGTTTGAAGTGTGATTATAGGGCTAGAGCTTTGTATGTTCTGGCGAAACTGGCACCCGTGATAAACTTTGACCGTGATTCAGGGATCATCCTTCCTTCCTGAAGGGGTTCAGATCATCTCCTATGGTTCTTTTGTGACAGTGGGAGTCCAGTTTGATATCCAGGGAACCCGTGTTGGCACTGGCATGGTTTTCCATGTCCGGAACTGTAGTTTAGGAGCATCCTCTTAAATTCGTACAGCTGCAAATACGACCAAGCACTATATCAAAGGATTACTGGCTTTGGGAATGCCCTTTGAATGTCCACTTTGTTATCTATGATCAATGTAAATTAGTCAACGGACAGGCCAGTGTTTCTGTTCCCAAAATGCCACAGATCATTAATGACACAGATCGTCTTGTAGGAGCTGCTCACCGACTATACACGCCAGGTAATTGATTCATCTTGTGGCTGCAATGTCCACCAAATATCGGTCCCCTCATAGTAAAGCAAAAGGGCGTCCATAGCCATGACGTCTCGGATAGCTGCTTGTACTGCTGCGGACCAGCTACACCCGAGACATGCTCGTGTTGGCGGTTGCATGCAGATACACTGGCTCAAGCTGTGTCCCCTTCATTTCGGAATGTACATATTACATTCCTACCATCGTAATTGGGTTATAAGGATTTATGACAGCGGTCTTCCGAGATCGATACAGGAGATGATCTATCCATTCTCTTTCGAGCCATTTGTTTGGCTAACTCAGACCTGGGTTTTGCTGCAGCCTTGTTTGTTCTCCGGTAATCTCTGCATGGCTTGACTGTTTGGTGCGTGGAAGGGTTTAGCATCGTGGAAAGGGAACCGCGTGGATATATGGTCAGGTCCTGATTCTCAACTCAGAATCGGGAAATGCAGAAAGTAAGGCATTTCAGATTCAGTACTCTGATAAAAAAGCAAATAAGAGTATTGAAAAGAAAATACAAACACTGATTTCAACAAGCATAACTGTCCAAACAGGGTATTATACAAAATGCAAAGGATCAGAAGATGGACGTCGGCAAAATCTGATATCAGCTCATCATGTCAATCATTATGTGGTCACTTCATTAAGACATCCAGGGCTTTACGATCAGCTGGCCCCAACCGCCTAGCTGAAGCTCCTTTCTCAATTAAGAGTGACGCCATACTTCGATTTTCTTTTCGTATCGCCACCGTCAGAGCGTCTGGGAGAGGCTCATATCGAGCCCTGACGTCAAATGAATGGTCCAGCAGAACCCGGGCAACTTCCAGGTGACCCAGTAGAGCCGCAGTTTGTAAAACATTCCCGAATTCTGATCGTGCTCGTTGCATTGAAGCTCCCTTTGACAACAACAGCCGTACAAGTTTATGGCTTCCGGAACTCACAGCAGCCATTAGAGGGCTGTTCCCTCCAAGTCCCGGGACACTGTCGGGTTCAACCTCAAAGCCATACCGTATCAAGAATCTAGCCATCTCCTCATCCCCTCTGGCACATACCATCTGGAGCAGAGAGCCAAATATTCCATTGTAATATTTGCCGTCGTCACCGTGCTCCAGCAGTTTCAGGATTAGCTTCGCATGTCGGGCATGGACTGCCGTGGAGATAGGAATGGCTAGTTCACCTGCGCCTCTGCTGACAAGAAGTTCGTAGACCGCCATATTTTTCGCCTGGAGTGCCGCCTGAAGAGGCCCTGATTTCTTGTTTTCACCTAAATAAATGTTGGCTCCATGATCTAGAAGTTTAGATACGACCTCCACGTTAGCGTGTGCCGCTGCAGAATGGAGTAGAGAAGGAGAGGATTGTGAGAGGGGAGGGGAATTCAGGTTGGCATTAGCACCGTGATCCAGGAGCATCTTGACAAGGTCTGTATGGCAACCTATTACAGCGCCATATAGTGCCAAATCAAGCGAGTATTGATTTGTGCATATCCGGTTTATTAGAAAGCTAACTATATCGATATGGCCAAGATAAGCGGCTTCGAAAAGTGAATCTTCTTTTCCTGGGAATTTTTCCCCAATGTGAGAGGGCCAAAGGGAGTCCAGTAATGGAAGACAATTTTTCCTTACTGCGAAGTCCAGCAGGGGCGTTACGATAGTTGGATGTTTTGGGGTGTAGGTGAGCAGTACCTCCATAGGCCCTTTATTTCCCGACCGAATAGCACGCCAGAGGAAGTACTCCATGTCGAACTCAGGGTCGTTTTGGTCAATTGCGTTCTCAAGCAGGAAGCGGAGTACGAATTCGTTGCTCTCTAACACGGCACATCTGAGAAGTTCCTCGTAACGTTCTTGAGCCTCAGTATTTCTTCCAACAAGGCGCACAAAGCTAACCACCTCGGAATTCTTTTTCATCTTAATGGCTTTTTCCAATGAAAGTGGCAGAGACTCTGGATTTTCCTCATCCGACGAGGTCGTGAGTTCAATCAGGATGGGGCTTCGACTTGGCCTAGAATGAGACGAAGCGCGAGGCTTAAGCTGCGATAGCTTTTCTTCATTCGTTCCTTCATTATTTTCATTTTTAAAAATTCCAGTCAGGGTCCTCAGGTATAAACCAACTAGCGCAAAGGTAATGATTGCAACCTGCCCGACAAGGAAAACCCAAGAAGTCATGGACAAAGATCCAAGCAATTCAACAATAGACTGGTCGATGGGATCTTGGCTTTCTGCTCCCATAAAATGGTTCGACTTGCCTAGGTTACTGGCGGCGACGATCTAGTCAACCACGACGTTAGCCAACCTACCAGCCTCTGGAGCGGAGAAAGAGCGTTTCTTACATCGTCATTCTTTTGGGATAGCGGACTTAATTTTATAACCAGCTGCTTCGCCAATTCCAACGAATCCTTCAGGGCTGAAATTAGATAGAATGTAGTTTCCACATACAGTATAGCCACCAGGAGCAGCAGACATGCTGTGTGCTGGGATTTCAGGGTCAGAGAACCGAGGGGATTCATATTCTCAAGGACGGCAGAGCTGCGACTGCAGGGTTCAGCCTTGTAATTTAAAGGCTTGGATGATAGTACCAATGGGGAACAGGAATAAGAATGAACTGTCCAATCCTAAAAAGAAAGAGATAGGTGATGTTTCTATTTCTCTCTTGTGATTCTGACACTGTTGAAAGAGTTGCTTGATTGGGATATACTAACTATACTCCAAAGTATATAAATAGTGCATGCTAGGCGAGGGCGGTCTGAAATAGCAGAACCAGATACTCTATTCATCACGTGATATATATGATTACCTAAGTGTGCCTTTCCCAATCAGGAATCATGCATTCACCTGACGACGCACGTCCACTGCGTGTTCCCCCTGGCTCCCTTCGTATACTTGGTTCTATCTCATTGCCTCCGGCATCGATGATACGACCAGTCGTGCTAACTAAAAAACACCCTTTTTCCGAGGGCAATGTCAGAGCCTTCGTTCAGTCGTTTAGTCGACTCCCTCGACCGGAACGAGCTCTAGACGGAAAACCAAACCACTGGTACTTCACTATCGATGCTATTCCCCCAAGTCCCTCGGACGACTTCATTTTTGTCGTTCATCCGTCTCCTGGGACCAGTGCCCTGAAGGCCGGATTAGGATGAGATTACCGCCGACTTCTGCAAAGGCAAAGGTAATCGTGCTTCTCCTTCTCGAATCCTTCTGCGTCGGCATTTCCATTGGCATCTATAATGAGCCTCTACCAGCAGCCGAGCCCGCGCCCCTGGACCTTGGATGCCCTAGGTACGGAACTAGCTTGTGCCGTTGAAGCCAGGGTGAGGGAGCTCAGTGCGGTCGGATCGTCGCTCCGTCGGGGTTCGGACTCAGGCCGAAGCTGATGCTGCACATCAACCCTGGATTACATTTGAACAGGAGGTTTCCATGTTCGTGAATCCAAGCCCCTTTCTGCAGAGAGTGAGAGAAATTTCCATCACCGATAAAACGGATGCCAAGTATTATAGCGTATGTTACAAGCCCGGCGACAATACCATACATCGGACGGAGAGATGAAACGCTGTGCCAAATATAAGATGGTTTGGTACTGCTCCAAGGATAGCGAGTTATTTGGTTGGAAAGATGGCCACAAAGAAAAATGTCGCAACTTCAGATACCCTTGTACTGTGTGATGGGAATGAATCTGTTGATGATACAACGTGCTCCGCTATGTATGTAGTTCTCATATAATTGTTGAACCTGGACCATTACTACGATATCAGTCGACTTGGTAATTCTACCTCTTGACTCTCAGCATGTTCCGGAATTGTCAAAGAGATTTATCTCCCTATCTCTATCGTCAGCCAGGCCGGTTAGCATAGTTTCTTTGTTCTTTGTCTTGAGAAAGTCGTCCTACTAATTAAACCCGTTTCAAATTCCCAGGTCAACCAGGAACATCTCAACTGCAATAACCTCCAGATAGGAAGCATTTTTACTCCACTAATATGACTACTCCGTTAAGTTTGAAGAATGTGAGCGACCAGAAGAGAAAACGGAAACGAGCTTCCCTCATGTCGGATACACCAGCAAAATCGCGCGCACCGAGCCAGCCGCATGGAGGTGATGACCGCCTCTACCAGCGAGCATTGAAAGAGATGATGGAAGAGAGCGTTAATAGGGTCTCTTCCTGGCTAGAGGGCCTGTCATCAAACCCGAAAAGGTTTCTCTCCCCTGGTACGGACCAGGGAATGAAGCAACGAACAACAATTCGCAAGGAGGAACCGGAGGCACAACCTGGACTCTCAGATAGGGAGATGGAAAACGAACTGACGAAGAGCGGGACATATTTCATAGACGATGACAACAACAACAACAACAATAACAACGACAATAATAATAATAATTCCAATGAATCAGGTACGACCAGCGCAGTTCAATACGATGTGGAAGAATTCAGAAAGTCCCTGAACGCGGCAGGACCGAGCCCTGACCTGTCCTTGTCTTCTCTGGACAAGCTCTACCGAAACGCAACATCCCTGGGGGACATTCTACAGATTCTCCTTCCAATCGATGAAATTCAAGATACGCCAACGCTGGCTCTGAGCACCCTCAGCCGTCAATGGGACGGTATGCCTCCAAGGGCAGTGTCTCCCATATCCGATTTCAATCCACACCCACTCCTACACATTAGCAATAGCAATAATGATGATGGAGGATCCGGATCCATAGTCTCCAGACCAGTGCACACTCTTGGATTCTCGCCAGACATATTAGGACCCAAGATTAGGGCCCAGATGATGCTTCACCTCCAACAGGGCAACCGAACACAGCAGATTCCAAAGCTCATCTTCCCGTTCTTTACTGTCGAGATAGAGGCTGACGATACCCCTTCTCCCCGGCTCCGGAATATGTACAATGCGGCCGTGATGCTGCATAGTCTGTACTTTCTTAGGCAAGCAGCAGCAGCAGACCCTGATGGAGATAGAGAGGAAGACGAAAATGATGGGTTTTACGGCAGGCCCTGCGCCATCACCATAGGACTTAGAGCTGAGGAGGTGGAATTATCTTGTCATTGGGCTGTGCCTGATGGGAGAAATGATATTAAGTGCTATGGACGGGTTATTGGGCGTTGGCTCCTCGGGAAGGACGCAGCACAGTATGCGATGGCGCAACGGGCAGTCCGGAATGCTTTGGAGAAAGTTGCAGGGGACAATCTAGACATGATTAAGATGGAGTTGGATAGTATGGAGGAGGAATTGGGGTGAGAATTCCATCGCTTCTGTGCAAGGTGTAAGTACGGTTTGAAGGTTCTCGGCCTCCGAGCCCTATCTACTACAACGTATGATCCTTATGATCCATCATCATCCAGGTGTTCTCGGGAGATCTGCAGGGACGATCTGCAAACCAAGCTGGCTTGGTTTATTTATTACTGCATATATCTGGGAAATCCTAGATGCATTGAAGGCCTTCCCTTTCCGTTTCGGTGCTCAACCCCCTGCTCACTGAAGAACTAATTGTTATAACTCACGTTTTTCTCAAATTCAGGCAGATTCAAGGGTTCTTTTCCAATGTCGAGGTATCCTCTGTACACAGACTGAATGTGTCAGTATAACTAGTTAATAACTAGTAGGTGACTAGTGACAAACATACGAATTTCCTTAGATCCGCCGTCATTTTACTGACGGGTGACAGAATGCTTAACAGGTGCTAGAACGCAGTTGGGGAGGAGAGTTAAATAAGAACAGATAGTATTCGATACTAATATGTAAAGGATACTGTAAAAGTAGAAAGCTGAGCTGACCTGTGCCAAAACAATAGACTGTGGGCCAGCTCAGCTAATCCATGGGTCGGCCGACCTGTACACTCCATCTTCTCACATATATGCCTCCATTAACTTCAGTAACTCCCGACCTCCTCCCATTTCCTGTACCTATCTCCAACCACTCCAGCTAAGCCACAAAACTCATTGCAAGAGTGTTAACATGACACTCTTCACTCTGGGTGCCAGAAACCTCCTCAAAAGGCAAATATATCAATTACCAAACACCACCAACTGGACCCTGTCAAAAACCCTCCCATTCTTCTCTCTGCAGCTCATCCAGAATATTCACCCCCCATCACTGCACAAGACCACACCAAACCTTTATGCGAAGAGTAAAACACTTCAATTCCCTGCTAGGTCGCTATCATCATCATCACCTGCCATGATTTCTCGAGACTCTAAGCGTACCCCCTGGATGCCCTTCTACAACAATGAAGCCGACGTAATCGAGCAGAACATGCTTGATGATGGGTTCCGGACCTGGGGACTTGTCATCTACCGATGCACCTACAAGAGCAACTCAGACTGGGAGGAGTTCGTGTCTCGCTTTCTCCACCAGGTTTGGAGCACACTCAAGGATCATGATGGCCTAGACATGCTTGATTCCTTCATGCCAACTGTGATGGATGACAAGACACAGTTCGACGGGGTGACTCCATATACTGTGCGGGATCATTTCAACAAGTGGGCATCTACAGCATGTGAAGCTGAGCAAGGGGTTCCATTTACTCTGGCCCAGTGGTCAAATACAGCACGGTATGGACTCTGTATCATGGTGGAAGAGGAGGCCTTGCAGTCCGTTCTGGACATTCCACTTGAGGAATTGGATACATATAATGAGACTGGCTTTGTGATTCTGGTTAATGGCAGGCAGGAGGCGGAGCGGGGTGAGGAGGAATCTGATGAACTGGTAGAGGATGATTTCGAGCCATTGCATGGGTGCACGCTGGAGGATGTGGGCTGGATGAAGGTGCGCTATGGTCAGGCTCAGATCATGGGTTCCGCTCACATGGGCAATGGCTTTTGCTGGGAGCGGGAGTATAGACGTCCTCCTCAGATCGGTTTTAACTGCTTATCATGGTAATGGAGGTATGTCGTGTGTTGTATTGGTCATGTATCTAGGTGCCAGAACCAGCTCTACTAGGTCAGGCGAGGGCGGTCTAACTGGGCAGAACCCACGTGACCTCCAACAGTGGAAAGGGAGAAAGCTGAACAAATAGAACAAACAGAACAAATGGTACAGATAGGACAAACATGGTACTCAGGCGTTGGACCAGAGTTGCCTGTGCCTGGGCATAGCCCATGACACGTGTGTACCCCTGATCCTGTTGGATCACGTGGGATTCTGCCGCATAGGTCCGCCCTCGCTGCCCCTTTCCACCACGTAGGCCTATCTATCTAGCTAGTAACCAACCCACGGTATACCTCCATTAGATCCACATCAGCCTTACTTAGGCATGTTCTTGCCTTATCATCATGTAACCATCCTGGTAAGGCCCATAACAAATCGGATGTGAAATTCTTGATAGCATCTTAAACCCCCATGGGTAGCTTTCAAAAAAAGGGAGGACATAGTACTCATATCTATAGCCCCACCAAAATTGATTGTTCATTTGCTCATGTGCTACTAGGTCTATATGTGGATTCTTGTGTCAGTTTTGATGGGCATGCCAATGGCATGGATAATTTGGAAGTGGTTAACCAGGTATCATTATTGAACTACCCGCAAATCCCATTTTATATAGTGGCATATTCAATGTTACATTCTTCATGGCCGGATCTAAAGTCGGAAGGCCGACGCAGAGTTCCTCGCGTTTCATATTCATTAATACTGAGCGTGGGGAGCTGTTTCGACGCAACTTTCCCCTGCAGGAAACATTCATAAATGCGAGGGATGTCTTCTAGACATGGAGAAATAGTATCTTCAGCTTTCGCTTCGGTCTCGGTCACTTGTCCTTCGTTTTCTTCCCCTCGTTACACGAGTATACGGCCATTCAAGCTATCTGTCTCTCGTTATGAAGTACACATACCTTCTCGGCATAATCTCTGCAGCACTTACTGGCAATGCTGCAGCCATTTCTGTCTCCGGTGCTGCGGAGGGTTTCGCAGCTGGTGTTTCTGGCGGTGGCAGCGCTACTCCAGTATACCCAAAGAGCCTAGGTGATCTGGTGTCTTACCTAGGCGACGACGAACCAAGGGTTATCGTCCTCGATAAGACGTATGTCTTTCTTCATATCCTTCTTGTTGCTTGACCACCATTCTAACCTGACCAGGTTTGATTTCACCGGATCCGAAGGCACGGCCACTGGCGAGGGTTGTGCGCCTTGGGGCACCGGGGATGCATGCCAGGTCGCTATTAACTTCAATAATTGGTGTGATGGGCAGTCCAGTGCGCAACAGATTAAAGTAAAATAGTATGAAGTCTTTTTTCTTTCTCTCTCTCTCTCTTTTTTTTTTTTTTTTTTTTTTTAAAAAAAAAAAAAAAATACTAACCGGTTGAATAGTGACAAGGCCGGAGTTGAGGGCATCAAAGTCACTTCCAACAAGACTATCCTCGGCGTGGGATCAAACGGGACGATCAAGGGAAAGGGTCTCCGGATCGCCAATGGTGCCAGCAATGTTATCATTCAGTATGCTGAATCTGGGATCTGGGTAAAGCATGATGTCAATCGAAAGAGACGTACTAATTGTTATGATCTGCTGCAGGAACATTGCCATCACCGACATCAACCCCAAGTACGTCTGGGGAGGTGACGGTATCACGCTCGATGATTGCGATCTAGTCTGGATCGACCATGTTACTGTACACCTCCCTGTCTTCCAATGACCGGCTTTATATTCAAAGCAGGAAGAACGCGCGCTCATATTTGTTATAGACAGCCCGCATCGGCCGCCAACACATCGTCCTCGGAACAAGCGCCTCGAACCGCGTAACAATCTCCAACAACTTCATCGACGGAAGGACTCCCTATTCCGCCAGTTGCAATGGATATCACTACTGGGGTGTGTTCCTGTTCGGATCCAGCGACATGGTCACGCTCAAGGGCAACCATATCTACCACACCAGCGGTCGCAGCCCGAAAGTTGAGGGGAACACGCTCCTCCATGCTGTGAGCCACCATGCCATCTCAAGAACTTGAGGAAACGTCTGACAAGACTAGGTGAACAATTACTTCTCCGACAATACGGGCCACGCGTTCGAGCTCATGAAGGGCTCCTACGTCCTTGCGGAGGGTAACGTCTTTGATAATGTCAAGGAGGTTGTTGGCTCCGGCATTGAGGGTCAAGCCTTTGCTGTTTCGAATTCAGCAGATAGCAGTGTTTGCAAAGAGTACATCGGACGCTCTTGCATGGTTAATGGGTTCCAGAATTCGGGAAAGTTTGATCTACGGGATAAGGGCTTCCTGTCCAACTTTCGGGGGAAGAATGTGGCATCTTCGACTTCTTATACGGGCGTTCAGGCGAGTGTCTTGCATAATGCTGGTCAGGGGAAGCTTTGATTCTGTGGGGGGTCGTTAAAAGTATATTCTACTCATGTTGTATGTTCACGCTGTTCTTTTCGTTGATGTTCATCGTCCCATATTGATATGTATGTACTTGGCTGGTTAGGGCTGCGGCCGTATATCCGATTCCAATTAAATTGACCCAGTTCCTTGATTCTTTTCTTCTTCAATTCTTTGCAGTTCGTATGCAAAGTCTTAGAGGATTGTTCATTTTGGACTATAGCATTTCGTCGCGATATCTGCCTAATACTTAGGTATTAGAAAATACTACCAGTAGTATAAAACATTGGCATAAACCCTTTATCTGATCTTCTCTTGTTCTGATCTGTTCCAGCCCTATAATCCTTTCATATCATACACCACAAAGCCATGGGATATAGAATCTGCTAATGTTAATCTATTCAATGGAGAGAACAGGTGGAGCACAAGAAATGATACAAATGGAGACTCCAACGCCGAGAAGTGCATCTAATGCATCTATCTGGCCCTCGCCATTGAAACAGAAGTTCTACCTGGGCATAACTCCCAGCTTCACTCTCTCTTCCCCCTCCCTCCTTGGGTCCTTTGTGGATTGCATCCGTGCTTCTCTCTTCAGGGTTGTCCTCCATCATTATTTTGCTCTCTCTCTTCAAGCAGAAGATATCCCGAACGGGCCCACTGACAACGGGAACAAACCGTCACCATGTCAGAATATCTTCCTCCCAACCGTCTTCTCTGGAATCTCCCAGAGAATGCGCATGCAATCTGGCCCTCCGAGCCAGATATCTCAGTGATCCGGTCCATCGCTATCTCAGTCCTACAGCCCATGTATCCATACAGCAACATGAGGGCCGTGTCGGTGACCTTCTTTGGCGCTGGCGTCAGCAACAAGATGTATCAAGTCGAGCACCCAACCTGGCCGGTCAAGTACCTCTTCCGTGTCTCCCTGCCCGTCGACCCCTTCAACAAGACGGAGAGTGAAATCGCCACCCTCGTCTACGTGAGGAGGCACACGACGATCCCCGTTCCGAATCCGGTCGGGTGGAATTCCTCGTCAAATAACGCCCTCGGATACGAATGGAGTCTGCTTGAGAAGATCGAGGGCGTCGAACTGAGTTCTGTCTGGGGAAAGATGCCGTGGGAAGCGAAGGTGAAGCTCGCACATGATCTCGCCGGTATCTGCGCGCAGCTCTGGAAGCAGCGTCTTGACAAGATCGGTTCTCTCGTTTTCGGTGATCGATACCAGATCGTTGCTGGTCAGAGACTGGTACAGGATGCGCTGCCCGACACTATCACGGTGGGCAAGATGGTAACGCCCTGTTTCTTCGCCGGTCGACGCATCCATGTCCCCGCTGACCGGGGCCCTTACGACTCATCCCACGACTGGGTCCAGGCCGTAATCAACTTCCAACAGAATCTGGTCGTCTCCGGGGAAAAGATAGCAAAGAGATACCCGCACGTCTCGGAAGAAGAACTGGATCTGGGACGGGGTAAATATGACTTCGCCGACAGGAGGCAGCTATGCGTCGAGTATCTCCGGGCATTGCCCTACTACATTCCTCCAAACGCAGAATCCGTCGCTCATCCGTGCTTTGTACTCTCCCATGAAGACCTGCATGCCTCGAACATCCTCGTCGACCCGGAAAAGTTAAATATCACCGGCATCATTGATTGGGAGATGGCCCGCGTCCTGCCAGAGTGGGCTGCACGGAAAGCTCCCAAAATATTCGATCGCCTGAACACTATTACTCCTTTGTCCCCTCCGAGCCCTGTTAGGGCAGGTGCAGATGCGTTGGCCGCCGCATTCGCTACACAGGCGCTGCGGGAGAGGTGGGAACTGTATCTGCTCCGTCGAGGCTTCGACGCCAGACTGCGACAGTTGGGGACGTCTCTTGCTGAAGAACCGTCGGATGGGCTGAAGAACTCTTTCCTTAGTGACGTGTATTGTCTTTCTGTGGATTGGTCCTGGGCCCAGGAAAGCTTGGAGAATTTCATGCAGTTCAGGCCAATGCAGCTGAGCTGATGGGAGTGTACCGGATGCACTGCATACGCTATCGTGTTTACGTTTCTGGGTCGAGAAATCTTGGTTGAGGAGTTTCATCATGTTTTCAATTCAGATAAACCGGTCATGTCTGTCTTCTAGTAAAGAGATTGTCCGCAGCAGCCCAGTTTGGTCATCGTCTACTCAAACACCCAGCCCAAACACTTGGAATAGATCCTCCATCAAAGAAGATGCGGACCTAAAAAGCAAATAGCCCAACCATCAACTCAGTCCCCGGATGCGGATACCGACACAGCCCCTTCCTGAATGACTCCCCCCGAGACCGCAAGCAATCCAGACAAACCCCAAACTCAAGCCCCCTACTCCTCTTTAGCCGATTAGCCGCGACCTTGGCGAAATCCGACATATCAGGACACCCGCAGCCACAGTCACTGCCCACAGTCTGCGGGATGTGTATCCGGGCCAAGGCGAGAGCGGCTCGATCAAAGGCCTTCCCTAGACTGAGATGTCGGAAGAGATCGGTACCCGGCATGGCGCAGAGGTGTTCAAGCTGTTGCACGTAGCTTCCTATTGACTTGATGGCTCTGGGGCATCTGAATCGTGCCATGCGGTTGATGGGCCATGTCACTATCTCGTTGATTAGGCTTCCCGTCACGTCTCTGCGGGCGTTGAATTCGGCTGTGGACGTTAGCATCGCCTGTTTTTCAACAAAGACGTCTGAAATGGGGGGATTCATATGTATCGGAACGAGTGCTCACCGATAATATTATCAGGCACAAGCGGATTATCAGTCAACGGAGCCAGCTTCTTAAACAACCCCACATGTTCCAACAGAATCTGCTTCGAGATCACCAGAAACTCCCTGGGTAAATCCAACACGTACGCGAAAAACAGCATCTGACTAAGATCCTCAATCGACAGCCCCGCAAGATTCCTACACAACCAGATAGCGCCATGGAAAGCCACCACCTCCTTGCACTGATACTTGTCGACCAGGATAGCCAACTGCTCCAGGCAATCGGGGCTGGGGGTATTGGGGACGTTGTATCCGCGGTAATGAGCCACGATGCAGAGCAGAGCGAGTGCTTCGGGATCGTCATCGGGGAGGGGGATGGTGGTGGGATTATCCGGGTTCGCGGCGCGTACGGAGAAGCCTTCTTTGAAGTGCGGCTTGAACATCGCGTAGAAGACGGGAGATATTGTTGAGAGGATGCTGGATGAGACGCGAACGGATGCATTGCGGCATTCCAAGAGGAGGTCCCCCTTGGGATGGATGAAATGCTCCTGCATGGTGTATGCTGCCATACACTTTGTTTGTGTGTGCACCGCGATGAGCTGCCCAGAATCACAACGTGTTAATGATTAATGAACATCAAATAATTGAAGATAGATAGGATGATATGAAGGAGACAGTTGTCAGCCTGGCCATGACAAGAAAATTCCAGTTGTTGTTGGGAACAGCTAGGCTGCAACAACCATGACGTCTTCCTACAATGCTGTGGTTATTTGCCTGATATCAACTGCTCACCTTACATATTCAAGAGGATAAAGCTGTAGGTAGGAGTCATCGAGTTGGATGATGGTAGAGCTTCGTAGGGCGGAAAGGGTGGGAAGAGAAGAAAGGAAGTCACATTGTATCTATATCTCATTTCTCTCGTCAAGTGTATCCAACATGCAAGGCTTTCTTTTCCTTAGTCGGCCATCAAAATATCGTCCCTCGTTATCCCACTCCTTTCGCACATTCCCCTGAAGATGCTCCCTTCGCCCATCTCCCACAAATTCAACGGCGTATCCATCTCCGCGATCTGCCCTTGATCCATCACGCAGATGCGGTCGTAGTGAATGATCGTCCTCAGCCGATGCGCAATGCACAGTACAGTCTTCCCGTGGAATCCCGTGGCCATGGTCCGTTGGATTTTCCGATCAGTCTCAAAGTCGACGGAGGAGGTAGCCTCGTCGGCAACGATGATGCGAGCATTGCGCACGAGGGCACGGGCAAGCGCCATGAGCTGGCGCTGGCCGAGGGAGAAGTTAAGACCTTCTTCCTCGATAGGGGTCTCAAGGTTCAGCGTGGGTTTGGAGATCTGTTTTGGCTTTTCGTTCTCGCTTTCGATTTCAACCTCAGCTTCACCTTTCTTCTCATCCTCGTACGGCGGGACCTCGATCTCCTCTCCCGTCAAGTTCGCCTTTCGTAGTGCATCCCACAGCTCCAGGTCGGTATGTTCGTCGAACGGGTCCAGGTTGGATCGAACAGTGCCTTTGAACAACGCCGGGTCCTGCGGGATAATAGCCAATCTGGACCGGAGATCATACAGTCCGATCTTTCCAATATCGACGTCGTCGATCTTGATGCACCCATATGACAATTCTGTCAAACGAAACAGGGCAGACATGATGCTAGATTTGCCAGCGCCAGTTCTTCCAACGATACCAATCCGTTCCCCGCCGCGGATCGTCATGGATAGACCCTTCAGAACTAACGGCAGACCGGCTCGGTAGCGCATTTCCACGTTGTTGAATTCGATCTTCCCCTGCTCAGGCCAGGACGGGTCGACGGGGCTGAGATGCAGCGGTGCTTCTTCTTCGAGCTGTGTTCCGTAGTAATGCACACGTTCCGTGGAGTTCATGTTATTCTCCACCTCGGCGAGTTGGCGAATGGTAAATTGAAGCATTTGAAAGATGGACAGGATGTAGGACAGGACGAGACCGGAGATGCTGGGGGAGACGTTGAAACGGGAAGTCACGACCAGGATGCCTGTGACGAAGACCAGCAGGATACCCACGGCGTCCAGGCGGATGCTCAGCCAGCGCTGGTTGGAGAAGGTGAGAAAATACGCTCCGTTCATCATATCAATGGAATCGCGCACGCTGCGCCTGAATTGATTTTCCACCCCGTAGGCCCGAATGCAGGGCGTCCCAGTTATGGCCTCGTTGAATCGCGCGAACACGACGGACCGAAGAACGGATTCGTGCCGCTTCATGTCCCGAGCTGATGCTCTGTAATAGCTTGTCGTGATCAGGAATAGTATAAATAATGGGCCCAGAGCGATGGCGAACTGTAGGAATCGTAAGCACTAGCAAGAATGGGACAGGGAAGGGTGGAAGAAAGCCCTACATAGTGGAAGAATACGATGATCAACACCATCACTGAAATAACCATGGTGATCGTGAGCGAATAGATCCGCATCGAATCCGACAGCTCCGTATCCATAACTTGGATATCCTTCGAAAAGCGATTGGTGATCCGGCCCATAGGCGTTGTATCAAAGAAGGACATGGGCGCCCGCAGAACCCTCGTCATGGCACGCAGAAGCATGGTCCGGCTGGCATTGGCACCGAAGGTCGTTGTCAGGGTCGAAAACACAAAGGTAATGAGTGCTTGGCAGCCACCAAGCCCTGCATAGATCCCGATGTATTGGCCTGTGGAAAGGGAAGGGTACTTGTTAGAGGTCCAGTATGACAGCCACAGACTCGTCATTATGTTGGCACCGTTGACCAGGGCCAGAGAGCCGAGAAAGAGGACAATGTTGAAGAATGATCCGCTTGCAGAAATGTATGCTTTCCAAACGGACCAACCCACCGAGGATGTGGCGCGCTCTTCCTGCTGCATGAGGCCTGGAGACTTTTGCTTTCTCTTGACGGGTTTCTTGTCGTCCTCATCGCCATCTTCTTCTCCTTCCTCTTGGTTCTCTTCGGACTTCTGCTGCGATGTGCTCGCCAATAGCCGCTGGAAAACCTCACTGTCACGCATAAGGTTGTCAAAAGTATCGACGGCAGCGATACGGCCCTCGTCCATGACGATAATTCGATCGCAGCGGTTAAGCACATGGAGCTGATGTGTAGCCAATATCCGACAACGGTCCTTGAGAATCCCACATATAGCCTTGTCCATGATATGCTTTCCAACATGGGCGTCCACGGCGGATAGCGGATCATCCATCAGGATCAATCCAGCATTAAAATAGATCGCCCGGGCGATATTGAGTCGCTGCTTCTGGCCTCCGGACACGGTGATACCACGTTCTCCGATTTCCGTCTGGTCACCGTTAGGGAACATCTCCATGTCGGCTCGGAGGGCACAGGCATCGACAACCTGGTTGTACCACGTCTCGTCATAGTCCCTGCCAAACAGAATGTTGTTACGGACGGTGGCATTCTGAATCCAAGCATACTGCGGACAGAAAGTCCTGGTCGTCCCCATTCTTACACTGCCTTCCGTCAATCTCATATCGCCCGCTAGCGCTGCGAGCAAGGAACTCTTTCCACATCCTACAGTCCCGATCACGGCTATTAGCTCGTTACGTCCGACTTCGAAGTTCAGATCGGCGAGTTTGAACGGCTCCAGTCGAGTCGCGCCTGGGTCTGAATCGTCATCACTTCTCGGTGGTGGGGGAGCAATAGGAGCAGAAGAACCCTTCCTCTTGATGTTCTTCTTCCCTTCTGCATTGTCCGCTTCCTTGTCTGTCGGGACTCTCTCCCAGGTAAATGATGCGTGTTCTACTTCGACAGCGTTCTTCATCTCGTCAACCCATTCAATATCCTCCTTTCGTTCCTCCGCGAGCAAGAACTCCTGGATCCGGTTTAGAGCGGTCCAGGCATCAGTTACCTGACCGATGACCATGGGGAGCAGATTCAAGGGCATTCGTAGCGCATTGAACAGAGCCAGTGAGGAAAAGATGGGGGCGGGCGTGAGATTATGCTTTGACAGGGAATAAGTGATAAAGGACAACATGGACGCGAAGACGGGCATAGACATGGAGACACACATGATCGCATTTCGGATGGCCAGGAGGGTCTGGATGGAGCGAATCTCGTGTCTTCGGATCTCCTTCAGACGGTTCAGAAAGCTGCTTTCCCACCCAAAGAACTTGACAAACCGCACAGCCTGCAAGATCTCCTGGGTCAGGGACACGCGCTGGTCTGTGAGCTTGTTGATCCTTTTTCTCCGCTGGACTAGAGAGCGGACCGCCATGGTAAGTAGAGGCATGCTCAGAAGCAGCAGCGCGTACCCAGAAAGACAGCTATAGCCGATATTAACCAGCAGAACGACTAGGGTAACAATAATGCTAATGGGAGACGTCCAAAGCATGTGGAACATGCCCAAGGCAGTGTTAATACGGTCCGCGTCAACGCTCATCAAGGTGATGATACGGCCATTATTCCAGCCACAGCTGTCGCCAGAATCCGCTTGGCCATTCTTCTTCGCATCTGCCTTCTGTGTCTCTTTCGTGCCATTCTCTTTTGCCCCCGGACCGGACTCGATTAGAGCATCTCTGGTGGACCTAAGAGCCTCGATCTCTTCCTGAGTCGGCTTCCCGCCGGCCTTCGCACGGCCAGACAATTTCAACGCCTTGGAGAAGATGGCGGATACCAGTACGGCCCTTGTCTGCCCACCAACCATCATACCACGGTAGATGAACTGGTTGGTACAGAAACTCTGGAGAATCTGCATGATAGTAATCCCGAAGACAAAACCAAGGCCATGTCCGATATGAGGGGGAGGCCGGTGCGTATGCTGCGCGATATACGCATCAGTAGCAAAACTAATCAGGTAGCGAGTCAGGTATGGCGAAAAGACCTGGATCAAGGCACTGACAAGTTGACAGACACCTCCGAGCAGGAACTCGAGCTTGAACGTGTCGAAGAGAGCCCCAAGCAGAGCGTTCTTCTCTCCGCGCTCCATGCGCCGCTGGAATGCAGTATCCAGCTTATCAGACAGAACATCGACGGCTCTGTTGGGATTGACGGTCCAGATATCCTGAAGTTCCAGCGGCCGCAAGTAGCCCACCTGCACGCAGTCAGTGTTTTTGAACGTCAATCAAGTAGCGAAGAGACAACGAACATTCATCAGCGGAGCCATCCACTGGAAGGTAATAAGACTGAAGATATTGGCCCCATATTCCCTAGACACCGTCCTCTCCGGCGGCGGAGGAGGTATCTTCTGCCAACGAAGCGGGTTATACTTCTTGTACCATTTTACGTGCGGCCGTTTCAACGCAGCCGGGGGCTGCGATGACTGAGCCGAAGCGGACGAGTCCCTGGAAACGGCATGTCGAACCTGCTTGTCGAGGCCATCGCCATCGCCATTGTCAACGTTATTATTATCACCATTGTGCGACTCGTCAACAACCACCACCACCTCGCGCGATTCCGAACCTCCAACCATTTTCCGGCGGGAGAAGAATCAATGAAAAAGCAAGAGAGAGAGAGAAGAGAGATAGAGAAGCCAGTCCAGGCCAGACCTATACTGAAATGTCACCATATACGCCAACCTAATCTGGCCGGAATCCCGCTGGTCGGGGCCCGATGCCACCGATTCCCCCGATGGGGACTACTGGGCAGAGAGGGGACGGGGAAAACGGGATTATCCTGAATGGGTCCTGAGCTGGGCCTCATACTGAATCAGCTGCGTCAGGAATCCGGAATCAGGAAACAGGACAGAAGATTAACCTGCCCAGCAGCGGGGGAAGGGCAGGCAGGCAGGGAGACCGTGGCGAAGGAAGAACGACGTGAGATAACGGTCATCGATCCAATCCAGCATCTCAATTCTCGGCCGGTGCAATCATGGAAAGGGACGATGATTATTAATTGGGGATTTCACCGACATCAGTTCGCCGACGGGGAATGGATGAAGGCCGGAGATAAGCCTGTATAGTCAAATGAATTCGACGCTGGCCAGCTTTCGATGTGACTCTAAACAAGCACAAGCGATGCGCCAATCGTGGTGCTTTCAGTCCGCAGCTTTGACTCGGAGAACGAGGTGGTGCTATTTGATAGAGTTTTCCGACGGTTGTGGCTCCGCTTATTCAGTGTTGGGTTGGTGAGAAGTTGAACCCCGGGACGGTGAGAATGGCTCGAAATAAAGAAGAGATGCAGCTGGAATAATGTGATGTATATTGTGCAGAGGACAATCAATCAAATGAATCATAGCCTCGCACGGGTCTGTCTGTCTTGCGGTATTTTCTATAGCTTCTCTTACAGCCCCTGATTCGCAGCCAAAAGTCTCGCACTGCCAAGGAATGGCAGGCTTATAACCGACAGCGCCCTCAGGAAGTAGAACAGAATTCATACAATAAGATAGCTTTCATTTCTGTTTTCATGGCATTCTGTATTCGTTACAATTTCATCGACATCCGCACCGCGAACATGGAGGTACGTCTCAGGTTGGCAGTAGTCGATGCGCTGGTGGCTTCTTCTGTCGCGAACCACCCACCATTCAGACATGCCTACACAGGCTGATCCCTGTCGAAGTCTCCTGCAAGGACTGTCCAGACCATGTACAGCGTAAGGCTCTGGCTCTCCGCTCACCTGCAGCCAGCCCGCGCAATGTGCTTCCGCGCGCAACGTGCTTCCTCCGTCTTACAGCGAAGCGCTGCTGGTTGATGACCTACGCCCTTTCCCCCCGACGTCCGGTTTCCTCCAATCTTCGCCGAGTCACTTAGTTCTCAAGGTCGATCTTGACCTTCTTCTCCGGAGGGGGCGCGACTCTGTCTTCAGCCTCGCCCTTCAGACCAGGCAGTTCCTTGACCGCTTCTGCGATCATACCAAGGGCCGTCTCGATCTCCTTCTCCGTGATTACAAGAGGTGGAGCTAGGCGGATGATGTTCTGGTGAGTGGGCTTGGCCTGGGGAAGAAAGCAACACGGGTCAGTCTCAAAAGGTCTTGTCACTTCCGGGAAAGAGTGGGCGACAGCTTACCAGTAGACCCTTCTCCTTCAGAAGCAGGCAGAGTTCCCAGGCAGTATGTCCGTTTGTCTTGGACTCGTCAATGATGATGGCATTGAGTAAACCCTTCCCACGCACGGTCTGGATGATGGGGCTCTTGATCGCCTCCAGGCCCGCCCGGAAGACTTTACCTAGCTTCTCGGCTCGCTCAACCAGATTCTCCTCGCGGACGACTTCCAGGGCCCGGATGGCCACGGCGCAAGCGAGCGGGTTTCCGCCGTACGTGGAACCGTGCGTTCCCGGCTCGACAGTGAGCATGACATCCTTGCGGCCCAACACGCAGGACACCGGATACATGCCGCCGGAGATGGCCTTGCCCAGGAGCACCAAGTCGGGTTTGATCCCACTCCACTCATGGCAGAGCATCTTACCCGTCCGCGCGATTCCCGTCTGGATCTCGTCGCAGATCAACAGGGCATTGTACTTGTCGCACAGGGCTCGGGCCTCCTTCAGGTAGTCTTCGTCGGGAACAACGATCCCCGCCTCACCCTGGATCGGCTCAACCAGGAAGGCAGCCAGGTTGGGACCGGCCTTTTCAAAAGCCTCCCGCAGGGCCTCCTTGCTGTTGTAGGTGATGGGCTTGTCAGTACCGGGAATCCAGCAGCCGATGTTGGGCAGATACGGGCCATAGTTCTCGCGCGACTCGGGATCGCACGACAGGGAAATGGCCGCGAAGGTGCGTCCGTGGAAGTTGTTTTCGGCACTCAGCACGACGGCCTCGTTCTCCGGGATGCCCTTGACCTTGTAACCCCACTTCCTGGCGATCTTGATTCCTGTTTCGACGGCCTCGGCACCGGTGTTCATGGGCAGGACCATGTCGAAACCGAAGAATTTGGTGACGAATTCGGCGAACTTGGGGAAGACGTCATTGTAGAAGGCACGGGAACTGAGTGTCAAGCGGGAGGCCTGGTCGACCAGAGCGGCAACCAGCTTGGGGTGGCAATGGCCCTGGTTGACGGCGGAGTATGCGGACAGGAAATCGAGGTAGTGACGGCCTTCGGGATCCCAGACAGAGGTACCCTGGGCACGAGCGAAGACAACGGGGAGAGGATGGTAGTTATGGGCGGCGAAATCGTGCTCAGCGTGGATGGCTTCCTGGGACGAGGAAGAATGGTAGGGAGAGGGAGTGACCGTGGTCTTTGCCGGAGGGGCAGCAGCAGGAGTCTTGGAGGTAGCGATGGGCGACATTTTGATGGGAGAGACAAGATTACGGAGTCGGCAGTATTGGATGAGAGAGGGAGTAACTGACAGACACACACACACACACAGAGAGAGAGAGAGAGGGAGAGAGGATGAGAGAGGATGAGAGAGGATGAATTTATAGAGAAGAAGAGAAAGATTACGGGGGAGTGGAAGGTAGAGCCGAAGATAGCCACCGATGATGAAGCTTGACTGTTTAATAAATTATCACACCGCAGTAATGGCTATTGCGCTGCCGGTGATAGGACAATAATAATATCAATCTTCACGAGTCTTTCAAATGAACGAATGCCTCACATGCAACGGCTCTCTGCTTTAAGAAGATCCATCCTCGTCATGTCGACTTGGCCATCACCATCATCATCATCACTATCATCATCATGCCCCTTTCCTCCCCCCGCAATGCCCTCCTCTTCCTCGTCGCCTTGCGTCTGCTCAACGCCGCCTGTCTGACGACCTTCTTCCAGCCCGACGAGTTCTACCAGTCGCTCGAACCCGCCTGGCAGCTCGCTTTTGGCAGCGACGCTGGTGCGTGGATCACCTGGGTAAGTTGACTCCTGTGTTGTTTGCCTCGAATTATCCTGCTGACGGCTGTGATTTCCGACAGGAATGGAAGCACCAGCTTCGTTCCTCCCTACATCCCCTGCTCTTTGCGACTGTCTACTATGCTGCAAATGCTGTCGCACAGTCCCTCCGCGTCTCTCCCGCGACGCGTGCTGATCTCTTGATCGCCGCTCCCAAAGCGACCCAGGCTGTCGTCGCGGCCTTGGGAGACTTCTTCACATGGAAACTCGCCCGTCGGATATATGGATCTCAGAACAATGCGTCGTGGGCTGCGGTATGTTCGTGTTGGAACATAATTCCTCTAGCTTAGACGTCGAGGGGAGGAGGTTGACTAGTCAATCCTGCAGCTGGCCCTGACAGTTGTCAGTCCGTGGCAGTGGTTTTGCTCTACCAGGACTTTTTCCAACTGTCTGGAAACCACCTTGACCGTTGTCGCTCTATACGCCTGGCCCTGGCAATGGTCACTTATTCCTGGTGCTGGTCGCCAAAACGAGAAAGATGCACAGCGAACGCGCGGTGAACCCGTGGGTCGAATTGACAATAATAGCCTTCTCAACAGGTACGCATTGATGCGTTCTTATCCGATAAAACGATACGCTAATTGAACGCGATTATTCCCTAACAGGCTGCGGCTATCTCTGTCTCTGGCTGCACTGGCCTGTGTGCTGCGTCCGACCAATATCCTTATCTGGACGACCCTGGCTACGTTTGCCCTGCTTCGAAGCGCATGGAGCAAGCGTGTGGTCCTCTTTCGAGAAGCCTTGGCTTGCGGGTGAGTAGGCTGCTTTACGGCCGGCTAGCTATGCCTTTTGCTCATCGTTGCTTCCTATAGTTCTGCGATCCTTGCGTTGACAGCGCTGGCTGATCGCCTCTTCTATGGGACCTGGACCTTCCCGCCCCTTAACTTCCTCTATTTCAATGTAGCCCAATCTCTTGCCGTTTTCTATGGGGTGAACAATTGGCATTACTATATCTCTCAAGGCTATCCGCTCCTTCTAACGACCGCGCTACCCTTTGCCGTGGTTGGACTCTACCGTGCCTTGACTCCTACATCAACCACCGCGGCAGACAGGTTCCAGTCCAGCATAAAATATCAGCTTGCGACTGTCTGTCTTGTTATGCCTTTTGTCCTCTCTCTGATCTCCCACAAGGAAGTCCGATTCCTATACCCATTACTGCCTTGTCTGCACGTCTTGACATCTCCGACGCTAGCCGATTTCTTTGCAGTCCTCGTTACATCGTCCCGTGCACGCGTCCCTCGTACACTGACTCTTCTGTTTCTATTGCTAATCAATGCCGTCATTGCGCTATACACATCTGTATATCACGAATCTGGCCCAGTCAGCGTGCTCTCATACCTAAGAGATCAGCATCAGATCCATTCCCGTGTCCCCTTGGCCTCCCATCTCACGGCAGGTAGCGATGAACACGAATCAGGAATCACAGTTGGGTTCCTAATGCCCTGTCACAGCACCCCGTGGCGCTCTCATATGGTCTATCCAAGCATCCACGCATGGGCTTTGACCTGCGAACCACCCATTAACTTGAACGCTACCCAAAAGGCCTACTATCTGGATGAAGCAGATCAATTCTACGACAACGTCACCAATTTCCTCCAGGATAATATGATGGGCGGGTTAACCGACATCCCACGCATCCCATCATACTCACGATCTGCACCCACCCTCCCCTCGGAAGGCAATGACAAGGGAACAGCCAGGGAAGGAATGGTGGAAAGAGAAAAGCCAGAACAGGAAGAAGAGAAGAACCCTACCCACCCATGGCCCGACTACCTCGCTTTCTTCGCTCAGCTCGAACCAACCCTCCAATCCACTTTACGAGCTTCCTCGTACGCTGAATGTTGGCGCACCTGGAGCACAGCCTGGCATCACGATTGGCGCCGCAAGGGTGACGTGGTAGTCTGGTGTCTGGACCGCTCGGAGCAGCAATCCTGGCACTCGAGGCAATGGAAACAAGCTGCCAAGGGACATGAGACGGAACGGAGTCTGCGCGAGCGACAATTCGAAATGCTCATCGAGGTAATTAGACGGGATGCTCTCGCATCTAGGTATTCCAGGGAAGGCTCGAGACGACGAATCTTCAATTGGCCCTGGCGGTTGCGAAAAAGGGCCAGTTGATCAGCTCATCTTTTTGGATGATGTTGTTTCATATGATTAATTCTCCTGTCTGTTTTATGTAAGAGGATAAGGAATTCCGAACCTGACGCCATTGCATTATATGGGCGTTTTAAGGGCTCGGTATTCTCTCTTCCCTCCACCTCTCCACTTCTTGCTTCTATTTGTGTATTATGATACCATTTCTGCTCCAGTTCTTGTCACAACTTGGGCATTCTTGCATAGCATCCATAGATGCCTACATGATATCCACTGCAGATAGTCACTACTGCAAGCATGAATCTTTCCCAATGTTCTAGGTTTATGCAGACCGTAGTTGGATTTTTCTGTCAATGGCATTGAGGCGAATATATATATCCCTCTCTAATATTTCCCAAAATGTCAACGTACATCCTTCCAAGTTTCACCGTATTCCTCGAACTCTTGAAGGTGGGAGGAATTGACAAACTGTCATTGCTAATACCATTTCCTCCATATTCCCCCATTAGCATGAAATGAGGCATGGGATTTAGACACATGTAGGAAATATCGCAACGCAAGGATATTTATTGCCTGGAAATATTTAGAGTCAGTCGATCTATCGGCATCCCATGGGATTCCAAGATCGAAGATATGAAAGGTCTATCTAACTATGGCTCAAGTACAGTCAAGCCGGAGCTTTTTTCTCTTCCAACATTTGCAAGGGTTTGAATATAGAATTCATTGTAAGCTAGATACACGAAGAACTCCTTGGGAGAAGGAAGAGAACAAGAAGTGTTTTCGAGCCAGCAACAAACAGAGCAAATACAGCAAAAGGGACAGACAGAACAAATGGAGCAAATAGGGCAGGCAGGTAGGGTACGCAGGCGTTGGCCCTGAGTTGCAATTTGCCTGGGCGTAGCCCATGATAGCACTTCCTCTGAGCGCTTTCATGACGGGCATCCAGAAGGGGAAAGTCAAGGTGATTCTAGAAATTCCATTTTATATAGTGACATAGATATTGACTTTACAGCGCTGTATGTAATAGACAAGCGGACGAACATAGTCAAATTACGCCTTTCCAGGCCAGCCATTGCAAAACAATGATAATAATGCTTTTCAATTAACCCCTGTCAATGCAGTCAGCAATACAATGAATGCCTTCAATCCATAGCGCGCAGCTCACAATACTGAGTAGGTATTATAGTACATGACAACCGGACAGATATGCATTCCCAATCTAAAATGAACGGAATATGATCGAACAAAAATAGGGCAGGAGGTATAATCTTGAAAGGGGAAAAAGCATGATAATGGCAATGGCAATTGCCTATACAGAAGAAGAGGAGCGAATGCGGAACATGATAATGATAAGAGGCAGTTATATGAAGCACCGGCCCATACCATATAATACCCAAGGAAAGGAAAACAGACTACCGATTCCAGATCTTGCATTTGAAAAGAAAAAGATGAAATATAAGAAAGAAAAAAAAGATCCCACTCTAAATTGATATAACTGTCCCAGATCCAAAAGTAAAAAATAAAAAGCAAAACAAATGAGTCTCATCAAGCATATCGCGCGCTCAAACTGGCAAATGCGTCAGGGCTATGTCGCCCGCTCTGTAGCCCATTGATATCAACACTTGGCTGGCTCATGTGGGATCGCATGAAATTGCCATTCATAGATTGAGGGGCTCCCGTTGCGTAGTTAGACTGAGCGACCGGTTGCGTATATGCCTGCGCTTGTTGCTGCCCTAGCCCTGGCTGTTGTGGCATCATAAACGGATTCCGCGAGCTATTGTCCGAAACGATGGGGAAAGATACGCTGCGTTGAGGGACTGGTTGAGGCTGAGAAGTAGGCACATAAGCGTTTGCCATAGAAGGGGCAGAGGTAACCGTTGATGGGACCTGCTGCTGTGGTTGTTCGGGAATGGGTGGTGGTGGTGGGGACAGGTTATACAATGAGAGGATGCTGTTCTTGTCCATGCGGCCAGTAGGCTGTGCAAGAAGAGGCTGAGACGCGAAATTAGACTGTGGCTGAAACTGGAACTGGCCCGAATAACCGCCATTCTGGATAGAAGGTGACGCATTGATCGACTGGTAGGGATTATATGGATTCTGGGTTGGCTGTTGAGCCTGCTGGTTTTGCTGGTTTTGCTGGTTTTGCTGGAACGGGGAAGGCTGGGCAAGAGGCGACGACGCAGGCGGGAAGGCTGGCATGGTATTAGCATGTCGTAGCTGCTGTGATGCTGGGATGCCCGGAACATGGCCAGTTGGCTGGCTCTGTAAAGACGGCTGTGAAGAGCCGGTTGGTGCAGAGACTTGGCTGAAGAAAGGGTTCGATTGTGCAGGGCTTTGGGTTTGGCTCGAATAAGGATTGTTCGCCATGGTCGTCTGAGGCTGCGAAGCCATCTGAAAATACGGATTGCTATAGATATTGTTATTGGCCGGCTGGGACGTGGTATATAGGCTCTGTTGCTGATAAAGGGTCGCTGTCACAGGAGGGGTGAGCGGTTGCTGCACAAAAGTCTGGGAAATCGGCATCTGTCTGGTGGGATATCCACCAGTGGAGTGCGGGAACAGAGGCTGGGAAACCTGAAGATTCTGAAATGAAGCTTCAAGCGACGGTGCTGCAGCAGGTTGTGTGCTCGGTGCATCGAAAGGATTATACGATTTTGTGGCGGATTGAGCTGGCCGCTTCTGATCCAGCGCATCGAAGGGATTATTAGAGCCTGACTGGGAGGAAGTTCCTGTCTGTGTTCTAGGCCGCGGAGGGCCCTCCCCGACTCTCTGCAGGGTTTCAATCGATTTCGATAGGTTGCCATTAAGGCTTTGGAGGACGGTTGCATTGCGCCGCTCATTTTGAAATCCCATATCTCTCAAGTAGTTCATCTTCGATTCAAAGGATTGGCCCGATTGAACTGAAGCTCCGGATGTCACATACGAGTCGGAGTCTCGTCTTGACGGCCGAGGTGGCATCGGTGGAGGAGGGGAGCTAGGTGAGGGCCGACGGAGATGGGAGGATGATTTGGACGTTCGTAAACCGAAACCGAAAAACTTTCCAGCCTTGGCCGGCAACGGGGGTGGTGAGGATTCCGGGGAAGGGGATCTGGTACGACCGGTGTTGTGACGACTGACAGGCCTTGGTTTGCCATCTAGAGATCTGTCCTGGTACTTCTGTCGGATGAATCGCTCCATACACGAGTCGGCCTCGTCGATGTCTATGGGGATGGGGGGTTTGACGTTCTTGGGGTTATAGAGCTTGTTCATGATGTTGTTGCCATGCGACCTCATATTCTATAATCTCAGGATTCAATCACAAGTCAGTCTATCTTGCTGCAGTCTCCTCCATATTCCGGAAATGATGTCCACTCACATCGACCTGCTCTGTCGACCAGCTATCCATAGTCAAGGATTTAACCTTTGAGATGTGCGTCCCCAACTTGCGATGCAGCGATGCGCACCGCATGCATAGAAAGACACCCAACTGCACAGTCCACTCAATCAGTCATCTTCATTCGAAAAGCACAAGAGAGAGAGAGGAAGAGCAGGGATCAGATCTGGACGGATACATACATTCCAACTTGCCCATCCTGAGAAGGGAAAAAGAAAACACGTCAGTTCAGATCAATACGTTTCACAAAAGGATCAACCCGGAGATAGCATATCCATACCTGGATTTACAGCACCGCAGTCCGCACATCGATCATTACCAGGAACACTGCGGATGAGATCCTGAAGAGTCTTTTCGTTGCGCAACTGTTGACGCTTGCTAATTCCTGGCGCCATTCTTCGAGGCAGGGATGCAAAAAGTGACCGAAAATTATATAATGCAAAGGTGTGACAAGGGGCTTTTGCTTTATTTTGTTTTTCCTCGTGATTCGATTATTTTTTATCGTCCGTCAGAATGCGTCAAATGGTCGTGTGTGCGTGTAACACTGTTGTTGAAACTCTTTTCCTTGTCTCCGAACTTCCCGTAGAAGAAAAGGAGTGGATTTGTCAGAAGAGGCGAGCTATGATCATGGTTGAGACATTGCCGACGGGGGCAATGGGCTGTGAGACGGCTGGGACGTAGGGAAAAGGTGAAATGAATGCAACAGTTGATGGTTGACAGAAGACGGGATGGGATGGAGGATGGATCCGTCATCGGGAAGCAGAATGGACGTCATCGGGAAGCAGAATGGACGCAATGCAACCCTGTCTGTATGCATCTTCACGAGGCACGGATATGCATTCCTGCAGTCCAGATCCATTCCAGTCTACTCAACTCACGCAGAATAGCCCAGTCTACACAGATAAAAACAGATGCTCTAGATGGCTCTGAATCAAGCCCCCTTGCCAGCAAACTCCCTAAAGAGCTCAATTCCCATCTCAACATTCGTGATGTCCTATTTTCATCCCAGACAAGTCCGAGTTGGCACGGTAAAAGACCAACCAGATCAACATATTCCCATGAATGTTGTGAAGCCTACGAACCCTCTTTGCATACTTGATATATGCCCTGTCTACAGCGCTCTACTGCAAGGGAGAGAAGAGATAAATAAAATAGAAATGTCTGAGCAGCAGGTGACTCCCACGACCACTAACCCGAATCTCTCCCGAAGAATCAATCCAGGCAGAGAGATCGAGAAGCCTTAAGAATTGCCCAAGGACTTTCCATCTGGTACGCCAATATGACCTGCCATCCTATGGAAATGACGTTGTCAGGAACTGGAGGTTGATTATGCGTTCGTGTTTCATGAAATGTGTGAGGAAAGAAAGGAGAGAAGAGGAGACGCGAGAAGAATAATAATACATTGTGTGGCACGTGATTTGGCTGTTTCCCATTTGCATGTTTGCATTGTTTATCCTGTTTGTGCTGTTTATCTTGTTTGTTGTTGTGTCTGAGTTTTCGCTTCATTTTCTTCCTCTTTTTTCTTCCTCTTCTTCTCACTTTCTCTCATCCAGCCATCTTCGCAGGAGAAACCATGATTCATGTTGTCATGCCTCTGTAGTATCGAAGACAGTCAACTCAGTACAACTAACATCATCATCATCATCATTCCCCTCCACATATCATACCCCTACTCAAACCACATCGTGCGCGTCTATCCATCCCATGGCTAGAGGTCGACACTTTTCAAGTTCGTTCGGTGGAAGATCAAAACCCAACAGTTTTTAGCAGAGCTGCGTCTACTCCACCCCGGTGTCCGTGTTGATCGGACGGCGGGACTATTTTACGACGGACATTATTCCTTATTTCTTTCATTAGTTTTCCTTGATAAACTAATTATTGTTGTATGTTCAACGTCAGTTGATGCTTAATAAATTTCCCGCGTCTTAATTAACTATTCCCCGAGTGCCCATAAAACCATGAAGTTTCGATTAGTGACATGTCAATATGTCCTCTGCAAGAATATCCCCGCTGCTAATTTCCGGCCCTCTGGCCCCCAGACACGCCGGCATGGAATGATCGGACCCGGCCATGTCTCGGATGACACCGTCTGCGTGGTGTAGAGAACGGCATGGGAAATGACATGCGCCGTCTTGGTACATTCCGCAAGGACCTTGTGGAGGCTGTCCTCAAATTTGGGACCGGCTTGTTTCATGTCAATTTCAATGCCGGAGAAGATCATGCGTTCGGCTCTGTTGCCGTTCCCGTTTTCCTCGTCCACTTGAACGTGCATCGTATGACTGTTGTCCGAGTCGGTCTTTATTTCCACCCGGCTGCATCGGACCCCCAGACCTTGCCATTCGACGTCACTTGCGCGCGGAAGTTGATCGACCTGGACGGCCAGGAACGGGGGAGTGCCTGTTCCTGTTCCTGCTGACGTCCCATCGCTGGAACGCACGAGGTCGAAGTTCGGGGGACTCGGCCGCTTGCTTCTGGTCGATGGTATCGCCTCTTCCGCCCGACGGCCGTATTTGATGTCCCATGCATCCAATACCGGTTCATCATCGTCTTCATTGTCGCCATCGGACGCTTCCTGCCCGTGCATTTTTTCCCAGACATGCCACGCGACTAAGGCTTTGGTGTCCATGTTTTCGTCTCCGGTCAGGTATGCGATTGCACCCGCCCACCAATCCACCTGCATGGCCGTGCCGACTCTCCATAAATGCTGCAGGGCCAGGACAGCGCGTAATGAGTACCCGTCGAACCACGACTGCTGATCCGATTCGGTGGTGATGAGTTCCATCGACGCTGGCTCCAGAGGGATCTGACCGGCGATATACACCAGTCTGGTGTTACTGTTTCTTGGAAACGGTATCGAGATGGCCTGTGAATACGGCCCAATGTTGGCCGGGGCCCAGTATGATCGTGATTGCACATGCAGGCCATCTCGCAGGCTCCGGGGCCCCAGGTCGATGACGAACGAAATCATAACGGACACGCCCTGGGGTAAGCTGGAGCCGCACCCAACGGCGGCTCTTGCGGGGGGGTTCGGTTTCTTGAATAGCGACACGTACATACTGTTCACTAGGGCAAAATCGGTCATCGAGCCAAGCAGTAGCGTAGCAAAGACAATATCCTCCGTCGATCGAGATCCAGCAGGACATTCCTCTTGTAGAATCCGTTTAACCTTGTGTATAATCGCCTGCATCTGCTCATCAGTTCCAGGACCAGCCTCTGGCGCCGTGAGATTCGATATTGTCCATATCCCAGCACCATGCAGTTGAGTAGACTCGATCTTCGATCCAGATGTAGTAGCACCTCTCTCCGTAGCTGATTCAGAAACAGAAATATCCCTGTAATCCTCGACATGCACACCTCCCAGAACATCCTCAAACCACCCATCCAACAACCCAGGCCGCCTCACCATCTCTGGCCCCTTCCCATCCTCACGCTCCCCCGGCGTCTTCTCAACACACCTCGCCCCCTTCAACCTCAAATACCCAACTCCTCCCTCACCAACACCTTCCTCTCTCCCTCCCTCAGGAATCTCAATCCTCCCCTTCCACAGGAACCCTGGCCCATCAAGCGCAAGAGTCTCATACTCACCCCCTTCACCTAACACAGCACCCCTCACCCCACCACCAGGATTATTCTGACCGCTGTCGCCGTACCCAACAAACCTGCTCATGGCCTTAACCAACCTTCTCCTCACCCCAGAAGAAGAAGAAGACACATCCTCCCACAGAAAACCCCCATCCAACCCCCCCGAGGCAACCTTGATAATCCTCGCCTCGCACCCAACAGAAGCCATATCATCCAGTAACCCCGCTTCGTCCACAGATACATCCGTAGCAGCGGCGAGTGACTTTCTCTCCACCGGCGGAGGGAGAAACGGATACATCCACAACCAGGACAGCGGGATGAGATTCATGCGCGCGGCGACGTTCTCTATCCGCGTCCGTTGGTACGTGGAGAGGATTGCGCCGGCCGAGATGGCGTTTGCTGTTGGGTGTAGCTTTTTGATGTGTGTTAGGAGGGGGATTAGGGATTCTGTTTCGTCTTGCGCTTCACATTCATATCCAGGTTCAGATGTAGCAGTAGACTTGGGTCCGGATTCTGATGTAGATCCAGATGTAGTGTTGTCATCCCCATAAACAAGACCCATATCAACCGCCTCTCCCCGAATCGAGGCACGGTATAATGGGATCCCCAGAGCGGACTTGTAGAGGGGGATCACATTGTGACCGATAGTTTGGTACATGAAGCTGTCTATGTCTTCTATTTCATTTTTATCTTCATCTTCATGTTCGTTTTTGCCTTTGCTTTCGTTGCTGCTGTTGCTGTTCTTGCCATCATCAGGGTACAAATTCGCCAATGCTACGACCCGGTGTCCATTCCGGATGCAGTGGAGGAGGGAGTACAGGGAGTCTTTTCCTCCGGAGATTAGGGCGATGACGTTCAAGCCTGATTCATTTGTTGCTGTTGTTGTTGTTGTTGTTGTTGTCGCTGTCGTCGATGGTTGGAGGGGTTGTGGTGGCATTCTTGCTTTCCCCCCTTGTTTCTGATGAAAAGGGTCAAATAGAAATAAAATATGAACCACTTAGTCTGGATTCTGGAGTCTGTAGTCTCCGCATATAAATTATCAGTGCTGCTTATACCTATTGGCATCAACTGCAGACATGACTTGAACTGTTAGAAGTCACATGTCTTGGTGGAGTCTCATGGCAGAATTTTACTGACTTCTTACTTTGTATACAGCATGAACCCCATAGATACTACAACAATACTAATCAAACAGTGCAGTTCTTAGCAATACATCCAGTCAACTATCTGCTAATCAATACATACATCATGAAATGGATATTATGCACGCCAACCAAACATTCAACCAAGGCCCAAAAATGCACGGGGGGGGTATGATACTGTTAACACAACGTACAGGAAGGGAGTATTGATTTAAGTTACACAAAAGTGGCCAGCACGAACAGAGTGGGAGGGGGAGAAGGGAAAAAAAAAGGCAAACCCAGATCGAACAAAACAAATAAACAGGGTGGCAGAGAATATTAAATATTAAAAGGGTTGAAATGATGAACAAAGAATTAAACCGGACCAAAAAGCAAGAAAGGCAGGATAAGAATCGGGTTGCGCCAGTAGGTCGGAGAGGCAACTGGGGCCAGGGATATCCCGAAGAGAAGAAGAACCAAAAAAAATGCAGTTGAAACAAAACATATCCCACCATAACCGACAATGCAAGGTATTATTCCGCCCGATGAAACCGCTCGTGGTATAAGATGAAATAAAAAGACACCCATCTAATATAGTCTGGATCGAATCATGACTCCAACTTGCGCCCAAGCCCCTGTAAGTAGCCGTAGCCTCAACACAACCGGTTTAATGCAACTTCAGGAACTTGCCCGTTCCTTGATTCTCATCCAGACGTGAATGTATAAGTTCGCCGTGACACCCGTTCTACCTTGAAACCGCGCACATGGAAAGACCAGACGCCAACCCAGAAGAGAGGGGGTCAGAAAACAGACGAAAAAGGCGGCAAAATAAGATCTCGATCAAAAACAAAAAACCAGGTCAAATCCGTCCACATGGAACTGGCTCGATGGCATCAAGAAGCGAACGTATCATATTTCGCAAATATCGTTATCGAGCAATGCAGTCTCTAGGACGAGTCCTCCCGTCGGCGCCTCTTGACCGGTCGGCGGTCGGCAGATGTCGTTTCGGAAGCACCTGCGTTGGAAGGGACACCGTTGGACTTGGCGGCTTCGTACAAGGCGGCACCAAGGGCATCACTGGTCTGGTATTGACGGAGCCCGACATCACTTGTGGGAAGGACACCCATCACCATGGACCCAGTACCATGGGTTCTGGCATGCTGAGCGAGATTGTCACTGCGAGAGAACTTCTTGCCACATTCCTGGCACTCGAACGGCTTGTCCTGAGTGTGGAGCGAGCGGTAGTGACGCTTGAGGTGTTCCTGACGACGGAAGCGACGAGAGCAAAGGGAGCAGACAAACGTCTTGGAGGGGTCGTCCGTCAGAGACTGCTTGCGACCCCTGCGGGGTCCCGAAAGCGCGGCAGGCGCAGGCTCGGTCGGCAGACGCGTCTCTGTGACCTGTTCTGGCTCCACGATGGTCGCCAGCTCGGAAGCCTTGTTCTCTGGATCTTCATCGCCAGCCGTGCGCTTCGAGTTCTTGCGTGTGCTGCACCGCTTCTTCGCTCTCGCAGCCTTGTTGTCGTCGGCATTGCCCTGGACGTGCTGTGTGAAAGCAGAGCCGTCGAAGGATGGAAGGCCGGAGCGGAGGAAGACTTCCTGGTCGTCGAGGTCTTCGAGACCAGTCTCACTCAGGAAGTCGTCTTCGTCGATACAGTATGGGTTTCCGGGATGTCTCTTTTCGGTGTGGAGAAGGTTATCGGCGGGCTGCAAGCGGCCAAGACGCGCAAAGTCATCGTCTGAATCGAGTTCCGAAAAGCCGTCAAAGGTAGGAAGCGTGCTGAGCGGATCTCCGGTGGAAGTGGTGAAGGATGGGGACGCCGTCTCGCTGACGGGGAGAGTCACTTCGTCGCTGGAGAGGCTTGGGAGTGGGGTGAGATCGGCCGGAGCAGAAGCCGAGAGAGAAGACTCGACAGTGAGCTGACGTGGGTCGCAGAAGTCAGAGCCGGCGGGCTCGATGGAGAGAGACAACTGCGAAGATGCGAAATTGGAGGGGGCCGGCGGGGGCGACGGGGAGAGCGACGGACACGAGAGTGATAGGAGTTCTGCCGGGTGATTGGCGGTGGCCGCCGGGTGGATAAACACTAAAAATACCTCCGTTAGCGTTCCATGGCTCCCCCGGATCGTTGCAGTCGGCAGTTGTCGTAAATTAAAGGACGCAAAAAAGGCTCACCTGGTGTCATCGGCGGCGTCTCGGACTGCCAGTCCGCCTTGGCCAGAATCTCGGAATTGACCTCGTTCTCACAGCCCTCCTTGACGCCCTCCACCCTCTCGAAGGAGAAGAAACCCTCGTTGACCGGTGTGCGGATGGCATCGCTGGTCGATGGGGGACTGCTGATGGTACTCCCGGGTGTCGAGAGCGGTGGTGGGGAGGAGAAGGCGTAGAAATCAGCGCTGACAAAGCGCTTATCTAGCGGCATGAGAGACGGCGAATCTTGCACGATGATCGAGGGCTTGGGAGATGCCATGGGGGTCAACCCGTTCATGCTGGCATGGTATGCGCTGGAGTTGGACACTGGGTGCATGTTGAACATCGGTTGTGTAGCGTACATGGGGTGCGACTCGGGCATGCAGTGCTGATGCTGCGGCGGCGGAAATGCCTGGATGTGGCCATAGTAGGCCGGCATCTCTGACGGATGGCTATAGTGGCCGGGTTGTCTGTACTGCGAGGCCGAATCGACACGGTAGTATGCGAACGGCGGTTGCTCCTGCATGGCGTATGCAGGATCCATCATAACTTGATGAGAGGGATCTATCAACCACGAAGGCTGGTCCTCGTCAGTCACATTTTTGGGGAGGCGTTTAGGGCTTTGTTTGCACTAACCTGATGAGTAAACTTACAGTCCTCTCTGTTCTCCGGATTATTAGTATACTAGAGTACAAGGTCCTCTGTCGAAGAGGACAAAGGCTGTGTGTGATGTTGATAGCGGAATGCGTGTATTCCTTAGGCTCGAAGAATGACCGACGGTACCCAAGCGGGGAGGGTTCCTCAAAGGGGGAGGGGGAGGGAGGATAAATGGAGGAAGAGAACGGTTATATATATTTAAATATATAACGTGTAAAGAGATATATATAAAAGAAAGTTTGAGGAAGCCGCTGCGTGATCGGATGATGAGCAGAGATGCCCGCTATGGATCTTCCTTGTGGTATCTCCGACGATGTATCGGGAGGGTGCCAGATAAATGAGTGACAGAGGTCTAAGCCGGTCCCAGAAAGGAATGCGTGGGAGCGAAGGAAAGACGAGAAGATGCAATGGTCCGATGGATACAGTGACGGATTGGTATGAGACAGGACAGATATTATTATATGATAGGAATGACGAGGACAGCCGGGCTAGAAGAAGGGCAGACGAGGGTAGAAAAACGTCGTGACAGGTTATCAAAAAATAGAACAGCATAATAATAAAATAAAATAAAATAAAATACAGAAAAACAAAATATAAAAAAATAAAATTAGTAATAAATAACGGAAATAATGAAATCCATATGAAGAGATAGATTAATTAAAAGGATAGGACGATGGACCGTGGGGAAGGTAGCAAAACGAGGACAGATGGCGACGATGGTGAGGATGATCTGCCTGTGGCACAGAACGGGGTACAGTGCATACGAATCCGAATCTATTCCATATTGGCAGATAATCCCAGCATAATCAGAATAATAATAATAATACAATAATACAATAATCATCTTCGAATAATATTCCCACAACCGCGGTCGACGACAGACATGACACCCTGGTAATAATAGCACGATGCCACCACTCATAGTTCCGGTGGCCACTCACTTGCCACGGTATTGTATTTTCTTTTTCTCTCTGTTGCTTTTGTTAATTTGGTTTACTTTTTTTCTAAATTTTGTTGTTTAATATTATTCTTCCTACCAAACTACTCCGTCCAGCGGAATGATGGAGATCATAGAGATGGGGTGATGCTGGAACGGGCAGTATCCAAAGCGCATCCGGCAGATGGAGATAATGCAGTGGGGACTGCTGCTGCTACAACTCCGTCGATATCGAGGTCAGGCCAGGTCAGCCTGTGCGTTGCCGGCCTGTCGCTGCAAGACTGCCTCGGCCGAAGTCGCAAAAACGAGACGATTTGCAATGATGATCATAGATCTACCGTGCTTCTCATACTGTGACACCGGATAGGACTACCTATGCAGCGCAGTATGGACCGCACCCAGCATAATACCTGCCCAAGAGGCCTATCTACTATTTTAGTAGCCAGTCAGCAAGATACCGCGTAAGCATATCAGGTAGCATTGTGATCCGCCACCAGCGCAGCGAACAGAACACCTCTGCTGAAACACCCATGGCCATTGCTGGGCGGTCAACCCATGCCCATTCCATTGGGCCCAGACTCCCTATAGGCTGCCCTGATAGTATTCCTTATTGGCCAGCGCAAGTCGCAGTCTGTATACTGGATGTGATTGGCTGCGGGCAAGGCCCAGGGGTGTCCGACGGAGCAAGTGGGGTGCTGGAGGCCGGATGGTGCCATGTGGACCAATAGGCGGCGTCCCGGAAACTTAGTAGCAGAGTCAAATGGGCGGGGCTAATCCCGGAAGTGCCTAGTGGCCTTATTTTTCGGACTGGATGGTACCGCTAGACATATCTGATGTTACAGAGACTGACGCATTACGAAACCGGCATGGCGCGAAGTACCGATACTTCCGTATCCGCCCATCTGGTCCGGGGAGCCAGGTATCGGTACGCTCTAATTCCATACGCGTATTGTATAATGATACTCCAATGTGTACATGTCTTCTACCTCTACTACTACGGTAGTAATGCCGTTCCTCTAGATAAAGTTATGGGCTACTGCACGCCCTAAGTAACATTCCCAGCGGCACGCGTCCATCGCAGCATACTCGTTAACTTGCCCTCTTCGAATCCTTCTCGACCGACTTGCCCGATCCTGCTATCAGATACCCTGTCCAGTGTCGACATCCCGCGGAGATTGATTGATGCGATGCTGTGTAGTTCCAGGTAGACGCTTGCCACGGTTCTCCCCGATCAATTCGGAGCTTATCACGCATCGCATCCATGGTCATGGATTCCCAGCGGTTCGACAGCGTACGCTGTATCCGCATTTCACATGTGCCATGGGCTGTCTACTGCAGGAACAGGTGCGGAGGCGCCGGTGGACCAACCAATGCCCGTTCCGGGGGATGTGCTATCTATCTGCATTGCATGGCATTTATTCTTGCCTTGGTCCATTCATCGTCCAAGCAGACGCATTCTCCTTCGTTCTCCTCTTTTCTCCTTATCGCTTACATGGAAAGAGCAAGCGAGAGTGAACCCCAAAACAGAAACCCACGTTTTAATTTTGTTAACTTTCTACCGTATGCGACTCGGACACTGCACTGAATAGGTTACAGCGCCGATGCGACGCAGGGACCTTTGAAGCCCGCCTGCGGATTTTCGGGTTTAAGATGACCTGCCGCTTCTGGGCTGAAGCCGAAGTTTAAACGGCCCAAAACAGACGGCGTGGAAGTTTCGTGGCTATTGCGATTATCACGCCAGCCGTCTGCCGGTCTCGAGTTGCGTCCTATCTGCCTCGCCCATTCGCCTGGTCGGCCACTTTCTGGCACTTCGGGTGTTGGGAAATAATATTCCGGCGGCAGTTCTATGGTCTAGCACTGACATTGGCTATTGTCTATATCCATGTTCCCCTAGTAATAATGGAGAATCCCGCCCGGGGAGGAACTGAGCTGACCCTCCCAATCATCCTCCGGATATAATGAGGAATCCAGGGACTGACTTCCGACGGTTCCAATACCAAGGACAACCGGGCGATCACCCATCGGCCTGGAACACCCACCATTGGCCCTTGCCCTACTTCCTGATCGGAACAGGTCGATGTGAAGATAATGACAGCAATCCAACGCTGATGATAATGACAGCATAAATTATAGCTATCCACCGGTGCCGCTGTCGGGCGTTGGCTTGTCTCGCCAACTTTCCCAACCGGGAATGCAAGGTCCGGCTGATCGTCGCGGTTCCAATTAACAGTCCTGCGCAGCCTGTCCGTGCGACGCTGGCAGCTAGAGCAGCTAGCAGCAAAATAATACGATACGGTGAAGGCGCAGCTTCTGAAACGGGACTCGACCAGGCTAGTTTGAGAGTAATTGCCGCTATGTACCTTCGAGAAGCATCGTAGTAGCCTTCCATGCATGCACATCATCCGTCTTGGACGAATCACTGCCAGAGAGATACGGGCTCGATCGCCACTCTAATCTCCGTTTTTTTTTTTTTTTTTTTTTTTTTTTTGCTCTTTGCAAGGGGAACGGCGGAACGGCTACACAACACGGCGCTGTACGAAGGTGTCTCTCGACCGTGTAGATATCTGGAGCAGGAATAATCTCCTGGATTGCCACAGATTCTAATTATGTCATATTTATTGCTTCCTCAAAGCACGCAGCAGCTCTGGCGACTATCATTTGCCATCCGGCAGTTGCAGAGGAACGGGTCCTTCCGAGCTGAACCTGAAACCGAGACTTCTTTTCATGTCTGAGGTCATGATCCTCGATTCGGGACGCAGCGGATTGGGGGCCACCAAAATGCTCAATATGCGCGAACCTACGCATGCAGGATCGCATCTATTAATATTATTGTCCGCATGACAACAATATATATTAATCCTGGACGCTGATATGGTTGGATCCGGGAGAGGATATGCAAAAACAACCCCACAGATACGTGAAGATCACCCAGAACTCGAGACTAAAGGGATCATCATTCCCAACCACCGCAGTGGAATTTACGGTACTAACTCAAATGCCATCCATGATCCCCCATCGATCGAATCAGATCCGCCCAAAAATGATCGCATCCCCATGTTGCTAGGATGGCCGCGGAAGGTCCGGGCGATCATGATTGTTGATTATTGATCGGGGATTTGACATTGATCGCCTATCTCTTTCCTGCTCGTAGAGAGCACTGAGAGCATAGTGTACCAACAGAGCCGTACCAAGGGTGAGAAGAGTCAAGGCAAGTACCCTGAGCCAGCAGTCAAGCTTGAAACTCAATCGGAGTACTCGAAATGGGAAAGCTATCCAGGGCAGTTCGGCAGGTGTCGGTAAACGTAATGGGTGCATGCGGGCACCAAGATCGATCTCCGGGCAGTACGAGCTCTTGTCGATGGTGATGGTTTCAGGAGGTCTCAATCCCCGTGGTTTCGTTTTTGCGTGCATCCCTGCTTACCTCTGACACCGTTAAGGTTCAGACAGTAGGTTCGTACAGCTGTATAGTTCAGCTGTATAGTTTACGAGTTATTGGACCTTGCTAGTCAGGGTCCAGGTTCGTGCGGCCAGGGACAAGAACGATCATAAGACATTAGGGTTAATTATATTAATACCGCTTCGGGGAGCACCAGCCATGAGACCACCCGCGCAGGATTTCGGAATGATCCCATACCGAAGGATAGCTCTCTTTTTTTTTTTTTTTCCTTTTCTGCAGGGAGAATTGTGATTTATGATCCTGGCGAATGACGCAGTCGGGAATCGGCTGACCGTCAGATCCCCCTTCTCAAGCCTCCACGCCGACGAGTGATCTTTCCCGGAGAGAGGCAAGGCTGACGGTTATTTCCCGAGCGCATCGATCAAGCCGCGGTCTCGGCGAGGGGGCTGCAGCAAGATGATGGGAAGGGCATCATCCGTGGAAAACATGGCCTGATCCCACGTTGAAAGCAGGGATTTTGATGAACTTGTGACCTGGACGGTTCGTTGCTCGGGGTTCGTTGCTCGGAGAAAGACGAATCAGAATGGAGTGAGGCCAGAGTCAACCATAATCCATGTTCACCACATGCACGTTCAGGTTCATCCTCGCGCCCCGTTGCTATGCAGCATGGATGCAGGATGCACGCTGTCGAGGGCAATAAAGTTAGATTGATTGACTGTCCTACGCCCCATATCCTCAGGTACCAGACAGACCTAGGCCCAAGCTAGTAGCTACAGAGGCATGGCGATTCATGCATTCATCCGAAATGGCCATAGCAAAATGGATCGGGCACCAGGTTATCAGCAGATCTGCGCCCATGTGGAGGTCCCCGAAGACCCGGTATCCAAACTTTCGGTCTTGCACTTCGGCTTACGACCATTGCGCCAGCGTCCGGGGGAGGATGAGACAGCGATTGGGACCCATTTCGTCAAAAGCCAAGGACAAATTGATTAGTCCCGTAAAGTACGTAGTACGAAGTTTAATGCTAGGAAATCCATCCGGCCAATGTCCGCTCGTCCGCATAGCTGCAGAACCGGTATCTGACCCGACCCATCGCGCAGGAAGTCCTAACGGTGATGCTCATCCTGAAACACGCCACTCATGGCTCTCCGACAGCTCGGAGCGCAGGTCTTTTTTGCGGTGCAGTGTGGGAAAGAGAACTGTCCGTCCGTCTGCACGATCCTCTTCTGCAAAGTCATCATAATAATACGATCCTCGGCACGGAAAACATCCGTCACTATGCATACAATGCAAAGTATGTTTGATTATTACTAGCTAGCTATGCTGTGCTGTGCTTATCGTACGAGTAGACCTAAACCCTATGCATCCATAGGGTTACCACCAAGACGGGGCAGTTTCCTACTTCGTCTCCTCCTGTATGCACACTTGTAATCGGACGTGCAGGAGCAGGAAAACTTTAAACGCGGCGCAGTAAGTACCCTGTTGGCAGTTCCACCAGGGTCAGCTCAGGGCTAGCTACAGTAGCAGAAAAAGCATAGTATCATCACCCTCATACATACATACGTGCATGGCCTGAGGATTTCCATCAGTCCACGGTTCTTCGGAACCGCGTTAACTTTTCAGTCTGCTCGCCATTTTTGCCTGCAAGATGGGTTCACTCCTGCTGCATCGATAGGGATGGTTTGCAACAGCTAGCAGAGCTGGCTAGCTTCTCTCCCGTGAGTTGACTTTGTTTAATCTCCGAAGTGTCTCTGATTGCTAAGAGTCCAGGATTCCTCCTGCATACGGAGTACATGCTAGATACAGAAACAATCAACATGTGGGCTTGGAGGAAGCAAGGACACGACGAGACGAGATAGGATCAGAACGTCGTGAAGTCTGTTTGTTTCTGTTTTCTTTGGCATTCTATCCCTATTCCTGTCCGCCAGGGATGCCAGGGTTTCCCCTGTCCTTTGCCTTTCCTTGTCTGATCTCTGGACGGCTCAGCCCACGGTCCCTTTTGAAATGAACGAAGGGATGCCTGGATCATTCTGATTCCGATTCCGATTCCCTCGGGGGATTCCTATGTTTGTTCCGACGCCAGCTTCACTTCAGATCGCGGGGAATCCCTGTCTCGAAACTGGCACGACTCGCGCGTTACTGGCTAGCGACGCGAGTCATCCTGGGCCGGACATGCTGCATGCCATTGCGATGTTATCGAACATCACGATGGCTGGCATGGGTTGTACGGCGTACAGACTGGACTGGACCGGCCGGTCCGTACATTGCGCGTCCTGCGTATGTAGCACAGTACTCTCTCTGCACGCATGGCCTGTGGATGCCGTGGTGTGATTGTCCACGGGTGTATGGTCGTACCAACTCTTCCGTGGGTTTGCCATTTCCTGGCGACATGCACGTCATGCCATGTCGTGTCTTCGTACTCGGGACGGTGTGAGATGAGTTGCAAGTCAATATATGCAGGTACTCGGCTAGAAGCATGCGATGCGACTACGACGCTTCTAGGTGCTCGACAGGAACTGCATTTGTGCGTGCGATTACCTCCGCGACGTACAGGGACCCGGCATTACCCCGTACCCTACCTACAACGCCAGGCAAACCAGGCTATCACCACCATCACAAGACAGGAAGGAATCCCACTTCCTCGGGTGACAGAAAGAAAACCAGCTTCCCCAGGTTCCCCGCATGCGAATTAGATGAGACCGTCCTTTTCGGGGCCAGGCAGTGCCTGACCCCTCCGTGCTCCGTCAATCACATCCCAGAGCAGGCGTTAGTAATATGCACTGCGAAGCGCACAGACCGGGGTAGTGCCATAATATAATCCATTTGGCGAGTTCTCGGTACCGGTATTTTTTTTTGGATCCTGGCATATCGAAATGCACATTGGAGGAATGATCCTTTCTGGTCGCGTTCCAGCAGCGGCGATTGTCGACGTCGACTTGTGACTTCTGACTTGTGGCTTCTGACTTCTGACTTCTGACTTGACGGACTCAGGTCGACTCCAGACAGTCAACGGTGGAGATTACGATACAAGGAAACAGACGGAAACATAATACATCATATCACGTCTCGAGTCTTGACAGCCCACATGCGCATGCCCGTCCATCGCCATCGCGCCGTTGCGTCGCACTCGTAAGCTTGCATGGCATGCATCACGTCGGCTGCTCCCCAAAACAACCCTAGACGCCGGCGATTCCGCTGAGTGGAAAAGGAATCCATTCCACGCCGCAGACACGAGAGGTAATGGAATAGGTAATCTGATTCCGCGCTGGCTCAAGCAGTACACTATCCGTACAGAGTAAATGGGACGCCGAGCCACGCGCGAGGCAATTGGTCTCGGATAGTCGGTGCTCGTGAGGAGGTGCGATGGCGCACTGACGGCGTTATCCGTTGTCTGTTAGTTAATAGTCTGGCTAGCTGTTGGTTAGTCCGATAAAAGGTTTCGCTACCTCCAGCGTATTATTGTTGTTGGGATTCTCGAGTGCATGCCTATCATCTGGCTATGGCTATGTTTCGATCCAAAGACAAGACAAGACCCTCAAAATAGAAACATAACCGACCATGCATACGGAATATCCACATGAAATCCAATTTCCAACTATCTGCTCTCTCGTACTCCATAGTAGCATCGCATTCGTGTCGTCTCAGACAGCCTAAAGTTTCTACCTTTCCAAACCACAACAAACTCTCTCGAGAACTTTTCTAGCGGCCTTCGTGGCGTCGCTATTTTGCTTTTTCTTCTCCACCATGCATCATAATTCACAACTGCTTCGTTTCGGGTTGAACTTTTTTTTTCACCGCCAGACTGGAGACTCATCACGCTGGTCCTATCATTGCGATGACCCCAAGACGGACGTAGACCGTGTGCCAATCTAGCTTTTTGGTTCGTGTTGTTTCTTTGGTTTTTCTTTCCGGTTCGCTTGCACGGCTCGCTCGCGGGTTCTCGTCGACTAGACTTTGTGGGTTTACATTTACTCAACGCGGTATGGGCCGATGGCGCCTCTGTGGCGCTGTGCCGCTGTGGAGAGTAATAATTCGTCTGGACTGGTAGGTTTGGCAAACATTGGATTCATGGTGATTGATGGCGTACTTTTTTCTGATGCTCAATGCGGGATGGAGTTAGGGTACTTTCCAGTCCGGATTGATCGCCGTCGGTCTACGGGGGATCTCGTATGTGCGCTGTAAACGAGAGCCTGTCTTGTCGTTTGGTTAGAAAGAGATACTATATTTCCTGGAAACGCGTGGCGGATGTGTCAATGAATGGGCATATTGCTCTTCATAATACACCCGTCAGGAATGCCTTCTTTTCTGTGACTAAGAGAGGACGACCCCAAGGTCGGAAACGTGGGTTCTGCACATCAAAAGAAGTCTAGAAACATCGACATGTGTCACGGCTTTGGCAGTGCCCTAATTCAACGCCAGTCAACACCAGTCTGCCGAGGAATCCTGCCTCTAGGAGGCTGGTCTCGTGGTATTGGAATTCAGTTTCGATCAGATCCGACATTCTCGATGTGCAGTGACAGGGATGTCCACTGGTCTGCGGAGGTCCACGGAATATCACTGGCAGTCTTTTGCCTCCAACGCTGCTAGTTCAAGACTCACGCTCCAACCGGAATTGGTCGTAATGCACCACGGAATCCAGAAGAACCTGGGCCCCAAGAGCACTGGAAAACGTTAGCATCCCAATGCCGTCCATGGACCAGGAAACCCACCAGTCTTCCGGAGCGCAATATTCTGCCGGGTGATGGCTGACACCATCGCGGCAAGGGACGAAGATCATTGCTGTCGGGCAATGTCTGCTGGTGTACACACTATCATGGCCGGCACCGCTTGTCATGAGCATTGTCCTCTCCGGACCGACGAGTTCGTTTGCTGCCGCCTGAATGGATGCTATACAGTCCCGGTCAAAATGAACCGCCGGCGAGTCGGTGTCAAGGGTCCAGTCGAATTGGACGCCTTTCCCATCCCGAGCTGCGATTTTCGAAAAGGACCGGAGACACTCTTCTTGCACGGCATGTACAATCCGATCCTGCGGGTGTCGAATGTCAAGGGTGAAAGTCACCTCCGAGGCAACCGTGTTGGTGGATGCATTGGAGGGAACCTTGATAATGCCCGTTGAAGCCAGTGCGTTGTACGTTTTCGCAATATCGTTCGACGAAGCAATCATCCGCGCAGCTGCCAACAACGGGTCTGAACGCGCACGGAATGGTGTCGTTCCAGTGTGCGCATCCCTCCCACGGACAGTAACCGTGAACCACCTGTATCCCTGCGCTCCCTGGACAATGCCAATGGATCGGTTGGTCTCCTGGAGAATGGGCCCCTGCTCGATGTGCAATTCGAAGTGAGCTCCAAGAGGGTGTCCGGAGGTGGCATCGCTCGAGCACGCAAGGTCACCCAGATATCCATGCCTTACAAGCTCTGATCGGAGAGTGACGTTGGGATGGTGAATGTCCCGTAGGTCCCAGGCCTTTTGGATGGGAATATCACCCGCCCACACCCCGGAAGAGCACATTGACTTGGGGAACCGGGCTCCTTCCTCGCTGCAGGAAAAGTGAGCTCAGACAATGACGAGCAGAAAAGAAGCAGGGACAGGGACGTACTTGGTCCAGTTTACGACACCAAGGTCGTAATTGGTCTCGAACCCGTTTTCTTTCATCGTCCTCAGCACTTCCAGCGCGGCCATCACGCCGAGAATGCCGTCATATCGACCGCCACGAGGCTGCGTATCAAGATGACTTCCCATTGTGATCATGGGTGCGGACGACTTCAACCGGCCTGGCAGCCGCGCAAACATGTTTCCCATCTGGTCCACGGACAGTGAACACCCCAGCTGCTGGACTTCAGCCGCAAACCACCGTCGGACGCGGGCGTCATCATCCGTAAGGCTCAGACGAGCCATTCCCGTATCCGTCGGGTTTCTGGGGACAGGATTAAATTAGGCTTGAGATGGAGCTCAGAGGAGACAGGAGGGATAGCAGTGCTATTGTACATACTTGCCGTAACGATGTGCTGCTCCCCATTCACATGTCTCGTGTATTGTTTTCCAAAGTCTTTCAGCATTGATTTGCAGGCCGGATAAGGCTTGGAGCCGCGTAGTGGAGAATTGTCTCGAAGAGCGAAAGAGGGCGCTGGTTACGCCTCTTGTTGCGTACATCCTAAGTGAGTTTATGACAAGAAACTGAGTTATAGAAATGATCAAATGGTTATATGGGTTGGAGCATTGAAGTATTTACACATTTCGCGGCGTCATACAATCGGCGCCCTCTGTGAACATAGAAGAAATGTCTCCATGGATAGATACGTCTTCTACCGATAGTTACCCGTGTCAAGCGCACCTCCACGTCTCTCATGTGTTGGATCCAACTCATGCCTAAAACCAGCTCTTGTCTTCCTAGGAGAGGTCTCCCTGTCTTTGAGCCGTTGAATAGCATGAAAGACGCAGGCAGGATCTTTCAGCCATTGTTTAATCTTTAATGATCGTGCCATTGTCACGGTTAAGGAACGATCACTGTCGAGATTCTTCGTCTCTTTCAAAGACTCCAGGATGAATGCAGCTCTTCTTTGAACGGAGTATCACATTATGAGAGAAGCCTGAGTCTCTTGTACAAATGTTCGAATAGTTCCTGGCTTCTCCAGATCTTTCTGTCATCAACTCAGTCAGGTTCAATCCAAAATCCTAATCATGTCTTCCTCTCTCGCCCACCCTTCGACGCTTCTGCACTGCTGGACACAGGAAAATATAGCGACCTGAAACTAGTATGCGAAGGCCGCGAATTCCATGTTCACAAGTCCATCGTCTGCATACAGTCGCCTGTGGTTGCTAAAGCAACTGACGGCGGATTCAAAGTAAGACACACCTTTCTCTTGAATTCAACGTAGAAGAATAAGCACTAACGAGGCCTGTCTGCAGGAGTCCTATACCAACACCATTCACATTGAACAATCCAAAGCCAGAACGGTGGCGTGCATGCTTAGCTACGTATACAAGGCATGGTACCCGACCGAGAAATGGCGCACGAGGGATAGCAGCAGACCTACTCCCGCACGTTGAAGTCAACTGTATCGCTGACTATTACAACATCCCCGGGCTGATAGAGGAGGCTAATGCGAACATTCGCTATATTCTGCAAACTTGCTGGCCCCCGGACGGTTTCTCGGACGTTATCGAAGCAGCTCTCAACACGACAGGGGATAAGAAGCTGATGGAAATTATCAAGGAAGCCATCACTGATCATATCCATGAACTGATTGACCGGGAAGACTTCATAGAGCTCGAGATGATGAACGGATTCATGACCAATGTCATCCGGAGGTTGATGACTGAATGTATCCAACTTCGAGATGAACTCAGAAGACCTTCCAGTTGAGGGGGCTTGAGCAGTCGAACGAGGAGCACAGGGAAGATGTACAAAACCATAAGTTGAAATATGATCCGCTTCTCCAGAATATCAATAAAGTTGTCAAGGCCACCGCGCGAACTTCTAGTTGTCGGCATTGTCAAGGACTTTGACTACAAAATCCGCAAGGTCAATTCGAGGCATGTGCCTGCTTTCAGGATCGTTTGCAAGGAGTGTTCTTGTGTCATCGATCCCTAGGCCAGAGATTCTCATTCTTGTAGGGACTGGGCTGTATTTTGCTTCAACGAAGTCATGATTGCTCTTGTTTCGAATTTAGCGATGCACAGGTTCGGGATTGTGTTGTATAATATTCCTAGCTCATGATACAATTAAGAGATCATCCCAGTGCTTTCTGGCTTCTCCGACTTCTCTGGAGCAAGCGTAGATTCCTCAAAACGGCACCACCCACAATGATGATAATTAACAGCAACAAAACGATGCCTTCTAACAAACAAAGAACAATCACTCCCTCGTCCCCAAAACCCAAGATAATTAATTAACACTGCATTATCGAGTCCAGAACCAACCAACCCGGCGGTGCCGTGGCGTCCGCTATTCCCAACTGGTCCAGTTCTGCACGGCAGCGGCAGGGGCGCGACTCGAAAAAGAAAAATATAAACAAAAGAAAAGTAAAGAGAGCCTCAGAACAATGGTATGGTGAGATCACGCTTCCATTCCCCTTAGGGGAAGATGAAAAGCTTCAGTCTCTTCCTATCATGTATTTATCCATTTCACTCGTCATAAGCTCTATGTTGGAAGAAATGTTCGAAAGGAAATTTGAGAAAACAGGTAAATTGTCTAGTGTATTATGTAATCTGCTAGCGAGTTAGATTATTAATACAACCCTAAACCTTTAAGCGAATGACACAGAAGTACAGAGATCAAAGGTAGGGCAAGGGCAAGGGCAAAGCACGCAGACCCACCAGCGCAAAGCCTATAAATTCCACCCGCCGCCGGCTAAGATTTTGTTTTTTTTTCTTCTTTCCTTTCTTCGTGCGGCCGACGCGACTCGTATCTTACCCGTGTTGCCTGAGTGTCCTTGTTTCTTGATGCTCAAGGTGTCAGTTGCGTCGAAGAAGGACGGAATTGCACGCCGGTTCTACTTTATTGGTCATTTCTTGGGAATCTGCGATTGCTTCGGTAGTTCAGGTTTCTTTTCACGGATACGACCATTTGGTTTGGGATCGGACATTACTTTTTTTTTGTCTCTGCTATCCTGCAGCAGTGCGGGTGCGGTTTCTTTCTAGGAATTATAATGTTAAATTTTTTTCATCTCTTGAACGAACTTCGAAAAAAATACATGCTTCTATGGATGTATCTGTAGTCTGGATTATAATACGCCCTTGTTGTATTTAAAATCGTAAATCCCCTAGCTCGCCAGACGCCTCCATGTCTCATTTACTCACCTGGCTCATCGCCAATCTTTTCCAACTTGCCCATGTCCCTCTTCTCACCAGCATCACCCAGGATCCTAATACGATCCACGCGCAACTTGTCGCTGGTCCCCTCCCCATCCACGAAGAAAATAACCAGCGAAGTCACGTTTTGGAACTTGACAAAACGCAGATCAACCTTGGCCGTTCCGGTTTTCGAGTCCCAATCCTCGGGTCGGAGTTCCATCGTTTGGACCGCAGTGATGTCTTCTGCCTCCTCGAATCCAAGCACATGTGGACGGTTGGTGTACAGTTGAATCGTCTTGGGCCGCATCGGCGCTTCATCTTCAGAAGAAGGCGGAAGAGAGGTGATATGGAGCGAGTGGATCTTCAGCTTCGACTGGAACGGGATGTAGAGCATCAGTTGCTCATCCGTGTCACTCTCAACCCAATCCGCTGATTCGCCCCCCTTCTCCTTGCCTTTGCCCTTTTCCTTACTGTCATTGAGACCGGAAGGCTTCGACGTCTCGAACAGGGCTTTCACGGTGCCCACCTCGGTGTCGCGGTTCAGCAGATCAAGCCCCTGCACATCAACCTGGTCCGTCACGTCGCTGTATCCCTTGGGGACGTTTGCACCGAGCCAGGCACCGCCTGATCCAGACGACTCTCCAGAAACGTCATTCCCTGCCTTGCTCGCCTCTGACGCAAGTTTCCTGACCACTTCCGATAGCTTGCTGGGGTTTGCACCGCGCACGGTAGATACAGGCCGTCCTTTCTCGAAGACGATGAAAGTCGGCATCCTGAATACGGACAATCACATTATAAAATTAGCACGGCTTTTTTTATTGACTTGTAGACCAATTGAAACGTGAAAAGAGGACTGGGATTTTGCAACTTACGCCGTAACACCGTATACCTTGGCCAGCTCCTGCTGGTGGTCAACATTGATCTTCGTGAATGTGATTCTGTTCGGACGCGACAGCTGCCTCGCCAGCTGTTCGTAGACGGGGGCGATCATCTTGCATGGTCCGCACCAGTCTGCATAAACTGTAGGGCGCGAAAAAAGTTATCATACGTGGTCAGGTCAGCGAACGCCTTGTTGACATCTGGCGTTGCAGCGGGGTTTAAGGCGGGGTGGTGCACTTGTCAGTGTTGGAAGGGAACACTTACAGTCTGCTACAACAATGGCGGACGATCCCAGAAGGGAGCTGAATTGCTCCTTCGAGTTTACGTGGATGAGTGCCGACATTGTGAGCCCTCGGTGGTTTGGAAGGGAGGTGTTGAAGTTGAGTCGTTGAACTGGAGTTACTTGAAAGGTGATATGGGGAAAACATATGTCATCAACCGCTTAGGACAGCAGCAACGGTGCGAAAGCAGAAAGAAGCAAAGCAATTCAAGCTGCTTACATTGAGAAAATACGGAATATATTTCTCTAAATAATAAACAAGCGATATTATTTTTTTATTAGTTTTAACTCTCGTTATACGGCGAAGGCTGTTTTCAGTCTTCTAGCCCAAATAGACGGACTCTTCGCACTCTATATTCCACCAGATTCTCGACTATCATTTCCGTGCCTGGTTTCAGTGAAGAAACAACGGCATTGAATGGACCTGAACCGCATATGTGTCTCCTGCATCAGCATCAAGAATGAGCCGGTAAACACCCTCTCGCAAGACACGCCTATCCTCCCAGATGGCTCAGTACAGAAGCAATCTCCTTCACAGCATGTGAGTATCCATCGGGATCAGGGGACGTCGCAAAGTGTGGGACTGGTGTATCTCCATGAAACAGCCCAGCCTCCCTCGGAGCAAGATGAACATCTTGTCGCGGGCAGAATGCCGCAGCCCTCACGGCTAACATGCCAATTTCTGACCGGCAGACGGTTGAATAGTCTCGGGACGTAGAAATTCCCCGGGACGTGCCTCAAGTTTTCCCTTTCTCCAATCCAGCAGCTTCGTCCGCTGTCTGATCCTGATCCTCACCCTCATTCTCGACCGCGAACAAAACCTTCATCCATAAACTACATCCCCGGCACCCAACAACAACCTCACCGTGCTCCACCTCTCTCTCCAGATCCTGCTCAGTGACCAGGAACCCCCTCTCATCACCACACCGACAACCCCGGTACCAGAACCCGCCAGCGCCTGCGTCCTCATCGAGGCCTTCCTCGTACAACAGATCCTCCAAATCAACAACCTCCAGCCCTGTATGAAAAGAGACATCTCCATTTCGCTCTCTTTCGGCAACACTCAACCGCTCTAGACGGAGGGATCGATCATAGTCCGCGCGGAGCTTAGGATCCGATATTGTCTTGTAGGCTGTAGTAATTTCGTCGATCGTATATGTTGTGTTGTTGGAGGTAGTAACCGACACCGAAACGGATACCGATGGCGTTTGTCCTAGGTTCGCTTTGTCGGGATGGTGCCGTAGGAGCGCTTTGTGGTAGGCAGACTTGATCTGTTCTTTGGATAGTGCCGTTGATGGTCTTTGTAATGGGGAGGAGAGGGAGAGGATCTGGTAGAAATCGTGCTTGATGGGGGTTTTGGCCATCTTCGTGAAGGTCTTTTTTTTTTTCGCGCCCCTCTTTCCTTCTGTCCCGACTTTTCGCGGGATGGAATCAGCCGAATCGACTGATTTTCTTACCTGTCAGTCTAATTTGCTCTTCTCGTTCAATTCCGACGATGATTCTAAGACTGGAAGTTGATTTGCGGTCGCGGGTGCTGAGCAAGTTGAATGTTGATGACGGACGAGCGTCGATCTCCAGCCCCGACTTCGGGATTCTGGGGCGCCGCGTTTACCGGACTGCAACCAACATTATAGGCATTGTGGGAGTCAGTCATCATTCGGACAACATCTAGGATTTACCAGGCAAGGACGTGGGATTGTCTACACTTCATATTTGCATGGCATACTTGTCGGTTATCTGCAAGGTCTGTGATAGCTTCGAATTTCCATTGGGCTTAACAAATAAGGAAGAGGTCTCGAGAAGCCTCTGAACCCCCGCGATGAAAAGGTATGTCACAAGAGACGAAAATCAAATGTCAGTCACCCCAAGGTGAAAAATTAAGGTCAAATGTTCTTAGCTAACCCAGTCATACAACGTAGATGGATGGATGTCACATCAAAATGCAATATTACGACAAACAGATAGTACAATCAAAATAATGTTCCCAAATATACCGTCTACTCGGAAGTCTTGAAGACGAATCGGTCTTCAGGCTTGTTGGTAAAGGGGACACCAAGCTCGAGGAGCTTGACGAAGGCGTCGGAGAAGTCCTTGAAGAAGGTGTCGTTGTCTTTGGCATAGAGCTCGACGTACTTCTTGAACTCCTTATCCTTGATCAGGGACATGTCGGTCGGAAGCATCATCAGAGACTTGCTCGAGTTGTCGGTAAATTGGTCAGGACCGCTCCACTTCCTGTGAACCCACTTCTCGCCCAACAGGAGCTTGAAGAACTCGTTGGTAAAGACAGTTGGGCTGAAATCCCAGGGGCCATCGAAACCAGAGCGGTCGGGGTGTGCACGTCCAAGAGCGTGTGCACCAAGCAGGGCAACAATCTCTTGGTCACTAAAGCCCATGCGGTAGAAGATGTCACGAACGTGCCTCTGGTCCTTGGCAGCATCAGGGAGGCGTCCGTCAGGAGTGCAGGCGGAGACATCCTGGTCCTGACGACCAGGCCTCCAAGGGATGGCAGGACCGCCAGCTTCCTGGATGGCGCAAGCACCAGCAAGGGTCCAGAGATCACCGTAAGAAATCCAGGGGAATTTCGCCTTGACAGGTTCCAGGAAGTCTCTTGCGACCTTGAGCCCGGCGTTGGCACCGTGTTCCGCTTCGGGCGCGAACCTCATGGTAGCTCCGTTGCTACCACCGGTACCCGTCTCCTTATCATAGGTACCGCTGGAGTGCCATGCCAAACGAACAAGAACCTGTTTTATCGACTCTACGTCAGCCCACTGCTCGGTTCCGAACATATGCCACATTTCCGGAGAAGTTGGAACATACCGGTCCATAGCTACCATCGTCATAGTCATCCTTCTCCACCAGCAATCTTGCAACCTCATCGTACACCTTCTGGTAGTCCTCCTTGGTGGGGACGAACGTCTTGGTTACCAATGGGCTGTCACCTTTCTGGTAGAGGTAGGCGCCATACCCGCCGACGGCGGCGATACCAGCTATCCACAGCCAGGAATTGGACGACTTCTTCGGTTCCGCCTCAGAAGCATATCCGCGACGAGGAGCGAAACGGAGTGTTTGAGTCTGAAGAGCGAAGCGGGAGCTGCGAGCAGCCGGTCTGAGAGAGGAGGTGGCAGGGGTAGATCGGGAGAAGGCCCGGGAGGCAGTCCTGGCAGCCGAGGCCATTGTGATACAGGCGTACAAACAACGAGAAGATAGGGTTCACTTCGAGAGAGATGCCACAGCTAGCTGAACGGAACGGGATGAGGCGAGACAATGCCGGAGTGATGTTGGAGGAATGGGACGAGAGGGACAAGAGACAGCCGGTACACAGAGGAGAGAACCGAGATGCCTTAAGTAGGACGGAGGATCGCAAGCAGGGAAGGCAAAGTGAGGGGAACCTTGGAAAGCATGCTGGGTCAATAATGGTTTATCGCCCGGACGATGTTCTGCACGGCGCGCCAATCAGCGCAGGCATATTGGTGAGCTTCCAGACTCGTTGCTGACTGAGCGCAATGGGTCCGTTCTGTTATTATTATTATCTACAGGTTATTATTATGGATTCTTCGCGGTCGAGCTGGTGGCGCTGATTAACTAACTAGTTAAGGCCTGCTGCTATTATTCATCTCCTGCTTGCCGAACCATGGACTGACACTTCTGGACTCCCAGCCAAACCCAATCCCGGAATGCGCCTCTATCTGAATTTCCGCCACAGCGGCCCTGCAACTTCCGATCCATGGCTGGCGGCCAACCGGAACCAGGCTGGAGTCTTTCGAGAAGCATCGTTGTTGGGCGTTTGTTTCGAGAAAGCCGCCCGCCACTGTTGCACAGGGGCGATCTCATTCGGCTTGACATGAGGCAATCCAGTTGGCGAATTCTGAATACGTACATAGTATCGTCTCACTGCAGTTCGGTGATATTCGAGTTATCAAGTTATCAATGTTGTACTTTCACGACGGAAAGAGTTTCATTCCTATCGAATAGTTGCACTGCGTACACTGTATATATAACCCAGACGGGTGGAACCTATGGGTAGCATTGAACATCTAGGATAATGCGCCGTCTATCTTCTCTTCTCATCGTATCGGCCTGGTTATATTTACCCTTGTATATATATCTACTGCCCAGTTTACCGGCGGAATTAAACCTACCAAGCGTCATGTTGGGCTGCATAATCCGTTTGTTTACCTGCCTTGTATGGCCATGTCTACATCCAGCAATGTCAACAACAAGGGCATGTATATCGTCGAGGGGTTCCCAATCATGCACCACGACTGATTGAATCGTAGGCAAGGACAGCGTCCCAAATGCAGTACCCGCAGACGCAGGAGAAGATGGTCCGGAACACAATCAAATCGCATCTCCCCTGCCGCCCTTGGTAGACACCACGGAGAGGAAACTGCTGTTCAAGATTGACTGCAGACTGGTGCCATGTCTTTCACTTCTGGCGTTGATATGTTACCTGGATCGATGAGAGAGGAAATTTCCCCGAATCGTGCTATTTCGCCCTGTCAGCTAACTGCAACCAGGACCAACCTGGGCAATGCATTGGTCTATGGACTGCGACAGGACCTGGATATTTCCAGCGTGCAGTATTCGACCGCGTTGACCATGTTCTTTGTCGCATATATCTTGTTCGACATCCCATCTAACCTTCTGTTGAAGAAGTTGACACCTCGGATATTTCGTATAGCTTCCCCATTCCTTCTCTTCCCCTGTACGGGCTCAAAGGCTAATCAGAGTATCAGTATCTGTAGCGACGTTAATGTTTGGTTTGACGACTCTCTCCACGGCGTTTGTCCGGAACTATGCTGGGTTGTTAAGCTTGCGCCTGCTTCTCGGTATTGCAGAATCCGGTATACTTCCCGGGTGTGCTTATCTCGTGAGTTCCTGGTACACGCGGAAAGAAGGTCTCAAGCGATTTTCTTTCTACTTGAGTGCGATCAGTCTCTCCAGTGTATTCGGCGGGCTTCTCGCGGCCGCGATTGGCAAGCTTGACGGGGCGTGCGGCCTGAGTGGATGGCGATGGCTCTTCGTCATCGAGGGATCGACAACTTGTATCCTTGGCATTGTCTTCTTTTTTGCCATGACGAACTTCCCCGAGGACGCGAAATGGCTTACGGACGAGGAACGGAAATTCATCACAGCTCGATTGGAAGCAGAGCAGGGGAGTTCGGACATTGAATTCACCGTCCGACCGCGTGATATCTGGAACACATTGAAAGACCCTATGGTAGTGATGATGGGATTGATACATCTCTCCGTCTCAGTGCCTGGGAACATGGCGGCTTACTTCGCACCGACGATTGTTGAGAGCCTTGGCTCCTACTCGCCCATCCAGACACAACTGCATACGGCCCCTGTCTGGCTAGTTGCCTCTGCCCTATCTCTTGCGATTGCTTATGTCTCGGACAGGATACAGCACCGGTATGTCATGGCCATGGTCTGCTCATGCATAGTCATAACAGGGTTCTCCATTCTGTTGGCTGAAGAGGATGACGTTCGTGCGCAGTATGGAGCGTTATTCCTGGCCGTTGCCGGAGTCGCAAGTTTCTGGCCTGGTATGCAACCCTCATCACGTACACTATGCATTCTTTCTCGGATGGAATCCTAACAGCGTGCCTGACATTTGCAGTGGAGATATGCTGGTGTGCAATGAACCTGGGAGGCCATCGGCGGCGCGCGATTGGCAGCGCAACGCAGGTTGGGGTTGGCAATATAGGAGGCATCATCAGTGCCTATACCTTTCGAACCGAGCATGTGTCTGGATTTCGTCTTGCATACGCCATTGGCATCGGATTTTGCTGTCTTGCTGCGCTTTTATGTACAATGTATGCTGCCTGTTGCTGGCGGCAGAACCGTAAGCGGGCCGCGCAGGGTTGGGGGATGGACCTCTCGGACAGGGAAAAAGCTGGCCTGGGAGATCTGAGTCCGAGCTATAGATTCATGATCTAACCACTGTGTGGGGGGAAAGTGGTTTGGTGTATACGTGGATGTCGACGGCTTGACGCAGTAACCCAGCGATGGGCGGCAGTACACTTTCCCGGATTGAAGTTCAGCCAACATAGGGGAATGATTCTTTTAATTTTACCCATCTCCAGATAATAGAATAAACGGGTAAATGTATAAATGTCGCTCGTCGTGCAAGGCCATTTTCCTTGACAATCAAGTTCACGGTAGTAAATCCAGAGAGAATGGACCGAGCACCGCCATTATACAGACGAACACTGCAATTCTGACAGGCATCAGCAGGAAAAGCCCTTCTCTACAGCAGAAGAGAAGAAAAAGAACGAGGACAAGGAGCAGTTGAGTTTTCCATCGTGTGATTATGCGCATTCTTGGCTGCGACGTCAACCTTGCCATTGGCACTCCGCCCTCGATATCTCCGTGCTGCGTCCTACTAGTTCGTGTTTCTTGAACTTTTTTTTTTCCCACTGAGTTTTCTTCCATCAGAACGCTTATTTTGCTCTATTATTTTTTAATGCAGTGATACCCCTTTTGCTTCCTGACTAGTTCTTCCCTCCGTGCTCGAAACTCGCTTTTCCTATCTTTCCCAGCCACCTGCTCATACGACATGACGTACTGCCCGACCTAGATTAAACCGTGATGGCGCCATGACATCTCCGCTTGCCGGTCAGGAGGAGGTACAAGCTCCTATGTCTCCCAATGACTCCTCTCACCCCTATCACTCCAATGGCTCGATCCAGCCTTCTTCCGACTCGACACCCGCAGAGAACGGCGACCCGTCTGTCCCGACCTCCAAGTGGTCCAGGTCGTCGAAAACGTCCAGCGACAGCGGCACAGAGGCCGACGATGAGAGTACTGGCGTCTTGAGACGCCTACCGGCGCCTCCATTACGCCCTCGGAAAGGTTTGCGGTTGTGCGGGGACGGCCTGGAGGGTGATAACCGTGCGTGGCTTCCTGCGCTGCAACCTTGGCATTCGTTGCTGGGTCGGTCGACTTCCCGGAGCTCTAGACGGAGCTCTAGACGGAGCTCGGGAGAGGAGGCGGATTTTGAAACGGTCGGCATGCGGCAGAGGAGGCTTCGTCGCAAGACGCGCGTTGAGGTGTTACGGAGATTATCAGAGACCCTGTTACTTCTGTCTGTAGGTGGGGTGGTGTTACTATCGGAAGGTGTTCGAGAAGTCGCCTGGGTTTGGAAGAAAGGTGTGTATATACACTGGATACGGTTGATGCTGGACAACTTGTATCTGTCTTCTCTTGTTGGTTATTGGTCTAACTGGCATTTCTTGCTTGCAGAAATCCTCACCCATTGCCTCCTTGTCGCCGGTCTTTATGCCGCTTACCCTCTCACCGTGTCTAAATGGAGGCACGATCGTGGCCGTATGCGGCTTGTAAGCCGTCTTTCGTTTCCTTTACCCTCTAGTTTCGATCCAGCGCCGCTCTTATACCCCATTCTTCTGCCGATTTATGTCTCTCTGTCCTTAACGCAGCATAGACCCGCATTGATTCTGCCGAACATCATTCTTAGTCTTTCATCTCTTCCCGCATCGGTCATCCCCCTGCACTGCTGGAAATATGGCTACAGTATCTCGCATTGGATGGTAACAATGATCCCTGTCGTTGCTTCGGAACACTTCTCTTCAGGGAGCACGTGGCCTAAGCCGCTGTCCCTTCGGGGTCTCAACCCGGAGGTGCTATTCCTTATATTTCCACTGCACCAGGCATTGATATCCATCCTTGATTTCCTTCTAAGCACTAGCGTTCTACCAGCGGAGCTGCAGCTCTTGACTACCGCGTTGATAAACCTGTTCATGTTTTCGACCTCCCCGCAAGCTGAAATTTTAAAGGCGCTGTTATGGCTAGGTGGCATGTGCACCCTCACTTTCTGTCGGCACATTCTCCGTTGGGAGGTGGCTCTGGCCCGAATTCCCAGTTGGAAGTTCCGTCGGTCGTCGGGCGGATGGCAGTCCCCGAGAGGCGCGTTGAATGCGATCGACAACAAGATTTGTGAGAAGCTGAGCCGGACAGGGTCCCCACGGGATTCTGGTTCGGACAGCGAGTATCTCAATGGTTACGGTGCCCCGGTGAAAAAGAACAAGAAGATGGATAGCTCACCTCGCGGCCGACCAAATGGCCATAAACGGACCGCATCGGGGGAGATCATATCTTCTATGGCCAGCCTGGTCACTGGGGAACATATCTGGAGATATTCTAAATCTGGGCACAAGCGACGACACACGGTATCGTCTTTTGAGGAGGTCACACACTCCGAGCGAGTCAGAACCACTCCAAGCGGCCGCCGGAAGCGGCTGATGGCTCCGGAACTTGCGTCCTTCCTTTCGATGACCACGGCCCAAGCACAGGTTCGCAAATGGGCGTACGCATTATGCGCATATGCCGCAATTCTCGGTATCATAATGGGGCCTATTCGGATATATGTTGGTGCACAGGCCTTAAACGGGAACGAGCCCTTCGGCTGGGCGTTGGGGTATTTCTTTGGAAACGTGACGTGGTTTAGATTCTGGGTGATCTTATTAGATCTTGAACGATGGATCAGCCTACCAGCCCGAATTGACAGCGACGATTCGAACAAATTCTGCGACTTTGGATGGGTGGAAAATGTCCGTCACCACACGCTAGGGGAAGCTAACACGCGCCTCTGGATCAGCGCGTACTGCATGCTTGTTCTGGTGACGGGCCTAGCCACCGTCCTGAAACTAAGCTCCATTGTGGAAGTGGACACGAGACGGAAGATCTTCCACGGCATGATGGTCATGATGTTCCTCCCAACCATCTACGTTGACCCGGCCTTCTGCGCTCTTGCTCTGGCGCTGGTCCTGTCAATATTCCTTCTTCTCGACCTGTTCCGTGCCTCCCAGTTACCCCCGATCTCTCGGCCGCTGACCAACTTTCTTGCCCCGTACGTTGACGGTCGCGACTACCGCGGACCCGTGATTGTCTCTCACGTATTTCTTCTGATCGGATGCTCTATTCCCCTCTGGTTATCTCTGGCGGACGTCCCCCGAATGGGGACTGGTCCGTGGGAAGGGTGGGATGTTGTTTCGCGGCAAGTGAGCATGGTCAGCGGAGTGATCTGCGTTGGGATGGGAGATGCGGCTGCCTCGCTGGTAGGTCGTCGGTTCGGACGCCTCAAATGGTTCTGGGGTGGGGGGAAGTCACTCGAAGGCAGCATTTCCTTTGCTCTCGCGGTGTTCTGTGGCCTTGCTGCTGCACAGGCATGGATCACGCTGGGAGGGTGGCTGGTGAGTGGTTCGGAGGGTAGCTACTCCTATTCTTGGCTCTGGGCCGCCAGCAAAGCCATTCTTGCTGCCATGGGAGCCAGTGCAACGGAAGCCGTTCTTACGGGGTGCAATGATAATGTGGTTGTGCCCGTGGTGCTGTGGCTGTTGGTAAGGGGCCTGGGTATATAATTCGAATGGACAGCACCCAACGACGACAGATGCGGAGAACCCCTATGTGTAAATGTACTGACTTTGTGATGTGCCATCTCTTCCCCCCCTTTTTTTTTTTGTCGCGTCTCATTTTGTTTTCTACTTGCTCTCTATTTCTCTTCTTTTCCTGGGTATAATATTTGGGTTATAGAGGGAGCCCCGGGGGTTATTGTCTGTTTCACGATTACCCATCGCTTCTCTTTTGCAATGAGCATGATTGTCTGTGCGATCAGTTTGACGAGCTCTAGACGCAGGATAGAATTGAGTGAGCAACCAAGGTGCTAAGGATGTACGTTTGAGACAGGGGAGGGTAATAATAGTAATGCAGTAAGAGGATTACGAGCCAATCTGGATGGTTTTCTGTCGGTTTATTTACCTCAATACGGAGTAGAGACTTGACGTGGACAGGGAGAGGGCCAACCACATGCGGCACCGACTCTTTTATCATATTGCAGTTGGGCATTGACCACAGCTTGGAGCTCAGACACGGAGATGCAACCAATCCAGAATGGAACCATGCGTAGGAGGTAGATTAATCCGTCTTCTCAGGCATTGCATTTAATATATTATAATATGTACTCGAGCGATATACCTGCAGTCAATGGATCGCGCCGTCGCAGGAAAGCAAAGGCACAGCGAATGACGGGGTCATCTGCAGCAGTAGCGCACGTGATATACGGTACGGTACGGTTTCGTCATCTGCAGATAAGATGTTGATAGTGGCAACTTACTTCCACTTACACCTACTTACTTGCACCTACAGTTGCACCTACATGCCATAGCAAGCTATACTGCTCTGTTTTACTCTACAATTAGAGCATGCAAATCCCAGACTCGAACCCAGAAATGTCTCAAAGGATCGCTCTTAAACCTTAGAGCTGCGGCCGCCTCTGATCCTGTGGTTGCCTTCTTATCTCCACCGCAATCGGATCGCCGCCCTGCTGACCGCCTCATCGATACGCGCCTTACCGCCGTTACTTCCTGCTCTCGACCTGCTTCCCTGGGTCCGCTGCAGCCTCTCCCATCACATCATCTCGACCTGCTCGTCTTCCCCTTATCACCTCTGCTTCCTTCTCTCCCTCTTCCTCTGCATCCATCCATCTCCCTTCGCCTCTCTCCTCTCTTGTCCCATCCCGGGAGCTTATCTCGTTTCTTCTCCAAATCCTGGTGATTTTGGACCTCGCTTTCTTTCTCCCCCCATTCCGCCCGACCCAGCCGGTTCTGGTCTGCCTGCGGCCCAGCCGTCTTCGATTGCCTCGTTCCACGGTACCTCTCCCTTCTTGCTTCGCACCTCCCCTCCGCTCGCTTTCCGAACGGTCCCTTTTCCCCTCCTTTGCCTGCAGGCCTCCGCTGCTGTCGTCTCCGCTGATGGGCCTCTACCATTCGTTGCCTGCACCATCCGTTGCTGAGGCTGTTGTTGTTGTTACTGTTGCTGAGACGGGGGCCGCTACCTCTTGCTCCAAGTACCGTCGATAGGAGAAGTGAAGGTAGAGGTGCGCCATTACACGCTTCCTCCAGCTAGCTAGCATACTTGCTGCTGCACCTCCTCAAACCATGACATCCCTACACCCTTCCAGGAGGCCTCAGGATGCCTCCCGCGCCGACGTGGCAATAGGTCGATACACCAGGCTAGATGAGATTGGCCGTGGTAGTTTTGCTACGGTCTACTTGGGCTTGCATACAGTGAGTGGTCTCGTGGCTTGCGTCCATTGGAAGTCGTCATTTGATCTGACTCACGATGCTAACCCGCGATTGTGCCCAACCAGAAGTCACGCACCTACGTAGCAATCAAGTCGGTTAACCTCTCAAAGCTGAACAAGAAGCTGAAGGACAGCCTATACTCCGAAATTGAGATCCTCAAGGGTCTACATCACCCTCACATCGTTGCCCTGATCGATTGCCATGAGTCCACTTCTCACATCCATCTGGTTATGGAGTACTGTGCTCTGGGGGATTTATCTCTTTTTATCAAGAGACGGGATACGCTGGCAGATCATAGGTATACACGGGGCATGATCACAAAATATCCGAACCCACCCGGCGGTGCTCTGAATGAAGTCGTCGTCCGCCACTTCCTCAAACAACTGTCCAGTGCCCTGAAGTTCCTTCGAGATCGAAACCTCATTCATCGAGATATTAAACCGCAAAACCTCCTACTATGTCCGTCACCGACTTCGTACCGGGCCGGTGCAGCTCCGGTCGTGCCGTACAAGGGTAGTGACGACTCCTACGACCCGGTGACTGGATTACAGTCATTACCTATGCTCAAGATTGCCGACTTCGGGTTTGCTCGGTCTCTCCCTTCTACATCCCTCGCCGAAACGCTCTGTGGTTCGCCGCTTTATATGGCACCCGAGATTCTCCGATACGAGAAGTATGACGCAAAGGCCGACTTGTGGTCAGTGGGTACGGTTCTCTATGAGATGGTAGTGGGAAAGCCGCCATTCCGCGCGTCGAATCATGTAGAGCTTCTAAGGAGGATTGAGAAGGGCGGGGACAAGATCAAGTTTCCCGAAGACAATCCGGCATCGGAAGAAGTCAAGGAACTGATCCGAGCCCTATTGAAACGAAACCCCGTCGAGCGGATGACCTTTCGCGATTTCTTTGATAGCAATGTGATTCAGGGCGATATTCCAGGTCTGGTGGGCGATGATCGGCCACCTGAACACCGCCCCCCAGCAGCAGATGTCGAGCCCACAAAGCCGCCGTCTCGACCCGAGTCACCCACCCACCGTGCCCCGGCAGAAACAGGCTATCCAGAGAGACGGGAAGGGATGCTGCCTTCTCCTGGGCAACGACCAATGACATTACGCGTGGGGTCAGGGACCTCGCCAACCTCGAAGGCGCCGCGGAGAACGGGCAGTACCGATCGTCCTCCATCTGCAAAGGAGTCCCCGCGGTCCACTCCTCCGACCCAGAGGCCCGCTCCGGTATCTTACCCCACTGCTCCTGGACGTCAAGAGCTCGTGGATCGTAACGCGGCGGTGGAGCGGCAGAGGAGTCAGAATGATGATAGGGTCAAGGAGCTTCGAGAACGGGCCGCCCAAGACGTGGCGTTCGAGAGGGATTATGTGCTAGTGGAGAAGCGCGCGGTCGAAGTGAACGCCTTCGCAGATGAGCTAGCTCACAACCCACGCCTCCAAGGACCCCTTTCCCGTCCTGGTCAAGTCGGTGCAGCAGGTCGTCGTACTACTCTGCAAAATATGCCGACTACGACTTCCACATCCCCTAACGCCGCGAAAGCCATGCAGGCTATCGCAGGACGGGCCAGGGCGGACTCGCTGCATCGTCGCCAGAGCTCCTACGAACGGAGATACGGACAGAGTCCCACATCGGCAACTTCTGCCATTTCAAAGGCACTGAATATGGCCAGTGGGCGCCTATTCGGGGTTGGGTTTTCTCCCCCTCTGGCCATTACCAAGGGTGGACGGTCACCTCCCCTAGGTTATAATCCTTTCCCAGCTTACCCAACGCAGGGCAGTCTGATGCTCCTTGGAGACAAGACTAGCAACCCACCAGATGAAGATACTAGAGCTGTTCAAGTAATTGAGGAATGCGCCACTCGGAGCGATGTGGTCTACGGATTTGCCGAAGTGAAATACAAACAACTGATCCCATTGGCCCCCTCAGTGCCAGCTGACTCCCCCGTCAAACCCAACTTGCCAGGGGGCGATAGGGACTCTTCTGATCCAGCTGATGCTGGTTTGACAGTGGATGCCATTGTGACCCTGTCCGAGGAGGCATTGGTTTTGTACGTCAAAGCGCTTGCATTGTTGGCGAAGTCGATGGACATTGCAGGCGCATGGTGGGCTCGCAAAAACCGGGGAGAGACCTTGGGAGAGTTAGCTTCGACAAAGGGTGATGGTGCCAGCGCCCTGGTCGGCACACGGATCAATGATGTTGTCCAGTGGGTACGAAACCGTTTCAATGAAGTTCTCGAAAAGGCCGAATTCGTCCGGTTGAAATTACTTGAAGCCCAACGTCGATTGCCCCCAGATCATCAGAGTCATCCCGACAACTACGTGACTTCCTCCGCAGGTGCTGGCACGTCCGCAGATGTCGTGGTAAGCCCAGGGGTCACAGCGGAGAAACTGATGTACGACCGGGCGTTGGAAATGAGTCGAGCTGCTGCAATTAACGAGCTGACGGGCGAAGACCTTGCCGGCTGTGAAATCGCGTATGTAACGGCTATTCGAATGCTAGAAGCAGTACTAGAAGATGAAGAATTACCGCGGTCCGGCAGTGCAGGCAGAGTCAGCTTGAAGGATAGCGAAAAGGTCATTGTCAATGGTATGCCGGTGGAGAATCGCCAGGTGGTTGTCAAGCGTAAGTGTGGTGCCCCCCTTGCCTGACGTGGAGTGCCTGTTGACCAAAATGTTTAGTGGTCTCTAGCATCCGAGGTCGCCTCAGTGCACTCCGCAAGAAACTCGCGTTAGTAGCGAAGCGAACTTCGACATCCCCAGTTAGCGTCATGGGGAAGAGTCCGTCGTCGAACGTTACTCCTGTCCCTCATGCCGTTGGAGCCACGCCTCCGAAGTGAGATGACACAGTTACGGAACAGCCACGCGGATTTCTTATTCTACATAATACGTGGAGGAAGCCATTAGTCACTTACCATATGGGAATTGCTATATACCTCTTCGGTGGCTTTATTTATTTATTCTTTTTTTATCAACGATACTCCTTTTATGAAAATAGTTTTCCGGAATCCTTTTTCATGGCCTGGGTTTGCTTTACTTGCCAGCCAATTTTGGGTTGATCTTCATGTGGTATTAATGAGCGGCAAAGTTGTCCTTTAGCTTTCCTATCTCGATCTCCTCTCGTTGACATGTTTGACTGATCGGATATTTACAATCCAGCAAGAGGAGTTTCTTATTTCTTTTTCTATGCCGTGATGTTTTGTTTTGCTGCGTTCTGGCGTTTGTCTGTATGTGGTTCGGGAAGGGTATACAGATTGGCAACACTAATTTTTTCTTGATTCAATGGCTTTTTGACACTGAGGGTGTTACGAGAATGGCAACATCATCCAAGGGTATCCGGAAATTGGCGCTGCAGGGCACACGGGTCAAGGTGATGGCCAGATGGCATTATCAGGGAGGGGGTTTCTTCACGGCGGCGTGATGTATATACATACAACGCTATATTAAAGTCTTGGATATGAAACTCATTTCAGAGGTAATTGGCTTGAAGGGTAAAGGGTCTCTGAACATGTCCGTGGATATTGATATTATGTAGAGCTGCGCCGGGGTATTCGTTGCTTTGGTCCGGCTCTTGACCAGCTTGCGGCGTCGTCAAGTTTCATCGTCTTCGTCTTCATGCATGAGCTGGGGTACATCTGCTGCTTCTTAAGATATCCGTTTTCCTGAAGGAAACATGGTTATTCTATTTGCAGAAAGGGAGGTAGGTATACACCGCCCTTGGCCTCTTCATCCGTCTGATCAGGTGGACGTCCAGTCGCCGTTCGGATCGTGTCACACATCGGCTGGAATGCCCCGGGCCGATGGTGGGAATGGGGTGGTGTATTCATTGCATGTAGATATAAAATGATAGAACTGAGCTCGAGGAAGAATAGCGGAGTTGGAGATGCTCTGCTTACATAATACATTCTAACTGCGGATGACCCACTACTTTAATTGCTCTACGACTTCATCTGTTGCTCTCGGAACTACACACGAGCATGAGGAAGAGAGAACAGCGAGATTCAAGCAGATCCGTTTTAACAGAGATAACATTATATATAATTGAACGACGCTCCAAAGAGCTCACTGGAGTACAGTGTGAGGGAATCGAAGACAAGGATCGAGCGCGCTCATAATATCATGTTCTGTCTGCAGCGTCAACTTGAGAAAATTGATAGTTTTCTACAAGATCCAGGAAAATGACGGGTCTGTCCCTAGTTTTAATCATTAGGTCGTGCTGGGGAGTGGCTGATGTCCTTTGCTTGGAATTGCTTCCTCAGGGTCTTTAGATAAGATATATCCTGTAAAATTGTGGATGTAGCCACTCCTGTCCCGTGGCGACAAATATTGTGGTTGGTATCCATGACTAATTCATGACTGAGGTTGCCCCTTTGCTTGGCGTATTTGAATCTCCAAGGCGGAACAATGCGAACAATGCACTTTACTGGACTGCTGTCCAGGGGTATCGCCATTTTTTGATCCCAGTCTGCACCTGCGCAGACTGGCCGTCTGATGGGCGATGTGGGCTCTAAGTATCTGATATCACGTGACCATGATACCCCCTGTTTAACTTTCTACGATGCTATATGTCGATCATGGCGATTAATAATACTTCGTATAGAGTTCTGTAATCTGCATGGCAAAGTTAAAAAAGAAGAATGCAGGTTGATCGCCTGCAGAAATACTCCGTATTCCGTACCTAAACGGCCAGCGCCATTCTGGCCGTTCCATGGTCTATTCATATGACTATAGCATTGCTTGATTCCAGCATGTGTTCCTGATGGAAAATCCTCCGCCGGCCACGTGAGGACGTGATGGTCCGATGATGCCCAGAGCAGCGACCTCAAGAGTCAGCACATACTGACCTCCCAGCATTACTGAGGAAACGCAAGAGATGCATCCTTCGGGGATCAAGGACCAAGGTTTGACGGGCTCTGCTGCAGGCGGGCGTCCTTCCGTCCTTCTAGAACTGGTTCAACCTAATATGAGTGGAGAACTGTCAATTCCCATTACTCCATCAAAAACCCTTTCCAGAAGAATTTTTCGCCCGGTCGAAATTGCGCAATCGCGCTGTCTCATATCGCCAGAATCGTGAGGATGAGCATCGCCGTCATCTCGTCGCCATGGAAGAATTCTGTCTTCTCCCCTTTCCCGCAGACGTCCTCGTCATATTCGCCCAGAGTCGCTGGCTCTTCTCTTCCAGACGTCAAAGGGATACGAGAACGAGTGCTAGCTAGTACTGTGTGGTATTGCTAGTACGTTTTAGGGCTGTACACAAACGCTCATCGCTGCTGCTGCTCTCTACCACGCCACGCTGCATTGCATCACATCGCGATCCCAGCACCTCATCCTGGTCATTGCTACACTGTCTCTCGTCCCCGTTTCTAGCCGGCAGGCCAAGTTCCTTCGTCCCTGCTGCGTTGGACGGAGCTGAGGATCGAGCCACGGGGGGGAGCCCGATTACTCCTATTAAAGCATCCCGCGACCGGCTCTGTCTTCTGGAATCCTCGCAGTAGGACCTTTTGATATCGATCACTTCCCGGCCTACCCAGACTGCACAGCATCATGGGAATTCTATCGTTACCTACCGGTCATGACAAGGCGGTGGAATCCAGTTCCAAGGCCGTCGACGATGTTCACAAGCTGGACGGGGTTACCCCCTTGTGTAAGTGCTAAGCACCCTAGGCACACGCTCTGTCACTGCGTTCCTGACTAATACTGCTCTCGTACCAGACGAAGGGGGCGACATTATCGAATCTACCCCGGATGATCGACGCCAGATTGGCATCTTGAGTGCTTCCGCACTGATCTTCAACCGCGTCATCGGCACGGGTATCTTCGCGACCCCAAGTACCATCCTGGCATTGACAGGTAGCGTCGGCCTCTCCCTTTTCATGTGGGTAGCTGGTACCGCGATCGCTATGGCCGGTACCGCCGTCTACTTGGAATGGGGAACTGCAATTCCCAAGTATGCCTGCCTCCTCTGCTTTGATCTTTCATCTCCCTGCCAGACATAGCTAATGCTGTGCCCTCAGAAATGGCGGAGAGAAAAACTACCTCGAATACGTCTACAAGAAACCCCGATTCCTCGTAACCGCTATGTTTGCGTCCTATGTCGTCTTACTAGGCTGGGCCGCTAGCAACAGCACCGTGTTTGGCCAGTACGTCTTGGTTGCTGCGGACATCGAACCGGGTCGTTGGAACCAGCGCGGGATCGGCCTCGCATGCCTCTCGGCTGCATTTCTCATCCACGCGTTCGCTTTGAAATGGGGTCTCCGTCTTCAGAACCTGCTTGGTTTGGTCAAGCTGATTGTCATCCTCTTCATCATTGTTTGCGGCTGGGTGGCTCTTGGGGGCCATCTGAGGATCGAGAAACCCCACAACTTCACAAATGCTTTTGAAGGCACCAAGGGCTCCGGCTATGGCATCGTCACTGCGCTCTACAATGTCATATGGTCGTTCGTCGGTTACTCCAATGCAAACTACGTGAGTTCATGCCTTTGCTGAACCGTCTGTGTCGCACGCGTGATCCCTTCTAATGTAAGGACTTGTGTGGTTTTTAGGCACTGAGTGAGACCAAAAATCCCGTTCGCACGTTAAAGATCGCCGCCCCGGTAGCCATCACTTGCGTCGGAATCCTGTACATGCTCACCAACATTGCCTACTTCGCTGCGGTGCCGAAGGAGGAGATCCTTTCCTCGGGACAGATCCTTGCCGCAACCTTCTTTAAGAACATGTTCGGTCCACGAGCCGAAAAGGCCATGGCAGCATTGGTGGCAGTATCTGCCTTTGGTAATGTCATGTCGGTGTTGTTCTCTCAGGGCCGTAGTATGTCCAGTCCTGTCCTTTTATTCCGCTGACTGGTTTGAGATCCCACTAACCGCAAAACACAGTTGTCCAGGAACTGGGTCGTGAGGGTATCCTGCCCTTTTCCAAGGTGTGGGCTAGCAACAGACCGTTCAAATCTCCCGCGGCTGGTCTGTTTGAACACTACATTATGTCGGTGGTCATCTTGTTGGCTCCTCCCCCGGGCGATGCATATAACTTTCTCCTCAAGTAAGCCGCCATTCTCCATTCTGATTATAGAGCTAGTCAAGAGATGTGAAGTCCTAACAGTCGCTGCCCTAGTCTCATCTCCTATCCGTTATCCATCGTCAATATCTTCGTTTCTGCTGGCCTCATCTACATCTACGTGACCAAGGCCCGAAACTTCCCTGACTGGGCACCTGGAATCCGGGCCACTCTGCCTGTCACCATCTTCTTCTTCCTGTCCAACATTTACCTGACTGTTGCCCCGTATATCCCACCAGACGAAGGCAACAACGTGTACAAGAGTCTACCATACTATCTTCATTGCGTCGTGGCCTTAGGAATCTTTGGCTTCGGCGCACTGTACTGGATAGTTTGGACAATCATCCTTCCGTACTTTGGTCGCTATGTGCTCGTCAGGCAGACCGTGATAGACGCAGATGGCTGGTCGCGAAGTGTCTTCACCCATGTGCCGGTGGCACCAGCAGAGCAACGCCAGGAATAGTGACCTCACCTTTTCTATTTATTTTTGGACCATAACGATAGCAACGACTGGATGGCGTGGGTTTGGTTGGCTGTACCCTTGGGTGATAGAGAAAAAGGAATTTTGGGGTCATTTGGGATTCAACGCCAGTGTACTTGTAATAGTAATGAAAGAGCAAATCTCTATTATCACGGATCCTGATCCAAAACAAGCAGATAAGACTAAACTATAAATACTATTGAACTGATCGTGCCGGGTACGGTTAACCCACTTGATCTGTCCCAGTGATCTATGGAAGCCCACCCACAACACGTTGAACGCAGTCGTGGACCCCTCAAACTCGCTGGAGCATGTTCTTGCAAGGATAGCACCAGGTGTGCTGCACAGAAATCTGCCATGAGCGGACGTAGAAAGTCGGTTGGGCACCCCCTGCGAAATGACTTGCGTGGATGGGAAGACAAAAGAAAAAGGAGAAGGAAAAGAGACAGAGAAAGGGTGTTCATCGCGTGACCTAGCCCTAGCCCTATCCAGGGCTAATAATGACGTCATAAATGGTTCACATACGCAAGGACTAGCGCACGTGATCAACCAAGATTGCACCGCCTTCCCCATCGGTCTAGTGCATTTCCGGGGCAAAAACAAAGCGGATTCTGCTGGTTCATTCGACACGGTTTTCTCACTGTCCTCGGCCATATTGTATATATCATCCTATTAGTATCGATAGGAATTTGCAAAATCCATTGCTGACTGTCCAATTGATTCTCACTCTTATTCTTTTTCCCTTCAGAAACCTGCAATTTGTTTCAGGGGCTGATGCGCCGTTTCTCGTCGCGCGTACCGCGGGTTTCCACCGCAGTACGACGTCCACCGCTCTCCGCCGGACGACGACTGCTTCCAGCTCTCCCCTCCTACCCCTCTTTCTCTTTCTCTGCTGCTTCAATATCTTCTTTACCGCATCTTCCTTCTCTCTCTTCCTCCTCGTCCCTTTCATCGCCCTTCTCCTCCTCACTCCACTCCCTTCAACCCATCCGACGACTTTCCCCCAGCGTCTCTCTGGTTCCTTATATCTCCAAGCGGCACTGTTCCTATCGCAGGATGTGCAGCTCTCGACGTGCCGAAGAGTCATCTGGCTCGACAAATATCCCGGATGGCCGTGAAGTCCTACCGACGAACGTCAAACCGGTGCATTATGACCTTACCCTTGAGCCAGACTTTGAGAAGTTCACCTACGATGGCACTGTTGTCATCGAGTACGTCTTTGCCTTCTTTATAGCTCCCCACATCCCTTTCATACTTTCTGACGCCTAGCTTTGTTACCACATAGCTTGCAGGTCGCTGAGGACACTACTTCCATCTCCCTCAATTCCAATGAAATCGATATCCACACGGCAACCGTCTCTGCGGGTGGATCTGTCGTTGCCTCGAATCCTGAAGTTTCCATCGACACAACCAAGCAGGTCGCTACGGTCAAGTTTGCCGACACCATTCCCGCGGGGTCATCAGCCCAGCTGAAATTGACGTTCACCGGTATTCTCAATGACAACATGGCCGGTTTCTATCGGTCTTCGTTCAAGAATGCCAAGGGCGAGACCAAGTACATCGCCTCTACCCAGATGGAGCCGACGGATGCCCGTCGGGCATTCCCCTGCTTCGATGAACCTGCGCTTAAGGCTAAGTTCACGGTTACTCTGATCGCGGACAAGGCTCTCACGTGTCTGAGCAACATGGACGTTGCATCTGAGACGGACGTGCAGGATGGCAAGAAGAAGGCCGTCAAGTTCAACACCTCCCCGCTCATGTCTACCTATCTGGTCGCGTTTATCGTGGGTGAGCTCAAATACGTCGAGACGCACGATTTCCGTGTCCCTGTCCGCGTCTATGCCACCCCAGATCAAGACATTGAGCATGGTCGTTTTGCGCTGAACCTGGCTGCTAAGACCCTCGCTTTCTACGAGAAGGCTTTCGACAGCAAGTTCCCTCTGCCGAAGATGGACATGGTCGCCGTTCCAGATTTCAGTGCCGGTGCTATGGAAAACTGGGGTCTTATTACCTACCGCATTGTCGATGTTCTGCTGGATGAGAAGACCAGCAGCGCTTCCCGGAAGGAGCGCATTGCTGAGACCGTTCAACACGAACTGGCCCATCAGTGGTTTGGCAACCTGGTTACCATGGATTTCTGGGACGGCCTCTGGCTCAACGAGGGCTTTGCCACTTGGATGTCGTGGTATTCATGCAACGTCTTCTATCCTGAATGGAAGGTTTGGCAGACCTATGTCATTGACAACCTCCAGGGAGCTCTTGGCCTTGACTCCCTGCGCAGCAGCCACCCTATTGAGGTTCCTGTTAAGCGTGCCGACGAAATCAACCAGATTTTCGATGCGATTTCCTACTCGAAGGGTTCGTCCGTGTTGCGCATGATCTCCAAGTACCTGGATGAAGATGTCTTCATTGAGGGTGTCCGTCGTTATATCAGGAAGCATGCCTATGGGAACACACAGACTGGTGACCTATGGGCTGCCTTGGCTGACGCCAGCGGAAAGCCGGTGCAGGAAGTCATGGATATCTGGACCAAGAACGTCGGTTTCCCTGTTGTGACTGTCTCGGAGAACCCTGACAAGTCAACCATCACAGTGAAGCAGAACCGCTTTCTGCGGACCGGTGACGTTCGACCGGAGGAGGACACTACGATTTACCCTGTCATGCTAGGATTGCGTACTAAGCAGGGCGTTGATGAGAACACAATGCTCACTGAGCGCGAAGGCGAATTCAAGGTTCCTGACCTCGATTTCTTCAAATTAAATGCTGACCACTCTGGTCTTTACCGCACGTCCTATACTCCCGAGCGCCTGACCAAGCTTGGCGAGGCTGCCAAGAAGGGCCTGCTAACTGTAGAGGACCGTGCGGGTATGATTGCGGATACTGGTGCTCTGGCTTCCTCCGGCTACCAGCGCACTTCGGGTTTGTTGTCGCTTCTCAAGAGTTTTAACACCGAGTCAGAGTTTGTTGTGTGGAACGAGATTCTGTCCCGCGTCGGCACCATTCGTGCTGCCTGGATGTTCGAAGATAACCAGACCAAGGACGCTCTTAAAGCATTCCAGCGTTCTTTGGTTAGCGGGAAGGCTCACGAATTAGGCTGGCAGTTCTCTGCCGATGACGACCACATTCTGCAGCAATTCAAGGCACTCATGTTCGGTGCTGCAGGCATGGCTGACGACCCGGTTGTTGTCAAGGCTGCCCAGGAGATGTTCCAGCGTTTTGCAGAAGGTGATCTGAATGCAATCCACCCTAACATCCGCGGCAGCGTCTTCTCCATTATTTTGCAGAACGGAGGTGAAAAGGAGTACGATGTTGTGCTTGACCGATTCCGGAACGCAGCTACCTCTGATGAGTCGACAACCGCCCTCCGCTGCCTCGGTGCAGCAAAGGACGCGGCCTTGATCAAGCGTACGTTGGACCTTGCCAGCAGCAATGAGGTCAGGAACCAGGATATCTATATGCCCCTCAGCGGCCTGAGAAATCACACCGCTGGTGTTGAGGCACGCTGGGTCTGGTTGAAGGAGAACTGGAATGCGCTTTACCAGCGTCTTCCGCCTTCACTGGGTATGCTTGGCACCGTTATCCAGATTTCCACCAGCAGCTTGTGTACGGAGGAGCAGTTGAAGGATGTACAGGCGTTCTTCGGCGAAAAGGATACCAAGGTGAGCTTCTAGCGTCTGATGTAATCTTCCTCATTTCTGTACGAAGGCTGACCATTGGTTTTCAAAATTTGACAGGGCTTTGACCGTGCTCTCTACCAAAGCGCCGATGCGGTCACGGCAAAGATCAACTGGGTTAAGCGGGATGGGGAGGATGTTTCCGCTTGGCTTAAGGCGAACGGGTATTTTGCAACTGAAAAGCTTTGAATGGGGGCAGAGCTCTAGAAGGCAGCATGGCCGAAGGGATCTTTGGGATGTCCCTTTTGGTGCATTTCTTCTGTCTTGCATTGGACTGGGCTATGAGCAGTGCGGTTCGCGGGTGAAATGGGATTTGGCGAGTGAGCTTTGATCTTCACCCATCTAAGTAAACCTACACCATTCCCTGCAAGGAGCAGGTTAGATAGTTATAAAATTGATGATCGACTAAGATAAATATTTATCGGCAGCCTCGCTCTAATCTCTGTAGTCGAAATCCCTGTGGGTAATTATCGTGCATTTTCCGAGATTGCCGGCTCCCCGGATGGAGGCAACCAGCTTCGTGGATGGATGACCAGGGGTCCTGTAGATAGGCAAAAGCCTGAGAATAGATTGAGAAGAATAAATAAATAAGAATTCTCCCTGTGAATATCACTTATTTGGCAGATTTGTGGCTCTAACTAGTAATTAGTTGTCTCTCAGAGATATGACAAAATGATGGTATTAGCCCTAATGCCCTTTTAGGGTTTACACCATCTCCAAAGTGGGAAGGAAAAGGAAATTCAGTTCACAACTAAAGCAAATAAACACCATTATTGAACATTACTTCACTTATACAAACAAACCAGATGGCCATCCCATGGCCTCACTCCATATATCATTCATCACAATAACAATATAATAATAATGCAAATGCCTATCGCCCAGTATACCTCCTCTCCAAATACCTGACAGGAATAAAGGTAACCACAGAAAAGATACCACTGAATATCCACCCCAGTTCCGCACCGTGAGGCTTGATCGCCTTCGCAATGGGACCGGTATACCATGTCTGATCCATGGAGAGGACAGCGCCGACGAAACCCAACGCGACAGCCAGGAAGCCCGCGATGCCGTACGGGATAACCTTCATATTATTCCAATCGTCGAGCGGATAGCGACCCTTGCGGAACAGATAGTGCTCGATGACGATGCACAGCAGGAATGGTGTGGTATAGTATCCGATGATAGAGAGGAAGGATTCAAGTACCTCTGTGAAGGAGTTCTCGCCTGCGATGGCGACGGCAATGGTCGCGGCAGACCCCAGAATCGTCCAGATGAACCGGGGCACCTTCATCATTATCGGGTGGAAGTTCTGGCACATGAAGGCTAGGGAGTAGTTGTTTATCAGGTTGCAGCCGATGATGCTGAGGGAGAGGAGGACGAGGAGGAATTTGCCGAAGCCACCGATGGGTCGGAGAGCTTCGCCCATTAGCCCTCCTACACCGCGGGCGTCGTAGGCGGCTGCGAACTTGGGATCCTTAGCGACAGATGTCATGAATGCTGCGCCGAGGAGTTCTGTGATTGTTGCGCCTAGGAAGTTGCCGGCCCACGTGGAGAAGATGAGCATTCGTTTGCTGGTGTTGACTGGCATGCGCACGTTATAGTCGGCTGCTGCACCGGCCCAGGCGATGATGAAGCCGTAGATTGTGGCGATGAAGGACATGACGCCTGCGGCTTCTGCTGAGCCGGAACCCATGGGGAGAGCGCCGGCGTCGAAGTGTTTGGCGCCGTATCCGGCGATGAAGATGAAGACGAAGAGCTGCGGCATCCAGCAGATACGTTCGAACCAGTGCACGGCGAAGTAGCCGAGGAAACAGATCAGGCCTGTGCAGACGCCGATGATCAAGTTTCCGGCCCAGAGAGGGCAATTCCCGTCTGAGAGGTCGTTCAGGACTTCCGCGCCGGCGATACTGTTCACAGCGGACCATCCGACCATGCCGCACAGATTCAGGGCGATGAGCACTCGCGACCCCCAGATACCGAAGGAGTATCGGCCGGTGGACATCATTCTGAGCCCGGTCAGGGGGCCCAGACAGCCGAACCAGCCGATGACCCAGCTGCAGACGAAATTGACTATCAGGATGACGGAGAAGGAGTCCCAGAATCCGAGACCGAAGACGGGGCCTAGGACGCCTGTTGCGAAAGTTGCCGGTCTGTCATTTGACGGCATTGTTAGCTCTTTTTCCTTTCTCGGGTTTAGAGGACGAGGGGAATTACGTGAAGTTAGCAGAAGCCCACATGGTAAAGCCATCGAGAGGACTTTGCCTGATGCGGTCTTCCTCCCTGACTCGCTCGATGCCTCGTTCTTCGACGCGGAAGAGGCGTGCATACCGCACGAGGACGCCAAACCAGCCCTTTGAGGCTTCGACTTCGGACAGATCATCGACTCGGTCGGTTATACGGTGTTTCTCGATGATGGAGCCTTCTGCCGCGATGGTCTGGTCTTTGTCGGTAGCAGAGATGCCCTTTTCGAGGGTTGACGGTGAATCGGTCGCCATGGATGATAGGTACGAAACCGGGAGCAAAGACCCCAGAAGCCAACAGATCGAAAAACAAACAAGGGCCTCCCTAGCCCTGTAGATTTATATCTACATTCTACGTCAAGCAAGGGCATCGTACGCACATGGCTATCTTCATGCCAAGGCCAGTTCATTATCGGGACACGAGAACTGCTTCTCCTTTCATTTGCCCTAGACTTGCCAACGCCCGTCGGGATCAGATACACTCGACTAACATCTCATCCCCGGCGTAGAAGATACGGCGGAGATAACTAATGCCCCCAGCGTGGGACGACTGTTCGGGCTGTTTCCGACGGGCAAACCCTATCTTAATTGCTTCGACTTGCTTGATGCTTATCATTCCTGCGTTATTGGTGGAATTAGCTAGCATCCGGCTTAGGAAGCTGGACTTCAATCTATATACCTCGTACATTCGTGCCAGGACGCTGTAGCTTATCAGTGAGACAGGCATGAGATCTCGCCTGGACTTTCAGTTCGTAGCGACGACACGCTGGGAGCTCGGCGAACCCCGACAACGACGTCTATTCGACCCGGGATTTCCATGGAATGGGGAGAAGAATGGTAGCACACGGCCTGCGTACGGAGTATTAAAGGAGAGCCTTTGCCGAGAAAGCAGCCGAGAGAAACTGTCTGTTCCGTCAGCAAAGTAGATAGAAATCCGCATCACAACGCAAAACCATGGTACCTCTCATCTTCCACGGCACCTTCATCCACTCGGTCACCCCGCGAGAAGTCGATATCATCGAGAATGGCCTGCTTGTGGTGTCTGCCACGGGGAAGATAGTCTTCCTGGAACGAAACATCCCCGTGGAAGACGTCCAAAAGCACATCTCGACCCTCTCCTCCGAACCAGACCTGAGATCCGCACCCGTCACCGTCCTCAAGCACGGCGAGTTCCTCATCCCCGGGTTCCTGGACACGCATAACCACGCCCCGCAATGGACGCAGCGGGGCATGGGCCGTGGTCTCCTGATCATGGACTGGTTGAACACAGTTACCTTCCCGCACGAGGCGAGGTTCAAGGACCCCGAATACGCCCGCGAGACGTACGCCAAGTGCGTCGACGGCTTCCTGAAGCAGGGTGTCACCACGGCGTCGTACTATGGCAGTCTGCACGGAGAGGCAACCAAGATCCTCGCCAAGACGTGTCTGGAAAAGGGGCAACGAGCGCTCGTGGGTAAATGCAACATGGCACGCTCCGCGCCGGATTTCTACGTCGACGAGAGCTCCAAGGAGTCGCTCGAGACCACGGAGGATTTCCTCGCGTACATGAAGGAACTCGACCCTGAATGCCGACTCGTGCAGCCTATCCTGACGCCCCGGTTCGCCATCTGCTGCGACGAGGAGTTGCTGGACGGACTAGGCAAGATCGCCAAGCGCGAGCCGAAGATGATGATCCAGACGCATTTCGACGAGGCCAGACAAGAAGTCGAAATCACCCGTCAGCTGTTCCCGCAGTTCAGCAACGAGGCAGATCTGTATGAGTATTTCGGTCTCTTCAACGACCGCACCATCATGGCGCACTGCATCTACCCCAACGACTATGAGATCGGCAGATTGAAGGAGTGCGACGTCGGCGTGGCACATTGCCCCGTCAGCAACACCACGGGGGGTGAATGGGGCGCTGCGCCTATCCGACGCTACATCGACATGGGCATCAAGGTCGGTCTGGGCACCGACAATGGAGGTGGCTTCAGCAGCAGTATCCTCGACGCGATCAGGCAGGCCGTCATCACTAGTAATGGGAGAGCTGTGATGACAGGGGACCGGAATGCCGTCGTGAGCTTGAACGAGGCCTTCTATATGGCCACGCTGGGCGGTGCCAAGGTCTGCAATCTGAGCGACAAGGTGGGAACCTTTGCTGTTGGCAAGGAGTTCGATGCGCTAAAGATCACCACCGCGGAGGGGGATCGGGTGAGCACGCTCGTTGAAGACGTGGATACTATCGCCGATATCTTTGAGAAGTTTCTCATGACTGGAGATGACAGGAACATTGCTTCTGTATACGTTCAGGGTCGGTCTGTTAAAAACTAAGCGTTGCATTGACAGTGAATGGCAGTGGCATTGGAAACGGAGTTCACGAGGTTGAAAACAAAAAAAGACGAGGTTGAATGGAAACAGAGTTGAAGCATATCTTTTCGCATTATTCCTGTTCAACCAAATGTATATAGTCCTATTCGTGCATAAATCCAGCGAGATTGCGAACTCGTACATACGCGCAAATTCCCATTGTTGTCTTGGCTTCATGTGCTATTATATTATACATTTCAGTCGACACCGAAGTAAGAACCTGAAAAACCATACTCCATACACAGAATGCAGTCCATTGAAAGCAAACTCCAAGAACGCACCAGCAAAGGGCAAAGGAGAAAGAGGACGAGAGCAGAACACGAATCAAGCCCATCCTCCCTTTCCCCCGAAGCCGGAACTCTCCTCGATTTTCTTTCCCATCCCCCGAGTAGGCTTAGACTGAGCTGCCTCGTGTTTGCGGAGTTCGTCGGGGACTCGGGAAATAGGCGATTTCATGAGCATTTGCTTGAGATCGTACCTGCATATTGCAATTAGCACCAATACGAAAAGTGGCAAAGGTGGGGGTCTCAATCTGGAAGAGACATACATAACATCCGTATCCTCATTGCCCAAAAATGTAATGGCAACGCCGCTCTTCCCGGCACGACCGGTTCTACCAATGCGATGCGTGTAGCTCTCGATAGAGGTGGCCATGTTGAAATTAACCACGAGACTAACATCCGGGACATCGATACCTCGACCGGCCAGATCCGTCGCAACAAGCACGTCCGTCGAACCATTTCGGACTGAAGCGAGGGCCGCCTCTCGCTGTTCCTGGGTTTTGCTTCCATGTAGCGTAACCGATGTGAAACCCATCTGCTTGATCTCTCTCGCAATGGCATCACAGTTCCGCTTGATATTGACGAAGACAATGATCGGCGGCCGAAATTCGTTCGAGGAAAGAATATCGGCGAGACGCTTCTTGCGCTTGTCTTCTCCTGAAATGAACTCAACACGCTGTTCGACTGTGTCGACAGCCTCGCCGGCGCTACCGATTGTGACGATCGCCGGACGGCGAAGGTATTTTCTGGCAATCCTTTCAACAGCTGCCGGCATAGTGGCCGTATACATCATCGTCTGCCGATAACGGTCTTTGCCACCGAGATGTTGGGACATAGCACGGGAGTCTTCGGCTTCGTCGGTATCAGGCTTCTCGTTAGAGACAGGGAGAGCATCGAGGATCTTGTTCACCGGGTCTTCAAAGCCAAGATCAATCATGCGGTCGGCTTCGTCCATAATGACATAGCAGCATTGGCTGAGCACAAGGAGCCGACGCTCGATACAATCGACTAGACGACCGGGCGTGGCAATGATGATCTCTGCGCCGTTCCGTAAACTGTATGCTTGTTCCTCGAAGGAATGGCCACCGACGATACTGACAACAGTGAACCCAAGAGGTTCTGTAAACTTCCTTGCCTCGATCTCGATCTGTTGCGCCAATTCACGGGTCGGAGCTAGCACGATCGAGTAAGGACCGTCGTTCTTTCGCCATTCAAACTCATCGATCCGAGGAAGCTCCGCGATGTAGACAAGGAGAGGAAGCAGGAATGACGCCGTCTTTCCTGAACCGGTCACAGCAACACCGATAAGATCACGCGATTGCAGCGCAATGGGAATAGCAGCACGTTGGATAGGTGTAGGTTCTTTGTAGCCAACTGCCGAAACTAGTTCGAGCAGCCGCCTGGGAAGACCAGACTCCCCCCATGACCGCATAGGATTCGGCACACTTCCGCCCTTGGTACTGATGTTGAAATCCTCCTTGAAAATACGCCAGTCTCTCTCCCGCATGTGCTCCAGCTTTTTCTCACTCCAATGTTTATCGAGTTGGTTGCGCGTGCTTTCCTCTCTCCGCCTCCTCTCCATTTCCATGATCTCCCTAGCTCGGATGGTCCCCGCCTCACGATCTCGATCTTCTAGGGCCTGGGCATATCTTTTCGTCATGTCATCAGCAACATCGTCACCGAAGCCCGCTAGACGACCACGACCGAAGAAATTCGCCTCATGTTTATGTTGATAGAGGGGGTTATAATCGCCACTCGTATCTTCCTCTGCACTCCATTCGAAATTGAACTTCCGGTCTGTCGCCCGCCTTCGCTTCTTCTTTGCCGAGAAACTTGACGTCTGATCTGCACCCATATACCGCTGCTTGATTATTGCAGCCTGCGCAGCGGCCTCGTCTTCATCCGCAGGCCGTTTCTCGCCCCTTGAATCCTTTGAATCCTTAAGACCGAAGGACATCGCTTTCGGCGGTAGTGGAGGGTTCATATCGTAGTTTTTGTTAGGCATGTCATGCCTCATAGATGCCGGCGCTGTGGGGATTGCTCCGCCACTCTGCATAGCTCGAGGCCTTGTCGGAATCGTTCTCGCATCGCCGTTAGGTCCGTCCGATCTAACTGATGGCGACCGTGTCCCATTCCTATCAGCACCATTTGTAGTAGCACTTTTGTCTATCAACCTTCTTTCTGATTCAAATTCCTTCGCGCGCTTTTCGAGCGCGAGCCTCTCTCGTTCCGCTTTGGACAAGAATTTCGGCTACATAAAAAAGCAATGTAAGCATTAGCAAAAGGCTATTCTTGTAAATGAAGTAAAACAAGAAATCTATCAAAGCCATAGGTCTAAGTAAAGATCAAGAAGCTAGGGATGAAGTTATGGTGGGAAAACATGTCTCGCATACCTTGGCAGCAGCAGCATCGGCTTCTTTTTTCTTCCGTAAAAGCTCCTCCACACTTAATGGCGCCGCAGAAGGGCGCTTTGCACCCCATCCTACTTTCTTTTTCTTCGTCTCCGGTGGAGGAGGAGGAGGAGGGACATCCTCTGGCGGTGGTGGAGGCGCGATAGTGTCCGGAGGGGGCGGAGGAGCTGCGGAGTCTTCAGGAGGTGGTGGGGGAGGGGGTGGGAGGGCGCTCAATCGGGTCCGGGGGCGGAACTGGAGGATGGGCATCTCCAGGAGGGTTTGTGATGATACCGTCCATCATATCCCCTGTTTTTGTGGTCATAACAGCTTTGGACATCAAAGGCTGAGCAGACCGGCGCGAGACGTTGCCATCTCAAATTTATACGGACGGCGGAACGAAACAGAGACGCAGTCACGTGTAGCATTGTCGCTGTGCTTCGAGTCTTCGACTTCAGAATACAAGATAAAAGCTACCACTCAGTAGAATACAAGTCGTGTCCAATTCTCTATAGCTGCATCAAATAATCTCCACAGTAGATCTTAAAACGAGCTACCAATTTAATTACTTGACTGCTCATCTCCATTCGAAAGCACGCCGAAATTGCTAATGGAGTAATCTGTCCACAAAGCACAAGTACGAAAGCCACCGAAAGAGAAATGTTCTAAAAAAAAGAAAAAAAAGCCATACCTCTTACGAGGTCAAAGAGAGGAAAATCGTTTTCATACACGCTCAATGAGTGGGAAAAGTCCAAGCCAGCTGCTTTTGAGACCTAGGGGTTTGAATATCGTTTAGACAGTTGAAGTGCCATTTGCGGCGGCTTCTTGATAGTAACCATATGGGTTTGGTTGCGTAGCAACGCCGGCGGTGGCAGCGGCAGCGGCAGCAGTAGTAGGTTCTACGGCAGCTGGGAGCCGTCCGTCATTTTGAACAGCCTTGCCGGCATCCCCAATCTTGGGTGCTGCAACGGATGAAGGACCGTGAACCTCGCGATCCAGGGTAATGTATTCCTTGGCGGCATCCTTGGTGCCTCTCTCGAGGAGGTAGACCATATAGGCCTTTACAAGCTCCTTGACCGTATCCGCTGAAAGTGCGCTCTTGGATCGGATGTCGTCGACCACCTGTTTGATACGTCCGTATTGGACGTTTTCAGTCGCAGCGCTTGTGGGCTGCTCTAATTCGAACATGAGATAACTGGTCCAGAAGGGAGTGCTATCCAGGTAATATTGCTGGTTCTTTTGGAAGACCTGACGAGCATCCTCCGGCGAGCCCTTGATCTTCCAAAGAAGACGAGCCCACTCGGCAACAAGGGCAGCTTTAGTGGCTAGGGCACATTGGGGAGAGTCGAGCTGGGTCTTGTAAACTTCAATAGCGGCCTCTAAGCCACCATGACGGCGTGACACATTTGCCAAGGATACAATTGTCTCGACGTGATTGGGTAAATTGAGAAGGATAGCATTGTGGATATCTTTTGCGACATCCACCCGGCCCGACATTTCTTCAAAGTAGGCATAGTAAAGACGGATCGTGGGATTCGCAATCGGTACGTATAGGCAACTTGCGCGTTGGTAGATGTTCCGTACTTCCTCCTCCTTTCCGGGCTGGGCTTCCATCCATCTCACATAGCGTAGCCAGAACTCATCATAATGAGCACACGTCACAAGGCAACGTTCATACAAGAACTGTATTCTGGGGTAGGAGCCTTCAGCCTCCTCGAAGTCGAGATACTTCCGCCAGTTCGACAATTGGCCTTCATCCAATTCGGTGACGTGGAAATACGGGCGCTTAATCTCGGACTCGTACGTCCATCGCTTCGTTGTTTCCGTCTGGGTTTTGGTGAATATCTCCAAATGATAACCATCGAGACGCAACCGTAGATCTCTTTCAACCTCCGCCTCAGCCTTCGCCCCTGGCGGTAGATGAGACGAGGCTGCATCGAGATCAGCCCGGAATTGGTTTAAGATATCCGAGGGAGCCAACTCAGCCACGGGACGCGTCTGCGCAAGTTGACGATATCGTTCAAAGTAGCGAGCATATTGGTGCATAGGTATATGGATAATACGGCCCAGGATTTCGAATATCTTGTCAAATGCTTCCGAATGTTCTTCGAATTCGAGGTACTTGTCCCAGAACGGATGAGCCAAGAAATCCAGTCCTACGCTGCTCGCTCCACGTTCGAAAAGCCTATGAGGGTTATCAGCATAACCAACAGACTTATAAGCCAAGGAATAAAGAGCGGCAAAGGGATTGGGGGGTTGAGAAGGAGAATGACAAGGATTGCAAACATGAGGAATTAACTCTTTCAAAGCGGGTGATCCCAAACGACTCATCAATGACTGTGTCAGTTTTATGAATCGTGCGTAGAATAAAAGGATTTTCCGAAGAAGGGAATTGTTGTGTTGTCCGTGCATGGGTGGTGGTGCATCATCTTCTCTTTCATCCAAGGGAAATAAAAAGGAAACAGCCTGAAGCCATGGGTGAGAAGTAAATTCCAGTGAATCAGGATGGTAGGCGACCGATCTCACCCATCATCGAGGGAACTCTTGCCAATGGCCTCCTTTAACATCATATATATTCCGGCACCACAGAAGCGTCCGCGCTGCGTTTGGTCACGGTTACAGGGGAAGTAAAAGCCAGCTTTTAGGCCAGTTTTTAGTCTACTTACTCTCGGATAATTTCGGGCTCGTGAGATGTCTCCGCTTTGAAAGTGCAATAGTTGGTCCACAGATCGACTGAAGAGGAAATGCTTGCGACACCGCGCTCATAGACCTAGATACAAAGGTGAGAAATCAGCTGCGAATTCAAGGATCGGCTAGGGGGGCGCCCTGGAAAGACGCCGGAAAAAGGTGAAAGTCGCACCATATCTGCAGCCTCAGTTCCTGTGATCGAGAATTCAAGGTCGGCATATTTTTTCCAGTATCCAAAGAGCAATGGAAATTTGGCCAGGAAGCGATCATACACGTTTCTCACGGTGGTAATGGCCTGGGGGTTGGAGTTGCGGTTGATTCCACCTTCTAGCCCTTCGGCGGCACGAACGAGTCTCTCCCAAACCTCAAAGTTGTCTGGATCCTCCGCCTATATGTTGCGAAAAGGAGTACGTTAGCAGATGCAGACTGAAGCTGGCGAAGAGACCGGGGCATACCAGCTCAGTTTCAAGCTTCCTCAGCTCAGCATTCTCCTCCTCGGAACCTCCATAGGCATAGTCCGCCATGATGGCAGAATGTTATCAAGAATACACAGATTAAGCGGCTGGCGGCAAAGCAGGGGAAGATGACGGTTCAGCGATGAAGGGGGGAAAGGGATGAGCAGAGACGACCAGCAGCACGTAGACAGCGGCGCGCAGGACGATCCCGGCCGCTTCAGTGGTCTTTTTCTGCCGGTGATATCCCAAAGCGGCCTAGCGCCGGCGGCCCTGCGAAGGTTGAATTTGTCTGGTTTGAACTCCGAACAACAAAGAGAGGCAAGGTCTCCCGTTGCATTGAATCCTTCATAGTGTGTCTCCATTGTGCTTTTTCTATCGGAATGTCTTCATCCATAGTAGAGCAGCTCCCAACCCGCCTGCGGAACTTCTTTGCCCGTTACCCTCCGCAAATCTATTCCGCGCTCGTCGCCCCACGACCAACTGCACCCGGAACAGAAGGCAAGGAAGGACAGGAACAGGCACACACACAGCCAGAAGGAAAACAGGAGCCCCTCCCATCTCCTTATACCCCTGACCGACAAGCAAAGGGTTATACCCCCCCCGACCCGGCCGCATTCTCGCCTTCAAAAGCCTTCCTCTACTCCCACCCGGAATTCCCCAACCCATTCCTGCCCCGCAAGAACTTCCGCAATGGCAAATGGTTCGGGCCTCGATATGGACTGAGACAGCAGGCGGACCTCGTGAAGCTGGCCATCAAATATAACGTCGAACCGCTTCTGCCGCCTGGCCGCAAGTCGACCGAATACAAGGAGATTCGCCAGTCAGAGAGGGGATTGCAGATCAAGGGTACCGGTATTGGACAGAAGGTCAAGGGTCACAAGTGGGAGAGGACGATGGAGGCAAGACTGGAGGAGAGAAAGAAGGCAATGTTGGAGATGCCGGAGATGATTCGGTTGTGGAAGCAGGTCAGTAATCACTCATTTTCCTTGTCCCCTTTTCCTTTTTTCTGCAATATCTACTATATTTGCGAAGATCTAGATAGACAACTAACTATGAGAATCACAGAGAGGACACGGTCGTGGATGGAAGCAGTGGCCCAGGAGGTAAATCTGCTATGTACAATTTGCATCAGCCTCCGTCTTTTTGGTTAATTGTTGGTGTCGGATTTCTCTCTTTTATGGCTTCCTGGCCTCATGGTACAGCGGAGATCTAAATGAATCATTAACGGGGTTCAGGATGGGTTTTCTTTTTTTGTTTTCTCTTTTTCCCACATGTATAGTATAACAGGGTGTTTTTCTCACATATGGCCCGCATTGAGGGGTCCAAAGGGGGTACGCAATAGTGTAAGAAATAATGGAAAATTTGAAGCCAAACTCTGAAGGTATATTATCCCTGACTCCTGACCACCGTATATGTGTATATGTTCATGTCCAAAGAGATCCGATCCATACACCTCTAACCAATATCCCGACGTATGTGCAAAGCGAGCATGGAAACGCCGATTATATGCCTGCCGAAAAGAATACAAAACCATACTATAGAATTCACATTACCTTGCATGATCGTATGACGCCGTAACCAGATCTCCAACCATGAGCGTCTGTCCCTCTGGAGATAATATCTCGCAAGGGCCACTTGGCCCAGAAAGAGCAGCGTGCCTCCCAAATAGTACCTTTCCATCGAACTTCCTGGTTTTAGCCAAAGTCGAGAATGGCTCATCACAACGCACGCCTGAGTATTGATCGATGCAGACCATCTGACACCGCTGGCAAGAACCAAGTATATCGAAACATAGCTGCCGAGGGCCGATCGTAAGTGATACCCAGTTATCCTCGATGTATGGCTGTTCCAAATCTCCACGCTGAGCAAGGTTCTCCGCAACTATGATGTTGGCCCGGAAAACATCAGCCGCAACTGCCTTGCTAATCCCGTGGTTGTGGTGATTCGAGGTTGCCTTAATTGTTTCGTTTAGGTGGTTCACTGATGAGCGGGAAATGACAAGAATCGGGCTTTCGTTGGATAGGAGGATAGGAGTTCGCCCCGATATTTCGGGGGAAGGGCCCTGGGGAAATGAGTCCGGCTGTTTCGACTTGATAGGAAGACGACGGGGTCCGCAGTACCGGGTTGAGGATTGGGGAGGGAACCGCGCAAGGGTACATGGAACACCAAGGAAATCAGAGAAAAAGGAAGATATCGCAGGAGAAGAGTAGGCATGTACAATGACCCGGTCTCCGCAGACTGTAGAGGACTTATTCGCGGAATTCTGGCACAGAGAAGCCGGCATGGCTTCATGGTAATCCCTGGAGAGGGAGATTTCAAGGCTTCTCCGCTCGGATGCAGGGCTGCCTCCACAGGTAATTTTTAATATGCCGCGGTCGAGATCAATAAATGGATGTATCAGAGCCATTAAAGGATATCGTTTTTGGCTGAGAGCTGCACCTGTGCCTTGATGAATGAGGCACCACTCACGATCCCATGCCAGGCCCTCAGTCTTAACTTCCCATCGTTTGCCATCAGGGACTTTGAAAGCCGCACAGCTCTTTATGGGATACACACATAGTGCCTCAACATAGAATCTGGATTGAAAATTTGAAGATATCACAGGTTGTGTGGATACACTCCTGTCTGTAATTTTTTCAACATAGAATTCCCTGATAAAGTCGACAAACATGTCAATATCCCGCATATTCGTCATTGCTCCTAGGCTGGCTCTCAGGATACCAGTAGGCCGTCCGTCCATGACATCGTGATCATCTCCGCAACGCAAGCCAGAAGAATAATGACGGCGTTGCTCAGTCCCAGACCAGCCGAGACTGCTTGCCGTTCCACCAGGATTGCAAAGGGTTCCCGACCTAATTTCGATATTCCTCACGGCTGCCAACTTTTCAACCTCTGATTTGCCAACCCACTCACCGCGACTAGTCCGCAGATTGAATGCGATTATTGGGCCCTGCGTTGATGGGTCTTCATAGTCCGAGGACGGAGATTTGTAAATCTCACAGACTTTAACGCCATTGGCGTGTGTCAGAGACCACAGATGGTCATAAAGTCGTTTTGCAAGAAAACGAGTATGCGAGGATATATTGGTCATTGAGCCATATAGGCGTTCATGCGTTCTAAATGCAGCATCCAGTGCGATGATATTATGGAAAGGGAGAGTTCCATCCTCGAGTCGACCATGGATCGAGGTTTCTTTTCTCGCATGCCACTGTGTTCCCAGCGTCGTGACCATACCTACAGTACCGCCACCAAAGAACCTTCGTCTATCGAAGGCATAGGCAGCACTTTTCCGGACAATCAAAGCACCAAGGTCTGGAAAACCAAATATTTTGTAAAAGCTGATAGCTGTGAAATCGGGTGCGGCTGACACATCACCCAGGTCGAGGGGTGAGGTTGAAACTAGGCTTGCAGCATCTAGGAGAGTGAAGACACGTTCCCCTGAATTTTCAGCGCTTTGTCGTACCTGCTGACACCACCGTACCGGTAAGCGTCGACCGTTCATATTCGACTGAGCTGGAAATGCAAAGAGCTTCGGGACATTTCGCTGCAGTAAGTTGTCCTTCGAGCTCAATTCCGAGATCCAGGTCTCCACCTCTGCATCTGTCGAGAAGCACCGGCTACCAGCATTCGCAAGTTCACGAACTCCGACCAAACTAGTGTGAGCGGCGATATGATATCCATACCAAAAGCCATCTGAGTCCAAGTCCCGTAACGCATCTGCAACCAGCTTGATGGCTGCGGTAGCATTTGCAACGAAAACGAGGTCAAACACTTCGGGATCGGTATTGAAGAAACGCAGGGCCCGCAAACGTATGTCGTCGATGCGACGAGTAGAGAGCTGCGAAGACGCCGACTTGGAATGCGGATTTCCAAACAAGCTGGAAGTAAGATCATGCGAGAATGAATCAATCAGCGACTTGGCGTAGAGCGTAGTTCCGGCATGGTCCAAATATGTTGTTCCTGCGAGCAAAATAACAGTGAAGTCATGTCAACAGGTGAACTCATACAGGCAGGCTCAGCAAATAGATGCGGATGAAGATATACGAACCATCAAGCATGGGATATTCATGTTTTCGAATGAGGTCCACATCTTCCGAGTACCCCTTGCAGTATTCAGCATCCAAGCACATCTTCTCTGGTTTTCCCTCCATCGTGGATGTAGCTGACCAACCACATCCGGATTCCTAGCGTCGTATTCCTTCAGAGCAGAAACATAAGACTCATGAATCAGGAGGCAAAGATACGATAGCCAGTGCAGGTTCCTCGGTAATTGACCGAAATATCCTGCTGCACTACGGTCCAAGATGATAGAGCTAGGAAAAGGAGGCCAAAACGTCAGTTATGAGGTCCGGTTCAACTGTGAAACTCGTCAATCGGAGACTGGAAGTCGGAGCTTACCGATAGAAGCCGTTGGTTACAATCCTCCATCTGACGGGCGATTCCACAGCGAAGTGGAAATGGTGAGTAGCCACCAAAAAGTAGATGGAACAAGTAAATGCCCAACGTACCCCGGTATATATTGAACCATGTTCTCCCACTTCGCGCAGTTCTGGTTGATCGAAGGCGAGAACTGACGCTGCACGTGTCTCTTCTTATCAGGATGCGGGGCGCTGTCGGAAGGCTCCGTGGGCCGTGGAAATACAGCTTTGCCATTGCGAAGTTTGCCATATGGAGGTTTATTTCACTTGTTGCCACTCACATGACATTTTATCACCACATAGCACCCCCACCTTTGGCAGGGCTTAGTTATGACTTAGGGTTATCTAACTACATGCTAGTTAACTAACTATGTACCAAATATTAGGTATACTGGGTTCATAGTCTCAACTACTCTCGGCTCTGTACTCTTTGCTGTGGGTGTGTATATCATTGCGAATTGGAGTACTGCATGCTTGCTGTTGATACAGGCAGAGGGACTATATTGATACGCAGGTGGAGACAATCAAGAGTTTCCATCAGATTGGGATGTGCACAAGAATCATAGTCTAGGCTGAGCTGAGTGTTTGGAAGCACCAAGGAGGAATCATCTCCTTGATTGTCTCCAGATCAAGCAGGCTTGGCCCGTATGGAACTTTGGATACATTGCCATCAAGATCAATCCAAAAATCAAATCTGACATGGTATAAAGACATCCCTTACACAACTTCGTTTCCTGGACTCGATCGGGGAGTTACCAGTGAGCATAACATTCTGGCAAGGACAGAAACTAATCACCATTTTATGCATATGGTGCTAGAGAGTATGAAAAATCTGAGGAGCAACAGGGCCAAGATTCACAACGTCTGAAGTGGCCATGAAAACCACGACAGGTTCAGACCCAAGAAAGAATTTACGAGTGGAGCAAAACTATAGAATAAGGACATAAAGAGGAAGTGTCTCTTGTATATTTTCTATCTGAAAGTAGTCTTCTCCCTATGTCCAGTATGGTATCCCCATATTTCCGTAAACGCATAACAAATAAACGCAGAGCCGTAAAATCATGTTTCATGTATTCATCATCATAAAAAAAAAACAGTTATTCCGAGTAAAAGAAACGAAAGACAACGAATGGAAGACGCTCGAGCCTAAGTAGGTTAAACCTCATACTCCTGTCGATGACTACTATGACTCCTCCTGTGTCCTCCAGAGACCGAGCGGTGGCGATGATGATGACGGCCATGCCCTCCACTTCCACTGCGTCGTTTCCTCACCTCAATGGTCTCCTTGACCACTTTCCTTGGCTCGTAGATGAAATACGCCAACACGGCGGTCCAGAAGAAGAAGACTGTCTCCATGATCCCCAGCGCGAAGCAGGTTTTCAGCATAGCACATGTCTTGTTTATGTGGAGCGCCAGGTGATTGCCCGTCTCGTATCCCAGTCTCCCGAACGGGCCCAGCGACACGTACAGCGAGTATGAGTCGTTCACGGGGTCCCAGTGCGCACAGTTATCGTTGCCAATGAAGCGCAGCTCATATACGCCCGCAATAAAGGCGCCGCAGAAACAAAGGTCCAGAAAGCAGACGAATATCGCTGAATTACGTGCGGTCCGGTAACGGATGACGGTGTCCAGGGACCAGAAGACGGCGATCACGCTGACAATGAAAAGTACTAGGATGTAGGCCGGCGTGATGGTGTTGGCATTGAGGAAGCCATTGACAAAGTAGGCCTGCTCCATCGATTGCAATTAATTCGTGTTTTGGTTCCTGTGGGTCACTTTGGCTCTTAGACTGTGGACTCACCATCATCCCGATTATAGGGATCAGGAACACGATCTGGACGATTCGTGTGAAAATGAAGAGAACACTTGCAATCATCTTGGCGACTGGCTTTGATAGAAAAATAACTGAATTGAATGTAAGTACTGCAGTATGTGGTTGACGTGACGATGCGCTGCGAAGCGAATTCAACCTGGGTAGTGCTGGGTTAGACCCTTTCTTGTTTTACAGCGTATGTTCTCTTCTTGATGCGACAACAGTAGCACAGGAACTATAACTTCATATCGAGTTATTCGCCTAGAATAGTGAGGCGGCCCTCGACCGCGGAGAGCTCAACGCGCGGTTGTCAGTATCGCGGGCGCAGATACGTGGATAGATGAAACTGAATGGAGCGAATGCCGCAGAAGCGCAAACAGTGCAACGGAGAAAGCACAGAGATAAAAATGGATGAAAAGAAAAAGAGAAACCAACGATGCAATGCATTGCCAGTTCATCTCGTACATATTGCTTTTTACCTATCATATTGAGGGGGCTGGGATATCCTAGCGGGGTGGCTGGGGTAACGCCATTAACAAAGACACAGAACAGGAATATCCGTCATCATATTCAAGGAACATTCCACAAAAAGCCATAAAGCTGAGCACTCCTGCAAGAAAGCGGAGCTGGCCTAGAATTCCATTCATATCAACAGTCAAATGGCAAAAGGTGGTAACGAAGAATGCTGCGTAGCACATGCATCCAACGGTCCCTTGGTATCTCAGCAAACCGCAGCCATGACCAAGAAAAAAATAAAATAAAAACCCAAGACATAAATGAAGAATAAAATTGCACCGTCTAGAAATCCATTCTCCTCTTCCGCTACGTCTTCATCTCACACCTGTCTAGTAACTGATCGATCTCGATCAGCCTGATCCATCATCACATCTGACGGCGTGTGCAGAGCTCCGTTATGTATGTTAGTAGCACTGGCTCCTTGTGGTTGAGATGGATACGCAGTATCAACGTCGTAGCCACGAACCTGACTATTCATGGCACCAAGATTCGGTGTCCGAGTATAGCTATGGTGCATCTCATAGCTGTCTGCGACGTCTTCGCTCGAAGACGACCAAGCCCCGTTGTCATCAAGGTTCGAGCGATTATACTGGGTCCGTGCGAAAGGGTTGTTTGATTGAAAATGATATGAAGGGTTATCTTGAGCACTACCGGTACTAGGGACACGAGTTGGAACTCGGGTCGGTTCGAAACGCTCTTCCTCGGGATTCGCCAGAGCGACGGTACTATCATCGTACGCACCAACTGGGATTCTCGGTTCAGAAGCCCAAGTCCGGATTGGGTATGCACGCCCTTTCTTCCAAGCTTCTGTAATCGAGGGGAAGTACTGTCGATACGAGACGCAGGCACAAATTATCCCCAACATTGATCCTGTGATCACATCAAATGGATGATGCCTAGCATCCATGATCCGGCTCACTGCAATAAGCGTCGCTCCGAGAATTGGGATCATAACGAGGATAGTCTTCCAAACCTCGCCGCGATTATCCATGACATGCAGCTTACCGCAGAGCCATAGAGAGAGGTATAGTAAACCTGCGAAAGAAGCTAAGCGCAAAACAATCAGCAGCGGTATAATATGGGATCAACAGGACTGGCTTCCTTACAACTACTGTGGCCTAGACATTGAGAAAATCAGTATTATGTGCCGAACGAGACCTAATGGGGGGAAAAGGGGGGAGCATTATCAAACGTACCCGAAGGCCATGAACGGAAACCATCTTTGATGATTTTCTCATCACCAGTACAAATCGAAGAATTCGACAAGCCGTACGGCATAAGATCTTCACTTCCAGGTCTGGGCTGGCACCGATCAATCAAATCCGGCCTCGGCTTCCCACAGGCATTTTTCAAAACCTGCGTGATGACAAACGCAAGCCCTTGCGATAGCAACAGACCCAGTATCCCACAGTTCAGCTCCCATAGCCGATCCTTGAAGCGGTACGGACCGGTCACCTTTTTCTTCCCCGACACCGGATCCCGGGGTTTATGATGAGAGAACAAGCCGTCGATGAACAACGTGTAGATGACGATTATGATTGCGGGGGCAAGGCAGGAGATGCACAATGCCACTTTGATCGGCACGCGCTCGTGTACAGCATAGGGATACTGTAGAGAAATATTCCGGAGTGAGAAGTGCTGGTGGTACGGCTCGATGGAGTCAAGGATGTAGAACCCAACGATGCAGGCACTGTGTAGGACGTCGAATTGTTACCCGTCAGCGTCACGTCATAAACTGAATGTCTTTGGATAGTGGGCCATGTAGATGTGGGCGATTGTCGCTGTCGGCTCAGCTATCTAGAGGAAGAGACCAAACGAACATGAGGATCACATAGTCGGCTATGTATCTGCCGTGGAGAAGAAGGCACCGATGGGTCAGCCAGGATTCCCAGAACTTCGCAATCAGCATTTGAGGCAGGTCTCTCACGAAATAATGATGCGCGATCGTAATCGCCGGTTCGAGAACGGCAGTGAATCCAGGGGCATCCTTCCAGCCCGCTGTTCTTTGGGGGCATAAAATCTGAAAGCAAGTGAGGTTTAGGGGCGCATGAGACAAGGGAGGCCGTAGCTCGCTGGTTATGAGAAGCAAAGTCAAGAGGATTCGCGGTAACAGTTGAGGCCTCCAACTCGAAACGCTTACGACTGCCAGGACAGAGACGTGTTGAGGCAGTGCCCATGCTTGGGGCCGAGAAATGCCGAGAAATGACAGCAGAGCAATAGATCGTCGACGGTATAACGATACATCATAGAATAACAAGGCTCCCAAATATGACACCGCGATCCTCCCCGCGTTTCATCGGGAAGTTATCCACGCGATGTGTTATGCGACAGGTATTACCGCATCCACGAATACAAGACTAGCAACACTGGCCAAAAGGCATCTCAACATACATTCATTTTCAAAATGGAAATATCCCATTATGATAAACATACTGAACAGACACCTATCCTTTTAGGGAGTTTTTCCACGGTACATGTACAGAACAATAGAATACACGCATACGCATACGTGAGTACACGCCGAAGTAAACGAAAATCCAACCAACATTCAGTCCAATCCAGTCCAAGTTATGTAGCTTCATAAGCTACGTAAGAGATAAAAGTCTGGCATCTAGCAGGAGGTTATGAACAATCCGATTCTGCATTCTCGTTAGTTTCCGTGGCAGTGGAATTATTTTTCAAGGGCGGATGGTAACTTACGGTGACGGATTCCAGTCCTGGAAGTAAGTAAGATCAGTACTGCCAGCATTCTTCACCTTGTAGCCAACAGCCTGTCCGGCTGGACAGGCGAAGGTAGAGATGAGGTAGGAATGCCCAGGAGAAACAGTGAACGTGCCATAATCCTGCTTGACCGAAGGTGCATTGTTGTAAGTCGTCTGTGAATTAGCAACAGATGTCAAGGCAGCAAAGTCAAGCTTCCCATCACCACTGAAGTTGAAAGAAGACGTCTGGAGGTCTTGCTTCTGAGGGAACAAAAATACAAGAGAGCAAGTCCGACCGGAGTACGATGGCGGAATATCGAAATTGAACAAGCTTGAAACAGTGGCGGAAATCTGGCCATTGAGAGAGTCTCCCTCCGCAGTGTTCGGTGCTGAGGAGTTAATAGGGACAATCAAGTGAGGATACTGGTAGTCCCCAGATAGGTTAGTAGGGCAGCTTGAGGCAGAGGGCTGAGTAGCCGTGGCTGTTGTCTGGGGGCTGCTTGGTGGAGTAGGCACAGGGCTTGACGGAACCACAGACAGCGTAGAAGTTGGTCCCTGACTGATTCCAGAAGTCCGTATGCTAGGAGCTGAAGTCGGGGCACCTGGAGTCCTATAGGTGGGGGTCGACGGAATGACGCCAGCGGTGCCATTAATGCCAGGAGTACCAGGTTGGCCAGGCGTTCCCGGTGTTCCAGGCTGTCCGGGTTGACCAGGAGTACCAGGAGTACCGGGAGTGCCAGGAGTACCAGGCTGTCCAGGCGCACCGGGAGTGCCAGGAGTACCGGGAGTGCCAGGCTGTCCGGGCTGGCCAGGGACACCAGGGATACCAGAAGGGCAAGCACATGTACAAGAAGCCCCTGGGGCACCCGGCTGTCCGGGCTGGCAAGGCGTGCCGGGAGTGCCAGGGGTGCCAGGTTGGCCAGGCGTTCCCGGTGTCCCAGGCTGTCCGGGTTGACCAGGAGTACCAGGAGTACCGGGAGTGCCAGTGGTGCCATTGGTGCCAGGGCCACCAGGCGTGCCAGGCATGCCGGGAGTGCCAGGAGTGCCAGGAGTACCAGGGCCACCAGACGTGCCGGGCGTGCCAGGAGTGCCAGGAGTACCAGGTTGGCCAGGCGTTCCCGGTGTCCCAGGCTGTCCGGGTTGACCAGGAGTACCAGGAGTACCGGGAGTGCCAGTGGTGCCATTGGTGCCAGGGCCACCAGGCGTGCCAGGCATGCCGGGAGTGCCAGGAGTACCGGGAGTACCAGGGCCACCAGACGTGCCAGGAGTGCCAGGAGTGCCAGGTTGGCCAGGTTGACCAGACGTGCCGGGCGTGCCAGGAGTACCAGGTTGGCCAGGCGTTCCCGGTGTCCCAGGCTGTCCGGGTTGACCAGGAGTACCAGGAGTACCGGGAGTACCGGGAATGCCAGTGGTGCCATTGGTGCCAGGGCCACCAGACGTGCCGGGCGTGCCAGGAGTGCCAGGAGTACCAGGTTGGCCAGGCGTTCCCGGTGTCCCAGGCTGTCCGGGTTGACCAGGAGTGCCAGGAGTGCCAGGAGTACCGGGAATGCCAGTGGTGCCATTAATGCCAGGCGTGCCAGGAGTGCCAGGAGTACCAGGTTGGCCAGGCGTACCGGGAGTGCCAGTGGTGCCATTAATGCCAGGCGTGCCGGGAGTGCCAGGAGTACCAGGTTGGCCAGGAGTACCGGGAGTGCCAGGAGTACCAGGTTGGCCAGGCGTACCGGGAGTGCCAGGAGTGCCAGGAGTGCCAGGAGTGCCAGGAGTGCCAGGCGTACCGGGAGTACCCGTAGGCGCACCGGGAGTTGGGGATGGGGATGGGGACGGTTTGGATCCCGAGCCCTGACAAGAGTCTGCAGTCAAGGTGACATCTTTGCAACCAGTTACGTCCGCGCTATTGGGGCTTGTGTAGACGTTATATTCGCCATTGTCGCCGGTAGCACATGCGACAAAGTGGGTGCTCCCATTATATGTAAGTCCACCCTGCGCATTCACAGAGAAGCCGGGGTGAGGACTGGCCCCTATGTCACACTGGAACTGAGTGGTAGGGGCTGGATTGATGTCAGCATCGTCAAGGTGTGTAGACGCAGTAAACATGGAAGACTTACGCGTAAGGATACATCCGCGACCACTGCCATCCGTGATGGCGCCAGCAGAGTCAATGCAATACTGAGCGGGAGGAAGACCTCCCAAGATGCGATTCTGACCATCACCCAGCTGGCCAAGGGTGCCAGGAACACCGCCATATGCCGTCAGATGGAAGCAACATGTGTCGCCCCTACCAACGAGGGCATTTGCCCCAGCAGCAAGAGCTGCAATGGCGGCAAGGTTCTTCATTGAAGATAAAACGAATGATATGTAGCTCTGAAGACCAATTAATAGGTATGGGGGTATGTATAGGTAAAGAGAGAATTGGCTTTTGCAAAACGAAAGGCACCAGGCGTATTGTTTAAGTTAGAGGGCAGAATACCGCTATATTTATAAACCGATGTGGATATGCTGCTACTGCGAGGGCTTTTCCAATGGCTGGATAGTCGTCGGACGAGACGAGAACAAAATAGCAACGAGTGGCCAATGAGACAGGTTATGACCATGGAAGCTTTCAGTGGACTCTTGATCCAACTGGGCAATGAACTGAAGTACACGACGATTATTAGACGGCCGGACAAGCCGGACCTGCAACCCGCAGGGTTGTCGCTCAGGGCATCTGATCCCGATTCGAAACGTCATGGAAGGAGCATCGCCCAGGCGGCCCTATCGGGGTTTCCACGGTGAAGCAGACATCATGTCAATGGTCAGCGCCCCGACCTTGTGGATCGAATTTCCGTGGAGCAGTGTCTGGAATATCGATCCTGAATGGAAATGCTCACAGACGTAGTCCCGCAGAATCGGGGTAAGAGCCAACTGGAGTGGCGATGCTCTATGCCTCCCATGGAACTTAAGAAAGTCTGGAATTCATCCCACATCCATCTCTGCCAATATCGACGGTCTGCGAGACTCTGTTCCTAGGACACAGATCAGCGCACGAGGCCATGATTGGTTCTATTTATAAACGTCCAATCGGAAATTTTGGACTTCGAGAGATGGCCAACGAGCATGTCCAGACCAAGTCGGGGAAAACTGGATCGTAATCGTGCGCGAGGTGTTTTCCAGTGGCAGTCTAGCCATTGCTACAGGACAGACACAGCGTGAGCACGGGAAGACTGGATAAGTCGGAGTAAAGTGCATCCTTGCTGTCTGCACGTCACCATGACTGATTAGTGTTGATATAAGCCTCTCGTAGTAATGAAAACGGTCGCGTTTTCTGCATAATGAATTCATGTTGTGGAAAGAAAGTTGGCGCCGGGACAGGCGGAAGGCGGATGTCCCCCGCTTGATCAGCAAGAATCGCCCATGCAGCTTCATGTCTTTCCTTGGCAGTCAGTCCATGCATATGCATATATTCCTGTTCATTATTATTCTCAGTATCATCGTCGTCAGCCTTCCAGTCGCTCCACCCCTAATCCCGAAAAATGCGTTAACTGGGAGAGAAACCGTCACCGCTGTGATTCGATGATCTCCCGGTCGAGGCTCCATTCCTTCGACACAGTTGACGGCCCCTTCTCCCTTGTCGGAACAGCGTCCACAGTCTCCTGCAAGAAATACATCTCTCTGCCCACATAGAACCATGGTACCAGCCAGTAACCAAGCCTATGAATATCCATGACTAACCCGTTGCTCCGATCGATTCCTGCAGAGGCGGCCACGGTCTCTACTCCGGATTTGTCTTCGTACCTGAACAACTAATAATCGGCGTCCGTTGTCAGGCAATAAGATTCGATCGAGTCACCTGCAGCGTATTCTTTTCACGATCCTGGTCTGATGCGAGCTGACTGCCCATAGGCCCATGCCTATTTTTTGCACAGGAATCTGCCAAAGTCACCAGTTGCCTTTCAGTGCAGCCAACCACCATGCCACGGTGAAAACATGACGTAGACCTCATCGATGCGAAGGCCTCAGATGCAGTAATGATAGTCCAGTCTCTCAATGAACGGCTTAATAATGATGAATCTCGGTCGGATGCCTGTATGCATTGCATACGCATTCTTCTGTCTTGGGAAATTAAAATTTGAAAATCCAGGATCATCCTTGGTCTTTCGTATTGAGGATAGGCAAGTGTATCGACGTCACTCGTTTAGCATCTGGTCCATTTCGAGTACACTACCAATAGTGTGAATGAGAGCCGTCAGGCATCGAGCACCTTTCTGTCTTTAGGATGAACTTTGGCAACGGCAACCCATGTTTCCACTCTGCCCATCTGAAGACAATGGATTGTACGCACATAAGACCTTGATTTTGTTCTATACGAATGGATGGTATCTGGTATGTTCGCCGATCAATATTTCCCGATTCCACTGTAGCGTAATATCCCAATTCCGGAAATGAGGAATTGTGTTATTTTCTTGTCCTTCTTCTTCAGCTGCATGACATAATAACGTGGCATTGGACTTGACTCCGCTGTCTGAACCGCGGGATCAAACTCTGTTCTCCATGTCTCCTATGCTCATTCGGCTATGCCTCTCCAAAGCTTCAGTACTTATTAGTTGACGTATTCATGAGAGCAAACTTCAATTTCCGGTTAAAGAATGTGAAAGGCAGAGATCGACCTGGCCGAAGTATTTAGTTCAGTGAAGTCTCGCCAATTAGTGGCCATCTCAGGAAGGCCACAGACTCAATGGCATAGAGTGATGTAAGGGACGATGGCAACCGAGACAAAAAGAGAGCGGCCTATGATCGGCTTCCTCGACAACATCTGAGATGGTGCATTGGATAAAAGCCAGATGCCATGGACTGCTTTAGTCGCTCCTCCTTTTCATAAGTGTCCCTCGTCATCACGGGTGAATTTGAAGAGAGCATGATAGGCGAGTTACAATTGTCCACATGGGTTTGGGAGAGCCTGTCTGCGAACAAGGGAAGCGCTAGTGGCTGCTCGATGTCAGCAAATCAGTTCGAAAGGAGAAGAAGTGTGCTAACTCAATGGTGTCAGTTGGGATTTGGTAGGCCGTTACGACTTGCCTGGATATATCTTGATCTTGACACAACTGCTTCTGTCTTGACGTTTGCCTTCACCCCTTGCCGCTTGTGGCTGTGGGATATCATTGTCCATAGAACAAAGAAGCCAATTATACTTTTTGTATCTACAATAAAACACCGATATAAGCAACACCGATATTAGCAACCCTCCAGTATAAGCAACCGCACAACTGGTCTAAATTATTACGCCTTATAAAATTGCTAATATCCATTCTTTACAAATAGATAATATTCCTCCAATTTATCAGAGTCACATGGTTAAACGAAGCCAGAATGCCATCTCAAACGCCAAAAAGCCTCCCTCCGCGTCCGACACCATTTGAAGCCTTTTCTCTCCCATCTACAGCTCCAGGTGTGGTCTGAAAAGGAATTCACGAATCCTCTCACCAAGATTTGCCTTCCTTGACAATATCCAAAGCTATCAACTGAAGGATAAGCAACGCCGTACGGAGCTCTAGCCTGAGCTAGATCAAGCTATCTTTGAACGGATAGAGCGAGCGGAAAGGAATATAATAATATCACAAGAGGTTGTTTGGGAGAAAGCAAGGAGCTACTGGCCAGTTCTCTATCCAGAGAAAGAAATGCCACAATTTAGCAATGGCTGGCTTCATGGCTTTCAATCACACTGGAATATCTCAAGCAGAAAAAAATATGGTAAAGCTAGCAGCCTATCTGTAGATGCTGATGCTTTAATGATTGGGATTTGTCAAGCTCTGCGCACATGCTCCTCAAGATATCTTTAATTGTGATGAGACTGGCCTATGTTGGAAGAAGATTCCTGATCAAAGCCTCATTACGCAATCTATACCGGGCCGGAAGAAGGAGAAAGCACGAATTAGTGCTCTTTCTGCTGCAATTCTGATGGCTCAGAGCGTCTCCCTATTTGGTTTATTGGAACTGCTAAAAATACAAAGGTCTTTTACTGCTGCTGGGATCAATATTGAGAATCTTAATTGCTTCTAGCGCAGTAATAGGAAGGCTTGGATAACTGGTGATATCTTCAAGGAGTGGCCTATTTGGTTTGATCAAAAGATAGCCAAGCGGAAAGTTGTCCTCTTAATGGATAACTTCTCAGCTCATGAAGCTGCTTTTGAAGCAATTGAATCCCAGCTTCAAAATACCCTTATAATCTGGCTTCCACCAAATTCGACAACTCGATATCAACCTCTTGATCAAGGCATCATTCGTACATGGAAGGCACATTGGAAACATCAATGAGTTCTTTATATGATGGCTGGATTTGACTATAACTTTGATCCAATTTCAGCAATGACAGTTTTATTGGCAATCCGAAGGGCTATCCTAGCTTGGAGAATTGATCTTCAGCAAAAAAACAATCCAAAATTGCTTCCAGAGAGCTCTTACTACCAATACTTCTGAAGAGATACAAAATCAAGAGCTTATTAAAGAGATTGAGAAAGGGATTCGGCAACTGAAGCTCTCAAATAATATCCAGGAAGTTATGGATATTAATCAGTTTCTAAACCCTCAGGAGGAGCAGGTTATAGATAATCTGATTGATATTGATGATACTATTTTGAGCCAATTTGGGCCAGCTACTGCTGAGGATTTAGATGAAGATAATCCTGGTGACCCTGTCCCAAATATATCTTCTAATGAGGCTCTAGAGAGCCTATATAAACTACGTCTTCATGAAGAGCAGCAGGACGATGGAAATCAACTCTCATACACCACCTACTGCGCCACGAGCGAGTTTTATTGAGAAGACAGGTTGAGAAGCAGTATCAGGCTGGTATCCGGGGTTATTTTTGGCTGATTTGGGACAATTTGGAGTGTTTATATGGAGTACATCAATATATATTATGTGAATCCTAGCATAAGCAATTACCCGATATAAGCAACTGAAGGGCCCTGCTAAATTGGTTGCTTATATCGGTATTTTACTACTGTATATTTGCATTTCCTAGTCCATTAAGGAAAAGTGTTGCCTGAGCGATGCACGGCGCTGTACTGTACAGTCTGCCACTGACTCCCAACTTCCGTTCTGAGGCTGAACTGCGAAGACTAGATACGATGTAGCAATACACGAACAATTATAGTGTCAGGAAAGTACATAAATCAAACAAAGTTTCCAACAGAAAAGAAAAGAGAGTCTGGATATAGCATAGTGTACAGAAACATCGCGGGTGTCCTCACAGCTTACCCCCAGTGATCTCCTCCCCAAGTTTCTTGACCCTATCCTGAATAATATCCCACCGAGCAGACGAACTGCGTCTGGGGTTATTGGCGTATGATCCGACTGAGCGAGGCATTCCCAAGTTCCAAATATTCTCTCCGTATTGGTGATCATTGCGCCACGCCTCATTTTCACCCTCAGGGAAGACCTTCTCTATTTCGGCATTGAGCTGGGCTTCAGTCGTGATGAAGTTGCGGGCATTCATATACAAGGTGTGCAAGGAATCCTGACGTTCGAGTCTTTCGTTGGTCGCTCTGGCTTTCAAAGCAGCCCGGGATCGAGAAAGGCGTGCTTCTCTGTCTGGGTCTGGCAACACTGGAGTCTTCCGTGGTAGCATGGCCTGGACGACTGACGGTCGAGTCAAGCGCTCATCCTCTCTTTCAGGCTGTCGGAGAACGCGATCACGCCTTTGCTGCTTTTCAAGACCTCGCTTCGCTATTGAGTTGTCGGTTCGCTGTTTCCGATCGTACAATTCCAGTAGACCTTCACGCAGATTCTTCCTCCTCACTTCCGCCATCTTGTACCTCCATGCATTGTATTCAGCGTGTGGATCATCCGATTCGGTCTTCCGTTCCTTAGAAGGAAGGGGTGTTGCTGCAGCAATGTACTCTTCGGACGGCTTGTCCGGTCGGCGGTCAGAGAAGATCTCTCGAGGTACGGGCAGCGTACCCTTCACGCGATCTTTCTCACGGAGATAAGGTTGTATCGTTCGCGGCACATCGACGTAGCTTGGAGATTCTGGACCGACTCGCAGACTGGAAGACCAGGCAAACCCGCGGACTTGCACCCTGGTGGGCTTGCAGCCGCGGAGGACATTCATTGTGAGAGAAGGACAGCCACCTCCAGATTACAGTGTCCGTGTCCAGCGGTAATAAGGGAATGAGGGTAAAGGAGATGATTCTCAGCTCATAACCAGAAGACAGGAACGTCCAAATGTCCGGGAATGCCGCTGGTCGATGCGATTTTCTTCCAGGTGGTCCGTGCAGCACACTTGGCGGCAGAAAAATAATTTCTTCGCCGAGCGCCCAACTTTTTCTTCTTTTTCTTCTCCCTTTCTGCACTCCTGCCAATTTTTACTGCCTCCCTTGTTTTCAGGCCTATTCGGTTCAAAATTGTGATACCACAGGCTGGTACAAGAGGCTTGAGCTCACTATGGGTACGAGAAAGAAGGAAGCCGCTCGTAAAGAGCGACAGGGAAAGGTGGGAGATGGCATGGGGAATGTCAAAGTCAAAGGTGAAAACTTCTACAGGTAAGCTTACCTTTATACATCTGATGTGACCCTCATATATTTTCATCAATTCGATGAGATACCAGTCACTATGCGCTCCTGTGTTAACTTTGCTGCAGAGATGCCAAGAAGTTGAAGACCTTGAACATGTTCAAAGATGGCCGGGCCCAACGCAATGCAGCCGGCGAAATCACCAAAGCTGCCTCGTACCAGTCACGAGAAATCCCCAAAGCTCGAATTGAGCCCAACCGTAAATGGTTTGGAAACACAAGAGTCATCTCTCAGGAGGCATTGTCTTCCTTCCGGGAGGCTGTTGCTGAGCGCGCTTCTGATCCCTACCAAGTTCTTCTCAAAACAAACAAACTTCCCATGAGCTTGATAAGAGATGGGTCCAATGTAAATGGTTTGAAGGAACACCAAGCCAAAATGGCCATTGAAACTGCACCCTTTGGTGACACGTTTGGCCCTAAAGCTCAAAGAAAGCGAGTCAAGCTGGGCGTTGGTTCCCTTGAGGATCTTGCAGGGGAGACAGCTAAGGTGCATGAGAGCTATCTGGAGAAACTGGATCAAGGAAGGCATGAAGACGGTACACCTGTCGTTGCTGGAGATGATGTTGCGTCTGATGCCTTTGAAGGCACACTTACTACAGCACGCGAGTCTGTATTTTCTAAGGGACAGAGCAAGCGCATTTGGAACGAACTCTATAAGGTTATTGACTCCTCGGATGTGGTTATCCATGTTCTCGATGCTCGTGATCCGGAAGGTACACGTTGCAGAAGTATCGAGAAATATATTCACGAGGAGGCCCCGCATAAACACCTGATCTTCGTCGTTAACAAGTGCGATCTTGTACCAACGAGCGTGGCGGTAAGCGACTCTCTCTTTTTTTACATTAATCCCGAATACCCAATTTGTCTACCCTACCCTGTTCCATTGCTAAGTCAAGGCTTCTTCCTGCGATTATCCATCGCGCTTCTATGGAAGTTTGTCTGTTACAGCTATGGTAGATCAACACTGGTCCGCGCCGAACTTCTTTCTGAAGCTAGGCTGACTAGCTTTCGTTCTGATTGCCTGTCGAAAGGACCACGTTGTGTTTTGTTTAAGAGTTGAGATCTGCTTCTGCCTTTTTCGGTGGCTCAGTAGCAGTTCTCTTAGTAACATCTCACACATCGCATTCTACTGCCCGGTTTTTGTTGCTCATTTGTTAACGTTTATCCAGGCTTCGTGGGTGCGACATCTCTCGAAAGAGTATCCTACTCTCGCGTTTCACGCCTCCATCAACAACTCTTTCGGGAAGGGCTCATTGATTCAGCTTCTCAGGCAATTCTCATCTCTCCACTCAGATCGGAAACAGATCTCCGTGGGATTCATTGGTTATCCCAACTCAGGGAAGTCCTCAATTATTAACACTCTTCGGAAAAAGAAGGTGTGCACAGTGGCTCCAATTCCAGGAGAGACAAAAGTCTGGCAGTATATCACTCTGATGAGAAGGATATATCTTATCGACTGTCCAGGAGTGGTTCCGCCCAATCCAAACGACACCGAAGAAGATATCTTGCTTCGTGGCGTTGTTCGGGTAGAGAATGTGTATAATCCAGAGCAGTACATACCGGCTATCTTAAACAGGGTTCAGCCACGCCATCTTGAACGTACTTATGGCGTGAAAAGCAATGGCGATGCCCTCGAGTTCCTTAGCATCCTTGCCCGCAAAGGAGGCAGGCTTCTTCGAGGGGGAGAGCCTGATCTTGACGGTGTTGCTAAAATGGTCATTAACGATTTTCTTAGGGGCAAGATCCCTTGGTTCATCCCTCCTCCCAGTGCGTCTGGTAAGGAGAATGAGGAGATTGAAGGACGCGCAGGCAGACTCGGAGAAATGAGTCGCAAACGGAAAATTGATGAAACGATGTCCGAACCTGCAGACATTGGGCCAGATTCGAAAGCCGGGTCTGACGATGAATTTGAAGGGTTTGACGAGAGCGATGATGAAGGAAATGATTCGACAGAGGACATCGAAATCAGCGACGATGATGAAAGCGGGGAGGAAGATTGAATGCCGTAATCATGTTCCTCGGCTCGTCTGCTTTCAGGACGAGGGGAGGTAGCCCGCAACGAATATCTATCTGTCACCCAAGGTTCGCTCCTGGTGATTGCGAGGCGTGATATGTTACGCTCATATTTGGCCCCCGGGCTGGAAAGCGCCCAGTGTCAGTGTCCAGTAAGACATTAGCGCATCATGCTTGTCCGGAGGGCATCGTGGGATACCGTAAATAGCATCCCAATCCTGCTTCCTGCACGACACGGTGTTGAGAGCCATTTGTGTCACAGTATACAACCCGTTGGCTTCACAGGCCTCGAAACTCAAACTTAAGATACCCATGTAGCCTCAGAGCAGTACATCAATGCATTATCAATGAAAGATTCAATGAAGCCAATTTGTCCAGCATTGTAAAACGTAGTGTCCCACGCCCGCTGGTGTATAGAACTGCCTGGAGTCGTGAGGTCGGGGAAACTCCACATCTCACGTGGCATGACTTTTGCCATCTATCTGGAGAAGTTCATTTGCAACTTCTTCATCTCCATCACCATAACACACAAAAGCCCCTGCTTATTGTCATCTGCGACGGTGCTTCCTAGAAGGAGAAACGCTCTTAGTCACCTCGCGATGATGGTCTAATCAAGTCTCCTAGAGTGATCTGTATCCTTGGCATCCTAATTATGCTCCCCAGAGATGCGCTAGTCCCTGTATAATAATAATGGCGGATGACGGCATGTCCATTATTCCCTATCACTCTTCACCCCAGCTGGACGTCGTGCTGTGAGTTCTCTTGTCTTTTTCTTTATTTTGTATGTAGTTTTCTATCTGGCGACCCTCCTCGCTCACGTGTTTTGGCAAAAACCAGGCGCCACAATGATTCAGTCGTGGTTCTCGATCGGGACTCCCAGCAGTTAGTCTTGCAGAACACTGCTCACAGCGATGGCAACCTGGAGTTGGCGGACTGCCCTTACTGTCATCGCCCCATGCACGATGGCTCTAGACGGGAATCTCACCATGCTGGCTCTGGAGTCCAGGCTGAGTTCGTGAACCCGAACTATTTCCGCATGCTTCATAATAGCCTGCCTAGCTCACCCCAATCATCGTGTTCTCACTCCCCTCATCGTCGTCTTGCCCAGTCAGCAATCGGAGATGGTTCAACAGGAGATTTAGGTCGTCCGGGAGACGGCCCTTCTACACATGGGATATCGTCCGCGGCCTTTAGCCAAAATTACTTCAAGAAATTCTTCGTTGAAGAAAGCGAGCTAGGGAAAGGAGGAAAAGGGGTGGTGTTACTTGTCAGGCATGTTTTGGATGGTGTCTCACTAGGATACTACGCTTGCAAACGTGTGCCCGTTGGTGACGACCATGAATGGCTCGAAAAGGTTCTCGGAGAAGTGCAGCTGTTGCAACACCTCTCTCACCAAAACTTGGTTTCTTATCGCCACGTCTGGCTTGAGAATGTCAAGATCAGTACTTTTGGCCCCAGTGTGCCATGCGCATTCATTCTTCAACAGTACTGTAATGCTGGTGACCTTCACAAATACGTTTGTGGCCAAGTGCAGACGTCAGTTACAACCCAGCAATTGAAGGAGCGTCTCAGAAGAAGATCAAAGGGGGAACCGGAACCTCGGAATGACCTGGCAGGCCCTCGAAGACTTCAACTAGAAGAGATCTACTCTTTTTTCAAGGATATTACCTCGGGGCTACGTTATCTCCACGCGAATGGCTATATCCACCGTGATTTGAAGCCTAGCAACTGTCTGCTACACCAAACTAGCGATGGGATACGAGTGTTGGTGAGCGATTTTGGAGAAGTGCAATCTCAAGACTCCATACGCAAATCTACAGGCTCAACAGGCACTGTTTCATACTGTGCGCCTGAGGTTCTACAACCAGCCTATCCAGACGGCCCTCTTGGGAACTTTACGTTTAAATCAGATATCTTCTCATTGGGCATGATCTTGTATTTTCTGTGTTTTGCGCAGCTACCATACCACAACGCTGACATAATAGAAGAAGAAAATGAGGATCTTGAGAAGCTCCGTGAAGAGATTGCTAATTGGAATGGGCTTGATGATGTGTATTCGATCAGAGCTGATTTACCTGAGAAACTCTATGCGTTCTTGCAGCAGCTATTGTCTATTGATCCTAGTCAGCGACCGTCTGCGGATGATGTTTTGAATGGCATTCAAGCTGGAGTCAATGGAAATGAAAACTTTCATTTCAAGAGATCTAATTCAGTTGGGTCCGACTTACACTCAAGTTCTCGAGTGAAGTTTTATGAAGGTTCAACATCTCCAAGTGTCTCTCGACCGCCGCTTTCTCCTGCCACCACGCGCCTTTCCCGGAGTCCGGTAGCCTTGCGGCGCGGCTCGATATTTGACACGAATGGTGCTAGAGCAAGCCAAACCCCTACAGATGGCGAAATCTCAGGAATAAGCTATGCTGTTCCTCCCGAACGGAATTTGATCGTACGTCGTGGATTTTCTAAAACACCGCCGCTCTCATCTGCTCGTGGAGAACACCGCGATGAACGGCAATTTGAAAATGGTAATGTCGAGCGGCAGCAACCGTTGCTCCCACTCCCTCCTTCAAATCAAACTCCCGTTGGTGTCAGAAGAGCTATTTCCGTCTGGGTCCCTTCTTTGCCTCTTATGCAGCTAGGGTTATTTCTCCTCAAAGTGGTCTCGTCCCTTCAGCCTTGCGCTCCTCTAGCAACTAATCCATGGATCTTATACCCGTTGCTTCTCTTGGCTGCGGTGAATGTTCGGACGCGCAGTATCAAGATACAGGTTATCGCCCTTTCTGTGCATCTTCTTACAGTTGGTATTAGTATCAGATTAGGTGTCTTGTGTACCTGGAATCACCCAAGGACTACTGCATACGGTATTTAGTTTTCGGAACCCAATGAATAGGTTATCCGGTTAACTGGCACACCAAGCGCTACATTTTGTAGCTTTATTTTGATGAAACTAGGACCAGAGAACGACAGTTGACTTGTAAACTATATATATTACGGCGTCCTGTTTTCTATTTATCCTCGGGGATTTGCACTCTGAGCACTATATATCCCAAGCCTGCTTACCCCCTGAACGGCGACTGCACTGTCTATAATACCCTTCAAGCTAAACTTTTGCATGCCACTCATGACCCTTCATCTACTGGGTTCTCCAAAACCTGGTTCTCTTCTTCTGTCACTACGTGAATGTCGAGGGTGAAACGAAACTGCAACCTTATAATCTGGGCTACTTGTACGTAGGTACCCAACTCGAAAGAGCAAGCACAGTACATACAGGGTGAAGTGCCAAAGATGCAGCCAGATAGCCCTGTCTATCCTTAATCTTGGAGATTTTGGCAGTGATTATAACAATGTGGTAATGCATAATCATGTTGCCAGGAATTCCTTTTACATATGTTAATCCAGTATTTTGTATGGCGTTGACTGTAGATGGTCTGTCTACTCACGAAATGCCAAGGGGGTACGGTACGTATGTGACAAAAAAAAAAAAAAAATCCATGAAATGGTATGTTCAGGATATATATATATAATTTTAGTTGGTAGTCTGGCCGAATTGAAAGACCACATGTAGTAAATAGTTCATGGTGGTAAAGGAGTTGTATGACAGGGGTAGAGAAAGGGTGGTCTGGTCTTCACCTCATCCTTGCAGCCTTGAACCTACTCACGCGCTTAACAGGTTCATCCGTCTCTACGGGCATTGTTTCAGGCTCCTCGTCATCAACAAAGCCCCCTTGCTGTTGGATCATCCTATTACGCATCCTGTAGAACTCGGTGGCAATCTCCTTCCGGTGAAGCTGTTCGTCCAATTCATCGGGCTCTGGTGGTACAGCAGTCCCTTGGGAGACTTCCCGTTCAAAAAGCTTGTCCGCTAAGATCTTATCCTGTGGAGGTTGAGGGGAGGAGTGTCGAGGCATCTGTTCACAAATGTCGGTGATGGGTTGGGAGAAGGGTTTGGGTTCTTTTGGTTTAGCGGGGAACAGAGAAAGGGGATAGGATGAAGGTTCATGTCTGTGGACGGCATAATGGCGTTGAGAAGGTCGAGAAGAACTGGAAGAAGCAGCTGTAGCAGCAGCAACAGGAGCAGTATCGTTTCGAGCGCTCTTGAAGCGAGAGACCTTCTTGGGAGCCTTGGGCTGAACACGACTTGGCTGTTCAGCTTGACTCGTTCGCTCGATGATTGAATCCGATAATACGGGTATATCGGGCTGTCTCGGTGGGAGTTTCTTCGTCTGTGAAGGTGAAGATGGAGGCTTCGTAGCGGGAGCGATGTCGAGTTCTTCAGCAAAGGCAACCCTCTTCGGCTTTTTCTCCGAAATGGTATTTTCGGTGGTGTTTTCTTCAAGGGGTTCCTCAACTTTAGCCGTATGAGGCCGTTCGAGTTCATACCTCACATCGTCTGGAAGTGATCGTGTGTCTTTTCCAGCGTTCCACAATCCCCGGGCATTCAGCTTCTCCTCTAGTTCGCGCATCTGCTGGCGGTATTCTTCACTCAGAACTGAACGCGTGCTTCGTCCAAATTCATCCTCTTCGTCATAGTCCTCAGAATCATATCCATAAGAGCCTTCTTCGTCGGAGATGGTGATGTCGCTCGCGTCTTCATCCAATTCGAGTTCCGCAACTACGGCACCGACTTCATTTAGACCATACTGCAGCATCTCGCGTCTCAACTTCGCGTCTTCTGGGGACTCGTCAACTTCTGTAACCGGCAGCTCTTTATTTTCTTCGGACTGCTCCCTGGCAATGGACGTATGGTTTCCGAGATGCTCAGGAAGTGTTATGTCTGTCTTCTCGGAATCGAGTGTTGTCTGTCCGCCCTTGACATCGCATTCCTGTGGCTCAGATGCGCCAGTTCTTCTTTGCTTTTCCTCTTCGCTTCGTAAAGCCCGATCCGTGTCGCCTTCAATTTCGGCAGGTTGTGCAGTCTCTGTTTCTTGTGCCTTGGCCCCATCCTCGACCTCCTTCGGCTGCGCTACTGCTTTCTTTTGCTCTTTATTCGGAACATCAGGAATATCCTCGATACCGACTTTCTTCAGGATCTCCAATAGCTCTGGAGCCTGGGATCCAGGTGTCATAGTCGTGCCAGAAATAACCCTTCCTTCCTTATCCAGCTGCTCAACAATCTCGGTCACAGGGAATTCCTCCTCAGCCTCTGTAGCAGTAGACGCCCTTTTCCTTTCTCGGTCAATATCCAAACCTAATTCTCCAGCCAATGCGTCGAGCTTGTCCTCTGCATCCCTTAGTCTTTTCTCTATCGTACTTGCATTCTGGCGTACATAGTCGATTCGTCTCAAGATCACGTTGATAATCTGTTGTCTTGTCCGCGACACGCCTTGTTTGTCACCCAGAAGAACTTTGACTTCCTCTTCGTTGACGAGAACGCCCCCGCAATCGCGAGCGGCCTGCAGATAGTCCTCCCTTGATGCATAATCAGCTAGAAAGTCGACTTCCTCTTTTAGACCGTCGTATTCGGCTTCCCATAGTCGCCAGTGGTAGAGGGATTCCTGGAGTTTGCGGATGTTGTCTTCGAGTTCCAGGCGCTGGCGTTCGAGATCATCTAGAACGGTGGTTGAAGAGGCCGCCATATTCGAATTCTTTGATTCTGGATAAATCTGCTTGACCGCATAGAAAGCGAAGTAGATAGAGATGATCAAGGAAGAAGAAAAAATGATTGTACGCCGACGACTTTTTTTGGCGGCGACGGGTATGCCCGATCTGATTGGCCATGTGACATGTCTCTTTGATTCCGTCATCAACTTTCAACGTCCATCATTATTATTCTCCCTTTCCTGCATCTGCTCTTCCTCGGAGGCAGTACGAAAGAGCCATGTCAGCCGCCAGAAATGGAGTCTCCAATCGAGGAGACGACGATGGTTAGTCTCTCATTATCTCTTTTCTCGTTTGTTCTGCAAACCCAAGGCTAATATAATACTGAACAGAGGTCTGCCCTGTCTGTAAATCCTCCCGCTACCTAAACCCGAACATGCGATTTCTCATCAATCCAGAATGCTACCATAAGATGTGTGAATCATGCGTGGACCGGATCTTCTCATCAGGTCCCGCTTCATGCCCTGTGGCGGGATGCCATAAGACGTTGCGCAAAAATCGGTTCCGCAAGCAGACATTTGAGGATATCGGCGTGGAAAGAGAGGTAGATATTCGGCGGAGGGTGATGCAAATGTACGTTGCTTTTCTCCAGCTGTTTTTAACAAATTACATTCATCGCTGACAATACTTTGTCTTCAAACAACAAACAGATTAAACAGAAGAGAAGAAGAATTCACAACGAAACGCGCCTACGACGACTTCCTAGAACAGCGCGAAGAAATAATCTCGAATATAACACTGGGAATCGACGTAGCCAAGACAGAAGAGGCCCTTCGAAAATATGCAGCGGAAAATACGGCCTCAATCCGCGCGAACCAAGCCCTCGAGGCCCAAGAGGCCAACTCCGTCCGCGAACAGCAAACACTCGAACAAGAGCAGGCCCGTCTCCGTCGACTAGCAGCGAGACAAGAATACGAGGATGAGCAGCGCGCGCTGCTCAGGGAACGGGAAGATGTCCTTGCCCGTCTCGCAGCTGGACGGCCGCGCGATGCCGAGGCCATAGCGAAAGAAGGACAGAGAAATGTATTGCTCAAGAAATCATCAGCAAGGAGGAGCGAAGAGGAAAGGATCCGGCTAAAACAGGCTGCATTGAGAAACTCTGAAGCTGCTGCCAAGAGGGGCGTTTCTGCTGCTGCTGTTGCCGCAGCGGCAGATCCCGCCGCTGCTACGGGCGGTTCGGGCCTCATCAAAGGCCTCAAGCAGGTCAAGATGCCGGAGCCGGAGAAGCCGTACGATCCCTTTGGTGGTCTTGTTCCCGACAAGCGCGATTACTATACCATGCGCGATTTCTATCCGTCTAGTTACCTTGATCCTATCAGGCAGGATGTGCGCATGCAGGCTGGAGGGTATGATTTCAAAGAATATTATTCAAGGACTTTACTCGAAGCCTTTGCCGGCCTGGGCTGCTTCATTGATGAAGAGGTGTCTCAGAGAGATGCGACGGCTGCTTTGGGAACTTCCCAGCCTGCAGTCGCCGAGGGGCCTGCAATGGCCGCCGTATCGAGTCCGGAGATTAACGAGGCGACGGTTTGAGGACGATCGATTGTATTAGGCGTCTCGTTTCATATTTTTTCTTGATGCCGGTTGCCTCTGTGCGATTGTGGAAAACTTCACTGGTTTCATAAGCATAGCGACGGCGTTTTGGTATCTTCACTTGCTTGGCGCTGGCTGGCCCATGGGATTATTCTATCATACATAACTTCAAACTCTAGAATTGGTTCATACAAGGGTGTGTTTTAAAAGGATGGTGCTTTGTCGAATGGGAATTAGATATTCTTAAATCCATTTTGTGATGACTTAATCTACAGAATAGAAATGTACCTTACGCATTTTTATCAATCAACACAATCAGAGACAGCCTTAGAATTATTTAATAAACGCTGAAATCAATGCACAACGATAACAGTTTACCCAGATGCCCAATACAGCCTGACAGAATAAAACAAAGAGCCCAAGTAGTATTGGGAAACAACCAAAGATGAGTGTAGGCCAACTCCGTAGTGATAAATCAGCAAATTGGAAGAATACAGCAAGACAGGAAAGCAATATACTAGTTCCCGATAGCTAAAACACTCAAAAGCAAATAACACAAGAAGAGGGGCATACAACAGTTAGGCTGCGTAAAGGTGTAACGAAAACCAACGCAATTGATAGGGAATAAAGAAGGCCGAAGGCTTAGAATTCAGTCGAGGCTTTCGAGAGAGGGAAGGTAATACACTTGAGCAAATGCAACAACCAGTGTACCCACAAAAGCTATAAATCATGGACCCTGGAGAATGAAAACACAAGGAGCCCTGTTGTCCGCACTTTGGGAAAGTTAGCCACGGCGACTTTCTCCGGTCACATCTCCAGTACTCTCAAATCCCTCCCATGGAAGCTCATCGTCATCGTCGTCCTCATCGTAATCAGTCTGAGTATTCTTGCGGGATGATCGATTAGTGGTCCCAGTTACATCCGCCGCTCTCGTTTTAGAGACATCAATACCAATCGACTCGAGCGTCAATTCCATTTCGCGTTCAGTCATCCGATCAATATCCTGCTTGTGCTCTTCGACAACGTCATAGAGTGCATAAATTTGGTCGGCTTTCATATCGATATCCTTCAATAGCCTTTCAATCTTCTCGTGCAGTGATTTCCTCTGCCGCTTACTCAAGGAAGCGTCAAGCTTGTTATAAGCAGATTGATGAGCTGCCAGTTTCATCCGTAGGTGGGCAAGTTCATCTTCCAGGGCCTTGAGAACCGTTGCAAGCGCAAGCGCCGGCGGTTGGGATGGTCGTAGTGTAGGCTCCTCATTATACACGGAGGCTTCTGGCATGCGCTCCGAAACAGGAACAGGCTTAGGAATTTTCACCGTGTCTCGGGCGTGATCACAGGAGACGAGATGTTTGCAAATAGTGCAATTCTTTCCATTGTGTCCGGATACACTGTCCAGAGCCTGTTGCGTTGGCTCGGGTAGTTTCATTGGGTTATCCATCACCAGGTCGGCATGGCGAATCGTGATATCCGGAATGATGAAGGCAGATGTCATGTCTTCAATATGTCGGCGTTGCCTGCGTTGAGAAGCTGAATTCACTGAATGATCTGAATGACGACGCTGACGAGGAGCAGTCATAGGGGGATTAAAGACCTCTTCATCCACGCCTGCTTTGCTAGTAGTAGTCAAATCTCCAGATGCGGACGCGGGTCGTACTATAGTTACTTTAGCACCTTTCAACGATGACTTCCGTGGCGCAGCGGGTTTGGACGATATGCCCCGGCGCGTGGTATCAGCAGTTTCGTTCGCAAGATTGTTATCAGCTGCATAAGACTGTTGCTGTTTTCGTGCCAGCCTCTCTTCCTCTAGGGTCTTTCGAAGCTTGGCAATTTCACGGGCCTGTCATTACAAATTATGAGCAAATGCCAGCGAAGAAGGGGCGCAGCCACTTACGTCCATGAAACTCAACATTGTGAAGTCTTCCTGGTCTGCACCGGAGGATCGTCTAGTGTTCTCAGCAACATCTTGGGTAGTATCATCAACTTCCTCAACTATCACCTTCTTGACCCGTTGTTTCCCTGTGTTCGGCTGTTTCTTTGCACTGCCTGTATCCATTTTGGATCGGCTATGCTTCCTTTCCGGCACTGGGGCGCGACGGGATTTCGGTAGGTCAAGAGTGAAGAGTGCTTCCTCCGCCCTTTCTCTTTGCAGTCTGGCAACTTCCTTATCAACTTGCATTGAGAGTCTTGTTTGGGTGTCTTCCCGGTGTCTAGATTTAGACCGAGACCGCGTACTCCGTGATGTCAAGTCTTTCGTATTCCCGCTCGAATCTGCACTCTGTTGGGACTCATCATCCGCCTCATAAGTCGTGGAGGTTCTGATAGTATCCTCCGCGGGGCTCTTTTGGGAGGAAAGCTTAGCCAGCCGATCCCTGAGCTCTGCAATCTCCCGTCGTAGATCTTCGTTTTCCGTTTTGAGATCTTGAGACTCGATGTATGCAACGCCCAATTGAGACACAGCCATATCCCGTTCACGGCTCAAGCGCTTGAATGCATTCTCGTGCACTTGGGCTTTACGGTCAGCGATATCTAACTGGTTTTGTAACGCGAGATTCGCCGCCTCGAGTTCTGAGAACATCTAGATTAGCGAAGAGAAAGTAGAAAGTCTAGACCGGTGCACTCACTTTTTTTCTCGCTCATCAGCTTGCTATCCTCTCTTCCGTGACCCTCGTTATCCATGTCATAATTCCTGGGCCGGCTCTGCTTCTCCTTCTGACGTGCTTTGGCTGACTTTAATGTCGAATTTTCCTGTCGGATTTCTTCGACTTTCTTCTCCGCTTCCGACTTGGCCAGCTCGAGTTCAGCAACTTTGTCTTGGAGAAGTCTCAGTGAGACAAAAAGCGCCTTCTCATCCTCAGGGATCGGAATTGAGTTAAGAGGTAAGTGTTCCCGGGTGGGCAAATCAGCACCGTCATTCGGCGGAGACGTAAAACGCGTCGTCCGCGCCTTGCTTTGGCGGGAGAAAACGGGCGTTCCGTCTTCGTAGACACCGGAAACGAGTTCAGAAAGATTGGGAAGGTCAGGAAGGAGGAATGAATTACGTGTCACGGTATCGCCTACCATATCCGTTGCATATGTGCCATTAACCGGCACACTACGGGCATTTGAAGGAGTCTTGCCACGGCGGGTTTCTTTCGCGTACGCCTCTCGGGTAGCTCTCTCAACAGCATCAGCAATCTGACCGGAAAGATTAGCGTTCGCAAAGCGCGTCGGACGGGCGCTAACTTCAATAGCCGGAGGCCGTTCATCGCCAATAAATGAACCATCATAGCTCTCGCGAACCTTGGCGTGCATATCTGAAAATGTCCGGCGCTGGCCCTTCCGATTTGACCTAGACATCTGAGACTCCAGAGCCTCCTTATGTGCAAGACTTGCTCGTCTAAGTTGAGCATCTTTGCGGATGTTTTCGCTAGCAGCTCTTTTCGGTGCACCACGGACGGCAGATCTTGGCGTATTCAGAGGATAGTCGAGTCTAATAGCAGGCGATGACGAGCGTATGCTGTTCTCAATACTCATGAGGGCATTCCGTGAGTCGTCCAATCGACGAGCCGATTTGGTTGTTCCTCGACCGACCTCAATGGAGACGTCATCTTCCTCTGAGGTGTGAATTGGAGAGAATTCTGGAAAGGCATTTTCCAACGCGGAAGTGTTGATAGCATATTCTTGCTCCTCCCGAATTGGTTCACGATACCGCGTGCTGGCGCGACCGTTTGCCTGGGAAACTTGATTATTATTGTCCATCTGCCTAGTTGATGCTATGGCTTCGCGTTCGGGGTCGAAGTCTGAGACACTAGAGTTTCCGAGGGACGTGAAACTGGCCGATGTTGCATCGGAGCGTCGAGTGTGTTCACGCGACATCCTAGAGGGTATCGCGTCTTATTAAAAGGGATTATCGCTGTGATGTCGTTTTCTCAATAGGGAAGAAACGCAATTCTGCGTTTTGGGTGGTGTCAATGTCAAGAATAGGCCCGATAACTGAGGTGTTCGCGCAATGCGAATGGAAGGATAGCGCGTCGGTGAAACGCCAAGTAATCGTGCGGCGAATAGATAAACAACAAAATTGGGTATTTTCCAAGATAATGAGGCCGCAAGAAAACAGAAGTGAGAACCACTACATTCAAAATATAGAATCCAATGGCACAGCCATAGATGAAGATGATGGCGTTGATTGCTGTCTGGTGGAAGGATGTTGAAGGTGGACGGTTGGTGAGGTTTGTTTATGTTTTGGTAACGTAGCTCTCTCCGCCTACCAGGAAAGGAAAGACCAGAGTACCATGGAAGTCGTAGCCGACCACTATAGTTATACACCACTACACACACCTGGAAGTGGTGTTTATGAGAATGTCCAAAGAATAATAATGAGATTAACATGAAGATATCCAGGTGCGTAATATTCGCAGACTTCAAAGGGAGAGACAGTATCTAAAAAGGAACGCAATACAGCTTCTGTCTCTGTGCATACAGCAATGCATCCATTCGTGTATTCATGACAAAAGCTCAAATATGCTTAAATATACTAATACATACTCCAGGAACCCCTTTAACAGAAGGGGGGTGGGGCATCTAGATCCAAAGATGTGAAGACGCCATCTCAAACGCCAGACTCTCGAGGTATCCCTCGATGGGCCGAAATGGAAAAATAAATGGAGAAAAAGTACAACAAAACCAGGCACAAACGTAGGCTGCACCAAAACTCACGCTCGTAACTTCAATTATTATCGTAAGAATGAAGGTAGTCATCGTATACTCTCGTCCGTATATGCAAGGTATGATTCCCAGCGCCTGGGAAAGTGGGAATCAAAGAAGAGAAAAGCGAAGAAAGATAGGTTGTATTAAGCGTGTTCGGTCGTATTTATAGATGTAGGAGGATGTTGCTCGGTCGGATGGGGAGAGGGAGAGGAATCTGTCGTAGGGGGTTCAGCCGGGGGGTTAGCGGGTGACTCCGTGGGCTGTTCAGAGTAGCCAAGTACGTCGAATTCGATGGGGCGCTCTTGTCTAATTGTTGGTAATTGAGGGGCAGCGTCTTCTCCTCCGCCTGTGGTAGTGTTTGTCGCTTCACCCTGAGAAGAAGATGCAGGCTCAGAATCTCGCGATTGTGGCGGAGTGTCAGCTGCCTGATGTTGCTCTGTGGTCACGGATGCAGAAGGTTGATGCTCCGATGATTCGGATGTAGCTGCATCGTTTTCTCTGTCAGAACCGACCACATCAATGTGGATTGTGGGTACAGTCCTAAGTAACGAGTCCCGCGCCTCTGTGGCGTTAGGGTCCTCATAGGCCGGGGCATCGCCCCAGTCCAAGTGATCGTAGTCGGGAGGGGGTATTCTGAGGTTTGCGACATCCTCTTCGGCATGTTCCGCAGTGGGAATGTGGGTAAGCGGTACATTGGACTCTACTGGGGCCAAGTTCTCGCCGTCTGACGCGGCCGTAGAGATCGAAGATACCGAACCACCTCGTAGATGGTCGCCGGAGGACAAGGGTAGGGACGGTACGGATGGATTCCTTCCCTCTTCATTGCTCTCGACGATCTGTAGCAAGGGATTGTGATCAGACTCGGCAGAATTGGCTCGTACTCGGGAACCGTCATGGCGGACATAACCCAGAGCGGCATAGCTGACGCTGGATATGCGTCTTTGTCTTTCACGAGACCGTTGCAGTGCAAGTTGCGTGGCTTGGGCCGTAGTCAAGTTGCTACTACCACTACCGGACCGTTCACGGCCTTCACGAGCGTGTTGCTGCCGGAGTTGTTCCAGACGGTTGTAGTCTCCACGTGCCAAGGCTTCACGACGCTCCCTGCGCCGGGCCTCCCGTTCTTCATACTCCTGCCGACGCTGAAGACGAACCTGATACAGGGCCTCCATATGCTCCTCTCTACGAGCTTCCTCCTCATCCGCCGTTTCAGGGAACTCAACCACAACATCCATGCCTCCACGTTCTCCCTCACGGGCAATGACCTGCTCCGTAGGCTTCGGGCTAAACGAGTATGAAGGCAGAGTGATGATAGACCGAATAGAAGTATCACGACGAACATTTGCGTTGTTCTGCGGCGGCGGAGTAGCAGCAGCCCCGCGGTACGAGGTATCTTGGCGGACCGGTGAGTTGGACCTGTTGGGAACCTGACCGTAGGAAATGCCGGGCCTCCAATCCTCCCATTTCTTTTTCAAGTATTTTCCTGGGATGTATTTTGGCGCGTAGTTCAATTTGCGAAGAGTGCGAAGGATGAGAAACAACACCAAGAGTGCAGTCGCAAGTCCTACAACGGCCACTACGACCTGGTATCCAATTAGATTTTTCCCCCCCTTTACTAAGGAGCTTTAAGGAGTTGTTCATTCAGAAAGGGACTCACTATTATGACGATAAGTTTTGTGGTGCCCCCTGAGCCACCACCGGTGGAGCGGGCAGCCAGCCCTTGGGATAGCGACGGAATATACATTTCCTGGTCAACCCGATGATCTTTTCGGGCAAGAAGGAGCCCAGATCACTTCTTCCTAAGCATGCAGTGTTGAGAAGCGGCGATCACGGATGGACAAACAATAAGATTTCAGTGGGTTTCAGGATACTGCGAACAACCACGGCGGAGACTGCGGTGCGAGGCGTCGAAACTGTGGGAACTTGGAAGGTATGAAGTGCAGGATGTACTGGTAGGAAGTGCTAAATTTCACAGACAACAATGCCGGTTCAGTGGAACTCGAGCTCTGAGACAAAGGAGGAAGAATAAGATTAAAGGGCACGAGGGGAGAGTGAGACAGAAGAAAAGCGAGACGCAGGCATGGTCTGGCTGGGCATAACGTGCCCTGCTTAGCATCTCCAGCCTTCCATCAATTCCCGGTCATAATAATAATTCAATTAATTATGATTTATTATTTATTATTGATTGTGTTGATTAACTGCCCAGCCACATCGTCATATTTATAGAATGGCAGCAAAACATCATCACACCAAGGTAAATAGTAGTAGTAATAAACACTACCGTTTCCCCAGAATCCGCTGTTCATTTCGCTGTACTTTCATATGTCTAGACAACAAGGCTGTACGGAGCATGATTTATTGCCTACTGCCATTGCCTAGGTATGTACCTCCTGTCGCCTAGCCAGAATAAAACAGGATATTTTTAGAAGTCTGTCCCGGATTACGAGCATCGTGCAATCTTATATATTCAGCAGCCCTGGAACGTTCTGCCACGGTCCACGGGTACAACCCATGTCTGCCGCTGAGAATCCAGAGATGCGATGCTATCCACACATCTGACACAAAGATCGGGATACTTCAACTTCCCACCCGTCTCAGCTGTCTTACCAAACAGCGTTATTAATAGCATGATTGGACAACGATCAAAGTAAGCACAGGCGTCAAGGAACGGTCGATGGTGGCCAGTTCACCATGGCATGCCACAGGTTGAAATGCTTACAAGCGTATAGAGTGCATTGATCCATTAAATATGGCGCTGGATCTCGGTCACTCGAGGAATTTGCCTGCATATAGTCGTATTCTGTGCAGCATGCAGTGTGTGCCATACACTGCACACTGTACAGCTTCTGCCGGAATGGGCGGAAGCATGGCAGCAACTACGGAGTGCTATATCTCCTTCATAGCTATTACTAGCTAGTTTCTTTTCTCAAACAACCCATCGCTCACGCCATGGATATCAGTCTAGAAAAGCATACGTGAAGTCTGGAGCAGGTCCCGCTCGTGCCGAACAATCCTTGACCGTTAACTAGTTAATTAGTTAACTAAGACCTGATGATGACATAAGTGGAGGAGCAGCCTCTAATAACCGAATCCGGAGCTGTCTGTGGGCAGTTACTGGTATTGGCACTCCAGGTAGGGATTTTTCAATCCATCTATCGCGATGTTCTGCTCGATATATCCAGTATATCCAGTAATATTAATATTTTTGCTACGGCTTTCCTGTTCATTCCTCCGGGGTTTCAATTAGAGCCCTCAACCTCCCACGAGACCGTCCAGCAAGTTCCTGGTATGGGCCCTGTTCGACTACCTCGCCCTCTTCCAGCATGATGACAGAATCTGCAATCTCCATCATCTCCTTGGAATGCGTAATTATGATCACACTCAGGTCCTTTCTGGAAGCAACTAGCCTCGTCACAGTCCGTCGAATGATCTCTGCACTCTCTGCGTCCAGAGCCGACGTCGCCTCATCCAGAATCAGGATCCTCGGTTGACGGGCGAGTGCCCGCGCAATGACCACACGCTGCGCTTGTCCCCCGGATAGCGCGGTGCCTCCGTCGCCGATCATGGTGGAATAGCCCGAGGGCAGAGAGGAAATGAACTCGTCGATCCCGGCTGCCCGCGCAGCAGCTTCGATGTTGTGCATTGTATTCAGTGGTGAATCATCCTCTAGTCCGTAGCTGATATTTGCACGAATCGTGTCAGGAAAGAGCATCGGTTGCTGAGACACAACTGAGATCAAGGAGCGAAGTATCGGGGTGCGTAGTTCCCGGATGTCGACGTCTCCGATTGCAATTCTCGATGTACCTCTCCTGGAAGCTGGAGCTTCGTATAGTGACAATAGCAGCGATGCTATAGTTGATTTTCCGGATCCAGAGCGTCCAACGATCGCCGTGCATGAGTTTTCATGGATGACAAAGGAAGCGTCTCGGAGAACTCGCACATCCGGTCGCGATGGATATTTGAAATGGACGTGGGAAAATGTCACGGGTGCCATTCGGACGGGTTCCAGCTGCCCAAGATATTCATGCGAAACTCCTTCGCCGAGGTTTACAAGACGCAGTATCTGAGCAGCCGTATCGCGCGATGTGCTTACCTGAGGAACTATAGAACAAAGTCAGTATGCACCTCTCGAAGGAACAAAACGAGGGATACTGACTCAATGATAGCACCAAGCTTGCGTATCCCATGCTGAAAAGAAGCAATGACACAACTGTCAAGACGTCATCGACGGTTGACTCCCATGATGTTATCAGCAACGTTCCATAATAGATGACCAATGCTACGGTATCAACATCAGCAAAACGAGGCATATTCCTGTCTGGGGGAGAAAGATCTTAATGAATCCTTACCGCTCACAAAAAAGATCAGGGAGTCGGTGATTCCAAATACGACTCCGGTATATGCAGCCCTTTTAAACCCAGTCTTCATGCAGTTCGACGCAGCCTTCAGGAATTTCCGATGGAAATAGGGCTCCAGTGTCAGCGTTCTGACCGTACATATTTCCGAAAATGTTTCCGCGAATACAGCCGACGCAACGTCATAGGCTTCATTGCATCTCTTCTCCCACCATCCCGTTACTACCTGAAAGCCCTTTGTCACAGCATATAAGACTGGACCAGATGACAGAGTAACAAATGTCACCCGCCAGCAGACAACAAGGCTCCAGGTAATAGAGATAGCTGAAATGGCAATGACAACCACTATGAAACCGGCAAATTTTCCAACTATACCCTTCATTTCTTCTCCGTTTCTATCGAGGCAGGCAGTGAGCTTCAACGGCCGGTTTCTATCTTTTTCAAACCACACAAGTGGCTGATCGAGGATCTTGTGAAAAGCTCTTTTGCGAAGAGAGTCGACCCATGCCTGGCCGCAGTATTCCAGACAACCATGCATTGTACCATCTAGGGACGAGTCGATGATAGCGATGCCTATAATGTATATTGCCCATTTCGTAGCCATCTGCGTGCTGGCGTTGAAGAATGACTCAAAGAGTTGCGAAATAAAATACGCAGAAACGGGGGTAGCGGCTCCATGAAGAAACGCGCTTAAGAAACCTGCTAGTAGAACAAGACGCTGACGACCTGTCAGACTCGGAATAATAGTGAGCATGATTTCGCGCAAAGACAGCATCTTGTCTTCCTTGCCCTCCTTCTGGGAACGAAGCTTCTCTCTTTTCGGAACCCGTCGCTGGCTCATCGATGCCCGACTAGGCATGTCTGTCGGACGCTCCATCGGATAAGAGTAAATCGATGGAATATTCTGACGGGGAAGTGACCTATTCTTTGTGCTTGATTCTACTGTCTGGGATATATCGAACTCAAGCATGCTCATACGAGGGAGCTTGGAAATCCGATCCCGTTGAACATAGCTATTTCGACGGGGTATAGGAAGTGCCAAATTTTGACGATTGAAGCCCTGAATATCCGAGTGGACTCTCAGTCGGGCCCCCTGTGTATAGGCGTCTTCGAATGTTCTGTGCTTGTTCCCATAAAAGAGACTGCCGCCTAAGCTCAACGGAACATCCATCGCAGAATCATCCGAAGAACTGCTCTCGTCGGCGCTATCGGCATTGTCGCCATTGTCTGCAGAATTCACCTCCTTGTCTCCTGGGGGGAAATACTTATTGAGCTCAGGTATGTTCTCTAACTCATTTTTGTAGCCCGAGTGTACCACCGAACCGTGTTCCAGGACATATGCGAAATCCTGGTCAAGGATTTGGGAGATATCATGGGTGATTATAATTGTCGTCTTCCCTTTGCGCCACTTTCGAAGGGCCTTCATTACTGCGTTGCGATTGACAAAGTCCAAAGCGCTTGTAGGCTCATCCATAATAAGAATGGGGGTGTCCCTTAACCTAGCCCTTGCGATAGCAACCCTCTGTCTTTGACCTCCACTCAGGAAACTGCCCCCGGGGCCGACCGACGTATTAATACCATGGGGCAAGCCAGAGATCACATTCTGGAGCATCGCTAGGTCGACACTTTCCTGTACATCTTCTTTTCTGACTCGCTCGAAGTCATGTTGACCAAGAGCGATGTTTGTGAGCATGGATTCGTGGAAGAGAACGCTTCTTTGTTCGACAAGAGTGATGTTGTTCCGAACCCAGTTGACGTCTAGTGTCTCAATTGGGATACCATCGATAGCAATTTCGCCAGAAGAAGGTGAGTAGAACCGCATGAGCAGCTGTCCCAGAGTGCTTTTCCCAGAACCGCTCTTCCCAATAATATATGTCGTCTCACCGGCCGGGAAGAATAGATTGACTGATTCCAAGACGCGAGTTTCAGGCTGAGATGGATAGGCAAACGACAGCTTGAAGCGGTAAGTATTTGGGAAGATTCAGGGGGATTACATAGTCCCACTTACATTGCTCACTTCAATATCGCCCTTGAAATGAGGAGGATACGGTTTCTCTCTCATTTCGTTGGCACTGATGCCTTCCACTACATCTACTGGTCGATTTTCCACAATTCGTTTTAACGCAGCCCCGGCAACCTTGCCCTTCTCCAGGAGAATGAGCCGCGAAAGGACCTGTTCCATACATTGAGATGCAATTATGCAAGCCCAGAAGGTCCTCAAGACTTCTCCCGAAGAGAGCTTCCCAGCGACTTTCAGCGTATGACCATACCAGAAAGCCTGTATGACCAGACTGAACCCCATCAACCGCACAACTCCCAACTGGATGGAGTTCACCCGCGCCTGCTTGAGGTAATGTAGGGCAGCGCTCTCAATTCGAGAGAAGAATTTGCGGCATTCTGATTCTTGTACATTAAGACACTTGACGGTAGCAATGGAGGTTATGGCGTTATTTGCAATCTTGGACGCACTGCTAAGCTCCAACTGCTGCGCCTCGATGCTCGGTTGTATCTTAGAGGAGAGAAGGACTACAATCCCCGAGAAGATCGGAATGCCGGCCAGGGTGACCAAGGTTAGGTTCCAGGAGGTATAGAATGCTAACGCTAAGCTGGCAAGGCCGCGGAATGTATAATGGAAAGCGAATGCAAGAGGCTGTGACGTTGCTACCCGCAACTCATGAATCTGGCTAGATTGGATATCAGATCTGAAGGTACAACAGACTCATTACTCCATGGATACTCACGCTTGTAGAACAGACAAGAAAGCCCCGGTGCCATCTTTCTGCATCTGGAACCACTCCACATCTCTCTTAAGCAGCTCTGAGAAGACCTTGTTGCGAGCATTTCCTGCCTGCTGTTCCCCGAACGCGGTAAAAAAGGCAAAATAGCCGCTGCCCAAGAGCCAACTGACAGTACCGAGGCCTACCAGCTGGACACAGCAGCTCACTACCTCCTGAAGTAGGTCTTCCAAAGACGAAGAAACAGGTGAAAATGATGCGAAGATGTCGAACACAGATCCCAGGACGACGGCAAGCGCTGGTAAGACTAAGCCAGCAGCTAAAGCGAAGATCAGTGAGAGGATGAGGGTTGGAAGATGGCTTCTGGTAGTAAAGTTGAACAATGAACCCCATGTTGCCCGTAACTGCGCACTCTCCCTTGAAGGGGCAGTGGCCATGGGAGCTGAGGTATCATCCTTAGAGTACATAGCGAAGAGAGCAGTAATCTGGACAAAGGCTTCTGGTTAAGTGTTGGCGATTGCCAAGAATGTCCTATTTGGAAAATAAATCGTATGCTATGCACGAGGCAGAAGCGTACTACCCGAGAACAACAGTGCATGGTTCTTCGAAGTCATGAATGTTGCCATAATAATGAGCCTCTCGATCATAGGAACAATATGGATTTCCTAATCGGGTAACATTGATGACGACTTCAGATGAATGGGCTTCCGCTGCCATTGTTCTTCGGCACCAAGCAAGCATCCTGGTCACATTATATCCTATTATTATCAACATGTTTCGTCATCTATTTAGCATCCATGTGGGATTTTCCATAAATACACCATTTCGGTCGTTTTCCTTTTTTCATAATGGGAACCTCCGGCGTTGTGCTTTGGGTATAGATAGATATTTGCTATTCGACCTCGATAATAATCTGAATCGTCCGGATTGAATTGGTAAAGAGAAAATATGACGAACACTCCGCCCAATTTCAAATGCTTTTCGACACAGTATATTAATCCAAAAGACAAGAGTCGTAAGTATCATTACCATGGTTACGAACTCGACTTCTTTTCCTCAGGATGTGACCGTTCATAAACCCAGTCATTCAGGCCAGCGCGGTTTCTGATGCCATTAGAATCCCAGAGAAATAATAACTAACGACAAACGAAGAATGTAGAATGCAGAACTCACCTTGCAATCTCGATGGCATAAAATTGCATGCGCACACCTTTTACCTCTCGTCAGCGTCGCCTATACCACAGCTAGGCATTACAGGAGCCAATCCCATCAGAACTCACCAAAAATTGTCGTGTCTTGCTCATACTCGGACTTGGGGTTTGTTCTGATGATTGTGCCAAAATTGTAATCATTTATCTTTTTCTCGTACTTCATCATGAAGTTCCTCCACTTCTCCTTGCCCTCCTTGCTCTTCATCTTGTTCTCGTCGAGTGTCTCAGCGGGGTCGAAATCGGGAAATGTCTCCCTGAAATCGTCGTAGATCTCGTCGTCCATTTTCGTCAGTCGGAGCTGCGAGCCGCGTACCTTTTCAAGGATTGACCAGTATGTCATCAAATGTTCCACGGCTGTCAAGGGGTTAGTGTTATTATGGAGTAAGAAAAACCGATTGCCAAAGTCCCCTACCCTTTACTGCGAACTGCTTCTCCATCTGGGATAATTGTCAGTGTTTTGGTTGTGCTCAAGGAAGAAAAGGTAGGCGTACATCCTCCAGGTTCTCTGCTTTCTCGGGATCAAATGGCTGAGACATTTTGCTGATGTTGTTGGAAATTCGGTCCAAAGTTTCGTTTCAGCTGCGAATATTCCGAGGAATGAATAAAAAAGGGTCGTTTGTGGGAGCGATAGGTTTTTGTGTTATGATATGAGGATAGAAAATGGGTCAGTTGCCCGCATATACCTGATTTTTCGGAGGCTTCTTCGCTGCGGGACGAAAGCCCCACCGTACGTCATCGACCACGTCCGTACGCAGTGAATATTAGGTACCATCAGGCCATCTTACCGAACCACTTTCTGACAATACTTTCATTTCACAACTCCAATCTGATAGATCCATGGTATGGGTATAACTAAGACACAAGGTGGACAAGTCCATTCATACGACTTTACAGGCCATTGACACGATTATGCAAAGACATGCCATGTTATTTAGCAAGGGTCTGAGCATATCCTAACACATCTTCACTCGCTATCATCACTGTCAGGTAATTCTTCTAGTCGTCCTTCATGAAGGGCTTGGGTCACTGGATTTTCCACGTTGAGGATGCCGTTCAATCTTGCTCTATTCCTGGATGTTAGCAAAGCACATTCAGTTTCAAAACCACTTGGATGCGTAAATTCACCTTTCAAAGAGGACAAAGAGTCTCTCTGCCTCTCTTTCCTTCTCTTCTTTTGTCATGGGGGAACCTGAATCCCGCCGTTCTGCTGACCATCTCTGACCGGTGATGGGGTTGATCTCTGGATCAAACTCTGGCGCGTTCGTCGCAAATGCTTCTCTCGCTGTTTGAGGTATTTCCATGCCTCGGGATGCAAGGAATCCTGCTGCGAATCCATAACCAATGCTCTTTGTGAGGTTCTCCGCATTCTTCCCAGACAGCACAAACATCAGGTCTGAGATAGCAGTTTTAAGCTTAGGGTAAGGAGATGTCGAGATCCTCAGCAGTTTGGAGGAGAGCGTATCAGAATATCCTATCGGCAAACTTCGATCGTTGTCTTCGGGTAAGAGGAGCCATTGCATATATTTACGAGGGCCGTCCGGAGCCACTTCATACAGTATGATCAGTGTGTGAAGAAGAGGGATTGCCTTTGTCTCAAGCTCCTCTGGGCCGTAGGCAGACACAGCTCGATCCAGGATATTGATCAGCTTGTCCACATTGCAATTCTGGTTCAGCTTGGGGAAAAGAGAGCCACTTTCAAAATGCTTGGTCTTCTTGCCTTCAAGATCCAGCATTGCCAAGCTGTATATCATATAACCAATCAACCCATCCAGAGGCTTCGAAGGGATATCCATACGGCTAATCATTTTGAGAATGTAAGGAATTGAAGGTGCAAAGGTCACAGCGAGATCCGGGTAGAGCTTAGAAATATTGAAGACCAGTTTCAGGGTATCTGTTAGAGCAAGCTCATCCATCTGCGATAACGTCTTTCTACCCGCTTTAGGGAATTGCTTCGAATGTCGGGCAATTTGCTGCAAGTCATCAATGTCAGTCAGGCCAAGCATCCAAGTGAAAGCCGTGAGACTTACATGATTGATATTATTACCAAGGGAGTTGTTGTTTATAAGGTTTTCAAAATCCAGAGTGGTATCATAGGTAGAGAGAAACAAGATTCGACTTAATACCATTTCATCTTCTGAATTATCGCACTGAGATCGATACCTCTGTGAGCCTAGGATTTGGCACTGGAAAGTGACCCGTGGACGAACCTTCAGATTCTCTGCTAGCTTACCAGAATACCCTGTGTCCACAAAGGTCTGACGCATCTTTGGTTCTAGCAAGAGAGCGTTCGCGACGCAACGTAGGGCAGTCCGGCGTACTTCAGCGGTCTCACCGTCCACGCCATATTTTGTCAGAATATTCATGCCCTATTAATACGATCAGAATCGGTGAAAAACGGCGAATATGGTTGGCATGCCGTACGCTTCTTGAATATATCGGGTCCGCATTTGATGGTTGCGTCCCATATTGTCGTACTTGTAAGAGGATTTGTACTCGTTCTGCGTTGGAGAGGGAGTGAAGTTAGTTTTGGAAGTATGTAATTGAGCCTGGCTATCATCTGAGAGAACGTACGTGCAGTTGTAAGCGCCTTCTCTTCCAAGTCATTTTCCAGACGGCGCATGAGTTGCGCAACCTGTCGCTGCTTGTCTGCATAACACAATTTGAATTGATCAGCTCCAATAACCTTCGTGTGCGCAGAGCAATGGGTTCATGATTTTCAATACCTGCACCATTTAGCGCCTGAGACTCCATATTGCCAAAGTCTCGATGGTATTCTCTGGGCTGGTCTGAATGTCGGACGTCCACTCAAGGGTGCGAGCTCAGGTTAAATTCCACCACTGCTCTCTCTAGCCCCGTTTAGAATGCAATTCATCAGACACATGTGATTAGTGGCATATGACAGCAACAGAGGAAAAGCAAATTCGTCTTCGTTCGCGGTCATCAGCCGTAGAGGGAGAACTTCGGCGTTCGGGGAAATGAAGCCCATCCGCTGGGCGCCATGGAGAAATTGACCTTGGGAAGGTCACAGGACCATCATAGACGTCGAACAGGAATACCCCGCTCAAGCTCTGTAACCGGAAGTTTGGGGCCCTTCTCTGGATGGGCTGCAAGCAGATGATCTTACGGTTGCTAGTCAGTGAATAATATGAGAGTTCCAACTAGCTCTACCTACTCTATTACCATCTTCATCGTCGGCCCAAGTGACGGTTTTGTGACGACAAGCAGTATTATTACTGTATTAATCGAGTGCTTAGGGAAGTTTAAAGCCTTTCTGCCTCAGGCTATAGGTAGAGGCGCGCCACAGCCACTTTACGCGTCTACCAGCCACTGTCGCGATTGCAAAGTGAAAATGCGCGTCTCTCTCGAGGCGCAACCGGTGTTAGCGTGGCTGCGAGTCAAGCAACATCTGGCATCCGCATGGATTGGACTGCAACAGGTTCAAACTCAGGCATGGTCGACTCGATCTAACCTCATATATGGGTGGTACTTCCTTCTTCCCTGAAATATGGTGGAAATCCTTTCTGTTCGTCCGCCCACTCCACCCAGGACATCGCGAAAAGACCATCCCCCTGCTATCTTTCAGACCCCCGGAGAGGATCCCTCATTGTCTGCGAGCAAATTGACGGGGAATTGCTCCAACAGACAATCGAAACGGGTGAACTTCTCTCCATGGACGAAATACATTAAGTCACCAGCCTTCAATCATTCACCCTGCAAAGCACTGCCGCCTTCGAACGAATGCAAGCCCACGAAATCCATCCTCAAGACGACCCAGTCCCCTTCTCCCAATAATTTCCTCGATGTCACTTCAGGTGCTCCTGAGTCTTTCGCTATGCTTCTAGAGTCTGTATGCCAGCAGCTAGCTGGTGAATCTATGAGCTCGAGACAAGATGCGTATATGCAGTTCTTGGGGGCATTGAAGGCGTACGAGGGCCTTCCCGGAGAACAAGAGATTTCCGAGAAGCTTCGCCAGATTACACAATTTATCCAGCGGGATATTAGCAGGGATCTTGAGAATGGTGGACCTTTTGATACAAATCTAGTCATCTGCGCTTTGAAGCTGGCGGTTACTTTCGTCTGGCATCCGGAGATATCAACACGATTGCCGGATGACTTCAAGATCTTCCTTGTTGAGCAATCGATAAACAGTTTACAGAATGCTAAATTACCTAAGTCCATTCTGGTGCATTATATGCATGTCCTGTCAGCTCAAAATTTCAACGCGAAGATCATGACAAATGCGAGGTTGATCAACCTTATCACGACGCTGCACGATCTTACAGACCGAGTGAATGGAAATGCTATTGTATTGCAGCGGTTGAGCATTTACCAGCGCATCCTAACCCAGTCCAAGACCATATTTGTCTTACAATCGGCGTTGTGGATAGAACACCTTATCTCAGGCTTACTCCACCATGTTAAAGATACGAGGCTAAAGGCGATATCACTCGGTTTCCATACATCGATGGCGCTGGGCCCAAACCAAACGTTATCAAAGAATATCCGCGATGCCTTCGAACGTCCTATTAACAAAGACAGGAAACTTGTGTCGGAAATATGTGAGCGTATGTCGCGGATGATGGGGTCAGTTGAAACTGCCGTGCACGTTCCACAGGTCTGGAGTATTGTGATACTCCTTCTGAGGAGCAAAAGGTTGAGCGTATCTCACTGGGAGCATTTCAAAGACTGGTTGTTCATCCTCCAGAAGTGCTTGAATTGCAGCGAACTAGCAGTCAAAACACAAGCCATTCTCGCATGGAATCGTTTCGTTTTTGCTGTTGGTCCAAATGAAATGACCGGCCGCCCCATGCTCAAGATGCTAGGAAAGCCAATACTGTCCCAGTTCGAACGCAGAAGACAGGAAAAGCCTGGGACGCAGCTGACCGGGCTGGCCTTATCTAGTTACTACAACCTTCTATATTATGCATTCCGCCCATCAGTGCCTCACCAGCATTTGGACGTCGTCTGGGAAGAATACGTTGCGCTTCCTTCGCAGTTCTTCTCTTCAGTCCCAGCACTGAGTGACCGAATCTCTGCGGCTTTTTCTTCTCTCATGTGGAGCTCCCAGGCAAAGGTCTGGTCGGAGAATAAAGTCAATGAAAATGGGAAGCTTGACCCTGAGGAGCTTCCCTCCATCGATTGTAAATGGATCAGGTCGCGAATTAGCTCGGTTCTGAATGTCTTCGAAATTATTCTCAAGTCATCCGTTTGGACAGATGATGCGGTTGACAAATCCAACATTGCCGCTGCTTGGATTGGCCTTTCCAGAGCTTTGTCCTACGCTTCGAGCAAAGAAGTAACCCCTTCTGCGGAATCAATGCAAGCGGTTGCCGCTGTGCTTGGTTTTCTTCGACGCCTTTGGAATACGGGCCCCAGCTCGCTTAACGCAGTCGGAGACAACTGTGTGGATAGGTTCTTTGATCGCTTCCGTTTCTTATCGACAACAATAATATTTTCAATCGGCAGTATTGCATTCACCGAAAAGCTTGTCTTGAAGGCTGGTGATGAGAGGTTCCAAGCTGCTAGCACGCCTCAGCATCGCCATCCTTCTGCAGATAATAATCTAGACAGCCCTATATTTCACTTGCTCCGAATAATAAGCGGAATTCACGGTGTTTCAGAACCGGCTCTTTCTTACAGACGGCTAATCGAGGGCATACTGGAAGCTGCTTGCAATGGGAGAACATCAAGGGGATCACGTCTAGAACTTCTCCACCAATGTGCCGTTTTGTGCTCATCTGAGGCAGAATCACACTCTGGAAATTACAAATTCTGCCAACTCATCTGGAAAGTAACAGCGAAATTTTCTGCAGATTGTCTATGCTCTTTTCCGATAGAATCTGCCCGACAGCGTGATGGATCTATCTCCCGTGACTATGACAATGCTGTTAGAATCCTCTCCTCTGGGCTCACTTTCACGGAGGCTTCGCAAGAATGGAGTCAGCTTTTGGATTCATTTGTCCGCGTTTTGAGAACTGAGAAAGGCGATCGAGCAATTGCAACGATTGTCATTGAGCCCTTATCTGAACGCATGATGTTGCAAAAGTCGAGAGATCTTTACCAGCCTTCGACGGCATTCTTCAATCATTCCCTCTCTCTTCCTTACTGCCACGAAAACAATGCGAACATGGAGGGAAATGACACTTGTCATTCTTCCCTTGATGGCGATTTATTTATCTTCCCTGATAATTTGGTGAAGTTAACCGATAAAATCCTTCGAGAAACTTACGAAATATTTGACCCCTCAAGGACGAACGGTATTGCGGACTTTCTTGAAGCCTTGACGTCCTTTCTGGGATCTGGTGCCTTTGCATTCCGTGCGAGGGTTCTTGAAAGGATACAGCAGCCTATCTCTTTGTGGCTGAAGGATGAAACGCGCAAACTCAATGCCGAGTGTGGCATAGAGAGTAGAGTCCTTACTTCTGTGAGTACTCAACTGGAGACCATTCTTGTATATTCTAACCTAGAGTCAGTGCCGTGCACTCTCCTTAGCCGTCCTGAACATTTTACAGGCCTCTGAGCCTTGTGACTATTCTTGCCTACAAAAGTTCGAGACCATCATTTGTGCGGGCCTAGAATCAACACACGTGTTCACTATGAGAAGATTCATTGAGGCCTGGCTTCCCAAGCTTGAATCGCAAGTATCATCTGCATACCCTGAAGCCATTGCACATGCACTCACAAGGCTGAGAGGCCTTCATGGGAAACGTCAGTGGCCAAATGTGTCATTGTCAGATTCACAGGTATGCACTTCGAAATCGCTCTACTCTTTTCCTGCCAACTAAAAATCTTCAGATCGGTAATGGCAGCCAAGGCCAACGGCGTTCGGGGGAGATGAAAGGTGATTCTATTACGGTCCCTGATTCTCATCCGGTAGCTGTCCTAGACGATCCGTTCGCGCCCCGCTATTCTGAAGAATTTGATTCATCTCCTATCGTCAAGGCGAATGGACTTCCCGCAGTTGTACCGGTGGATAAAGCGGCCAAGTTATCACTATCATTAATGAGCAAAGCCGAAACCAAACAACGCGAAGACCACAAACGCAGGCGAAAAGTCAAGGCCATAGAGAGCCCTCGTCCCTCTTCAGGCACGGAGAGAAAGTCTGTCCATGGACCTTTCACACCTCCATACTTGTGCAATTTTCACAAATCAGAGTCTGCCACTGGAACCCCCCAAACACCTCTTCCCGTGATCGCAGTTGAAAAGGGGGAAACATTCCTAGACTCGTCTCCAACCCCTGGTACAAGAAGTCGAAACTCTGCTGGTCATATCGAAATTTCTATGCCCATAGCAGTCCAGGACAGCGAGGCTCGTTTCGATAGTGATCTTCCGTCCTCACCCCCGGAGATCAGGCCACAGAATGCAAATGATCACAAAGCTGACTCTCCAAGCTGTCTACTTCGGATACATACAGTCCACGATAGTACTGTGTTCGGGAATGTGGAAGACTCAGATATAACCGGAAACCCAGCTGTAGCGAAAGTCTCAGCGGCCTGTGAGACCACATCTACAAAGGATTCTGCCAGCGAGCATGAAAATACAGATAGCCATGGAACTTCTGAGATGTTGAAGGGTTCAACAAGACGCCTACGCTCTTCGGGCAGAAATTTATTCTCAAATCCAAATTCTCCAGTGGATTCGATCCAGAATAGCAAACCCGCATCCGAAATAAAAACTTCTGGCTCTGATGCTGCGGCAAAAGCTAACGATGGACCACATAGCGTTGACCATTCTGACTACTCTGCAAATTTATCAGGCGATGATATGGAGATCCAGATTGCATCCCAGCTAGAACAAGACATGGAACTGGCCGCGGATATGAACGAAACGAGGAAGGGGGGATTATCTGAAGGGATGTCAAATAGTTTGACAACAACCAAAAAAAGGAAACGGCCAGCACACAAAACTTCCACTGCACATGATGCTAAAAGACGCCGGTCTTCAAGGCTTACATCTACTGGGGTTTCCACAGTCAACTCTCCAGAGCAGAGAGCTACTCAAAGTGCAGAGACGGTTACTGCGAGCGAGTCCCAGGACGAATTTATATCCGACCTTTCACCCGTTGATGCAAAGAGAAGGAAATGCGAAACAAATAAGGAATTGGGGGCACACAAGGTCCATTCTGGTGAGGATGCAGCGACAGCGACAGCAAGACGCCGGAGTCTCCGAAGATCGTCACGAATCGCCTCTTCCGACAAAGAAGGGAGCATGGATAATGGAAACCAATCACAATGGGAAGACCGAGGGCGGAGAACTTCGAGGAGGCTTTCCAGGATCGAGAATAAACAACGCCAAAATACCCTCGTTAAGGGTGTTGGAGCCGAGGATGATGAACTTTTGGAATCCGAGACCCCCATGTCGAGTACCCAAGTCTCAGCTGATACAGACATGAGTTTCATGTGCCCCCAGGCTGAACAAGCTGAAGAAGGTGAAACTCGGGTTACATATGCGGGAATATCCCCAGAAGACAATCAGCCTACTGATAAATGCATGGTATCTCAAGCTGCTCAGACAGCGGATACCGAAGGCAATATTGCGGAAGCTGATATCGTTAATTCCCTCAAAAAGGTTCTGAATGATGTCAAGATGATGAGCTTAGACAGGGACGCTCTGAGACAGATCGATGATTTGCTATTTGACATTCGAGTCGAAACACATGAAGCAACCAGAAGGCAAAAGGATAGGGTTTAGTCCCCTTTCTTCTTTCATTTCTCTTTCACGCATAGCGATGGCGTAGGACGGACCGCATCCTGCTGTTATCTTTATCAATACTTTTGGATCCGTTTTTGTTTTATACGGTGGCCTAGTAGCAAGCTTAGCCATGGTAGGCCATGGCTGCTGCAATGTCTCTACTTTGAACACTATGCTAGGAGGACTTCGACTTGGTGATCCTACGGTGTTATTATGAGGTTGCATGTGAATATAAATTTATTGGTTCGATAGTCTTAAGGCTTTTTCATTAGTAGCCGGCCTCAAGTGGCCAAAATTGGCAATTGAGGTCGAGAGACAATGATGCCCATGTTGACAAGTGATATACAGCAAGTCTAGAACAGGTGACAGCTTTCCCCCCCATCAACATAAACAGTCCACATTCCATAATAGCCGTTTCGAAGGCGAAACTGAAGAGGCTCGGAATCATACTCCGAGGCCTATTGAGATAGTGAAGGTAGAAAACAGCATCTTTCGCCTCGTAGGCAAATGACATAATATTCTTCGCATAACAGATGGGATTCTGGAGGCAATGTGGTTCTTCTCTTTCCGTTCTAATCAACATATCGTGCAGTGTTGGAGAGAACAAGCAGAACGAAAACTAAAGAATGGCCCAATATGCGCTTCAGACTGCTCTGGCGACAGGGTTTTCAGCCACGGAAGGGATACACAGTCCTCACCCTCGTCCAGTCGATCCCAAGAAGAGTGAAGATGCTTACGTACTACCAGCCAACATCATACCAGATACGACCACTCGATTAACGCTGAGAGGGGCCAAGGGGGACATTATGGTCCCCTACATGTGCATCGGGGCGTTCCCATGGGGCGACAAAGCTACCTGGAAATATCACGAAGATAGGGATCTTCCTCACATCAAAGAAGCGTGGGAGAAGCTACGTGGGGCTGGGATGACCTTCGTCGACACGTCACCAGCGTATGGAGACGGAGAAAGCGAGCGTATATGCAAAATGCTCTTCAAAGGCATGCCGCGGGAGTCGTTCGTGGTGCAAACCAAGTGGCTGTCGTTGCCGGATCTAAACGTATTCGAACAGTCCAAGGGACCGGTGTCCAAACTTAAACAATCCCTCAAGAACCTTGGCCTTGATTACGTCGATGTATATCTCGTGCATGGACCGATCCATCTGAGCATGGTGTCAACTATCGCAAAGGGTCTCGCAGATTGCGTTAAACGCGGATTAGCCAAAGCAGTGGGCGTGGCCAATTACGACAAGTCGGAGATGATCAAGATGGCCGATGCACTTGAAAGACATGGGGTTCCTCTCTCTGTTAATCAGTGTGAATACTCCGTCATCAGGAGACATCCCGAGTCTCATGGTCTCATCCGCGAATGCCGACAGCGAGGAATTGTCTTTCAGGGCTTCGCATCTCTGGCGCAAGGACGCCTCACGGGCAGGTATTCGGTAGGAAACAAGCCACCACGAAACTACCGCTTCAGCAGCTACCCCATGCAGATGCTGGAGCCCACAGTGAACGTGCTGAGGCGGATTGCCGAGGAAAGACGAATAGCCATATCAGCTGTAGCGTTGAATTTCTGCATCAACAAGGGCGTTGTTCCGGTGGTCGGTATCCGCACCGCTGAGCAGGCAGAACAGAACCTCGAAGCTCTTGGCTGGCGATTGACACCGGACGAGATTCGACGTATTGAGACCGTTAGCATTGAAGGGAAGACGAGTTTCCTCTTTCAACATGGTTGATGACATGGAAGTCGTGATGGTCGCCACAGTGATGCCTTTGCCAATAGTAAACGGTAGTAAATCGAATAAAATAGTATTATTTATCGACCTGGATTTCTGTAGAAGAAAATCCCATGGATTATCAACAAGTCGAGCCGCCCATGGCGTTATTCGAAGCAAAGAAAGAAAAGAGCCGAGAGAAGAAGCAGAAGTGCCCCTCCCCCGCGTTTGATCGTCATCATCGTCATTGCCGCCTCCTCCGAGCTGCAGCTGTCGTACAAATACCCTCCTTTTCGCTTATTGCTTTTTTACCTTGAAGCAGAAAGACATCTAGACCTATCTTCTCCCTTACTATAGTTTCACAGTCCCAAGGAGCAATGGACCGTTCCAAGAAACCATCCGCCATTGGAGTAAGCCCGTCGCTCCCTCAACCCACCATCAGCTTCGTGGGGAACGAGGTTGAAGCAAAACTTCCCAAGGGAGGATCTGTCACCGTCAATCTCTTCGGTGCAACGGTGACTTCCTGGAAGCTTCCCTCGGGAAAGGAGCAGCTGTTTTTGAGTGAGAAGGCACATCTGGATGGCTCCAAGCCCGTTCGCGGTGGCATTCCTCTCGTGTTCCCGGTATGTTAGCAAGCATGGATTCAGTAGGCATATAAAAAATGATGCTAACCAATATCTGCTGCTAGGTATTCGGCGCTCCACCTAAAGATCATGCTACTTCCTCCCTCCCACAACATGGATTTGCGCGAAACTCAAAGTGGGAATTTCTTGGAAAGTCATCTTCGGAGTCGCTAGAAAGAAGCAAAAGCAGCGATGAAACAGTAAAACTCGATTTCGGCCTCTCACACACCATGCTGAGTGAGGACTTCCAGAAGGCATGGTCATATGAATTTGAACTCGTCTACAGCGTCATCCTCTCGGGAGCTAGTCTGGAGACGCAGCTGCAGGTAAACAACAAGAGCAGCAAGAGTTTCGAATTCCAGGTCCTGACACACACATATTTAAGGATAGAGGTATTTCTGGCAAATAGCCTAGCCCTTAATTTGCTCTTAAATACCCAGATTCATTGGAAAATGAAATTCTAACCGTTTGTTGGAATCTGCGACAGGATATCTCGAAAATCCGCATCGGAAACCTCCAATCAAAGACATACGTTGACAAGACGCAAAATGCTACCACACATATTGAAAAATCTCCGGCCCTGGCTATCACTCAAGAGACGGATCGCGTTTACCAGGGTCTAGAACCAAACGTTCCCGTCGTGGTCTCTTCTACAGACGGCAAGACTCTCTTCTCGATAAGCCGGATGGATCTGAACGACACTGTGATCTGGAACCCTTGGGCCGAGAAGGCCAAAGGGATGGCCGATTTCGCCCCAGACGACGCTTACAAGAACATGGTCTGCGTCGAGTCCGGATCTGTCAGTACCTGGCAGTCATTGGAGGCAGGGGAATTCTGGGTTGGCGGACAGACTATTAAAGCGTCACTGGAAGCTTAAGCCTCTTTCTTGATCTTTTCCGACTAATGTCCTTGTTTTCAGGTGGTGTCAATCCAGGTATGCTATACAGAGTAGTAGAAGAGAAATAAGGTAGATGTTAAATGGAAGGAATCGTCCGTGGAGTATCTATCGCACTTCACCACCACCCAGCATGGGAATATATCTCTCTATTGAGATGGTTTCCACACAACAGAGACAGACATTAATAACAGCTATACGGAGATTCTATTGAATTATTTAGTTTATAATGAACCTTACAATGGCAAATTATAAGTATCCGGCGCCGATGGTCAAGTGGTTACGATGCGATCCTCCCATATTATCCGGACTAGATCGCGACCCGGGTTCGAATCCCGGTCGGCGCACTTACTACCGTTCTTTTTTTATTCAATTATTAATAATTTTTATTACTTATAAAAATTTTCCAGAACCCCTCTCTATCTATGTACGGTACATTTTGCATGCAATGAACGAAGGTACTGATAAAAATAAATCAAAAATTGAACCATACTATGTTCAATATGGAAAATCATAACCACAAAGTGTACCTTTCCCAACTCCCCTCCAACGTAACCCTCTAGCCGTGCGCCCCAAGAACCCAAGAAGAAAAAGAAAAAAGCACACGAAGAAAACATGGCCTATGAGTAGAGTGAAGGAAATATGTGCTGAAACATCATTGTATACAAGACAACGCGAAGAAAGGCTACAATGCCAGGGGACTCCCAATCTTCGGCTTATACACCAAACTCTTCCTCCTAGCGGCCTCCAACTTCAACCTCAACCGCTCACTCGACAACAACCCATCTGGGGAACCTTCTTCCCGAGAAGAGTAATCATCAAAAAGGCCCTGGCGGGTCTGCTTAGGCGGACACGTCTGCTGGACCAGTTTCGATCTCTGAGAAAGGAAGAACGGTGTGGCAGGCGACATTCCAATGTCGTCAAGATGGCTGAAGTCGTAATCCTTGCCGCCAGGGGTTGTGGGGAAGGGACAGCTGTATTCCTCGTCGTTATCATTCGAGGGTGCAGGTGATCGGGTAGTCTCTCCAGTGGATCCCGAGTCGTTCAAAGATATTATGGGCGGCGATATCCTCATAAAGTCTTCCATTGCTCCCGAATTTGCACCAGAGCGTCTAGAACGGGTATGTGAAGTTGAGCCTTCGGCTGGGATTAAGGTACCGTTCACGTTGCTTAAGGCTCGGGGTTCCATGCTCTTGCGGCGCTTGGCACCACCACGAGGGATGATGGAACAGTCAACTGCGTAGTGAGATTCATCAAGCCATTTATTCTCTCTTTCACAGCTGAAACAGAAATGTTAGCACAGATGAAATATGTTCACATAAGGAGAAGTGAAAGGAAAGAAAAAATACATACTCTAAAACCCACCCGACACCAACACACTTCACAAGACCCGCTGCTTGCCTGACCTTTTCTAGTGTCCGCACTCCGCCATCTTTGTAAACGACATGAGTGATGCCAACTTTATTATCCTTCGGATCAACTCCATCCATCGGGGAGAGACTGAGACGAGGGTTCCATGACCAAGTCTTAACACACCTGGCTCCCATCTGCTGCAGGAGTTCGACAAATATACCACTTGCATCTTCCCCCTCCGTGGTATGGACATCAACAAAGACAACTGCTCCACGTAAGACTTGGCTACCCGCACCGGTATTTCGACTAGGGGTGTAGACTGGGCAGGGAGAAGTCGTATTTCCGCGGTTCCCAGAGGAAACAACCTCGTGCACCGTCTCCCGCGCCCCCAAAGACTTTCGAGGAGAAGAGCGAGGATCCTCTTGCAGTTTAATCGACTTGCGAGGTGAGAAGGACGGTGCTGCAGGGCTCTTAGGCAATAGAACGCGGTTGCGCAGCCTAGGAGAAGAACGACGGGGCGAAGTGTTTGACAGCGACTTGACTCTTTTGCGAGGCAATTTCAAAGGCGATACCTGACCCTCGGGCTTCAGTGGAACCTTGGAAACTGTGTATGAAGTGTGCAGCAACGGACTTCCTTTCTTCTTTAAAGGCGTGACAGGAGGAATAGAAATGCAAGCGACCTCATTTTCCTTGTTCTCATCCAATTCGGCATTCTCTGATAGAGCTGGATGTGGCGGAGGGGAGGTGTTGACGTTCTCATTCTCTTTATTATCATCATATTCATCTGTTGCAGTCAAATCGGGATATGCCAGATCGTCACCTTGTTGCACCGGAGGATCGTTTTCGTCACAGTATATATCCACGTTGTCATGAGACAATTCTGAAGTTCTAGGCTCCGGATCATTGAAGACACCTTTGGCCGGCTGCGTATCTGATTCCCCGGCTACGCTCCCCATAGGCTCTATACAGGGCTCGCGGTCACAGATAATGTTATTCTCCAGGTGCTCATCGGTAGACGAGTAATCTTCCCTCGCCGATAAGTTATTTCGGACCGATCCGGATTCTTCAACTGGCGATGCAGAGTCAAGCTGAGAGACTTCCCGGAGCGGCAATTTCGCGGGCAGAGATCCTCGGCTGGCTACCAAAGAGCGCCTGGACACATCGGAATAGCCTCGGGATGACCGTAAGGACCTGCGAGAAGGGTAATTTCTAGCCCTAAGCTCTGCTGTGGAAAGCGAGTGCACCCCTCTTCGTCGTGGGTGCCCTGTTTGGTAGTGGGTTTCTGAACTGCCGCTGGGATGTTCCGCTAGGGGGCTGCGACTAGGGCTGTTCTCACGAGAAACTGGTTGTTCTTGGATAGACTGTCCACTTCCGGGAGTTCGGTGTTCCAAAGGAGTTGGACTTCCAGACCGATCCATGGTCGCCCGCCGATCAGCATTCTCCGTTCCTGATTCGACATGACTATTCCCTCCCTGCTGAGGCTGAAATTCGAACGGTCTGGTGGAGGTTCTAATTGGCGGGGATGGAGCCGGAGGAGGTATGTATCTAACTGTACGAATTTGGGTCGTACTTTCAGGCTCGTCGATTTCGTAAGGGCAGAGACGCGATGGGGTAGCCATAGTATACATTTCATCTCCAGCAGGCGCTACGAGTGTAGGGTCATCGCCAAAATCAAAAACCCCAGCGTCGCTGATGGTATCGTCCTCATCGTTTTCATCGTTAGGGATTTCGTCCAAGGGCGTTTGGTGTTCTTGTGCTGGGCTGTCGAATGACTCTTCTGCTGCGGTAATGGGACGATCAACAAAAACATCATCAGGATCCTGGGTCGGCTCATTTTCTGGGTACGTCTCCAGACGATGATATTGGATCTCTGAGTCAATTCCGGGCTGTTCCGTTTGGTATTCTCCTGTTTCGAACCCCTCCCAGTCTGGCGAAGCATCGGGAACTTTCTGAGTATCTTCAACCTCTGAATCTGCCTGCACGTCGCCCACCCCATCTTCTTGTTCTCGGTGGCGTTCAGTCGGCGATGCTTCTCGAGCTCGGAAGTCTTCACAATCCGAACGCATGTGCACATATTCTGTGGATCTGACATCATCTCTGCGATTCTGAGACATTAGATCCGGCGATATCTCACCCATCTCAGGTTCGACTGTTTCCTGCTCATCGTCTTGGACTTCGTCCAATATTTCATTGAGTTCCATATCACCATGACCATCCTCCTCAATTATGTTTTGGCTGGCTTCCATACCACTTTCTCCATCAATCTCGGTCATTTTATCTTCGACTAGAGTTCGACGTTGATCTTGGATTTCGTCGGATGAGTCATTTATTTCCATTTCATCGTCAGCATTCTCACTGTAATCTGACTCTTGCCTGATTCCCATACTAGGCTCCCGGTCAACTTTGATCGTTTCGTCTTCAACTGGAGCTTGAAATTGGACCTCATCTTCACCCTCTGGCTCTGATTCCATCTCAACTTCTTGCTCATGTTTGTCTCCTTCAATAATGCCAGCAGTGGAATCGGTGATTTCGTGCCGGGGCGTATATTGAGCCTCAGGCTCCATATTATCACGGACAGGACTAGGGCTTGAGTTGACACTGCTAGCCCTCTCAACCAATTGAGACCCAAAAATCTTTTCCGGGGAAATGGACCCCTTAAAGGGGGAGAGAAACCTTTTAGCTGGACTCTGGAACAGACGTGTTCTTGCCGAGAATGGTGTTGACGACGATTCTATCGGGCTCTGTAAGAATGAGGCGCTCAAATCCGCCTTCCTAGGTGATGACTTGAGTGGGGAGTTATGCTTTGGAGTAAAGTCTGGCTGTGAAGATGTCTTAGACTGGTCTTTGATGGTAAGTGGGCACTTCCTCGGTGTTTCCCTCAGAGTGTAATGGAATGGAGAAGGCGGGGGTCTTTTAGCAGGACTGAACATGAAGACAGAATCCTTGAAGTCAACCGGCGGCTTGGAAACCGGGACAACATCACCATTTTCATCAACAGACATAGGTCCTTGGTGGCTAGCTGTAAAGTTGATCCTCCTCACAGGAGAACTGAGTCCAGTTGTATTCCCTGGTGCCTGTTTAGAGGCTGAGAGACCCAATGCACTTTCTTCGCCGTGTCTGTTGAGATTGATCCTTTTCACAGGAGAACTTAGACTGGTGGGAACCTCTGATTTATATTTGATGGGCGAGTCGGCAATGAGTTTGATTTGGGCTTGATCTTGGTTCTTGGCGCAGCTCAATTCATCGTCCTCGCCATCGGAACTCGCATATGAAGACAATGATTTAGCAACCTGCTTTGCCTTCTTGGGAGATAGAGGCTTCGGTGCGTCTTGATTCGTCGTTGCCGCGGGTTTACGACCCCGGCCAGGGCCAGCACCAGAAATGGTAGGTTGCTTGCGAGCTGGCTTCGCGTTTAGACCAGTTTGCCGTGTTGTTCTTCTCCTTCCCACGGGGACCGACTCGGGAAAATCGCTATCTTCCTTTTCGGAATCCGATATATCTTTGAAAGTGACCGTCTTCTTCTTGGCCGGTCCTCGTAATAAATTCGACTTCACCACCACAGAAGAGTGGGTCGTCACCACCACACGTCTGGGATTTGATGCGGAAGATGAAGCATCATCGGCATCGGTATGAGCTCTTGTCTTTTTCCGCGTTGCCGTGCTTTTCTCAGGCTCTGAAGTCGCATTCGACTTGGTTGTTGTACCTCTCGGCCGACCTCTTGTTGGCTTCACGCCAGTCTCCGAGTTGGAAGGAGCGCTATCCTTCGCGGCCACATTTTTCGTCCTCGGCCTGCCGACTTGTTTCTTCTTAGGAGCATCAGTCTGAGCGAGCTCATCGTCGTCATTCTCATCATCCTTCTCAGCAGCGGCGGCGGCACCTCTAGAGCCTCTACTGGTAGTCTTCGACGACGAACTCTTCCCCCTCGCAGTCTTTGCATTTGTAGAAATGAGTCCAATCTCATCATCATCCGTCCCTTCCTGATCCGACTCTACATCGGCCTTCTTACTCGTCTTGCTCCGAGTACTCCGCTTAGTCGACTCTGTTGTGCCAGCAGTAGTTCCCTGTGTCTTCGGCGGTCTTCCTCGCGGTTTAGGCCCCGTAGAAGACGACTCCTCAGTAGCTTTCCGAGCGGCCGTGGTGATGTTTGTACTCTTTTTGCCGCGCGTCGTCCGTTTCTGAGGGGACGACGGTGGAATAACCGCAGCTCGTGCCATTTTCTTTTTCGTTTTAATCCTGCTGGCCAAAAAATAGTCGTGGTTTCCTTCAGCTTATAGAATGGTGATCATCTAGGTTATCGGTTCGATATTATTTATGAGTTCGTCAAAGTCCAAAATGGAGTCGAGCCAAGTCTGTCGGTCGGTCGTAAATCGAGTGCTTTGTCCAGGGCTAATAATAGGGCGTGTTCGTCATTGTTCTTTTTTTTATTTTCCCTTCGTGTTGGCCAATATGTACCTAATAGTGAGGATTTCGGTTAAATTGACTGTTATTAACTATTCCCCCCTGCATTGGAAACTGCCGTGGCGGATGGTTGTGGTTGTCGTAGGCTGACAGATGGTGGAGTCTGCAGGTTGTTTATCGACAAGCGGCGTTTCTCTGGCAACGGTTATACCACGTGATATTACCTGCGTGCGAGGTGTCGACTGGCCGCGGAGGATTTCATCAAGATATTGTTATTGTTAACAGTAAAGACTAAGAGAGCTTTCTTCTGAAAGTACGTACAAGGATGTTTTATGCCCGTAGCTCCAATTTGACTTTTATTTCTACAGAAATATAAATATATAATGAGGACTGCATACAGTAGATTGAAGCCTCATACGCGGATCTGCATATTCCCAGATGTGATTAGATCGGAAGAGTGATTGTACGTCATATCCAACTAGCATACAGCGACCAAAAAAAAAAAAAAAAAAAAAAAGAGAGAACACGAATAGAACAAAACAAAAAGGGGGCAGGAGAAAAAAAAATTAGATGCGTCATCAACACATTTCAGTGCACTGGTTTACAAGACTGAAACCACAGCCGCAGCCGCAGCAGCCATAACGGCAAGCATTGTTGGACCATTTACAGATGCCACATTATCCTTCGTTGACACGTCGCCCAATGCCATAGCTGGAAGGAAGGGCGCGGGATCGGTACTGTTGACAGTTCCGTTCCAGCAGTAGGTGTTGAAGCACTTGTTGCAGACGTCGGGGACATTTGTGTTAGTGCGCTCGAAGGAACGGCTGAGGACGGCGCAGCCAACGCAGGTCGACCAGTTGGCGTCCAGGGTGCTGTTGCCCATGGTGACGACGTTATAACCGTTGAGGATGATATCGTCTCTCTGGCTGTCTGTGTAGCTCAGCTGAAAGGTGGACGTATTGGAGTCGGTCACGTATGGGTGGTTAGGGAGGTAGACAATCAACGGGGCGGGGCTGGAGGTATTCGAGCTGTTGCAGCCGAAGAACGTCGGACGGGAATTCAGGCCGAGATTGATGAAGGTGTTCACGTCGGGAACAGCGGGGAAGGCCGTGTGGTTGCCAATGCCAGTCGCATTCAAGCTGCGCTCGTACGTAGTGACGAGAGAACTGCCATTCGGCCAGCTGTGTTCCGTGTCGGCGGACGAGTCGACGGCAAAGATAACGTCGACATGTCGCTCCGGCTGGATCAAAGGCTGCAGGGGAATGTTCTGGTTGTCTTCGCCACCGTCCACCTGATTCAGAACGGTTTGTGCCGAGTCTGGGTTGGAGGAATTGTGGAACTGGTAAAAGGGATTCGGCCCGTACAGCGCGACATCTTTGTTATCCTCGCCGATCTTCTCCAGAACGGCCCCGACCACATCCTTCAAAAGGGATGGCGCCTTGGTGTTGTTCAGTTGGAGAATGAACTGGTTGAACAGGGTAGATGAGGTCCCCATGATAAAGCCAGCATTGTCAAAGCCGCGAACACAGCTCTCATTCTGAGGCAAGACGCCGCCAACGAATCTAGAACCGAGGTATTCGAGAGGAGCAAAGCCGTAGATGGTGGGATCGAAAGTACCGAACTCCCACGGGTTGATCTCCATCACGGTAGTATTGCTGCCGATGAGAGTCTCATGCGAGTACCGATTGTCAGTCACAACCAAGGGCATGGGGATATTTCCCTGCTGGAAATCCGAGGTCAAAGCGATCGACGACCAAGTGTAGTCCAGGCCGCCATTTTTGGCGTAAACGAGCTGGTAGGACAGTGCCCGACCCCTAAGGAAGAGTCAACAGAAGTCCAGTGGACATTGGTATAGGAATGCAGAAATTACCAGTAATCCGTAATGGCAACGGGGAAACCGGCGTCGTCCTTCCCTTTCACGGCGTCGTGGAGATCTGTCCAGTACTCGGCGGAGTCAACAACCTGGATGCTGCTGCCATCCGGACCCTCCAAGATACTGTTCTCGAATTGCCAGATGTCTCCCTTATCGTGAGTTTGCAGAGACGCGATGGTAGAGAAGTTGTTTACATAGATGGAACCGAGCAGCCAGCTGCCACCACTGAGACCGGCCACGTAGGTTGCTGACTGCAGCAACCCACCGACCTGGCCGCTGGCAGTGGAGTTGCTCGTGCGGCTGTCGAAGGCCTTGATGGCTCCGGCACCGTTGGTCAGGGCACGGTAACCACCGCCGGAGACAGCGATAGCCACGTTGGGCAGCAGAGAGGTGTTGCTGGAATGCTGGTTGATGTAGGACACGGCATCGAAGTTGTCGATCTTCACATGGCCGAAGAAGTCCTTCAGGGCTGATGTGGTCTGCTTCCGACGCTTCGGCAACCAGGCCGTCTCGTTCGGGGAGAGACCCCCGGCAGCGCTGCGGATAGACGGGCGGCTGGCGGGACAGTCGACAGAGGTGGGAGTGTATCCATCAGGGGCATTGGGCAGTGCGCGGGGAGAAATGTCTCTTGCGTAGACACCGTGAGGGGAAGCAATGGCACCTGAAAAAAGGGAAGGGTTTTAGGTTAGTTTCAGCGCAGGGGGGATAGCAGCTAGGGGGGGAACGTACCGGACAGCAGCCCAGCCAGGGCAACGGAGCCGGACACGAAGGCCGAGAATTTCATGCTGGGAGATTGACGGAAAGCGTCGCAGCCCTATGGATGACAGTTGCAGAGGGACTCCAGCAAAGGGGAGACTGCCAGGACTTATAAGTACACAGACATGAACGGTGGATCCTAGGCTTTAGCCATGATCTTCCACCTAAAGATGATACTGTTATAATATAATGTATTGCAATTTACCGGCACATCCGAATGCCGTCCTGCGCCGGGAACAAATCACAATGGAAGAATCATTGACTGTGCGTCCCATTCATTTCCCTGATTTCTGCCCAGCCACAACCGCTGCAGCAGAAGGTGAGGTCAGTTCGTCCCACAGCCATTGACTTTGAGACAAAAAGCCAAGAAGACACAGCCGGACGTGGATGTGCTGATGAAGCCTACAGCGCGCCATTAATCCCGTCCAACTGCGGCGCGGACAGCTGTTCACGGCGCAGCCCTACAGTGGCTGATGGTACTTTGTCATGCAACCGGCTTACTGCATTTAGTCAGAGTTATGCTGCCAAGCCACAACAGTCAATATGCAATACACTCCGTACGGAGTAGACGGGTCTAAATATGGGGCAGGGCTGAACGGAATTCATAAGGCAGCAGAGTTATGCTCCTCGGCTCAAGCATAACAGGAACAACAACCAGAATAATACAGAAAATGCCCTGGATAAGTATATCGGTCGGCCGGATACCGGCATAGCAGAAGTCCAGGGCCGGAATCTGATTAATAATTCATATGCGGATAGAAATGACATCAGTCGAAAGCTGAAGTTGAAGTGTTGCGGTGCAGTATACTCTGGGCGTGGGTGTACAAACTCCCTCAAAATCCTGATCGAAGGACCAAATATCTACTATTACCCAACGAAATCAGCAGTAGTAATTAAATATTGAAATAATATCATGACTTGCTAGTGCTTACCTAGCTGCTAGTGTACAGTTTCCACGGGGAGAAAATAGACCGCCCTCCATACGGCTGCACATAGCCCAGCGGAGACAATCCATGACATTTTAACCCCCCGGGGACTTTCCAGCTGAAATGCATGCCTTTTGCTTGATCTTGCTCACAGAAAGGTGAGAGAACGCGCTACGTGAGCTCTATTTACTTGCTCCCTGTGACCGATATTAAGTTGAGGCTTGCAGGAGAAAGGCGTACAAAGGACGGAGTAAGGAGTACACTAGAGCACCTGACCTGTCTTATTTTCTGAATTTGTCTATATACAAGGAATTGACCGTTCGGCTCTTTAGCCTCCCTGCTGCTCCATCGGGTTAGATGAGAAGGTTTCCTTCCGTGTGGTTTTCCAAAGCGTCGTGCGCTCATGTACAACGCTGTAGTGGTGTCCCCACCTAATGATGGGGCGATTTGACTGCAAAATCTCCCAGTAGGATCCTTCATCGAGCCAACTAAAACTGACCCCCCTCGACTAGCAGTGTGGGATCTAGTCCTGGCGGGCAGGATCCTGAGCTGGCCTGTTGAGCAGGAACGCGTCAATCTGCGCCATCACCTCTGGAGTCAACCGCGGTAATAGCTTCAGACTCTGCACATTATCCACAATCTGCTCCGGCCTCGAAGCACCGGTGATGACAGAGGAGACATTTTCGTTCTTCAAACACCATGCCAGAGCTAACTGGGATAGTTTAACCCCCAGCGTGTTAGCCAGCTCCTACGCGTTGGTTAGTCTGCATATTGATCTTTTTTCCCCTCTACCGTGAGAATCATCCAGGCGAACAACTTACCGTTAAACCAACGATTTTGCGAATTGTACCGGCCCATTCTTCATTCTCCCAGTCCTTGCGGACACTATTTGCAAACTTGTCCTTGCTCTCCGCGAACCGCGATCCCGGCGGAGGCTGTGTCGTGGCGTCGTTGTACTTCCCGCTCAACAGACCCATCTTCAATGGAGAGAAGGTCGTCAGGCCAATTCCATATCGGGAGTAGATCCGCTGGAATTGGCCCTCGACCTTCTCGCGATCCAACATGTTGTACAGAGGCTGCTCAACGACCGGAGCGATGAGGCCCAGGGCCTTGGCGATTCCGCAGGCTTCGGCGATCTCATCCGCCGACCACTCTGATGTTCCCCAGTAGAAAGCCCAGCCTTTCTCAATCACGTAGTTGAACGCGCGTACAGTCTCCTCCATCGGCGTCAGACGGTCCGGACGGTGCGCGTAGATGATGTCGACGTATTCGAGCTGCAAACGCTCGAGAGAAGCCCGGGTACCTTCCACAATGTGTTTGCGAGAGAGACCGTGGTTGTTGATCAGGATTTCTCCATTTGCAAGACCCCAGTTGAGCTGGACAGACATTTAGCTTTTGCATCAGGGTAACCTTCGCTGGATCGCTTTTCAACCGCAAACAGACCTTGGTGCTGATGACTAGATCACTTCTTTTCCAGCCAAAGTGCTTGATGGCTTGTCCCATAACGATTTCAGACTGTCCGTTTGCATAGCTATGTCCGTTAAACCTGGGCTTTGTTGATGATGGGGGGTGGAACTGGGATTTGCCTATTCACCTTTCCGCAGTATCGAAGAAGTTGACTCCGCAGTCGTAGGCCTGCTTCATGCAGTCAAAGGCGACCTCTGCCATGGAACTGACGCGGTTAACATGGTGTTATCCACACGATTGCCGTGGAATTTCCCTGGGAACGGCATAGTGCGTACTATTGTCAACGTGGCCTCCGAATCTGGTATATATACGTTCATCCGTGAGTCAACGTCCATTATTCTCCAGGTTCAGGTTTCTCGAAACTAGTCAACTCACGTTAACCATCCACCGAGGCCAATAGCAGAGACATGCAGGCCCGAGTTGCCCAGTCGGCGATATAGCATGTCTCTATTCTTGTTGGGCCACGCCATTGCTCCGTCTGAGTGAATACGCAGGGGGGGCTGAAGTTGAAGAGCAGAGGATCTCGAGTTGAAAAGACATGAGAAATGCAGAGCTGAAGCATTTAAATGGTCTGATGGTATGTTGTAGCTAGATTCACTCCGAGAATTTCGCCGAACGTCCCACATTTATCTATAGTTATATTCCCTGCCCCGGACTGTCTCCAGTGCGGAGAAAATGAAACAGTTAACACGGAGATACTCCGCAGATATGCATATGCTATGATATGATACAACATCAGAAAGCATCTCGGTCATCTACTCCAGCGGCTGTTTTAGAAGACGCCAGTGAATGCCAGGTGAAATGTACATAACCGCTCTCCCTCTCTTGATATTCTTTCTTCGTACATACCTCTTAATAAGTCGCTTTGCCTTCCCTTTACGAGTTCAAACGCGTCTCCTATTGCTGTCTTACTGCAACTTGCTGCTTCTGGTCTCATTAAAGCGTAGGATACAAGCGCGCCATCTTTCTCTTTTCCTTCACGCTTACGAGCCTCACGTCGTTCGTTTCCCTCAATCCCCTCTGTAAAATACCCTCGATCATTTCTACATTCCCCAGACTTCGATGTAAAAATGCCTCGAAAGACTGTGTCAAAGTTTTGTTGGAGATCCAAGGAAGGCGTCATTTGCGTCACGGTCGGAGAGGGTTCTGCTTTGCTTAGCTATCGGCTTCGTTATGCCGATTATTTCACAGACCCATTGATAGATGACTTATATGCATAGCCCTTGGCAATCTAGGTCTATAGTTCACTATGATATCGAGGTATGCGTGGGACATGGACCAAAATTACTGATGCAGTGAGGGAGGTAGATGTGCTAATTGACAGAAAAAACTATCATGATACCCTCAGCGGCAGCACTTTGAAACTCCTGTGCGCCTTCTTATCATGCAGGAATATTATTGAGCGACTTATTTGGTAGGAGGATAGAGAGAGAGAGGAACGAATACCTGCTAGCAAGAAAACTGCTTCACAGTAAGCATACCAGCTATTTTAAATCCCCGATCTCTAAGGGAAAACTGTTGTGGAATATGCATGTAACTCAGGGAAGAAGGGCAGAATGAAGCTGTATCGGCTACACGTACGTAGCCTACTAAGGAACGGATGCCATTCTGTTCTATCTCTCTTTCTTGCTCACTATATATAATCAGGGGTCCGGATTCTCAGGGGTTGGAGAGGGAGCCAAGCCGCCATACCACGTGACCTTTTCCATATCAAAAACAAAAAGAAAAAAAGGCTGATCAAATTGATAGTGATGGGGCATTGATGCAGCCTCCCCCATTACCTATAGAACTGAACATGACTTCTTCTAGCAGAAGCCAGTCGTCTGCCAGTAAAGCTTCGTTACACTCGTCCCAGCCTCAGTCCCAATCCAGTGCTTCTTTCAGAGGGTACGAAACTACAGGTTAAAAATCTTGCTGGGGATCATTGCTGGGCTTGTGGAAATCAACCAGTCCATGTTTATCGCATTATTTCGCAAGATGAAATTCAGGGTGGATTGTAATGCACACGATTGAGGTCACTAATGCTAATATTAGGGGGTTGTTGTCATATTCAGGCTCCTCTCTAAGCTGATACCGGTTTAATCACGTTTTAGATCACATTTACGAACAACGGAATGCTTTATGTTCAGCATGCAATGCTCAGCTGGACAAAACTATTGACTGGGCTTCTGTCTTCGTCTTAACGGATCTTGGCTACTTTATAAATTTTGAGATTCAAGATCGACAATGCCGGAGGGAGGGGATGAACCCCAAGAAACAGGTCCCGGATCGCCTGATGTGTAAAATACATTAAGGATATAATGGAACTATCTCGATGGAGGAGTGCGGAGGCCTCTATACCCGATGTTCCTGAAAGAATACTTCACGAGGGTACAATTATTTTCGACATTCTACTTCATACTTCTCAGCACCTAATGCATGGCACAGAGAACCCTTAGCAGCTCTTTGGCAGTGTCTCCAAATCCTCAGAAGCATGAGGTGTCGAAAATTGGAAATACTGGGGAACTTATACCTTTTCGACGATGGGATAGAAGAGGAGCGACACCCATTACGGATACAAGGTGAAGGAGCTAGGAGTGATGGTAGAAGAAGTCAAGACGGTATACCGCCATCTACATAGCCTCCCATCCCGAAACGAACATAACACAGTAGGCAGGATGGGGGGCAAGTTGATCTCTGACCAGTTGCGCAGAGATATCAATGGTGCGCTTGGAACTTGGGTCTGGCGGTACGCACCTTTGATGACCGGCTCATCTGGGATTTGAGTTGGTACCTTTGCTCGCAGACCGAAGGTCACATACGACTTTACTAATTCTTTTCCACATTCCCTGCGTGGGCATCCTATTCAATAGTCGCTGCTCCATATCAAATCCTGTCATCGATACACTTTCTTCCGGTATGCATCTAATTTGTGGTGGAAGACTTCCCTTGATAAATTCTAATATACATTTGAATAAAACAAACCATATATATGCCTTGAGCCAATGTAATATCCTGAAATGCAACAAAAAGCACTAGCAACCATGATGCACACCGAACAAAACCTCCCAAAGAGGCCAACTATATACAAAAGAAAGGAAAGTGACCACGCATATGTTACAGCTGTATATAAACAAGTCCAGAATTATTAATACCCAACCCAATCAAACTTTTCATAAAAGTACGAGCTCATTCTCATTACGGGCGTAGTCGACATTGCACACATGTCGACTACCCCCGATAATCCCAGATCCGTTTCTGCTCCTTGACCCACCACCTGCCCACTTTCTGGGCATGTCGGAGCCAGTCAGCCGCCTCTGTGCCATACTTCTTCGATACGGACCGAACAAGCTCCTTGATCGTCCACTCTTCGACCGGATAAACCTCACCCGGATCCTTCTCGAGATGGGTGAACCGGTACTCGAAGCCCTCTTTAAAGGGGAGAACGAGGCGGTATGGCACATTCGCGGCCGAGACGGAGAGCATCGACGCGCCCGCATTGATAAGTCCCATGTTCCACACAGAACGGCCGTCTTGTTCGTTCTTGAACGGACGGATGAGGGATTGTCCTTGGTATTCATGGATCAAAGACGAGGCAATGGCGGTGTCATTTTCATCTAGGGAGTGTGTTTGGACCAGGAGGTCGAGAATGGTGGGGAGGATGGAGATGGAAGTTGCATTGGCGGTAACGTTGACTCGGGGTAGATGAGGATGACGGAAAACGATCGGGACGCGGAAGTTACTGATGTGGCCGTTTTCATAGGTTCCGGTGACCTTGGAGTCCTCGCCAAATGCTTGGCCGCTGCGTTGAAAGAAATAGGTTAGAACATCAGTTGCTATAGCCAGGAAAAAGGGACAAAGGGACATACTGATCACCGACCATCACTACCAACGTAGAGTTGGTAATGCCAGCTTCATCGATGAGGCCCAGTACTTTGCCCAGCCAATCATCAACGTAGCTAATGGTATTTAGGTAGTCATTCATCAGACTATGGTCGACACTCCCCAGATCTCCCATGTACTCCTTCTTGTCATACGACTTCGGGGTATTCCATGGATGATGCGTTGAACTGGTGACATGTGAAAGGAATAGGCGGGTGTTATTGTTCACTGCGTCCAAGATAATATCGCGCATATATGGATAGGTCTCGCTTTCAGCGTAGCTGGATGGTATCTGTTAGAGTATGTTTCTGCAAATAGGGTGGGACCCCAAACGGAACATAAATGGAGAGATAGAGGGGAATAAAGTGCACTCACCCAAAATAGTTGAGTTCGCTTGTTGTAGGAGGATAGTACTTCGAATCAGGATCCCTTAATGTCTCTCGAGTAATTCTAAGGTCGAAGCCCATGTTTTTGTTGAGTTGATATTGTCGGTCATATTCTTCCGTGACGGACTGCACGAAGACTGACATCCACGGCCGTTCCAAGAAGCTGTCGATATCTTTTCCATCATGAGAACTAGAATTGCCCTTGAGTCGATTGAAAAGCTCAAAGATGTGTGGCAGACATGGCTGGTATATATCGAGATTGACCTCCTCCAAAAGGTCCACAGGCAACGGGCTCACACCACAGTGGCTTCCAAGAATGCTTTTAAATGTCAGAGTGCTACCGGTGAGAGCTCCTTGAATATTTATGCCGCCCATTCCAGGAGCAGCGGAATCATGCCATGTAGCATTAGTGAGGTTGCTTATTTGGCCGTTGCTGTCCACAGCATATTCGCCCGTGACCATCTGTGCGACAGGGGTCATTGTCGAAAGTTCATCAATGACTCTCGCCCTGTCCCTCCTCTTATTAGATTCGAGGATGGCGTCATACAATGGAGTCCCAGACTGCATGGGGAACAACTCCTTCCGGCCACTTTCTAGCGTTAGGAGTACCACATGGTTTATTTCGACATTCGATTCCTCCAGAGCGCTCCGTAACGGGGCAAGAATATCACTGTCGAGATTGGAGATTTTCATAGGATCCGTCTTAGGGTTGTAGGGCTCATAGGGGTTTTTGGAGCCTGGACATTCCGGCTGGAAATATTTCATGTCATGCGGATCGATGTCCCATCGACTGAAACCGGGTATATGGGATTCTGGCAACCAAGCTGGGCGTTCGAGAGGAGCATCTACAGTAACGTCGATTCCAGGAGTCCAGCTGGGAGGTTTGTCCATCCCGCCCTCACCACGCGGAGGAAAAAGGTGACGTGGGGGACGACATCCAACGGGCTTCTGAAAAGCATTCAGAAGCGTCAGGGGAAGCGCTCCAGAGAGGTGATCATACGGGATGGATGGTCGGGTAATCTCCAGGAACACAAGCGAGACAGTGAACGCGATAGCCGGGATAATCCAAAGAAAGGAGCGTCGGTTGAAAGTCGACTTGGTCAAGGGGAGAATGGCACGCGGTTCCTTTACGCCTTCCCAGCAATGATCGCGAATAGCCTGCATCCAGCGACCAGTGACGTTGTACAATCGAGGGCTGAGAAACCAGGAAGCGAAGAATATCACCGTCGCGGCTGCGGTGACGCTGGATATGCCGCTCATCAGCAACTTCATTGCTGCGGGATCGCGTAGGAAGCTGTCAGTGGCCGTCCATTCCACCTCCGACCCCGTCTGGAAGAAGAAACCGAACTGAATCGCAGATGCACCCCAGGTAAGAAATCTAGCACGGGACAAGCACACGTCAGCATTGCCGAGGCTCACAGAGAGAGTGAGGGAGAAAGAGGAGGTACGTACGTCAGGACACCACCAAGAACGCATACTGCCAGCTTAGGTTTCGAGTCGGGATTTGGTAGTAGCAAACGAACGATGACGATTACTAGGAAATCGAGTAGAAACAGAGTTGGCAAGTAGAGAACGAAATAGATGAAGGGTAACGACTGTATATGTAGGAAAATGTGCAGAATCTTCGAGGAGAGACCGCTCACAACCAGAAGGGCGAACAGAAACGGCGGGGAAGGAATGAATGACGACAAAGAGAGAGAGGAAAGGGAAGGAAGCGAAAGCGGACGGTACGAAAAGTCGGGCGACATGATGGGATAGGTCAGGTCATGTCCGGATCATGGATGAGGCACGAGGGCACGGCCAAGAGTCGAAAACTGCAAGTGTAAGAAAAACGAACGAAGGGAAACGAAGGAATGTAAAGAGGAAGGAAAGGAAGTGGACACAGAGACAGATGAGGCTGAGAAAGCGACGGAGACAGAGGAGAAGGGGAAAACGAAAGGCAGATCCGACATGCATTATTTTTGGTAATTTTTTTTTCCTTCTTTTCTTTTCTGGAGCCCCGGAGCCCCTGTAAGCGGAACGGCTTCTATTTTGGGACACGCTAAACGCCTTGGCTATATCTTAGCTAACCTCATTCGGGACCGGCACTGTCATTTTCTGCGGGTCCATATGCATAGAAGCCAATAATATACGCAACTGCCACTCATCTGAGCATGACCCACTGCCCCACATGATCTAGCCATTTCTATGGGGATCTCACGTCTGTTCGGTATTATTACACACACGCAGGACGGGCACCAGAGAGATATGCAGTGGGATGGGATGCGTCATCTCTGTATGATGATTGCTTATAATAGTTAGGTAGTATGATCAGACAGCAATGAAGTGCAGGGTGTACCTATATATATATAGTACACTGCACTAGGTGCACAGGGACCAAATTTGTATAACAACCCTCGTATAGCGGGTCTCGTGATCACCTGCCCGACTGGTCCGCCCTTTTGTATGGATCATTATTATTGTGAACATTATCATTGACCAGTATTATTATTACAGGTTTTGCTCCGCCACCGCTATTTGGATGGATTCATTAATGAAGGCACTAAAATATGACTAGTCATCCGCAGGAATGCTCACGTCAGAGAACTTAAGTCGCGACAACATAGTTGAATGTTAGACAATGAGATATGACTGTGTAAGGGACGCTTGCTTATGCGCGTATTATCACCCATAATTGCTCATAATCTGGCCGGATGGTGTCAGACCACTAGACCTGACCTGAATACATAAGGGTAGAATATTATAAAGGCTGTGCCTGATCTGCAGACTCCCGGAGAACCGCGGAAACAAGCTTTTTGCCCCGCATGGCTAAGGCTTGAGAATGAGGTCGACCGTAGTGTTACTCTGCAAAACGGCATTCAACATTGTAAAACTCGTTCCCGGCGCTTGCCCTTGAGATGAAGAAGCATGATGAAAGGTTGGCTTCAGTCCAGAAAACGTAGAATGCCATTATGTGACACCTCTCGCGAATATTACGCCGTAGTATCTATCTGTGCCGGACCAGTCTGCTGTTAAGTCGCCGATTATCAATCAATTGGACCAGACTGGGAACTGCCCGCAGACCTTGCTAACGTCATGCTTCAGCTGAGGCATTTTCCTCATTGATCAAATCTCCATTCTGTGCTTTGCTTTCGCCCCACAATCTTCCCATTCCCAGCCGTAGAAATTCCCGCTTAGACACCGCACCTCAGTCATAATTTATGATCGAACTTGATTTGAGATAGCCTTTGTGGAATGGCTGCTCTATCTCCTAAGTCCAAACATTTTGGGACTAGCCTACTCTTTAGGGAAATGCAAGAATACAGACCACTGGAAAGATAAAGATATCCGTGGAGGCAGTATGTGCCCTAGACGTGGCACATACGAGCCTTTACTACTTGAGAGAAAGATCCTTGCGTGCCAGCTAGTCCTGGGTTATTGCTTATGTGACGAATTTCCTCACAAGAGGGCCCTCACAGGAAGGTGCCCCTTGAAAAACTCCCCTTGAACCAGTATTTCCAAATTGCTATCATTCAAATGATTGGAAGCTCATGACATAACAAGTAAAATGGTCCCCATAATCTGTATGATGACATAGTAAATACTTCCCACCTTGTTGTAAACCCTGAGAAATCTTTCTCATGACAACAGGACCCATGTTGGTAAGGATGGCTCAAGTTGAGCTACATGCTCCTAGATCAAACCCGGAAGATTGCTCATAACTCTTCCGATCATGTCACAGAAATAGAGCATAATCGGTCAAATTTGATAGATGACTTTGGTTTAAATTCATCTGTTTGTAAAGTTGTCGAATGAGCGCCGTTTCTCATTTCTCTGTGTCTTACTTTTCAATGCAGACTACCAGCTCAGTGTTATCTACAGAAACAGAAGAGGGACAAGATGATTAAAAAGATATTGTAGAAATAGGTAAGAATAAGATCAGCCTGAGATATTTGTTTCACTGGTATATCTGCCAGTGCGCATCGCTGTTACATTGGCTGGCGATTTTTCTGTGTGTGACTGGGGACTCAAGGCTTGACTAAACCAGTTCCCGCATAGCCATATGCTAAGAGTGGCTGAAACGATGTAAGAGTAAATCTGAATCCGAATCCGGGTAGTATACTTATAACTAGTAAACAACCCAGAAACTAGCCTGAAGTGGCGAGTGGACTCTTTTTTTGGCTGATGAATTACTCTTGATGGGAGTCAAACTCGCTGAGTTGGTTGTTCTAGCTAGGAGTAACTAGGTGCGTACAGTTAGGTGTATACCAGCAGAAAGGGGGGCTGTACCTATTGGTGGCGTGTGTTGTACTGTATCACTACCTAGGTGCGCATTTCCTAAACCGGCTGTGCTATGTCAAGGTGCAGGTGCAGGAAACAGATTCAGGAGACAGACATCGATTGGATTGAACACACAGGCAGGCTACAGGTCAGGCTATGGTACAAGCAGATAGACAAGACATAGCTCGAAGAGCTACAACAGGATCAAAAAATGTTGGTGGCTCCCATGGTTCAGCTCCTTCCTAGTTAGGATTAGCACTACTTAGTCAGAATGGTGTATTTGTTAGTACACGTGAGGTTCTGCCGTCCTAGACCGCCCTCGCTACCTATCTCACGGCACAGGCAGGCCTACCTAGTAATATGACCATACATGCGCCTATCCATTAGGTTATGAGCCCGTTTTAGCTCTACGATATTGAGCTTAAAAAAAAAAAAAGCCTTTCAGATAGGCTAAATTGTGACCTCTCATTGGTCAAACCAGAAATCGAGCGCTTCTAAGCGACTCTGAACACCAGGATCCTTCGATCGATCCCATCCAAAATGGTGGTGCCTCGAACGCCCCCTACCACCGCTAGACGTCACCGTCGTCAGCCAGAATCCACAGATCCTTCATCAGATATAGGCTCCTCCGCCTCCTCAGTAATCTCTGAAGAAATGGACACCCCAACTGCCCCTAGAGCTCAAAGCTCTACTACAGCCAACACCATGGCATCCACACCAGACATCACAGCTCTGTTCCAGCAGATGCAGGAACAGATGCAGGAACAAATGCAGAAGCAGATGCAGGAACAAATGCAGAAGCAGATGCAGGAGCAAATGCAGAAGCAGATGGACCAGTTCATGACTCGTTTTAATGCCCTTGAACGCCATCAATCCCAATCCTCCACTCCTACAGTCCGGCATAACGCTACTCCCTACAATCATATTCAAAATAATACAGCTATTCCAGCCTCAAATCCAGTACAAAAAGATCCTTTTGATCATGTACAAGCTCAAGTTAAAGCGCTCCTACCAGACCGATGCCGAATCACACTGTCTCATGATAATTACGACCCCTGGAGTTCAGCCATTCAAAGAGAAGCCAATGTCCTGAACGCTAGTACAGTCTTGCATCAGGATATACCTCCAGCAGGATACTCAGCTTATGATGCTGAAGTATGGCATTGCAAAGCCACTGTCATGAGAGCCCGAATGCTTCATGCTATGACTGCCCAAGCCATTGACAAATTGGGCAACACATATGACCTATCAGCCCATGGTTTATGGGACCGAACTGCTACCTTTTTCGGACGTTCTACTGGTGAAGAACGAATGCTTCTCATAAAAGAGCTCAAGGAGCTCTATATAAAAGACAATGACTACCTATCCTACCAATCTGCGTTTACTAGGATAGTAGACCGCCTTCATGCTATAAAAGAAGCTTCATTCGACAACCTTATTCATGACCTATTTTTTATAGGCCTCCGCGAATGGAACAAAGCATTCATTAAGAGTAAACTTGATGAAGTATACTCAACTGGACAAGGCCCTGTCATCAATCTGGACCTACCTACCATTCAAGCTCAACTCTCTATCCGTATGGGCACCCAAGCCCGTGAATCCCGCTCCCAACACGGAGGACGACGAGAGAATCTATCCGGACGAAGCTATTCCAAACAAGCATCTAACCCCATTGCTAGCTCTTCCGCCTCAAGTTCCAACACTAAATATAAACCTCAGGACCAGGACTCACGCAAACCAAAGACCCGTTGTGATTGGTGTGGCCATTTCCACCCAATGCCTTGCCTCTACAAGAACCCTGAGAAAGCCTCTGAGCATTGGCGCCGAGCCAATAAAAATACTATTGAAGCTATTCGTGCTTTACACACTGCTAAAGAATCTTCCACTGCTTCATTCTCTGAAGCAGAAACCAATGAACTGGTACCATGGACTTCTTCAGCCGCAAAAACAGCCATTGCTAAATCAGCCCAATCTCTCCAAGCTTCATGGTATCTTGATAGCTGTGCTTCATTCCATGTTACACCCCATCAAGCTTTCTTCACGTCCTATAAAACATTGAGAAAGGAGGACCTTACTCCAGCAGATTATATTGAAGATGCTCAAGGGAAGATTTCCAAACCTCATGGTATTGGCACCGTCGTCATTGATATTGGAACCGGATCCTTGATCCTTAGGGATGTACGACATGTTCCATCCTTCAATTCCAACTTAATCTCCATGGGAATGCTTCTCAAACAAGGTTTTCGTATCGAATTCCCTTCCAGCTCTCAAGTAGCACAAATCACAACCTCTTCTGGTGCAGAATTTGAAGCCATTTTGAATACCAACAATGTATTCATCCTATCAGATTGCATTTCTCCCGACGAGAGCTCCTATGCCTTTGTCACCACCCGGTCTGGCAAAGAGGCCAACCGACCAGGGGACCCTCCCAGAAAGAAACCTACAACATCCCCAAAGACTAAGAGCTCCAAAACAGCTCTACCAATTATGACATGGCATCGCCGTCTATGCCATTTAAACCAGCAGGATCTTTTACGCCTTGCCGCAGATCCTACATCAGACATTGAAATCAAAGGTTCCAAAGAACTACCACTTTGTGAAGCCTGCATCCAGGGCAAGCAAACTCGCCAATACAGCAAAACACCAAGATCCCGTATGACTGCACCACTAGCCCGAGTCCACATAGACCTTGCTGGTGGCGGCCGAACACTAGATATAGAGAAGCTAGATACGCCTCTACCTTCACGTACAGGAGCCAAATATGTGATGCTTATTACTGATGACGCTACACGTTACCGTTGGATCCACTACCTAACTGAAAGATCTGCTGCAATTGATGCATTTCGGGGTTGGCTACAACAAATGAAGAATCACCATTTCCCTGCCCCAGCCTATATTGTCTCTGACAATGAATTCTGTTCAGCTGAATGGCAGAAAACCTACCGTCAGGAAGGCATTGAATGGCAACCAAGTTCTCCATATTCCCCTTGGCAAAACGGTGTCAGTGAGCGCAGCATACGCATACTCTTTGACCGTGCCCAGACATTAATGCTTGACGCTCCCCATATACCACAGCGATTTTGGGTTGATGCTTTAAAATATGCATCAGATATAACAAACCGCCTCCCAACATCCACAGTCCTATTCAATTCACCTATCCCTGGGGGGGTCAATACCAACACCAAAATCAGCCCAAGCCCATATAAATCGCCTCTGGCTGCCTGGACCAACTCACCAACTAGTATCAACAAATACCGACGTTGGGGCTGCCCTGTCTGGGTTCATCGACATGGCTCAGATAAGCCTATAAACAAGTTCGATTCCCATTCTAAATGCTGCTTCATGATCGGCCAAATCAGTAGCCAACAATATAGAGTGTGGGACCCTAAAACAGACGCCATTTTTTCAACCAATGACACTATATTTGATGAAGAATATGAGGATCCCACAACTACACCTCCACAAGCTACTGTTCCTGAAGATCCAAGTACTCCTAATAAAGAAGATACAAACCAACCTGTTGAAGATGAAGACCAGGAAATATGGCTTCGACCCGCCAAAGGCATGTCCCTAGCCTATCTCACCACTTCAACTACTCCTTTGTCTGAAGATGACACGCCTACTTCCTATAAGCAGGCTATATCTCATCCTGATGCCACCAAGTGGCAAGCAGCCATGCAAAAAGAAGTCAACCAACTCAAAGAAAAAGGCTGCTGGCAACTTATCCGCCGCTCTGACCTACCACCAGGGACCAAGGTCATCCCTGGCCGGTGGGTATACAAAAAGAAAGAAATCCCTGGTACCCCTATTACAAGGGACTACCAAGTTAAAGCTCGCTGGGTGATCCGTGGAAATCTACTTGACAAGGACTTCATGGAACCATACGCCCCAGTGGTAGATGAAAATACCACTAGAACCCTTACGGCACTGGCCACTCTACTTGGCTGGCATACTCGAAAGGCAGATGCCATCCTTGCTTTCCTAAATGGAAAAATGCCCACAGATAAACGTGTCTTTATGACCCAAGTTCAGGGATTCAAAGAAGGCTCTGGAGACCTGGTTTGTGAACTCCGCCAGTCCCTCTATGGACTGATCCCATCTGCCCGTATCTGGTATGATACACTAAATGCTTTCTTACGACAAATCGGCTTCAAAAGCTCCGAATACGACTCTGGTCTCTGGATCCATACCACCCGGACCCAACTCTATGTGACTACCCATGTGGATGACTTCAAAGTCTATGCTAAGCATGAGAATGATGCCACTTGGTTTATGGAGTCTCTTTCTGCTAAATTTGACATAAAAGAAGTTGGAAACTCTACCAAATACCTTGGCATGGCCACCTCTCAATCCAAGACCACATATACTCTCTCCCAGGCCAATTATGCTGAAGACGTTGTTGCCTCTTTTGGCCAAGCACAAGCACACCCTGTTGGGATCCCCATGGATCCTAGTTTAATAATTGATGATGACCCAGACCCTACAGTGAACATCAAAGAATATCAACGTGGTGTAGGCTGCCTTACTTGGCTAGCCACCAAAACCCGACCTGATCTTAGCCGGACAGTTGGCGTACTATCCCAATATCACGCCAAACCTACCCAAAAGGCATGGCGTGCCCTTATACACGCTATACGCTACCTTAAAGGCTCCATTAACCGACAAATTACCTACCATAAGGCCACGGAACCCATTACATCTGACCTCCTCATGCCCAGATGTTATACTGATTCTGATTGGGGTGGTCAACTGACAGGCAATCGCCGGTCAGTATCTGGATATATATTTCTGCTTGCCGGGGCCCCAATTGCCTGGAAAAGCCGCAAGCAAACGTCCGTTGCACTTAGCTCCAACGAAGCTGAGTATATGGCTCTAAGTGAAGCCAGCCGAGATGCCCTTTGGCTCCGGAACCTCATCAACGAGCTCAACGTACTCCCTACTGAATGCCCACCAATTACTCTCCATATCGATAATCAAGGTGCACACGCCATGGCTGAAGCTGAGCTCACCACCAAGAGATCCAAACACATCGATATACGTTACCATTACGTTCGGGAGAAGATCCAAGACGGTATTGTTAAACTCCAGGCCTGCCCTACCAAAGAACAAGCAGCAGACGGCCTGACCAAACCTCTCCGAACTGAACAATTTGACCATTTCCTACAACTCACTGGCATAAGCTAAGCCGCGTATATCTCCCCCATTTTGGATATATTTTCTATTTTGATATACGGCATTCGATTGGCTAAAGCAGAACCTTCATTCCTCTGTTTATTTTTGCATATATTCACTCATTTGAAGGCCCGAATAGAGGCCGATTTCTGTATTTAGATTGATTCCATAGTTTGTAGGCTGCTCGTGCGTGGGGGGGTGTTAGTACACGTGAGGTTCTGCCGTCCTAGACCGCCCTCGCTACCTATCTCACGGCACAGGCAGGCCTACCTAGTAATATGACCATACATGCGCCTATCCATTAGTATTGTTGGGAGGTCACGTGGGTTATGCCCAGTTAGACCGCCCTCGCCTGACCTAGTAGAGCTGGTTCTGGCACCTAGATACATGACCAATACAATACACGACATACCTCCATTAGGTTATGAGCCCTCGCGCTCTCACCGAGCATTAATCTAAATTGATGCCATCTAGAATGGACAGAGAGAGCCTTCTTAATTGGTTAACTCGAAAATCCCAGCGAAATCTGCCACTTGGATGGTAGATACGCGACCTACATTGAAGTTGACAAGTCGATACCCAAGACGCCCAGAACGTCGATTCTACAGACCAAACCTCTGGTATGGAGCCATCAGAACCATCTACACCTCCCAGTACAGCCAGAAGAAGGTCTATATTCGAAAACGAACGGCTCAGCATGGACGATACGCCTACTCCCCTTCCACGGCCACCGTTGGATCGACAAGGTGAATCACAACAATCACAGATGATCCCTCAATTTGACACAAATTAAGTGCTTTTGAAAATGATGCAATTCATGGAAGTCATAGATAAAAAGGCAACAACTTATGCAGGAACAATCCTACATCAACAGCATAATCCATCATTCTTCAAAACTAATACAACTACTGAAGATAGAGATATTGCTAAGCTCTACAACTCTCTTCAGCTTGAAGTAAAGCATTTAACAAAAGAAATCAAGGAAATTTGGACAGATGACTGCAAGGTGACCCTACACATTGTAAAGGGGGGCGTACGTGCGTTGTTCCCTGCGACAGGAACCGGGTTGTGGTCGAGGAGTCTTGGGGGTGAATATACTGAAACAATGCCGCGATACAACACGGCGAAGGACAATTTAGTAAGGGAAGCGCTATAATGAAAGAAAAGACGCAATGATGTTGGAGCCAAGCTCTGTACTATACGACGATGATGATGATGACGATAACGATACTAGTGAAGCAACTCGAAAACGAAAAGCATGCCTATTCTTCATAACTACCTAAGGAGGGGGGCTCGCCTTAAGTACCCTTCCACCACGAACTCCACCATACCTAAGTATGGCGGAGGCCGTGGCCCGACAATATCTCAGGATAAGAAATAGAAGGAAAAGAGGGTCCTATCCATGAGCTTGCAGTGCCCCCGGCACAATGACATTTATGGTATATTATCCAAGCATCTTCATTTTGCCAAAAGGATCTTTTGTCCATGATCAGCAAAGTGAAGAATGAAAACAAGACTGGGCAAAAACAAAAGAAGAATATCCATAAGATGAGGGTGTTGAAAAATTCCGAAATCCTGTGAAATGCCAGCCTTCAAGATAGGAGGGAAGTAGGCTTTGCTTATAGCTTTATCAAAATTAATAGTACTCCATTTCTTTTCTACTGGGTAACACTTGCTTTAGAGGATTTGCCACTTGAGGCCATTTGATCACCATCAGCTTTCTGCTTGCATCATTTTTGTGATGGGCAAATTTATGGCCATAGGTAGATTGATAGGCCTAGCACTATTATTGAGCTAACCCATGCAAAATGTAGGAAGTGAGCAGCTTATGTGACATGCGACTGACCACCGAGTAGACCCTGAGCATTCTCTGAGTGCTCACCCATGATGAGAAATACTTACTGATCATCACCCTGAGTACCCTCATGAAGATGATGGCATCTGGAAGGGGAAAGTCTGTGATAGTAGTAAAGAATTCCTATAAGGGACATATAGACATTCCGTGGACGTACTCCTATTTTATGCCAATGATATACTTCCAAGCATTCCATCCAAATGATTTCCCTTCTGAAAAGATATATTTACAATATCAACATACCGTATACACCATACTCCACAGATAGGCCATCCATCAATGGCGACAACTGTTTTATACATGTACAGCTCAAGATTGTTGATATCAACCAACCTCCGAGAATACCCCCTTCTTCCCCAACCGTCCCAAAACCCCCTTCTTGAGCCTCAGGAGCCCCTCGATCTCCCCATCCGATAGACCCTGCCGATCCCGCATGGAAAGCGCCTGTCGAATCGTCAATGCATCCAAATACTCCCTTCCTGCATAGCTTTGTTTCCCAAACGACTCTGCCTCAAGCTCCGCCTCCTTTGTGATTCGCTGCCGTGCGCTCCAGACAAGCAATGCAGGATTCGAAGCCTGTGGGAACACGGTGTTCGTCCTGCCTTTTTGTGTTGCATTGAAGGTGCTTGAATGCGACAAGGTAGGGTTAGGCGTTACGGGGCCGATGGAGCGCAGAGAGGCTGCAAATGTGGGATCTCGTGCGTCTAGGTCGATTGCTAGCGGTTCGTTGAGTGGTTAGCATCGGTATTTTAAACTTAAGCACCCCGGGGGCGAGATTTGAACCCTCATCCCCCCTGTTTTGTGGCATTGGAAATAAAAGAAAAACGCTCAGATTCTTTGTTCATTATACATACCCTCTGATCGCACAGTGGAGGGTTGTTCCTTTGCATGATATACTGGTCCTGGAGGGCGTCTGCGCCTTGTTGTTTCTGGTGGTACTAGAGTCGACGGAGCTTGCGTGGTCGTTGCTGGAGTTGGATTCTTGGGATATTGCCGGCGTGAGACGGCTCTAGCCGCCGAACCCGCAGGTTTAGAGGATGATGAGCCCATATAGGAAATGAAATGTAGGTGAGGAGCTGCTATGATTGTGTATGAAGAGGGAACCACGGGGTAGGCCGATACCCGCAGAAAAATAATGCGGCGTTACCGCGGTTAGCAGCCGCGCTTGGATGACGTCAGGACAGAGACAATGCAAACGTGGGACTTGAATCGTATGCTAAAATAGTACTCGACAGCTGTTCCACATAATAGGAAAGGTCCTCATATACTGCTTCTGTGTCTACTAAAGTCATGCTACGATAATTGTCATATACGATGCAAAGAAGCCATGAAAGCCCCGGGTCATGATGCCAGGGACTCGATATTTTAGAATACCTCAGTGTAAATAGTACTAGGATGCTCATCTTAGGCCAGCAAGACGCCGTCCTTGAACCTCGCCCAAGGCCCGACTGCCACTGATGAACGCCACAACACCAACTGCAAGAGCAGCCGGAAGGGTCTGGAAGAGGTTCCACGAAGTATAGTATAAGAAGAAGACACCTTCAAGGCCAACGAGTGATCCGACAAATACAACATGAGGCAGTGGTGCCGATTTCAATGCCATTGGAAGCTGTTTAGTATTCGCACCAATGGATGTCCACTGCAGGATGAACTGGTTAGAATCAAAAGAGCCTCCGGTCTGTTCTGCATAGGAAGACACTCACCAGAGTTATCAGAGCCGCGAAGGGTATTAAGAGGACCATAGCAACAAAGTTAAGAGTCACAAAAACCGGTGGGCTTTCCGGGTTTGGCTTAAAAATATGATGTATTTCGGGGAGTTTGCGTTGCCGCGAAGCCTCCGTCGATGGCAGAGGCACGTCCGCTTCACGGGCTATCGACAGCTTGAAGGCAGCGCCGTTGTATGCTTGCGAGCTGCCAAACGACCCTATCACAAAGTTGGCGTCAAGACCTTCGGGCGTGCTCAGAAATTGAGCGGGAAGATCCTTCTGAGTCTGTGGCCAGTGGGAATTGCGTCAGCTGTCCGAACGCGAAGGCATAACCTATTTCACTTCCTGCCATGTCGCTACTCACCAGCTCAATCCTCGACTTGCCATTTTCTCTAACACTAAACGGATAAGAAATATCTAAGCCAGTAGCCGGATCTGTCAAAAGGAGAAAAGCTTGGTGTGGTCGTTTCGGAGTGCGTGCTTCCTGCGCGACCAGATCGACTTTCAGCGTATCTGAGCTTCCGAGCGAAATCGGTTTGGAAAGCGGCTGGCCATCGGGAATTCTGCACCGAAAAGCAAATTATTAGAAAAAGATGGTAATTAATTTCCAAATGCTATAAACATGAGACAGATAGATACCGTTCTTTTAAACCAACCCCGACACCAGCTCCCTTGGACTGGACTGACACGGTGGCATCAGCGACACCCCATGTCGAAGCTGCTCCAATGGGAAGGGCTGCGGAGGCAATCAGACAGAACTGAAGAGCATTGTGCCAAAAGTGCATGGTGAACTAAGCAGCTCTGAAAAATAAGGAGACTGAAGAGAGATAGGGAATGGCGAAGTGGGATACCAGCTGCCAACAGCACGGTCGGTCGGAGATGCATCCAGGAAGCACGGGAAGCGCTAGGGCAGGAAAGGCGGCACTGGGGCACGCCTGGTCCTGTGACCGGAGGCCTGCCAGTACAAGCCCTAAGTTCCCGGATCCTGACGCTGTCCGCAAATTGCCTGCCTTCTTCTTTTCGACCAGCGTAGCAGCTGTCCTCGCCGCGGATCAAAGACTCGCAACCCTACTGTCAAACTGAATACGCGTTACCATCCATTTGCGACATGATTTACGCGATATCGTGCTACGTTTGAGCCGCCTCCTGATCTCGCAGGACGACTTCACATCAACCCGGTTCGTCTCCGCTTCACCGAGACAATTCACTTTCCCTGGCAGCTCCCGACCTGGCTCACTGCAAATTCCCTGACAACCATGTCGATTTTGTTTGTTTATTACTGCAGGCGAGTTGAAGATTAGGATATTTAGTTGCTTTCGTGTCGAGTTAGTTGGACTTGGGACGAATTTTTGTGGTCGTTACTGTCGCAAGCGACGGTTTTCTGACTTTTTACCCTGTCCCGTTCTACAGAATCCAAACATGCAAGACAGCTAACTTCTTAATATTTCATCAATATAGGAGGAACATATGACTCGTATTCACTTTTGATACCCCCCGGAGCCTCAGTCGCCAAGTTCCGATTGCACAGCTTTGCCTCGAGATTATCCATAACCCTCCTTGTGGACAACGGCCCACCTAACACAATTATCAATACGCTGGACTCAAGACAGAAGATCGGGCAAGGACGTTAAATAGTAAGCGCACGACCTATTGTTGAATCATCCCGATACCTGTTATTGGTATGGGTCTGTAATAGTTGTAGAGAGAGGCGCATTTATGCTGGATGCGATTCACTGGACTTGGATGGTTAAGCTGACTCGACGCGTGAATTACAATAGTGGCTGGCAAAACCTCTCTCTCTCATCTTCTTTCTCCTGCTGATGTCTCTGATGAACTCCAGGTAAGTGAAGAAAACGATTCCCTGACTCATCCACCTCCATTCAGCGCTGATTAGCCCTAACGCACTTTTCCACCGTCTTAGTCGAGAAGCCGCCGTCACTCTCCTAGAATATCTCATAGAGGATCCCCTGACTCCGAGCTTAACTCTGCAAACACCTCTCGCTCCCCTTATTCTTTCCCTTCTACACCCTTGATCACCTCGTTCGAAGATACTTTTCCTACCGACAAGCGTCGAAAGACTCTATCCAACACACCAAAGTCCTTGCCGGCTAAGGACAGTGAAACCCCCCCCCAATTACTCCATCCAACACGAAACCCCGATGGAGAAACGGTCGAAATGAATGGTTCCTACGGAAGCATGTCTAGCACTAACGGGGCACTTGCTGGCAACAAGAGCATCACCACTACGCCATACGACGCAGGAACTGAGGCTGATAGCTTGAGTAAAAGCGCTGCCAGGACCGCTGACTTTCAGCAGTCGTATCTTGCTCTGAATTACCCCGTTGTTCCTGGTCCGCAGGACGGACAGACCAGGGCTCTTCTCCCTAAGGGAAGCCCTAGAAGTACTATTTCCAAGAGCGGCCATCGAGCCAGGAGATCTTTATCCGCGAAAGTCAGAGACTTTACGAGACGACTCGGCCGTCACAATCGTAATACAGTAGGAGTCAATCAGGACGCTGAAATCCCGCGTGCCTCGTCGCAGCCGGCTCCAAACCTGACTTCCAGCCTTGATAATGGCAGGCCTAGAAGTGCCCACAGTGCTGGAATGCACAGCCCCATCACTAAAACCCAAACCGGGGATATTGCGTCGACTCCTATTATGGACGGGAAGTCGCCTGAAATTTCCCAGCACCCGAAAGGCGACCACGTCATCGATAATAATGCCCAGGAGAGCAATGCGGAAGTATCCGATGATCTTTCTTCATTTGATTTCGATGGAGACCTGCATCATGACTGCTTTGGTCTTGATGGCCAGGTAGATCTCCCTCCTTCGGCTGCAAGTGCCTCGACTGCCATGTCTACTGGTCTCAGAACCTCCGGCCGTACTAGGAAACCCACTATTAGGGCTCTTGAGTCTATTGAATCCCAGCAACGGCTGCGCAGGGCCAAGACAGCCGCGAAGAAAGTGGAGCCCTCGGATGTCCGAGAGCCCAAGGACAAGGTCACTCCCTCCCAAGGAGAACATGCCATTCCCCCGGCACCTGAATTTGAGCAAAACAAACTGGACCTTCAGCAGATATCTAAACAACTGTTTGACGCTGCGGTTGCCGTTCTCTCATCAAACCTCGATGATCCTCTGGACGTAGATTCTGTCCTGGACGAGCTCCGGAAAGAGTACGACGAGGCACAGAAGCAAGCTGCGGACGTGTCTGTGTCCAATGGTACTAGGCTGGGGGGTAGTAAACCGGGCGAAAGTAGGCCATCTCCGAACAAGACATTTCTCTTGCGTAACCATCCACAAACTGGAAATCCGTGGACTGACGAGGATGGATGGACGCACACAGGTCATACTAACACTTTCGGTGAAGAAGTTGTGGTGGTGCCAAAGAATTTCGAGTGGTATCGACCAAAAAATACTTACGGGGATGACCAGCTCCCCATCCCGCCAATTCGAGTCAAATCCGAGGAGCAGGTCAAGAAAGATCGGATCTTTGGATATCCACCCCCGGTTGGGGAACGCAACATTCCTCGAGGTTCGCAGGCGCTATTTGTTGTAGAAGATGTTGAAATCGAAAAAGCGAAGGTTAGGGCTCGTGAAGAGGCTCGAAAGAGAGACATAGTCGTGCACTCATCGATGTCATTGGATGAGCTACGCGGCCTTATCAGAGAACATGATCGGAAAAGTTCTTCAAACACCAGATCGAGCACGCCTGAACAGGCCGCGCCAGTCCCGTCTGACAGTGAATCGGGAAGACTTCGTAAGAGACGTCGCGACAAGGTTCCAAGCAGTGAACCGCAACCGAGAAGACGACGTCAAATTCATATTACTCGAAACGCTACAGATAATACTTTCACCGCTGCTAGCAGCCCTGCTGCTAGTCCTGCCACTCCAAAGGGCAACTCAAGGGAGTCGCCTATCCCGATGCCTGCTGGCCTAAGGAAGAATGGGAAGAACTCGCCTACTAAGGGGAAGAAACGTACGCTTACAGATTCTGAAACTCAGGAGGAGCAAAAGCCATTGAAGAAACTTAAGCTCATCATAACGCGGCCGGGGATGAGAAGGGAAGTCACTTCTACGACGAATGCGAGTGATCTAAATAGCCAGACTTTGACTGTTACCACTACTGCAGTCCACAATATCACACCAGACGCCCAGCTCGCTAGTAGTGCTGAGCCAAATGGAACAACCCAATTTACCATTCACAACGGCGAGAACACCAGCGGACGCCCTAGGCGCCGCGCTGCCGCCGCTGCTTCGGCCGCAAACACCCAGACCAGTGGCAGAAACCGCAGGACTAATAATACGCACAAGAGAAAGGCAACGGAGACGACTCAAACCCAAAATCATATTGAGGGCGAAGGCGATGGCGGTTCGGGTTCTCAGATACCTGAATAGGACGCTTGTTGAGTTCTTGTTGACTATTCACCGGCACGGTCATCGATTCGATGAATTTACCACCTACCATTTGCAAAAGCATGGAATTGATCCGAGAAGAAGGCAAGGTGAACTAGAAAGTTCTACTTATCATTGTTTACTATGGAGATGGGTTCGTATCCTTGTACAACTCACCATCGGAAAAACAAAGCATGAAGTCAGTCATGGGGTTAGGCGCACGTTAAGGTGTTGGGGCCCAGATTTTAATTTCGTTACTTCAGGCGTCATGGATTCGACTGGACCTGAGCTGAGAAAGAGAACATCGCATAGCGGGAAATGATTCAAATTGTCGGGGCCGGTTGTTTTTTTTCTTTTGCTTTTTCTGTTGCGGGTTTCCTCCCTTCTTTGTCCCCGGCCATCCTCCTTAGAGGATGTGATATGATATGATATGGATATATCATCAAATGACCTGTACTTGCAACAATGCGGTATTTAAATACCATGCCTGGACTAGTTAAATAGGAATATGTAATGGAGCACTGGGATTAGGCATCACACTATTCAGCATAGCGTACCTGTAAGAGCAATCAACACAAAACCCAACGCTTCAGATCACGAATAAACAGTCTTTCGAAATCCTATCACTCAGATCAGGTCAGGGATAGCCATTCACATGAACACACATGCATGCAGGTGCAAGTTGATTGCGGCAAGCCAAGTACCGGTTCTGCATGTTATTCCTGCATGTCACAAATCAATGCGATCAATGCGTGTCGCTGGACGAATCTCTGATCCCTGCTCGACGCTGGACCTAACGTTACAATGATATTGAACAATGGAAAATTAAAAATAATCAAAAGGGAAACATTCGGACTGGATGGGAGATCGCCCCCTTTTTTTTTTTTTCCCCTACATTGCATCTACGATGCCGATGCCCGTGGCGGGGTAAAATAGAAATACGCTGCGAGAACAGACTTTCTACCCCTCGTACCGCGCATATACCTGGTTTTGGGAAGGAGTTCGCTTGCGTTCCAGTCGTGCCCAGTATGCAGCGTATACCTACCCAGTACGGATTGTAATACTAGCTATCTGCAATTCTTTAATGCCTAACGATCCTCCTGCATGCTTCTATGTCGCACTGAAGACATGCAATGCATGCATAGGTGGCATGGCATACATTAGCACCCACCACCCACTGCGCGCCTGACAGGCTTACGGCGCTGTACGTGTACATTTGAACCATCATGTTGGAGGGTGGGATGCGGCAGTGCTGGGAGTAGCTGGGAGTAGTATAGTTGCATCTGTCGAGGCTTTGATGATCTCTCGGCATTGTTATTTGATGGATGATTCTTTCTGTCGTTTCTCAGGCCTGCGTGCATGCAGGATGTATCCATGGCTGCCATCTGTTCCTGAAGATGTAATACATGGCGTGGAACTGTTGGAGGATCTATCTCCACGTCAGCATAGGACATATCGTATTCTTGAGTTTGATGCTTCCTCCTGGTACCGTGAATCGTACGTAGCAATGGACCAGCGCGGGTTCCCTGGATTTTGTCCTCAATTCTGATGTATAAAGCAGTATGCACATACAGATCGAGGAACAGTAACCAATCTTACGGACAGCAAAGCGCCTACGCGTGGGGAGAAGTCGAGGTCTTGGCATGGATTAGACGGTGTGCGGATCGGCCAACTTGCACTTCAGCACATCTCCTCCTCAAGCCACTGACAACCCCAACCCAATCCCGTCTCTACAAGTTGCCCACTCGCTCTGCTCACCTCCAACAGGAATTTCTCCCCGCCTACCGTGATCAAAAGACCCGGAAAGAGGAAGCCAAGACATGGCCGCCATCCAGCAATGGACCGTAACTGAGGTGCGTATTGCCAGACTCACTACCAACGGGGTTTGTTTCTTTATTGTCATTTTTATTTCTCTTTGCTCGTAGAAGAGAAAAGAGAACTCCAAAGCAAGTTTACAGAATGATTGACGATGATTCTCCGGTGCCGTTCTTTTCTCTCGCTCCAAACAGCCATACATCGACACCAAAGGAACCCTCCTGGAAGGACCGTATCATGACGAAAAGAGAAATGAGTTCCGCTTTGTCGACATCTGGGATCACAAGGTCTATTTCATGGACCTGGCCAAAGGTCCCGATTCCCTGAGATCCATCGAGACAGCCACGTCCGTCGGGTAGGTTTCTCTTCCATCGGCTTTCTCGCCGTGTGATGGTTCGTCTCAAAAAGTCTCATACCTATGTTTCCAGTGTGACAGCCGACGTCGTTGCCGACGGAAGTTCCAATGCCAATGCCAACACCTACAGCGATCAGATGATCGTAGGCGCTAAGCATGGTTTTGCCCTGCTTGACCGTCGGACTGGGGCGTTGTCTTATCTTCGCAAAGTATGGGATGGGGAAGAAGACAGTGCTGTGAGAGCCGACCTGTAAGTGTGCATATAAAATCACGCGCATACAGCGTTTGAATACACGATTGCTATGATCTACATGCAAATAATCCAGGGTCGAACTGACTGATCGAACAGGATGCGGTCCAACGACGGCGCCGTAGACAGCCACGGGAGGTTCTGGGTTGGCGCCATGAACGACCCCAAAGTTAAGAAACCCATACAGGAAGGCGTCCTGTTCAGACTGGATCCGGATCTAAAGCTTCACCGTATGCTGGAGCAATTGACTATCCCCAATGGCATTGGCTGGAACGACCGGGATGACACCATGTATGTAACTGACTCTCCAACTGGACGGATATACGCGTTCGACTTCGATGCCAGTACCGGCGCCATTAGCAACCAGCGGGTGCACTTTCAGCTCAGCGAACCCAAGGAACCGGATGGCTTTGCCATCGACACGGACGGATGCATCTGGAGCGCCATCTACGGCGGTCGCAGAGTGATCCGGATCTCCCCCGAGGGCAAGGTCATTGGGGAGGTACTCTTGCCCACACGAAACGTCACCTGCTGTGCCTTTGTAGGCACCGAGCTGTTCATCACGACGGCCAAGGATGAGCCGAACGATGAGCTTCCCAAGTCCGAGTTGTACGGAGGGAAGGTGTTCAGGGTTGACGTCGGGATAAAGGGCCAACCAAAGAACCAGTTCCGGTTTCAGAAGTGATTGATATGGGGAACTGAACACGACCAGTTTGTGAATGTGCAGCTGTAGATAGGTGCTAATAGACTCCATGACTGGATTTGATTACGAAGCAGATGTCACCCCAACATCGAGTTTCAACCCAAGCAGAACGCATGACTATCTAGGGCAACGAGTTCTAGACCCGATTCAGAAGCTCCACGGAGATCCCATCTGTGCCGCGGGGAAATGGGCGCGCGGTAGGTGGATATCTATATCTATATATGCAGCATGCACTGCTGCCCTGAAGGTTGACTAGCTTGACGTCGTAAGCGCCTTGGACTTTCAGATAATACGAGAGGATCAGCGGCAAGCATAGGGGAAAAAAAGAAACAATAGTTCGATCCATTCAATCTATATTCATTTTCCTGCCGAAGCTATCTTTCTCCATGGTATGTAGTGATATATGTATACGTTGTCGGTGGATGGCCCGAAAGCCCCGAAGGCCCGAAAATAAACATTTACTACCGAGTAAATAAAAGATAAGTGCTATTATTAATTAAGGAGAGAAACTGTGCGAGTTTCAGTTTCAGGCACCCTGTTAGGCTGACTAGCATATCACATTATCTCTTCCGCGCAGTAGTTAATATTGAGCAGCATCAAGGATAATAGAGGGAACATCCGCGTCCGCTTCACCGCCATGCACCAGGAGCACGTCAACGCCGTTCCTGTATCATGATCATGCAGGATGACATCGTGGGCGTACCTGGGATAGTTACATGCTCTGTGAATCTGTACTAAATACTACTAAGTAGAAGGCACAGGATTAAAAGCGAAGCACTGGCCAGTACGGCGCTATTATACGAGGCAGTTAATATTAACCCGTGAGGGATTTACAGTCTCATCCCATTCAGGATACAGTTAGGTAGTACTCCGTAGTGTCCCATGCATTATTGCAAGCAAGAAAAAAAAAAAAAAAAAGAAAAACAAAAAAGAAAAAAACAAAAACAACCCGAGCCAGTTTCTTTCCTGAATTGGCTAGGCGTAGACCTCCATTGCCACGTGATAGACAGCTGGTGGATACTTTCGGCATTGGGAAGAAGAGAGATTTTCATTTTCCAGTGTCGGTGTGGCTAAGTTCGAAGTTCGGTTACAACTTACGGCAGCAAGGCAAGACTGAGCTGAGACGGTAATATGGAAGCTATCGGAAGTGGGTACAGAACGATTTGTGGGAGAGCTTCAATATCCCCATCAGCACTTGCAGACATGCTATGCTGCCTTTTAGGGGGTGGACTCAGTGGAGGATGTGCAATAAGACGTTATTGCTGTGCTCGGTTAGAGCCTAGTCTACACAGCACATAGTAGATACTTACTACGGAGTACATAGGCATCGACCATAGCGCAACGGACAATACCCGAGTACCGGAGAGCCGGGAGGCCATTGCCCAGCCAGCATGGCGGATGTGGCCGGAATGGTGCCAAAGCTAATGCATGAATCCCTGCAGCAAAGAAAAGCATTCTCTGCCTTTTGTTTCGTTTCCCTCCTTTTCGTTTCTCTGGGATCCGGGGGTTGTGGTTCCACTGGGGTTGGCTATCAGGGTCTACACATAACCGACCCCTACGGTAACCTTCGGGGTCGCGCGTATTGCGCGACCCTGACAACCACCCGAGCACCCCAGCCACCCGAGCACCGATTTTAGAACTTCGTAGAATTCCAACCCATCAACTTTATCATATAATTCAACCACCACCACCATGCCCAAATTCAATAAAAATTATGAAGATCGAATGCTCAAAGCTATTGACGCGTTAAGCACACAAAATCCCCCAAATATCGCCAAAACTGCACGTGAATATGGAGTTAAACGGCAAACCCTCTCCGCAAGGTGGAAGGGACGGTCCAATCTATGTGAACGACCACCAACCAACACCAGATTATCAGAAGAGCAAGAAAAGGCTCTGTGTCACTATGTTCATACTCTAGAGCAATTAAATATAAAGCCACTTGCACAAATGATCCAATCAAGTGCCAATTCTATTCTGAGATCAACCCATACCAGCCTAGACACCCCTCCACCTACTGTCAGCGAGAAATGGTTAAACTGATGGCTAGGAAGGCATCCTGAATATAAAAGACGTCGCTCTAGAGCTATAGAGCTTGACCACAAGCGTGCAGAGGATCATGAGGTTATTCAGGAGTGGTTTCAGAAGCTCCATCAGACCATCCAGAACCATGGGATATTAAAGGAGGATATCTACAATTTTGATGAGACTGGCTTCAATATCAGTGTTGGTTGTGATCAATGGATTATTACCAGGGACTTCAATATTAATAAGCCTCATATTGGGATGAATTCAAACTGTGAATATGTTACTGTGGTTGAAGCAGTCAATGCAGATGGCTGGACCTGCCCACCACTTATTCTCATGAGTGGTAGCTGTATACTTACAAATTGGTTTGAAGCTGCTGATATTCAACAAGACTATTCAATTGGAGTATCAGAAAATGGCTATATGACTGATACAATTGCCTTCCAATGGATTCAGTCATTCTATCGGCATACTAAAAGATATAGGAAGGGTCAATATACCCTTCTTATATGTGATGGATACGGCTCCCATCTAACACATGAATTTGTTGAATTCTGTGAGAAGACCAATATCATCACCTTCTTCTTACCTCCATATACAAGTCATTTCTTGCAGCCATTGGATGTTGGTGTTTTTCATGCATATAAGCACTGGCATTCAGAAGCAGTTGCAGATGCAACCTACTCAGAATACAGTAAATTTACTAAGGTTGAATTCCTTCATGCCTTAGGGGCAATTCGCAAGAAGACATTCAAAAAGCGTACTATTCGGCATGGATTCCAAAAGACTGGCATCATACCATTCAATCCATCAATTGTACTCAATCAAATGCCTCAACCACATCATCCATCCTCTTCATCCACCAATACCAATGATGTTGATTCCTGGGGCAGTACGCCAAAAAAAAGCTGAATGATTTAGGGAGATTGGTGATAGGATATGGGAGATTCATGATATCAACAAGGATCAATTTAATGAGGGCCTAGAGCTGCTTATTCATGGTGGTAGTATGCTAGCATCATATTCAGCTGCTATCGAAGCTGAGCTTGACCGGTATATTAAAGCTGCTAGGGACCGCGCAGCTTGATCACAGGCCTCTAGGCGCAGGATTCGCAAGGGAGGCATAGTATCAAGCTCAGAGCTTGAAGCTATAAATCGAAATACTGCGAATATTAATGAGCAGGCTGAAATAAAGAGGTGGAGGACTAAGTATAAGCGTTGCCTACCAGAGCTGCTGGATGTGTGCATTCGACGAGGAATTATTATACGAAGGCAACGACATGCTAGGGCCCAAGCTGAAGAGTAGAGCTTTAGTTTAAATATATTTTGAAGTTAAATACTATAGAATTCGTTGAGATATTGAAGCTAGAAGGGGGGGGTCTAAAATTGGTGCTCGGGTGGCTGGGGTGCTCGGGTGGTTGTCAGGGTCGCGCAATACGCGCGACCCCGAAGGTTACCGTAGGGGTCGGTTAACCATAGTTCACTGAAAAAAAGAAGAAAAATCTAGAAACTCGAACTAGCTTTCGCAGAATGACAACCGCTCCACGGTTCATTATTTTGTCACTGGTGACTCAGAGCTGAACTATTATCTCCACTTCCCGTGTGGGAAACTATTGCGTGGAGCCATCTGGCTCCTGCGGTGTAAGCTAGATTATCCCGTAGACTAGGCCTTGGAACCAGTTGTCCCTGACCATAGGATGAGATGGGGACGGATGGGCCATGCCACTGAGCCGGTAGCTAGTGTGGACGCTGTGCTGCATGTCATTGATGTAATGGTAATATAATCATGATAATACTCATGATAATGCTCGTTGCGTTGGCTGAAGCTCATTGCCATGGCAACGTGGGCTGTCCTCCGTACCGCGTGCATCTGCCGATTCTTCCTCCCAAACTGTGCCTGTAGGATGCGTATTGATGTCTGTTGTAGCTGGTATGTACTGCCAGAAGCAGCGGTCTGATGGCGTGTTGTGTCTGTCTGTGGACAGCTGGTTAGCTTTCGAAGGATGGAGCATTAGGTGATGCCTGTTCCGGCCAGTCTCCTGCCCAATGATGGCTGCAATGTACTTTTTGCTCGCTGGAGCGTTTCGCCCTGATAGAAACTAGAAGTCAACGGACGGCGTACGCGGATACACCGTCCGTCCCCCGGGAAATCGTGATTAATTCCGTCCTTGGGACCGATGCGCCGTTGATCCCCTTCGCGCTGCTGCGATTACCGGTATCTTTGTTGCTGCGTACGGTACGCCGGGACCCCCATTGCTTGCATATTGCCAGCGGACACGATTCCACCCATCTGGGGTCTCGTGTCGATGCCCAACGACAACGTAGCATGATGCTTATGATAGCTTCCCACATGTCAATCTGGACAGACAGACCATGATCATCATCCCTGGTAAGAATGAAGGCATTCATTGGCGGAGGTGTACCGACATGACTGGTGACATGTACAGTTGTGCGGGCTGCAGTATCTGTATGCGCAGATGCAAGACCAGTGTAATTAATTAATCCTCAACGGGGAACCATGTTGACAGTCGAAGCCAGGGCTAGGTGATTGGCCGGCAAGGCCATCTGTTCTGCAACTATCGTGAAGCCGTATGCGTCCAAGGTTTGGCCATGCGACGGCCGATTCCCTGATCTTCCCTGGAGTTGGTTCCCAGTTTCGGCTCGCGTATCAGAAGCCGACTCCGCAGTGGATGATCGTTCCATACATCTTTTTCTTCTTTCTTCTTTTCCCTTTTCCTTTTCGGCATGGAGATCCGGAGATTTGTCTGGACGAGTCCATGCTTTGCATTACACCACACCATGTCCATGCGCAGGAGTCTTCAGAGAGAAAGAGACAGCGAGACAATGAAGGTGAGGAGAGAGAGCGTTCATATGAACAGGACCAAATCCACTAATGTGCCTCGGGCACAGATAGTGGCAGCCATCACACTCAGCACCAGGGCCCAAACCCGCCCGGCGCAGCTTGCTGTCCATGGACTCGGTGACAAACGCGCTCGCACTTGCATAACCGCCTATTTCTTAGTCTCCCAACAGCTCCATATTGGATCATGTTATGATGTGTGTCCCTTCTGTTAATTATAACTAGTCTTATATTCTGCCTGCAGCAAATCACATTTTTCCCCTGTTCCTTTTTTTCTGCGCCAATTGATTTGTTTTTCTCTCTGCTATCTCATGCCTTTCCGACCATCCCCGGCCCATCGCCGTGGCTCATTTCTTTATTTTTATTTTTATTTCTGGTTTTATATTATTCTTCTCTATTTTTCAGATTTTTTTAATATTTTTTAATATCTGTTTCTGCGCCTGCTGGTCCATTCCCCCCACATTGGCAGCCAAACCTGGGGCGCTACGAATCGCCAGTAACCCAGAACTTTGGCCAGTGAAGCATAAGCTTGGAGTCATCCTGCTTCCGTTGATGCGAGTACCGAGTACACCGTCACTGCTACCGCGACGTTGGAACAGTCGACCCGGGTCTTGGACGGCAGACTAACTCGGTACTGCCGTGTGTGCTGTGTAGTCACTGGCAAGGACTTAAGTAGTATTCATTATTAAGTTGGACGTCCAGCCAAGGGGGAAAGCTATAGCCGTTAACTCGTGCTGGGATCATAATAATGGGTCCCCTTCACCGCTGGAACCAAGGGCTGTCGTCGAAACATGTCTCTGGGAAAATCTAACCTAAATAAAAAAAAGAAAAAAATTCATCTTCCCCCAGCTTTGCCCTTCGTGCCCTTCTTCTCCTCCGATCCTGTCTGTCGACTGTATTGTTCACCTTTATCCCCATGGCATCATCCCTGCCTTATACAATAATAGTCCCGTCGTAAGCCAGCTCCATACGCGGTGCACGAGCGGTTCGTTTATCATTCTGCATTAAATAACGAGGCCTCTTCCCTTTTTGCCGTGTCTCATCCATCCTCTCTGGCCCTTTTTATTTTTGTTTCTTGTACTTTTGACCCTCTCCTCCTCAACGTGGCGGCCCTGACGGTTGATGTGCTGAATCCCACTCCATACTCCACTCCTGCATCTTCAGCCCATCGGTTTCGTCCCCTGGGCGCCTATCATCATTGTCTTCACCAGAATCCCTCCGGCGAGCTTGCCCCCCTCTCTCATTCTCGACTCCAAGAGCCTCTTGGTCATTTTGGGAGAGGGGGGGGATCGGCTATGCTCCAGTTCACAGTGGCTGCTGCGTAAGGAAGGCCACTCGGGACATATGTCGCAGAATTCTCCAGTTCCCACCCGTCGTTCATCTGCTGGCAATGCTTCTCCGGAGAAATCCACCAGCAGCAGCAGCAGGGGCCTGCCAGAGAAAGAACAGCCGTCTGCCGGTGATCCTTCGTCAGCACCCATCGAGCCTCGAGACAGCAGTCATGGTACTTCTGCCCCTGCGCAGGCTACGCCCTGGACGCCTTCTGCGCCGGTGGAACCGCCAGTGGGACGACCTCAGGTCAGGTCTCTGGGAGTCCATTCCATTCTGAATCCGTCTCCGGCAACGATGCCACTCACGACGGACTCGCCTGTGAACCCTGGAGGTCAGCCGGCGAGCAGGCCAGGCCCGCAGCGGTCATTGTCAGCAACTACTCTATCCCATCCGTCATCATTATCTCAGTCAGCTCACATCGTACCTCCGCATCCGCCCAGCCAGCATCGTCCTAGTCCACAGCAGCCGGCGGTGTCATCTCCTCTGGCTCATTCGCGGCGAATCCTCACACCCGTTTCACCTACATCACGATTGCAAACTGCTGCAGCGGCAGTGAGCGGCAGAAATCCAACCTATCCTGCCACAAGCCCGCTTGCTCCGCAGTCATCGGTGACTCAAGAGCCTCCAGCTGGCCCGTATGCCCCTGCGTCTGCGGGCACGCTCGCAAATGCACCGGGGGGCCACCTTCAAGGCCGAGTTTCTCTCCATTCCACGCCAACTTTCCACAATCGGCAGATCAGTGGCCCGCCAACGAACCCGAGTTCGCAAGAGAACAGTCCCAGCACCCCCTATTCAGCCTTCCCTCCATTCGGGCACATGCCTCCAGCCGTCGGTGGTGTCTCTGTACCGCAGCCCACACTGCCATTTCCAAGTCCCTCACCCTACGCATCTGTGGACCCTACTGCTAGTCGGCTTCCAGGAACCCCAGGAGGCATGAGGCGTGTAGAGGAGCCCTCTGTCAGACTCGGCACCCAACAACCGGGTATTACTTTTCAGGGAATGATTCCGTGTTATGTCGACCTGAAGTCCGGTTCGTCCAGCCAGGCAGAGAAGAGAAGGGCAAACAGTGATGCATCAAGACGCTTCCGAAACAGAAAGAAGCAGGAGCAACAGATGGAGCAGAAGATCGCAGCCCAGCAGGATGAGATCAAAAGGCAGTCTGAAGCCCTTGCGCAAAAAGAAGAGGAAATCAAGGCCTTGCTCAAGGAGAGAGATTTCTACCGTTCGGAGAGGGACTTCTACCGTGAAAGTTTCAGCAGGTCCGTACCCCTGAGCCAGCTTCCTAACAGACCACCTTCTCCGGGGAACCTTCGACTACCATCACTGTCTGGCTCAGAAGGCCCAGGGAATCCGGTGGCCAGCGGACAACCTGCGCGACCAGAGATACCGTCCACGACGACAGCTGCATCGATTCCATCTATTGCACCTTCACCCGCGTACATTTCGGAGCCCGCTTCAAATGCGCAGCAGGGCTCTACTACGGCAACATCGCTGCCACAGTATCCGAGGACATGGGCACGCAGCGAGCGATAAAAGTCTTCCTTTTTCCCCTGTCATTTTGAGCGGGATGTATTATTTTCCATCTAGCCTCTCTTATTCCATTACTTACCTCTGCACTGTCTATACGCGTTTGCTTTTGCTTTTTCTTTTCTGCATCTATAGCATTTTGGGGTTTATCTTGTTTGGGGAGGGAAGTTTTTGGCCTTTTTTTGTCTCTGTGTTGTTTTGTCCTTTATATAAGTATTGGTGGTTCCTTGTTTTTGCTTACACGTGAGTACCTATGCATGCGGCGGCGGCTTTTTAATTTTTTTTTTTTTTTTTTTTTGAAAAATATTTTATTTATTGAATTTCATGCGTGTTTACTTCTGACTTTTGGCCTTGTTCTAGACATTAGACAATGTCCTCTTTTCGGGAAGCAGTCCGGATGTCGTTGGGTATCGAGTATGGAGTTGACCGGCAACTGTGCTTTGTTTTTTCGGCCTTTTTATTCACCTGGTGTTTCTGTTCTGTTTCCCTTTCGTATATGCGCGGACCGCTGTACATAGTACATCCTATTGCTTTTAATGTTGAGAAATTGCAATTATTACACGGAACTTGCAGCATAAAATGATCGTCTGTTGTGCGTCACTCCACGTGCGCTGAAACGGCGGTTCTGTGGAATGTTGCTTTGTACCCCTAGTGGACAACTATTAATTACTCCTCAGTTTCAGCTCAGGGGAATCGAGTCTGGAGATTTTTATACTCCCTGCGTCTCTGTTACGTTGCTTCATCTGCATCAATCTCTCCATAGTTGCACGATGAAAGTGTCGCTGATACGTGTCTGCATCACACTACTATCTAAGGTTACCTGAAAAGCTGCCGGTACACAATGGGTACGATTCTGGCCTCTCTTCTCTTTCTCTTCTGTCTTCTGTGTAGGTGAGTATTAGCCCATCACCCACTATCCTCTCAGTTACAATACCCCTGTCAGGCTGGCAGATCTTCATATACTTGAAATTCATTTTGTTCTCCTGTTTTAACACTCCTGTGTAGGGTTTCCGGAATCCCGCTCCAGAACCAACTACCCAGCTGCAACACCATCGATGCTGGATATCAGTGTTTCCCGGAGATTGCACATCGCTGGGGACAGTATTCGCCTTACTATTCCATTCAGACTCCGTCTGATATCTCTCCAGCAGTGCCTGATGGGTGTCACATCACATTTGCGCAGGTCATCTCGCGCCACGGGGCCCGATTCCCCACGGAATCCAAGAGCAAGACGTACAAGAACCTCATTGAGGATATCCAGCAAAATGTAACCGTGCTGCGCGGGAAGTATGCATTTCTGCGAACGTACAATTACTCACTTGGTGCCGATGACCTTACGGAGTTCGGTGAGAGGCAGATGCTCGACTCCGGGATCAGGTTCTACGAGCGATACAAGGCTCTCACGCGGCGGATTGTGCCATTTGTTCGGGCATCGGGGTCTGACCGGGTGGTTGCTTCTGCGGAGAAGTTTCTGCGGGGGTTTGAGAAGGCGAAAGTGGAGGATCCGTTCGCGAATGATACACAGCGCGCCCCGAGAGTTGATGTTGTGCTTGAAGAAAGCGAGACGTTCAATAACACGTTAGATCACGGCGTGTGTGCTGCATTTGAGAGAAGCGATTTGGGAGATGAAGTAATGGCCAATTTCACGCAGCTGTTTGCGCCATCGATCCGTGAGAGGCTGCAGAATGACCTCCCTGGTGTGCAACTCTCCATCTCCGACGTCGTCAATCTTATGGACATGTGTCCGTTCGATACAGTTGCCAGAACTCCCGATGCCAGCGTGCTTTCACCATTCTGCGCTCTCTTTACGCAGCGGGAATGGATTGAATACGATTACATGCAATCTCTGGGGAAATACTATGGCTACGGCGCTGGGAATCCATTAGGACCGTCACAGGGAATCGGATTCACGAACGAATTGATTGCCCGCTTGACCGGAACTCCTGTCCACGATGAAACCAGTACGAACCATACTCTGGACTCGAGCCCAGAAACATTCCCTCTGAATGCCCGGCTTTACGCAGATTTCAGCCACGACAATGGGATGATTCCGATCTACTTTGCGCTGGGCTTGTATAATGGTACCAAACCGCTCTCCCGGTCCACCGTAGAGTCTACTGCAGAGACGGACGGCTACTCAGCTGCGTGGACCGTCCCGTTTGGGGCCAGAGGGTATATCGAAAAGATGCAATGTCGCGGGGAGAGAGAGCCCCTGGTCCGTGCCTTGGTGAACAATCGAGTTGTTCCTTTGCATGGTTGCCGTGTCGACAAGCTGGGACGGTGTAAACTCGGTGATTTTGTACGGGGACTGAGCTTTGCAAGGTCAGGAGGGGAGTGGGCTAGGTGTTCTATCTAGACTCGAAGGAGAAGAAGAGGAAGAAAAAAACACAATCCAGGCTGTGTTTACCTTGGATGTAGTACTCTGAAAGACCCTGGCGCTGTTGCTTGCTCCACTCACACACTCCACTTTCAGGGCTTCCTTTTGGCTCTATGTCCTGGGCAATGCAAATTGCACCACTGCCAATTGATCTATGTTTGCCCTTATTTCTCGCTAAATCCAGGGCTTAATACCAATGCAGCATGTGGCTGGTGATACTGTTTGCAAGGCAGTGTGAGAACTACACTTCACTTTGGCAGCATGCACTCTCCTCCATCACTGTGAGACTATTCACCAGCATCTACCTCTACATCCCTCCTTCAAGCCTTAGAAGCCTTCGTCCCTCTTTGATTGTCTTCTCGTCGCATCATCTCATCTCTGTTATTCTTTTCTTGCTTCTGTTCCAAGCAATAAGATCAATCTGTACATCTAATAATCTTTCTCGCATTCTAAACACTCCAACGGGTCGCTTCACATACGCTTCACATACACTACACGCCATTACTCCATCACGAGCCCTATCCTATTCGAAATGACTCTAGGCATGCCTCCAGTGTATTACAGGCTGCTTTCCCCACCAGCTCCATCTGACCAGGAGCCAGTCTCTCGTGTTGAAGATGGCGATGAGAGCTCCAAACATATCATCATAATTGTGCACACGGCATATGGTCCCAACTTCCAGATACGTTGGGCCAAATTTCTTGAGAGGTTGAACAGAGAGGTGAACATCTATGTAGTGACCTGCTTGCAAGGATTAGACTTCTTGTTGGAAACATACAGCCCACATGTATCAGGAATTGTCGTCGCAGATGACAGTATTACGCAGCCGTGTTATGACGAGCTTTCAGCTCGCCTAGTCGACCTTGTCTCCTCGGGAGAGAGATTGACTGTGACTTTTGGATTTGACCTGGCAATCCAGGTTGCCTTCGACAGCTATCAGTTTGAAAAATATCTGAAGGAATTCTTCGGTCTCGAATGGAAGGTCGCCGGGATGAGCGCGAACAAAAGCATGCTCAAACTTGGTCTAGATGCGCTGCCCAAGTTAGCTCCTCGAGTGTTTAGGAGCGAGTACAATGTGCGATGCACGTTCCTCAGGAACGTTTCTAAATCCGATAAGGTCCTCGTAACCATGGACAGGGCATCTCCTGAACGGCACCTCAACTCGGATGACGAGGAAGAGTCCACAGATGATAGCCTCGAAACCCTCGAATTTGCCTTGGGGGATGAGGAAGAGCAAGACGACCAGTCTTCCGATGCCGCCACCGATGCTGTTGATGCTTCCCCAGCTACTATGCCGTCCTCGAGTACTAGTTCCCTCGTCGCCCATGATTCCGAATCGGAACAAGGGAGCACGACATTCTCGCCTATCGCAAGTGACTCGACCGAAGCCACTGATACCGATGTATCTGAGGGATTCGTCGCCTTCTTCCACCAAAACCTGGTCTTTGACTTCTTGGCGATGCAGAATGAAATCCTTGATGCCAACACGGGCTGGGTTTGGGAGGTCCCAGATGCAAACCAGATGACCGTAGACAATGGTGAAGCGGGAGAAGCGACTACAACGTTTACTCTTGACGAAGGCTACGCCACAGACATCTCGATCGCAAGTTCTGAGGCAGGAAATTCCGGCGACGAAGCCGATGACGAGCACGAAGACGGCAGCGGTGACGATTCCGATAGCAGCGACCTCTACGACGACAACGTGTACGATGAATTCGATGAATATCTCGGCAGTGGTAACGCGAACGCTTCCAACAGCGATGCCAACGACGACGAACAAATTGCCGATTACGTGCCCGAAAACAACGTCAGAAGCGGTTACGTCTCCTCCGACTTCGAAGGAACCGAAGCAGAACGACTCGTCGCGAACTCCCCCGTTACAATTCACGGGTTCAGGGCCAGCAAAGGCTCCCCTGAATGTTACTCCGGATTCGTGGCCTTCCTTGGTCACGCTGCTGATAATCGTTCCTTTGCATCGATTCTTCTTGCGATGTGTGGTGTGCGGAGAAAGGTCTACGGCTCGGACATGGAATAAGGAATCAGAACCAGTCTCTTCTGATAGTCTGTCGGGATGGCGAGAATGCTTGGTCGGTGACAGATAGGAACAAGACAGAATGGGATTTCTTCATGGTGCTAGTACGTCGATAACTTTGTGCTGGACTTATTGTGTAAGTCTTTTTTTGGGCTCAGGTGTCTCAAATGCATGGCTGGCACATTGGCATGGTGGCTCTGGGTTGTACGATCACTACTGGTCGTTTCTGTGGTTTTGCCTTTTCTAATGATTCACGAGGTGATGTCCCAGTCCCAATAGTTTCAAATTTGGTAGGGGATGTAGATGGAATGAATACCAACAGTATAGGCACCTTGATGTCTAATAACACATAACCTCAACAGTTATATACACACGCCAAAAGGAAGAATGCAACCGAGTAATCATACAAATCTTTCCCATTCACCAGTTCAACTTTCATCAGGCATCGAAAATTGAAATTACACCAGAAGGGCATTTGCATCTCATTTTGGAACCTGACTTTGATCTGACTTCGCCGAATCCACATTCCCAAGATGCTTGGGGCTCTGATTCCCATACGCTATTAAGCCAATATCAATATCATATCAACCACAACTATAACCATAACGCCACAAATTCAATGGACAGAAAGATAAACAAGGAAGAGATAAGAAAGACTAACCACGCTCATAAAGAACATAAGACGTATACAACAGGATCGGGAGCGCGACTATCGTCGACGTCCATCTAAACAGCTTTGGTTAATAATTTAATCCTGAATGAAATTGACCAGCTATTTACACTATATATATAGTATAGAAATGGTCCGGACTAACCTCCTAGAAGCAACTTTATACTCCCTTGTCTGCCGAATATCCTGCTGTCGAGACGGAAGAGGAGTTCTTGTTCTTGTTCTTGTGTCCCGGGCTGGTTGTGGTTGTTGTTCTGAGCGCACGGTTGCGCGGGGAGAGATTTTGTGGTTGATGTTGATTTCTGCCTTTGTTTTTTTGTCCATTGCTCTTTTGTATTTTTCTTGCTTTCTTATGGTTGTCTTGATGTCTTTTGTCTAGATGTACGTTTGTACAGCGTACAAATACAGTGGATGGGTGATCGTCGAGCTAAGTGATTACATAAGCACCAACTCACGTGATCGTCGGTTTTGTATATAGATCAGAAATGCAGAGTCCACCATTTTCGTTTCTGCTTCGGAATAACAAGGAAGAAGGACAGAAATAGCTTATGCAGTCCCATACCAATTGCCTGTTGATTGACGAGTTCGAGCTGACTTGGCATGTCGATTAGACTGCAGACCAGGGAATGCAAGCCTGGATGCTTATCTGTTTCCTCGGCGAAGTGTCGAGGATTGATTGGGATTTTCGGGGAAAAGAGACATCCACTTTCGGAGAAAGAAAAGGATCTCGGAAGCTGGATGATAAGACTTAACGTTGCTACTAATATCGACGACTATTATCTGGTAATATTGTATCTTCGCCAGTTTGGCTTCTTTCTTCCTCGTCGAGAGGTTGGAGTAGGACGTACACCGACGGATACACGCTAGACGCTGCATATTATACAGTATGTCGGTTCCTGTTCTGGACATTCCAATGTAAATACTAGCCACAATGATCACATCGCGGTATCACGGACATTCTAACCCCCACCTACAGCGAGTCAACGGTGACGGCCGAAGATGTGGTGGCCTTGTGCGAGAGAGCCGGCCTCGATGTTTCCCAGACCTTCGCGGAGACTTGTCGCCCTCTGATCGCTGCACTGGATGGTTGTGCGCAGACGGTCATTGCACGAGATGGTCAGAAAGCTCTGCTGGTCTCGAAAGGAAAGAAGGCCACTTGCTAACGTAGAAAGACAGATTACATTCCCAGACCTGATGAGGCTATGTATGTACGCCAGGACATCGATACTTCGATACATCCCAGCGTCGATGGTGGGGGATGGGCTACGAAGGTGAGGTGTCTCTCCTGTAATAAGATACAATTGACAGATCGTGAACGGACTGACGTTTCAAGACAGGCTCGAGTGATCTCAACCCATCCGCAGAATGACTTGCTAGCTGGCCGCACAGTTGCTTTGAAGGACAATATTGCGCTGGCCGGCGTAAGGTGTACCAATGGCACAGATCTTGCTGGTTGGGAGCCTGACCTCGATGCAACTATTGTCAAAAGGATCTTAGATTCCAGCGGCACGATTCTTGGGAAAGCAGGTAAGCTTGCAATAGAATGCTCGTCCCGCTTAAGACTGACTGCTATTCTCTCAGCCTGCGAAAGCGGATGCTGGAGCACCGTCAGCGATACCTCCATTACAGGTCCTGTGCGCAACCCATATAACCCCGGCTATAGCTGCGGAGGATCAAGCAGTGGAAGTGCAAGACTAGTTGCTGGCGGAGCAGTCGATATGGCAATTGTAGGTTCAAAAAAAAAAAAAAAAAAAAAAAAAAACGACCCCCAATCCCAGAGAATCGCAACACTTCTAATTAGATGGTACTACTCCCTGCAGGGCTGCGATCAAGGCGGCTCGATCCGTATTCCCGCAGCAGCCTGTGGCATCGTCGGACTGAAACCAACTTGGGGTCTGGTGCCGTATACAGGCATCCTTGGAGGAGCAGCCGTGATCGACCATGCGGGTCCCATGACGAAAACAGCCGTAGACTGTGCTCTGATGCTAGAAGCCATTGCCGGCCCCGATGGGATTGATGATCGCCAGCCGGCCATCCAGTTCTTCCAACCAACCAAGTATCATGCAGAAGTCCATAAACACCTGCAACAAGCAAGTTCAGCTCCCTTGTCAGGCATCAAGATCGGCGTGCTCGAGGAGGGCTTCAAGCATCCTCGACAGGACGAGCATGTGTCGAAGGTAGTCCGTGACAGCATCGAGAAACTCCGTGAACTAGGCGCGGAGATCCAACAATGCTCCGTGCCAGAACATCGAGATATGGAGCTCGTGTGGATGTGTGCGTTGCCCGCTTTCTCCGGCACGCAAGGCCTCGTTCTCAATTCCTCCGAGCGCAAACAGCTAGCCTTAACCGAGCCCGCGGCATTGGGAAATGGAAAGCTGGACCAGGCTACCTTTGATAATCTCGGTGCGCCAGGGCAGAATCTATACCTCAGATGGCTCTTCCTCAAGGAAAAATACGGCCCAGCTCTGATCAGCCGGTGTACTAATCTTCTGAGGAAATTAAGTGTACGTACTATGTACCTTCTTATGCACCTTCCATCCATCCGTTTACTGACTTTCTCTATGTAGGACGATTACGACGCTGCTCTACAGGAAGTCGATGTCCTAGTCATGCCTACCACGCCCATCCCCCCATGTAAGATCTTTTCGTCAAGGACAGAGGGAAATCTGGCCGACAGACTTAAGCGCACCGTTGGAATCACTTCTAACACGGCACCCTTTGATGGTACGTTGTGAAATTCAGACGCCAATGAAAAAAGAATATGTATATTGCTCGATTTTGGACACTAACAGATACGACGATTCAGCTTCCGGACACCCTGCGCTGAGCATACCTGTAGGCTTCTCGCCAGCAATAGAAGACCCTTCTGTGTTGTTGCCGGTGGGACTGCAGATTGTCGGGCGTAAATTTGACGAGCTGCTTCTTTTGAAGATCGCCGCATCTTGGGAGAAGAAGTATAATTGGAAGTTCAAATGAAGATGAAGCATTTCTTTTGGAGAACAACAGCAATGCACATCGTTTCCGTGTAGCTATTTAAATGGGAAGGATTTATTGATTATTTCTTTCTAATGATTTCTCTCACATAAAGAAGTATACCGGTAATCTTTATCATCTAAGTGGTTGAATGGAGTCAAGGCACTATGTGATTCAGCTGATATCTTCGTACTCGTAATTAGAGCTCATGCGAAAAATACGAACTGCGTATCTTCCAGAAAGATGGGCCAAAAACTTTGAGGTTGTCCAGGGTCAAATGGTTTCAAAACTTTGGGTAGACGAACAATCCCAAATCATAGCAGAATCGTATTATATTTCTACATGACGGTGTGTTCTCAAGTCACATTATCATTATCTATAATGTCTATTTTTATGATCGTTGACCATAGAGCGCTCCTTGAACCGAGCTTGTAACGTCTATCGCAATGAAAATCAAACTTTTAGTAACCCCGAAGGCCTCTCGAGATGTTAGATGCATGCTACTACTGCTCTCATTGTCGCCAGGTCCGTTTTGGCAGCATGTCGCATCATCGTCAACCTAGAGCCTTGGCAAACAGGTAACTCCAAGTTTTTAGCAACAGCTCCCTATGCCATCACAATTGAATGGAAGATAGGTCAAACTCAAAGAAATATGTCTTAAAAGAGCTTGGTTCCTGGTCCTCCCAAGTCATGGCTCTGGGCATTCCGCAAGATGTCAGGTCAGGAGGGGATCAGAAGTATAGGAAACACAACATAAAAGGGCTAATGCTGGTGTGTCAATTCCTGCGACAAGTTAGCAATTGTCTACACCGAAACAGAAAAAAAAAAAAAAAAAAAAAAAAAAAAAAAAAACTGTACGTACACTTGCAAACTTGCTTCGTGCGCGGATTTGGGGTCCATAGAAAACGAGAACCCATGGCACCACTGTCAGTCCAATACCCTAATTGTTTTGCAACATTGGTCAGAAGAAAGATCAAAGGAAAAGACAAGAAATGGTTTCATACAATCCCACCCAGCAAGCTTGAAGCGGCTGGAAACCCAAGATTGTTAAACAGGGCATTTGTGACCAGAGGAAATACACCTGCCAGCATGTTTCGACCTGTGAAATTGGCATTGTAAGTCTTGTTTGAATGAACCGTAAGGAGGGAGGAAAGAAAAGATAAGCATACTAAAGCCAGCAGCCGCAATTGCGGAGCTTGCATATCGATGGTATGTATCGGCAAAATAATTGAAGACAGCTAAGTATACAGAGAAGATCCCCATAGTTGAACAAGCAACAGCTAGTGCCGGGACAATCCAATGATGAACGAGTGATGTCCACCCGAACCAGAATAACCCTACTGGCAACAAGATGGACATTGCGCAGGGGAAGTACAGTCGGCCCTCTGGACTGGTAGACAGCTTACCGAGTCTGGCCGCAAGCTTTTCCTGGTATATGCTTATGGGTGTGATGATCATCGCGCCAATCGACATCGCTTGCAATCTGGTCAGAGAGAACTCGCAACCCACTGATCATTATCAAACAAATTTGCCAACAAACTCACCTGAACACACGGCCTCAGATTGTTCGAGATTAAAATGATAGTTGGTTTGAAAGACAAGCGGGATGGAGCTGAATTGGAGGTAGAGAATCGCCCAGCTGAATGCGGCCCATAAGGAAAAAAAGAAAACCACCGGCTCGGTAAACAGCAGATCTAACCATAGCCGGATCAGCATCTGAGTGAACATGAAGCCCGTGGATTCAAGATCATCGACTTACGGAATGGCCTGGTGCAGGACACAGTGACCATCTTGATCAGAGACTCACGCTCCTCGTCACTTTTGACTTTCCACCTGATGCGTTGGACGCGTTGCTTCTCAATTGAGCCATCTGAATCGAATACCACGCCATAATAACCTGCTGCTTCTAATTTTTCGTAGTATCGATTGAGGGCCTTTGCTTTTCGACTCAAGAGCACACTGCCGCGAGTTTCCGTCATGAAGAAGAAGATGATTACCACCAAGACGCCGCTAGCAATGGCCTGGGAGTAGTAAATCCATCGCCAACTTGCACGACCTGGTATGAAGCCGCTAACCAGGGGGCCTAACCCCGTCCCGAAAAACACGAATCCCGAGTACCATGCCATAGGGGCATTCCGGACTTCAGCATGGTAGATGTCGCTGATAACACCGCCGATCATCGTGGAGAAAGTGGCTGGAGAACAAGACGGTTTGCGTTAGCAAATGTATCTAAGATATCCACCTTTCATGCTTTTACTTACATCCGCCCACACCCAGAAAGAATCTCGCCAAGAACATCCCAGCCAATGACTCCGTTACGCCGCATCCAATCAAGCAAACTGCATGGGAGAGACGAGAAACGTTAGCAGTGCCGGATATTTCGACTAGGAATGGAAAGAGTGATAGCTCACCCGTGAAAATGATCCCACTGAGAAGGAATATTGGCCGTCTCCCATTGAACTCCGAGAAGGGTGCTAGGATCATAGGAGCGATGCCGAAGCCCAAGGTGTAAAATGTGATTCCCAGGTTATACACGACTCTGCTGATATGCCACTTCTCCATGAGGTGCATTGCGGCAGGCGTATACTCTCCAGCGGCGTAACTGGCCATCATAGTCACAGCACAACAAATCATCGTGGTCACAGTCTTACGGGACTTGGGCCAGAGGAACGGTGAAGCGTATTTTTTGAGATTGGGACATGGTGGAGGCGGCGACTGACCAGGATGGGGGGAAGCGAGACCGGCTGGCGTGGGGATAGGCACATCGAAGGTGAGGTACAGATACTCGATCTCCTCTGCTTCCGGTATCTTGTCGTCTTCAATCGCACACTTGTTGTTGTCGTCATTGCGGTATGATGATCCCCTCTCGACATCGATCTCGTATTCTGCCATTGGCCCTGTCTCTTTGCTTTGGTCGTTTGAGACAATAGACACAGGCCTGTTGCGGGCTTGACTCTTGGTCGATTTGCTTCGCAGAAAGATCACCGTCGAAGGCGGAAAATCCCCGTCTATTATAGGAATTGTAAGACTCGGAGTTAACGTAGCTGCACTGAATGTGGGGAAAATGCAGTTCGAAGATTATCATATCACGGAGAGAAGTCCGAAGGCAACGAGTCGATCCTCAATGGCCTTGTACGGCGTATGTCCAGGGTCTGAACCTGGAACCCGGCTAGTTGAGCGATGCGGAGCTCGAAAAGTGCGGAGGAGGTTGGAATTTGTCGTGTGTACAGAAAAACACAGCAAATGGCACGGCAAAGTTCGGTATATCCATTCTCTGCGCTGGATGTTTGGGCCGAGCATCCAACGGACATCCGTCCGGACGGCAATAGTAATAATGATATGACAAGATGGTAATATTTTACTATCTTCAATCTCTCGATTGGCCTATCTCTGTCGGACGGTCATATCAGCCATATCTCAAAAAGCACAGATAACAGATGGAACCATCTTTTTCTCGGCTTTCCTCCGCGCCGTTTGAATCTGGAGTCCGGATGTTGAAGCTGAATTATCGATCGCTGTCCAAGGCTTGATACCCGGGAACCCACCGCATAGCATATAAATAGACAGTGGGGTAACGGCTGTCGATTGCCATTCGCATGGCATCCAAACAAGCTCCTGGGGACTGTTTTGAAGATCTCCATAGGCTCCATAGTCTCGGAGGTTCAGGATTCAACGCCTCGATATGAAGAAAGACAGGCCCAATGCAGGCGTTGGGAACTACCCGAACGGTGTGCAAGCGGCAGGAGACAGGAGGATTCGGGACGGTTAACGGGAAGGATCTTTTCGGAGCTTGTCACCAGCCCGCCATTTGGCGAGAAGCGAGGACTCTGGAATGAGGATCACAGGATTTCGTCTCCAACGCTCTCTAGAACCCCGTTTCTTCTGCTGTCGTGGCAGAGTCCAGACCAAACACGTGCGTCACGTGACATATCGACGAGGGACAGGAGAGGCTCGCGTTGAGCTGCAAACAATGCTGCATTTCACTGCAGGAGTAATAATAAAAAGCCCTCTTTGTCCATACGCTACTAATTGCTGTAATTTTAGCTGCTGCAGGATTTCATTTCCTTTCCTTTCACTGTGGCTACAGTTGTCTAGCAGCGCGTGCACAAAGCCGTTCCTGATTGACGAGTTCCCTTTGCCTCAGCGCAAAAGCCCAACTCGCTGATCTGGAATTATTATTAGCATCTTCTCCATCATCTCGTTTTTATTATTTACATAGGGGTACCTTTTTGCCTTCCTTTTTAGTTTTCTTTTTGATTTCACTAAGCCTGCTGTAACTGCGATTTTATTTTACTCTGATTTTTTTTTCTATTTTTGTTTTATTATTTTTCCCGTTTTCACCTTTTTTTTAAGTCTCGCGTTTCCCTTTCTTTCTCTCCGATTTCCTTCTCCCATCTCCATCTCTTGCCTAACTTCCTCTTTCCTTTATTCCTCCGCCATACGCGTCGCGTCATTCAGAGAAACAATGGCTCGCCCGAAGCGCAAGGCTTCCGATGCGGAGGCCGTACCAGCGAAGAAGGCGCGTCAACCCGCGGCGGAAGAGTCTAAGGTGAGCGCGTCTCCTTACCGGGAAACTGGTCGTTTCATGGATGTATTTTCGTTGTTTCCGTCATCGTCTTTTTCGTCGCTACCGGCACAAAGACAAGACAAACACCCTTTTACTAAAAAATTTACGTTTTTTTTTTTTTTTTTTTTTTTTTGTTGTATTAAATCGCTAATCAATAGTAATACTATTGCCAACAGACCGCTCCCACTGGAGAAAAGAGAGGCAGAGGGCGTCCTCGTAAGAACCCGGAGGAAAAAGCCACTCCGAAACCTGCACCTACTGGACCGAAGAGAGGTCGAGGACGCCCTCGTAAGGTTCCTACAGGTCCGTAACATCTACTTTCTCTATGACAAGGTGTCCCGTCATCTTGTCTATACTTCAACACGGTTGCTTACGAATGTATCCAGCACAAGGAGAAGGAGAAGCTTCCGCGCCTAAAGAACAGAAGAAGAAAGTCCCCGGGAGAGGAAGGGGAAGACCCAGAAAGAATCCAGAGAATCCTCCGCAGAACCCCCCTCCACAGAGTCCAGAAGCAAGTGGCAGCCCCGATGTAGCCGCAGAGAACAGTGTCGACGGAAATAAGGAATCCGAGTCGACAGAACCCAAAGGCTCAGGCAGTGGGGAGGAAGAAGATGAAGATGGCAACGACGACGATGACGATGACGATAATGATCATGAGAAGCGCAAATTCTCCTACTGGCTTATGAAGGCGGAACCTGAGTCGCGCTTTGAAAAGGGCGTTGATGTCAAGTTCTCCATTGATGACTTGAAAGCGGCTAGAGAGCCAGAACCGTGGGATGGTAAGCTCAATTCCCAATCTAAGCAGGAAGTTGGACCAGATGTGCTGACCTAGTGTAAGGCGTCCGCAATAACATGGGTACGTTTTGCGACCGACCAGCAACAGCAGCATCACCAAGAGTTTACTGACGAAGAACCAGCACGAAATAACTTGCGTGCTATGAAAAAGGGCGACTATGCTTTCTTTTACCATTCCAATTGCAAACTTCCAGGGATTGCGGGCACTATGGAGATCGTTCGGGAACACTCTCCTGACGGTTGGTCTGCCAAATACCCCTACCTTTCGTCAACTCGCCTTGCTGATCGGCAATTCAACTAACCCAGAGAGTGCCTTCAATCCTGCTCATCCGTATTACGACGAGAAATCCTCGCGAGAGAACCCTAAATGGGTAGTTGTTCACGTTGAATTTCGACGCAAATTCAAGAAAATAATCACGCTTCATGAGCTCAAGTCCCACGCAACTCCTGGCGGCCCTCTGGAAAACATGCAAACCTTGAAACAGTCTCGACTCAGTGTCACGGCTGTATCTCCTAAGGAGTGGGAATTTATTATGAAATTAGCGGAACCAGAAGATGGTAGCGACTGATGATGAAACCAGTAGAAAATAGAAACGGGACATCTGGCGGGCGTGAGATGGGAAATTGAATGATGGCGTCGGATCGCGGTTTGAACAGGACGCAACGGGTGCATTGATGGGACGCATGGCAATGTGGTCTATGTCATTTGTTGTTCCTCTTTTCTTTTTTTCTTCGCTTTTATTATTGTACAATTACCGGCGCATATCGGGATTTGATGGAAGATTCGCATCCTATACCTTGACAGATGCGGAACGCAAGGCGTAAAATCGAACGGGATACAACCCAAGACTTTTGGGGAAACCCAGCTGCTCCTCGGACTTGAACAGATTGAGCCCAGCGTCCTTGAAGATGGCCCTGAACGTAGCATCGGTCCTTGTCACACTGCTATCATCCTTGTGGTGGATGTCTTCATCCCTAGCAACATTATCCTTTACCACGATCAACCCCGAGGGAGATAGATGTCGCTGACACCGACGCAGAAGCTCGACAAACTGCGCATCGTCCAGATAGCCCACACACCACTGCATCCAGATAAGGTCGTACACTTTCTTCCCCGCATCCATACCCTCCGATCCGGCATTAGGATCCCAATCCTCCAACCCCACGACGTAAATATCCCCTATCCTCCCGGACGTGGAACTCGAGCCATCGCCCGCCTTAGACTCCCGAACAACAGCCGCAAATGCATCAACGGGCTCAACAACATCCACCACATCACAGACGTTACGCAGAAACCCGGTTGTGACCCGCCCGATCCCAGCGCCGCAGTCCACGCCGCGCGCTAATCGGGGGAGACTGGAATTACAGGACGCATCCGATGCGGCTGTTGAAGAGGATGATGGTAGTAATCTGCGGACTTTGGCGAGGAACTTGGAGGAGCCTCGAAGGTCGATCTGGGAGACTTGGGGGTAGCCGCCTAGCATGCCGTCGACGGTGGCAGGGACGGAGGACCAGTAGCGGAGGGAGGCGTGTTGGTCGATTTCGATTGGTGTGGGCGTCATGGTGGAGGCTTTCTTTATAGAATGGTCACAGTCAGTGGGTTAGCTGTTGTAAACTGAATCAATTGTATTGTTGCTATTCCATGAGAAATGGAGGGGAAAGTTGGAGTTTGCAGTAAGAAAATAATAATGGATCCACTAATTAATTAAGTTGGAGCTTGCTTCCATTATTTCTGCTGTCTTCTGCTTCTGCTTCTGCTTGTTTGGAGCTCTCTGGGAACAGGAACAGCATTGCACAGTTATCATAGCGACGTAACAATTCTCCAGCAATCTGAAAATAGCACACCACGACAATAATAGTGGTGTAATAGAAGGTAGTCAAGACTATCGAAGATGGTTTGTTTTTTTGGCGATTAGGGTCTAGGGCTGGGTGACCAGTCCATTCCAGAAGCGGAAGGTGCACGCGCTACAGGATGATGAATGTTGAGAAACAGCCTGGACGATTGATTTATCGTTTACCAAAGTACCTAATTGTATATTATTTTACGCGCAGAAGCAACCGCTCCTGTTGCTCGGAAGAGCAGGTCGATGCGAGTCCCCGCATGGCCGCCGAATCACCGTGCTACAGCCTGCTCTTATCTGTGCATCTCCGCCCTCTTCGCAGCTCCCCGCTTGCGGCCTCAACTCCGTCTTCTGCCAAGCGCGCATTCTCTTTGGCTCTTTTCGTATCTCCTGCTGTTTCTGGCGGTACATGTATCGACGCTGACTGCGTCTATCTTGCTGTGCATCGATACTATAGGTCGACACCGTTGCAATTGCGTTTCATTGCTGGCTGACTACTGCCGGTATACCGGTCCTCACGTATATATATGGCCAGCCTCACTCCCCTCTTCCTCTCTCTGAGATCACGTCTGTGTCTTCTCCAAGCTCCCTCTCCACTCTCCCACAGCCCACCAAGAAGGCTCTTCCATCCATCCCCCACCATAATGTCGAGTCTTTCGGTAGATCTCACGGCCCCAAATGGCCGCAAGTACACACAGCCCATTGGTCTGTTCATCAACAACGAGTTTGTTCCATCCAAGTCGGGTGAGAAGCTTGCATCGATCAATCCGAGGTAAGATCAGAAAGATAGAAGGGGACGAACGGGAGAGAGCTGACGAGCATCCCACGTCAGTGATGAAAAGGAAATCACATCTGTCTATGCCGGTGGAGCTGAAGATATTGATATTGCCGTCAAGGCGGCCCGCAAGGCTCTAAAATCCCCTTCCTGGAAACTGTTATCCGGGACCGAACGTGCAGTTCTGATGCACAAACTGGCCGACCTGGTTGAAGAACACAAAGAGATTCTTGCTACCATTGAAACCTGGGATAATGGTACGACATCTCTGCTTCTCTTTCCTGTTTCTGGATGGGTTGGAAGAAATACTCACCGCTGCAGGCAAGCCGTACTCCGTTTCCTTGAACGATGATATACCAGAAGTCACCAACCCCCTCAGATATTACGCTGGCTGGGCCGATAAAATCCACGGTCAAACCATCAGCACCTCACACCTCAAATTGGCTTACACCTTGCGCCAGCCCATCGGTGTTGTTGGCCAGATCATTCCCTGGAACTACCCACTAGCAATGGCTGCGTGGAAGCTGGGACCGGCGCTTGCATGCGGAAACACCATCGTTCTGAAACCTGCTGAACAGACCCCGCTCAGCATCCTCTACCTTGCAAACCTCATCAAGGAAGCTGGCTTCCCACCAGGTGTGATCAACATTGTCAATGGTTACGGACGAGCTGCAGGATCAGCCCTTGTCTCTCACCCAGATGTTGACAAGGTTGCCTTCACTGGTTCAACTGCAACCGGCCGTGAGATCATGAAGTTGGCTGCGGGAACCTTGAAAAACATCACATTGGAAACGGGAGGAAAATCGCCTCTTCTCGTCTTCAGTGATGCCGATCTTGTCCAGGCTGCCAAATGGGCCCATGTTGGCATCATGTACAACCAAGGCCAAGTTTGTACAGCCACGTCCCGCATCCTCGTCCATGAATCTGTTCATGACAAATTCGTCGCCCTCTTCAAGGAGGAAGTCGCCAACACCAGCAAGGTCGGCGATCCATTCCATGATGAGACCTTCCAGGGCCCGCAGGTCACGAAAGCCCAATATGAGCGTGTGCTGTCTTATATTGACAGCGCCAAGTCTGAGGGTGCCACCCTCGTCACTGGAGGCGAAGCCTATAAGAATGTCGCCGGTGGAAAGGGATTCTTCGTCGCCCCTACAACCTTCACCAACGTCAAGGACCACATGCGCGTTTACAGGGAGGAAATCTTCGGCCCATTCGTCGTCATTTCCTCTTTCTCCACTGAGGAGGAGGCCGTGACCCGTGCCAATGACACCACGTACGGCCTGGGTGCGGCCCTATTCACCCAGGACATCGAGCGGGCTCACCGTGTAGCCGCTGAAATCGAGGCCGGCATGGTCTGGATCAACAGCAGTAATGATAGTGACTTCCGTGTTCCCTTTGGCGGTGTCAAGCAGAGTGGTATTGGTCGGGAATTGGGAGAGGCGGGATTGGAGGCCTACACACAAGTCAAGGCCGTTCATGTTAACTTGGGGAGCAAGTTGTAGGCCTTTTTTCAGCAGGAATTATTTTCTTTTAGAATATAAATAGTTAGGAATGCTCCCTAGGTATAGTATACCATGTGCTTTCAATCCGTGGTAAGCATCTAATAATGAATATGCATGTAATAACAGCTAATCCACAAGTACCAACGAGAAAATGCAACGATAATATCATAAGGTCTGAGAATACCTCAGTAAAATCGAGTGGACGGTACTATGAAAGGCAAAGGAAAAACCCCCAAACTAAATCTCGATCAAGCAGCACAGAATATACTTCGCCTACTCCAATCAGCCTCCCCTAGAACTGTCTACCAGTAGAGACAACACGTGGACTTGCCCTGACCCACGCCTCCCAGAGTGACCGCTGCTCGCGCCCGACAGCAACCCCGTCATCCCCAAGATCATCCACGGTGAGGGCCCGGAGTTCCCGTAACACCCCTTCCGAAAGGGGAAGAGGATGGTGACAGTTTAAAGAACAGCTCGGGGAACAACAGTCATAACTCAGAAGAACGGGGTGATGATGATCGACCAAGAACGGGGATGGCAGGTTCTGATTCTGGTTGTGATTCTCGTTCTCTGGTCCTTCAACCCCGTTCGCCATGACCGTAGTAGTATCAAAGTGAATTGAGTAGTCGATCCCACGCAGATCCAAGCGTTCCAGCTGCTCCATTTCATCGTGGAGAACGGTCAGTACATCGCGCCACCGCGAGCCGTCACGAAGGTAGACGTTCCGCAGACAAAGCTCACGGAGCTGACGCTTGTGTCGACGGGAAAAATCGATGATTTCGTCGGATTGGAGACGCCAGCCTTGGATAGCAAATGTGCGGAGGTTCTTCCATTCTATCTGATGGAAGAAATGCTCCAGTTTGGAATCCAGGGGTAGCTTTGCCGGGAAGCTAAGGTGGATGGTCATTAGGTTTTTGGCGGCAGAGAAGAAGTTCCGGAAGATGCTTGATTGTGCCGTGAAGCTCGCTGTCATATCCGTTATGCAGTGGAAGTTGATGTCCACGCTCGCCAGCCGTGCGCCTACTGCCGAGAGTGTTGCGGGTGGTACTCGCTGTAGTCTTAGGGTCGCCTCGGGACTGATCTGGGGTCCGATAAAGCGGACAGAGCTGCATTTCGATTCCAGCAGTGCGATGCCTAGGTTAGTGATTGCTCGGGAGCAGGCAGGTTCCCAGCTCAGAGAGATGGTTGTTTCCAGCGAGGGGTCCCGTATGTAATCGAGCAGTCGTTCATCGGCTTCGTCCTGCAAGCGTAGCAGTTTGACTTGCTGGAGAGACGCGAAGGCTGCTATTGCCAGTCTCAGAAACGATAGGTCTCTGGCTGCGTCAACCAGGGAGTCCTGATCCCGGAGACGTTTACAATGTAATTGGGAGCTTGACGGGTCATAAGAATTCATGTCGGCCAGAACTTGTGGCCAGCCTTCAATGCGCGTCAGCATTCTTTCCCCTCCACGCAAAAAGGGGGAGGTGGCCCGGGGTGATTACCGCTTCCTTGATAAAAGGGTCGGACCATGTATGTGAAATATCTAACATAGCCGGCTAATTGCATGCCCAAGAGATGTTCTAGCCTTTCGAATCCCTCCCTAGAAAACCGGAGGACAAATCGAGAGAATTTCCGCGGCGTGCCTATTCTCATAAACCTCCTGCAGACTAGCCGGAACCTGTCCAAGTCTGTCTTTTCACCATACCTGCTAGTCGTCGGCTGGTCATCGGTCCCTCCAGTGAAATTATAAGGGCCGTCACGGAAAGGCTCATTCAGCAGGCCTCCGGATTGTAGAACAAAGGACAGGATTTCATCGAGCAGTTCATCTGCTAAATCTCCAATACCTAGCCGCTTTTCCATGATCCTCGCACCGAAACAGCCTTGTGCCTGGCCGTTCTGTACAATCGCAACGGCATGGAATCCAGGCCGGATGGGATGGAAATTGGGAAGAGAGTTTTGGGCTCACTCGGAGAGTTTGACCGCGAGAACAAGTGCCATTTTAAGGAGAGAGAAGGGGATATACGCAGGGAAGCAGAAGGGAAGGGAAGCCAAATAACGAAACGATAACGAGAGGAGGACGACGCAGGAGAGGTCCAAACAAGGATGAAGATAGTAAAACACAAACACGAGGTCCTCTCCCCCCAGGACTGCTGTTTCATAGAGCTGGAAGCAAGGGCCAGAGAACGTTGACAAGCTTCCTCGCAGCCCATCCCCGGCAACTGATAATTAACCGCCAGCGAATCGACCCTAGCAGGCTGCTGGCTCCAGCGGGTTTCATAAAACTGCCAGCGCATCTCGACATTGGATCGACAACAGTCACATGACTAACACGGTATGCGGACGCTCCAGGGAAACCTGCAGTGATGATGCTTTTCACGCGAGCTCAAGCAGGCCATAGCGAATGGACGAGGCTGCTCGTCAGTCTGTGGCTCTGGGGGATGGACGACCGGCACACTGTATGCCCAATTATCTACTGCGGCTCGATCAACCAGCCAGCTGCCCATATCCAGTCTCATTGATGCGTTGCCGAGAAAACATGCAGGAGCGTGCAGGATACTGCGTAAGGACAAGCGGGACACGGCCTGGCGATTGGCAGGAAGCACCCAGAGCGACAGCTGGTAATGCGACACTGGCGAGTGAGTGCATACTGGGTGCTGACTCGGGGCTGCAGTGATACTACTTGCAGTCTTGTCTGTCAAGCCAGTAAAAAGAAAAGAGAGCGCGAGAAAGAGAAAGCCCCCAGAAGACTTGTTTCGCGGTGATATTACTTATTCTGTGATTACAAAAGGTAATTTACTGCAGGTGGGTAGGGCCTCAACTTCCCGAGTGATGAAAAGAAGGAAGGTTTCTTCCTTTTTTTTTTTAAAAAAAAAAGGCTCCTCATAACCTCGTTAGCTCATAGATAGTTAGCAGAGTGGCAAGGACGAAAACTCAAGATTAAAGCTACCTCCTTGCAAGTTCCATGCGGTGCCTTCGAATGTCCGTACTGCTTATTTTTGACCCAAAGCTCTTCGAGTCAACTCCTGTAGCTGCTGCAACCTCACCGGAAAGTAATACGTCAACTTCAAATACCTCCAGTGCCTTCCAACCCTTCTTTGCTCGCTCGTCATTGATTAGCTTGCCTCCACCACGTGTTTCTGCAGAGACAACAAGGGCATCGATGCTCTCATCCGTTACTGTAGGCCCACATGGATCGGATAGCTGCACAAATTTCAGGGATAAATCAGGTCGTAATTTCATCAAGACGTATTTCCCATTCGGCCCTGGGTCCGATACCCATTCAGTACTGGGTGCGCTGCTCTCAGCGGGAGAGAAATCCATGACGGCTGCTAGGAAGGATGCGGTGTTCTGGACTCTTTCATCCCAGCCCTCCAGATATTCCACATATTTTTTGTTTACCAACAGTGCATCGCCTGTCACACCAATAGTGATAAGCCTCTCTTTTCCTAGATCCGGACCTTGGACAGAGTCCAAGGCAAGGGCAGTTGCAGTGAGTAAAAGCTTGTGACCGATATGGAGATGGTCAAAGGTTCCCCCCACGGCAACCGAATAATTTAGACTCTGTGACTGCCCGTCATCAGAACCCAGTAGGGGTTCAGAAGATGTCCCATCCTGTCCTCCAGGGACAGCGTGTGTATTGGCAGAGTAACGGGTTTGAGCCAGAGGGCTAAGGTGGCTAGTAAAATCCTCCAGCAGGGCCTTTCCTGCAGTAGAATCCACGTAGAACACTGAATCCCATTTGCGAGCAGATGCTGCCAGCACCTCTAAGCTGATAATAGGCCCAAGATCAGGTACGGTCGAGCTGTGAGCAGGATCATCATCCACAAATATGACTCTGGTATCGATGCCGGTGGGACCATCAAGCTCAATATTCCTTGAAGCACAAACGGTGCATACAAGCTTGTATATATTCGCCAGAAGGCGCTGGAGGCTTGCAAAAACCTTGGACCGCGGAATAGCAGAAGACAGTAAACCGGGGATGTCTATTGCGATATCGAGAAGAGCAACAGTGTTAGCACCATTGAGCGCTTGGGAGAGCTTCAAATAGACCGTCGACAGGGATTGTTCGTATGCAGCTCTCAGGTCGTTGAAGGAGCCCGATGGCGGGGATGGGAGAAGGAGAGCGTATGGCTGAGGGAGTGGATCGAGGGGCATCGTGTGGTATGCGGGGGGAGGGGACCGACAACAGCCCAGCATACACCCTTATCTGCACAGGAGAAACCCGAGAACGCTCGCGAGCAGCGTTGAAGACGACGGGCAGAGGAGGTCCAGCAGCTGAAGATGAAGCAGTCGAAGCAGAACGACCAGCGAAAGGCAGCTGAGTCATCTCGCTCCAGCTGGAGACAAGCTTCCCTTCTCTTGCTCCCCCAGACCATGCCTTTCCACAGGCATCACCATCGCGTTTCCTCCTTTGATCCTCAGAATGCTTCTCTAGACAGCGCTGGTGGAGCTGTTCTTGGCGTCACTCAGGCTGCGCAGACCCTTGGCGCCGTTGGATCGCCATCCAGCTCTTTGCGCATGGGCAACTTTGGCACCACGTCCGCCGACACCACCGATGGAATCTTCCTGCCCACTACAAGGGACGGTCCAGGAGGAGCTTACAATCAGGCTGCTGCGTATCGAAGAAAATCTGAATTAATCGAAATGTCCTCCTCGCAGACGTTCGAATCCTCCCGCAAGGCCGCAGCCTTCGGGCGTCAGCCAGAGGAGCTTCACATCCCCCCAGCAAACCCCACGACGTCAAATATATCACTCCAGCAGTCCTCGCGCGATTACCCTGCACATTCCGATATAGGGACTGCCAACGTCCCTTCGATCAGTGTCCATCCGTCAAGCGCCCAGACCGGTCAGTATTCAAGCAGCGGTAACAGCAGTGCCGCTCTCCCTGGAGCGCTTCAGCCGGGCAATGCCAGTCGTCCGCCAGTCGTCTCTATGAACACGGCACCGTCAATACTCCCTACCCTTCCTCAGATTTCGTTACAATCGCAACAACAGACTACGGTCTCTCGCCCCCCGAATTTGCACGGACACTCAAGGTCAAGCCCTGCGGGGTTCGAACAGTCCAAGTACCAGCAACAGGGAACAACTGAGAGTCGCAAATATGCATCATCACCGGGCGGTAATATTCAGGCTTATCCCCAAGGCTCGAAATACTCTCCCCTTGGATTAGCGGACATACGGCCGCCTGGGGAGCTGCTTCCCGATGCGGCTGCGCTCAGTCCTGCATTTCGAGCGTTCAACGAAGAAGCGCAGGCTCCCACGAACAGCAACTACGTGGCCCCTTGGCCTATATATGCAGTAGATTGGTGTAAATGGCCAATCCCGGGAGGCACAGGTTCTTTCTGCGGGAAGGTTGCCATCGGAAGCTATTTGGAAGACAACCACAACTATGTATGGACCCTCTCATGCCCCGTCCTCTTCATTGCCAGGCCATCTCTAATCAAACCGCCAGATTCAAATTATTGATACTCACTGGACCCAACCGGACCCAGATACCCCGGATGCGGTAGCTGGTGAGCTCGAATTGGAATACGTCAAGACTGCTGAAGCCACGCATTCATATCCTGTCACTCGAATACTATGGGAGCCTCCATCCTCCCAAAAGCAGTCGACAGATTTATTGGCTACATCAGGCGATCACTTGCGCCTTTGGTCGTTACCGACGACCCAGACCTTGCACAATTCCAACTCCATTACGCGCCCGTCGGGCCAGAGAGAGCAACCGGCAGCCAAGCTCTCCCCATTGGCCTTACTTTCCAATTCCAAATCACCCGAGCACACAGCTCCGATCACCTCACTTGATTGGAATATGATCTCTCCCAGTCTGATCATCACCTCTAGTATAGACACGACTTGTACAATTTGGGACATCCCAACTCTAACGGCCAAGACGCAATTGATTGCTCATGATAAGGAAGTCTACGATGTGCGTTTCTGCGCAAACAGTGTCGATGTGTTCGTCAGTTGCGGTGCGGATGGCAGCGTGCGCATGTTTGACCTCCGGAGCCTTGAGCACAGTACGATTATTTACGAGCCGTCGGAGAAAAATGATAAACGTGAGACATCCCCATTCCTCCATTCGACTGTTATGGGCTAATTTGAGCGTGTATGTAGTTATGAGCCCTGGGAATTCCAGCCCGTCAACATCTCAACAGTCATCTACTTGGCCACCGCCGTTACTGAGAATTGCAGGTAAGCTTCATTCTACGTCTTTGATGTTATGGATAACGACCAGACGCTCACCGCTATTTAGCATCCCCTCACGACTCTCACCTTCTTGCAACTTTCTGTCAGGATTCTAATATTGTCCGCGTGCTGGATGTGCGACAGCCAGGTCAAGCGTTGTTAGAGCTGAAGGGACATGGGTCATCCATCAATTCTGTCGAATGGTGCCCAAACCGACGCGGGGTTCTTGCGTCGGGGGCAGACGACTGTCTTGTTCTTCTATGGGATCTGATCAACCAGCACAATGCAGCACCCCTTACGGCGACACCACATATACATAACCCTGGCATTACAACAACGACATCAGAGCGCGGCCCCGCAGCAGCGTGGCAATGTGGTTATGAGGTGTCGAACATCAGCTGGTCTCCACAAGGCGGGACCAATACCTCTGGACACCCGCGGGATTGGCTTGGGGTATGCGGTGGCCGAGGATTCTGGGGAGTTGCACTCTGAGAAACGTTTAGGATGCTTTAAACTGTTAACATTTTTTGCTTTTGTTGTTGTTTTCTTTATATTGCTTCTTCTCTTTTTTGTTTTCTTTATCACTGTCCTTTGCGCTTGGCCACGGTACTATTTCCACAGACCAACGAAAAGAGGCGGCTGAATTTCATTGGAAAATGAGCGATTGCATGAGTTATGAATGATTTGGATGATGAGAACGAGCTGGTTTTTTTTGCCCCCCTAATTCTCGTTCCCATCATAGGCCTACGTATGCCACTATACAGACTTTTTATTCTACCATCACGGAGACGTTCCCCTTCTGTATGTCACCACCTTCATGAGGGTACTCAGGGTGATTATTAGTGAGTATTTCACATTGATGGGGGTTAAACTCGCCGAGTTGGTTGTCCTAGCTAGGGAGGAGTCGGGCAAACTAGTTAACTAACTCTTAAATGAAGTAGTTATGTCGTGTGTTGTATTGGTCATGTACCTAGGTGCCAGAACCAGCTCTACTAGGTCAGGCGAGGGCGGTCTAACTGGGCAGAACCCACGTGACCTCCAACAACTCTACATTATGCTGACTAATTGAAGCTAAACCTACATAGGAAAGATCTGAACCATGGGAACCAACATACCCTCAGCGACGCCATAGTATCAGTGGGAATGGCATCAAAATCAAGCTTCTTTTGGCTGCAATATATCCTTCATATAATGTTCTTGTTCTAAACCAATAAGGTACCTGAATTTCTTGAATGTTGTCTTGTTGAGGGGTTTGGTTAGGCCATCAGCTGGGTTATCCGTGCCGTCAATATGGCTGAGAATGATATCGCCATTATTAATTGCTTCGTGGACGAAGAAATAGCGGTTGCCAAGCCATTTAGTAGTCAGATAGTAGCTGGTATGTCTATTAGCTATCTTGATGGCGTTGGCACTGCCTGTGCATATTTCAATTGGCTGTCTTGGGTCCTTAAGCCAATTGAGTTGTAGTAGGATCTTCTTGATCTAAAGCTAGGAACTCTGCCATGGTAGGTGATGGAACAACTAATGTTTATTTCTTTGAGCTCTAAGAAATTGAGGCAGCACCGAACATGATAATATAGGCTTCGGTTGACTTGCTATCAGGGTTGTCTTGGTAGGCGGCATCACAATGTAATGGTTTGAATATAGAATTCATTTTCGTACTAGATACACGAGGGATTTCCTGGGAGGAGGAAGAAAAGAGACAACGGCGTGCCAGCAACAAACAGAACAAATGAAGAAAAAGAGACAGACAGAAAAAATGGTACAAATAGGGCAAGCAAAGTTGCTATATGCCTTGGCGTAGCCCGTGACAGGTAGAATAAAAAAATGTGTGCGGTTCTCTTGTTTTATCGTCTATTCTATATTTTTGTTTCCCTTGACTTTTTTTTGATCGTTTATTCTACTGTCTCGAGCGTGTATACGCGTAAAAGATTGATTCACGGATTTCAAAACTTTGATTTGATTATATAACAAGAACTCTAGGGACCAGAATCTAGAAATAACGCATGATCTATACTTCTATTGAAGCAAAGTCAATCGAAGCGCCGGCCGCCATTATTATTACTATAATCACTGTTATTTCTGTTATTCTTCGCTCCTTTCACAGTGAGCTTTCCCTCTAACCACCTGGCAAACTTGACGGTGGGGACATCAACATTACGCCAGAATAAATCTGCGGCCCATATAGACACAGGGAGACAGATGAGCCACCCGATCACGAAGCCGAGACAGTATCTGAAATTAGTGTCCTTGCCGACGACATTCCAGATGGAAGGCATGATCGAGTAGCCCAGGGAATGGAGAATAGGGCCATGAACGATGTAGAAGGCGTACGAAATCCTGCCAAGATACTGCGAGACGGGGTTAACGAAAAGTTTCTGGATTTCACGGGAATGGTTGACGCTGAAAACGATCAGGACAGCACCGATGGTCTGCGGGAATCGGTGAGGCTCCGGGTATGTCTTTGGGGTGAACTTAGCAAGCCACATATAAAAGGGTGTCCATTTAAAGCCGAGATTCGGGGAGGAGCCGAAATAAAGGCCGATAATGAAGATGGCCAGCCACCAGTTTTGGCTGTATGCTCCGAGGCTGCGTTTGAGCCTACTGATGGAATTGCGATGATAGGCGGGTAGGTTTTCCTGCATTTGAGGATGCTCCCATGTACCGTTGATCAGGTCAATCTCGGCCATGAGCATGCCGCACAAGAAGAGGACGACGTCCCACCTGCCCCAATTCACGCAGAACCAAATCAGACAGGCAACTAGGCTCATTCGGACAGTGACCATTAGGCGCGATGTTGCGAGTATCGTGATGAAAAGCACGATGGAGCATCTGAATTCTACCGGGATCGTCCAGAGGTGAGGATTGTAGAAGTTGTAGTAAAGATGCCAATACCATGGATTCACGAGCTCCATTACCGTCCCCCACCAATCCCGCAATTGGTCTTGCAGGTCGATTATGAGCGGTGGGTGCTGCTCGTTCGTGCCCTGAATCGTATAGCCTTCACTGATGACCTGGTGGGAGTAATGATAGGCGCCCGCGCGGACTGCGAGTAAGACAAGCAGGATTCCAATAATGGAGGGGATGTAGAGCCGCATTCCGCGGCGGAATGTTGATGATGCCAGGACGGCAAAGGCCTCTTCCCAAGACTGGTTGCGAATGGTTTTCAACGGTTTATAAGACAGGACGTAACCAGACATAACGAAGAAGATGGCAACCATGATGTGACCGGATACGAGCAGATGAACGATAGGCAATTGCAGCACGCTAAAATTCTCCCGGTTGAACCCCCACCCGACTGCCACCTTCCATGTGTAGGTGAAGAGAAAGTGGAAATTGAATACTAGCAGACAGGCCCAGCCCCTCAATCCATCAAGTGCAGCGATGGCATGCAGTTTTGACTCCTGGGGCGGATGGCCGCCAACCCAATGCTGCAGAAAGCTGGGTGTAAGGGTGATTCCCAGTCTAATAAACCATGCATCAAGGCGATCGAACCAGTCGGTGGGAGCTTGTTCGAAATAAGGCACTTTCTCTTGCAGGTACGGCTTCAGGCCAGAGGTACTGTTGCGACGCGAGGAGTCTCCACGATGAGAACCGGATTCGATGTCGTGAAGGGGGATATCGGCAGAAGGGGAGGGGGGCTTCTCTTTGTCGTCGAGCATGGCGCAAACAATGCGATCCAGAAGGAGTGGAATGAAGAGAGACAGGCCTGACGGGATCTTTAACAACGTATTGCAGCCAGCGCAGATTACAGTCAACTTAGCGAAAGACCTTCAAAAGGGATGAATAGTCGACAGTCAGGGAAAGACAGGATAACAAAGAAACCGCTCCAGAAACGGATTATGTGTCGCCTTCAGAGGAGTTTAGAAGATAGTCCAGCCATCGATTCGAAACAACGGTACAAATATGCCCGTCTAATAGGAATCTCCAATTGGTAACACAATATTCCCAGACGAAAACCAACAGATGTCATCCAGCGACATTGAGCGATCCGTCCGGCGTGGAGAATGGGTTCGCGAAGCGCCGACCTGATAGCGATGAAGCTCAGGCAGGCATTCTAGCCAGGGACTGGGCCAGTTGATTAATCAGATAGTCAAGAGGCAGCAGCGAAACGTAGACAGTGATTCAACCCTCGAAAGGAGCAATGCTAGGACAATGACAGTGCGTTGCTTATGAAGGGCGAGAAGTGCAGGGAGATGTAATTTGATGGAACCATGGTCCACGACCACCGCCGCTTCTCCACAGGCCGCATCATCCTACGAAAATCTAGCTCATAACCACATTGTACAGAGTATACAATGGGCATCTATGATGTCTGGTGTAATAAACAAATAATTACATGAGGGAGAACAAGACAGCAATTACTGCGAACAGCTGCGACCATGGAACCTGTCACGTGTAATCACTTCTATCATGTGACCATATTTGCTGAGTAATATATCACGTGATATAAAAATTTCCAAATCCGATGATTCAAGCAGCGACAGAACAGCTGCGGACAACGCGCTCTGCTCCTCCTCCAACAGTGAAGAAGGCACTTTTTAATATGAAAAAGCATGCCTCTGCTAGATAAATGTACTCTGTAATGCGCGGCATGCTACCCTGGTTGATTGTACAGGGAGCCGTAGAACACGCACCGCCTGTCTCCCCCATCTCTTAAGCTTCAGCAGCAGCTCTGGAAGGGGCAAGAGTCAAAATCATAGGCTGATGAGGGCAAAGCCAGCACTGCACACCAAGCACCAACCAAGTCAACTTGGGGTGCAGTCAGGACCGGCTGCTGCTGTGATGCCATCAGGGAAAACGCCGCCGGGACTTCCCATAGGAGCTGACGGACTGACTACATATCCGCAGTTTCTCTCCTGCTTCCTCTTTGTCCAAGTAACATCGTCACCACCTCATCCTCCTCTTTGTTTCGCCGGCCCTCGACGCCCTTGCGAGCGACGACAGGGCCAGCTCAACTGAATGTCATCTTTTCCGGCCTTTTGAACGCCTGGTGAACTCACAGTCCGTGTTGCGCTCGTGGTGGATCTGTTGACTGTCCTAGTTCCTCGCCATCTCTCCACTCTGCGTGCAGGTGTCAATTCGACTCGCCATGGACCTGCGCACGATCATGAACAGCGATGCCGCTCCCAATCCTCCTCCGCGGCCGTCTCCTACCCAACCGTCTGCTCCAGATCCGATTTATCAGCGTCCGCAGCATGCGTTCGCGGCCACTTCTCCCGGTCTGTCTCCGTCCGCGCCCAATCCGCCCGGCTACTCTGGCCTGCCACCGCAGCCTCTTCCTCATCCTTCCCCAGATCGGTCCTCTTCCTACGGCTCCATCCAGTCTCCTTATCAGCATAACTCCGCGCTGCCTTTGAGCGCCGGTGCCCAGTCCCAGCGAGGCCAAAGTCCTCCGAGCACCTCAACTACTTTTGCGCCGGCCTCGCGTGACCAATACTACAACCAGCAACAGCAACAGCAACATCGACTGTCTTTCGGGCCCCCAATAGCCTCTCCCTACGCGCCGCAGGTCATAAGTGCTGGGATTCAACAGCAGGACCAGCAATCGTACTTTACGTTGCAGCGCTCTCATTCCTTCCAGTCGGTTCCAACCCCCTCTTCCACTTCTAGCCACTTATTCCATCCTAGGGAAAGCCCTCACTCCGCCGTTTCTCAACAGGCCCTGCACTCGCAGCAGTTTTCCCCCACACGTCGATCCGTGTCCAGCACTCCCTTAGGCCCTCCGTCTACTCCTTACGCACGCCCCTCACCCCAGTCGTCTCGTCCACGATCGTCTGGCCAGGATTCGCACACAATCCAATTTTCCAATTCAGAACAGGGACAAGAAATTCCATCCAGAGATCAAGCGAATAATATGATATCCCCCTCTGCGAAAACTTCGTTGCCTACACAGGACTCGAGACAGGTGGGACAGACGTCTCGACACCATTCAGCAGAAACAGAGAGAGAACGGACGGCCAGTGTCAGCCCAAGAACCGTCTTCACATCCGCTTCGCGCCAGGGAAGTATTGCAGGAAATCCGGAACATACAAGTTCTCCTTGGAGTCGCCAAGGGGACATGAGATCTCAAGGGAGTCCCAATGGATCCGCTCGTGCGGCATCCCACCCTGTTGCCGCAGCGCCTCAGACTAACAGTTCTCCTTCTCCTCGAACGGTCACCTCAAATGATGCAACTGGTGGAGAGTATGGGAGCACTTTACCGCGGAAAGCGGGTGTTAGCCCGGAGCCGAGAAAGAACTCTGTTCCACATCCACCAAAGCGGAAAAAGATGAGGTATAGCGAACCACCCATCTTTGCCCGAAAATCAGCTCGTACGAAGGGAAGATGTCCTGTGATTCCAAACCCGCGCCCTCCCATTCCCAAGAATGCCAGGAGCATCCAACAGGAGGCTTGGCCCTCACGAAAGATGTCCTCACCGTCGGTTGTATCTGCAGTCAAAAGTCACCCTGAAACAGGGCCATCTGCAAACAGCCCTGCTCCCCGTCCTCCGCCACCAGTTGCCCTGCAGGACGCTCCGCTTGTTTTTTGGGAGCCTTCTATCACCGGGTTTATTCCGTATGAGGAAATAACGAAATTGATATGCGATTTCCTATTCCAACACGTGGTGCTCCGGAAAGATGCTGCTGCCAGCTCTGCAGGTATTGCGGCGGCTGACCATGGACCTATTGTAGAGGTGGAGGCTAAACTAGGAAGACTCATTGATATGGATAGAGGAGACAGGCTTCGCCTGCCTGTCTTGACAGAAACTGTGGTAAATCGGGAGGATCCCCGCTTACGAACATCGTTTGAGAGTTCGATGACTTTGGTGGGTTCAGTCTTCTCAGCCATCCTTCTTTCCTTGCCGAAAGCTGACCCGTTCATTAGGAACAACATCGTATGATGAACAATTTTCTGAATGAGGCGGTGAAAGCGTCCATGCCTCACTCCAATCCGAAGCGCATGCCCATATCCTATGCGCATAAGAAGGAACGCGATACGTTCTATGAAGTTTCACCAAATGAGTTGCCACCTGTCATTCGCCAAAATCTCCATCCACGTCACAAGCCTAGAGTTCGAGTTACAACGGACCAACGGACGGGTGAAATCATTGCCAAAATAGTCAAATGCCGCGTCGCAGACATGGATGTGTATAGCCCCCGTACCTACGTCGACTGGCGTATAAGTGTCAACCTGGAAATGGAATATGATGGCGATGTCCGCCATCTTCCTGTCCTAGACGGAATGAAGGGTGGACGAGGCGGAGAGCGGAATAAAGACCGCATGAGCTACAGACATCAAGCGTACCAGATTGACTTGACACAAGTTGCTAAATCCGAGGTAAGTATAATCATCTTTAAACGGTCAATGGGAACATATTTTAATATATTCTGTCTGAGCAGCCTCCAGCGAAATCTGACTTCTATCATGAGCTCGAAATCGAAGTGTCAGCCGCCGAAATTCGGCATCGAGGTCAACTTGCTTTGGCTGGTGATCCTAAGAATCAATATGAAGAGTTAATCAAGGGATTTGTGGATAATGTGCGCGTTCTTGCTCGCACTGTTCCCCCGTAAACTGCCTCCCTTTTTGCTCTTGATTTTCCTTGGGACTTTTGGGCTTGTTAAAAAAAAATCAAAAAAAATTCTATACCGACCTTCTATTTCATTTTTTTTTATTTTCCCCTTCCCTTTTTTATTGTACTCTACTATTTTCCTACCTTCTCTTCTGTATTGGCATTAATTGATGAAGCATGAATTCACGCACTATATCTCTCTGGAGACTTGAGCTGTGTGGCGCTGGAGGTCCCTTTTTTTTCTTTTCCAGTCTTATATTTAGATATAGTTACTAACTATTTCCATGCTAGGGAACAGTAATAAGCTGATCTGTGAGTTGTTTTCTCTTCCCGGATGGTATTTATTTTCACTTGCATCTACGGAGTGTCTAATATTGTTTCTCTGCACACCTAGCAGTAGTAGGATTGACAAATGTCAATTCATAAGGTATAAAGTCATGGTGGATTACGAAGTCGTAATATCCCAGGTTGAAATAAATATCATGTACATTGCTCTGTATGTTATTAATTACCATTCATATGCCCCTTCAGTTAGATATCTTGCATTATAAAGGCAGTGGTGGACGAGTGAAACTACAATAAAATGATCATAATTGATTATCATAGTAGAACAGCATTCATATAGTACATACAATGGGTAAATAGCACACGCATGCGAATGTACTTTCTTTTTGTCAATTTAACAGGTGGACAATAATAATGGTAATTTGGTATGTCATGCCTCAAATCTGAAATATCATGGCACGCGATTCAAGGAAATCTCTTTTGTTCTCGTTCTCTTCTATCATCATTTTGCTCGCAGGATAACAACCCCAAAAGAGACAATAAAATCGAGTAGGATATAAGATAAGGGTAGAAGAGATTGAACCGACGAAAAAAGCACCAATCAACCAACCAATTTTTTATCTAAGGACTGGGTGTTCCCTCATCATATCGTGGTCCACCTTCATCACCGTCCCCGTACGCATCTGCTCCCGGAGTAACGGCCGAAATGCCCATGGCTGGGGTGGGAGCATCATATGGATGACTGTTATCGAAAGCTGCGGGAGTGGGTGCATCGTACGGCCTCCTTGCTCCCGGTGTTGGAGCGCTATCTGCCCAAGCCCCTGGTGTGGGAGCACTGCCATACGCGCCAGGCGTAGGCGCAGAATAACTTGCTCCAGGAGTAGGGGCGTCATAACCGCGTGAATCTCGACTTGTGTTATTCGAACTAGCTCCGGCAGACCACGCAGGCGTGCGGCTGCCTGAGTTGTTCGACATGCCCCAGGCGGGAGTCCTAGAACCGGCAGCGAAGGCATCAAAACCGCTCGACCCAGAACCAGAGTCGTATGGAGTTTTTGCACCGGCATTCCAGGCTGGCGTGCGAGACCCATATCCACCGTAGGCAGTACGGTTTCCATCGTATGGATTTGAGGTACGCGATCCGTCCATTTTCCAGGCTGGCGTGCGAGAGCCACTGACAGCTCCCCAGGCAGGGGCTGAGTGAATAGATCCCGTTAGCATACAAGGAGTAGACAGTATATAGGCACTTCCCAAACTTACTTCTGGATGATGTTGCAAGTCCCCAAGCAGGTGTTCTAGAAGAGTCAGCAGCAGCAATGGGAGTTCGACCACCATGCCAGCCATCTCTTGCTGGCACAGCTGCAGAACCGAACGGCACACGGGCTCCTTTTCCACCACGAGACATGTCCAACGTTTGGCCAGTGACAGGGCTAGAATGGATATTAGCTAGAGGTGAATGAACAAGAGAGAAAGACCAACGTACTCTTTCACAATAAGGATTTCCTTCGGTATCGTAACCAATTTATTTTTAGAATGAAGTTCAACTCGGGCTTGGTCATCTGAGGCATCCTTCACGATACCAACTAGACCCTTGAAGGGACCTTTTCTGACAGAGACTGTTTTCCCAATCAGTCGGTCCCGTCCCATGGTCTTCGGTGGTGGCATAACCCCTGCATTGATGCCTGGTCTCATAAGAGCTGGGTTCATCTTCGAAAGGTCAGGCCCTGTAGCCCTACCACCCTTGGCCGACACCGTTACAACGTTGGTCGTACGGGTAACCACGACACCGGAATTTTCAGCCTGGACCTTGTTATGAAGGAAAAGGTAGGAGCGGTAAATGTGGATTATGACGCCACGCCTCTGTTCACCATAGACTTCTCGAACCGTGTCACCGACTCGGATCTCAGCACCATTGCGGTCCGTAGCGACAGCATCTTTGCGCGGAGGAATCCTATTCGCGACCTGGGAAGGGAGAATCGTTCGAGTAGAGCCATTTTGATCCAACACCTGAAGCGACTCACGGTCGACCTTAATGATACAAGCAACAGTGGAGGCGCTAAGAGTAAAACAGTCAGCCACAGAGTTAAAAAGGGCAGCACGGATAGATGACTTACTCAAGCTGTACGAGATCATGAACGTCATAAATACCAAGCTTTCCGTCAACACCAGTTTCAGCAGACAGCCGAAGATCCTTGCTGAAGACAGTGATTTCCTGCATGCTCATATCGCTAAGAAGAGTGACGGTATCATCCTTAACTTGAACAACCATCCCCAACTCATCTTGATATCTGCTGCCTCCAATGACCTTGACATGATCACCTTCCCTGAAGCGCTTGCGGAGTGATTTCACCGGAGCGTCGATCTTCTGGCCAACTAAATCGCCTTCTGTCACCTGTAAAGTTACAATATCACCGCGAGTGGAAACAGTTCGGCCGATTAGGCCCTGCTGTTCACCACGGTACACCTCGACGGGATCACCCGGAAGATATGCGTCTTCGGCCGTAGTGTTCTTGAGTGTCTCTGCAAGAGAAGCAAGATCCAAGTTTGAGGTCCCATCTTCGGAGCCCCTGGCAAACATAGTGACCTCTTCAAGACGAGGATTGACGTTCTTCGTGATAAGGTGCTGCACCTTCATGTCCTTGATGAGGAAACCATCGATGTAAGTCTCGCCCAGATAGCTCCATGACTTCCCGCCCAGACCAGATGTAGCAGATAGATATTTACTGTGCTTCTTCTTTGCTTCCGCTTCGCTGAACAGGCGCTGAGGGGGACGAGCAGTTGTTCCATTCATGCCACCACGTTTCCTCTTAGGATCTATGATAGGACGCCCCGAGTCTTCATTCAGACCATAATCCAGACGCGGAACCAATCTCACCGTCACATCAAGCCCGTTTGTCTCCACCTCCTCGATCTGGGCTAGGTCGCCTTGGTACTTCCCACGTTTGATACGAACCCAACCGCCAGGCAAAAGTTCTTCAGATTTCTGAACATGCAGCAGGTCAGGCATTTCCTTGACAGGAACAAGGATCATCTTCGATCTTGGGTAGACGTTGGTCATGTCCTCCAGAGCTTCCATGACATCGGCTTGCCTACGCGCTTCAACGTAGACATAACCGCTCATCGGGCCCCCACGTTCGAAAGCGGACATGATCTTAATTGGTTTCCGAGACCCTGGTGGCCGATCTTCGATGCGCTTCTGAATGGAAAAGACAACCTCACGTTCCTTGCCCGCTTTACAGCGAACGGCCCAGATACTCGGGTCGTCGACGCTCGGAAGGAGTAGCCGTTTCGGCACAACCAGCGCATCCGACGGAGCCATACGGTTCCGGCCATACCGTTCTTTGAGCAACTGCGCCTGTTTCTCAGCGTCCATGCTGGCTTCCAGCTCGCGTTGACGGTCGAGTTGACGGTGTCGACGGTCATCTATATCCGCACCAACAGGCAGCGCCTCAAGGTCGTCCGGGTGCATCTCTGCCCCAAACTCGCCCATCTCATCCTCTTCCTCTTCCTCTTCCTCGTCTTCGTCATCTACACCAGCTTCCTCGTCGATGAAATTAAGAATGCCTTTTCTCTGTCGTTTCTTAGGCCTCTGTGGAGTAAGAGAACGTAAATTAGTTGCTGCCTTTCGCAGGACATGCGCTTGATAAAAAAAAGAAGAGAACACCTACCGAAACAGCTTCTTCATCATCCTCATCCTCCTCTTCTTCTTCCTCGTCCTCGTCCTCTTCATTGCCCTGTTCATCTTCGTCGGCATCGCCATTCACATTCTCATCTTCGTCTACCTCCTCAATTTCAGGTCTCGCTGGTTGGGATGATGGTACACCATCAGGATTCGTTTCATCCTCATTATCTCCTTCATCATCCTCGACAGCACCATGTTCCGACTGTATTCCTCTGTACTCAGCATCACCATCTTCCAACATTATTACCCGGTCATCGTTACCAACCTTAACCTCATTGTCAGAGACATCTCCAGGCGCGGGGTTGAAATCATCATCCTCCTCATCAGAACCGAAATCTTGGCTTAAAAAGTTCCTCGACATCTCGTCTTATCGTAGATGGTAAATTCGAAGCGTGGAGCGTCGTATTAGAGTTCCGATTCAGTTCCTGTCCTTTATAAAATATGGACAAATTAGGTAACCGCCTGGCAAAAGACTTAAACTGCTTTGAAGGAAGGCTTGTGTTCATACCTTGACGAGAGGCGAAAATAATGCGACGAGCTAACGTAGGGTGTCTCAGAGGATAAAAAGAATACAAAAGTAAGCGCCAACCGAATATATGGAACTGACTCGGTGGATATTAATACTGCAAAGGCCAGTTACTGCAGTATATACTGGTATAAACGAATAGTGAATGTTCCTGGGTGTATTTGGCCAGAAAGTCGCGGCAGCGGAGGTCCAGGTGGTCGCCGAGGGTCCGCGACCGCGACAAAAATGCCAGTCCTGCTGCAGGATTATCTAACGAAGAAAAACAAAATAAGGAATCCTTAGGAGCCGAGAAGAAAGGGGAGGGGAAAGTATGCAAAAGAGCAAAGCGCAGAGCCTTATTCTTTTAAATAGTTGCTTGAAACTCAAATGAAGCTCGATCAAGGCGACGATGTTCGGGAAAGTTGAAGGTTCAAGCGTTACGCATGTGGTCCCTTTGGGCAGTCGAAGTCCAATTGCAAATCAAGTTGCATCTTCATCCTGCCTTCCTTTCGATTCGCTTTTTTAAGAGCAGATCACTCCTTTTTTATATATCAAGCAGGGTACGAATTCAAATCATCGTCTCTCGGAGATGCTGCGAGTGTTTATGTACACATGTACTCTTGATCACTAACAATAAAACGTGGTATAATAATACAAAAACCAATCTCAATCCCAATATATAACAGAACGAGTAATGGCTTTAGCATATCCCATGCAAAGCCTCCTGAGGAAGTGAGAAGATACCATCTATCCAAAGCGCAAAACGAGGCACCTCAGAGCTTCATTCCGAACATCCTATACACACGCAAGCTCTGACGCATGCTCAGATCCAGCATGATTTCTTCACTACCACCGGGAATAGCGTAGGCGCGAACATCACGGTACAGCCGTTCGATCTTACCACCTTGGCCTCCGCGGCTGTAGCTGAGACCGCCAAAGATCTGACTTGCCTCGCGAGCACAGTATTCAAAGGTCGTGGTCGACTGGGCCTTGAGGCCAGCGATGGCGCCACCCATTTTAAGCATCGCCTCAGTCTCATCCATGACCTGGGATTGGTAAATGATGTTCTCAAGCCAGTTGTATGATGCCTCGATCTGACGGGCCATGTGTGCAAGCTTCATACGGATGACATCGTGGTCGATAAGTCTCTTGCCGAAGGTCTTGCGCTTATACGCGTACTTCACAGATTCCTCATAGCAGACACGGGCAAAACGCAATGCCTGGATAATAATTCCAATCCGCTCGTGGTTAAAGTTGGTGACAATAACTGGGGGAAACAAGGTCAGCTTTATCTGTCTCAGGATGCCATGTGGTTCAGCGTATTTTGCTCACCCTTGAAACCCTGGTTCTCCTTTCCAATCAAGTTCTCCACGGGCACCTTGACATCTTCGAATGTAACGTAGGTAGTACCACTGCTCCAAACACCCTGGCAGTCCATGCGCCTGGTCTTGACACCGCCGAAGGACCTCTCGATGAGCAGTAGACTGACGCCATTCATGCCAGGGCCGCCGGTACGGACTGCAGTGGTGAAGTAGTCGGCATAGATACCGTTGGTGATCCATTTCTTCTCACCGTTGACGATGTAGTGCTTGCCGTCGGGGGTGAGCTTTGCCTCACATGTCAGGTTGGCTACATCACTACCGGCATCGGGCTCAGTAATGGCAAGGCAGATACGCTTGTCACCGGCCAAAATGCCAGGGACAACTCTTTCGACAACGGATTTGTTACCGAATCTGACCAGTGGCGGACAACCAATGCCGAAACCACCAAGCAAGTTCCAGACCACACCGCCGCTGGCACAACGGGACAGCTCATCCGTGATTATCAGCTCATGGAAGTGATCCCAATGCTCCGGAGCTACGCTCTTCACCTTGTACTTCGCCAGATGGGCAGGGTAGCCAACACCACCCAACAATCCTGCCAAGTATCCCCTTTCACCCAACTGCTTGTAGATGCTGGCCGGAACTTGTTTGGCCTCGTCCCATTCTGTGACGTAAGGTTCTATTTCACTCTCAACCCATTGCCGGACTTCGTTGCGCAGGGCGACGTGTGACTCGTTGTAGTAAGGGGAGCTGTACTGGAGTTTTCCGAGAAGACGATGTCAGCATAAGAACAAGGTCAATAGTCTCGTTGGGTTTCTTATGGTGAACTTACACCCTGGTACCAGGAAGGATCTCCGAAGGGAACAAGATCACCGAATGGTTCAAGAGGTCCACTAGGCTTGGCCGGAGGGCCCGTTGGTGCCGGGGCCGGGGCCGGGGCCGGAGCTGGGGGTGGTGGTGGAGCTGCAGCTTTCTTCGTATCCAAGGAGCCGATCTGCAGCTTTCCTTTGTACTTCTTCAGAATGCCCTCGTTGTGGTACTTCCAGAATTGTTTTGAAGCGTCCTTTCCGGCAACACGCTGGAGAACTAGGGTGCGAGCTATGTCAACACAAGGTCCTCAAATCCGGTGTGAGAATGATATATAAAACATACTCTTCTTTCCACCTGTACCACATGAAGAATAGCATTAGCATGGTCACTGGGGATGCACAAGAAAAAGAGCAGGAACAGGACAAGACAAGAAACCCACCTGGATGGTCCTCCTGGAACTTAGTCACATCGTAGACATCTTCATCAATGATGATCCAGAGGCCTTCAGACTTGTTGTGTGACGCAACCTCTTCTTTGGTGAAAGTCTTTGCCATGGTTAAATTGGAAAACGAGGCAAGACTGGGGGGCACTGAGTTGAGTAAGACGGAGATAGAGGAGGGAGAGGGAGAAATCCGAGTAATCAAGCGAGTAGCAAGCCCCAATTAAATCGAGACCGAGTTCGTGCAACCGGTGTGTAATACAACCTTTGCTATAAGCTGGAACAGAGGAAAGAAAAGGGGAGCTGGGGTAGGAGGGCGATCTTGATAGATATATGTATCCCGGCCGCGAGACACTAGAGCGATGTAGGACAAGAGGATAAGAGAGACAGCATTCACCCTGTTGGAGATCCAATCGAAGCCTAGGGATAGTAATGATCAAGACAACGCAGAGAAAGAACAAGAGTCCTCGGATGTGTTGGAGCAGCATGATCTCTGAGAATCTTCATATGCGACTCTGCCACAATTTCACATGTCTGCCGGCGGCCGGGCACGCATTGGGACGCTTCTCATTGGCTTCTGATGTCACCAGGGTGGATCCAGTGACCATTCCGGATCGGGAAAGTGCCGAGGTAAAAATCAACAAAGTTAATACTCCGTCGTAACTCCGGGCTGTCCTTGATTGCAGCGCTGCATCGTCGCATGCTTTGCTGCTGTGAGCCAGCTTCCGGCAAGGAACTGCGCATGTGACAAAGTACAGTCACCATCGAGGCCCAGCTGCTGACGCTGTATACAGCTCTATCATTTGAATACACCCCCCTACGACAATCAGGACCGGAGTGGATTGTAAAAGGACTTTCGATATCTTCGATATTGTCGCTATATCACGGTAGACAAATGGTCACAACTACTCTAATAATACAACAAGTGCCCAAATTGTACTCTTGCTATACCTCAGACCCAGTCTTCTACTCAATGTCACTCCCCTCGGTTTCATATCCGAACTCATCAGGGACCGGAGCTTCCTCGCCGCCTTCAATATCTTCATCCACAGCCGTTAAGACGCCAGCTCCTGCGGCAGCACCCGGCGCTACGGTTGGTTCCGCAAGCCCTGCTCCTCGTTCACGAGCTGGGGGTATAACGCCAATAGCCTGTAGTCGGTCTTGGAGTGTCTCCGCAGGCGGCGCGGGTTGCTTAACCTCCTTGCTGGCCTTGAACTCAATAACCTCCCGTGGCTCTTCGGGTTTCTTGTCTAGGACTACTACCACTCCTCCCGTAGGCTAATTGACAGTTAGCAACCTGGTCTCGGTTCGGGAAGAAATAAAGAAAGGGCATGGATATACATACTCTCTTGACAGGTTCATATCTCGGGTCAGGGAAAGTGAGATACTTGAGCTGAGCCGGAAGAACTCTGGACATGTTTTCAAGCTCATATCCAACCTTCTCCCGCTCCACTTTCTTTTTCTGATTATCTCCCTTTTCCCCTTCTTTCGCTTCCTCTTCGGCCTTGGCGGCGCCCTCATCGGTTTCCATTTTCTCCGGCAATTGCTCAGAGACCTTGGGAGTCGTTGGTGTCTGATCAATATCCATACTTTCTTGTCGCTGTTGCCTCTCGCGGCGCTGCGCACGACGCTTCGCCTGAGCGGTGGTGGAAAGAACCGCCGTCTTTACTTTTTCTGGTGCCTCCTCAGCCTTGACCTGCTGCTCCGGAGGATAGTCAAATAGGCTGGGCCTGGTATTGCTGTGGAATTTGAAGAATGGGGCTTCCAGCTTCTGGTCCACACCGATCAAGGCAGTAGGGGTAAAGCTGAGGCCGAGGAAGTGTGTGAGTGGGAACCAATACCAATATTGAATGAACACAGCCGCTCCGACAATGCCAGGCATGTTCAGATTCCCGGTCTGGGTTTGCAGGCTAATAGTACAGTTCCGGCCACCCGCATCGATGATACCAAGGGCGACGGCGCAGCCAAACTTGGCCATGGCATCTTCATGTCTGTCTCCAACCATCTTCATCATAATCTTGCGAATGGAGGTAACTCTAGGGTTCATTGCCTCATTCTGCTGTATCAAGACCATGGCCAGTGCGATCAATGCTCCTTGTCTCACAAAATCGGTAGAGTCCTTGAGCATTGGTTCCAGAAGATCAATTGCCTCATCCAATCCGGTACCGGCGCAAGAGATACCAAGTGCTATCGCAGCTCCATACCGAACATGAGGATTATAAGACTCTGCCAACAATTCGACCATACGAGGCACGCTCTGATACTTTCTGAACAGGATAAATCCCAAGCTGAGAACGGCGACCCGACGTACGTCATCATTAACATCGCTGACGGCGACATGGAGAAGCTTGCGGACAGCCTTATTGCTGCCGGTGCCACAGTACGCTAGGGCGATAGTCATGATACCACCATAACGGAGGGTAGGATCAGGATCGCCTAGGAGACCGCTAATCAATTCATCTGCCCCTTCCTGACGGCCATACATGATCAACGCCATGCCGATGGCCAAGCCACGAACAATCTTCTCGTGTTGTGTGTCATGGGCATACTGGATCATGTCTTCAAGGGCCTTCATGTTCCCGGTTCCCAACATGACGAGGCCCATAGCCAAACCGACGGCTTCACCATTGAGCGCTGAGTCAGTATACAGAACATTCCTGAGATCCTCGTAGATTCCCTCATCACCAGACGCCATGCCCGCGACACCCAGGCCTAGGGCAGCACCATGTTGCACCACCTCTTCTGTAGCCTTCTTGAAATGATCACGAATAATATCAACGGCCATGCCGCCATGATTGGCGTATATCAGTCCAAATGCAAAGAGAGAACCTCCTTGGCTGTAGACGGACCCTGAGCCGCCAACTCCCGCAATTTGTTCCCTGGGGAGATAAGGTTGAAGAAGCTTCTGGCCCTGGCTAAGATTTCCTTTGTGAATAACACCAAGCGCAGCGGTTGCGGTAAACTTGGACCAATTGACAGCCTTTCCAAGCCATTCTAGATTATCACGGAAGAATTTGTCGTGTGTAGTACCGGCGTGCATGAAGGCATTAGAGATCGTAACGGCGGTGTGGAATATAGAATTGCGAGCTTCGAGGCTATCCCGAATCTTGTTGAGAATCGCAATGTCCACCTTGTTACTCCTGTATAAAAATTCCAAGTTCAGTTGAATTGACTTGATGCCATCAAGGATGTCCAAGACATTCTTGAACGCCGCGCGCGCCTCTTCCGAAAGCTTGACATTTTTACCGTTGACCCCTAGAGACCTCGGTTCGTCTCCCAATAGAGGGTCCGATTCCTTCGGTTCTTGGCCCTCAGCTTCCCCTTCCTTAGAAGGCGTTTCAGATTCGCTCTTTTCCGGCACCAGTTCTGAAATCTCTTGGCGGACCTTTTTCAGGAACTCCTGTGTGCTGTTATCATAGAGGTCGAAGGAAATCTGATAAGCCACAGCGAGAGACCTTGCGTCGCCCTTTTCAACCAGCTGACGGAGAATAGCAGAAGCCATGGAGTGCTCATTCAGATAAACGACACATTTCGCGATCGAAAAGTAGTCAGGTGAAGGAATGTCGTTTAAAAGTTCAAGAATGAGCTTCAGTATCTGAAGAACGCGAAGTCAACAAAAAAACTCATTGTAGGTTAAGGGCGGAGATCACGAACCTCATTACGGAAACCACGCTCCTGAACAACGCTCATGCAAATATCCAGAACATAGTCAAGCAGTTCTCCGCTTCGCCGAGACTCACCCAACTGTTTTCTCTCATCTTCACTAGCTCGCAAAATCGCTGTCCGGAGCACATCCAAGTTCTTCGCTTCTATCGCAATACCAATAACCTGGCGATACCGCTTCTGACGAAAGCACGAATCGAATAATCGTTCGATGATAGCCTGTAACTGACCCTGAACTCCTCTCCTCAAGACCAAGGGGATTTCAACGTGTTTCACGCTAGCATCGTCACCACCAGGATATGCGGAATCCACTCCAGGGACTTCCTGTCGGGAAAGCAAGGACTTAGATGGTAAAGCAGACTTGGAAAACGGGGTAATCGTAGACGTCAAACTAGCAGACGTGCTTGTTGCCCCTTCAGCCGACGTAGGGAATGTGGTATTTAGGTTCGCAGGCAAGTCACCGACTGCGGGTTTTTGGGCGGCAGAAAGAGAAATGAATGTATCGACGCATTTTCCTTCGGAATTAAACCAAGTTAGCAAAATCTGGATCCATTAGACGACATCCCCCAAACCGGTTCAGGCTCACCAATTATTGTTTCTTCAAACTCGCCGCCATTATCTAGGTTGAGTAATTTTCCAGCCCCAAGTGCAAAAACCATACTCTCATTGTATTCTTGGAGATGATAGTAAACTTTGGCGGCAACCAAAGCTGCCAGCTCACGTTCTGGAAACGACTCGTCTTCATACAGTGCCTCGCTAAAATCAACAAGTTAGGTTAGCATAGTCATCATATTGTGGAAATATAGAGAAGGATATGAGCCATACATTTGCGGGATAGCATCCACAACTTCCGTCCAAAGCAGGTCGATCTGGGCATCTAGAGTCTTTAAAGCGAAGACTCTCAACTCAGGATCCGACTCTGAAAGAAAGCCGACGAGGCCAGCGGCCGAAGCGATGCCAACCATCTTTAGAAATGATAATTCGCAGCTTCACCGACGATGGAACGATCGGAGATGGTCAGGAGGAGAGTTGTCTAGCCGAAGGAGCGATGGGGCGAAGAGGGAAGCTTTCGATCCAACGGAGTGTCAACCCCAGCGAAAGAGGGCGCAAAGAGTAAGAACTAACTGAGCAGAAGGGTACCAGGGAGAAATCCACGAACAGAAAAATACAAAGCTGAATTGAAGGAAAATAAACAGCGCGAGTCTAAGAGACAAAGCAGGACTTGGCCAGGTTCAAGCTTCCTGCAGCCGCGAAGTCACACGTCAACGACCGAAGCTGACCAAGCGCTGGAGTCACCTAGCGCAGTCACGTGTTGTTCTGTTGGGATGACCTCACCGACCTGCCTGCGCGACGCTGAGCTGCAGCTGCTTGAAACTTACTTTTCACCGCGGAGCCTATATTGGTAGCGTTCGGTACTGGAACTATAGACTGCTGCTGATACTTTCCTAAGATGTCGACAATATTCTCACAGAGAGGTCGCAAAGACAAACACCATGATGTGCCTAACGCTTCTACCTACCACCGCGATCCTATCCTTTGGTTTGAACGCCAAGTTAAACACATCCAGCGAGACTTACAAATCCTAATCGATGCGCAGAGTGATGGTCTTCTTGCTGGTTTATCGGCACCGGGCAAGGATGGCGGTCCTTCCAGCGAAGACCCTACACGTTCTTCCGAACCGAGTAGTTCTCAGAAACCACCTAACGCAGCCATCAAGCGGTCTGGGAAGAGGAAGATTGGGTTACGGGCCGCACGGGAGGGAATATTGAAATCCATGCACGATATACTAAAGCTTAGGGAGGAACAGCAAGAGATAATTGGGGCCCAAATTGGTGGAAGAAATGTTGCACTGATGGAGATTAACAAACTTAGTTCCAAAAAGACCGGTCTAGAGGAGTCCATTGCGGCCATACAAAACGATAATGGGATACAGAAAGGTGCAGAGCTCAAGGAAGAAGCTCGTAACCTTGAGGCAGACATCAATGAACTAGAAACAAGGCTATACGAGATGAAGGCGAGGCATCGCCGTGTCCTTGACGAAATCTCGCAACACGAGAATGCAGTCGAGGCTAAGTTGTCTTCTTACAAGGCTTCTTTGTCGCTGGTAGAATCGAATATCCGAGAATGCCTCCGCTACCCACCCGTCGAACCTCTAGCATCCGTTGCGGCTGATACCGCGTTCTATTCCTTAAATCCGAAACGTCGAACACTCGATATGGCTAAAGCGCATTGGAAAAGTGAGAAAGTTGCGCTTGAAAACAAACAGCAAGAAATAAACCTGGAGGTGGAAGCTCTCGAGGAAGGGGTTGATGTGTGGAAACAAGTGGTCACTGCAGTCTCGAGCTTCGAAAGACGCTTGAAGGCTGAAATGCGGCGATTTATCCAAACAAAGTCGCAGCTTCTGCATCCCGATACATCTATTTCTAAAAAATCGAAAGACGAACAAGTTAAGGCGATATTAGAGGACTTGGAACATACTTCGAGTTTTGTGGCGGAGAAATTGGAACTTGCTGAGGAGAAGGATTGGAGGTTGCTTGTTTGCTGCATTGGCGCAGAGCTGGAAGCCTTGAAAGAGGCACATGGCCTGCTTTCTAGTGCGTTCAATGTACCAGTTGAAGATCCATCTGTTCCTGAGAAAGAACCCGACAATGCAGATACCCGGGATGAACATCATGACGACTCACATACGGATCTGCATGATGTCGATAACCCAGAACCTCCGGCCGACTTGCTGAGAGATACAGATACGCATTCTCACGATGCCATCTACAGATCAGAAGATGACGAACCGGATCCTGCATGGCTTCTTCCCGAAACTTAACATCTTATCCATGACCCCGAGTCGCTACGGGTTGCCCATATATACTAGATAGTATTGAATTACTGTGTATTATACTGTACTAGGGTTAGAGATGATTGTCCATTTCTTACGAAGTGCGATAATGGCCCTTATATTGTTCCTGTTCATTCTCGCCGCACATGCAGTACCTGCGGTATCTGCGTAAACGCAGAACCTTGCAGTTTAACTGGATACTTAATGTGATGCAAGCCCATCATATCTTGAGTACTGTATCTTCCAAGCACTTTGCTGCATCGCCATACCGCTCATACATTGTCTTTTCAAATATGTGCATCATCTCAACAGACTTTGCATCAACCGGCAGGATCTGACTCGCATACAGACCACACAGCTCTGCCTGGCGATCAATCCACTAGAACAAACTAGCTTTTATTCACATTTCCAAAGGTTCCCAAACTTGTAAGTCTTCAAAGAAAAGAACTCACCCAGAATAATTAGGCATCCCGCCCCACGTCATCGTACGTTTGCGTCTCCAACCCTCCAGATCATTCAGCATTAGCAAACCGCCAAGTCCTCAATCCATGGGCGTCCCTACTGGCATTCCACCCAGCATAGTATTCCACCGTGGTATCTCCAAGATGGCTTGCAGGGCCGCATGAGTCGATTCACTCAATTGAGGCATAAACATGGCGTCTACGGTTGATCTGCGGAGTAGCTGCGTAGGTGGCACAGACGCAGCGCCGGAAATCGAGGGTTTGGATGCAAGGAGTAGTGCACGCAGGACTTTGATATACTCTACGGCGATGTGTATATGCGGCCGCCTCCCAGTGCAGCCTCCATGGCCGGCTTGAGTGCTGGCTGTTCCGTGGCGTAGAACGCGGTCGGTGTGGAATTAGAGCTTCCGTCACGGTTTGGGTTTCGAAAAGACATATATTCCATGTGAGCATGCAAGTCGGGACGTTGGGATGGAAAGAAGGTCATATCGGTTTCCATATATTCTGGATCATGTAGTCTTGCAAAGACTTGGAGTAGGTTATCCGTTCGATAAGGACGCCAGCCCAGTCAAGAGATGGACTGTATGACCAGCTCGTCCCGGGCTAAAATATAAGCGGGTGCAGATAAAGGCCTTGGACGCTGGTAAGAAGGAAACGCTTGCTCTCCTCCAGCTGTTGGTTTTACCATTGCATGATTGGCAGCTCGTTGAACGAGCAAGTAAGGCCGGATGTTGTGTCAGGAGCAGCCTGTGAACTCGGAAACGTGCTTCAAGTGCATGTGGAAGAATATCAAGTGGTCATACCTCAGCGTGACAGGTGTGCAGCGTTCTTCTTCGTCTCTATAATGGAACATTGACGCCAGTTATAATATCAATGTCTTTCAATTCATGCACAATAGGTCGGATATCTTCATCGAGGGCGAAGGGATGCTCAAGTGAGCCGACACCGGATGTTTGGCTATGTTGGAATTGCCTGGTCAAGGTTATTAAGATATGTTGCTGGAAGGCAGAGACTCATCGAGGATTAGGAGATGGAGGATGTACCATTCGTATCTGTTGCCATGAGCAGAGAACCAGGAATGGCTCTGGAAGCACATGCACTTTCAAAGATCTCCTCCATGGTTTGTCGAAACATACTTGAAGATGTTCGAATGCAGGGAGAACCAGATGCCGTCATGCTCGAGTATCTCGCAATGCTAAATGACACAGAGATGTAGCATGAGGCGTTTTGATGCTTATTGTTATTGTGGCATTTTGCATCCATTGGCATCCAGGCAGATCGCCAGAAACAAACAGCACAAACAGTGTAAACGTGCTGGCGCCAACTTGTCAAACATTTATGTATGGATGTTTGTCCCTTTGAACGGCCTCAGGATGCATGTTTCCATGGTTCTCCCACGGCTAAGCTTTCCATTGCAACAGTGGATTACATAGGAAGTTGATCAACAGACAGGGCGATGCTTGACATACATCTCATATATGCTGTGGTATTATTCGGCTCCTCTACGGATATCAGTTGCGACATCAAGCCTGGACAACTCTTACTTTGAAGACAAGCTTTAGCCATCATTAGGCGAGTTGCAGATGCCACAAGTTCATTTATTTGGCAGAGGGCTTGTAATGACTCGACAGATGGTTTCGCATGCTAGATAGACCGAACAATAACGACGCTCTTCCACCTAAGAAGAGCAATAGAGCCTTCGAGCCAACGTTATCACTATGAGTTTCCCTCCTCCAAAATTCACCTTCACTATCCCCTCCATCTATGATAAGACCCAGCTCGACTGCCGCATTTTTCTTCCTCGTGAATTAAGTCGACTGGAACCTTCGTCCACATGGTGCAGACGAGGGGCTATAGTGGCTCATCCATATGCCCCTCTCGGGGGATGCTACGATGACCCCGTGGTGGGGTTTGTGAGTGAAGAGCTGCTGAAGGCAGGATATATTGTGGGAACATTCAACTTCCGGTATGCACCCTCTGCAAGCCTCTGTAGTACACTGTCATTATAATTGATAAATGCTCATATAAACGATCTACAAGCGGAGCGGGTGATTCGGATGGACGAACTAGTTGGACAGCGAAACCTGAGCTGGCGGACTATGTTTCAATCTACTGTTTCCTTCTGTACTTTCTGCGCATTCTGGAGACAGGAGGCCCTGAAGAGAAGCTCCAAGGCTCCTCAATAAACCAACCTCTGCAGACAGACATCAAAAGTGAAACGGAAGACCCCTCCAAAGGAATTAAAATCATACTTGGGGGTTACTCATATGGATCGTTGATCGCCTCGCATCTGCCGACGATTGATGTCATTACCAACCTTTTCAAAAAGGTTCGCGTGGGCAGTGCGTTATATGAGATATGCAGTATTGCAGATAAAATTTCTGTGCAATGGAGAAAGACATTCCGAAAGCAAATGGGCATAGAAATCCCACGAGATTCGGATTCTTTTCATAATGATGGTCATGGAAACCCTCTCACGAAGGACTTTCTGACTCCAATATCGACGTCCTACCTCCTAGTCTCACCAATATTACCACCCATCAGTCAATTTCTAACAGTGTTCTCAACTATGTCGCTGAATGTCGGATCCGAAACGTCGGCTCAAGGAAAACACATCCCTTGTCCCAAACCGACGGACCAACTCCGTGCGCACCGGACTCTCGCTCTCTACGGCAACCAGGATACATTCACGTCAGCTAGAAAGTTACAGAAATGGTCAGAGGAGCTTGCTAGGGGCCTCGACAGCAACTTTCGATACCGAGAAATTGATAAAGCAGGCCATTTTTGGAGAGAGGATGGTGTCGAGGTGCAGGCAAGAAGTGCACTAAGGGACTGGCTGCATCTTGGGGAGTGAGTTAGGCCGCCTCTCATGCTGTTCATCTGGAGCACATTTGTTTGTCTCCCGGGCAAACAATCATATCTTTTAATATCCAATGCTCGTTTCCTGGGAACTTCCAGGTCACCGTCCAGCGAGAATGTGAAACTTCAGAAGCTGTGACTAATCCCTCTGGCCTGAATATAAGCATTTGGCGAAATATAGGGCCAAGAGCCCTATACCTCCTTTCAAATCCTCCCATACCACTTCTCTGTTTCCAGCTCGCAATGATTCTCACGAGAGGGGATGTTGACTCATCAATGTACACAATAGTTACCCGACTTTTCACAACAATAACAACAGCTATTACTACTTGTAAAGAGACGGGTAAGCGACCTTGATAATATCAGCTCCCTATTTCTCAACATCAATGATCAATCCCAGTATCAAAATGTGCCCCTGGATGCCTTACCTTTTCTCCAAACATATACACGGAATTTTGCATACGACAGTCAGGAATGACAGGGATAATTGAAGCATCGATGAATCGAAGATTCTTAACACCGTGTACGCGAAGTTCAAGATCAATGACGCCTTGCTTGATATTCTTGGACAACCTGGCGGTGCCTCAGGCGTCTGGGAGCAGCCAGCGGCAACTAATCAATCTAAATTTGCACAAAAAAGTTGGAGGGTATTTTAAATGACACTTGCGAAACCTAGTCTGTGATCTCTCCAGCAGGGCAACCCTATTCATGGCCTCATCAGAGTGCCTAGTCATGGGCCAGGGATAATCTTCACCGATGATATCCAATCATTCCTTTGCCGTTCCTAAGGACCGCCATCGTCGACCTGGTCCATCCCCTCTCCAGGAACTGGGAAGTGAAGCTGAACTCGACCAACCCGCGTGGCCAGCCATGCATCAACCCGTGCTATTTATTCAACGAACTTGACATCCTCGCTTTGAGAGAAGGGGACCATTTCGTGGACGACATTAACCAGCTGCCCTCGGGAGGGATGGGGAAGTGCCACGGGAAGACGTCGGAGAATATTGGCTAAGTGGAATTATCTATTAGTTGAGGATTCCTCGCAATAGGTGCACTCTCAGACAGACAGACAACATACCACGAAGTTGATTTCGAAATGCGGTTGGCCTTCGGGACAGAATGGATCTAAGCCACCGTGTTAGGCTTTCGCTTTGAGATATGCTTTATATTTCTCAAGGTAGCTAGCTGCCAATACGATGGAGGCCGACCAACTCCAACAGCCTGCTGCTGAAGTGTCCCTTTCTACTCTCCTGGTATTTCTGGAGGGCTGCGCCATGTGCAGGGCCCGCTCGGACCAGATGGCTGTCAAGACCGACACCGTCCTTCAGATGGAAAACATGCAGGACAATAGGATGATCGAGGCATCATGGAACTTCCGCAGCTCGGGAACAAGGTCTGCATGGGACACATACTGGAGAATAGATCTTGTCGTGGCCATGATATGAAGCTAGCTATACGCAGTAGCGTCAGTAATATACTGCTTTGGATTTTGCGCAACGATGCCTGGTACTGACCTTATTCAAGCATTCCTCGACCTGATCCCAGGTCCAGCTGTATTCAGCCCAAGCGTCGAACGTGCCCTTGCTCCAGGGATCCCGGTGTAGTAGTTCAGGCAGCTACTGCCAGGAAGGGCTTTGCCACCAGTGTTCGGTTTGTCGACACGCTCGTAGTATGGCTTCTTAACGAAGGTGGTCTTGTAGCCCCAGTCGTACTGGCTGTTGCGGAGCTCGAAGGCGCGAGCCGGCATGGTGGTTTCAAGAGCCTCGTTTGGATTCCTGTTGGAAAGTCAGCGTTATGAATTGGGTTTAAATAATATTTACCCAACACCGACTTCAATCATCAGAATCTTAACGTTAGGGTTTCCTCCAGTCTTCCGGCGACGACATAGCCGGCCGTGCCGCCTGGATTCATGGTCAGAGCTGCTATGAACCAAGGGGCTCTCCACCACCTCATAGCTGTCCTTGCCAGGAATGGACATTTTTGCAAAAACAAAAAAAAAATAAAATAAAATAAAAATAAAAATAAATAAAACCAATTAAAAAAAAAGAGCTTGCTGTTAGAGTTGTGTGCGGCTTTGGAATCTTCAGCTGAATTAATTGATGGTGATGAAAGAGTACAGACACGAGCAGCGGTGACTGCACTCTTTATATCTGTTCCAATTTCCTTGACAATATCGCCAATGTCGATATATCTGTATTGATCTTTTCGCCAGCGAGCATAGGGCTGTAGATCGAAAGTTTGTGCAAGGCTTGTTTATGCAACCCGTCCGAGTTTAGCACGACTAACGGGCCAACTGCCAGGACCAAACTTCTACTACTACACAGCAAGGAACAACTATGGAATGCAGGCTATATCTAGTTAGAGCGAAAGTTGAGATTGTTGCAGCAGCTTACAAGGTTTGTCCCGTCCACATCTAACCAGATCAACCACAACCCCGCTGACCACATACACCTCCGCACAACAATGACGATATTCCAGCAGGTCTACCTGTTTGCCTTGGAATTTACTTTGCTTGTTGAGGAGTATGCTGCTGTTCGCCTCAATTAGCTTAGGGCATATTCAACGTGAGGTCGCGGCTACAGCTGCTAGCAATATCAACCGGGTTCGAGAGTTCCCGCAGCAGGTTATCATCATTTGTGTATTGGTGTACAAGGTGTGCATGTCAGCATGCGGGATTTCATTTCTAGCTTTACTGTGCTGGAGCCCACGGTACAATCTCGTCCTCCTTCAGACTTGCTGGAACCAGGGGTGAAAGATGCTCCCGGTTCCCACCGCTTGAACCAGGGTGTGGTCATAGACACGCACACACAGAGACGTCTACACACATATATTGAGTCCCCTTCAATCTGGACTTTCTCAATCTTGACGGTATCTACTTCTAAGGGAATATCTCAAAGTTCTCTTGTCTATATCCATCTACACTACCAATGCCAAACATGCCCCCCCACTACACTCTCGCTGAGGGTGAGCGTGCGCTATTCCTTGCACAGAATTATAGACTGATCAAATGGTTTCATGCTCTCAGGATGTCCCTACCCTCGAAATGACACGAGTGTCCAGCTTCGGAATAATGGTGGTGGCCTGGTTCTGCTCCAAGATACCCAGCTGATAGAGACGTTGGCCCATTTCTCCCGCGAGAGAATCCCGGAGAGGTATGTTGATTGCCTATTAAATAGCTGTCACTCTTATCTCTAACTATTCGTAAGAGTTGTGCACGCCAAAGCTGCCGGGTACGTGTAAATCCACCTGTGTATTGTTCTATTGATCAATGCTCCTAATACAAGAAAGGGCCTACGGCGTCTTCGAATGCACCCACGACTGCACCGACATAACATCTGCCAGCTTCCTGAGCACAGTAGGCAAGAAGACGGATATCCTTTTGCGAATCTCGACGGTGGGCCCCGAAAGCGGTTCGGCGGATACAATCCGTGATGTCCATGGGTGGGCTATGAAGCTCTACACGGACCAAGGAAATTTGGACTGGGTGTTTAACAATACGGTATGTTTTTAACTTCTCGCATTTGCATCAAGAGAAGAAAAAGAAACAGAAATTGCTGACTATGGGTTGGTAGCCCGTATTTTTCATTCGGGACCCTATCAAGTTTCCGTCGCTGAATCGGTCTCACAAGAGGAATCCTCGGACGCATATTCATGACCCTGACATGGTTAGTCGTATGGCCCATTGAAAGAATCCGACGAATTCAATCGTACTGATAGATAATAGTTCTGGGAGTAAGTACGAATACCAGTGAACTGAGACTGGCAGATTTGTTGAGCAATTCCCAGCTCCCACGTCGGCAGCCCAGAGAGCATCCACGAACTCATACACCTGTTCAGTGATCGTGGAACCCCTGCATCGCTGCGCTATATGAATGCCTATAGCGGGAATACATATAAATTCACCAAAGAGGTCTAGGGTTCCTTAATCCAAACACTTCGGCCTCAAAGCTAACTCGCTACAGGATGGCTCCTTCAAATACATCAAAGTCCACATCAAACCGCAACTGGGCGTGAAGAACATGACCAGACAAGAATCCGTAAAGATTGCGGGTGAAGACCCCGATTTCCTGATCAAGGACCTGTTCAATGCCATCGAGAAAGGCGACTATCCTGCCTGGAACGTCTATGTGCAGGTCATGGACCCCAAGGACGCAGAGACGTACAAGTGGAATATCTTCGATATGACCAAGGTCTGGCCTCATCAGGATTACCCGCTTAGACAGATTGGGAAACTGATTTTGAATCGTAATGTAAGTTGAACTTGTATCCAATGCTATATGTTCTTGTTGCTGATCCATACTCCATCATCCAGCCTCGCAACTATTTCACGGATATCGAGCAGGCGGCATTTTCGCCTTCCACCATGGTGCCTGGCTTTGCGCCTTCGGCTGATCCCAGTTGAGTAACTTTCATATGAAATCCATATAAAAAATGCTGCTATTATTGACCAGTTCTGTTGAAAAAAGTGCTCCAAGCCCGCATGTTCGCCTACCCCGACGCAGCCCGCTACCGTCTCGGCGTCAACTATCAGCAACTCCCTACAAATTCAGCCCGCGCACCGGTGTACTGCCCCTTCCAGCGAGACGGGTTGATGAACTTCTCCTCAAACTATGGCGATGATCCGGACTACATCGGTTCATCGCTGAGACCGACGACATTCGCGACCAGTTCCAAGGGCAACTATGTTTCCAGCACTATCACGGAACACGAAAGGTGGATTGGAGAAGTGTGTAGCTTTACCAGTACCGTCACTGATCAAGATTTCGAACAGCCGGCCGCGTTGTGGAAGGTGCTTCGCCGCGAACCGGGACAACAGGATCGGTTTGTTGGCAATGTGGCTGATAGTGTACAGAAAGTTACTAGTGCCAAGTTGCGGGCTTCGGTTTATGGTATGCTTTTTTTTTTTTTTTTTTTTTTTTTTTTCATTTGTCCTTCTCGAGGTGTGATATCACCAAAAAAAGGATATGTGCTGACCTTTTGCAGATCTTTTTGCCCGTGTTGATCCGCAGCTCGGTGCCTGGATTAAAGAAAACGCTGAAGCAAATATTCACTGAATGTGTACTTGCTCATAGACGTATCTTTGACTTTGATTCAGGTGGCGTGGCGTATTCCTTGAACTTCATTGTTTCTAATGAACCCATCAGCTTGTCATTCCATGAACCATTCCGTAATATGAAGAATTCAGCCATACGTTAAGAGGCCATTACGATGGATTTCCCACTCTTCTTCTATTCCCAATACCTCTGTATAAAACAGGATAGTGTATCACAAGGCAATAACAAAAAAGGGAAGGGAAAAAGGAAACACACCTTGAACGTCAGAAACCTAACAACGACCGCGAGGGCGTCGTCACTCGACGCCTTCCTAGGGTCACTAAGCCGCTGTGATTCAGAATCGACACAGTATTCGCCTTATATGCCATGGATATCTTAGCCGGAAGGCTTAGCCATGATCTACGCGGTGATCAATGGCAAAGCATCCTCGAGGCAACTTAATAACTAACCAAATAACTTAATAACAAACCAAATAACCCTTTCAGAGCTTACCCCGCTCACGGTGACCCTGGAAATGCCAATAGTTAACTGTGTTATGAAGCGAATAAACCCCCAATGGTTACCATGCATCACTGCCCGACTACTTCGCTTGCTCATTCAAAGCAACCTTGCCTTCAACCCCCTTTCTCGTCGATAGAATTTCACCGTCTTCTTCTGCTAGATCTTGACGAATATCCCTGCTCTGTACGAATCGATGTGGTGTACACATGCATCTCTACTCAAAGGAAGCCTCGAGATCCCCAAACCGACCGTTTATATTCTAAATTAGCCTCTCTTAGGGCTCTAGAAGACAAGATTGGCATTTTGTCGTACCCACACCGATACTGTGTGAAGGACCATTTGGAGATTCATCCAAATCTTCCAAAGAAGAGGCAAGAGAACGAATAGCTCAACCCAGTGTAGTAGTAGTAGTAGTGATGCCCGGATTTCTATTGATCGGTTCAATAGTAATAATGATGGATGAACGAACAAAGGGGGCGTATCGAGCAGGGGGAAATCCACCTCCAGAGGCACCCAAAAGCCAGTTCCTGGTCTTGCAGGCGTGGCCTGCTTGATTTAGGGCATATATCTCCCTAAAAATGTTAACTTGCCAGTGTGATGTGCAGGGTTTGTACATCGTCAACTGGGCAGTGGAGAATCTTGGGCAAAGTCACCTTGACCTTTGTTTTGATTTAATGCAAGACTGTATTCTCACTTCGATTCTTCTTCAGTGCTATTTTGGTCCAATATGAGACGAGGGCTGCGAGAGGAACTTCCATTCTAGACTGGAAGTGAGATTGGTAGCATCGGGTCACCTCTGCGTCTCTAATATTTGGCCAAATTGGCACATCAAATACGATTCGCATCTCATATTACTATTATAGTTGACGGGCCTGTCCTTATTATTTATTTACCTTTCCCTTCTACGCAGGCGCTGATGTACACCAAGGTTGGATCTCCTTTGACTCGGACGTCCTTTGACCCGGACGAGGGATCTGCTCAAGAACATGCTTTGACACCCTGCTTGAGTCATGCCTACAGTTTCCTTAGAGACCTTACGAGTTTATGTTGATTTACCTCCTACGTGTCCATACTACAGACACCAGCTCAATGAGCCCTAAGCGGGTAGTCAAGAGCCATTACGTCAAGCTGAATCACTCCATGACCATCTCGATACGCAATATCGACTGACGTATCCATATCAGCGATCAGAAACTCAGCCAAATCTTTTATGATTCCAGGGTATTTCGTTATTCTTATTTGTGGAATCAGAGCAAGGAGACTTATGAGACGTATGACGTTGACGCTGTTGAAGACATGATCCGGATCTTACTTCAACCGTCTCTGCCGGAGATCTTGATCTTCTCTCTCTGCCGAATCTTCTGTCTTTTCCTTTCTGTAATTTGATTATCTCCCTGTTCGTGTCCTGTTCGTGTCCTGTTCGTGTCCTGTTCGTGTCCCTTTTGTCTCGTCAGGAAAGACTCTTGAATAGTCTGCAAACTCGCAATCCAATCGACTTACGAATCGTTGTTCACCATGACTGAATCGGTGGTTCAATTGCGATGCTCGATTAAGGTATGTTTCTCATTTCTCCAAATTCCTCTCTAGCACTCTATTTTCTCGAAGGAAGCCTGGCTAATCTTTCTCTGATAGCATGATTCCTGGGGGAAGGTCGGAAGCCACTCCCGGGCTGCTCAATACTGGTCCAAGACACCGGGGACGGGGGCCATCGATGAATCACAGCATTATTCAGAGGTTTGCTTGCTCCATATACTATCCCTCGGGAGGTGTTGTGTTTGTTGACAGTTTGATGGCCAGATGTGGTTCGGCACATACCCATCCGTACCCACGTATGTTATGTCGACGGGCGAGGTGCTGCAGGACTTTGTGAAGAAGAATCCCCAACTGGTTGGGAAATCGGTGCTGGATCGATTCGGGGCCGAGATCCCTTTTCTTCCCAAGGTACAGTTATTGGAACGAAATGAACAAATACAAGCTCACGGAGTACTAGATCCTATCCTTTTCTAAAGCGCTTCCTCTGCAAATCCATCCGCACAAGAAACTGGCCGAGAAGTTACACCAGGTCGACCCCAAGAAATTCGGAGACGCCAACCATAAGCCTGAAATCGCTATCGCCTTGTCGAAATTCGAACTTTTCGCGGGCTGGAAGCCCCTCAAGGATATCGAGGCATTGATGAAACTCAAGCCACTGGAGCGTTTCCCTCCCGAACACGAGAAGTTCGACGACGAGACGTTGATGTTGACATGCAAGTCCATGTTGAGCGCGCCTCCCTCGGAAATCTCAGAGACAGTCCGAGCACTACAGAGTCTTCCGGAATCCAATTTTGGGGCCTACTCATATATCCCCGGTATGCTGGGCCGGCTCAGCAAGCAATACACCGAGTGCGATAGTGGAAATCTCGTCGCGACGTTGCTTATGAACTATCTCACTCTGGGACCGGGAGATGCCGTCTTTGTTCCGGCAGATAGTATCCACGCGTATCTCGAGGGGGATATAGTGGAATGCATGGCCCGATCAGACAATGTGCTGAATACGGGGTTCTGTCCGCGCGCAGAGCGCGACAGCTATGCGCTCTTCACGCGGGCTCTGACCTTCCAGCCCCATAGTCCACAGGATTGTCTGCTACCCAGAAAGAAGAGCGACAAAGGCCTGAACGGCAAGACGGACGTATATGCTCCTCCCATCGAGGAGTTTAATGTTCTCAGCACTTGTCTTGGCGGCGGGGAGACGGAAACCCACAAGGCCATCCTGGGTCCCAGTTTGATGATTATCGGCAAGGGAGAGGGGAAGATGAATATTCCCGGGAAGACGATAGACCTCCACGAGGGCCATGTGTATTTCATCGGCCAGGGTGTAGCCCTGGACTTCTCTACGGAGAAAGGGATGCAGCTGTTCAGGCCATATGTAGAGTGAACAACGGCGGTTAGCTCGATGCACCATCATTGATACGTCGAGAATATGACAATTTTCCTTTCCGCATTACTATTTCCTGCATACCGTTGACACGATAATATCCTGGGAGATGCCCGTAGACCTTTTAACAGGGATGACCGACATGACGAGGATGAAGCAAACAGACTCCACGCACACACACCACACCATACTTATACACGAGAAAAGATGACAAAACTTGAACTTTTAAGTCACGCTGATTCGTACAATCGAACGATGGCGCTTAGGAAGGATGTCTGGCAATATCCCATCCATTCAGATAGGCGCTAAGCAATAGCGGCTGAGACTGACATCGGGATCTGGACTACTTCAGCGCTTAGAATGCGCATCGAGTTCAACCCAATTATATCTAATACGGTGATAAAAGCCTATTTGTATTTGAAACTTTGCAGCAAATACTCGCATTGGTTTGCTGTATGCGTTTGGGCAGTTGTCTGTTTTTAGCAGAATTTCCAGGTTAGGGCAAGGCTGGACAAATAGCTTATGCGGAGAATTAATGTACAAATACGACCTCCAATGCCCAGGAGAAAATGTCCTCTTGTGAGGAAGAGAAAAAAAGATGCGTTCAATTACCCATTTCTTCATCCGGTGTTAGATCTTCTAAGATCGTTATGGTATCTACCTGGTTGTGGTTTCGAGGTTGGTTCCCTTCCTGCTATTTCCTACTGCCGTACGGCTCACAATCTCCCTTGAACAAGACATAATCAGTAATGATAACGATCTGTATGCAGGCTGAGTTTATTCTTTGGCGATTGACCACATTTCATCACTATAGTCGGCCGAATTTTAGTCCTCGTTGCAAGTATCTGCGCAAAAGCGACGCCGCTCCGCAGGAAAGAGATATATGGCTATCATCGGAGCAATATTAGGGGCGATTGTGGTCGCTGCTGGTAAGCTATGCTGATGGTCTTCTATATGTATACTCTAACCAAGCATGTGTATTATATAGTAGCGGTGGGCGGGCTGTTTTTTCTCTACAAAAGGCGAATATGGAACCGCATCCACAGAGACGTGGAAGAGCGCCTCGTCGTCTCTTGGTGCCCGCCTCCTCCGTACGAAATGAATGAGCAACCGCAGAATACGACGACAAGAAGGCCTTTGGGTGACTTGATTCGAAATATAACCACGAAGATGACCCGATCGAGAACAAGCCAGAGGTCTGGATCTTCCGAAATGCCATCTAGATCCGGAAGTGTGGATGATAGTATTTACCAGCCTCTTCCTCCCTATTATGAAGCTACCCTGCCTACTTCTGAGCCTGTGGGACAAGTGCAGCAACCAGTTCATCTCATTCCTCCCCCCTTTTCCCAATCCAGTATACCAGTGTCGGCTGTTTTCCGTCCACCATCTCCATCTCATTTCGCTCCGAACAATGGCCCACGTAAGGAACCCGTCGATCCGTCATCCACACCTCCTGGTATAGGGCATCAACTTCTTACGCGGCTGAAGCTCGTGCTTCCAAGGTTGAGCACGAATGTCTGAAAGAGAGAGACGGAATTAGTTGTGTCGGATATTCATTGCCATGGATCTGACGCGCTGTGGATATATATGTTCCGTTCTCTGGTGCTCTGAAGGGAAATGATATAACGTGTCACTGTCGTTTCCAGCGTGTTGCTTTGGGTTATCAATTTGGCTGGAGTTATGGCGTTCTTCATTTTAGCCCATCTTTTAAGACATTTTGATAATTTCCCTGGCATTTGAATTTTAGTTCTTTTATATTACTTTGTGAAAAGAGGGTAGCCATACCTACGTATATCGCCAGAGCAGCCTCAATGAATCCCTACAACGTCTAGGGTATTGAAATATCCGACGAGAATACCGGGTACTGCCTACTGTTCTCCTCCAATAAACGGCGCTTCCCCTTCCTTCTAGATAAATAGATGGATCGGATGAATTGAAGCATGTCGTATCCTGATCATCTTGGCTCTGCACTCTGTTATTTACCGAGAACGGAGCCGGAGTTGGATGAAACCTGGCCCCCGAGGGTTTTGCGGGTTTCATATTCTTCCCGAGACAGATATCTGGAAACGATGAGCAGCCGACTGGCGCTTAGTAAAGTCCTCGAAAGCTCCATGATGTCTCCACCATGTACTCCGTGCACCTGGCGCTTATGCATATGCCTTGGCGGTTAGGCAGAGAAAATCCTGTTGGGGCCCGGTGGATGTCTTCCTGTTGACCGGACGGAATCTTCGCTGCCCATTCCTAGCTGATTGAGGGCATTGGGTACAGGGTTCGTTGTGTGAGATTCCCTAGAGAAGAGCGATGGACGGTGTTAATGATTATTGCATTGGGCAGCTTTAGGGCATCCATCAACTTCACGTGACCGATAAAGAGTGCAGGAAAGTCGGGGTTCTCCCTTCAAACTACCAAGGCAGCAATGACTGGCAACACGGACATGACCGGCCTCAATTATTATTGAAGATTGACCAATATTTCATGCGGAATTGGCGCCAAGAGAAGGCTGCAGCCATAGGCATTCCTTCATGCAAGCAGGAGCCAATTCCCTAGTGAAGCGATATCCGCACAAGATTGGCAAAAAAAGCCAATTTTGCTGCCACCATACTAGCAGCGAATAAGCATTCAGCAGGTGTGAAAAGCCGCAGGGAATCTGCAAGGTGTATCACCGTCACATTGAGAACTCGTCACCGGCTTACTGGACTTGTCTGCAGAATGTGCATTCCGCGCAGGGGGTCTGTAGCCGGCATTGCTGCTGTTGTGTCACGAGAGGTTATATGTTACATATTACTCCTCCCCACGCGGTTCCTTAATCAATCCCACCGGCACCCCCGGGCGTCTGTCAACTCAGAGGAAATGCAGCTTATTATCCATCGAGTTGAGGATGCTGGGCTACACCGTATCTGTTCTTGCTCTCCCAGTGTCTTTGTTCTGAACCCGTTGATTCCTGTTGTTCTTGGATTGAGGACGACAGTGGGCTCGCCATGTACAGACGTTTGCCATCAGACGTCCAACGAGACAACTCCGGCGGACATCGTCTGTCTGGACAGTGACTACAATACGACTATAACAGGCTCGAATTTTCAGAAATGCGTCGAGTGCCAGTTACGCAGCTCCTATGCAGACAACTACACGGGGGAGACCGATGTCTTATGGGGTTTATGTATGCTTTTCCACGGCGGCCATTTTTGTCTGGAATGACTGGTTAAACTGTATTATTCAATTCCAGATAACCTTCGCTATGCCTTCTCGACTTGTGTCTTCGGATATCCCAAGCAGGTAAACAATATCTCATCGCCGTGTATAGTCGCATGTCAGCCTTTGGATGCGGCGCTGGAGCCCGGCTTGACAACAGCGACTTCCGATTATTACTCCATGTGTCTCCCTGATGTCTTTCCGGACAACATCGTTACTACTTGCGAGTTCTGCTACAACCTGACGACGAATCAGGTATACATGGCGAACTGTGCGTTTTCGATCCCCTTCGGCAAAGGATGGACATGAACTGACTCTCAACCCAATCCAGTCATCGAAGCCCTGCGTTACAACTGCCATTTCAGAACTTCGCTGACCGACGCATTCGCCATCAGTCCGACGAAGATTTTCTACCCATCGGGGCTTCCACCGTCCGTGCCAACATCATCCGCCGCTTCAGGATCATCCGGCCATCGGAACCTCACTGTAATCATTGTCTTACCCGTCCTGGCCGGCGTTATCCTCATCTCTGTCGCCCTTGGCGCACCTTCAAGCTCTCTGGGACCATGCCCTCATCCACTCCCCCGGCCTCCAGACGGGGGGCGATCAGGCTTTTCGAGAGTTAACCGTCTTCGCGTCTGGCATGTACGGTCCAAGATACGCATTCGCAGACCATCAGCAGACCCCAGGGTCTTCCAAACCAGGTGACGACCATGTCAAGATCACCCAGCCTGTTGTGGCTGGTCAACCGTCGTCATATTATGTTCCACCTGGGAACATTTGATTCTCAATGATCCAGTACCTATGGTCGAGCTCTTGTTCTATAGACACCGCGCCACAACAGAAGTGATACTTATATACGCTTTACTTATGGTTTCTTTACCACGGTACATGTGGCTCCGCTGTTTATTTATTCTTCATCACATCTAAAGATGATTCTTCCCTGCTGTCATTGTATTCCTTTTCTCGGTTGGTCGTTAGAAATTCCTTGATCGAACCGTCTTAACCGTTCTGCCGATGTTTGAGACATCACATGCGGTTCCAGGTTTTCTCTTTACTATGGCTACCGGCTTGTACCGGATTATCCCTCTCCTCTCTTTCCTTTATTGAGATTGCGTGGACAGGTACCGGGGACTTATGATGTCCTGCCGGGTTGTGATTACTATGTTACCCTGTTCGATGTATGCAAATAAGGACAATACTAGATATACGTATCCTAACCCAACCTTGAGCCTACGACCGAAAAGTCAAATTCTCCGAAAGGAAGGATTTTGTGTGTCTTAAACCTATGTAGATTTTATTTCACCTTCGAAGGGCCCTAGATTATATGGGCCTGCTTAAAAAGCATGTCATCTGGTGTAAAATTGCACTCTTGATACCCTATATATATGCCACTATATAAATGGAAATTCTAGAACCACATTGACTGTCCCTTCTGGATGCCCATGCTTTCATGAGGGCGCTCAGGTAGCTTGATGTGTTCCTTGCTGAGAATGGGTTAGTCTTAAAACCAAAGAAAGTGATGTAAGACTACAGTAGAGTCATCCAGCCACATGCGTGCTTGCAATCAAAGTATTTCCCTTGCTGTTGCCGAATACCATATGGGCAATATGATAGTCTTTTAATCTACAGTTGGAGTTGAACACAGATCCCCCTACAGACACTCACGGATTGTTTCTCAAACCCTGCCCTGAAACACCCTAGTCTGGATTTGGCTTAGCTGTAGATCTCCCGTTTCTAAGAAGAAAGACCATTCTTTACAAGATCACAGCGTGACTTAAAATACTGTATTTTATAGGAAACTCTGTACGGTACACAAGTGACACTGTGCCGGGGGCACTGCGAAGCCCCAGTTTCCTCCTATTTCCTGCCCTAGAACGCCGTAGGGCTGCGGTCTCCGGCAGACTTAGGTATGGTGGAGCCCGTAGCCGGAGAGTATTAAGGATGGTTTCCTCCCAGATAGTTACGAGAAATCGAGCATACTCTTGGTTTCTTAGTTGCTTCACTAGTATCGTCGTCGTCGTCGTATAGGGGCGAGGCCCCATCATTGTTGTGTTTCTTCTTTTATTATATCGTTTCCTTACTAGATGTTCACCGTGTCCATCCCTAAGATCCCTTGGTCACAAACCGGTTCCTGTCGCAGGGAACAACGCACGTACGCCCCCCTTTACGACACCTGTCCATCTCCTTGCCTAACTATTTGACCTGCCGGGTCCTGAACATCTCTACCCGCCACATTGATAAAAGAAGATCTTTACAAGGGGGCTTCGGAAGTAAGCAGGAGCTGGTTGCGGCTGAGAGAGGCACTGCTTTACATATACATGATCTTGATGGGGTGAGGACTGTAGGCGTGTATATATATCCATTGCAGACAATGAATCCCGGCAATGCAACAATCTCTGGCCTCCTCTTTGCTGAGCCGTATCAAAGTACGTAGTGAAATTAGACAGACAGACAGTTCCGCCAGCAAAGGTTATGGAGGCAGGAGGCAACACGCCATGCGAACATCCTGTATACTAGAGTCATGTCGGCTCGCGCTGCGCATAGGCCTCCATCGTGACCCGTTCCACTGGCCGAATATTCTCCCCTTGGAGGCTGAATTCCGACGTCGACTCTGGATCACACTATATCATATGGACTTCTGTACGAACACGCAAGTCCGGCTGCCACGAATCATCAACGACTCACAGTGTGATGCACAGCCGCCTGCAAACTTGTCGGACGATGGCCTAAGCTTCAAGCGTCATGAAGTGCCACCAGAGCGGCCGTTGACTGATCCAACACCGCTCTCGCACCTTATCCAACGGCAGACCATTAACAAGGTGGCCGCAGAGATGTGCGACGCAGCGGAAGCAGGACCACAGTCATCCGCCACAGATGAGGTGCTCAGCGCCAAAGTAGACCGTGCTATTAATTCCATCCCTGAGCAATCAAAGTATCGATCTCTCGAGACATCCATTGCGGACAACCCCGCTACGATCCTGCACCGAATATTCATTGATATTCTCATCAACAAGGCTGTCTATCTCCTTCATCGACGGGGCTTTATGAAGGGCTCCGTGGAAGAAGAAACCACGAGCTGAGGATTACCATCGTTCTAAAAATACCATCCCGTGATCACAGACGGTCCGACAGCGGACAGTCGGAGGGTCAGCGGGTCGGCGGGTCGGCGGGTCGGCCCGCCCGTTGATCTGGTGGTTTGGCGCTATTCCCGATACGGTCAGAATTTAGGGTTATCCTGGAACCATCCTTCCTCTGCCATGCTCCAACCACCGTCCGTCACGGCCTCAGTTAGCGTTGCCCATATACTTATCGACAGTAGTGGCACTTGAACGATCTCTCAAATAATATTCACCATCCATCCAGCACCGACATGTCGCAGGAGCAGGAGAAACTCGACATCTCATTGACCCCGCCAGAAGCTCCCGATGGCCATGTTTACCCTACGGGTGCGAAACTCACCCTTCTGATGATCTCCCTCTATATTGCCATATTCCTAGTTGCATTGGTAGTCAGCTCCGTACTTCTTCTTCCGTGCAGCCTGCTAATCACAATATGCTTTAGGATAAACTCATCATCTCAACAGCCACACCATCTATTACAGATGAATTTCACGCCTCAAACAAGATTGGCTGGTACGCAGCGGCCTACATGCTGACCAACTGCACCTCCTTACTCATCTTTGGGAAAATATACACCTTTTTGAGTGTCAAAGCCATTTTCCTCGCGTCGGTTGTTCTGTTCGAGATCGGCTCCGCTGTTTGTGGCGCGGCCCCAAACTCAGTTGCCTTCAGCATTGGTAGGGCGATTGCCGGTCTAGGAGCCGCTGGCGTCCAGGAAGGCATTGTACGTTCGTGTCCTCTCCCCTGACCATTCTTGTGGAGATCAATTGCTTACAATATGGTATCCTTAGCTGGTTCTTATTGTCTATGCCGTTCCCCTTGCGAAGCGGCCCCAGTACCAAGGCTTGTTGGGTGCGGTTTATGGCATCTCCTCCACTATCGGTCCACTGATTGGCGGCGTCTTTACCTCAAACGTCTCCTGGAGATGGTGCTTTTACGTTAACCTTCCATTTGGAGGAGTGGTGCTTCTGTTCGTGTTCTTCCTGCTCCATGTCTCTGGTGGTCCCTCGTCCAAGGATCCCTCGGTGTGGGAGCATAAACTGGCACAGCTCAATTTGGAAGGTGCGGTTACTCTCCTCCCAGGAGTGGGTTGCTTATGCCTGGCTTTTCAATGGGGTGGTTTTACCTACAGTGTGAGTCCCTTCCCCCTTGCCATGAAACCGCGCAGACCTGACCGTACGACAGTGGAGCAATGGACGCATCATCGCCTTACTTACGATTGCTTTCGTCTTGTTGGTTGCTTTTGCCTTAATCCAAATCTGGAGACCCCAGACAGCCGCGGTACCACCGCACATCTTCATCCAGCGAAGCATCCTCGCCGGCTTCTGGGTAAGCTGCACGGTTGGTGTCCACATGACGCTGTTCGGTAAGTTGCCTCCTTGCGCACCCCGAATTCAATCTCGGACTAACAGAACACCAGTATACTATCTTCCCATCTGGTTCCAATCCGTCAAGGGAAACTCCGCCGTCGAGAGCGGTATCCACCTACTACCAATGGTAATAGCCATGGTGGTAGCATCCATCCTTAGTGGCATAGGAACAACCAAATCCGGCTGCTACACTCCCTTCTTGATTGCCGGCACCTGTATTGTATCAGTCGGCTCAGGTCTTCTCACCATGCTCAAAGTCAACACCACAACCGGGCAATGGATCGGGTACCAGGTCGTGTACGGCTTCGGGTTAGGCTGTTGCTTCCAAGTGCCCAATATGGCTGCGCAGACGGTGCTTCCACGCAAGGAAGTGGCTATTGGCGCTTCGCTTATGCTTTTCGGCCAGACTCTCTTCGGTGCGATCTTTGTCTCGGTTGGGCAGAATGTTCTCGACCAGCATCTGGCTACGCTTCTTGGTCGCATTTCTGGTGCTAGTATTACGCCGGAGCAGATTGAGAGCGCTGGGATTACTGGGCTTTTGAAGATTATCCCATCGCAGTATCATGATGCTGTTCTGCAGGCTTATAATTCCTCCCTGCGGTTATGCTTCTTGGTTGCCCTCGTCTCTGCTTGTATTTCTGTCATTGGCAGTGGTGGAATGGAGTGGCGCAATATCAAGAAGGAAGAGGATAAGGAGGCGCGAACCGGGGAATCGAAGGATCCTGCTAGCGAGAGCACCTAGAGGTCGTCACTTTTTTCATACAAATAGCAGCTATCCACATAGGCATCATTCTCTGATCAGAATACCCGCGTTCTGGGCACGTATTAGAGCGGGATCGTCCCTCCTGTGGCCAGTTAGAAGGAGTCCAAAAAGATAGCTATCTGTGGTTAGGGAATCGTGCACATGGTTCATTTTGATCGAAGACCTATACCCTACTTCTAATACTTGATTCCTTTGCACCCTGTCATTAATTCATCTCCACATTTCCCACATCTGCCAGGGCTGTCTATCAAAAGTTAGGGCAAAAGCTTATCTGGACCTATCCCCGGCGTTACAAATATACATATAGACAAAATAAGAACTTACAGACACATTATATATCCGAATTCAAGTCATATCACTTGGTCTATGTAGATGAATCAGGGCCGGGAAAACGGGCACCTATGGTTCTCTGCAATCCGCGTAAGACGCATATTTTCTGTCTCGTCTTAGGCCGTGTGGCGCCCCCAATCCAAGCATCCCTATATTCTCTTCTGGCAATTGATCGCCAATCCACCCGGGGATTTTATCCAACACGTTGATCCTGTCTTTATTCCAGCTGAGCAGCAACGGAAATTTGTCTGTAATGGTGGCGCCAATCCGCATCATGGCAAATGAGTCGAGCTGCGCTGTCCACCGAGGGGACCAGGATGCATAGACTGCCAGCGGGATCAAGAGGAGCATCTCCAGGGACAGCAGAAGCGAGATGATGATCAAGCCTGTCGTGGAGATATGGGGGACTTGCGAGTCAGCACAGGTTTGCCGCCATTCATGTAATTTGGGAGCTCGAAATATCCCGCAGTAGTGTTGAGGGTTACCCTGTAGAGAGCGATCCCCTGCCAATTTCCAATAAATGTATTATTAAAAATCCCAGTCACTGAGACATTCGAGTACAATTCTTCGGAGAAATCCCGACGGTCGCGTGTGGGAAGCCACGGTGACTTGGTCATGTTAGGAGGCATGCAAGCTCTAATCCCCCAGCTCAGTGAACAACTGTTGAGTGGATAACCACCAATCATGCCGTCATAAGTGCTGCTGTACTTAGTACCGCTGTACTTGACATAAAATGCGCCTGGGACCTGGTCGCATCCTTTTGGAAGTCGTCCTCGGAGATGTTTTCATAGGATGCAGTAGTTGAAGCGCGGTATGAACTGCCGAACGAGGCCAGTATTATAGCCCCCGGGTAATTCAGCGAGAAACGGGTCACCCAGGTGCGATATAACACTAAGTGAAATGCCTCCATGGTTGCAAGCAGTGGAATTACTTTGACAAGAATTTGAATCGCCCCCAGCCTGCCACAGCTGCGCCAGGTACTGAGTGCCGGTTGTTGAAGTGAAGGCGCTGCGCATGATAACAGCAACCAGATTTGGGTTTATTAAATTAAGCAATACAAATAGGTCCGGCATACCAAGGAACGGCATTAGAGAGGAACCTCCTGTGGGCGTCTTGATTGTCCTGGTGGGAAAAAGAATTCCCTGGAGAGGGGATATCAGCAAAGCAAGGAGGTTGGCGAGTATGGCAAGCAGCACAAAAAGGCTTCCATGCCGTCGCCAGCCTCCTGGGACAAGGAGCTGGGCATATGTTGACAAATTTGCCCAGCCTTTGTCTGCAAGGGTCATGGACCCGGCGCGCTGTAAGGGTCTGCTGCTGCTGAGCGAAGATGACAGCAGCACTGGAGCAGACAGCGGATGCCAGGGTGACCGTTAACACGCTGGAGATGGACTGCAGCACTCGTGCCGCGTGGTACCAATTCTCATTCTTGTCGTACTGGGATCGGGCAACGCTGATCTCCTTCTCGTCAGCCGTGGATTTGTTCACGATAGTTGGTCTCCATACCCCGTAGTGCTCGGCTGTGATCAGACGGAAGGCCAGGATGCACGTAACGATCCAAGTGCAGAGAGTGATGGCAAAGTAGAGGAGTGTCAGGACAAGGATGTACGCGGAGCGATGCAGGCGTGCCGATGGAGGATTATCCTTGACGCTTTTCTGCGTCTGGCTGAGCTCGTCATGGTTGGAATTGAGGCGAGTGTATCTCGACATGGTCGGATCGTGCATCCACGAGCTTCAAGATATGCGACTGTAGACTTATGCTGCAGCAGAGATGGGTTGTCCATAGGACAAGATATGTCTGCCATCCTTTATCTACACCGTCTAAACAGCCGTTCTAAGCGCCCAGGGAATTCGGCTTGCATTCAGTCAACCAATCTGTAGCTGGCTTTTATCAGAATCGCCTGGAACGGGAGATTTTCAAGCGTGCATATATTAGCTGGAGGCTTAGCATGCATGCATGGATCCTTTCATCCTGGGATGTGCATGTTACCCCTGAATAACGGTGCATTGGGAATTAACACTCCCTCTCACCTTACAGTGAGGCGTGACCACTATAATGGAAAGGGAAGGTCTCGGATGATGTAGGAATCAAGGACATATGCATCCGTATTTACATTCATATCTGTGGAGGCGAAAGGGGGAAAAAAATCAAGTAGCGTGTGATATACAGAATCAAGAACAAGGAGAACGACAACGCCGCGCCCATCCATACCATTTGGTTTCCGTGGATGCCTTCGTAGATATAAATATGCTGTCAATGTTTTTTTCTGTTAATTTGGCATGGCTCCCTTCCCCCCGGAAAACGTCCGACACCTAAGTCGCACTTGGATTACACGATATTCCCGTCGAAAGGAGGCGCCATCTTTCGTTCATGCGGAGCCGGCTGTCTGCCCCTGCTCTTCATCCTCGCTTTCATCTTCATATATGAAATCGTCTTCTTCGTCGGGATGTCCAAACACTTTCTCCCAGACTCCGTCCCAGAGCCCCTTCTTCGTAACTAGACCGCCAACAAGAAGGATGGGCAATTGCCACACGCTCGCCCAGAATAGTCCACGCGCAGTTCCCTTGGAACCCTGGTACTTCCAGAATCGATATGCCTCTTTCACCAGCCATCCATTGGCGAGGGTGCTCCCCACCAGGAAGCCGGGTCCGACTACACCGACCCACCAGAGACCAATAGACGCAGGGAACATAAGGATGGAATAGCGAAGTGCAACCCTGGCATTGCGCGCAGGATTGGTCCAACAGAGCATTTTGTACCCGGCAGCTTTATACTCCTCTCGGATGGTGTGAGAAAGCGCGTTAAAGTGAGGGAACTGCCAAGCAAACAGAATGCTTGCTAACAACCATCCACCAATGCTGTTTTCACTAAAAAGCATATCGCGCCAACTATCGTGGCCCGTCGTGGCTGTTTGACCCTCAGCGGCGACCCAGCCCATCATCGGGGGGATTCCTCCCACGATGGCTCCAACCCAGGTATTGATCACATGAAGACGCTTCATCGGAGTATATACAAATCCATAGAGGAAAATGTTGCTTGCCGAGAGTGCAGTCACTGTGGGATTCGTTCCGATGTAGAGGAGTGTCAAGCCAGAGACGGCGGTTGCAAGAGCGAACAGAACGGCAGCACGACGCGATACCAATTTGCGGACAATCGGTCGGTTACGTGTACGAGACATAAGGGCATCGTACTTAGGCTCGAATAGCATATTCAAAGTGTTGGCACTGGCCGAGGACAGAAAAGTGCCGACACTCAGATAGATAAGGGTCAGGGTCGATGTCGAGAGCGTAGGAAGCGGTGTCATGGAGGGATCAAGAGTAAGAAGCGAAGAGATTGGGTACATCCCATAGGCGGAGGTTGTCGTGAGAACGATTAGGACTGAGAGACGGGGTTTCGTGAGGGCCAGAAATGCAGCCAATTTGCGACGGATGGAGGTCGCCGGGAGTGTGGATGAAAATATCGACAATTGGGCAGAGGCATCTGGAGCTATCGCCGGTTCTGATGCACCGATATTTGCAGCCTCCTGCTTTAAACGCTTTCTTCTCCGGTGTGGTAGTTCTCGTTGGATGGATTGCGTATCAATTGACTCCGCGCTCGCTTCGTTCGATGGTAGTCCTGCAGCATCAATCTTCGTGGAAGTAACCCCGCCTGTGGTGCCATTGGCTGCTGAAAGGGAAGGCAATGATCCATGCTTGGCAGATAGATCTCTCAATGTCCGATTTGCAGAAAAATATGCTTTATGAAGGGCAGAGGAAGGCGACCGATTGCCTGCAATTTCACAGCGTCGGGCAGTCGTCACGAACCTGCGGGCCGCAGAGGTCCTGTGACAACGAGGGAGGCGCAAAAGACATTGCGAACACAAGCGACTGGACTGTCGAGCCGATCCTGACCCTAGCAGGACAGACCGGAGGAACACCATGGCGAAACTAGCATTTGCAGAAGTCTTGCGGTCGACAGAGGCCGGATACAAGGAAGACACCGACTTGGAGAAATCCACGGCATCCGCAGAGACCACAAACGCATTTCCGGGGACGCAGCCAAATCATTCTCTCCAGATTCATCATCCATCATCCCTCGAACTGCCCGGCAAAAGACTCTGCAACAGCGCTCCTCGCAGCCATCGCAGCCATGGAGACCCTGCAGAACGCCATCATCGAGCCCCTCCAGCCATTCCTCCGCCCAATTGTCACGTCCCTTCCCGCGCCAGTTCACGATGCCATCATCTCCCTCATCGGCCCGTCATGCCACACTGCCCTCGTCCTTGGTCTCGACGTCACCGAAGATCCAGAATGCACCTCGCTGGCTATCTCTAAGGCGCTAGGCATAGCTATTGTCGGGGCTAGTGCTGTGGTGAAGCTTCCCCAGATTCTCAAGCTGATCAACTCCGGTTCATCTGCGGGTGTGTCGTTCGTGTCATACGCCCTCGAGACAGCCAGCTTGCTTATCACAATGTCGTATGGCGTGCGCAACCAATTTCCCTTTAGTACCTACGGCGAGTCTGCATTCATTGCCGTTCAGGATGTCGTGGTTGGTGTGTTGGTTTTGATTCTGGCCAAGAGACCGGCTGCGGCTGCGGCATTCGTTGCGGTATTCGCAGCCTCCGTGTACACTTTGTTGATCGATAGTACATTGGTGGATGGGCAGACTATGGCATATCTGCAAGCTGGTGCGGGTGCTCTTGGAATCGCCAGCAAGGCACCTCAAATTTACACTATTTGGCGGGAAGGAGGAACCGGGCAGTTGAGCGCATTTGCGGTGAGCATTGCCAGATGATGGATCTGTTTCTAGAGCCTTCAACTAATTATTATTTTCTTTTAGGTGTTCAATTATCTCATCGGTTCTCTCTCTCGCATTTTCACCACCATCAAGGAGGTTGATGACAAGCTCGTCCTCTCCGGCTTCATCGCTGGCTTCATTCTCAACCTCATTCTAGCCGGACAAATGCTGTATTACTGGGGTGGGTCTGCGAAACCCAAGAAGCAGGCCAACAAGGCCGTTGCTGCAGCCCCGAAGACACCTGTCGCGAAGACCACCGGAGCTCAACCTAAATCGTCTTCGAAGGCGCCCACCACGCGCAGACGAGGCTAGTGGTTTTTTCACGCGTATAGGAAGGTAAAAAATAAAGATAAAACTTTTCATTTCTCGAACGGTTTCTATAAGCTGCAGAGTACTTTGAACTGCTCGTATGTTGAAGAACAGATAGGACACGTCAGATCAATGGCCCAAATCATCGAAGCATGACAAGGATGGGTCTCATCTATTATTTGATCCCAGTCATTGATCGCTATGCGCCTTGGAAATCAAATTAGAGGCGATCGTGCTAGGCACGTTGGAGATAGCAAACAGATGTGGCTATCTGTTGCAGTGAGCCTCAAGCAACGACTGCTGCTAGGCGAACAAACCTCCCGATATAACCATAACCGTTTATCTGCCCTTCTGAGCCACACCCGTAGTCATAAACCTCATAATCTCATCTAAGCCCATCCCCGGCATGGCCGGTTTCTCAGGCGCGCCTTCACCACGGCCCCCGTCAACCGCACCCTGCGCCAATCCCGGAGCAACCTCCATCCCATCAGCATCTTCTTCGCCTTCTTCTTCATCCTCATCTTCTTCATCAACCTCCAATTCCCTCCTCAACCCGGTAACAACATTCTCGACACCCATCTCCATTTCCTCCAACGTAAAATTCCCACCCCAATTCCGCCTCCTCGCTTCCCGATTCGCCTCCAAAGGCGCCCAAGCCCACAATTCATCTAACTCCTGTTCGCTCAGCGATGATTTCCCCCCTTCCTGGTTCTGCACCCCAGAAAGACCGGAGACGTTTGCCCCTACAGCCCGGCCATGGGAAACCCAATCATCGACACGAGGGTCTAGCTTTGTCCGAAGGAGTTGTTCGAGGGTATTCGCTTGTGTCTTGCCGGGGTATGAAGGGGCCGGGTAGGCGACAAGGGAGGAGAACAGAGGCTGGTATTCGCGTAGTATGGATGAGACGTTGAGGAGGTTGTTGGAAATTATGTTTGCTTGGGATTGTAGTGAGGACCTGTAATCTCCCGGAATTATTAGCCCATGCTGGTTCCAATCGTGGGAGGAAAGAAATAGAAGAGTAAGAGCTGTACGCACCACGATGGAAGGGGGTCGCTTTGGTTTAGACTTCCTATTAATGAGCCTAGGGAGTGTGTGAGCTGGATGAGGCGTTGGCGGGTTTGCTCGAGGGCTTTAAGCTGCTCCTGGTTGGGAGCTGTCATGGTCGTTATTGTAGCGGTTCAATTCGCGAGGGATATTCTTGAAGATTCGGGCTGTCGATCTCTGGAAGGTAGTAAATATTGGTGCTACGGTGAAAATCTGAATAGAGTCGATGTTCACAGGACGGTGGTTGAGGTTGAAATTGGATATGTTGAGGCTATTGTTTGTCTGGTTCTCCGCCCCCGCAAGATCTGCATGAAGCTTCGGACGGAAGAATATGCATGGTAAATACTAATAGCGATTTCTTCTCTAAACCCATCCTATTTCATATACATCATCCGTACCATAGAATTGGGTATCCATCTATAATACAGTATATATAGTAGTAGTACATTCATAATATCTCATACAAGTTACAATGCAACATCTCCAGCCTTAGATCTCTCTCTCATCCCTCAACCGCAGGTGATATGTCTCCAATGCCTCCTCGGTTATCGGACTAGGGGCCTTGACCATTGCATCTTCTCCGCCCTTCCCAGTCTTAGGGAATGCGATGACATCCCTCACAGACTCCTTACCAAGCATAACGGCGACTAGTCTGTCGAATCCCAAAGCAAACCCGGCATGCGGCGGACATCCTGCTCTTAGCGCATCTAGCAAATGCGAGAAATCTTCCAGCCGCTGGGGCGGCATCTGTAGAATGTCGCGGAAAATGAATTCTTGAACGGCAGCATCGTGGATACGGCGACTGCCGCCGCCGAGCTCCACTCCGTTCACCACTAAGTCGTAGTGGTCCGCGACGGACTTTGTTGGCTCGGTGAGTAGGAGGTCAACATCGGCAGATGTCTTCGGAGCCGTGAAAGGGTGGTGTGTAGATGAGAAGCCTGAGGCGCCACCTTGGCCCGGTTCCGAATCCGTCGATGGAGAGAAAAGAGGGAAGTCCACAACCCAGAGAAAGTGGAAGCCGGTGGGAGCAGGCTTGAAACCTGAAGAGACAGCAGCCTTTTGGAGAGCACGGCGAAGGTCGCCGATAGCAGTTGAGCCGCCAGAAAAGGAAGGAGTCCGTTCACGGGCTTGGAGAATGATGAGATCGCCATGATCCAATTCGAGCAGTTCCTCAATATGCTCTGCAGCTTCAAAACCAAGTGGTTGAAGTCCACAGAGTGGCTTCTTTGCATCAAAGACAAGAACACCTGGCCCGCCGTCTGGGTTGTTATTGAACACAGCACCTTCGGGGGAGTCGAGGAATCGGGTGACAAATTCGAAAGTAGCTGCGGGATCGTTGTCGTTGCCCTCCAGCTTAAAAACTTCCACAATAGGATTGGTCAATGGAGAAATCTTACTGACCATATCGACAGGGAGGAGATGCTCGATCCTCGAGATCTCCATCCCATATCTGGTGTCTGGTTTGTCAGAGCCATATCGGGCCATGGCCTCTTGGTAGGGGACTCTCCGGAACGGCCCCGCGGGGACAGGGTCTTGCATCAAGGACGACCAGAGTCTGCGGATGACCCCTTCCACAGTTTTCATGACATCCTCACCAGTCGCAAAAGACATTTCCAAATCGAGCTACAGATATGCGTTAGAACAAAACCTGCAACTCAGGCCTGGCCTACAGCTCAGTTTTCGCCAGTGAGGGGGGGACATTCTTACTTGAGTAAATTCTGGCTGCCTATCAGCTCGCAGGTCTTCATCTCTGAAGCAGCGCGCGAACTGAAAATACCTCGGAATCCCACTAGCCATGAGGATTTGCTTGTACTGCTGAGGACTTTGTGGCAAAGCATAGGCGAATCCGCGCCTTCTGGTGGGCACCAAAAACTCCCGAGCACCTTCAGGCGTAGACTTAAACAGGAGAGGCGTTTCAATCTCAAGGAACGGGGGCCGGCATTCTTCCAATTCCGCCCTGCAGACGTTGCGCACTTGGGCCCGGAATCGGAGAGCTTCGCGCAATTCACTATCGGAGCGCAGCTGAAGAAATCGCTGTTCGGGGGAAAACACCATTTCGGAATTCATGACAATCTCCTTAGGAAAATCATTGAGAACGTAGATGTCCTCCAGGTCAATTTCCCAGGACTCTGCATTTGACGAATCCTTGTCGGCTCCCTTCTTTCTCTGTACCTTGCCCTTCACAGCCACCGGACTGTTCGTACTGATAGACCTGAGCTTCTCAAAAGCATCATTCTTTGCAAACGATATAATCTGGACATTGTACTTCAATGTTGGATCTGACAAACGCACAAATGACAGCTTCTTGGAAAGGTCGGCTCGGTTCCCTAGGTATCCATGAAGAACAACATCCTGACCCGCCGCAGCCTGAGAAAGAAAAGATTCAAAGTCATCCGTGGCAGGAGGGAATTCAACTATCAGCTAAATAGTTAGCTTCGAAGTTCCATTGACAATGTGCCTGGTGGTATTTTGTATCGTACCGGCCTTCTTGTACTGTTCTAGAAAGGGCCGATGAACTGGAATAGAATGAAGATTCTCATAATAGTACGACCGAGTATGAAATGCCTTGCAGGTATTGAGGGAACAGCGCAATGAAGATGATAATAAAGGTGCCCGTCTATTCCGAATGTAGTTGGAGATCTCGATATATGTCGAGCGGATGCGAAGGGAACTTCTTCCCAAACTGCTCGGGAGCATACCGACAAAAGGATTTTATGGTTACTCAATTGGAAGGGATATCATTTATATTAGTTGAAACTTTCCCAGAAATAAATAGCCAATAAATAATAAAACAGAGAATAAATAAACAAACACAGGTCAGAACAATGTGTCTGGGAAGTATTTGGCAGTTCAAGAGGATGTCGGAAGACCTTATATTTATTTCACATGATTTATATATATCAACTAGCTGTGTATGGTAGGCGGTGAAATAATCGGTAAGAGAGAGAGATCTTGGTCACGTGCTGATGGATATCCCTAAAAGTCCTTAAACCGGCTTCTATTTTTGTCTATGTTCGTAATATTGAAGAAATGTAGTAATCAGAGGTCGAACAATAACCCCAGGTTTTTCGCTTGTCCAATGCTTCAATTAATGGACACTGGCATCACGCAAAGTCGATTGGCAATGTCAAACAGAGGGCATAACCAGTAAGTCCAAGATCAAATGGAGCAATCACTGCTGTTTCTTGACATCCGCACTCGCGACCTCCTCCTGGATTATGCTAGCACCGACAGACGCCGACTCCATCCAGTTATTTTGTCTCATCCAAAATTTCTCTGTCGGATTTCCAGCGCCCATGGACGGCACGGACGTGTCGTCTTCTAGAGTGGTCTCCTCGCTCTCGTCTCCTGCCCCTTTAATAGTGGAGTCTAGATATCTCTTCCGTACAAGATACCGTTCCGTTCTTTCCTGATGGATGTTGGGAAGCTCAAGTTTCGTCATCGCTGCGCGCACCGCATAGCGGACTAGCAGATAGAGATGTTCCGAGAAGAAAATAGTCAGTAACAACGCCCAACCTTTCACAGTAGGCTTTCCATTAGGCATTCCATGGCCGTTGCTAAACAAGTGCACTAGAGCAGCACTGGTTATGCTACCGAGCCAGGAGAGGAGACCTAGGCTATCAATCCAGGGACCAATGGTATCTGTGCGACGGGGGACAGGTCGTTTGCATTCGATGCAGATCTTGAAGAAGTCGGACCGGAGCTCAACCCAGTTATTTATCACAAAGGAGAGGGGGACTAGTGGCCACGTGGGAGAGAAGAGAGACAGATACCCGAATTGGATGCACATCTCACGAAGATCTTCGGTCACGTCGTATTCGGGCAATTCGGCCTCATTGCGGACACGAGACACAAATTCAGCTTCCTCCGGGGTAGCGTCCTGGATGGCAACCGGTTCCTTCTTGTTCGTAGACTGGGTATACGCCTTGTATTTCCGGAAGAGATTCTGCTTCAGGAAGGGAACAATGGTCTCCATGGCAAAACCCACTATTTGAGCGGTGACCGTAAAGTAGATAACTTGATTTCGCAGACGAGAGGGGTCAATGCTGAATTCTGGTCGAACTGCTGTGGCCTGTTCCTTGGATACGAAGGGCCGGACAGTCAACTGGAAAATGTCCAAGTACGGCACGATAAGGCTAGCGAACGGCACATAGACAAACGCAGTCAGGAATATCGGAAGGTACGAGGTTATGAAATTAATAACAAAAATCTTCCGAGTTAGTTCCACATCGTACGTTTCCTTCGTCTCGTAGTTTTCGTAGTCATTGAGCTTTGTTGCAATGGATGTCAAAATCGCACTTAGGGTCGGCACCAGTGAGGATACCAGGATGGTAGGAATGAAGACCTAGTCTGTCAGTTTCACGAACTAGGCTGATGGTAAACCAAAGAATTCACCTACCAGATATGTCTTAAACGGTCCGTTATAGACCTCCGAAATAAAGATTTCAATAGCGAAACAAGTAGCTATGATCACTCCAAGGGCCACCATCGAGAGCAACGCGAAGGGAACTTGCAGGAATTGCCGTGCAATGCGCTTAGGCAGTGGAAATACCCCTCTGACCTCCCCAGTACTTGCATCTCGAACTTCTTTTTCGGGTAGAAACTCTCGTCTCTTTGTTGGAACCGCGGAGACGCCTTTGGTTTCCCACCGACAGCTCAGATCAACTTCTTTCTGCTTCCAGTATTCGATAAAAATAACACCCCACAAGCAATTAATCACGGTGTATACGGTAGAATAGTACCCGAGGAAGAACCAACAAAAGGAGCCGAACAAGGCCGGAAAGACCAGGAATTTGAAGTAAGACTGTAAGAATGCGAAGTAAAAGCTAACCTGTAGTAAGTAGTATGTATGTCAGATGCACATTTACCATCATATGTAAAAAACGAACGAGTTGCACTTACGCTTTCCCCAAATTTGTTCCTGATTTGATCTAGATCCTCCGTTGAGAGGAACGTCTTCTTACTCCAATCCCGCATCCACTGTCTGTTTGTCGCCTGGTCATGCAATGGAAAGACATCCGCCACATTCTTCCATTCTCCATGGTTAGGAGTTATTCCAGCACCGCCTTGTTCAGGAGGAAGGGTGATCATGTTGTTGATCACGCGTAGGCGCTCGGCCTCTGTCTGCGGCTCGACAAAGCGCGTACGGCTGGGTTCGCTGTTATGGACGCCATAAAGCCAGTCACGAACGCTAGATAAAAGCATTAGCGAGTCAGAAAAGTAAAGTGCCCATTTTTGTATGCAGTTTCATACCGTGATTGATACACAGCGCGTCCAAGACTCTTTCTATGTGCGCGGATGAAGATGAGAAGGGACCACGCATCGCCCGGTCTAACTTCAACTTCTAGTCCTATCTCTGCCAAGTTACGCAGTAATCGTTCCAACTGCTCAGTTGCTTGTGTGCAATCTAAAGCAGTTAGCTCGTGCCTCGTGGGCGAGAAAAGAAAGAAAGAAAGGCGGCTGTTTACCTTTATCGCCGAAGCGAAAACGGATGACGTAGTCGACATCGAAGCGAGGCTGTTGCGGAGTTCCAGAAGGTGTAGAAGCCATTACTTCAGAAACGGGTTACCACGAAGCCGGACTGAGTAGGGGAAAAGAACAGACGAGTATTACTACCATGTGCACGGTACACCACGTCCTGAGTAACGAGGGAGCTGAACCTGAATTTCTGCGTTGTTATCGATGACGACAACTGTCTGATTACGGGTTAGCGCCAAACACAGATGATGTAGGTGAACCCTAGCCCTGGTATTATTCCTAGAACGCATCTAGTGCTGTTTTTGCGTTCCCGTGACCCGAGATCTATTGACTGCCGAGTTAGGTAGACCATTTGAAACGAGATCTCAACTAATTATATGAGAGGACATTATTGTCATTTCATCCCGTTTCATTCCGTTTCATTCAAACGGGTAGCCTACTGCTGAGCCAGTTTACTCAACGCATCCCCCTCAACCATCATCTTCATCCACTCATCCATCGCTCTTGCTCCGATCTGCTTATAGAATTTAATACTCGGCTCATTCCACGTGAGCACGCTCCACTCGAGTCTTCTCCCTCCGATCTCCAACACCTTGCCTGCCAGGTACCTCAGAAGCCGGGACCCATATCCCTTCCCCCGCGCATGCGGCTGCACATACAGATCCTCAAGATAGATGCCCGGTGCCGAGCGCCACGTCGAATAGTTATAGAAAAACAAGGCCATCCCTACAGGGACAGGGGAGGGGTTCTCGGCGGTTGCCGGAGGAGTGACAAGAGCAGTGTACACGGAGCCCCGCTTTGGTTGACTTCCTGGGAAAGACAGGGTTGCTAGGAGGGATTCATTCGTTGCTTCGACTTCGTGAAGAGCATTTTCATAGGAGGCTAGCTCTTTGATGAATTGTAGAATAAGGGGCACGTCTAACCCAGGTTCAACATGGTTAGTTTCATTGAGATTGGATAATAATATGAGGGATGTTGAAGATACTGCTACTTGCCCTCTTCTGTAGCCAGGCGGATTGTGGGTTCGTTAGCCATGATGCCTGCAGGAGTCAATTCAGATCCAGGATAGTAGTCGTAGAAAGGGAATTGGCAGGTCATATATCTAATAGTTATTAGAAACATGAATACCAAAGTGGATTGATTAGTCAGGCAACAAAATGCCCATAGAGCGCATATCTAATTTGGGATATCCATATGTCGAGGTGGGTCAAAATGAATGTAGACCTCAGATCGATCAAGTCATGATGCTTCAGCAAAATCCCAGCAAAAAGACATTCATGTACGTGGCGTGAGTAACTTCTGATTCTCAATATCGAGTTGTATCCAATACCTCACTTCGCTTTTTCCAGATTCAGCCTGGACGGGTAGAAAGAAAAAGGGTTGATCACATTACAAAAGCCATTCGACATAAATGCTAGTCTACTACAGATAATACTAGTATACAGGGAGAAAAAGAAATCCAACCTTCCGCGCCCAGATAGATATTGAACAGTGCTGTTAATACAACCAAATCATGTCCAGAACACCAGGCCATGACCCTCGCAATGTCATTCAAGAGGTAACAGAGAGAAGAGGGCGGAAGACAATGATCAGAATGTGAGTCCCACGTTATCTAGCCATTATGGCCGCCATCCATTTCTGCTCATCGGTTCTGTCTGCAATCAGCACAAGGGAAATACAAAAAGACTGACGAAGGGCAAGGTCCTTACCGGTCAAAATGAAGAAGCATCCCGAGCACAGGGATCAGCTGCTTCTGGTACCTTTTATCCTTTTGCTCCAAGAACTGCAAAAGAACATTCTTCAAGTAAATATAATCAATCGATGGCCCGCCTAGTAGCGATTCGCTGCTTGACATGTTTCGACTGGCTGGCGGAGGAGAAACAACTCCCCTTCTTGATGAGTCAATCGATGAGCGGGATGAGTGGTTGCCTTGGGTCGAACGAATGTCATCAGTCAAGGCTTTGTTCGATTTGCGTAGCTTCTCGAGTCGACTGCTCGTCTCCTCTACGGAACGACGCAGCTCGGCCTTCTCCTTTTGCAGCTCCCGCACTTGCTTCTCGCTTTCGTCCAAAGCATCACGCAACTGAGCCATCGCCTGCCGCACATCGTCGAGTTCTCGGGTAGACTTCTCCGACTGCGCTTCCAGATCATCCCGTCTGCGCTTCCACTCCTTCTGTGAGTGTTCCAGCTCTTCCTTGTCCTCTTGCGCCGTTCGGAGGGCTCTCTCTGCCTCCCTGACTTTGACTTTCAATTCTTCAATTTCCCTGGCTCGGCGACGACCTTGTGCGCTGGCCTCATCTTCAGCGCGATCTCGCTCTTCAATAGCAGCTTCCATTCTCTCCTTGAAGTCGCGGATTTTGGCATCGGTGCGGCCCTCGATATCGCTAAGTAAACGCCTCATCGTCTCACCTTCACGGGTTCGCTCGCTCAATAGACGATGCGCATCAGCCAACTCCTCTTCCAGACTCTCGCAACGTTCACGAGCCTCTTTCATTTGCATTGCCATTTCCGCAGTCTGATCTCGCATGCTGTTCATCAAGCTCTGTGCACTAGCATGTTGGGCAGTCTTCAGTTGAATCTCTTCGCGCAAGCCTTCGATATCCTTATTGAGCTTAGTAACCTGCTCCTCCATATCGTAGAGCTTGGTCCTAGAAGCCTTAAGGGACTCCTGGGCCTTGGACAGCTCTACCGTTATCTTCTCCCTGCTCTCCAGAGCCTCCTGCTTTTTGCCCTCCGAGTACCTCAGGTCAGACTGGGCCACTGCCAGAGAATCTTCCGCCTTAAGACGACTGTCTGTTTCCTGCCTGATCTTCTGGTTGAGCGTCTTGATCTCAGCATCCCTTTCTGAAACAGAAGACTTGACCTTGTTTAGGTCCGCGCGTAAATTCTCGTGTTTGCCCTCCAGGGTTTTTAGTTCAGTCGTCTTGTTAGTAAGAGCTTCCTTTGTAGACTTGAGCTCTGAAGATTCTGCCCGGAGATTTCGAAGCTCAGGTTGCAACTTCTGCAGAGTTTCCTTCAGGTTGGTAAAGTCTTTGAATCGAGATGCAGCCAGTTGATGCGCGGCTGAGAGATCAGTTTCCAAAGTGGCGGCCTTTGTTTTGAGGTTTTCGAATTCCGCTTTTAGGTCACTGTGTGCCTTCTCAGATTCTGCGGCTTCAGAGGCTTTGCTCGTTTGCATATCGACTAATTCCTTCTCCAGCTTGGAGATGGTCCCCTCCAATGCTGACTTCTCCGCCAAAAGCTCTTTAATCTTGTCCTTTGCCTCCACATGATCTTGTCCAATATGAAGGAGGTCATCACGAAGAGACTCTATCTCCTCCTTCAAATCCTCCTCGCCCTTCAGTTTGGAAGAAAGGCGGTTAATTGCCTCTTCCTTCTCTGTCAGCTGGGATGTGAGAGATTCTATCTTCCGTACCAACTCATCCACATCGGCGGAAACTGGGGCTGGCCCCGCTTTGGGCAATTCATTGTCTTCCTGGGCGGCGGCAGCATCTACATTAGCCTTATTTCCTTTCTTCTTCTTGTTGTTCTTTCTCTTCTTGGATCCAGCGCTTGGCAAGGTATTGTTTGACTCTGGGGCAGTTGCTGTCTTCGGCTCGGTTTCCGTCTCTGGAGACGCCAAGCTCTTTAAGACGTTGCTGAAGTCGGCACTCTGCCCACTAGACACCTTTTCTTTAGCAGATTGCCATTTCTCGTTGCCCTCGAGGCCTTGGTCCACAAAATCAACGATATTCCGCAGCTTGTCCATATCCTGGGCTTTTTGATCCAGCTCCGTCTTCAGGTTTGCCACAGTGGTTTCAGTTTCCTTGAGCTGTGTTCGAAGATTATCCACCAACCCTTGTAGCACGCCTAGCCGCTTTCCGCTGACTTCTTTCTCCTTCGTTGCCTCCTCCAGTTGTGAGCTGAGCTCCGAGACTTGGCCAGTCTGCTCGGATTGGGAAAGCTCTTTCAACTCGTCTGATTTCTGTTTCAGTTGAGCCTGTAAGTCCTCAAATTCTGACGTTGTTTTTTCCACGGTGGCCTCCGCTGCTGAAAGCTTCGCTTTTAGTTCGTCGATATCTGCTTGTTTCGATGTCTTCAAGCTCTGGATTTCCGCATCCTGCTTATCCTTGGCATCTCGAACTTCGGCCAGCTCGCGAGTAGCAGATTCCAAGCTCTTAACCATCCCCTCTGCGGACTCACGGGCCACAGACAGGTCGGATTTGAGGGTCTCGATCTGTGATTTTAGGGCTTCGACCTCCTCCTGCCTCTCTTTCAGTTCAGAATCCAGTCGGGGGACTTCGTTGTCGAAGGAGAAGAATTCCTCACTTCCGTCTTGCGGTGGCGGAGACTTGGCAGCATTCTGCTTCGAGAAGAGACCAACAAGACCACCAGTGCGCGACGTAAGCGACGATGCGGGCGATTTCACAGACGCGTCGACTGAGCGGTCATTTGCAGTGGCGGTGTCGACGGTCAAGTTGCCGTCCTTGTCTGTAGATTCCTGCTTAGCCTTCTTCTCGGTGCCAGCGGCCTCATCCGAGGTATTTTTCAAAGCTTCCTGGGCCTCTTCAAATTTCGTTTTATATTCATCCCTCTCCGCCGTAACACGCTTCAGTTCTTCCACGACCATGTCCCCCTTCAAAGAGATCTGGTTTAGGTACTCCGTCAGGGCTTTGGGGTCGCCAATCGATGTGAGCGGGGTGTTCTCGCGTAGGGCAGCTTCAAACGGTTCAATAGAGAGAACTCGCGCATGCGCCGTCCGGTAAGCGTTCAGGAGCTCTAAAGACAGTTATAGAAGCCCGACGGTCAGTAGCGTCGCCAGGTAACCACATTAAAAGGAGAGGCACCTACCCTGATACTTAGATTGTAGCTTGTCGAACTTCCGTAGCTTAACTCTTACTTCCATAGGCAGATCAGACTGAGCCTGCTTTCCGGCGTCGGCATCCGGGGCAGCAGACCCCTTGGTGGTTGACTCCGCGGGCGCATTTCCCTCCCCGGCAGTGACTTCTGTAGTACCTTCAGAGGATCCAGCCTTTTCCGGCCGGGGGGTACTGGCTCTGCTGGCTGTATCATCGTCGCCGATAGCAAATTCCGGTTCGAATTCGGTAGGATCAGGGTTCTTAGAGTCGGTGCCCCTCGAAGGTGTGCCGGTGTTTCGTCGCCGTGCGGCCGGACGACGCGCGGAATTGGAACGGAGCAGCGATTCTTGACCAGCTTTTTGACGAGCCTGTTCCTCTGCGATACGAGAGTCGATTGCTTCGCGGATACGCTGTGGAACAAAAGGAGTTAACGATCTTGTTAGCCTGGCAAATGACCTAGGGGACAAAGCAGCAAGGTTAGACTACGGTACCTGAAACATCGCCGCGGCAGGTCTGTGGGCAAAAGCCACAGCAAGGTCGAGAATGCAGATGCAAACGAGGCCGAGTTGGAAGAGGAAGAAAAGAAAGAAGAGCAGACGGTAGAAAGGGAAGATGGGAATCATAAAGAAGACAAGACAGGCTTGTTGGGGAGGCGAGGGAGAGACGATTACTATGGCTCGGCGGGTGTCAGCCTCGATAGCAGCAACGGCGGTTTCACCTGCAGCACAAAGCCAACGACGGGCGTTACGGTTCCCAGCATGAATACAGGGTCTAGGATCAAGATCAGGATGCGTATGCTACGAGGATAAACGAGAGGAAGAAAGAAAGCCGTTCGTTAGAACGAACACCGCTAGCTGGCTGCCACGGCACTTTATTCTACAAGTGATGCGCTATCGAGTGCCAGCGCATTCTGTGTTAGATATGTATAGATAGTATATCCACCTGCAGCTAGAGTTGATTAAAGTAGAAAGACGCGATAATTGTCGGTCAAGGAGAAATATCTGGCGAAGGACTGAGCGTAGCGTTGGTCGTCCGCTGTCTCTGTCGAAGATATCCGGGATTCATTCATTCCTCTGTCTATCCAACACCCGCAGCAGCACGGAGGAAAGGAAGAGGTGCATCGCAGTCCCATTAGGGAATCAAATCACCGGGCAGAACGCTCAGGACGTCAGGAACCCCTGTTTCTTGCATCCACCGCGAGCATCTGATGGATGGGAGAACCGTCATGCTATGTCAGCAGCTAGGATTGATCCGAGCGACTCCAAGAACAGGCGATGAGCTGTTCGTCTCGCCTGCTCCTTATTAACTGCCAGCGAAATCCGGCTGGGGAGCTGTTTTCCATCTCTCGCCATGAACAGACGCGTTTCTGGCCATTGCCTGACCTGCATACGCCTTGCCTGACTGATTGACGCCTGAAGAAGGCCTGGTGGAAACCTTTTTTCCTCTCCCTTTTTCCATATGTTTCCAACCAGACGATGGCCGGCGGAGCTTCTGCAGTTGCTTCTTCCCCGTTCTCGCCCAACAATGACGACGACTACCACCACCGCGACCATCAATTCTCTCTAGTAGGCGCAGGCAGTTCCAGCTGGGCATCAACGGAGCACGTCTCTGCTTCTTCCTCTCTCCCGATCCACGCGCCTTCTGCCGCTGTCGCGACGCCGTCAACGTCTGCCGTGCCTGCTGCTCTAACTGCCTCCGGGCCCACCACGTCCAACCTTTCCTCTGCATTGGGCTTCTTTCCGATTCTCTCAGCCATGGCGGGGTTCATTACTGCGGTGTTTTACTTTTTCTTTCGTTTTCTTCCCGGCGTCCTCTACAATGCCATCACCTTCTTGACCATCACGTTGCCCACATGGCTATTCACTCTCTTCTCAATGAGCCTGACCGTCACGATGAACTTTACAACCCTGTATGTGTTCTCACCTCTCTTTTGTCGCGGAATAGAAATAATGCTGACTGATTGCCCCTATCCAGCTTGTTAATCCTGGTGGTCATCATATCGATGGGCGGCTGGTTCATCCGGTACCGCTTCCTGAACGTGTACAGTCGCCTACCGCCCGAGCCCCAGCGGAAAGAACCTCAGCTCGACTTCTTCCCTGATGTTCAAGAAGGTGACTCGAAGCCTGGACTCTCGAACTACCTCGATGAATTCCTCAGTGCGATCAAAGTCTTCGGATACTTGGAACGCCCGGTATTCCATGAATTGACCCGGACCATGCAGACGAGGAAGTTGATTGCTGGAGAAACGCTGTTGTTGGAGGAAGAGAAAGGCTTCTGTCTCGTCGTGGATGGGCTGGTTCAGATCTTCGTCAAATCCATTCAAGGGGGAAAGGAGTCTGTGGGTGATTGCGTGGATGGTCTGGACGCTGACTCGTCCGACGAGGACGAATACCGCAATACGCATGGCAAACAGGGCTACCAATTGCTTACGGAAGTGAAGAACGGAGCGTCCATGTCATCCTTGTTCTCAATCCTATCTCTTTTCACTGAGGACATTCAGCTACGGGATCCCAAACAGTCCGATTCCAGCCCATCAAGCAATGATCTGGTCAGCATGCGCTTGCCTGACTCTTTGCCGACCGCCACTTCCCGTCAAGGAATGAATAGTCCAAGGTCTGTTCTTAGAGATCGCGGCAGTTCCGCTTCCCAGGTGAACATGGACAGCAATGGCGAGGCCCTCCCCTCTGTACCTCCATTTACCCTGGGAGACGATGACGCTATATCCAACCGGAACCACCAGGCGCAGGCCAAGACGCATCCAGCACACAATAGGAGAAAGTCGGCTCATCCTGATCTTGTTGCCCGGGCAGTGGTGGACACGACAATTGCAATCATCCCGGCGAGTGCGTTCCGCCGCCTGACGCGGCTTTATCCAAGAGCTACTTCGCATATCATTCAGGTCATCCTCACCCGTCTGCAGAGGGTCACTTTTGCAACGGCTCATTCATATCTGGGTTTGACAACGGAGGTGCTGGGTATCGAGAAACAAATGACCAGGTTCACCACCTTCGACTTGCCTAATAGTTTACGGGGAGGGGCTCTCGACCGGCTGAAAGACAAGTTTCTGGTTGAGAAGGATCGTCTCGGACCTGAGGAGGGCACTAAGGGAATCGCCTTGCACAAACCACCCATGGTCAGGAGGTCTCAGCCGGGCAGCTATTTGAGAAGGGAAGCCGCTCTCCATGGGAGAACGACTGCCGGCAGACGTACTGCCTCTTTTTCTAACAAAAATAATACATTTGAGAGTGAAGCGGCAGGAGTTAGCCCCGGTGATCTTTTGTCTACTATTCATCTGTCTCGGTTCGGCCCGGGATACGAACGTCTTTCTCCAAGATTGCACACCCCTCTGTCGCAGCATGAGAGCCCACCATTCCAATCATCTGTCGTGAATGGACGTCCTTCTTTCCAAAGACAAGAATCCGTGGATGAGAACACACTGTTTCGGGAATCCCTTGTAGACTGCATCATGAAGGGTATTGGTCTCACTGAGAGTACACATGATGCGCTGCGAAAGAGCGGCACATTCAATTCTGGCGAAGCTTCGCCCAGGCTCCTCACGTATGATTCCCGGCGGCAAAAGGCAATCTTTAGCAACGCTTTTGGATTCATCGATCCGTATGAGGGGTCCGTAGATGGCGAGACAGACTCTACAATGTCAATGTCGGCCGTAAGCGCCGGTGGGACACCACCTATCTTCAATCTCAGAGAAGATCTGAGCAATGATCTCGAGATCGTTTACTTCCCACAGGGCTCAGTCTTGGTCGAGCAGGGAGAACGGCATCCAGGCCTGTACTACGTGATCGATGGGTTTCTAGATGTGGGAGTTCCCATAAATGAGAAAGACGAAGATCTCGCAGGTGCATCAGGATCGATGCTTGGGCAGCGGCGTGAGAAACTATTCCCGACTTTGGACCGCACGAATACCCGTTCGACATCCAGGTCACCGGCTTTGGGCACTGGTGATGGAAGGCGTAAGCGCCCATCGCGGAAATCCCTCTACTTGATCAAGCCAGGTGGTATGCAAGGTTACGTTGGGGCTCTGGCATCCTACCGGTCGTATACCGACGTTGTCGCCAAGACTGATGTATATGTGGGATTTCTCCCCAGAGCGTCCTTGGAACGCATAGCCGAGCGGTATCCTATTGCACTCTTAACATTGGCGAAGAGGTTGACAAGCCTCCTGCCGCATCTGCTTCTACATATCGATTTTGCACTGGAATGGGTCCAAGTAAACGCGGGTCAGGTTATCTATCACCAAGATGACGAGAGTGACGCCATCTATCTTGTTCTGAATGGCCGGCTGCGTTTGGTCCACGAAGGTTCGAATGGGAAGATGAGTGTAGTTGGCGAATACGGTCAAGGGGACAGCATTGGCGAACTTCAGGTCATGACAGAATCCAGACGGCCGGCCACCCTACACGCTATTCGCGACACGGAGCTAGCCAAATTCCCTCGGTCACTGTTCAATAGCCTCGCACAGCAGCATCCTGGTGTCACCATCCAAATCTCGAAAATTGTTGCCCAGCGAATGCGGCAGATGGTTGAGCACCCGCTCTCCGAACAAGGAAGAGAGCAAGGTGCTGTTTGTGGGACGCAAACCGCGTCGTCCACTCTCAATCTCCGTACCGTCGCCATCCTTCCAGTTACAGCGGGTGTACCTGTGGTCGAGTTTGGCCACAGATTGATAAATGCCTTGCATCAAGTAGGCGTCGTCAACGGGGTGACGTCTCTCAACCAGGCGGCTATCTTGAATCATCTTGGCCGGCACGCTTTCAGCAAAATGGGTAAGTTGAAGCTGTCGCAGTACTTGGCTGATCTAGAGGAGAAATACGGCATGGTGCTCTATATTGCGGACACCAGCGTCAATGCTCCCTGGACACAGACTTGCATTACCCAAGCAGATTGTATCCTGCTAGTCGGACTGGCCGAGTCGTCCCCCAACATTGGAGAATATGAGAAGTTCTTGCTTGGTATGAAGACAACCGCCAGGAAAGAACTTGTCCTACTACATGCGGAGAGGTACTGTCCTCCAGGGCTAACCAGGAACTGGCTGAAGAACCGACTATGGATTAATGGCGGTCACCATCATATCCAGATGCCATTCCGAATGACAGATGAGCCCGCTCATCCTCCCAGCAAGCGTTTTGGCGCCGCGTTGAAGCAGAGAGTGCAGGTGCTCCAGGCTGAAATCCAAAAGTATACCTCACGACGGATCCGCCAAACGCCGCTGTATTCTGCGGAGACACCGTTCAAAGGTGATTTCTACCGTCTCGCGCGTAGATTATGTGGCAAGTCTGTCGGCGTGGTCCTCGGCGGTGGAGGGGCACGAGGTATCGCCCACGTTGGCGTCATTAGGGCCCTTGAAGAGGCTGGAATCCCTATTGACATTGTCGGCGGGACGTCAATCGGTGCATTTATCGGCGCTCTCTATGCCCGGGATGCTGACGTTGTTCCTATGTATGGACGCGCTAAGAAATTCAGTGGTCGCATGGGCAGTATTTGGCGATTCGCGCTCGATTTGACGTATCCCACGGTTTCGTATACGACGGGTCACGAATTCAACCGCGGCATTTTCAAGGCGTTCGGCGATAACCAGATTGAGGATTTCTGGCTGGAGTTTTACTGTAACACAACCAATATCAGTCGTTCTCGCGCGGAATACCATTCGTCGGGCTATGTCTGGCGCTACGTGCGCGCTTCCATGACCTTGGCAGGTTTAATTCCTCCCATCTGCGACGAAGGGAGCATGCTCGTCGACGGCGGGTATATTGACAACTTGACTGTCGCGCACATGCAAACCCTGGGCGCGGACATCATCTTCGCAGTCGACGTGGGTTCCGTCGATGACAACACTCCACAGGTGTATGGGGATTCTCTCTCTGGGGTATGGGCCATCATTAACCGCTGGAATCCGTTTTCGTCGTACCCAAATCCTCCCACTCTGTCTGAAATTCAGGCGCGGCTCGCGTACGTGTCATCGATTGACAATCTGGAGCGGGCTAAGAACGCACCCGGTTGTCTGTACATGCGTCCGCCCATCGACGGATACGGGACGCTGGATTTTGGCAAATTTGATGAAATCTACCAAGTCGGATATGCTTATGGAAAGCAGTTTCTGGAACGGCTGCGGAGTGAAGGCTCATTTCCTTTGCCGGAGGAGACGGAGGAGAAGAAGAAACTGCAGAGGACCATGGCGCCTCGGAGAGCGAGTATATGAATCCAGTATTATTGTTTCATTAGCGTTGGTCAGCTGGCGTTTAGGAGATTCACGACTCCTATAATTATGGAGTGACCATTGGTCCCTCTCTTGTATATACTGATACTTTGTGCATGGATGTACACGTCTACTTGTAATTATGGGGGAAGGAAGAGAGAGAGGGGTGAGGGGCGGACGGAGTCGAGGCTGGCCTTGCACGGAGACTACATACAATACTTGAAGTGGAGATAATTCCAGTGAATCTAACTGTTCTTCTGTATCCGGGACTGAGTCGAGGGGTACATTCTTGAGTAGAAGTGATTGACTGGTGTACAGGATGGCTAGCTATTGCTATTGTCAGTCTTCAGATGGTCACAATGTGATAGTGGGGTGTAAACATTGTAGGTTGGAAAGTAGCATGAAGACCTTGATGAAGTGTACGCAAGTGAAATACAAGTAGAAGCCATTGATGAATATTCGTTGCAAAGAGAATAACAATATATATCCTCCTCCCTTAGGAGCCTTGCTGCTGGCTACCCCAAGGACCTGTTCTCCTTCACAGTAAAGGGTCGACTGATGGTGGTGGTCATGTGGCCAGTTATGCAGGCAATAACTGTGTACATAAATGGACGGTGGTAGGTAGGGTTTCCTTACATGAAGCTGTTGGACCATGTCTGCAGCAGTGCAGACTTAACGCTTGTGTTGACCGTCTCAGCAGCCATGTTGGACGGACACGAGTCTTTGACAGTGAAAGCAAGCTTCCCGACTTCCTGTGACCAAGAAATGGGCACCCCATGCCCTTTTTTATAGGAGCCCGGAGTCCTTACAAATCCTGTGCTGGTGGCATGAGTTTCTGACAACTTCGCTTCTGGATTGTAAATGCAGGCATAGTTACCGGATTAGAACTAGACTCCGCTGGCTGTATTTTGAGAGTCTGGTCCTCTTTCAGTTAGCGCCTTGATGCATATAGCTCGCAAGGACTAGGTCATTCATCCGGAGATCCTCTCCGACGATAAAGATAAAAATAAACCTTCGTCTTCTTATTGCCTTCTCTGTTTTTGCTGGACACAAACCGAAAGTCCCTTTCCAGAGCACAGGTGTTTTCACGCACATTTGCAGCTAGAGGGGATCAAAAGGTTAAAGAAATCAAAAGTTTGGGAACCTAAACAGGGCGGGCAGGGAGAACATTTAGATGGCTGTTTGTGAACTTAGCAGATTAGTATAATTCAGTTGTAGCAATCAGAAATTAAACCATATAAATCATGCAGGACATAATCATTAATTAAATACATCAGTAAGGCCAAGTAGGAAACCATTGGCGCCCATTGCATTCAGCCTTGAAATATGTGCTACATTTCATTTCATTTCACCAGGAACCAATTGAACCAGTAGTATGAAGATCTTGTCCTTTCCTTTCATTCTGTTGTTCCCACCAGGTTAAGGTGTTGTTTACTGTTTCTTCATCTTCATCTCCAGCTTAGGGCTTTTGCCAGGGATAGATAAAGTAGAATGCTGTATTTTTTTGTTCAAGGTCACAAACGAAAAATGGTGACACGACATCCACCCTGCACTCTGCTCGGAACTTTCCTCTCTCTTCCTTTTTATTAGAAAGATTTAGGTAGGTATGCTGCAGTGCCAAATTGCTTATTGGACCGTCAATAGAATCCATCCCTGTCGGAACGCCTATGGACTCTGGAGGCGTTGGCAGTGGGAATATCAGGCACAAACATGCCTCAAGTCCCAATGAAATATGCTTTCTATGCGAGTATCCGAACTCCTTGAGGGGCTGCAATGAGACGCTGCTTGGACATAGGATGTAGTTAGAACGCAAATATATATAGTCACATGATGTCATCAACCCTGTAAAGTTACCATGACTCATCAGTGAGTGTTGCTGCTATCCACTTCTCCAGGCTTCTTTTCAGGAGTAAAAGGTTATGATTCAACTATAAACAGATAGTTAACTGTATGTGTTTCCTTACCCATATGTACAGTTGGGATATTTGAACAATGATGTGCTTGGTGTATATACTCCATAAAGCTTCTATTGTCTGCCCTCTTGCTGTATCGCCATCGCTCACTCAGATAAATCAATCCTCACTTTGGACTTCCGCCGTATTGAACTTGAATTCTGCCATATCATACACCTGGTCTGGCAATTCAATATCCTTGGGGGCTGTCAAGATCCCAAAGACATGCGTGAAGCCACACTCTGACTCACTCTGTCCGTAAAATCCGACAATAACATCACCCTCCGCAGGCTCCAGGGTAACAATAGTGTCGTCCTGGCTCCCCTTGTTGTCAGCGTTAAGATATCCCCAGGACTCGCCGTTGCTCAGTGTCATCCGTATCCCGGACAAATTACCCCATCCGGAGTTGCGGGTTTGGAGTTCGACCTTGGTGATTGATGCATCCGCAGGGATGCCATGCACTTGGGACTCGTGACCACCAAATTCGAAAAGATCACTCGTACCTTCGTAGAATTGAGGGCCGCAATTGTGGACATGTCCATCGGCGTAGCGCACAACCGCTCCGTCCATGGTGCAGCCTACTCTCAAGTCAATCGAAGTGGCACGATACAACCTGCCGTCCTGGCCACGCTCCCGAAGCAGCATCGCCCAAGGTAGAAGTTCTCTGTCGCCATATTTGTCAGATTGGGCAAATCTTTTGCGCAGTATTATGTTGCTGTTCGGGATCTTGATGTACGGTTTCTGCTGAAACAGGGAAAAGGCATCAACAGTGCGTTCTCGACCGTTCATTCCGGTGGCGATTATTTTCAGCGGCTTTTCAGCGCTAAGTTGCCCGTGAATAGAATCGAAACTAAACTGTGTGACACGGGCGGAGTCACCAATGAAGTCATAGACCTTCTCCTCCTCATCGCCATGCTGAACTCTGACTCGTGCAAGTCCCGCTGCGCAGGATACTTTCAGTCCCTCGCTCCCAGACGGCTCCTCGCCATCAGGAGAACTGTCCATGTGCATATCCAGATCAAATATCACATTTGCGTTCTTGAACTCTCTCGTTACAGGCTCGTCACCAGGAAGTCTGAAATGCGGCAGGAGCTTGAACTTTAACACATCCTGCAAATCCCATTTCGCATGATTCTCGGCCCGGCTATTCGCTGCAATGCCGAGGAAATTGCGATCCCAGTGTTTGCTGTATCCTCGAGCCATTATCCCGGTCGTATGTGCTGCCCCGAACGCATGCCCAACTTCATGCAGGAAGGCACCCTGGCCAACGAAACAAGCACCGCGCATAGTATCGCATTCGTTGTTGTCATTGCCCACGGTGTCTCCGGGGGCAGTGAGATCCATTAGACAGGCGGGGATCTCCTCCATAAACCGTGGCCAGGAGTACGCTAGATGACTTCCAAAAACTCCCAAGGAGATCCCATCCGGTTTATGGCAACCCAGAGCCGCATGGCCCAAAATGAGGTTGTGTTCTATATCGTAATGCGAATCCAAAAACATTCCTGCTACCACAGGCCGACAACTAGAATCAAAAGGTGGCCCATGTGCTTTGAGTGCCATTTCAAAATACCCATGTAAAGCGTCCATATTCCTGGCTACCGGGTTTTGCTGTGCGACGTGGAAATCCCGAAGATCAGCCACTGTTTTTTCTGATCTGATAATATGCACTTTAGCAACGCAGCCCATGTAACAGGAGCCCTCATTTGGCACCACTGAGGGATGGCCCTGCTTGATGGTCGTCTTGGTGGTCCATTCCTCCTCGAGCCGGAAGGAGCGCCGCCCCAGACCTTTCTGACGCATGTCTTCCGCCGTCAGGGCCTGCCACATGTATGCGGACATGCGAAGCTTGGAAATGGCGGCATCGATACTGCTGTGGGCCGTGGATATAGCACCGTATTTCGCGGGTGGGCAATCCATCAGCAAGGGCGAATCCTTTGCAACCAGAATGGCCAGATGGAGAGGCGGAAGTTGGAGGAGAGGCTGGTATGTCACGGTCATTTTGAGAGTGTCAGAGATTCCGCCGGCATGATGGAGATTAAACGTCAAACGATTTTGCCCTGGCGAGAGCATCACAAGCGCCTTCCAGTTGCCCTCAAAGACGGGCCAGTTCTGGAATTTCTCCTTCTCCAGACCGACATCGTCGGTGGATGAGACAGATACAAAGTTGGTCTCTTCCGTATAACCGAGATCTGGGGACTCGCCAGCAATGATAACACATGCCTGATGAAGGATCTCGCCGTCTTCGAGGTTCGTGATTTTGAATTTGCTGATTGCGACAGGGGTGGGCTTGATTCGCTTGTTGCCCGGCTTCTGATCGTCAACGGTTCTTTTCACCATTGTCTCTGGTTATCTAAACTTGCAAGCCCCCGTCTGCATATACACAATTGGACATGGAATATGAAGGATGAAGAAAGAAATGATGGGTTTCCATCGTATTTATCGACATCAGCCTCAGATTAGGCAACCGTCGCTTATTGATATGGAAAAGGTCACGTGGTATTGGCGACTTGGCTCCCTCTCTGACCCCTGAGAATCCGAGCCCCTGATGATAGAGAGAGAGACATAGAACTGAATGGCATCCGTTCCTTAGTAGGCTACGTACGTGTAGCCGATACAGTTTCGTTCTGCCCTTCTTCCCTGAGTTACATGCATATTCCACAACACTTATATCAACCCTACTTTGATCACCTGACGCACGCCCCATGAAGCGGATTCAGCTCCACGTGCGCAGGGGAAATGGTGTTAACAGACAATCTTATACACGCTTCATCAGGGTAGGAGATATATGGAAGTAAACAAGATAGTTCTCTATCTTAAAACTTGACACCTGAATGCTTGAATACCAAGGCCTTGAAACAGCCCTGCTGAATGAGAAGAAGAAGCATGTGACGATCAGCTATAATAGGATGAGAAGAGGAAAGCAACTCGCTATTTGGCCGTAGTGTCTAGGAATATCGTACACGAGGAGAAGAAGAAGAAAAGGAAAAAAAGGTGAAAGACGTGGGGGGGAGGAAATAGGAGAAGAGGGCAGCTGCCTGCCCTCAGCCCTAGCCCTGTGCCCTACTTACTCAATCTGCTGGCACCTTCTAAGACGTGCCAGTGCAAGGGTCACATGCTGACGGTCATACCTCAGGTACGGTCGTCACAAAGCACCAGCGCGGGAAGCAGTCCAAAAAGGTTGCAAAGAAGCCCTCTAAAGCTTTATCCCAGCAAAATCTGCAAGATACAGGCCCTCCAGCTGCTGAAGTTGTTCCTGAGGTCCCTCCAACTATAAATCGTCGAGGAAGGCAGATCCGCCTACCCCATCGCTTTAGGCAGGAGTAAAAATTTGGAAATAGTGTATTTAGACCTCTACTTCAAAAAGCCAAAAGAGCTCTAGGTAATATTAGTTGTACGTGACTCAAAAGCTTCATTTAATGTATCGTAGTTGGGGTCGATATCGTGCGTCAGGTGATCACCGACAGTATCCCTATGAAGTCTAGTGTCGTGATGCTTTCCGATCGCATTTTATACAGATTTGAAGATATTGGACTGATAAGGTGAGACGTCAAGCAGTCTGTACGGAGTAGTTGTGACGGAGATCATGGAGTTGTGGTGTCGTCGGTCAGCTTCAACTGCTGTCTCGATTAGGTATACCAGTGGGAGAAGAGTAAACGTCGCGTCTCCAGGAAGAGTCATGACTTCTTTCGAGCAACCAAACATATTCCCAGGAATGATTGCATTCAAGGCTGCTTCTATTATTCTATTAATTAATCTGTATTCTGTGGAATAGAATCTGGCATCACTACTGGAGCAGCCATAGATAATGATGACAAAGTTGGCACCCTGGATACCATTCTCTTATAAACAACGTTCTCGTGAAAACACCGGATCAGATAGAAACTCAAGAACAAACCTGTATCTACAACGGAAACTCTCTGTTCTGGAAACTCAGAGAAGCAGAACGGGAACGTTAGGAAGTAAAGCTTCTACCTACATCATAAGTAGTACATCAATGTTGCTCCGGAGGTAATAGTACCAGTGGCAACTATTCGTCATGGACATCAGCAGTACAGTTGAATAACGAAGATATACAATAATAATAAAGACTCCATATCTAAACAATCAGGTTATGTTAAGGGTATACGAACAAAGGCAACGCCACAGCTGACTCTATTCCGTCATCAGACAACCCAGGCCCGGAATCATCCCATGTAGACCTCATGTTGGGGTTGGGAAAAATTAGGATAGGTTAATTCTTGAAACTCAGTTCAATCGATTGGACTGGGGTGCTGGGATCGTTTTAATTTTAACATCCCGTGGTTCTGGCATGAATAATCCTGGGATCCCTCCATGGATGATTGTGTCAATACGGCAAACATGGATGCTAGGCTGGGGTTTTCAAGGTTTTCTAATTCCATGGGTATCCTTACAAAGGCAATACTTTATTTTCTATTTATATCGCCGGTGAGTCGGCGGCAACCTCAACAGAATGATGACTTCACAAGTCAAATAGAAACAGAATTCATTGGATATAGATTAGATGCAAAATAAGTAACATGGTATTGTATATCACTGAACCCCCCAACATACATAAAACGAGGGTATTACTGTATCACCTATCCACAGGACTCTTTGACATGACATGAAACGACATGGCAACAAAACTTGGGAGCATGCAACTCATTATTAGTCATTAAAACGCTGTATGTAGGGGCGCTTTGGTGTAAAGCATGTAGGGAATGAGACGGTAGTATAAACAAATCCAAATCAAATGAGAAATGGAAAGGGTGGAGATATATATCAACTATCATATCGTTTGTCGTTGCTTCGTTTTTCACCGTTTCCATTTCTGTTCTTTTCTCCGTATTCGATCATCGCCTGGACGGTTCGAGTCTTCTATTTTTCAATTCGGGTTTCGGCTGTTTCTCCCTTATTGTATGAACCAGGCTGACAGCTGGGGAGGATGGAGGCTTAAAGCGCCACCTTAAGCGGTAGCTGCACCTTCGTGGCCGTTGCCCTTCTCACGGGTAGGGACGCTGTCCCTGTCAGCCCAGAGGCCGGCAATCTCAAGGAAGATTGCGGTGAGTGTGAAGAAGCTACAAGATGTTAGCATGCATGACTCTGAAAAAAAAGGATATTATGGTTATGAAACTCACAAGGCAAGGAAGATGAAAGCTTCGTTGGCCTTCTTCCTGCCGCAGCCAATGTTCGGGGGAGCATTGGCATAGCAGTTATGCCAGTTGTAGTCTTGGGCAGCGAAGATGAATGCAGTCAACCATCTGGGGGAACTGTTAGTATACAAGCTGATATTACTTTGACTTCCAGGTCATCAGGAGACATACAGGTAGGAGAAGATGATATCAAGTCCCAAAACGATCTTGCTGAGAACCTTAGGCAGGAACGGCGAGATGAAACCAAGGAGGAAGAAGGCAACAGACATGGTCGACTGTGGGAGGTTGTCAGTGATGAGTTCCTGAATGGTCAAGTAGGAAAGGAATGGTATCTGCATACAATGACTTCCTGGTAGATAATATGCTCGCCATGAGGGTTCCTGTTGATAAAGTATGAAGTGATGGACATGACAATGACAGCGGAAATCCACTGCATAGCCCTATTGGCCAGCTGAAGAGGACGGACGAGACTACTCGACACCATTTTGACGAGATGTACTGAGGTTTTGGTGGTTCAAGGATCCCGAATACTCTTGTGTTGTGTTGGAGAGGACAATATATCGGGAGGAGAGCGAGCTTTGGCGAGGATTAGAGGAGGCTGAAGAGTCTTTAAGCCAGATGATTGATCTTGATGACTGCTGGAAAGAATGGTTCAACAGCGAACTGAAGTTCCGGGCCAGGTTTTATAACCATGGACAACGGATGTATCGGGTTCCCCTGTCGACATCACCAGTGATGTGGGAGCGATTATACACACACTGGTCGGCGGGACCCAAGGGCGATTTGCGTCACAGGCTTCTGAGATTTACGAGCTGTATTACCGCACAACCGGCAGTTGGAAGCAATGGGTCTCATGGTGCAGACTAGTGGTATCATAGTCAACTCCGCCGGACTCGCCGCAGGCCTTCCCCAGATGCGTCATAATTCTCCCGTCATGAAGTAAACCATTTGGCCTGTCGCCGCCTGGCCATTGCTATCATAGCTTCGAGCCAATCACCGGTTGCAGCACGACAGGAGCAAGCTGTATGAAATCGCGAGACTCTCTTTGATTCTCTGGTCCGTTGATGTCCTGGTCGGGATTCATGCTGATCTTTCGGAATATGGTCGATGTGCCATTATCAAACTGTGATGACCGGTATTGCAGACGGGAATGTAAAATTTTTGCGGCCACAATTTATTAAAAAAAATAAAAAAATAAATAAATAAATAATAATAATAATAATAATATGAAGAAAGAGGGTTTCTGAAGAGGACCCGTCATTGCATGACTTTGTCGATTGTGCCAAGCACACGCAGCGCCAGTCGGCAGCGCGCGGATGGCAGCTCTAGCATCTGTCATCGGCCACACACGTTCCTCGCGGCAGTTGATGTGCAACGCATTCAACCAACTAGACAGTTGTACCGCATGGAGCAGGGAGCATGGACGGCAGAGCTCAAGGACTGGAAGTCGGATATTCGGGAGGGGTCCACCAGGGCGATCGCTGTGCTCTGTTGCTAGCGAGAGTCTAGTCTGTGTCCAGTCTCTAGTAGGTTCTGCAGAGCAACTCCGGTGATCGCCTGACACGTTGAGATGCCGGCGATCCTCATCGGTGATTGCATGGCGGCCAGTCTCGACCGTAGCTAGAGAGACAGAGGAGACAGAGGAGTTGCAGAGGAGTTGCAGAAGTTGGAAGGCCTGGTCAAATGACCGACACGTGGACGATCAGATGGTCACGTTGCTGTATTTTCTATCTCTCTCTTCTTCCTCTGTCTCTACTGAGCGCTGCAATACGTACAGCTACTGTCTACTGTTTACAGGTCAACTTGAATCATCTCTGCTATCCATCGGATTCCATCCTATCCATCTACTGCAAGCAGATCCCGTTCTGGCCTCCCGGACAGCATGGATTCCAAACGCGTTCCACCTGGTCTGTGGGAAGCCCGAAGACGTTAGGATTGAGTTTATCCTAGACGCATCGGCCTGCAAGCCAATCGTTTGACAAATCGTATCTTTCTGCTGCCGTTGGCGTCATAGTCCTGCCCAAGTTGATGCAGAAGAGGCCACACACCCAAGAGACTTCTCATATTCATGTGCAAGTACAAATCCTAAGTACTTTGTCCAGCGCTGTGTTGCACTGACCGACTCTTCCACACGGCCTATGCGCCATGCACCGTCCCTCGGGTCTTCATCTCAGCGCTGGTCCGGATATGATCTCTGGCATGACCTTCTATCTACCCATATTCCTGAAGCGTCTGTTGACTCTTTGAGAATAATCTGCTCGGGTGGCACAGGTTTTGATTTTTGATGATGCTACCTGTACGGAGGACTGAAGTTCACAGGGCTGAGGCCCGAAGAGGCCGAAAAGGCCCACCCGACAAACCTAAATTCGGGTGGAGTATTCCTTCTTCTCTTGGCTCTTTTTCTGCGTCTTTCCATGGCCCTGTGGACGCCACCGCGTCAAAGCCCTGTTGACAGCGCAGTTCCCCCATTCTAACTAGCGAAGATGCAGTGCGTACGAGAAAGGTTTAATAGCAAAGCCAAAAGTGAAGAAAAAAAGACATCCTGCTGACCATAGCAGCATAATTCCTGTTTCGGAGGATTTTTCCCTCCCGGGCAATATCGATGGGAGAATAATAAACAGAATAGGAAACAACAAGGCCGGAGTATGCTCCGTATATTAATTACTCTAGCCGGTAGTTGGAATGTTGAGCCATTCAATATCCCTGAACATCTATCTTCTTCTCCTGCTCCCCCCTGATGATGTCATTTATCGAGGACAATATGGTTCGATCTGACGGTCTCTATTCTGATAGCTCTTCCTCTCTTCCTCTCTTCCGGGGGAATCTCGGAAACAATCTTTTACTCTTTCTTCTTTCAGCCGGGAAAGATATCCATTATTTTCAAGAGAAGGAAAAGACCAAAGAAAAAAGGGCCAGACCCATTAATAATTAACTCCGTGGAACCGACTCTGGCGGAATCTACGGGAATCACTAGTAATTAATTTCAATTTCATATAATCAATATCAATATACATATAATTCTTTTGTTTGAAATATTATTTGAATTCTGGAGCATTACTTCACCTTTCCTGACATATTAAATAATCCTCAGGCCATCGAGGCTGTTGTGTTGATTGTTGATCCCAATGCCTTCCCCAGCACTTGGCACTGTGCTTTCTCCCTCACATAGAGTGCCCAGATATTGATTTACAATGCGATTGATAACCTATCTATCTTCATCTATTCTCAGGGGCTCGAATTGGGAATCACTTGACCAGATAGGACTGCGTACTAGTGCCTAAGTATGTAGATTTCACTCCGTGAGGGACTGACTCCCATGGAGCGCGACGCGAGCCATGGAAACAATCTCCTATGGCGTGAAAAGAAAAATTAACAAATAAAAAGGTCCCCGACAAACAAAGCCGATTTTTAACCATGCAATACCTGGATCACAATGGATATTATTTAATAACAATAATGGACCTCCACAGGGATGGAAGGGGGTTTCTACACTGGCTAGAATTGGGCATTATTCATTCTGGTGAAATTTATCAACTGCCCAAGCGGATTGTCAAAACGGACATTCTACATCAACAGTGCATGTTTGTTTTCGTTGGGATAGAAGATTTTATGGCCCTAGCACCGCATCGAGAACTTGACAGACGCCTTCAAGGATCAGCTGAGAATGGTACATATTGTTAAATGTCTATCTTAGAACCTTTTCTCTGTAAAACACGGATGCAACATTCCCCACATGTCCCTCCCACAATAGGATATCACTACTCCCACTCCTGTACGCCTTTGTTCCTGCTTTTGGCCATGTAGCTAGTCTGGTAGACATCAGATCGAATCATTGGTACCAACGCTGACAACCGAGGTTTACCACGAGGTGGCATTGCCCAAATCATGTTCCTGATCATGCGTTAATGAATGCATGAATACTCCTATGGGGAGATAAAGCAACATTAACATACCTTGATATACTCGCTGCCCTTCTCCAGGTACTCTTCTCGTGACACGGAGGACTTGGCCAGGTCCGACCCGGAGGACCACTGAGCAGCGCCCTTCCAAGCATCCAAGATGGGATCCGATGCACGGCGGACAGACAACGTCGCATCCATGGGGAGAAGGCTCTGGAAATCGTTGCGGAAGCGTTCGTCGAAATTTTGGAATAGCGTGTTGCCGCCCGTGAAGAAGACATCTCGCAGTAGGCGTGTGCGATCGTTGGGGTTCGAAAATCGCTGATTTACAATGTCTGCTGCGATCTCGACGAGTCCGGCTTGGTCAATGCCTGCGATGGACGGCTGGAATACCACTTCAGGAACCCGGATTCTCTCAACGTTGAGATGTAGTTGGTGCGCTTCACGTTGACTCTCAGGATCAAATGGCCAGGAACCACGCAAGAACGCATGGACCAGACTCTTCGTCCAGTCTGACTGTGCAGCAAGTGTATGATTCTCTGTGAACTCGGGATCGTATTTGAGGAGTTGTTCTTCTACCGAATTAAGCATGGCCGAATAGTCCTCCTCCTCTTCCTCGTCACTTTGGTCCCCGGTTGCTACCGTGCGGTAAACTCCCCAGTCTTCATCGTTCATGCCGAATGTATCGTCGTCTCCACCTCTCCGTCGCTTTTTAGGACCGTCTGCTGCGAGGTTGGCCAGCGTTTTCATCCGCATCTGGCTAGCGAGGGACTTGCGGTTTCCAAGATCGGCCTTCATCCTCTCTCGTTCTTTGATTTTTTGTATCAAGGACTGAGAAAACATGTTAGACAGGATGAAACCGGAATAAGCCACTCAGGATATAACACCTACCTGACGAGCGACCCTCCGCTCTGCGATCCAACTTTCGAGATCATTCTCTCGCTTTTCCCGATCAAGACGTTCCTCTTCTTCACGACGAAGCCTCTCGCGCTCCTTTTCAGCCTTGGCACGTTGTCGGGCTTCAACGTTTGATTTCATGAGACGCTGGTGGCGTTTCTCTTTCAGTCCCGCCTCATCAAGTTCCTCATCGGGAACATCCAGCAGTGGGAATGTCATCTCTTCTTCAGGTTCTTCAGGCTCCTCAACTCCGACGTCCCTGTTCCTCGATCTCTTAATCGAACGCTCCAGATCTCGGATTTTTCTTTCCAGGTGTGCTTCGTCCTTCAAGTCCTCGGCTTCCAAAATTCGCCTCACCTCTTTCTTCGACTCAGATGCGAGTCCCTGCTGTAAGTCTTTATAATACTCTAGCTCTTGTTCTTTCTTCATCAGTCTGTCAAGCCTCATCTTCGCCGCCTGTTCTTGCAGCCGACGCCCACTCTCCTTCTTCCTCTCCGCGATGCGCGCCAGTTCTTCTTCGGTTTTCTCCGGGACCACATGCTCGGTGTAAGGGTACTGGATGACGACGTCTCGTTCTTCTAATCCCGTCCAGTCCAAGTATCCACTCAGCTCCCGATCGTAGTCTGTCGAGACATAGCAGTGTTGATGTAAGAGACCTTCCATCTGACTCTCGTTCATCCTGGCGGGAAACGTTGGGTACTTCAGCCTCATAAGCTTCAGTAGATATTCGGCTGTTTGCATACCACCCCAGTTCAGACGGGAGCAATTTGAGAGCAATGCTTTCGAATTGAGCACAGGGATGACATGCGTAGACGTATGCGACGAGGAAATTATCAGTCCATCGGTTCCACGATTATATCGGTAGGAAAATAGAGAGTCGATTCCATAAGCCACAGACGGTGCAGAGTAGCACTCAAACAGGATCTCGTTCATCACTGGAAGGAGTCAGCGAAGGAAATTCCACATTAACTATTGCCTTCTCGCTTACTTCTTCTTGGATAGTTCGGGTTTGCGATTGGCTCAGTCATAACAATAGGCCGGCCGACACCCCCATTTGCACCGTCGACGCCCAGCTTAAGGAACAGGTAATCGAGCACGCCCTCCATGACATCCCAGTTGCCGACCACACTTGTACCAGGGTCAAAAGCATATCGGAGCTGACCGCGAGTGGTAGCATCTATGTAGGAGTCGTAGCCTACAAACTGGCATGCCTTGTTGAGCTTCCGGTCACGATATCGGCTCATAACGGGGGGGAAGATAAATCGCGGGCTTTTATCAAAGGACCAACCGGCCCTGACGAGATGCGAGCCTGTCAGAACGAAACAAAGAACATATATTAGCCGTGAGGTTCCTCAAGATGTATTGTAAAGCAGATATGATGGGATTCACCATTGTCGATGACTATCGCGCTTGCGGCAGGATTCGACTTGCTCCGCTCATAGCCGTCTGGTTGTGGCGGTTGGTAGCCTTTAAACGTGCGATCCTGGACATTGAAGACCTTTGGAGGAGGTTTCGCGGCTCGTTTCTCATTGGTATTTATTAGAAAGCGACCAGGGATGATCGTCTGCTCTGAAGTGATGGTCATGGTTTGTTGATTGAATGCGAATACAAGCGACGCTGTGGAGCTCTAGCAACCGGAGATTGGCTCATTCACCACATAGCAGCAGCTTTGGGAGATAGTATTGCTGAAAATAAAAGAGGAACTTGTGCGACAAGAAAGGGTTGAAATTGCAAGGAGAAAAGCCCAGCTTTGCCTGCTGTTGCAGCTGCGGCGTTGGGATTGTCCGCATGCCAAGATGCGCCTACATCGCCGACGCGCTAGACCCAGAGCAACGGCTTTACTCAGCTTGTACCTCCTACATCTTGATCTGTTCAATTCAGTGAAATAGCTTGGGATTCAAAGAAACATTCACTTGCAGATTTATTTGGCACCATACTTATATGTCTCCTGGTACGCATATATTCAACTCTGAAATGAGATAGCAAAAGTATAGCAGTTCCTCTGATCCTAGCCAGAAATATATCCGAGACAATGCACTTCTCCAACACCTATAGTGCACCCGTGAAGGATTTTGAAACCCCAGAATGATAATGTAAGCCAAGTGTATCTCCTTTTCGACTAGATGTGTTAAAGATGGTTTTTAGATGCTGATATGAGAAGATCTGCAGTTGGTATAATTCTTAACTCCTCCTTGAACTCGTTACCTGTGGGTTCACCAAGAAACTCCCAAATGACATCTAGACTGGCCGAACCGTATATCAAGTTCTAGTATCATCCTTGTGAGCGACTGGCATGGAGAATGGAACCCATTCACAATTGTGTCAGGATCATCAGCGAGACCATGGCAGCCTTTTCCATGTTCGCAGAACTTTGGGAATTCATTGCTTCCTGGTCTTGTTCTTTGATCCTCGAGAGGATATCCTGGACCTGACCCTGTCGTCCTTGATTTGGTATGCTTTACCACCAGTACCGGGGTAATCATGGAGGCCACTGCCACGGCTACGCCTATAGAAGCGGACGTAGAACCCAATAGCTGCAATCCCAACTGGTCACTTTTTCAAGTGCTATCATTTCAATGGGGAGCGCGTAGCGAGACAAGATCAAATAGAGCAGAGTACGGACATTATCTACTCCAGTTTCAGCCTCGGATGCATTGATATTAATAGTTCCTTTCATTTGGCGCTTCAAATAGCAAACTACTGCTGCCAACTGCGTGGCCATCAAAATGTCCTGACAACCTGTGGTGGCATGAAATCTCCCCAACGATAGGCAGATTCCATTTTGTATCACAACAATACAAGCCTAAAGAGAACCAGAATGACATTGAATGGCTGCTACTTGTATAACTCATTGATAACAATCCCAAGCTTAATCCCAACCCATACTCCACGTTCCTGTAACTGTCACACTTCTGGACACCATAAAGTCTACGACGGCTCCTTCAAATTCTCCGTGGCTAAGCCAAGTCAGTCAGAGCGATGTTGAAGATCTAACAAGCAAGAACCCATATCTTACCTTCAAGGTGGAAAAGAACATTAGATTGATAGTTCTTGAACATTTGCGCGACAAGTTCAATATTCATGTTTTGAATATTTACTTCCTGGACGGTCCGGTAAGTTAACTGTAAGTTGCTCAAAGGAAGCAATGGGAATATCTACCTGTAGACTTTTATTCATAACCATAATAGCCTCGTTTAATTTTTCCTGAAGTAAACATGCGTAAGTCTGTCAATTGCACATAAAATTAGGGTAAGTGCCTGTCTTTCAACATACAATGTTGCCGATAATTCGGGAGAGCAGCAAAGCCTGCTGGTGTTCGTGTGGACTCTCCTATAAGCCATCAGTACGGCGTGTTGAGTAGAAGACAAGGCAGATGTAAAGCCATTTTCTGCTTACCATTTCCTCGAGATGGTAGATGTTTTGATGAGGATTGGAGGGGAAGTTGTTTGTTATTGTTCCGTCTTGGAGTGTCTGATGTATGTCACGTGAAGTAATATAAGAACGACGGGATGCCAGGAACAAAGTGCCTCTCAAGTTTCCAACTCCTTTGACATCTCTCTCAAGAGGAGGGTCTGAAGAGCCTAGCAGGAACTGGATGACTGCCTACTGTCAGACGTTTCTGTGCGCATGAAATTAACACTAACATTTAGTTGATTTTACTTTGCTCAGCTCCTGTTACTTCATTCCCATTCCTCTCTGTTGACGACGCTGCTTCCCTCGCGCTTGGAAATTAGTCGCATTACCATCGACCATGGCTCCTCAAGATCCAGTTGCGGAACAAACCCACCAGCAACTTCTCAACCGCCTGGATATCGCGCCGATACCTCGTCCATTCCGCAACCCGAACTGGCGGCCATCGCAGCGTCGGAACAAGAATGTCAAGCAACTCCTTTCAGAAGCCTCAAGAAAGGAAGCGTCAACGAACCCGACACAGGCGAACTCCGGAGCGACGACACCCTTTGCGGCTGGTACATCAGGCACTACGGATGGCTCGCAAACTCCGACCGAAGGGGCTGCACGAGCTCCCAATTTCTCACAAGCAGCTCAGAACTTGTCTGCGCTCGTTCTGGAGAAAAATGCGCGGGCAACGTTTCCCTCTGGTCCTGCGGTGACATATACAAATATTGAATCGGCGCCATCTTTACATCCGTCATGCCAAAGACACTACTGCGACATCACAGGTTTACCAGCTCCGTATACGGACCCGAAAACCAGGCTACGGTATCATGATAAGGAAGTGTTTGCGGTGATCAGAACGTTGGGCCAAGGTGTGCCGGAGAGTTATCTCGAAGCCAGAGGAGCTCATATCGTGTTGAAGTGAAGCTCTCCCACTTCGTCTCTCTACATCGCGCTACGAAGGTCGTGGCAAGAAAGAACCAGGTAAGATACATGGATCGGATCGGATATCTTTTTTGAGAATTCTACTGAGTTGCAATGTAGATTCTACGACTACTATCCAGTATGGACGTCATGTAAGATCATCACAGTCAAGCCTTTTCCACCCACCGTGCCCCTTTCGAGACAGGCTCAAGAAAACGCTCCGGCTTATTCGTGACCTCAGTAGTGGTCGATCTCCGCCATGTGCTGCATGCACTCGACTAGTACCGACGCTCCACCGACAGGGAGCACCAGTTACAGCATCCACAGATACTGTCGCCGCGGCGGTTGGCATTGTACCAAGAAAAACAAGGCTGGGAAGGGAGAAGGGAGATATTGGGCAGCTGCCTCAGTATGGATATCTAGATAGATTAGTGTTGATAAAAATGAATACTGTTAACATGCCCAGTGATCCATTTCATTTGGCAAGAAGAGTCAAAAATCCATAATCCATTTTCCTGATAGACTGATCTAATGCAGATCAAGAAAAGTTCTTTGATAATGATATTGAGGAGAGCGGTGGTTGAAACGCTAAGGAGGAAGTTTCTCACTGTGCGAAATTAAAGTGGAAGGAGAACCAGACCGCCATCCTAGACAGGCCTAGCGTCTCTACATTCCAAAGGGGACGTGGCAGAACCATAACTTCAATAAATCCGGAGTTATTGCCCAGTACAGGCTACTTTTCTCCCCAGCATTTACCTAATCAAATATTGATTCTTTGGTGCTCAACTGCTGCATGCATATCTTGTCTTGCACGGGAAGCGGTCTGACCAGGGCTATCTAGTCACGTTATTCCCACCTTCCAAGAATTCCAACCAAAAGACAGATTCGTGTCACGCAGTTCCTACATCCGCCTGAGTCCAACTACAAGTTGGCCTCGGCTGCGACAGAAGGGCCTCTTTCGCATCAATATTAGGGCCTTTGTATCTGTGAGACGAAAGGGGAAGAAATGCCCACCATGTGGCTTTCAGAAAACCAGAGTAAGTCCTGCCATTTCCTTGTTAGAGATCTTCTACAAGAACCCTTTAAGCTGTAGCCCCTTTTGAATGACCTACGCCAGGATCTGCTTGCTGACTTTTCCACGTCTTGCAGAGATTGGGGTTATCTTCTGTTCGGGTGGTACGTTGAAATTGAGATCCCAAGTATAGACCAATCTCGGCCTTCGCGGATTCTATGTGACTCTGTACGAGTTGGAGAGCTGCGGTCACTTTCGAATAACCGGATGTTGATTTCTCTCGATTATCTCAGGTGGCCTGTTCCTATTTGGGGGTGTGCTGATGTTCTTTGATCGCGCACTGTACGTATAAACGATACCATACTGTTCCATTGATCTTCAATTTTCAAGAAGTCACAGGAAAAGCTAACGGATCCGTTACCCTTCTCCAGACTTGCCATGGGAAATGTAACGTACCCCGGAATTATTGAATACCGTCATACTCGGCTGGAAAATCAATTCGAAGTATAAACTAACCGGATGAATTGGAATGGACAGATTCTCTTTCTCATCGGCCTGACGTTGATAATCGGTGTTCAAAAGACTGTCGCCTTCTTCTCCCGTCGCCAGAAACTAAAGGGCACTGCCGCATTTGCGTCTGGTATTCTACTTATCCTCATGCGATGGCCACTGACGGGCTTCTTGATCGAGTTGTACGGTATCTTCATTTTGTTTGGAGACTTCTTGATCACTATTGGTCAATTCGCAGGCAACATCCCCGTTATCGGACCGTACATAAAGACGGCTCTCGAGACACTTGCTGGCGGCAGGAGTGATGCTGAACTTCCTGTATAGCTCTCTTTTTATCCTTGAGCAGTTTAGAATGCTGAGGTAAAGGACGACTTCATTTTCCTTAATGTGTACGAATCAATACGGGGTGCTCTCGTATGAATGATATGAGCACGAAGGGATGCAACCGATCAGGGATGACGGTGGTATTGGAGTTCATAGAAGTAGGTTATTGGCATTTTGGGGTTCAGAAGGCGGCGCCCTTCTTCTTTCATGAGGTGGGAACTGTTCTTGTTTATACATTCAGATTATACCTTGTAATTATAGGAATGCATGGATACCTTCGATGGCAGGTAGTTACCTAGGAAGGCGATATCTGATGCCATCCCTCCTCTTTTGGTGTGTATTATATTCTGTAACATGAATATCATGAACCTCAACGAAGAACTCTAACAAGTTAAAGCCATAGAGATGTGTAAGAGCCGTGATTATCTTTATCCAGATTTGGCTATTGAGTAGACCGTCTGTCAAGACCAGGTCACTGGACAAGTGGAGGATAGATTTCATCTCCTGCGGGAGAAGAAGGCGGATAGATTCCAGGTACAGTAGAAGGTAGCTGTCCAAGACATCTACATACCACAGACGATACCAAAAACCAAGGATTAAGGTAGAAATAACATGAACAGGGAAGGGAAGAATAATGGGGTGAAAAAAGGAAGAAATTTCTCTGTCGAAATTCACATTCAAACAAGAAGTGAACAGATCTCCATTGTTGGCAAGAATACACTCAGATCCAAGTATGTTTTCCATTTTCATTCCACTTCCTTGCGCATCTACCTGGGCTGGTTGATGTAGTCGACAAGTTGTTCAATGATGGTTGCTGCGTTGGTTGTCTGGACATTTTCGGGGTGGTGAGCAACAATGGTGCAGGAAGAGGCCCTAACGACGATAACGCCGGTTTTGCCCTGCAGTAAGAAAAAAAGAATAATTGTTAGCTAACTCAGTCTCCACATGCGCTGATCCATAAAAGAGCGGAAGTTGCGGTGAAGGTTATAAGTCCCAGATAATTACCTTCTTCCCATATAGACTGCGGGTGTCGGCCTTGATGGCTAGGAACTTTTCTCCTGCAATAGTGAAGCCGTTTGCGAAGGCATCATCTGGCTTTGTGAAAAGACTGGCCAGGCCATTTATTTCTTGCTGAGAAACCTATATGGACAGTTAATCAGAGGGCTCGAGGAAGCGCCGTGTGGTCTGGTGACAGGCCAGGTAGATGTTCGTACCGTGAAACCGGGGGAAGAAGCCTCAACACCGGAGAAATCATAGCTCAGGATGGCAGCCTTGTCGAAGTGGCCGGTACCGACGATGCTGTAAAAGATGTCAGAAGAATGGCAATTGGGTTGGAGCAGGTGGTTAGGTACTTGTTATCAACGTAAGCTGAATGTAGAGTAATGTCAGCTCAACGATTATTCAACAAAACCAACGTCCATATAGTTTGCTCGCAGCAAAATAAACGTCAGGTAGGAAGGCGTACATTGCCAGATTGCAGAGTGTTGACCCATGGTGGCAGTTGTGGTAAACAATCGAGGGGTAAACAGGTAAACGGCGGGGGTTTGACGAGGTTGGATGTTTCTCCGGGATTGCCGCTTGGAGGGAAGACAAGGGGAGATTAAGTCTATGCGAGCAGTTGCAGCTTATCGTGTGCCTTGGGAGAAGAGTAAAGAAGAGGAAGGATGTACGGAATTGCTGTTGGTGAGAATACGCAGGCCAAGGTGGGGTGGCCTGCGCTGGCAACAGATCAAGTTGCCCCGCGTCTAGCGGTCGATTACCTGTTCCTTGACAGAGACACAACTCTACGGAGTGAATGCGTTTACAATGCGAGAAAGGAAATATGATACAGCTAAAAACCTTGGATCTTGATTCTTTCCTGCTGTTTATCCCTCATGATCAACCGATGAAGCCGCAGTACAGCGTCCAGCGCCATGCAAGGGGCGGACAATAATTTACCACGTGACACAATCACGGGACTCGTATCACGTGCAGTGACCGATTCCTTGTTAGTACACGTGAGGTTCTGCCGTCCTAGACCGCCCTCGCTACCTATCTCACGGCACAGGCAGGCCTACCTAGTAATATGACCATACATGCGCCTATCCATTAGGTTATGAGCCCGTTTTAGCTCTACGATATTGAGCTTAAAAAAAAAAAGCCTTTCAGATAGGCTAAATTGTGACCTCTCATTGGTCAAACCAGAAATCGAGCGCTTCTAAGCGACTCTGAACACCAGGACCGCCAACAATCGGCCCCTGAACCCCAGGATCCTTCGATCGATCCCATCCAAAATGGTGGTGCCTCGAACGCCCCCTACCACCGCTAGACGTCACCGTCGTCAGCCAGAATCCACAGATCCTTCATCAGATATAGGCTCCTCCGCCTCCTCAGTAATCTCTGAAGAAATGGACACCCCAACTGCCCCTAGAGCTCAAAGCTCTACTACAGCCAACACCATGGCATCCACACCAGACATCACAGCTCTGTTCCAGCAGATGCAGGAACAGATGCAGGAACAAATGCAGAAGCAGATGCAGGAACAAATGCAGAAGCAGATGCAGGAGCAAATGCAGAAGCAGATGGACCAGTTCATGACTCGTTTTAATGCCCTTGAACGCCATCAATCCCAATCCTCCACTCCTACAGTCCGGCATAACGCTACTCCCTACAATCATATTCAAAATAATACAGCTATTCCAGCCTCAAATCCAGTACAAAAAGATCCTTTTGATCATGTACAAGCTCAAGTTAAAGCGCTCTTACCAGACCGATGCCGAATCACACTGTCTCATGATAATTACGACCCCTGGAGTTCAGCCATTCAAAGAGAAGCCAATGTCCTGAACGCTAGTACAGTCTTGCATCAGGATATACCTCCAGCAGGATACTCAGCTTATGATGCTGAAGTATGGCATTGCAAAGCCACTGTCATGAGAGCCCGAATGCTTCATGCTATGACTGCCCAAGCCATTGACAAATTGGGCAACACATATGACCTATCAGCCCATGGTTTATGGGACCGAACTGCTACCTTTTTCGGACGTTCTACTGGTGAAGAACGAATGCTTCTCATAAAAGAGCTCAAGGAGCTCTATATAAAAGACAATGACTACCTATCCTACCAATCTGCGTTTACTAGGATAGTAGACCGCCTTCATGCTATAAAAGAAGCATCATTTGACAACCTTATTCACGACCTATTTTTTATAGGCCTCCGCGAATGGAACAAAGCATTCATTAAGAGTAAACTTGATGAAGTATACTCAACTGGACAAGGCCCTGTCATCAATCTGGACCTAACTACCATTCAAGCTCAACTCTCTATCCGTATGGGCACCCAAGCCCGTGAATCCCGCTCCCAACACGGAGGACGACGAGAGAATCTATCCGGACGAAGCTATTCCAAACAAGCATCTAACCCCATTGCTAGCTCTTCCGCCTCAAGTTCCAACACTAAATATAAACCTCAGGACCAGGATTCACGCAAACCAAAGACCCGTTGTGATTGGTGTGGTCATTTCCACCCAATGCCTTGCCTCTACAAGAACCCTGAGAAAGCCTCTGAGCATTGGCGCCGAGCCAATAAAAATACTATTGAAGCTATTCGTGCTTTACACACTGCTAAAGAATCTTCCACTGCTTCATTCTCTGAAGCAGAAACCAATGAACTGGTACCATGGACTTCTTCAGCTGCAAAAACAGCCATTGCTAAATCAGCCCAATCTCTCCAAGCTTCATGGTATCTTGATAGCTGTGCTTCATTCCATGTTACACCCCATCAAGCTTTCTTCACGTCCTATAAAACATTGAGAAAGGAGGACCTTACTCCAGCGGATTATATTGAAGATGCTCAAGGGAAGATTTCCAAACCTCATGGTATTGGCACCGTCGTCATTGATATTGGAACCGGATCCTTGATCCTTAGGGATGTACGACATGTTCCATCCTTCAATTCCAACTTAATCTCCATGGGAATGCTTCTCAAACAAGGTTTTCGTATCGAATTCCCTTCCAGCTCTCAAGTAGCACAAATCACAACCTCTTCTGGTGCAGAATTTGAAGCCATTTTGAATACCAACAATGTATTCATCCTATCAGATTGCATTTCTCCCGACGAGAGCTCCTATGCCTTTGTCACCACCCGGTCTGGCAAAGAGGCCAACCGACCAGGGGACCCTCCCAGAAAGAAACCTACAACATCCCCAAAGACTAAGAGCTCCAAAACAGCTCTACCAATTATGACATGGCATCGCCGTCTATGCCATTTAAACCAGCAGGATCTTTTACGCCTTGCCGCAGATCCTACATCAGACATTGAAATCAAAGGTTCCAAAGAACTACCACTTTGTGAAACCTGCATCCAGGGCAAGCAAACTCGCCAATACAGCAAAACACCAAGATCCCGTATGACTGCACCACTAGCCCGAGTCCACATAGACCTTGCTGGTGGCGGCCGAACACTAGATATAGAGAAGCTAGATATGCCTCTACCTTCACGTACAGGAGCCAAATATGTGATGCTTATTACTGATGACGCTACACGTTACCGTTGGGTCCACTACCTAACTGAAAGATCTGCTGCAATTGATGCATTTCGGGGTTGGCTACAACAGATGAAGAATCACCATTTCCCTGCCCCAGCCTATATTGTCTCTGACAATGAATTCTGTTCAGCTGAATGGCAGAAAACCTACCGTCAGGAAGGCATCGAATGGCAACCAAGTTCTCCATATTCCCCTTGGCAAAACGGTGTCAGTGAGCGCAGCATACGCATACTCTTTGACCGTGCTCGGACATTAATGCTTGACGCTCCCCATATACCACAGCGATTTTGGGTTGATGCTTTAAAATATGCATCAGATATAACAAACCGCCTCCCAACATCCACAGTCCTATTCAATTCACCTATCCCTGGGGGGGTCAATACCAACACCAAAATCAGCCCAAGCCCATATAAATCGCCTCTGGCTGCCTGGACCAACTCACCAACTAGTATCAACAAATACCGACGTTGGGGCTGCCCTGTCTGGGTTCATCGACATGGCTCAGATAAGCCTATAAACAAGTTCGATTCCCATTCTAAATGCTGCTTCATGATCGGCCAAATCAGTAGCCAACAATATAGAGTGTGGGACCCTAAAACAGACGCCATTTTTTCAACCAATGACACTATATTTGATGAAGAATATGAGGATCCCACAACTACACCTCCACAAGCTACTGTTCCTGAAGATCCAAGTACTCCTAATAAAGAAGATACAAACCAACCTGTTGAAGATGAAGACCAGGAAATATGGCTTCGACCCGCCAAAGGCATGTCCCTAGCCTATCTCACCACTTCAACTACTCCTTTGTCTGAAGATGACACGCCTACTTCCTATAAGCAGGCTATATCTCATCCTGATGCCACCAAGTGGCAAGCAGCCATGCAAAAAGAAGTCAACCAACTCAAAGAAAAAGGCTGCTGGCAACTTATCCGCCGCTCTGACCTACCACCAGGGACCAAGGTCATCCCTGGCCGGTGGGTATACAAAAAGAAAGAAATCCCTGGTACCCCTATTACAAGGGACTACCAAGTTAAAGCTCGCTGGGTGATCCGTGGAAATCTACTTGACAAGGACTTCATGGAACCATACGCCCCAGTGGTAGATGAAAATACCACTAGAACCCTTACGGCACTGGCCACTCTACTTGGCTGGCATACTCGAAAGGCAGATGCCATCCTTGCTTTCCTAAATGGAAAAATGCCCACAGATAAACGTGTCTTTATGACCCAAGTTCAGGGATTCAAAGAAGGCTCTGGAGACCTGGTTTGTGAACTCCGCCAGTCCCTCTATGGACTGATCCCATCTGCCCGTATCTGGTATGATACACTAAATGCTTTCTTACGACAAATCGGCTTCAAAAGCTCCGAATACGACTCTGGTCTCTGGATCCATACCACCCGGACCCAACTCTATGTGACTACCCATGTGGATGACTTCAAAGTCTATGCTAAGCATGAGAATGATGCCACTTGGTTTATGGAGTCTCTTTCTGCTAAATTTGACATAAAAGAAGTTGGAAACTCTACCAAATACCTTGGCATGGCCACCTCTCAATCCAAGACCACATATACTCTCTCCCAGGCCAATTATGCTGAAGACGTTGTTGCCTCTTTTGGCCAAGCACAAGCACACCCTGTTGGGATCCCCATGGATCCTAGTTTAATAATTGATGATGACCCAGACCCTACAGTGAACATCAAAGAATATCAACGTGGTGTAGGCTGCCTTACTTGGCTAGCCACCAAAACCCGACCTGATCTTAGCCGGACAGTTGGCGTACTATCCCAATATCACGCCAAACCTACCCAAAAGGCATGGCGTGCCCTTATACACGCTATACGCTACCTTAAAGGCTCCATTAACCGACAAATCACCTACCATAAGGCCACGGAACCCATTACATCTGACCTCCTCATGCCCAGATGTTATACTGATTCTGATTGGGGTGGTCAACTGACAGGCAATCGCCGGTCAGTATCTGGATATATATTTCTGCTTGCCGGGGCCCCAATTGCCTGGAAAAGCCGCAAGCAAACGTCCGTTGCACTTAGCTCCAACGAAGCTGAGTATATGGCTCTAAGTGAAGCCAGCCGAGATGCCCTTTGGCTCCGGAACCTCATCAATGAGCTCAACGTACTCCCTACTGAATGCCCGCCAATTACTCTCCATATCGATAATCAAGGTGCACACGCCATGGCTGAAGCTGAGCTCACCACCAAGAGATCCAAACACATCGATATACGTTACCATTACGTTCGGGAGAAGATCCAAGACGGTATTGTTAAACTCCAGGCCTGCCCTACCAAAGAACAAGCAGCAGACGGCCTGACCAAACCTCTCCGAACTGAACAATTTGACCATTTCCTACAACTCACTGGCATAAGCTAAGCCGCGTATATCTCCCCCATTTTGGATATATTTTCTATTTTGATATACGGCATTCGATTGGCTAAAGCAGAACCTTCATTCCTCTGTTTATTTTTGCATATATTCACTCATTTGAAGGCCCGAATAGAGGCCGATTTCTGTATTTAGATTGATTCCATAGTTTGTAGGCTGCTCGTGCGTGGGGGGGTGTTAGTACACGTGAGGTTCTGCCGTCCTAGACCGCCCTCGCTACCTATCTCACGGCACAGGCAGGCCTACCTAGTAATATGACCATACATGCGCCTATCCATTATTCCTTCCATGCGCGACTCGCCCGTCTCACCTTCGCGTCACCAATCGCCATGCAGACGTCCTTTACGCCCTTCTGTTTATCATCTTAGCCTCGCTGATCAGGCTGAAGTGTTTACACGGTAGCTTTATTTGCAAGATGAACCGTGTGGACTACTAGCACAGGGCAAAACGCAGGCAGCAGGAATCTTCCAACAAACCCCAATAATGGCGTCTTGCAAGCTGACCTCTTTGAAGATCTTGTCAATATACAGAGTAATCATGTCTTGTCGACGGGAGAGTGGCTGTCTCAGCCTTGCAGGTATCCAACATTGTCTAACATCGGGACATCATTATTTAGTCCTGTGCAATGGCGATTATGGACAACTGTCATCGGCAACCATGACATCTAACAGTCTTATTGCCTGACCCACTTAAAGGTCCTGATGTCCTTGGGTGCACATATTGAAGCAATTAAACCCTCCGGCACAGGCTCTGTCATTTGTGGAACTGTGAATCTGAGCGGTATTAACGGATGATCCTGGAGGGGGGATCCCTTAAAACGATCTCATGAAGCCCTTTCGGTCCAAATAAGAATTTCGCCAAGTCCAATGATTATCCTATTACTGGTTACTTTACTTGTCAAGTGAGTGATGGAGTCGCATGGTATGCGCGATTGGATCGCAATAATCATGGCTTGCCGCTGCTCATTTTATCTTTTGGTGGTACCCCCTATCACGATCCCTAATTTGCTTCATATATAACCTGGCGCGACATCGACTGTTTCATCATCGCTAGGACACTTTGTTTTTATTTTAAAATTATTATCTTAACAGATCCTCATTATAATATTCATTAATATTCCCATTCCCACTTCACGCGCCAGTTTCTGGAAGACTGACCATTTCTTAACCTATTGTCTGTGACATCTATCTTTCCTTTTTATATTTCTTTTGAGGTCCCTCATTTGTTCTCCCCCTTTTCTCTCGTTTTCTTTTCCATTCGTTTTTGTTCGTAACCAACAGAAAGGAGATTGAATAGCCGCTCCGAGGAAATGGCCATAAAGCTTTCTACTAGGAAAACAGCCAAACCGCAGTCCACAAGGGATATCTCTAATCCCGTGTTGATCAGCGCAAATGTGCTGCCCCGAGACGATCTTCAGTACCTCAATGATATTCCGGCTACTAGAGGGACGTTGCAAAATCCCTCACCTCTAACTTCCCAGAAGTCTGAAGTGCCCGAGAGACAACAGTGGAATTCAACCGCACAGGACAACCCCAGTCAACAATGTGATGAGAATTTATCGTCTTCGCACACGAGAGGTGGTGTCGCAAAAGAGCCAATGTCACTGTCGCTTCAGCGAAAGCCGAGTAAATGGAGGAAAATAGGTGGGATATTCACGGCAAAGAACGCTGTTAAACCTACATCGGATAGGAAGCCAATTTACCAAGTGCGTGTTAATGATCGATCCTTATACGACCTTTCGAATTCAACGGATTTCCACTGCGAACAGAAGTCCCGCTACATGGTCCCACCGAAGATGAATAGTCAACAGAAAGGTAGAACGGAGCAGCAGTCAACTGGACAGAGTTCGAAGCCGAAGGAGAGTGGCTCAGAGCCCTTTCTCAATGTTGATATCCCACAAGTGGAGTTGGAGCGGTATAGTGTGATGTTCAGCGGTCTTCTAGACAAAAGACGGCCTCCTCCCTTGGCTAGACGACGTAGCAGAACTTTGGACGACTTGAATACTTCGATGACAAACGAGGTATGGTGCTCTCTTTAGTACCAAGCGATCGTAATGCTGAAAGAAACATTCATAGTTCTTTACCGACCCCCCCAAACTCCGACGACAGGCAACATCACCGGCAGCGAGATCTCCCAATTTCGCTTCGTTCCCTGCATCCCATTTTAGCAAGCCTTTGGAGGATCCCGGTAGTCAAAATCTGTCACCTTGTCCGAGCCCATCACTTAAGCTTCCAACGGTGCCGGAAGGAAGGACTGGAAATGAAACGTTTCGTCAGAATAGCATCCACCACACTGGTCAGAAACCGGATGTTTCAACGTCACGTCAAGCGCAAGTCTCAGTGGCATATACCGTGGATTCAAACGAGTCGAAGAGAGATCATTCTCGTCCACGAAATGGAACAGAAGGGGCCGTGGCTACCCGGGAGAAAAAGGTGAACAATAGATCTTCCGAAAACCTGCCGACTGCCACACTCCGTACCAGGTCTGTAGTACTTTCAGAAACGCTGGACCAACTCAATGGCACGAGGAAAAGGGATGATCAGAATACAGTTCCATTATTCACTGCGAGCAAAGAAAGGGTTGACCAAATCATGGCTGCAAAGATGAACAGTTCTACAACCCCTCCAGTCCCATTCAATGCAACCAAAGAGAGGGTCGACCAAATCATGGCTGCAAAGATGAACAGTTCTTCAACCTCTCCAGCGGAATCAACCCATGCCCAATTCAAGGCAACCAAAGACAGGGTCGATCAAATCATGGGTGCGAAAAGCAACAGATCAGAAACATCCCCAGTGGATTCAAACAGGCGTCCTCATGAAAATAAACACACCGATGGAAAGCCACCCAAATCACCCAAGGCTGAAGTATCTATTGCGAGGTCCGTATCCGTTACGAGGGCTAAAAAGCAAGTCATTGTCCCCATCGGACCAAGGCCGACCAGCGGGAAATCCAACCAGCGTTTCATGAAGGGAAGGGGAGGACTCCTGAAGTCATGAAAGCCTCGGCCGATGGTCATGCCTCGCAGATCATTCAGCTAGATCACCCGTTATCTCTCTCTCCCCTTGGCCTGTGGTATCTGCAGAGCACTTCTTTCTCTTCTGTTTTTTTCATGCTTTCACGGTCGCGTTTCTATTAGCACATTTGACATAGACTTTGCGCTGGCCGCATTAACGCAGACGCCCCCCTCCCCAATTCCACCAAGTCTCTCACTGGCTTGTTTCTCTTTAATTTTGTCCAACACATTCGTTTATTCTATTCCATTGATTGGTTCTCCCCCTGTTCATTTCATTGGCACATAGCATGTGCAAATCATCCTTTGAAGTTTGGCAGGAACCAACAGGAACGTTCTTTGATCAGGGCTGGAAGATGTGATCTAAACAGGCGACTTGGATTCTCTTATCACACCTCTTGGATTTTGAAAGTAGCTAGCTCTAACTAGTTTAACTCCATTGTCTCCTATTTATTCTCATAATTTCTTCACTGCGATTCATTTCTTGGTACCTTGGGAGTTGGGACGGAGGAAAACTGTAATCAGTGAGTTCTATTTGGTCTACAGCGTATTTATTGGGTATGGATGCATTGTTCCATATAAATGTTGAATTACGGTATCAGAATGCATGAATAATGACCATAATGCACTCATCCTGGTGGTTCTCTTCATATCTACCATACTTTATCCAATCTCCCCATGTTGCAAGGTGCACGAGAAAATACACTTACAAAGACGAGTCTCAGTTATATTCCTATCGTATATACCGTGTTCATGTCTACCTATTCCTTGACAGGATAGCTGGACGATTCGTCCAGTACTTGTGTCGCAGGAACAAGTTCCACACTGGAAACAACCCATTCCATACCGAGGTATGAGTCGCTTATGACTCTAACATTGACCTTCTGTCCAGCAACAGCCCCGTTACCATCCACAAACAAGCTACCTGGGAATTTGATAGAGGATCGGATAGTCAGAGCACCACGTTTTTGGTTGTTAGCATTCCAGCTCTTGCGACTAGATTGGGCACTGCTATCGCCATTTGTGCCGCGGCCATTTTTCGTGAGGGATTGCCAGGATACACGTTTCAGAGCCAGGAGTTCTCCATCTGTTCCGTCCAAAGTAGCAGATGACACGATGAGGAAGTAACCCTCTGTTTGAGGCTTGGGAAAACGCGGGGCGTAAATCCTATATTCTGGGTCTGTGGTAGAATTTCGCCTCGTCAAGGAGACGAGCAAACCAGTTGCAGAGACATCTGGGATGGAGACGGTTAAGTTTGGCAGATATGACACTGCTTTGAGGAATTGGCCGGGAAGATGTAACTTCCTTGTTAAGGTGGATAGGGAGGCCGCTGGTAGCGATGATAGCCCTATAAGATTATCCGGCAAGGAAGAGCGTTGCTTTTCCTCGAACCTTACGCCAGGGAGTATGGAAAGAGGATCATCCTCGGGCCACTGTGCTGATTTGATACACTGTAACAAAGTCATGAACATGCAGCAAGCGGGTAGATAGCCCAATTCGGCCATGACGTCGATAGACGCCTGAATTACACGGATACCCTGGTCTAAGACCGATGTTTGATCACCGACGTAATCGGAGACTGGAAGATCAATCCTGGACATGTACGCTTGCAAGAGAAGGAAAGCCTTCACGTGAGGATCCCAGAGAGGCAAATCGCCCATCGATTCAACAGAAAGGGGAAGATGGCGGGCTAGCTCAGCATTGATGAGATCTTCGTTGTGTCGCACGGGTAGTTCGTCGAATTCGGAGGCAGAACACATCCAGCTTAGCACGTCATGGAAGGTAGGATTGCGCTTTGCGTGTGTCATTAGGTATCGGATCGTTTTATGGGAAAGATAGTAGTAACTCATGATTTTACCGAAAGGCGTTGAGTCGATGTCGCCGGTGGCCGAGTCTAAGACGACGCAGGACGACTGGGACAGTTCATCTAATGCCTTGTCAACTAAGTCAATCATGAAATCCTGAGCGATGGTCTGCGCGGCTATTGTGTTATGCTCTTCAGCCGAGATCTCAAGGCCGTAATAAGACGGGTTCTTGTGAAGTCGACGGAAGAAAAATGTCCAGGTCAAATAGTCAAGGGCATCCTGTTTCGTCGTAATGGTTCCTGCCGAAACCTCGGCACCCAAGTGGTTGTCCAGCACTTTGTGGAGAGTAGATTCGACTGGAAAACCAGTATGGAGAAAGTGTTTATAAAATGCTTTCTTCGACTCTTGGGTGAAGATTCGTGCAATACCGGATGAGTCGAATTGCGGTCTTCCTGCACGGCCCAACATCTGCAGGACATCCGTGAGATCCATATCCTTATATCCCTCTATTTTAGCATCAAAGAATTGAGTCCCCTTAACCACTACAAGGTGTGCTGGGAGGTTGACACCCCAAGCAAGTGTACTGGTCGCCACGAGAATCTGTATTTTGTTATTTGCGAAGAGTTCTTCCGAAAGTTGGCGGTCCGACTCGACCAAACCCGCATGATGAAGACCGATACCAAAACTGAGTGCCTCTCGTAAAGCGTCATCTTTAACTCGGGCCAGATTTAACTGGAGGTCCTCTTCAGACATGCGGACGAATCGACGCGGATCGTCCTCCATACCGCAATAGTTGATTAGATCCTTGGCTGTCAGCCGTGTCTGTCTTCGAGAAGCGACAAAGACAATGACAGGCTTATCTGGGGAATGATTCTTGATGGCAAGGAAAGTCGGCCGATTCATAGATTGCATAAATGGAGAGAAACCACGCTGCTCAGGGAACCCATCAATGTAAATCTCAAGAGGAACGGGTCGGACAGAGTGTCGAAAGTTAAACAACCCTTCTTTGACTCCAAGCCAATTTGCCAGGTCAGTGGCGTTGGCACAGGCAGTAGACATGCCCATCAATCGAACAGATCCTTTCGACTGAGAAGCGATGTAATTCATTCGGGAGACAATAATCTCCAGAATGGGCCCTCGATCACCACCTAACAGATGGATTTCATCAATGATCACTAGGCTCACTTTCCGCACGTAATCTCTTGTCTGCCAGCTTCGGGAAATACCGTCCCACTTCTCAGGCGTCGTAATAATAATATCGGCATCTCTAATCGTTCGTGTATCAGGGGTATTGTCACCAGTCAATTCAACCAGTTTTAATCCCATTAGCGCAGTGAGACGTTTCCTCCAGTCGTCAACCCGTTCGCGAACGAGGGCCTTCATGGGGGCAATATACACCACCTTAGATCCTGGCTTTTCTCTGAATGCCCACCACATTGCCAATTCTGCAGCCACAGTCTTTCCACTTCCTGTTGGAGACCCAAGCAGAACATTTGCCGGAGTATGGTAAAGCAAGTGAAAAATCTGCGTCTGCATGGGGTTAAAATACTGAAAGCGCTGTCCGTAAATTTCCTCAAGAATAGGGTTTTTCAACGCCGATATAGGTAAGGGCTGAAGATTAAGAAGATCTGTGTAAACGCTCTCTGTATCCGGACGGATCAAGTGTTGAAAGGAAATCGGGGTCACTGTCTCCGCGCCGAGCCATCGATCAGAGATAGCACGCACATAGATTTGACTAGGCAGTGGATCAGATAATGGAATTGTGAAATTGAGCTCATGCTCATCATAGAGCTTCTTTCGGCTGATGATGAAAAACTCGTGATGATAGATCTCGGAGGTCTCTGAATTTTCAACCCAGATCCAGAATGATTCCGATGTGCCATGGTGTCTATCATTCCAGCTGAATTCCGGATAGATGCGTAGACAGATACGCAGGACATCTCGATTCAAAGGTGCAATCTCAGCCTCGACGCTCAGAGTAGGAAAATTGTCTAGCAACTTGGATAATGTCTTTCCCATGCGGTGATTATGCACAAGCTGTCCTATCTCTGCAGGTTCCATATCTCTCATAGAATCGACCGAAGAAGTTGGCAGTTTCTCGTCCAAGTTCCTGAGAATGGGCTGGGGAAGATCAAATTGGTGGAATGGATGGTCAAAAGGCCAAATCTGCTTCTCGATTGATTTGCAGAGTGACAAGAGAACTTGGCATTGATAGCCCCATCGACGATTCAATGCAATCATGAAGAGTGCGCGGCAAATACGAGCCGAATTTTGTGCGACATATAAAGAATCAGAGACCAAGGCGAAATCTTCGATCTTCGCCCGGGAGATGTAAGATTGCAACAAGATGTTGGTTTTAACATGAGGGGAATCATTCCCTCCTTCCACCTCTGTCTGAACAGCTTCCTCTTGAAGCCTTGTCAGTTCTCTTGACTCGTTCTCCCTCGACTGAATATTGTCGAATTCACCGCTCATGCTGATCATTCTCAGCACATCTGCTTCGCTCGACCGAGGACGCATTAACTCATTGAAAATCTCAATGCTCGTCTGCAAAACGTAGTATTGACTCGCAATCCGGCCGACATCCTTTGCACGCAGTTCCTCAGTTCTTTCATTGAAAATGATCATCTGGCTCTTCTGTAGTACGTGTGCAGCCTGAATTATTAGCTGGCGACGCCTTAAGACTAGCATTGGGTCGTCGCGTATTTCTGCCCATTCGATTCCATAGTGCCGAGGCTCCCGCTTCATGCGCACGAAAAGGTAAGAATATCCCAGCCATTGTACTGCTTCGGATACAGAAGTAACCGTACCAAGAGAAATCTCTGCATTCAAGTTATCGACCAGTTTGCTGGAGAAACGGGACTCAATTGGTTGCTGAGCAGTAACAGCAGAGACGTAATGCTGAAGTTTGTCGTGGGTGGTACAAATGAAGCCAATACCGGTATCTTGAAATTGAGGACGGCCCGCACGACCGAAAATCTGTAAAACATCAAGGATACCCAGATCGACAAATTTACCTTCTTGTGGGTTATAAATTTGGGTTCCTTTGATGACAACCGCTGCGGCTGGAAGGTTAACACCCCAAGCAAGAGTTGCCGTACAGCAGAGAACCTTGATCAGGCCCTGTGAAAATAGTCGTTCCATTAAGTTCCTATCGCTTCGTGTCAACCCAGCATGATGAATCCCTAGGCCATTGACGAACAAGTCTCGCAGCTCGCGAGCACGGGCATGTTTCATATCCCGAACAGCCGCCGAGTAATCTTCATGCTCGTGGCAACTGAAGAGATTCTCGCAGGCATCATCAGCAGCCATCTGATGCAGCATCCGGGCGGTCAAAACAGTATCCTTTCGAGAATGAACAAAGACCATAACTTGGTGACCTTGCCTGAGCATATCTCTGACCTTCTCAAAGGCGACAATGTCAAGGTTTTCACGTGATTGCTTGGAACCTGGCTTCCCCTTGACTCCAACGAAATGTTGTTCAAGGGGAACCGGCCGGAAAGAGCTGTCGAAGAAGAACAATCCGGCCATTTTATTCACTTTGAGAAAATCAGCCACATCGGTATAGTTCGGCAACGTTGCCGAAAGACCGACAATTCGGATGAGTGATTGTGTACTCTCGACTTGGCGCTGTGTCCTTGCTACTAGAGACTCAATGACCGCGCCACGCTCATCATGGAGCATATGGACTTCGTCAATAATCAGAAGTCGCACCTTCTGGACAAGTTCGGTGTCTCCGGTACTCTTCCGTGTTACTACATCCCATTTTTCAGGGGTGGTAACGATGATCTGGGTTTCCACAATCTCTCGCTTCGTCAGCTGCATGTCGCCCGTCAATTCCCGGACCTTAATTCCCAACCAAGCAAGCCGCTTCCCTAGCTTTTCAGTTACTTCGGCCGCCAGAGCTTTCATCGGTGCGACGTAGACAATCTTGAAGTCATCAACCTGAACGGTGAACTCAGTGGCATCGGGTTCCTCAAGCGGATTGGGAATGGTATTCTTGCCGATAGCGCATAGAATAGTGAGCATTGCCGCGTCTGTTTTACCAGCACCGGTTGGAGCGCAAATCAACATGTTCTCATTTGTTTTGTAGGCAACTTCATAAAGTAAACTCTGCATTCGGTTGAGTGTTTTATAGCCTCTGAATGTACCTCGACAAAGGCCATCCAAAGACGAAATCTCAACCAGCTTTCGGTCAGCCGCGAGAGTACCCACTCTCGATGCAGGGATCTCGAATTCAGTGTATCTCTGCTCTTCGATTTGCCTACTACCTGAAGGCAAGCCATACTTCTTCCCACCAAACGCAAGAAGGTTCCTTGAGTCGTGTGTTTTAAAAACATGTGGGTATTTTGGCTCACTTCTGGTTTGAGCCGGTAGCAAGGCCGCATGTTTGTGCTCATAGTCCTGCTGCCGCAGGGTTCGCTCCCGTTCAGCGCGAGTTTCGAGCTTTTCAGCCATAAGTCCATCCGTTTGTGCCTGAGTTTTGCCAGTTCCTTCATTCATCAGGATCTCAGCCCGATGCGCAATCAGATCGATTACTAGGTCCAGGTCATCAAACCCCACAATCTCCGCGAGAGACATCTGTAGCTCATCATCGCCACTGTCAGCAGCTAGCGTTGCAGTAATCTGCTGTGCTAGTTCAGTGGCATCCATCCCAGGCTTTCGAATCACTATATCTTGACACTTATCTGCCAGCCACGTCTGATCGTAGGTCGACGGCGTCGTAGGATAGAGGGAGACACCGTTGATATCGTCTAGGTCGTCGCTTGTCTCATCGTCGGAGCTGATGAGGTCCCAGATATCGTTAGCTGTCGAAGGGGATGAATAGTCCTCGTCAAGGTCCAAATCCAAATCGCTGCCATAGCTGGGCTTGCCGTTGGTTGGATGGTTGGGAAGTTTCAGCTCGGCAATAGCTTGTCGCATGGCGGCGACTTGAGCCAACCACTCAGACTCTGAGGGAGTGACTCCGTCCATGGTGACTGATCGTCCGTAGGGGATGATATTGGAAGCGACGCAAGAAACGATAAAGCGGATGAAAGAAGGAGTTGGTGACTGGGCGTTGGCGATGGATACCCATGTAGCTATGTAAGAGAGAGCGGCCAGAACGAGACTGTCCTAGGGCGCAGGCATAGGGTATTTCCGGTCATGGGACAGGCTAACCGCAGTGGGGAACCAAGCAAGCTTGACTGCGGAGGCGCAAGTTGGCGCTTGGCGTCTGCGGCGGATTTGGCCTCAGTCTGCTCGTTGATTCCTTCTGCCTATCTGCAGCATTGTTTAACTCCAGGCCTGGGTGTTCCTCTCTGTGTCCTTTGGCCACCGGCGATCTTATCAGAGAATCTATTTAGTTCTATATTTCGTGTGAAAATTCCATATCCCGACACTGTTACTCCTGTCCGTCTACCCCGCTGCCAGACCGCAATCTTCCCCTTACTTCGCCATAAGTGACGAGTGCCGTACACGTTTGCAACCATGAAGATCTTCTATATCGGAGTACGTTCTGCAGAGGATCAGACTTTCTACAGAAAATATATCACTGTTGTGGTTGCTAACTTCTTAACTATATCCCTTAGGTTCTGCGAAATGACAGCAAGCCAGCCATCGAGCTCTGCGGTGAAAGAGACCTGAGCAGTTTCTCACGCTTCACGCGAGACAGGTACTGCCAAAATCCTCAAAATCAGGAATAAATCGGTCGGATAATGCTAACAAGACTGTATTTCTGTTAAACAGCTACAATGAATTCAGTACGACCACCACCCCCTCTATGCCCCGATCATAGCCATTCTAACCCGATTCCAGTGATGCTCTTCTGCAAAACAGTTGCCGAACGCACGAACCCAGGCCAACGCCAGGACATCGAAGAGAAATCCTATACTTTCCACGCCTATGGGCGGACCGAAGGCGTAGCAGGCCTCATGGTCACAGACGGCGACTACCCGGGCCTCGTGGCGCACCAGATCCTCTCCAAAGTTGTCGATGAATTCCTAACCAAATACCCCCGCACTGCCTTCTCAGCTAACAATATCCGTGAAAACTCTTGCCCACTACCGCAGCTGAAGGAGTATATTTCCAAATACCAGGATCCGAGTCAGGCGGATAGCATTATGAAGATCCAAAGGGAGTTGGATGAGACGAAGATCGTGCTGCACAAGACAATAGAGAGTTTTCTGGAGCGTGGAGTGAAGATTGATACCCTGGTGGAGCGGAGTGATGGTTTGAGTGCGCAGAGCAAGCTGTTCTATACGCAGGTATGTCGATTAAAGTGTTTTTTGTCCGCTCCTTTGACTACGCAAGCAATCTGCTAACTCTTCGTGATTCTTGTCGATAAAAGGCCAAAAAGCAGAATTCTTGCTGCAGCATCATGTAACTTCTCTTCTGTTTTTCACTTTTTGAATGCTTTTCTATCCGGATTGAAGGCCTGGTGTCCTTACTCCCATTCCGTTTTCTCATGAGTTTGCAGCTTGGAATTTATTTATAATTGCCATTATTTTTAATTTTTATAGTAAGGAGAACTATCCATTCGAGGACGTCAGTCACATGGCACGATGTGCTATTCCTAGGTACAGATTTGGCCACTACGCTCGGATTGCTCTAATTGCCAATGAATTCATGAACACCGTAACTCATATCCTGGACCTCTTTGTAAAGAGACTTTAATATATATACACCCCTTACTACTTTTCATTATCCAAGGCTTTGCAAATATGCAGCATATGGCCTTAACCCCGACTAGACGGGGGTATATTAACATCAAAATCCTCCGTCGTATCCGCAACGCGACCGAGTACGCACCGAGCACGATCGAGCAAGATCTCCATCTGCGGAGAAGGCTCAATATCCCGATGTTGTTTATGCAGATGCTCCATGAAGGTATCGAGATTCCCAAATGTCGGGGCTGGTCCACGCTGCTGGGCGCAGCAGAAGATGCACCCGAAGACGCCAATGGTACCGTCGCTGCCTTGGGGATGAATCAGCTGGATCTTTTTAATAAATATATGAGACTTGGCTAGGAAGGACCATCGATATCGGATGCCTGTGGCGGGGTGGGTACGGATGGTCATGTCGTAGGTGCGAGAGGAAAGTGACGATGATGAATACCTCTCGTTCGTAATTGATGTGCTAGCATTTACGGCGGGACCTTCGAAGTTGCATTTTGAGCAGCGCCAGGAGTATGTCGACGTTAGTTTAAGGCCTTCTGCGCGGCTGCGGAGGGTGAAGGCTTTTTTCAGACCAAGTTGTAGCCGCCAGGCGCCTTTGCAGAAGCCAGCGTAATTGTTTTCCTCACACGGGATGTAGAGACGCATGGAGGGGGTGAAGGGTGAGGGAATCCTTCCATAGCCAGAGGGATTGCTGCTGGATCTGGATATTATAGAAGACGACATACAAGCCTGTATCATCAAAATGGGGGATGGCGGTCTAGAGTCTTCGTCTTTGAGCGGTGTTCCCCAGTCGGTGTGAACTAGGCCCTTAGAAGGCTGGGCGGTGGAGTCTTCAAGTATTCGGTTTAACTCCGTCGTGACTGTCTCATTCTCATTGTCGCTTGGTAGATTCCAATGGCTGTATAGTTCATCAGGAGAGAAGAAGCCTTTGCCGGTTCTCCTGTGTATTGTATCGATGGGCCATGTCACGCTGTTAGTACGACTAGGCGCTCCAGGCCTGTATCTTGCAGATAAACTAAATCCTGTAGGGCCTACATATCCCTCTGTTGGACCGTTGATTGAAGTCCGATGGTTTGTGGTCTGCATGGGTGTCGTGCATTGTGACGAGCGCTGTTCATTATTTCTGGGCACACTTGTACTTGATCTTCGTCTCGGGAGAAACAATAACCTTTTGGCAGAGGGGTTCGCACACGAGAGTCTCTTTCCCTTGTCGAATGTAGTGTTCGGGGCATCAGCACTGGAATCTATGCTCAGTCGATCGTTTGAATGGTCAGACAACACATCACTATGACTTGTAATAGACGAAGTCATGCTTGCGTGCCGATGTCTGGAAATGGATGACGCTGGAGACAAGCTTGATAAGCTCGAGATATCTGGGGTAGAGCGACCTGTGTGTAAATGACCGACTTCTCCTGGGACTGGTGCAGTTGAAGCCATGCGCTCATATAGATGGCAAAGAGCCATAACGGCATTGACTCGGTTTCTGTCTGATGCGAGCTGCAAGGTTTCCAAGTCAAGCGGGACACCATCCACCTTGGCGGCTCGAAGGTTCATGAGGATAACCATTTGCAAGTTGATGATAATATCTTTCAATTTCTCTCTCGTAATGCCATCCCCTTGAGCATATCTCTCACCGATCCGACGAAGATCACCGTCATATTGTCCTCCAATAGCAGGGGGACCAAGAGTTTAAGAGTTTTCCAGCTTCTCAGCCCAAGTTTCCACAAGCGGCTCTTTCCCCCTTTGTTTCTTTCGCCTGATACTCTGTACAGAGCTGATTGCATCCTGATATGCCGATATGACTGGTAAGAATCAATATAGATCCTTCGATTAGCATGGATAGGGCAAGGCAACGCGAAAACAAAGCAGATAGACTAACGGGAAGAATCAGGGAAAAAACACAGGGCAGAATAACGTACTTGCCATTACGCAAGCTCCAACAGACAGTGCCTCTGTCCCCGTCATGCTGGGATCGACAAGGAACCGGTCAAAGATAATGGCAGCGAGAAATGAGAAACAAAGGGAGCTCCTTTGAGTACAGGAGTGCTACCACTAATGCTTCCGGTTTCCAGATTGATGAATTGACTAAGTACTATCGGCTAGTGATCATAGATGGGTGTTAAGAGGGACCCATGCAATCAGCACTCAGAGAAGTCGGGGGTAAAGGGGAAACAGAAAGGGAACTGGTCCACTTGAAGAAGAAAGGCGACACGCAGGGAGCTGATGAAAATAAATCAAAGGAGTAAAGAAGACAGAGCCACAGAATTAAAGTGTAGGCTGAAGATCGGCGAGCTGAAGCTGCAAAGAGCCAGTTCACATAATAGACCGACTGTAACGTACAACTCAGTCGGGCCAATGTCTACCCAAGACCTCCGAGATCTGTGCACTTCTGGTCCACTGAGATCCGCTAACTAGCCGAATATGTCGGAATGGTATTGGGAAGGTTCATGCAGGCATTCTAAGCCAAGGGACATGTTCAAGCGGTATTGGTGAATCCCGCGGGTGTTTTCCCACGCAGGTTTTAGGGACGCAAGCCACAATTTCAAGGCAATAATCCATCACAGATTTGGACCACAGTGATAATAAAGAGCCAGATGCTGTCAAGCTATGGTAGGATTTGGACATCCAATTTAGGGTATCTGTAAATAGCTTCTGCGACACAATTGGCCCTTTCCTCAAGTTCTATTTTAATAATCATTTTGCCAGGGTTACCTGAGTGTAGGTAGGAATCCATATAAAGAAACAGAATGAGACTAATGATGAAAATAGATGGAATTAGTAAAATGTCTGTGGAAGCGGTTGGGAACAGAATTGGTGAAGCAAGGAGCAAATTACTCCGATGCCGTACGGAGTAAATCCGGAGGGAACCCTGCAGGCGGTTCTGAATGCGGTGAAGTTTATTGCCAGCAGCATGTGCACGTGATATTTACCAAGGCACTCTAGACGAGGGTAAGAGGTATAGATAACACGGAGATTCTTGCTTTTTAATCCCATCAGCATTAAACAAGTTGACCTACTTCACACAAAATAGGGCCAGAACAATCAATGTCCTGATTAGAAAACTACTCTCCCATCGGCCGAGAGGACCCATCGGCATGCCCTATTATCGAGATCCTCATGTCCCGTCTACTGTTGAAATTTCTACTTGCGATGGCTGGGTTTTCTTATTCAAAGCCAAGGAATAGGAGTAGGAAAGAAACTGAGTCCTCAGACAAGCACAGAATGCACATTTGCTTCTTTCAAACAGATGGATGATAAGTCGACTTTCTGGTCAAGGTGATTCAAACTGCTGTAGTTGCAGGCTCATCCCATAAACTAGCAAGCAACTTTCTTGGACTGGAAAAATTAGCCAAGGATTTGGAAAGTCGAAAGAGATAAATTTGCTAATGAGAAACTTACCCTGTCCATGGTTCCCTCGCGTGTTGTACTGCGTGGTTCTATAGAACGACATTTAGCAAGACGAGCACAACTGGGATGGCCAGAAAATAAGAGATGAGCAACGTACATCAAGAAGAAGGACATCCCCTTTCTTCCATGTAACTAATGCCCTTGTTTTACTGAAAAGCAAAGATATCAGTTATGGCTACCAGCACCACGTGAACAGAGGCACTCTTACTAGACGATCTCCACTGCTGTCTCCATATAGTGGTGTGGAATTGGAGTCTTGTCTCCATACTGTTACCACGCGGTTAGCAGAGACATCGATAGCAACGTGGTTAATATTGCAGAAACTCACAAAAGCTGGGGGCTGGTAGAATCCCTTTTCGTTGACATAGGGAGGTTCCAAAGTGTCCGCTGCTTTGGCACCAAGATAGCGAGAAATAATATTATTGAAGAATCCTACTTTACCCGTCTGTTTATGAAGTCTCGTTGCTAATTTGAATGGATATGGTTAGGGGATACTTCAGTAATCAACCTGGGAGAAGGAGGTGAACGTACCTGGCAAACGCTGCCAAACTCGTAAATCACCGAGTGGGTTTTGCTCGGACTGATTCTCCCATACCCAGGTGGCAGTTGGGAGTCGTCCAATTTCCTTTTCGATCTTCGTGCGGGCTTGCTCCACCGTGTCGCTTTCAAGGACATATTTTCCGTACGACTGGAGGATCGATGTACCTGGTGACGTTGTATCGTCGCGAGGCGTATTGGGGTAGAAAAGCTGATATAGGACACCCTGAAAGATTCAGATCAGCATCGACACTGTGGAACGGGCTTGAGAATTAAGTATGGTACCAACCTTCTGCTCAATCTCTTCTACAAATTCGGGATGTCGTTTCCTAAGTTCTTCATAAAAGGCAATCGAATTGTTGATGGGAGTTTCACCAACTGCAGCTTTCATCGGCCTATATACAGGAAAGAATCATGCAGATACAGTGATCTAAGAAGAGAATGGATTCCACAAACCTGTCTCCGGTTCCCCAGCACAATAGAACAGCACGTAAGCCGGATAATGAGGACTCAACCCAAACTCATTATGCGGATAAACAGGCTGCGTATTCGGCCCTTCATTGGCAGTCGCAACATTATACGCCAGCACCGTTCTTCGAACGGGATTTCCGATATCTTCGTGTGACACCCAGCCAAATGCACTTGCGAATTGCGAGAATTCGTCGGCGCTGCTGAGGCCCAAGTTCTGGAAATATATACCGCCGTGACAGGTTAAGAGTTCGCGAATAGTGCCCTTTGAAGAGAGTTCCCTGATTACAGATGCCAACGCGGCGATCGGTTGGCTGCTTTTTGTCGGGGTTAGGGATAGAGGGAGCTTGGTGTTTGGGGGGTATGGTGCAGCAACGTCGATTGAAGGGGCGTAGGGGGCAACTTTGAATGAGATGGAGTTGATGCCGATTGAGTCTTCCTTCGGTCCCGGAAGTACGGATGGGATGTGTTGTTGCAGAGTGGTCGACATGTTGCTGGAAACTGGGTCTTCAGAAAAGCTACGTAAACTGTATGGTTCACTTGGTAAATAGCATATACCCATAGAAACAGTGAGAATTATATATTGCAGACACTCCCGGAATGATAATGTGATTGTCCAGTTTGATGTCGCCATAGATATTATATCTATGAATTTATCCGGCTCACTTGGACCATCACTATGCTGATTATTCTCATCGAGAAGAGAATGAGATTGAATATAGCCTCTTCAAGATGGCGGCCCATAGTAGTAGAATGATCATCGCCAGTCAACTACCACAAGTTAGCATGAGGTAGCCGTTCAGCCATATATCGTATCATCACAAGCGGTGCATTGGCATCCTCTGTTCATGCCAGATCTTAATTTTGTCGTACGCCACGTCCTCAAACCGGAACCCCCAGTCCTGACTCGATAGCTATGTATCCTGTAGAAATGCGCCGCTACCCTGCGCAAAGGCCTCGATAATTGTGTCCATAAGTTGCTTTCTGCCCTCTTCCTCATCCTCTCACTTACTCTGGTAGTTTTCATTCCTGTTCCGACGCTTTACATCGTCAATCCAACTGTCTAACCGCCCCGTGACTGCGTCCTTCGTGAGAGCATTTCGAAGCATCGCAACAAATGAATCGAACACTCTCTCAAACCCAGGTGCGACGCCAGTGCGCGAACGTCCGCAGGGGGAGAGCGTATTGTACGTTTAGTGAATCAACTCAAACGCACATCTGGACCTTCATTAAGAGAGAATATATATAGTGAGATGGCGCATCTTGACAATCTGCCGTGATCTTTGTTCTTGTGTAAAAGCATCATACAAAAAGCATAGTAATATTAAGAAGACTTGTAGTTCTTCGTATTGCGATACCAGTCCGAACCCCAACAACGGAACCCTAATTACCAGATTAGGTCGAGGACAGTGCGACCACAACTATAAAAATGGCTGCTGTGTGACCAAAGGCCGGGTGATTGATGCAAATATAATTTACCTCGATCCAATCAATCCCACCACGTACCTTGCTGGTGCTGTACGGATATTCATTGACTGTCCAGATTACAGGGTTTCATGCTTAGGGCTCCGAGTCAAAAGGGGCCCGGTGACTTGCATGCAAAGCATTCCGATTACCCGTTTCTTAAAATAGGCTGAGAGTTCCAGAAGCTTAGATCTGGAACAGAGACAAGAGGGGCTGCTCTTGATCGATTTACACCGCTACATGGGGTATAACGTACAAGCATCGAAGTACCAACGCATACTATTGTGAAACCAACCAATAATACTATCCTACCCTATCCTATGCTATGCTATGCTAATCAGAAAAAAAAAAAAAAAAAAAAAAAGACAAAGCACAAAATCCTCGAGCGTGACCAGCAGCTCGTTCCCTGGAGTCATATCTAAAAATGCTGCCCACACCCATACACATGCCTCATCCCGCAAACAGACTAGTTCCGACCCCATACCTAACAATAACACACACACGCACACACACACACACAAAAAAAAAAGACACAGAAAACCATCCAGATGCTCATAAAACATATCAAAAGACAGCATGCAGATTACCAGTTTCCCGCGTGGGCCTCCATAGATATTGTAGACAACGCCATGCCAGCAAATGCATCAAATAGAGACAACAGAACGTGAACCCGTACATAAATCCACAAAAAAGCAAAGAGATGAAAAAAAAGGTCGAAAAACAAGCAAATAAACAGGGTAAAAAAGGGATATTAGCTCCAACCATCCCATTCTAGCAGCATCTCCCCTTCTTCTTTGCGGATCCTATCACTTCGGCCGATTCCTCATGCACGCTGGGAGTAAATCCCAGCCAGCTCCTCCGTTTGTAATCATTCTGACCCAAACGAAAGCTCCCATGGCCGTCAGCATTGCCGCCAATACCAAGCCCAACACCTTCACCAGAAGAAATATTTCTCTGCAACCTGGCCAGTTCGGCATCTCGTCTGTTACGCTGCTCCACCAGCTTGCGAGTGATCACCTGGAAGACCTCGTCGATTCCTTCGCCGTCTTTGGCGCTGATTTCGTGACAGCAATCCCAGCCAATATCTTGACTCCAGAAACCACTGCTGCGCTTGCTGTCAGGACTCTGCACACCGCTGCTAGATGAAAACCCCATGCCGGCAGTCGGGGGAGGTGTAGAGGCTTGTGACGGATAGAGTTGCTCGGCGACGTATGCGATGGTGCGCTCGAATGGTACGCGACGGCGCGAAGGATCCAGCGCGACAATGTCCGATTTGGTTCCCACGACGTGGATAACAATTGGTTCCTCCTCGCTGCCCATGTTGTTTTTGAGCTCCAACAGCCATCCTGTCATTTCCTGGAAGCTCTTTTCATCTGTGATGTTGTAGCAGAGCAAGCACGCGTTGGCGCCGCGGTAGTACAGGCGGGAAATGCTACGGAAACGTTCTTGGCCCGCGGTATCCCAGATCTGGAGACGAACGACGGTATCAGATGTTCTATCGACGACGCGCTTGGTAACAAAGGATGCGCCGACTGTGGGGGTTGTCGCGGCGGGATTAAAATCGTGATTTACATAGCGGTGGACGAGGGAAGTCTTGCCAACGCCTGCAAGGGTGGGTTAGCTAGCATGGCCTGCGAAACCGTAAGGGTGGAGTATGACGGAAATGGTCACACAAACCTTGGGCGCCTAGCACAACGATCTTGGCTTCAAGAGAGGAACTCATTATTCATAGCGGGGTAGACGCGAACGCAGGACCCAAGGAAAGATGGATTTGCATGATCCAGTAGAGCCGGTGGGAACGAGACGGCACGACGGGGCCAGTGGAGAAGGGGAGGGGGGAAGCGGTTCGGATGGAAGATAAGAGAGAGACAAGATAGAGCGGGATAGAGAGGAGAGGATGAAGAAAGGGAAAAGAAAAGAGGGGGAAAAAAAGGTCGCGCGGAGGTTTCTTCGTCGTGGAAGCAGCGGAAATTATTTGTGGGAAGTCTGTGAGAGCGCAGGAAGGAATCAAGGCTTAAACCTATCGGATTCGACTGGTGTTTATATTTATATTTGGCTGTTTGATATTAATCTTACATTGGGCTCTGAAGGCTTAGCGCATCAGATGAGTCAATAGCATCAGCTGAAGATGTTCACTTAGATACATGCCTGAACGAGAGTAGTCACAGCGGAGGTCAGAAGATCTGCCCGCGCGAGGACTCAAAAAAAAATCGGGCAAACCTTGAAATATCATCGATGTCATCCGCTGCAGATCTAAGAATGCTATCTGCTAGTCAATCTAACCAGATAATCTATCTCTAATGCTGCCGAGGCCATTGGATGCCAGTCGGCCGAGAGGCTTCCCCGCAATAACGAGATGTTCGTCCTCCATGCCTGCTATATAACTCTGGAGAGACCTGCCTCAGTCTCTTCTTCTTGCCCAGCTTCCTGGAATCTTCCTTATTCCCTGCTCTCTCGGCCTCCATTTCACCGAGACTAATCCGTGCGGAGGAGAAGCGGCCCGCTGCGGAGTACTCTTCTTTCAATTCCTCTCCCTTTCCCTCTACCCTTACCTCTTCTTCTATCTCCTATCTCTTGGTGTCGTCTTCTTTCTCAGTGACTCTTATCCCTCCTGTCATCATGTCTCAACCTAAGCTTACCGGCGCTGATATCGCCAAACACAATTCCAAGGACTCGTGCTGGGTCATTGTCCACGGGAAAGCGTACGATGTCACGGACTTCCTGCCAGGTATTGATTGACGCCCTGTCCGGGAATTCCGAGATGCTGCCTGCGTTCATTGAGTACTGATTTTGTATGGATTTGATCGATTATTAGAACATCCCGGTGGTCAGAAGATCATCCTGAAGTATGCCGGCAGAGATGCCACGGAAGAGTTCGAGCCCATCCACCCCCCGGATACCCTGGACAAGTACCTCGACAAGTCAAAGCACTTGGGCGAGGTTGACATGGCCACTGTCGCACACGACGAGAAGGCTGTCGATCCCGAGGAGACGGCTCGCCAGGAAAGAATCAAGCTCATGCCCTCGTTGCAATCCTGCTACAATCTGATGGACTTTGAATCCGTGGCGCAGCAGGTCATGAAGAAGACTGCGTGGGCATACTACTCAAGTGGTGCTGATGATGAAATCGTCTGTCTATGTCTGGATTTCCCGTTCCCTTTGCAGCACATACTGACTTGCCTCTGTTTACAGACCCTGCGAGAAAACCACACTGCCTTCCATAAGATCTGGTTCCGGCCGCGAGTCCTAGTCGACGTGGAACATGTCGACTACTCTACGACCATGCTGGGAACCAAGGTCGCCGTTCCCTTCTACGTGACGGCCACAGCCCTGGGCAAACTGGGACACCCCGAGGGCGAGGTGGTTCTCACCCGTTCCTCCTACCGTCACAACGTCATCCAGATGATTCCCACGCTCGCCTCGTGCTCCTTTGACGAGATTGTTGACGCCCGCCAAGGCGATCAGGTCCAGTGGCTGCAGCTCTACGTCAACAAGAACCGCGATATCACCAAGCGCATTGTGCAACATGCCGAAGCCCGCGGCTGCAAGGGCCTCTTCATCACTGTCGACGCCCCGCAATTAGGTCGTCGAGAGAAAGACATGCGCTCCAAGTTCTCCGATGAGGGCTCCAACGTCCAGAAAGAAGAGGGTGAGGAGAACGTCGACCGCTCTCAGGGTGCCGCCCGTGCTATCTCCTCGTTTATCGACCCCGCCCTCTCCTGGAAGGATATCCCCTGGTTCCAGTCCATCACGAAGATGCCCATCGTCCTGAAGGGTGTGCAGTGCGTCGAAGACGTTTTCCGTGCTATCGAAGCCGGCGTCCAGGGTGTTGTGCTGTCCAATCACGGTGGCCGTCAGCTGGAGTTCGCACCATCGGCCGTCGAGCTTCTGGCCGAGGTTATGCCTGCGCTGCGCCAGCGCGGCTTGGAGAACAGCATCGAGGTATACATCGACGGTGGCATCCGCAGAGGCACTGACATCGTCAAGGCGCTCTGCCTCGGCGCCAAGGGCGTCGGAATCGGTCGTCCTTTCCTGTACGCCATGTCGGCGTACGGCCAGGCGGGTGTCGACAAGGCCATGCAGCTTCTCAAGGATGAGATGGAGATGAACATGAGACTCATCGGAGCCACTAAGATCTCCGAGCTGAGCCCCAGCCTCGTCGATACCCGCGGTCTTGTTGGTGGTCACCACGCTCCTGTCCCGTCCGACACGCTGGGCATGAGGGCGTACGATGCGCTCCAGGCTCCGCGGTTCAACGAAAAGTCGAAGTTGTAGTTAAAGCTGCTCTTTCTGTCTGGTTTAGATGTCGTGTTTTTGTTAGGGATAACTATGTCTTCTATATCTATCTCGTGTCTCCATGTTTCATCTGGAGTGGGCCGTGCCTTTTTGTATATACAAACATGCTTTTGATTTGGGTATCTCCGTGGTTGGCCAGTAAATCAGAATAGGAATTATAACCCGAATTCGAGCTTGTGAAATCAAAGCTTGATCCGGTTTTATACCTCAAAAGTGTCCGCCCATGATGTGACCATACAATCTGTGACGAACAAGACAAACTACAAAACAACCACCTGCGGCGGATTCCGCAACTGCCCAGTATTCCGATAGGTACAAGCCGCATTAACCATCCATCCACCACGACTCTCCCCCCGCCAAACCCTCGCCCAGACAACACCCAACACACCGTAGAAAATAACCTTGATTGCATCAACCCATCCGGCCAGATCGAGCAAATCCCGTAGGAACCCCAGCAGCGCCCAACGAGTAGGAAGCTTAGCCCTCTCCCTCCGCGAGGCAGAAAGACATTCCCAGGCGCGCTGTGCCTCGTCCCAGAAGACAGGCTCAGAGCCGTAGGCGGCATGCACATGTCCCATGACGTGGAGGGCAGGACGCACGCGCCAGATCTCAGAAAGCAGGTACGGACACCCCGTTGAGTAGACAGGGGAGAGGTCGAGATGGTTCTCGGGCGGGGTATGGGTGACGAGGATATCTGTGTGGGAGGGAATGGTGCCGGTCCATCTGTCTCGGTCGGGGGGGTATGTGAAGGCATGCTCGGGGCCGAAGGGAACGATTGCTGGGATTTGAGGGGCGCCGTAGACCGTGAGGGTCCTGACATTTGTATTTGCACCTGTCTCTAGAGTGAAGTTGGCTTCCTTCGTTGGTGTTGCAGGAAATGACAACTTCACCGACGAATGCTGCAGGTAATGTATATCCCCCCAGTCTATAGATTTATGCCTATCCTCGTCGCTTCTGGAGCGTGGATCGAAGTAGCCATCGTGGTTCCCGCTGACGACAACCTTGTGGAGATGCGGGAGGGACTTGAGCCAGTTGACGGCAGCCTGGATCTCGTGGACACTGCCGTCATTGCTGAGGTCGCCGGCGTGGATGAGGAGGTCCCCGTCTGGGATGGGGGCCCATTGGTGCGTGTGAGTGTCTGAGATGCAGACGACGCGGATGGATGGGGAGGATGAGGTTGGGCGTTGCGGGGAGCCTCGCAGGCGGAGGAGGAGATGATGCAGTGGGTAGAGAAGCGCGGCCAGCGGGGAGGAGATGAGGTAGTCGCGGAATGGGCGGGGGTCGAAGGGGTCCATGTTGGTGTTCTACATGGATTTATGGAGGGTATTTATTATATTGGGGTGAAAGAATGAATGTTGGTGAGGGTAGAGAGAGAGGAGTGTACAGTGGAGAGAGCACTGTACAGCGAGTGCTGTGTTACAGCCATTTTATTTGCGGATGGGATTCCTCTTTCCTGGATGTTATAATATAAGATCATAGAATGATGAAGAAGGTTAAGCTTCCTCTGGTTGCGGCATCAAGCTCAAATTAACGATGATGAACCATTGAATCATCCTTCGATCTTTCACTCTTTGAAGAAGAGAAGACAATCTCCAGTCTCCCAGACCACAGCATCAATCATTTGATGCTGAACTCCATATCATACCGAGTAAATACTTCTGAATATCATATCAAAAGCATCGCCACTCACGGCACGGTAGCCGGTTCTAGAGCGTCTCTCCATCGATCGGGCTTCAGGCCTTCTCCTCGACGCTGAACCGTCTTCCCTTCCCTCCCGTCCGCGTCCGTCTTCATCGATTGTGTCATCATCATCTATCCTACCTTGCTTTTTTCCTCCTCCTCCTCCTCCCCCCTCCTCGCTGCTTGTCCCCTTTCCCTCCTGTTTCCTGCTCCAGCCCTGTTTGTTGATTGTTGCCAGCGTCGTCCTGTTCTCTCCGCCAGCCATTTCTGCTTGTTGTGCGGTGACCCCTCCTCAACCCCGTCGAAGCCGCGCTTCCACCGCCAGCCATCCTCCTTCATTGTCATTCCCATTCTCCCACTACATCTTCCTGGCTGCGCTCGCCCTTCCAACGCCCTCTTTTCTCTCGTCGATCTCTCTGCGTTGCTGCGGCTGCGACTCCGCCTCCCAGAACTACTCACTACCATCCGTTCCCCTCCTTCCCATTCGTTGTCTCGCCATTCTCTTCCGCCTCCTTCTCTAGTCTCCTCCATTGAAAACTATGGATGGTATTGACATCAAAAAGTCAGTCTTTAGCATGGGGAAGCAGACCGCCAATGTTGTTCCTCATCCTGCAAACGTCAATGGCGGCAAGAAGCGACGGAAAGGCACCGATTTGAAGCCTATTGTTACTAATGAAAACACCCCCGCGACCGACCCCGAAGGGTATGTGTCTTCCTGGCTGTCCTGACGTGTCTTTTTTAACTTGGTTGGTACCCGAAGACTAACCTGAAAACATCTGTCGCGAAGTGCCACCGTGATTCCTCCTCCCCCTCAAAAGCCTTCCTCATATCCCATCTCGCTATCGCGCTCCTCTTCCTCCTCCGGTGAGGACCTCGAGACTACGGCGGAAGAGGAGGATTCCGAGGACTACTGCAAGGGCGGTTACCATCCCGTGAGTGTCGGGGAAACGTACAAGAATGGTCGCTACGTCGTGGTGCGCAAGCTAGGCTGGGGTCATTTTTCGACCGTATGGCTCTCCAAGGATACGGTCACTGGGCGACACGTCGCCCTCAAAGTCGTGCGCTCCGCGGCCCACTACACCGAAACCGCCATCGATGAGATCAAGCTACTCAACCGGATCGTCCAGGCCAAACCAGACCATCCAGGTCGGAAACACGTCGTTAGTCTTCTCGATTCTTTCGAGCACAAGGGTCCCAATGGTGTTCATGTCTGCATGGTATTCGAGGTGCTGGGAGAGAACCTGCTAGGTCTGATCAAGCGCTGGAATCATCGCGGCATTCCCATGCCGCTGGTGAAGCAGATTACGAAGCAGGTACTATTGGGGTTAGACTACATGCACCGCGAATGCGGTATCATCCACACCGATCTAAAGCCGGAGAATGTGTTGATCGAAATCGGCGATGTCGAGCAGATCGTACAGACCTACGTCAAGGAGGAGGCCAAGAAGGATACCAAAGGGGACAACCGTAATGGGCGCAGACGTCGACGGACTCTCATCACGGGGAGTCAGCCGCTGCCCAGTCCGCTGAACACCAATTTCAGTTTCGATTTTAAACACTCCACACACAATTCACATAGCAGCCTCAGTCAGATTGTCAGCGAGACTTCCAGTAAGTGTTATTCTAATCGCGTACCTTCATTCCCGAGTGCTGAGTGTCTTTCCCCTCCTCTTTTAATAGCCCCGACTGGAAAGGAGGACTTCTCGATGAAGGAGCGACTTGGTATCAAGGACGATGATGAGAAGCAGAAGCAACGGGAAAAGACAACGTATGTTCACTTTTTCTTTCCCCCACCCCTTAATGCTGCAGTGCACGCGGAAATCGATCCTCTAAACCGTCTCCGAATTAACTGAGAAACAGGGATCTGCTGGAAAGGGAGGTTTCGGGTATTTCACTCGACAAGGATACTTCCAAGACGCCAAGTGATGGGCCAGAGTCCCATATTATTTCAGTCAAAATTGCCGACCTAGGAAATGCCTGCTGGGTTGGCCACCACTTTACGAACGACATCCAAACCCGACAATACCGTTCACCCGAAGTTATCCTGGGCTCCAAGTGGGGTGCTAGCACAGACATTTGGAGCATGGCTTGCATGGTAGGCGCAGTTCGCCTTTTGTTGAACTTACAGGATCTTGGCTTAGACGCTGATGTACGGCAGGTTTTCGAGCTCATCACTGGAGATTATCTTTTCGACCCTCAATCAGGCACGAAGTACGGCAAGGATGATGACCACATTGCCCAGATCATTGAACTCTTGGGCACATTTCCCAAGTCGATGTGTTTCTCCGGCAAGTGGTCGCACCAGATATTCAACCGCAAAGGCGAATTGCGCAATATCCACCGACTGCGGCACTGGGCATTGCCTGATGTGCTAAGGGAGAAATATCACTTTTCACAGGAAGAGAGTATGCGCATCAGTGATTTCTTGTTGCCGATGCTGGAGTTGCTCCCCGAAGACCGGGCCAATGCGGGCGGTATGGTTGCGCACGAATGGATGAAGGATACCCCAGGGATGGATTCGGTTGACCTCGGTATTGCGCCTGGCACTCGGGGTGAGGGGATTAATGGATGGGCTTCTGAAGTAAAGAGGAGATGAACAGGAGGTAAAGAGAAAAATTACTTCTTCAACAAGCTAGAGTGGAATCGCGATGGCAGATATACCCAACGTGCCTGATGGGATGGGAGGTTGGCTTACGATCTACAAATGTTACTGATGCTCCGGTCTCATGCTCCTTTTGCCTCTTCTGTCTTCTTTTAGCCCCTTCCTGTTCAGGGTTGGTGGTTGGATTAAAGGGTTCTTTATTGATCTCATGCTTTCCGCTCTTACCACTTCCCGCGCCTCATCCTTTCTTTGCATGGATAGAGTCCGGATCACACCGTGCCTGTTCATCTGTCTAGGTATGCGTCTGCTATGAATCGTTATTGATGGCCCAATGGCCGTCTGGGCCGGTTATCTGCAAGGGCTGGGTTGGCATGCCTACACATGACGGAGTACACCGATATATCGTTTATCTGTTCTGGCCATTTTTGTTTTTGTCGCCATCTCTCTCTCTCTCTCTTTTTTTTTTTTTTTTTTTTTTTTTTTCCCTCCTTTCTTTTTGGATATGTCTGTTTACCTTAAGAGTCACCACAGAGGTATTATACCAGGCGTTGGTTTGCTGGCTGTTGCATGTCCATTGTGGAATATGGACGGATACAGTGCCAGTCCGTCCTATACGCAAGTCCCGGTACCTGTGGATATGAATGAATGAAAATGAGATGCGATGCGATGCGATGGAGATGTCTTCTGGTCTGTTATAGACGCATTTAGTAGGTGTCTCGGTGTGGAAGGGATAAAATATTGCTGCCGTTGTTTCTTTTTGTTCTGGTTTAATTGAATAGATCTTGCTGTACGGGGTAGTATGCTATACATTCGTTTGATAGAACTGGTCCTGGCAGATACATTCAAGTGTTCATCTTAATGTCCATACATATAGATACAGATTCCTCGACACCATCCATCCTTCAGGATTGATCCTCACCTTCACTGTTATCCTCACTACCCTCCTCACTAGGCAGCATCCTCGGAAACCACCCATACCGATCCAAATCCACATACATCTCCCCCATGCTATCTGTCTGCACATCGACGCCCTCCTGCCGAAGAACCTCCGCCTGACGCTCCGCGGCCCCGGGCTCTCTTTATCAATATTTCCATCAGCAATCTGATTAAGTCCCAAGCCGTCCTCCAGTCGGACCACCCATTGTACTATGCTAGTTTTCCTTTGATTAGTGCGTACGTACCGATGAGAAATCATCCCCTTGGAATTAATCACTCTCTGCCACGGGACGTTGTCGATGTTGAAGTACTCTGATGGGTTCCGGGGGAGATGCTTTAGGGATATGCCGACTTGTCGGGGTCGTTGGGCTAAGGAATGCATTGTTAGGGTGTTTCTTTTTTTCTTTTTTTTTCCCCGTCTCCCTTTTGGTATTATGGATTAATTCTGCTACAGGGTATTACAGGGCGGATGCAACTATTTAAGATGATAATAAGATGACATGCTGAATGAGTACGTACGTTGACCCAGTAAGCGTGCTATGTGTCCGTAGGAAGTGACTCTGCCGTGCGGAATCTCCTGGACAGCGGCGTAGACGGCGTTGATCCACCATTCTGCCTCGTCGGAGCGGGGCATTTCTTCTCTTCTCTTCTTGACGGGGACAAATGCTGGATGCAGTAGACATCCACGGTTAACTTGGTACCTTGGATGGATGTAATACTGAAGAAGGATCCGGCATAACATTAACCCGTTATCAAGATCGACACCATCATACAAATTACTCCGTAGGAAAATACCCAGTAGTCAACATCAACTACAGAATCCAAGACACCACAGATCCAGACAATGTCCTCATTAGCAGAGTACCTCGCCAAAAACTACCTCACCGCAGACCCCGGCACAGAACGCCCCAAAAAGAAACGCAAGAAGACCAAAGTCACCGCAACCGAATCATCAGGACTCATAATCGCAGACGACGACCCGCCCGATCTCCAAAGCTCGGCGAACGACTTCGGCAGGAACGCAGACGAGGAAAGCCCCTTTGTCGTTGCATCTACCCGCAGCGCGGAATTTCGACGCACGAAGAAATCAAACTGGAAGACTGTCGGTGGGTCGGCAGCAGAGCAGGACGCGGCGGATGCTATCATCGCGTCCGCAGCGGCAGAGAATGCAGCGAGAAGAGGAGAAAATGAAGGCGAAGACGCGCCTGCCATAGTAGACGGAGGAGGTGCAGGTGAGCATGACTACGATGGACCGCGAATGGAATCCGGCGCCCGAGCCGGTCTCCAAACGGCCGAACAAACCGCCGCGATGGTCGCAGCACAAGAACGAGCCCGGAAAGCCGAAGCAGCGAAATACAAATCCTCCGCGCAGGGAGCGCTGGCGCAGGAGACGATCTACCGTGACGCGTCGGGACGGATAATCAACGTCGCCATGAAAAGGGCCGAGGCGCGACGCGCAGAACAGGAGAAGCAGGAGAAGGAAGAGCGGGCACGCGAAGCCCTCATGGGCGATGTACAGCGGCGGCAGCGCGAGGAGCGGAAACAGCAGCTACAGGAAGCGAAGGCCATGCCGTTGGCGCGGACGATCGAGGACGAGGAGCTGAATGAGGAACTCAGGAGTCGGCAGCGGTGGAATGATCCGGCTGCCCAGTTCCTGACGCGTTCCACGGGCCCTGGGGTGAGTGCGACGGGGAAGCCGTTGTATCAGGGGTCGTTTGCGCCGAATCGGTACGGCATTCGGCCGGGACATCGGTGGGATGGGGTTGATCGGAGTAATGGGTTTGAGAAGGAGTGGTTTGCGTCGAGGAATCGGAAGGGGAGGTTGGAGGCGTTGGATTACCAGTGGCAGATGGATGAGTAGTTGTCTTCCGCGGTTTCTGTCGATGTTGCTGCAAATTCACGGCATTCATGGTTTGGGGCGTGCCAACTGGTGCTGGACACCGTTTACGAAGCTGAGGCTGGTTTCAACTGTGTACTATGAGTGAGTCTCTGTCCGTCCCTGCAGACCCATAATTGAGCATGCTCGATATTGCATCTATACGATTCGAGAGCATGGCACCTAACTATGCAAGAATAATGCTCAGTGGATACATAGTCCCTAACTATAACTTGTACCGGAAATGCCTATTCTGCCAATCGGTCAAATCCTCAAACCCTTCTCTGGCCTCGTCCTCGTCCTGCGCATGGTATCCCTTCTTGTCCCGGTGCCTGTTCTGCAGGAAGCAGATCGCCATGTAAACCACCTGCAGGAACACGGCGATCGCATATAAAGAGAGCACGGCGCGGATGGCAGGGAAGTAGAGCGGCGCGTCTTGGGCGCGGAAGAAGTGTGGACCGGCAATGTTGCCAGCGCAGTTGAAGCTACGTCTGTTAGTATCGTATATGAAGGCTATATATATGAGCAACACAAGGGACTACGTCGTAGGACGTACATAAAGTACATGCCCATCATGGTACTGCGCTTGGTATGCCCTGCGATGTTCATCCCTGGTAAGCCCCAGTTCAATACAGTTGGGGCACCGAGACAGTTCAATGCCCATGCACATCCCACCAGGCTATACTTGTGCGCTGGTATTCTCGATATGGCTAGCAGGCCGATCAGGCCTCCTATTCCAGGGAAACAGCCCACTAGCATTGAATTCAAATCAGTATGGAACATCTGCACTTTGGCGTGGGAATAACGTACGGATAGTGCCAACACCATTCATGTTTCTACCTGCCGCAGCGATATAACCAAACATAATACAGCCAACAACCTGGACCGCGCCCCCAGGCATCTGCAACAATGTGGACATGGTCGAGGAGAACCCGAATCCCTTGATGAGTGAACTCATGAAATTGGTCATTCCCCCATTAAGCATGCCATAGGTGGCGGCCATGGCCAGCAGCAAGTACGATTTTGGGTCGCGCACAGCTTCTCTCAACTGGTCCCATTTGAACACGCCATGCTGCACGCCTGTTCTGTTCTTCGAGATGCGCCAGACGGCTACGACGCGCTCGTGTTCAGTGAGGATGCGGGCTTGGTGCGGTCCGTCAGGTAGAAAGAACAGGATGGCAAAGGCCCACAGGAAAGTCACGGCGCCGACAAGCTATTATATAGTTATATCGTCCGTTGGAAACCACACAAGGAGTGACTTACAGAGGGAAGAGAGAGAGAGAGCAACAAACCAGGAAAATCAACTTCCAATTAGGAATCGCAGACCCTTCAACCGTTCCGACTCCCCAGGAGAGCAACGCCCCCAGCATCGCAGCCATACCGTTCATGGCAATCCAGAATTCCGTCCGGAGCGGCTGCTCGTCACGCGTCCATAGTATCGAAGTAAGCAGCAACCAGCTCGGGTTGAGAACCGACTCGACAAACCCGAGAAAGAACCGGACGGCGAAAAAGCCACTGAAACTATGGGGAGCTGCCTGCAGCATACAGATCAGACCCCATACAAGGGCGGCGAGGCCAACGACCTTGGATATAGGGTAGCGCTGGACGAGGAGGCTTGCTGGCCAGGCGCCCACGAGCCAGCCAAAGTACATCGCCGATGCAACCCAGGCGTATTCATTGCCGGTCATATGGTTTGCAGCTTGCAGACCATAGGCGTTTGAGTAGTTGAGGCTGTTCACGCATGTCAGCGCATGTTTTCGCTAGTCTGTGCAAAGAGAATGGGATCCCACGTCTGCTTATCCAGAAATGCAAGCATATTCGTAAACATCATCATAGGCAAGGCGATGAGGTCAAGCTTCCAGCGCACTTTGATGGCATCGTTTGCTAGCTGCTCGGGGTCATATTGCATTGCCTGCTCGAAAAGACCTGCTGCAACATCGCCATCGGGGAACACGGGTTTCTCGGTTCCAGCAGCCTCCTCCACCGCGGCTGGCGTTTGTGATGCTTGTTTTTCAATTTCGTCCATTGTGTTCCTGGTCATGGTGGTCAGTTGCAGTTGTGATTCCGAGTCCTACTTTTGCTTTGCCCTGGGTGCTTGGAAGAAGAGAAGAGCAAGTGTAGGAGAGACAGCCCATTGTTTTAGTACTGTTGAACACAATACAGCCACAGGCCCTATGGCCACTGAATGAGTGGTTCTCGGTAGGTTCTTGGCTGGCTATTCAGTCTTTCCATGTCTAATCTAGCAGCTCGCCAAAGACTTCCCCGTCTTGGGGCCCCATACTCCATGAAAGTGTAAGTTGATAACGGACAGGCTTTCCACTTCTCATCCCACCTGTCCTCGTTATTCCATACCAGAGGCCCTTTGCTCTCTCCACAACTGCGTGTTTTGGCCCGAGATCGTCGGTATTACTACCCCGGTCCGGGAGGATTGGCAGTACAATTATGGAGCTTTAGGGTAGATCTGCATTGCTCCTATGCGACTGGCTATAGATACCATGACCCTGGCCCTCGAAGCTATAGCCACTAAGACGCTTCTGCAACCCATCTTATCGTGAGTAGACTACTGGTTCTGCCTCCTTGTGTAATGCGTGCTGGAGATACAAGCGGCAGCAACCGCTCTCCTACTTAACGAGCCGGAAGTCTAACTGTTATTATTGCCCGATCCGGAAATCTGAATCCCCACGCTAAAGGCCTGAACCAGCCCGAGCCCTAAATATCTCCCGGACGGTTCTCCGAGAGACGCCTTTGCTGCGGGGGATTCATCTTGCTGCGGCAATAACGAGCGAACCTCCAACAAAATGCCTCCTCCATATCATATAGAAGACTGGCAGGCGGCCGCGGCGGAAGCACGCGAACGACTCTTCAACTCCATTCCCAAGGAATGGCTCCTTCCCGAAGCCCTGCGGAAGCGAGCGTCACGACAGGAGCTCTGCCCAAACGACCCGGAAGTCGTCAACTGCGGCATCCTCACGCCGTTGGAGCGGGAAATCACAGAGATCAGGGACGCTGCTACACTGTGGCAGTGCCTGGTGGATCGGAAGTACAGCGCCGTCCAGGTGACGAAAGCATTTGGCAAGCGGGCGGCTATAGCACAACAGTGCACTGCATGCTTGACGGAATTTCCAATCAAAGAGGCGCTGGCGCGTGCGAAAGAGCTAGACCGGCACCTGGAAGAGCATGACGGGGAGCCCGTGGGTGTGTTGCATGGTCTGCCTATCTCGGTCAAAGATACGTACAGTGTCGAGGGTTATGCTTCGACAAATGGCATTGTATCCTGGCTGCCGAACGTTGCGACGGAAAACTGCCTAGCTGTGGATGGTATCCTGGAGAATGGCGGTATCATCATTGCGAAGACGAGCACCTCCCAGGCTTGTCTGCTGGTGGAGAGCATCAACAACATCTACGGGACAGTAGGCAACCCGAACAATCCCAAGCTCTCAGCAGGCGGGTCATCGGGGGGTGAAGCTGCACTCGTCCGGGCTGGTGGCAGCATTCTCGGCTCCGGTGCAGATGGTGGAGGAAGCATCCGCTTCCCTGCCGCATTCTGCGGTGTTTGGGGACTCAAGGGGTCGAAAGGCCGCTTTCCGGGCAAGGGCATGGCATCGGCCTACAATGGCAATGAGTCTGTGAATGCTGGTTTTGGCCCTTTTGCGCGTTCCGTCGCCGGTCTAGAAATGTGGGTGAAGGCGCAGTTGCTATCAAAGCCATGGGAGAGGGACCATACGTGTACTCCCCTACCGTGGCGTGAAGAGCTCGCGAAGAGGTCAACGGACAGGCTCAACATCGCAGTCGTCAGGGATGACGGAGTGATTTATCCCTCCCGGCCCGTGTTTGTATGCTCTACATCTTCTCCCCCGTTGTCCAAGTTCCATTGCTCATTGACATGTAATAGCGCGCTCTGATTACCGTCGTCGCCGCTCTTCGCAGTGCCGGCCATACCGTTGTTTATCTCCCTCCAGAAACCATCTTTCCCTTGCACCGCCAGGGATTGTCCAGCACCATGAAATGCAACGTTCAAGAAGGTGGCCGCAACATCATGCCTCACCTCGAAGCCTCGGGAGAGCCGGTTGTTCCCCGTACTGCGGTCGGTCACCCCGGCTCTGAGCTGACAGCTGCCCAGATCTTTGCAAACCATGCCCTCCGCGCGCGGTTAGCAGCGCAGTACAATGATCTGTGGCAGACATACAAGATGGATGCCATCCTGGCACCGGTTGCTGCCCACCCGCCAGCTCCGCATGGGCGGTACATCAGCAACTCGTATTCAACGATTTACAACATGCTCGACTATGCTACGGGTAATATTCCCGTGACGACATTTAATGCAGATATCGATATGCCGGATGAACCATGGCTGTCGAGGAAGCCGTATGAACGAATCGAGCCGGAGCTCTTTCCGTATGACCTTGGGGATAAAGAGCACCAGGAACTATGTTAGTTTTGTCCCTCTCTCTGTCTCCCTTGTGTTTCTGCTTCCAGGCCTAACAGCGAAATTGCACAAAGATACTTCGGCCGAGGAATTCAAAAACGCGCCTGTTGGCGTCCAGATTGCTTGCCGAAGGTTTCAGGAGGAGAAGGTGATTTCGATTCTGAAGGAAATTGAGGCATTGCTCAAGAATGAGAAGTATGAATGGGGCTCTATGGATAGAGTCGATGTTGGATAACAGGCTAATAGAAACTGGAACTAAGAATATAGGTTTATAGTAGTGTCAGCACGTTGGTCTGAATACTAAAACCTGTATGTATGGCTGCTCCATTCATGTCCACACTGATCCCGGAGACCTCGCATATGGGAGAAACGAATGGACAGGAATAACGTAAAGCAAGTCCCAAAGATCAAACGCTGGTAGAGGTCCTGATCTGTATCTCCTGCCACTATGGCATGAAGCCAGCACCGCGGTGATGGACGGCTGTGGCTATTTATGCGTCTCGATATACCCGTCGAGCATGTTCTCATGGGAAACTTCTCTGCGTCTTTTCCGGTACGCAATCACTAATCCATCGAAAAAAAAAGAAAAAAAAAAAAAAAAATTGCGAAGCGATTGTCATTCGCCTTTTAGACAGTCGTGAAGCTCATGGCTTCCATTGTGGGAATGTCGGATCCGAAGTGGCACCCATTCATCCGGGTCGCTGATAGTCAAGTTATATGAGCATTAGCATGCGATGCACGCGTACCATGATGAGTACCAGTTCTGGAGTAGTTGGACAGTGGAGCACATCGTTTTCTGTTTATTCCTCCCACATGCAAGGCTGGTTGGCTCGGTGGATATGGTGGCCTGCTTTTATTAGGAAACCGGTTGGCAGCGCTGCCCCCGGGCTTGATTCCCACCAAGGGACGCGGAAAGACAAGACGGGACGATGTGAGACCGTTGAGTCCAGACGCGGCCTTTGCCATAGCCATCTCGCGACTGAACATTGCTGTGCGTCCCACAGTCATCCCGATCAACAGGCAGCAGCAACCAGCGCAATCCGCATGGGATGATGCGGGGGCAGCGATGCAGCCTGGAAAGCAATCACCCGGTGTGCAAGATATGCTTTCGACTGAGTGACAAATCGGACTGCGCATGCCGTCGTCAGCGAGCCGCCAGGATGATCCGTCTTGGGATGCCGGATGTTATGACGCGCAGTTGCTGATACGCGTGCCGCGAACTATGTGGTACGTCCGGAGCACAGGTGCACCGCATTAGGCTGTCCCCCGCAGCGTCACACTGCAGCATGAGATGATGTCTGTGGTCAGGAGGGCTAGTGGAAGATGAAACTGGAAGAAGTAAGTTAATTCGACTCGAGATAAGCTATCATATTCCATATCGTCTGCTGTTATCAGGACATACGACGGAGTGGACGCATTGTTCTCCTACTCCAGGCAAGACAGGACAAGACAGCAGTAACCACACTGACTCCCAATCTGAGCTACAGTCTCATGCTACTCCCTCACCACCACGCAGCGAAGAAAGAAACCAGCCCATGTACCGTGCAGCAGGCAGCGCAAGGAGTGCCTGAGCAAGAGAAAGAGGCGCAGACCCTACGTCATTCCCCTCACTCCGTATCTCTCTTGGCAGGCCATGGTCTGTCACCTGCAGCTCACTAAAACCCCTCAGCGTAGCCGGTCTCCAGGGGAGCCATGGCTATCTATCGGCATCCTGTTATTATTATTGCATCGGCGACGGCGCTTGTGACGGCTTGAAAGGGAACCATGGTTGGATAAGATTTGCGTCGGCGGCTGGGTCCTCGGATTCGCCAACGCCGCCCCTTGTTTCGCTTTCCTGGATGGACGGAGGGGAAAGCGATGCGCGGGTCCTCGTGAATCCTCTCTCTATACTGTAGCTTGGACGGAGGACGGCGTAGGGTCCTCAGTTAGCATCTAGGGCTGTGTACGAGGCTACCACGGGCCCGATATGCGTATATATAGCTGGTCGTTCTCGCTCCTCCTGACGGGAAGGGCTGGGATCGATCTATTATTCTATGGGAATATGGATGATTAGTAGTGGAATGGAACGATATCGAGACATTCCCATTTCTGTGATGAAATAGGCCGTTGCTTGTTTCTATTTATTCCCCCCGTGGATCGCACATCCTCTTCCATCCATCCGCTCAGTGACTCACGCCCCTTGACGTGACGGGATTACGCCTTCTGGCCGACCATTCCATCGTGACACATTTCCCCTGGGCGACTCTGGCTTGTCCCTGGCTTGTCTCTCTCCCTCTTCATAACCCCGTCCTGTCCGTAGCTCTCTTTCTCCGACCTCCTCCTCTTCCTTCTCACCCATATCTGAGATAAGTGGCAAGAGCATACCCGATTCCGGCAGACGAGTTCCATTGGTCTCCCGCTCCGGCCGGAACCGTTCCTAGCAACTGCTCCTAGCTACCTATACGGCTACGACTCTTCCTATCTTCCTCTCCATCCGTCAATCATCTGTCGTCCGGGTTATCCCTCGTCCACATCCCATCATGTCGACTGGGCTCGAGGTCACCGCTGAAACGCGTCGTGCTGCTAAACAAACCAAGAGACACCATGATCACAAGGCGAAATGGGCCCTAGGCAGCAGGCCTGCACAGCGTCCCATGGGACAGAGCCGTCCAACACGTCCCGCATGTCTATCCATGAAGTATGACGCTCTCCCTCTCTGTTTTCTCCGTGTCGCTGCTGAGAGCTCTCCGACGCTGACCAACTCCAGGCAAAGCCGTGCTGTCAAAAGGTCGAACGAACACAACCTCAACCAGATGGCCCGGGAAGCCAGAACCGCCTTTCGTCACAGCGTCGACGAGGTCCTCGGCGACAACACACTCTCCTCGGACTCGTCTTCGGGATATGAGGAAGCCGATGAACCCACAGCCGCCGACAGGGTCCTCATCAACCCCGGAGACGAAGACCCCCTCTTCTCGTACAACGTTTCGGGCCAGACCATTTTCTCAGATGCTGTGAACAAGGCCGTCGAGCGTTTTGAGACCAAGGAAACGGGGAAGATTGCCCAGGAATACGAGTTTGTCGAGAGCGAGGACGACGCTGGCGCCGGGTACATGGCTGATAACGACGACGATTTCGAGTTGGTTGACTACGTTCGCCTGTAATATCCGTCAACATATGATCGGCTTCCCTACTATTTCCTCTGAGCCACGATATCCTTCTTGTTCCATTATTTTCCGTTCTTTCTAGATTCCCTGGTGCGACAGTGTATTTTTTTTTTTTTTTTTTTTTTTTTTTTTTCGACGGAGTCCAAGCTGTGCCTTGGTCTCGTTTTGGTGTTATTCCATGACACTGTATATACAATAAAGGACCCGATTATCCTATCATCACTCGGGTTGGTTGGGTTTTCCTGATGGAGATGGCGTCTTTGAGGTTTTGGTCGGCAGTCGTCGCAAGAAGTTCTGATTTTGCAGGGGGCGTTCTGTATCCTGAATAACGTGGTACCAGACCCAAGTTAGTTTTATCCTATAGATGCACAGTTAATATTCATATTCATGATGTCCAGATATTGCCAGGGGTAATGGCGGTGGCCTAAGCCCATTATGTGTCTGGTGGTTATGTGCCTGATGGAAGAGAGGGGTTGTCCAGTTGAACAAGTTCTGAGGCCTTGGCATTCCTAGCATGGAGTACAGCATTCAGGCAGGAAATTCCAGAGCTGCATTATTATTGAATCTAGCGCAAAAAAGAAAAGAAAAGAAAAAGCATGACCACGATATTAATAGTAAAAGGAGAAAAATAAAATAATAATAGTGCAGTATGCTGCAGGGAATCACCTAGGTCGGCCGGTCAACAGCCGTTTGTTTACAGATAGAAATATGAGGACCTGTGTAGCACCACTATTCTGCACCTGCCAAGAATTTCCAGTCCCCTTCCAGAGCTTATTCCCGTGAAAATGGCCATTGAGCGGAAATGGTCTGAGCAATTTGGGCACGTGTAGAACAAGCAGACTACATCGAGTAAACACTCAGTGAGAAAGCAATTGATTCATACATCGCTCAAAACATGCTCTCCCAAAGCCGGGCAATCCATTCGCGGCGCCACTTGCGTAGAGGCCAAATAACCCCGATTCCAAGAGCTGAAGGGGGAGGCAACAAGGGCTCAGCCACGGTTTGCGACCAAGAAGTTAAAAAAGGCACAGGCAGGGCAGACAGTCTCGTTGAACAGGGGAAATTACAGGGGCGTAGCGACAAGTGCAACATAGAGAGGGATGAGAGAAGATGGGAGATCGAACAGGGTGAGGTCAGGTCTTTTATATCAGGGCGACAAAGAGTATTGTATTGGGGCACCAAACTGGAAGAGGTAAAACTAACCAAAACAGGTAATTTACCGGTCCTCATTTTACGGAAATAAATAAAAACGATCTCCCATCTCTCTCCAACATCAACACAACTTTCCATCTTCCCTGCATCTCTCACTTCCACAATTCGATTTCCTGGAACATGGAGAAACGCACAGCGGAGAGTCCGATGGACTTTGAATGGCAGTCCCGTGCTCCTGGGGATACGTCGTCGCCGTTCTATCAGCTCAGCAGCATGCACCAGAAGAAGCGTCAGTGGCATCCTTGATTTCTGTCTCAGTTTCTGCTTTGCTCTTTCCCTAGTAATTGATGGAATCATCGCCAGAATCTACATGCTAACTTTAGTCCCAGGCACCCATAGTGTGTTCGATTCGCCGACGAAGAAGCCTACACCGTCTCTACGGGAACCAAACTCGCAACCTTTCCTCTTCTCGCTCCCCCCATCACAGCCTCCCAAGTCGATCTTTGGCCAACCAGCTTTCACGACTCCGCGCAAGATCGATCTAGACTTCTCCTCTGGTGCTGAGAACATGTCCTCTCCCGAAGCCGACGATGATACACCCGAGCAGCCGTCGAAGACAGAACGACAGAATTCGCTATTCAACTTCTCCGCCCGGTTCCCACCAAGCCCTGGCAGGGGTGAAATCCCGCGTATAAACAACTATTCCAACGCAGTGGCTCGGCGGATCCAGAAGAGGCGACAGAGAGATAGGGAACTTGATAGACGTCTACGGCGGGGCAGCGAGACGGGCAGTGATCGACCCGGCAGCAGCGAAGGACGGTCAACGGCAGGATCATTGCCCAGGGGCGAAGGAAAATCGACATCACGGTTATCTTCGTTTGGGGATTTCTTTGCCCTGCTTGAGGCTCACCCCAACATTCCAAATATCCTCTCTTGGTGGGCCCAGCTGATCGTGAACTTGACGCTCTTCTCGTTGGCTGTCTATGTGGTGCTTACGTTTGTGTCTGCTATTCGAACCGAGTTCGATCATGCGGCCGAAGAGAGGTCTGATCTGATCGTGGCTGAAATGGCTGTGTGTGCGAAAAACTACGTTGATAACAGGTGTGCTGGGGGAGATCGCCTACCTGCGCTGGAAACTGTGTGCGAGAACTGGGAACGTTGCATGAACCGTGATCCAGCCAAGGTTGGACGGGCGAAACTCTCAGCACGCACCATGGCCGAGATCATCAATAACTTCATTGATCCTATCAGCTGGAAAGCGATTGTAGGTTATATTTTGTCCTCTTCTCCGTGCAGCCTTTTCCTGTTGTATCCCCAAGCTGACCGCGTTTCCTGAAGCTCTTTTTCATAGCGACGCTGGCTACTGTGACAGCAGTCAGCAATTGGTCCTTCTGCTCCTTCAGACAGCGCCTGAACCAACGCGACTACGCCCATCATGCCACTAGTTTCCCCAACCACCCATCAGGCCAGCATCATCCACCAATGTATTCGCAGCAGATTCCGTACCAGAGCATGCCAGGCTTTGGATACTTTGGACGCCAGGAGCAAGACCAGGAGCTTCCCCAGCCTAATCCTACTCGGGCCCCGAGCCTTCAAAAAGACACTCAGGAGGAGCCTCTGATGATCGAGTCGTCCCGTCAGTTGGAATTTGTTACCGATAGGAGCCGGGAGAGGAAAAGTCGCCTGCGAACACCCAGTCCTTCGAAGCGGGAGCGGAAATTTCTGTGACGGTGGAGGTCCGTTGTGTAATAATCATGGCACGGCGCATTGGTTTTGGATAACACTGGCGGGCAGCGGTTTTGTATTATTCTTCATGAGTATAGCTTCACTCTTGTTAGCTTGGTGTTTTGGCGATTTGGAGATAACTACGAATTGTACTTGGTCAGTCCGCCTCGAGGCGTTTGTCTATATAATCCTAGTCCTAGTTGTGGGCCAACTTGCCTTCTACCTGTTGCATCTTCCATGGTCCAAAACCGTACACAGGATTTTGAAAGTCTTAGCATATATCATAACAGTATTCTTGTGGGGTTATTATTCGCCGTCTGGATGAGTGCTTATGACGTTTCTGACTGACAGGTGGACCTGGTTGGGCCAACGGCGGGCATAAGCTTAATCTGGGATTATTTATGCTTTGACAACGACCAGAAGAAACTGCCGCCACAACCACCGCCAAGAATAGCTATTCTAACAAGAACATGGAGGCGTACCCGTTTGCCCACACATATGGAGCTGTTCCGTGGAATGGGACCTCATCCTGCTGGATGGGGACGACTTCCCAGATCTACAGCCACCTTGGTGTTTTCCTCTTGCCATGCAAAATGTACTTGGAAATGTGACATTCCAATTAGGATCGTGGATTGGCTATTCTCCTTACATGGCCATTTTTATTGCCAATTTTGTTTATTTTATTTTTTTACTTCCCCTGTTTTGTTGTGGTTCTGGACTTCATTCTGACGTATGTCGTGCAAGTGGCTGAATACTGTTCTTTTTTTCTCCACAAAAGTTATCTATATAAAGACAGGTTTCTTACACCACTTAATCGCTAGTTGGTTTTGAATTAGAAAAAAAGGATAATTACTAGACATGTCCTTGGACTCTGCAGATCGACCCCGTTCGACACATTCCAGGTGCTACCGTTACTACTTCTACTACTACGCTACGGAAACATGGCTGACCCTCGCAACGGAGGAAAGCGAAATCTCATTATTGTCTCGAATCGGCTTCCTCTTTCTGTCAAGCAAACCGATGATGGAACGTATCAGTCTTCCATCTCGAGCGGGGGGCTGGTCACCTCGTTGTCTGGGTTGACCAAGTCCACGACGTTCAAGTGGTTCGGGTGGCCTGGTCTGCAGGTTGATGACCCGCAGGATCGGGAGAAGGTCTCCAAGAGTTTGGCGGCGCATAACGCTGTTGCTGTTTTTTTGGATCAGAAGTTGGCGAACCAGCATTATAATTGTTTTTCGAGTGAGTTTTCTCTTTCGGTTTTTTTTTTTTTTTTTTTTTGTGTGCATATGTAATTCTGGAAACTAATGTATACTCAGATCAGATCCTCTGGCCAATTCTACATTACCAAACTGTTACGCTGAATGAGAGCGCCTGGGAATCGTATAAGAAGGTCAACGAGCTATTTGCCGAATCTGTTGCCGATGCCGCTTCTGATGGCGATCTCATCTGGGTGCATGATTACCATCTTATGCTTCTCCCGGGACTGTTGAGGAAACGGCTCGAGGAGCAGGGAAAGTTCTGTGCTATTGGATTTTCCTTGCATACGCCCTTTCCAGCAAAGGACTTTTGGAGAGCGCTTCCGGTGCGCAAGGAGTTGATTGAAGGTATTCTGGCGAGCGACCAGGTCGGGTTCCATACGGATGAGTATAAGCAGAATTTCATGGACAGTTGTCATAGTTTATTGTGAGATTTATCCCTAGTTCTGAATGTATCAATTACTAACGATTTGCGCAGAGAGGCCACCATCGAACCCCCCGATAAAATCCGCTGGAAGGGTCGTTGGATCATAGCGGACAGTTTTATCGTTGGGATTGATCCTCAGAAATTCGAGGATACTCTGCAAAAGCCCGAAGTTATCAGTCGGATTAAGGAGCTGGAGGAGGTCTACAAGGATAAGAAGGTTATCATTGGGGTTGATCGGCTTGATTATATCAAGGGCCTGACGCTTAAACTCAAGGCGTACGACGCGTTTCTGGACGAGCACAAGGAGCTGAAAAACAAAGTCGTTCTCATCCAGGTTGCTGTTCCGAGTCGGGAGGATGTGAAGGAGTATCAGGATTTGGAGACTGAAATTTCGACCATGGTAGGGAAGATTGATGGGAAGCATGGTTTGTCTTTCTCTTTCCCTTCCTTTTAACCATATCTGACGGCAACAGCTACACCCGACGGATCACCTCTCGTCTACATGCACCGCTCCGTGCCCTTCACAGAACTGACAGCCCTCTACGCCGTTGCTGATGCCTGTCTGCTCACCTCAATGCGAGACGGGATGAACCTTGTCTGCTTCGAATATGTCGCCTGCCAGGCCAAGAAACACGGCGTCCTCGTCCTGTCCGAATTCGCGGGAGCATCGTCCTTTATGAATGGCGGATGTATCACGTTCCATCCTGCAAATACCAAGGAGTTGTCTGATGCTATTTATCGAGCTATTACGATGAGGCCGGATGAGCGTGAAAGCAATTATAATCAACTACGACGGTTTATAGATAAGAACACGAGGTTTGTTTTTCGTTTTATCTTCGTCCTGGCTTTTGGCATATTCTATTTTCTTACTGACCTGACCTTTTTCGTACAGTGCTAGATGGGGAGAAACGTTTATCGAGAGATTGACCAAATGCACGGCATAGAGAGGGGTTTCTCGAATCCTGGATAGTTGTTCAGTCTTTGTACACTTGTCCTTTCTCGTGCCGACTACTGGCGTCATGGATAATGAGATGGATACCTTGGAGCAGACGTTCCTGGAGGACAAGCCTGACTGTTATCATACTTTCCGTGTATATATGTTTGAGAATATATGTACTTACGCAGCATTCCAATTAAGTATATAAATTAATTCTCAACTACCTCGGCAATAATGACCGTTCATTCCCCAGCAAAGCTGGGCTCGATTCCCTGAGGCAAGGATAAATCCGTTTTCATGTCATTTGCTAACGTCCCTATCCTACAGCGTGTTCGGTCTGGAAAGATTCCCAGTATGCTTACGTATCTGCGCTTCAAAGCCACTGCGACGGCTCTTCGATTCCTGGTGTCTCTCAGAGACACGAGCAGCCCCGCAAACCCCGACGAAACAATCCAAATCCCAAGCCGCGATGAAGGCAGAACCATCAAAGCGCATGTCTACCGGCCATCCGCTACACGGTCCAAACCAGGGCCCGTCCTGGTTAATTTCCACGGAAGCGGATTCGTAATACCCATGCATGGATCAGACGATGAATTCGCTAGGCGCGTTGCCCAAGACGCAGAGTACACGGTTCTGGACGTCTCATATCGCCTTGCCCCCGAATATCCGTTTCCCGCAGCAATAAACGACGTGGAAGACGTCGTGAACTGGGTTCTTTCTATCTGTGGTACTGACGCCAACTCTGACTCTAACCATGGGTTAGAATTCGACCGTTCGCGCATCTCTATCTCCGGATTCAGCGCAGGTGCCAATCTGGCTCTCGTCGCAAGCTCCCAGATCTTCCCTAAGACAACGTTCCGGCATGTCATTGCTTTTTACCCACCCATCGATCTGGCAAAGGATCCTTACTCGAAAGTCGCCCCAGACCCCAATGGAAGGCCCATTCCTGCGCCTGTAGCGAGTTTCTTCGACCAGTGTTATCTTTCTTCTGGGGTGGAGCGGAAGGATCCTCGAGTTTCGCCCTTTTACGCGGCTGCGGAGAGTTTCCTGGGGAGTATGCTGGTGGTTACTTGTGGGCGGGACTCGCTTTGCAGTGAGGCTGAGGAGTTAGTCTGTAAGATAAAGGGTGTTCGTGGGGAGGATGTTGTTCATTGGCGAGCGGAGGGTTGCAATCATGGTTGGGACAAGAGATGTCAGCCTGGGAGTGAAGAAGAGAAGGCGAAGGAGTATGCGTATAGACTAGCTGTCGAGATTTTGAATAAGTAGGGTGTTTGGTTCGTGGTAGGTCGTACGTAGATTGTAGATTTGTGCTGATGCCTCTTAGGGGAGTATACAATGTATTCCCCACTGTTCCTGAATCTGCTCCTACAACGGACCACCACACCGCGGATATCTCAAACCGAAAGAAACGAAAAGCACAAGATGAAAGACGTGGATCAACCATTTTATGTCACAGATATGGCACCATAAACCTGATCGATGGCGGAAAAGAGCTGGGTCGTCTTGACCTGCAGTGACAACCGCGCGGAGTGTGGGAGGATGGCGGGGGACTTTTCGAGAAGAAAAGGAAAACATGCGGAGGCATATTTAAGGAGTAAGGTAATCAAACAGATTCGTCTCCTGGAGAGAGCTGGACTGCTCATCTCGTGCTCAGATAGGTCTTGGCTGGTCGCGATCCTCCTTCAAGCTTCGCCCGATCCCACGTACGTGACAGGTGCAGGCAGGCATCACTGTTCTTATATGGACAGTGTAGGACACAGGTTAAATCTTGGTTTGATGTTTGATGCCCGCCATTTTTTGATCGAAATCCATTTTGGCCTACGAAGAACCTCTTCCCAGCTACTGATCTGTTTACGCCATAACGGTCGACACCAACGCGTCCTTTTCATTTATACAGAGTACTACTTCTACCACGGACTTTCCAAGCCAGTCGAATATAGTCACCATGCAGTTCTACGCATGCAATCAAACGACGGCAAAGAGGTTGCGTCTACGGGCATCACAAGAAGCCAGCCAATACGATGCGGACTCGGTTGAAGCTGCAGACCCTCTCTCAGCTCCCCTGAAGAGGAAACTGAAGTCGAGGAATTTGAAGATGATTGTGATTGGTGGTAAGTAACCTTTTCCTCCTGTGTCTTTTGTCGCATTGCGCATTCTAAACATTATGCAGGTATCATCGGGCCTGGATTGCTTGTCGGTTCAGGGAGCGCCCTCCACTCAGGAGGGCCAGCAGGTATTCTTATCAGTTTCTGTCTCGTTGATATTGTGATTTCAATGTAATGTATGCGGTTTCTCTGAAGAAAAACGCTCCTTAGTTTTTCTCGGGACTGATCAACTATAAAACAGGCAATCTCAGGGAGAGATATCCACGATCATTACCAGTAACTGGGTCGTTTACTGAATACGCCGAACGCTTCCTTGCTGATTCACTTGCATTTGCCCTCGGATGGGCATATTGGTATCTCTGGGTGACGGTAAGTTTCTGCTATGTTCATTGTGCAATGTATCCATGAATTGAGAATCAAACTTTCCATCTAGGTCCTCGCCAATGAATACAATTCTATATCCCTCGTTATAGGACACTGGACCGAGACTGTGCCACAATGGACCTGGATTCTTATCTGCTGGGTACTCTTGCTGTGTCTTTCGAGCTTGGGAGTCATGGCATATGGTGAAATGGAGTTCTGGCTATCATTGTACGTTATTCTATTCTGCAACAGCCGGGAGTGAGTTATTGACCTTTCTGCTTTACTTGCTCCCGAGATAAAAGTGATTGTGCTTATCGTCTTCTTCATTCTTGCCATTTGCATTACGTCTGCGGCCATCGGACCGGGCCCGATTGGAATTCAGATATTGGCATCATGCGGGTGCAGTTCTCCTTTGACGATCGCACTGACCGATGGTGGGATACGTCCCGCTCAGCGGCTCGTTTGATCAACGCCCTCATCGCGTCTACCATCTCCGCCGGGAATGGCTCATTATACGTGGCATCTCGGTCACTGCTCTTTATGGTACGCAGTGGCAAGGCACTCCACTTCATCGGTCGGACGAATAAACACGGAGTCTACATCAATCTGATTTTTCCAATCAGACCGCGGTGGATATGCAGCAGTAATGATCTGCATTCTGCAGGAACGCTTTCGATCTAGTCCGTCTCTTCCTGCAGCGATCATCTCTTCAGTGTTCGCCCACGCGGCCCCTGGATTGTGCTATCATTGGGAGGAACGGGCGGTGAGGCTTACAGCCTTGTTTCGAATTTACCATCTGAAGCTTGTATATGTTGCCAACCGACCCGAGACGGAGTCCGAAGAATCGCAGAACTTGAAGCATATATAAACACAACGCTGACCTCCCGAGTTGAAGAAGATATCTTCCTCCAGTCTCACAGTCCTCGAAAACCAAGCAACCGGACCACGACTCAGATCAAGATGAAGTTCTACCTTGTACGTCAGCAATACATACAACCGCATTACCTCTTCATTGCATGCCCAAGCACTAACCACCCCTATCTCAATGTGCTGAACAGCTCCTCGCATTGGCCACTCTTACCATCGCCGCTCCCCCTCCACTGGAGGGGGCAAGCAAGCGAGCCTGCGACTACACCTGCGGCAGCGTCTGCTATACGTCCTCCGCGGTGAGCGCCGCCCAAGAACAGGGCTACAACTACTACTCCGAAGGCGAACAGGTCGGAAGAGACAACTATCCCCACAAGTACAATGACTATGAGGGCTTCGACTTTCCCGTGTCGGCACCATACTACGAGTTCCCGATTATGAGGAATGGGGACCTCTACGACGGGGGCTCCCCTGGCGCGGACCGGGTGATCTTCAACGAAAATGATGAGTTGGCAGGTGTCATTACGCACTCTGGCGCTGATGGAGATTCGTTTGTGTCTTGTTAATTTCTTCGAATGAGATTTTCATCGTGTAGATGACAGTCAATTGAACGTGGTCTTGATGGATTGCTCTTCAGCCCTAACTGATGTAGGATTTGTTTCAATGTTCTGATTGGCCGTATTCGTTATTTCATGATCTGCAGGAGATGCAGGAGATGCAGATGCAGATGCACAGATGCAGAAGTAATTATGCAGGCTGGCGCATCATGACTGCAATGGATAATTCCTCCCCGTCATTATTCCTTCACAATAGTTAGCATGGAGCAATCTTGACAACAGGATGACATCGCCACCAAATGCAGCAACAATATTCACCTTAGTTAATATCCACCTTAGTCATCTGCAATCTGCCCGGTTTCGGATGCGGGGAATGACTCAAGATTCAATTTTTCCCTTCACAGAAACGTCCAGGCAAGACCAACAGTCCAATTCCCACAGATCATCATGGCGAACAACAGCAACAGCTTCATCCTGACGCTATCATGCGCAGACCGACCGGGCATCGTCCACGCGGTGACCGGTTTCCTGGTCCAACACAACCTCAATATCATCGATTCGTCGCAATTCGGCGATCCCACCTCCAAACGCTTCTTCATGCGCATGCACTTCAGCCCAGCAGAGCCAGACGATCAGAACGAGCCCAGCTCGAAGAAAATGACGGCGGAAGACCTCACCGGCGCATTCCAACCCACCGCCGACTCCCACTCAATGACCTTCTCTCTCCGTCCCTTCGCGCAGAAGCCCCGCGTCATGATCATGGTCTCCAAGATCGGCCACTGCCTCAACGACCTCCTCTTCCGCCAATCCACGAACCAGCTCGGCATCGAGGTGCCCCTGATCGTATCCAACCACCCCGACTTCGCCCCGCTTGCGGCTACCTACAACATCCCCTTCCACCACCTCCCGGTCACGCCGGATACAAAGGCGGAGCAGGAGTCGAAGATCCTGGAACTGGTGAAGACGCATAACATCGACCTGATCGTCCTGGCCCGGTACATGCAGGTTCTGTCGCCGAAGCTATGCGAGGTTATGTCCGGGCGGATTATCAATATCCACCATAGCTTCCTGCCGTCGTTCAAGGGTGCCCGGCCCTACCACCAGGCGTATGACAGGGGCGTGAAGATTGTGGGTGCTACCGCGCACTTCGTTACCAGTGATCTTGATGAGGGGCCGATCATCGAGCAGGATGTCGTCCGGGTCAATCATGGGATGAGTCCGAAGGAGTTGACCATTGCTGGGAGTACGGTGGAGAGTAATGTGCTTGCTACCGCGGTGAGGTTTGTGGCTGAGGGACGGGTGTTGCTTAATGGGCATAAGACTGTTGTTTTTAACTGATGTTTCTCGTGGGTTGACTGTTGTATATAGAATGGCATCCTGACAAGGGATCCGTGCAGTGCTTCATTGGGGTGAAAAACGAGGTGCATAGACGGTATCATAGACGATATCAATCACAGCCTTTGCAAACGCTGCCTTTCTTGAAATAGCTGTACGCACCCCTGAGTCTTGAATCGACGATGTCAACGCCAATCCACCCAACGGGAGCAGTCTTGTAACGATCTATGAAATCCGTGACCCTACGCCAGAAAGCCTTGGCAGGAGCGATTTCCAGTAAGGACATGATGATCATCCGTGGAGAGTGCCGGGAGGTTGTTTATCCTGCTTCTTCTCGGAAATTCTATTAAGGACGGATATTTTCCTAACACCCGATTCTTTTCCATTTCCATTGTCTGTTGCTTTCCCTCTTTACAACGGCAACCGGGGTTACAATTGTCAATATCTCCATAATGGCCACGGAAGGAGTATCACATCAGCCGGAGACATCACGGAATATTCCGTCGAGGAACAGGACAGCTCGAGCGTGCGACGGCAAGTCCACATGGTAGGCCTCTTCGTTTGTGCCGATGAATCCACATGTAGTTATTATTAACACCGGTGACTAGTGGCCGTTGCATAGGTGAGATGGCCTTGTATTCAAGACAACTCGGGCTCTTATTATTACCAGTTGACTGATTAACGCCGACCTTGATTCGGCAGATCGTGGCTATGTCTGTCGCTGCAATGGGACGGCCAAGAAACGAGGCCGTATCCCCTCGTCAAGAGAGTGGATGATGGTACTCTGACATTGCCCAGAGCTGTTGGCAGATCTTCAGATCACCATCCAGCGTTAGAGGAAACAGCCGGAGACACACCTGCAGCACAGGGGGCATATAGACGAAATGGAAACAATGGCAACAGGGGCTCCATTGCATCCCCATTATGTGAGAGTCTCGAGCCAACTATTTCCCCCTTCTGTGGAAGCAGTAACAGTTCATTACACGCCGCAGCGCTAACCATGCACAAATCCCCTGCAATTCCTCCTTGTCGAGTTGCCGATACAGGTGCTTGGAACCTCTCTTGCCCTACTTGCAACATATTGTCGCCCCGTCAGTGGCTTGTGATCTGCTGGATGTCTACTTTACTGAACCCGGGAGCTCGATTTTTTCTTGTGCCTCTTCGTACGTTCTCACACCAATTATTCGGAAAAAGTCACTCCTTCACCCTTCTCATCCAAGGTCAACAACCCGGCGCTCCTCTCACTATGCTATGGTGTGCGTCCCACACGGCTGATGCCGGTGTACTTCATATCCCCGGGTCTAGGACGAAGGTGACGAATTCGCTTTACGAAATCGCCACGACAATGGCTGCCGAACGAGACCCAGACGGCTGGCATAGAGTACCTGGTTAGATCACAGTCCCTCTGTATTATATTCCGTTACCAGCTAACTTGACAAAGGCGGCTTACAGCCTGAGAATTTCGGTGCGGGCTCCATGGAGCTCGCAAGTTAGAGCCGCCGACTAGCACTCTAACCAACGAGCCTGCAGGTGTTATCGATGATGTGCTGACATTCGCCCTGTTGTCTAGTTTAATTTCCGGGGGTGACTTCAAATCTGATTATTTGAAGTGGTGGGATAAAGCTGTCCGGCTGGCCTATACATTGGGGCTGAATAGGGAAGACGACAATCATGACTGCTCTAGTACATCGTACATGGATGCGCACCAGAATAGTCAAGGATGCGGTAATACGGCCCGTCTGCTGCTGGAAATTGAAGCACGCGAAGAACGTAGGGTTGTCTGGTTGCTGTATTGTCTTGACAGGCATCTGGGACTATCTTTTAATTCCTCGCTAAAAGTCCCCGACGAAGTTTGCAAAGTATACGGTAGGCCTCCAGATCAAATTAAACTAAATACAAGACTCACTGTTTACATATAGCTCCATTACCGGGCGCAATATGGGATAACCTGGAAACGGAGGTAGAAAACGGTCTCCCGCCACGAGTATATGGTCCCTATGTCACAATCCAAGGCACGGGATTTTTGAGTATTTCTTGCCATTGATGGCTATTCTGGGAGACATAATCGATCTTCATCATCGAAGGCGCCATCCCCGCTTCGGCGGCCTTGATGATAACCAAGAAGTGACGGTTATGTTTGGCATGCTCACCAACTGTGGAATGAGTCTGGTTCATCTGGCAAGACGAAACGGTCTGAAGCCTTCCAGTACTCTGGATGCATACTATATTAGCACGGAAGAATCCACATCTCCAGACTCCTTACTTCAAGACGCTCTTCCGGATCATCCTGAAAGCTTCCCAAGAACGCATCTAGTCCTCGCCTACACCACCCACATTCTCCATGTTCTCTATGTCCTCCACGGAAAATGGGATGTGATCTCCATGCTTGACTGCGAGGACGATTGGATTACATCCCCCGGGTTTGTGGAGTGTGCGTCTCACGCCATAACAGCATCCCACGCCCTGTCTACAATTCTCAAGATCGATCCAGATCTAACCTTTATGCCTTACTTATTGGAATATACCTACTGCATGGGAGTTTTATTCTTCTCCTGTTTGCGGACCATATGCCCCAACTGGGGCCCAACGAATCCGTTGAGGAGGCATGCGAGACGATCATCCGAGCACGTGAAGTTTGTGTGGTGACCTTGAGCACGGAATTTCAGGTCAGTAATATAATATATCCAGGGATAACGTTCGCATCCCGTTCGCATCCATACTGATCTATGTAGAGGAATTTTCGCAAGGTTCTACGGTCTACGATGAATAGCGTTCGGGGCTCGACAGTAGCACGTGAGGAGGAATCGCGGGCGAGGAGAAAAGCGTTGTCACTCTATCGATGGACCAAGGGCGCCAAAGGATTGTGTCTTTGGTACTGGTGTAGTAGCTTGCACGATGTGAGAATCTCAAAAAATAATAATCAGAGGAAGGCATCTCTACTAAGGTCACCTGTCTATAAATTGGCAGATTTCTTCTGGCCTAGCATTCGTTTTCGTTCTGTGCACCACCCTTCTCCAGGGCTAGGGAAACAGTATCCAACCCATGGACCCAGAATACGCCTCACACTTTTATAAAGTGACTTATCACGCTCAAATTGCATCTCCTTCTGTGGGCTGTAATCGAGAATAGACCCTTTTCGGCCATCGACAGGTCCTTTCAATATCTGCCGTGCCGCCATGACCTTCTCTTTGAGCTCAGATACAGAACTTATACCAGTGATCGTGCTAACCCGAAACGATTCCATTGATGCAAGCGGAGCCCGCGACAAAGCGTATTGCAGCGCCAGGGAAGCCATACTTTCACCCGTCTGAGCCACAACAAACTCCGCAGCTTCTTTAGCAACCGCCCGAAGTCCAGCCGGCGCGGGATGGAAATCACCCAAAGAGCCCTGGGGAACGCCACCGGAACGAAGAAGGCCGATAGCAAGGGGACTCGAGCTGCAGACACAAGATACGCCTTCGTTTCGTAACGAATCTAAGCCTTGTGTCTCCAATCGGGAGTTTTGCAGTGTGAGTTGGGCCCAGTTCTGAACCACACCCAGCGGTCGACTGTAGCGTTGACGGGCGGCTTTCGCAAGCCGCATCAGGATATCAATCCGGTACCCTGATATCCCCACGTATCGGATCTTCCCGTCACGGACGAAGTCAAGGAGGACTCCGATGGCAATTAGTGTCTCCCCGTCCGTGATGTACTCGGCATCATGACAGAAGATAACGTCAAGGTAGGATGTGTCCAGTCTCTCCAAGGACCGGAGGATGGACGTTCGTATACAAGAGGGTGAGTAGTTAAACTCAGCAGCACTTATTCGGCCAACCTTTGTCATCAGGATGTAGTCTTTTCGGGGGTAGTGCTTGACGATTTCTGGCTGGGAGAGTGCGTCGCCGATTAGCTGCTCTGATGGTCCGTAATAGTATGGGGATGTATCGATTGCGCGGATGCCCAGGTTAAAAGCTTCTTTGATCACTTGACGGACAGGGAGAGAGGTTGGGTTTGCATTGAGCTGGTTGCTGAATCCTGCTCCGCCTAGGATTAACGGAGGTAGGGCTTGTGATAGTGGTGGATGCGTTGATTGAACAGGCATTGTATTTAGTCCGTGAGTGTAGTTGCATGGAGGCCGCTTGGTTTTCAGTGGAACTGGGAGGTACGAAGAGCAAGACCAGATATATATACCCATATATACCCTATATATCCCTGTGATGGTGCAGGTCGTCCATAGCAAATGGTTCGAAACCTAGGGCTTTGTATTAAAACTTCCCGAAGAGACCATGATAACCCAATTGCTTTGAACACCACGCGTACATTGGATTTTCCCATTGCTCCCGTCCATTAACCCGCATGGACTAAATTGTATAATACCTGTCGGGTAATTTGTGGTGTTCAGGCCGGGTGTATCCATCTGACTGCGGGTTAGATTCACCTTTACCAGCCGGCGCCCGTTTGCGGGCTGATGGTCCATTCTAGCGTGGGTGTAGATGCTATAGGATTAATCGAATTATCTTAATCCGATGTTTCTGCAGGTTCTCTCGGGCTGGGACATGTATTGTTGACTTTTTTGATGAGGTTGTTGTTCGTGCTCGGAATCCAAATGGCAAAAGTAAGAATGAGAACAGGAGCAAGAAGGGACAAGGGACCTCCCAGAGCGTCTAACTTTCGGTAGCTCCTCGTATCTTGCTTCTTATTCAAATCCTGCTGGTGGATAAATTCGGTTTACGAGCAACGAGCCGGCGATATTTCCGGATAAATACCGTGGAATTTCCCCGAGGAATCCTTCAACCCCACGGGGCATAAGAAGAATAGTGCGGGGGATAACCCTATTTTGGTCCACCAAAACTTCATAGTTGAATCTTGCCGCAACGCTCCATCGCAAGCCCCCGTGCTATTCGTCCAAGCCACACGTCAAAAGCAACCCCGCAGGTAATTTATAGTCGGACGGGTTGAGCTGTCTCTCACAATTCTAACTTAATTGTCAAGTTGATGGATATAGAGATGCCATGGGGCCGACTCCTTCAACTATAGGGGTCTTGTTTAGAACTTGCTTTGAATATGGTGTAGACTATAGCAACGAAAATGGGGGTGCCCTTGGTGAGCGAATATAAGCCCTAATATAAACAGATGCAACGACAGAAATTCTACCTCTACGGCATCGCGCCCTGTACAGGCGGACTGGCCTTCGGCTATGTAAGACTTTGCACTCAACTCCGAGGACGATTGTTAACGAATATCTACAGGACACTGGCTCCGTAAGCGGAGTTCTTGTCATGCCGCAGTTTCTCACTTACATGAATCATCCCAGCAACTTCTTGCAGGGAGGGATTACAGCTTCCATTCAGGCCGGTGCATTTGCTGGCTCCCTGTTGACCGGGGCCTTCCTCGCGGATAGGTTTGGACGGAAGAAGACCATCTTGTTCGGATCTGCAATATTCACGCTTGGAATCATTATTTCCACCGTGGCACAGAATGTCGCTACGTTGGTGGCTGGTCGTGTTATTAACGGCCTAGGCAACGGGTGTCTAGCCATGATGGTGCCGAACTAGCAGAGTGAGATCTCACCAAAAGAGTGAGTCAATTAAAAATTGGCAGTCACAGAGGACGTTTCTTTTCTGACTTTCAAAGGATCCGTGGCCGAATAATCTCCCTCCAGCAGTGCTTCATCAATCTGGGTATTCTGGTCGCATTCTGGATTCAATACGGCACAAGTCATATCCATGAAGAGGCTTCATGGCGTATCCCCATTAGCCTTCAGCTGATCCCTACTATTGCCCTGCATGTTACCATGTACTCATGCCGGAATCGCCTCGTTGGCTAGTTCAACAGGACAGACAGCAGGATGCGTTGCAAGTGCTGGCTCGACTGCATTCAAACGTAGACAGAGATGATCCATATGTGCGTGCTGAGTTAGCCGAAATCATCACCCGGATACAATGGGAGAAGAGCAACCCACCTCCTTCATATACGTCTATGCTGTTCGGTCCGGACGCGCGGCGAACGTGGCTTGCTATTGGTGTTGTAAGTGTCCAAGGTGATTAGCAGATTGAAAGGCACGTATATCTAATGGGAATTGGCATCTTCAATGCAATTCTGGCAACAAGTCTCTGGTATCAACGAGTTGGTCCCTCTCATCCCTTGAGAGATTACAGAACCAGCACTAATATTGTATAAGCATCATGTACTACGCCGTATTTCTCTTCCAACAAGCAGGGTTGAACGGTACCTCTTCGTCCCTCCTTGCCAATGGGATCCAAGGTGCCGTTCTGAACATCTTCACTCTACCTGATATGTACTACATGGATACATGGGGTCGACTGATCCCCATGATTATCGGTGGAGTCGGAATGGGCATGTCCATGATGTTTATTGCCGTCATCATGAAAACGAAAGGTAAATTCCTCTTCACTGCCCTGCCCCGTGCATTCTAAAGTACTGTCATAGGCAACCCCGTCTACACCCCGTTGACTAAAAAGACAAACTTCCATTTTGCCGATCAGAATGCTTCAAACGCTACTATTGCGTTTGTTTACATCTATGTCATGACGTTTGGTTTGACATGGGCTTGTGTTGCGTGGGTGTATCCCCCAGAGCTGTTCAGTATGAACATGCGTGGACGAGGAACTGCATTTTCTTCGGCGACGAATTGGTTTGTGGTGTGTGTATTTGTCTTTGCATTTGCGGCAAAAGGATTCTCAAAAGCAGGTACTAATTCGATGGTTAAGAATTTCTGGTTCGCGCTTTATATCCCAACAGCTATGGACAAGATCTCGTGCGTTCTTTACCTCCATGGAATAAATCAGAGCCCAGCCACTAACTAGTAACAGATGGATCCTTTACTTGATCTTCATGGCCCTCTGCTATGTCATGGCGATAGTTGTCTTTCTCTTCTATCCGGTGAGTTTCCTGATACCAGCCCACCGGACCAAAAATCGTAACAGAGATTCTACTCTAGGAATCTGCCGGCAAAACGCTCGAAGAGATGGACTTCCTATTTACCAAAGACCGTACGCCCTGGGTATTTCTCGACCGCTCTGCAACAAAGATCGGGCCCATTTTCGAGCGTGACATGGCTAGGGGTGAAGCGCTCACGGCATTGGATTCGAGGAAAGCCCCGGATGCGGAACAGGGGGTGCATGTGGAACATGTCGATACTGTTGAGAATACTACAAAGTAGGCTAGTGTACGGAGCGTGTCACTTTTTGCTTTCTTTCTTTTTATTATATCATTACACTTGCTCTCTCCGTGTCCATATGATGTTAAAGCCTCAACTCCGAACCACCATTCCATATCTCGGAACTCCGTCAAGCGCATTATTACATCAGCCCGAAATCTGGTCAAACAAGGCCCAGTCAATGTTCTCAAAATCATTCCCCATAAAACAAAAAGGTTCAAGCCCGTAAAGCGGCGTTACGTTCCCTGATCAGGCATGGTCAGTCTTCCGGGCCAGCGAGGAGAGATCAGCGCCGGATGCGATGTCATCACCCGACGTTTAGCCCCGTTCAGAGTAAGGCGTATTGCATGGGAAACTCGCTGGGAATCTCAGCTCGCCTGTGACTTTTCCACGCAGATCTTACACGACTGTTCGAGTAAAAGCAGTACCTCTCTCTTTGTGGCGGAGTCAATTGCTGGATGTTGTAGGTTCCGTGCACGGGAACATGATGCACAACCAAGCAGAGTACCATTACGCCTAGCAGGAAGTCACTCATGGTGAAATTGGTAAGCATCCACTGTTCTGCGTGTAGTTGCCCACGGGTGAGAATTTGTACATCTCAATGAACAGCGTGACGAATCGTCTCAGATATGTCATGGATGTCGGACGGGGCGTTCTTCAAAGTTGCCTATTCCGGAAATAATATCAGCCGAGCGGATTGCCCTCTTGATCCAGGAGATCATAGCTCATCTATGCCTGACCCTAGGATGCTATGAATATTCAGCCCAGCGCATCTATTTCAAGACGCTATAAACGTAGTCATGTATTACTAATAGGTACTGCGTGCATTCCTTAAACTTGTGTTGGATCAACTTGCTTCATTCACTATCTATGTTGGTCTAACTATTTTAGTGTGTCAGGCAAGCTAGGGCGGTCAACCAAGGCAAAACCCACGTGACCTCCAACAGCATGTAATGGAGGTGTATCGTTGGTTGGTTACTAGCTAGATAGGCCTACGTGGTGAAAAGGGTCAGCGAGGGCGGACCTATGCGGCAGAATCCCACGTGATCCAACAACTTGTAGGTATTGAATTGACGGGTTCGACGTGGTTGTATTCATAAAGGGGTCGGCGGAGTCGGTCCCTATCTAGCTAATGGAGATCACGTGACTACTCAACATGAATGTATACTGGCAGTGACGTCGGAATTCCGAAGTGGGACCTCAACTCCGCTGCCGATACGGAGATCGATCGATCCATATAAAAGGCACCACACGGCTCTATGGTTTTGACCATGAACATATACACCTGAAATGACATACATAATATACGTCAAGGAATTGAAAACAAAGAATTTACAAAAATGTCATCGGAGCAAGTCTATACAACCGACCACTCCGCCGCCGTCCTCGAAACCCACAGCTGGCGCACTCTCTCCAACTCCGCCAGCTACTTGATTCCTTATATCAAGCCGGGAATGAAAGTCCTCGATGTCGGCTGCGGCCCGGGATCAATCACGGTCGATTTAGCCAAACACGTCGGTCCGACTGGCCATGTCACCGGGATCGACTACGTTGAAGACCCGCTAAAGGGAGCGGAGGCCCTCGCTGCCTCGGCGGGTATCCCCCGCTCAAACATCACGTTTCAAGTAGGCAATATTCATTCGTTGGAGTTCCCGGAGAACACGTTCGACCTGGTCCATATACATCAGGTTCTGCAGCATATCAAGGATCCTGTGGCCGGATTGAAGGAGTTGCGTCGTGTCGTTAAGCCTGGGGGGTTGGTAGCTTGTCGGGAATCGGCGTCGATGACCTGGTACCCTGAAAATGAAGGCATACAGGCCTGGGAGGAGCTATTTGAGCGGATGGGTACCGCGAAGGGTGGCCATCCGCATCCTGGGAGGTATATTCATGTCTGGGCTGAGGAGGCGGGGTTTGAGAAGGAGAAGATCAAAAAGAGTGCGGGAACGTGGTGCTTTAGCACCCGGGAGGAAAGGGAGTACTTTGGCGGTTCATTTGAGAAGAGAGTACGGGATTCTGGTTTTGCGAAGATGGCTGTTGGGGGAGGGTTTGCGACACCCGAACAGTTGGAGGCTATGGCCAATGGTTGGAGGGAGTATGTTGAGAACGATGATGGGTGGCTTGGACTGCTTCATGGAGAGATTCTATGTTGGAAATAATGCTTAATAGGAGATGCATCCAAGCGGTGAATTTGATGAGGTCTATTCATTTCTATAATATACGGCCGCAATCTGATCTGCAGTGAGACCGGCCTGACGGAGTTGCTCCGAGCATCACCAGTTGCACTTGATTACACTTTCAACCGTTCAATTCCTCTTCACCTTGGCATTATACTGTGCGGGTACCTGTGGGGGAATCCACTCCATTCGCTGCTGCTGCATCACCAGACCTTGTTAATTGCAGGCCCCCGCATCCCTGTCCACGGCCCCGAGGGCGTCAGCACATCTATATATAAAGGTAAGAGGCCCCCGTGGACCGCCTCCAAGTTTCTCTCCAACCTTCCAACCCGTCTGTCTACCTAGGCAAAGAGAAATGATACAAAATGATGTTCGGCTTCTCACACAGTGCTGCAGTAGCTGCCATCCTGGGGGTAGTCTCCGCCGTCAACGCCCCAGGCACCCCGAACGCAAGAGTGAAGCGAGACCAACAGCAAGAAGCAGTCGTCGTAGACGGAACCAGCTTCTCGCTGAACGGCGACAACTTCTCCTACCGCTTCCATGTGGACAATGACACCGGCGACCTGCTGTCCGATCACTTTGGTGGCAGCATCACTGGAGACATCCCGATCGAGACTGTTGCTGCGGTAAATGGCTGGGTGGGCGAACAAGGCCGCGTGCGCCGTGAATTCCCCGACCAAGGACGAGGGGACTTCCGTGTCCCTGCGATGCGGATCCGTCAGGCTGAGGGCTACACCGTTTCCGATCTGCAGTATCAATCCTATACGGTCGTGCAGGGTAAGCCGCCCCTGGCTGGGTTGCCGGCGACAATGGGCTCGGAGAGCGATGTTACCACTTTGATTGTGCATCTGTACGATAATTACAGCGCTGTGGCAGCGGACCTGTCGTACTCTGTCTTTCCTAGGTATGACGCTGTTGTCCGCAGCGTCAATCTCACGAATAAGGGTACGGGGAACATCACCGTCGAGGCACTGGCTAGTCTGAGCGTGGATTTTCCCTATGAGAACCTGGATATGGTCAGCCTCCGGGGAGACTGGGCAAGAGAAGCTCACCGTGAGAGGAGAAAGGTTGAATATGGGATACAGGGGTATGTAAAGTGCTTCGACTCTTTATGATATCAAACGACTTACAAGTCAAAAAGCTTCGGAAGTTCTACAGGTTACTCGTCTCATCTCCACAATCCTTTCCTTGCACTGGTTGACCCCTTCGCCACTGAATCTGATGGTGAGGCCTGGGGCTTCTCACTGATCTACACGGGTTCCTTCTCCGTTCAAGTCGAGAAGAGCTCCCAGGGCTTCACGCGTGCCCTCTTGGGCTTGAATCCCAGCCAACTGTCGTGGCCTCTAGGTCCTGGAGAGACTCTTAGCTCTCCGGAGTGCGTGGCTGTCTACTCAAACAACGGCATCGGCGGCATGTCACGCCGTTTGCACCGCTTGTACCGCAATCACCTTATGAAGAGCAGGTTTGCGACAGCCGACCGCCCCGTCCTCCTGAACAGCTGGGAAGGGCTAGGCTTCGACTACAACCAGACTAGTATCTACCAGCTCGCCCAGGAAGCAGCCGATCTGGGAGTCAAGCTGTTCGTCCTGGACGATGGTTGGTTTGGCGACAAGTACCCTCGCACCTCTGATACAGCCGGCCTGGGAGACTGGGTCCCCAATCCCCAGAGATTTCCCAACGGCCTCGCACCCGCCGTGAGAAACTATACGGCAATCGTAACGGCAAACACTTCTAGCCATCTCCGCTTCGGCATCTGGGTCGAGCCGGAAATGGTCAATCCCAACTCGGACCTGTATCATGAACATCCAGACTGGGCACTGCACGCGGGACCCTATCCACGCACCGAGAGACGCAATCAGCTCGTGTTGAACGTCGCATTACCGGAAGTGCAAGAGTTCATTATAGACGCCGTCTCGAACATCCTCAACAGTGCAGACATCACCTACGTCAAGTGGGATAACAACCGGGGTATCCACGAGACGCCTTCCCCAAGCACCGACCATGCCTACATGCTGGGCTTGTACCACGTGTTCGACACGCTGACGACGCGCTTTCCCAACGTCCTCTGGGAAGGCTGCGCATCTGGCGGCGGTCGTTTCGATGCAGGCGTATTGCAGTTCTTCCCACAGATCTGGACTTCCGATGACACCGATGCCGTCAACCGCATTAACATCCAGCTCGGTACCTCCCTGGCATACCCTCCAAGCGCAATGGGCAGCCACTTGTCTGCCGTGCCGAACCAGCAGACTGGGAGGACTGTACCTGTGTCCTTCCGCGGCCACGTAGCCATGATGGGCGGGTCGTTTGGTCTGGAGCTGGACCCGGCTACTACACCCGAGGAAGATAAGGCAGCCCTGCCCGGCCTTATTGCGCTCGCAGAGAAGGTCAACCCAATCATCCTGACGGGTGATATGTACCGGCTTAGGCTGCCGGAGGATTCTAACTGGCCCGCCGTGCTGTTCATATCGGAGGACGGCTCAGAGGCTGTTCTCTTTTATTTTCAAACCAATCCGAATGTGAACCATGCTGCTCCGTGGGTAAGATTGCAGGGGTTAGATCCACAGGCCATGTACAGCGTTGACGGGAACGCAACGTACTCGGGGGCAACTTTGATGAATATCGGACTGCAGTATTACTTCGACTCGGATTATGGGAGTCGGGTTGTTTTCTTGGAGAGGCAGTGAAGGATCCTTTCTCAGACAAGTGTTAATGCCAAGCCTGCAATGGAATTAGAGTCGTCATATTCTGTGTCAAAAACTATGCGTCTGAATAAATAACTCCCAAAAGCTATATTGAAGAGACCTGCTGCGGTACTCTCCTCGCTATGACCTGTGACCCCGACACAGCCCTAAACACAGAGGTTGAAGACGGCACGGAATGCACATCCACGAGTCTAGATTCCTGCTCATTCTGACGACGTTTTGGGGAATGTCTCTTGATCCAAGGGGGCAAGCTATAAACAGCGCCACAGATAAAAATACCGCACCACAATGTCCAGTTCCGTGCCGTAGATGACCATGCCTAGGACGTTGATGCTCGGCTCGAAGACTGATATTGCTTAGTATCAAGTGTTTGAGAGAATAGGTAGATAGAAAAATAACAACAAAGTAGGAGAAAGGCAACGTGCAAGCAGACACAAGAGAAAAAAGTCCCTGCAGCATCGATTCCTACAAATAATAGCTGATGCCTCGCCCAGTGCGGTGCACATGGAAATCCCAGTAATGCGTAAGTACACCTGCAGCGAGCAGACAGGCACTAATAACAGCCATGAGGATAATGGGCCATCTGAGATAATTGTCATTCGCAGCCTGTAGAGCAAAGACTAAGCCAACCTCGATACCTCCAATGATGCAAAGAAGAAAGACAACAGCAGCGATGCATTTGCTGACGGGATATCATATTGAATTTTAACCACAGCTACAACATGGAAACTGAAGCCAAAGAAAACCGGATTCAGCTGGCATTGGATGCCTACAAAAATGGCCAGTTTAAAAGATCCAAAAAAAGCAGCAGCTTTGGCCTTTGATATCCCTCGAACAACTTTCAGCCGGCGATTAAATGGAATAGTTTCACGGTCTGAAAAAGTTGCCAATTGCTGGAAATTATCAGAAACTGAAGAAGCCACTCTTTTCAGCATAGACCAGAGGTACCAGCCTGGGAATAGAGAATGGATAACTGCGATTGTCTCTATAAATGCAGTTTCATGGGCTTTACCTCCTCAGATTATTCTTGCCGCAGAGAAACACCAATCTTTATGATATTATGATCTTCCTGATAACTATGCTATTAGTATCAGCAAGAATGGTTGGACAACAGATGCATTAGGACTTGAATGGCTTCAAAAGATATTTAAGCCCTATACAGCTTCACGGACGATTGGCAGACACAGATTGTTAATTATGGATGGGCATAGCAGTCATGCTGTGCCGGGGGCACTGCGAAACCCTGGATCTCTCATATTTCCTATTTTAGAACGCCGTAGGACCACGGCCTCCGGCATACTTGGGTATGGTGGAGCCCGCGGCCGGAGAGTACTTAAGGAGGTTTCCTCCCTAGTTACGAGAAATCGAGCATACTTTTGGTTTCTAAGTTACTTCACTAGTATCGTTTTCGTCGTCGTATAGAAGCGAGGCTCCATCGTCGTTGTGTTTCTTCTTTTATATATCATTTCATTACTAGATCGTTCAATGTGTCCATCCCTGAGATCCCTCGATCACAACTGTGACGATCAGCTATAATAGGATGAGAAGAGAAAAGCAACTCGCTATTTGGCCGTACTGTCTAGGAATCTCGTACACGAGGAGAAGAAGAAGGAAAGAGGCGAGGGCAGCTGCCTGCCCTCAGCCCTAGCCCTGTGCCCTACTTGCTCAATCTGCTGGCACCTAAGACGTGCCAGTGCCAGGGTCACATGCTGACGGTCATACCTCAGGTATGGTCGTCACAGTGACCCTGATTCTTGACCCATATCACACAGAATATCTCTTAATTCAAGCCATCTATAGTACTGTATACTACTGGCATCTACATGAGGGATGTGGTACAATGATTTCAGTACTCATGCGCAGCCGCGGATACAACAATGTGATTATTTATATTAATCGAAAAGACACTCTTCTGCTCAGCAGCTTTTATCTGAATGCCGAACTAACTCTTGAACCTACAGGAAACAGTGTAGGGCCACTTGCCCATGAATTGAATCAAAAAGAGAATACAGAGGCTGCTGTTTACAAGCAGGAAAAGTAATAAGACTCGGGACTTGCTACAGTACTTTAGGCAATGCTGCAGCCCTTTTATACCTAGATCCGAGTCTATAGGCGCCAGTGATATCTGTTAATTTGCATTGCAGGATGTTACATTCTTTCATGCATGTACGAGCATTTTTTGGTCCTGAATAATCTAAGCCAGCCTATCTATTTTCACCAACATCTTGGCTTTGTTGGAATTAGTACTTTATTTTTTCTGCCGGTTAGCTCTTTAAAAAATTTGCTATTTGAGAATTATTTAATTGATGGGCATCAGTTATTTGAAAATGGTTGATCTGGCACCATGGTCAAGCTACCGGCGCAAAATAGAGGCTCTCACTAATGAGCAAAACGCGCTGAGCATCCCAGAGTACCCTCATAAAAGTGGTGGCATCCCAAAAGATACATCGTATGATATCTGCCAAGAACAAGAGTGACAAACACTGCATAGCACGGTCCCTCATACCTTTGTATTTTCATAGGATTTATCTTTTTTCCGACCCCAGAAAACTGTTATATTTCCCCTGATTTCCCCCGCTTCTTGTCTCTCCCTTTTCTCCCATCCATGGAAGAAGAATCCAAACCCAGCCTGCCAAGATGAATGGTTACCTGGACTTGGAGTGGTTCAATATATCTCAATATTTCTCTTTATACAATACATACATATAATTGATTTGATTTATCATTCACCATTCCCTATTCCTGTTGTTCCTCCCAAATGTATACAACCCCCTTCCCGGGACAATCCTGGTACTACACCCCAGCAACGACCATAACCCTACATGGGAATGTCGATTGCTGCATGCCTCTTAGTACCTAAATAAAGCCAACCGTTGAATTCAAGTCAATTCTGCATTTGCATTGATTTGGTTCATCAGGCTGGCAGAGAAATGAATAAGCGTGTGGGCATTACACAATTGTTTTGTGCGGTTTGTCTGCATGAAAGTCCGTCTCCTACATTACTTCTTCACTGCTACTACTGCTGCTGCACTTATCCCCGCAATATGGTCATCATGTCATGCTGTCAGTCCCTTGTATCTCGTTCGGGGTTTCTTATATAGGATCAAAGTACATGCACTGAACCGAGTATATATATATAAATGATATCTGCCGAATCATGTCTCATTAAAACACTAAATGCATGTACGAGGTGCGACTTCGAATGGAGAATAGAATATCCTATGCTGCTGCTATTGTACTTTGCTGTATCACTGTAGTATCACCGCATCCCTCGTTGCATGTAATCGCCTCACCACTCATCAGGAGGACCCTCATAATCATAGCGCGGCCTATCATCATCCGACGAAGACGAGCCTTCCTCTTCTTCCTCATGGTGATCTGCATCCATTAGCCATCACATTCATCATAGTCGACATATAAATAAAGAAAGGGAAATGGAGAGGAAAAAAAAAAAAAACATACGGTGCTCCCACAGCGCAGTCCCAGCTGCTCCCAGCGCCAACCCGGCAGCCCCAGCAGCGAATAGTTTCCCCTTATCACTCTTCTTCCGCTCCGGCGGCGGAGAATCGGGCGGTCCGTACGAAACTGGGGGAGGACCAGGCGGAGGGGATCCGTAGCCGCCAAACGGCGGAGGACCGGCCGGCGGACCTGGGGGACCCGGTGGACCAAGAGGGGGACTGCCCATTCCCGGACCAGGGGGACCAGGCGGAGGACCACCAGGGCCCCCCCTGGATCCATCGGAGAACGGAGCCTCCCATTGCGTGAGGCCGCTGTCTTCCCTTACCCAGTACGCACGGCTATGGGCGGGGTCCCAGAGCTGGCGCCAGCCCTGGGGAAGTGGTGGTGGGGGTCCCGGAGGGGGAGGCGGGTGTGGTCCCCCGGGACCGCGTCCGGGGCCGCCATGGTTACCCGGGGATCCCGGGGGGGCCGGAGAAGATGATGATGGAGGGCCATATGGCGGTCCCTGGTGGCCCGGAGGGGGTCCCTGGGGAGGTCCGTAGGGCGGACGGGGTGAGTGGGAGGGGTCATATGGAGGACCACCGCCAGGGGGAGGAGGACCGGAGGGTGGCCGTGAGCCGTATGGAGGAGGGCCTGGTGGGGGAGGGCCGGACGGAGGTGGTGCGCCGTATGGAGGACGGGGAGCGTCGTAGTCGTATGGGGGGCGGGATTCGTACGGGCGGGATTCGTACGGGGGACCTGATTCATACGGAGGACGAGGAGAGGAGTCGTAAGGGCGAGACTGTTCGTAGCCCTGATAGGAGGGGTATCCTCCGTAAGAACCACCAGGAGGGGGACCTCCGTAGGGGGGTTGGTAAGACATGGTTGAAGGTGGACGAGGAAGATACGGAGAGGAATGGAATGAGAAATCAAAAGGAAGTGAGCACGTCTTCTTATATGAATACTCCGTATATTATTATCTGCAGTACCCTTGACCCCTCTGCTGCCTGCCCTACCCGGTCTACTCCACCAGTTTCACGGCAAAAATAGTCGATCGACGCTTCCTACCAAATTAGGACAAAAAAAACGTGCACTGGGCATGCATCTAGGCAGACCAATTACCATATCTTCCCAGGATATCCTCATTCCCCATCTGTCAACAAGCCGTTGTGCCTGTCCGTAGGGTGATAATAACGGTCATACGGAGCACACAGTAAACAAATAAATGGAGAATATTCCCGAATCAGCCACGTGTGCCACAGCCACTGGATGGCCAAGCACAGCCATAAGCACAGCCATAGGCACAGCCACGTCCGTTGCCCAATTTTGAGTCGGAACAGCCGGACAGGGAAGAGTATACAGTACATGAATAACTATGGCTATTGCTAGGCCCACTGCGCACAGCATGCCCACCTGTCCTTGTCCAAATGACAACAATAGTAACATTCTGGTAGAGCGGGGAACCGGCATCACTAGTGTTTCGGTAGAGACAGACGAAGGGCTGCAGAGGGCAGCGTCAAATGATGAAAGACTTTGCAATAATTAATAGTAACAGATCAACCAGTCCCTTTCGTCACTGGCCAAGTCATGTTTGTTTCCCAATTTAGTCAAGAACAAAGAAAGAAAAAGAGCAAAAATGACGAATAGACGTCCAGATTCCCCTCTGGCAGAAACCGGACCTGAAATCGAAGAGTATATTATATCCCTCATGATGATGGAATCTGTGAAATTGGCTGTGAGCCAAGTCTCGGCGCAATGCATCAATCTGAACCGGTTATCCCCCCACGTCGCTCACTTCTGCATTGCTGGGAAAGTAAAATGCCGCAACCCTGGTGGAAGAGGAAAATAAGCATGCAGGCAGAGCAAGAAGCAGCAGGAACGTAACGGGTTTGACTTACGCAATAATAATATACGCGGCAATCAGCAGCGCCCCTTCTAGGTAATTACTGCGTCCATCGAGGACCAGAAAGTTCACCACGAAGGCAGTGACAAAGAGGGATACCGTTTCGAAGAGAGTAAAATATAGGGACATATCTTTGTCCATGAACCAGCCGAGAATCACGACGAGCGGCGTTATGAAGATGGCTGTGACAGACGTTACGTTAGCCTTCTATAAGATACTATTTCTACAAATCCCAACCCGGCTTACCGATCTGAATGCTACTCCCAACGGACACGCCGATGGCCAAGTCCATCTTGTTCTTCGTCGCCACAGTCACAGCCGTGACGTGCTCTGCAGCATTACTGACAATGGGTAGGATGATCAATCCAATAAATGCCTGGCTAACGTTCGAAGTATCGATCATTGGCGGGATAGCATCAACAAGGAACTCCGCGCAGACAGCCACAAGCCCCGTGGATACTAGTAGCATAACCACCGCAGCAGTCCGAGACATGTCGGCCTCTGGGTGCAGAGGCGGCGGTTCAACAGCTGCAACCTGGGCGGCAGGCTGCATGAAATCTGCCCCGCAAGCAAAGTGGACCGCATTTCCCACGGGGGGCGCGCGACTCCGGAAGTTCGGCAACGAGTTCGAGCGATGCAGCCGGCAGCCCGGTCCTGCGGACGGGGATCTGGATGACGGGGGGTGTGAAAATACAGTGTTGGATAGCAGAGAAGGCAGGGCCGGGCGCAACGGTGACATTCTTCGCGTGATATCCGGAGTGTGCTCGCTATTCCTACCTCGCAGGGCATATGATATCAGAGACGGCCGCATTGAGCCGCCAGCAGGAGGTAGAGGGCTTGTTTGGTTTGTCGTTTCCGGTTTCGCGTTCTCCTTGTTCCTGAAATTCTTCATTTTCTCACTGACTTTGGAACGTTTGGCCGCAGTCGAGCCCTTTCCGGGTCGATTAGGCCGTGCGATATCATCATCAGCGTGATAGGCAGTTTCGTCACCGAAATCAATGGCGGTGATATCGGTCCCATTGCGGTCCCGTTGGGCAGGTAGTCCATCACCAACTGCTGGAGTTGTACAAACCAATTCCGCTCCGTCGGAAGAAATTGGAGCCGTATCCTTTGAACTGACGCTAGATTTCCGACGTATCTTATGTTTCACTGCTCGCTTAATACGTTTTGCAGTTGACCAGGATGCATATGAATCGTCAGATTCGTCCGATGAGCTTGACGAGTCTGAAGAATGACTGTTCATGAACTCGGCCAAAACGCCAGGATGGGACTCCTCGTCGATAATCTGCTGGGGAATGCTAGCGTAGAGGTAGGAATGAGATTTCAGTTGGAAAAGGACGTAGAGTATGTATACGAGGAGAAGAACCTAAGATGCATCCAGGATAAGCATATATGTATATATATTTTATCTTTTCGATTGATACATTGCCAATACCTACCACGCTAGTGCCGCGGCTGACTTTGAGGGTATATTTGTCAGCTTTGCTGTCGCTGGACCATGATGCGTGGAAAGCCGTCTGTAGAGAGAGGTGAGCGTGGGTTGTCACATCAGACAGGCAACATCCCACTCACTGGAAGAAGCAAACTGCTAACGCTCAAACTGAGGAGACAAGCGCTGATTTGGGTGACAGTGCTATTGTAGAACTAGCAGGCGTATTAACAGAAAAGCCGCCGGGGAGAAATTGGGGGGAGGGGAACTCCTTGCCTGTTCTTGGAAACGGAGACCTCCGAGTAAGAAGGCCATCCCTAGGATCAGGAGTAGATTCGCCAGAATAGAGCCCAGCAAGGATGCCTGGACGATACGGATTTCGTCCTTTTAAGACAGCATCAGCAACGAGTCCGGTAGAATTGTCGTGACAGGACATGTTCCGTACCTTTACGAGGGCAATACTTCATTGCAAAGTAACCAATGGTCAGCAAGGAAGTGCAACGCTATACAAGGCCTAAGCAACTCACATGCTGAAATAATAGGCGGGGAAAAAAATCCAAGTCAGTGTTTCCAAGTTCTACAAGATTATCTTGGGGAAAGTAAGCTCACAATACGATCAATTCAACGGCATTGCCAAATGTGACATTGGTCAAAGCCCCTACGGTGTCCCCAAGACGACTAGCAACACATTCGGTGGCATGGCTCAACAACCCTGCGAGGGGGATAATGGCGACGGCATTCATCGCGAATATAACAGAAGGGTTCAAATCCGCCGCCTTGACGGCGATTCCCACGGGCACAAAGATAAGCAAGGCATTGACCCAGCTGTGGCAGAGGGCGGTCTTGGTGTGTCTCACGAAACGGATGGAGCCATTCTTCATCCGGACGAGAAGTCCCGGACTTTCTTCGCCGGCATTTTCATTGTTTTCACGATGGGGATCGGAGGGCTGGGGGAGCTTCCCCTCCGTCGACCGATTCACTTGGGCATCATTGTGAGGAGTAGGAGCGTCTTCGGGGACGCGCGAGGAGGTCGGAGTGTTGTCGGAGGGGTGATCCTTGTGTGCAGATAGACTCCGACTAAAGGCGTGAGCTTTCGCCCACGAATGAATCCGGTCTAGGAGGGACAGACAGGGTTAGAAGCAATGCCACGGCTCGACGAGCTTAACCTCCGGGCTAGAGCGGGAACGGCGGAGACCTGGCGGGAAGGAGCCAAGAAGTGCCACCAGCCCGGAGGAAGAGAGTTGGATGGATGGACCTACGCATGTATCAGAGCAAACCACACGGGAGAGAGAGCGTCGAAGGCGACAGGCCTGAGAAGGATTCCGCGTACGGCGGTGAGCTTGTGCCAAACAGATAATGATTGATTAATCACAAGGGAGGAAGCAAGGCAAAAGCAGAAAAAGAGCTCGCGAGCTCGATGGAAGAAGTGAAAGGGAGATGGAATGGGAAGGGAAAAGACTCGAAGGAGTCGTTTGGCCCGGAGACAGGAATGGGGGGGCCTCCGGGGAGCGAGGATCATAATAAGTGCCATGGGATACACCACCTATGCTGGAGGAAGGGCGGAGGAGGTCGGCTTGGCGCCAGGCGGCTCGCCCTTCCTCCTCCCTTGGTTCGCGCTCCTTTTGGCTCTCACTACGCCACTGACGATATATGGGCCAATAACGGAGTCCTGCATTGCATCTGCTATCGGGTTATCAGGGAATCGGGTCAGTCATCGCGCTGACTGGCACTGCCAACGCCGCGACCTGCAGCGAAATGGTCAGCTAGGCCGTCGGAGACGTGTCTCGGGCATACTGACATGCGAGATAGACCGAATCCGATGCCCTTGACAAAAGGGAAGAAGGGCCATTGTGTCTCGTTCTTCTCATCGATACGCCATCTGATGTCATTGCCGGTGACCCAAAATTGGAGACCTAGCCAGGACGATCGGTGGGCCGCGAGGCGACGGGTGAGGCGGCTCTTATCATCAGTCAGGCTTCCAGACCGTGTTGTATGTACAACGTACAAGGTCGGAGGGCTCGATGTAACTCCGAGTTGCTACTGTTTATCCTTCAGGCACGCTGACGATAGCTACACATGCAGCGCTTTAACTTAAAAGCTTACTCTGATCGCTCTTCTAGAACTGTGTATTTCCGACATGCTAGGACGATTGTAGCTCACTCCTCCGAGGACTACCTAGATCCACGTGGAATCCCAGAATACAGTACAGTTGTGGCTCAGTGGAATTCATCCAACCAGCTCTCAGCAGGGGCCAAACGACAAGATATCGTATGGCGCTTCCGTGATTCCGTGTCTGTCTTTTCCGGGTGTTTTGCAACGATCTCCTCAACTTGTCGGATTTGCGACCCTTTTTAGCGGAATGTATAATAGTACCGACGGAATCGAACACTTTAACAGAGGCGCATCTGCTGTATGGCTCCGAAGGATGATCGGTCGTAGTGACAGCTAATCGCTATCGGAAGTATTTCTTGTCAAAGATGTGTTCGATCAGTGCTAGAATCGACAATTCAGTAGACAATGCCCACTAGTCCTCCGAACTCGGAACTTCGTGGGACAGTGCGACTGTATAGAAAGAACATTTGGGATGGTCAGGTCGTCCATGTCCAGGGTCAGTGGCCCAGCGACCATTGAATAAAGCGTGTTTAAGTAAGCCTTAGGAATGTCGTAGAGTTAGAATGTCAATATTTGTTATAACAGGTATGTTCAATCTAGAGCTCGTTAGCATTTTTGTGTGATCAGAGCAAGAATTCGTTCAACGCTTACTTGAAGGCCAATAATATATATTCGAATGACACATTGTCCAGGATATCGGAATATCTCGAGTTTAAGAATTCTTCATTAATTTGGCGGAGAAGAAATAGATCCTTTGCGAGATCCTTCTCCGAATCCTTCGTTAACGAGGAATGATCGTAAGCAGATAAGAGCCAGTGGAGTACTCACAAGTTCATGTCCAAGACCATAAGGAGCAGGGCAACCATGAGAAGCAGTAGAATTGAAGAAGCTCCAATGCCCTCATAGTTGAAAATAGAGAGAGCAAAGAGTTTGCTCCGTAGGAGGAATTTAGTCACCAATAGAAGGAGCGAAACCGTATAGCAACAAGTTGTCATCCGTTTCTCAACTGGACGAGAACCAACATAGCCACGGGACAGCTTTATCAAAGCTGTTATTGTTTTTGGAACAGAAAATATATTGTTGTCCTGGATAAAAAATCGTTCGACGGTTTCTCCTTTTCTTTCTCTATGCGAGACTGAATGATAAACAGCCCTGAAACAGGAGCAAGCATCGCTGTCTTGTGAATACCCCTTTTCTTATGTATTCATACCGGGCGGCACGAGGCCAGTCGAAGCATCAAAGCATTGGTTATCGATTTTTGTTTGACTACCCAGTCTTTGTGATCGACTATGGGGTTTCGCTCTCGGCAAATGGTAAGTCCTGGGTAGATTCGAATGCCGGTTTATATTTTTTGGGCAGGGTCGTATGCTCAGCAGCATCATTGATTCGCGGAGTCCTTTTCTGATTCCCGGATTCGCAGACGAATGTCTTATTGAAACTAGGATGCTGGACAAATGAAAGTTGCAGCAACAACATATGAACTATGTGAGGCTTATATGACTTTGTCATTTGCAGCACCAGTAGCCCATCTTTGCTGAAATAGGCGTCTTCAAACCCAGAATCGATACTGCCGCTTTGCGGTTGGAGTATGAAGCACCAATACCATTTAAGTTCTGTTGTATAGTACTGTTAGACAGACGCAAATAAAAGCGACCGGTTCTTTTTTGGCGTGATCTTTATGAGGACTAATCCTCATTCGATTTGCTTTCCGTTCTAGAGAACCATTCGTACAGCTCCCACCATTATAGATTGGTGGATATCCTTCGTCCGTGTATGTATATATATATAGGAGACCGAGGACATTTGCCTCATAAACCGTTCTTATTCGACGAAGAAAAAGCATCGAGACGATGTCGACTTGATTAGATAAAGGAACCCACGAGTCTGCTGGGCCCTATAGACGATAGGTAGCTGCAAGTGTTGGCGTTCGTTCTCAATGAAGTCGTCCGGTTCGTTCCACTCCCAACTGGTGTGCGGCCAGTTCCCGTTCCACAGCAGCCTGGGCATCTTCCAATATATGTTTGCTGATCGAATCAATCAACAAAGTCAGTAAACACGACCAGGGACGCAAAGACATGTCAATTCGACGTACCGTTGGTCTGGAGAAGCAGTGGAATAAACAGCAGCCCTCGCGCGGACCCGAGGACCGAGGACAATATGTCCAGCAACACAGGTAGCATTTATATCTGTAGGCCTGGAATGGCAGCTTTATTCTTTTCAGCTAAGAGCTGTAATAAAGAACCCATAGTCCTGAAGGGAACACGGGAGAGCACCGATATGCCTTCACTGGATTCGGAAGGGTCTAAAACGCGTGAAGAAAAGAGTCAGAACCGAAGATGGAAAGGAAGGTAAATCTAAACAAAAACGAGCTCACCTAAACGGAGACCTAAGCATCCTTAGGAAAGCCATAGATAATTTGCGTCTTTTGATGCGAAAGGGCAATTCAATACCCACGACGCATTCGTCCATCACAAAATGTACTTTGACACTTTGGATATTTCTTAATGCCAAACATATTCGAGGATTAAGTGGCACGGCAAAAGCATGCTCTGTTGCTTGGGTAACATACTAGATGCTACTTAGGTGCCATGACATGTTTATGCTCCTGCTCCTTGGCCGTGTCGAAGACGGTGCCGAGTCAGTTCGTATTAGACATGTTTGTCTAATGAATGCATGATTCTTTGGCAGGGTATGTGTTCCTCTTGTATAAAAGGAGGATTTGAAACTAACATGAGTGATGAATAAGAGAGAAGTGGGAGAAAAGAGAGGAAAGAAAGAAAGGATGCTGACCAAGGGGAAGATGCTTGTTTAAATAAAGGCAAATACAAACAAAAAAGGCAGTGGGGAATATCCCATAAACAGTACTAACATGGAATTTTTGTTTATCTAGCCCGAACAGTGGCTTGCTGTCTGTTTTTTGTTTATCCACATGAGGCCATTCACCCAGGCGACGCGGGTCATATAAAGGGAAGTCCCATCATGAGGCATCAGGGCTCTGCAAGTGGCAAATACGCAAACGAAGAAAAGAATGCTGCTTTGCGTAAGAGGAGTGGGAGCCCTGCATGCATACATATTGTCATTTGTTCATGCTGCTTGAGGATTCAAGACCGTGGAGATGCCACGTATGCGGAGAGGTGCGTAAGTATCCAGGTCCCCATCGAGAAAGACAGTTACTGAACCGAAACCACGGTACTTGTCGGTTTGAAGAAGAATTCCCATTTACGCTGTAGAGTGGCCTGCCAGTGCCAGTGCCAGTGTCGTATTCGTCGATGTGGAGTTACTACTATGATTCTAGTTATATCCGAGAAACAATGAAAGGCGCCGAAGGTTGAAGTGCTGGTTATCCAGTCAAATACTGACGCAAACAGATCACTCATCTTGAAAGCGATGTTTATTTCGAGATCAAACCTCTTCGATTTCTAACTCTATCCTGGTATCTTGATAAAGCTCAATGGCATAGACAGTTCAATAACATAAATAGGAGACGAACTCTGCGGTTCAGAAAAACAAACTCTATGAACAAGAAGGAAACGTAAAGACTGTAAGTAGAATCATAGCATTAAAATGTCAAGGATCGTGTCGTATGCAGGCCGGTCGTCTGGCGCTATGGTAGTAGAAGCCAGCGGCGAGCCTGGAAGTTCTAGGTGAAATGAATGTATGTGTTCGGTGAAAAGAATGAAAAATGAAGGATTGGACAACTGGCTCATGGCCTGTGTGACCGGTGATGGGATATCGAGTGTTATTTAAAGGTAGTGAGTGTTTAGGTTAGTAGGGTATAGTTGACAGCACCGTTTTCGCTGGCAATATGTCCCATCATCCGAGCGGTTTTGATCAGAAGTGGGCTGCTGAAAGATATGGCAAATATCTGCTGGAGTTGATCGCCGTAAGCCATCTTCCAATACGGATCTGTGTCTTCCAGAATAAAACGGAAGAAAGGCCACATCAAGACGCCATGGCATTCCGTCCACAAGAATATATCGTAGCCAATGGAGACGACCCCCTTAGGGATGGGAAGGACCGAGTAGTAGTCTCGACGAAACCCATCGGTCGACTCCAAGGGCTTGTATCCAGTGTTGTCACCACAAGAGCAGCGGCAAGACTTAGGGACCTGGTCGTCAACAAAGATGTCCTTTGCCATTCATCCAGATATTGTGGTCCCAGAAGAACGCGGAGCAGTGACCAAGAGAAATTCTGAAATCGTGTAATGCTCACTCGGCAGATATTTGCCACAACTCTGCCGGCTGTCTTGTAAATGGCAGTTTTCGGCCGCTGTAGAAGACCCTGACGAGCCCTGCAGATATCCAATTTCGGTTTTTGGTTGGCTGCTCGATGACTCCTTGACAGACTATACGTCCGGCCATGTGCCTTGGATGGCCTGTAATTGTTGGATCTCCTTGCATAGAAGCTGAGGCGATCAGGTTCGACCTGTATTCGCGGGTCAGACGTGGTACGGGAAGAATGATACTTCTGCCCACGCTGCGATTCCGGGTGGATACCAAGCCCTGCTGTCTCTTCAACCGGCGAGAATAATGTGAAGGACGACCGATTATTGCTTATGCCAGACGTTTGTAGCATTTGGGAGTAACGACTTCTTCCAGTGGACCTTTCGAACGGAAGCGCGTCCGACAAATTGTCTCTGGATTCCACAATCGTTTCACTATACTTCCGATATCGACGTGGCCGGCCCGCTAGCGTGTCTTCTCGAGTACGGCATGCACCATAATTGCCGGCACCATCGAGAAAACCCCCATCCGGATTTGGCGTGAACGAGTGCGAATGGTGATCGTCATGTGGAGAGAGTTGTCCCCGGCCATATTCAGGATGTGGTCTTGCAGCCGAAGGTAAAATCAATGGCTTCAGAGCGCAAGTCCCAGAAGCGAATGTGCGCATACTTACATGTCTTGCCGGTTTTCTTCCCTGTGATTCGAAGGGTAAAGGAAGCGGCATGCTCCACTGGGACGAGGCCGACGACAATCGGGACACAGAAGACCACTGCGACTTGGACGACATTGAGGATGAAGTCATGGCAGAATCATCCGGCACGAAATTTGACGCAGTAATTTCCCGACCTGTTTCCGCAAAGTTATCAGCAGCACGAGGCAAACTCTCCGTCCGCAGAGGCGGAGAGAGAAGCATGGACTTTGGCCTCGACAGACGAGGACCAGGACTCCGCATCGGCGACAGGGGTGGGCTCCGACGATCTGGCTTTGCAAGAGGCTGCGCGAGTAACTGAGTCAAGACATCTATACGTCTCTCCAAGTTGCGATTTGTCGACCTCAATGATTCCGCCCTCCGCAGCTTCTGCGCCTGCAGCTCCCGTGCACGTTCGAGTTCCTTAATCCGACACGCATATCCTTCGAGCTGGTCCTCCAAGAAGACAATCTTAGCCTTCAGATCGCTTTCAATCTCCGTCCTCCATGCTACCTCCTCGCTGACGCGAGCCTCGAATTTATCCTCCCATTCTTCGATTTCTCGTCGTAGCATCAAAATCTCAGTGTTTAAGGACCGGCATCCCTTGGAGATGAGGGGGTCCATGGTCGGCGACTGCATTGGACTGGACTCGATCTATTGTCCTGTGCAACTTCTGGTCTTGGGGGGGAAACGAAATAATATATCGGTGACTGTGACGTAACAATCACGCGCCCGCAATTATTGTATGCTCGCGATGCGCTTGACGACGACAGCGGGAATGACCGATCCTAATAGTCGACCCAGCATCGCTATGGACGAGGATAAAAGATGGCGATGAATGCCTTGGATGCTAGCGCACGATGTGTCCTCAGCAGCGCAAGGTGAGGACCTCGTAATTGTATTGAGCATAAGCCAGTAAATGTCCCCTTCTTCTCCAGGTATCGTGCACTGTTCCTCCCCACAAAAATCCGTCTGGGTTGCCACTTATTTAAGGAGAGTATAGCAAAAAAAAAGGTGACGGGGGTCCCCTTGGATATAATTGTTTCCGAGACCCGTTTTTTTCAAGGTTCAAACGGCGTATCACACAATCTGTGGGGCAAGAGATTGATATCCATGGTAATATCTCTCCCAATTGATGGTTAGCCCTTTTCAATTGGGACCTAAAAAAAAAGAAAAGAAAAAAAGACAGAAGCCAGCCGACGGACGAGAAATTGAAAGTGGCGTGGTTAGAGCACAGTCGAGACCGAGCTTTTACGGAATCAGCGGAGGATCTTCATAGAGGTGAGAGTCAGGGGCAAAAGGCCAGGGGACGAAAATAATAAGGAAACCCTACTTATGCGGAGGATTTATTTTTGGTGTCTTTGGTTGGCCTTCTGATATCAGCAATCAGAATACACTCAGTGCGGATTATGGAGGAGACGATGCAAACGTTCAAGCAACAAGCAGCTGTTCGAACATTCTTCGTTGTCTGTTTTCCTGGCCATGTAGCACTGTTACTAGATTTTATTCATCCTTATGCAAGGTCTAAACAAGAATCCTTCGGAGTAATAACCGAGGCAAATCATCGATCTGTTTGACGTCATGTAGGAGACTATTAATATGTCTTCGATGATAAAACGTTCAAGGAGAAATCGGACACCATCGACGGTGGTGTATACAGTTAGTCGCATAGTAATAGATACAGGGATGATGCATAACTGTCACACATCGCTGCTGCAACAGAACAGTGTCCACTAAGCAAGTAACTACAAGAGCTTCAGTTTGTACGAGACAGCAAAACTGACTGCCGAAAAGGCGCAGATCAAGCCCACAATGCCGAAGAACCAACCTAATCCGTCTGTGTCCCCACCCGGAACTGGAACGTTCATCCCGAAAAGCCATGTCAGCATATGCATTGGAGTCACGATCGTCGCGACAACGGTCAGCTTGCTGATAACGGAATTGATCTTGTAACCCATGCGAAGGTTCGTGGCACTCAGTTGAGCCAGGCAGTTCGCCTGAGACCGACGGACGATGCCGTCGAAATGCGCCAGGTTCGATGTGGTCGTGACCAGGTGGTCCTGGACGTCGCCAAGGTATAGAATAAGCTCGCCGTCAGGGAAAACTGGCGGCTTGCTGGAGGTCTGGCAGCGTTTGACAAACCCATTGAGAACGTCGATTTTACCGCTGAGGCAGCGGAGGACGAAGGAAATCTTCTTACGGAGCGTATCGATGCGCGGGACGAGGGACTTGACGTCGGCGATCCGCGCTATAAAGACTTGGTCCTCGATGGCTTCCACCTCACGCTGGGCGGCTAAAGTCAGGGGTTCGAAACTGTCGACGATGTCATCGCTGCATTTCTCATTGTTAGTGGATGCCCTTGCGCACAGAAAATCCCGAGAAAAGGTAGTATCATGTACAGTACATTAATGCATAACAGATCCAGTCCGCCGACAACACAGACGGAGCATGCATCTTCCGAATGCGATCGCGAACCCGGCGCACAAGTCCGCAGCCACTAGGAGTGAACGTGACGGCTCCGCCATGAAAGACGAGAATGTAGACCCCAGCGGAAGAGGGGAACGCATCCTTATCTTCACCGGTGACCAGCGTCTGAAAGGACATCAAGTAGTAGTTCCGAAACACTTCGACCTTCTCACGGGTCTCACGAGCGATGATATCCTCCGCGGTCAACGGGTGGATGGAAAGTGCCTGGGAAACGGCCTGTACATCCTGCACGCTCGGATCGCGGATGTCCAGCCACCACACGTCGTCCTCCGAGGAGGTCTTGTCCGGGAACAATTGCTCTACAGATTGCGACGGGAGCAAATCGTCCCAGGTGGCCGAGAAGACGGTCTTTTGGGTCTGGGAGGAGAAGTAACTGAAACGGTAGGAGGAGGTGGTATCTTGCGCCATTTTCCATCGGGGGAGCACAGATCCAGATCCGCTAAAGTCATATCCAGTCTAAGTAGGTACAGAAGGAGTAGGAGTTATCCACACGATTTAATTAACCCATGATAGGATGGTTGTATAATAGACGTTGAACAGGGCACTATCCGCCAGCTATAGAAACGAGAGAGTGATAGCAGCAGAATCAGATTATAAGCAAGGCCGTCATTGAAAAGAAGCGAGACCGATCGCTGGTTCCGGGGGATAAGCAGGCAGGAAAGAGGAAGAGGGAGAGAGGGGACAAAGATTTGCACTGCACGGGAAGGCCTCCAACAAATCACATGTTTTCCTTCGCGGAAACCTTGGAAAGCGTGGCGCAGTCTTGGCGCAGCTGCGTGGCTTGGCACAGTCCATACTGTGGCTGTGACGTGTCAGTCACATGATTGCAATCACGTGCAGGGATCGTCCTACCGTTTTCTGCAGGCGTTGTTAGTCGTTCACTCGCCCGCTGACGCCGACTTGGACCACCGAGGATAGTAGATGAGGAAGAAGACGATGACTGCTATCAAGACGACCAGGGTTGGCAGAAACATGAACGTGAACAGGAACAGGCTTAGGCCAACGGCCAACCTATGGCCGGGCAGAAGTTGTCGAGCCATGAGTTCTACCTCTGAGGTCATCGATACCAGTCGTTAGCGTTGCGTGCTGTGGCTTTGCTGTATTGTGGCTGAACCGAACAAGGCGACAAGAGTCGTGCCGGGTCGTAAATATGTAAATGCAAGAGGATAAGATACAGAGGCAGCAGGCAGTCTTACGGAGGCCGCGATCGTAGATACAGGTCAGGCAGTCAGGAATAACACATTCATTGGAAAGAACGGTCTTGGGTGATGGGGAGGTGGACAGTCAGGAAGACGAAAGTGGAGAGTTAAAATCGACTATTGCAACCGGCCATCTTGGGCCATTTTCAATTGATTAGCTGTCTTGTCGTACAGAAATGACCCTTTTATCGTTGGTGCTCGGCACGGTCTTTCTTGTCTTCGGGATCAATGATGCACGGTCACGTCGAGTGGCTGAGATGCGGAGTGAAACGATTCCACGGATGTCTGTGGGACAGTATGACCATTATGCTTTGCGTGGTGCAGCCCTATCGTGGCGTTGCCGGGTTCAGTCACGACGACAACAACAACCACCACCACCACCACCATCCCTCGCGTATGACGATTGTACGTCAGTTGCAATTCCCAACAAATCCCACCCGTGTTTCTATGAATAATGGCCCTGTTGGTTGGCCGCTACGCCCAGACACCATCGCGATCGCCGAGGCTGAACTCTGCGCCGGCTCATTGGCCGCTGCCCTGTCACTGCACGCTTCCGGCTTCACTGCTACTCCAGGACCAGATAACAGGTGTCAGAGCACAATGCCAAGGGGGGAAACGAGTCAATTGTTCGTCCACTCGGGTCGAGCGGTGATACCCGGAATCTCGTCACTCGAGGACCCCCTCGACTAATAATACCAAAACACAGACACCAAGGACTAGCAACTACGAGTAAGCGGCATGATGATCAGAGCCTGTCATAACTAGATTCTCTCAATTCCCTCGTCACGCAGCGAGCATTATGCAGAATCCCCACTGGTCTGTGGCGAGTGCGCCAACTGTCATGGATTGCATATCGCTACTGGGCGTTGACGGCTGAATGACGAGAGCAAGGGCCCTTGTCCACGGGTGTATGATCAGCTTTATGCATATGATCACTTGGCCAGCCAGACGAGATCAGAACCTTCCAGACACTGATAATTCCCGGCGACATGGATCTTCATCAGCCTTACACCGGCATGCAGCGGGGATGTGCAGCGCCGCTAGTTAACCAGAAGCAACCCTCATTTCGATCACCCGGGTTGGAGTCCCATTTCTCATCTCACATATTGGGGTCGTATGCACTTGGGCTCTGCGATTTAATCTAGAAGCCGCAGTGACTATGTGCCCAGGCTCGGGATGGTGCTATTTTCATGCTACGGTTTCATCGACCTTTGTGATAATTTGTCCCGAATGCCTGCTGCAATTGCGTATGGATCCAATTTCGTCTGGCGCAGAATCTGTCCACGTCTAATCGTCTAGTCTTAATTGATAGCCGTCTCGTGCAAATTGCTCTTCTGGCGGTTGCATCCCCTGTGCGGCCGCTCGCCTTATTACTCCTGCTGGGATTGAGTTATGCCATTCCCCGTGGACTCGTCATTTGGGGGCAAATTCCTTCTTTGGCCTACGAATTGTAAGGGGATGGGCGATCAGTCACCCCCAACTGAATCCGGTGGCTGACCAGATATCGTTTCCAGGTGCATGTGGTTCAGGGCGTACTAGACGACACGGACGTAACGGACGAGATGATGCGAGTGAGGGGAATGGGGCGAACGGGGGGAAACATTGAGGAGACCGAAGGGAATAATTAGAAATCGCAATTTGCTTTAATTACCGCTTGCTGATGGGCCATGGGCCTGCAATGAGACGTCAGAGCAGCCCGTAATTTCCTCTTCCTGCTGTCTGTTACAGGGCCGTGTTCATAGTGTCTGTTGGTAACGAAATACCGCCCGTACTTGGCCCGGTAGGGCTGAAGCTTGGCAGCGACAACTATTTCCTGTGCACTTTCAGCCACGGTCTGGGCATTCCCGTCTCGCGAATCCGGACGGCAGGACGCCACGCAATCATCCTGTCCATCTGGTTGTAGATTCTGCGCTGCGTGTGAGCTCAGCAATACCTAGCTTTCCATCAGGGCCGCCGTACGGACGGAGACGTGGGATTACTCCGTATGTAATTATTAATTGCGATCCATACTTGCTCCGTATTTTCTCATAAATGGAGACGCGTGGCAGCGGCCCACCCTGTATTGACGGGCTAGCGTCCGGGGGAATCCGACCAGAAACATAGTCAAGCAATCAGGGCAAATCAGGGTGGTTGAGAGAAGCATGGTGTTCCTGGTATTACCAATTTACCACTCCACCCTGTGCACGCCATTTCTTTGACGCTCCCTCGGCGGGTGCCGCGGATTCCTGTTACATGTTTATGTGCAACCCCGCTGAAATAATAATGATATGCATGCAGATGCAATCTGCGCATAAATGCCTCAGATAGCCAGGTATATTGTACGGAGCCTGGCCTTTTCCTTGTCACTTCTCTCTCTCGAGCATTCTTTTTATTTCTGATTTATTCCCCCCTTTTTGACGACGGCTATCGTCCAATACGCCAGATTTGGCGCGAGTGCCTCGCTAGTCTTATGTCACGGCATTCCTGACAGAAAACTATCTATGTTCTTGAACTGAGAGATAATAGAGATAGTGAATAGCGAAAGCATACTGATTACTTTAACCCCAATCCCCGTTAACCTGCCAGCTCCATTTTATCTTTGTTCTTCAAATAGCCGACACTCCGGTGGGTTTGTAGATATTATATGAAGCCATTGAAAGGAAACTAGGATCCATGGTTGTCGGGGCCAGCCCTAACAAGCGCCCTATGGATAGGGTTCCGGGACACCACCCGGGGATTCGGATGTTTACGCGCTGACCAGCCTGGTGTTCTCCTTCTCCGGTACATTACTTCGCTCGCTGTCAATTCATCAACAGCAGCATCCTTCCGCATCCGGCATCAGCAAGATGCTTGTGTTGTGCGATTCTGAATTCTCAGGCAACAATGCATGCAGGTTCCGCATAGTGCAGGCTGATCTGGACTTTGAGAAAAGACGGGATGGAGCGTCCTTCAATGGCTTGCTGTCTTCCTCGGTGTTCGGTTCCTTTCACCGGGCCAGCATTCGTTCTCTGCGCTCTACGAGTTTTATAATCTGCAGGGACTTGGATGAAGACAATCGGAGCTTTCTCTTGAATCATCATTCCTACAGATATGCTCGAAGCTGTTGAACTTCCGAAGTTTCCCGGAAAGATCCGAGATAAGATGGCGCGATCGTTATCTCCGGCTTATCAGATTGATCCCGTGCCAACTCCCCTCGTTGTCGTGCTCGCCTCTCGCTCTTCCTCCGCATCCTCTCTCCCTACAGGAAAGAAAAGCCGTGGCCAGGGATTCCGGGCAGGAAAAAACCCCTCTCCTCGAGGATGCCCTACCAGCTAATGGCGATTTCTACACCAGGCTGGCCCCGGAAACAGTGCGCGCCGTAGAAGATGACAGCATCCCCGAATCGGCCGTGTCCGGTCGGCATCTGACCCTCACGAACGCCTATATTCTGGTGATTTTGCGGGTTATCGGGACCGCGATCTTTGCGACTCCAGGCCTGATTTTGAAATCTGCTGGTAGTATCGGCCTTTCGATGCTGCTATGGGTATTCGGGGCCATCCTCGCGGCGACGGATCTGGTCGTCTGGCTTGAATACGGGTGCATGCTGCCGCGCTCGGGTGGTCATAAAGTCTACCTGGAATTCACTTATCCACACCCCGGGTTTTTAGCCTCCACTCTGGTGGCCGTCCAGTCTGTTCTTCTCCGCTCCTCTGTCGGAAGCTGCGTCGTGTTCGGCAAATACATGCTCTTCGCCTTTGATATCGAACAGACTGACTTTCGACTGGAGGCCCTCTCCTCCGGTCTCATGGTCACGGTTGCCATTATCCATGGCTGCTTTCATAAATTTGGCGTCTGGCTTCAGGATTTAATCGGTTGGGCGAAAGTCTTCATGATCATCATCATCGCCCTTATTGGCATGTACGTCGTTGTGTTTTCCCAGCACGGCCATCATGCCGATACGCCGGATACCAACATTTTGAACTGCGAGGTCTTCTGGAAGAACTCGGACTGGGCCCTGGCTGGCATATCGGCTGCCCTATTCAAGGTGACCTATGCCCATGCTGCCTGAACAATGCCAACAACGTCATGAACGAAGTCAAAAATCCGGTGCGAACATTGACAATCGGCATTCCCGCCGGCCTCATAACGGCATGTTCCCTTTATGTCTTGGTCAACCTAGCCTACTTCTTTGTGGCGCCTGTCGATGAAATCAAGTCCAGTGGAGAGTTGACTGCAGCGCTGTTTTTCAAGCGAGTTCTCGGTGCGAAGTTGGGCGCAACTGTACTACCACTAGCAATTGCATTATCAGCAGCGGGAATGTTTTTGTCGTTGCACTCGGCATGGTCAGTATCCATACTATCCTTGTGTGATTAGACCTAATAGGTTCAGGGTCGTGTGAACCAAGAGGTAGCCCGTCAGGGCTTCGTACCACACTCCCACCTGATCGCCTCATCCCGCCCATTCAACGCACCCCTTGGTGGCCTTATCGCTCATTTGATACCCTCGCTTCTTGTCATCCTCCTCTCGCCTTCCGAAGATGTCTACAGCTTCATCCTCGATGTAGAAAGCTACCCTACCAAATGATGCTACCCGCCATTGCTATTGGTATTCTTATCCTACGGCGCAGGAGGCCCGATTTGAAGCGTCCATTTAAAGCCTGGCTGCCTGCTATGTACGTCAGAATACTTGTGCGTCTTGTCCTACTGGCTGCACCGTTCTTTCCACCGGCAGACGGCAAGGGGGATGTCAGCTTTTTCTACGCGACATATGCCATTGTTGGTGTTGGAATGTATGTGCCTATTTTTATCCCTCGCCTAGCTGCTAAGTGTCTGGTTGCTGATGCTCTGAAGCTTGCTCTTTGCTGTATTATTCTGGTATGTATCGACCGTCTACCGTCCGCGCAGACGTGGATACAGGTTGGAGGAAAAGGCCGAGGTCCTCGAGGATGGAACGACAATTACAAAGCTTGTGCGCATAAGTATTTAATGCCGAAGTTTTATGAGCTTAGAGGGATTTGCATAGGGCTAGCCGGGGACTTGAAAGCTATGCATAGACGGTTGCTTATAGAGGCTTTTTGGACGGTCAACATATCATATATTTAGGTATCCAATTCCCGCTCGGCAGAACCGGTCAAGTTATATATACACTTCCAAGTAGATACATACGAACTATCCCAGTTAGACATCTTCAGGGCCGTAATTGCGTTTTCGCTTCCGCGTACTGCTGGCCAGAAGCTGCGCCGCTGGTCCAGATGCATCATCGACTACCACGATTTTCTTGAAAGGCATTATGCCCTCTGCAGAGCATTCCTCCAGCACCAACGCTCTGTATTGAGGCAGCTTCATTAGCCCACCCGCCAGTACCAGTACGCTACTACTCGGCTCGCAGATCTGCTTCGTTGTCAGCGGCTTGATGGTCTTTGCCAATGCCCGCGCGGCATCTTTCAGAATAGCAAGGGCCCGCACGTCCGGACCCTGGCCCTCTTCTCGGAAACCCAGCTGTGTGACTACTGTTGCAAGACTGGCAATTCGATTCTTGGGCTGCTCGCCAGTCGTGCCTCCGTGCAGGAGATACGGAAGCAGTTCCGCCTGACTACAGTTGAGCCGGGATAAGATCTCTGCTTCGAGAGGTGTGCATTGGTTCTGTCTTGACGCAGTGCTGCCCTCGCCTTGTCTCTCTTCTATGCCTGCCAGCATAGCCTGCACCGCTCGTTTCCCGATGTCAAATGCGCTGCCTTGGTCCCCCAGAAGACAGCCCCAGCCGCCTGTACGGCCAACACGGACGACCTCGCCGGTGGCTGTGGACTTCTTGAATGCCGTAGCCACTGCTCCGGTTCCTGCGATCACGGAAATTCCGCCGTCAACGTTATCGTCGATGCTAATGTATGATTTTAGTAGGGCATCGTCGCTGGATAATATGAGACTGCCCGCTTCTACGGAAGCGTTGAATAGCTTTTCGAGCCCGCTCGCTACTGTCTCGCGGTCGTATGCGAAGTACAGTCCGGATAAGCCTGCCCATACTTTGGTAAATCGAAGGGGATTGTCGGTTTGCAAGATACGGTCTGGAATAAGTTCAACGGCTCGTGCGGTGGCCAATCTGATATTCTCCATCAACTCGTCGATGGAGACCGAGTTGACATTACACGCGCCTGAGGAAGCGCGGGCAACAATGCCGGTTTTGGTTGCAATGGAAACCTTGCAGTTTGTTCCACCGCCGTCGATGGAGAGGAAATATTCTTGGTCTGACGTATTTCCTATCGGAATGCGGTTTTTGGTAGGAACAGCGCTGATTTTATCGACGAAAAGGCTCAAGTGTCCGTCTACCGAGTCGAGATGATCCTTTGCAGCAGCTGGAGAGAGACCAGAAATCGCAACAGCACAGGCTAGCTTGACGCTTCCTCCGCATTTCTCGATGAGCACGTCGAGTTTTGCATCACCGTCCTTATCTTCGGGCATCCTGATGGCATCTGGTGAAGGGATCCCCTTCTCATCGACAACGTACATGGCGGATCCCTCGCACACTTGGCGTACTATTCTTCTCCCGCGAGCCTTGAGTTTGTGGTTCTTCACCCGCACATCGACCATTAGGCCCTTGTACGTCTTTCCTAGCCTGACCATGGAGCAAGTACTGATCATGTTGAGGATTTGCTTTGCGGCACTGCCAGCCTTCAATCTGGTGCTCCCAGCCAGAAATTCGGGGCCGACCAGTGCTGAAATACAGTGCTTGACTCCCAGCCTGCCGATAGCAGAAGGATGCACGTTGGTGATGCCAGCCGTCAGCACGTTTCCCTTCTTCAGTGCTACTCTCAGCGCCCCGAGGACAAAAGGCGTTCGTCCTGATGCGGAAATGCCTATAACCGTATCGTCAGCGGTCAATTGCATGGCTTCCAGCTCCGCGATGCCATCTTGCTCGAAATCCTCTGCGCCCTCTCGTGCCCGGATAATCGCCTCAGCACCACCGGCCACAACGGTCAGGAACTGTTCTGGCTGCGCCGAGAAGGTCACGGGCAGTTCGCTGCAGTCCATAAACCCTACTCGCCCGCTATTGCCGGCGCCGACATAGATGAGCCTGCCGCCGGCCTTGAGTCGCGGGACGAGATCATCGATCAGTGCCGCAATCGTCGGCACGCACTGCGCAACGGCAGGTGATACCCGTGCTTCTTCGCTATTGAATGCGGCGCATAGGGCCTGGGTATCGAGGGAGCCGATGGTGCGTGCCAACGGGCTGGAGGCCTCGGTCTGCAGCTGGCCCAGGCTTTGTACACCGTTGATGGCGCCATTGAGCACTATATTTTCGTGAGAGCCCATGCTCGCGTATTGCAGAAAGGAGAATTAAGAAGTCCAGCCAATAGGCTGTATATATAGCTTCGATGGGCGATATGATGCTCATTCTTGTCATCTTGCATCCGGATCTCGCTACCGACTTCCGGGGACCGAGATCCGCTTTCGTGCGATCCAGATTGTTTGGCATCAAATCTGCGATGCGATAAGACGGTATATAAGAAGCAGTGTATAATACTGATCCGAAGCATGCTGACCATCTCTTTCTTCCTTTCCCTTGCATTTCACAGACCTCTTGGTCCATCGCAAACCATCTCGGATGGCTCTCCTCAAGCCATTCCGGCGACAGGCCACGGCCTCCGACGACGCTGCATCCAGGAACATCTTATCCAAAATCTACCATGACCCGTGGTTCCAGATTGTTCTTATCTCCTTCATCTCCTTCTGCAACCCGGGCATGTACAATGCGCTAACCGGCATGGGGGGCTCTGGCCAAGTCGATGGCACGACGGCCGCCAACTCGAACGTCGCTACTCACGCGTGCACGGCTGGTGCTGCCCTGGTGCTCGTGGGCGCTTTCTACCAGTACCTCGGTCCTCGACTGTCCTTAATCCTGGGCGGCTGGACGTATGCGCTGTACGGCGGTTCGTTGCTCAACTTCAACCGCACGGGCAACGGGGCATTCGTGATTGCTGCAGGCGCGCTGCTCGGTCTCGGCGCGGCCTTCTTCTGGGTCGCCCAGGGCACGATCATGGTGACCTATTGCGACGACAGCTCTCGCGGACGAGCGATCGGCATCTTCTGGGTCGTCTTTAACCTTGGCGGGACGATTGGATCACTGATCAGCTTCGGCCTGAATTACAATTCGAAGTCCGGCACCGTCTCCGACTCGACATATATTGCCTTCGTGGTCGTCATGCTCTTCGGCTGGGCCTTGTCGATCTTCGTGTGCTCGACCGAATCTCTTTCGGGAAAATACAGCGGCGACCGCATCGCAGAGGAGTCCAAGGCTCTGAACCTGAAGAACTTCCGAACGACAATCATCCAGACGCTGCGCATCATCTTCGACTGGAAGGCCATGTGTCTCTACCCCATGTTCTTCAATGCCAATGTCTTCTATTCCTACCAGCAGAACAACGTAAACGGGATGACCTTCAACCTTCGCACCCGCTCACTCAACAGCGCACTCTACTGGATCGCCCAAATGGTAGCCGGTATCCTCTTCGGCTACGTCCTCGATATCAAACCGCTCAACCGTCGAACACGTGCTATAATCGGCTGGTCCATCCTCTTCGTCGCCGGCATGGCCATCTGGGGCGGCGGCTACCGCTTCCAGGTCTGGGACGACAGACGGCTCAAACAGGGCCTAAAGCAAGACATCGACTACAAAGACGGCAGCATCTACCTCGGTCCCATGTTTCTGTACTTCTTCTACGGTGCATATGATGCGATCTGGCAGTCGTATTGCTACTGGATCATGGGCGCGCAGTCACATAATCCCGTCGTCAATGCTGTTATCGTCGGTGCGTACTCGGCGCTCAAGCCTGCGGGCGGTGCGATGGCGTGGAGGGTAAATGCGGAGAAGGTCAAGGCTATGACGCAGTTTGCTATGAATTGGGGGTTGACCATGGCAAGTTTGGTGGTTGCTATTCCTGCTGTTGTTTTGGTGCGGAGGGATGGGCCTCCTGTCGAGGAGACGGGGAGTAATGTGGAAAAGCAGTCGGTTGCCTTGGAGAAGAGTCAGATTTAATAGGCTTAATCAGAGGTTATTGGTTGTATATTATATAGTAGGAAATATATACATATATTGCACCGAGAACCTGAGCGTAAAGCTCAAAATAGCCATCAACTCCACGAGCTAGTCTACTCTGCATATCCAAATACCTGTGCTCCCTCCCTCTTTGCCAGACCGTTAAAGAGACCATACAGATCACTCAGAAACGACCGCGTCGTATTCAACCAAGGCTGCTGGCCCGCCGTAGCCTGGCAGGCATCATTGCAAACAGCATGGTTCTTCCCACCCCAGATAACAAACCCATCAAGATCCTCATTCTCCGCCAGCGCCTGTAACTCCCTTTCCCACAGATCAACGGGGAAAAAGGTATAGTTATTATGATATTGCGGCCACGTGTAGGGCCAAACGGGCAAGCTGCCATTGATCTCCTTGATCACGCCGACAACAGAATCAAGCTTCTTCTCCCAATCATCAAAACTATCCGTAAACGTATACGCAGACGGAAAAAAAGCATGCCGACTATAATTCGCAATCAAACTGCGGTAATGCCCATACATCGCCGGAATGGTATTCCCCGACAGACCATACCAGCCGATGATCTGGTTGGGGCTCACCACGTCCGCGGCCCAGGTTTGCAGCGCGGACATGATTTCGAGATTCTGGTCTGCGTTTTCTGTGCTCGTGAAGTAGATGTTCTCGCAGTCTAGGACGAGTGGGTAGCCTGGGTGGATGTTCCATTCGCGGACGATGGCTTTCCAGGTCTCGGCGGGGGGTAGGACGGACCCTTTGGTGAGTGGGTTACAGACGTACGCTGGGATCCAGTTTATAGGGGTTGCGCCGTAGCCGATAGATGTGTTTGTGTAGGCTGTGTTGTCGAACACGCGGAATTGGGCGCCGTGGACTAGGGCTCCGGTGGCTAGGGTTGCGAAAAGGGTGAGATTGGAGAGCATCATGCCGGGTGAGTGAGATCTGAGATAGATTATGAATGGTTGTAATTATGTGGAATGACCTGGGAATAACCTTTCATCTTAGTCGTTTCTGCTGTGTAGATGTTATTTATATTGGTGCTCTGCTTATACTTCGTTGTAGGTACTATTAATGATTATGGAGAATATCCGGAGATCAACGGAAGTCGGCCGACATCCGCTTATCGATAGCCGATAACGACATATCTCCCGGTAAGCACGCGACGGCGGCTGCGTCAACCGCGGCTATCATCTCTTACTCAGGAAACTCAGGAAAGCTGCAGCTCTATATACAGCGTAGACACGTCGCACATCTATGAATCCATGATCGGCATAAGATGACCCAGCCGCATGGAGTCTGTTAGCTGTCTGATCTGCCGCAGGCGTAAGGTTTGTATTGATTTCCGCGTAACTTCTCTGACAGAACTGGTCCCATTCCTGACTGCTCCCTACAGATCAAATGTGACCGTACGCCAGGTGCCTGCCATAAATGTCGCAAACTAGGCGAGCAATGCGTGTACTCGGTAAACACAGGAGCGGACTTTCATGCCGCCCATGCCTCCACCAGTTCCAATGACTATGTCACTCAGGCAGGCCTTAAGAGGCGCCGGATCCTGCGCTCCTGCGTCGAGTGCAAAATTGCAAAGGCAAAATGCTATGGCAGTCCTGTCTGCGAGCGCTGCGCGAAGAGGAGTCTTGAATGCTCGTTTTCGGAAGCAGCAGCGTGTTCGCGAGAGGATGCGCTGCATCGGGATTTTAATACGGCTGCATCTGCATCTGACTCCGTATCTGCCTCTGTGCCGGCGTGGCTGATGGATAAACAGCTGCCGCCCATAGATAGGTTGCGGGAGCTGGTTGATTTGTATTTTGCTCATATTCACTCTGTCCGGTGTATGGGATTTTTGCACATTCCTAGTTTTATGGAACTTCTCAAGGATTCCGACCAGGTTTATTCTACGGACTCTGGACTCATCTATGCAATGTGTGCTCTTGCAGCCCCATTCTACTACGCAAAGGTAATGGGAGTGAATGGCGATGATCTTAATCTTACAATGCGCTTCTTTGAAGCTGGAAAGGGCTGGGCGACTACCGCGATGAGCCTTGTGTTTTCAAACTTTGGCCGCCCTGGAATCGAGAGCCTCATGACGGATATCTTGTTGCATGAATATCATTTGCGTGTTGGGGACTATGCAAAAGGGTTTCTCATCAGTGGGCTTATTTCCAGACACATGCAGGTGCTGCAACTCAACATTGAACATGACTTCGATATCCTTTGCCAGAAGAACACAAGCGTGTCCTGGGCTGTGAAGGAAAGCAGGAGAAGGCTGGCTTGGACTTGCTATCTGTTGGATGCCTTTATAGAGTGTGGGATTGACCAGTTGCGATTTGTCTCTGTTGATGATATCCAGGTCCAGCTGCCCTGCGTGGAAGACCTGTTTGTGAGAAACATACCATGCGTAACAGAAATGCTGCCTAGGGGGAAGCTGCTGCCCTTTGTCGATGCGGCGCAGAGCAACGGTGCAGCTGACAACCTCGACCTGCGAGCATTTTACATTCGCGCTATGGATGTCCGTTCCAAGATCTTGAAATACGTCAAGCACCTGGAGGGTGAGGTGCCGTGGGATACTGGTGGACGCTCACAGTTCAACGCGCTTAATAGAGAGCTTGTCAACCTCGAGAACTCAATCCCCAGCAACATGAAAATATCTCCGGAAAATACCTACCTGTTCAAATCCTACGGTCGACTTAATCTGTACTTTGGCCTGCATATTCTCATTTCCCAGACATTCAACGATCTGTATCGCGTCGGCGTGTCGCAGCTGGTCTTCCCCGACACTGCGACGAAATGGATCCGTGAGAACGCGCCGGATACATTCATCCGGTTGTGTCACCGTACATGCGCCAGCAAGGCCGTCTATATCGCTTCTCTCCTGAAAGAGCTCTGGAACTGCCACCGACCTAGCATCGTCGACGTTCCCTACATTGTGCACACGCAGGTATGCAGCAGTGTACTCGTCACCAGTCTTCTTTCATGGCCCCATTCCGAGCCACCCCTTCCACAATACTCCCATCGCAGCTATCAGGAACTACTCGAGAGCAATGTCCGGATTTTACAATACCTACAACGCTACATCAAGGCCGATGTGTATACCGAGTCGGCCAGCCAGGCCCTCAGGCGGTTCAACATGGCATTCTCACCCGAAGGTGCACCCCAGCGCCTCTCACCACTCACAGAGGAGAACGTGAATGATACTGGAACAGCTGCTCCTCCTCCTCCTCCTCCTCCTCCTCCTCCTCCTCCTCCTCAGTATTCTCTGGAGTATATCCTCAGCCCACTAGGCACATATCCTTTTGCGCGCAAACAGGTGTATGATCGGCACAAACCCGAGACGAGCGGGGCGGAGGATGCTGCGACGCCTGCGGACCATCAGCTGGGTGTGAACAATCCTAGCCCAGCTCCAACTCCTAGTGTCATGCCGGAGATGGGCAACGGCTTGATGAGCTCAGGCGACATCTTCCTCACCCCCATATTGGACTGGGAGTCAGAAATACCGCTCATGGACGGCATGGGTTACCCGACGTTTCTGGAGCAGTATTCGCAGGGGCAAGAGGGGGTCCTTCGGACATGAGACGTGATGAACAAATGTGTGCTCAATGGTGTGTGGTGTGTTAGATTAATACGGGGCTGTTACGGCAGCCGTGGCAGCTGGTATGGGTGCGTGGCAGTAGTGTGTTACTAGCGTAATACGTCGAGCTCTGCTTTAATTAGCGGCAGAAGCGGGAATTACCAGCCGATGGGCGATGGCACGAACTAGCGCCTTGTCTTACGCAGCCCTACGCCAGCGCACTGTTCGTTGCACCAGTGACGGTCATGTAACCTCGGTCATCGGTGAAGCCGGCCATTGGGCTGGTGCTGGACGGCTTCCTCTAGATTCTTTTTCTTTTCTCTGACAGACAACTCATCTGCTATGGGTGCACGGTCGAGGTGGGAATCCGGCACGTTCCTCCAGGCATCTTCTTTTCGGATTCACTCTGAAAAAGTCCCCGCAGAACTTCGCTCTCTTTCTTCCTCCAAGCCCTCACCGCCTGCCTCTCCGTCTCCCGGGAATCCCTGTTGTCCCTCTGCCGCCGGTCGTCTTGAGAATGACTTTCATCCCCGGGTACAGCAAGCTTGGGTACGACGAGAGCGATAATTTCGGGGTCGACTGGGTTCTCCAGTATCAATTCAACAGTACCGGTATTTGCACAGCCACTCCTATAGTCCCTTGTTCTTCTTGTCCTACCCACCTACATACTGACATCCTCACAGACGTAGATGATGCCGTGGATGAGCTCCGCAATCTCATCTACGAACTCGAGGAGGCCGGCCTTCGCACCCAGGTGCGCCATGGCCCTGGGAATTCGTCGCTGCTGGTGTTCATCAGAGTTCCCCGAGATCGCTTGGAGAGCATGATGTATAATTCAAGGTGAGGCTTGCATCATTATCCCTTTTCTGTAACGAGCATACCCTAACAGACACTCGTGGAAATAGAGTAAAAGACTATCTGTTTGGAATCGTCCACCATCTTCCCGTGGATGGCAGTCAGCCCGTCGTTGCAGCGAATCCTGCGGAGGAAATACGATCCGTCTACCATGCAGTCACCTGGCAGAAAGAATTGGGCGGTGCGGGAATCACACCAAAGTTCGGGAAATGGAAGAATGTCGTGTCGTCGTTTCCGCTTCACAATCAGGCTTCCAACGGGGAGCTGTTACGCCGGTGGAGCAAGACGACTACGTTGACCGAAAGTGATCTGGATGCTATTCGTGACCTATTCGGTGAAAAGGTAACCCCTATTTCTCTCCTGTATTCAACCTATTCTGACCCTTATTGTCCCAGGTCGCATACTACTTTGCGTTCATCCAGTGCTACTCCCTCTTCCTCATCTTCCCTGCGGCATGGGGCATCATCTGCTGGCTTTATTTCAGTCCGTACTCGATCGCCTTTGCTCTGGCGAACTGTGTCTGGTGCATTGTCTTTGTCGAGTACTGGAAGATGCGAGAGACGGACCTAAGTCTCCGCTGGGGCGTCAATGGCGTGCGCGCTCTGAAGGTGAATCGTGTCCAATACGTCTGGGATAAAGAGGTCAAAGACCCGATTACTGGTGAAATCAAGCGGGTATTCTCGACCCGGAAGCAGCTTCTTCGACAGCTTCTATTAATTCCGTTTGCCCTGGTGGCCTCTCTAGCCTTGGGAACTCTCATCGTGGTGACTTTTGCCCTGGAAGTTTTCATCTCGGAACTCTATGACGGGAATCTTAAAGGATATCTCGAATTTCTTCCCACTGTTCTCTTTTCCCTCTCCTTACCGACGATCACATCCTTCCTGACGATGATTGCTACACGGCTGACCGACTACGAGAATTATCGGACTAGCGACGAATACGATTTGGCACATACACAAAAGACGTTCGTGATGAACTTTATCACATCGTTCTTGCCAACCATCTTAACCGCGTTTATCTACGTACCGTTTGGCGAGAGAATCGTTCCATACCTGTCGCCAATCAAGAAGCCGGATATCCACGTCGACCCCAACCGGTTGCAACAGGAGGTGATATATTTGTCGGTCACAGCCCAGGCACTCAACTTTGGCGAAGAAGTCGTCCTTCCGTATGTCAAGCGCTCCCTGTGGGAGAGATGGAGGGAGTACCGTACGCAGCGCCAGAAGGTTATGAGGCCTCGGACTTATTCCATGCGCACCGACATGCTGATCGTCGATCCTCCGGAAGAAACGGCGTTCCTGAAACGCGTCCGCAACGAGGCAGAAGCGGATAAATACAGTGTGCAAGACGACATCCTCGAGATGTGCGTACAGTTCGGCTACCTGGCCCTCTTTGGCGTTGCATGGCCACTGGTGCCGCTGGGCTTCCTCCTGAACAACTGGCTAGAGGTGCGCGGAGACTTTTTCAAACTGGGCCTGGAATGCAAGCGACCGCCACCGACGCGGACGGACACCATCGGACCGTGTTTGCAGGGACTCGAGTTCCTCTCGTGGCTGGGCACACTCTCGTCGTCGGCCATCGTGTACATCTACCGCGGCAGCATGCAGGAAGTGCGGTTGTCGTACCTTCTGCTGATCGTCTTTATCGCCGAACAGTTGTACCTGATGGTGCGTGTGGCTGTCCGTGCAGCATTGCACAAGCTCGGCTCAGATACGGTTCGTCGCGAGGCGGCCAGGCAATACGCCGTGCGCAAAAGCTACCTCGAAGCGCGCATAGGGTCAGGCAACACGGGTCCATCCAGCCCATCTGGAAAGTCCAAACCGGCAGTCCGGTTTAATGAATACGTGACCGTGTACCCGCCCGATACGGACACGGACACGGCGAAGGCTGGCGATATGGACGGTATAAAGAAGGAGCTGACTGCGGGGATCTACCGACGCACGTCGGAACGGGGGACAGAGTTCTGGTCGTTACAGCAGACGAGCGAGGAGGCTACGCAAGCGGGCATCAAGCTGATCAAGGCACTAGGGTCGACAAAGCATTTGGAGCCAAAGCATAGGATGACTAAGAAAGAGTAGTGTTCACTAGTTAGCTATAAATGTTATAAATGTTATGAATGTTGTAGATGTTGCAGCTGCCATAAAACAAGGATATACCGATTGGATATACCGAAGCCGGACTTGCAGTGAATGAAAATCTACATTTACGGAGTAGTGTGTATAGTATAAGAGTCGACTCGGTAGAGTGATGTTGATGCGTTCCTGCGAGGAGTCACGGGGGAAAAGGCTACCCAAAATAAAACAGATCCAATCCTATTCCTGGCGCATATGAGGCATTTCTAGCAAGCAGAATCCCGTTAATACGGACGATATCGCTCCGTGTCGATAATGTCTCATTTTGTTGATGCAGTTGATGCGTAACGTGCTGATCGCTTTTTCACTATTTTTGATATAAATAGCGCAGTAAATAACAGCAAATACAAGGCAGCAGGATTGTTATTATTATATGTGTTACAGAGCAGCCATGGAATACAGCTAATATTACAAGCGCGCAGGATAAATATATAACTCCCCCAGCGCCATTTCCGCCTCATTTCCCGTATGCAGTATCCCCGTGTTTTCCACGGCGAAGCTTTTGCTAAGCCTCTGTCTGGAAGCTTGGCCGTGCTAGCGTGCTCCCTTCAGAGCCGTTTGTTCTGGAGCTATCGATGTATGCATTCCATGGCAGTCTTATTAGTGGCAAACACGGCAAATAATGAGTGCCATCGACCTGTCCCCAGCAGGGGATCTACAGATAATCACAGTCAGCATAATGTCCATTCCGGTAATTCGCATCCTTTGCGGCCCACCATTTGGCGCACAGGGGCATAGTGCATAGTGCTTAGTCGGTCTTGCTTTGCATGTTCATTTCCTCTCCCTTCTTCCAGGCAGCTCTGTTTTCTTTGTTCTTCGTGACTCGTGCGTCGTTCTTTTGCTGCTGCCCGTGCTTTTTCTCGCTATGGTTCTTTCTGTTTGTCTTCCTTCAGGAGGGACTAAGTGCGTGGATATCTCCATCCCACGCATGATATAGCTTTCTATTCTGCTTTCTTTCCATTTCGTCGGTCCATCTATCTCGTTCCCTTGTACACATAGTAACCAAGATGGATATGTCCCATCTCCATACGCGACACCGAGACGGAACCCTAGAAGCATTCCCCCACGAACCCATCTCCATCCTCGCCCCCTTTTCCGCGCTCATCATCTCCATTGTCCTCGTCGTCCTCTTCCTGATCAGATACTATGTCCTTGAGGGCTTCCTCATCGAATGCCTCTACGGCCGCATCTACACAGACCTGACTGATGTCAACCGCCGCGGATTCATCAACCACCACATTGCCGGTACCACCAAGATCATCATCCTGGTCGTGGCGGCGTACCCGTTCATCGACGTCACTTTTGGCGATGCCACCTTCCACACGCCCTATGTCAAGGGCTCTGTCGTGACGCTGGGCGATATCCTGGTTGTCGTGGCCCAGATGCTCATCGCTATGTATATCTTTGAGCTTCTGTACCGCGTGAAGTTGTCTCCTGTGGCCGTGCTGCACCATATCGGCACTATTCTCATCGGGCAGACCGCGATTGCGATCAGTTTGCGGTTGGATCGGGAGCCGGATGCGGATTATGAGTTTGTCCTTTGCACTGTTTGGGGTATGTGTGTCTCTCGCCGGTATATACACTATGGCATATGTATGCGTGCGCGTCTCTGATTTGAATCACAAGGCGCCTTCGACATCGTCTCCGAATTCTTCCCCCACATCGCCATCATCCTCTACCGCATCTTTCCCGGACGACACTCCTTCCTCAGCCGCGTCTTCCTCTTCTCCTGCATCACCACGGCAGCGGGAACAGCTGCCGAAACCATCGTGACCATGTACCTCTTCGGCAGCCTGTGGTCGAAATGGCAGCTCGCGTTCAAAATCACCACGCCGCTTTTGCATCTGGCTTTCTCTGTAGCGCAGGTGCACGGAAGCCTTGTCTTCTGGCGCATGTATAAGCGACAGGATCGGTTGATGGTGGGGGAGTGCGATGCGGAGCGTGCGGGGAGGCCGGAGGGGGATTACACCGAGCATGAGGTTGAGATGGCCGTTCAGTCTGACGGGGAGATCCGGAAGGTTGCGCCGGCTGTTTTGAGACGATGGTGATTATTGAGACGTTATTTCTGATTGGAAATTCATTTGTTCTACAGCGTGTACAGTATATACAGTAATATATGTAGGTGATTATCCGGATCAGCCCTATAGGGCATGCCAAGGCTGCCCTCTTCCGCATTCCAATGGAAAAGCGCCCGGGTATAGGGAGCAACGTCAGCCGGTGGATATGGGTTATTGTGAACTCGTCCGCTAGCGGCGTTATTATTAGAAGATCTGCTGGACTATGCCATGCTATGCGACCTTGGAGAGGAGATGGTGGCATTACTGTTTCTGTTTTCCTGGCTGTCAGCTGACTAGTTTCCTCTTCCTCATTTTCAGCATTTTCTCTCTCTCTCTCTCCCCTCCTCCTCTCCCTCTCTTCAGCATTCCGTTCTCGCTACGCTCACTCAGATATACCCCGCCTGGTGCGGTATATTCCATCTTCAGAACATTGACTGTTCAGCCCCCTTGCCGCCCTCCTTTTTGTTGTCTCATACCCCTACACAGTCCATCGAATCCATCAGTGATGCGCTAGAAGCCGGACTAAGATAATGCGAACCAGCCTGTCATTGCAAACATAAATTCCAGGTAGACTTTTTCTTCTTTACTACCAAATAATATATAAAAAAAAAGAGGGAAAAAAATGGAAACACAAGATCGTCCCCCTCCCCCAATAACACCATGGTTACTCCGAGGAGAAACCGACCAAACACTCCAGGAACCATCCTCCCAGACCGAGCTACCATCCGTTACGATAGTCCGACAAAAACGCGGCCGGTTTCAGTTTCACCTCCAACGACAACCACAGCGGGGGTTGAAAAACAATCTTTCTGCGGGCGTGGGGTACCTTGAGCTGGCTAACGCGGGGGATTTCGCGGCGAATGTGTGGAATATCATTCCGGTTCCTCCTTATGCGGTTGTGTTCATGGCCATTGGCGGCGCGGCGGCCTTGTTGATGTCGTTGTTTGCGTTGAGGGATTTCAGGCTGAGTTGGGCGAATGTGCGGCTTCTTCTTTTGGAGAGGGAGAGGCTGCGGAGGGCGCTAGATGGACAAAGGGAACAAGAACAAACTGCCACTGTTGCGGTGAACAATGAGAAAGATAACGAGACGGTACGGCTTCTGCGCAGTCGTCTCGGCGTCTGTCTCCGGGAGATCGGGACGGAGGTCATCGATCGCCTCATCATGGATGCCCTGGGAGGTGTCGGTGCCGTTCTCGTCGGCGTGGGCACGATCATGGCGATCTGGGGAGCAAATCCGACCATCTTCCACGCCAGTAATTTACTGTCAGGGTACGTAGGCAACTCATTCACCACGTTATTCGGTGTCCTGAATGCCATCTGGTCCGCGTACCTTTTCCTCCGATACCATCGACACAGTGCAGCGGCAGCGAGGAATCCCACCATGAATGCCTTCAGAGATCGGTACCGGCTTCGCTTCTTTCATCTGCAATGCCACGCCGTCATCAACGGTCTCACGGGCCTAGTTGCCGGTGCAGCGTCCATGGTCACCGCAACAAGGTGGTGGGGATATGTGATGTTGATCCCGTGTATTCTTTTATCCATATTCTTCAATTACTTCTGGCGCTGGAAGCTCGGGTACGATCGACCTCTGTGGAATGAGTCCGAGTGTGAACGAACCAGCAGCCGCCGCAGCCGCTCGTTGTTCGAGGAACTGGAATACGTGACTACTATCCATAACGCACTGGTGCAGTCGGGCCCCGATTCCCTGTCTCTGACTCTGTCTACTGTGGACACGGGGTCGCTGGAGTCGATCCTAGGATTCATCGTCGGCAATGGCATTTTCGAGGACTTCTGCGCGTGGATTAGCCGGGATGATGACGGTGAGCTGCTGCTGCGGAAGCTTTTTCCGGCGTCGGATACAAGGGCTCTCTTGTGTATTACGCCGGGGGGGTTGTTGAAATTCGCTGCCAAATCGGATCCCGACGATGACGGTAGGAGGGAGCTACTCCTTGTCTCGTCGCGGAGGTTCCTGAAGGATGCCGGTAGACGTGTTTTCAATTATCGGGAGCGGTATCTCCTGGAACTTGCTGGGTATGCTGTCTGGAGAGACTCTAGGGGTAGGGAATAAAAATGAATTGTGCAGGACACGAGCATGCATGCGCATATAGCATGATTCAGGGTATCTCGCATATATGAAAGATGTACATAAGAAAACAAAAAAGATTAGAATAAGCATAATCGTAATCATAATCAGAAAGGGAGGATCAAACCATCCGAAACACACTCAATCTATCATCCCTTCCCTCATTCTCTGTCACGATCATGATCCTCGAACATCTCAAAATCAGTCGTAATGACAACCCCATCAGCCCCATCCTCCTTCTTCCCCTGCGACTTTTTCCCAGCATGATCAACCATCTCAAGCCCCTCCCCATCCAAACCAATCCCATCCAACACCCAGGACAAACTCCCATCAGCACCACGATACGCACGGGCTCGAGCCAGACCCCGCGATCCATACATGGAACTATTTCCAAAGTAAGCATGATCGATCCCATCATTACTATAATTGGCATCAATAGTGCCACCGTTAAACGTCTGATACGCAGCACCAGGCCTCGATAGAGACTGTGGATGGAACGACCTTGCTATACCGGACCGGCTAGCATAGTTGTGGTTATAGTATCTGTTTTTCGAGCTGGAACTGGCCGTCGAGATTATGTGGAGGATTTCCAAGATGCGTTTGACGACCGGTTTTATGGGCGGGATGCAGCTGACTATTAGGATTATCCAGGATTCGGTGGAGCCCCAGATTAGAAGGAGGGATATCTTGTCTATAGATTGTTTGTCAGTTGTACTTACACATCTTTCTATGTATATATAGGCGTGTATGTATGTATGGATGTATGCATGGATGGATGGATGGTGGTGCTTACAGGTTAGGTCGGATGGATCCATTAGGTAGCGGATTTGGTAGGTTTTTATGGCGGCGCAGACGGCGGCACTAGATAACTATAAGTCAGTTTAAGGATTACCGACTAAGACTCCTATACTTACATCCACCCCAGTCCCATGAGGAACCATAGCCCGATTTTGACACGTAGTTCCATCTGTAACTTCCAGAAGAGATGGATCGGGTACGCGGCTAGAAGGGCGTCGGAGAAAGCGTTGAATCCTTCGAAAATTAGCATTCAACCATATACATGCACACACACACACAATGTTATCCATCGCATGTAGAGAGCATACCAGCTTGAAAAAATGAATATATCTCATTCACCTTCCTCCCCGGTTCACAGGTCCCTTGGATCTCCGAATCCCATATCTTCCGCATGGGTCGACACTGCCCCAACATGGTACCAAAGTCGACCACATTGATCGCGATGAGCAGGATACCCAGCGTCCAGAAGAACCAGGGTCTGCGTTCACGGAGGCCGCGGATCTGGACGAGGAAGCCCATGATAGCCAGCTTGCCCGTGACGCTGGAGGCGACGGCGAGGATCTGAAAGACGGCGGCCCATTTCAGGGCCTCCGTGGCCTCATGGTAGGAGAGGGCAGAGCGGTGGCGGCCTATTCCGGTGTTGAGGGAGAGTTGGAGGATGATTTGAGCCGTTAGCTGGATGGCCTGGCTTATGCTTAGCACGGACAATCTCATTCACAGCACAGCCGACATGTACATGAGATGGCATGCGTACAACTGTTAACGCAGCAAGATGAAAATCCCACGCGAACCGGTGTATCAGCCGCCAGTTATTGATGAAGCGGAGGATGAACACCGTCAGGCCCAGGGCAGTCCCCGTCCAGCTGACGACCAGGATGGCAGTGGCATACCCGGATGTCTCTGACGCTGACATCGTCTAGATCAGATGCGGTGGAGCCGCGCAGCTATGCAAAATGTGGAGGAGCATTGTAGCGATTGAATCGGGGTCCAGGAGCCATGGTTCGCATGTATTGAGCTACTAATAAATGTTTCCATGATACCTGTCAGATCAGACAGAAGCATGCTCGGCCGCTGATAGATTTGGCGAGAGAAAACCGGAGATAGCGAGCGGCCGACGCATCGATTCAGCGCTGATGATAACTCGATCCTACTCCTCCTGACAGCACGAGATCGACGGGAGATGGTGAACGTGGCACACTTCAACGAGATCTGCCATGGACGAGACGCCATAGGACCAAACGGGAGAACTAATGCATATTCTCAATCCATTTCTTTCCTTCACGCTCCCGCTGATCGGAATCAGCAGCGACCTCAGGATGACCGACAAATGTCTGCTGTCAAGAAACGCGGCTCCTGCGCCAGATAAGCGACGGCACGACGGTAAGGTCCGCGACGGCGACGACCGAGAGAGCACGGCAGAGACCGATGATAAGCTGATAGATCGGTACCTGATGCTATCGTTCCTCTTCTGTTTTCATTAGCTGGTCGTGGTGTTGAAGATTCACGGAGAAGTTAAATGGCAGTTTGGGATGGAAAGCCGCGCTCTGCGCGCGAGCCGTGGAGATCGTTCCTGCGCGTCTCATCTGCTCTTGATCTCTGCACGTGTTTGGCGTGTATCTCGAGGTATCGGTGTTGATCCTGAGGAGCACTGCAAGTCCTAAAGTCTTGGGACATGGCTCCTCCATCCTTGCGAAATGCTTTGCCTGTGCAAGCCTGAAAGCCTCCGTACCTGGATGCCACCGTACCTGGATGCCTCCGTACTGCCGATGCCATGCGTACCATGTTAATCCTGCATTGCGCTTCATGAAGAGAAGACCTGAGAAAGGGACGGCCTAAGAGAGGAACAATAGGCTTGACAGTGCCTGTTCCCTGTGCATACAGCTCGAGCACGATGGTAGCATTTGACAGCTGCCACCTTGGCTTGCATTTCTCGTTGTTTCCAAGCCTCACGATGCCCATTCATCATTCCGGCGATTCTTCTTCCAAAGCTTCTTTTGACTTTGAGGACACTGCCACTGCAGTGGTGACCGTACTGCCACCCTGCTCAGCCACGGAGCAGCAGCAACCCACGGATTGACTGACATCAGGCACGCTGAACCGGGGAATCATCACCGTAATAAGCATGCTGATTTGCGTCCAGCCACTCGTGCAGCTATTTATAGCGGATGCAGTGGAGAGAGTCAACTTTCCAGCCATCCCGGCGCCGCAAATCACATCGCTGCTAGCATCGCGTCTTTTTTTCGCTGGAAACTGGCTGTGTCTCATGTCGCTGAATGGCTGACGACGACATCCTCCGGCTGCGACGGAGATTGGCACGATCGTGGGTTCCTGTGTTTTTTTTTTTTTTTTTTTTTCCGCTGGTGATCGCCCACACCGTTGGTGCTGCCATGGCTGACGGGTCTGAGTTTGCCCAGATCATTTCCTTTTCCTTCGACGAAGAAGAGGCAGGAAGAATGGAAACGGGCCTCGTTCGCCGTGCGGAGCCATGCGTCGTGATCTGCGGCTTTATGGAAGGTGGAACGTGGCTCTTCGTCCCAGCAGCTGCATCCTGATTCCTTCCTCCACAGCCAGGGGGTATAAAGGCTCGCTTTTCGCCCTGTTTGTTTCATCACCTTCTCCCCTCACGGAATCCATTCTAACCGTCCATACTATTCTTTACAGAGTACACTTTACAGAGTACACATCAGTCCTTAAGCCATCCTTTTAGCTGCTTCCTCGCGCCACCGACACAACACCATGAAGATGCAACTATCTCTCCTGGCCTCGGCCTTCCTCCTCCTCTCCTCTGCCACCGCGCAGCTGGACTTCATCAACTCCATCGTCTCGGACGTCGAAGGCATCGCTGCCACCGTCGGTTCGGCAGGCGCAAGTGCCGTCTCCGACCTGAGATCCAAGGCCACTGCTCTTGCCGCCGAAGCGAAGACCGCCGCCCCTAGCGTCGCTGCCTCTCTCTCTTCCGAAGCCGCCGCATTGGCAACCAGTGCCGAACACTTCGGGTCGTCCGTCGCTGGAGGCGCGGAGACCGCTTATTCTGACCTGAAATCCGAGGCCTCGTCTCTCGAGAGCGCTGCCAAGACTGCCGCCTCCGACGTCAAGGCCTCTCTGACCTCTGAAGCCGCCGTCCTGGAGTCTGAGGCTGCAAGTGCCGCCTCCAATGCCGCTTCTCGTCTGTCCACCATCACCGGAACTGCTAGCTTCACCACTTCTGCTTCAGCCGGATCCGCTGCTACAACCGGTAGCTCCGGCTCCGGCTCCAGCGCCGGCGTCGCCTCGAGATCTTCCAGCGCTTCCGCTGCTGCGCACTCGTCTACATCTTCCGGTCTGGGTGTTGCTCGTCCCACCGCTGCTCTGGGTGCCGGATTGGCTGGTTTCCTTGGGGTGGTTGCTATGCTGTGAAGTGCCGGAGATGGCCATCACTGTCCACACCAGATGGAGGGACAAAATGCACATACAAAAACAATTAACTTTCAACGCATGAGAACGAATTTCCTTTCACCGTCCGCTGCATTTTTATATTCTTTCAACATGTCTTTTTATTATTGATTTTGCATTCAACGGAATGGGAACTGGGTAGTTATGGGCGTGACATGCTCTGTCTTTTCACTTTCAGGCATGGGTATACTTTTAGAATAGCATTCTAGTAGGAATTCATTTCCCTGGCTACATTGTCATTTTTTCTGAACGCTCCTAACACAGCAAGTGGCCACGTGCGCTAGCTGACGGTGACTATGTAGAAAAAAAGGCTTCATTGATAGAATGTGTCTTAACTATAACCTCCATTACTATTCATCGTTACCTGACGGGGCTATTGGCCGGCGTCACCTCTCAGAAAACTTCTAGGGGGTATCACTGATATCTATGCAGGGCTCTTCTGCAGGGCCCAGGATAGAGAGAGACATGAGCTAGACGTCTCTATGCAACGTGGCAGGAGAGGCATTAGCGCACGCGCACTACACTTTTTATGTCTTCAACAGTGGCCAGCTGCCTGCAACATTACTCAGGAGTAATATCAAGCAGTGCCTGCAGCAGGGCCTCCCAGGTTCTTGTGGCATGCGGACCAGCTGAGACGTCTTGTTCACGAGCTGCAAGGGGAACTCTACAGGACTACAATGTCAGAAACCGTCGAATGCCCCAAATGCCAGATCGACATATCTGAAGAGGCATCAAGCTGATTGCTATCCTCTTTAAGGAGATCTTCTACTCCTATACAATTGGGATTACAGCAACTGAGCCTCTTGCGGCCAAATATGGCAACCCAGAGAGGGCAGCTGATTCGATCAATGACACATTACTCGGCCATACTGAGCATTGAACTGCGAGATGACTATTGGGAACCAGATCTGCAACGATGGAGAATGTGGTTAATGAACAACAGCCAAGAGTCCGTTGTCTTCTTGAGGCTATGGACGCTATATCGCGGCAAAAGGAGGGGATGGGGAATGCCAATACATCTTTGGGTTTTCTGTCGAGGATATCATAAAGCCAGAATATCCTTCCGGCAATCTTCCTTTGATGCTGGCTAGAGTCATTAGCAGAAGTGCATGGAGTGACGGCCAGTTGTCTACAACAGGCGAAACACTGTTCTCGGCATCATTGCACACGGGACAATTCAGACGGTGCTGCCAGTTCTATAAAACAATCGTTCTCACCCTCCCTACCAACTCGAGCCTTTCAGTCTGCTAGTCGTTCAGATCAAAGAGCTTGGGCGACTTGGGGGCTCTGTCAGAGTGAAGCGATGGACTTCCTTGTGGACGGCCATGAACTCAACTGAACAAAAGGAAACCGTTTACATCGTTTGATATCTCTATCCAAACGTTGGTTCCTACCATGGAATTCTAATTGCTGCAGGGATATGCCTCCCTAACGCGATATCTATATCTTCTCCAGCACAGAGGTATACATGATGTCGAGTCATGGCTTGCAGATGATCTCCTTGTTCAATCGGGGTCAGCGAAGACACGACCCTTTCTATGTCTGCCCTTGCCTGTTTCACTATTTCTTTGTCCCCGGTTACATACCTCCATCGATTGACAGAGATCCCGATCAAAATGGCAGCAGGATGCGAGGAGCAATGAGAGAGGATGGAACACCCTTATCTCAACACGCTGCACGATTGCGCCTAATGCTCAAAATTGGGCCGGCAGTTCGTCTAGCTCTCGATGCTCGTGGATGGGTCGAGACTAGTGTTCTGTTCAACTTTTGAAGGAGTTCTCGCCATGTCGCCAGAGTCGAAACATGCCGGGTACTGGATATCACCATGAGGTTTTGGCAACGACGCTCTCGCTTGCCTCATCTTATAACTCATCAGTCACCTTTCTTAGCCTATTGCGTCGACGAATTCATTGTGAACAACTTATGTCAACAGCACCGTCGCAGTTACAGGAGACCTAACTTGACCGGCATCCAGGATTCATCGGTGTAGCAGGGGAAAGAGGAGTAGCTTCCGGGACTATTTGACCCTACAGTCAATGATCATTGTCGGAAGGGACGTGGATATTGACAATTAACTGTCGACCTGTGCAGCATGCTAAACGCCACTCCGCTGCTATGACATCTTTTTAGCGCGGCATTGCCATTCCATGCCCTTCAACCTCTCTGCTCGGCTTCCAGTCGGAACATTAAAGAAAGAGAAGGCATGCTACCAATATGTAGCCTCGTGGACTTCCCACGCAGCGCTGTGTCTGCACTGCTCAGCGTAGTGCTGACGTCGTCGGTTGCAGCTTTCAGTCTCTTCCGGGCCTCTTGGAACAAGAGATGAGACAAGGATTCACGCAGCACAGTGAACGCAAGCCATGCCCTGATGAGCATCGCAGAACCGTGGATCTGCTGAAGAATTACTAATGCAGACACTGCGATTGAGCCGAAACAGGATCGTATGATGGCTGTGGAGGGAGCTTCTCCGCGGGAAGCAAACGAATCTTCACAAACTCCACGGACACGGAAGGTTCCGGCAGCAGCAATCCAATGGCTCTCTGTGGCAACGAGGGAGCCAAGGACATTAGGTAACGGGACGGCTTCATCCCAGGCAGATGAGAAAGCGATGGAAAGAGTGGCCTGACAGCCGTCTCGGTTGCATCGCAGAATCAGCATCTGTGTTGATGCTGGGCAGGTCTCTCCAATATCGATGATGGACGGATATTGATTGACTGGCGGCTTAACGAGGATGCTTCGACTTAACAGGATGCTCAGCACACGCAGAGACCGTTTTCCCCGGATTCTAGACAATTCCTGGCGGCGACAACGAGATGTCAAGTTCGCTTCCTCCGCGGAGATGCTCTCGCAGTCCCAGACACTCCATCATCGGATCACTTTTTCGCTGTTTGTCGCGGCGAGAAAAAACCTTCATCTGGGAACTCGGTGGCGGTGCGGTCGTGGTATTTAAATACTCTGGATGACACCGTCCTGACGCAAACTTGGCCGTATCTGCAACATCACACTTCAATCCATCCGGAAGAACGCTTATTCTCCAGTACCAGTGTAATAAAAAGAAAAGGGAGGAAGAAAACATGCCGCTGACCCCCGAGCAAGTCAAAATCATCAAGGCCACCGTGCCCGTCCTGCAGCAGCACGGCCTGACCATCACCACCACCTTTTACAAGAACATGATCAATGCGCACCCCGAGCTGAACTCCGTCTTCAGCACCACCCATCAGGTCACCGGCCACCAGCCCAAGGCCCTGGCCATGGCCGTGCTGGCCTACGCGCAGCACATCGACGACCTGGGCGCTCTCGCCCCGACCGTCGAGCTGATCTGCACCAAGCACGCATCCCTCTACATCCGACCGGACCAGTACCAGATCGTGGCCAAATACCTCCTCGAAGCCATGGGCCAGATCCTGGGCGATGCACTGACCCCCGAGATCCACGACGCCTGGGCGGCGGCCTACTGGCAGCTCGCCGACGTCTTGATCAAACGCGAAGAAGAACTCTACAAGCAAGCGGACGGCTGGACCGACTGGCGCGACTTCCGCATCGCCAAGAAAGTCCCCGAGTCCTCTGAGATCACCTCCTTCTACCTGGAACCCGTCGACGGGAAGCCCCTCCCTACCTTCCTGCCGGGCCAGTACATCAGCGTGCAGCTCTTTGTCCCCTCCCTCAAGCACCTGCAGGCCAGACAGTTCTCGCTGTCCGAGAAACCGCGCTCCGATTACTACCGTATCTCCGTGAAGAGAGAGTCCGGCGTGGATCCGCGGGATCCCTCCGCCGCTGCGCATCCGGGGTGCGTGTCCAACCTACTGCACGACGAGTACACGGAAGGCGACACGCTCAAGGTCTCCCACCCGCAAGGCGACTTCTTCCTCTCCGCCGCCGAAAGGGACGGCTCGGGACCGATCGTTCTCGTGTCCGCGGGCGTCGGTCTCACCCCGTTGACATCCATCCTGAACACCCTGACGTCCTCCGCGAACCCGGCTGCCACGGAGCGGAGAATCCACTACATCCACGGCGCCCGCACGTCGCAGGTCCGCGCCTTCAAGTCCCACATCCAATCCCTCGACGCCAAGTTCCCCAACCTCCACGCGACCTTCTTCACAAGCCAGCCCGTCGAATCGGACAAGCAGGGCGTGGACTACCACCACGCCGGCCGGATTGACCTCCGCAAACTCGACGCGCAGCGGGATCTGTTCATCGACGACCCTAAGACCGAGTACTTTGTTTGCGGTCCGACCTCGTTCATGGCCGACATGAAGAAGGAGCTGAAGGGGTTAGGCGTTGGGGAGGAGAGGGTTAAGATGGAGCTTTTCGGAACAGGCGGTATTCCTCATTGATTTATTCTTGGCACAATTTTTCTTTTTATGTTTGGAATGACAATTAGATAGGCACTTAATGAGCATTGAGTATAATAACTAGTTATTGTCCGTACATTGGATACGACGAGGATCATGATTAGACAACAGGTCATTTTGAAGATGGCCTCGAGGAATGCGCTTCTTTCAGGTGGTTCCAGCAAACCTTGCATTGCGGGATATTCTTTTACTACTTCTGAAAAGCCCTTGATGGCAGTTTGTAGTCCAGCAAGCCGTATTGCGAGAGCGATGACTTCGCCGTTCGCCTTCGGCACAAGGACATTTGCGGAAGGCATCCAGGACCCGACTTGCACGTGAAGTTATCTGATCGGCAACTAGGTTGTATTTAGCATTTCGTGGGCACTGTATATATAGATGTAGCTGAGGATTGTTAGGTTGAGAAGAACATGGAATGGGCAACAGACAAGAGAGTTGAAGGCAACAGGTGAGTCAAAAGTGAAGTGGATCAGGGGTGCGGCGTCGGGATATCAAATACTAAAAGGAAACCGTAGGATTCATAAGATTGAACGCTCTATATCAATATACTGCCGTCTCTAGTACATTGTGAAGCTCTTAGTTGACATACTTAACGCTTGAAGCTCTTGTATATGCGGGATTCGGGAACCCGTACCTTTCCTGCCGGAACATATATACTCCGGACCCCGTGACTGGATTATTAGATAATCCGCTTATCCAAAATTGTTGGATCAACTTGCTTGTATTGTATTGTATCTATCTAGGTTGGTCTAGCTATTTTAGTGTGTCAGGCCAAGCGAAGGCGGTCTAATATGGCAGAATACACGTGACCTCTACCAAAAATACTATTTATATTCCTCATCAAAAAGTAAAATGTCACGTTGTCTAGCGGCGGTCTGCCCGTGATATGGTTGGCAAGTCGTAAAAAGATCCAGTCCTTGAACACAGGCCTCAAAAAGGCGCAAACAATGGATCTGATGGTCATTTAATGCAGTGGAGTTTGCGGACGAGTGGTGATAAAGTGTCAGGTCAAGTCCAATCCAAGGGAGAGGGAAAAGAATCTAGACGGTTCCTGCAAGACAATCACAGGGTCACTACAGTCAGATCGAATTCAGAAATTTTTTAAAGCTTCCTTGCTGGAAAACGCCAATTACCATTAATATGCAATCAACTGAAAATGATAGTAAAACATAATCAACCACCAAGAACCAGAGTCTATCAAATCAATCAACCAAGAATATATCTATAACATAAGCCGAGATCGTCATATCTTCTGTTGTTTGTTACTTCGCTTCAATGCATGCCATCATCCACCTCTTAATCGTAAAAAGATTATAATAGTATTTCGAGAAGGAAAAGAACATTTATTGCTTGGCGTTACGCTTGGCGGCGGCTTCAGCGGTCAGCTTGAGTGCAGCCGGGGCGTCCTCGAGGGGCATGTAGAGCTCGACAAGCTATTACACCATTAGCATCAATGCATTGACTACTCGAGTGGGATAAGGAGGGAAGGAGAGCATACCTGGAAGCAAGGAGCGGAAGCAAAGGCCTCATCGGCGAAAAGAGCTTGGAGCTGGGCACGGGTCTTGACCTTGTGGGTCTTGTACTTGCCGTGGTCGTTGCCGAAGGCCCAGACGAGCTCGTCGTGGTGCCAGAGCTGGATGTCGTTGTATTCGTCGTCCCAGCCGTGGATGAAACGTTCGATTGTGTAGCCGTTGTTGCAGATGACGAAGCTATTCATTGTTAGTTCGGGTTAATTTCAATGTCGGTAAGAAGGGGAGAACATACACAATAGGCTTCAATCCCTGACGGATCATAGTGCTGATCTCCTGGGCGGTCATCTGGAAGCTACCATCACCGACGAAGAGCAGGACACGGTTGTCGCCCAGTTCCCGAGCGGCAAGGGCAGCACCCAAGCAGGCACCGACGGAGTAACCGATGGAACCCCAGAGGACCTGGGAGATGGCCTGAACGTTCTTGGGGAAGCGGGTTTCCCAGATACCGAAGTTGGCGGTACCGGTTTCAGTGAGGACAATGTCACCTTCGCGGAGCCAGTTGCCGACCATGGGCCAGAGCCATTCGTGGGTGATCTCTGCGGTTTCGTGGTCAACACCGTTGGCGGGGAGGGCGTTGGAGGGGGTCGGGCCAGGCTCGATGTTGAGTTCACCCATGGTGGCGATGAGGTTCTGGAGAACTCCCTTAAGCTGGACTTCGGGGTAGTAGGAGTAGCGGACCTGGACGCTGTCGCGGTCGAACTCGATGGTGTTGAGCTGGCTGGTGCGGTAAGAGAAGCCGGTGGTGTTGAAGTCGGACTGGAGAGGTCCGATGTTCAGGATGAGGTCGGATTCCTCGACACGCTCGCGGACGCCCTTGTTGGAACCGGTACCGGCGTAGACACCGCCGTAGTTGGGGAGGGTTTCGTCAACACCGCCCTTGCCCATGGGGGTGATGAAGGTGGGGATTCCGGATTTCTTGATCAGCTTGTGCACCTCAGCCTGGGCATTGTGGCGGTTGACACCGGCATCGACGAGGATGACAGGGTTCTTGGCAGCGTGCAGATACTTGAGAACGACGCTGACGACGTAATCCTCCTTCTCCTTGGGGTTCTCGGGGAGGGACAGGTCAATGGGGGTCTTCAGGCGGGCTCCCTCAACCTTCTTGGTAACCATATCAGAGGGTAGACCGATGTAGACGGGGCGGCTCTGGATAACACATTCCCGGAGAACATGGTCGATCATGGTGGCGGCGTTGGCGGGGTCTCTGATCTTAACGACGGAAGTGGAGATCTGGGCAAAGATCTTCTCGAAGACATCGAAGTCACCGTTTCCGAGGGTGTGGTGCAGAAGCTGGCGGTTGTTCTGGGATGCGGTGCTGGGCTCACCGACGATGTGGACAACGGGCACCCGCTCCGAGTAGGAACCGGCGATGGCGTTGGCGGCAGAGAGCTCACCGACACCGAAAGTGGTGATCAGGGCAGAGATGCCCTTGATACGAGCGTAGCCATCGGCGGAGTAACCTATCCCGCCCATTGTCAGTTTCGGTTTGGATTTGGATGCTTTCCCGAGGATCTGATTCGCCAAAACTCACCAGCATTCAGCTCATTGCAGTTTCCAACCCACTTGAGGCCAGCCTTGGGGATGTAGTCAAGGGCGACAAGGTTGTAGTCACCGGGGACACCCTGGATGGAGCGGACACCAAGCTGGTACAGACGGACATAGAGGTATTCAGCGATATCAATGGGGCTGACCAGCTCGGAAGTGCGAATATCAACGTCACCCATTTTGGGAAGGTAGGTAGATAGGTATTTAAGGTAAAGATCGGAAAAGATCTATAGGAAAGGGTAGAATATATGGTCGATTGCCAACGACTCTATAAGAAAGACTGATGATGAGAAGAATGATAGCAAAACATGCTTCGAGGGACCATTACAGGGAACATATATACCCCTTCAGCGGCGCTATCTGCCAGGAGCTGGACAACAGCCGGTGGGCCAGCATGGCTCCTGATTCGTCATCGTGGTGTGATGATGGCCTTAGGAGAGGATGGATATGGATCTTCCAGGGCAGAATGGACCGAATGGAGTATGGCATGCCACTCAGGAGATCGGGGAGGGTCGACAGTAGTCCGAAGACAGGAGCTGTCGAGAAAAAGGATCGGGATGCCACGATAATTGACGGGATGGATCGATCGATGCGATAGCAAGTAAGCTTTTCACCCAGCAACCTGGCGGTGGTTCGGCATCGGCTACCCAAGGTAAGGCAAGGATGAAACACCGGCAATGATGTCAGATACGGCAGAGATTTTGCTGCCGGGAAGAGGCGAGCTCCAGCGCGTTCCAGACAACCCAGACATAGTTCATCGACCATACATAGCCCAGTACAGCTACTACTATTGATAGGCACTGCGGCAGAGATGCGGCTGCAGTGCGGGAGATTGACATCGCAAGTCCCGACTACCGATTCTCGGAAGAATCAAGGAAGACAGAGAGCAAGGGAAAACTTTTCTTGCTGCCAGGGTGGCATCCAATGTTCCAGCGACATCCCGAACGGCAATTCCTGAAAAATCGTACCGTGCAATCTTGCCATATGCCGAGCAAAGAAGGCTACGGTGAGGGAGAATAGAATAGGGTGTATCTCCCGGTCTATCAGCACTTGTCACACCACGAGATAAAAAATTTTTAAAAGAATTTTCCAGTGTTATCGCAGCGACGCAGCGCGTATAATCTTGCCACGATATATATAGCAACCACTTAGCTCATCATCCCGAATCGGTGAAACAATTCGGGATAGGGGTCCCGATTTTGTAGTGCCGTCGACACGGCTTGCCGGTCGGTTGAGGATCACGATCATCCACGGCCCCGGATCATTGGTCTTTCTGTAGCTTGCCATGTCAATTTCACTTGGCAGATTATCCAAGATGATTCTATGCTGCATCGTCCCGCATCGTATCATATCATATCATATCATCCTGGTTGCCTCATCGATGGAGCTCCGATTCCCTGACACTTCTGTCAGGCCAGCTCAGCGTCGATATCCAACGTTACCACGGATCGTTTCAAACGGATGATGCCTGGATGATCTGTCCGTTAGATAACTCCTACGTACAGGAAACAGGTATGTAACGGTGGCCGGATGGGATAAGGAAAAAAAAAAAAAAAAAAAAAGAGGGGAGGACACGTCCCTGCAATCCGGTGATGCTGAAACCCTGACTGATACCCGTATCCATGACATGTCGCGATACATAGCTTGGCTCAGACAGACAATGGATGTTGAGTCCAGACTAGATAAGTCTCGTTGGGCATGGATACGTACTTGTACCGCGTAGTTGTTGATGCCAGAATTGATGCCAGAATTGATGCCAGAGTCGTGAGGAATTACATCTACACTCCAGTCGCATCACGTGGAGACAGTCGATCGGCACTTTTCTACTGACTTAGATCCTCGAGTCTGGAGTGTTATCGCTGAAGTTGTCATGCATAAAATATCAATCAAGACTAAAGTAGATCATGGTTTGACCGATCAACGGCATTATCATTATTCGACATAAGTGGATCACTGTATATTTTACAGTATAAACATAACTGTCATGGATATCGACATGATCATCCGAGTAGGAACAGGAGAAGAGTACATTGTCCACAAAGGAAAGGTTTCACAAAGAAAATTCGTCACAAGCCTGACTCGATCCAGAATCAAAGGATCTGTCTGTGTCTACCTTTTTTTCGGTATTATTAATATTACCACTTTTTTTTTTTTGTAAATTTTTTTTTCTCCTTTTTTTGGTTTCTTCAGGTTCTCTTGCCGGCGGTGTGCCTCCAGATGCCACCTGGGAGAAGGTTCTGCTTCAGAAGTGCTAGTTCTTTCTGAGCGGCCCGATTCTCCTCTTGTAGCTCTTGGATGTAGGCAATGGCGTTGGTAAGGATTTCCGATTTCTTCAACGAGGCGGATCCACCCTTGGATGTCTTGGCCACACCGTTGTTAGACATGGCCTTTTCCAGGGCGACGAACTTGGCGTTCATGTTGGTGCGATATCGCTTCTCGATGATGTTGTGCGCTGCCCTCTTGGCGGCGTTGCGCGAGTTGGGGCTGGTGTTCTGCGGGCTGGCGTCCGATGGTGTGCGGGAGACCTTGCGGCCAGTGTCTGGTGCGGGGTTGGCGTTGGCCTGGGCGGCCGCGACGGCTGCCATCTGTGGCATGAGGTCTGGGCTCGATGACCAGCGATGATGTTTGGGGACTGGTTGTGTTGCGGCGGAAGCAGCCATGCGGCGGCGTGCTTCCTGTGTCTGGGTGCTGGGGGTCCATGTCTGGACTTTGGAGAGCATGTTGTCGGCGATAGGGGAGTCGAGAGGGGAGATCATGTGGTATGTGGGGGACCATGCTTGGTCGTCACTCTCGTGGTCCTGAGAAGCGCGTTAGTGGGGATGATTGTGGAGAGTTTGCCCGCCGCTTGTAGCGGGGTAAGAAGGACATACTGAAGACATGGAGCCGCTGGAGATGGCATCCTCGGCAGAATGATCTGTGATGGCAAAGCCACTGATACCGGCGGGCTGGCCGAAGGAGTCGACATTGGAGTAGTCCTTGGATTCGAGGTTCATCATGTCGTCGGGGACATCCAACGCGAAGGTGTCGGGCGGCACCATGGGGTTCATGCTGAACAGGTCGATCGCGCTGTCGTAGGACCAGTCGTCCGATAGAGGGTCGGGACCCTTGGAGGTGACGGGATATGAAGAAGCTTCGATGGGACGACCCTCTGGCGTGGCAGTGGTGGTGGGATTCATGTACTGGTCTGCAAGCGCGAAGGACGCGGGAAGGTTCGATCGGGCATATGCCATGATATGTATGTGTGCCTCAAAGAGGAGGGGTGATGACAGGAGAGAAGAGTATTATAAGAGTAAGAAGGATAAGAGAGGAGTGCCTGGTCTAGAAGAGACAAGAAGACGGGAATGTCTGATGATGATGATGAAGCAGATAGGTCGGAGAATTTCATGCCTCATGAAGCTGCAGTGCCGTTATATATCGGGAATCCATCGCCCAGGCAGGACCAAAGGAGCAGCCAGACGTCAGGGACTCCATAATGACAGACATCATCCAAGCCGCAAATAACGGCAAGCAAGCAGTGATGGATCAGTGGCAGACCAATGGCAGTGGCTGTGGACAGAGCCGAACACAATGCCGGGAAGGGCTCCATCCGCACATCGTGTCGTGATCTGGAAAGCTCCTTTTCCTTGGGAGTGGGCAAGGAGTGGGCAAGGAGTGGGCAACGAGTGGGCAGGGGGGGGGAGCAATGGCAAAGATTGAGCCAGGGTGCAGGCATAGCAAGGCCGGAAGTCTATTTGGAGTTTCTCGTGCGAAACTCTGCCTGGGGTGATGCCGGCGACAATGCCCCGAGAGTCAGTTTCTGCGTTCGTGCCCTGTCGGCGGCGTCTGGCGGCCGGCTCCGACATGTCACGGGACTTGCAATGGTTAGTCAGAATACGCGCGACCCCGAAGGTTACCGTAGGGGTCGGTTACAGTGTATAGTGTACACACTCTGCACAGTGCACACAGTCGACACAACACCAGAGTTCATCGATCCTTGGCTGGAACCAACTCCTATTTTCCGCTTCATTTGCTTTTGACTTTGGCGCCAAGGTGACGCCTCCTCTGAGACATCGCTGACTCGCCATCGGCTCTCCCCTGGCTTCGACGACTGCCTTGCTTTGCCGCCTCGACACTTGATTAATTCATATCAATATTCATCGATATTATTGTTTTTTATTCTTTAATATCCAACGTTGAATAATATCGCTATTCAATACGAAGGCATCGGGAATTCTCCATACTATTACTGCACGAGATGAGTCTAGATCGACTCTAATGCCCAGCTCGATCGATAGAAGTGACGTACCGCGCCACACGTCGAACTAGAGTCGCAGACTTGTCGCACCTTCACCGTCCGTCTGTTTATTTTCCGATGAAGATCAGACGGGACTTGACTGCCGAGAGCAGTCTCTTCGTCTTGGTCGTAGATATTATCCAGCGTACAATACTAGAATCTCCCTGCGCCGTACCGGGTATCCAGTCCCGACTACTCTATACCCCGTAGATCCTCGATGCATCTAATGTGCAGCTCACCCCCATGCACCCTGTCGCTTGGGGTGATGGCGATAGAAACAGTTACGTCGATCGACAGAGCTCCCACAGAGTGGTGTGATCCGGCAGAGCAGCATCGCGGGAAGCCACCAACTTTGATCCTTCCGCGGGCCATGGTTGGGCAGGGCTTCCGGGGGTTGTCGCGCTAGCCGGGCGTTATTCTTTTTTTTGCATCGTTGCATGCATGCACTGAGGGATCCCTGGCGTCTCTATCAGATCGGCACTTCATTTATCTCGTTGTATCGTCGGTAGTTGAGATAGATTAAGTCATCCCCCCCGCGGCGAGTAACGGTGTGCTAGTACAACTCACTTGGGCGACATATATCTGCCATACAGTAGAACCTCGATGCGGTGACAGCAAAAAAGCAACAAAAGACGGGAAAGGATTCAGGAGGAATGTGGAATCGATCCTTCCGAGCAGTCGTGTCGTAGATTTCTGACTGACTCCATTACGGTGGACATAGCCCCTCCCCTTTTTATTTTTTTTTTTTTTCTTTGTTCTCCGGACGACTTGCAGTTTACAACACATACCTGGTACGTGCGGAACTTACACTTCCATTATTATTATTGTCATTATTATTCTTAGCCGCTCACCCGTCGATAGTCCTCCCTGACACACGAGGGCGACATAGTACACTCTAGCCCTGTTTATTTGCACGAGTTGCCGAGTGCGTCGCAGAATCCGCACGCATGAACTAGGGGGGCACTCTCCGTCCCTACTTACAGGATACTCCGTCGTCTAGTCTGTACGACTCCAGGGATGAGATGATAATCACAAGGCTTAGGTATGATTATTCCGTAGGGAGTAGGTACCAGATTGCAACGGCGATATTGCACTGGCCATGCCAGTTGTCCTGCATATTCACCGTGAACAATGAAATCCATCCATCAGTCCAATCATAATCCATCTCCTGGATGATTATTTGCCTGCTGCTTCACCATCCTCGGTGTTTGCATGTGTACGCATAGGAGTGAGTATTCCTAGGCGTAACCCCCTGCTGACTGCGGGCACATGCAATCAATATCTTCCCCCCTAATCCACTTGCAAAGTCCAAAGAAGAACTCTTCCGAATCACCTTTCCTTGAAGTTGATGTGATGAAATCCACATCCAAGCTCGTAGACTATTGCCGACATCCCTGAGGGTCCTCCACTCCATACGGTAAAGTTCACTTCAACAACAAACGAAACCCCCAGGCGGCAAAAGGAGAAACACACATAACTAGTCCGAATACTATTCGACCCCCTTAGGTTCTCCCCGAGTCATGTTTCGGCCGGGAGGGGGGGGATTGTTTTCTCTTTGGCATCACTTCGATTTCATCCTTGCACTGGACCTCGGCCGCATCCCGCCTGAGGAAACAAGGCAGGATTTGTGTCATTGTCTCCGTGATACTAGCAACTTCTCCAGTCCTCGTCGTTGTTGGTAAACTGACTCGTATGCGGGTCTAGAATCCGTAGATCGATCCGTATGCAGCTCGACGGGAAATATTATTGAAGAACTCTCGCGAACGTCATGCCCGAGTGGCCTCATAGCTATAGCTGCAAGCCGACAGTTCGTTCCGTCCCGTATTTTTATCTAAAGAGATACTAGAATGGTGAATCCTCCTTATCTTTCCGAGATAGGTATATGGTGTGATGTCATTTTCTTTTCTTTCCCCATTCGGTCCGTTTTCAGTCTTCGAAGTTCTTGCTGTTGCTGTTACTGTAGTGGAGTTGGAGAGAACTCAGTTATTAAGAGACCTTGCATTTAAGAATCAACATGACGTGAAACCAACCCAAACTGTCCGTTTTAGAGTCTTCTCTCCGTCCTGTTTCTCGCTGAACTACTAGCTACTAGTTAGGCAAGATGGATAGCTCACTTCCGGGTTCTCCCCATTCACTCATTCACTCCCCAACTTCTCACCGAACAAACCGGCCGAGTTGTTTCGGTCCGGGACCAAAATTCGGTGCTATCACTACTCTTTGGGTTCTTATGAATATGCACTCTTCTAATTTTTTCGTGTTGTTTCTTTTCTTTTCTTTTTTTTTTTTTTTTTTTTTTTTTTTTCTGGCTGGCTCTCTGTAGATGCCGGAGTATTCGTCGTCGTCATCATAGATAGGTCTCGGATCAACGCGGATGATGACCTCCACCGTCTGTTTCATTCATTCTTCAAGCGATGTGATGTTTTCACTTTCAGGATACTTTCTCCCGTGCAAAATGCGGTCAGTACTTTATCCGCGTCCATTGGTGCTCGTGGAAAATTGAACGATTGTGTTGGAATATTGCATATGCCCCTGTAGGACTCAACCGATACTCATGACGGAGCTGGTTCGGTGGTCAATCTATCGACAAAGAGAAAATAAACATCAGCATAGATATCGAACTCGTGGACTATGGATAGTACTACTTCAATGTCCCGTGGTTGTAATCCAATCGGTCTACCTGTCTCATTATGGTGCTTTCACGGCAAGATCTTCAGGTTCTACGAAGGGGATGGGCAAAAACAACAGAAGTGGTTTAGTGCATATCGGTATTTCGATAATTTATTATGTCTGTATTACGCTGGGAATAGAGCAATGGCAGGAATTATAGGTTTTGTGTTTTGTGATACTGCAGACTTGCTATGTTCTGTCATTATATATATCCGCGTGTACCATGTATGCCGTAGTTCTGATACGATGAAGACAGAACAATGAATGAAAGGTGGAGATACTATTGCATATTTCTCAATGCCCTGAAATGCATTCTCCCCGTCTTACCAATCATATTGATATGCATCTTGAATGCCACAATACGCAGGCTTCAGGATGGATGTAGTAGGCTAACAATGGTACCAGATGCTATGACATCACTTTCCACAGGCATAGGCATCTGATAAGATTAGATCCATGAATGGGTGATGCCACTACTGCCCAACAGCAATCGTCTGACGTATGGACCCTGACATAATGGGTGAGGGCTGTGATTATGATAGGTCGGCAGTATGTATATAAGCATCGTCGTTGTCGTATCGATTATTATATTCCAGTTGTCATATCTAATCGCAATATGTGCGGGTATCTTGGTTCTTGTTCAAATATTAGTATGCCGCCCGCTATCCCTGCCAGCAGGGATTGTAAGGGCCCGTGTTCATGCTCCCCAATCCACAATCCTGGACGCTGGTCTTCATGCTTCTGCCAGGGTCCAGGTTTCCGGGGTTGTTGCTATCCCGAAATATGTTATCTTATTGTGTCATGCTGACGGACGGATATTACCAGCATGGCCCGGCAACAGTTTGTGCCAGTCAAAGTACTCATCCAGCATTGTTTCAAGATCCTGGCCCGAGGGGCGTAGGGGTCCTTCCGTCAGATCCGTGCATAGCTGACAGCCCATTGCTAGACCGTATGATGCAAATCAGAAAAGGTCTCAAGAATGAGAGCATCTTTATCGTCTTGAGTTATTCTGGTCCATACCGTACGCACGGCATTGTCGAGGCTGTTCCACAAATACCAGATCGCCCTTAGCTCTCCGTAAATTGAGGAACGTACTCCGACGGATCCTCGAACACGTTAAGCCAATACTCCTGTACTCGACTGCAGACTCCAGAAACCTCCCTCCAGGATTCAAAAACGCGCTCTAGATTGCAACTGACCCACTTGATCTCCTCCCAGTAAGCTCTCTCCGCATCGTACCCGAGTCGAACAAGCACATCATTCGGAACAACCCATGCGCGACCGTCAGTTCCGTCAGGCTTCACGGTCGGAGCCGTTTCCCATTGATACCCAAATAATTTGTCTGCCGGATTGAACTTGGGATAATGCGCATGGATAAAAAACACCCGAGGTGGCTTCGCAACAGACTTATCCTTTACGCGCCACTTATTCTGGCTCGTGAGGCGATAGTCTTCGATAGGGTCCGACTGGACCATGGCTGACCCGGAGATCCCTCCCTTTTCCTGAAGATGCCCAACAGGTGCAACTCGCTCACTAACAGTATAGAAATCCTGGTTCAAGGCGGAAGCTGCTTGGATAAAGGTCTCTTTGTCGCCTTCACCGGGCGCACCTTGCGAAAGCAGGGAGAAATAGTGAGATGGTCCATAGTAGTTATAGTATGCAGCCAGAAGGAGAGACAAGAAGTGGCTCTGTTTGGAAACCAAGAAAACACCGGTCTCCGACGACGCACGAGCGTCCATTGGGGGAATTGGCTGTTGGGAAATGTTGTAGTAGAGCGGAGAAGCCGTCGAGGCCCAGAAGTCGGGCCATGTGACTAGACCCTTGGATGTGAAGGGCTCGGAGTTGAGCAGAACTGAGGGGTCATGAAGTGGAAAGCAATCGGAGTCCATCCAGATGACTTTCTCGAAGGATGAGAAGAGTACCGCGAATATCTTTAGCTGGTAATGGGCGATCTGGACCGTGGATCTGAATCTGGAAAGGCGCAAGATATCGGAAAGCACCACGCACTGTGCATTCAGGCTCGGAAGGACTTCCTCACATATTTTGGTTTCGTATTCGCTCGAGTCCTTGAGGAACAATTCGACGGGGAGTTCTGAGCCGGTGCGACGGAGCATTCTCAATGACGTAACGAACAGAGGCAAGTAAGTTTTGCCCGCGGAGGACACGATTCCACTGGATCCAGGAATATGAGCAGAACGCAAAATAGTAGAGTTCGTAATGGCATTAACGAAGCTGCTGTGTGCCTGCTGCATGGTCTCACGGTCGGCATCTGGCAAGATAATCACATCCGGTCGCTGGGGTGGGTTGACGGCATCGAATGTAATAGCCCCGGCAGAGTCCTCGCGCGAAGGGGATGGGCAATTTGGGTTGTATTCCTCCATTAGAGGCTGGAAATTCCGCCAGAATATCGCCTGTTGGGTTCTAAGGGGAGCATCGGCCTCAGCCTGCATTGGAAGATTGAGTTGTTGGTTGGATACCCAAGCCACGCGCCCGTAGAGAGAAATGAAGGAGACGACCAGCATGACACCCAGAGCAGGTAATATTGCTCTGGGTTTCCAAGGGCGACAGGCAGTCATGCTGAGCGTCATGGTTGAACAGGAGTGACGGTGGCAGAGAGATGGGGAAAGATAAATGAAGGTGGAGATGGCGATGACAGCCGAGCTTTGATTTTCCTCTTTCGGCAAAACACTCTTCCTTCCGTGACCGCAATCGCACTTTTGCTGTCAACGATGTTTGCTGTCGCTAGTACATAGCAGACTGATGAGAGCCGTTTCCTTCACTTTATCCAGGCGGCATGGCCTATCGAAGCAGGGAACACCGGAGTACCTGCGGGTGGCGAACCTCGATTCACTGCAACGAAGTTCTTTACTCCAGAAGCAGCAAATAACCTCTGCTTCGAGGATGACTCTTTCTAGGTGTCATGCCATCATTTTATTTCAATAACAAGCTTCTCCTAGGTATGTGAGATTTAATCGCGATTTGGGACTCCTCTCTAACCATACGCCAGGACAAACTGTTATGCGTACTGCATGATTGCCGTCAAATGCCGGGTCAGAAACAAGACGACCACCTGGCTCGTGTCAGGTTCTATTAGGACTCTACATGAGTTCTATCCTTAGACACATTTTCCCCTACCAGTTTGTTATATGATTCCTTATATTAGGGTCTCTTGCGAGCTAATTTGGATGCTAGCATTTCGAATCTTTCAGCCCCCCCGTCCGGTTTATCTTCCCAGGAGCCAGACTTTGGCATTCGTTCTGATACTTAAAGCTAGCCATGGGCAATAGTCGAATCAGTCTGGAGTGATCGCTAGCTCCGCCTGTCTCCGGACATGCAATTGCGGTTAATTGGTGGTCCTCCCACCGTCCAACTTTCCTGTTGACCCGAGTAACACATTGGAGGTATTTATCCTCGCTCTTGCTGGATATCTATGCCCGTCCAGCACGCTTACACGCCCTTCCGTCACGCCCAGAAGCAAGAGTGGCCGGAGCCTCAGAATGACTGAGCCCAAGTGGTGAGCGTCTAATTCTGCGTAGAGCTAGAGAGCGAGTCGGCAACCGGGCAAGATACAGATTTAATTAGAGAAACTCCATGACCTTCTGAGGACTACACCTAGATCAAAAGCGACATGCTGTCAGTCCCCAGAGATGACCATTCAGAAACAGCCGAGATTCTTTTTAATTTCAATAGATACCCATCAGGTGGTATATTCATCCGTGCTTCGGCCGACAGCAACACGGCCGTCTTTGGGCCAGGAGGCCGTTCATTGGAGAGAGGACATGCAGGATAGTCAGATGCGAATTTGACGGTAGAAAGCACGCGGACAGACGGCTATTCACAGGAGTTGACTGTCCGTGCAAGCTTTGCATTCATCATTCTTTTCGAGTACAGACGAGTCTGGAAGCAGCCACGCCTGATGATTCGAACAATTCCACCGAGCTGGGCTAGCAGCGTGGAACTCGGCAGTTCTGTCCACTGAAAGAGCCGTGGAGTCGCACTGGGCTCTGATATGGAGCTATCATTATTCATTACGACGCAGAAAACGCTCATGGGAGCTTTGCAGCTCACATGGATGCTTCTAGTCGTTCTACTGCCTTCATCGTTCAAGATTCCCCGCGTTTCGGCACTGCGCCTTTTTGCCAACTTCACTCTTGGCTAAACCTGTTCTTCCCCTGGACTGCTATTCTTCACTGTGGCTTCCCGTGGCTTCCCCTTGCGCGAGAGAGAGAGAGAGAGAGAGAGAGAGAGAGAGAGGCAGGTCGTGGAACCCGTCTCTGGGGGAGGACTAGACGACACATAGAGAAGGTGCAAGACCATCTTATCTCGGAGTTCCCATAGACACGTATCAGATTTGATTAGTGAAAGGAGTTCAAATATCTGTCAGAAGATATTGCATAATATCGAGGACAGCTTGTATTCTCATGCTGTTGCCCCCCCGTTTCACTCGATGCCAGATCAAACTTTATCATCATCAGACGTCGCAAGGACTTGCCCTTTCAGGATGCATCGGGAGTCAGAGCTGTACCTGCTAGGAGACTGTCGAGACAGCTGTTCGAGAGTTTCGACACGATACTTCTGCAGACAGTCAAGATTGGATATACGGCAGACTATGTCAACTGCCGAGGACTTCTCAGCTGTGAAGATTCACGTCGGCAGTGACGGACGATTGCATAGAAGACTGAGAAGAGACAACAGGGTAACCGCCGGTGCTGATCCTACCCCATGCTGGAAAGCTCTCTATCTTGCGCGGGTAGATGCAGTTAGATGTATCTGTTATGTTACTCTTAATAAGGGCCGATTTCCCCGCTGAGGAAGTCCTGCCGAAGCGAAATGTTTATCGAACGGCGATAACCATATTATTGCCGCACAGAGTTTTCCATTTCTATGTGAAATGAAAATGACCAATTCCTCCTCTCGATTCCGGTTCCCTTATAATTGGCTGCTCGATTCATGCTGATATGAGAGGAAACAAAAACGTTCAGGGATACGCGTGAGGGGGAAAATCTCTCAGTCAAAGCGTTCAGTTCAGCTCTGCGACCAGGTATATATGAGTGCAACCGCTTGCGGATCAGAGAAAAGGGAATATTAGAACAGTCAGAAAATGGACACTGGATAATCATTGTCTCTTTTGAAATTGACTTTGTGGGATTCTTTCTCTATTCACCCTGCTAAGCGCTGGTTATGGACGTGGAAGCGAATGGACAACAGGAACCACCCCTGAAGCTGGCGCAGTCTACGGACCAAAGCGTCCAAGATGCTTACGATCTCGCAGCGATGGGCCATGACCAGGCCCTTGCCCGGAAATTCGACATATGGAGCATGTTAGCCCTTGCCTTTTGCGTGCTGGGAACATGGTCGACCTTCGCACAAGACCTCTCCAGCGGTCTCACCAACGGCGGTGCCGTGACCCTCCTTTGGGGCTTGTGCCTGGTGACAGCGTGCAACCTGTGTGTGGGCCTGTCTATGGGGGAGCTGGCGAGTAGCATGCCTACTGCTCTGGGCCAGGCCTACTGGGTGTCGCGTTTGTGGAATTCGAGCTGGGGCCGATTCTTCTCGTACATGTGTGCTTGGATCAACACGTTCGGGTGGTGGACGCTCTGCGCATCGCAGCTCGCCTTCATGACAGACTTTCTGCTCGGGATGAAGGTCATGTTCGATGCCGACTGGCCTGGTGCCAGCAAGGGATGGCTGGAATTTGTCGTGTACCTGGGCCTAGTCGCGGTCATGACCGCGATCAACGTCGTCGGATGTCGGAAGGAAAAGATCTTGCCGTGGTTGAACAATTTCGTTGGAGTCTGGTTCGCAGGCCTGTTTGTCGTCTTTTCGCTCGCCTTGCTCATCTCCGTCGGCGTCAAGTCAGACCTTTCCTTCCAACCCGCATCATTTGTCTTTGGGAAGTGGATTAACGAGACGGGCTGGAGTGATGGCGTCGTCTGGTTCACCGGTCTCGTCCAGGCTGCATACGGTCTCACTGCCTTTGACTCTGTCATCCACATGGTCGAAGAACTTCCCAGCCCGCGCCGGAACGCACCCAAGGTGATGTACCTATCCATCATCTTCGGAGCCGTGACGGGATTTATCTTCATGATGGTCTGCCTCTTTTGCATCCAGGACGTGAGCAAAGAAGTCGACGCAGACCTCCCCTTCATCGTCCTAGTCCAAGACACAGTTGGGCTAGGCGGAGGTGCTGCCCTCATCGCTCTGTTCATCTTCAACGGACTAGGACAGGGCGTCAGCCTCTTCACCACCGCCTCACGCCTGACCTGGGGATTTGCCCGGGATGGCGGACTTCCCTGGAGCCCATACCTTTCTCATGTCGATCGTGTTTGGCTAGTCCCCGCACGCGCTCTATGGGTGCAGGGCTTTCTGATTGCCCTGGTTGGCATTCTGTACCTCTTTGCCAACACTGTCCTTAGTGCCATCCTGAGCGTCAGCACTATCGCCCTCACCATCTCCTACGCCATGCCAATCCTCACCTTGCTTCTAGTTGGCCGGGACAAGCTCCCTCCTGGCCCTTTCCGCCTGGGGAGATGGGGCCCGACCCTGAACTGGATCGGTGTTGTGTACTGCGCCGTGACGACCGTGTTTTTCTTCTTTCCCGGCGCACCGAACCCGGCACCGGGCGACATGAACTATGCGATCGCTGTGTTTGGAGTGATGCTTGTGATTTCGATCGGATTCTGGTTCCTCCAGGGGAGTCGAACGTATTTGCAGACGGAAGATGCCATATCGCAGATGATTCTGGCGCGGAGATTGGAGAATGAGCCCGAGGTTGTTCAGGAAGAACAGGTGGATGCGACAAAGAAATGATGATGGATCTGGATATCGGGTCAACATGCAGCAGTCTTCTGGACATAACAGCGCTCAGATGGATCCATGATAATAATGCATTCATAAATTCATCTCATGAAGTGGCCATGGTACGCATCTCAGACAGACGTGTTTGGGCAGAAACCCGAACCCTGACTGACAGAGAGGTGTAGATGCGACAACGCAAGCGATCTAGACCATTCGAAATGAAAGGAAACAGGTCTCGACTTGCAATAACACCTATCTGTAAGCCGTGCTGGTGATGGGGCTGTGGGCTGAGAAGTAATAAGATGTGGCTGGTGTTCATGATAAATGGATGCGGCGGATCTAGACTTCTTGATAGAACGTATACGAGTTCCTGGATTGCAGCTTTCACCTGGATATCCTGGATGTGCATTTCCATGGAGCCCCCCCAAGCACAAGGCATGGAGGAGATTTCGATGCACAGCTGCGGCAACGCAACCTGCAGGCCCAAATTCAAATCGTCAAGGCTGAACGAACAGACGAACGACGATCTGGACCCTTCGTTCATAAATCGGCAAGGATGGCAACCGCGGATTATGCAGAAATAAGGCAGGGAAATTAGATGATGTCCATCACAGGATGATAATACGTGAAACCATCAATCCTCGCTTTGCCCTGCCAGCCTGTTGACGCTGCATTTGTTAGCTTATCAATGAGAAGCATTTGACCTGGTCTGTCTGGACCATGAAGGATGAGCTGCCCCTGGATGCATGCAGATTGCTTCTTTGACTGATGATGCTACTTCAGAGGTCTTATCGCCAACAGCTCCCTTCTAGACCTTTGAGTTTTATGACTTTTGAGATCTAGAACGCCTTTCTTCATGGATGATTGATTCCTTCCGGTCTATCATGCAGTGGCTAAGCATGTCGGATGTCCCCTGCTACGTGCCAGATGAAGCTGTCTATTGCCCCCTTATTCGAGGCATTGGATATTACCTCGCTCAGCCACGCACCTTCGTGGCTTATGGACGTTATTGAAGTCGGCTGGAAAGCATCCTTTGAGGCTGTTTGCTCTGGGTTGAGGACCGCATACGCCGCCACGCAGGCAAAAGGCTTATGGGAGTCGGGCATCAGAAGGATAATTGCTACGCTCAGGGCGAACTCCCAGGCTCATTTCTATACTCCCGAGAAGCTTTGAATTGTGGCAGACGTGCATATTTCACACTTGCAGTCGCAGGCTGGATCCGTTCCCTTTATACCTCGCCGCTCCGGGCGTACGTCGGGCACGAATTATTTTGCTTAGAGAGCCATAGCCATTACACAGCCACAAAAAATAAAATTCCGCCCTGGCATTATTTCTACGGAGTGTGTTCGATGAGACTGTTTTATGCTGCAGGTGCTAACGGAATGGCTGCTTAACGTTATTGATGCCTGATATATGCTGGTTGGCTTCCATGAGAGGACGTACCCGCCTCACCGTTTCTTGTCTTCCCTCTCTCTATCTCTTTATCCTTTCCTGAATTGTGTCTATTTTTCCTGGCTGGTATAAAACGTGCCAGTCCCACAGCAGGAAGGACGATACTTCTCGTCTCTGCAACCATCACCTATATCAAGTAAGATATGCCTCTCTTTCCCCTTTTCTTTGTCTAGGTCTCTGGTATTGACAAGAGTCCAAGATAAGAGTGGAGAAGGATACAGAACACTTCGAACCGAACCCACGGCATATATCTCCAAGTTCTTTTGCAATCCGTGCCGCCATGTCTTACACGTCCTCCTCGCACTCCTCGTCCTCCGCCTCCTCCTCCTCCGGGTATGTTTACAGTGACCAGAAGTCATTGTTTCCGGATGGAGCCCAGAGCACGTATGCTACCATCCTTCCGCATAGGCAACCCTCATCCCAGGGTATCAGCCAATCTCAACCCCAGTACCAACCACAACATACCATGTCCGATGGGATGAGGAGGTATCTCGACACTCGGTCCTGCGATGATCCATACTACGCCAACGCACGGATCTCGGAGCGGCAAGTTCACTCTCTTCACCTCCAGGAGGAGATGGCCAAGTTCGACAGACAATTCTAGTGAGAGGGTAACCTCTCTTCGACCTCTGCTCGGTTGAACGATCCGACATATTTCTTTTTCTTTTCCCAGCCTGCGTATTTTTGGGGGGCGTTGGTCTGGCGTTTATGGGTTGTTCGTTCTGCTTCGTCGGGGCTGCTGTATGAGTATGAGTCACGGATGGAAAGATGGTTAACTTCAATACTCTTGGTTAGTCATCTGTTGCATGGTGTATTATCACTTGACTTTGAACACTGCCTGGATATAATGCATAGAAATAGGTCTAGTTGTGATGATGATCCGGATAGTTTAGACGGAGAGTTCCTCTTATTTATCTCTTTCAAGAACCATCAATGCCACAGGTCCCAACTTCAGCAACTCGGCTACTGGTAAAAATAGCACTAGGCCACAGAAGCCGTGCTCGTATTATAACTAATACATCGTATCTGACGCCCTGTGAGAGGTTATCTTGCGTGCTGCAGGCGGTCGGACCCTTCTGCATCGGCGTCTGAAGAGGGCTGAATGCGCCTGCGGAGCCCAGAACTGTGCATTCCCATGTACCCGGCACTGCATCAGGCTTTGCTTCGGGGGCTGTGGAGGCTCCTACTGCTGCGTCCCGCGGGATCAAATAGTGTTTGCCTAATTGCACTGCCTTTGTTTGCTTTTCTCTTTTGTTCTCTTCTTTGCAGGAGCGTTGCTCTTTTCCCGCATGTCGGTCCCGGGTAGTGAAGATGGCGGCTCCGGAGGAGAATAATAACAATAACAATAACAATAATCATATGCCATGGCACCTAGGTCGTCTGTAGCATGTACTTAGGTCGACAGTGCGTGGAAAGGGCTTTCTCTGACAAAGAAACCTCAGGCACGGACTGGTGCTGCCATCACCACACTTTTGCTTTGTTGAGCAGTTCTAACGAACGAGATATTACTGCGTATGTTAACTACAATTTTATGCAGCAAGAAAGCATTCCCCAGACACTTCGATGACATTAGACCGTTAAGAAATTGCCGTTTGAATAGGCCTTGGAAGGCCCTCCTGGCTTTGATCGGATGCTCGAAGGCCGACTTAATATCTGGGAAGAATAAGCCCTCGAAACGCCTTTCCTCACTTCCTCTCTCTGAGAATCATCCTCCTTCCCGTCTTATGAAAAGGAGGCTAAATAATAAGTGTGACATTGCCCTTGTTGGTTAACCTGCCTGTGACACCCCTTTTCTCGAAAGAGCAAATCCATAGAGGGAGTCTACGCCGTATGACATCTCCTGCCCAGCTGTAGATGCATAGCAAAGACAGCAATTGCACATTTAATATTGAGTAATGTGTGTAACTGCGTGAAACAGAAAAGCTGTTCGGACTCCGATTGCGTCTTGCAGAGCCCTCTCTTGGCCGTTCTCTCGGCCGTTCTCTCGGCCATTCTCTTGGCGAGATGAGGTGACAAGGGGGGAGAACAATAGCCGATTGACTAATGGCCCAGAGAGAAAATAACAGTGCTGTTCCTAGCGAGAAACGAAGCCAGATGGAGTGATCGGTGCTACCCCGGCGGATCTCCGTGAGCGTCAAAGCATTGAATGCTACGGCGATAAGGGGGTTTCTCACGTCACGGAGTAGAAATACTATTCCTGTCCGTTGTTTTTGTTTTTAATCTTCTTCTTTTGATCCTTCCTTCTCTATTCTTGCGTGTCCGGTTCGGATCGAATTGTCTGTCCTGCCATGGTGTTTTCGTTCTTTGGCCGCCGAGCCTTGTCGCTCGCGGTGGTGTCGCTGCTCGCGTCTTCCGCGCTCGGGGAGGTGTTCGAGCAGCTCAACGCGGTTCCTGATGGTGAGTTTTCTGGAGTTCCCTGGAGTTCTCTGGCCTTTCTCTGTTGGCTGACCCATCCTCGTAAACAGGATGGAAGTACTCGCACACTCCCCAGGCCGACCAGCCAATTCGCCTGCAGATCTCTCTGAAGCAGCAGAACGTGGCTGGCTTCGAACAGGCCCTGCTGGATATGTCGACGCCAGGCCATCCGAACTATGGCAAGCACTTCCAGTCGCATGATGAGATGAAGGCGATGCTGGCCCCCAGCGACGCCTCGGTCAATGCTGTCCGCGAATGGCTGGATGCCAACGGCGTCACGGACGTCCAGCAAGACGCCGACTGGATCAACTTCCGCACGACCGTCGGAGTTGCCAACACGCTGCTCGACGCTGATTTCAAGTGGTATGCCAGCTATGGGGGACTCGTCACGCGTCTGCGGACTCTCCAGTATTCCCTTCCGGAATCCGTGGCTGCGAATATCAACACCGTGCAGCCGACCACGCGTTTCGGACATGTTCACCCCAACCGTGCGACGCTCCACAAGCTGCCGATGATCAAGTCGACGCCCAACTTCAACTTCACCAGCTGTAACAGCCTCATCAACCCCCAGTGTCTCAAGCATCTCTACAACATCGGGGATTACCAAGCCGACCCGGAGAGCGGCAGCAAGATCGCCTTCGCCAGCTTTCTGGAGGAATACGCGCGCTATTCCGATCTCGAGCTGTTCGAGAAGAACTTGGCCCCGTACGCTCTCGGGCAGAACTTCTCCGTGGTTGCGTTCAACGGCGGCCTTAATGACCAGAACTCGACGGACGACAGCGGGGAGGCTAATCTCGACGCCCAATATGTCATGGGAATCGCCTCTCCCTTGCCCGTGACCGAGTTCAGCACCGGCGGCCGTGGTCCCCTCGTCCCCGATCTCACTCAGCCTTCTCTTCCGGGCTCGAACGAGCCGTACCTTGAATTCTTGCAGGGTGTTCTGAAACTAGACCAAGCCGATCTTCCGCAGGTGATTTCCATCTCCTACGGCGAAAATGAACAGGTAATGTCTCCGGCTTCCGTTTTCGGACCCATGACGATCAGGGTTAACAAGGTTCTAGACCATCCCGCCCAAATACGCAGAAACGGTCTGCAACCTGCTCGCCCAGGTAGGCAGCCGCGGTGTCTCCGTCCTCTTCGCATCCGGTGACTCGGGCGTCGGAGCAGGCTGCGTCACGAACGACGGCACCAACCGCACACACTTCCCACCACAGTTCCCCGCTGGCTGCCCATGGGTGACAGCAGTCGGAGCAACGCACAAGGTCGAGCCCGAGGAGGCCGCATTCTTCTCATCTGGCGGCTTCTCGGACATCTGGCCCCGTCCGCTCTACCAGGAGCTCGCCGTGCAGTCATACCTGGGCAAGCTGGGGAACAAGTACGAAGGGCTTTTCAACTCGCGCGGACGTGCTTTCCCCGACGTCTCGGCACAAGGTATGGAGTTTGCCGTGTACGACAAGGGTGACCTGAACCTGTACTATGGGACCTCGTGCTCGACGCCCGTGTTCAGCGCGGTCGTCTCCCTGCTCAACGACGCTCGCCTGCGTATCCACAAGCCGCCGCTGGGATTCCTGAATCCATGGCTGTATACCGTTGGCCTGGCAGGACTCAATGATATCGTCGAGGGAGGTAGTGACGGGTGTGATGGGAGCAGTGGGGGACCGGTGATTCCGTACGCGAGCTGGAATGCCACACGAGGCTGGGATCCGGTTACCGGGTTGGGGACGCCGGATTTTGCGCGGTTGAGGAATCTTGCATTGCTTTTCTAGCTTTGCCGTCCTCTTTCCGTCGTTTTTTTCGAGAAAGATGCACACAAGGAAGCCAATCTAGACGGAAAGATAGCATTTTCGTAGCGTGAGATAAATAATGTTGTTCTCGACTACTATTCATATGACTTTCTCGATCAAATACGCAGGATGATGTCAGGATCGCGTCCGTTCCCCGAAGGCCCTGCCCACGCTGGATTGATCCACGGAGTATTGCGTTGACATGTCAGATGCTGCGGTGGCCGTACCCAGCAGACAGTGTTAGTCATATACAGCGGAGTTGATCCAGACTTCAGGGGTGTATCCGCGCGAAGCAGCAGAGGAGCGGATATGGAATATGAAAGCAGGAATGCACCGAGTATACTGCTAACAAGAAAAACGACTCACCCGGCGCCCCAACCAAGCCCCCTTCCCCCGGACGACTCGAGACGCCGATTCCCCGATTCCGGCCGGATGCGTTCCATCTTAACTGAGGCAGGTCGAGCGGCTAGACGAGACTGTGAAGGAGAAGAAAGGAGTGACGACGACCCTGCCTCAGACGGCGATCGGGGCGCCGCTTACGATTCCCATGGGGATCGCTATGGGGGAATTCATGCGCGGTTTATGAACGGGTGATCGCCGTATGGTCTTCTTGTCCCTGCATGCTGACAAGGAATGCTTATTGCGGATGCCGTGAGAAATTGGAGACATTGGCAGGTAAGCACATACCGGGCTGAATGACATGTTAGCCTGATGCCTTTTTTGACTCGTGCACATCCCACGGACAACAGAAGTAGCAAAGGACGTGTACACAGTGGATTTGGGATGATGATTAGAGCCGTGCATTCGCCATTGCATCCGTTTCATGATTCCTCGCTGTCAGACCACCCTGCGCCGGTCAGATGCTGGGGGGAAACGACGAACAATAGAAACGGAGAATCCTGCCCGCATCAGAGTGAAACCCCTGCAATGCCAGCCAGCCGAACGCGTGGATCCGCAGCCTAATTACCCCGGTGGCGCTTCGTGGATCATCGACAGGGCTATTTTTGGTTGCGGATGCAGTCGGCGTTGGGCTTGAGCATTAGGGCTGACGTATATAAGAGGAGTGTCCTCTCCCCCGGCGGTTGCTCCTCTGTCCTTTGTGGTTATATTGTACAGCCGCTTTCATTCTCTGATTCCGTATACAGTCGCTCGCTCTGCCTGCCGGCGTCTCGTCTCTGCGTCTGCTCTGATAAGCCCACGGATACTCGAAGATGTCCGCCACAACCACCGCTGTCACCGGCACCACCCTCTCCATCACCAGTGCCACCCCAACCGCCTGCACCGGGGCTGGCGTCTACGAGATCCCAACCAAAGACGCGGCCTGCGCCGTCCCCGTCGCGGGAAACAACACCGACGCCCTCCACCAATGCTGCAAGGACGCCTCCGTCGAGGACTACGACCACGGCTGCGGAAGCTACTGTCTCGCTCAGGGACAGGACGTCGGCGAGCTCCAGAACTGTCTATTCGCCGCCGGAGTCAAATACCAAGATGTCTTTTGCAGCACCAACCAGAAGAATGCCACGGCCTCGGGCTCCGCGGGCTCGACGGGGACTTCTTCATCCACCGCTTCCTCTACGGGGTCGTCGACTGAATCCGCTACTGGCTCGGCGAGCACTGCCACGCATTCCAGTGCCGCGGTTGCTGTGGTTGATTATCCTATTTCCAAGTCCGGTGTTGGGTTGTTGGCTGTGATGTTCTGTTCTGCATTGCTGGGTGCTTTTGCTTAGGGCTTCTTTTCGCCGGATGGGTGGATGGACGGGGTTGGGCTTACATCTTGGATACACATATCATGCTCTATATCGCTAATCGAATGAAGCAATCTTTCTTCTACTCGTTAACCTGATTCCTGCTAGGTTCTGAAACGCCCGCCGTCTCTGCAATCCGCACCACGTACTTGACTGCACTCGCCTTCCCGCTCTCCAGATTCCTCAGCACAGCTTCAATCCCGTTCAATCCCCCCGGCACCACCTCGTACGGATGTCCACTGAACCATCCCTGCGCCAGCCCCCTCGCCAGGAACCGGTATATGACATGTCCGAATTCCGCATCGCCAAGGACAGCCCCAGGCTGCGATGGCGCCTTGTGGACCGTCCCTACATAGGTGAAGACATGTTCAATTCCCGACGGGATCTTGTCCTGATCGACTCGAAGCACGGTGGTGACTTTACTGGATTTCTTCTCGAGGACGTCGAATATGTTCTCCACACTGCCTCCTTCGCTCACAGCGTCGAACGCGTACGCGATGGGGTTGTTCCCCGCGGCTTTCCGGATTCCGGCCCGCACGGCTTCATCGCCATGGCGGTAGTCGACGACCGTGTCGCCCTTGGTCGTGTCGATCAGGGTCTCGACGAAGGGGATGCCGTTTCCGGCAACTGTGATGATGGGGTGGATGTTGGAGAGACGGGCGAGTTTGATAGCGAAGGCGCCCACGGAGGTTGCTCCGCCGTAGATGACCAGGGGGATTGGCCTTGTCGCTGGATTCCAGGGGAGAGGGAGACCAAGACGTTGGTAGAGACCGACCGCAGCTGTCCCGGCTGCGAGGGGGATGGTTGATGCCTCTGGTGGAGCGGTTGTTAGAAGGAAACCAACGACACGAACGACGGCCAAACGCACCCTCCAAGCTGATCTTCTCCGGAAGATGAAAAGTAGAAAGCCCCGGCGCAAGGGCATACTCAGCCCAGCTTCCATGAGGAGCCCTCACCTCGTGGAACGCAGCGACTTTATCCCCCGGCTTGAACTCGAGCACGTCCTCGCCCACGGCCGCGACGTACCCCGCGATATCATCGCCGTAGTTCCCGTAGATACCCTTGGGAAGAGCGAACCGGGGATACTTCCAGTCCTTGGGGTTGCTACCGGACACGACCACCTTGATGAGAACCTGGCCGGGAGCAGGCTTGGGGATGTCAACGTCGTGGATACGCGACTGGAGCTGGTGGTTCACCACTGCTTCCTTCATTCCGACGGAGCTGTGATTGTTGTCTATGGAAGTAGCGAAGGTGAATACAGGCTGTATAGCGCTGTTTAAATCTTATGTGTCCTGGTGGGAACCGAGCTTGATCATTATTAATCCAGCTCATCATGCAACCCCCACAGCGGTGATGGAAGAGTAAAGAAACTGGATTTGTCAGTTGCTGCTGCATGCACCCCTGCCAATCCCACATGAATGCAGGGATTTCTAATCATCAATTGCCGTTTAGGGTTGTGGTGATTTCAGCGTTCGGAAGGCTGTCTTTGGATGTCTCGTCTCGGGATGTTATGAATCCCCAGCCTGTACCTCTGCACTCTGTAGTTCCCTCCCCGTCAAGTGGATTTCGGGATGGCCCAGCCGGATGTCTTGTTTCCTTTGTCCCTACCAGCGGAGAGAGCTCCCCGGATTGATATCTTGCTGTCAGCGCGGATGGAACAAGAGAAGAGGATCAAGGAACTCCGCAGCAACACATTCAACCCACCGGCCTTCGCCTTATGTGCTGTACTACTGTACCAGCGGAGCCTCGGAAGCTTTAGTGCTTTTCGTTTTGCAGTTTAGCCTCGGGCCCATTCGTATCTCCTGGAGATTCTACACCGTCACTTCAGCCTAGGTGTTGGCCACAAGCAATCTCCAAGTTTTTGGATTAATTCTAGGACAGGAGACGGAGGGAGCTTTCACCCGGCGACTGGATTTCCCAAGCCGAGTCCACGTCTGCACACGGTCTCTTCCCTGGCCTTGCTTTGAGAGAGGGGATTCGGGGTCCCGGAGTGCCTGGGACAGAGAAACAGTGGAAGGGAGCATGTTCCCCCCATGACAAACCGGTCGAGGCATGCCTCAGGAGTACAGTATAAAGGATAGCTTCTAACCCTGCGTTTACGCGGTCTGGCAGAGATATGGGCGTAGATGGCGAAGGCCGAGCAACAGTCACCATCCAATTCAAGATACAGATTCATGCCTATATGCTGATGAATGAGATGTGGAGCAAGACATGCACTATTTGGGTCTTTGGCATATCTTCCAGCAATGTGTCAATTGCAACAGGGCCTGCAGAACGGTCTGTTAGCATCTCACGCTGTAGCAACAGCAGCAGCCGTGGCATCCTCGGGCGTTTCAGCCTTGCCCTCCTCCTTCTCTTGCTCCTCCAGGTACTTTGGTATCTTCTCTCCCGCACGCCACTTATACCTGCTCCCCGGGTGGTCCTCAGGCAGTCTCCTGGAGCCGATGTACGCCTCTCTGGCCGTTGCACCCTCCTTGTGCACCGCAGACCGGAAGATGCCTCTCCTCTGCAGCTCCGGAATGAGAAACTCGATGATATCCTCAAACGAGCCCGGGTTGGTAACATGAGACAAATTGAAGCCGTCCACGCCGGAGATCGCCACCCACCGCTCCAACTCATCAGCGACAGTCGTCGGGCTGCCGACGGCTTTCGGCCCAAGACCGCCGAGACTCAGGAATTCGACGATCCTCCTCTTCGTCCAGGGAAGGTTGTCCGTGCCGGGCACGGTGGAGGACCATCTGCGCACAATCCCCTGGACGCGAGGGGACTCGCTGAAGCGGAAGTCTTCGTCGTCCGCGTAGCTCGATAGATCGACTCCGGTCCAGCCGCCGAAGAGCGCCAGTGCGCCTTCTTCATCGACGTATTTCAGGTGCTCCTGGCGCTTGGCCTCGGCTTGCTCGTCCGTCGCGGCGACAATGACATTGATCCCAACGATAATCTTGAGATGATCCGGGTCGCGGCCTTCTTCCTCTGCTATCCGGCGGATGTTGTCGACGGTGGTCTGGAGCTGCTCGGGCGTTTGGCCGCCGACAAAGATGGCTTCAGCATGCTTCCCGCCGAACTTGTTCCCGGCTTCCGAGACGCCGGCCTGGAAGAGGAAGGGCGTGCGCTGTGGCGAGGGTTCGCAGAAATGCGGGCCCGGAACCTCGAAGTATTTGCCCTTGTGGTTGATCTGGCGGACGGCGTCGCTGGCGATGTAGATGCCCCGTCCACGGTCCTCGACGACGGCGTCGTCCCGGAAACTGCCTTCCCAGAGCTTGTAGAGGACGTCCAGATACTCGTGGGCAATTGCGTATCGCTCGTCGTGCGGGATCTGCTCGTTCAGACCGTGATTGCGCGCCGCGCTGTCAAGGTACGACGTGACGATGTTCCACGCCAACCGGCCACCGCTGAGATGGTCCACCGTGGACAGTCGCCGCGCCAGCGCATAGGGTTTCTCGTAGGTGACACTGGCAGTGACGCCGAAGGCCAGATTCTTCGTGACTGCCGCCATGGCCGGGACGAGGTACAGGGGGTCGTTGACGGGGAACTGCGCTCCGGAGGCCAGCGCGGGGACCACATTGGCCGGGCCCTTGTACACATCGTAGGGGCCAAGCGTGTCGGCGATGAACATGGCGTGGAAATTGGCCTGGTCGAGCAGCTGGGCGAGGTCGGTCCAGAAGGAGAGTTTCTTGTACTCGGCCGTTTTGTTTCTCGGGTGCCGCCATCGACCCGGGGACAGATGCCCGGGGGTGTTCATGACGAAGGCATTGAGAATGAGCTGTTTCTTGGCCGGGTCTGCCATGCTGGATTGACTGGCTTCCGCAGGATGATGAGCAGATGTTCTGTCTGTCCGTCTGTCCGTCTGTCCGTCTGATTGCTGTCCGGTACCTGCTGTCCGGTACCCGTTTATATGGCATATCCTGCTGATGCCAGTTGATGCCGGCCTAATTGCGGGACACCTAACCCACCCTCTAACCCTAAGCTGTTGTCATTCTGCGCGTGTTGCACGCAATCCCTTGCGTCTTCTGCAGCCATTGACAGTGCCGTAAAACGCGCTGAATATCAAAGCATATTCCCCAACAACGTCCGCGGTACACCGGATAACGCCATCTGCAGCAGATATTTGCAGTCCAGCCGGGCTGCTGGAAGCCAATGGCAATACTGGGGCTTCCACGACCCGAAGCGAGAAATCGACATGGGCTTTGCTGCATGTCTTCTGTCGCCGATCGGAGCGTGCAGGGGAGCCGCCGCTGGTCCATGATAAAGCGGGCTCCTGCTCCCTCTCTTTTTCGCCTTCTTCCCCCTTCATCCCGCTGCAGCAGTACACCATGACCCAGGCAGAACTCGGCGTCCAGGGAGTCCACTTGATCCCGCAAGGGACCGCGTACGGCCTGCTCATCGGCCTGGGCGTGCTCTTCTGCGGAGTGATCCTGGTCGCCATCAAGATCCAGAAGGCCTATTTGTCCGAAGACTCGGGCACGTCCGAGATGTTCATGGTTGCCAATCGGTCTGTCGGCACAGGGCTGACGGCGTCGGCGGTGTTTTCGTCCTGGATGTGGATCAACGAGACGGTCCTGGCGGCCGCCATGTGCTACCGGTACGGCCTGGCCGTGCCTCTGGTGCGTTTTCCCTGGATGGGGTGAAGCGGGCGCTCACGACGAGAACTGACATCAACAGTGGTGGGGATCGGGCCTCTGCTTCCAGATCGCCCTGATGGCTGCCCTGGGGGTCATGGCCAAGATCCGCGTGCCCTACGCGCATACCTCGCTCGAGATCATCAGACAGCGGTACGGCTGGATCGGCCATGTTGTCTTCATTCTCCTGAACATCACCAACAACGTCTTCGGCTGCGCCTCCATGATCCTGACCGGCTCGCAACTGATCTATGGCGTCTCGGGAATGCACTTTGTTGCTGCCACCATTCTGATTCCGCTGGGGGGTATGTTCCTCGACCGGTCGTGGCCCCGGATGTAGCCAGAAGCTGACCGTCGCTTAGTGGTCATGTACACGGCCGTGGGAGGCTTGAAGGCGACCTTTCTCACGGACTTCCTGCATACGACCGTGGCCCTGATTCTGATCATCTACTTCACCCTCTCCGTCCTGACACACCCGGCTGTCGGCGGCCTGTACGGTCTCTACGACAAGGTCATGGCCACAGCCGGCGAGAACCGCATCCCGGGCAACTATAAGGGGTCGTTGCTCACCATGAAATCCAAGGGTGCCATCGTCTGGGGATTGATCCTCAAGTTCGGAAACCTTGCCCTCGTCGTCACGGTACGCCTTCCGACCACGCTGGTGTAACAGGATGTAGTCGCTGACGGTTCTAGGATACTGCCTTCTGGCAAAAGTCCTTTGCCAGCGAGGTGAATGCAACCGTCCCCGCGTACAACCTCGCCGCACTGGCTGTTTTCGGGATCCCGTGGGGCTTGGGAACGGTCATCGGGCTGACGGGCAGGGCACTTCACAACACCCCCATCTTCCCTACCTACCCGGATGGGATCTCAGACGCACAGGTGAATGCCGGTATGGTGATGCCGCTCGTCGTCAAGGCTCTCATCGGAGACTCGGGCATTGTCGCCTTCTTCGTGCTGCTGTTCATGGCCTTGACCAGCACCGTGTCTTCCTCCATGATTGCCGTCAGCAGTATCCTCTCCTTCGACGTGTACAAGACGTACATCAACCCAAAGGCATCCGACCAAAGACTGCTCCATGTCAGCCATCTCACCGTCGTCTTCCACGCCATCTTCATCACCGGAGTCTCAATCGCCATGAACTACGGTGGCGCCAACATGACCTGGATTGGCTATTTCCGGCCCATCCTCTCCTGTCCCGGCATCATCCCCCTGGCGCTGACGCTGTTCTGGTCGGGCCAGACCCGGCTGGCAGCGATCCTGGCGCCTGTGCTCGGCTTCTTCACGGGGCTGGGTATCTGGCTCGGTGCCGCAAAGGCCATGTACGAAGCCGTCAATATGACCACCACGGGGGAGAACTATCCCGCCCTGTACGGGGCTATCGGCTCCTTTTTCTCACCCGCGCTGTACTCGGTGGTGATCTCCATGTATAAACCACAGACGTTCGACTGGCGGATCTTCCTCCGCATCGAACTCGCCGACGAAGCCCAACTCCACGCATCGGACACACCAGACCATCCGAACCAAAAGCCGCAACTCGATAGCAAGCAAGCAAGCGAGACGTCCACGCCCGAAGCATCCGACATCGACGACCTGGAGCGCGCAAAGGCCGGATATGAAAGCGAAAAGAACCCCGCCGCAATCTCCACAGGACCTCCGACTTCCCCAACGCAGCTGAGCCTCGACGACGTCCGGCACCCCTTCAGCGAACAGACACTGAAAGAGCTCTTCCGCTGGAACCGCATCGCGTGGATCTTTTTCGTTGTTATTGTCCTCATCACCTTCATCCTCTGGCCGATGCCGTTGTACCGGAATTATGTGTTTACAAAGCCGTTCTTTTCGGGCTGGGTGACTGTCGCTATTCTGTGGCAGTTCTTTGCGTTCTTTGCCGTGGTTGTTTTCCCGCTCTATGATGGTCGGTGGGAGATTCTTCGGGGGGCCGTGGGGTCTTGGAAGTCCTCGAGGGAGTTTGTGAGGAGGTGGACTAGTAGGCCATAGCTCTATCTCTAGATGGGCTCATGTGTATAGACTTGATATAGATTTGATATAGATTGATGAATGTAGATCGATCTTTGGACCTATTTCCCCAAGAACACTATACACTCCGTACCATACATACATCCACTCAACTACCTATCCGGATTCTCAACAGCCGCATACTTGGACGGAATCAGCCCGTCCTCCTGCGGCAGCTGGACCTGGATCGGACCGCCGTGCGGCTTATGCGCCACCCTGGCTCCGCAATTGGTGCAGTAGTGATCGATGTCCTGGGCCATCTCCATTAGGTGTGGGAGACAGGCTAGACAGATGCAGATGAGGCAGCAGAGGAGCGCGCAGATGCTGTCTCATGCGTCAGCAGTTATACGCATACAAAGAGAGGATACAGGGAAGAAGGGAAAGCATACTTCGTCTTAGCACTATCCGTCTTCTGAACCCTAGTCTTGGTCATCTGCTTGCAGAAGGGGCAGTCGATCGATTGCGGGAGCTCCCCAAGACGATTCAAAGGGGTCACCTTTGGGATTCCAGAGACTGGGACGACACTTGCGGGCCCGTTCGGTGGTGGCTGTGCAACAACTCCGATCTCTGGCGGTTGTTTGCTCTCTGATTGCGGCGGAGGCTCAGTGGTGGTGGTGGTGGTGGTGGTGGTCGGGTTAGGGTTAGGGTTAGGGATGGGCTCGATCGGGAGAGAGTAAACAGGGGGTGGGATTGACGGTATACGATGATTGACGTGTTCAGCCATGATGATATGATGTGTTTATAATGAGTATGTTGAGTATGTTTCCATCCATGAAATTCGGACTGTCCTTTATAGATACCCTGCTGCGGCTCTTCCCCTGACTTGGACATGTGCCCCGGCAAGAACTAAAACGCCAAAGCAAGGCAGACACTGGGCCGAGACAGGCGCATAGCGCAGGCTGTAGGACTAATGGGACCATTAGGACCATCAGGACCTGCAAGAGGTGTCTTGTCTCCAACCGCCTGTTGGCCGGTGTTCCTGTGTTGCCAATTCCCTGCAGCACAGCCCTCCTTACAGCAGCTAGATCAACGCCACTCGGGCGTAAATTTAGATTCCGCATTTTTATTAGGCACATTTAATCCCTGGCCGCTGGCGTTTTATGTGCCGACCGCCTGTCTCCCTCTTGGCCATCGTATTTCCTCAAACTGGTCCCTAAATGTTGGATGTTGGATGTAGCATGAACCGACCAAATGCGCCTTTTGAACACATCCACCATGCAACTGGAAGAGTTCCCTGCAAATCGGATCCCGCTGTATGCGATCCTCTCGCACACCTGGGGATTACAGGAAGTCTCGCGAGAGGACATCCAGCATCACACTGCCACGGCCAGGGGAAAAACATCCTGGCAGAAGATCCAGTTCGCCTGCCAACAATCCCTGAAGGACGGATTGGAATACATCTGGATCGATACCTGCTGCATTGATAAAAGCAGCAGTGCCGAACTGTCGGAAGCCCTGAACTCGATGTTCTCATGGTACAAGAAGGCCCAGGTCTGCTATACATATCTGGTTGATGTGCCGACGGGCTGTGATCCTCATAAACCGGGTTCTACCTTTGACGGTGCCAGATGGTTCCAGCGTGGATGGACACTGCAGGAACTCGTCGCTCCCTCGGAGATGGTCTTTTTCTCCCGGGATTGGGTGCAGATTGGAACGAAGAATTCGCTCTGTGGCGTCCTGGCCCAAATAACCCTCATCGACGAGGATATCCTGATGCATCGGAGACCGTTAGGGTCTGCCAGCATCGCACGACGCATGTCGTGGGCCGCCCACCGTGAAACAACCAGGCCGGAAGACATCGCCTATTGTCTCATGGGTATCTTCTCAGTGAACATGCCCATGCTGTATGGAGAAGGTGAAAAGGCATTTCGGAGACTACAAGAGGAGATCATGAAGCAATCCGATGACCAGTCGATCTTTGCATGGGTTGACCGTGAGGCATCTCCGACCTCCCTTCACGGACTCCTGGCTACCTCCCCTTCCCAGTTCGCAGGCTGCAATGATATCCTCCCGTACCAGGACTGGGAACCTCGTGAGCCATACACCATGACAAATCGAGGTCTCCAGATTGGACTACCTCTCATCCATCATGACAAGGACATCTACATCGCCGTGCTGGACTGTCCCAGTCCACACTCCCACGCATATTCCAGCTTCCTGGGTATTTTCCTCCAGCGCCTCTCAAAAGCAGACCAGTACGCCCGAACCAAAGTAGGAATGCTCGCGGAGGTAGATGACCGCGGGCAGACGCAGACAATCTACGTCCGGCAGAACATCCTCCTGCCGGAGGTAGAAGGGGTCTTCCCAAACCACATCCTTCAGATTGTAAACGCCCCTTCTTCTCTTCTCTACAAGATGGTAAAAGCATTCCCGGTCCCAGATGCAGCACAGTTTCAGCCGATACTCTCTTCTCGCTCCACAGCGTATCCGACCACAATGTCCCAGACATTCCGACTGCGCAAGGGACCGCGCGATCTCTGCGCCTTCACTAGTTTCGAGCGAACGTCGGACGGCAAAGGCATCCTGGTTCTCCTGGGAACATGCAAGGGGAACGATGTCGGCTTTGATGCCCTCGAGACGCAGCGTCCGCGGGACTTCAGCAGCGAAGACTTCACAAGTGTGAGCAGGCATTTCCAGCCGAAGATCCCCGGAACATGGATTGAATTGGAAAATAATTTCGTCTGTGTCAAGGTTGAGCCCCGGATTAACCCTTTGACGAAGCAGATCGGGGTTGCCTCTTCCTATGCCGCTGCTAAATATTACATGGTTGAGATTGAAATCCAGCCTGTCCAGAAATCGAACAACCCTATTCAGATTTTGGCTGATGCGGTGGAGGCGAGTATCTCAAGGCAGGGGCGCTCGATAAATCCACAAAGGAGTGATGATATCCAGAAGGTTGGGAGTCAGAGCAAGATCTCTCAAAAGAGTCGGAAATCTGGATGGAGGCAGATTCTGAAGCAGGATTCTTAACCGCAATATGGCATGACTGCAATCTTTGCTTAAAGGTGCGTGATTCACCGAGATCCTATCAGCCCCCAGAGAGAGACTACCTCCAACTTATAGCCTTCCTGCAGAGCCTAGAGAACCATTGTATGTAGCATCAAGACGATACGTATATACAGCTCCCTACCATGGCCGGTCATACAGGTATTTGGTCATGCCACCTCATACTCAGGGGACTCCCTTGAATTCCTCATTAGGTAATTATGAAGCTATAAAAAGTGCCACATTATCATTGGTAGCGATAGTGTAATCAAGTTGTCGTCTCCTCACATTTGGTTCAATATAAATCACATACAAGGAACACTCAAGTCTTGCCTCATGCAGGCAAGGGAGCTTTGATGCAATAAACGTGCATACGCAGTGGCGACTGAAAGTCCAGTGACAGCACTCATAGATGCAAGCTCATCCAGACTTTCTCCAGCAGACGGCAGGTAGCTTTTCTCATACTGTCGGCCCAGGAGGTATTTTTTGGGTTCTGAAAGGCTTCTCGCACCCACTTCCTGTGCACCACATCACCGGGGGACTGCACCTTGATGGACATGTGGATTCCTCTCACGGTATGATCTTCAGGCCATGCCTGGAGAATCCTAAAGAGGGACTGGATGGTGCTGGTGAAAACCACATTGCTCCGCCTTGTTTACCGGCCGTTCCAACCCTTGCACGTGTCATGGGCTACGCCCAGGCATATGGCAACGCTGCTTGCCCTGTTTGTACCATTTGTTCTGTCTGTCTCTTTTGCTTCATCTGTTTTGTTTGTTCTATTTGTTCTGTTTGTTGCTGGCATGCCGTTGTCGCTCTTCTTCCTCCCAAGGAATTCTTTGTGTATCTAGTGCCAGGATGAATTTTATATTCAACCCCCTACAGCACGGTCCACAAGATCATACACCTCCAGCTGCACCACCAGATTGATTTTGTGCACATAGGCACGGCACTCAGTATTTCTGGCCACTACCTGCTCAAACTGCGTCAATCACTCCAATGTGGTCGCCTCCAGCATTGAGAAGGCGTGACGCTCAACAACCATCTGCCATCGCGGTTGATGCACGCATGCTAGCCCACCCTTTCCAGGGGCGGGAAAATTAGAGGATTGTAGTTGGGAGGCAGGGTCGGTAGGGCACCACAATCGCTCTGAGCTCTGGGGGAGGAGATACCCTCTCATTTTGACCGCATCTGGTCGAGAGGATCGTTGAGGAGACTGAACTTGCTAAGTTGATTGACTAAAAAGGACTAACATAATCATCAGGCGGTTCTGAATTCTGATATGAAAATATGTTGAGGAGGCTGTAGTCCAGGTTAAGAAAAATGAACTTCCCTTTTGCTAAAACTAAGATTCGAAGAATAAAGTCTGATTTGAACGGGCAAATGTAGTTACCTGAAGTGGGAGTTGGTGAAGACGTGCAGTATCCAAAGGAATTGCGAGCACAGGAGTTGATGATGCAAGGCTGCAAATATGGCAGCCTCAGGCCATACACGATCACGTGTACTTCGCATAGTTCTTAAGCAAGGACCCTACGTTTCCTCCCTTACTGTCGCATTGGCATTCTCCGTATATTGATTACCTCTTCACGCCGTTGCCGCCATCCAGCCCTTACAGATGAGTGAGGCTGGAGGGCAGAAGCGCGAGGCGCTGGAGAATATCCCGATGCATAGCTTGGCATAGCTAGGAATTCTCTAGGTGGAATTGATTTCTAAGTGGCCCGAGCAAGAACCGCTCGGTGCCTTCTTGCTTTCCAGGGCTTAGTGCTCCACAATGTCTTCTACCAAAGTCAGCTCCATTGGAATAGTTACTGATGAGGATAACTATAACTAGTAACTAACTAACTGGTTATTTCAGACAGGTGGATTAATAATCAGCCCCGGGATCCGGAGTATGTATGTTCCGACAGGAAAGGTGCAGGGAGAGCTCGAGCGATTAAGCAAGCATGCCAATTAAGAGCGTCACAATGTACTAGAGACGGCAATATATTGGTATAGAGCGTTCACCACGAATTCTACGAATCCTACGGCATCCTCTTAGTATTTGATATCCGGACGCCGCGCCTGATTCACTCCACTTCCATAGCAATTTCTGTTGATGGGTGGAACTCGCTGAGTTGGTTGTCCTAGCTAGGAGTACCAACAATTTCTAAGTGCTCCGAGCTAGAACCCGCTGAGTACCCTCATGAAAGTGGTGGCATCACAAAAGGAAAAGTCTGTACAGTGACATTTATTCCCAGGAGACATTTTACAGCATACATCGGCATTGCCGGTAGCCTTGAGATTATTGTTCAAGAGCGAGAGCATGCTATTCTGACTCCGAAGGAATTGCGGAAAGGAGCCAATATATGACAGAGCCCATTTCGCATACACACGGTGACTGCCAATGGAGATGTTAGCCAAGGAAGCTATTACATCCTCTTCACAGGGAGAACCGGAGCCGCTGCTCGACGATGACTACCCGGAAGGAGGACTTAAGTCATGGCTGGTCGTGCTAGGGGCATGGTGTGCCATGGTGCCCTCCATGGGTTTATTGAACAGTCTGGGGACATTGCACGCGTGGACGAGCTCTCACCAGCTGAAGAGTTACTCGGATTCCAGTATCGGCTGGATATACGGAGCGTACGGGTTTTTTCTCTACATTGCAGGGGCTCAGACCGGTCGGTTCTATGCATTGCTTTCACGTGGCCTCTTTCGCTGAGCAAATGTTCATTCTAGGCCCCATATTCGATGCGTATGGGCCGACCCTTCTGATTGTTCCCGGGTCCATTGGCATGGTTGCGTCGCTTGTATGCTTCAGTTTCAGTAAAGGTATAAAATACATATAGCCTGCAGCTCCGACAAACCGTCGCTGACTTCACTCAGAATACTACCAAGTCTTCCTGTCGTTCAGTGTTCTGGGAGGATTATCGGCATGCACTCTCTTCACACCAGCTGTTTCCGCCGTCGGCCACTGGTTCAATATCCGCCGGGGTCTTGCAACAGGCATTGCTTGCACCGCTGGCGGCCTGGGAGGCGTTATATTCCCGGTGATCGTCATGTTTGCAGCCCCAAAGATCGGCTTTGGATGGTCCATTCGCATCATTGCGCTCCTATCCGCATGCCTCCTGACAGCCGCCTGTTTTCTCCTGCGGACGAGGTTACCACGTAACAAGAAGGCCGGTGCAGCCATAGACTTGAAAGCCCTAACCGATATCCATTATGCCCTGACGACTGCTGCCGTATTCCTCGTGGAATTCGCCGTCTTCATCCCGATCACGTATATCTCGTCGTATGCGCTAGATACCGGCATGAACAAGACCCTCGCATACGCGATCATCCCGTTGCTGAATCTGGGCGCGATCCCCGGTCGCTTTCTCCCGGGGCTGGTCGCTGATCGCGTAGGCCGATTCAACGTGATGATCCTCACATCGCTCATATGCTCCATCCTCACGCTGGCGCTGTGGCTGAAGGCGGGAACGAACGTATCGGCGATCATCTGCTATGCCGTATTCTTTGGCTTCTGGAGCGGTGCCGCTATCAGCTTGACCCCCGTTTGCATCTCGCAGGTCTGCGCGACTGAGGATTACGGCAAGAGGAGCGGGACAACATTCATGATCTCCAGCATCGGGACACTCACCGGGATTCCAATTGCAGGAGCTATCCAGCAGCGCGATCATGGGGGTTATTCCGGGATCATCATCTTCGGGGGGGTATTGTATCTTGCGGCCACAGCTGCCTTTATTATTGCCAGGGGGGTTTGCCGAGGGTGGAGTTGGGGAGTTGTTTTCTAGATAGAGGGTTTATAGACGGCCGGAATACTCATGCATAGATCTGGCATCTTCCGTTGGACGATTCGTGCGGCTTCTTCAGCGAAGGGGGGCTGACATAGGGGTTTCCTGAGGCGAGACCCTGCATAGTACATACATACATGCATCGCATTACACCAAGGAACAACCCAATCAGGAAAACGGTCTCAGCTGCTTCAACCTTTCAACAGACGGAGGCGACTAACTTCCGTGCCTCGGTGCAGAGCACCCTAACCGGGTTACTGACAAGCCGTCTGTGCTCGCCTGCGGCTGCTTTCCATTGGGAGAGATTTGGCTTCAACACCCAAGCAAAACGTGTCAGCAACGCCGGCCAATGAGTAATTTTGTTCACCGACTTCTCCCGAGGATGGTCTGGCAAATAAGTGCATGGTGTTGCTCCTATACGAAGGCAGAGATCATGGGATGGGTTGCTTGTGAAAGCAAACACGTATATACATATAGTCGGCATGCTTTCTCTTCTGTGTTTCGACATCCGGTTTATCAACTTCTACCAGCTTAGGATTTATAATAACTCTACCCGTTTCATCCTGCGCAATCCACCATGAGTTCCAGAGAAGGCAGCTTCAAGGCGAAGATCCGCTCGCTTCTGCCACGCTCACCCTCCCAGTCTGGCGCGGAGTTTTGTGACACTCGATCGGAGATTACCCTCACGAACGAGTAAGTGGTCTTGGCGGGCAGTTTGACACTCAAACTTGGGGCTCACTGAAAATATCCAGAGGTCCATCTCCTAGACGCAAGGAAAAGGAATACAAAGGAGCTCGGGAGCCAGCATTGGCCAATCCGTACAACGGTTTGCTATCACCGTCACCATCACCGCGGTGCTTTAACCACTGCCGCTAACATGAACCCGAATGAACCAGGAGATCAATGCTTCGGATCATGTTGTCGAGGAGGAGGATATCCTCGGTAGGGCGGCATAACAGAGGATGAATGAATACACATGCACAACCATCACGGTTGGGTTTCTCTTTTGGCTGTTTCTCTCTGGATGTGAGGTTAAAAATGAAAATTGATGACGATATACCGAACCTGGTCCCCATTCAACTGGCATCCCTGAAAAGGCTACTGCTGTTGATTCCGAAGATCGCTCCAGGGCTAGGAAGTCGCGCTGTGGGTGTTCTTCGTCTTGCCGGAACTCCAGCGCATGGGCATGGAGCCTGTGTCGGCAACGCTCTAGTGCCGACAGGGTCATCCCCTGTCAGAGACAGAGACTGGGCTGTGTCTGCCCTGAAGGAAGACTATGCAGTAATGTTGTTTCGTGAACTGCCTAGGGTTCGGTTATTCTCTGCGTCAATGTAACCCTGGTCAACTAGTGCCTGAACGACCGGAAGAGTATGGGAATTCCCCAAGTATAGACCCTCCGTACCTGTGTCGAAAAGCCGACTGCTTCCAGCAGTCGATCAGCGGAGGAATGACTGGATCAGGGGCCTCGCAGGGGACAACTATTAGCTATTTCCACCTTCTGCACCGTTGAACAGAAGAGTAGCTCTGTGGCGTTGTCGCCGTCGGAGATATACTAGTAGAGACTATTGGAAGACAGGCGTTTCAACATGCTAATAGGAACCTCAGTGGGCTGAGAATGCGCGATGCCCACTAAAGCCGCTTCCAGCCGCTCTCAAGCTCTCAATCCGGCTTCGTTTGCGTTATTACAATCCCCATTTCATGGGAAATTGCTAGTCTCGAGTCTGACGGGGAGCTGCTAAACTCATGGCATGTTTCTGCAGAGAAGTCCCCGCAGCACGGTCTCCAGTCCCCTTTGCTAGTCCCAGCCGTCCGTCCATTTACTCCATCCGTGGAGCTAGAGGATCAATAAGATCAATAGTGGTCTGCAGAGACTACAGAGACGAACAGACGAACGGACGAACAGACGGACAGACGGACAGACGGACAGACGGACAGACCAACAGACCAACAGACCAACAGAGATCAAGTATGACACCCAGGGCCTTGGGTCAGGCCGAGTATTCATCATACAGTCGAGCTGCGCCGAACAAAATCTCTTCCAGTCCAGCGGGTCTGCTGAATAAATGCCGAATCCGCCGCACAGTGGATGAAGGGTCCACGCTCGGAGCATATACTTTGTCTCCACTGCACGCAGGGAACAGGTTGTCCATATTAGCGAACAGAGAAACACGGCCCTTGTCCAGCATCCATGGAACCGGTACCGATGGATACTTGTCCAGCTAGCCAGGTTGCATCCGGCTCAGTGCCCACCGAGAGCAGCAGGGTCCTCTTCTACACAGTTCTACAGGCGGAGATGTCTCCGGCCTGGCTGATTATTGCGATCCTGGCCATTATCTGTCGGGGCTTGGTTGGCCGTGTTCTTTTTATTTTATTTTATTTTATTTTATTTTATTTTATTTTATATTTATTTTTTATTTTTTTTTTTTGACTTCATCTGGAAAGGCAGGGAAGCCCGTGTCCAACGGCAATCCGCCGAAATTAATATAAGCAAGATAACCCCATAACGGCCATACCTCCCTTCTCTCTCTCTTCATGCACCACATCGCTGCAAAATGCTCCCCCGCCTGTCTCTGTTGACCGGCTTGCTGGCCGCCTCCGTGCAGGCAGCCAATTCGGCCTGTCGATGCTTCCCGGGCGATGCTTGCTGGCCATCCCCCGACGTCTGGGCCAAGTTCAATGAGTCGGTGGACGGCCGGCTGATTGCTACGGTGCCTCTCGGAAGGCCCTGCCATGCGCCCTACTACAACGCTTCTGAATGCGCGATTCTTCGCGCTGGATGGCAATTGCCCGAGGAACAGTACGTCCGCTGCTCATGCGTCGCTTCTCATCACAGGATACTAACGAGTCCCCAACAGCTATGAATCCTCGTCCTCCATCATGGCGCCCTGGTTCGCCAACGGCACCTGCGACCCCTTCCACCCGGTCTCCAAGCCGTGCACCCTGGGTAACTACGTCGTCTACGCCGTCAATGTCTCCTCGCCCCATCATGTCTCCACGGCCGTGAAGTTCGCCGACACGCACAACATCCGCGTGGTTGTGCGCAACACCGGCCACGACTACCAAGGCAAGTCCACGGGCGCCGGTGCTCTCGGCATCTGGATGCACAACCTCAAGGGCATCCAATTCCACGGCTACAACGACTCCCACTACACGGGCCCCGCTGTCACGTTGGGAGCGGGCGTGCAGGGTTTCGAGGTCTACGAGGCCGCCAACGCGCGCGGCTTCCAGTTCGTCGGCGGCGAGTGTCCCACCGTCGGCCCTGCCGGCGGATACAGCCAAGGAGGCGGCCACTCGGCCTTGTCTTCGCGATACGGTCTCGCCGCTGACCAGGTCCTCCGCTGGCAGGTCATCGACGGCAAGGGCCGCTTCATCACGGCCACGCGCGACAACGAGTACGCGGACCTGTACTGGGCGTTGAGCGGCGGCGGCGGCGGTACCTACGGCGTGGTGTGGTCGATGACCTCCAAGGCCCACCCGTCCACGCCCGTGTCTGGCTTCAACCTGACCTTCACCAATGCCGACATCAGCCAGGACACCTTCTACCGCGCCGTTTCGCTGTACCATAAGACGCTCCCGGCCCTTGTCGACGCGGGCGCCATGAGCGTCTGGTATTTCACCAACACCAGCTTCTCCATCTCGCCGCTTACAGGCCCTGATATCCCCGTGGCGGACTTGGTCTCCCTGGTCAAGCCCTTCACGGACGGCCTGACGAGACTGGGCATCAAGTACGAGTCCTTCTCGCGCCAGTTCTCCACCTATCTGGACCAGTTCAGCACGATGCAGGGCGAGATCGGCGTCGGCCAGGCGCAGTACGGCGGCTGGCTGATCCCGCGCTCGGTGGTGCTGAACAACAACGAAAACCTGACCGCGGCCTATCGGTACATCACCGAAGACGGCGGCACCTTCATCGGCGTAGGCCTGAACGTCTCCCGCGCCCTGGTCGGCGATGTCGACAACGCGGTCCTGCCGGCCTGGCGGGACGCCCTGATCGATACCACCATCACAACCCCCTGGAAATGGGACGCCCGGCAGGAGATGCTGGTGGAGCAGCAGAAGATGACCGACGAGTACATCCAGCGGCTGACCGACCTGTCGCCGGACTCCGGGGCGTACATGAACGAGGGCGACTTCCGCCAACCCAACTTCCAGAAGTACTTCTATGGGGTCAACTACCCGAAGCTGCGCCAGATCAAGGCCAAATACGACCCCAACGACCTCTTCTACGCTCTGACGGCCGTTGGTTCCGACGAGTGGGCGCAGCTGAGCGACGGACGTCTCTGCCGAGCCAAGTCCGCGTGAGACGACCGGGCACCGTTAGCAGGTGGCTTGAAATAGTCCATTACTGCACAGATCTCGGCCCTGTTCGGCGAAACAGCGCGTCTCCATCCGGGAAGGCACAATTTGCGGATTGCCCCATGGCGATGCTACCATGCTGTAGACGTGAATGTACATACGGAGTGGAGTGTATATGATGTAGAATAGACTATCTAGATCTAGTGGAGAGACCCAGAAGAAGAAGGGAAAAGAAAAAAAGAAAAATCCTCCCGCAAGGAGTATGAGACCCTGATTCAGAAAAGGAAAAAAAAAAAAAAAAAAAGAACGCCGTCTATGGAAGGATTCTTTTATTATCAAGTGGACCTGCATTAAGCTTCACGATGGAGCTGAAAAACCCGCACTCTTCGCGCCTATCCACTTATAATGGTAAGAGTGTTCAGCGGAATGTCCGGCTCACTGGCGGCCCTGTAGCCGTAATTTAGGATCAATTCATTTGCAAGAATCCTGCATATTCCGTTTACACTCCTGGAATGGGGAACGGACGGGACAAAACGCCACAGGCAACGAACAGGGTTCGTGGGACCCATGGTTGCATTTCTCCCCAAGGTTTCTAGTAATAGTTTATGTGCGGGTAGATATTTGTTTTGGAAAATGAAGAATTCCAAATAGACTCGACGGGCCTCGTGTCCCGGCTGTCCTCTGCGTATTAATTATTATAATCGACCTGCCTGCCGGCAGGGCATCTTATATATCAACGCCGTGTCTACTTCCCCCAGCCCAATGACGCGGACCGCGCCATGACTTGGGTTCACAACCTCCAGCGCCATGATCCGCATAATCGGATTGCCCGCATAATCGGCATTTCGCTGGCGTTTTCCATAGCGGCTTTCTCGGCTGTCTGCTTGCGTTTCTATGTGCGGTGGCGTACTCAGCGGCAGCCGTGGGTGGACGACTATGCGGCCTTGTTGACGGCTGGGCTGGCATTGGGGTATGCAGGGATTGCGGTTGCCCGTGAGTCTTCTCCTTCTCTTCCTCTTTGCCATCCTTTTCCCGTGTAGACTCCATAATTGGCCGGGACTAACACGGTTGAAGAGACAAGATGGGGCCTCGGATTGAGCATGGAATACTTCCCCCCGCAGAATGTCATTACCTTCAGCAAGGTATGCAGCCACCGAGTCCTCTCCATGGAGATTGCATCTGACGGTGAAAGATCCAATATGCCGGCGGACCGGTGTACACGCTGGCCCTCCTCGGATTCAAAGTTGCTCTGCTGTCGTCGTACCTCCGTATTGGGGGCTTTGTGCGCAGATACCGGCTCACGGTCATTCTGGTCATCGTGGTTTGCGTGGTGAACCAGTTGATCTTTACGTTCCTGCTTTGCTTTGCCTGTAGGCCGGTGCGTCTTTGGAGAGCCTGGGTATGGGGATCAGATATATAGGGCATGGACGGGCTGACGGAAGACAAATAGGTCGCGAAGCAATGGGACCCGTCGATTCCTGGGAGATGCATAAACACGATTGCGTCGTATTTCTGTGAGTGACCTTGGGCTGATCGGTTCGTCTGCTGCAAATGGGAAATAGACTGACAAGGCGTAGCTCTCGCAGGTATATCTGACGTCCCAGAACTCTCCTTCGATGGAAGGCGGCTTTCGACTGACGGTGAACAGGAACCAGTCTGGCTTTTGATATCATCATCATCGCCCTGCCACTGCCCGTGCTATGGCGTCTGCAACTCCAAACGAGGCAAAAGGTATGGCTCATGTTCCTCCTCACCGGCGTCCAGGGACTGACAGAGGTACAACCCAAGCTCGCTCTAACCGCCATCTTCGCCCTCGGATTCTTCGTCACCGTCATCCAGGTCATCCGCATCTTCACCATCAGCCGTCTCAGGAACTACGCCGACAGCCAGCCCATTGTGATCTGGTCCATTGTTGAAATCAGCCTCGCAGTATGTCTTCATCCATGCTGGACAACCGTCGCCCGCGAAAGGGAAAGAAAGAAAGAAACTAACATGGACGCCTTGCACGCAGACAATGATATCCTGCATCCCAACGTACGGCCCCCTCTTCCGCTCCCTGGCGATTAACTTCTCCTCGTACCGCAACCGTCCCAGCGGCCCCTCCTGCGGCGTCGGCTTCACACATCGCCACGGCACCGGCACCGGCACACGATCCCGCGAGAAAAGCGGTCGTCGCAGTGTTCTCCGCTCGGGTGACTCGTCGTCCGTCTGCACCTACACCGCGTATCAGCTTGGAGGGGATGGGGATGAGCCGCGGCCGTACGATAATAGCCTTCCACATAGCACGTTGGTGGTTACGGGGAAGACCAACGGGCGTGCTGGCTTTGGGTTTGCGGATACGGAAAGTGAGGAGCATATGCTTGGGCCTGTTGGGGGGAATTTACATATCCATACGACGACGGAGGTGACGGTTGAGAGGGACTGAAATTAGTGCTTTTTGTAGATGCTTTTGTGTTGAGATATATTGATGATTATGACTGCCGTGTACTTGTAGATAGTGGTAGATTACTGTCAATCAGCCCGTTGGATATGGCAGTCAGGATGTGCCCTATGCACCTAGACGTATTGGGATCTGCTATGCACATGAAGACATGCATCACCCTGATAATACACTCCAAGCCTACTGGTAGCCATAGGCTAACATGTGGGCTTTAGGACAGCCTGTTTATCATCAGCCGAACCTGACGACGGGGCCCAAGCTGGGAAACACCGAAACAAAACGGAAAAATGGAAACATTGAAACTTCTCGGCTTCTCCCGGTACAGTGGCCTCGTTGCCAAGGACAGATACCTTTGTAAAATCCTTCAAGGATGGGTGTAAGGATCTAGGCAATGTCCAGCCAAGGTAGCCTTGGCCTGAAGACGGGGTCGTTTGGGAAGGTCTCCGGCCTGACTTCACGGATATAAGAAAACGGATAAGGGCGCTATCCATTGCAGGGGTACCAGTACTAGGAGACAGGTTCATTCGGGGTTTTTGTTCAGTTGTCGGCAGGAATGTCTTTGTGGAAGACGAGAACTTCAAGCATGCGGAAAGTCAGCCGCGATTGCTCTGGATTTCCGAGAGCTCTGGTTTGTAAGGACTGATAATCATGACATCGCTTGCAGTACCGAGAGTCAAGAGACTGGGTGTGTTAAACTAAACAGATGTCATGACACCCTAGTAGTCTGTAGCATGCTACTCCAGTTAACAGGGTGAGGCATCGTTCCCCAGAGCAGCATGTAGACGGCCATTGTATATATTCAGTGAAACCAGCCAAGAATCTGGTTAGAATCACGGTAGTTTGTCAGGAGCAATGTAGGTATAAATGTAGCTCGCACCATAGAACCCGAACACCAGGCGTCGTCTTGAATATTTTGTGCCTTCATTAGCCTCATGCTACGATGGCAGCTGATACGGGTCCCCCGGCCAAGACTACCGCTCTGACGGATTCCAGGGTCATATCAATGCAGCGATGGCACGTCTCAGATGCTCTTGGTGGTCACAAACTGGGGTTTGAACACCGAGAAGACCCCGGGAGGCATTTGTCGGTGGAGTAGAGAATCGTGCTACCTTTGGGACTTACTGTCCATTCGTAGCGAGACTGTATTGATCTGAAAAGGTTGCCATGACACCTTAGTAGTCTGTAAATGCACTCACGGCAACAGACTTCAGCGCCTTAACTTCTTCTCTGGAGACGTGGCTCTGCTTGCCAGTCAAACCCTTCTAGACACTCGGCAATGATCCGAGCTTGTCGACTCCCTTATTCGACCCAGCACCCAAATAATACCTTCAAGTCCAGAAAGTAAGCGCGGGGATTATGACCAGAGCAATGCGATTTTTTTCTTGTGTTTTGAGTGCGTCAGATCAGCTTGATGCCGCAAGAATATGTTCTGTGTTGAAGACTTGCATAAGAGCACCATCCAACGGAAATCGACTCATGATACGGACAAAATTGCCATAGTCATGTTCCACATCAGCTCCGCTAGGTCTCTCCTGTATCGCGGTATTTGGTGAGAAGGGTGTCAGTCACCCAAGTCGCATGTTACTCAGGTCAACACATGATCCTGATCCCCATGTCTTTGACACGACGCTCTCGGATTACCGGACCGTCGTAGCACGTAAGCTTGTAATTGTATACGCGCTTAAAATCCCTTAGGGCAATTAGGGAACTGATGCCTGTGCTGGCGGATGAAGGTATCGACCTCGTGGTTTCCCCCTCGATTCCCACACCAAGCAGGCAATTCGGAATGGGGAATATGGTTTGCCTTTGTTCTTTACCTCCAAGAGAGGCCCAATATCACCCTTGTTTTGCCGGTTATCCAAACAACATCTTGCAGGGTCATTCTGCAGCTGCGTCCGCAGGAGCATGATGGTGGATGTCGAGAGGATCGTGCGTCCCTTGAGGCCTGTTGGACCAAGTTCTATCAAGAGTATCCTGCCTTGCCACATGTTAGAATCAATGGAAATATATAATATATATGAACGTTTGAAGAGCCAGGAGACATACGGAAATCATGAAGGAGCTTAGCCTGTCGGGTTTTCGGGTCTCAAGGGAACTCCCTAGTTCCCAAGAGCAGGACCATTTTGACCGGGCATCAAGTACGCGAAGTTCAAGCTCTGTAAGAGGCCCAACTGCTAGTGGTAATGACCCGGACATTCTCAGGTATCCCGTCAATTAACTCTGGGGGGAAGGGATGTGATCCCACACGGTGTTTCCGTTTCTGTGGCCATCCCGGAAGCTGTTGCTATTCAGAGGGCTCTCTCAGATGGGCAAAGGTCTGGACAGTCGTATTATTGCAGGACAGTGCACTGCCGCCGTGCGTGTTACGCTTGGCGCAAGCTGTGAGTATACGATGCAACCTCCCACTGACGAGGGAAATGGAGGCCACACCTCTTCCATCGAGCGAGTTGCCCGGGAAAGATATGTTGGGGAGTAGAGACAGAGGATGGAGAGAGAGAGAGAGAGAGAGAGAGAGAGAGAGGTCACTTTATAAGCGGCTCCTGTGCATAAGATGCCACATGTCCTTCTAGGAGACAAAGATTCACTTGATGCGAGTTAGAGGGTGAATTCACAGAGAGCATTCACTCCGTATATACTGAAGATCCCAATAGCCGCTTGTTTACTAGGTCCTGAGTTGGCCACCCATTCCATCTGCCAGTGCATTGAAAAGTGCTACAAGGCCGGCTGTCCATGTCCATGCAAAGCTCAACTGATGCTGGATCGGCCAGGATCATAATATGAACCCTTCACTGCCAACGGCTTCAATCTATCCATATCAATCACGCCATAAACCCTTTGCCGTGGCTAATCGCTCGGCCAGAATGCGGAGTTAATTGCGTCTCGTATTTATGGACTGCGTGTCCGCATGCCATGACAGCAATGTATGATTCTGTCAGGAGACAGGAACAATGGCAGGCTATCCCCCCAATTCCACGCTCGGAGTCGCTATAATCGGCGCTGGTCCAGCCGGACTCGGAGCAGCCATTGAGTTTGCAAAGCTGCCCTTTGTCGATCTGCGGGTTTACGAACGGGCTCAGGAGCTGAGGGAGATCGGGACTGGAGTCAGTATTCAACGGAATACATGGCGCATGCTGGAGGCTTTGGCTGTATATGGGAACGTCGATCCGAAGAGCATCTTTCGTGCGGCGGATGGTCACTCGACGCAGCACCGGTAGGGCCTGTAATGCTGGTCATTCGTTGGTGCTGGCGCTGATCTCGATTTACGCTGTAGAAATGGCAGAACGGGGGAGTTGCTTGTCTCGCATGGCCAGAAAGGTATTGTATATTTGGTTCTTCTCTCGAGTCTATCTTGCAATCGTTGACGTGTTCTACAGACACCCCTCGGCAGCACTTACATGCCCGTGCCCTACGTTCGGTACTGCAAAAGGCTCTTCTCCAAGGAGTCGACAAGTCGCGCTTGAGACTGTCCAGCAAGCTGGTGCACATCGCAGAGAACCCATCCGGAACGCTGTCGTTGTGTTTTGAAGACGGCCACAGAGACGAAGTCGACCTTCTAGTGGGTGCAGATGGTGTTCGATCAGTATGCATAGAAAACAACATCATATCCGTCTTTTTTGCTCCTGCAATCAACCGAGATCCCTAGGTCGTCCGAGCATTTGCCTTCCCGGACCATCACATCAGCTATACGGGACAGACGGCCTACCGTGCTCTGGTCACGGCAGATGAGGTTCTCAGCATCCCCGGATTCCCCGACGCTGTGACCTTTTGGCATGCTCCGGAAAATTGGGTGTACACTTGCAATCTGAACAACAATATCTACGAGGTTACCGTAAGGACACCTCTGCCGCCGGGCACAAAAACCGTGAGCTGGGGCCAGGCTGCAACGCTGGAAGAGCTGCGGCGACCATTCAAGGTTGGAAATAATGCATGCCCGTGAGCGTACAGTAGAAATACTAAGGCTCCGATTAGGATTATTGTCCAGTCGTTCAGGCCGTTCTGGGCAAGGTGCAGGAAGTGACCCGATTCGACCTGTTCGCAGGGTCACATCTCCCCAGTGTTGTTTCTCGTGGCTCGGTGGCACTGGTTGGAGATGCCTCTCATCGTAAGCATATTTTGAGACAGGTAGAAGGGATACATTGCTGACCGTCTTACAGCGCGTTCGGGAGCATTCGGTAGATATGGCCCTAGTTTTGAAACTCCTCCAGAGATATCTATCTGACACTATCCCAGGCGCTGGGGCCGGCTTCGCATTAGAAGACGCATACGTGCTAACTCAGGCCGTCAAATGGGCACACGAAAGAAATCTCCCAGTCGGAGATGGACTGGATTTGTTCGACAAAGTCAGGACGCCACACTACAAGCAGATGGTATGTTTTGAATCTCCGCATCCTCTGACCGCATGTGCTCACAATATCCTGCTAACCGCGTCCCAAGTACGCTGTTCTTGCCCGGTTTGCTGCCGCCGACGCTTCAATCAAAGAGAGCAAGGTCCCATTCGATGAAGCCGTTGCTCTCCATGTAAAGCATAACTGGACAGAGGAAGACCACTGGCTATACCACTATGATGTAAGCCGTGTTAATTTTCGTTTTTACTACATTTTCAGCAGTGCATTACTGAAAACTACAGGTCCAGGAAGTATGGAAAAACGCTTACGAAGCAGAAGACGCCCGTCGTGCTAAACAGGGCAAGGGTATAATATCTCGCCTGTGAAGGCCTTCTCGTATAAGGGCGTCTATATTTTGTTTAGAGGCAGGAATCTATAATAACCTTGCATGTTATTGTGTAGCAATGCTTACAAAGTCCTGAATAAGTGTATAGATATCCATGGACACCTCCGAGTCCGTACCCTCGGATATAGCACTGCAGAACTCCAAAGAGCCAGATATCTCGTTTGTCAACGGATAATATCCCAATTAGAAAAGCCGTTCTCCTCCTCTTCCGCCCAGACGGTGCAGACAATGGCGTCAGTTGCCCTAAAACCTCGTGCATCTCGGTCGTGCTCATCCATCCAATAAGTCACCCTGAACAGATTACCAATGTAAGGCAGGTCCACCGCAGAATAAGAAACGTGAAAATGGATTACAGCAAGCTTTTGTCTTCGGTGGGGTGTACGGAGTATTGATATCTCTTGTTCTTAAGACACGGAAATCCCCAATATAGACCACTGCGGCAGTGAGCAACACAGCTTCATGGTCCTCTTCAATCGGTTAAAGTCCTTGAGAAAATGAATCGCCAGTTAGAGAAGATTCAAAAGCTACAATTGCATCCATGGTATGTTTCCTTGTCTTGACCGGGGTCATCTCTAATCTGCATGGTGAAATAGGTACAGCGTTGCTATTGTTGCATGGACGGCATTTTGCCATCCGGGAATGTTCAGTGCTTTGAATGTGCGTTTCCCCTGTCAATCTTTCGGCTTTTTTGTTTTTTTTTTAAAAAAAAAAAGTTACGGTAATTGTCAACTAATAGTCTATAGGGTCTCGGAATGAGTCTCGTTATTGAATCACTTCACCATGGAATCGCTAAAAATCAAGGCCGGAGGAGAAGAATCCGCATCCCTATCCAACGTCGTTAATGCCGTGACCTTTGGGGCGCTTACTGGCGGTGGATTCGTCACTGGAATCATTTGCAATACAATCGGTCCCCAGTGGGTTCTGGTTTTGGGAACCCTAGGCTATGCTCCATATTCGGGTTCGTTCTTGTTGTGAGGTCTACTGTTTCACGGCTGACGGTTTGCAGCCGGGCTCTATGCAAATGCAGCTTTTGGAAACAAGTAAGTCCTCGGTCAATAGCTGTTGGCAGGATGAAAGCTGACTTGGATTCTGGTCAAGATGGCTGCCCATTCTCGGAGGGTTAACCTGCGGCATAAGCGGGATATTTCTGTGGACTGCGACTGGTGCCATTAATCTTGTTTGTATGGCTTCATGGGGTTGTCCTGTCATAAGGTCATACTGACTATCTTATAGATCCTCCGGTCGATCAACGAGGCCGCGCAGTCGCTGCCAAGTTCACGTTGCAGAATCTCGGCGGATCCCTGGGTGGTATCATCTCTCTCGGACTCAATGCGAAGATGAACCATAGCGGGCGTGTGTCGGACTGTGAGTCTTATCTCTTGTATAGACGTCACTTTGTATTTCCCATCATTAACATCAGCAGCCACTTACTACGCCTTCATAAGTATCATGTGTCTGGGTCTTCCGGCAGCCCTGGCAGTCCCTCGACCGGACAAAGTCATACGGGGCGATGGCTCACGGGTGGTCATGCATCGAACTAGATCCTTAAAGCGGGGAATAATAGGACTAGGACGAGTGATGAGGTTGAAGAGCTTCCTCATCCTGTTCCCGTATTTAGTTTACTGGGTATGACATTCCTAGACGCGGTTGGAATACTACATGTGGACATGGAATGCTGCGTACCACAGTGTCCGAGCTAGGGCTCTTCTCAGCATCCTCTTCTATCTCAGTAAGTTTCTTCCGAGTCCCCTGTTCTTAACTTTCCAGCTAATGGTGGGATCAAAGCCAGTCGGCCCTACTCTCATCGGCCCCATCCAAGGCTACCTCCTCGACAACCCTAAATGGCGTCGTCAATCCCGCGCTCGATACGGCGTTGTTTCATTCACGGTCATCGCGCTCCTGACATGTACGTTTCTTCTTCCAGCACTTGGGGGGGTTTCACTGAGAGCTCGTAGGGATCTATGGACTTGTCGTCCAATACCAGTACGACAAGCGCAGTCCCACGGCACCGGCAATCGACATAGTCGACCCTGTCTTCGCAAAATCATGTCTGCTATTCATTGTGTACGGGCTGATTGAAAACTCGGCCATGATCATCGGGTACTGGATCATTGGTACGTCGTCTATCATACCAATCTCCTCAGAAGTCTGACCGGACTCACAATATCCTGATAGGTTCACTTGGCTTGGATCCGGGAGACGTCGCTGCATTGGTAGGACTGGCGTGAGTGGCTTCAACAACAGCTCAGCCAGGAGAAACCAGAAATAGGGACTGACAATTTTTTTAAATAGCACAGGCATCGGCTCAGGAGGGTCAACAGCAGCCTTCATTCTCGGTGCATGCAATGTACCCCTGATTCGGCAGCTCTGGGCGAACGTGATAGCATTCCTCGTCGGCGTCCCGGGACTGCTGTACGTGGGGTTCTTTCATATCGCTGACGATTCCACTATTGATGCTATTACTACTGCTCATTTGAACTCGGATGATGAGAAAGAAACGCCAGACCCCGAGAAGGGGGCGCCGGTGTTGGTCAGGGTGCCTTCTAGCTGAAGCTTTCCGATGTGCTTTGGCATTCCGATAGACAGTCAACAAAGCAAGAAACAATAGCTACTATGTAAGAAATACCAAGTAGGAAGCCTGAGATCACAATCAAGTATATAAATTCATGCGAATTGCTTGCGTAAACGGGTCAACGTCAATGCCGTCAATGCCGTCAATGCGCAGCGCTGATCAGGGCAGCACATCACGAGCGAAATTCGCAATGTAGTCATGCCATGAAAGCAGCACTGTAATCCACATGTGTAATTCCACTTGATAGATGAATGGATAACTATCTTATTCTGTTCTTCTGTCCTCCGCTGCTAAGCTAGTCACCACGGTATGTAGCATAGATTTTGGCCATATATATAGCAATGCTAGCCCTTCCTAGGGTTATTTGCAACCATAGCCTATGTCAATGCCAGTAAACAGCTTCCCATCGGTCGAATGGTGAGCCAGCGTGGAAGACTGCCCTTGGACGGTCGACTTAGGGCTAACGTGCTCAGCCTTGGCCGCATAAAAGCATTCCCGCCGTCGATCCTCAGATCTAACTGTAGAGGTGGTAGAAGCGACTCCTGTGGCCGAGTCCCATTTCCTACTTCGGGCTTCATGGTTCTTGTCCAAATCTCGTGGTTTGCCATGTTCGACCCGTTCCAGACGCCAGGTTGTTCCGGAATAGCTGAACCGCATGTGTCCTGGATGGATGGTCTTCATCGGCCGCGGCGAAGGCTGTACGTCCGGTCCCCTATGAAGCATTTTATCCCAGCCCTATTTCGAACATATTGTGTACTCTATCAGTCTGGACTCCTGGAGTATTTATCCCCTGATGTGAGATATAAAGAGTGCTCAACAGGCAGCTTACCTCCTCTCCATCATCCTCACCGTCACCATCACCATCAACGTCTACATCCAAACAACAGTCAGAGACCAAAGCACCCGTTGGCAACGTCAGGTCTTCTCCGTCCAATATCTCTCATTCACGATGAAGATTTCTGTCCTTCTTCCCGTAAACATACCATTGTCTTCGTTGCTTTCAATCTCCAAGATAAGACAGACATCCAACCAGTCCCTCCTACCGGAGCTACCAAGGACGTCCCCCCTCCTCCGAAGGATCCCAAGCCTGTGCCGCCTCAGTAGAGGAATCGGACCGACTAGGAACCAAAGTCAGGAAAATAAGAATGGCGGTCTTTGGTATCGGATCGGAGGAAGTGTCCAACAGCGGGGTTTAATGGACGGGTTTTAGGGATGTTCTTCTGTCTTTCTCTTTCTCTCCTCTCACTTTTGGCTTGCTTGTCTTTCCCTGAGACATATATAAAAAAGAATAAGTCGCAGCTAGTGTTGCAACTACACGCTACAATCTACTCATTTGCGGAGCTATTCACCTTTGCTGTAAAGGTATGCCAGAACGGATACACGGATATACCTTCTGTCTCTTCCTTTTACAATTAAAAAGGGGAAGTTGGGTGAGTTCCGGCCGTATGATCATGATCCAGAGGTGACGACGGGGGTCGCGCTGGAGATACTGGAAAGGATGAGTGATGAGGGTGCGATGTTGTTTTGGACGAGTTCGATTGATGATGGTTTAGAGCAAATACAAAAGCAGTCTTCTACTTAATCGATGGCATCCCCTTCCTGGCAACAACCCTCTCCAAAGCCCCTCTAAACAGTTTCTCTCCCTCCTCAAACTCCCCGTTAAACATCCCCGGCAGCAACCGCAGTGAATTCGCATGTCCCTCATCGTAAACCGGTCCCTCCCATCCCCGTTCAACACATACCATCACAGCATGTTCAAGTAGCCATGTCCCAAGCCCATGACGCCGATAACGGTAGTCAACCGTGCATGCTCTAATCTTCGCCAGTATTTTCCTTTGCGTGTCATTCCGCGCTCCATGTCGAGATTCGTCAGGAAGAACGGATGGCAATGGCGTAGCTCGAAGAACAACAGTCCCAATAACGGCATCCCCGAATTTCGTGACAATGACCATATCCAGATTCTCTGTCTTGCCACTCTCATCATCACCGTACAGCCATGCCCACGTCCCCGTTCTCTCCGCAGCATCCAAGTATCCGCTCACGACGTACCGGACGCCTACCAGGCCTGCCATGATGCATCCGGCCCACGTGGTTCCGATCATGGTCCAGTCTCCAAGGTTTCCATCTTTGTGCAGTATCTTGCAGATTATTGCCAGCAGAATTGCAATGATTGTCCATGAAAGCGGGTGGGAGATGATGGCTCGGGCTGCGAGTTGGCGTTGTTGGGCGACTGAGTCGGCGATCAGGTGGAGAGATGCTATGAGGTCTTCTTCGGATGTTGCTTGGTAGATTGCCAATTTTGGGCCATCTGTGGCCATTCTGTTTGTATTTTTGATGTTTGGTTCCATACGTTTTCTCTGGGAGGTCTTGAGTTCTGTCATTGTGGTTGCAGGTTTCATGTGTGGGTGGTTGAGTCGAACTTTCCTACATGGTAGAACTGGATGAAAACCTAGAGAATGATAATCAGGTGAATGACTGCTAGCTACGCACTGTTCGTATTTTATTTGACTTTCTTCTCCCATGGTACAAGTGACTAACTAACTACGACACCTCAACTGGCACTTCCCTCGTGAACTGCCATTGCTGACCATCCCCGTCGATATTCATATGTGTAGATAATAATGCAGATAGGCTTCCATATTAATGAACTACTTTCCTTCGATGTCAGTGCTGCTATCGAGCCTGCTGTGTTGACCTTCCTCCTCCTGCTTCGCGTGGTTTTCTTCCGAGGCAATTGAGCCATTAGAAGATTGCTGTTCCTCCTCTCCAGTTATAGCTTCCAAGGTCTTCCGCTTGGTCTCTGGGATGAGAAGACTAGTGAAGCACCCACACAGCATGAAGAACGCGAAGATCTGCATAACATGGTTAAGCCAAGGAGACTCATCAGACGACTTCGCGCCCTTGTGCACCAAAGGGCCAAACACGCATTGCGCGATGATCGCGCCAATCTTCCCGGAAGCTGCACTAATCCCATGTGAAGTCGACCGATAGCGTGTTGGGAAACACTCTCCGGGGACGATGAAAGTCGTGGCATTGGGTCCGAAGTTGAAGAAGAACTGCGCAATGACGTAAAGCCCCAGGAGACCGTTATGGGATCTCTTGAGCGGCTCAAACGCAAATCCAATGACAATGAAGACGATGGTTAGAATGCTGAACCCCATCAGTTGAATTGGCTTGCGGCCCAGGGTATCAACCGTGGCCACTGTAACCCAGTATCCGGGAATGGCACCAGCGCAGATCAATATCAGATTGCCCACTGCATTACGATAGAAGACCTCGTACACGTTATGTCCTCCCGTCCAACCGATGGCACCGAGAATAATCGAGTTGTTAAGGCCTAGGCCATAGAACGCTAGTAGATCATTAGCGTGTTGCTCATGGATGAAAGGCATGGTATACATACCAACGTCGAGGAAAAACCAGGAGCCTGCAGTTCCAAGGAGAATCTTGCCATTCTTCCATTGCGAATAGTGCGCCCAGAAGTCAGACCAGCTTGCCTTGGGAGTAGCAAGTTCAATGCTGTTCTCTTGCAACGTAGCTGCGCGCTCAACCGCATCAAGATTGCCTTCACGTTTTCCTTCAAGGTAGGCATGCGCGTCCTTGTCTGCTTTAACAGCGTCACGAGCCACGTCAAACGTATAGCGAGGCGTTTCGGGAATGGTCAACCGGTAATAAAGAGCAATACAAGCAGGGACCGCACCAAACCCGATAACCACACGCCACATCTTGTCAACAGCAAGCTGGCAGACGCCTGAGCAATGATCCACGGAGCTAGCGGTCTCTAGAGACTTTCTGAACCCTGAAGTTACGATCAAGGCCACAACTGCAGCCGCAAACTGACCAAATCCCTGCATTGCAAAGACGGCGCCCATCATAGCACCACGCCATTTGGTAGTTGCAAATCTAGAACGCGTACATTGGGTCAGCATAGGCATGGAACGACTGTCAACAAGCACGGTGCTCTTACTCTGAGGTAATGACAGAAGACAGCGGATAATCTCCACCAATACCAATTCCCATAAGGACACGCCAGAAGATCAAGACTCCCACGATGGACATGGCAGGCGAATCGGAAGACAGAGACTGGGCAAGGGTAGCAAAAATAATCATCATCAGTTCGACACCGTACATGCGCTTCCGACCGATCTGATCAGCCAACCAGCCGAATACCAGCTGACCAACAACGGTACCACCGGATGTCGACACCTTAATAGCGGTGTCGGCTTCAGACGGTATCTTCCCGGGCTTAGACAAGGCGTCCTGCCAGAAGACGACTCCGAGCATGCTGGAACACAAGTTGATAGCGAAGATATCGTAGGAATCCGTAAAGAAACCTACCCCAGCCACAACTACAGCACGGACATGGCGCCATCCAAAGCGGGCATTGTCAATCTCCGCAAGGGCCAAGCGACGGCGTTCGTTAGGGTCAGTAACATGAGCAAACCTATTGATATTGTATGTTAAATGGTGGGAAATTGTCAGAGGGTTTGTTCAACTTTGGGGTATACACACTGGCTGCTTGCATTGTGGAACGCGTTATGAAACACGCTATTAGAGCGAGACATAGACACGGAGGTGGAAGTAGACATGGCGAGAGATGAAAGAAATGAAATGTATAATCTCGTTCCTAGACCCCTGCCATAGAATCAATGTATGGTGCGGAGGTGGACACAAAGAGTTAACGTGAGAAAGATGGGAGAGTGAAGAGGAGAGAGTGAAGAGAAGAACGCGTTGAGGCTGTCCCTGACAAGAGAACTATATAGTATAGTTCTGCACGCGACAGCTGCATGCATCCAGTTCCTTCCTGTGACCGGCTGCTACCCTAAGACTAGGCTGTTTCCAACCAAACCAGCCCTGGCTCTGCCCAATCAGACTATGTACCTTGCGCCCGTGCCTGCTCCATTGGGAGAAGAAGAGCGCCAAGACCCCCGCCGACCTTTGGCTCCGGGCGGAGCGGACCCGCGGTTCGCGCCGGGCGGAACTGGCCTCTGCTCCAACCAGCACCCGTCTCGGAAACATGCTCCGCCGTATCAGTTTATGTAATCCAGATAGCTATCGATCACAGGCATCATTATTACGATCTTTCCATCGTCATCATTGCTGGTGGTCGCGGGAATGATGCCTAAATCAATACATCCCGGATCCACGGCATGGCCGAGGCAAGGTCAAAGTCCCAAATGTTATCCATGTCTCCCAAGTCGAGTGACAACGGGCTGTCTGCCGAGTTCAAGTCCAGCAGATATGCAATGTCGCACCGGCTCAGGTATCTCCTCGCAGAGTGTTCTCCTCCGCCAAACACCGGCGCAATCTCACGCGCAATCGAGTCGCAGTCCGCAGACGCTTGTCCACGGCGGTCGTATATCTGTAACATCCTTTCGAGAGTCTTCTTTCCATCTCGGATAATTGGAATGGAGTGCGGTCCGGCCTCGAGGTCTGCAATCACCATCTCGATGTCTCCTCTAATGGTATCGGGAGGGAATGACGGTTCCACCAGAAGAAAGGCGGCGAGCTGCACGGTAGAGGTGTAGGTCTCATAGGCCTGAATGTAAAACTTGGGGTTCCGTCGGAATGACTCGTGGCTGCGCAAATATTTATATACGGACATTATATCTTGAGTAGCCTGGAGACATACGTCGTAGGCCTTGTTGAGACTCGATCCAAGAAACGGTCGCATCATCCGGATCCGCTGAGTGCATAATGAGCTGTGGATGCTATGATACTGCGATTGTAGAGCCTGAAGATGCGGCGGGATAGGGTCGAGTTCCGTGAAAGAAGAAAGGCTTCGGTAACACGGGAAAGTATCGATCACGGCTTGAATCTGCTCGTCGACCAAGCTTACATGTTCCCAGGACGATAGATGTGCGCCATCGTCCTTGAAAAGTCGCCGGAGAATCTTGAAGGCTTCTGCACGGGCGATATTCGCGCTCAGTTCAGTGGGTTCATCGGAAGGTTGGACATCCACAGCAGACTCGGTGATATCGTGATCGTTGCAGTTGGAGGGGAATGGCACTCTGTCTTCTCCCGTCTGGATCAAAGGGGTGCGGCCAAATAACAGAGACTGGAAGGTGTCGCAGCACCATAAATCCCACCAGATGCGTCGACGCATCTCCGTGTCCAGGCAGTTCGCCCCACGGCTACCTTGGTCCAGGTGTAAGGCCTGCGCATTGCGAACAGCTTGTCCCAGGCACGATTGCATGGCCTCTGCACTTTTGATTGCAAGCCAGTATGTCTGGGTGACCAAGAAAGTGGTCAGTTGCATCAACCTGGGCCTCGACTCAAAGCCACCACTATACAAAGCTTGTCTTGAAGCAAAGTGCCAGGTATGCGCCAGGTCTCGAACTGACTTGGCGTCAAAGCCAACCGCCTCGGAAAACTCGTCGGTAATAACCAAAGCAGTGACCGAGAGCATCGTGAATAAGAGAGACAGCCATATCAGGTCAACATCATCCATATGGCCGTCCCAGAAGTGGAAGTACTGCTTCCGGAAGCTAGGGACATGCACCGCTTGGTATATCCAGTTTATGTGTTCGAGATAGAAGGAAATCAGCATGTCGCACTGATTGTGCGTCGGCAGCAAAGCCGTAAGTTGAGATCTCCAGAAGTTTTCCATATCAAACGGGTTATGCGGTCTATACAGCCCGGAGGGCACGCCCAGGTTCGACAGTGCAGCTTGCGACAGGACGATTGGCGTGGGAGAGTACATGCATGCACTTCCCAGGCCACTTTGTCGTGTATTCCCGGCAATTGAAGAAGATCCAGCTTGCTGACTAGATCTCAGATTCGGCGTGGAGCCAGGGGTAGGCAGCAGAGGAGCAGGAGGCTGCTCAGTGCTCTGCTGTGAAACAGGTCCTGGCGTTGGCTGGCTTGGAACAATCGAAACCACAGCTGTCCTGGGAGTCAGCGCCGTCTCGGGGCGCTTCTGTGCATCAGGAGCTGGATGTTGCCTGCATGCATCAGTCCGGCTGTGCCGTGTGCAGGTCTCGCAGGGCAACTTCCGGTTACATTTGAGCTTGTGCTGGCGACATGGGAGACAGCTCAGCTGCCGACGCTTGCGGAATTTCTTCCGCAAAGCATATTCTTGTGGTGGCATCCTCTCCTCTCTGTTCCAGTGGTATAATGAACATAATGAACAGAGCAGTCAAGGGGGTACAGGAGTTTCGTGAGACTTTTTGGGCGCTCTGATCGGAGATATCCTTGAAGAATGTCGGAGTTCCGGAGAATCTCTGCGCGGATTGGTGGATCTAATGCAAGCCACGTGCATTACCGATAATCCTATAGACACACTGCATATAAGAGGATAAGAGGTTAGTTACAGCAACCTTTGACTCAAGCGGAAAATTCGATGGAGATAAACCAATTATCAAATAAAACTCTACAGCGTACACAATATTCCATTTACGGCTTTTTTCGTAGAATATTATGATCGCTGGTGCCCGGAGCTTGTATTGACCGCTCCAACTGGGACTGGTGCCACTGGGGAGCGAACATTGCCTTCTAGTACACTATGGCGACGGTAAATTTAAAAACCAGGGTTATGTCCTGAGGCATTAGGAAGGTTAGAGCATCCATCATCCAGTTCTATGGGAGTGAGGATCCCTTGCTTCAAGCTTGCCTAGCGCTGCAGTCAGCGGAATCACTGCTCCAACCTCTCGCTGATTCCGGGTGTGCCGGTGCATATTTCTGCGGAATCAATGGTAGATGAATTTATCCAGGTAATTCAATAATAGATTTCTTAGAAGAAATAAGCATGACACCGGCCATTGCCATGATGAAAGTCCATGCATGCAATGCATCCGAGCATGGCAATTGCTCCGGGGCAATACACATCACTGAGAACGGGGCTCATTTTGCATCAATGGAACACACTGGATAGTTCCATGTTCGAGAGAGTCAATCGTCTTTTATATCAAGCCAAGATTACTTTACGTTGAAAGAGCAGACTACTACTGTCCGTGTCGAATTTCTTAACCCCCCGTTGGTGCACCTTACTATTTAAGCCTAGGAACGACTGGCATTCGTGGAGGGAAGAACGGACTGTGGTCCTCTCGGCTTCCAAGAGACCATCAAAGAGCATCTGCGCGGCGTCGGTATTCCTGGACCATTCATATGCAGTGTGAACTGTTCACTCCGTCGCCGGAGAGCACATCCGATATAGAATCGGCAACTGTTCTGCTCACAAGATCCAACAAGACGACTATCTGGGGCCAGGAATACTCATCAACTCCCGAAATTGGCCGAATCAACCTGTCTTGCCCCCTGGCTGCCGTGTAGGAGCATGTAGGAGCTATGCTGCACAGATAAACCAGGCTCCGCGGTGGGTTTCAACTTGACGGCATAACTCCGGTGTGTTCGGCTAAGCCAGCATCGAAACATATTGAGACTGGGCTGTACATGTTCACTGTCTTTATAAGGGAGGTGTTGTAATGTTGTAACATCTACTATTTAGATGGAATGTAGGTCTACAGACATCACCCAACAACAACATGGCGACTCAGTCATAGAGACAGCAGCAATATGTCAACAAATACTCCAACCCATACAGATCGGGTCGAGGTGACAGTTTAAAGATAAAGAAACATGCAGGTCAGATCAGATCTGCAACTTTCATATTTCAATTAACGAACCATGTTAAACACTTAAAACTCCGAGTTCCACTCTACATGCAGGTACAATACCCTAATTTAATGCACTTCTCGATCCCCAGAATAATCCCATTCTCGCCTCTCACTATCCTCAATACTAAAATAATCCATCAAATGAACAGCCCATTACGTCTTTCCTCCCCAATGTCATCCTGTCGTCACATGGATGACGTCCAGCGCCGTTCTCCCGCATACTTACTCCAACGCTCTATACTGCGTTCCAGCGGTGGCGGTATCCAGGGATACTTCAAATATATATTGTGGTAATAGGTATCCCTTTTACTTTCGTTTCGTTTTCTTCCACCTTTCATCGTATTACGATACGCTAGCAGTTCGCAAAGAGCTTATTTGCATTTTGCATAGGCAAATCATCGCATCCAAACCAATATGGGTAGAGAAGGCGGAGCCCCTGAGAACAAGGCCCGTGGTTATAAAGCGTGAGTTTTATTTCCTGTTTTCTTCTATTACTACAAGATGGCTAATGTCTGGGATGAACAGCGCAATGAAGAACCCCCATGTCTCCCAACAAGCCAAGCAACACGCCCAGGACGAACTGAACCAGATAGAGAGCTCGACCGCAGGCGGGCAGGAACGGCATGAGGGTAATGTCAAGAGGGGTCTCAAGGCGTATGTTTTCCCTTCTCTTTTCCCACTCTCAAGCGCTGTCATTGCTGACAGACGTACAGAGCAACTAATAACCCCAATGTGACCGACTATGGCAAGCGGGAGGCTAGGAGTAAGCTCGAGGCTATGGGGGAGCAGGTTGAAGAGCCTTCTGATTAGAAACCTTGTATATAGTCGGTATATAGAGTGTTGAAAGACAAACGTATATACGGGGTATAGCATATCTTCGCCTGTGCTTCATATAGACGTAATAAGTCATCGCATAGAGAAAGTATGGTATTCTAGTCATCCTGGATTACGTAGGTGGTGGTGGCCACTCGAGGTGCGAACACTGCTTAGTAGTACCGTGGTCATGCATTGATGCGCTGCGACTTGCGTGGAGAAGGCAGGAGAGATAGTCCCGACTCTAGTTGTTCCTCTAGTCGCTCCATATATAAATTCTCTATCGCTAATTTTGAGTCGAATCAAGCCAACGGGTGGACCTGTCATTGCAGGGACAGCAAGCTACATGCAATGCAGTTCATAGCAATTATGTGGAAAATGATACCAGGATCCTAGTTCCAGAGAAATCATGGATGAGCTCCTTTCTATTAAGCCTTGATCAGCAGGCTATGGCATATTCATTACAGTGTATAATGTGAGACAAGAGCTATCATACTCGATACACTCAGTGTGTGCACCGCCCTAAGCAGGACGTGAAATGGGAGAATATCAATATAAGCATAGCATCATGGCGGTCAGGAAATAGAATAAAAAAAGGTAGAAGATAAACAAGGACAATATAGGAATGCGAACATAATAAAGCAATCCACAAAGAGAATTTTTTTCCGTTTTGAAAATGCCAATAGGCCACAGGAAAGCAAAAGCAAGAGACCCAGAAGAAAGTTATTCACAAATTACTCGGGTTTGCGTCCAACCATGAGGTACATCGGAGTGAACAACTTCTTCTCTCCTCCGGCCACGAGGCAGTCGCCAGCAAGGGCCAGGCTGTCAGCAGTCTTCTGAGATCCTTGAGGGAAGATGTGGAGACGCTCCATAGCACCAACGAAGCGATGAGCGAGGCCACGGCCCCACCATGTCATCCGGGCAATCGTCAAAAAGTCCCACGGGGATGTCAGATACTTGAAGGAACCGGCCAGGGGATAGTACCAAGGCACGGGATCGTCGCGATCGGCCAAGTCTTCGTTATGGAGGAGCTCGAAACCAGCATTCTTAAAGGCAGACAGACCCTCCGAGACCTTGACCATGTTCGAGATACCGTCACCCTGTTCAATTCCCAATCTGATCTTACGGTGTTCGGCATTGTCGTTATCGTAAGCATCGGTCATGAGCCACTCGTAAACACCGAAGATACCGCCGGGCTTGAGAACCCGGAAGATCTCGCGATATACACCCTCGAGATCGGGGGCATGGACCGTCGCCTCGATAGCATAGACAGCATCAAAGCTGTTGTCGGGGAAGCTCATCTGCATGAAGTCACCCTTGGTGAAGCTGAGTTTGTCCGACAGGCCTTCTCGCTCGGCGTAGCGAGTGGCACGCTGGATCTGATAGTCATTGTTGTTGAGGCCAACGACATTGGCGCCGGTGAACTTGACAATTTCGCGAGCAGGACCGCCTACACCACATCCAACATCCAGCACCTTCATGCCAGCCTTGAGACCCATCTGGAGGGCAAGGTAGTGTTCGTGGCGGGCAATAGCCTGAAGGAAAGGTTCACCGGAGAAGAAGCGGCAGAAATGGAAAGAAGTACCCCATCCGTACTCGTAAAAATCCGTCGCAAGGTTGTAGTAACTATACACAAGAAACAACATCTCAGAAATCGTAAATCTTTATGGGGGGGACTTGTTGCATATGACTGGGAAGCACATACTGCCTGGTTAGGGTTGCATATTCCGCTCTTCTGGCCTACCACCGCACAAAACAATGAGAACCCATCACAGGTAGCATTCTGGTCCATATTCGTAAAACTTACTGCGCGGATCTCCTCAGTCTCCTCCTCAGCAGACTTGTTGTCCCAATGCTTGAAGTATTCGTCCACAGCGGCCTTCTGTGCTGCGGCATCTTTGTTGCGCATGGCAGCGAAGCCACCACGAGCTTCAGAGGACTTGCCGTGGAGAATACGGTTGAACTCGGCATCACGAACGTGGTCCTCCTGCTCCAAGTTCACTTGAGCCATTTTGACAGCAATTGGGCCTGCGATAAAGAATGCGGTGTGGAAAGGGAAATAGTATTTATCCTTCAGAAGTCAAGCAACGGCGAATAAATATCCCCAGATTGGACGGGATCGCAGGCGGGAAACAAGCACCGCACGAGTTCAGCGAGGGACAAGCAAACAGGCAGCAACAATTGCTGGGATCGTGGGCGAAAAGAGAGACGGTGAGGGAGGAAGAAAGGGGCGCTGCCAGATAGCCTGGAGAGATCCATAATTATAATTATTCCCGATTCGGCTTGGCAGAGACCGACTCACCGCCAGCCAATCACGGCGACGCCTGTCAAGATCCGCGGAATATTGTTCTTCCAGGTGTCGGGCCAAAATCATCCGGCAACGTGACATGCACTGCCACATAGTTTAATTCAAAATCACGTGATATTATATCTCCAGCCACAGATCGTTCCTCGTTCGTATCGATAATAATCATCGCCGTCAACGCATATTCTGCTCGCACGCCTCTCTTGATCGGCGCGTTCCTGTTTGAGCAGGTGCACGAGTCGAATTCTGCCAAACTACATCTCCATTATGCCTCCTGCTCAGATTAAGCAAGATATTAACCGGTCAGGATGGGAGTCGACGGATTTCCCCTCCGTCTGCGAGAATTGCCTTCCAGAGAACCCATACGTTCAGATGTTGAAGGAGGACTATGGCGCAGAATGCAAGATTGTGGGTTACCGTCGTCTATGTTATGATCTAATTTGACCAGACCTTTTTCAAAAACTAATCTCTGAGGCAGTGTACACGCCCGTTTACAATCTTCCGCTGGAAAGCCGACCGCACTGCGCGCACCAAAAGAACCAACATCTGTCTGACCTGCGCACGGTTGAAGAACTGTTGTCAGTGCTGCATGCTCGATTTGTCCTTTGGCCTACCTATCGTTGTGCGTGATGCCGCGCTCAAAATGGTTGCCCCCGGGCCCCAGAGTACCATCAATCGCGAGTACTACGCCCAGGAACATGAGAAGGAGATCGAAGAAGGTCGCGGTGCTGTGGAGGAGTATGAGAAGACAGATGAAAAAGCACGCGAACTCCTCCGACGACTTGCTACTAGTGAGCCGTACTATAGAAAGCCTCGCCGACTGGAAGCGCCCCCGGCTGAAGACGAGAACGAGGCGCAGCCGTCAACTGAATCATCGGTAACACACAGTCGCTATGGGAATGGTCCTGGACCTATCAGGACAAGTGAAAGCAGACGTGGGACTGCTCTACCAGGTCGAGGATGGGGGAATATGCGAGGTGGTCGTGGTGGCCGTGGTGGTGGGCGTCCATTCCCGAGTACCGCTCAACTTCCACCGACTGAAGAGGATATCCTTCCGCCAGTGGACCCGAATATCACTTCTCTTTTTGTTACAGGTGTAGAGGACGACCTTCCCGAACATACTCTTCGAGGCTTTTTCTCGCAGTTTGGACAACTCCGATCTTTGATCTGTTCGCACCGATCCCATTGCGCTTTCGTCAACTTTGCTACCCGTGAAGGTGCTGAAATAGCTGCCAAGCAATGTCAGGGCAAAGCAGTCATTCAAGGTTGCCCTCTCCGCATCCGGTGGGGAAAACCGAAGCCACTTGATAGCATGGACCGGGAAGAGCGGTTGAAGAATGCCCGTGAAGGTCGGCAAGCTGTTACAGCTACTAGGGGAGCAGGGACTGGGAAGAAGGCTATTACTGCTGCTGGAGAAGAGCTTGGGAAGGAATCCAGAACGCAGGCGTATGCGGTGGCGCCGCCTCCAGGTAGCGGCAGTGTTCAGTACTCTAGTCTGACCGGAGATTAGTTGCATTATGATGTTTCTGTTTGGATTAGTGCACTTGCCACATTTGGGAATCATGGTTATCTCATGTACATGAAGCGGGCGTTGTTGTTATTGCTGTTATAATATTTCTTCTTAGTCTATCTCCAAGACAATACCCCCAAAAGACAACATCAAATAGGGAAATGAATAAAATATGGGTATACTATATAATACAATCCTGTGAGGTTTTCCCGCTATGAGGCATTGTTTTTGGAGACTCCTTCCTGTGTAAATATAGGACAAGCCATATCATGATGATGAACAACATGGTCCGTCAACCTTCACATTATTCCCCCCAACCTTGACTGTATCATTATCCCCACGTTCAATCTCATTGTGAATTCGTAGTTCTGCAAATGACACCAATAGTCAGTCCACGCCCGTGTCTTGTTTCGCATTGTTTCGCATTTTCTCGACACAAAGGAACGGTAATATAAAAATCTACATACTCCATCTTGCCTCCTCGTTGTCTGCTTCCCTCACTCCCTGGACGATATTATGTCTGAGTATGTTGGCCACTTCAACCGCATGGTTGATCTTCATCGGCGTATCAACTCCTTCTCGGCGGTTCTGATCAAAATTCTGCCTTGCTTGTTGGCGGGCGGCTAGCAGGACACGGGTGTCATCTATAGAAATAAATGAATTGAAATAGAAATGAGTCAGTAATGTTTCTATGCAAGTTAGCCGGGATACTTCTGGGTTCGTTCTGGCGCACCTTTGAAGGCAAGGCGGGTGGCTCGGAGGAGTTGACGGTATGCGCTTCGGGCGGAGACTGTTGCTTGGATAGCCATTTTTTCTTCAATTTATGGATATAAGAGAAATATCTTCTTCACAAGATGTAGAATAGTTCCTCGATCTAGGGGTTTTTTTTTCGCCGCGTTCTTCGTACTATGCGCTCAATGTCGAGCGGTGTCGAAGCAGACAGTCACCCGCCAATTCTATCAACGCACAGCTGAGAAAGAATCTAACACAACAACAGGACAAAATTTCTGTAGACCAAGAAAAGTAAATGAAAAAGGGACAACAGTTCCAACGACTGAGAAAACTCCCAGCAGGACGAGCGTAATACTCGCGGAACGACTGTTCTCATTGGGCGCTGCGATGAAAGGCGGGAATTCGGGGCAGAAAAGCAAACTTCCGATAAAAAATGAATCAAAGAAAAATAATTCCACCAGAGGAATATTGTGACGTTCTTTGTGCCTTGAATTCTCCATCAGGCTCGTCTATCAACGATGGCTTCCGCTCAGGTTATCAACGTTACTCTCCCCGCAGTGCCTCAGGAATGGACTGCTGAGAAGGATTTCAAGGCCCTTGGCAGCCTGTCCAGCACAACACAAAGGAACTTGGAGCCCGTTGGTCCTTACTTCTTGGCCCATGCTCGTCGAGTACGTCTCAATGTTGCCTTTGAGTCCTCTCTCTTTTCCTGGGTAGCTAGCTAACAACCATCTAGAAGCGTCACCAGCGCACCTTCTCCGAAGATGAGAGAATCCAAGCACAACAGACCGTCAAGAAGACTGAAGAGGATGACGACGGTGAGATCTCTGAAGCCGAGGACCCCATTATGCTCTCTCGGGATGCCAAGGACTGGAAGGTATGTTAATTGGCTTTTCTGTTATGAATTAAATATACCTCGGTAACAGTCTAACCGATTCTACAGGGCCAGGATCACTACGCTGTTCTTGGTCTGAGCAAGTACCGCTGGCGGGCGACACCCGAGCAGATCAAGCGTGCACACCGCAAGAAGGTCCTTCGTCACCATCCCGACAAGAAGGCTGCCCTGGGCGACCGTGATGAGAATGACAATTTCTTCAAGTGCATCCAGAAGGCCACCGAGCAGCTGCTAGACCCCGTCAAGCGCCGTCAGTTCGATTCCGTCGACGAGGCTGCTGATGTCGAGCCCCCGAGTAAAAAGGAGGTGGCCAAGGGTGACTTCTTCAAGCTTTGGGTTCCTGTTTTCGAATCCGAGGCTCGTTTCTCCAAGAAACACCCAGTTCCATCTCTTGGTAACGAGAACAGCACCAAGGCTGAAGTCGACGAGTTCTACAACTTCTGGTACAACTTTGACAGCTGGCGTACATTTGAGTATCTCGATGAGGATGTTCCAGATGACAATGAGAACCGCGATCAGAAACGCCATATTGAGAAGAAGAACGCCAACGCCCGCCGCAAGCGCAAGGCCGAAGATACCGCCCGTCTACGCAAGATCATTGATGACTGTATGGCCCAGGATCAGCGTATCAAGAAGTTCCGCCAGGAGGCCCGTGCCGGCAAGGACAAGCGCCGTCTTGAGAAGGAAGCCGAAGCCAAGCGCCTGGCTGAGGAGAAGGAGAAGGCTCGTCTAGAAGAAGAGCAGCGCAAGAAGGAGGCTGAAGAGGCTGCCAAGGCCGAGCGCGAACGGAACAAGAAAGCCAAGGAGGCCGCTAAGAATGCGGCTAAGAAGAACAAGCGTGTTCTCAAGGCCTCTGTCAAGGACGTGAATTACTTTGCCGAATCAGGAGATGCCTCTGCCCAACAAGTCGACTCCGTTTTGGGTGATGTCGAGCTTGTCATCAGCAAGATCGATAGTGATGAGCTTGCTGCCCTGACTGAACGTCTCAATACTGCGGGCAAGGACGCTGCTGGTGTCAAGTCTGTCTATGTGGCCGAGGTCAAGAGACTTGTTGAAGCTGGTACGGTGAAGGAGGGAGAGGCCAAGTTCTTTATCTAGACTAGACTTGTTCGCTTCATCTTAGATATCTTCCTCTTTCCTGCCACTTTTTTTGAGCAATGCATTCGTCTTCCGCATGACTGCCACTGTCACCACATGTGCATAGATAGATCGCCTGTTTGCTGGTCTTCAATTTTACTCGTCCTGCAGAAATGAAACTGGATTCCGTGCATGGGATATAATCACACATGTAGCATTGGCAGCATGACGGCTTGTAGAGATTTATCCGCTTGATTACGACCCCTTGGCGGAGACCCCGCGCAGTTAATAAAACGTTGAAGTCTTGTGGTGTTTCATCCTTCAACAACGCATTGCTTCATATACACGGAATATACCTATTATTTACTAGAGGGGATACCCTATGCATTCCTAACACAAAAAGATACATACAAGCAGCGCTACCAAAAATCGCAAGCAATGGACGTCTCCCCTGAAACCATCGACTCCTATCTGGGTCGGCCGGTGTCCAAACTTCCCACACCATCCGTAATCCTAAGCAAGCCGGTTCTGGAAAGCAACATCCAGAAACTATCACGGGATGTAAAGGACCAGGGGATTGGATTCCGGCCCCATGTTAAGACGCTCAAGGTGAGTCGCTGCTAGGCTTGCGTTTTACTGAACAATGGAATCCGATCTGTGCAGCTAAGATATGGCATAATCATAGTCTCTTGAGGTCACCAGATTGATGCTCAACGGAGGCGCCCATCGAAAGATAGTTGCGAGTACTCTGCGCGAAATCCGGGGTGTTCTCCCTCTGGTGAAAGAGGGTATATTAGACGAGGTGAATGGGCTCTAGTAGAGCAGACAGAGAAGTAATTCGTCTGTTGTCTGCATCTATGAATAAACGGAATCAGGCTAACTCGTGAAAGGCCCTCTACGGCATCCCCGTATACACCAGCGCATTATCCCCGCTCAGCGAACTATCCAAGTCAATCAAGATCGTGCTCATGATCGACAACGACCAGCACATCCAGCTGCTCGAGGACTTCTCAACGAAGAACCCCTCAGCGCCACAGAAATGGAACGTCTTCATCAAAGTTGACACTGGCTACCACCGAGCCGGTCTAATGACTTCTTCCCCAGCGCTGCATAATCTCGTCCAGAAAGCCGAGGCGTCACCTGTAGTTGCCATTTATGGGTTTTACTGCCACGCGGGACATTCGTATAAAACCCGCTCCTCTGAAGAAGCAGCCGCCGTGCTCCAAAGTGAAGTCGATTGCGTGGTTCAAGCTTCCTCTCTTCTCCCGGCGGATAGAGATGTTGTGGTGTCTGTTGGATCAACTCCGGCAGCACATGTCGTGCAGCTACTCAAGGCAGCGTTACCTTCGAATGTTAACTTAGAGCTGCATGCAGGTTGGCATATTGCTTCCCCCCCCTCTATGGATAGCAAGCTAATACTATATTCCAGGAAATTACCCTTGCAACGACCTCCAACAGGTCTCAACCGGCCTCGTCACAGAATCCCAACAAGCCCTCCGTCTCCTCACAGAAGTCTGCAGCGTGTATCCCGAGCGGAATGAAGCCCTCATCAACGCCGGAACAATTGCTCTCTCGAAAGAGACGAGTGATTTCCATGGTCAAGGCTTGGTCGTGGATGACCAGCGCTGGGGTGTTGTCCGTACATCTCAGGAACACGGCATTCTAGGCTTGAGGGATGCCACGAAGGGCGAAGGAAGGATTGATGAGTGCTTTAAGGTTGGGCAAAAGGTGTTGTTGTACTGCCATCATGCTTGTATAACGGCCTCAGCACACTTTGTATATTACGTGGTTGATGAGAAGGATGTTGTTAGGGAGGCGTGGATTCCTTGGAAGGGTTGGTGATCTGCATGTATGACACTAGTGGTGATTATTTTCTGTTTGATAGACTTGGGAGATAAAATATACCCAGGTACATTCGTTCTGAAGAGTATGCTTGGTTGGTATTTCCGGCCATCATCCCCGTGCGGAGTAACTGTATGCAGGGAATTCATGGGTAGAACGAGCTCCAGAATCCCCGCACAGAAGACTGAACTGCAATTTCTGCCCAGCAACTGTTCATTATTGTTGTCCGTTCATTAATTAGTCCACTGAATCCGCTGTGGCCGTCTCGTTCCCCTGCTTACGCTTCGGTGGAAGACTCCCGGGGTATGCCGTGGACCAGGTTCTTTTGCGACTCGATTTGGAAGTCGTGAACATCGTTCAAGCCATGTCGCGTGACGTATGATCACGTGAGATTATCATTCTGCCGGTCTTTGAAGCGGAGGCATACCCGTACGTAGAAGACGAGGTAATAAATACTACTCTAGTACTATGTAGGATTCCATTTAGCTGTAACTATCGGTTGCAGCCAAAACTACGCGCTGTGAAACCATAGTCAATGTCATTCAACGCCATTGCATTCCCATGACATAAGATCAAGGCTATAGGAATACTCGGACGAGAATGATAATGCTCCATAGGAACTTACGAAGTCAACAGTAATAATAGCGGTCCGTGGATCCCAGAAGAAAATAAAATAACTTCAAAGAAAGCCCGAGTTTCCCGCGGAAAACAACGCGCTTATCGCTATCGCACGTGCCAAGGCATCCAAGCCCTATCAGGAGTGGCGTTATGCACACTGTTATTGGCTGAAAGGCGCTTCTTATCGTCAGGTGACCGTCGCCGGGGCATTCCAGTTTCCCGAAAGGCGCGAATCGCCGCGGAGGAAAAGGTCGGACAAGGCAGGAAGAGCGAGAGACTCGATTATCGCGATGCTTTTCTCTGCCATTTATCCATCTTCTCTTTCTTCCTACCTGTCAGACGTATCTGGGCGTCCTTTTTGGCTCATGTGTTGAGCATTCGTCCCGGCCACGAACCCTTATCTATCCTCCGCTCCTCGAGAGCTTTACTGAACTACATATACACATTCAATAAAGCGATGGCCGCTCCCTGGTTCGTGCTGCGAAGCAGCCGCCAGCTCGCCGTTCGCACTCGATCCAGAGTTGCTTTTCCATCTGCTCCTCTTCGAGCTGCCTCGTTGTCTCCTCTGAATACCTGCCGGCGATGTTTGCACGCAGCATCCAAGGAGCAACTTCGGCTCTCTTCCGTCCGGGGGGTGCACACCAGCTCCATTGCGGACCGTGATGCCTTCCAGCCGCTCGATACCTTTCCCAGGAGGCACATTGGCCCATCTCCCAATGATACCGAAAAGATGCTGGCCACCCTCAATCCTCCCGCTGCGTCACTAGACGAATTCGTTCGTCAGGTGCTACCCGCGGACATCCTCTCGGAGAAGGAGTTGTCGGTAACTCCACCCAGCGTCAAGCTGAATGTATATCGAGATGACAAACTCGGGGGCCTGGGCGAGGCGGACATGCTGAAGGTGTTGGAAGCATATCGGAAACAAATTGACGTCTCTGGCAAGACGTTCATCGGCTCAGGCTATTACCCGACTATTGTCCCACCGGTAATCCTGCGTAATGTCCTGGAGAACCCGGCTTGGTACACAAGCTACACGCCCTACCAGCCAGAGATCAGTCAAGGCCGTTTGGAGTCGCTTCTGAACTTCCAGACCCTGACGGCGGACCTGACTGCTTTGCCGTTTGCAAATGCCTCTGTCTTGGATGAGGCTACTGCCGCCGCCGAAGCGATGACTATGTCTCTGGCCGTCCTCCCGGCTGCGAAGCAAAAGAAGCCTGGAAAGACGTATGTTGTTTCGGACCTCTGCCATCCTCAGACAATCTCCGTGATGCGCTCTCGTGCCGAAGGATTCGGTATTAATCTGGTGATCGGCGATGTCTTGGCGGATGACTTCCAGTTGGTCAAGGAACAGGGCGACAATCTGGTCGGTGTCCTCGCCCAGTACCCTGACACGGAGGGTGGTATCTATGACTTCCAGTCCCTAAGCGATACTATTCATGCATTGGGTGGAACATTCAGCGTCGCAACCGACCTTCTTGCATTAACCGTTCTCAAGGCTCCCGGCGAGTTCGGTGCGGACATCGCCTTTGGAAGTGCCCAGCGACTCGGCGTGCCAATGGGCTTTGGAGGGCCTCACGCTGCCTTCTTTGCCTGTGCAGACAAGTACAAACGCAAGATGCCGGGCCGTGTCGTTGGCGTATCCAAGGACCGGCTAGGAAACCGTGCCCTGAGACTGGCTCTGCAGACCAGAGAACAACATATCCGTCGTGAGAAGGCGACCAGCAATATCTGCACGGCTCAGGCCCTGCTCGCCAACATGAATGCCATGTATGCGGTCTACCACGGTCCCGAAGGCTTGAAGAACATCGCCCAGCGCATTATGGCCATGACTACCGTTCTGCGTGAGAAGCTTGTGGGCCTGGGCTTCAATGTCCCTGTCAAGAAGAATACTGCCGATGGTGGTGCAGTGTTCGATACCGTCACAGTGGAGTTGACAAGCAGTCAGGACGTTGATGCCATCATCGGTGCGGCACGGAGCCAGGGATTTTACTTCCGCCGCCTGGCCCCCTCCAAGATCGGGATTTCCTTGGACGAAACCGTCGGTCGGGAAGAGGTGCGGTCAATTCTGCAGGTTTTTGCGAAGCATGCAAATGCTGCCGAGGCCGTGAGCTTGGATGGAGAACTCGGCCTTGCTGAGGTTCCGGCCAGCTTCAAGCGTACATCCCCATACTTGACTCATCCGGTGTTCAACAGTTACCACTCGGAGACGGAAATGCTGCGCTACATCCACCATCTCGAGTCGAAGGACTTGTCCTTGGCACACTCGATGATCCCTCTTGGCTCCTGCACCATGAAACTCAATGCTACGACTGAGATGATGCCAATCTCGTGGCCCGAGTTCTCCCAGGTGCACCCGTTTGCACCTGCGGATGTTGCGAAGGGATACACCCAGCTGATTGACGATCTGGAACAACAGCTCGCGGACATCACCGGCATGGCAGAGGTTACGGTTCAACCGAACTCAGGTGCTCAAGGTGAATTCGCCGGTCTCCGCGTAATCAAGAAGTACCACGAGGCTCATAACGGCTCGACGCGCAATGTCTGCTTGATCCCAGTCTCTGCCCACGGAACCAATCCTGCTAGTGCCGCCATGGCAGGCATGCGCGTCATTCCAGTTAAGTGTGATACCAAGAATGGCAACTTAGACCTTGCGGATCTCAAAGCCAAGTGTGAGAAGCACAAAGATGAACTGGCTGCCATCATGGTCACCTACCCCAGCACTTTTGGCGTGTACGAGCCTGGAATCAAGGAGGTCTGCAAGACCGTTCACGAGCATGGTGGTCTGGTATACATGGACGGTGCGAACATGAATGCTCAAATCGGCTTGTGCTCTCCTGGCGAGATTGGAGCGGACGTGTGTCACTTGAATCTGCACAAGACCTTCTGTATCCCTCACGGCGGTGGTGGCCCTGGCGTTGGACCCATTGGAGTTGTGGAGCGCCTGCGTCCCTTCCTCCCTTCTCATCCTGTCAGCGAATATCTCCAGTCCAAGCGGGCAAGCACTTCTTGCCCACCGGTGAGCGCTGCGCCCTGGGGAAGCGCAAGCATCCTGCCGATTACGTTCAACTACATCAACATGATGGGCGCCAAGGGCTTGACCCAGGCAACCAAGATGACCATGCTGAATGCCAACTACATCTTGTCTCGTCTGAAGGAGCACTACCCGATTCTCTACACCAACGAGAACGGCCGCTGTGCACACGAATTCATCCTCGATGTGCGCAAGTTCAAGGCCACCTCTGGCGTTGAAGCGATCGATATCGCGAAACGTCTTCAGGATTACGGATTCCATGCACCGACTATGTCCTGGCCGGTCAGCAACACTTTGATGATCGAGCCCACCGAGTCTGAAAGCAAGGCCGAGCTCGACCGCTTCTGCGACGCTCTCATTTCCATCCGCCAGGAAATCGCTGCCATCGAGAGGGGCGAGCAGCCTCGTGAGGGTAACGTTCTCAAGATGTCACCGCATACGCAGCGGGACCTGATAAGCAGCGAGTGGAACCGCCCGTACTCGCGGGAGACTGCCGCATACCCGCTACCTTGGCTGCTGGAGAAGAAGTTCTGGCCTACGGTGACACGATTGGATGACGGTGAGCTTTGTTGATTCTTTCGTCTATGTTACTTAAAACCCTAGAACTAACCCATTTCAATTACAGCGTACGGTGATCAGAACCTATTCTGCACGTGCGGAACGGTCGAGGAGAGCGCTGAGTGATCTGTGTTCTTAATGATACCCATGACTTGATTCGGTTCAACCTGTTACATTTACCTTTTGCTTTGCCTTCTTCCGACTTAAAATTCACGCCCTTTAGCAGTAGTGCCATCTGGAGATGATTATCTATACTGGGGCATCGATTCAACACGATGGACGAAATACCTGTACATAGACGGATCGGCGTTGTTTTATTGTCTTGTCTTATCTGTCGTGTCTATCTTATCTGAGATAAAAAAGATTAGATAACAAACAGCACTAAGCCCCTTTAGGAAATACCGGAGATAGCCGCCGGCATGACTGCGCAGATCTGACAGCTGCGATTGGTCGTGGAGCGTTGCCCTGTCCCACTTGCCGGATGTAACTCTTTTTGCTTTTGCATAGAAAGAATGCTCAACTTAACTACTGCGTATATGAGAGACAAGAAATAAGATATAAATGAGAGAGACAAGAATTAGCGGAATTTAATAGAGGGTAGAAGAGCAGGGCTTCTTGGGAAAGAAAAAGGCAAAAAAACAATAATAATGACCCCAACCTACCGCCTCTTCTATGGGACGTTCATCCATCTCCCTCGCTGCCCGGTAGGTGGAAAGCATGTCCTCTCCGTGAATCATGGCGCTGTCTGGGTCTCTGCTGCGGATGGAAGAATTACAGGGCTTGACTGGGACGTGCAAGAGGGTGGAGCGAAGGAATTGTTGAAGAGAGGAGGATGGGTCGAGTGTGATTCTGAATCGAATGAATCGCATACGTACTATTCCAAGGGCGACGAGACAGTTGAGATCTTCCAGGCGAAGAGTGAGGAGAATGAGTTTTTCTTTCCGGGGTTCATTGGTGGGTACTATGTTCGGTTTCTGATGCGTATACTAACGTTTATGTGCAGACACACACATCCACGCCTCCCAATATCCTAACAGCGGAGTCTTCGGCTCCTCAACTCTCCTCGACTGGCTGGAAACATACACCTTCCCACTGGAAAGCTCATATAGCGATACCACCAAAGCGGAGAAGGTTTACGATACCGTCGTCTCCCGAACGCTCTCCCACGGCACGACCTGTGCGTCGTACTTCGCTACCATCCACGTCTCCGCGACGAACGCTCTTGCCAATATCTGCCACTCGCGTGGTCAGAGGGCCTTCATTGGCCGCGTCTGCATGGATAGTCCCTCCTTCTGTCCGGAGTATTATCGGGACTCTTCCGCGAAGGAGAGTATCTCCGCCACCAAGGAGACTATCAAGCACATTCATACGTTGGATCCGGAGGGAAAGCTCGTTAACCCCATCATCACGCCGAGATTCGCACCGGCGTGTTCACATGCCGTGCTGGAAGGTCTGGGTGAGCTCGCAGCGGCGTATAATCCACCTCTATATATCCAGACGCATATCTCTGAGAATAAGACGGAGGTTCAGCTCGTCCGGGATGTATTCCCGGAATCTTCCAGTTACGCATCCGTTTACGATGGGTATGGACTGTTAACGCGCCGCACGATTCTGGCACATGGTATCCATCTCTCACCGGCGGAGCGGGAACTCATCAAGACGCGGGACGCGGGGATCTCGCATTGTCCCGCATCCAACTCAGCGCTGGGGTCAGGCATTTGTCCCGTTCGTACGCTGTTGGATGAGGGGATCAAGGTCGGTCTGGGTACAGATGTCAGCGGGGGATACAGTTCTAGTATCCTTGAGGCTGTGAGGCAGGCGTGTCTTGTCTCGCGGCTTCTGGGGCATACGGCTGGATACGAGCAACAGAAACAGGATGGACGGGAAAAGCTCAGTGTTGAGGAAGGGCTCTATCTGGCTACGAGAGGCGGCGCGCATGTCGTGGATATGGCGGGTGATATTGGCGGTTTTGAGACGGGGATGCTGTTCGATACGCAGCTCATTCGGCTGGGAAGTCTGGACAATGGCGTCTCAGTTGGGAATGTGGATGTCTTTGGGTGGGAATCGTGGAAGGAGAAAGTGGACAAGTGGGTGTGGACGGGGGATGATCGGAATGTCCGCTGTGTCTGGGTGAATGGGCGGTTGGTCATGGAGAAGTAGATGTTTCTGATTCTCGTTTATGTCCTGCTTATGGATTTTAGGGCCATGATGTTCTACAGTTACAGGTAGAAGTGTGCATACATGTTAGGGTTCATATCATTCATTCCATATAAATCTGCCGTATACATAAACTGTACGAGTATGTTCAATATTCCCATTGTCTAATCCTTTGAATACAACCTCACCCAAACTCCCCGAACATGCGAAAGTGTCAGATTAGCCTCCAGGATAGGATCCTCATTGTCCCCGAGTACATCATCTCCGTTCTCGACCGTATCAAAGTGCTGAAGAAGTCTGACAAGCGCGTAGCTTGCTTCGGTGAGGGCATATTGTTCTGGATATGATAAGCCTTTATACCGCAAAAAAGAAAGAAAGAAAGGGCAAAGAAAGGAGGAAAGAAAATACTCACGTCCTAAGCAGATCCTCGGACCCCCGTTGAACGGCAAATACTCCCATCCATGCTTGGCGTTCTCTTCCCACCTCTCTGGTCGGAAGGTGTTCGCGTCTTCTCCCCAGAGATCAGGACGGCGGTGCATAGCATAGACGCTGTAGGCGACCTGCGTGCCCTTCCGGACGTAGATTGGTGATTTTTCGTCCTCACCACCTCCGGCGGGGAGGGAGGTGTCTTTTGTAGCGACGCGGAAGTTCACAGGGACAGGGGGAAGAAGACGGAGCGCTGTATTCAATTAGATGCATCCGGGGCACTAGTTCAGTTCAGTTCAAGGTCAACTCACTCTCATTCAAGACGTATCGAAGATACGCGATATCCTTCAATCCAGCATGAGTGATCTCAGCCTTCGGATGTTTCGCATCCCCAAAGACATCAATCACTTCTCTCCGTAACCGATCCCACACCTCCCTGTGTCGAGCAAGATAATAAAACGCCGAGCTCAACAGACTAGCCGTCGTGTCTCGACCAGCCAGAAGGATATTCAGAAGATTATCCCTCAGCATCTTGGGATCCTGCGTGTCCGCCACGAGAGCCTGCAGGAAGACGTAGCGTTCTTTCTCCTTCTCGTCCATTTCGGATTTCTGGTTCTGTTTCTGGCTGTATTTCTCGATGCCTAGTTTGACATAGTAATCGACCACCTCGTGGATCTTGCGGTTCGATTCTCGGAATTCCCGCGTATCGACCAGCCAGTATAAGTTCGCTGCTCGGGCTCGATGCGTGAGGTACTCTTGGGAGAGATTGAAGGCCTCTGCGAAACCCTGTGGGCTTCCGACGGCGGAAGTCTCCAGGATGCCCTGCCGTGATGTGGAAGGGGGGAGCATGGAGCCTATTGATTCTCCGAAGAGGAAGTGAGTGGCCGAGTCGATCGTCAGGAGGAAGAATAGTCGCTGGATGTCGAAGGTGGATTTGTCTTTGGGCACGAGTTCGATGAGACGGGTGATGTGGTCATCCATGAGGGCTAAATCGGCGACCTGTCATTCACTGTCAGACACGCTGTACGCATCTATATGTAAGTATAGAAGGAAAACAGAAACAAACCTGATCCTTGACAAACTGTGGCCTCAACAACGTCCTCGCCTTACTCCACCCCTTCCCATCGAGCGTGAAGATTCCATCGCCCAGAAACGGGTGGAACTGCTTATACCGATCCCCCAGACAAAAATCCTGGAACTGCGTCGCCAGCATCGCCTTGATATTCTCCGGTTCCCGCGTGGCCACGATTCGCTTCCCGAAGATGGTGAAGGTGAAGGTGTTTCTGCCGAAGTTCTCAAACCGGGAGATCTGGTATTCGAGGAAGCGTTTTTGCTTCACGGCACGCTGCATGTGGATGAAGGCCAGGATGCCGAAGAAGACGTCATCCCCTCGAGTGATTGGTTTGCAGTGCAGGGCTTTGGAGCGTTTTCGGTGGTAATGGAGGTTGTGGAGGTATTGGAGGGTGAGGAAGGTAAGGGTGAATGCGGCGATGATGATAATGGGGAGCATTTCTTCCTCCAAACTTATTCTTCTCTTCAAAGTTAATGCATGTGGGTAGGAGAAGACAATTAGATATTACCTTTATGCCCCAGGTTCCAGGTTCCCCGTCGGTCTAATATATGATATATTGCCTAGCCCTAAGTTCCCCATCGCGATACCCCGGTTCCCCGGATGGAATGAAGAATGCGGGGGCTCCAACCGCGAGAAGCGAGATATCTCTCTGAGAGGCTATGACATTAACGAGAATCACCTTCACAGTCCATGGATAATCCAGCAAGACGCCCGGCGAAGTGACGTGTTGAGAGTGCTTGATCAGCATGTGAGCCGAGGATGTCGTCTCTGCCTTCAAGACAAAGCCCAGTGCAGCTCTCCAGTTGGACGACGCGCTGATTATAGAGCAGGAATGCCCCTCCTTATGCTTATTATTTCTCTTGCCCTAGAGATTAATTAATTGATCAATTAATTAATTAATAATACGAAGTCCGATGGCCGAAGACCGACAGGAATCACCGACAATCGACGACCGATAGCCGAGCTTCCATGTCAGGGCAGCGAGTCATTCTTGGCTGATTATAATATAAAACACAGAACAAGGACCAGACAGGAAATTAAGGCCTGTCAGGGTAGTTCTATTTTTTGCTGTTGTCTCGAATAAGGCTCCCTTGAAACGATCCTTGTTCTCAACTTGGAAATCCATATCCAGGAGGATAGCTCACATAAAACGTGCGTGGCTATTGTCGGGCAGAAGACAATAGCACCAATTGCAATGCATGACACGGAAACGGGCCGGATTCAGTCTACAGCCATACATGTCCAACGGTTCTAAGGTGAATATCCAATATGAAACCGACGTACAGGATTCATTCCTCTAGTATCCAAGTGATGAATACACATAAAAACAGACCGGGCAGAGTTCCAACGTCTAAAAGGATAATTGGCATTGAGCTGCGAGTCGGAACGGCAGAACTTGCATTGCCAGTTCCAGGAGACTGGGACACACAAAGGAGTGAAAAACATGCTCCATTTCGGTCCATGTCATGGGTCCCATATAGCCATAAAGCCATCAATCCGATTCCTTCGTTCATTCAAGCACCATTCACGGATCGCGGTCGCATTAAAATACACATTAATGGTAAATAGCGGTCTCGGTGTCGTCGAGCCGGATGTAAGAATATAATTAGGACATTCGAAACGTTTCGCTTCACTTCGTGTAAGGGTATCGTGCGCCGCACCGCCAAGCGATCCACCGTAACACACTCCACTCGCGGAGGCGGACAGAGCTACAACACCATAGCTACCGCCGCAATAGCAAGAGCCCCGAGAGAGCCGCTGATTTGGTGGATGGCACCGGAGTTGCTGAGAGCAGGTGTAGCAGAGGGTGCACCAGTTGGGGTCGCGGTAATGCTGCCGCCACTACGGCCACCGCCGCCGACGGGGCTGGTGCGTCCCGGGCTGGATGAGCTGGTTGCCCAACTTCCGGATGCGGTATTGGTAAAGCTGCCGGAGGGCTTGCTCACGAAGCTGCCAGAAGTAGTTGTAGCGAAGCTGCCGGTAGAGACGAAGCTGCCAGTCGTGAAGCTGCAAGGCGGAGAGGAGATAAAGCTACCAGTCGGAGACGAGGCCCAGCTGCCGGAGGGAAAAGATGCAGGAGCAGCCCAATGGGCACGAGGGGCACGAGGGGCACGGGGAGCGACTGGCGCAGCACGAGCAGGGACAGGAACCCGCGGGTTCAAGGGCCCTGCGGAGAGGACGCCTGTCGCCAGGGCGAGAGTGGACACGAGCAGGGAGAAGAACTTCATTTTGATGTGTCGGCGCGGGTAGAAGTTGACTCGATCGGGATGATGTTTTCCGAGAGGATTGATAAAGCGAGTGTAGGCGTGAAAACCGTGTTTGAGGCGACGCCGGTACCTTTTGCGCAAAATCAATATTCACCCTATTTCGCTAGACCCGTGAGAATTAAAAGAAAGTATAGGAGAGTCTCTAGTCGGCGATTATATAGGCTGCTGCACACATGGGTGGTGAACTTGGAGAAGGCCAATCAGTGCCAACCTCGGTATTGCAGGGAACCCACTGAGCCTATAGAGACATGGGTTCGTGCGTGAGGTGACCAGGTAAATGCATGACGCGCGCCCGTTTAGGGAAATAAGCAGGCAAATTGTGATCGCTCAGTGGCACATGCTTGATTCCAAAATTCCCGACGGTTTCGAAATAAGACGAACGCACTTGTCCAGGGACCACCATTTTTACAGCGTACTCATCAAGATTCACAAGATAGATCATAGTCAACAATCATCGATCCCTGGACAGACAGTCAACTGTTGGGAAGAGCAGCATCGTACGACGACGACGTAGTGCGAACAGGCTCGCGTGGGGAGAGCCCAAGCAGCACCGCAAGGAAACATCGCTATTGTACGGTGAGGCCATGCCGATCGCCCGCCCAAGACGCTACTGGCAACTATTGAACTTTGTGCCAGCTTTTCTTCCTTCCGGCTGTTGTCTAATGTGGTCCAGCCCTGCAGCTGTTGGTTGGAAGCTCCAAGGTTCGACGTCTTCCACTGCCAAGGCTGGGCCGTGGCAAGCGGCGCTGTGGCCGTTGCGGGGCGCTCTGTTGCTTCCTGCTATCTATATTAGGACGAGGTCGCAGTGATGGCAGAAATGTGACTGTTGCGTTGCCAGCGATATATTTGGGATTCTGAGTCCCGATAGCTGGTCTTGGATCTGTTGAGAGTGAGACAACGACTGAGTCGGTGCCAGACACGATGAGATGAGCTCTGCATTGAGCAAGGATTGAGCAACTGCGAGACGACTGTCGAGGGAATAATCAAGAGAGAGCGATTCTCGTCGACTTGCAAATGGGCGCCCATCACGTGTTGTATATCACGTGATTCTCATCTTCCATTTTATTTATGCTGACGACAACAACGAGCTATAGAGACAACAGCAAAGTTTTCGTCTGAGACATTCCCTTGGCTTATCCTGCAAGGCTAATCCAGTGGTGCCTGAATCTTCCGCTTATTTACACGGTACGCAGAGGTAAATTAATGTGTTATATTAGCAAGAATCGGAATGGTCGTCTTCTATGTCCATCTCTATTATAGTTGACAATGACAAAGTACCCAAGCAACAATATGCTCCTTATCCTTGGGACTTCTATTCTTCTATTTGTTCTCGCCAAGGATTTCCTCGGTGGTCTTGACCAAGATATCAAACGCTCGTCGCATGTAGGGCTCCTCCACCTGGGCATTCCCACTGACGACTCGTATGGCACTCACGCCCGCGATCACTGTGGGGGTAATGAAAATCTCACCGCGTTGGTTGATCAGTCCGCTTACGGACTTAGTCAGAGCATCACTTGCCGCATCCGGTTGGATTCCGGAACTGGGCGCGCTCTGGCTTGCCTTTGGGCTCTTGATTCTTAAAACAGTCAAGCCAAATGCGGGCTTTGTAAGGATCTCAAACATATCTGGCCGGCTGCGGACCAAGTCCGCAAAGAGGTTGCCCAGCTCGATGGTCTTCCGGATATGTGCGCGCATGCCCTGGAGTCCGTAGCTGCGCATCACAAACCAGATTTTCAGCGCACGGAACCGCCGGCCCAGTGAAATCTGCCAGTTGCGGTAATCAATCACCTTCCCTGTGTCCGAGTAGGTATTCCGAAGGTAAGCTGGTGTAATGTCTAATGCGTTTGTGAGGTCGAGCCGGTTGCGTACGAACAGGCAACTAGGAACGGCCATGTTAGTCGGCGATTCGCCTTGTTTTCTTTTCGGGTAGAAACGCTATCTCGTCTCGTACCTTGCATCGAAATTCACCAGCAGCCACTTGTGCATGTTCATGTTGAAGCTGTCTATTCCTTCAGCAAATTCCTGGGCGATGTACTGCCATTCCGGCGCCACCAAAGCAGATCCTGCATAGGCAGCGTCGATGTGCACCCATATTCTCTGCCACGATGGCTTCTCCTTCAGCACAGCCTTGATCTCCGCGTATCTATCCAGCGCACAAGTGTTGGTCGTCCCCATGGTCAACGTGATGTAGTACGGAGTCAGCCCATCCCGTTCACATTGCTCCAGGACGCTCCGCAACGCTGAGCCTGTCATTTCCAGATTGTCTTCTAGTCGAGTAGGAACGCTACGGTAGCGTGTCCCCGCAATCAGAGCTGCCTTCGCTGTGCTACTGTGAGCCTGATCGCTGCCCAGGGCCACCAGGGCCGGGCGCAGTTCCATCGATCGGTCCTCGTAGGCCGCAGTACCTTCCTCCAGACCTTCTGCCTTCACCTGCTCATGCACATGTCTCTCCCGGGCGGCAACCATCATCGTTGCGACGGAATCACTGGCGCTGACCTGGATTACCCCTCCCCCGCGGTTCTCCGAGGTGCTGAGAAAGCACGCGGGCAATGCCAGCGCTTTACACATCCAATCCATCACGATGGTCTCCAGCTCCGTGCAGGCGGGCGAACATAGCCAGTTGAACGCGGGCGCTGTGAACGCGGCCGAGTACATCTCGCCCAGAATACTCGGGTAGGACACGGTCGCGGGGAAAAATGCCATGAAGTTGGGCGACTGCCAGTGGGTCAGCCCGGGCTTGATTTTCGATTCGATGTCTGCCTGGATGTCGATCCATGCTTCTCCTTCCTCGGGCGGGTTCTCTGGGATCTGGGGACGTAGGTAACCTGGTTCAACGGTGGGAAGAACGCGCTGGGAGGGGAGATTGTCGAAGTAGTCAATAACTTTGCGGGTCTGTCAGCCGTGCTCGACGAACGACGGGTAGAAATAAAGCGTACTTTCGTCAATGGCAGCATGAGCTGCAGCCCGGAACTGTTCGCGGTTCATAGTGATTGATGGAATGCAGGATTGCAGTGCTGCAGAGTGTCGAGCAGGCAGACTCGTCCGGATCTAAAATGATTCTGGACTTCATGCGATTCCAGCGTGGTTGGCGGACTTTCCGCAATCGGACCCAGACGCGGAATTGCTCCGTTTCTTTTTTTCGTTCGGCTTTCCGAGCTGCTCGGAACTTCATCTTTGCTGTAGATATGCTCTTCGCATGTACAGAATAGAGCGTGTAGCTCGCTGTTCCATGATATATTCATCGCCAAAGAACCGTGGTATGTATGCATGATGCACGACTGTAAGCAGGGTGATCATGGATGTATCAATCCAGGCTGAAAGTCAATCGAAGCCCTCTTCCTCTTGCATATCCATAGATCCCAGGATGCTTTGCGTCGATCCCACCCGTCATAGTCACTCTGAGACTGACGCCCTGCAGATGATTCAACTCCATTACGCCTTGGCGTGCTTCTCTATGCCGGCTCGAATAAAGTGTCGTGGACTGAGGTTACAGCATGGGGACCAAAGGTAGAATGTGTGCCTCATGCGAGATAGGTGACAGACGAACATCTGGACTTCCTCAGGGGTGACTGCTCGAGTCGACGTCGCATTCGCCTGGATTGAGGAGGTCCCTGGAGAAGAGGTGGCACAGAAGATAGCTCATGCACTGAAATATGAAAGGCACAGAGATCCCAGCTGGGATCCTTTTGCGGATTGAAATGATGTCCAGTGGCTATCCGTTTCTTTTTTGATTCGGAATGAATCCTCGTCATCCCCTTTATTTTCTTTAGGGAAGATTTCTTCCTGAATTTTGTGAATGTGATCCATTCACATCTCTGTTGACTGACAGAGATAAATAGGCAGATCGTTCGTTACTTCTTGCAGAACCCAACTCTCCATCGGCTATCTTCTCCTTGCTCACCTCTGAGCTTCTCAGAGCACGGCTGCCACTGATCTGAAATGGCTTCCCCGTTCGAGTCACTGCCGCCGGAGATACTAAGGCTGACTGTGATCATCTCACATCAGAGTACTAGCAACCCGTCTATGACTGTGTCTCGTAAATAAACAATGTTACGCAGTCGCCAGTCGCTGTCGCTTTTACCATGTTTGGTTGAGATTTGTTGACCGTGAGAAACTCGAGCAAGACGTTCAACATTTGGGACAGCATCTTTCGAAAAACTGCAACTTTCTCGTCAGTCCGGCGTCTAACGATCAAAACAGAACTGTCGCCTCCGCGCGACATCGATGAAGATATCGAACTTTACATTAGGGAAAGTTCAAACGAAGATGACAATGAGGTTGCGCTGATCTGCTCACGTCCATACCACAGGCATATTCTCGATGGGTTGTATAGCGACATACAAGGAGAAGATGCTGGTACATGGGACCTCCTGGTCCTATTCCTCAGAAGGCTTTCGGGTCTCCGGGATCTCGTCTGGACTTGTGGGAACCAATTCCCACCATGCCTGCTGCAGGTGTTACACCAGCGTCTACCACGGTGCAGGCTGCACATCAGGGCATTCAGATTGCGCAGCATTCAGCGGAGTGAAAACAATCTCAAGGAAATGGATGAGTGCGAGCTTGCGCTTGCTACGTCTCCGTGTTTGTCCAGCGTCGTTGTGCCAATTTCACGCCGTTATTCTAATAGTGGAGTTGACTGCAACTGGGAAGCTGCCTTGCGTCTTGCGACAGGACTGGCTCCGAACTTGGCCCATGTACTCCGTACACATAGTTGAAGCTTACCACAAATTGGGTCTGGGCGTGCTCGGTGAGAAAAATGGAGTGTGACCCCCATGGCAAAATCTCTTTACGGATCGACATACCGAACTGCACCCGGGACATCTTAAACGATTAAGCCTAGATCGGGCTCGTATCGAAGACCTTGAGGCCTGGGGCAGATATACTGTATTATCGGACCTGCAAACCTTGCAGCTTCGGTGCGTTGATTCAGATCTTCTTGATAGTATGATACGCTTTCAGTTCACGTCTCTCAGAGAGCTAGATATAAATCTTGCTCCCATCTATCCCTAGAGCTGGGGAGCACCTATGCATGGAAGGAACTGGAAGAGGAAGAATGGTTTTATATGGATCAAGACGAACAAACAGAGCTCCGGTGGGATGTTCTGACCAATGCAGCGGTGGACGAAGAGCTGGCGCATGCCATATTTGCCGTGATTGCAGAACACTCTCTATTACGGCATCTTTAACTGGAAGTCATCGTGTCATCGGTACATCCCTGTGATTTGTCCCGAATACTGAAATTGACGAGGTGTCGATGGGAATGCTTCAGAACATCTGGGACTAGTGGGCAGAAGATAGCTGTGCGAGAAATTGGACGCTGGACAAGGACACCCTTGGAGAGACGTTTTCATTCTGTTGAATTGGGCTATTGTAAACAGGAATTCCGTGATATCTGGCCTTGGATGACCGAATGGAAGCGAGGCCACTCAGCCTAGGATCGGCACTGTGCCTGGTTATCCCTACGAAATTTACACCACCCAGTGAGTGGGACACACCCCAACGCAAATACATGGACGTTATAGGTTTCATGGTTAGGATTTCCAAGGGGAACACGCTCAGGTCTTCATATAATCCATCATATGTGTGGCCACTACCTTTGGGGATTGATGATCACTTTATGAGCATTTACCGGCAATGTTTATTTGTTTAATCTCCCTGTTCCTGAAGTCGACCTGTCAATATTTCATCGATCAGACAGCTCATATTCTGGCCTCCAGATCATCCCCCACGTCTTGAAACCAGGGCCATTCTCAACAAGCGTCCCATCAGGCCCTGCCTTGTCTTGTCCGGTTACGATTTCTCCGACAATCACAAATCCCAGGGTCTTGTACAGGTCCCGACAGTACGCATTACCAGCTTCGAGGTATATTGGCACTTTGTCCTTCCGAGCAATTCCCTGGTAATGTCTCACAATGGCCGAACAAAGCCCCTTTCCGCGAGCATTCTCTGCGGTCCCGAGAAAGAAGATGTAGTAGTACCTATCTTGCTCGTTGAAAACTTTGCTCTTGTGGAGTTTCGTTTGCGTTGAGACGTCGTATAGTTCGGTCTTCCAATTACATACGATCATCAGGAGTGCTCTGACATCGATTGATGAGTGTTTTGGCTAGGGGAAGAATAGGCTTACCAGAACACCCCCCAGTCCAACAGACGACAGCATCTCTTTCAGTCCGAGCGTACCTGTTTCGGGTTGAGAAGGGACCAAAATACCGCACGAACGAAACCCATCGGCTTCTTCGATCGACCCATTTCTGACAACTGCACCGGTTAGAAAGATGCGGAAGAGCTCGATGCGTAGTTTATCCCGTTGCTCCTGGTCGAGAGAGCTTAGACAATAGGTGATTGTGGGATCGTATTTGAAGGCATCTGCGAGGAGCTGGGATGCTTCGTTTACTCGTTCTGTCGTGGCGGGTTAGGAAGAGGCTGTGGTTGAGGTCTGGATGGGCTTGTACCTTGTCCTCCGGTCGTGATCTGGGCCATTATTATTATTATGATTGTCGATGATGGATTTGGGTGAGGGTGAAGTCAAGCAGCGGCTTGTATATAGTCACAGTTCTATATGATCGCAATTCTGCTGCCTACGGGCCATCGTATGATGGTCAGGACACGGTGGATATCCGTGAATTTGAGGTTGATGCCCTAAGAACGCGGTGTTCATCTCTTTGCTGCAGTCCTGCAGAAGGATATAGAGGTGAAGAATCCTGTTATTTCTTCTTTCTGTTTCCGTTCCCATTTCCTTTATTCTTGTCCTCGTCTCCTTCGCCCTTCTCCCCGTCCTCCTGGTCATACTTCTCCTCATACTCCTCCGCCTCCAACTGCTTCCCCTTGATCTCAATCTTCTGCAATGGCATATAGACAAACATCAACCGACACCACTGCGAGTCGCTGCGATTGCGAAACGAATGCGCCGTGCCCCTCTGCACACTGACATCCCCCCTATGAAGGATGCGCGTCTGCCCCGAATCGAGAATCAAATCGACCTCTCCCTCCAGCACAACCCCGTAGTCAAAGCTCACGGTGCGATGCATGGGCGTGATCTTCCCGGGCTTGAGATCGATCATCCTCAGCACCGTGCCCTGCTGCGTCGTCAGGCCCGGGGAGACGTGGAGGAAATCGTCGTATGCCGCGATGTCTAGCTCATCCTCGACGCTGACGGGCGTGTTGACCGTCGCGTAGAGGAGAGAGATCTCGCCGTCCTCTCCGGCTTTGTGTGAAGGGATGTACTCTGGGAGCTGGGAGTGGGAGACGAAGACGGCTTCGCCTTCGGTGCTGTGTGTGGTTATGTAGCGGTGGATGGCGGGGAGGTCGTTTGCTTTGCGGATGGGCATGGCGATGCTGTCACTATGTTCCTCCACATAGTATCTTCGGTATATTGTTCACTCCCGGAGTGGAGTTGATGGAGTTCCTCCTCATCTGTAGAACTTCCGCATAGATAGCATCACGGTGGCATTTGTATGACGTTGCGGCTCTACGTACCACGGTCTCCTCTTCCATTACTTCTCCGTTCATTCGAACCTAGGGTGGAGGATCTTAGTCACGCAGGCAACGCGATTGAATAATGACTCTGTGGCGTTCAACAAACTCAAAAAAGAGTTGCCGCGAGAATCGACGGATCGGACAGGTGTAGATCTATGACCTCATGGTCTGCAGTCTGCAGGACGTGAAGAGTTCCCGGAAGCGTGTATGCCAGATCGAGGCTGGGAACACTGTAGGAAGCACTATGGTGAACTTGTGGCCGACATCCTAAAATAACACCGGCAAGAGGGTCACAGCACGTCGGATATTCTCCTTTTCTGGCCGCATCATTCTGAAGTTGGCTGTTATCTCAATAAGCGAAGCTGCCTGTAGTTCCACATCCTCTCTTCATTCCGCCAGCAGCCACCATGAAAAGATTCTTCACCAGAGCCAAGAATACGGGCAACCCCACCGACTCCGTCGTAGACGAGTCCGCCGGACGCCCCTCCAACCTGAAGGTGATTCCGGCCTCGACATCGGACATTCCCGACATGATCTCCGTCTGGTACGCTGCGTTCACCTCGCCAAGCCTGCGCAGGATGTTCCCGGATACGCCCAGCGTGAGGAAGTGGTGGGAAGATGGCATCCGGGAAGATCTCCTCCGTAAACCACAGCAGACGTACCTGAAGGTGATCGACACTAACGCCCACGGTAGAATGGTGGCGTACGCCAAGTGGGATCTAGGATCGATGGAAGCACGGGGACCTCGGGCTCTACCATTTGATAGGGAGGAGATGGACCGGGAAGCCTGTGGGGAGTTTTATGCACGGATGGATCGCGAGAGGAAGCGGCTGATGGGGGACCGGAAGCATTACTGTATGTCTCCTTGTTTCCCTTGGTGGCGTCCCCTGGTCTCGCTAACAAGTCAATGACGGCCGCAGTCCTGGACATGCTGGCGACTCATCCGGACTACCAGGGCCAGGGCGCCGGCTCTATGCTGGTCCGGTGGGGATGCGCCCTGGCTGACAAGGATGGCGTGCCGGCATATGTCGATGCAAGCGGAGCAGGGAAGCCTCTATACGAGAAGTTTGGCTTTGTGGACCGCAGCGAGAGGCAGCACCGGGGCGAGGGCATCGAGGTCGCGATGGTGAGAGAAACAGGCCACAACCACAGTGGGTAACCAGTAGGACCTGAGTAGACAGATTTCTCGGCTTGAATCATGAAATCATGAAATACAACGGGGCAATGACTGCCGGTGATCTTCTTTCAGTCAGGGCAGTGGACCGGTGGCCTGTTCTCGCCTGCCTCTTGGCTTGATGCAAAGGTCGAGCCCGCGAGTGCTTTGTAATTCGCTCGATGCGCGCTGCTCGTGCCGTCACACCAAGCTGCATCTTGCTGAGATGATGGTTTCACTGGCCCCTGTCATTTCCAGCCGTCCAGACCGGCTTGCTTTCTAATACCTGCTCCGGTGTACGACCGCCGTCATGGTGTCTCTTGGCTGCCGGTGCCTTATAAACCGGCGTCGTGTCCAAGGCAGTCAACACCTGTATCTCCGGCCTGTGCAGCGGTTTGTAGGCTCTGCTCGTATTCAATAGAGAAAAACCGGCCATAATGCGGTCTCTGAGCCTCCTTCCGGCCATCGCGGGTATCGCCAGTGCAGCTTGCCCTTACTTGACGGGCGAGCTGCCTGGTGAAGGAACCCTTCATCGTCGAGACGACAGCAATGCCAACAGCAACAGCAACAGTGCTGCCGCGGAGACGGAGGAATTCCTGTCGCAGTTCTATGTCAACGACACTGGCGCCTTCATGACCACCGACGTTGGCGGTCCTATCTCCGACCAGAACAGTCTGAGCATCGGCCAGAGAGGCCCTACTCTGCTCGAGGACTTTATCTTCCGTCAGAAGATCCAGCATTTCGACCATGAACGGGTCTGTCTTGCCTTTCCTTCTCGGCTGTTCAACGGCCATGCTAACGTCGCTTGCAGGTCCCCGAACGTGCCGTCCATGCTCGCGGAGTGGGCGCCCATGGTACTTTCACTTCGTACGCGGACTGGTCCAATATCACTGCTGCCTCGTTCCTGGGAGGCGCCGGCAAAGAGACGCCCATGTTCGTCCGCATGTCGACCGTTGCCGGAAGTCGAGGCAGCATTGACACGGCCCGGGATGTCCATGGATTCGCCCTCCGTTTCTACACGGACGAAGGAAACTTTGGTAGGAAACCAGATAGAAATAAGCGGAACCGGATTCAATCCGTCTGCTGACAGCCATCAGATATCGTCGGGAACAACATGCCCGTCTTCTTCATCCAGGACGCCATCCTCTTCCCCGATCTCATACACGCCGTCAAGCCCAGAGCAGACAACGAGATCCCTCAAGCTGCTACTGCTCACGACTCGGCTTGGGACTTCTTCAGCGGCCAGCCCAGCTCGCTGCATACCCTCTTCTGGGCCATGTCTGGCCACGGAATCCCCCGTTCCTTCAGGCACGTCGACGGCTTCGGCATTCACACGTTCCGTTTCGTGACCAACAACGGCACCTCCAAGCTGGTCAAGTTCCACTGGCGTTCTCTGCAGGGTCGCGCTGGTTTCCTCTGGGAAGAGGCGCAGCAGACGGCCGGTCAGAACCAGGACTTTATGCGTCAGGATCTGTTCGAGGCGATTGAGGCTGGAAGATATCCCGAGTGGGAGGTGGGTTTCTTCTCTCCGTCCCTTCTCACCATTCGACGAAGACGAACCTGCTGACCCCTATTGCAGTTCGGTGTCCAGATCATGGAGGAAGGAGATCAACTCCGCTTCGGCTTCGATCTTCTCGATCCCACCAAGATCGTCCCTGAGGAATATGTGCCCATTACCTGGCTGGGCAAGATTCAACTCAACCGCAACCCGCGCGACTACTTCTCGGAGACGGAGCAGGTCATGGTATGTCTTTCCCCCCCTGCTCTATACGCTCGATGCAAAGTCACTGACTGTATCTGTCAGTTCCAACCTGGCCACATCGTCCGTGGCGTCGATTTCACCGATGATCCCCTGCTGCAGGGACGTCTCTTCTCGTACCTGGACACGCAGTTGAACAGACACGGCGGGCCCAACTTCGAGCAGATCCCCATCAACCGGCCTCGTGTTCCTTTCCATAACAACAACCGTGATGGAGCTGGTAAGTCCAATTCCCTGGTTGGGTTCAATTCGATCGCGGAAGTTCAGAACTGACGGAAACAGCCCAAATGTTCATCCCCCTCAACAAGAACCCCTACACCCCCAACACCCAGAACAGCGGCTGGCCCGCCCAAGCAAACCAGACCGTGGGCAATGGCTTCTTCTCCGCACCAACAAGATACTACTCGGGCAACCTCGTCCGCGCCGTCAGCCCGACCTTCGCAGACGTCTGGTCGCAGCCGCGTCTCTTCTACAACTCACTCGTGCCGCAGGAACAGCAATTCCTGATCGACGCCATCCGCTTCGAGAACTCCAAGGTCCAGAGCCCGGTCGTCCGCTCGAACGTCGTCATGCAACTGAACAAGGTCGACAATGACCTCGCCAGACGCGTGGCTCGCGTTATCGGCATCCCCGAGCCCACGCCCGACCCGACATATTACCACAACAACAAGACCGTCAACATGGGCACCTTCGGCCAGCCCCTGCTCAGACTCGACGGTCTGAAGGTCGGTGTTCTAGCCTCCGTTTCTAATCCCGACTCGATCAAGATGGCTGCTTCCGAGCTCCGCAAGAACCTCTCCATGAGCAATGTCGATGTCGTTGTTGTCGCTGAGCGTCTCGCCGATGGTGTCGATCAGACCTATTCTGCGTCTGACGCGACCAATTTCGATGCCGTCGTCGTCGCTAATGGTGCCGAGGGCCTGTTCGCTAGTACGCGCTCCAGCCCTGTTTGGAAGCAGACTGGTGGCACGCTTTATCCCGCTGGTAGGCCCTTACAGATTCTCGTCGATGCGTTCCGCTTCGGTAAGGCTGTTGGTGCTTGGGGAAGTGGTTCTGCTGCGTTTAACACCGCTGGTATCCCTACTTCCAACCCTGGTGTCTATGTTACCGGTGGGGTCGATGGTACCTGGGTTGGCATGTTGGAGAATGGGTTGAGGACGTTCAAGTTCCTTGATCGTTTCCCCGTTGAGGTTGACGAGTAATGGAAAGTATACTAATGCATAATGGTCTTTTCCACGAGATCTGTGGATGGGCTGAGGGCTTTGGCTCTGTGTACAATTAGCAATTCCATCATCAGGTTCTATTATATATAGACGGATTTCATGGTTTGTCTTCATCTGAACTTGTTCTATGCACTGTTTTGCCTATAGTGTGCAAATTCATATTATAGAAATGTATATGGTGATCGTAAACCGTGTACCATAGGTATCTTTTCAATATCACTACTCATAATATTCATAGCCATCCTCTTTCAACCTCCCAGGATAGAAAACCCCCCGACCGTTGCCCCCGTGCCATTCTTAGCTTCTATATCTTCCGGACTGAGCGCCTGGTTGCCCGAGACAAACAACGAAGCGAAGCGCGGTACTGGCACCGGCTCCGGTAGAGTAACGTTCGTTGTATTTGCGCTTGGCAACTTTACCACGTTCGGGTCCGTCTTCAGTGGATCGTACGGGTTGGAGAGGGCAATATTGGTGAGCGTCGTCACGATGGTATAAACCCCAGTCGAAGTATTATTCTTCGGAAGCGAGAATAGAGACGGTATTAGGCTTTTGATCTCTTGCTCGTCAAGGGTGGCATTGTGGAACACCACAGATGCGTTGACGGGTGGTGCACCGTCCCATTCGAAGTAGAAACCCGACACTGACACTGGGCCCGAACTGGGCGGATCCAACGAAACCGTCACCGAGCTGACGTTGTCCGCAAAATATGGCTGCCATTTTGTCGAAGATGCGCCATCTACAACTGAGATGGGGAATTGGCCTGGTCTGTATTCATCGTGTGATTGTACCGGTCGGCATTGGATGAGGTCTCCTGGAACGCTGTTTATGGAAGCGATTTGACGATTGGGGATGATCAATGTGCCATTTACCGGGAGTTGGTAGACAGTTATATTGGAGGCCGGTCCGACATGGACGGGAATGGACGTGTTGGCAAATCGAGGATCCGCTGTATCGAGATGGGCAGTGTTCGCGCGCCTGATAGTAGTGTGGGTGTAGTTGGAATTGGCCGACAGAGGCCATCCATGCCAGAAGAATGTACGGTACTTGAGATGGGGAATCTGAGGTGGCAGATTTGGATAGATGTGAAGAGAATCGTCCGGGACCAGGCGAAGACCGAGGTACCCGAAGAGGTTGACTTGGTTGGCACCACCATGGCCAGTTAAGAAGGGGAAAGCTGGGTGTGTGCCCCCATTCACCGTAGGGTCATCGATCATCTGCTCTGACAATTGAAAGAACGGCGGGCGCGTATAGGGATCATACGAGTATTGTGCGTAAGTGTAGGCAGAGCACCCCGAGGATGACACCTGGTTAGTAACTATAGCAAAGATGGCCCACGTCATAGCAGGGCCGTCCGGAGACTGTCTATTGGCATACTACAGTTTCCCTGTCAGAGTCATATTGTTCGACATTGGCAGCATTCATTCATGCTTCTGGGTATAACTCACATAGTCCAGGTCGCTTAATGCATCTTCGGAGCTGTAGTTGTGAGTGTAGTCCAAGGGGTATGTCACCAACACCACATCGGCTTGTTTGACAACTGCACTTCCATTCATTGTTGTAAATTCAAGCGTGACATTGTTCTCTCTGATCAAAAGCACATTGTCCGCCATGTCAGACCAGGTTTCATTAATTGGCAGGCCGAATTGCTTGCGGAAATCATTGGCACCCTGCAGCGTCTTTGAAATCAACGGCATCGTGTAGGCCCCAGCGTCAACAAAATTCGCATATTCATCCTAGATAAAACTTCAGTTTCGGTAAAGACAGGGAAGTTACTGAAGATTGATGTTCAGTGGATGAGGACAGGAGACGTACAGGATCGGTCATATTTGTCAATGTCCAAGAAGATCCATTCCGTTCAAGGAGATTTGAATAAAGCGTCGCGATCGAATCATAGATCGGGAAGAGTTTCTCACGGAAGCGCTGCGTATTACCACTCGCGATCCACTGATTGACAAGGGACTGCCCTATGTCACCATTCAAGTGATATTCGTAATCCCAACATGGGCCAGTGCCAGTGCAGTTTCCAAAGCGGCCACTGGTCCACGGGTAGACCGCGGCCGAAGCATCAAATGACGTACGGTTCTTCGAGCTCACAAATGCTGTGCGAACATTGGAGACTGCTTGCGGATATTTGGCTACACGGTAGTCCGTGATGCTCTGTGCAGCTTCCGGGTGCGATGCAACGAGACCAGGATGCATCCAGGTATCGGCATCCCAGAAAATAAGACCGGCATAGGAATCCGATGTGAGACCCCCAACAGAGATGCTATCCATATTCAGCGGTGCGCCGGACGCTTGCTGAATGGCGGTCTTGCCCACGGTGTTTTGCAGAAGATAGTAGGTGCTGGTGACCGCAATGATGGCCGAGTTAAGGATATGATCATCTGCTGGTAAGGTACCATTATCTGGGTAGGTAAAATCATCGACAGCATCATCCGGCATAACGCGAGCCCACTCCGACACATGCGAATGCAAAGACTCAAGGTAACCATTTTTCAGAGCCGCCAAGGCAGCCTTCTTGGCTGTCCATCTAGGGGACGAGAAGGCATCTGAGGAAGCAGCACCGACAAATTTGGTAACGCGGGTCCTCTTCCCTGGGAAAAATTCAACACGAACAGACTGTGCAATAGATGACTCGTTGGCGTGCACATATGGCTTGTCCGAAACAAGAGTGCGAGAGGACAAATCCACACCGTTAGAACCCGTGATATTGGCATAAACATAGGCAGTGACATTTGAGACTCCCCAGGGCCGCACAGCCGTGAAGATAGCACTGTCATCCACGCCAGAATCCACAAAGTCGGTGCGGACGGCAGAGTGGCCATCAATCACATTAACTATCATCGCCTCCGCCTGCACAGAGGGAATAATCTCCATGTCCACAACGGCCTGATTAACGTGCAATTTGTGGGCGAATAACCGGTAGGTGATGTTGTAAGAGCCTCTGTTGCCATCAGGTGTCCACTGGTATGACCAGGACAGAACCCCAGCCTCGAAGTCATAGGTTGAGCTGAAACCGGAGATGGTGCGATTATCGACATTAGAGTCCAGGTATGTACCGTTACCAAGATCAAGGATCAGCCCGCTCCAATGTGGAATTCCGCTGATGACGCTCTCGTCACCGTATTGATTAAGCCAGGCAAAGTTGGTCTCAGGGGTCGTAGGCTGGGCGTCAAAGAAACCGCTGATGGTTGCGAAGGACTGGCGCCTAGAAAACAGGGGCCAGCCACTTATCTCATCGCCGTGGCCGGGAATATCGAGCTCAAAGAACGGGCCGACACTGGCTACGTTTATACCCAGGTATCCATTTGCAACGGAGCCGCGAGACTGGTAGTGGCCCTGGTTGAGAGTAGTGGTTGTGAGGAGCCAATTGTCTTGGTCCCAGGTAACTCCGGGGAACTTGGTCTGGTACAAGTTGCTTGAATTCTTGGGGACCTGATCGTAACCACCATGTCGTCTCAAGCACTGGGAAATCCGCGCACTTTGAATTGAAGCGCACTCGGCCGGGATCTGTAGGAGTCCCAGAAGGATCCACACGAAAATCTGGCATGATATGTTAGTCGCTGAGTCAGAGGAACAAGAGGAGGATCCGAATCTCACCTTCAATTCCATCTAGAAGAAAGCAAATTATCTAGATTGCACGCTGATTCAGCTTGAGAGAGGACTGCAGCGGCGTAGTGAGTAGTAAATATAGACACATGTGGTGTAACCTCGAGCTACGCTACGTGGCTAGCGTAGCAACGGACCTTGCTATTATTAAATTCCATGGAGAGCTCAACTGACTGTCCCTGAAGAGTATAGCTGTGAGCCATGCTCGACGGTAGGAGGCCTTACGCGCGTCAATATAACACCTCATGCATCCACACTCCAGCAGGCAATCCGTGCTTGGACTCTGGAGACTTCCATGCATGATATCATCATCGTGCTTGGCCTCGCAAATCATAGGCTTTGCTAAGGGGCAACTTGCGGGATGAAGAGGAGAAACCGGCCAAACTCCGGGCTTCAGCCTCGCATTATTGGGCATTATTGCGCATGATCATCGCCGGGTTCCGTTCCTGAACCGGAAAGAAAAAGAGTTCCTTGGCTGAGAACCCCAGGTTATGCTGTGGCACATTGGGAGGTCAGTTCAATCCCCAAATTATTCATCTGGTTGCATTGGAGTCATACCGATAGTCACTAGAGCTACAGGCTGTCAACTGTGAGAGCTTGTATGGGATAGTATAATCAATCAATCCCCTGTGTTTCCTCGGAGAGTGTACTGAATAATCCATGTGCGTTTACTCCATCGAAATTGGGGCCATGTTATGGGTTTCAGACAGCATCGGATTCTCATAAAAGAGAAAAGCAGCCATATCAAATCACAGGGGAACTGGGTATCTTCGTCGCCAGTGGCAACATTTCAGGGTTCGAATACAGGACCAACGCTCTGGGCGATGCCAATGGCATCGAAACGGTTTGCCTCGTTGCGCCCTGCTTTCAGCTTTCGACAGGTCCTGCTCTATGTCTTCCAGGAGGAATCCTCCCGCGTCGAATGGCTTCAACAGGTCCGTCAACGCCTCTTTGTAGGCAGATTCTGCCGCAAGAGACACCGATGTATCTCCGCGACCACCTTAGACAGTGGATTGGCATCTCTGGCCAGGAGATGCTGGACTGCCGAAGTATTGCCCCGAGATGCATGAAAGGATAAGCACATTTTGCCATGCTCGTTTTGCCTTGCTCATCTTGCCATCGGTATCTACCCTATGCTGCAGCAATAGATCGAGCGTGGTTTCTGGATGGGCAGCATCACCGATCACCGCTGCATTTGCCAGAATTTCCATCGTTCCTTTCCCACTGTTCAATTTCACTCCTCGATCTACGAGCAGTTTTATCACTGTTGTATCCGCTCTTGGAGCAGGTAGGCCACAACGAATCTGACAGCTGCTGTTGTTTGGACTAATTTCCACTCCGTGATTCATGACAAGTTGAGCCAGACTCTCCTCCTTCAGCCGTCAGTCTCAACAGTGCTCTGGAGCGAAGACACCCGTTGGGAGTGTATAGCTCATATCGCGCATCTCGTACTAGAGACGCCTTCTCTAGTCTCAAAGCACAACCTAGGACGCTGTTTGGCCCTCCAGGAAGGCTGGGCTAGCACCCCGACAAAGAAGTAATTTGAATAAGGGCTCAAAACTCAGAGCGACCCCTAGAATGGGCTGTCTACTTGAAGTGCCCTTCGGATCAGCTCCTGTGTTAAGTAAAAGCTCAACAACCCGTTGGTGGTCAGCTTCTACCGCCAAGCTGAGCGGCAGATGGGGACCGTTGGGCTCAGAACCGTGCCTGAGCAGAAGTTCGACCACGTCAGCATGGCCGTTCTTCGAGGCAAAAGAAATAGCATCCCCCTCGTCCGGGGGCCGCATTGGAGGAATCCAAGTTTGACGATCTAACAATCTTGCATCAACGCTGCAGCCCTTCTCCAGGAGTCACTGGATGATAGCACCACGCCCGCAAGCAGCTGCAATGGGGACGAAAGAATTAACAAGGTCATCCTTTCTTGTTTCAATTTTTTCGCCCAGATTTATATGCTCCAGTAAAAGATCCACCATTTCCCGGTAATCCAGTCTTTCTGCACAGGCTAGCGGATACACGATGCTGTCGTTCGCTCCTCTATAATGGTCAGGAGACGTCGTCATAATCCGGCTCCTCTTCATATTCGGAGCACATGAAAGTCCATAACAAATAATCGGCCGTTTTAATGTACGGTACCAACAACCTCGCCACGGCCTCCTGCCCATGGCTAGCCGCTTGATCAAATGGGCTTTCACAGTTAGAAACCCAACTCGGCGGCCTGGTATTTGGGTTCGGGTCCACGCCCTTCTGAAGGAGTTTCACAATGTCCACATGGCCGTTGATTCCGACCACAGCCATGATTTTCTGCGGGCTACGGATCTTCAGCAAGGCCCCTCCATTCAGGAATCTGCGCACAGGGGACGTGTAGCCATTTTCACATGCCCATTAGAGGCCCTGGGCATCGTAGTGTTCAACGTTGTGTTGGCAGTTGTTGTTCAGGAGAATGTAAAGGCTGCGCGTTGTTCGCGCCCAAGGTGTTAGTTATGTCCATCTCATACTCCAAGTATCTGGCTATGAGGTAAATTAATTCGATTGGGAGGTCTGAGAAGCTCATTGCATTTGATTCACAATTACAGCAGGGGTTTCTAAGAAACGTATTTTCCTTTGAGGAAGAGAGGGGACAAGGCTAAGGCTGATTATCAAATCAAGTTATCGACTGTCTGCTTGACACTATAATCCGCCGTACTACTATCTAGTGTATGGATAAGCCTCTTTGGCCACGAAGGATGTGCTTAAAGCTAGGATAGGTTACTTTGTTTACTCCTTATTCTCCTTGTTTTGTATGTAACATGGATGACCATGAAGCTATATTCTGTGATCCCTTCACTCCGCAGCATTTACCTATGAGGATAAGGCGCAAGTCATGATCATCCAATCCAACCCTATGTCGGACGTTGATCGCGGATATTTTCAGAATGTCTAGATAGAAGGGACTGAGATTAGTATCATCATGAGTCCAGGCACTGTCAGCCTGAGAAATATCCACCGGGCGTACCGATTTCCTCTGAAGACCATCGGTTGAACCCCTCCAAGGTGTATAGAGATCCCACGACCGTACCGCAGAAGCCTTGTCTCATCCATCAGTTCAGAACATCGGCCCCTTGGGACGGCCAGTCATGTACGCAGTCCCCCTATCAGGAAACCCCAGTAGCCCTCAGTCCAGTCGGGAGATGACCGTGGCCATACATGCTTTCGACTAAGGATGCATCGTGCCACTAAGGAACAAATCCGATGTTAACACCGCAAACAATGTATGTTGGATTCGTTCAGCGATTTCCGCAATTTCAGACCTCCTCGGAATCCCCAGCGGCAATAGACTGACTGCCTTCGGCGCCGCTCTGGCGTCGATGGTTCGTACTTCGTCTTCTACCCTGCATGTACTGCTCTGTCGTTGTGATGGCTCTCTCTCCCACAAACTTGTTCCCAGGCCAATCAGCCTTACAGACAGGGCATTTATCTCCTTGCTGCATGCGGAAGAAATTGCTCATACAAATATCGTGAAGTCGGCCAGGACAGTCGCGGTTGCTGCATCGTTGGCCCTGCAGTAGGTGAAGATGGGATGAGCAGGGAGTATAGCAAGAAAAATATATATGTAACTCACCACAGTGATTATGTCCTTGCAAGCCGCACAGAACTTAATCTTGTTAGTTCTACCACCATCCCCATTATCCTCGTTGTACGTCTCAGCCAGCCAGCCCCGCAACTCGATCAATGCCCGCGGGCTCAAACTGTAGAACCCCTTCCTGCTAACCTCGAACCATCCTTCGTCAACTAGTCTCTTCATGACCATCTCCGCTTGCGACATGCCCAGTGACTGAACCGAGCCACCTTGCCCTTGGCTCTGCTGCTGCGTCGAGGATTCTCTCCGGTTGGCGTCCCCGGAGGAAACCTTTGCCAGCTGCACTGCTTGCATTTGTGTAATTACCATCGCCTCTAATCTCCGGGTATTGTACGTGTCGAACATGGCGTCAAGGACGCGCTTTACAAATGCGATTTCGTCGGCCGAGTACGTCGTCGCGAGCTGCATCAACGGGTCGCTGGTAGTGTTAACGAGCGCAAAGACACGTTCGGGTCTTTGTCGCTCCCCGTTCTCGTCTCTGTCGCTACCCCCATTGAACGTTTGGCGAAGGGTACTTCTGATCTCGAGATCAAAGGGAGAGATCGCGGTATTGGCGGCCCCGATGTACGATTGGAGGTCTTCCTCGGTGACATCGTCTGCAGAAACGGTATGGTCTTCTGTAATTTTTTTATTTCGTAACCACGTTTTCGAATCAGCAAGCTTGTAGGTAGCATTAGAATTTGAAAAGGAAATGCTTTGTGTTGTATACCTTGCGCAGAGAATATGGCTGCAAGAATAGGTCGCGCCTCGTTAAAGGTCATGGACGACCGCGCCATGAACGCCTGCAGGAAAGCGCGGTTGCTGTCATTATAGCCAGTGCCATCAATGTTGTCGTAAGACATGTCTGATCAATAAGGATGAGTTGGATCCTATGTTCCTCAGATATTTCCGTGAGTTCGTTGTTAATAGCAATTGCAGTCTCGTAAGTTACGCGCCGCTGTACGCGATCGATGGAACTCCTCTCCTTAACAAGAGTTAAACAGTATAGATACTGCAATGAGATGTCATAAGGGTCTTTCTTTGAAGGGCTGAATTCGACTTTCTTTTTCAGTGTTTTAATTGTATTATCTACTTTCCGAAAAGAATTTACGTATTGTTACTTGAAACAGGTTGGACCAGTATATGCAAAGGAGGGCTGAATGGATTACAGCTCCATTAACAGAGCTCTCTGATATCATAAAAGGTATAAAGACATAGATCGAATCACAGAGAAAACAAATTCCACCGCGTAATGGAAAACGGAATCGAATCGAGTACCGAATCGGTCATATCTCCCCAACGCCGAATTGCAAGTTGTAAAAGCATGCACAAAATAACAAATTTTTGCATTTAATATCTCCGCCTTGTTGGTTCCGGGCTAGGACTGCGACTGACACTTCTCGCATCCCTACCGCGTTCTTTTAGCCACTTTTTCGTGCTCAGTCGCAGCTCCCGATCAAGCTCTGCACTCGGGTCTTTCCGATGGATAAAATTGCAAAACCCTCCTCGTACACACCCTTCGCCACTATTCAGCCGGCAACACGCTTCTCGGAAGTCCGTCACCGGTGATAATTCGCAATATATAGGGCGTGCCGCGTACCAGCGGGAATTTAGGGTGTCACAAGCTGTCTGTGCATCTTCCTCATATTTAAATCGGGCATAGACGTTTCCGATGAGGTCTACGTAAAAGAAAAAATCAATGTTAGTGCCTGTTTCCCTCGCGCGCAAGTCTTCGTTGAAGGGATATATGCTCACGATCATTATTATTGTCGCATACTACCAGCTCCTCCAGCTCTCCGTACTTGCACATTTCACACCAGACGTCCTCATAGAATGCATCGAAGTGGTTCTGCAACTGGCTCGGATTCATCTTGTTCTTAGGATCGTAGGCAGGGTTCTGGTACATGTTAGGCATTAAGATGGTTTGAGAGTATGATGGCTTGACATGTTTGCGGGAACACCGATCTCCGTGTCGACAAGCACCGATCTTGTAGTAGAAAGAACAGTTGACCTTGTCCTGCTCTGTTCCGAAAATGGAGGCGAGATAATTGGCCATGTTGGTAGCTTGAAATGCGCAGGAATCAAGTCTCGGAGAAGGACAAAGGCGGTCTTCGCAAAGGTGAAGAAGATTCGAGGTGTGAGGAGGTCAAGTTCTCGGCAGATACGGTATCAGAAGAATTTGATACCTCGTTGTCTGTGTCGTTAAAAGATTGCCTTTATTCAATTGATTTGTTGGTGCATGCAGAGCTGCGCGTTGGTAAGCTTGTCTTTTGAAGTTTCTGGAGAGCTCGGTTGTGGCAATTTGGATGACTAATCGTATCTAGATTATTCTGCCTCAGGCCTCTACAAGGGTTCGGGATATCTTGAATTCATGATTATGTTCTTGACATATATGTGCAGAATAAATGCAGATTTACGGATGTACAACTCAATATGAACCTCAGATCTCTAACCCACTCACATCAGCAGAGGGCTGCAGTCCCTCGATCATCTCTGCAATCACTTTCCCAGTCCCCAAAGCAAGCGAAATTCCCCAAGGTCCATGGCCAGAAGCAACGAAAACATCACCCTTGATGCCTCCACCAAGCAACTCATCTGTAACTCTGGAAACAATAGGCACTCCACGGCTAGAAACAGGCCTGAAACACAGACCTTCGCGGAGAGTCTCTAAATCATCTATATTGGCGGCCTCATCGGTGGATTCTTCGTGCCCATCAGCCAGCTTCCCCATGAGGCGGACGGTCACATCTCTCAATTTCGCTTGTTCTGCCGGATCGATGAGTTTGTGAGTATCCTCAGCCCTTGGTGGTAAAGGGATCTCCGTGCTATTAAGGCCCGCAATATAAATTTCGCCGCCTTCTCGGGAAAATATTTCAGGACTGAACCCACACGACGATGGGTGTGTCGTGAACACGGCATGGCTGCGGCCTTGGTATGTTTCCCGTTCACGTGCGAGCGTGTATCGTGGAGAACGGAAAACAAGGGAATATCCCGCGAGAGGAGAGATAGGCAAAGATGCTTTTGATGAGGGGAAGAGTTCCTTGAACACTCCTGGTGTCCATGGTCCCGCGGCGACAATCAGTTTCGTGCAAGGAAGTGTAGACCCTATCTTGGTGCTAAAGTTTAAAATCTTAACCCCAGTGATAGTGCCGGCCCCTTGGTCTGTGACAAGCGAAACGGCTTTGGCTGGGTGGTGAAGCTTAACTCCGCGGGATATAGATGTATCCATAAGATACTGGGATAGGCGCAATGGATCACTTGGTATTCTGTTAGATAAATTACTATCATACACATCCAGGGCCATACTCACACCTGTGCAACCGTGTCATTGCCACTGCTAATTTTCTCCACACTTCCCCCCTTCTGCTTCGTCAACCAAGCTGGTGGCTCATAATCTGCTCCTTCTACCGACCCTGCTGCAGTCTCCGCCCTGCTCGTACCATGCCGTAGCCAGTCATCTCCGCGAGCGCCGCTCTTCTTGGAGGAAGCAACATCAAGACTGAATGCCGTCCCCTTCATGTACCCCCATTTCTTGTCTCCGCCATTCTGAACGGCAAGTTCGTCATGCAAATCGAATGACAGAGCCCCCAAAGGGGCTAAAGAAGGGGCGAACCAATCCTTAGCCAAAAAACCAGCTGCGTACCCAGATGCAGCACTGAAGAGTTGAGACGAAGATTCAACAATGTGAATCTCCTCCTTGGGGTTCTGCGCAGACAAGTAGTATGCAATTGAGGCGCCGATAATGCCTCCTCCAAGAATGATGGTAGGCATTGTATCTAGATTTATCTAGACGTATCGAGAAACAGTCTATATTTGTATTGCGTGTGACTGATTGTAGCAACAGGATCAAGGACTCGAGTTCAGCGGGATCTCGGCGTCCTTTTATCAGTTTATGTACAGCATAAATTGATTGACATGGCGGGGTCACTCCCGAGCAGATTACACACTTATTCGGTCCAGACTCCGAAGATACGCCCTACGGTCGACATTGACAAGTCTGGAATGGACTGGAATTGAGCTTCTGAAGGCGACTTTCCGGCAGATTCCCGAGGGGAACTGGAGATGGAGGACAGGGAAATTGATAGCAGAACTGGCCTTTTCCTGTCACATTCCACGCAGTTCAAAATGCACATGTATGTACATCGAGTCCAAACCAGGGACCCCTGTTAGGGCCAGCTGCATCATATAAGAACAAGACAAATTGCCCGACAAGATGCACACAATTTGAGGGTTGTAAACATGCCGTGGGACATGGAATGAAGACCCCGCACAATTAGTAATCGAGTGTTTAAACAGGGTTCTGCCTGCGCAGACAGCCGGTTTAGGAGATAGTAAAACAATACAAGATTGGCGTCCAATAAACACTGGCATTGGGGTTACATCGAGCTGCTATACGTCTTATCCCCCATTGCTCGGGTGTTGAAGTTCATTGGAATAAAGCGAAATAGAAAGGAGAAAGAAAAAATGCCAAAGACAATCATCGTCACCGGTGCCTCTCGAGGTATGACCATGCAGAATCTAACAGCAAGAGCTAAAGAATCACCTCATGATGCTAATGCAATCTTGATTATTCTCAGGAATTGGCTTAGCTGTTGCAAAGTATCTCCTCGGAGCTCCCCAATCCAGCAATGTCGTCGTTCTGTCCCGGAGCCCGGAGCCCCTCAAAAAGCTCAAAGAAGAATACGGTAAACAAGTCGAGTTTCTCGTCGGTGACGTTGCCGATTTCACTCTTGCGCAAGAAGCGGTTGATCTAGCTATCAAGTCATTTGGGCGACTTGACGGATTGGTACTCAATCACGGCACGTTGGGACAGGTCGGTAAGGTCGCGGAGGCCGACCCGCAACAATGGAAGCAAGGGTTTGACATTAATTTTATCAGTCTGGTTGCTTTCGTAAGTGGTCGGAAGTAGATGTATTGGACATGATTAGATTTTCTAATGTTCTTTGGGGGGGTTGTTTCTAGGTCAAAGCCTGTGCTCCTGCTCTTCGAGAATCCAAGGGAAAGATCATTCTCACATCTTCCGGTGCCGGCGTGTCAGCTTACAAGGGTTGGGGGCTGTATGGTGCTACCAAGGCTGCTATGAACCATCTGGCATTGACGCTAGGTGCAGAGGAGCCAGACCTGACCACTGTCTCAATCAGGCCGGGCATGGTCGACACGGAGATGCAAAGGGAACTCAGAGAGGACCATATTACAAACCTAGAGCCCGACGTTTACGGGAAATTCTCTACGGTATATAAAGAAGGGAAGCTTCTCAAGCCGGAACAGCCTGGCCATGTCATTGCTAAACTCGTCCTGGACGCTCCACACGCCCTAAGTGGGCGGTTCCTATCGTAAGTTCTACTACTAAGTTCTACTACGAACTCATGTAAGAATCGAGCTGACAAAAGACAGATGGAACGACAAAGACCTCGAGGCTTTCCAGGAATGAATTCATGTACTAAATGTCTAATCTTGATAGAAATATCAGCATAGATGTCGCAATATTAATCCATGAGTGAGAAGCAATTTGAATATGTACAATCAGCCGAAAGATGAAAAGCATTACATATTAGAAGCATTAGGTGCAGAGGCACCTTCATACTTAGCATGGAATGTATTTTGTTCATCATGTAATGAGAAGTTAGGGGAATCAAGGAACAGGATCCGACATACCAATGAATACTAGCTTATATATAGTTTCCTCGGCATGACAAAGAAAATTGAAAAACGGATTGGGGAAGACAGGCTGCAATGACCTGACCTGATGGAGGATTAGGGTATCGGGTCTCAGTCTACGATCTGCTATCCTTTGGAAACGTTAGCACAAATAACATGGAACTGAGTTCGGCCAACAAGAATTGTGATAGAAATTAAATCAGATAGTCCGTTTGGCTTGGACAGGTAAGTCACCACGAAATGGTATGATAGGGGCGACAGCTAGGTTCATCATCGGTAAAAGGTAGGAGGAAACACAGAGTTGAGCTTACCATTCAACTGTTAGTGGAGATTCATATTTCACAGGGATAAGTCTAGATAAATCTAGGTATCGATCATGGGAGACTTCTGAACCAAGCCTCTGAAGAATTCTTAAGTTGGGTAAAAGATTGCAGAGGGGAAAAAAAATTCGAGATAAAAACAGGCGAAGGCGGTGATGCGTTAGCTTAGCGGATTTCAGATTCTGCCATTTGTTATCATGTGATATTACCGTAACGATCCCAAATTGGAAATACCTCAGCACACCAGCCCTTTGAGTCTTGAGGATCTGCCTGCAGCAGAACAGCCCCTTGGGTGCCAGAACGGCCAGACTTCTAGGTTTTTTATCCACCATTTTGTCCTCTTTGCTACTTGAAAGACTGCATGGGGCTATTCATCCTAGCGTAAACAGAAAACAGACTCATAATTGGCGACTGTCTGAAACTGAACTGGGCAGACATGTATAGGTATTGATTGACAGAAGAATAGAGTGCTGTATCCTTGCGGGTTACTAGTCTTTCATAGAATAGATAAATTGGCAAGTCGTCCATAAGTTAATATCGAAAAAAATCATGGCCCCGGAGGTTTTATAAATCACTGAACTGGGGTCAACACCCTCACCCGACAAAGTGGTAGCTTGATACACTAGTCTATATTAGGCAACTTCCGGCTTAGTGCAGGTGCATCTCAAAACACCTGGAGCCCAACCACACAGACTCCTGAGCATTTCGGCGTTGCGCTCATAAGGGTGCTGGACGGTCTGTTCTACTCTTGATGGCAACTGTTCTTACTTTTCCTTCCATATTTTCTAGCTATATTTCTGTCCACCATGTCCGATAGAGAGTTCAGCGGTGAGTCTCGATCCTAGTATCATGAAGTCATTGCAATACCTCATCTTGGCGGTGGACAGACAAGAGCTAACTTGCGACTTTTTGTATATGTAGCTAACGACGACCTGTCGCTTCCCAAAGGTATGGTATTTGAAGATGGTTTACTATCCTTTGCGTTGTTATACTCTTTGGCAGAAGTCTCTCTTGCACTCGCAGAGGTCTAGTCGCAGCACGATTTTCCCCGAGTTGTTCGACTAATCACAATCTTCACAGCGACGGTCCAAAAGATCATCACGGAAATCCTACCCCCATCTTCTGGCCAGACCTTCTCGAAAGATGCGCGTGACCTCCTCGTGGAATGTTGTGTCGAGTTCATTACTCTCATTTCATCCGAAGCCAACGATATCAGCGAGAAGGAAGCAAAGAAAACAATTGCCTGTGAGCACGTTGAGAAAGCCCTACGCGACTTAGGATTTGGCGATTATGTTCCCGATGTGCTCGCAGTAGCGGAGGAACATAAGGAACAGCTGAAGGTGCGTGTATCGACCTTACTCTACGCGCCCAAGCGCTGACAACTTTTCCTGACAACAGTCCCGGGAGAGGAAACAAAGTAAAATGGAACAGAGCGGGTTGTCGGAAGAGGAGCTTTTACGGCAACAACAGGAATTATTTCGCTCTGCGACAGAGAAGTACCATGCCGCACCGGAGTAGAAATTTACGGTGGATGGTGTGTCTGGGATTTTACGCACTTTAGTAATGCCGGGCTTTTGATGCTCATAGAAGGGAATCGGGGAATAAGGAGTTCTTTTTTTTCGGCTTCCTGGGAGTTTTCGAATTGGTTTCTGGGTAAGGCTCGTCTGACCTACGACTAAAAAGGGTTGATGGACTTATGACATGCGATATCCTGCCCTCGGTTGGTATTTTTCTTCAATTCTTTGAGCAACGACTGCTATGTCAGGTCATCTTCGAATAATTTCAATTTCATCCTCGCCTGAAGCCTTGATCTCCATGTAGACAAGCCGCAGAGTGGCGTTCTGCCTGGTATAAGTTACAGCCTAGAGCATGTCAACTACTACTATTCCAAGCCTGGACTATTCAAATTTGCTTTATTATTCCTTTGAAATAAAAATGGATAAATGAATATGGAAAATAAGTTGTACAAAAGCACCAAATATCCAAAGCGGCGAGCGGCCGACGGCTTAACCTAATTGGGCCGGACAAACTTCAGCGCGCGCAGTCGAGAAGCGATCGATTTCCAACACGCGGAGCTCCCGCTGTGACTGCGACAAGACGCCCTCAACGCCGCATCTATCAAGATGGCGCCCTTTAAAGATGAGCATATTCTGGTAAGCGAAATACCTTGAAGCTCCTGACATTCTGCATTCCCATCCACGTCTTCCACGACCCAACCTGCTAACCCTCCTCTTTCCCGCAGTTGATTGCGCCGGGTTCGCAAGTCACCTTGGCGCAATTAGGCCTTCCCGAATCCTTTACGCCCGCTCGTTTTCGCTTTCCAACGCGTATGTTCCCTGCTGATAAGAAGGGAGAATATGAACCGTACAAGATCCGCGAACGCGGACGGGAGGTCAAGGTCAGCAATGGCGATAAAGCGCCACAGGAGGACGTGGAGATGAAAGATGTCCAAACTGCCACGCAGGAGGGTACAACAAATACAGCGACAGGAAACGAGCCTGAAAAACCTCAAGAGTCAGAAGAGACAAATGCGGAAACTACAGGAGACGCGAACGGAGAGGCGAATGGAGAGCCAAAAGAGGAGACGGTGGAGATCTTCTACGAGGAAGATGTCATGTCAGACGAAGGCGCGGTTTACCCGATACAAAACGGGCGTGTTGTCGACTGGCCATGCTTTTTTGCCCTACTAATGCATATCCGTAATACCCTGAGCCCTCCTCTCCATACTCCGGTTATTATCATCTCACAGCCTGTCTGGTCTACCCGGGATCGAGAGGCTATTACTCAGTTCGTCTTTGAAAAATTCAAGACGCCTGGATTCTGTCTTATGGACTCTGCACTAGCTGCCTGTTATGGATATGGTACCGCTACGGCTACCGTCGTCGATGTCGGAAAAGATAAGGCAGATGTCACTGCGGTTACCGACTTTATGGTCAATGAACACGGCAGAGGTATCGCATTGGAAGGGTGTGGCGGAGATGCTATGACAGACAAACTGGTAGAACTCTTGGGTCCGAAAGGATTTACAAGGGAAATGTGCGAACAGCTCAAGAGAAGTAACATTACAGAAATTCTGCCCTCAGGCACGCCATTGCCAGGACTCCCTGAGGCTCCTCAAGCATCAAACCCGGCTGCTTCAGCATCCACAGGAACGTCAGCGGGGAAAGCCCCAAATACAGATGTTCCCCGCGGCCCTGGTGATAACACTCAAACTGGCCCAGAAGGCGGGAATGCTGAAGATGATGAAGGAGTGTTGAATGTTGCGGCTATCGTCACCGGTAACACTAGCGAGTATCTTGCCAAGAAAGACAAAGAAAAGGCTGAGAAGGCAGCATCGAAGAAAGGGGACCAAACACAGAAACAGGCGCGTCTTCCTAACTCGAAGAAAGAGACGGCTTCGTTCCAGTTCGAAGAATTCGTTCAACTAGAACCGGAGAAAGAGTCGGGCAACGCTTCGAAACGCTTTATTCGCCAAAAGCGCGACATTGCAGTAGGGGTTGAGCGCTTCCTTGCCGCGACACCAAAGCAGCAGGTTGGGGATCGGCTGTCCAACGGCATCCTCGAAGACATTGCGGACCAAATCCACCATACTATTCTTGCCGTGCCAGACGCGACAAAACGCAGCGAGCTGTGGGACTCTTTGATAGTTCTTGGAAATGGAAGCAAGATCAAAGGTCGGACTAGCATATTTGGCCTTCGTCTAGTATAATTCCATGCTAACCTAATGGATTCAGGATTCACTCAAGCGTTGCTTGCAACCATCACACAGAAATACATCCTCTCCCCATCCGCCACCATCTTCACCTCGGAAATCCCATCCAGCTTCTCCACGCCCCTTCCAACAGGAGGCACAAATACTCCAGCCAATCCAGGTCAGCCAGGTCCCATTCTCCACCCAGCCGCTCATGGGGTCAATCCTCTTCTTGTAGCCGCGACTCATGCCAATAATCCCAATTTGAATGCGGGAACACCATCATCTACGATTTTTCTTGGCGCTCCCTCTCACCATCGTTCCACAGGTCACTCTCAAACCCCAACCTCCGTCAAGGTCCTCAAACCTCCCGAGTACTTCCCGGAATGGAAAGATCACGGCAACTCGAACGCGCCCGGTGCAATGGGAATCGCAGGAGCGGGCAACCCAACTGGCCCTCCGGGTGCTACACCCGGTCCCTCGTCCGGCGGCCATCATGGAATGGAGGAAGCAGTATTTCTGGGTGCACAAGTCGCTGCCAAGGTTATCTTCATGCTTGACCAGGGACTTAGCAAGGGATTCATGAGCCGGATTGAGTATAACGAAAGTGGTCCCTCTGCCATTCATGATTACATTTTGTGAACCCTTTTGCCGTAAGAACGTTCTGTGCAATTTGGTTATGGTGTTTTAATAAAAAGGGGAATTTGCTGAGATGGCGGACATGGTCCTGTATTGCTTCTTATCCTGAGGATTCATAATTCAAGCTCTAAACAGGTAAAACTATATATGAAATGCCATCTGTCCAGGTGTCTAATGATTTCAAGAGTCGTCGAGCTTACTGTATCTTGCTGACTAGACACTTCTTAAGACAATATGGCACTGCAGCTCTCTGCTTGAGAGCAATATGTTGTTGAAGTTCGGACATTCATAGTACGATTATCTACAACGTAGTACATCTCATTTCTGCAGTCTGGATCCCAAATGTTAAATAGATACTTCGATGGTTTAGAAGAGAAGCCATTGTTTATATAAGCAACAGGTGGCGCAGTTGCTCTAAATCAACGCCACATCTCTCCTTCAACTCTCAACAGCTTCTCACTGACATATCAGTGTCATATTATATCCAGTTTGTCGCTCTTTTCACCTCTCGCTCACAATGCCGCGTGCTGAGGCTGGGAGCACGAAAGCTATCAGCAACAAGATCAAATCGGTATGTTGCGATGCCTCTTGTTTTCAATTCCGGGGATCATTTCTAACGGACTTCACAGAAAGGACTTGGGCGCTTACGATGGTACTGTCAAGCATGCGAGCGGCAAATGCGCGATGAGAATGGCTTTAAATGGTGAGTTCCTGGGCTTGTGCGGGTTTCATTGAATATCCCTCTTGCTTGTTCCCGGAGGACTTGCGTGCTAACGATCTGTTCTAACTCCAGTCATGTCCAGAGCGAAAGCCACGTTCGCCAGGTTTTACTCATCGGCGAAGATCCAAAGAAATATATCGAAGATTACAGTGAACAGTTCTTGAGTAACTTCATTAACATGCTCAAGACGACTCATGGCGAGAAGAAAGTCCATATCAACCAGTTCTATCAGCAGGTTATTGCGGATAAGCATGTAAGTTGGCCCTATGCTGTGACCCATCCTCGATTCGGTTATATTAGAGCATTATACTGATGCTGGGGTTCTTGGTCGATAGCATATCCACATGAACGCTACTCGCTGGAAGAGTCTCACACAGTTTGCAGCACACCTAGGTCGAGAAGGAATCTGCCGTGTCGAAGAAACAGAAAAGGGTCTCTTTGTTTCATGGATCGACAACAGTCCCGAGACGTTGAGGAAGCGCGAGGCCATTCTGAAGAAGGAGCGCCAGGATAAAGGTGACGAGGAGAGGGAGCAACGGCAGATACAGGAACAGGTCGAGCGAGCGCAGCGGGCTGCGGAGAAGAGTAAACAGGCCGAGGCTGAATTGGATTATAAAGCCAATATTTTGGAACGGAGGGAAGGACAGAAGCTTCAATTGAATATTGGTCTCGGCTCCAAGGCAAATGGGGAGACTAAACCGAAATCAGAATCTCCGGATGCTGCGAAAGACAGTGTCGCTTCCCCTTCAAACGCTTCTCCCGCCCCGACACTTGCATCTACTGTCCCGTCCGCTCAGCCAGGTGCCAAGTTGTCTCTCTCGCTGGGCGAGAAGAAGCCTAAGAATGTCTTTGCTTCTGCTGTAAAGAAGAACCCGCTGGCGGGTAAAAAAGGATCGGTCATGGAGCCTCCCAAGAAGATGACAGAGCAGGAGAGAATTATGAAGGCTGAAATGGAAGCAATGCAACGGAAACGCACGCATGGGGGGTCTGGGTTCCCTGGCCCCAAGCGGCCGAAGGTTTCTTGAGTTTCTGGTTCCTGTGGTGGCGTTTCTGAATCTGGAATACCGAGAAACAATTCACGCCTGTCGTGATATGTCTTTCGAGGATTCCAGTCTTCTAATCGACCTGTTACTGGCTCTCAAGGTTCATGGCATATACTCGGAACCAGCGAGACTGCAGGTCGTCGGTGGATCGATCGCTTTGACGCCATGCAAGGCTATTCAGATCCGATCGTGATATGAAATTTTGATACCTATACACTACAGAGAATACCGTCGAATCTCTGGGGTTTACTTGTATGTACATAGTCGGGATTGGCGTCGACAAGAAATATGGACTAATACAGTTGTTACAGACCTATATATATATACAGAGGTAATCATACCTTATTTTCATCTCTGCCAGTTGTATGTAGATCAGGCATGTTGATCTCTAGAACTCCACCCTTGATGCCTGATGAATACAGCTTCAGCCAGTAGGACGGTCTACCGATGCTCGGCTGTGGAAACCGAGCATTATCTCCATCGATTCGACCTGGATTTCTGTTGTTGTTCTTGAGCTGATAACGATAAAGAAATCGCAGTAGTCCGAAGATAATTGTTCAAGGAGCAAGCGATCCATGGTCAGTACTGGGATATAGCGAAAATCAATGCAATACAATTCATGATTCATTCCATAATGCAACCAAATCAATACTCTGGAGTATACTACGACCTCCTAAACAGCCTCCTCCAAGCCTCCTCCCGTAAAGCAGCAGCCATATGCTTCGTCCGTTGCACAGCTCCCTTATTTTCCACGGCCCGCCTGAGAAGGAAATGCAGACAGTCCGCCGTCGTACCCCAGGCTAAGCACTTAAATGCTTTCGGTGCGGCGGCCTTTTCCCGCTCTGATGCATCTGGTGCGTTGGTCACTTGTTGGGCCTCCGATACCAGCGTGCAGCTAATCTCATCCGCCATGCCCTGTAACTGTCCGAATTCCACCGGGATTGTGGGCTTTCCATTAACGATCAGTGATCGGTGAAGGGCTGTGGCCTTCTTCACTGTTGAGGCATTGTGGGATGCCACAAAGAGATGCACATCGGGAAATGCGAGGGAGCTGTCTTCCTGTTTCAGAGGCAACGGGTACTGTCTCGTCAACAGCTTCTCGACAATGTTGTTGTAGTTGTTGTCTGTGTCTTCCTTGGTGTCGTGGATCCGGGACCGGATGTCATGCTGGATATATGCGCCTCGTACCAACTTAATGCCTAGCGTCCAGCCCTCCTTCTGGGCAAGGAGGAGATGTCTCTGGACGTTCTCCGTGGAGGCTTTGAGATACGCCTGGATCGTGTTATAGACGACCACTTTTCCGTTCCGGTTGTACGTCTTCATGAGGTCGATGGTCCACGCATCGATCCTGTCTTGGAGTACCTGCTGCTCAGCATCAATCCAGAGCCGCGAACCCTGCTGGGCGGTTTTCTCGCAGACTTCCTGCATCGCCGATAAAATGCTTGGTGGGATTCGGTCTCCGCGAGTGAGGGCTTCCACCGCAAGCGGACCAGCGCCGGTAAATCTAAAATGCCGTCAGCTCTCTCCCATTGCACATGTATAGAAAAGAGAAAAGCTTACTTGACAGCCAGAAAATCACCTGGACCAATCATAGACAATGTCCTCAGGTTTCCCTCCTTCCACTCCTCCACCATCCGGGCATACGCAGCATTCTTACTCGACTCTGAAGATGCCTTCCCGGACCCCTCATGGTCGAGGACGACATCCCGTGCATACCCCAGGATCACGCCCTTGAACCCTAAGTCCTTCATATACCGCACCGTCTTCCTGACTTCAACGTCGTTCGTGCCAGCACAGAAGTGCTCGTAAATTGTCGAACGGAGAAGGTAATTGAGAGGTGGATTCCTGGATGGACTGAAGAGGGCCGATTTGGAGTTGACCACCACCTTCATCAACCAGAGACAGGGATCCAGGAGGGGTGAAGACATGACGGACGTGAACAGCAAGGAGCGCAGGAGGAGTTTAGTAGGGAGGACCGCCATGGGTGCTTGTTTGGGGGGGGATTGGGACTGTTGTGCTTTGGTTTGGGACTGGGGGTATGAGGTGGCATTTGCACTGCTGGTGGATTGGTGTCGCGTGTGCACAATAGACAGAATCTGGCGATTCACTAGCTGACTCCGGGAGCAGTGCTTCTGGTAGGACAGCAGCTTTGTCTTCATTCTGGGTGTGTTGTGCATGATGTGCGTTTCAAGTATATCCCAATTGAGACGGAACCCCTGGTCCGTTTGTTTCTATACAACACGGGGTAATGGGGGAAGTATAAGAAGAAAGAAATGTAGTTTGAAAAAGCAATAATCCCAGCTGGGAATCTTCTTGACCATATATATATTTCTCCTCCTACGCCTTGACCCCGCGCACGACGGTCAATGGGAGGGGCTCGGCAGTATCTCGAGACGCAACAAGCAAGCTGTGCCTATCGCATCATGCCAGAGGGGTTTGGAGCAGGGATAGATAGAGAATACAGGAGCTTCACCGATCCTGAGTGGAAATCATCCAGAGACAAGGCCAGAAAGGGCCAGCAGCGGCTGCGCTGCCGATGTATGCACCGCGTCGGCTCAGATGCCGCTACAGCTCGAGATTGGCGTAGGGCTTGCGTTCTGGTGATCCACGGCCCCTCCGTTTTGATAGGACAAGATAAGATGTTGGTTCATTTGGATGATGATGTGTAGACCGTGGACCGTCGGGAGACATTCCGATGCTATCTCTGGTGCGGGTGATCAGTGAGTGGTATGAACCAGAAGGACATTGTGTATCTATCTACTCTATATAAAGTCACGAGTCCCACTTCGTTTCTTATAATGCATCAACAGCCCAATCTACTGTTTTCCGCCCTGTAAATGCCTCGTCCCATCAATAGCTGCTTGCGCAAATGCTCCCCAGGTCCCTGCTCTCTCCACTGCTAATAAACCCTGGATTGTACAACCTCGGCGACTCGAAATACTCTCCCTTGGTACAGCCGGATGTGCCCCATCCTTGAGCAACTTGGCCATTCCGTAGAATACCTGTGCAGCCATCTCAAGTGCGTCTGGCCTCCGCAGGCCCTCCGATACGAGTCCATCCAGGTACCCGTCAAGCGGGCACTGTCATGACGACGATTGCTGGCCCGACAAGCATGGTGCCCGCTTCGAATAGATCGGGTGCAATAAACTTGGCCTCCCCGATCTGCTGAAAAATCCATTCGAGCATTTCAGATAGATGCGCCGGGAGAAAGGCAGGAGGCGTCTCGATTATCGTCATGGATTCTCTCAGGCTGGCAGCAACATTTGGCATGGCTCTTACGATGTACGGCTTGCGGATGGATGCGTTCAACGGCCGGGAAGGAGGGAATATGCTCTCTTCGATATCCTTAACCGTCTTTCCAGCGAGGATGCTGATGACGAATTTCCCCGAAAGGGCTTCTTGGACGCCTTTCGCCCCAAGGACGTCGGCCGCCATGTACGGTTTTCACGCGAGAAGGATTATGTCTGCCTCCTGCATGGCTTTGAGGTTCTGCGAGTGGAGGAATTGAACCCGCGATTCATCCTGGATGAACTGTGTTCGGAGATGTTCTGCAGATGCGGCGCTCTTGGTGCTAATAATGAAGGAGGATATCCTTGGGGTTTCCGACTCGGATCGGGTTGCGTCGAGGATTCCGCCTAAGATGGCGGAGCCCATGTTCCCTGATAGGATGAGTATGGTTTCCATTTGTGTATGGTCATTTCGTTAAAGGGGAGTCGGTACCGCAGCCGATAAATGCCAGAGTCAATCCTGGAGCCATTGTAGTATGTGCAATGAAGATAGATGTGTCTCAATTGCGAGAATACAGCAACATCCGACTTTTCTCTTCGCAGTGATGATGCCGGCTTCGGGGGCCGTGATGCGGGACGGCGGACCGAATCTTATCAGCTATCACATCTCTATTACAGTTATTCTTTCTTATCATCATCATTGATCGATCGATCGATCAGCTTGTCTCGATTGGCTAGAAGATGGATGGATGGTATGGAGTAGACAAAAAGACGGTGACAAAAAATCTCAGAAGAAAAAAGAATGGCCCGAGCCGCGGATCGAACGCGGGACCTCTCGCATGCTAAGCTTTAGGGTTGACCCTAAGCGAGAATCATACCACTAGACCACCCGGGCGGATTGGTTGTTTGAGACTTCCCAACATTCTCCTATAGACCTAGCCTCGCCATCAGAACACGCCATCAGTGAAATCAACCGCCTGCACCTTCTCGACAAGACCATCCAGACTTTTCACAAATGCAAGATGTGCTGGATCCTGGTGCACATAATAATCTCTATCTTTAGGATTTTCAAATTCCATAACAAAGGCGTGGGTGATGCCGCCCTTTAGGTTTAACCGTTAGAGCTGCGCGACATCATCGTATATATATATTAACCATACCTGAATCCCTTCCGGTGAGTTGTCCACGCCACCAATCGTTGACTTGATGTACGGCTTCTGGGATGAGGGTTGGACACAGTTATCACTCAGTGCAGCTAGACGCTCACAGGCCTGCCTGTATCTTAGCATTCACCCGAGAATACCACCGTCATTATTATTGTGATATATAATATACAAGGGCTGCCATAGGTAAGTATACTACATACATCCTTAATTGTATCGGCAGGAAGGCCCTGTTTGAATCGGAACATAACGATATGTGTGATGCCCATTTTGAAGGATAAATGGCCCGAAGTTACTAGGAGGCGAATACGCAGAGCAGCAGTTATCCCAAGGAAGATTGAATGGATAGGCAGGTTGAGATAGTTAACTAACTAGCCCGTTGACGATGAGTAATATGACGTCTCCAACGTAAATCATCAGCGAACTGTCCACATACGACATCTGAAACCCCTATATCTCGAGAGCTCTCGCATATTTTACAGAGGATTCTCCAAGGTTAGATATAGCCAGTAAACCCATCTCAAGGTATAATGTCACAATAATACCCATAATTGTCAATCACGTGAGAATCTGCTGGTTCTGACCGCCCTCGCCTGCAGCCTCAGCCTGCCTAGAGAATAGACAGAGAATCACCTTCCTCTTTCAATAACAAGATAAACTACAGTGTAACTTTACCGGAAAAGGATAATAACGCATATTGAAGAAAAACCACATATGTAGACTATCTACAAGGCATCCGATAGAAAGTCCTAGTCATATACTACTAGATTTTAGCCTAAAAAAGCCACAATCTTGCAGCAGTGGTGAGCTATCAGGTGTGGAAATCTCACATTTTATATGGGTATTTTATATGGACACCTCGGTGCGGACGGTCAGGGCCCACGACTCTACTCTGTACTATTAGTATATAATCAGTCGGTCGGGGTTGAACTCGCTGAGTTGGTTGACGGTTCGGACGGAACTATAACGTAATCGGACATTGCTCTGTATTTCATAAAATGGCATTTTTCAAGATTTTATATCTCGATAACAATGTATCTAGAGGGCATAATATTCGAGATGCAGTAGTTATAATATGGTGCCGTAGTTATTTATATAATCATGTAACGGATCTGAACCTGTCTGAGATTACGTACTTCAACGTGCCCAGATCTTTGTTTACGTCGTCATGACTCCATCTCGAATCTCTTCCTTTCCTCTAAGCTTCTGGTATCCTATACCTGGCCTAGTTAGATTGATTCAAATGTTGCTTTAGCCCTTCATATATTGAACAAAGAGGGTTATATAACAAGAAATTCTCTAGGTAAGGTAAATTAGAACTGTAATTTTTTTATCCTTCCATATCTCTATCTTCCTATAGCCCCTTTTCGGATGGGGTCTGACTGTACGCACGAGAACCACCCAACTTATCCTCCGTGATCGTCGATCACGTGATAGTAATAAATTCTCGATACGCCAATCAGAATTTTTAAAGCAAAAATAATCACAGCGCTAACAGATCCTCGATGGTCTAACGGTCATGATTTCCGCTTGTCATCCTTGAAAAGGATCAAGCGCGGGAGACCTGGGTTCGACTCCCAGTCGGGGAGATCTTTTTGGTTGCTTTTTTTATTTTTGCAGTGCGATTTCTGGATGCATGGACATGGCCAGCACTGTGCTTGATTCCCAGTGTTGCTTATGAAATAGCACCCTCTCCCATCGGCCCGTTCACTGATGGACGATGATCTAGAAGGACAGGGACAGTATCCCCCCAAAAGCATATATATTATTAAAAACTAATTACTATAGCGATCAGGACATTGCAATCGATTATGTCCAATAATATGGTAATCACTACACTGTGGTGGTGCCTGTACACGATGCTCAACTGCTGCCAGCGCTGGTTCCAGTAGGTTGAGCATTTTGAGCTTCTTGGACCTCATTCTCATGCTATAGAAGCTGCTGATCTTCTTAGATAGATAGACCCTCTGTGGTAGCTATCTGCCATCTAGATCATTTCCTTTTTAAAGCTGCTTCTCATGTGCAGCACATAGATTCTGGACTTCTTTCTTAAGAAGAATGGCCCCATTTAGTGCCATTTCAAATCCTTTATAGATCTTCTCCAACCGTGTCTCAGCAAGAGATAAAGGACCTTATGTATGATATTGAAGAAGGTCTTTAACCTTAGATGCTTGTTTTGTAATTGATGAAGGCTCTAAGGCGTTTTTGGTGCTAAATTGGTTGATCGGCTGCCTGGTGGTGTAGGTGTTTTGATGCTAGACCTGCGCTACGGAGCGTAGGCGGGTCTAGGGATTATGCGAGTAGCGTGCTAAGGTCAGGAATCCGTGGCGCAGCTCGTAGGGGTCTTATTGTATAAGAACTAATCACTGGCACTCTTAAGTCTCAGAGCCCTGCGCTGTTAAAAGTATGCTCGTTAGGGCACGTGACGTATACAGTTGCTGACTAAGATATACTTGCTCGCGTATGTGACCTGACAATAATGGTAATTTGTACTAGGTCAAACCACTCCCTAATAATCGTAGGATCTTCACTGGCATGCTGGTGATTATATCGCTGGGAATATCTTGTTTTGAGCTCATCACGTCATTGAAGAAAGTTGTACACCCATTTCTCACCAACGGTTGAAGTAGTAGTTTAACCTCGCTTTGATAATAAGATATTAGCCATTTCTCGAACTTGGGATGGTCTGGGGGCTGCTCCACGTCAATCCATAGAGAGTATCCAGTGTACAAGCGATTCCTCACCCGAAGTCAATTTATGACTCCTGGGGCGCGTTTCATTGCGACATAGGCCGCCATTAAGTCAGTAGTGTAGGATGGTATGAGAGACATTAAAAACACGTGCAGCTTCACGAATAGAGCCTATCTCTTTATTCCTGATAGCTGAGATTGCAAGTAAGACCCTCCCCTCCTTCTCAACTGAATTAATTGAGTTTGTACGTGTTTTTGGTGGCATGGTAGGTGGTTGAAATGCCTCAAGATTTAGAGCATGCCCGAAACGCGTGAGGTGGAACGCTCGCTTATCGATTACGTTAGTGACTAAGCTGCTATATTTAATGTACTGGTGCGTGTCTGACAAGGCCACCTTTTTAGGATACGCATACTAGCATAGACTCGCCGGAAAGGTCGGCGCTTTAAAACCAACCGACATATCAAGGCCCACATGCGCAGGCGCCGATTCGCTGACAGAACTTTCTGGAGTAATATTATTGTCCTTATTCCCGACACACCGGAGACTCAAGGGAGATAGGGAGAGAGAGAGAGAAGGAAGAAAGAGAGATAGCCTGGGCTGGTAGTATAGGAGCACAGACTTACCCAGGTAGTGTCACTCGTAAACCAGCACAGCATGACAGGGAAAGGGGGTCAGGGTCCAGGGAGAGCAGGGATGTCGGATTGCATGTGGAAGTCCCCTGCAGCGATGACGAAGAGAGCGGACGCCATCTCAACCTCAGACCACCCAGCCATGATAATTTCGGAGGGGGAATAATCCTGGACTGGGCGAAGTGCCAACCGCGAGATCAAGTCCAATGACTTCAAGGCTTCCCCGGACCCCGGCTTCTGGGGGAGTTCGGGGGGCCAGTCAATTGCGGGTGATAATCGCCTAGGCGCACGCGCTGAACCTTCTCGGACGTTATGCTCATCACGGTATCTTGGCCGGTCGCCAGCTGGGGGAAAGGAGAACCCCGCATTTTTAATCTATTTGTTCCCTTGGAGAGTTTATAAAGTTGTAATAGCGCTTCCCCGGATACGGTCCGTCTCCCCCGTTCCGGGTAACATCTCACTCTTCCCCTAGTCAAAACATCAACGACCAGAAGACAACGGACGGCCTAGCACCTGCTATCCCTCAGCGATGAATTCAAACCCTAAGAAACGCCTGCGGACGGAGGCTCAGCTCGCCCGCAAACGCCATGCGGACAAAGTGAACCACAAGGCAAAACGAGACCGGACGAAGTCCCAGATGGACAAACTCGAGGCGGAAATGGTGCAGCTACGCCAACGGATGAAGGAGATTTCTGATCGGTTGACTGCTCTGCATGCCGATGTGCTGAGAGGTCAGAATGCCTATACGCCTCCGACGGTGAAAGACCAGGCGTCTCCAGCTCCCACCATCCCTTTGACGCCCGACCCTTGTTCCGGACAGGCCTCTCACTCCCCCTTCTCTCCTCCCCAGGCGCATAATAGCCTGGCTGGGCTTCCAGATCTCAGTCCCGGTTACAGTTTCGAGAGCCTGTCCGCTCACTTCCAGCGATATTCCCCTTCTGCTACGCCGGCCATTGCTTCTGCCAGCCTCAGTATCAACCACGATGCTCCTGCTTCTGCTGCTACCGCTACCGCAGCAACGCCCTTTGCACCACCAACCCCACAGCAAGCCCAATCTCCTCCACATTCCAGCATACCCAGTCGTGCCACTGACGATGATAATGGAATCGAGTCACTCCTGGATATCTTATTTGAGCATCAGAATCGGATTCTCGTCGACTGTCGCTGTGGTGTGGAGCACAAGTCTCCCACCGAGTGTCTCGAATATTCAACCTTCTTGATTCTCCTGCGGACGCACGAGAAACTCTCCCGGAGTATCTATAACACCCCACCACGTCTGCCTCGGAACCCGTCCCTGCTTAGTCTGTTTCGGCATTCCTGTAGCAATAACCCGATCATCCATATACTGGGATCGATTTTCAACCGGATACACCCGGTGAATGTGTATACCCTATTTGGGATCTTTCTAGGCATGTATCGGTTTTTGCGGGTGAGTCTTGCTCTTTTCTTCCAGTCATCTGGACACCCTCATTGATAAACCCAGTGGCGTCTCTACCCTCATAGCGAATCCCGTGGTGATATCCCTCCCTGGCTGCGTCCTACCGAAATTCAGAAATCTATCCCGCACCCGGTCTCCATCGACTTTCTCCCCTGGCCAGGTCTCCGTGATTACCTCACCACCCACCAAAACGAAGATGGAAGACACTCAGTCGATCTGTACATCCGCTCTGTACGATTCCGGTGGCCTGAACATAAGGCATTTTACAGAACCACGTCGCGCGGCGACATCGCCCTTAACGAAGAGTTCGTGACCGAATTGAACAAATACGAGAATTGGATGCTCAGTGCTGAATGGGCTCGGATGTTCCCGCATTTGGCGCAGTATGTGAATGTAGAGGAGGGACCCGCGAGCACCAGCCGCGATTCAAGCATGCAGACTGAAGGCTAGACGCGGGAGATAAATGGGGTTTCATTGCATATTTTGGGCGACCGGCTGGATTTTTGGTATTTTATATCCTTCAGAGGGCGTTCTCTTGACTGTTTGAATGCTGGGAGAAATTCTTGTTCAGCATGCAAGGGGGTGTGTCGGTCACCTACAGTGATTACTTTTCCGGGATCGTCTAGCGAATATGCAGGGACGTTCTCATTCTACTTTTGCGTGGTACTGGGGCCTTTTTCCTGCCTCTGGGCTCTGGATCGAGCATGCCACCGTTCTTTCTTTTGTAGCGTATGACAGAACAGGGGAAATTTGTGGTCTATTCGCCATTTATGTCTGGCATTCCCACACTTGATAAACCACGCTTACTGTTTCCTGACATTTTTGTCTTAGCCAACATCATAGCATTAAGTAACACCAGACAAGTAGGGTTTAGGGCTTTGATGGAGGCCAAGGTGATGCTATGCATCGTCACTCACATAACGTATTCCACAAACGAGCGGCCACTCCGCTCCGATTTCTACCCCTAGCCCTAGGTGAGATTTTAGAGCCTTTATTAACAAAACAATTGCATATCTACACAGTATATGAAAACCGATTACTAATTGGATTAGGTCATCTAACTCCAGTATGTTCCCAAATATGACAATTAGAACACTGCGGTGGCGCTCATACACAAGGCCTAACTGCAGAAAGCACTGAATCTGCAGGCATAGTATTCTGAGCTTCAGAGACATTATTCTCACGCTGGAATCACTCTAGGCTCTCCTGGATAGTAAAGCCTTCTGCAGTAGCTAGTTGCCTAGTAGAGTGCTTTTGCTTTTGAAGCTGCTTTTCATTAAAAGTGCGTAATACATGTATTTCTAACCATTGAATATAGCAACCCCAAGAAGCTGCTACTAGCACAATATCACCAATTCCTAAACCTCTTTAATTTCCAGAATGCAGAGAAGCTGCCTCCCGACTAGGGACCAGGGATTGACCACAGGAGGATATGAGGTTCCAGGTCAGCTTAAATAGAGATCACAATTTAAAGGGGACCAATATGTGCTTAGTCATCAAACGAGTAATGACATGATGACTCTGGAGCTTGCATATGTGTGGCATTTGGTAACCATTGTAATAAAACGAGTTTTGTCGTTTATGTATAGTCCGCCGTATTACGTTAGTTAACTAGTTACTCACGATGTTGTAACTCCTGGCGCCTTTCATCCTCCCCTGACAACATGACGTCTTTAATATGCATGCCTATCGCACTGACCTGTGGATTGCTATGCATTTCTATTCCCTTAAAAGTAATTGCTTCTTCTTAGACTGAATCTCCTAACTGCATGTCTATACACAGGTATGCTCGTCGCTGCGAGGATCTCTGTTCTCTTCCCACATCCTTCTCCCTTGGCATTCCTTCGGTATAGCTTTCTGCCCATGTCCCAGTCATTAATTCTAAATATGCAGTCAAATAGCTTCCACATGAATCGGGAAACATGTCGAAATAAGAATGAAGGGACTGATGGAGACACTGATCTCCGAATGCCAACTTGTTGTGGTATTGATATAGAGGACCTATCAATTGTTCAGCTGCAGCAGTATCTGGCTCATGGTGCATTCTCGATACGCGCGCTTACATCGTGCTATCTGGAAAGAATTACGAGGCTCAACCCCCTTCTGAGGTTTGTTTGTGTTCTTCATGGGGGCCGTAATTGTGTTGGGTATCTTTCCTCGCTGACACCCTGATAACAGAGCAGTCATCGAGGTAAACCCAGATGCTCTCGATATTGCAGATGAGTTGGACAAAGAGAGAGCCATGGAGCAGGTACGAAGTCCGCTTCACGGAATTCCGTTTCTTGTCAAGGATGTGGGTGTTCACCTTTCTACACCGACTAATATCCTTATTTTCTGCCTGGAACGAATATCAATTGACTTTTGTCGTGATTGCATTGGAAATGCAGAATATAGCTACCAAGGACAGGATGCACACCACCGCCGGTACTACCAGTATGTCATCTATCACCCGGTAATCGTACCCCTGGAGCTACGTTCTGCTCACGTTCACAGTGCTAGTTGGAGCAAAGGTCCCAGATGACGCACATGTCGTATCCCTTTTACGCAGTGCGGGTGCGGTTCTTCTTGGACATGCGAATCTGTCCGAGTGGGCATCTATGCGTTCGTCATACTAGTGCGTCAAACTCCAGTGCGAAGTTGTCTTACGCATTAAGTTTCTCACTGGTAGCGAAAAAGCTCGGAAGCATATTCTTCTCGAGGAGGACAGTGCCGTAATCCCTACAATCTTGCGTATCACCCCGGAGGTTCCAGTAATGGTAGTGCTGTGGCTGTCGCGACCAATATGTGTGCGTTCAGCTTGGGGACTGAAACGGATGGAAGCGTAAGTTGAGTATACCGCCCTAAGCATAGAGATAGGATTGACTGCGTATTTTGCTGACAATATCTCCAGGTTGTGTTTCCGGCCGATCGCAACGGGGTAGTCGGGATCAAACCCACCGTTGGCTTAGTTTCGTGTCAGGGCGTTATTCCAGAATGCAGCAGCCTCGATACTGTTGGGACATTGGCGAGGACCGTTAAAGATGCAGCTATCGTGCTGGATTGTATTACCAAGTCCTTTGTTTCAGGTATGTGCACTCCCATGGTCATTTTGCACCTGCTGGAGGTGTTCACTGTGAAATAATATCGATATTGTCCAGAACAACAGTACACCTCCTATATCTCTGGACAGGAGGCTCTGGAAGGTGCTAGGTTTGGACTACCGTGGAAAGGGGTGTGGGAGATGGCGAGCAAAAATAAATCTCTAAAGGCTCAATACTCAAGACTAGGGGAGGTGATCCAACGTATCAAGGATGCTGGTGCCGAAGTTATCGAAAACACTGATTTTCCCAGTGCAGAGGAGATCATATCCCCCAAAGGCTGGGACTGGTAAGCATATGCAAACCCAGTTCTTTTTCTCCCCCCTTTTAATAATGCTGACATCGTTTTTTTTTTTTTTTTGGTCTGAAAAGGGAATTTCCCGAAGACCGCCCTCATCAATCCGAGTTCACAGTAGTCAAAACAGAATTCTACAATCACCTCAAGACTTATCTAGCCGGCTTAACCAGCAACCCTAACAATATTCACTCACTGGAAGATGTCATCGCTTATAATATGAAGTATACAGAGAAAGAAGGCGGCCGCCCGGGGACGCATCCTGCCTGGCCCAAAGGCCAGGCTAACTTCGAGAAGAGCCTGGAGTCTAAGGGTGTCATGGATGACACATACTACAAGGCTTTGGCGTACATCCGGCGAAAGTCACGAGAGGAAGGCATCGATGCGGCGTTATCCTGTGGAGGTTTGCAGCTCGATGGGTTGCTAGTGCCTGTTCAAGCAGAGACCGGCGTTGCGTGCCAGGTGGCGGCTAAAGCTGGTGAGTCGTGTATAGGATGTTTGGATATACGAATCCTCGACGTCTCACACTCGGCATAAACAGGGTATCCAATGATCACGGTTCCTGTTGGCGTTGACGACCAGGGTGAGTTTTAAGTGTTTAGCTTACTTATTATTACCACAGAACTGATTAAACAGGCATCGCATTCGGTATCGGGATTATCCAAACTTCACGCAGAGAAGACATGCTCATAAAATACGGTTCTGCCATTGAGAGTCTCATCCAGGGAAGGACTAGGCCACAGTTTCTCAACATTCATGCCGACAATTACATGTATGTTGGCGATGGGCCGAAGTAGTTCAAGAGCTCGAGGTTCTTGACGAGTTGGTGACATTTGTCTACGACTGTGCCTTCTATTTCCAACTTCGTGCGTACGTCGATTGCGATTTTACCAAGTAGGCTGACCATTTGAGATGAGATCTCAGAAATGATATCAACATCTCATTTCAGAAAGGCCAGCCTACTAGCACCGAAGACAATGGGGTACTTTTTCATGCACTCAAGGCTTGATTTATAACGATATTCCCCGAAATATTATATACACAGGCCAAATTGGATAGAAAGAAAGAACACTCTTAACCGCTATAATCGATTGTCACAGCCAGGCGCACAGGGCCACCGGAAATATTACCCCCGATACCACCAGCTGCAGCTTGGGCTTGGGTGTACGCATTGTTGACCTGACCACCTCCAGTGGTGATGGAGGAACAGGCTGTATCGGGTGCTTGACAGATCTTCATTCCCTGGATCTCCTGTCCAGCTGCCTGCGCTTGGATCATGGAGACGTCGTAACCGGACCAGCCTCCATTTGAGGAACTGGAAAAGTCAAATTCTCCCCATGTGCAGGAGTATCCGCCATTCTGATCGGTAGGAAGACTTCCCGGCGCCGCACCAAACCCGCCTCGAGAGTCGTCGTCGACGGCAACGTACTTGGTCTCTCCAGGGCCCAGCTGGAAGGAAAGTGCGGAATTGCCATACCATCCATCAAGCTTCCCGTCGGGACCCATCTTGTTCCAGAATACGACCGTCCAGGGCTCAGTGTTGCTGCCCTGAAATTGCAGTACGTTGTTGTACTGCGAGGCGTCGCTTTCGGAGACCTGGATTATATTGCTTCCCCAGGGGTTCCCAACGTTACCAGAGTACTCGATGCCAGAACCACCGCCCGTAGTGCGTTGGCCGAAACCTTGAGTAGAGCCTTGGCCGTTGGGCGTTTGGGTCCAGGCGCCTCCTGTGGAGCCGTTTCCACGTTTGGATAGTCCTTCTGCGTCAAAGGGCTGAGGGATAGCCGCAGTGCGTCTTTCATGGCCTTGAAGGCGGGCGGCTGTGGTGGAAGATGCAAGGGCTGCAAGCAGCAGAAGAGATGATTTAAGTTGCATTGTGTTTCTTCCTGTTGACTTTTTTCGATAATGGGTTGAGAATAGGTCTGCTTATTTCTCACGCAGCCTTTTTAAGGAGCGACTCGAACTTTTGACGAAATGACAAGATAGTAAAGAGTGAAGATGGATCTGGGCACTCAGAAATGAATGAAATGAGTGTCTGATAGAAGAGAAGGGGAAGAGACGAAAATCCTTATTGAGATGGCCCTTTTAAGTCTTCGAAAGGCAAAATAAAATGATTACCAATTTCATGGTGATGGATACTACCCCTCAATGAATCCATGGACCCGGTTTCAATGAAGCCATATATCGAAAGGCGATGAAGTTGGATGAAGGCCAGAATCACGGGCGTGCGCGGGATTGGAGACCACGCAGACAAGGGAGGAGATGATACGTCCTTCCAATGTCGAACAGCCCGAATGCCACGGTCTAAGGGACATCTAGAGTTCGGTTCGACGGTATAATTGGATTTCGGCCCTGGTTCTGGAACTGTCGAGGGCATTGAAACGGTGCCTGGGACAGTTTTGGTGGAGGCAAACCCGAATGAAACCCTACCACGGGACGTTAACCTTCCATGCTTGTGGATGAGATACATGAATGAAGCGAGAGAGCCAGAGAAATGGCAACTGTGGAACCCAACGTTTCAACTCAACTCTCGCATATACATTGGAGTTTCCAGAATAGTCGAAGATTGGTGCAAGCACATTTCCGGATCTTCTTAGAAACTTCTTTCTTCTCCCCCCCAAGGAACGCATAGACGAAAGTTCACCCTAAGTCCTGAAACCCGCCACCGATAGATCTGTGACAGCTCGACCCGTGGAACCCGTCTTCTACTCGCGATTTCTGGTAGCCAATGCCGTTTTGACTGCCAATGCTTGACAGGAATAGCAGCCAATCAAGCTTTGTATGGTTTAAGTGGCAATGGAGCGACGTGTTGGAGCGTTTTCGGAGAAGAAGAAAAAGTAATTGTCAGAAGAAGAGTCCTAGACCGTTTTGCTCTGTGCTGGTTAGGGCTTGGTTAGGGCTTAGTGTATAGGGTTGTAAATGCAGCCGTGTACATCCAAATATACAAACACTTGCCTTTGGATATGCCACCCCGTATAATATAATATTATAATATAATACTATCCTCCAGAAGAGGCTGGGAATCGGGACGATACCTCCACATGGACGCAAAGTCCTCCCGAGCACCGTTATGTTTAAACTTATATGAGACGGGTGCAAAATGCTAATCTACCAGCTATAAGAATATCACATTTTTCTCTGTGGATGGTCCATGTTTTAATCTAGCCGATTCTCTTCTCTAGCTGCCAACTTGTTTATCTTATTATAATAATGGTCTCAGTTGTACCGAGTGCCACACGCAGACTAAGCCTGCAGAAGAATAAACAACAGAAAAGAACACATACGCAAAAGAAAAGGAGGGAAAATAAGAGGAATGATGTCTCTAATCTGGCCTCATACCATCAACGGCGAAGATCAACCCCTAACCCCTCTCTCATCTAATCCTAGTCACACACGTCCTCCACCGTAGCTTTCAAACGGGCGTTTCCTTCGGCGCCCTATACGGCGCTGTCCACTTTGTCTTTGTTCCCACTCTACGTTCGTCATATGTCGATAAGTCATTGGTGTCACATTGCGCTGCCGCGGCTGGCATCTTGACACGCGCTGTAGGACGAGGCGGCTTGCTAGGCGTGGATCGCATGGCGGTAGCCCTGCCGTTGCAGATGGCCGGGAAGGAGTTGGTGGTTGCTGGAGAATGCTGGGCAGGTTCAGGTTGATCGCTGGAGCGTTGCTGGTGGTGTTACAGGAATTGTGACTGTGAGTCTGGCACGGAGTTGAGGACTGCTTCCCGTTTCCGTGGGTGGTTGGAGGGTGCTGTTGGGCGTACTGGAGCTGGAAGCCTGGTTGGTCTTCTGGGATATCTAGTCTGGAGGTATGGGTTGAGGGGGGAGGTGAAGAAGTGTTGATATTCACAGTATAAAATGGCGTATCGGATGGATGGTTAGGATTCAAGTTTACATTATCATGACAATAAATAAAAGCAGATTCGAGGAACAAGCTGACTATCTTGATGATGTAAACGACATGTGAACCCGCTTAAAATGGAATTTTAATATCATGGAAAGTAATAAAGATGGCTGCCTCTTAATCGAACGCCAAGAAATTATTCCTAGACATGCTGCAATTCAGTCCTCTATCCTTGCTCACAGTACGCTCAACAATCTTCGTCAAAGATGAGCAGGCTGTCACTAAAGTCATCGCTAGTTGTAACCTCATCTTCGTCCAAGGGCGCCACCCAGTCAGTGACCTGAAGCTCGAGTGTATGTGCATGTCGTGGAAACCTGCATCCTTTGCAGTTCTCCTTCTGGCAGATATGCCCAGTATAGCATTTCAGTGACCGGCAATGGCCGCCTCTACGGCACGGGGTTTGCCTGAGGATGTATTTCATAACCTCCAGCGCCGGACTTTCCGCTTCGGTGTGACCATATTGACAGTCAATGTCCCTGCACACACCACCGAGGTGGTATTTGTTGCAGAGTTTATGTTTTTTGAAAGTCCGATGATAGTAGATCCAAGATTTCTCCGGAGGATATGGACAATATGTATCGATACGTTCCCCATCCTTATTGACAGGTATAAGTTTCTTTTCCTGCTGCGTGATCATAGCTGGCAGCAACGTAGCAAAATCAGAAGCTTGCAGCCTCCTCAGCTGAGTACTAGAGGCTTGAGAAAAGGCTGGGGTAGATGGTAGCTTTAGTGGAGACTCATCCCCAGCCTTAGAATTTTTCTTGTTTGGGACTGGGTGTAAATTGCGACATTCATTTCCAAATTTGCAAGAACCCTGTTGACTGATTAGTCGAAAATGGGTAATGATGATAGTAGCATTTCCACGGAACCTTGACAAAATGTTTGCAGATCTTCGTAGAATTGCTGGTAGTTGATGGCGGCCGTGTAGTAGCTTTGCCGTCACCTACTGGAACAGACATAAAAACTGAAGGCATCATTCTAACCGGTAGATCCAGCGATTCGTATTCGACCTGAAAGGAAGCGCCTTTTATAAGAGTTATGCGATCAGCCCTGCCACGGTATGGCATCAGCATTGAAAGATATCCCACATCATGGCAGCCGGCAAAGAAAATATGTTTGCACTGATTATTATCCGCAAACAGTCGAAATATTTCTGTTGGACATGCTTAGCAACTTGCATGGGCGGCTGTGGAATGAAATGGCCTGGTCGAAGTATACCTCTGATCTTGAAGCCTGCACCCTCCTTCCTATCACCCGCGTCCACATAGTCAAACAATTCTTGCGAGCCGGTGAAGCTCGACGTGAATGATGAAAGCGATCGGGCCTCGTATCCTGTGATTCCAGCACGAGCCATCGATTTCGATAGACCTAAGATATTTGCATAGGCGCGGGCCATCACACGGCACTGATCCGCATCATTGCCTAGTTTCGAACGAAGTAGTTCCTTTACAGAATCACCCAAGAGGCGTGCAGCATCAACACCTCCGTCGCTGCCAGCTCTTATTAGATGTTCCTTGAACTATCCACAATCAGTGTTTCATGCTTAGACATCTCCATAGCGAATGAACGGTATGAACTGACCAGGTAGCCGTCTCCATCGACCAGGACAAGAGCAAATGGATTGCGTTCCTGAGTGCGATATTATTAGGATGCTTCTCTTTATACAGACTGTGATTTTACTTACCTGGCCCCTTGCCAGTTTCTTGTACTTCTCCCGGGCTTCCTTTTCCTCCTCATAGTCACTCTTCAGAAGGCGGTAACTTTCAACCAGATCTCGAGACTGATCTAGCAGCTTTTGTAGGCACTCATGATGCTGCTGATCGGCTCGTGCAACGGCGTCGAGCTGGTTGCCCAGAATCTGAAGATCAGCATCTCCGAGCATGCTGGCGAATTTAAAAGAAACTGGACCAAGCTACCAGATCTTCTCCAAATTTGTAGCCCAGATTCCAATGTGACACAGGCATTCAAGTCATGTATGCCGAGCTGACATATATTCAAGTAGCAGTAACAGAGTCATGACCAGCGCCTTTGGCAGATATTCAAGATCAGTGAAATCCAGAAATTCACTGAAGACAAAGGGTTTCCTTTGTTAGGAATGATATACATTGGTATTTCCGTTTTCAGAATGTGATTGATCAACATGGATTATTTTTAATCCGAATCTCTGTGTGATGGCTCAGAAGAACGGAGGGATACAAAATATCACTGAAATAGTTCAATAGACATCATAATAGGATCATGAATGTTAAAGCTGGCATTACCCACTTCCAAATCTCAGTCTAATGGCCTTCTGCATTCAGCCAGTCATGGACAACTTTGAAGCTCTCTCGAGCAGTATAATGGAGATTTAAACAGTGCCCTGTATTCGCGGGAACAAAGACATCATAGGACGCAGCAGAAGGATAAAGCTCGCGAGTATCATACACCAACCCTGACTCAGAAGTCCCACAATCTGCCTTCCCAAAGCCGAGAAGACTAGAGCAGAAAATCGTGTCCTCATCACCTGTCAAGACGAACACTTTGCCTCGATAAGCAGGGGCAGGGTAAGGTGCACTTATGCCAGTAATCATCTCTCCGAGAGTTACCGTGCCTCGTTGTTTAAAGTCGCGATCCGTAATTTCGGGTGAATAGCTGTTGGCTCCTGCGAAACAAAGATGTCGGCGTCCTGGCCTTGAATTTGACGAGAAGTAACTCAGAGACAACTGGCCAAAGCGGTCCGTATCCTGGAAAGAGGCTGGCAGCAAGGCGGTCCGGAGTGCCTTGCCAGATATAGAGAAGAGCGTTTGTTTTGAGAAACCCGTAAGTATTAGTCGATCAATATCGGTCGGGTGCTCTTGGGACAGCAAATTACCCACGAGCGAGCCGTATGAGTGGCCAACGTATATTATCTCCGAGAACGACTGACCCAAGCTGCCGTTATTCCGAATCTGTGTAATCAGATCGTGCAAAGTTTTAACGTGGTTAGGGAGAGTGACAGCGAAAGTCCTATTCGGGTGATCGGATAGCCCGTTTCCCAACCGATCTACTGACAGCGTTGGATAACCTTGATTAGATGCATAATCGATCCAGGAGTAGTTCACCGGCTCGTAACCAGGCAAGCCCAATGCAGACCAATAGTTACGATCGAATGTAATACCGTGGACCAGAACCTGGAGACGATCCCGGTTCGAGGGTACGTAAACTTCCGGTTCACAAAAGCGACCCCTCAGCTTGAATGGACCGCCAGGGATGTCAGGGGTTACCGAGAAGGTCACATTGGAGCACTTGGGCCCTGAATTCTGAATGCTGCCGACAAGAGCAAGAAGCAAGCCGAACAAATGCATGTCTGCAAGGTTGGTTGCTATTTGCGGTGGAAGACAGCAAAAAGGATAGTCATAAAATCAAAGGAAACGGTCAGAGAACGCAGAAAACTGCATTTATATATAGCGGCATGTGTCATTCAAGCAGCTGCTTTCGGAACGATATTCGACTTCTCAGAGAGCTGAAACCCATATTGGATAAGACGACCGTACAGTAGAGAAACGTGCATGAAGGTCCGATACAGTCCAATATATTCCTTTCTCCAGGATAATCGTAGCAATTCCCGCAGCCTCGGCATACAGGGGTAGGAGTAGGCAGTGTCGAAAGTGATCCTTTGGATGGCGATGGCTCGTCAATCGGGCCGTGGACAGCTTCTCGACTGATGAATAGCATTACCTTTAACGAAGACGTTACTCTCTCGCAAGGACTAACATGCTGGACTGATCCTCCAAAGGGAGGCCAGTTCCCTGCTGAATGGCGCTCGGTGGACAAGTCCAAGAGTGCATTGTATGGCGGAGTCGTAAAATCCCACAGACTGGACACTGACGTCAGCGGATCCATTGATTTTCTGGGGAAGATGTCAAGCACGATCAGGTCATTGAAAGAGAATTCAAACAGAAAATTTCGTTTGCCTATGACCTATGGCCATAATTCAACCACTTCCCAAGACCCTTCGTCATTCATTTTATAATTCCACCTTCGTGCCCGTTTTGGGTCTGACAGATCTACCCTATCAACCTCTTCCGGCACAATAACGACCACTCTAAAGTTCTTCCTCGCGACCTCATCATGTAGGTCATCTACAATCTGACCTAGCTCCAAGCCAGGTTCTGGCTTCTCGCTCAACGGTGTCCCGGGTGTTGGGTTTCGGAATGACCCTCTCATTATGGGACTCAAGTTGCCGAAGTGTGCTGTCAACTCCCGACTCCACTCCCAGGAGGTTGTGCTACCAGTGATGCGCATATACGGCTCTATAGCCTCTCTCACCGGGGCTGTAGCATCTGAATCAATATCGGGCCCGAGAAAGTAGGCCTTTCCCCGCAATCGCCATTGTGTCCTTGCCTTTGCAGCCCAGAAAGTGGCTTCTACGGGGCCACCGCCACCCGATCGAGACTCAACGTTCGAGCCGCCTGGGATGATTTCCGAGACCTTTTCCATGCGTGCGTCGGTCGTGATGGTAGGCAGGTCGCTTTCGTAGCAATTGGGGTTGAGCTCTGCCGTGTTCTTGGGGTTGACGGGCAGTGAGGCCCAGAAACCACGGAAAACGACAGTGCGCGATCGAGGTATGACTTCAGACACAGTGGAAGATGTTTCGAGACGGTGGATTGTACTGAGGACGAAAGTTGGAGAGTCCATTTCGTCGGCGTGGGAGAGAAAATCAGAGCGCCAAGGGGCGGCAGAGTTGGATATTTTTGTCGCCATTTTACAATCAAGTTGCCGGAGGATCAGCCTCGTTCGTCTAATATGGTTCATGTAGGCTTCGACTATGTGCAGCGTGCAATGTCCAGCGCTGTGCAGCGTAGTGTTGTAAGTGTAGTGAGAGGAATGCGAGGGGCGGTATTATGATTACTTCTAAGGAAGAAAGGAATCCTTCCGATTCCGCTTTCGACGATTAATAACTAACCACCACGACCTTCGAAAGCATCTACTGCGAGCGGTTTATGAAAGGAAAGACATCCATACGATACAATCCAGTGCTAATATCCTTCAGAAACACGCAAATATGGGATGCCTAATTTTAGCCACAACTCTTGCATTATCTTCACTTTGAATTGTGTGATAAATCAGTGGACAATTCAATGATGCCATTCATGCACCTCATACACCATAGCAACGATCCTCAGTTGATCAATCGAGGATGTGCCTTCGCTGATTGATTGATCATGAGTTGCTTCTCGCAACACGAATAGTGGGAGGAACACTTGAAGAATGCTGGTCACACACGGCAGCACTCTAATTGCGACATTCTGCAGAAGTCCCTCTTGGGCACCGCAGCATCTCGGGCTGAGGGTCTAATCGTCTTCTTATAACTTTCTATCAGTCGCGAATGGTAAGGTTCAATACCCGCGGTGACCTATGACCGAAGGACTTTATGGATTTAGCCAGCAGGTCCAGGTAAAAATGACAAGAGGTGCATTCTCGTCTGCGGACGAGACATCCAAGAAACTACTCACGGAAGATACTAGGTGGCCGTCCTATACAGAGTCGTCGGTCTCTGGTGATGCTGCACGCCATAAAAATAGTACAGAAGTCCGAGAATCTTTTGACTCTTTCGACTTAGATGAAGACAACCCGTTCGCGGATCCAGAAGTTGCAGAACGCTATGCTTTGCTATACGACAAGGCTCAGTATGAGTGCCGCCACGTTTTCGATCCCACTTTCACCTGGACGCCTCAGGAGGAAAAGAGGTTGGTGCGTAAGCTGGACTGGAATGTTTGTCTATGGGCGGTAAGAGGAGAGATCTTGATCAATTTTAGCTAAGTTGTCGCGGAGTCTCATATCTTGTCTGTCTTTCTGGGCTCAGTGCGTCATGTTCTTTGGTCTTCAAGTCGATCGAGGGAATCTCGTCCAGGCAGTATCGGATAACATGTTGGATGATCTGAACTTGACGACAAATGGTAAGAAAACATTACTGGGCTACTGGAGCATGGAACTGATAGAGATCGTCCAGACTACAATACAGGACAGACCGTCTTTCTTGCTTCCTTCCTGTTATCGGAACTACCCTCCCAACTGGTTTCTAAGAAGATAGGACCCGATCGGTGGATTCCGTTGCAAATATCCTTGTGGTCTGTGGTTGCTATGGCGCAGGCTGCTCTTTCGGGGAAGTCATCCTTCTATTTAACACGCTCTTTATTGGGAATACTGGAGGTATGATGGTATCTACGGCCTTGAATAAACGATATCCACTCGTTTTCTGACATTATTCAGGGTGGCTTTATTCCTGATATAATTCTCTGGTTATCCTACTTCTATACCAGTCGTGAACTTCCCACCCGACTAAGGTATGGACTCTATTACTACTTATATAGTAGCACTGGCTAAGTCTAATGTATTCAGCATATTCTGGACCGCCCTCTCTTTAACCACCATCATTACATCCTTGCTGGCATTTGGTATTCTGCATATGCGTGGTGTGCTAGGCTGGGCTGGGTGGAGGTATGTTCTTAGTCCATATAGAATCGCCAGCCAATGTAATGTTGACGCTGCTTTCTTACAGATGGCTGTTTCTCATTGAAGGAATCATCACCTTCGTTGTTGGGCTGTGTTCTTTCTTTAAAATGCCAGCATCAGCAGTGGAGACGAAAACATGGTTTCGTCCCAGGGGCTGGTTCACCGAGCGAGAAGTCCGAATTGTCGTGAATCGTGTCCTTCGAGACGATCCTTCCAAAGGTAAGTAGATTATATATTTGTGCCTATCTTTGTGTATCCACTGACTTTTATTCCTAGGCGATATGCATAACCGGCAAGCGATCACTCTTCGTGGTTTGTGGAATGCTATGAGCGATTTTGATCTGTGGCCAATCTATATCCTTGGTCTTTTGGTATATGTACCTATGGTTCCTGTGAAAAGTTATATTACACTGATTCTTAAAGGCGTTGGATTTGATACTGTGAGTTCTAGGATCGTTCATAATCTCTTTTTGTTCGAGCAATATCTAACACCGTTCTAGTTTATGACCAACTTGCTCATGATCCCCTCGAACGTGACACACGTTATATTCTTATTGCTCTTGACCAGACTGAGTGAATACCGCAACGAGCGAACTCTCATCTCTATGACCCAGAATATCTGGGTCCTGCCATGCCTGGTTGCTCTGCGCTTTTGGTCTGGAACCATGACAAACGCATGGGGAACCTATGCGATAGTGATGGCCTTGTCGAGTTATCCCTACTGCCATGCTATTCTGGTTGCATGGATTTCGAAAAACTCCAACAATGTAGCAACGCGTACCGTGTCTGCTGCCTTTTACAATAGTCAGTTACACCCGTATCACTGGGATATCTGCATCTGCATTCTGTACTGATAATAATTCCTAGTGTGTGTCCAGTTTGGCAATATCCTTGGGAATAACATCTACCGTGCTGACGACGAGCCAAAATACCGACGTGGAAATACTGTTCTTCTGACAATCAACATCCTTGGCATTCTTTTCTTCCTGCTTACAAAGGCTTACTATGTATACCGGAACAAAGAACGCGACCGGATATGGGCTGCCATGACCGAGGAAGTAAGTCGTTTTGATTGCAGCCCGTAATAATAGGCTTCTGTACGCACCAACTAACGGGTGATTAGCAACGACGGGATTACTTAGAGAATAGTGAAGACACTGGGAGCAGGAGATTGGATTTTCGATTTGCACATTAATGAATAGAATGGGCTGTTTCTGCATTGCTTGTATGATTCGAAGGGGTAGTCTTCGAGCACGAGTAGCAACGAACGATATGAAATGCCAAAATGATCGGTATAGGGCTCGAACCTAAAATGTCCTGTGATACTTGCTGTGTAAGACAGGCACCTTACCATTAGGCCAGCCGATCGTTTGTGAGCTCGCCGATGCTGGATATTGATTCTTCAGCAGAGAGTGACGTAACTATAAATAGACAGTAACACACCATGCCTCGGCCTCGATTTCCCGGAACGGAAATACCGATGAAAACCTTCTCTGTCGGCGTTCTGCATCAAAACTCTCGTCATCGGCATCGTCTCCTCATTATTCTTATTTAAATCCCCTTTCGCTCTCTCTACCAGGACATACTGACAATCGGGCAACCTCGGAAACTTGCCTCTAAAAAGGATATATATGTATATATATTAGGCCCCATGACAGGACAGACCGATCCAGAGCCCTCTTCTTCCGGTACAGCGGGCATCCTGGCCAAAATCCCAGACGAACTTGGCCTCTCGACTGTTTGGAAGTCTTCACTGGATGTGAAATTCCTCTGTGCCCAGCGTTTTATCCGTCTCTTTGCCTATGGTGGCTCGACTCTTATCCTGGCTTCTTACCTGTCCGCCTTAAATATCTCCGACAAACATATTGGCCTTTTCATGACTCTGACTCTGGCAGGAGATGTCGTGATTAGTTTTTTTCTGACCTTGTTTGCGGATGCCATGGGTCGAAAGGCCGTTCTTGCTTTGGGCTCCCTCATGATGGCTGCCAGTGGTGTGGTCTTTGCTCTGTTCGATAACTTTTGGATCCTCCTGACGGCCGCTGTCTTCGGTGTCATCAGTCCCAGGTACGTTGTTTTTGTTGCCTTTCTTTTATGCTTGCTGCTCTGATCACATTGCACAGTGGTAATGAAATTGGGCCTTTCCGCGCCGTCGAGGAGTCGACTCTTGCGCATCTCACGCCGCACGAGGTTCTTAGCGATATCTTCGCTTGGTATTCGCTCTTTGGAACCGCGGGAATAGCCCTTGGGATGATGACCTGCGGATGGGCCATTAGCATTCTGCAATCGTCCAAGGCTTGGGACTATGTTCATGTGTGCCGGATAGTCTTCTTTGTCTACGCCGTAATTGGCGGTATCAAGTTTCTTCTCACTGTTGGATTAAGCAAGGAAGTTGAACTAGTCAAGGAGAAAGATGCGCCTCTCACGCAGCAACAACGTCAGCAGAGTGCCTCCGAACCCACCGAGTCTCAGCCATTGCTGGCGGAGGCGGCCGGCGACGAACAAGAGGAACAGACTCGAAAACCACCAAAGAAGTCCCTGTTCTCGCTTATTGAGAAGGATCTTGTTTCATTGATTGTTAGGCTCTTTGTTCTGTTCTCTTTGGACTCGTTTGCTTCTGGATTGGCACCGCTGTAAGTGTACCGCTGGTGCTTGGAGGCTACGAGTAATTTTGCCGACCCTTTACTTAACAGTTCCTGGATGACCTACTTCTTCAAACGCAAGTTTGACCTCGCCGAGGGGACGCTCGGTTCTATCTTCTTCACGACGAGCATTATATCTGCCGCATCCATGTTAGTGGCGTCGTCTATTGCCAAACGAATCGGCAACGTCAAGGTGAGCCCCTTCCCCCCCAGCATAGAGCTTCTTCTAAAAAATATATCCCGATAAACCATTAGACGATGGTCTTCACCCACCTTCCATCCGCTATCTGTTTATCTCTCATCCCTATCCCTCCATCTCTCCCTCTCGCGTCCACTTTCCTTGTTCTCCGCGCTTGTACCCAGAACATGGACGTTGCGCCGCGTTCCGCCTTTCTGGCCGCCGCCCTTCCGGCGGACAAGCGTACGGCCATCATGGGCTCAATAAACGTTGTCAAGACCTGCAGCCAGACTTTAGGACCGTTGATTACTGGCGTTCTGGCGGATTATGGTCTGTTCGGTGTTTCGTTTACCGTTGCTGGAATACTGAAGGCGACGTACGATGTTGGAATGCTTATTAGCTTTGCCGGAAAGGAGCCGTCGAGAAGGAGATGTGTCTCCCAGGATGAGGAAGTAGAAGGGCGTGATTAGAACGCGATTTGCTTTTTAGAGACGTGAAATTGGGATTTCTTAGTATAGTACGTTGCGAAAGAGTGGGGTCTATACAGGACCGAACATATCCTGATTACTATGTGTTTATTTGGAAACATGGGATTGCTTCTGGGGAATCGGAGACACGAATCCTGAAATTGTTACTTTAAACTCTTGGATTTTTAAAGTCTAGATAAGATGCACTAAATCCATCATGAGTCAAAGTCACCAAGTTCTTATATGCTGTAATCAAAAACCACAACTTCACGATGAACATCAATTATCTTTACGTAGGGCTGGCATCCACAATCAGAAGACCCTGCGTGTAGCACAATATATTATATGCTTGCCTAGGTAGCAATCCCCGTCGTGAACGAACAATTCACTTGCGCGTTTACCACGTTCATTGGTCAATGGGCATTAAATGTCACAGCATGAGCTTGAAATCCGGATCTCTATCATCATTGTACCCAATGTATTTGTCGTACTTTCCCCTCTTCTTATACCGGTTGACCTTTGCGCAGTACAGAATGTTGAATAGAACCCTAGTATTCACGATACAACGATTAGCCTACCGCTCGCGTAAGAAAGAGGAAGATAAGATTAAAACTCACAGGAACCATGCAGCAACAAGGAGGCTAAGGATGGTAGTATGGCCTTTGTGATACTGCGGTGCATCTTTGCTTGGGTAGTTGAATGCTGGAAGAAAGTAGAATCAAAATTGTCAGCTCAGCGTTATCTCCTTTTTTCTGTAAAGGCAAAGGAAGGCGGTACAAGTGGAGGGTAATCTTACTAGATACAAATCCACCGCAATTCGCAATAGCCAATTGCATCGCCGACGTTGTAGCCCGCTTATAATGTCCGGCGGAGTTGTTTGAATTCCATCCTAAGATGCATGGGACGCTACTGTACATGCCGCTGGCCATGAGAAAGGTCATCCCATACTTGACTTTAGCTGAGTGAACGTTGGCAATAGCGGCATAGCCTGCAATTGAAATAGGCAGTGTAGCGAGAATGATGACACCTCGAAGCTGGGCCCAGTCCGAAATCAAAGCGACGGCAACTAGTAGATGACACTTAACATCTCATAGGGAAGTCAACCGATTTTTTGAAGACAATCACACCTGTGACAACGGTGGCGACTGCATAAGGGATCACTGTCCAAAGTTGTACTTCATTGGCATTATTTGCGAAGCCACTGTCTTTTATAATTGATGGCAGCTAAGCATGTAGAAAGGATATTTCTAAGTCAGTTTTCTGCATCTAGTGGCATGGGAATGCTGACTTCCACATACGAAGAGACCAAAAGAGTACAACCCAGACAAAATAGAGAAATAAGCTAAAGCGGAAAACCACATTTTAATGTCCAGCATGCCTCTTCGAACCTCGGACCAGTTGAAGGTCTCTCGATTTTCTCTCGAGGAGCTTCTAGTTCCTTGTCAATCAAAGTATTATAGAACCCGGAATGTTCTTCCGGTTTTAATCCCATCAAAGATATTATGAACTAATAGAACCACCTACTCACCCATGATTATCAATTGAAGAAGATGGACTATCAAGACTGAGCCGTTCAAGAGCAAACTCCCGTTCTTCAGGGAGGAGAAAGGACGCCATCTTCAGATTTTTCGGTAAAAGAAAGAAGCTCAAGAATCCACAGACGATAGTCTGCATTATTAATGGTTGTTATCAGAGAGACGGATTATGCATTAACGAAGGGGGTCCATATACTTGCCAGAAGACCTTCGATGATGAAAATCCAACGCCAACCCTCTAGTCCTCCTCTAGGACCTATTTCGGCCAACCCACGAGCCAGAAGACCTTCCCAGGTGGTTTCATCAGCATGGCTTATACAAGAAAATGATCTGGAGCACCACCAAAAAACATGACACTCATTCGTACCTCCAAAGGCACCAGATAATGAAGCAGCCGTGTAGAACAGACCAAGACGAAATGCCATTTCGCCGCGCCTGTAGAAGAAAGATAAGTAAAGGACCTTCAAAGTAGTACACCAAAGTTAGACGATATAAAAAGTGAACACAGATTTTCCAGAGGCTAATTGACTAACCATTCCTGGGAGTAAGCCACCCTCAGCCAATCCAAGAAGAGCCCGGACGGCTGCAAAACTAGCAAAATTTCTCACGAAACCAAGACACATGGTGATGATGCCCCAGACGACGGTCAGGAAGGGCAACCAGATCTTTGGTGATGCTTTCTTAAGGACAAGATTGCTTGGCAGCTCGCTATTGAACTTGTTAGATATGGAATAGGGTTCCCTGGAACCTAGATAGTAGGAAGAAGACCCATTTATTCACCTGAAAATATAGGTAGCATAGTATACCGCTAGACCAATGTCGTATTGGTGGTCAGTTATATGGATATCCTTCTCGAGGCCAATGATTTTTGCGTTGCCGACATTGGTTCGATCTAAGAACGAACACAAGAAAAGCATTGAGAGAACGGGGAGGATTCTATTGCGCACCAGGAAGCTGGCTGTTAGCCCAGCTGGATTGTCATGCATCGCCATGAAGAATTGACTCATACCTCAGGTCAAGCTTTAGTAGAACTCTTTGAGTCAGCTTCCGCCGATCGATACTATTGGTTGTTACCGTGTTCAGTGTGGCATGTTCGATCATCTCGTCTCCTTTGGTAAGAGCCATCCTTGCGATATAGATATTCAGATGGGAGATAATGCTGGTACAAATTATCTCAAAGGAGAGAAAATGATAAACAAAAACAGCCCCTAGGCGTAGAACTGCATTCTTCGTATAAACCCAGGCTTTGGAGGCCTCTCCTGGGCGCGAGTCATCCTTTTTAACCAGGAAGGAGTTGCGCTTCGGCACCTATTTCTAAGCCCGAAGGAAGTGATTGACCACATGGAGAGCCATGGCATAGCTTATCCTAGAGTATATTATAGTTTCAACTCCCTGGAAATCCGAGTGCTAAGTAGTAAGCGCAGGTCGTGAACCATTGATAGCGTCTCCAGGATTTCCCCGCAATGCCAAGCAACAGCTCCACTTTCCTGGACATATTAAAATTTAGCCGGAGTCATTTATACGCTCCGTTCTTGTCGTGCAAGAACATTGACTTTGTATCCAACTAGAAACCGAACTCTGTAACATTGGGCAAATCAAGCCAGTCCCAGTTCATGATATTATCCAGCTGGATGTCTGGAATGGGCCGCCCAAATGCTGTTCCAGCTCTATTCACTCTGTTCACAGCATCGACAATTTGGTGGTCGGACATTGCAGAGAAGTGCAATGGCTCTGTCCAGAATGAATCAGGGGAATATTGCGACTCAGATACTGTGATAGAACGATTGTATCTATCCATGGCCAAAGGGTCATGCAAAGACCCAGATTGCGCTATTCTTTGTGGACCAGGCTCAGTCTGGGTTTGAGGAAAGCTGCGTCGGATAAGCATTCGTAGGAATCTCCCATAGAGAACAGATGCACCATTTCGGTGACTTGGTGTGGCTCCAATTCTCTCAAGAACACCTGCCGTTTCTTCAATTAAGTTTTGAATACTTGGTGCCAAGTTGGACCTGCTATCGGCTGGGGTTGCAGCGAGGCTGAGGGCAGAGCATGCAGCAAACGAGATCATAATTACTGTATTGTTGGGCATAGATTTTAGCTGTGATTCCCCTTGTATGGCAGCCCTCATGACATTAAGGGCAGAAGAGAGACCGGCAGCATGAAAGAAGCGCTTGACTTCCAGTGGCGCTGTGGGATGGTTGATGACGCCACTATAGGTTGACAGCTTGGTGTGTATGACCAAGATTTCAACATATGGAGGGAGCATATGAGCTGGCACGTAAATTAGTTGCTGAATTGTCAATTCATGCAATATTGTTCTTTGTAAATGAGAAGGGGCAAAAAGGAAAAGAAACAGACTTACATGAGCCTTCTCCAATCGCCAACGGCCATGTTGCATACCATTGATCATAAAATCTTTCAATGGTGGACTTAATCCTGCATACAATAAGCATATGTATATGGACTAAAACGTGGCTCGAAGAATTTGCCATACAACTGAGCTGCCTCTGAACCAGGAGTTGTAACCTGATAACTGTCACATCTTGATTTGATATTTTCCAACAGGCCATCCTAGGAAAGTACCCATAGTTAGGGTTCATGTGCATACCACAGACATTATAAAAGCAAACAGCACGTTTTTGTGTGTGCTTACCAAGTCCCTTCGCAGAACAGCCATTGAAGTCATAGGGCCATCGCGGGGATCTGCGATATCTGAGATGTGCCACCTGTCGCAATTATCAATAAGGGCAGTCCGTGGAACCGTATAGCTTCTCCCACGGGCTAAGCAGACACTGTGACGGGGAAAATTAGTAAGAGATAGGATTATTAGGCTTGTTCAATAATAATAACTCGACAGTCATAGGTTTATCTGGTTTCCCACATAAATACAGGACAACGGCACTTACCCTCGTTCAACGACGAAAAGAGCAATCCAGGCCCTTTCACGCCTTCGTATTAATCGCCGGCCCCATTCGGAGTCTGAATCAACGTCAACAAATCCATCCATATGAAGGACTCTCTTTGCGTCGATACAGTCAGCCCTGGCAAGCCGTTTCAGAATGCCACCGTCCAAGAACGATGAAGGAGTTACAATCTTGTTCAAAGACAAGTCCAGTGCAATGGTCAAGGCCATTGCTATATAGGAGCAAGTGTCGTCATCACCCAAGTAATTCCCTGGAGGCATCCATGGAACATTGACCATAAAGGCTAAGACAATTTCAATAGACCTGCGGCGTTGCGAGATTACATATTGGGCTAGGAACCTGCAATGTTTGGACAGTCTTTTGGACAACGCAGCAGCAGAAGTCACAAACAAGGCCGAGGCCGCTAAGATTGACGTGAAGAGAAAGGCGGACTGGCTTCGTACAAAGGCTATCGTATGAACTAAAGGATCCAGACCCCATCGAGTGTGTGCGAGGTTCTGGTAGAAGCTGAGATTTGGGTAGTGAGTCGACTGTAAGCGATTGTTAGGTCTGAATGACGGAACTTACAAGGAGAAGAGGGCCTCTGTCTCATCTAATGTGACCAATCCAACCTCCATCGGATCAAGATCAGGTCCAGTATCCAGGTGCGCTTTGACAGGAGCGAAAAAGGATTTCGCTCCGGAGTAGTCACGCTGGAGATGACCGATTGTGGTCCTCGATGGTGATACTGAGGGTAGGGGCAAATTCGCTGCATTGCCACATGTTCCAGGTGGTGACAGTTGGAGATCAGAAGCACGAGCAAGTAGCTGCAGGGGATTCTCCGCGTCGTCTAATGCTAGATTATCTTCCATACTATTTTCCGGCGACGACAAGGGGCCATGGTGGCGTTCAGGGCCATCTGATAGGTAACTGGCCTCGTTTTGTAGAGAATGCCCCTGAGCCATGTCCAGGAGAGATTGCAGACTTGAGATAACTTTGTCTGTGGCATCAGACCCCGAGGCATCAGCCCTTGGTCGCTTGATTGCCTGTTCTATCTGGTGGAGCGCCTTCTCCAGGCCCTTGCGTTTGCTGGGGTCGAAAGCGTCAACCACTGAAACATAGCGAAAAGGAGAATTCATAATGTTAATACTTACTTTTTAACTCCTTTTTGCCTGCCGACATGATGTTGTGGTATAATACATTCCACGTTGGCTTGTCTGCATTTCTCGCAGCATGTTTCATCTTGCTTCCGGTTGCATCGAATTTTACTTCTTCGACAGTTGAGGCATGCAGCTTGCTTTACATGCGATGATTTGTTCGAATCTGGAATTGCAAAGCTAGCAGTAATATCCATCACCCCCTTTTTTTTTTTTTTTTTTTTTTTTTTTTTTTTTGAAAGCTGTTTCCCAAGGATCAGGTTGGCTTAACGTGCTCGCGAGACCGCCATACGATCAAAATGCCATCGTAGGCGTCCTTTGGTCCATTGACAATGCATAAGCAGGGATAGTATTGTAGCTCCGAACCACACGCTTTGTTCTCTTTGTATTTAGGGGTTACGTATTCGACGAATGTGTCCGAAAAAAAAAGGCAGAAGAAAGTCAGTCTATGCTCCTGATGATGGAATTAATCACCGTGCGCAAGTGCGGAGATACCAATCTACCGGCTAATCTAGATGTACTAATAATACCCAATATCCCAGAGCTCTTTTTACGATGGTTTAAACACGCAGTACACTTAAAACATGGCTAGTATGCCCCTATTTTTCTTAGACTACCAATTAGTCCAGGGATATGCTTATAAAAGGGTATCAGAAAATGGGTGGTGACCAAGAGAGGCACTTTTATCAGGTGCAGAGGAATCAAAGTTTACCTAGAAAGCAAGATCACTTCACTGTAGTCTCACCGATGTCTATGGACCTAAGAATATTGATTCTTCAACAGAGGTTACCAGCGAGTGCAGCACACATCTAGGAGTAACGAAACTAGATAACAGAAAGTGCCCAATGCAAACCAATGTAAACATGCACCTGATCACAGCAACTCCTAAGAGGACCATTATAAAAGTGCATAAACAAGGAAATCCGATAAAATTGAGGAGAGGGAAGGAAGGTCAAGAGGCATGTCTCTCCATGGATCTGGTGTAAAAGCAGCAGTAGCAAATCCGCGTTGTTTGTTGACAGCGAAAGGAGGGAAAGAGAAGAGGCCCGCGGAGTTACAAGGGATTTTTTTACCCTTTCGCATTATTAACAATCGCCCGAGGCCGGACGCAAGTAGAGTGTGAGTGAATAGCTGAATTACCTCAGTTAGCCGCCCTGAGAGCTCTCAATCTCGCACCCAGGCCGTCCTCGACCTCAGCATCAGCCTGTTTATGTTCCTTGACTTCTTCTTTGGGAGCGGTATCAGCTTCAAGGGCCATGCGCAGATCGACGCCCGCATCGTCAGCAAGTTGTTCCATTAACCGATCAACATCGGCCTCGCCCTCAGCACCATACTCCTGCATCGAGACGCCCTGGGCGACATCCTCAATAGCACTACTGGCAATCTTGAAGTCTTCCGAGCGCGCAAGGAAATTATTCGCGTGTGCTACAAGGCTCTCGAGGTTGACACTCTTGGACGCAACGTCCAGGCCCCGTGAGGCCAATGCAAGCGTACGGGAAGTATCGCGGGTGCTTTGAGCAGCCTTGAGTTCGTTGATTATGACATCTGCACGTGCAGCTTCTGCTTTGAGTGTTACCTGCCGTCGCTTTTCGCGTACTGCAGATGCCGCATGAATACGAGCGATTTGGAATTCACGGTTCTTCATGGCTTTGTCGGCCTTTGCCTTTTCAGCTTTGAAGGTCGCCTCGGCGCGATTCGCTTCTTTTTTGAGGCGATTTGAATGTAGCTGGTCGATGGAAAAATAAGGGATTAGTAGGTCGTAGACTTCACAAACGGGAGGATGATGTCGGCGGGGCCAGAGACAGAGACAGTTGAAGATAACCCACCTTCACATTGGTACGAGCCTCGAATATGGGATCCATTCGAACCATCTTGTCAGAGTGGTGACCCCAACTATGCGACGATAAGAATTTCTGTAAGAAACGAAAGAAATGGAAGAGAAAGGAGGGGAAAGAGAAGGATGGTGTTCACCAGAGAACATGATCTGGAGGTGGCTACGGTTGGCTCCTGTTGGCGCCGAAGTCCCGTAAGCGGCTTAAAGTGGCAACGCCGTCCTGATAGCTTTTCAACTGCGTCCACTACTATTTCCTACTACAAATATGAATCCTGAACGTAAGATATGAGCACTTGCTAATAGCTAATAAGGGAATTGATTCCCTATGCGAACTTCGGAAGTTTGGTGATGCCTAGGATTTTTCACCTGCGAAACGAAATATTCGGCAAGCTGAACTACGATAGCCACGAATTGCAGTACGGAGAAAAATGAACCAGTGTCATCAGATGATTAACTAACAAGTGCCTCGAGCGCTAAAACATAATCCCCAACGCTCTCCCATCAACATAGACGTCAGAAGTCTCGCTCCCTGAACTCCGTGAACTCCTTGTAACCCCGTTATACCTTCCATGCCATACTGGGAGAAGTGCTTATTGACAGCTAGCTGCAAGGCCTTGCCCGTCGCATCGCGAAGTGGACGCGCCAGGGCTGGGCTGCACGCCAGAAGTCTCGTGAGAAGCCTCGTCCGGAGGACACTGGGTCGGTTCTTCGGGGTTGAAATCAACGAGAGAATCAAAGGAAAAGGCTGGTAGATCTCCGTCGAGGATGTCAAAGATGAATACATCTTCAGGGAATGAAGATTCTGGAGTAGTGGATGAATCACTGTTGAATAGGCGGTGGAAGTCATCATCAGAAAGAGGAGCTGCAACGTCATCTGCAACATAAGATTGAAGGCCTGAAAGGCCGCTCTCTTCTCCTTCGAGTCCAGCGACTGACACTGCAGGTCACACAACACCGCTGCAGGATGTTGTGTCATGTCGGAGGACTCAGCCAGAGAAGAGGGGTGGATAATAGGCGAGTCGGATGGTGTAGGAAAGGGAACCCGTTCCAAAGGAATATCATCATCTTGTTTGAACAGGGTTGCTGTGAGCGTCGGTGAATCAGAGACCTGAGAACTTGAAGACCCATGGATCTCTGCAGACAACCGAGCGACTTGCTGGCTAAGGCGATTGTTCTCAGCCTCCATCTGGGCCAAGCGTTGCAGGAGAAACTGGTTTTGTTGTTCAATCACAACTTTCTCATTCTCTAACTTCTCCATCTCAAGCCTCTTCCGCTCACGCGAGGTCTGAGCTGCTGCACGATTTCGGAGAACACGCTCAATGCGACGCTGTTCCTTCTCATCCTCAGTCTTGGCTCGTTTCCTAGGAAATGTTAGACATGCGTTGTACTTCCTCTCTTTCTAACATACCTTGGTGGTAAGTTTGTCTTTGGCGTTGGTAGCTCCTGGCCCCATGACTTTCTCTTCTTGGCTGGTTTCTTCTCCTCCTTTTTCTCAGCTGGCTTCTCATCAGGTCCCAGAGAGGTGGCCGAGGGTGAGATAGTCAGCGGTAGCACCTCCGAGGTTGGGGTGCCAGGCAAGGAGCCCATAGAAAATGGGTCTTCCATTCGTAACTGAGTCGTTTCGTAACTGGGTCGTTAAATATGATAGATTTCGGTTATTTTTTCCTCGATGCCGTTAGGAGAACCGGTGGCGACTGCGGCTATTGGGTTTCAGAGATAAAGAGAGTTGCGGCAAGCCATGCGGTCATCACGACAAGTACAGACCGGAGCCTGGCAGTGGGAGGTATCTTGAGAGGGAAAAGGAGAAGTAACCAGGTGTGAGAAGTGGTATGTGAGCTGATACAACCTGGGAGGAGTGGGTGAGTCTTTAAAAGGCTGGGGGGTCAGATCGTGCCATCCGCTTCGTCAGCAAGGCGGAGCGGACTCCTTTCCCCTGCATGTCTATTAATATTATTGTTACATGTCTCGACTTCGCCAACTGCTCCACCTCGCCCCTGAAACGCCTTATTGCCTGGGGATTCTTATTTTATTGTTTGTTGTTTTACTGTGTATTATTGTTATCATTATTATTACAACTCCGGAGTCCGTACTAGTTAACTAGTTATTATCATTATTATAATAACACAGCCGGTTACATGTCCCCGCCGCATTTTCTTGGAACAAAGAGCGCTCAGTTCCGATGTCCATTCCTTTTCCAGAACCGTTACGATACTGGACGATGGCTATAATTTTAACTGGTGTAGCTTTTAAACAGTCTGCTATTAATTGATGACCAGTATGCAAAATTCGACTGAAAATGCTGAGTTTCCAGAAACATCTCGCACCAACTTTTGACTGACTTGACATCGTTGACCGTTACCAGAATAAGCCTCTATAGTAGTGCTGTGGCAAAACATGCCAAGCATTGAAACGACAAAGTAAGCCACATGTAACAACAGAACGCCACTTCCCAAGCAAGAGTTCATGAAACATATCGTAGTAGTGAGAACATATGCAACGAACCCGTTTACATTGTAACGTCCATCGTGTCATCTCCAGCATCGAGAGCACTCTGTTTCTCGGGGTCAGGGACAACGATGCCTCGGCCTCTACCAGCCAAAAGCTCTCGCCTCACCTCAGGTCCGATGTCCTTATGCCCGCGCACAAGGAGGAGATCAAGGAGCGCCTCACGCTGATCCTCGGTGATATCGTTGCGGTAGCGCTGTGCAAATACTAGGAGCGACTGGTGCCAAAGAACAGGAAGCTTGTATGCCTTAGAAGCGGTTGCGGATGGTCCATCAGTCATCATGGTATCTTCAGGACCACTGGAAGCACGGAAACGCAGGAAATGGAAGACAAGTGCATCTATAACCTTGTAGGGAAGCGCATATTTCTTTTGTAGGAAAACTCGGATAAATGTGTTCACGGCCCCTGTGCTTTCAAGCGATTTTAATGATTGCTCAGCGGCAATATCACACATCCGGAGAAGAGCAGCCGCAGAATGCAAAACGGGAATAGATACACGTGCGATGACAGAGGACACGATGTGGGCTTCCCGCAATGTGCAGGTGCCGCTCGAAACGAGCGGAAATAGGAACCCTTTGAAGAAACAAGCTGGTTTATACAATGCTTTCTTCAACGAGTTGTAAGTGTGAACATTGAGCTTCTTGGTCTCGTGAATCTCGTCCCGGACTCGATCAAGTAGCACGCTCGAGATAAACTCCTGCGCAACAGCAGGTTTGGATGAAATGAAAATTCTAGTCCCGGCATAAACAGCATTGGGAGTCCACGACTCTGGTTGGGTAATCGAAAGGAGAGTCGGCCAATTTGGAATAGTCGGAAGAATCTTAAAGGGCTTTGGAAGGGGCCCTGATTTGTAGCGGGAGAGAATCATGCCAACCCTATTTGCCATTAACATTTGCAGGTAAGCACAGACATCGGCGAGCTTACTTCTCATATACTTCAATTGCTTTCGCAGGTATCTGGACAGCATCTTCTGGTAGGCCCCCTCCTTGGATTAGTGGCTGGCCCCCACCAGCCTGTTTAGCCTCATGTTCGGCAATCTTTTCTAGAATGAGATCTGCTAGATTAGTACCTTGACCACCAGCGCCAGGACCTCGTGGATTGAATATAGGATCTTCATCGCCGCCGGGGATGAATTTATGGAAAGTATCAAGGTCATTTGGGTCAATTTCCTGCAATCGGGTAGAAGTCAAACAAGTCAACAATTACTCTGAGAACAGCAGCAAAACGCATTTGAGATATTCCTAAACACAGAGATACCCACCACTTCCTCAACCTCATCCTCAACCCATTGATCCTCTCCGTAGATGTCTTCGTCTTCCGATGGATGTTCATCTTCAAAACGGGAGTCAAAATCAAAAGCATGATTCGGTTCCTCCTCTCCCCTTAGAGCACTTTGCTCCGCAGCGTCCTCCTCAGCTAGCTCTTGGCCTATTTGAAGAATCTTGCGGGACAATTTTGCGTCAACGAACCGCTCCCCATTCTCTTCAGCTTCGCTCGATCGTGATTTGCGACTGTTTTTTCTGCTGGACTGCGCTCTTAAATGGCCTGCCGATAAGATGTCATCGGCTAATGGATTATGCCTGCGGGCAGCAGCGGTGGAGCGAGAGGACGCCTTAGGCATAGTGAATATTGTTTTCCTTCTCTGAGAGGATATAAAAAAATTGTCAAAATGGTGCAAAAATAATGTATTATAACATTATCATGCAAAAGTCTACTTCAGCTCAAAAAAAAAACCCTTCCGCAATAATCGCAGCTGTGTGTAAATTTCTTTATCACGTGCTCCATTATCGGCTTTCTGCCGGAATAGGCGGTGAAAGCACTGGTATGCACCGCCACTTGGACGTGGCACGTGCATTAAGATGCGACTTGCATACCGCCTTCAAGTATTCTGCCGGCACTATCTTCAAATAATTGAAGCCCCGATCACCATCCTCAACCATCATCCACCAAATTTTCTCAATTTACTTTGCTCTAAGATATCTTCCTTTTCACCCGTATGATATATGACTGTACTTGAGTCTCCTTATCAGAAAGCAGAAAGATTGGCTGTTCAGCCCGTTGGTAAGTCAACAACGCAAGTTCATCCGCGAAGGAATACCTGAATCTGTATTTATGTATGCTTTTACTATGGACTCTAATGTAGTACTTAGTGGCGCAGTTAGCTTTACAGTCTTGACGCGCTGCTTTATGTGCCATCCAGTTTTCAGCAATCGTTATGGCATCCTCCCAACCTGCCGGATCTTCTGTCCCTTCGTCAAATATCAATTCCCCAACTTTAGCCCCTGGGAGCGGCCCATTACCGAATGGCGCACTGCCCGATCTGAATCCGAGGTCTTCTCCTGCTCCTCCCAGTACCGCATCTGTGCAAGCAGATGGCGCGAGATCAAAGCGAAATAAACGTGATAGCCGCAAAAAACGAGAGGCGAAAGGTCTAGATCTGGAAAACGCGCCCCCTAAGAAACGCGCCGTCCTTGTTCACAACTCCGCCATTCCGAGTTCTGAACTCTCACTCCTTAGGCCTCTGTTGCTTGCAGAACCAAGGCCATCCGATCTTTTGCCTCCACAGCCACGCCAACTGAGCTTCATGACCCGGAAAACATCGGATGTCATAGGCCAGAGCTGGGATTTCTATGAAGTGGTCGACAAGCTCACAAATAAAAATGGATTTCGTTACAGCTATGCAATTGCTGATCCACTTTTTCGGCATATCAAGTATCGTCAAACAGACCTCCATCCTTATCATGCCCGCTTCAGTTTTGAAGACTCTCCTGCGGCAATAGCTTTTACCAAGGATGCACTTGCGGTTACAACCAGCGATCCATGGCAGACAGCACGCGCCAACGTATGTGTACGCGAGGGAACATACTACTATGAGGCCCGTGTAATAAGTGGAATTGTCAGTGATACTCAGGCAGCACCTAGGAGTGGCGCCTCTGGATCGTCCCCACGAGGCCATGTCCGCCTTGGGTTTGCGCGACGGGAGGCAGACCTCGATGTCAATGTAGGGGTGGACTGTTATGGCTACGGAATTCGAGATGTGAACGGCGAGGTGGTCAATCGAATGCGCTGCGAGTACTTCTTCCCTAAAGGAGAGTCTGTTTGTGAAGGTGACGTTATCGGTATGCTCATCACTATCCCACCACTTTCTTTACAAAGAAAAGTTGTGGAAGGGACATATGATCCCGCAGTTGACGGGGATGGTTCGACATATCATTCGGAATCCCCATCAGCAACAAACATTATTCGTGATCGTATACCTTTCCATTACAGATCGGATTTTTGTTGGCAGCAGTCAAATGTTTTCCCCACGAAACAACTTCGGGATTATGCGTTTAATCTCAAGGAAACCCCAACTTTCGGCCCACCCTCGCCTTTAAACAGTGAGGACGCATCATTGCGGACATTGCCAGGCTCAAGCATTACGATATATAAGAACGGAGTCAAAATGGGCACTCCCTTCAAGGAACTGTACGCATTCCTCCCGCCAGCCAGTAGACTCGCAAACGGAACAAATAACCTCGGCATCGGAGAGCGAGAAAGTGCAGACGATGGAATGATTGGTTATTACCCTGCTGTGAGCTGCTTTGGCGGCGGAGCTGTAGAATGCCGCTTCGAGCCACCATGGTGGATCGGGCCCCCTTCTCATACAGATACTGGCGAGCTCATTAGGGCGATAGGGGAACGTTTTAATGAGCAGATAGCGGAAGATGTCCTGGCTGACATCGTCGATGAAGTCGAGGCCATGTTTATCTGGGGAGGCGTGGACGGCAATGTTGTCGGCGCTGGTGAGCTTAATGGTTCGGGATCTGGTATCGTTGGTGGCTCTGCTATCCTGAAGGAAGACGTCGATACCGCTTATGATTCATCAACACCCGCGGAGGGCCGAACAGCGAATTCTAGGGGCAATGAGAATATTATTAGCAATGAGGCAGCAAGCCTGCCTGACATGGTCTCAGGCCACACCACCTTCGAAGACGCGCTGGGGACAGAAGGAACGCCAAATGCAGAAGCGTCTCCAGTAGCAGGATTTGAGGGCACGGTGGCTGATGAAGATACACCGATTTCCTGAATGTCAAGATTATAAAGGAGAACTATGAATTTGACTCCAGCAGTCCTCGTGTCACGTATGATATGCCCTGTCACGACTAGTTCCTACGATGAATTCTTGTATACCACGAACCCGGAATATTTCAACAGGGAATACTAAGGTGTTTAGTTACAGTCGACTGATGGAAGTGGTAATCTCATGTTCTACACATTGATACTAATCTTGTTCATCAGTGTAAACGTGGGAAATAGCATTGCAGGTTTTCTCGATACATAAGAACGGGGCCGTGGGAGGTATGTTTACCGCCAAAGAGGCAGAAATTTCCCACAGAGTAAGGCAATATATTATACCTGTTAATGAAAGCCATAACCCTTGTTAACTAACATCTCTTCTTTTCCCCAGTTATCGGCCCCTTTCCGCAGAATCCACCATCTCATATGCTGAAATTCGAAGCCGCAATGCTACTTCATTGTAAGACAATAGTGTGATCAGTGGCAGAAGTCAGACAGAAATAGGAAAACTTGGGATTCGTTTGAGGTTGTTTCAGCCAGTATTGCCTTCGTAGAACGGGAGAGCAGATAGTAAATCATGGGTGGAAATAGCCCACTTGTTTGCTAAAACCGAGGAACCAGCATGAGAGTTCGTACTTTCATTTTTGCAATTGGGCACTTGACAGATTGAGGCTCTATCGCGAATTGCACTTGGACTATGAAACTGCCTTGGGTCAAGAACCACACCAGCCAAACAAGGGGAGGTATTAGGTTGTTCTTGACATAAAATGTGTTGATGATTCGAGCCAGTGTGTGTAGCCATGTGTGGGTATTCAGATCTGAGGTCAGAGACAAACCCCTGATCATGGTTCTGGTTCAAGCCACGAGCTGAGCATTGTGAGGAGCGTGAGCCCCAGGCTGCTGGCATATGCAATAGACGCTTCATATTATTGGCAGTCGAGGTGGTGTGTCGTCGGAAGTTTTCTCTGTATTCCTGTTGCTCCTGTGCTTTTGAAGAAGTTCCAAAAACAATGTTGGGGCTATATTGGTAGTTGTGGCTCGGTTTCAAAGCTCCAGATTCTTCAATAGGGCCGCAAACTGGAGCAGAGCGAGTTTCCGGCTCCACAATACTGGCGTTATTAGGTTTACTACCAGGTTCAGCAAGAAAGTCCTCGCCGACATCCCCATCGTCGTGGCGCCATTCCCATCCCAGTCCGGGTATCTCCTGAACACGGTTAATGATGGTATGAGCACGACGGAACTCGGCTCTGATAGCAGTAAGCCCACTGTGAGTAACAGTTCTCGCAACATTGTGGTCAAGTTCAAACGGATCTTCAATTGCAATCAGGTACCTGAGTCGATGCCCCTTTTCATCGACTTTAGCACAATTCCATCCTTTGTCTGCTTTAGGAAGAATGCCGCCTGGGGTGCGGATCGAGATGACCTTATTAACCCAATCGAAGCCGCCAAGAGGAGCTCCTCGGCCACGACTTCCATAGTATGCAAAAAAACCACGAAGAAGGCTTCCAACGGACTGCTGATTGCCGAATTTTGCATTAATCTTAGCCCTTGCTCTGAGTTCGGCCTCGTTATTGAAGAATAGAACATCATATCCATCGATGGTAGTAGCTTTGCCGTGAGCAGCGAGCTGAAGGTTCGGGGCCAAAGGAGGGCCAACGATATTCACAAGGTAATGGATAACCATCAGTATATAGCCGTATGAGCACATAGTTCCATGGTAAGGACTGTTAATCCTCCGAGCCTTCGCCCACATTTTCACGAAGACCCCAAGCATACGTATCCTCTCATCACAGAGTGCGTAGCAACGAAGCAATTCTGTGTTGTATATTGCTAAACGGCCAGAGAAATTTATGTCGCATCGAATGCCAGTGCCTGATTTATCGGACAGCTTTATGATAGGGACTCTAGTCTTTGATATCAAGCAAGCATCAAGTCCGGCATCCGCAAAGGCTTTCTCTAGAACCTGAGGGCATTCAGCTTCCAACTGTTGGGGGAAGCTGGATGGACGTGTTGTCATCACCAAGTCAAGGTCGGCACCAGGCAAAGCAAAACCGTTACGGAGACTGCCAAAACACTTGAAATCAATCGCTTTAGGTCCCACCGAATAGCCTCGTGTCTTAGCATACGACTCGAGTGTTTCTTGAGATATTTTTGCGAGCATAGCGCGGAAATTCTCTTTCGCCTGCAACTCAGCCGTGAGCGAGATGGAATCAGGAATGCGCAACGCCAGAGAATCCATGTAATTAACCTGTATTTGTATCCTCCGGTGAGGATCCGACTGTTGATCTCCAAAGCGAGTTCTGGGGGCATGCGAGTAAGAGTACCCGGGACCAGTTGGTTGTGTAGAATACTGAATTGTTTCGTGGATATAGGGAGCCAGCCCGGGTGGACCTGATGTTTGACGGCCATCACGCTGATGCTGCTGTTGACGCGCTCTCGCATGACGTCTTGGAACTGTTTGACCCCGTGTTGTCTCCCGGACTTCTCTAGGTGATAGGTCAAGCTGATCATTGTCTTGGAATGGCATGTAATTCAGCTGTTGCACTTGCAATTCTGCACATGCACGAATCAATATCTCATGTATATGAGGTGGGAGAGACGGATCGTAACTCTTGGAAGGCCCATCTGTCTTAGAGGGCGATAGACCCGCCATTACGGCCGACGGACGCGCTGAAATGACTGGTACGTGTAAAATCTACTCCGTATAACAGATAATTCTCAGGAGTAAGAAAACAAAGTGTCGGAAAGGGAGGGACAGAGATGGGTTCAGAGACACTATCTAAGGGCATTAAAACACAGTATGAAGGTACTGGAGTTATTACATCCAGAGAAGGTCCACTGAGAGGATAAAAAAGAGATGAAGTACATGGTTTGACAGACAGCACGAAATAGCAGACTGCGAATAACGAGGGGATTTACTTCCAGAAAGAGTGAATCAAAAAGTGAAGGCTTCGACGACAGTGAAGATGTCCGGAGTCCGACGCTCCTGCACTGGAGAGTGTATTATATAAGCAACCTGACTGACCTCATTGTCTCCGTCCCATGTCTCGCGCTTTTCTAGTACTTGGAACTTTTCTCTCAGGCCACGTTCGGGGCTTCGACCACAAAGAACTTGTTTTATTCAAAGAACAGCTGCTATAGCCAGGTTCTACATCTCTTTTCTAAATCATACCCTGGCACCCGTCCATCTTAAATACCGGATGATTCCTTCCTACACATCTCCTACCCTAGAGCTTTTCAGTCTGCACTTCAAGCGATACTCCTTTTGAAAACATGACTTCGCCTGCAAATACCTCCACCACTCGAACCCCAACAGCACCAAATGGGGCGCCGCCGCGAATCATTCGCCGTCCAAGGGTGGCGGACCCGTTAGTGCGACCGAAGAGGAAGCCTACCGCGAGACCTCTAACTGCAGCTGCAGCAGCATCAGCTGCCAATGGTACACCTTCAAAAATGTTGCCTTCTCAGCAGATTGGCGGAAACAATGCACAGCCTGGACCCGCAAGACCAGAGCCGGTGAAGAACGATATCTCTGTGAATGGATTCAGCGGTCCTCTACTCTCCGAGACGTATGTGGATTATCCTCTGGTTACAACCAAACGTGCTCTGCGAGAGGCCTTGAAATACCATATTGCTAGATTTTCATCAAAAAAGAACATAGATCCTCGGGATGAGTCTCAGTTTACCCGGCCTGTGAGGCTTCAACGACGAGACCCACGAGCCAAGCCGCACGAAACCGATCCTGAAAAGAACCAAAGCGGTCAGAAGTCCGCGCCCACGTCAGATCAACTACTAGATGATGCGGAACGTGAAGAGTTTGAAGCCAGAAAGGCTGCCCGGGAGAAGGAACGTGCGGAGAACCTTGCGCAAATAGCCCCTTCTGTTGGAGCGCCGCAAAAAAGGACAAATGTGCCCAAACAGAAAACCCAACAGGTCTTCAAGGCAGACATGACCCCAGAGGAAATCGCGAAGGCACGCATTAAATATGAAGAAGCCTTGCCCTGGCACTTGGAAGATTTCGACAACAAAAACACCTGGGTTGGCAATTATGAGGCCGCTCTATCAGAGACGTACGCAGTGTTTGCGCTTGAGAATACGGGCAAAATGCGGATGATACCGGTAGAAAAGTGGTATAAATTCAACCCAAAAAACCAATTCAAGGCCTTGACAATTGAGGAGGCTGAAAAGTTCATGTCCAAGAAAATAAAAGACCCAAGGTGGTTTATGGAAAAGCAGCAGGAACAAGCACAACGAAAAGAATTAGAGAAATTCGCTAAACAGCGTAAGGTCTATGCTGGTAAAGCGGGCGTGTCAGCTAGGTCTGAAGGATTGGAAGCAGATGACATGGATTTCGAGGAAGATAGGTTTGCTGATGATGAAGAACATGATGATCTATTCAATGATGATGAGGAGGCGAAAACGGCAGAGAAGAGGATCAAAGAAGACCAGTTAAAAGCAAACGTTTTTAACTTGAAGGAGGAGAAAGATTATGATGAGGAAGAGTTAAAGGAGAGAAGAGAAAGAGAGGCACGGCGAGTTCTCGGCAAAGGTGTACGCAAGGCACTCCAAAAGCGTGAGAAGAATTACGACTATAGCAGTGGCTCAGATGTCAACCCCTATTCTGACGATGAGGTATGCTTCGCTCTTCCGTTTTGTCCCTTCCGCTTAGCAACTAACCTGAAAAAAATTTCTCATTTGCAGAGCTCTGATGACACTGAGACGGAAGCGCTGAAGGCAGAAGAACGCAAAGCTGAGGAGGAGGGAAATCGAAAGGAGTCGGGGCCATCTTCGAAAGATACTAACACGCCTTCCGGTCGTATCAAACATACAGATCCATCGAAGAAAGCTACGACTCTTACACCCCGAAAGCGGCTGGGATCCCCTAATGCTTCAGATGCCAGCGGGACAGATACCTCTCGAAAGAAGTCCAAGAACAAGCATGTCTCTTCTACTCAGCCAACTTCGCGCCCGGTATCTCCCCCTGCTCTGTCCTCGGTACCGGTAATAACCATAGAATGAAATATGTAATTGGAATGCCTTTTTGCTAATTTCTACCCTAGGCCGGCAAAAAACGAGCTCGGACTATGATCTCTATCGCAGGGTCTGTCAGCGATGATGGAGGCGCTGGATCAGGAGGGGAAATAAGTGAAAGTGGAAAGGTAAAGAAGTTGAAACTGAACACGTCTCAAAATGATACCCCGCAAGGATCAAGAGCGGGTAGCCCTGTTCCTCAGGGATCCAGAAGCTTCTCAGGAAGTAGAGGCAGCAGTCCAGATGGTTCCACGGTAATGAAGGGTAAGCTTGCCTTCACTTCTATCCAAATTTCACGGGGAAAGAAAAGCCCACTAGGGTTCTGATATACATAATATATGCCCACAGGAGCCAACCACTAACAGCTATGTCTAGGCCAAACTCGAGTTGCTACTCCAGGATCTTCAGCGTCCTTGGGGTTCCCCACCCCTGCAGAGATCCATGCTGCTATTCCCCCATCCGGTATTCTCAGCGGCGACTTGCTCAGGATTTTTAGACCCCGTATTGGCGAATCAAAAGAGAACCATCGACGGTTCATAGCAATCGTCAAGGAAGTTGGGGTTTACGGGAAAGAAGATAGGATGTTGCGACCAGGGCCATTTAAGGAGACTTGGAACGTATAAGTGCAATTACATATAGGTGGTCTTTTACTCCCTTTACATATGCAAGAAATAAAACATACCCACACTCTATATGGACAGATTAATGTCTTCGTTTTTTAGTTGCCAGTTTTGACAAAACTAGTGGTTGACTTAACAGTCTATTAGAACAATATCATGGACATCGCTATTAGTATACCCGTAAATACAACTTCTATGAACAGTACAAGAAACCCAAGAAAAAAGACCGCACAAGCCAAGGTGAAGTAGTAAAAGCATAGAAATACCCAGCAAGAACAAGCACATGAATTTAAGCTGCAGCAGTACCGGTCGAAGGCGAGCCTTTCTCATTCCCCTCTTCATACTTGTCCCAATTCGCAAGAATATGGGCAATGCGCGGAGAATTGGTCAGTCTGTAAACATCCTCAAAATACTCCTTCGTAATCTGGAAAGGTCTAGCAGTCACATTCGGGATATACTTTCCAATCAACTTGCTAGGGTCTATCGTGTTTTTGTTGATCTTCCGAAGCAAAAATGAGCGGAAAGGCTTGACACCTGAACGGAGGAATGTGCTATGGAAAGGCACATCGATCCCCTTTAGGGGAATCGTTGCGAAGCCGCGTTCCAAGTTGATGGGCTGAGGCTTGGATTCAGTTTGCTCTATACATCCATGGATGATTTGCACTAAGTGACCCTTGACATCTTCGAGAGACATGCTCTGCATGAGAGCTGGAATATCAACTTTCTGGGCTTTCAGGAAATTGAGGACGTTCGTCAAACAGTCAAGAGCACGTAACTAGGACGATGTTAGATGAATATTACCTCTTGGACGTGAATTTTTTTTCCCCAACTTACATCTCCAGCAGCGACGTACTGCATGTTAGCCACATTGTAATTGACGATCTCCAAGAGCCAGCCAGACTGCTCAGAGATATTTTCCACCACATACTGCAACGCCTGTTCGGTAAATGTTTTGGAGATCCTGCTTGGATTTACTGCACACATCGAGTAGTTCGAGCGACCCTGTTCGTCACGCTCTACAGCAACCTGCATTGTCAAGCCACGGTAGAACACCACCGAGACTAAGCTCTCAATCGGCATGACATCAGCAAGAGCAGCAAGAGCCGAGTATTCACCAAGTGAGTGGCCAGCGAAAGTACTGTCTCTTTGAACGAGACCCTTGGCGCGCATATCTTCAAAGCTCGCCTTTTCCATCAGAGTCAAGGCCGGCTGAGTGAACTGGGTGGCTGACAGAAGTCCTGTTGGAGACCTATAGGTATATGAGGTCGTAGTTTCATCAATTTCTTTGAAGATCTTCTCGGACTTGACTGTGCCATCTGCATTCACTGATTCGAAGGTCATTGACATGTAATTCTGACGAATGATCTTACCGCGGGGGCCACCAAAATAGACTGTGAGTTCCTTGGGATTATTTTTGACAATATCGGTGATGGCAAACCCATAGTTTTCCACAAAGTGTCGATCTGCGCGGTCCCAGACCTCCCTGGCAACGGGGCTGCTTTCATACAGATCCATACCCATGCCTTGCTCCTGGGAGCCCTGGCCAGTGAATACGTAGGAAGTCGCAGGTTGCTCTACCTCGGCTTCTCCAAGAAGAAGCTTATCTTCAGACTCCTTGTTGCTGGCTTCGACCTTGATAATCTTGCGGCCAGCGATCATTCCAACATGCTGGAGTTTGACATTGATGATATCATTTGGCAGTACCATGCCCACCAGCGACACGAGGAATCCACGAACACGGCCAATGTTGTTCTCAGCAGCCCAAGTCTCAACCAGACTGCGAACAGCGGCACTAGTGTACATCCCATGAGTAATAGTCCCAGGAAGGTTCGCGTAACGAGAGAAAACGCGAGAGACGTGGATCGGGTTATAATCTCCAGAGACTCGAGCATAAGTTTCATTGGAAGCTGGCGCTCGCAGAACAAGTGGAGTCTTCCCACTGAGAGGAATGGGGTTTTCGAAGTAGACGGGTTGCTCGATTGACGTCCCATTTCGTTCGAGATAGTCAATGACGGGGTTTCCACGAGATGTTCCAGCCTCGTAATCGACAGAGGCAACTTGAATAACCTCTTTCGTAGGAAGTTCTAGGAGAACTTGGCCTATCGTCTGAACTTGGCTAAAAACAGACTTGTTCCTGAATCTGATCAGACTTTGAAGACGGAAGGTCAGCGTTTGACCCAAGAGTTCCACATTGGGCTCATCCAAGCGGAACCACTCCTTGGAACGGAGAACCGCAACATCCCGAGTGGAGGCTAAGTGAACTTGCATGGGCACCTCCTCTTTCCGCTGGAAGGTGTTCTCGTAATCAGAATACGCTCCCCTGTAGAGAAATTGGCTGGTAACATGCATAATGGGCTGGCCATCCCTCTTGATAGTTCCACAGACCTCAACCAACTTTCCAGAGTCTTGGTTGATCACAGCGTTGATCTGGGCAGTGGTGTCCAGAACGTCGCCAACTTTCAGAGGCTGCGCGCCGGGAACCATCTTGAATCCGTTCGATAGATGGACTAGTTTCAATAGATCACCATCGATGGTGCGAGGGAAGATAGGCTTGGTGATTGCTTTCCAACCAACAACGATAGCGAAGTCCATGGGGGCAAAGACCTCCTTTCCTGGACGCTCAACGAAAGCCTCGCCGGTGTTACCAACAGCGTGGACGAAATCGGCGACTGCCTGAGAAGTGATTGTCTCACGGCCACCATTGAACGTAGCAGTTGTCGGCGTGTCAAATGGCACTTCCTTATTGCCAAACCAAACACGGTAGTAAAACTCCTTGATGCGGTCGTTGCGACTGTCCATGACCTCCCTGACAGGCGCATATCCTGCCTCGGGATGATACGTAAACAGAAAACTGAGAGGAACTTCGCCACCTTCCGCCGTTCTATTTTCGTACAAGGTTAATGAGATCTGGTCTTTATCATTCAACCTCACATCGAGGGTCTTGACGAGCTTCCCAGATTGGCACGGTTCATTGACGGTGATCTTCGTTCTGGAGGGATCCCCGGGATATTCAATCTCGACATACATACCCCCAGTAGGCGCAATGAGGCGCTTCACTGGGTTCGTCTCAAAGCGATGCCCTTGGACGAAAACGTCAGCCAAAAAGAAGGCATGCACCCAGGAAGGAGTGCTGCCAGCAAGGAGACGCAGCCAGCGGTCAGGGTCAGGCAGGTTAGCCGAAGGTGCCGAAGACAAGCGGAGAGTCATCTTGTTCCCATCCTTAAAAACTGTAAGACCGTCGACATCAGGCTCAGCCACAGACTCGTTGAGACGGCCTCCGAAGTATTCGATGACAGGGATCTTGGACTCGTCGCTTCCATAGATATCGCGGATGAGGCCTTTGATATGTCCCTGGTGAATGCCGTCCAAGATATCTTTTGCAGGTACATCGATGACGGTTGAGAACTTGGCCGCCATGGGGCCTTGCAGAATACAAGTCCTCCCGACATCTTGGCCCACGACAGCCGCCAAATCCTCGCTTTGCCAAAGAGAGTCCTTCTTGAAATAGAATTCAAAATTTTCATCCAGTGCAGGAACAAACGGTACTGGCTTCTGCGTCCGTCGCTGGCAAAGCAGAAGGAAATGTTGGACATCCTGAGCATTGATTAATTGGGTGGCCGCTTCGGGATATGCGGAAAGGATGTTATCAATCGCCGGGTACGGTGTATTGAGTTCTGAATAGTTTTGTAGAAGAGATGGTTGGCCTTCAGCCGTGGTAAACCGCTCTTCGATGCGACGGATGAAGTCGCCCGTCAGCCTCTTCAGAGAGTCGTCGATCCACCGAGCCTCGGCCTTAACATACATCAGCTCGACCATGCGGTGTACAACCTCTGCGTATGTCATCTCCTCAAGGTCGACCGCCTCGCCAGCGGCGTTTCGGCCGAACCAGACCTTCTGGAAATCGTCATTCAGTTTCTTAATGATGTAGCCCCGCAGCTTCTTGAGTTCCGGCAAACGTTTGGCCTTGTCCAATTTGAAGATTTTCTGATCCATCTCATGCCAGAACAAGACACCTCGAGTAGCCAACTTGTGAATCGGCTCACCCATCTCTGAAAGAACGGTAACGACACCACCAGCAGGCCCCTTATAAGTCTCCTCCCACTGCGCATCATCAAGGCCAGGCGCGTCGACGATGGCCTTTTTGGCGTCCGTAGAAGTGTGAGCTTCCTTTGCGACCATCATGCGACTACCAAAGAGGCATCCATCAAACGGCATGGGAGGATAGCCGAAACGGGAAGACCAGTCTCCGGTAAGGTAAGGATAGGTATCCTCAGAGCCGCCGAAACCACTTCCAGCAACAAGGACAATATTATCATACCTTCTAATCCGGCTATACATCTGCAGGATCGGTTGATGGAAGTCTTCAAAGGAGTGGTGTCCTCCACCCCGGCCACCGGTCCACTGAAGGATGACGGGGAACTTAGGGTTTGCTTTGGCGATGTTGATGACCTGTTGGATGGCATCTACCGACCCTGGCTTGAAGGCAATATGCTTGATACCAAGCGTCTGGATGTACTCATTGGCAACTTCAATAGAGGGAACGCCAGCACCAATTGCGAGGCCTTCGATAGGAACACCATCAGCCCTCAGCCTCCCTATGAGAGGGATTTGCCAAGCCATCGCCTGGGGGTTGACATATATCAGGTTCACGGTTATGCCGCGCCCTGGTGGGATGGCCTTCTCAATCTTGAGTATAGCATCCTCCATTAATTTGGGCATGAAATAGCCGCCACCGGCAAGTTCGATATGATATCCAGCATTCATGGTTGCCGCAACGAAATCCCAGGCGACTGTGGTCGGTGTCATACCGGGAACCATAATGGGTGGAATGCCCAAAAGCCTGCTCATCTTGGTATCGACGAAGGTCTGGCCAGCTGAGGTCCTCACCAGGCGAGGCCCGTGTTCTTTGACCCAATCGACTGCGTACTTGACAGCATGCTCGTCACGATCAAACAGTTCCGGCTTGTAGCCAACCTCAGTATTAGTACCGTCCATAGCACCAGCCAGGATGACGCGGACCCCAGTACCATCTTTGTTGCGGTTTGTCAGTACTCCCAAACCAGAGATACCACCGGGGCCGAAATCAACAACATGGGTGGCACCAGGGAAAACGGTCGCCTTTTCCCAATTAACTGCATCATGAGTAATCATGCGAACCAACGCCGGGACAACATCGCCCTGAGATACTGCCCTGAGATCATCGCCGGTTTTAGTATCATAAACCGGAATCACAAGCGACTTTGCCGAGATCTCGATCCCGCGCAAGTCCTCCAGAATACGATCGTAAGCAGACACCAAGTACTTGCTGTGGAACGGTGCTGTGATAGGGAGGAATCGATTAACAAAACGAACTTTACGTTGTGTAAAGGGTACACGGTTTTGATCCAAGCCTGTAGGTGCTTTGACTTTGCGCAGTCGTAAATTAAGACCGTAGAGAGACAGAGGGGGTCCAGTGACGACAAAATTTCGAGCACTATTCACAAGCGAAATCGAAATATGACGATCGGCAGGGAGATGTTGGTTCGTTGCGTCGATGTGGTCCTGAACGGCAGATTTAGGGAGGTCCCGGATAGACAGCATGGGAGTGGGCACACCCTCCCCATTTTCAATCGAATCTTGCAGTACGGATGGTGCGATAGATGTGCGAGGATAGGCCTGCTGGCTTCGAGCGCCGATCCAGAAGAGCATCTTCAAGGCATTCTTGGCTGCTTCGCTAAATGCTTCCCAGGAAGTCGCAGAGGCAATGGCAGCGGCTGTGATGACGCCCTGGGAGTGACCAGTGGTTCCACTAAATCTTTCCAGGATTTCGCCGGGCTGTCTGCCCAGGACTTTGCAGGTGACCATATAGTGAGCCAATTGCACAAGCCCGATTAATGGTAGACTGACTGGAGCAGAAACTAAGTAGTCTGTATCTGGTTGCGAGTCGCGGTCGTGAAGCCATTTGAGGATGTCCATCCCCTTGGGGTAGAGCTTGCTCGCCTCGGACTGGCGGGAGAGGGACTGCAACAAGTCGGCAGAAGAGGAGATTAAATCTTCCACTAACGAAGGATATGTCGTATAAACCTCTCGCAATTCGTCGAAGTATTCTTCAATATTGCCTTGGCCGCCGAAAACCGTGTATATGCTAGCTGTCCCATCTGACGCTGCTCTGAGCAAGGCGGACTCATATGGCTTCATCTGGCGGCCAATTGCAGCTCTGCCGGCATAGTAGGCCTGCACCACAAGGATCTTCTTGGCTGTGATACCCGGAAGGCTGGCGGCAACCGCATGGACATCATTGCCACGCATGAAAGCACGTTCAAATTCGTTCAGGGCCAGCTTCAAGACCTCCAGATAGATCCCATGAGCGTCATCCTCGCCCTCTTCGACTTCGCGTGCGACGTAGTCAATATACCGTGCAACCAGCTCGGTGACCGAGGAAGGCTCGTCATCCTGGGCCAGCTCGTCTGTGGGCTCTGGTAGAGAAGCGGTAAAAGTGTCTTTCAATTGCGAGGCATGAAAGTGAAGAGAAGTGGGCACCGGGAAAGAAAATTCCAGAGAGCCATGCGTGAGAACGAGAGACCGCAAAGACTGTGAAGAACGAGGAGTATTAATGCCCGTCTGAGGGCCTGTTGATGTCCCGTACATGATATTTTTGGCTGTATCGTCGTGTATATTCTAATCAAATCGAGGGCCTATTCTACAGGTAGGGAGTTTGTTAGCATTGGGCCACACCACACGCAAAAAGGAAAACGGAAAGGTTCCTACCTGCAAACTCCTCGAACGGGACTCGAATTTGAATATGCTGGGATATATTAGGAGGAAAACAAGAAAAAAAAAAAAGAGAAGCACAAATGAAGAATGAGAGTTATGGATTCTTCCAGTGTAGAATAGGATAACTGAAAAAAGCGTGACCCGGAAGACTGATAGATAATCGACGCGGAGACCGTCGCAGCGAAGAAGGATAACGATAATAATAATCAAATAAAAATGGAAAGCTTCTTGCGGCTGCAGCCAGACTTGGCTTGGCCCTGGTTGAATGCGAAACTGCCGTTTTGGGACTAGCGTGCTGCTGTAGCTCCCCAAAGGTCCAAACGGTTGGGCTGGACTGGGGCCTGTAATGAAAATACCGTCACTGCCCTGCTGTACCAGATCGCGCGCCACATCTGCCCCAGAGGGCATTGGTTATTGGCGGGCGGTCGTACTACAGGTGGCGCCATGTACCAGTGTGACAATACGCGCGCTGCCAGGGCGCCTCAACCAAGCAGCACAAGTTGCGCTAATTTCTGTCAACCAAAGCGGAAGGGGCAGCTTGCGTGACTTTGCTTGTGCTGGTTGCGCCCCAACATTCTTTTTTGCGCTGCCCCAAACAGCCTTTCTGCCTCCCAGCTTCCATACGCCCGAATCCCCAGGCGCTACCAGCAGATTCTCATAAAAAAAATTCAATACCATATACTGCCCACTCCCCAGCTTTTTCCGTTTATTATGGTCTTGCTGGTGGTGGCGCTCGCTCTTCCTTGAAATAATAATCCGTTATCGTCTTTATCCCTTACATTCTTTCTTAAAGAATAGACCTTGAATTCCTTTCATCTTTTTTCATCCCTTCTTCTTTTAATTTCCCTTAGAGCACCCTTTAGATCCTTGATTCCTACCTCCGTCAATTTCGAACAGACAGATCAATTGGATTGGTTTTGGCTTCACGTACCGTTGCTGGAGAGAATCCGCCAGTGTCCCACCACGACCACGGACACACATACAACTTTTCTCCCTTTCTTCTAATCCATCGATACCCGTTTTATTTCTTCCATCATGCGTCCCGAGGTCGAGCAGGAGCTCTCCCACACGTTGCTGGTTGAGCTCTTGGCATACCAGTTTGCATCGCCAGTGAGATGGATTGAAACCCAGGATGTCATCCTTGCGGAAAAAAGAACAGAACGCATTGTTGAGATTGGTCCCGCTGATACGTTGGGCAATATGGCAAGGCGGACACTAGCATCCAAATACGATGCCTACGATGCTGCCACTTCCGTCCAGCGCCAAATTCTCTGCTACAACAAAGATGCCAAGGAGATCTACTACGACGTAGACCCGGTTGAGGAGGATCCAGAGACACCGAGCCAACCAACAGCTAGCACTTCTGCTCCCCAAGAATCATCCCCTGCAGTTCCTGCGGCACCAGTTGCTGCACCGCCGCCGGGTGCCGGTCCGGCCGCTCCAGTCGAGGATGCTCCAGTTACAGCAGTCGATATACTTCGGGCACTTGTTGCACAAAAACTTAAAAAGAGCCTCGCTGATATTCCGCTAAGTAAAGCTATTAAGGATCTCGTCGGAGGTAAGGAATCCCGTATCCATTCCCCCACGTTGTGATCGTTAACAGGCGATAACGATATAATTTTTTTTTCGTCCATCTAGGCAAATCCACTCTACAAAATGAAATTCTCGGCGACCTAGGAAAGGAGTTCGGATCCACTCCAGAGAAGCCCGAAGATACCCCTCTAGACGAGCTGGGTGCCTCCATGCAGGCCACCTTCAATGGTCAGCTGGGCAAGCAGTCATCTTCCCTCATCGCTCGCTTAGTATCCTCCAAAATGCCGGGTGGGTTCAATATAACTGCTGTCCGGAAATACTTGGAGACAAGATGGGGATTGGGATCTGGCAGACAAGATGGCGTTCTCTTGCTTGCCCTTACAATGGAGCCAGCTTCCCGTCTAGGTGCCGAACCCGATGCTAAGGCATACCTGGACGACGTTGCAAACAAATATGCTGCGCATGCTGGCATCAGCCTCTCTACCCCCACAGCGGCAAACGATGGCGGAGCGAACGGTGGGGCCATGCTCATGGATCCTGCAGCAATTGACGCGTTGACTAAAGATCAACGAGCTCTGTTCAAGCAGCAACTGGAGATCATTGCCCGTTATCTCAAGATGGATCTTCGTGCGGGCGACAAAGCCTTTGTTACCTCCCAAGAGACCCAGAAAACACTGCAAGCGCAGCTGGATCTCTGGAGTGCTGAACATGGAGATGTGTACGCATCTGGTATTGAACCAGCTTTCGACCCCTTGAAAGCTCGTGTTTACGACTCCTCCTGGAATTGGGCGCGTCAGGATGCGCTGAGCATGTACTACGATATCATCTTCGGGCGACTCCGGGTTGTTGACCGCGAAATTGTCAGCCAGTGTATCCGGATTATGAACCGTTCGAACCCCTTGCTCCTGGACTTCATGCAGTATCACATCGATAACTGTCCGACTGAACGCGGCGAGACGTACCAGCTTGCCAAGGAACTCGGCCAGCAGCTCATTGAGAACTGCAAAGAAGTTCTCGAGGTCTCACCGGTCTACAAGGATGTGGCTATCCCTACCGGACCCCAGACGACAATCGATGCTAGGGGTAACATAGAGTACAAGGAAGTTCCCAGAGCTAGCGCTCGTAAGCTGGAACATTACGTTAAGCAAATGGCTGAAGGTGGCCCCATTTCCGAATACAGCAACAGGGCTAAAGTTCAGAACGATCTCAGAAGCGTCTACAAGTTGATCCGTAAACAGCACCGTCTGTCTAAATCCTCAAAACTTCAGTTCAATGCTCTCTACAAGGATGTGATCCGTGCTCTAAGCATGAATGAGAACCAGATCATGCCGCAGGAAAATGGTCATGCCAAGAGGCCTGGTCGGAATGGCCTCAAACGCAATGGCAGTCCTTACACTGGCAAGGTCGAGACTATCCCTTTCTTGCATCTGAAGAAAAAGGGTGAACATAACTGGGAATACAACAAGAAGCTCACGGGTATCTATCTTGACGTCTTGGAATCTGCTGCCCAGGCAGGTCTCACTTTCCACGGAAAGAACGTTTTGATGACTGGGGCTGGCGCCGGTTCTATCGGCGCTGAGGTTCTACAGGGTCTGATCAGCGGTGGCGCCAAGGTCGTTGTCACCACCAGCCGGTTCTCGCGCGAGGTTACCGAATACTACCAAGCCATGTACACTCGTTACGGCTCTCGTGGCTCACAGCTCGTGGTTGTTCCGTTCAATCAGGGCAGTAAGCAAGACGTGGAGGCTCTTGTGAAGTACATTTACGATCCGAAGAAGGGTCTGGGTTGGGACCTGGACTCCGTTATTCCTTTCGCTGCTATCCCCGAGAATGGTCGCGAGATCGACTCTATTGACTCTAAATCGGAGCTTGCTCACAGGATCATGTTGACAAATGTCCTGCGTCTTCTGGGGTGCATCAAGGCTCAGAAGCAGGAGCGTGGATTTGAAACTCGCCCAGCTCAGGTCATTCTGCCGCTGTCCCCCAATCATGGCACATTTGGTAATGATGGGCTATACTCTGAGTCCAAGCTCGCCTTGGAAACTCTCTTCAACCGCTGGTACTCGGAGAGCTGGGGTAACTACCTCACTATCTGCGGCGCTGTCATTGGTTGGACCCGTGGAACAGGCTTAATGAGCGGCAATAACATGGTTGCTGAAGGAGTTGAGAAACTTGGCGTCCGAACCTTCTCTCAACAAGAAATGGCCTTCAACTTACTAGGTCTCATGGCCCCAGCTATCGCCAACCTCTGCCAACTTGACCCCGTGTGGGCCGATCTGAATGGTGGGCTTCAGTTTATCCCAGATCTGAAGGCATTGATGAGCAAGCTTCGCAAAGACATCATGGAGACGAGTGATGTTCGTCAAGCCGTCATGAAGGAGACGGCTATCGAGAATAAGATTGTCAACGGAGAGGACAGCGCGGTACTCTACAAGAAGGTTATTGCAGAACCTCGCGCAAACATCAAGTTCCAATTCCCCCATCTACCCGACTGGGAGCAGGATGTGCAGCCTCTCAATGCAACCCTCAAAGGTATGGTCAACTTGGATAAGGTTGTGGTTGTCACTGGATTTGCGGAAATTGGCCCGTGGGGTAACTCTCGTACTCGGTGGGAGATGGAAGCTTATGGCAAGTTCTCTCTCGAGGGCTGTGTTGAGATGGCCTGGATTATGGGCTTGATCAAACATCACAACGGCCCATTGAAAGGAGCCTCTTATTCTGGATGGGTCGATGCGAAGTCTGGGGACCCCGTTGATGACAAGGATGTCAAGGCAAAATACGAGAAGTATATCCTAGAGCATTCTGGAATCCGACTCATTGAGCCCGAGCTGTTCAAGGGATACGATCCAAAGAAGAAGCAACTGCTTCAGGAAGTCGTCATTCAGGAGGACCTAGAACCCTTCGAAGCTTCCAAGGAAACTGCTGAAGAATTCAAACGCGAACATGGCGATAAGGTCGAGATTTTCGAGATCCCCGAATCGGGCGAGTTTACTGTCCGTCTCAGGAAGGGTGCTACCCTGCTTATTCCCAAAGCATTGCAATTTGACCGTCTTGTCGCTGGCCAGATCCCAACCGGCTGGGATGCCCGAAAGTATGGCATCCCCGAAGACATCATTGAGCAAGTTGACCCTGTGACGCTATTCGTCCTTGTCTGCACGGCCGAATCCATGCTTTCTGCTGGTATCACTGATCCGTACGAATTCTATAAATATGTTCACATCTCTGAGGTTGGAAACTGCATTGGATCTGGTATTGGAGGGACACAGGCTTTGAGAGGAATGTATAAGGATCGTTACCTGGACAAGCCTCTTCAGAAGGACATCCTGCAAGAATCCTTTATCAATACGATGAGCGCGTGGGTCAATATGCTGCTCCTTTCCTCCACCGGACCGATCAAGACTCCTGTCGGTGCTTGTGCAACGGCAGTTGAGTCTGTCGACATAGGTTATGAGACAATTGTGGAAGGGAAGGCTCGCGTCTGCTTTGTCGGTGGTTTTGATGATTTCCAGGAAGAAGGATCGTATGAATTCGCCAACATGAAGGCCACCAGCAATGCCGAAGATGAATTTGCACACGGCCGTACCCCACGCGAAATGTCGCGGCCGACCACAACTACGCGGTCTGGCTTCATGGAATCCCAGGGTTGCGGTATGCAGCTGATTATGAGTGCTCAGCTTGCGCTGGATATGGGCGTTCCAATCCATGGTATCATTGCGCTAACGACCACGGCAACCGATAAAATCGGTCGCTCGGTTCCTGCTCCGGGTCAAGGTATCCTCACAACTGCTCGCGAGAACCCCGGTAAGTTCCCGTCGCCACTTTTGGATATCAAGTATCGCCGCCGCCAGTTGGAGCTGCGCAGAAAGCAGATCAAGGAGTGGCAGGAATCCGAGCTCCTGTACCTCCAGGAGGAGGTTGAGGCTATGAAGTCCCAAGGTTCTGAAGCCTTCAACGAGTCTCAATACTTGCAAGAACGGGTTCGCCATATAGAACAGGAGGCCATTCGCCAGGAGAAAGACGCACAGTCCAGCCTAGGAAACAACTTCTGGCGGCAAGACTCTAGCATTGCTCCTCTGCGTGGCGCTCTTGCCACTTGGGGTCTTACTGTCGATGATATCGGCGTGGCATCCTTCCACGGAACCTCTACCGTTGCGAATGACAAAAATGAATCAGATGTCATCTGCCAGCAGATGAAGCATCTTGGCCGCAAGAAAGGAAATGCTCTCTTGGGTATTTTCCAGAAATATCTCACAGGACATCCCAAGGGTGCTGCTGGTGCTTGGATGTTCAATGGATGTTTACAGGTTCTGGACAGCGGCCTAGTTCCCGGCAACCGTAATGCAGACAATGTGGATAAAGTTATGGAAAAGTTCGACTATATCGTCTATCCCAGCCGCAGCATCCAGACAGACGGTGTCAAAGCGTTCTCGGTAACTTCATTCGGTTTTGGTCAGAAGGGTGCTCAGGTTGTTGGCGTCCATCCCAAGTACCTCTATGCAACTTTGGACCAGGCCCAATTCCAGGCTTACAAAGCTAAGGTTGAAGCGAGACAGAAGAAGGCGTACCGTTACTTCCATAATGGCCTCATCAACAACAGTATCTTCGTTGCGAAGACCAAGGCTCCTTATGAAGATAGCATCCAGACCAAAGTTTTCCTCAACCCCGATTACCGTGTGACAGAGGATAAGAAGACTTCTGAGCTCAAGTTCCCTGCAGTTCCACCAAGCACAGATCGGACGGATACAGAGAACACTAGGAAGATGGTTGAGTCTCTCGCAAAGGCAAAAGCTACTGAGGGCTCGAAGGTTGGGGTGGATGTGGAAAGTCTGGATGCTATCAATATTGAAAACGAAACTTTCATTGAGAGGAACTTTACGCCCACCGAGCAACAATACTGTCTGAAGGCTCCATCTCCCAAGGCCTCATTTGCCGGCCGGTGGAGTGCTAAGGAGGCTGTATTCAAGTCCCTCGGTATTAGCAGCAAGGGTGCTGGTGCACCGTTGAAAGATATCGAGATTGTGAGCGATGAGAACGGGGCTCCCGCGGTTAAGGTAAGTTCTACTTTTGCTGAAAAGGTACATGTGGTGGTATATTCAGCTGACTTCTTTTGTAGTTTCACGGTGCGGCCGCTGAGGCCGCAAAACAGGCTGGCGTTAAAGATGTGAGCGTCAGTATTAGCCATAATGATGCACAGGCTGTTGCGGTGGCTGTCTCCAAATTTTGATAGGTGCATTCGTCATGGGCTATGATTATTATACATAGGTTACAGCAGGCTGGCGTGGTGTGAACTTTTGAAACATAACGGACTTTTTGTATTGTAATCTGTGTTAGTATTAATTCTCGTGTTTGATCCGAAAGGTGTCCGATGACCTGCCTCTGGGACATCAGCCGTATATGAATAGGAGCTGCTGCGTCCAGTCATACCGTTCCATGGAGCTGGCAGAAATGATAGATAATACTACTAATACTATTTCTAAGTACACCTTTATAATGTATCTACATGCCTACCGCTCTGAAATTCATCAAGTTCAAAGGCAGTATAAACATTGGCAAGCTGGTATAAGCAAATCGCGATAGGTCTCAATCCAATTTTGTTAGCATCATATCATGCTTCTATGGTTTTATCAAACCTTGATATTTTTCTGGGAAACATGTATAATATATACAACATATATCTACATTTGAACAGCTCAGTACGGGAAACGGACTCCCAATCTGAGGCAAGAGGAAAGAAGCTGCAAGAACCTCCACGCATTCATTAGGGCTTTTCATCTACCTTTTTCACATTTCCAGTCGCGCGATTCAATGGTCCCCAGTTCGCCCTAGGGTTCATCTGATACCGAACAAGACGTTTTTTTGTGTTAGCGGCCGACACCTCCCTTCCTAGCGCCTCGTCGAATATGATGTCGAGAGTGCTGGGATGGGGCTTTTCCGAGGACGTAGTCTTCCGATTTCGAGGTTGCTCTGAATCCGGAGCGGTGCTTAGTAGCTCACCCTTGTTATGGCTGACATCAGGGATCTCAGATGAATCCATCCTTGAAATCTGTCTTGAACCAGAGCGGTATAGGGCAGCCTCGACCTTAGTCACCAAGTCACTAACATCCTTTCCAGTCTCGACAGCAGTCATTATATCTGTCTTTAGCAGGGACAGCAACTGATTCTCTTCGTTCGTCTTCTTGAGATTCTCCCGGCTTTTTGCCATTATGGCAGCACCTACAGTCCCTGGGCGGATGGAACCGTCCTTCACGGGAGCCTTTTGCCTTACCCATTCCCGCATGATTTCCCAAATGACATCCCAAGGAGCATCTGTTCGGATTGTATTAGGCTTGGCATGGCTGCGTGTAGAGCGATAGCCAAGGTGACGAAGAGCTCCCCGGAACGCATCAATTTGCATTGTCTGAGCGTGGAGAATCTTGGCAAGAGCACTCAGACTGAAGTAGAAGGGATAGTTCTCCCGGACAGCTGGATCAGCACGAGGAATAATGGCAAGTTGTTCAGGGGATCTCGCCTCTTCAGTTGAGCCTGAGTGCAATGCCGTTGGCTCCTTCGTGGAAGCGGCGAGATCCAGATCCTCCTCAAGTGCAGTAGTCAGCATGCCCTCTATTCGATCGACAGTCTTGTATACATCCCTGTCTGCTCCAGGTAGCATGTCCAAAATCTTTTGGATGAAATGCGGGTTGTGAAGTGGTCCACCCCACATCGGTCCTCCAATATGCGTTTTGAAGCCGCAATGATCGCAATTTGGGCCTGATACAGGCCCCTGTGCAAGTGAATATCCATAGAAAGGATTCCCCTTTTTGTCTAATTTCTGCCGAGTTTGTGTTAAAGGCTGCGTCGACCAGGCACCACAGCCTTGATCACAATTGTACACTAAGATCGTGTTTCCTGAGATGAATTTCACCTCCGCTGGTGATCTATGGATGCGGACAAAGACTCGTGCGTAAAAGTCAATTGATAGAGACAGTAAAGGTTCGATTGCTAACCCATATTTGGCAGCAGATGTCGCAAGCGCATGTAAAATGAGGCGCAAACCCACCTCGTGGGAATAAATGCCTTTTACAGGAATACCACCGTATAAAGCAAACGCTTTTTCTGGATAGCCATTCGAAGCCCAAACCGCCGCATCAGTACAAGTGATGCATAAAAGGCCACCTTCCTTCACTGCCTGCACCGCAGCGTCCATGAATGGTGCCGCCGTGCCATAGGGGTCTAGGTCAATGGCATCGAATTTTCCAACACGAGGTCCGTCGCTAGTCGATTTCTGTGGTGCGTTTAGAACGCTATACATGTAAGCGCGGGCATCACCAACATTAGGCCGAACGAGATTTCCTAGCTGATTATATTCAATATTTGTCTTCATCGACTCTATAGCTGAAGGCGACAGATCGTTGGCGACGATGCTAGTAGCGAATGGGACCTCGTGAGCATACCGCAATGCACGCAGACCTGTAGCGGAGAGAGCATCTAGGATAGTGAAAGATGGGGTAGTTTGCTGTTCCACTGGCACCCGTTCACTGGCAGGCTCAGTTCTGACCTCGTCTGCTTCGCCCTTTGGTGCATTTGTATCCTGCTCTTCCCTCTTTCGCTTTTTGCTTTGCGATGATCCGTTTTCTGCGAGGTTTCGCTTCCTCTTCTCGAATCTCAATTTCCTCTCAGCCAACACATGCTCCCCAAAGGCTTTAACCGCAAGCACGGAGAGATCTCTATTGAACTGCTGGATGGGGTTATAAAAGACGGATTGGACATCATCGCCAGCCTTCAGGTCCTTCTTCGTTCCTTTGGAAGCGGCCTCTTGGGAAGGCGGGTAAAGAATGTGGGCGAGTCCCTCTTTCACGACCATGAATTCTTTACCACCATGTTGTACTAAGTTCTCCGGGGGGTTGGAAGGAGATGGGGCTGCCATAGCTAAGGCGGATGGAGTGTAATATCTCGAATGATGTCCACTTGTCAGGTCGCTTTCACTGCGTGAAATATATGGTATCAAGATGTTGGGTTCAAAAGGCAGTCGAGATAGTGATCCAGTCGTCCATTGTAGAATTGATCGAAAACGTGGGAGTTGAAGACCAGGCCGCATGGACTCACTGAGCACGAGTCTGTTCAATTGAACCAAGAAAAGAAAGTTTGGAGCGGAACCGTGCTCCCAACCAGGAAAACAATTTGAGGATGCAGAAACAAATCGCCTCGAGGAAGAAACATGACGCACAGACCATGCAAAAGTTTCCCAGTATGTTTCTACTAGAATAATATATTACAGAGCTGGATTTTAAGACATTAAAGTACGGAGTATCTGATACTTGTACAGGACATCTCAGGCGAGCATAGAACCGTGCATCATCAAGGATATCTTCACAGGCAGTCCCCGATGATAGGTATCTGCCGATAGATTGCACTCCAGTTCTTTGCTTCCCAAGGAGAGCCCGGACCTCCAAGTCCGATAATTCCCAGAGCACCTGCGAGCCAGAGAGACGTGCCTACTGCAGCAACACCATTGACAACCCACCACATTCGCCTGCGCTTTCTGACCACCTGCTCGCTCTCCCTATACGCCAAATAACCCCCAAGGGTGCCCTTACTTCGTCCCCCTTCTTTCCGGGCCGTGGTTATTCTCCATCCTAGCCACGTTGCCCAGCCGCCGGCGATATGCCACACCCCAGCGGCAACGAAAACAGTGTAATAAATGTTCCAAAGAGTCGGATTTCTTGCAAAGCCATGTGCAACATATCCAAGCCCAACGCCAGAACTTCCACCCTCGACAATCAATGGTACAATTCGGTTGACGAGAACGTGTGATCCCAACAAGGGAACAAGAAGATATCCTAGCCTAGTCTGTAAACTCATCTTAGGCCAGAACTTGAGCAGAGATCTCTGCGCCCTCGTTTCTGCGCCATAGAGCCGTGCACGTCGAGAGGCGCGAATATTCCGAAGCACAACACCAGCAGCGACATGAATTAGGATGGGTACTGTGAGAGCAACATGTTCAAAGCCCGGTGATTGATAAGCCGGTCTTGTAAGGAGAAGGTAGGGTTCACTGGCGGATACAGAGCGAGTTACCAGGGGAATAAGAGAGGTATTGGCGAAATGTAAGGCGAAGAACAATGTAGGTGGATACGTCGAGTATTTCTGGACCGCAGATACTGGACACGAAGGCCATTAGCACAACCAAACAAGGACAGAAAAGAAACATTGTCAAGAAGTACACCAAGACTCCCATCGAAATCCACGGAGACCAAAACCTGCCACTGAAACTCGACTCGGAGCAATATTTCGCTGCGATGGATTGGGATCTCGTGTTTCAGGCTGATATTCACCGGTCTCGGGATCAAAAACTGGATCTTGTACCGGAGAAGGATCTAATCTTTGCATGAAGCCCAGGGGACGTGTGTCGGTGCTTCCCGGCTTTGATAGAGCGTCTTGCTGTGAGGGATCCATGATTGATGATATAATGTAAAATCTAAGTGTCTACAGTGCTGTACGGAGCAATACCTGAGACCCATACGACAGCAGATGCTTGCATCATCGACATTCAAACACTGCTGATCCTATCTGAAATAAACCAGCGCGCCCTTGTGCATGGCTTGGATAGTTTGCCTCTTGGTAAGTCGATATCCAAGTCATCTCATTTGCCCCTATCGCAGATCTTGGTATTTACTATCCATACATGAAAGACTTTCAACAACCGCTAATAATAATAACAATGAAGGATTGCTGATTCTATATCTTTGCATAGTAACTGCCCAGTGCATATTATTCGATTCTTCCCCTTTGCGCGCCAGGTGGAAAACAAAACATGGCACCAGTACGTCTCCTGCATTCATTCTACAGCTGTCTGCACATGACCAAAACTTTCATCTTTAGTGGATGCTGACCTTGTCATCTCGCTTTGCGGTATGCATTTAGCGTGGTTTTACGAATCCAGCTCCAAAGGTGAGAATGGATCAATGGCCATCTAGACCCCTTCACTTACAAACCCGCTCTTAGACTGAGTCCGCACGCTCTGCCTTGAGCGCATTTACTTGCACCCTTTGCAATAAATCATACTCCCGCCACCCAGAGTACGAAGCGCATATCTCCTCATATGACCATCAACATCGCAAGCGCCTGCAGGATCTCAAGCAGCTCTCCCGGGATCCGAATGCAGCTGAAAAGGCAAGGAGAGCCGAAAAGAAGGCCGATGTAGAGGCTGGACTAAGAGTCATTGACACCAGCGAAAATGGTCCGGGAGCTGGGACAGGTGCCGGAAACAGCGGCGGAGGCTTCAAGAAAGGTGGCTTTAAAAGTTCCTTCGCCGCAGTTAAGGGCCCTGTTGCGCCCACGGCGGCAGCGAAGAAAAATGTGCTCGGGGACGACGACGAAGATGACAATGCCCGGCTACAGGAGAAGCCTGAAGCTGTGAAATCAAACCCCATGAATCCCAGATTCGATGCAGAGAGCGATACCGACGATGAATATTCCGATGTGCTGCCAGGTGGTAGATACTACAATCCTCGAAAGCCAACAGACTGTTTCCCTGAGTGCGCCGGAACCAGAAGTGCTACGTTGGTATCTTGAGTCAACGATGTCTGGCAAAAGTATTTCCTTATGCGGGTGTTACTTTACTGTATGGGAAAGACTGGCGTTGGACGGTGCATGGTGTTTGGATTTATCAAAAGCATTTGAATTTGTGGTATCTATATAACTCGAAAAGAGATTGAGCTTAGCCTGGTATGGCTTGCTCTTGTTCTCTGTTTATTTGAAATGGCATAAAGAATAGCCTTCTCTATGCTAACGTTGCTTATTCCATCGGTCGAGGCAACAAACTCCACCGAAAACCCAGCCAGCATCCCATTTCCATGGTGTGGAGACATAAAGCTCTCTCAATCAACTTTGATTGCCGAGGCTGTCACATCGGAATAAGATAAAAACAAACTCTGTTAAAGGTAAAAGATAACGCTCCAATATGCTTCGATTCCAATAATTATCTAGGAGGGAAAAGTTAAGAAAAAGACAAATAGTACTAGAAACACGTTACATTTAATACAGTCTTTCCCAGCCTTCCAATCAATTCATCGCTCATACTCGCACTGGATCTATAGCCGCAACAACTTGGCGGCCTGGCTGACGATGGTATCCTCCTGAGGGAAGCTCATCCTCTCGAGACCAGCAGAGTAAGGAGTGGGCACATCAGCACCGGTGACACGGACAGCAGGGGCAGTCAAATAATCAAAGCCGTATTCCATGGCCAATGCGAGTATCTCCGATCCGACACCGAACAGAGGGAATCCAGACTCAACAGACATCAGACGGCCGGTCTTCTTAAGCGATTTGATTATGGTTTCCACGTCAAGCGGCTTGATGGATCTGAGATTGATCACCTCGGCCTCGACGCCGTACTTTTGTTTGAGCTCGGCGGCCGCGTTGAGAGAGAGCCCAACGTTCCGCGAGAGAGTGACGATCGTGAGATCCTTGCCGGGACGCTCAATCTTAGCTTTGCCAATTGGCAAGACGAAGTCATTTTTCTGCGCTGCTTCGCTCATCGGGAAGGCCTGGCCATAGAGGAGTCTAATATCATTCCCTTAGTCAGAAACAACCACCCCACTCTCTAAATAATACCGATTTACTAAGGGACACATACTCATTCTCCAAAAACACGACTGGGTTAGGGTCGCGAATAGCAGCTTTTAACAGACCCTTGGCATCCTCAGAGCTCCAGGGGACGAGGACCTTCAGTCCAGGAATGCTGCCGTACCATGCAGCATAGTCTTGTGAGTGCTGGGCGCCGACACCAGCAGCAAATCCATTTGGCCCACGGAAAGTAACGTTGCAAGGCTGGATACCTCCAGACATGTAATGCGTCTTGGCAGCGGAGTTAATGATCTGATCAATTGCCTGCATGGCAAAATTGAAGGTCATGAACTCGCACTATTTCAGACGGTTAGTATATTGTGAAAGGGGACCAAATGTGCCTTAACTATCGGAACCTACAATTGGGTGCAAACCGGCAAGAGCAGCTCCGACAGCCAACCCACAGAAACCAGCTTCTGTAATAGGAGTATCGATAACCCTTTTAGGTCCGAATCGATCCAAAAGACCTCTTGACACTTTGTATCTACAAAATCAACGCCAATTAGACGATGCAACACTCGGAATACCACTGGAGAAAGAAATGCGAGGCAAGGAAAGAGAAAGAGAAAGGAAAGGAAACAAATGCATACGCTCCATTATACTGTGCGACTTCCTCGCCCAGAAGGAATACCTTTGGATTGCTTTCCATCTCCTCCGACATGGCCTCGTTCAAAGCATCTCGGACAGTGACTTCCTTGGTAGAACTCTCCGTCGCATATGTCCGAAGGCGCAGAATTGAGGGGCTGCAGGCAGATCGCTGGAACGCAGGGTGCAGAGACGCCGAAGAAATCCGGGGAGAAAGCAGACGAGCCGCCGGCCGGAAAAGTCGAGGAGCAGCCATTCTCGGGGATGGACTAAGAGCTGGGGGATCAGCGAGGAGTGGAGAGGGCAGAATACAGGATAAAATTAAAAAGAAGCGATTGACCTTGACAAGGATCCTGGTTGAGGATGATAATAGGGAAGAAAAAAAACCCTTCCCTCCGTCTCTATCAGTCCGTCGTGGTGTATATTATTATAGCTTGGGGATGAGAGTCTCCATGGCTTTTTTGCTGAGCTTGTTGGGCTATGACTAAGCAACAGTCTCACCGGGAGCTGCTTCGGTGCGGATAACACGGCCCATCTCCGTACTGTATATTCATTGTTACTACTCCGGACGGAGTACGGAGTAGATAATACGTAACCGACCCCTACGGTAACCTTCGGGGTCGCGCGTATTGCGCGACCCTGACAACCACCCGAGCACCCCAGCCACCCGAGCACCGATTTTAGAACTTCGTAGAATTCCAACCCATCAACTTTATCATATAATTCAACCACCACCACCATGCCCAAATTCAATAAAAATTATGAAGATCGAATGCTCAAAGCTATTGACGCGTTAAGCACACAAAATCCCCCAAATATCGCCAAAACTGCACGTGAATATGGAGTTAAACGGCAAACCCTCTCCGCAAGGTGGAAGGGACGGTCCAATCTATGTGAACGACCACCAACCAACACCAGATTATCAGAAGAGCAAGAAAAGGCTCTGTGTCACTATGTTGATACTCTAGAGCAATTAAATATAAAGCCACTTGCACAAATGATCCAATCAAGTGCCAATTCTATTCTGAGATCAACCCATACCAGCCTAGACACCCCTCCACCTACTGTCAGCGAGAAATGGTTAAACTGATGGCTAGGAAGGCATCCTGAATATAAAAGACGTCGCTCTAGAGCTATAGAGCTTGACCACAAGCGTGCAGAGGATCATGAGGTTATTCAGGAGTGGTTTCAGAAGCTCCATCAGACCATCCAGAACCATGGGATATTAAAGGAGGATATCTACAATTTTGATGAGACTGGCTTCAATATCAGTGTTGGTTGTGATCAATGGATTATTACCAGGGACTTCAATATTAATAAGCCTCATATTGGGATGAATTCAAACTGTGAATATGTTACTGTGGTTGAAGCAGTCAATGCAGATGGCTGGACCTGCCCACCACTTATTCTCATGAGTGGTAGCTGTATACTTACAAATTGGTTTGAAGCTGCTGATATTCAACAAGACTATTCAATTGGAGTATCAGAAAATGGCTATATGACTGATACAATTGCCTTCCAATGGATTCAGTCATTCTATCGGCATACTAAAAGATATAGGAAGGGTCAATATACCCTTCTTATATGTGATGGATACGGCTCCCATCTAACACATGAATTTGTTGAATTCTGTGAGAAGACCAATATCATCACCTTCTTCTTACCTCCATATACAAGTCATTTCTTGCAGCCATTGGATGTTGGTGTTTTTCATGCATATAAGCACTGGCATTCAGAAGCAGTTGCAGATGCAACCTACTCAGAATACAGTAAATTTACTAAGGTTGAATTCCTTCATGCCTTAGGGGCAATTCGCAAGAAGACATTCAAAAAGCGTACTATTCGGCATGGATTCCAAAAGACTGGCATCATACCATTCAATCCATCAATTGTACTCAATCAAATGCCTCAACCACATCATCCATCCTCTTCATCCACCAATACCAATGATGTTGATTCCTGGGGCAGTACGCCAAAAAAAAGCTGAATGATTTAGGGAGATTGGTGATAGGATATGGGAGATTCATGATATCAACAAGGATCAATTTAATGAGGGCCTAGAGCTGCTTATTCATGGTGGTAGTATGCTAGCATCATATTCAGCTGCTATCGAAGCTGAGCTTGACCGGTATATTAAAGCTGCTAGGGACCGCGCAGCTTGATCACAGGCCTCTAGGCGCAGGATTCGCAAGGGAGGCATAGTATCAAGCTCAGAGCTTGAAGCTATAAATCGAAATACTGCGAATATTAATGAGCAGGCTGAAATAAAGAGGTGGAGGACTAAGTATAAGCGTTGCCTACCAGAGCTGCTGGATGTATGCATTCGACGAGGAATTATTATACGAAGGCAACGACATGCTAGGGCCCAAGCTGAAGAGTAGAGCTTTAGTTTAAATATATTTTGAAGTTAAATACTATAGAATTCGTTGAGATATTGAAGCTAGAAGGGGGGTCTAAAATTGGTGCTCGGGTGGCTGGGGTGCTCGGGTGGTTGTCAGGGTCGCGCAATACGCGCGACCCCGAAGGTTACCGTAGGGGTCGGTTACTAGATATTAATATTCTTTTTATTATTACCATCGTCGTCCAGCTTCCCACTATGCTATTTCTCTTCTCTCTCCTCCTCTTGTTATCTTCCGTCCTTGCTACGCAGCCTTCCGCCCCGGATCCGATCTCCGCACCGCTGCGGGACTTGAAATGGGGTCAACTCAACTTCCTCCACACCACTGATACTCATGGCTGGCTGGCCGGACATTTGCAAGAGTATGGTCTTCTCGTCATCTTCAAGGGCCAGTTCTTTTGCTGACCAGTCTGTGTAGGCCTTCTTACTCTGCAGACTGGGGTGATTATGTCTCTTTCGCAACTCGCATGCGAGATAAGGCAGAGGCGCAAGGATGGGATCTGCTGGTAGTTGATACGGGCGACAGGGTGGAGGGAAATGGCCTATACGACTCATCCGAGCCAAAGGGCATTTACATCTCCGAGATCTTACGTCAGCAGCATATAGACCTGATCACTTCTGGAAACCACGAGCTATACAAGCAAAACACCTCCGAGGCCGAATTCCTTACTACTGTACCTGACTTTCATGGGAAATACCTGGCATCGAATATCGACATCATCCATCCGAAAACAAATGAATTGGTTCCGCTGGCTCCTCGATTCAAGAAATTCACTACCAGAAAACAAGGAATCCGCATCATTGCGTTCGGCTTCCTCTTCGACTTTGCAGGAAATTATAATAATACCGTTGTACAGCCTGCGGAAGAGGCTATCAAGGAGGATTGGTTCCAAGAAGCCATCCGAGACAAAGATGTTGACCTCTTTTTGGTTGCCGGACATGTTCCTGTGCGATCGAAGGAATTCAATGCCATCTTCAAAGAGATTCGAGCCGCCCAGTTACACACCCCAATTCAATTTTTTGGCGGCCATTATCATGTCCGAGATTATGTTCGATATGACTCTAGGGCTTATGGTCTTGCTAGTGGCCGCTTTATGGAAACCATTGGCTTCATGTCTATTGATGGTATCTCAACTAACGACCGACAGTTGACACCTGCGCGTGCAACACCAACCTTCAATAGGAGATACATAGACAATAACCTCGTATCTTTCTATCACCATACTGGTCTTGATGAGGAAACATTTCACACCGATGCTGGACAGCATACATCTCAGCTCATACAACAATCCAGAAACGCCCTCCAATTGGACAAGGTGCATGGGTGTGCGCCCAGGGATCTGTGGATGTCACGCACCAAGTATCCAAGTAATGGCAGCATCTACACCTGGTTAGAGGAGCAAGTGCTTCCGAGTTCATTGAAGGACGAATCTCGTAGAGGGGTTCCAGCGCTTGCTGTCGTCAATACTGGCGCCATTCGGTTTGACATTTTCAAGGGACCCTTTACCCAAGACACGACTTTCATAGTGTCCCCCTTCACAAGTGGATTTCGATATGTGAAGGATATTTCCTATGACAAAGCACAGCTAATCGTAGAGGTTTTGAATAAGCAGCCGCAAATTCTGGCCGAATCGCGACGTCGAAGAGACTTTGGTCTCGCTCCGCCCGAGCAACTCGCGTATTCAGGCCGCGCACTCACAGATGAAGACTCTCTTTTGAAGACCCAAATGGCCTCTGGTGTCTCTTCAGGTCAAACTCCTCTTTCTGGCAAAGATGATGCCGAGACGAAAATCTTCCCCGGATACACCACGAAAGACGACGCAGGCACTGATGGCGATGATACAGTCCACTCGCCAATTTCATTCTACCGTGTACCCAATTGCATCCAGTCTTTGGTTTCCTCCAACATGTCTACTGTTCCGGAAACGGTAGACCTAGTGTACATCGATTTTATAGAACCGTACGTAGCTCTTGCAGCTAAATTTGCCGGTCTCGATGTCGATTTTACGAAGGAAGCTGATATATACATGCGCTATATGACTTTGACGAACCTGATCTTAAAATGGATCAAAGAGAATTGGGAATGTGGCGACGCATGATATCCAACCCCATGAGATTGTCATTTCCGTTGTTTACATAATTCTTAACATTTCGCTGGCGCATCTTTGTCTTGATGGAACATGACCTGTCTCATGTATCACATCCCTCTAATCATTGGAAACTGACTTTTTGTATTCCCTTACCAAGCAAATAGATATATCCTAATAGCATTGTTTATACACCCAGAACTGGCCATACATGATAAACAGTCTATCGTCTGTTGATGAGTTACAATAAATAGTTAACTTTTAGTCCTCACTTTCCCACTTAAATATGCCTTTCCCAGACCGGAAACCACTCAGAGTTTCCTGCGCAGCTGCTGCGAGCTCGGCACCCTCCGTGTCTGCTGTCCATTTAATCTCCTCCACCGGGATATCTTGGAATTTTCCTGAACGAGTCATGTCAAGAACATCTTTGATTGTGTTCTTTTTCGCATCAGGGTTCTTGTCACCCCATCGGCTGACCCAGAAACCATCAAATACGAGATTCTTGAAGATCAATAAACCCGAAGGCAACTCAACAGGTTGCCTTGACATTGCACCATAAGTGACCATATGGGAATTTGGGGCAAGAATCTTCGCCAGCGCAGTCGCGTTTTTGCCACCCACACAGTTAAGGGCCAAACGGATGGGCTCCTTGCCTTGACGGGTGAATTCTTTAAGCATATCCCTGAATTCGCGCGAGAGCAGTTCGCTCTCGGTAATCACTGCAGTCGCACCTAAACGGTAGAGATCTTCCTTCAATGCGTTTGTCTCTTCTGGGGTCTTCCTTTCCCTGATGACATTGAGTGTCTTAAGGCCCCATTGGTGCGCAAGCTGGATGGCAGCTCTCCCCACGCCGCTGTTGGCTCCGTTCTGAATTAGCCACTCCTCCCCAGAGCGCAGCCAGTCCCAGTCGCAGAAATCCTTAATCATTCGGTATGCGGTAACAGGGTTGACACTGACAGTACTAATCTGCAGCGGAGTCAAACCAGTCTTGTCCTCGATCTTTATTAGCTGAGACTCATCCAGCTGGGCATGCGTCCTCCAGGTCCCCTGTCCTGTTCGCTTCATGATAACCCAATCGCCCTTCGCAAGGTCCTTAACTCCTGAACCAACAGAAACTACCTCGAATGCACCCTCATTCCCCGCAACGGCGGATGGTGCGCCTGTACCAAGAGTAGTCTCAAAGGGTGGTTTGCTCGGGTATACGCCTTGGATCTGGTTGATGTCTGCCGGATTCAGAGGCGCAGCGAGGAGACGGAGATTGACCTTGGTACCATGGGGAGGGGGGATGGAGTGTTTATGGAGGCTGGTTTTGGTGTGAGTAGGCAGTGGGATAATGATATTCGACCCATTAAGGCTCCAAAAACCGAAAAGAGAAAAAGAGTTCCCACGTACTGTAAGACATCTTTAGGCTCGCCATATTTCGAATACACCAGCGCCTTGGCCTGGGTATATCCGTAAACTGAAATATACCTTCTCCCTTCCGTCAATCGACCGGAAACTCTATTGCAGAACTCACTCGTAGAGAATGGGCTAAAAGGAGCAGTTCCCGCTTTCATTGTAAAGCGTCCGCTGCTCGCGCAGCTTCGGCTGGCCACTCGCAACACACCAGTGGACAACATTGTCATTGCTGATATACGCTTCTTGACTCCTAGCCGAAGAGGTTATTGATCCAAGAGAGGAGAGGAGAGCCTGGGACTGCGGGGAGTGCTGGGCAGTCAAATTGTTATTGTTATGGTGATGACGTCGTCCAGCCAATGACCTCGGGTAGGCGTCCGTGACGGCCCGGGGTTGTTGAGTCTTTCACATTTGCTAGTTGGCCGGTGAGATACCTTACGTACGCACATATTCCCGTCCATCCATGCAGAGACCTAAATGTCCCTTCTGCGCGAAGCTGAGAGATGTATCGCTAACCAGAAGGCTTATGCTGGCCTCAATGCCTTCGTAACTCCCTTGCAACACTCAGCGCAGTGTCTCAGTAAGGTGAGGGATGCCGAGTTGAGGAAGGAGCAAGGTATGGACCTATCTGCCTTGTCTGCTGTAGGCTGTTGAATCTGACTGGTGCAATTGTTACGATTCCAAAGGAAAACCAAGGTCTAAAGTTGATGGGCGCCTGATTTCTGTTAAAGATAATATTTGCACCCATAGTCTTCCAACAACATGTGCGTCCGGAATCTTGGACGGGTTTACTAGTCCTTTCAGCGCTACTGTGATCGAGCAATTGGAAGATGCTGGAGCCGTTGTGGCAGGGAAAACCAATCTTGATGAGTTTGGTATGGGATCGCATTCTATCAATTCGCGGTTTGGTGCTGTCAGGAATCCCCGTCAAGATCGGGGCGAATATCTTTCTGCAGGCGGCAGTTCTGGTGGGAGTGCCGTCGCAGTTGCCGCAGGCCAATGTTATGCGTAGGTGATAATCTTCATTTACGCCATTTGAAGTCCCGCAGCTTTAGCTGATACACTTTATAGAGCATTAGGTACAGACACTGGAGGCTCTGTGCGTCTTCCCGCTGCATATACAGGAACAGTCGGTTTCAAGCCATCCTATGGACTCATCTCACGATGGGGAGTAGTTGCGTATGCCAATTCCTTGGACACTGTTGGAATTCTGGGCAAAAATATTTCTGGCGTTCGAGATATTTTTAGTACGTCTCTTCCCCACTGTGGTGGTCGACCACCGCATTGTCGACGAATATATATACTTATATGTATGAAGGTATTTTGAATAAGCCTGATCCGCGAGATCCAACGTCTCTTTCATATTTATCGCGCTCTCGGATCCTTTCTAACCTCCAAAGACCACCTCTCGCATCTCGAGGAGCCTCGTCGCCTCTCCGAATCGGCATCCCTATTGAATACAACATCACCGAACTCGCGCCATCTGTTAGGCATGCCTGGCTCCTTTCTCTAGAGCATCTTAGAAAGCAAGGCCACACCATCCACCCAGTTTCTTTACCAGTAACAAGGTTGGCCCTATCGGCATACTATGTTCTCGCTCCTGCCGAGGCATCTTCAAATTTGGCAAAATATGATGGTGTCCGTTATGGGAATCGCTATGAAGATTATGATAGCGAGAACCAGCCGGACGGGTACGTGTATGCCAGGACCAGAGGTGAATTGTTTGGCCCAGAGGTGAAGAGGCGAATTCTACTGGGCACTTTCAGTCTGAGTGCCGACGCAATCGATAACTACTTCATCCAAGCCCAGCGTGTACGACGCTTAGTGCAACATGATTTCAATGCGATTTTCAAGGCAGAACACCCGTTGGTTGCTCGTTCTGAACACAAAGCTAGAAAGAATCCCGAGCAGGCTGACGTCGATGTTATTGTCTGTCCTACTTCTCCGTCTCCCCCACCGCAGTTGTCAAGCCTGATGGGTCCTGGCAGTATGTCATCCCCCTTGAATGCATATGTGAACGACGTTTTCACTGTTCCCGCCAGTTTGGCTGGTCTTCCAGCAGTCTCTGTTCCGGTATATGTCACCGATGACACTCAAAAACCGAAAAAACCGGACTTGGTCGGTATCCAGGTTGTCGGTCAATACGGGGATGACGCACTTGTGTTGAAGGCCGCCGAGCTTCTGGAGGGCAAGCTACTTGTGGGTTCGTTTCAGGAGTTCAGCCAAACATAATATTTTCTCCTTTTCTCCTTTTTGCAGAGGTAGAGAACCGATTCTATGTAGACACTATATGTCCTAAAAAATGCGAGGAAAGGGGTGTATGACCGCAAGAATTTTCCCTACTATGTTGGGCGTGCCAGATGCAAACGGTACTTCAAGAATGGATATGAAGAAAACTAACTGCAGAGGACTAGTCTCTGATATCAATTCAGAACAGCTCCAGGACTTTCTGGTCCTCATCCTGGTCCTGCTGTGTCCCCGCCTCTGCTTGTGCTTTGGCGTCAAGGAGGGCTGCTGCTTCTCCCGTTCCTTCACCTTCTTCATCTCGCAATAGGACCTGGACGATTCTATCACAGGCTTCCCGAACGTCATCGTCGTCGACATGGAGGTGGCACTCCCGGATTATTGGATACACTTTAACCGCCCTCATTCGATCCCGTCCCTCACGCGTAGTTGTCAATAAAAGTAGTGTTTCCAGGTGTGTCACGACGATACTGTTGTCGCTCTCTCGCTTTTTATCCGGTGGCAGCAGTTGGAGATCTGGCAGCATTTCCATTGCCTCTTCCTCTGAAAACTCTTCTGGTCCAGTAATTGGTAACAGTATATAAGGGAGAAGGTTTGCTTCATCGTCAGAGAAGAGCATCGGATGAGATGGGATGTCAAACGCAACATTCTTTATCGTGGAAGCCACTCCCTTTCTGCGAATGACACTTTCATGCTCCGTGAAGACGGTCAGTTTTGTTATAGGGACAACACCGTCATAATCCTGTCTAGAAGTAAAATACTGCCGGCCTTGATCTGACCTCGAAAGATCAGCAAAGAGGTAGGACAGGTAATCATAATTAGCATGTTTGTTTAGAGAACCCTCGGCGCCTTTCACGAAGCAATCCATCAACTGATCGATTGCCTTCGGAGAAGTCGACACAGCTTCCGGGATTTTTCGTTTTAGAGTCAACAGTTTCTCTAATTTATCCGATTTTGCGAGATTCGCAAGCAGCATGGATATTTCGTCCGCATTTGGTTCCTTAACATTCTGATGCGATAGACAAGTCAGTACATTATCAGGCAACAAATGATTTCTCTTCCCATTGCCCTTTAGCCGTAGACACTAACAGTTAATTTAGCCAGCAGCGTTTCAAGAAATACATCATCTTCAGTGAGATTAGCCAACACCTCCTGATCAGCGGATAGATTGATCAAAATCGTCAGGGCATTCTTCGAAATGGGCTGCTCGGAAAGGTGTGATAGCGTGTCAGCAAGGAATCTCGCAGCCCAACATTTTCTTCTTAGGAATGAGAGAAAAACTAACTGTATAATCGCGAACCAAAAGTTTCAAGTCTCGTACAGGTAAGAGCTGGTGACGTTTAAATAAATTCGGCTGGGCTGTCGAGAAGCCGACAAGATTTTCACATGCTATTATAATTATCGAAAGTCAGCGACTCCAAATAGCAATATTCCAAAAGAAAGTTCACAGCAGCTTCTTGGGGGGACTGAATTACCAATTTGCCGTATCTGTGTGTTGCCATGGTGGAGGAACTCAACAAGCTGAAAAATATAATAATTGATCAGTATTCGAGGTTTGCCTAGGCATGAATATGCAGTTACCCACCTCTTCCAATTCTGTCGGCATTTTCCACAGAAAATTGAGCTGAAAAGAAGTTGCGTAGTAGTAGTAGTAGACTACTTCGTAATTTTAAACTTGATGGGAGCAACAATCCCCCGCCTTTCTTTTTTTTTAGAGGGTCTCCATATTGTTGACGTCACCAGCAATAAAACACAGAGGTACTCCCTTCATAGAAAGCTGCACTTCTATCTATTCACCATTCCACTTTTCTTAACTTGTCAGGATATAGTATTTGTTGTTTGCTACATATATGTATGTTGTCTATACATATGCAGAGAGTACATCTTGGCAGTATTATTCCCCTGTCTTTATATGCACATATTATTATGGACTGTCTCCACTTGAGTTATCAATAGCCAGTGAGAATGCCATCAGTGTTGCCTGCATTGTTTCTCCTTCCTATTACCTTAGCTTGCTCCTGTTTCCAGAATTTGCACACTCTCTGTTAGGCCTTCACTTGAAACATGGCTGGGAATACTAGTGACAATGCACCTAATCTCCGCGGAATTCATGACTTCCTTATCACACTGGCCTATAGGGCAGGGGAGATTATCACCAATGCTCTCCCAGAGATTAGTGGTACTGACTCAAAAAAGAATAGTTAGTGTGACCTGAGATGCTGGTTTTGCATACTCTTGAACAAGATACTGATATGCTTTGGGGCTTCAGGTGCGGATCTTGTCACTCAATATGACAAGGCTGTTGAAGATGTGATCTCGACTTCTTTAAAAGAGAAATATCCTCACTACAAGTATATTTCTCTGTTATTCTAGCTATGTCATGGGAATCAACTCATTTTTGGGCTGACAATATCCTTCTCATTCTACCTTGTAGATTCCACGGAGAAGAAACTTATGATCCAGCCCACCCCCTGACTAGTGCGCCTACATTTGTCGTTGACCCCATTGATGGGACGGTTAACTTTGTGCATGGCTTTCCACAAGCCTGCATCTCTCTTGGATTCGCTGTTGACTGCATACCTGTTGTCGGAGTGGTGTTCAATCCGTTTACCAAGAGCCTTTATACTGCCATTCGCGGTGAAGGCGCATTCCTAAATCGTAATACGAAACTTCCACTCAAAGGAGGCAACCTGGAGCCTCTTCAAGGCTTGGAAAATGCTCTGATTGCTGTTGAATGGGGCTCAGATCGTGATGGCAGCAATTGGGAAACAAAAGTCCGCACCTTCGAAAAACTCGGTCAAACAAAGGAAGCAGGTGGTTCAATGGTGCATTCATTACGCAGCTTAGGATCAGCTGCTTTGAACCTCTGTGCTGTTGCGACTGGTACTCTTGACCTTTACTGGGAGGGTGGATGCTGGGCGTGGGACGTTTGTGCCGGATGGGTGATCCTTGAAGAAGCTGGTGGCATTGTCGTCGACGGGAATCCCGGAAACTGGAAACCACGTCTTGACGGACGGAAGTACCTTGCCGTTAGAGCTTCTCCAGACGGCAGAGGCCAAAAGGAAATTGTTGAGGAATTTTGGAGCCAAATCCAAGGGCGGCTCGAATATTGACCTTAAACTGGACTTGATTACATACCCAGAAAACGGTATGTTGGCGCATTTACCCGAGACCTGTTCTATACTGGCTGTTGATCTACTGGATCCCCTAGTTGGGACTATTGACTTTCATTGTATGTAGGGTAAATTTGTCCAGAACTGCATATAGTATTTGCAGGCTCACCCAGCTCTATTTTTCACAGGAATACTAAGACTTAGCTCGCACTCTGCACCCCAGATAGAAAGGGTTGGAGCCAGCTAACCTAACCGCCTGGCAAGTTTTGGGGGTCTCATAAGCAAACATTGGATCTGTACTACAAACTCTTCCTGCTAATATCCATTCTACTGGCACATATCTTGGGATACCTGTCATAACCAGCCACACTATGCTGTGCAATACGCAGTTACAATATAGAACCATACGAGCAAGCTCCGGGTCAGTTTCTAAATGGTGCTAGCGGACGATGTCCGCTTCAAGAAATAGCATAGCTTTTTTGATGGGATGTAAGGGTTTGAGGTGAGTCCTGAAAGGTTTGGTCGGGGCCGGTAACTTCGAAGGTCTATTACTATTACCGGTAAGTAGTATCTATATTATTTGGTGACTCATGCATAATGATAATTCCCGTAGTAGTCGACTGCCTTGAACTATACTTACTCAAAAAAACGGCGCAGTCTACACAAGGGTCGTATCACCAGATTCATATTGCATGGCCCTGCCAGGAGAGGCGAATTGCATGAAAGGACAACCCCACGGTCAGCAGCAATCACCCGTATTGCGTCAGTGCCCCGTCGTGGGAGCACCTAGGGAGGGCTCGTCTGCCCCTCAACTTCATCACCCGAACTTGTAGCTCCGATATTAGGCGGTCTTGCTTTTTCTACGGATTCCTCCAGTATATCGTCCAATTCGGCCATAGCAGTGTACCCAAAGTGGGTATCAACGAGATGCTTCACTACCGGCCACCCGTACGCATTTGGGAACATCCTGCGCACGATTATATTGTTATGCGCATCTGGTTCCAGGCGTACAAGGACTTTGCGCCATGACAGATCGCGATGATATGCCCTAGCAATCTTTTCTTCCACCCTCAATCCGCTTTCTGGATCATCCCAGCTATGATTCGAAGTTTGAGATAAATTTGAGGGCGAAGCAGGGCTAACATTGACACCCTTACTATGAGAAGAACCTAAAGTGAAGGCCCGTCGTTTGGAAGGTAATGGAGGCGGAATATCCTCCGGATGATAGACACGGTCATGAAAAATAGTACGAGGTCGAGAAGAGGGGTCGGCAATGAATTCAGCTGGTGGTAGGGGTGGCATTAGAAGATCACCGGCAGATTCGAAGAACGTGGTCCTTGGAGGTGCATTTAGACCGTCATCATCATAGACGGAGTTGTCACTGGGCATCACTGAACAATGTGACCGATCAGACCGGAAAGTCCCGGCAGGGTCGCCAAGGGTGTTTAGAGTCTGGCTGCGTTTGAAAATCTTTGCCTGCTTATTCCGAAGATTTCTATCTTCTTTCTGTCGAAATATCGATAAGAAATTGTCCAGTGGGCCAATGGAAGGAGACGGCGAAGAGTTCTCCTTTAAGCTAGGCTCCAGCGTCAGAGCGCGGCAATCCGACTGCTGAGGGTCCCCAGGGGAATGTCCAGGTGCTGGAGCTAACGGCTTAGCGCCAGAGGATACATCTTCAACGGATCGCTTGGGCCGCAGTGGTATCCCGCCCGGAAGACTCCCTTTCTTGGCATGTTCGCCTTTGTCGCAAGTGTCTTCAAACCCTTCTTCGAGGGTAGGACGACCGGTCCTGGGGACTTTTGAATTTGCTCCAGTCAATTCAGCCCAACCCCATTCAGCCATGGTTCCAACAAGCCCATTGCCTCTACTTGCCTTTTCAACTCGATCTAATCCTTTCCAGTCGAGGAAGAACAAGCAGGATGTCCGTAGGGGAACAATGCCATCATTCACCACATTGGAATAAATGGTACGGTGTCGGAATTTGAGAAGGACATCACGCGCAGGGCCATTGGGTAGAACCCTCAATAGAGGTTTAGAACCAGGGTCTGAGTGTCCATTTTTGTTTTGGGATTCACCACCTTTCCCCCAATCAAGGCCCCCAACCACTTCTCATTTTAGGTGCAATCCAACTTAAGCCCAAGTCTTGACCTGACCGGCCAACAAGCCCAAAATCTAAAGCAAAACGGATATATAGGGGGTTCTCGTTGCTGAGACCAAGAAATGGCGTTGCTAATGCTATGAAGTTAACGGGTCTAATTAGTTCGAAGAATTGGGGAGAGTGTTTCTGAATGTATGCAATAGCATATGTCTGGACAAGACCACCGAGTGAGTGCCCGATGAAGCTGATGCTTGTGATTCTGTAAGCATGGCCTTCATCCTCTAGCAAGTTCTCATGAGTCTCAGAGGCGGGAAGGGAGCCGGTGGTAGTCGACCCTGTTTGGGCTTTACGACGACTTAACGATTGAGAAAAATGTCTCTTGCCGCTTTTTAAAGGCAAGTATGGCTGGTCGGGATAAGTCATAAGTAAGATGTATTTCGCGAGACGTTTGCCAAGGTATTGTATCCCACGCTCAGTGCGGACAGCATTCCCAGGGAACCCTCTGACTATAACTTGCTCGTCATCATCATTGTCATAGTTGTTGTCGTCACTGGCGCAACTAGCATTCTCACATTGGCGGTTAGAATATAGCCCGGTGGATGTCCAACAAAATATGGAAGCCTGCCGCATTGCTGACAACATACCTCGTTGAAGAGCAGTTTATGCCGGCTTTCTGATTTCCTCTAATTCGATCTTTTTTTGCCTGTTCTCTTACCTTCCTGGCTTTCCTGGCAGCCATGTCAATACTTTCTTTCAGATAAAGCATATCTGCCCCAAGATTGCTTAGCAGCCCATGAGTCAGTACAACAAGATGCACTCTCTTCTTTCTTATTTTCTTGCCCGGTATAGCCATCGAATCGAGCCCAGCTGGGTCCATAGCAGAAGCTTTCACGTTTTCTGTCACGCAATGTGACTTTCCATCGTCCATCTCCTCCTTTTTCTGGAACGACGGGAACGGGGGGGAGTTCCAAAGACTAGCCGTATCATCTACAGTCAACACAATTGACTTAGAATATACCCCCTTTGTAGCGATAGCCTTTTCACCCTTTCTTCTCGAAGCCCAGTGTTCGTGAAGCTGAGGTGGAGAAGGCAGTCCATTAACTGATACGCCGCTCGAAGAACATAGGTCGATCGACTTCTCATCGCGGCCAACTATGAGTTCAAAATGGACTGCTGCAGAACTCGAAAATACCACTTGGGATACGATTTCAATTATCCAAGTCACGCTTCGATCGTGATCTTCCTGCCTTTGGACACTCAAGGTGGGCTGCTGAGAAGTCTGACAAAGATGCCCAGGCACAGCGATGACAGCATCCCAATTCCCACCTGCTTTCAGGTATGGTTCAAATTGAGGGATCCCTTCAGTGTCGCTGCCAGCGTATTTGGCATTCGGATCAAAGGTGGACGGGTAACAAGCGGTATAAAGCGTGTATGGACCGTGGAGGTACGCAGCTCGCAAGGGAGTCGCTGACGTATTCTTAACTCGCACAAATAGCTTTTCTGGAGGGGGAAGAATGGTGTCTGCCGTTGGCGTGTAAGTTAATGTATATCTGTTTCAACTCCGCAACGTTAGTCATCTGGGATAAGGAGGTAATGGCTGAAGAAAAGGGGGCGCAGAAGCCAATTCATTTCACGCTAATGACGCTCATTAAGGGAGTTTATGGAAGGATTTGTTGAAAGCCCTGAATCACAAACCTAGCTACCTCGCCCACACGGACTCTCCCAGCCTGATGGATCAACAGCATTTGAGCGCCTTGTTCGGTACTTGTGGGATCCGCATGCCATCCCGAGAATGATTTGAATTTATGGCGCCTGTTACCACTCGATAGAACCATTCCACTGTCGGGTATCTGGGAAGCAGAGTAGGTGCGGGAAGTTATCAACATCGAACCCGGGGAGAGGTATTCCCATTTACTACCGGCGATTCGGTTCTTCGGGACGGAGAATTTATAGGCACGGCTGTATAAGTAGGTAGGTATGACAATTTGATTTCCAAAAAAAGGCAAAGGGGAATTAAAATGGAAATAAAGTTCGCTGAGGCCACGCGCGGCGGAGATGAAGTGATAGCAGTCAACAGGTAAAGCAATGGCATATCTGTTGGTCTGAGTAACAAGGCGCTACTGTACTCAAAGTGCTATGACATTTTTCCTAGGTCAATATATCAATCTCCTGTGCCAATGCACTAACATTCATCTATTACTCTGTACCTTCTACCTAGGTACCTAGCATCTATCTACTGCCTAAGTAATCCTAGGTAATCGTCCCAGAACACGCAGGAAATGTAAACATATCGATTCCATCTATTCCGACCAAAGCCATGACCAAGGGAACTTCATAACCTCATGTCAAGGTGTACAAGTGATTAGGTTCAGCAAATGCTTTGTTTCTTTGCACACTTCCATCCATCCCCCTTGCTGCACAGCAATAATCTTTCCATCAACACATACGCGTCTCCATCTTTCGTCCTCCTCCTGGAATTCAATTCTTACATGTTCGACTTCCACGTAGGTCACAGCTTGCTCATGCACATGTTTCCCACTTTGGTACGCCAAGGCCATCAGATGCATGGCTTGATCTGGTGGCAGTGGGCCAAAGCGGATAACTCTCATTCGACCGTCAAGGGGCTTTGAATCTGGGGAAATCCGGAAGTCTTTTTCGAGATGCGAAACTAAAGTAGCCAACACATACATGTGCTGGTTTTGCTTTATTACCTCTGTGCACCTCTTCCCGGTCTTGCGATCGATCATAGTGAAAGTAACCACGCCATTATATTTATGAGTCTCGGTACCGCTGGAAGGATAGAGGAGCTCTTTTGCAGCCATTTTGAACCTATCGGCCCCAAACTTGCGATACTCCGCCGTGTCGCTATCTGCTACCAGCGCAGCGTGCATGCCCCAGCTAGCAACAATGGCACCATATATCCTGGGTGGCTGGTTCTTGGCTGAGCATCCGACATTCGGAGGGATCCGGCTGTGACCCTCTTCAACAATATACTGCGACTCTGGGGAGAAACTGGCACAAAAAACGGGGATAGGCACCGGTCGCCCTCGCAACAGAGTCATTAGAGCTGAAATCGGGCGGTCTAGGAGACCAATGGAGTTCGCCATGGCATTTCCTGTTCCACTCGGCATAATAGCGATATTTGGTGGTGTAAACTGTTTCGTTTCCAAATCTTTATTTCTGTAGAATACATCAATCACATCGGCCAAACCTCCATCCCCTGAGACCAGTATGATGGTTTGGGGAATCCCAATTTGAGAAAGCTTAAGGAATTTTGATCGGGTCAGCTCAGTGATCGTCTGGCTAGAGCTTGTTTCATGAACTTCATAATCAGCCAATCCCAGGAATGATAGAAAAGGCTGCACTGCATTATCAAAAATGCCCTTTGCACTTCCTGTTCCTGAGCCGAATGACAGGATAACATGAATTTTCGCCCCCTGGGCTCGAAAAGAGGCTGTGAGATAGCTAGGTATCTCAACACAAAGGTACTGGGATAATATTGTGGATGGCAGGAAAGAAGTATGGATGCATTCTAGGTGTGTGCATTCTCTTTGACTATTCGATTGTGTCTCTTCAAGCGGCCTCTGAAGGAACAATACCCTATATCCAAGTCCGTCCTCTGACGAATCAGGTAAGGCGCAAAGTATGTCATCGACAGCAATTGTCAATTGGCCATTTGTATGTGGATTCTCACAATGGAGTGTGGTTCCAGTTAAGCTGCATACAAACTGGCTGGCTTCAGGGTGGACAGACTGTGATGATCTCATCATGTTTTGCCGCGTAAATCAATGTCAGCGATTTCCGCAATACTATATACAGTATTAATCATCAGTATCATTATTATATAGCAAGCTGCAAGGCAGCAATTTGCAATTTGAGAATACTTACTATTTGCCACACGAGTGGGTTGTATTTCCATGTGCTCCGTACGGAGTATTATTATTGTAATGATATCCCTATGTTGGTAGAGATGCTGTCTCAACACAGTTTAGCAGACAATTTTGTAAATCAATTGTGGCGTATTAATACCATTCAAAGTGCTGTCTGTCTGATATACAGCATTAAAATGGGGTTGATATATTCACAGTTAGATGTAGCTAACTAACTAGGGGATATGCAGTAATGTCAGCATCTTGGGTTGCGCTTAACGTATTTCACTAGTGAGCGCCGCACCTCCACTCCGATTCCTGCCCATGGGCTAATTACTAGAGCCTTTATCAACCAAACAATTGCATTTCTGTATAAAAACTAATTACTATGTGGATTAGGACATCTAACTCTAGTATGTCCTCAAATATGACAATTAGAATACTGCAGTGGCACTTATATATGTGGCCTAACTATAGAAAGTGCTGGATCTATAGAGATGGTATCCAGAGCTTTCTGAACCTTATTTTCACATTGAAATCACTCCAGACCTTTTTGAAGAGATAAGCCCTCTTTTATAGCTAGCTGTCTATTGGATTTCTTCTATTTTTGGCCTTCTTATTTATTATTAGCATAATGTTTGCATATTTCTTTCTTTGTAAGAATAAGTGTGATAATCAGCTATAATAAGATAAGAAGAGGAAAATAACTCACTATTTGCTGTACTGTCTAGGAATATTGTATATAAGAAGAAGAAGAAAAGGGAAAAAAATAAAAGATATGGTAGGGAGGAAATAAAAGGTGAGGATATGTTAAAAATATTGTAAAATCTTAGATCTCTTATATTTCTTATCTCTGAACACTGTAAAGCTGTGGTTTCTGACATATTAATATATAATAGAGCCTACAGCTGGAGAATGTCAGGGCCCTTGCCATGTAGACCAGGATGAGTACGTGAGCTTCCTTACTTGGATTAGCGTGGCGCGTGGATAGGAGTACGTCGTCCAGCTTCACGTAGATCTCTTCCTTTTTCCTTCCTCTTCATGCTTGAAGTTCTCATCGATAGCTGCCTAGATAGCTGAATAGCATCCTATTCATTGTCTAGTTGAGCTCTGTGACAGAGAATATTTAATTAAATATTTTTTTTTAGATAATTATAAGAAATTAAATATTTTTTTAATTTTTAAATTACTTTATTAGTATTGCTATTATTATATAAAATAAAATAAGACTCTTTTATTATTATATTATTTTTTTATTAGATTATTTGGTGCTGTGTGGTATAGCAGCATCACTTTAATATATCTATCTTTAAGATCTTTTAATCACAACTTAGTTCCTGTCTCAGGAAACAATATATATATGCCCTTTTTTACAAAGATAGTTGCTTACCTTAGCCCTAGCTTTATACCTTATTTACTTAATCTGCTAGCACCTTCTAAGATATACTAATATTAAGGTCACATGCTGATAATTATATCTTAGGTATGTTCATCACAACAAGCTTATTAAGTATTAATTTATAATATTTAATAATCTTCTCTAATCATACTTCTAATAAAGGTAAAAGACTCTAAATATATTTTCTAAATAATTTTCTTATAGCAGATGCTTGCTTCTCTAGCTATCTAATAATATAAAATATTTTAAATACTGAATTAGTTGACTGACTGTCTAATAATATAAGAATCTTTATTTAGATATCTAACTTGCTGAACACCTTATCTAAATTAAATAAAATTAGGCTAATACCTATAAAGTTATTCTGGATATTCTTTATTATAAAAGTGTTTTGTGAGCTTGTGAAAAGATTTTAAAGAAATTAAGCTTGTCAATATAGCTAATTTTTAAATATATTTTCTGTTTTACTAATTCACTATATATATTTTTTAGAGACTGAAAATAGCCTATATCTAAAGATTAGAGATTATTAGAAGAATTTATAATTATATAGATAAAAATAATATTATTATTATTATATATTTAATTAAATTAAGATATGAGATAGCTGCTATAGCTATTTATAATTAAAAATTAATATTTCTTAGTTATATAGCAAGTAATGTGCTAAAGGTATTATAAAATCTTAAATCTCTTATATTTCTTATCTTAGAACACTGTAGAACTGCAGACTCTAATATATTAATATATGATAGAGCCTATGGCCAGAGTACTTAATAAAGGGTTCCCTCCTAGATAGTTATAAGAAGGGGAGCATTCTTTTGGTTTCTAGGTTGCTTCACTAGTATTGTCATTATTATATAGAGTAGAGTGAGGCTCCTTTGTTATTGTGTTTCCTTTTATCATTATATCATTTTCTTGCTAAGATCATTCAGTGCCGTGTGGTATAGTGGCATCACCTTGGTATATCCATTCCTGAGATCCCTCGATCACAACCCGCTTCCTGTCGCAGGGAACAACGCACGTACGCCCCCCTTTACACCACCAAGCAGCCAGCCAAACAGCAGATCCAGCCAATTCACACCAAAAACCCCCAGAACTGTGATTCAGCTACAAAAGCAGGCTTCAATGCTCAAAGATCTGCTAAAGCAGCAGTCGAATAGCCCTTTAAGCCCATCAAAAACTATGCTAGATCAGATCATCAAGGGCCACTGCATAGCGCTACACAACACTGCACTTACTAGTACAAGAAAACACAAATCTACATGCCACAAATAAGAAGGTAGTAAAGAAGCGCAATCAGTCAACTAGGCAGATACCTGCAAGAGGGTTTGACCATCAAAGAGGGCCTACAGCTAGTTGCGCAGCTAGATTTGCCAGCAGAAGCACCTGCAGTATATTCACATATGTAGGGCGAATTGTCTGTTCAGCTGGAACAGCCAGCTACTAGGGCTCGGCCAAGGTGTAGTGGATGCAGGGAAATTGGCCACAGGATCAATACATGTAAAAATTGCTATATTTAGTTGAATTGATGGGTGTTGGTTATAATATACTGATTCGCAAATTTCTAATGGGGTTGGGTGTACAGCTCGACCGGGAATTACGTTAACCAGTTAACGGTATAGTATAGATGACTGCCATAATCTGCAGTAACAACTTCTTCAAATATCTCATCCATTTCTATTATTCTAGTAAATTAGTACTACAGAGTACCCATGTGGGTCTAGTCCTGCAGAGCAGACAAGCATTTAATGTACACTTCAATCAACCCAGAGGCCAGTGCTACTTCAGTAGTATTTACTAATACTCCTGTTAAGCTGCAACCAGTGAAATGGGCCCCCCCTTTGGCATAGCAATGGCATGGTTGATAGCCCTCCCAAAAATATATATATCCAGAAATAGACAAGACAAAATGACTCATGTTTGAAGCCAGTAAAAGCCCAGCCATACTCTTTCCCAACTCTACCAGGTGATCATATGCACGATATAGTGTAGTTTGACTATTCCTTGACAGGCCTATGGCCATGAAATTTTGAGGAAAGCGACTTCCCGACTCTTAGCTTCCCCAACTTCCTGCACAGTACAAAAGAGGTCATCATTCATGCATACGCTTCAGGCAATCTCCGGTGAGCAGTGAAATGGGTACGGCATTCCTCAAACATCTGCCATGACATTCATGCTCCCCCCTTTAGCTTCGAGGCATGTTTGTCGCTTAGATTGACAGCAATAAATGTCTTGGGAAGCTTGACTCTATGGTATTTTTCAGCACCACCATATACTAGTTTGAGATACTTGAAGCACTTACGTGTCAAATTTGGCTTTGAGGGTCTCGATAACCTCCTTCCAATCCTGATGAGCAGTCAAGCTTCTTCTAGGCGCGCAGCCAATAGCATGCCTGGAATCAAGTTGCACATCAAGCGGGTCAAAAGCGTGGCAGCCAGGGCTGATTGAAATGCGAATTGAATAAGAATTTTTCGATAGCTCGCTGTCTTTGGCTTCATAGAGCTCGAAGCATATCTGGGATAGGTAATCCAATTCTGGAATAGCACTCCTTGCTATCTTTGTCTGGATGCCACCTTCCAAGATGCAATTCAGAAGCGTGTAAATATGGGACTCTTTTGTGAAATAGAAGAATGACTTTGCATCTGTGGAGGCCTGTACTTCTTCCAGGTCCTGAACAATTTCCTGAAGAAGGGGCAAAGATGTCAACAGCCCAATTTCTAGCTTTTCGCGGTCTGTAATCCCATACTCCTGGGGTGTCACATAGTCGAAAAGAACCTTGGCTAGCTTGTACAGCTCCTTTAGTTTAGCCAGTCTTCTATCCAGCTTAGCCTTTGTAGGAGTGGAACCAGGATACAGCTTGAAATAATGATCATAAGAATCATCTAATGCCCTTAAGTGCGGGATGGACTCGAAAGCACTTGAGTGCTTTTTAAACCTTATCCGATGTGTAAGTTTCTGGTTCTCCGTATGCTCCTCAATCTTTTCGTAAAATTTTGTATCCGGGGCAATTTTACTTTCTCCGTTAGCGACATTTTTCACAGCGCGACTCGAGTTGAGCCCACCCATTTCAACTTCATCATTGAAATCGTCGGGGGGCATGAATGCCCACTCTAAGAATTGTCGGTTGTGAAGTGCGTCGAACTTCATACTGTCATACAGTTCGGAGAGTTTACTGGGATCAACTTTCTCAGTGTCACAAAATTCGGCGAAGAGCTTCTCCCATCTCTCTTTAAAAAGGCCAGGATCTTCGCCAGCGCACCATCGTTTCTGAACCAAATTCGGGGGTTGAGATTCAGTCTCTGAATTGGGCTCATTTGATGATGTAGGCCCGTCTGAAAAGGAAGGCGTAGATATTTGGTTTGGCGACTTATCAAGCTTCTCGAAATTCTCTCGCATGATGTCTCGGTGAAAATTCATAAGTTCGACTACTCTGGCAAGGACAACGGAAGGCTCTGGGATGTTACTGTCTTTTGGCCAAACAAATTGCGATGGTGCAGAACCTTCCCGCAAGAGAACCTTGAGTTTCTTTTTAACTTTATCCATCACATCCTTTGCGGCATTCGAGTCATCAAGGAGATCTTTTCGCACTTGTATTAGGTCTTCCGGAATGTCCTTTTGGTCAAGGAACGAGCATGCCCAGATTTGAGCTTTGAAAAATTGATCAGCAAAACATCCAGTGAGGATTTAAATAAGAGAGAAGAACGCACCACTTGTGCTCACTCTTCCTTCAGAGCTGGTAAAAATGCGGACATTGTTTAGCGCTTCCTTATTCATCAATTTCAGATCATCGCGCATATTCAGCCCTAGGTCTTGAGATTGGTAGCGTGCAGCGTGAGTAGGCTCTCCACCCCATTTGATTACTAGCTGTAACTTATCCAGGATAAGATCATTTTCAGCAGCAGAGAAACGAGAAAATGTTGAACCGGATGTTGATTCATTTTGCGCTTGAGCCATAGGCTTTTCGTTTTCTAAAGAGGCTGCGGTCGGCATAGGTGGCATGGACTCATTATGAAAGCTTCCAGCGGGTAGTGCAAATAGGGCATGTTCGCGCATCTCTTCGGGTCTCCGCTTGCGAAACATTGGCTTTATCTGAACCTTAGTTCCAGGCCAACCACCTTTCTTCTCCAGTGAGAGGCGAAGCAGTTTAAGCTTATCCGTATCCTCAAGTCCATGATCCATCGCGACGTTAACGGCATCCGACACACTAGCCAGGGCGGCCTCTCCTTTAATCACCACCTCCTCTTGATGTCCCTTCAAGAGATCAACAAATGGTTGGCTATGGAAGGTAAATTTGAACTTTTGTTTCGGAGTACGGTCTGCATGTCTTATTACCGCTACCATGCCCTTTAGCTTCCAGGAATGCTTCGAAGCTGGAGGTGGCGGTGCTTCGTTATTGTTAATGTGCACTGACACCCCAGCAGAATTACAACCTGGTGTATTGACAACATGCGGAGCCTGGAATCTCTCTTTAGAGTTCAATGCACCGAAGTTGCTGCCATAGTCAGTGTTTTCGACCCCATGTAACAGTGCAGATCTAGTGCCAATAGGTGCATCTGAAGCACCAAACTCATTGCCTTTTGTCTGCTGGCCACCGTAAAGCCTCGACGAGCTCGCCGATTTCAATAAAGTCTTTAATCCGTGTCGATGGGATGGCATATTGCCCCTCTTGGATTGGCCGAAACCAAGAAGAGAATCGGACGGGTCGAAACCCCCTTGAAGCCTGCATTTCTCTCTCAGAAACATATCTCTGAGGATATTGGCACATTTGTCGTAATAATCATTGTTATCTTTGACAAAGCTCCATCCATTGACATCAATGACATAGCTTCTTTCCTCAACGCGAAGCATATCAAACCCGCAAATCCGCTGGCCAAAACCATTCGATATCTTCGTAGCCATGGCAGCCTCTTCCTTACTCAATTTAGTTATGTACCTTAACTCCTTGCCATGAGTATTGCGACGAACGAGTCCGTCAACCACAGGAGACTTCCGTGTTTCTGCGTGACAAAAATCAGGCCCAACTGTATAGGCCTTGACGTCTTCTGCGTTATCAACTCGTAAGAATTGCTCGTATAAATAGCTGGTGTCCTTTTCTGTCACCGATCTGGGGACAATAAGGTTGCTGTCATATTCAGAACTTTTATTCCCAACTTTTCGAAACAGCCTTCTACCACCACCGCCATACTGTTGGTCGTTAGGGAAGTAAATATGAATGTTGTGATCTTCCCCATTCACGGGCTTCTCGACAAATGGTTTCCTAAAAACCTTCCCGTCGACAATCAGCGCTTCTCTATCCTCGGAGAGTGACACGTTTTGGGTTTTGCGAGCACCCCCTCCTGTTCCATCCTCAGGTCCTTCAAGTTTGACACCGGTTAATTTGTAGACATGTTGAGCAAGTTCTGGCGATTCCAAAGTTGGACCGCCATCCCGGTTGACTTCTATTCTCTTCGGCGTCGGAACACCCATGTGATCCAATATCCTCAGGCAAAGTCGGCGATCCCACAGGACTTTTTGCATAGGTAGGTCGTTAACACAGAACGGTTTCCTGAGTTTTGCATAGGCAATGGCTTTGTCTAGGGGGAACCCATCTGAGAAAAAGGCTATCAGAAAGTCACACACTGGCCAGTTTTCTACAGCCTCGTCCAGAATAACCTTGTCACCGAAGACAATCACTTCAAAGTCACCTTTCGATTGAAGGCGCGTAAGAATATTCTGACTTGGTTTGCTGCGGGCTTTCACATCCAGAGCACAGACGCCGATCCTGCCTACCGTTCGGATTGTGGATTCCGTTTCATTGACAGAATTGGCAGTCGGTCCTCCATTTGGAACACGACTTTCGGAACCAGTATCGGACGTTGAATCGCACTTCCCTAATTCGGCTTGGTTTGCTGGGGGATATTGCAGGCTTCCTTTGGATAAAGAAACAAGAGATTCCGAAATTGAACTTAATGACGATCCTTCAGTAGTGCGGAGTAGCGAGGATGCATCTTGTTTCGAATTATCATGTGCCGCGATGCTCTCGGAGGAGCCTGCATCGACAAAAGAAGAATCATTTGGACTGCTATCGTGACTCATTGGTATCAATCTGGAAGAATACATTGGAGAGGATACTAGGCAGGTACAATGTTTCTCAGACTCGAAAAACGAAAAAAGAGTGAAAGATCTTGGCGAAGGCTTGGGAAGACGCTAAATAGAGCCAATGACGTCGTCGTAGAAACTCAAATTGGACAACTGCGAAGCACTGCTTAGTGCTAGATAATGACCGGTTTGGATGACAATGGATATTGGATATTCACTGCATGAAGCTGGGCCAATTGTGGCAAAGACAGCTATTATCTGATCTTATTCAAATGTGAACATGCCAGGCCGAAGTTTCTGCCTTTCCCAATCGAATGTTTCTTCCCGAATTCAGATCTTTTCGCGTTGCGGAAAATTCATGTTGGCTCACTTGTTCGTTTCCGTATGAGTGTGAAGTGCGCACCGAAATAATTAGTGATGCTCCAGGTCATTCGAAGATTAGCCAGTGAGCTCTTTTGCCACTCTTTGGGCCTCGAGAAGAATCTATGATACTCTCCGCAGGCCCACACATTATCCGACTCTAGCTCAACTAAAGTCTCAAGGTAGCAGATTAGATACTAGTGTGCACATTTTGAGCCGGGCGAGGGGGCTCCGATAACCATGGTTCATTCGGGAGCATGAAATATGCTGTAACAATTTTTTTTTCTGATTTATGATCTTATCTTCGTATATATAACAGAATTTCGGGGTGTGTATTCTGCAGTGAGCTGGCTTACTGCGTAGCTCCGTTTGCTACAGATACACAGCGTATGTTCCTAATTGCGCTGACTGGTACTTATAATGAGGCTACAAGTCAACTAAACGCAGTATTATATATGCTTTAAAAATAGGTATTTCTGCTCTGCAGCGCAAGCGGATATGTTTCGTACTAGAAAACTTCAACACTTCGAGTTCCCCTTTCTGGCTCAGACCTTCTCAGACCTTTGGGTCCTTAAGTATTAAACAGGCAGAATTCGGAAGTATCAACAGGCGGTGACAGGTACGAGACCAATAAAAGAGCTATAAAGCGAGAATAAGGTTTTAGTAATTCACACCGCCTAGGTTCGTAGCCACTCGATTTTTTTAAAAAAAATATTTACATATTATAAAAAAATATCAGGTTCAAAAATCAACCACTTCTCCAACCTGTCATTCATGGAATTACATTGCACTATCACCAAAAGGCTAGTGCTTACAGCAGAATGCCTTCTCTAGGTGATGATGTTTTTGATTATCCTCACGCCAAGAGGCAGAAACGTGCCTCAGGGCAGGATATTTCAAGCAAGCGGCCTCCTACGTCTAGGATCTTTTCTCCTTTCCGAGTACGTCAAGAATCATCATACTATGGCCTCTCACCCAGACTGACTTTTTTTCACCCCATTTGTTTGGTTTTTCTGGAAAAAAGACTCTAGGCTTGGTGTCGCCGACTACTGTCCCGTTTACCTCTGTTCGCTTGGGTAAATCCACTTTCCAGATCACGACTTCTGTAGGCCATGTGTTGCAAACTTATGATTTGCGAAGAGGCTTGAATTTGGTATTTCTCACTCAGCCTCAGACTCCCGAGATTATCACCGCAACATTTGCATGGCAGGACAAAGTCTTTGTGGCCTGGGGAAATCTGCGGCCGACCTCCCCCGGAGGTGTATGGGTTTACAAGCGTGGTAAGAAGATTGCGGCCCTGGAAACGCCCCCTGGATTTGGTGAGCGTGTTGAGCAGTTGCTAGTTTTTGGTTCTTGGATCGTCGGCTCTTGTAGCAGGAGTATAAAAATATGGAAGTCTGGGTCCTACGAGCACTACACGACATTGAGCCCGACTCCGGTTCAGGCCGCCCCCATGGACCCAGTCTATACCGGGAAAATGTGCAGTATGCCGACATACATGAACAAGATTTTTGTTGGGAGGCACGATGGTGCAATTGATATCTGGAATTTGAGAACAGGGCGACTTCTGTACTCTATACTACCGTCTTCGTCAAACGCTGGGCCCGTTACTGCTCTTCAACCAACACCTGCCTTATCCCTCATTGCCGTTGCTCACAGAAATGGCGCGCTCTCCATCCACGATGTTGATGCTGACCGACTCGTCCTAAGTCTAAAACAAGCATCGCCAAGAGCCTCGCCGATTACCTCCATTTCCTTTCGAAGTGATGGCCTCGGTGCCGGTGAAAGTGGTAACAAGCCCGGTGTTATGGCAACTGCCTGTTTAGATAGCGGTGATATTACTTTGTGGGACTTGAACAATGGAGGCCGGGTGGCAGGTGTACTTCGTGGTGCACATTCAATTTCTTGCAATAAGAAGGGGTCTGGAATTAACGGGATTGCATTTTTGGACGGGCAGCCTTTGCTGGTTTCGTCTGCAAATGACAACTCTCTTAAAACTTGGATCTTCGATGAAACTCCTTTCTCTCCTCTTCCCAGACCTCTTCACTCGAGGAAAGGTCAGCCTGCGGACGTCACCGCCCTTGAGTTTTTGCCAGCAGCCTCAGATGGCTCTGAATATAGCGGGAAATGGCTACTAAGCGCAAGCAGAGACTGCAGCCTCTGGGGTTTTAGCCTCCGGAAAGATAGCCAGAACACTGAGCTTTCGCAGGGTGGCGCGGGACGCAGAGCAAAGAAGACAGGGGCCTCTGGCAATGGGGCTGCACAAAATTCCCTGGGGCTGGAGGGATCGAGGGCTCCGGAGATAACCTGCATTGCCTGCTCTCTGAACCGTGATGGTGGGATGGGCGTCACGACATCAGGCCCAGTCTGGGCAAATACGAGCGCTGCAAACACAGATGCTTCTAATGCAACTGGCTGGGAAAGCTTGGTCACCGGTCACCGTGGAGACAAGTATGCCCGTACTTGGTTTTGGGGCAAAAAACGGGCCGGTCGATGGACATTTGAGACAGGTGATGGAACAGAAGTCAAGGTACGGCTATCATTGATATTATGTGGAGCAAATTACTCATGAACTGCAGAGTGTAGCCATGTCGCAGTGCGGGACCTTTGCCCTTGTGGGGTCCGCAGGGGGAAGCATCGATTTGTTCAACATGCAGTCTGGTTCACATCGACAAAGGTTCCCTTCGCGTTCATTAAAACTACTCAATAAAAGATCGAACTTCAAGAGTGGGAATGCGGTTGCTTCTCTGGAAGGCGGAGGGAAGCACACTAAAGCAGTATCTGGTTTGATGATTGATTCACTTAATCAGACGGTCATTAGCTGCGGGTTGGACGGAAGGGTCAAGGTAAGGCCTCGCATTTCCTTCATTCCTGTCTGTGGAACTAATTGTTTCGATTATTGCAAATATAGTTCTGGGATTTCGTATCTGGACTCCTTATTGATGAACTTAATTGGCATCCAATGTCTGCAATCACCGGGCTTCGCTACAACAGTACTAGCGGACTTGTTGCACTTAGCTGCGATGATCTTTCTATTCGTATTCTTGACATCGAAACCAGGAAAGTTGTCCGTGAGTTCTGGGGTTGTGTTGGTCAAATCAACGATTTGGCTTTCTCTAACGATGGACGGTGGATTATCGCTGCTTCTATGGACTCTGCTATCCGGGTATGGGATTTACCGACAGGACATCTCATAGATATCTTTCGGGCACCCGGCACATGTACAGCATTGGCTATGTCCCCAACAGGGGAATTTCTGGCAACAGCCCATGCAGATGCGGTAGGTATCAATCTATGGAGCAACAGGAGTTTGTTTGCGCCTGTCTCTGCGAAGCATATCGACGAGGCTAGCATCACGGATATTTGTAGCCCAATCGTGTCTAGCGAAAGTATTTCAGGGCCGATAGATGCTGCATTTTCAGAAACTTACCAGGATGAGAAAGAAGAGGGGCCAGTACTGTCTACCGGGCAGCTAAGCAAGGAGATGGTGACTCTTAGTGTCGTACCCAAAAGCAGGTGGCAAACATTGCTCTATTTGGACATCATCAAAGTGAGCTTTCCTCTTCCCTCGTATCTGCCATGCTGTTGCTGACATTTAACAGGATCGCAACAAGCCAAAGGATCCTCCAAAACAGCCTGAGAAGGCGCCTTTCTTTCTCCCATCTCTTCTTCACAAGCAGAGCCCTGAAGGGATTGAGAGTAATGGGAGGTTTGAAGACGCTCATATGAAATCCACTATTGAAAGTACTTCTGCCGAGATTTCACGGATTTCTAAAACGCAAAACATGAAACGTATTGATGCTGCAAGCTCTCGTTTTTCCGTGCTCCTACGGTCAGGGTACCAATCTGCCGATTTTGCGCCGTTTGTTGAATACTTGAAGTCGCTCCCTCCAGCCAAAGCCGACCTTGAAATCCGGTCACTTGATCCTCGAGTTCGTGATGGCCATTCTGAGCTCTCGTATTTCGTTGCAGCTTTAACCGGTTGTTTAAGAGCAAAGAGGGATTTCGAGCTCGTGAATGCTTGGATGGCAGTGTTCCTCAGGGTCCATGGCGATATCGTAAGGAAGTGTTCCGAGCAGGATGTTGGCGAGGCTCGTGCATTAAGGGATGCTCTTGATGCGTGGGATTACGAGCAGCAGCTTGAGGGGGAACGTTTGGCCAACCTAGTAGGGTATTGCCGTGGAGTGGTAGCGTTCTTGAGATCTGTGCGTTGAGATTGAAAACCCCCGGGAGTTGGGCCGCTGTGGGATCGCAATGGAGATTATGTACTGCGTATACGGAGTAATTTGCATGTTGTCTTGGGGCAATATGGCTAGAATAATCCACTTATGAGAAGTTCAAACGCTAGATGCTATTACTACCTAGGCAGAGAATGGACATGCGAGGTGTACGAGCCAATTTATTTATTTATAATAAACGATATTTTAAAACCCCAGACTATAGCGCTATAGGTCTTTGATTTCACTGTTCTTGCTCGACCGAGATCACAAGCAACGGCTGTAGTTATATCGATGAATAAATCTCAGCCTGCGCGGCCACACAGTGAAAGGCGGCCCTCAAACACAACGAATCCATAAACGGAGTTTGCGATGTGGCCACGATCTAGCTCGGCCGCGCAAAGCCCCCATATAATTAATTACTTTCCCCAGCTGTGGTAACTCCAGGGCTGCGGATGCTAGAAATTCGATTAGGAAGTCGTAGTGCTTCAAAATAAAGAGGCTTTACGAAACGCACCCCGCAGTACGCCGCATATCTGCAAACCTTAAAATTGTATTATAAAACACTCAAAAGCATAACTAACCTACTACCGTTCATGACAGAGCAGTTCGTAGATGTTGCAATTCGCCCGCTGCATAGATTCTCGGACAAACGGCCATCCTTGGACCTGATCTCGCCGTTTTTTTCCGCAACTAGCCATCCCCTCACCTTGATTTATTTCCGGACAATATTGATCTACATCTTCACTTTGGGGAACCTCCATTGGAAACCTTCGCTCGCACATTTGATAAAATGCATCCACCAAAAGATCTACAGACGTATCATTGAGAAGTTCTTGCGACATTTCACGCCTCGATCTCATCAAGACACGCAGCGGCGGCAGGCCCGCAAGTGCACCTTCAACTTCATTTGCAACGTCTTTCGCCTGAGAGGCAACCCCGATAAGTTGCTTCAGAATCCTTAGTGAGTACAGCACAGCTTGACTTTGGGCCAAAAGGTGTATATCGGCCCAGTCGAGTTTCTTCCCCATATATCCCAGCCTAAGAAAGCGGGTCAGCTGCTCCGGTTTCGGAAGCCTAGCCCTATTTGGTTCCAGATTGTATATTTCACTCAAAGCAAACATCGTCCAGCATCCTGGAGAGGGGCAATCACCAATCATAGCCTGCACCAAGGCCAGACGTTGAGAAAGAGCTCGCATTTCAATAGTAATTTGCCCCTCGCTGACGAGCGTGATTCGATCAACTACTATTCTCTGACCTCTCCGGACGTATTCATGGACAAAGCTGGATCTTCTGGTAACCTGACGGGACATGTTGAGAATAGAATAACCCAGTGTCCTGTAACCTCGACCTGCTACCCAAGCACATCGCCTAGCAGGGTCATCATTCAGAATTGGGAGGTACATGTGCAGAACTCCAGGGGGTGAATTTACATCGTTGTATTCACATTGTGAGAAGATCTCACACACCCTCGCATCAAGGCACTGAGGGAGTTGCCATGTGGTGCTTTCTTCATTCATGACATGAGGACCTACAAAGGGCTGGTATTCCTCCAAGAAGCGAAGGTAATCCGATGTGGCCTTGCATGTCCGAAGTGGATCTTTTGACCGCCGCACTAACGCCGTCAACCCTAAGCGTGGATTCTGTCGCAACTCATAAGCGAAACGCCGAACATCTGCTAAGCCTAATCGACGTGAAAGGGCGGCCGGTGTCAATCTCGAGGCCCTGATCTCTGCTTCGGTCGGTTTGCAAGGATCCCATCCATGCATCACCACCGAATCCAGAAAAAGTACAGAACCGTAAAGTCCAAGGTCATGCAGCAAAAGATCCGAATCATTTGTCAAAACTGCACAGCCTTTTACCCTACACATGTGGGCACAATCAACGTCTGCTTCTCTAGGCACCATAACGGTGATGTCAGCCCAAGGGAAATCATTAAGATTGGGCAGTGATGAACATAGGATGGCATTGGCCTCTTTTGCAATATTCTCCTTGTTCCAACGACACCTTAAATCTTCGAACACGGCCGGCACCATGAAAGGATTTTCAGGGAGATACTTGTATTTGGTAGGCACACTTCGGGCGAGCAGGACTTTCTCGGGATCAATTGCGGAGCGGCCGTTTACAAGGTTCTGTGGTGGTTCTAGGCTGTTTTTGTTTCGAATGCAGAATAACTCATGTTTTAATCTTGACTTTTCCAGCCGATGAAGTCGAGCCTCTCGCTTCGCCTCGGGCAAAGCGCCATCGAAAAAAATATTGCTTCTAACACACGATCAGTATTGTCGAGTGCTTCAAAAAAGGAAGAACTATATTTTTACATTTTTACACCCAGGATTGTTAGCTGCAAAAGGTACAGCATCACTCCAACACTCACTTCATTGCATGTCGGTTGAGCATCGAAAGGGCTCACGCTTTGCACCATCCAAGATAATAATCGAGAGTAGACATGATACACCAGACTTGGTCCATCAATTACGACTGATTGAACATATAAGGCGCCATCCCGGTCACCTGCTAGGAATACAGATTCGGAGAAAGGAAGAGTGTGACGTGTCAGGTGAGGAATGCCCATTACTGGACTCAACAACTTCCTCGTAAATTAATAATAATGATGATAGATAAGTACTCAGCAGTCGCTGAAATCGGCGGATGGCCAAATTCGACGAACATTCTGCTATCGTATACCGCCTTCATTTACCCCGCTGCGGGAGCCATTATTACGCATTACGCACCTCTTTACCGCCTGCGCCCTCAGAATTGATCAATGATTATAGCGTAGATTGAATATATTCTGAACTATATTTTTTATCTACTTTAATGCTCAGTTGAATAATTTCATCTTAATGTACAATCCATTATACTGGAAGAATATTTTTATGATATGTGTGGCCCAACAAGGCGACAATAACTCCTAGTATCTCTAACATAACATTGTTCAAGGCGCTACATTATGGTTACCTAGATAATGGCGCTAACCCTTTTTAGTATACCGCCCAACTATTCTGCCACATAAATATGAGGTACAGTAGGCAAATATCATTATTACTGAACACAACAGACACGGAGCAGTAACTAGATTCTCTCATCAAAAGGGCATTCTCCCAATAACACTTCTATCTTCGGTTTGCTCTCTTGAGTTCCCTTACGCGCCTGCTTCCTCTATCATGGCATCCTGTTTCCATATAGATACCACAGGTTAGTAGATCTGATGGTCTCCCTATTTTGGATTTTATTTAATTGGATATTAAGCAGACTTAAAGCCACCTGGATCATCACAAGCTGTGTATCGTGAAGATTGCACGCAATGTTTTGATTCCATTGTATGTCCTTATCACCCTGTTCTACCTCCCTTCTGACCTATTTATCAAAGGATGACGAAACTGGCCTGAATGTCTGCCTTGACTGTTTCAATGGGGGTTGCACAGGAGACAGAGACCATGCCCTTCTTCACTATCAACGTTTTGGTCATCCTCTAGCGCTCAATATCAAAAGGGTGAGGAAGAAACTGCAGGTATGTTTAGACGACAGCCTCATTCCTATCAGTTTACGATCGTGTCGTTGAGAAATATCAATTTTAGCGCGATGAACCCCCTCATAAAATGTCAAAACTCGCAATTGCGGCCGAAACGGACGAAGACCGCTATGAAACTACCACGAAGATCATGTGTTATGCGTGCTGTAAAGATGATCTTGATGGGTCCAGTAGCAAACTGGCTCAAGTTGTTGATGGCGTGATGAACGCTCTGGCATTTTCTCAGAGGGAAGAAGTTAAAGCTTGGGAGCAAGAATTTGTCCCTTGCGAACACACGCTTTGCTTGGTTCAACAGGAAAACAGGCAAGTTGACTCCAAAGGTAGCTTATAACTTGGTCCATGCATTGAGGACAAGACTTACGCACTCAGCAGATCTTACTCGATGTTCGATGTGTGACCTTAGGGAAAACCTCTGGCTTTGCTTAGAATGTGGTAATCTTGGTTGTGGACGCAGTCAGTTTGGTGGAGTCGGAGGTAACTCCCATGCTCTTGCACATTCAAGTGAAACATCCCACGCTGTTGCTGTCAAGCTTGGCTCGATCACTGCAGAGGGATCTGCAGACATCTATTGCTATCAGTGTAACGAGGAAAGGGTAGACCCATATATCTCTTCCCACCTCTCTCACTGGGGAATAAACCTAAAGGACCGTGAGAAGACGGAGAAGAGCCTCATGGAGATGCAGATTGAACATAATTTAAAGTGGGAGTTCTCCATGACGACTGAGGATGGCCATGAGCTGAAGCCAGTCTTTGGACCAGGCTTCACAGGCCTTATTAATATGGGAAATAGCTGCTATCTTTCAAGCATTATACAATGCCTTTTTTCCCTGGAAGAATTTCAGAAGAGGTACTTCCATCCAATGGAGGAGCCTCCTTTGTCTGCAGACCCGGCTCATGATCTTGAAACACAAATGCGAAAACTTGCAGATGGCATTCTCTCTGGTCGATATTCGAAGGCTGAGACGAACATCAACGCGTCCCCAGACTCACCAGAGGTCCCCCACCAGAAAGGTATAGCTCCAACGATGTTCAAACATCTTGTTGGGCGCTGCCACGAGGAGTTTTCTACAATGAGGCAGCAGGATGCTTTTGAATTTCTGCTCCACCTGTTCAAACTTGTCAGCCTATCTAGGCACACCGATAAACAGTTGAATCCTATCCAATCTTTCCGTTTTCTAGTCGAACAGCGCCTTCAGTGTATGTCCTGTAATAAGGTACGATACCGCGTTGATGAGCAGGACAACATTTCCATTCCAGTACCTGCACGCCGATTTCCTTGTGCAGACGACCCATCTCTCTCCAATGACAAGGCTCCGGTTGATCTATTTGAACCGGTTACCCTTCAAGAATGTCTGGATAATTTCACTGCGGAGGAAATAGTGGAACTCAATTGCCCTTCTTGTGGCAGTAAGGATGGCTTCCGCAAGCGTTCGTTGTTCAAGTCTCTACCACAACAACTGGTCATCAATGCTCGTCGGTTTGAATTGATTAATTGGGTCCCTACTAAACTTGACATACCCGTGGAGGTAGGCGAAGAGCCATTGGATTTCAGTCTTTATATGTCATGTGGTCCTGAGGAGGGCGAGGAATTACTTCCAGATAATGAGACCCCACAAGGGAGGTTCGAGCCAAATGAAATTGCTTTTCAGCAGCTTCTTGGTATGGGATTTCCGGAAAAGAGGATTGAGAAAGCACTACACGCAACTGGAAATTCAGATGCGGAATCGGCAATGAATTGGCTGTTAGCCCATATGGAAGACCCAGACATTGACGAGCCACTTGTTTTGGATATCAATGAGAAGAATGATGGGAACCAGGATCCGGTCAAGATTGCAGCATTAAGTGAAATGGGCATTGATGTCCCCCGTGCTAAAAGAGCATTGGCTGCGACGAATGGCGATGTGAACCGGGCCCTGGACTGGGTTTTTAGCCACCCTGATGATGACGGCGGGGATGGAAATGATGGTGGCTCTTCAAACACCGACGCTCAATTGCGGGAAACGTCCGGTTTTGATGCCGTTCCGGCCAAGTACCAACTTCGGTCTATTGTCTGCCACAAGGGCTCATCGGTTCATGCAGGGTAAGCAAGCACATTTACATTTAAATTTATGTTTCCATAGCTAATGTATATATAGTCATTATGTGGCGTTTGTACGTAAAGCGCTGCCTGGCAAAAGTGAACTATCTTGGGTAATGTTCAATGATGAAAAGGTGGTCAAAGTTGATGATGTGAGAGAGATGAAGCAATTCGCCTATCTTTATTTCTTTACTCGGGTTTAGAAAATGAGTTCATCTTCAAGAAAAATCAATAGCATTCTGTTGGCTATTAAACTGAAGCATCAAGCTATCCATCATGACAGTAAACCATCAATTGCCACAAGCTGCCCGTCCATGCATATTTATTGCACTATCATCACTCAGATGTACAGCGCTATGATGAAACCTTGCTATCCTTGACCATGTAAAAGACAAATTAGCGTGGTCATGCCATTTTCCAGGCCTTACCCCGGGTGGGGGAGAACAAGTTAATAATTATGGACAAGCAAATGTATGGAATACATTCGAAAATGTATCTGTGCACTCGGTGCCATATATGGGATAAAATGGCCGGAATATGGTAGTACCCAGGGCTGATGGGGTGCTAGTAGAGTCAAACCCAGTCAACTGCCATTTGCTCACTTCTCCGGTGCATCAGGAAGCTGTTCAATGACATATTTTCCACGTGCGACACTCATTATAGGCACACCTGGAATTTTACTAGTAGTAAGAATTAGAAACTATATTCATTCCCATCGTCTCTGGGGATTGGTTTTGAATTAAAAGCTCACCGGATTCGCCTCTTGAGGTTGCGATCATTTGTCGCTATTATATAGATACGATGTTTAATTGCACGGTCAACTAGACAGTCGTCTGCATATGTGCCCTTGTGATCACAGTGTACCCTTTCAAACCTGGGGTCCTTTGCAACCCGCAGAGCAAGTCGATATTTTTGGCCCAGCTTTTCTAGTTCTGCAAGCACACAGTCCGTAACAATAGGGATGCATTTTGCATATAGACAGTCCATCATTGTCGGTATGACTTCGAGTTTATTCTGGATCGAGTGTGAAATAAAGTTCGTATCGACTAGTATGGAATATGGAGGTGCAAGAGCTGTGTTGTATTTGAAAAAGAGGGAGGATGGGACTTGAGGTCTATGGGATAACTGACTGTTAGCAGAATGTACGCGAATTGATTATTAACTGGCTAATGGCATACACTTCTCTAATGAGATCATTGTGTGCTGTTGTTTCCTTTTTGTTCTTTTGCTCCTTACTCTCCTTCCTGTTAGGCGGCCGTTCGATGTTAGCTCTTGATACGCCATACTTGATGAGAATTTTGAGCCACTAACAGGCGGTTATCACGCAGACTGATTGCTCTTTTGACTTGGGCAAACTTGCGCGTCCTCCTCTTGACCCCCATAGTGTTACTGATTGGGGTGGTATGTATCGTCAGTTGTTTGACAGTGATATCATTTAGCAGAATATGCTGAGTTGATTGACTAGCTGAGAAGCCTTTCTAATAGAATCCACCACTGAACCTGTTCTGTTGACTTAGGTCACATGATCCCACTGTTACTTAGCTGGTTAGCTCCTGTGGTTCCCATGGTCAATACGCTCTCAGGACTGACGGGTCTGTGTGCTTATTTAATACATATGATTAGGTAACGTATTTCCCGGTCGAGCGGGCCACCCAGTCGAGCGGGCCACCTCCTCCTAATTCCTGCCCGGGCTAAATACTAGAGCCTCTACCAACCAAACAATTGCATTTTTTTATAAAAACTAATTACTAAGGGGATTAGGACATCTAACTCTAGCATGTCCCCAAATATAACAATTAGAACACTGTGGTGGAGCTTATATATGTGATCCAATTGCAGAAAGTGCTAGATCTATAAGAAGCATATCTTGACCTTTAATAACCTTATTCTTATGCTGAAATTACTTTAAACCCTCTTAAATTATTAAGCCCTTTAGAATAGCTAGCTACCTAATAGAGTACTTTTATTTTAATCTTTCCATTTATTATTAGTGTGAAATTTGCATATTCCTTCACATATAAGAACAAGCTTATTAAGTCTTAATTCATGACCTTTAATAATCTTATTTAATCATAATTTTAGCAAAGATAAAGGGCTATAAGCATATTTCTTAAGTAATTTTTTATAATTAATACCTACTTCTCCAGCTGCCTAATAGTATAGAGTGTTTTAAATATTAACTTGGATGACTAACTAAATAATAATATAAGGGTTTTTAATCAGATATTTAACTTACTAAATATCTTAGATTAAATAGATCTAGTCTAGCACTTATAAAGCTATTTTAAATAATTTCTATTTAAAAAATATATTCATAAATATTGTCACGGAACTCAACTAGACGATGGATAGGATGCTATTCAACTATCTAGGCAGCTATCGACTAGAACTTCAAGCATGGAGAGGAGGGAAAAGGGAAGAGATCTACGTGAAGCTAGATGACGTATTCCTATCCACGCGCCACGCTAATCCAAATAAGGATACTCACGTGCTCGTCCTGGTCTATATGGCAAGGGCCCTGACATTACCCCCTTCTTTAAGAGGGCTGTCCCTAGCCCTTAAGCTGGTAGGTTATCATCTCTGTGATCTGGTAGATCATCATTATTCTCCTAGGCCTTCAGCCATTCATTCAAACACTGTGGCAGTCTAGGGTGGGAAAGATATATTGTATGATAGTTGTCATGGAGCTCAATCAAGATAGAATAGAGAATGCTATTTGGCTATCATGGCAGCTATCGACGAGAATATCAAGCATGGGAGAGAGAGGAGGAAGGGATTCGGCTCCAGCTCCTATCTGCGAAGATATTCTCGTGCGTCACATGTCCCACACGTGACCTAACCAAGTGAGCTTCCTAGCTAAACTACCTATCGAACGACCAGGTCGTGACAATAGTCTCACAATTAATGAGGGGATCTCTTGAAATTTTAGGCAGGATACCATGTGTTATCTTTATTATAGCTTACCTATTTAATCTGATATTGGAGCTGCTATTTATGGAGCTATGATGCTAATATCTTTTTAACTTCCTATTCTTGCTTTTTATTAATAATTATAGGCTCTGGGGGCTCAATCTGTTATCTAAGAAGAGGATCATCTGCAGCTCAGTGCAGTTTATCAGGTGAGAATATTAGGTAGATCTTTATAGATTTGGGAAGCTCTAATTGATAGGAGTGACTTATCTTTTCTAAGATTTAGAAGGGTCCTGCCATCTAGTTATCTAGCTTCTTGCTAGATTAGCTTATTCTATATATCTTTAGGGACAGCCAAACTGAATCCCCAACTCTAAAGTCCACTTCCTAATAATAATAATCTACCTAAATCTTCTAATATTTTTAGACAGTTATAGGTTTTTTTATTATTAACTATATTTTCTATATCTGCTTTGTTATTCTCTTAACTTATTCCTTACTAATCCTCTTATTTTATAAGATAAGGATTGTAAGGCTAATTTAATTAAATAAAATTTAAGATTTATATCTGCAATTAATAAGAAAGAGAGAAAATAAAATAATTTTAGAGGGAAAGATTGCAGTAGTAAAATTAATTAAAAATAAAAATTTAGATTAATTATTCTAATAATAATTGATAAAAGGTTATAAATATATTTATTATAATATATTAATTAATTATTTTTGTTTGCTTATCTATCTCTGTAATAAGGGGTAGAGAGTTTTAGTTTAATTTCTAAGATTTAGCAGAATATCTTTTAGAAGATAAAAATAAATTAAAAGTTATAATCAGATATAATGCTATTAGGAGGCTTTTATTAATAATATATATATTTAATAAATAATACATTATCTGCTCTGCAATAGTTTCTTTATAATAAAAGATATTAATAAGATATTTGTTAAGCTAATCCATAAATATTAAAGCTATATTAAATTTATTCTTATTTTTAGGGAAGAAGCAAAAGTCTATAAAGATATATTATTAAAAATAATTAAATATTAGTAATAGTTATAGTAATCTAGATTTTTTATTTTAAAAATTTTTAATTTTTTAGTATTTGGCACAGTTCTATATATATTATTTAATATCTTAATATCAGCTAGACTAATAGTACTAGGCCTATATTAGTTATTAAATTTTTATTTATTTAAAAAATATATATATAAGGTTAGATCATTATTTAAGATTAACAGATAATTATTCCAGAGTAGTAGACTATTTTTTAATTTTTATAATCTATCTTTATTAGTTTTTACCTTTGTTCAATATTCTTCTAACTTAAGGGACTCTCAGTTCCTTTGGAGGATCCAATTGATAATATAAATCTAAGAATTAATAAGAGATAGACTGATTTCTCTGTGAACTTAAGGTTCTAGGGAGTCCAGCCTTAAGAGGATCTAAAATTAATAGTTATAGTCCAGAGTATCTAAGCTTTTTTAAAAATAATTAAGAATATTAGTAAGTGTGTTCTATTTCTTAAGATAATATTAAATTAAGAAATAAAATTATAATAGGGAACTCAGCTTAATAAGTTTATCTAATATTTAATTTCTTTATTAATATAAAATATCTAAAAGCCTTATAATTAATAAAAATATTAAACTATTTTTATAATTAGTCTTTCTAACTCTGTTTATTATTTTTATAGAGCTTATATAATTACTAATAATTTTTTATTATAGATCTTATAGTTCTTTTTAGCAGCTGATATACTCTTAAAATAATATATCACTAAATATTATTAATTATTATACTTCTATGATAGGACTCCTATTATATTATTTAAGATATTTATTTTTAATTTAGTTTCAAAGTCTAGATAATAGTGGTATAAAATAAAGGTGTTAGAAAACTATTCTTTTAGATTTTTAAAGATATTTTCACAACTTTTATCTTAATTACAAGAGATATTCCTTTTAATCAATTTATAAAAGAGTTTAGATATCTAGCTACAGTCTTTTATAAATTTCTTATAAAAATTATAAAATCTTAAAAATAGTTAGACTTTTTATATTAAAAGTCTTCTAACCTTAGATTACTGTTATTTTCTTAAGTTAACCTTTATACCTTTTATAGTTAGGATAAAGTTAAGATACTTTATATATATATAATATGAAATTTATATTTTTTAATATTAGCCTATAATCTAACATTGTGAAAATATTTTAAGACCTTTTTTATATATTTTATATATTCCTCCTTATTCTAGCTATAAATTAAAAGGTTATCTATATATCTTATAATAAAATGATTTAGGTAGTCTATAAGAATCTTATTAATAAATCTCTAAAATATAATAGGACTATTAGTCAGTCTAAAAAATAAAATATAATATTTAAAAGTTTTATATCAGATTTAAAGGGTGGTAAAGTCTTTTAATTCTAGGCTTATATGAATTCTATAAAATCTTTATAAGATATTAAATTTTGTAAATATCTTAATATTAGATAATTGTTCTGTCAGCTTATTTATTAAAGAGATAAGATACTAGTTTTTTTTAATAATTAAATTTAATTTCTGGTAGTTAATGCAGAATCATAATCCACTCCCTAACTTTTAAATTATTAAAATAAATAAAATATATAGTGCTGTGCTAAGTCTAATAAACTTTTTTAAAAGATTATTGATAATATAATTTTAGACTACTTCTAGCTCTTTTATTAATTATTTATACAAAGGGCTATAGCCTATTTCTTTTAATATTTTTTTTTTCTTTAATATAATCTTATAATTATTAGTCTAATAAAATAGCAGCTTATTTAATATAGCTTTTAAAAAAATATCTTTATATTTTTAATAGTATTTTAACAGTTTTTATTTAATAGGTTTCTAATCTATTATCTTCTTAACTTCATGTTCTATAGTATATTCTTTTTCTATTATTTAATTAATGTCTAATAAGCTTGTAATACAAGCTTTAATTCTTTTTTTATTTAAATATTAGTAAAAGAGTACAGCTTTTATAATAGTAATATTAATTAGTTTCTTATTTCATGATATAGGCTGGCTAATCTCTTCTCTTCTTAAGTATCTGTCTAGAGAGTCCCAGTCTTAATTAAGAGATATTAGTTAAGATTCTCTGGAACTAGTGCTTATATTTTTTTTATATTATTTACTTAATAATCCTGTTCTGTGGTTTCTGATTATTAATAATAGTTCTTTCTCTATAATTTATTTTGGTGTTCCATATGGTTCTAATGCTCAGGTATTGGTATTGGGCATTTATGAATTTATTTAAAGATAATAATATTTTGTTTAACCTGGATCTTTGTAGTTAAGGGCCTCTGATTAAGCTAAATTAAATAGTGATTCTTTATATCTAGCTAGATATTTTAATCTGTAAATTATTTCCTCTCTATTATAACTCTATAATCATGTCATGCTGGCCAAGGTCTAAAATAAGAAAAGGCTAATTGAGGAGTCTTCAACTGCTAATCTACAAGTGTAGCAATAACTATATAACCGACCCCTACGGTAACCTTCGGGGTCGCGCGTATTGCGCGACCCTGACAACCACCCGAGCACCCCAGCCACCCGAGCACCGATTTTAGAACTTCGTAGAATT